CATGGCTTCGACGGCAGCGCCATGCCCTGACTATACTCACTTGAGTATAATCATGTCCTTCGCTTTCAGCGGTTCAGCGCTTGAGATGAGCGGTAAAGATCGGCGATTGCTTTGAGACCGTTGTTGATTCCCCTCCCTTGAAGTGGATGAAAACATTCTTTAGTTTGATCCGGGGAAATGGCATCCGGCTGGTTTGATGCATATCTCGAGCAAGTCTTGCTTATCGAGTCACAGACAGAGACAGTACAGCGCATCAACACAAGCCAAAGGCTAGAATGCGGTCCACACACAAGGGAAATTGCGGTGATGGCAGAAGAAAAAAGGTTGGTCTTACCAAGGGAGAAGCTGAAAGCTAGATGAGACACTGAAACAGCAAGTCAATAGCTCCTGATAGTTAATGCGGGCCGAAAATTGTTGCGGGGCAGGCGCTGTAGCCTAGGGGTTTAGTGGGGGTCGATCCCAAGTACAGGGTATTTTCTACACAAGATCTGAATGAAGCTCCCATTCATGTTCTTTACTAATGCCTTCGGAATACTATTATTCCAAGCAGAATAGATGCAATTAAATGGCCAGTAAGTAGGGATTCCGTGTTCAAACGGAAATCATAGCTGATACATGACGGCCAAAAATTGTTGCCCTGTGTTAAAAGATGAGCAACTCACCACTGAAACTTGAACATTAAATAACCACCGACAGACATCCAATATCATCTGTCCAAGATACAGTAAATAATATTCTCTCTAGCCCTATACAAGATCCGCATTCTTTTATAAAATATTGTTAGATCCGACACGGCGGACAGTCATCAACTCCACCGTAGATCCCTCGACCCCAAGGAAGCTTGTCAAATGCTTGACATATCATGCATATCACGATAGGTAGTGTCTGTGCACAGTCAAGATAGTCGATCTTAGTTCGGCAGGATAGTTCCGAGTCTTAGCGCCTCTCATTGACCACCCAACTATAGACCAAAACTATGACGCGAGTCTGAGGGCACCAGGAGCCTTCAATTCCTCCATGAGGCTGTAACAATACCACAGAGTCATGCTCCCTCCCGTCCGGCCCAAAACGTGCCGTGCCAAGGCGTTGCCATTGTCATGTGTAATACAAGACCTCATGCAAGGTAGAAATCCTCCCAAGGGGCTGCCGTTGCACAGAGAGCCATGTCGGTAGCGGAATATCTGGTTGTACCTGACGATTACATCAGCATTTTACGTCTCCTATTCTAAATTTAAGCCGCAATCTTAACAAGGTGTAAAACATGTTAGTACGTGGAATGTATTCCCGCTTTTGATCGGAGCTTGTTTTAAGCTTGAATGGTGATAGACATAGTAAAAAACGCTAATGGGTTCACCAATTTCCTCTGCATCGCTTGTCATGTCAGGGCGAAGCCTCATTTGTCGCCTTATGCAAGCCTCATGGTTTGATGGCTTGTAGTTAAATTAGCTATGTGCAGGCTAAAACATTTCTCTATTTTGACCTCGAACATTTCACGGGATGTTCAAGCCGCCTTAAGGGAGGGATCTTATGTTGAGTCAGTCTCCCTTGCTTTGAACGTCTCACCGTGTTTTGTTTCTTTTTTCTTGGCTAGATAGTAGCAATGCAAGTAGCCTTTTTGGTTATCGTCGCATGCATCGTGTGAGACATTAGACTTGCCCTTTCAGACGTTGCTTTGGCATTGTCGTTCCTGAGAATTTGAAAAGAATTGTTGCCCCTGCTGGCAATGGATCAAAACAACTCTTGTCAACACCGGCAGTTGAGATGTAAGCATCATCAATTTTACCCTTGAGTTATTCATCAGACCCTTGGATAATCCAGCCTTTTCTCTTAACAATTTTTTTCTTTCTCTTTTTGACTGGCAGACCCTAGACCCTGAAAGAATTGAGCTAAATGCTGCAATCACTCATCATGTCTATCATGACTACCTACAGGTACATGAACCAAGACTCCAAATCTCGTCAATTGACAATAGCTGCGCTTAGCTAATTCAATTGCAATATCGAAACGATGATACCCTACATCATTTTCTGAATGATAAGCTCATGATGGATCATGACAATAAATAAAATCTGCCGTTGTTCATTGCCGAAGATCAACAGAGGGGGGAGGGGTCGAAATGGAGCTCTACTCCCAAAGCAACCATCATTGGATCGTTGATTGGACCCTTCAACTTACCCATGTCATCATGCCCATGATATAAAAAGACTCAAGAAGCAGCCATGATGGCACTCAATTGCTCTTCAAATTCGCTGCAAAAATGTCCGTCTCAAAGCTCCCCTTCCACGCTGATCACATCGGTTCTCTGATCCGACCAGAGTCGCTATCGCGCACTCAGGAGCAGGCCGATGCCGGCCAAGTCTCCACCGAGCAGCTTGTCGCCACTCAAAAGGCTGCCATTGCCGATATCGTCAAGAAGCAGCAAGAACATGGCGTTCGCGCTATTTCTTCCGGCGAGTTTGATCGCAAGTACTACTTCGGCGGCTTTTTCGAGCGTCTAGGAGGTTTCAAGGAATATGAGCCTGTCCCCTGGGACCTTGTGCGCCTCTCTGCGCCGCCCATCGCTGCCCTTAAGAAGGCTGGCAAGCAGTACCCCATGGCTGCTATCTGCGAGTCCAAGATTGAGTACAAGCAGAGCCCTTACTTAGAGAACTGGAAGATGCTGCGCGAGTGTGTCCCTCGTGAGCAGTGGGCTGAGTGCAAGTTCACCATGCCCCCTCCTTGCTACTTCCACTTGCGACTCGCCTCTGGCAAGTGCTACAGCCCCGAGGCCTACTCCAACGATGAGGACTTCTTTGCCGATTTGGCCAAGGCTTACCGTCAGGAGTTCAAGACTCTGTACAATGAGGGTGTTCGCAACATCCAGATCGACGACCCCACCCTCGCCTACTTCTGCTCCGATGAGATGCTTCAGTCCCTGAAGGATGAGGGTGTTGACCCCGACAAGCTGTTCGACACTTACCTCAAGGCTCACAACGACGCCATCGCCGACCGACCTGAGGGTCTTCACGTTGGTCTTCACGTCTGCAGAGGTAAGCATCCCAATCCGTGTCACATCGCTCAAATACTAACTCTCTAGGCAACTTCTCCAAGTCGATGCACTTCAGCGAGGGCTCCTACGAAAAGATCGCCGAAAAGTTCTTCCAAACGCTCAACTACGACACCTTCTTCCTCGAGTACGACAACCCCCGCTCCGGTGGTTTCGAGCCCCTCCGTTTCCTCCCCAAGCACAAGAACGTCGTCCTCGGTGTCATCACCACCAAGGAGCCTGAGCTCGAGGACGCCCAGGTCATCAAGCACCGAGTTCTTGACGCCGCCAAGATCATCGCCGACGGCCAAGGCCGCAGCCTTGAGGAGGCTCTTGAGACAGTTGGCATTAGCCCCCAGTGCGGTTTCGCTAGTGTCGCCGTTGGTGCTGAGGGTATGACTGAGGAGAAGATGTTTGCCAAGCTCAAGCTCGTCAATGATGTTGCTAAGGAGATCTGGCCCGGAAAGCCTTGAGGAATGAGTAAAGATGTACAAAAGAGAAATGAAAAGGATGTAAAAAGTATATAGCTATATTTAACATATAGTGGCGGTTGCATAGCGTGATATTAAAAATACAAGAACGAACAATGGTTCAACCCCTACTTTTATCGCCTGTTCCATGATCTGAGGATGTCAGAAGATAGCCGCCCAAGTCATAAGAGACGAAATTAGTTTATGCTGTTTAGATCAGACGCTTAGTCTATTTATTTGTGTACTATGAATATGTTATTCAGTATCGTGGCCGGCCATATTGATCACCAATAGCTAGTCTAGCCTTAGGGTATTAGAAGAATTAACCGCTGAAAGCATAAGAGACGAAATTAGTAAGTCAGTTTATGCCCCTTAGACTATGGTTCTTAGACTACTTATTTTTAGTAGACCCTAAGACTTGGGAGGCCATTTCTGCTACCCACTAGCCACTTGATAATGTCAGTTTATTCCTTGCTGTTCAAAAACTTTTCCTTGGTTTATATAAAGACCAGTGCCCAGTCTATGTCTCTTATGCTGGATTGGACAGGAACCATGGCCGCTAATAAGATGTACGTCGAGGGGCTACACATGAGAATCGAAAATGAAAGTGATACGAGTGCGTAGGCCAACTTCTTCAGCATCATTCAACTTGCAAACCACAATGTATAGTTGATATCCCAACCTACCGTTACTCGGCAGCATGCAAACAGAGAAACATGTTTGTTGTAACATGGTTTCCATTTAATGCAATCAATACGGGATATTCATGGCCTTGAAATCATGGGACAAGCTATTCCTTAGTAACGCACATACATTGTTTGCCGGTTTGATTCGAGAAACACAGGCCCAATGTACGGCAGTGAACTGCTTGAAAATCGATGCAAACCGGCCAGGCAGTGTCAAGCAGTGCCAACGAGAGCAAACCAAACAAGCACAGTGAATGCAAGCCTAACCCTCTGTTAATAAATATTGGCGCTCTTGCTCTCTTCTCTTCCTTCTTTTCTTCTCTTTCACCTCAACCCTGGTCATCTTCTTTACCTATATATATCACCATCAGGACCTCCTGACGTTGCTGGCTACGAACAGTACCGGAAAACATGGCACAGGCTGCTTGCACCGACCAGCTCATTCTGGCGCAACTTCCTGCCCTACCATGGCCGGTCGGTGACTATCAACAAACTGTTACCGCCGTTGTCCTCAATCGAGACTAGAAATACAACGACAAGTCTGATGGTGTTTCCTCTACGCGAGGGTGTATGCCAGATTTTCTCTTGGTCAACGGACGTCTTCCTTCGTTCAAAGACGAACCAGGCTACATGTTCTACCGCGGCGCCAAGACTGCAATAGTGTTTTTCATCAAGAATTCTAGAGTGATCCCAAGTAAGACCTACAACAGCCACTTCGTCTTCATCAGCCTGACTCGTCTCTAGACGTTCTTCCCTTTAGTATCCTCAAGGTGGGCGTTCAGTTTCGTACATTGGCCGAGCAGACCGCCGACCAAAACCATGTCCGCACCCAAGCTCGTTACTTGGGACGACAACTATCGCCTTATGGTCAGACTTTTCGATGCACCTCTCACTCACGTCCTAATAAGTGGGCGTCCCGAGCCGAGAACAGATTTCCTGCAACAGCATGCGCTTGCTGTCAATCGCGAAGTCGAATGCGACACGTGCAGGTACATTGGGTTTCTCGTCAAGTGCGTACGTGAAGAGAGCCAAACTAATGTTTGGGTCTATAAGTGCTACGCTATGTTTCGCTGACCTTGTACTTTTACTTCTCTGAGCGCTTCACTAGAGCTCTGAGGTTCAGATCGGCGTTGGTTCGTTTCCCGGCACTACTCCATGTACTCAAGCGGCCCGCATCGATTCCTCTCCTATCTTACACCATGAACCTTGCGCAACTGCTTACAGTGAGTTACGCACCGAAGCCTCTCTCAGAGAGCCTTTTCCAGCCGGCGGATGACGAGGAGGGCGAGGAGGGCGAGGTTGACGATGAAATGGATGATGCCATGGAGGAGAATGACGACGAGTGAACTTGTCTTGGTTTCTCGAAGAGGGCTTACGAAAGCCTGATACGCATGCTAGCTATCGGCTCTATTGTGTTATTGCAGCCAACCAAGTGGGTAGCAGAAAAGTTGGCCTCCTAAGTCTTAGGGTATAAAAATAAGTAGTCTAAGAACTATAGTCTAAGAAACATAAGCTGACCTACTAATTTCGTCTCTTATGCTTCCCGTTTGATACGCTGTGTTGTCTGTAGACCGGAAACCGAAGTTTGCACTCTGCGTCAACTGAGACCATCAACGAAGGCCATCACCGATAAACCGTTAAATATCACCCAATCTAGCAATAGCTATATTGAATCGCTTGCCTTTGTCAAAGCATGTTTGCATTTGACGTGAGCTTGTGCTTTATGTAAGACCACGTGATCGCACCCGTGACACCATTCACCATGCTGCAAGAAAGAAATATCATTCCAAGATCAATTAATTAATGTAAATCTATGTCTATATCTAAGCCGTATCACGTGTTTCCATCTATTTTTATTCATTTCGTTCTTTAACGACGGTTGAAGTTGAGGAATCGACTCGCCGTAACCAGAATGATCAAGTTGCTCACAATGAAGCAAGCATAGATACCCAAATCTCTCCAACGGTTATCGAAAGAGAGGTTGAAGGTACTGTAGAACTCATCTCCAACCTTGTAGGCACAGTACTCGCAGTCTTGAGTACTGTTGCTGACGAGGTAGCCGGACCCCCCATTCTCGAAGAAGGGCTCCATGTACTCGCCACAAGTCATGTTGGGAGGAGCACTGAAGGCGTTCAACTCGCTCTGCTTGCAAACTACCTCGACTCCGTGTAGAGCGGTTGTAACCATGCCAGAAATTAACCTCGTGAAAGGATCAAGCTGGTACAACCAGGCTCTCCAGAAACCGGGCATTTGAGGAGGAGGAATCGTTACACCACAGAACAAGGCGAAGACGATAATTATAAGAGGATCAAACTGGCTTGAAATGAAAGGCGAAGGTGTGATAGAAGCAAGTCCCTGTCCTAGAGTGACAGCAAAGATCTCAGTGATGAGTACCATCAAGAACTGGAAACCAGCGCGGGAAGGATCAGTCTGGAAACCAGGCATGAAGTACAAGGGCAAATAGAAAGCCACGGCACAAATGATCGAGTAGGGCATCTCAGCCAGGACAACGCTGGAGGTAAACACGAAAGGTGAGTACATCTTGGAGGACTGCTCCCTGAAGAACATAGCTCGCTTGATGTGGAAGAGAACCTCGACCTGAGTAATGATCAAAGCAGGAAGAACAGTGACCTGGAAGATGATGAAAACACGGTTCTGTAGGGAAGCTCGGGAGTCGTCCAGGTTGAGGTACATCAGACCGGTGATGAGAGCAACTGCGACGTGGGCAAAAATACGGGTGAACAAGTAGTTGGGCATTCTCCAGAACGATCGGAACATGCGAGTAGAGACTACCTTCATCTGGTGGGTGAAGGGTGAGGCATATTCCTTCTCCATCTCAGCATTCTTAGTATTGGCGCCACCAACAGCTTCCTGACGCTCGCGCTTGAGACGGATGATAGTTTCCTTGACTTGAGCAAGCTCAGAACTGTCCTCCCAAATATCAGCCCAGTCACGGTTTCCGACGCGAGGGGCACTTCCAGCACCGATGGCCTCGAGCATGAACTCGGCGATATTATCGGTAGGCTTGGCAACGGCACCATGAGACTCGAGGTAGCTTCGCAGGATATGTGCGTCTTTTCCAATATCTCCGAAGTAAACAGTGCGGCCTCCACGTTGGAGGAGAAGAAGACGGTCAAAGTTCTCAAAGAGGGCGGCGTTGGGCTGGTGGATTGTGCACAGAATAGCCTGACCCGAAGCAGCAAGTTTCTTGAGGAAACGGACGATATTGAACGCGCTCTGACTGTCTAGGCCGGAGGTAGGCTCATCAAGGAAAAGCATCAGCTCGGGCTTGGCAGCGAGTTCGACACCAATGGTGACACGCTTGCGCTGTTCGACGGTAAGACCGAATTCAGGGGTTCCAATGATGGCATCGGCGATAGACTCCATCTCAAGAAGAGAGATAATCTCCTCGACGTAGGCATAGCGCTCCTCCATGGGTACATGGTAGGGTTGACGGAGCTCAGCTGAGAATCGGAAAGCCTCTCGGACGGTCTGTGTAGGCTCGTGGACATCAAGCTGTTCGGCGTATGAAGTTGAACGTTGGAATTCCTTGCCAGGAGCGATAGCGTCGACCAAGATATCTCCGTGAATCACGCCAATATTCTTACGGGCAGCAAGGACGTCGAGAAGAGTGGTCTTTCCAGCACCTGAGGCACCCATAAGAGCAGTAAGCTCACCAGGACGAACATAACCAAAGACATTGTTGAGAAGACGGCGAGTACCACCTGGGACAGGGACATCGTAGTTCAGGTTCTCCCAAGTAAGTACACTCTCAGACTTGATAGAAATCTCGGATCCTTCCTCATTGGACTTGTCCTTGCGTCGAGAATCGCGCTTAGCAATAAGCTTCTCGTTCAGGGCCTTGCGCTCCTTGTTAGGCTTGGAGAAGATGGTAGCTGCGTTTCCACCCATGCCAAAGTTGACGAGTTCACCAAGAGCAACGTTGAGAAAGAGGAAGAAGATGATGAGAGCTAGGACGATACCCCAGTTTCGCCAAAGATCGCCGGGGTAGTAAGAGAAGCCCTGAGCAACGTAGTCACTGCCGGAGACGAGAGTGGTTCCGGCCTTGGATCCAGCGAGAGTGCAGACCTGGTAGTCGATGTCGGTGTACTCGGGCCCGGCAGGGATCAAGCTATCGGCTGTGCATTCCATGTCGATCCTCTGGAACTCGTTCATCATCATGGAACTGAAGCTGAGACCCAAGATATTGATCCAGAAGATCCATCGCAACCAGACTTGTTCTTGGGCGTATTGAATGATGTATCCTGACGTCACAACGAATAGAGTAATGACGATAACCGCAAACTTGATCGCATAATCGAAGTCGGGCGAAACACAACCGATGATACGGAAGAAAAGAGTCATTCCAATGTTACCGGAAAGGATCATCAGATAAAAAGTAAAGAATGCGCCAGCGTCACGAACGAGATTCGTCATAAAATAAACGATGATACAGAAGAGCAGAATCTGACTAGCAGCGAAGACCTGGTCGACAAAGATCTGCGCGATCCAAAGCGCAGAGGGTCTATGGAAAGCATAGGCCTTGTGCTTATTGACAATAGCCCGTCCTGTCATAGTGCCTGCTAGTTCAGAAAAGGCTTGGAAGGCGTTGAAGAGTAGAGCGATGAACAGAAGACCACCCTTAGAAAAGGCACTGGCTGAGTTTTTTCCGAGATCGAGATAGAGTGTTCCGAGGACGATGGCGATGACGATACTGCGGAACCAACCAAAGAAAAGGTTGAAACGGTCCTGCAGCTTAAGAGTGAACTGACGCTTCATAAGAGCCCAGACTTGGAGATGGAAACCGACTTGGTAGATAGAGCGCTTGGAGGTGCCGCGCTTGCTCTCCTTGACAGCCATCTGGAAGTCATTATGAGTATCAGTTTCCTGAGTTAGAGAAGCCTTGTACTCGGCCATTTCAGCGTCTAAGGCCTTGAATGCATCAGACTTCCTGAAAGCCTCAGCCAGGGTCTCGGGGTTGTGGGGAGCGTTTTCCTCTGATCGACCAGGGGCGTATTCTCGTTCCCATTCATCAGTACAACCCGTGAGGTAATCGGCGCTAGTCTGACGAGGTCGAGGAGCAAAGCCGAGACCTTCAAAGTAGCTGCGAGCGGTAGAAGCAGGGCCGAAGTAGACCTGCTTTCCACCATCGATGACCAAGACCTTGTCGAAAAGGTCGTAAATGTTCTCAGAAGCCTGATACAAAGAGACAAAAGTAGTTGTCTTGTACAGGTTGGTCTGAATTCGTAGAGACTTGGCGAAATCCAACGCAGTACTGGCATCAAGACCACGGGTACTGTTATCCCAAGAGAGAACCGCAGCGTTGGTGATCATACCCTCTGCAATACTGACTCGCTTACGCTCTCCTCCACTCACGCCGCGGACAAAGTGATCTCCTACGATTGTGTGGCGTGTGTGTTCAATGTTGAACATCTTGAGAAGCATGGAGATGATGCTCTCCTTAAACTCGTCTTTGCTCATGTTACCAGGGCGTTTCTTGGGCATTTTTGTGTCAATTGCGAAGCCAAGGGTCTGCTCAACTGTAAGAGTAGGATGGTGGACGTCGTCTTCGGCGTTGTAGACTGCTTCTCCACGGTACTGGTCGAAATCGGTGTTGTGCCAAGGTCCGTAGAGAACCTCGCCCTCGACGGCAGTGTATCCATAACGCTGATTGGCAATGGACTTGAGGAAAGTCGTACATCCGGAACCAGGCTTGCCCAAAACGAGGATCATCTCGCCGGGCTTGCACACACCTCGGAACTTGTCGAGGAGTGCAACCTGGGGAGGCTTGGGGCCGAGACCGAGCATGTTGATGACGGGCGTGATAACATCGAAGAAGCCGACGAAAGCATCAGGGAAGGTAGGCACAAAGTTTGACATGCCGCTGAAACCCTTGACGGTCAAATCATCCCAGTAAACACCAATGTGCTTTGACTTGATTCCTGCCTCCTTCTCACGATCGAGACCGCCACGAAGAGCCGCCTCTAGATCAAAGAGGGACTCAACCTCAGCCTCATCAGCAGTAGCATTCTTCTCAGGATCGGCGTTGCTAGCTCTGCTCTTCCTGCGACTGGCTCGAGAAACACCAGTGAACTCACGCTGGAGCTCTGCAAACTCAGCTTCCGCCTGCTCAACAGAGACACCGACGTTCTGCGCCTTGTCATGTTGGCCTTCAGCACGGGTAGAGTCGGTCTCGATGGAGTTGCGGTAGGCGGGATCGGCCTGATCAGTGTGGTGGTTGGCGGCAATGGCCTCCTCGGCCTTTCCGAGGTCTTTTTCAGCCATTTCGAATGAGGAATTCGTTTGCGACAACAAATTGATATTGGCTGTATTTTAAACAGTACTCAATGAGACTGTGATGGGAGCCCAAAGTCACCCGCCGCGTAAGAGATGGAGTATCGAATTGGGGCTCAATTGGAAGTATAGAGATGATTAAAAATATACTAAAAAGGAGTGAAGAAAAGGGCTATTAATATGTATAAGATAACCAGAAGCCTGTCTTTACTTGAGGCGTGCTGATGAACAACAACGACAAGAAAAGGTAGGGAAGGGCGCAAGCTAAAAAGGAGCCGACATGCCGCTCTATAAGTCAGGTCGCAAAGGCGAAAAAACAAAGCTCCAGTAAAAAAAAGATTATTATGGAGAATTCTTTCCTTCACTCGTTTATTCCCCGGGGTATCGTGAAAAGACGAAATAGTTGAGTCACTTGGCTGCTGTTTAGACCGCCTCTTTAGACTGCATGTTTCTTGTACCCTCCTGGGATCTTTGGTCCGCCGTCCATACGGCATTACCAATCAAGAATACAAAAATGTCCGCCTGTAGGGGGGGCATCGTTCTCCACAAGTCGCGAATTGCTTCAGCGGAAGATCCATGTTGTTTTGACCGTTTAAGTATGTCAAGTCATGAAAGTGGAGCATATTTCCAGCGTTTGACTCATCTCGGACAAGTTTTCGTCTCGAAGGCCGAAGGAAGTAAAAGTCTGATTGGTCAGGGAAATAGAGTACAAGATGACATCTTTACCCAAAGGAGATACGCATAAAGGGAGATTTCGTTTATATCCGAGACACGATATCGTAATTAGTAAACAACACATCGTGAAGAACCCATGAACAGAGTTAGTTGTTACTAACAAAAAAATACCAGTAAAGTTGCTTTGTTCTCGCAAAGTCACATCATATCTATCGTAGTTTCTAGAGTGTCGATCCCTTGTTGAAACCCAATGGACGGTTATCATCTACATGTACATACATCTTTACCCACCCAATCTCATTCTGTGGAGCAAGGAATAGTGGAAACGTTTAATGTTAAACAGCCCCAACGGCTGAACTTCGCCATTCCTTAAGTCCGAAGCTTGATTCCAAAGTTTTGCTTTTTTTTTCCCCATCGTTGCTCAGACATCATTTCGACTCATACCCAACCCTCCTATTCCGGAATAGTTTACCAAAACTATAAGTAGTACAAAGACACTCACCGTGAGACACCCTTCGGCGTGACACATTGTTTCCTCTTTGTCCAAGTAGCTTTCGGCAAGCAAGTAAGCATCGGATGAACATCACCGACATTCACGTTTCCAGAACAATTTGTGACGATCTCTGTTACTTTATGGCAAATTTAGGCGCAATCCTGTACGGGCCAGGAACCTTGTCCGATAAGCCAGGGTCAGGGATCTCCTATTGTGGCGTTTCAGCTCAACTTACTCAATCGGTTATAGACGTTCTCAGGCGGTCTCCGCTAAGAGTCCGTCTCCCCGTCCGTCCGTCGGCCGAATGATGAGTAGTGGGTGGGTTGTAGCGGAAGTTGAAAGTTACTTGTGACAAATTCCGCACTTGGCGTATACAAGATAACGTTGAACGATCTGATCTGATAATCGTTGTGAGACACTCGGAATGTCTAAGCGTTGTACGGTGTGGCTTTAGGTTTATAGTTGACTTACATGACTAGACTAGCTAGGTGGACTAGACTGAGTAACAGAAAAGTTGACCTCTACTCTAAGCTTTAGGGTACAAAAATAAATAACCTAAGAGTGTGGTCTAAATGAACATCGCAACGACTTACTCAACATCTCGTATGCCTCAACCGCAACTTTTCTGATACCCTGAGACTAGACTAGTTGTTGATGATGGATATGGCCAGCCATGGTACTGGTCGACATCTTCAGATTAAACATTTACCATGGAACAAACTGTCGTCATGAGCTCATTATTTAGACTATAGACTACTCAGACTTGCCATCATTCTCAACAGCCCATAACTCCCCGAACCTACTTCCCTCGCTCTCAACAAGCTCCTTCGGCCCACCATCCTCAACAACACTCCCCTTATCAAGCACAACAACCCTATCAAAGTACTTCACAACCATCTCCAACCGATGCGAAACCATGATAATAGTATAACTCTCAAACTCATCTCTGATGATCTCTTGCATCGCCCTGTCTGTAACTCTGTCCACGCTGCTGCTCACCTCATCCAGCAGAAGCAAGCCCCCTTGCTTCTTTTCGCCCCTATCTCGAGCTCGACGACGTAGAATTGCTCGGCCGAGACTGAAAAGCTGTTTTTGGCCAGCACTGAGATCTTCGGCGCTCATGCCTGCGTTGAGGCTGCCCTTGTCGTGAACAAAGTTGGTTAGACGGACTGTGTTAAGAACGCTGAAGCACTCTGCGTCTGTAACTAAATTGTGAGGGTCTAGATTGGCTTTGATGGAGCTTCCATCCGGTGGAAAGACTGCGTCTTGAGGGATGCATATGATTCGTTTGCGCAGAGTGGCGCGGTCAATCCCATGCAAGTCAACATTGTCGATCTTGATATTAGCAGAACAAGAGGAGAGAGGGTCCAGGAGTCGTAGGAGAAGTAGTATCAGAGTAGACTTTCCACTTCCTGTACGACCACAGATTGCGACCTTTTGTCCTGGGAGGATGTCCAGCTCGAGGTCTCGCAGGACAAGACTGAGCTCAGATTCATCCTGGTTGTCAGCATCAACTTCGTAAGAAGCAGATACTTTGTCAATCTTGACATGTCCATTCTGCGGCCATGCATCAGGTGGCTCAACATCTTCCCCAGGCATATTCTCCGTTGCAACGGTGTCACTGAAGGACCTCAAACGACTTACAGCTCCCAGTGACGTCTCAAGAGATGTGTAACTTCTGATGACATCGGACAGAAACTCGCTAAACGTCAAGAGAGAGATCAAACTAGCACCTGTCAAGCCTGCATTGGTTCGAAGCTGAGTTGCCAACGCGATAAGAATAACAGCGATGCCCGCGACTAGGAGACGGAGTGACGAGGCCAGCCACTGTTGAATCATTGCCAGTAGATACGCAGGTCGTTGGGATGTATCTAGAAGTTGGTTGCTGTATACTATGTCGTTCTGCTCCCATCCAAAAGCCCTGATGGTTGCAATGCCTTTCATGGTATCGGTAAAATGAGTATACAACGGACTCTTGGCCTCGAGATCAAGAAGTCGGAGCTGTCTTGATGTACGAAGATAGAACATCTGGATAAAATAGAGAATCCCGATCAAGAAAGGGTATCCGATGGCAAGATACGGAGAAGCAGATGCTACCACAAACGCAGACCCAATCGTGTTGGAAATATCCAAGGTGAAGTTCGTGAGAGCCAAGGGTAGTTCGAAATCGAGAAGGGTCATATCCTGAGAGAAGAGATTCGTCACTACACCCGTATCAGTCGTAGTGAAGAACTTCAACGGTGCAGAAATAACAGTGAGGATGGCTCGTTGATGAAGTTCCGTTCCTGCAGAGGCAGTCATGCTTATCAGGGTGATAACACCGTTGCAGAATAAAAATACAACAAAGCCTGATCGTAGGAAAGCGTAGATGCCCACGTAAAAGGTAAATGATCTGTTGAAGGCATCCTCGGCCCAGAACTTCATCCACACACCCGAAAGACTTTGGCAAGCACCGGCTATCATTCCTGACAGTGCAACACCAACGACTGCCCATATCCCAACACTGTTGAAGTAATGTTTGTAGATAGAAAAGTCGCCTTGCTGTCTTGCTTTATCCTCTGCTACCTCCGCGGCAGGGGACGTCGCCACAGCCCGAGGAGTAGTAGTGACCGTTGCTTCGGGCTTCTCATTCTCCGAGGACGAATCTGCATCTCTGTGCTTGACGCCGAGACTGTGGACGTACTTGTTGTTTTGCATCAGCTCTGAGAAATCTCCTTGTTCGATGACAGTACCGTTACCAAGAGCAATTATATGATCTGCCAGGGGCAAGTGGCGCACTGAGTGAGTACATATGATGACGGTAACGTTCTTACGACGAGTGATGCCTGTTGGACCAAACACGCGGCGGAACAGCTCCGATTCAGTTCCCAAGTCCAAACCGCTGAGGATGTCATCAAAGATCATCAAGTTCGCCTCAGAGTAGAGTGCCCTCGCCACACTAATCCTTTGTCGCTGGCCTCCAGAGAGCATGATACCGTTACTCCCGATGTTGGCATCGTGGCCCTGCGGTAACAGAGCTACATCTTGGGAGAGCATTGTCGCATCCACGATCTCGTCGTACTTTGCCTGGTCAAAGGGGCAGTGGCCGATGATATTTTGCCGAAACGTTCCGTTGTAGAGAAAGACGGATTGATCACAATATGCGGTGCGATGAGACGGAATCAAACTTCTGGTCGTACCTGAAGATACGGGTAGTTCGCCGAGAAGAGCTTGACAAAAGGTTGTCTTGCCCGAGGCAACTTCGCCAACGACAATGGTGAGTTTGTGAGCAGGGATGGAAATGTTGATGTCTCTCAGTGTCATCTTTTCGCCTCCCCATCCAAAGGATCCATTCTCAATCGTGAAGGCAACTCCCGATGTATCTGAAGAGCTCTTCTCCGATACCGAGATGGATTGATGTTTGCGAAAGTCGTTACGTGGTTCAGCTGCAAGGAATTTCTGCACTCGAGCCACGCAGGTCAGTGCTGCGAAAATACCAGGCAGACTCTGGAAGAGAGCAACAACAGGCGTTGTAAAGAGAAGGATATATGACAGCGAGGTGAACAGTGTGTTGATAGTCAACTCTCGTGAGGTGAAAGCGAAAGTAATCGGGGGTGAAATAGCAAAGGGCGTAAAGCCCAACACCGCAGCCAGGATCAACAGCCAGCGGAAGCTGTTGCCGACTTTGATCTCTCCCACACGAAGGCTCTGGATGAGATCCGCCACTGGACCAGTGATTCCAGAGATTTTGTATAGCTTCATCTGCGAAATCGCATTTGAAGTCAAGCCGACTCTGTTTTGTATTCTCTTCATCCATTCGCTCTGTCTCTTGCCAACCAACGTGACCAACCACGATAGCAGCAACGCACAAATTATAATGACAATGAGAGGAGAAATAAAAGCCGCGCCGAGTTTTCCGTAAAGAAGCCAGCATCCGATAGCCACCTCAACAGGGTTAGCCCAGAGATCATGAGCTGTCGCAGCACCTCTAAGAATCCTCTCGACGTCTGAACTCATGAGAGTCAGAGCAGCAGAGTCATCAGCAGCTGTGACTTTCATCTGTGTGGTCTTTTGGTATATAGCAGCGACTAGACAGCCTCGAATCATGTAGGTGGCTCTCTCTTTATAATAACCGTAAAATGCTGAGGAGACTCCAATACCAGCGTAGATGAGAAAGGCAGCGCCAATCAAACCATAGCTCACGCTTTTTGAGTTGGGCGTCTCTGGGGCTTGGAGATATTGCAGTGTTGCATCAATGAAGAAGGGTTGGCAGAATTGAAAGGCGATAAGGGCGGCGCGAGGAGCAACCGGGAGAAGGAACGGGCCTATAAGCGTTCTGGTCAAGTCCTTCAACAGACCCGACTTGGGCTCCTCGTTATATCGATGAATCCGGAGATGCTTCGTAAAGCGGTTCTGCAGTCTATCCGAGGCCATGCTCTCGTCAAGGGGATATAAATCCTCTACCTTCAAAACTCCTCGATAACCTCTGATAAAGAGCTGGTTCAACCACGCAAACACCCCAACACTAAATACGCCGCTCGATTCCTCGGGGCTATGCTCTTCTGCGTTCCAGTGAATCCATCTCGTCTTGGGGATTGTTTCGAGGCAGAGAATAACGCCCTTGACCACGACGGAAGCTATGAAAAGGCGGGCCTGTTTTGATGGTCCGCTAATGAGAAGCCATGCCGTGCGGGTTTGCACAATGTCGAACAGTAGTGTGAACAAAACGTAGACGTTTAGTAGAGTAGATGGTCGTCTGGCGCATGAGTGCTCTTTGTACGATAACCCGCAGGCTAAGAGAGATGCGATAAACGCGAGGCAGGATCCTGCAAGAGAGAGGTCGTGAACTATGCCCGCAGTTCCAGTCGCGATAAGAATTAGAAGACCAAGCTGCGTAGCCGTATATACGACGAGAAAGGCCTTTTGAGAATTAGTATGCCGTGATATCTTGGCTAGCAGGCAGCAGAAAGGTTGACCTTGAAGCTTTCGGCTACAAAATAAAGAGCCCAAGAAGCATAGTCTAATAAGCTTAAACTGACCTACTACTTTCGTCTCTTATGCTTCCAGGCCAACTTTTCTGGTGCCCTGATTGATGCTTGGGATTCGGGAAGACTCACGAGCTTGACAGACTGTAAGATCACACCATTAACAACCCTCTCCCTCTGCGCCAAAACAGCTACACGCGCAATCGCAGAAGCGATAAAGATAACCGTCGGAATAATAGACAAAAAGATACGCTCGAATTTCTGCGTAAAGTCAAAGTCGCCTCGACATCCTCGGACGCCAGGGCCCCAGGAGCCGTCGTTGAGACAAGTTGAAGTCATATTTCTAGCATGTCGAGAAACAAGATTGAGCGATGCATTGCCTTATTATACCTACCTATATTATTTAAGACGATGATAAGGCGTAGAGTCTTGACTAGGCAATTGATCCGCTGTCAGATGGACCAACAATATACCGACTGAAACAAGATTGACAAGTCTAACTAACAAGCGTAACTTGATGCTTACGAATTACATACGCGTTGAGTACGCAGACTTTGGAGTTGAGGAACTTTTGTAAAGAGCTATTACCAAAGTCGGACAGAAACCAACACCAATCTGGTATTTAATAGAAAGAAACATTTAATCAGCTTTGGAGAAAATATGGCCTGAGAGTGCATCACTATTTTCGTCTGGCTTTTTTCCAGATCTGGTTTGTAAACTCGCCTACCCGAGAGCAGCTATATGTCGACTACCTATGTCAAGATTTGACGATAAAGCTAATGAACCATCGGATATGAGATGGCGATAACGAATGATCAATACCAAACTTTCGGCCAACTGTATTTATCTAAGTGGATGACCCTCATCCTACGATCACGCCTTCGCACCCACTTCTTGTGCTGCTAGAGACTCAACATCCTCATTCGTTACCTGCCAAACACCCTGATTCAACACCTTGCATGCGAAACAACACAAACAATGGACTCGGATACAGATAAGCTACGCAATATCCTGCAGTCTAAGACCTGGTTCGGCTTCGACCTAGACGACACCCTCCATGAATTCCGCAACGCAAGTCGCGCAGCAACAACACACTGCCTCACCCAGATCGCCAACAAGAACCAACCAACACTCCAAGACCTCCAACAACAATACTCCATCGTTCTCAAACAAGGTACCGCCGATGCCTTCACCGACGGAAAGACTTCCCACGACTATCGTCGAGCCCGCTTTACTGCCACGTTGAGTCATTTCGGATTGGACCACGACTCCTCCTGCATTGACGAATTACTAAACGACTACGAACGTGTTCTCGTCGCAAACCTCACCCTCAAACCAGGAGCCATCTCGCTTCTCCAAGCGATCAAAAGATCTGATCGCAACATTGTCGTCATCACTGAAGGTCCACAAGATGCTCAAGAGCGAGCAGTTAAAGATTTGGGTATCGAACAGTACATTGACTTTCTCGCTACCACGAATTTCTTTGGTGTATCTAAAATCTCGGGACTTTTTGCAAAAGTCCTAGATCATCTCGATGTTCAGCCGCATGAGATGGTATACATCGGCGATTCACAACAGCGTGATATAGAACCCGCGACGAAAGAGGACATATATGCGATTCATCTAGACGAGGACCAGACGGAGCCTCTTGTGCTGCAACGTCGGAGTGTAAACTCATTGGACGTTGTAGCTCGGCTGATCTAGATCTACGTGCTCGTGACCCCGATCTAGCGTTACAAGGCTGAGGAACAACTAAACTATTAGATCTGGAGAAGTTAGTTACGTGTAGTGTAGCTCAAATGACACAACGCCCCGTTCAACGTGTCAAGGTATCACAGGCAAGACTGGATGAATAGATTTCGTGTATTGCGGCTAGCAAACAAATCAGACGAGTGCAACGTTTGTGACACTTTAACATTTCAGCTTTTGGTAGTACGGGTTAATTAAATTAATGACCTAGACGGAAAGAGATATTAATTGATAAATGTCATGTTTGTATCCGTATCGTTTTAATTACTCAGCCTTGTATGCAATGCTGACGCTGTGCATCTTGTTATCTGACAGCGGGTTCTAAATTAAACCAGCTGCATCCTGCGCTGAGCCTCCTCGCAGCTTGGGTATGAATCCAGCAGTGAGGGTTACATGGCTGTCATCCGTTACAATTTGAGTAACATGTAATTAACTTATTCTAATTGACAATCAATTCCGGGGTGTGTAGAAATAATCACGGCTGGATGCATTTGTGATACTTATTGGATGTATGTATGTTTCCAACCTCGGATTCATTATGACGGGCGTCGCCGTGAGTTAAACGCCTCACGGGCCGGTGAGAAGATAAATTCTGTCACATTTAACCAAAACCGGGAAAGACAAACAGAAAGTGGGTGTCAAGGTTCCGTCCGGGATAATTGCAAAGGATTGAGGGTGGTGGTACAACTGTAAGCCCATAGGAATAGAGGGGAGAGAGTCAGTATAAACCCAGAAACAATACTACTCTACTCGCTACTGCTAGACCCTGACTTGTCCTGTCATGATATGATATCACATGAACTGCAAGATGCAGCATATCAATCTGACCCCCTCTAACTGTACACGTGGGAGTAAGAAAGGGAAAAAGGAGCACAGCAAAAAAGACAAGGAACTTGGAAGAACCATGACACTTTTACCGATTGGCCTTGTAGCCGCTTTCGCTGCGCCCACACCTCCATCACCCTGGATGAACTACAGCACCATGAAGCAACTAACTACAGCCACTATCACAGTCCACTCTATGCAGTCGTATTTACCTTTAAACGAGTTGAAGTGGCATAACGCTTTGGTGGCTTTTATCGGCAAACCTACACGAGCAATCCGTTTCGTTTCACAATATCCATTTCATTCCAATCCCCTGTCCATGCGCCGTTTGTTACATTCCTTTACTCAAGCAATTCCAGGAACATAGTACACGACTCGCGTGAGTTCCAAGCCCATGAAACTGAAACGACATGGCTTGTCACAATTCAATTCCCAAAACAAAAGGCTTCTAAATTACATCACTTTCCCCATCAGAAACAAACACATTTGAGGGGGGAAACAGGCTTGACCAGGGGTTTTTGTTGTTGGCCAACCTGTTCATGACATGACCTCACACTTAACTCTAATCCATGCTTGTACATGAAAGTAATGTGCCTCAAAAACAAACACAACCCCAAGCCATTCATTTACCCCTCTCGCGGAGTTTTGGTTAAAACAGGAACAAGTAACGAATATCATCAGGTACTTTGGTCGTCACAAGACATAATCATTCAATACATCACGTCACATTGAGAGAGAAAAAGTTGTAAATAAGTTTGCGATTTTTTTGCCAAATAATTAAAATAAAAACCCGATCCAAATAATATCCAACTTGAAAGTGGTATGGTATAATCAATAGCCCAGCCATATTCCCTGGCTCCCCAACTCCTAACCTCTCATACCCATCTAAATAAAAAGTGCATGAGGGGCGTTGCTTTCCAAAACATCCATCAATGAGGAACGTTAAAGACGTTAGATCCTCCAATTACCGTGTAGTAAAACTGTTCCGTTCTAAGTGCGAATCACTTTTTGTTATCCTAACGCGCTTGGTCCCAATCAAAAGTAACAAAAAAAGAAGACAAAGAAAAAGTAAAAGTGTCAAAAAGATATCCAAGCTCCGAAACAAAAATTCCAGAACGATAAAATAATAATCGCCGTGTCCTGTCGATCCCTCTCCTCGTTCGTTGCTATCCTTTCTTCTCGCCGTATAGCTTTGGCTTCGCTTGCTCGCGTCATTCCAAATGGAAATAAACAATGGGTATCTCGAATTGGAAGAAAAAGAAGTCCCCTTGATATCGATCCAGTCCCCTCTGTGTGCGCGCTCGCGTGTTGCATTGCTGGTGGTACAGGTCGCCCCTTGATTCTTGGTGTCTTTTAATAATTGCCAAGTCAATAAAAAGAAATCGCTTCCCTGGGGCGAGATGGACATAGTCGTGAAAAAAGAAAATAAGAAATCCAAATGGTGAGGGCATCCATGGGATTCCAGCGAAAGTGGTAGTATACAACGGTATGGTATGGTCCAGTCCGGCGAGCTTTGGTAATTGTTACTGGCCGGTAACATAGGAGTCCATGGGTATAGGTAGTAGTAGTAGTAGTAGTAGATGGTAGTTCAGATCAGGCAAAAGCAGAAACATGGTCATCATGGTCCTGGATCCTGGGGTATAGTGTGGTCCGCCTATTTGGTAGGGTTTCGGAGAATTTCCTCACAGTTGGCGTCAAAGCGAAGGTTGAAGAGCCTCACGTTTTGCATAAACTTTTCTGTCTTGTCGAGCTCACGGTCACGACCGAAGAGGGTCTCGACAAACTCAACACCGGCATTCTTGCCGAGGCCAGCTTGCTTGCGCTTGGCAGCCTTGAGCATGGGAGCTTCACAGGCCTTGAGGAGAGAACGGAGCTTCTCGGTAAGACGCTCACCGGCCTCGATGAATTCCTCAACGAGGTCACGGTTGTCAGGTACGCGGACGCGGCCGACAGTCTCTTCAGCTCGCTTCACCTTACCGGCGAGCTGGATAAGAAGAAGCCACATCTCGCCGGCCATGTCAGAGATGGGAGTGGCAGGGCCTTGGTGGTAGACGGTCCAGTCATAGATCCACTTGCCCAGACTGTTGGCATCAAAGACACTACCGAGGAGTAGGATAGGTTCCTCGGCAGGGTCCCAGTTCTTGAGTGAGTATCCGGTGGGGATGCGGTGCTTGCGAGCATCGGCTTCGGTGGCCTTGGGAGTGGAGGGGGTGGAGACCGGCTTGGTGGTGGTACTGCGGTGGGACGAGCTTCCGGGGCGGACGGTCTGAGGACGGGAGGGAGGGACGACGGTAGAGGAGCGACGGTTGTGGCCGAAGCTGGTAGGAGGTCGAGATTGAGGCGACTGGAATACGGAAGCGGCCTCTCGTGTGTAGACTTCATCGTAGCCGACTGTGGTAGCACCCTGCAGGTAGTCGTCGTAATTAGTGTACCGTCCTCGGTCATCATCAAAGTCTCGAGGTAGGAAAGCGGATCTGCGGTGATGATGGTTCTTGGAGCGGGACTGTGCGGGAAGCACATATGTATGTCCCAGCGCCTCGATGATCTCGTCCTCGTCGGATTCTCCGTAAGGAGTGGAAGCCCGGACATAGGTAAAAGAGAATCGGCGGTCGCGCTTGGAGCGCGGAGATGACTCGGAAGGCCTGCGCGACGAAGAAGTTTTGGGACTCACATCTGCCGTGCTATATTGCCCGTTGCTGTTGTAGCGAGGCGAGTCCTTTGGAGGACGAGGGCTGAAATCGCTAGCCTGAGAGTAGCTGTTGAATCGTGAATGGGCCACTCGCGTCGCTGGTCGCCTGGGAGTCGAGTCTGCCCAGGTCGGCCTCGGTGAAGGGGTAGGTGTTGCGGACGACATCCTCGAATAGCTGTCGTAGTCGTGGATCGGGGTCGATCCAGGAGTTCGTGGAGAGTGGTAACTCATGATATTGTGAAAAGATGCCCAGCTGACATCCACTGTTTCCAGGCTTTCAAACAACTGCTCTCCTCCCGAGCACCCGCAGTTGTTGGGTTGTGGTCGCTCACGGATTCGTCGGTTGGTTGTTCGAGTTTTGTTTTGTAGATATTTTCTAATGAGTAAGTTGAGAAGGCTGTCAAAAATGTCAAGACTGCATGCAAGCAAAGCAGATTCAACAATCAAGATGCGCCGGGGAAGAGACGCCCAAGGAAAGGTGATGGTATTAAGCCCGTCACCTCGGTATGTAGTCGGAAGAAAAGAGGTTAGAAGATTCTTTTGCGACGGCGAACATGACCAATGGGTATTAAATCTCTCCTCAACTTGGAGGAATAGGCACCAGATCCCGTGGAACCCGGTAGTAGTGGCGAGACGAAGCTGGAGAGATCCAGCAGTGATTAGAAAAAAATGAGCGATGACGTCGATGAACGACGTGCTGATAAAGCGTTGATGAACTCTTTTGGGGGGACTTTGTGATTGGCAATTGCCAAGATACGTGTAAAAGAGAGGAAAGGAGGGTTGAGTGGGTGGTGGGCTAGATATATACTGATGTCGGGCCCGGCGAGAGATTTGTGTGCGTCTTTCCTGTGGACACCGCACGCACGGTCGACTCCCAAACCTGCCTGCCTTCCTTTAGCGGGTGATGGCAGGAGAGGACGCTAGTGGGAGGAGGGGCGCAACCGGGGTTGAGTAAGAAAAGACTAGGGGGGTACACTAGGTTTAGGGGCAGGGGGTGAGAGAGAAGCCGCAGGCTCGTGAGGGTGTGAAAGAGTCACTCAGTGAGAGACAGGGGAGCCTGGCTGATGCAGGCTTTGCAATTGCACTTTTTGGTCTTTTCTCTTTTGTCGTTTTTTTTTTGTAGTGGCTGATGTAGTACAGACTGGTGCAGACTGATGCAGTGCTGCGGTTCTCTGAGCAGAGATTAATTTAGAATATTTGTGATTTCTGGTTAATTGATTTTGTAGTATTTCGAGATTGTATGAGATGCTGCTGGTCGCTCCTGGAACCAACTGGAATATGACTCAGAGAGGCGGGCAGTGTTATTGCGTTATTGTATTCCGCCGTGTCTATGGTGCAGGCAGATGCAGTAAAGTATTGATAATCAGGATCAGGGTGTAAGAGCAGTCAGAATTCCGGACTGTGCGTTGGTGGCTCAATTTCTCTCCAACCAGCAACGTCAACGTGCGGCGCACTGGCCTCACATCAGAAATGTTTGGCGAAATGAGCCAAAACGGTGACGCAGTCTGTAGCGACACCGCTGTAAAATGCAGTGCAGTTGTAGAGTGCGGCGCGGGCGCTGCCTGCGGGCCAAGTTTTTTTTTTTTTTTTTTTTTTCTGTCGCAAATAATCCATGCAGACAGTAAACGCCCTACCGCTGCCACAGGAGACAGAAACCTAATTCCTCCTCTTGACTCTTGTTGGGTACTGGTATTTCAGGTTTGATCAATTATGAATCAAACTCGAGTACTCACGCGCAATTATGACTCAACCTTTCGTCACTCGTCAGCTTTCATATCGAGAGAGGCGAACCGTGATAAAAAGGGGCAATAAGAAATAACAACAACCATAGGTTAGGTTCAATATAAGAAAGAGGCAGCCTTTTTTCACATGAAAAAGGAGAATGAAAAAAATAGCATGAAAAATAGGCCAAGGTGTTTTGATTTGCTTTTCTATCCAATTCAGCTCAGAGTGTCCTTGGGGGTGTGCATAGTGGCGCACTGCTTCTTTGTCTCTCAACAACAAGACACAGGCGACACCAGGGATAGTGCGCACACACACACACAACGCACACAATTCAGACTTCCCCTTTCTTGTGAGCCTTTTTTCTTTTCTTTTTTGGTATTTCTCCTTGCTCACTTGTAACACGCATGCAAGGAGAAGAGTGATACCAAGGATGAGGTGAGAAAAGTCTGCAAACTGAGCTGATCCAAGACGAAAAAGCAAAGCCACAAAACAAAACTTTTTCAGCGAGACAAGAAAAAACACCACTTACCACATACAGGACAGGGTTTTTCGTAATAAAGGCGGTGTTTGATTGCTTCTTCTGTGAGAATGGCCTTTGACTTAATGTCTTGCCCAAATCGCACACCTCTTTTGAATTCCCCCTGTTCCAAAAATTCGATTGCAGGACTCGCCAGGTCTTCCAAAAGGAGAAAAATATCCACACAGAATGCCAGTTGAAGTTACCGGCGGGCAGTAAGCGAGATTGACGGCCTGGATCCAAAATCCAAAATCCAAAAAAAATAAATCCTAACGTCTTGCGTACCCGGATGCCCGCGATTCTGTTCCGGTGAAAAATTTTCCTTCTCCTTGAGCTTCTAGGCGCGCTGGCGGCAACGGAACCAACAGGGGACAGGGTCAGCTCGGTGTGATTCAAAAGCAAAAAGGGCCAGGGCGCTCAGTAGACCGTTACACCCCCTGGACGGGCACTTTTTCTGATGTTGGATGTTAGATTAGATTAGTGTAGCGTTATAGTGTTAAGATACGGAAATACGAAGCTGACGCAACCGAGCGGCCAAACGAAGGCAAGGATTCCAAAAAAATGTTATGATGAGCTTGTTGGGACACCGTTTGCCTGGGTTTATCCTAGGAACCCATGCAAACACTATCAGTTGACGAGAACACAAGTGCGACGCGAGGCTGGTAAAGGCTACCGGTAGGCTACCACCTGGAGTCGTTGCCCTGAGTGTCAGCCGAGTCAGGACTGTTGTTGTATGGTTGGACCTGGTCTAATCCACTGGTTGCCCGGGATTTAAAAGTGTTGATAAATGTCAACAAGGCTGGAGCTTGGAATGGGTGATGGCGAATCAAGCTCAAGCAAGACAGATAATAAAGTTGCGAGCCTTGGCCGAATGGATATGGTAATGGGTTGCCTGGTCTTGAATTATACAGAGTGACACCGTTGTAACAGTAATTCTCGTACAGAGTAACTGTCACGGTGGCGGAGAGATGAATGATAAACTCCGCAAGTAAGAGCCGTGCCGCCCGCAGTAATTAATAATTACTGTAATCGTAAGGAACAAAATTGATGCAAAAATCAGGAAATGCTGTCGCATTTTATCAATCAGCCTGAGGCTCTTCACACCATCAACTAAGCCATCACACACTCATTATTGCTGACATTTAAAGTGTCATGACGATGTCATTGGGCGATTCAAGTTCGCATGGTGTCGTGCATCTTGGGTCCTTCCCCGATACCCCAAGTGCCCTCTCATGCATATCCTTTCCCTTGTGACAGGTGCGTTCGTCCACTGCCAGGCGAGAATATTACTGCAACTTCTCCGCATCACATCACGCCGCACAGTAAACGCCGTGAATTCTGTCACTGCCAATCGGTAAACGCATTTGTTAATGAGGGTGCACATCGGAGTCAAATGCATGTGATGAGTCCCCCCAGGCTTACGAATACGGGTCGAAGCGGAGGATCTTTTTCTTCTTGTCAACTTTCCTCTTTCAGAAATGATGGAGTTTTGTAACCCTGTCGTTACATTGTTGATTCCAGAGTCCTAGATTATCACTTCCGCATGGCCGACGAAGCGAAAGAACGTGCTTGAGAAAGGCGGGAGAAGATGCCCTTGCATGAACATGAGCATGAGCAAGCATGGTAAGCATCACAAAAAACACCCTTACATCAGCTCGCCAAAACCACGTTAAACAATCATTTGTTGCATCAACAGACGCGATGCCATGCCACGCGACTCGACTTGACCGATGAACCAGTGGATCGGCCGGCTTTCGACAGCTTCTCCGCACGGAACGGCGGGGGCCAAACAGAGATGGATATGGAGACTGACATGACAGATCGTGCATTCGGTTCGGTACTGGGACTGGATGGTTGAAGCGCGGAAGCGGAGACAACAGATGTCAAACCCTGCACTGGAGAATCCTCTCGCGAATAGGGTCGTTTCCAGTCCTCATCGGCCTGCAACTGCGACGACACTAAACTAAATGTGATGTAAACACACTCGCCGACGTCCTTCTTCCCATAGAAGGACAGGCGTCCCTGTGAGCCGCAGTTTGTTCCATTCTTCCATTTCAATTACAACCCTCGTCAAATTCCAATTCCGCATCTTTCTTCAGTCGAGACTATTTGTCTCGAGCCATCGCGCGCTAACTTGGCTTGTCTTTTAGACAGTAATGACAGACGCTCGGTCGCGCCGCCCTTTAAGTGACTGCATTGTTAATGGCAAATTGCCCCTTCATGTCAGTCATATCCGCCCTTGACGGCCTCCCATTTTCAGATCCTGTTCCGAAATGTGGCGACGAACAAGGGAGCCGTGCTGCTTCTAGTAATTGCCTTTCATCGACTTGATTGATGGGCCGAGGCCTTGCTCCCTGCTTGCCTGGCCTTTGCTCTCGTTGCCCGATCTGTCGTGTTGATTGGACACGACGCCGCGAACCAGCGGCCATGGGAATTGTAGTTTGTGTCTCACAGACTCAGTCTATCTCAACTGAGCATACATGATTGCTCACAACGTCTCAGACCTGCAGGCACTTTGTGACCACTCCTTCAAACGTCTTACATTATGGATCAAATCGCAAATCTTTTCTCTCGCCATTTAAATCCCTGCTGTCAAGGGCATACGTTGAATCACAATGACATACATGACCCAAATCGCTTGAAGTGTGTCGAGCAGAAAAGGACATTTGGTGCCTAGCGATTTCGATTCCAAGATCAGGGAAAGATGTTGTCCGTCCGAATCCGGACCGATGAAATCAACTTTTGATTACGAGTGTCAACGCTCTGGCCTCCTTTTGAACTCCAGGATCCTAGATGTTTTTATCCGGCTGTCATTTCTACGACACAATGGCTTTCTATGGACGACCGGACCGAAGTTTACCTGTGCCCCGAAGACAAGGGTAGGGATTTTGATCAATCATCCCGGACTTATCCATGGATAGGGTTTCTAGAGGTTGGCGTTGGGACGGACAAGCAGGGGGTGGATAAGAATTCCTGGAGCCGGAGGATGGAGCTGCAGAGCAGAAACAGTGTCAACCAGCCGGACCTTGTGCTCATTGCCAGGGGGGATACAAAGTTTGGACGGGCGTGGCCAGGAGACCCTGACTTCGGTTCAAGGTCCATGCGTCGACGTCCAAACGCGTGCCTGAGTCCCAGAATTCGGTCACTCAAGTTTAGCGGCCCTTGCACCGACGACTTGCCCTAAGGCATCCACAATGACAACGGCTTCAGCGATCCAGACACGAGAATGGAGTCTTGGGACGGGATGCGGGGAGAAATTCTGTCCTTTCAGAGGCTCAAGAGGCTCCCGAGGTTTGTTCAGTGGGTGCGCGGATGACGGACGACAGCCGGAATGGAGTCTGCATCAAACATTGCCCAGCTTCAACCCCAGTCGTCTGGTCTTGTTGCTAATATTATCAGGATTTTTTATTTACATGATTTGAGAGAGAAAAAAAAAGAATTGTGTGCGTCTGTGGGATGGCGCCCACAATGTTAAATATTAGAAAAATCGGTCAGTGTGCAGTGTCTTGGAACAAGGATTCCCACCACTGAGACTGAGCACTGGTCCTCGCAATAAGACCAGGACAACACCACGACAACGCAATGCCAGCACAACCCTAATCAGGGTCGAGAATGCGACAATACAGTGTGCGAGGTTGACGAGACCCGGGCGTTCGGTCTGAGCTTTCCTCACCTTGACCTTGACCTTGTACTTACAAGCTGATGGGCCCGAAATTAAGGCCAGAGACAATGGGTCGACTTACGCTCAATCTACACCCCGCACGCCCCTACGTTGGGCCCGGCCGGTAATGATAAAATCGCGGCCCAACGCTACGATGCAATTATCCTGCTGGGCACCGTGTTTCATACGCTAATATAATAAGAAAATGGATGCGAGCACAGCGCCTTGTCCTTGTCTTTTATGGTGACTCCTTGTCGGCATGTGGTGCACAGCCGAGTCCAGGTAAATTATCTAGGACTTTTTTTACACGGGTAAACAAACTCGACGGACGACAACAATATTGCGATGGACAGCTTGGGCACCAACATTTGTCTTGCAGTTTCTGAATAGACTACTGTTTCAAAGAGGGACATCTGTATTATTAACTTCAAAGCTTGTGGCTGGATATGGATATGTATGTCCATCATCGAGACGCACACGCCCTTGCGGCGTATGGGAACCATGCTCTTTCAAATGTTGATGGTCTTGTTGCTGTCGGCCATTTGGGTGGAATACAATCCCCATCACCATCCTTGCTACATGCAGTCCTGGACAGCCCTGGATGTAAACCTGGTCAAAAAGCTCGGATGTGAAATTTCTTACTCCTCTGGTTCTCATGTCTGATTTTTCTCACAAGTTCTCTCTTGCGGGTAGAATCGTAACAAAAGCCTTGTTTTATCATGTTTGTTATTCCCGAAATGACTGATCCATAGCATCGCGAACTCATCGCTCGATGCTCGGCACTTTCGGTCATCTTGTTGAACGACATGTTCTTTCACCGACGGAGATTCTCTTACAATGGCTGCCTCTCCAAGTGGATGAGACGGTGACTCATAACAGCCTTCGCTTGATGCTGGCTGACAGTATCTGCAGCTCGCTGCGTGTACCCTCTGGTTTGGTGTATTGATGTCCAAATAAACCCGCGGCCCCGTCATATCGGTCCCGCATGCACCCCAAAGATGGATGCCGATTGGCATCCACCACATACACTGCCTTCTCTAGCAGACACGTTGCTGTGTGCACCGGCGTCAATCAAGCTTCACGATAGAGGCAACAGAGCTTGACCCCCGGCGTGTAAGCTGGAACAAAGAGTTTCTTTTCATCAGGACTTTTGCCATGTGGATGTCATGTCCAATACGCTTCTAGACTCTGTCGATTTGACAGGCTGGTACTTTTCTATACCCTTGCCCAACAGCATCATCGCCATTCGCCAAATCTAGCGACGATATCACATCTGAAGCAATAATGACCCCAAAAATAAAATCGAAAAATAGGGCTCGTCCAGGATTCCCCTCGGTTGGTCCCCCTCCAAACAGCTAAGCCTACTACTACTGCAGGACTTGGAGACACTACAATAGCAAGGCGGTTCAGAAAATTTTCTGGCTTGACGTATCTCTCACCGACTCTTAGGAAAAAGACGGTACCCATTGCTCGGATGCGCACCTTTGATGGGATGCACCATCGCGGGGCTCTATTAGAGACGGGCCGCTTTCAACCAAGTACAGCGCTTGCAATCGCTGAACCGAATAGGACTCGAGAACTCGAGCGGACCCTTGGCTAGGTTACTGTCACGACGTGGTCACCAAATGGCCAAGGCTGAAGGCATACAAAACCTAGAACTGCCCGCATTGTGACGTATGCAGGATCCCACGGATCCATATCTGCCTGCTGTCAAACGGTTCGAAGGGAGCTCAGATAATCGGGTGTGTTAGTATTACTACGTGTGTGTGTGCAACGGAAAGATATTATCCATATCTGTTGCTGCTGCGTCTCATGGCGTGCAGTTGAGGCTAGTGTCTCGAATGCCAAAGATATATACATACATTTACATATACATACAGATTACAGATACAGGAACTAACACGAGATGAGAACAAGCGCCGACGATCAAAAAGCACACCGCAAAACACCGCCGTTTTAAAGATCGCGGAACTAGAATGCAGCGCCCGGGTTATAGCGCCCTCCGCTATTCGACAGGGTCGATCGTGTCAACTTTTGTTTCTTCTTCGCACAAAAGATTGGACAGAACAAAGAAAAATCTCTTCCAGAATGCACGACAGCGTCTAAATAATGGTGTGTGTCTCGCGATCCAAGGTCATTAGGGCAAGACACGCAGCTGCATGCATGAGCGAAAGAGGGTCGAAGCAACAATTCCCGTTGGAGCGACAACGTGATGCATCATGATGGAGTAGACTTTAGTCTACTGTATGTATCTAGCACGGCATCAGCGGTCTCGCGCGTAAGAGAGAACCTAACCCTGGTATTCTCTTTAAAAAAAAAAAAGAAAAGTAGAAAAAAGAAGAGTCATACTGTAACAATACAGACGAAAAACCCCTCTAGTTCAAGGCTCAGATGCGTTCATGCCCAGCGGTTTTGGAGTTTTTGGATTCCGTGATGGTGTTGTCTGCGTTGTTCATACTTCGGGTCCGGCCGCAGAACAATCCTACATAGATTTAGGGACGATAGCCAATAGTAATCGGTAGTGTCTACAATTTTAGACCCCAAGTTGCTTAAATGGATTCACTAGACTGGCTGCACGTCGGGAACCAGAACCGCTTCCCACGTCACATCACATTTTTACTTAAACCCCCTCACCTCCTTTCCCGTTTGTTTTGTCTGTCGAGAGAATTGTAACTGGAGAACCAATAACAGAATTAGGGCAAACTTATCAGAGACAAAACATGGGGCTGAATGCACTGCAAAGGTCAGACAGCCCTGATGTTGAACCTCTGCATGATAATAACCCTAGACCACAGAAATCAGAAACAGAGACAATTTACGAATATTGAAAGTATGGGCGGTGTAAGTTCGTGATCATCACTCATAATGGTTAAAAAAAACACGCCAAATATCACATGTGCAAAGTGGTCTGCTCTGCTGCTGCCAAGTTTTCTGTCCATCCTTCTGTCGTCCCATAGATATGACGAAAAAAAATAGCAGGCCTCAAAAATTCAAGTGTGTGCGGTCTCCCTCAAACTTAACACCCCTTGTCAAATGCATGGATCCCTGAGAGAGAAATTGGTGGTGCTCTAGCCACGTGGATATGTGGCGGTGCAGCGCCACAACCGGTCCGCCGGTAGACCCTCTATTGCGTGACCCGAGAGGGATCCGCTTCGTCGGGGGTTGGAGGTATGCAGGACAAAGAGAACCCGAATTTCTGGGTCCCGTCCCGATGCAGTCTCCCGATGGACGTTTAATTAGTGACGTATGTGCTGTATAAGCAGATGTAGTACCACAGACCAACGTTCTTCTTCTGCTGGACCCTTTTTCTTATTACACGTCTGTGCTGTTCTTCTAGATAGGGTTTGTAATTAGATCTCTTGCTGCCTAACGATCCATCCCATTATGCCCATCATTCTTTTATTTCTCGCCTCTTCCCCCTGCCATCGTTTTTAATGCTTGGGCATATATCACACCCCTCGACAACACACCCTGATTTTAATTATTCGATTAGGTAGTTTACAGCTGTCAAATATGACTGACTAGAAAGATGACTCACATTTCGTTGAGATATGGAACTGTTGGTCTGGCACCGCCACACCCATACGTAAACACGGACTCCAATGACTTGCGTAAAGTTGATAGAAACAAGGGTCCTGGGTAGGCAGCAGTGCGCAAGAGGGAGCCCATAACCATGGACATCGCGTATCTGAGTGAACTGCGTCGTTGCGCCAGGCGCGAAGGCAAAACCGCACGAGCCAATACGGATGTCTGTGATTCACGGTGGCGATGTGATGTAAGCCAGGGGTATTCGGGACACCGGGTTTGGCATCCGCGGGATAGACATGTCTTGGTAGGACTGGATGTCAGATATATAAGAGGTTGGGTTCTGACATGAGTGATCTGAAAGACATGATTCGACGAAGAGAATGGCGAGGTTGGTGGTCATGGAATAAGAAGTGAGTATTGGACCGCGGATAGGATCACGGGACCTTGTATCGCCGCGGATGAGCCTTGGCGGTTTTGTTTGGATGATAACATGTGAAAGCGTGTAAATGAGAAGTTGGACGTATTATTGATGCCTGGAATATGAGTATCAGGTATATTGTTCACCTGGATAGTTGTGTTGAGTGAACCTACTGGTTGTTGTCGGGTTGTTACACCGTATCGACAGTAGCAGACAGCACAGGTTTATGACATTCAACTTTTCAGAAGGCGATGTCCAAGAGAGTAAAGATTTATTATTAAGATGTGAAATGTAAATAGAGACTTGTTAAAGACGACATTGAGATATGAATTAATGAGTCTTTGGTGCCACGACTAATTCGTGATCATTTACCCTGTACCAAGTCCAGCTTCGATACCGTGATACTTGACTACAAGAAGCAGAGCCTCATCCTAACATTGGACCATAACATGTCACAAGTTTCCATATCGTTTTTTCAGAGAGTCTACCATAAAGTAATGCAAATCTTGAACTTCGTCTGACTGCGATGCTCGTCCCAGCCTTTCTACATTAGCTGTTGAACATAATGTGTGTGATGGTAACAGCATCACCAACTTACGGCATTGAAAGCAGCTTTAAACTCATCGCATCGCGATATACACAGAGATATCATCAATATAATGATAGTTTAGTAACATCTTCTTACTCAGCAAGACCAATTCACCAATTAACCACGTCCCGTTCTTCCACTGGATCACGATGCTAGAGTCTCATTGTCTATTTCCCGACTGTGTGATGCGAAATATCTGTAGCTCTTTCTATAAGATGATCTGAATTCATTTTAGTCACTCCCACTTATCGCACATCATGAAGGAAGACACGGTATGCACTGGTGATTAGAGACGGCATGGTGCAGGGTCAACACACTTGGCTACAAGTGTCCTTTCATGGCGCTTAAATTGCCTATATGGAAGTGATATCTATTCGCTTTCCTAATTAATGGTATTCTTTGGGTGTTTGCTGCTTGCTACTCTGTAGAAACTGCCTGATCTGCAGATGCCCAATCGTTCTCAACAAAACCGAGGTCATGGCGCCCAAGACCAACAACACGGCACATAAAGTTTCCCAGCCACCAGTCAACCTTCACCGCAGTCAGGCCAAGACGAAGATGGAATCAAATAATTATCCCCCTTTCTTTAAGCGAAGCCAATGCTTCCGGGACGACTAGCGGTTGATCCATCATAGGATCCTCGTCTAAGAGGACCAAGCTCAGGTTTGCGTCGTAGCTCATGCAGTGATGAAATGCGTCACTTGATACCGACTGTACATCCAAACTGTAGAGTATAATATAGCTAGAAAAGTATTTCTACAAATGCAAATAATACTGCGTAAAACAAATCGTGCCATGGCAAGCGGTTGGTGGCATGTGATGGCACCGGCGATGACTAAGCGAGCTGAGCACCTGAAGATTCAAAATTCCCCACCAAGCGAGGTTGGGATGATCAGGTCAACCGAAGGTTAAGGAGTACAATAAAGTCAACAAACAGAACAGAAAATCGCCATTTCAAACTCAAACTCAAACCATCGAGGTCAACGGTCTTCTAGAACAAGTGGACCTTCCACTCCACGAACCGAAACCTCTTTGTTGTTGACCTGCACTCATATCTCGTACCCCAAGATGCATTATATCAGATTCCTTCGAGCTCCCAAATTCGTCCAGGAGCGTCACGGCGCCTTTGTTCACTTACTCTTCACCATAACGACTGACCTCGGAGACTCATTCTTGTACCCTGAAAGGTTCTTGGACCTTCAAGTCGTTGCTATCGCTGCGTCACCTGAAGGCGGCTCAACATGGCTTCTATCAGACCCTGGACATCTTCACTGGCAACCTGGTATGCGCGTCGCCAAACCATCATTGGAACTTCCCATCGCTCTTGAACGAGCTGTTGAATCTGGAATGAAAGTTCACGTCTGTGTTAGAGCATCAGAGCCTCAACATACAGCCGAAAGTGTCCCACGCATCCTGGCCTTGTCGGCCGAGAAGATGCGGTATCGGAGAGAAGCTGCAGAGAAAGGCGCCGTCATGCCAGCTTGGGTACCAGTGACCATTCAGCCCTCAGAGACGGATGTGTCTATTCGAAGACTTGCGCTGAGCGACTCACCTGATGGTCTGGGGACTATCGAGATTGAAGAGGAGATTGGGGAGAGCATAGCGCGTCATGTATGGGATGGAGGCGTGATAGCGACATGCGCACTTGCTGGAATCGAAGCTGCTCCTGATAGCCAGTCCAGCCAAAACCCCTGCATGAGAACCATGAAAAACATCTTCAGTCACCAACAAGCAATCCGTGTGTTGGAATTGGGTTGCGGTGTGGGCATTTTAGGTATCGGGCTCGGCGCCGTGTACCCTCAACTAGGATCCCTCGATGGTGACTGCACCATTCTGATGACAGATCTACCAGAAGCCGAGCAACGAGCCAGAGCCAACATGAAGAGGTTGCAAAACTCGCACTTGCGATTCCAGGAGAACCCAGTACGCATGCTTTACGAAAACCTGGATTGGGAGGAGGGAAGGCAGGGTCGCTTTGGACCAGAGGTTCGATCTGGACCTTGGGATCTCGTGATGCTCAGCGACTGTACCTACAATGTCGACGTGCTTCCAGCACTGGTGGAAACGCTTTCAGCCATTCACATGGCAAATTTGACCTACTTTCCCAAAGGAGAACCATTTACTACAAAAGTCTTTTTGGCTACAAAGCCTCGCCACGACTCTGAGGAGGTTTTGTACGAGCTACTGGATAAGCAAGGCTGGTATAGCGTTCACAAGCAAATCGTCCGCAAGCCTGTCCTTGGAGAGCCGCCTCAAATTGTTGAGCTTCATCTGTTTGACAAGTCTGGACTCAGCGAGGGTCAGACCTCAACAAGAACAGAAGTCAAGAGGGAAGAGAAGCAGGAATTTGAGGACGACGACATAGCGGCGTCAGACACGGAGTCAAGCGTGTCGTCGGACGAAGAGTCGGAGTACTAGGTTCTGCTAAAGATGGCCTCAGGCGTTGCAAGGCGACCGCATCACCAACGTTTCCGGAATTTCGACAACCAATTATCTAAATGATGCTTTCACCGTTACACCAAGAGAGCAAACCTCAGACACCCTCAATAGGCTACAATCATCAACTCGCTCAAAACAATATCTATGATGGTGTCTTGAGCATGAAACGCTCAAATCCATTGGGGTTACCCCGCGGATGGTGTAACAGCCCTTTGATGCGGCCCAGCCTGATTATTGTGAGGATTGGGTAGACCGAACCACTAGGATGAATTGGCGGGGGAACAAGAGATGACTTGCTTCTGGGCTGACCGGTGTAGTGGTGTGGTGGTGATGAGTTGTCCCTCAGACCTACGAACGGACAGATGAGGCTCTGCGATGAGGGCCTCAAAAGTTGAGAATCTTTTTTATTTTCCAAGTCATGTATTTAGCGATGAGTTTATATAATGTGGGCAATTTCTGGCGATGAGAGGTAAATAAATTGAACATTACATTCTTGCATTTGTTTAGCAATCATGGCAGATACCAAGGTCAAGGTCAATGGCCATGGCCATATTAACGGCAATGGTACTGCCACTCCTGGAAAGACACCCGTCAACAAACATACCAAGCTATGGCAACTCCTCGCTCTAGCAAAAGAGGTGTCCAAAGATGTTGGCTCCATCGAAGACTATGAAAAGTCCTCTGAGGAACGCAAAGCCCTTGAAGCAGAACTCGAAGCCAAGCAGGGCGAGAATAAACGTCTACGCGAGTTCAACGATAAGATCGTGCGCGAGTTCTCAGAGCATAAAACTGCATCAAGCGCAAAGACGGACATGATGTTTGCAGAGTTTGAACAAAAGTACAAAACGTACGAGTCTAACAAGGCGGCTGTCGAAGCCATGGAGAAGGAGGTGCAGGAGGCGAGAGAGATGCTCGCTGCGGCAGAGATGAAAGCTGCAGAGGCGGAGAAGTTGAAGCAGAGGTTGAGTTCGTCGGAGATGCATGCTAAAAACCATGCTGCTGAGATTAGAGAGATGAATGCAGAGTGTGAACTGCATCGGTCGCAGATGCAGACCAACCAGGAGGAGCTTTCGAGTGTCAAGACTAAGCTGAACAAGGCGCAGAGTGATCTTGGAGAGGGGATCTTGAAGGATTATGGGTCTGAGGAGGTTAAGAAGTTGTGAGTGTTCGTGCCCGTGTCGTTAATTGGCGTTGATCTAACGTGTGCAGGCGCTCCAACCTCCAGGAACTATCGAACAAGGTCCATGACTTTGTGAACGAGTACTTTAACTTTCACGACGGCGCAGTTGTAAGCATCAACAGTTGTTCTCCATAAGATCCATACTAACTGTCAACAGGACTCGGCCAGCGAGATCCAAGAACTCAATACGCGCTTCCCCAAAATCCCCCTCTCATGTCGCACCACCAAAGCAGCCGCCAAGATGCGCTGCGCAGTAGCAGACGCCGTCATTGCAGAAACACTCCTCTCACACATCTTTGTACCCTTTTATGTAGCCCACGACATGCGTTCTACAGCCTCAAGCATGCTGAGATTCTTTAAGGGCGACGAACGCCGCGAGACCGTGTACCGCTGTCAAATTCTCGGCTCACTGACAGACTCTGAGCAAGTCGAGACAATCCAGGAGGACATTGTTCGCAAAGCGAGTAACGAGGTACGAAGTACGCTTCACCCGTTGGTCGTGGCGTATAAGCAGACAGGCTTTTACAATGCTGTTCCCGCGTTGTTTAGACAGGCTGTTGGGCTCTGGGCGGATGCGCAGCGGTCGAGGGATATGATAACTGCTGAACTTCCTGATGAGGAGGATTCGAGGGGCGCTGGACAGTATGGTGATTACGATGTCGGTAATGTTGCTACTCGCAAGGCTGTCAAGGGAAGTCCTAAGCCGGTCGTTTTGGCTGTGCTTTTCCCTCAGTTTGTATGTCGCGATGAAGTCATTGCTGAGGGAGTCGTACTTCGATCCGATCAAGCTGTCGTGGTTGAGGCGGTTGAGGAGGCGCAGAGCAATGGAAATGGTAACGGGGACGCGAAGAAGAAGCCGGGTACTCGTCGTAGGTCTTCAGCTGAACCAAAGTCACCTCTGCGTAGATGACTAGGTTACCTTGTTTGTATAAGTGAAGGAAGTAGTTGAGTTAGGAGTGGAGATATTGTAAGTTAGAGTACATGAGGAAGGATCTTGCATATTCGGGTTTGTACTTGTCACTTGAAACTATCCAACATGGTTTACAAAAATATCCCATTAAATGTTTTATTTGATCCCAAGTAGTAGATCATTGTGAGTCACTGATCACGTATGAAATACTAAGAGAAGTGTTTATTAAGCTTTTCTAGTTTTTTTGGGCGAAGAAAATAATCCCTTACTTTAAGCTTTAAGGAGAGTTTCACAAGGCAAAGTCCAGGATATGACATTTCTTGGTGCCTGGCTACTGGGTAGCAGAAAAAATGCCTCCTAAGTCTTGGGGTATAAAAATAAGTAGTCCAAGAACTATAGCCTAAGGCGCATAAAGTGACCTACTAATTGCGTCTCTTATGCCCCTAGCGGTCAATCTTTCTAATACGAGTAAATTATTCTTTTCAAGGTGAAGAATTAGAACCCAAGAGTGTCCATCCCCGTGTCTTTGAACCCAAAACTACGCTGTGAGTGTTTCATAGAAAACTTAACATTTTTTAGTCTTTTGGAATGTGAATTTGATGAGTAAACCAAATTCAAATGGGACTTCAGGGAAACAGACTCTGGTGAGGATAAAGTACACAACCATGGTCGCGACAGCCATGGCCAAGTAGTACGTAGATACTGTCTTATTTGTAAAGTATCATATATGAAGCCTGGTTCAATGTCTTGATATCTTGCTTGCTGGAGGCATAAGAGACTCTATCACTGCCACGGTGTTACTACGACCAAAGTAATCCCCAACCTTAGCACTTATAATTCAAGGACATGTGTCTGGAAATAAAATAAATACTTCATCTACTCCCAGGCACCCATTAGTTGTTCTGCCAACAGGGCTGGGGGATCACAAAGTTTACGTTGCGGCCATAAATCACAAAAGTAAGGAGGGTATTAACAAGAACACCCTTTGAAGTGTTGCAACTGCGCTCATAAACAGATTCCCCATGCCCCTAGATCGAAGCTTTGGAATTAATATAAATAAAGGCCTTCCTCCCCTCCAGAGGAATATTCTTCACTCGTGTTCAAACAGAATCGTCAAAAAGTCACTACACCTCCTTCTTCTTCTTTACAAGACATATCATCAAACAATGTCATCTCCTCTCACCTATAGGGGATGGACGCCCATCAACCGGCCTCACAGCCAGTCTCGCATAGATTGGCTGCTGAGAGCTGCTGAGGCAAACGGGGATCTTATTCTCTCTCCGACGTCCACTTCTGGACAACAACCTGGTCTGGCTTCAAGACCTGACCAGGTTTCTTCATCGCCCTCTTCTCCCTGTCTCCGTTCCCGTCCCCGTCCTACGCCACTGTCGTCGCTTCCGACGCCTCCCTTGACTCCGGCTCCTGCTCCCAGCCCTTCCTCCAGGTCCAAGAAAAGGCCGGACCGTTGCTGTGAACACTGCGGCAACATATTCAACTACAAGAACTTTGCCGACCATCGCAAAGTCCACCGGCTGGAAGGGGTGGAAGGTGCTCGGGCCTGGCCATGCGAGCAATGCAAGAAACACCCCAAAGGGTGTCGCGTTGCAACCAACCCCACAAGGTTGGGCACATACAGTTGTTCTTGTTGCCTCAAAGGACACAAGAAGTGCGAGTACACGGGGTTAAAGCAGCATCGGCAAGGGGAGGTTGACAGGCATCCCAAGATATCCAGGCCTTGGGAGCTCTAAGGGACGGGCGTTGTGGTGTTTTTACGGTTTGCATTTGGTGCGGTTCTTAACGGCAGGCGTTGCGATGGTTTTACCTCTTGTTTTGGTTTATATCAAGGATGCATAAAAGCTGAGAGTTTAGGAGTCTGGAAATCCGGCTTCAGGAACAAAAGGGGGATGACAAACTGGTTTTTTGAGACGGAAAGGGCCATTTTGTTTCAGTATACTACGAAATAAATAGAAGGAAAATGATAACCTGTGCAGTATTTCTTAGAGAGGCAATTGAATAAGATTAACTCTCAGTCACTTCACGAAGCATCCAAAGTGTCCATGTCGAAGGCTAGGTACCTCTGAGTAAAGTTGCAGGTAGGATGTGATGTCTGCACGGATGTCGGGACATTGGAAACATGATTGATCCGACAGACCTTGTTAATCTAAAAGAAACAAGGTGACAAACTACAGAACTCGCACGTGAACGTGACACAAAGATCTCACCACTGAATCTCACCACTTTAGACCCCTGCAAGCCTCAGCTGTTATCCCCGGCGCCACCCGTAACCTTTAAGCCGGGACACGACAAGACATCCCATGAGATCAGATCAGATCATTCGGCATCTACTAGTTATGCATAACCCGCTGCCGAGGCCGACTCAACTGGTGGACACGTATTTATTTATTACACCAAACCATTTACAGGAGAGATTGCTGTCCAAAACTCACATAAAAGGCACTGCAGCCCCCCGCTATAAACGGCAAACCACAGCCCACTACGTTATAGCACCTGCAGCAGTAACTCATCACCCCTCCTCCATCATCTCAACTGTTTCAACTCAATTCATACAATACAAAGAATACATACAATAAGATGTGCATCGTACTTCTCACCACCGCACATCCCGATTATGCTTTAATCGCCATCGATAACAGGGACGAGTTTATCCTCAGACCCACATCGCGACCACACTGGTGGACTCACAGCACATCCGGCAGACCAGTCTTGTCATCCAGAGATCTCCAACGAGCAGAGAAGGGGACGTGGATGGGACTTAGCAAAGATGGCCATCTAGCCGTACTCACAAACTATCGAGAAACCGACATCAAGGATCAAAATCATCCTATTCATGCCGCCAAAAGCCGCGGTGGTATGGTCACCGCTTGGCTGGGAACACCACCTGAGGAGAGTCTCAAAGACAGCGTCCACAAACTGGTCGAGAACGACGGCGTTAAGGGTGTCGGAGGATTCTCCATGGTTTGCGGCAAGTTGAGAAAAAATACTTCCGGTATTGCCATCGTTAGCAACAGAGCAGGCAACGTCAACGATGTGCCCATTATTGCCAAAGACCGAGGCGAGATGTGGGGTTTGAGTAACACGGCCTTTGATGCAACAGTCAAGGAAGATGAATGGGCCAAGATCTCCATTGGAAAGAAACTCTTCCGCGAAGCCATTGACAGTTCCGTATCCGACAAGTCGAGTCAAGAGGAGTTGATTTCCAACCTGTTGGACGTCCTTACCCACGACACACTACCGAGGAACGAAAACGCAAGCCTGGTCGAATATATCAACGAGCTTAAGAAAAGCGTATTTATTCCATTGATCGGCGACGAAAAGCATCGGAAAGCAATGGAGGCGGCCATGGCGAAAGGACCCGGCGAGTGGGCGACAGACGATCAAAAAGCAGCTGAGGAGCTCATGTCGGAAGGACGACCGGATCCAAGCATAACACCCATCATGGGCTTCGAGACGGGCATGTATGGTACGCAGCGTCAGACGGTAGTGTTGGTAGATTGGGAGGGTAAAGTCACCATGGTCGAGAGGGCGCTTTGGGATGGTAATGGCAATGCTGTGCCTAAAGGAGAGGGAGACTTGAAGTTTGAATTCTCCATCAATGGATGGAATGATGAATTTTGTAATGGAGTAAATGGGGAGAGTAATGGACATTTTTAATGATGCTGAACAGGCATGGCTGGCCGCAGGAAGCATAAGAGACGAAATCTGTAGGCCAGTTTATGCTCTTTAGACTAAGTTATGTCAGTGACTCACTGTCACTGCTACCCTAAGAATTAGGAGGCAGTGACGTATACAAATAGAAAAAATTGCTTAGGTATAAAGGAAGAAAAATTCCAGCGTCTCCTTCCGCAGTGTCTGGTTGCGATGGCAGCTGTTCTGAAGTGTCAAGCAGCTGGCAAGACCTCCCATGGTCATCGTCCCCCCGATCCGTGACCACTGACCAAAACGAACCACTGACTACAGCATCTCACAGCAAAACAACAGTAACCGCGTCTTTGTATTATTACTGTCACATAGCAATCAATCATTCTATCTCTTTCATGTCTGGGCTGCCTATTCAATACGACAACACTCTCCCCCATCTTGCATGTCGTTGCATTGAGATCAACTTGGGTTACCTCTGCTATTCTCTAGAGGAAAAAGGAAAGCAATGGGCATTTGTAAAGGTTCTGAAGAGGCACGGCTAGCCCTGGGAAACACAAGAGACGAAATTAGTGGATAAGTTTATGTTTCTTTGTATAGTTCCTAGACTACTTATTTTTGTATCCTAAGACTTGTGGACGGGAGCACTCGACTGGATCTACCTACCTACCTAGAGTAGTGGATGAGGAGCCATTAGATACAAGTGGCAGGTAGTAAGTGACATATGGAAATAGAAAAGAATGCCCGTGCGAGAGAACAAAAATTGCAGCGTCTCTCCTTCCGCAGTGTCTGGTTGTGGTGGCAGCTGTTTTGGAGTGCCAGGCAGTTGGTAAAACCTCCCATGATCATTGCCCTGGCCACTGACCAAAACAAACCACTGACCACAGCATTTCACAACAAATTCCATCCCGTCGTCTTCACTGCCACACGCATCAATGAATAACTTGCCTAGTCTAGGAGAAAGTTACTCAACCATTGCCCGTCATCGCCTGTGGCTCACCTTGGGATACCTCTGTTTTATCTACTCTGAAGCGAGACGCGAGTACAATTTGGACCAACATCGACAACACCGTTACCGACACCAGATATAGAGAATCATCCGTGGGACAATACTTACCCACTACTGCGAAGAACTCTGTCACTTACCGCCCGACTGGCCCAGGATCGGCCGCAGGAACCTACGTTGGTTCCTTGTTCTTTACGCTGCCTATCTCTCGCTGCCCCTACTGCTCAACTGGGCTATTGCCTACCTAATTTTAGGCTGCTTTGTACAACAAGTCATCTGGGAGATCGAGTTCAGAGAGATAAGAATTGGGGAGACAGACAACTAAGCACGACCTTGGAGCCTACGATAGCAACAACTTTGCTTTTACTATCACGTCTTTTGGAACCTCGATTCAATCACCGCAACAATGGACACCTTTCGTGCTGGACTTGAGGGAAAACGCCTTCCTTCCTCAAAACTACGACTTCCAACCACAAGCAACTTCCTCACACGATCTAAGAGAAAGCGTCCAGTCGTCTCAGGGCCCATTGGACCCATCAAGAACTCCCGAGGCCCCGACTTTGTACGAAGCGACACACTGATTATTGTTCCGACTATCAAAGACTGTTGTTCCGACGACTCATCGTCTGACAAAGACAACGCTCAAGCTATAAAGACCACTCGACGCATCTCTGCCAGCTTCTCGACTCAAGGATCTCTTACTAGTCCTCCTACCGTTGCTAAATCTGGACTCATTGCAACAGTTTCGCATCAATCTCTCTTGTCTGCAGCTCCTGTCAAACCTCTACCGACTACCGCATCTTTTACAAACTTTTCAAGAAAAACACTAGCCAACAGCTCTAGCTATGGTGTCTATCCAAGCATGGACTCTATCCAAGATGAAAACGTCCCTCCCCTGGACCACAAAGAAGTAGCTCCTGCCGAGTCTGCTCCTCAGACTATGAATAAGAGCCGTCTTCCCAAGTCTCGGACCTTGGCTGTTTTGAGCGAAATCAAGACTTCTATTTCTCGAACATCCATGAATACGAAATCGTCTAGCCCTCGACCTCTTGCTGATCAATCCCGCAAGACGTCTGCATCTTCAACAAGTAGTCTTCTTACTTCCAGTACCTCCCGAATTTGCTTACCAGGATCTTCCTTGACTTCTGCATCTCGATCTAGTAGCGCAAGCACCACAGTGACCGAGTTGTTGGCGAACCCAAACTCAATCACCACATCGCAGCCTTCAGCATATTGGTCGGGTCGCTTTGTTTCTCTCCACGACAGTTTCCTCGCCGAAGACTTCAGCAATGATGATGGAGTGTCATCAGTCTCATCCGACAACGGCTTCCAGACCTTTGCGATGAAGACCGACCGCGTTGCTGTTAATTCTCGTCCAACACATCTTTCCCACTCTACCACGACATCGGCTCTAACAACCCTGTCTGGCACGAAGCCGCGCAACAAACCCAGCAATAAAGATGCTCGTTGTTTGCGGGTCTTCCAACACCTCGAAAGCCTTTGTACCACAGCTGAGGCACGTCGATCGTTACTCGCCTGGCAACAGACGTATGCCCGTCGCATGAAGAAGCCGCAGCTGCTCCCTCACAGTGGAAGCATGGAGCACAAGAGTTTGATGGGAAGGATCTTTAGCGGCGGCAAAGGCACAAGTTCAGGCGGACGACGGAGCCTACCAGCTGTGAGTGCGCCATCAGGCCTTCCAGTATCGAAGAAGCGACCCAGCCTAACTGCTAGGGAACCGGGGAAACGACTCTCCTTCAACTAGGGGTCTTTGTTTTAGGCGATGAAGAGGGGTGGCTTGTATTCTTTGTTCCGTGGGTTTGCTTCTCATCGGTTTATTGTGGTGAAGGTAGGTAGGTGTATGAAGGTTGAAAGGGAAATATGTCAGTCGACACTTGGTATGGGATACTTCATTCTTTGTTATCAGCGCTTTGTTTGTGATTTGGGTGGGTGGTACTACTGAAAGGCTATATGCATGATATGGCATTGCATTAGGTTCATCAGCGTTTTTGGTATCTGGTAAAGTTCCACTGCAGGCTGCAGATAGATTGCTGCAATAATACATTAGATTTTTTTTGACTGGGTTCCATTATGTTGTGTGACGTGACTGAGACAATCTGGTGGGGAGATCAACGTGATGGAAAGGATATCCGCATATTATAAGTTTTATTTTTGATGCTCAACGAAGCATCGCTATTTATAGTTGTCCATGAGAACTTGTGTTCTGTTGCAGACCAACGCCTTAAACTCCAATGCTGTAATCCTCCTTCCCACCATATCTATACATTTTCCTCTTCACCCAGCCTTCTTTAGAATACGCAGATAATCCCTGATCTGCTCATGCTTGCTCGCAAAGAACATGCCCTTGACATCATTACGCCATACCAAAACGCCCACTTCCTCCGCGAATCCTGCCACTGCCATATACTCCTTGTGATCCTCAAAGTCTTTAAATAGAAAACCACCTGTCGTCTTCATACGTTCGTTTTCAAGCTGCCATAGACGGATTTGATCGACTACCGTGGGGGGAAGAACAGGTTTGTTGTTCAGCGCGGCTGTGCGGCGCATTTGATCGTGTGCGTGAGCTGAGAGGTATGAAATGATTTGTTCAGCTGTGATACCGAAATTGATGGCTTGGCGGATTGACTGTCGTGAGATTCGTCCGGCTACCATGTCGGGGAAACGCATTTGGAGTCTGGTGAAGAGTGCTAGAACGGCGATTTGTAGTGTTGATTGCGTGTAGGCGTAGATTCGGTAGTTGGTTTCGATGATTACACTGCCGCGCTGCTCATTGCTGGATCCTGTCGCGCTGCTTCCCGGCGCGCGGGTTTGGCCTGGTTGAAGTGCTGCTGCCGTGGCGGCTGCTACACCGTCGCTGATACTTCGAAGACTGTTTCCGCTGGATGTGAGTGTCGTAGCGAGTCGTGTAGGGAAGAACATGGAGCGCTTGTGGTTGGGGATATATATAAGACCGAAATCGACGAGGGAAGGGAGCATGTTTTTGCGCTGCTCTGTAAGCGCATTCGTGTCGTATGCTCGACCGAGTTCCATACTGGCGAGGACAAAGAGAAAAGAGAGCATATCTGTAGCTTCGAGACCGGCCATTTTGTTGACATCCATAGCTTCGAGCCAAAGGAGCAAAAGCGTCCATACTTGTGCATTCGCCTCTTGTAGCAGAAACGTAAATCCAGCCTGAGTAATGCCAATAGCGCCGCTGGGTCTTCGATCAACCAGACGGCCTGCGACGAGGAGTTCTTTCACGCTCTTATTCGGTCCAGAAGATTCGCCTGCGCTTTTGTAGCCCACACTCGAAACAACGAAATGCAGAATGTCTTCCCACTTCTTTCTAGCGTAGCGGTCGAGGAAAGTGATATCGATTTCGGGGGGGATTTGTAGTGTGGACGGTACGCCGAAGGAGTTGTGTGAGCCGCCGCCGGAAAGTGCGAGTCGGAGGGCGATTTTAAAGTTTGTCGTGAGCTGCATCTCCTGGGGTCGTTCCTTGGAGGGTGTCGAGATTTGTACGATGTGTAGGACGCGCAGGATGGAGAGAGCTTGATCTTTTTGGCGTTTGGCACTGGGTTTTACCCAGTCATCGAGGTCGCTGAGGAGAATTGGTTTCGGGGAGTAGAGGATTCGCATTACAAAGGTCTTTGCTGTGGTTTTGTTAATGGGGGGTCGCGCAGCAGCAAGGTGGTGATGACGAACCAAGGTGTGGCAGCATGCGACGGAAGATAGCAAAGGCAGTAGAGGGCTGCTGATAGAGCTTTCTAAAGGTTGTGCCGGGCAGCTTCTCGAGGTACTCTGCAAGCTGCAGCGACGGCGCTGGATTGACTGACATCTTGGGCGACGGGGGGAGTAGTCAGTCAGAATGCAAAGGTGCTAGCTATCTCATGATCGAAAGAGAGTTATGGTTGGGAAAGCAGCTCAGAAGAATAGAAAATGCGGGCGTATTGGTGGGTGGCAGGCGATATGCGCGTTGCTGCTGCTGCTGCTGCTGCTGCCTGTTGTCGCGGGTAGTATATAGAATGTGGTAGTGTTGATCAAAGAATTCGGTGTTGAGGCTCGTATTGAACAGAGCTCCAGGCATCGATTTTTTGGGTTTAGTGACTCCCAAGGACGCGGTTTAGCGGGAAAAGCCCGGTAGATTACGTCATGCATGCACCCCAGAAGTCGATCTCACCTTGGGATTCCAGGCATTTGGGAGCGTTAAGAGATACCTAAATTAGGATATTAATTTATGCTATTTAGACAGGAGATTTATGTGATTTATTTCTTTTCCCTAAAGCTTAGAAGCTATATTGTCTGCCAAGTATGGTGGTGTCACGAGATTGTCAGGCGTGAGTGTACTCACTCTGTTCTCCATGTAGGAGTCATGAGTAGCTCAACCATCTCATTCAACTATCGGATGGGCTTTGAGATCTTCACTGTACAAGACCGGCAAGATGAAACCTTTCTGGAAAGACCCAATGGATGTAGTAACTGGTATAATATTAAAGAAAGATGATATACAGAGGTCGCCCAAATGCTATATATACACGACATTCGCTCATCATCCCCCCTTCTTCAAAGTCGCATCCACCTCTTTTGCAACCTCTATACTCTCTCTCAACACACGCTTTTCCTCGGCGCTTAACTCCATAACCTCACTGTCAGTCATACAGCTCATATCATCCTTTGTCCTACCCTTGTGCCACTTTCCATCCATCATCCAATACTCAGCAACTTCATATCCATCTGGATCCACCCTCTTGTTCTTCAACAAGCTGCCGTTGTACCACAGCAGCTTATCTTTTTGATCTGTATGCGCAATGACAAAACTGCACACCTCTGTCACATTTCCTTCTTTCCCTTTACCCCATCCAAGCATGGAGCCGTAATGCTTCTCAAACTCGTAGCGGGATCCACCGAGCTCTAACCCGAGCCACCAGGACTCCTTGTCACCGTGGCCGAGTCGGTAGGTGACTTCTTCGCGGACATCGTGTGTATTTTGCCATGCTACGTGGAGTAGGCCGACGAGGTTGCTTACTCGTCCTTTGTTGAGGACGACTACTCCTGAATCGCATTCTTCGGCGTAATCCTCGGTCCACACGAGGGAGTTGTTCATCTCTGCTGTAGGTTCCTTGATCTGGTCCTTCCACCACTCGTGTCTCTGCTTAAAAGCATGCTGCCAAAGGAGTCTGTCGTGGAAGAGCAGGGCGCCCTTTTCGGTATATGCCCGTTGCTCAAATAGTTCCTCGGGTCGTTGGAGGAAAACAGCATCTGCGTCTAGTAGAATCGCCTCCTCGAATCGAGACCCGAGAAGCGCAAAGGCTTTGATAGCCCATCCTCCGTCCTTGAGCTTCAAAGTCGTGTCGTCAAAAACGGTAAAGATGTCGAGAAACTCGATCTTAGATGCACCGTCCAGGTTCGATATCCTGTTGCGATCCTTCTTTGGCAAGTCATCTTCTCCCGCATACACGATCTGGATTGGTAGTTGTGAGCCCAAGACCTTTCGTAGACTGACGATCAAGTGACCAGCAAAGCGAACAGATTGCTCGCCGCCTCCAACAGGAATAACAATTCCTCTAGATCCCTTGTCGAAAGAATTTCTCAGATCGGATAGAGGGGTTTGTGTTCGAGGTTTGCGCGGTGGATGCTTTAGAAAAGGGAAAAGATCTTGAGCCGCCGACTCTACAACGTTTCGCAGTTGACGTCCAGATCGTGAACTCGTTCTAATTTCATCAGACCTTGACAACCATTTGCTCAACTCCCTTGACCTCTGTCCAACCTCCCAGAAAGTGGTTTTATACGGCGCCTTTACCGGATTCTCGTTGTACGCCTTTGCCTGTTGAGTGATGTTCCCCAGTTCATATTCACTGATCGGCGACGCTGTCCAGCTGTAAGATAAGTTGGAGCCTTTCCAAGTGACCAGGATAAGAAAGACGGAAAAAGCAGCAAAGATACCCAGACGGACAAGAGCGCGAGGAGGGTCTCTTATGAGTTGTCCGACTCTGGTCATGAGCGCTGAAGCCAGCGACATGATTAAAAGAAGGTAGTCGCTTTAGGCACGTGTTGACATTGAAAGAAATGAAGTGAGTGAGAATGGATGAGAGATGAAGAAGGAATGGCGCCAGTGCGGGACCTAATTAAGCCTCTAGAGGTGGACTACCCCCTGTCGGTGATGACGACTAGCACAACCAACAACCTGAGAGATGATAGTTTCAGGATTGTCTTTGCTTTGGGAACAAGTCGATTTTATGTCTTTTTTCTCTTCTTTTTTACGTCCTTCCAATTCTGTTCAAGAAAGTATGAGTAGCTTCTTTTTTTTTTTTTTTTTAATTTTTTTTTTAGTAGAAACAAGCTCTTATTCTCATCCAAAGTACTGCAATCCAGCAATATGGCCCGGTTGGGCAAAGATTCATGATGGGATGTAAGGATTATCATGGTCTTGGCTATTGGTTACCAGCTTGTCTGCCTTGTCTCATTGTCACTTGTTATCTCTTTACTCATCATCGGCTCAAGTTGGATGATCACAATGTCAACTCTCACGTTCGTTCAGGCAGTGTTTAGATGGCGAAAAAGATAGATTTATTTCAGCAACGTGTTGTGGTCTATCTCGAAGACTACTGCGACACCTTCATGCTGAAGTTATAGGCAATATCGAGTCTTAATGAGTATTTTATAACTGCAGTTGGTTTGTACTGTCACCAACAGTTAAAGACTCCGGCCAATAGTTGCCCAAACAAATTGAGGGTTAAGCGCCATCGCGTGGCCACTTCATGTTGTTTGCTGTCGCCGCCTTCACTCAAAACAGATGGATTCGCAGAGTCAACAAAGATCCGAGGTTTTTGCTGCAGTATTGAAATTATTTCTGTGCGAATCATAGCCTAAATGGTGTGACCACCCACACAGAGGACCAGCCTTAAGGTCTCCCCTCGCTCCGCATTGGACCTTTGTCGTTCTCGACGGGCAGTTCTCGACTGCTCTAGACCGATGTATGTCAGCTCATGTACTTTTAAGTTTCTCCCTGACTTACCGCAATATGTCTGCAGTGCCTGTACGAATGGAGCCCCGACGATCAGAATCGGGACTAATTGACCGAATCCTTCAACATCACTCTCTGCTTCCATTCCTACCCACTTTTGTACTTCCACCCTATCTGCTTGAATCCACCAAATACCAAGGCCAAACCACAGGAGCCCATCGATACAGACACCGAGCAATTCCGAATTGATCGCATAATGGATTGAAGTCCATATCAATCTCCACCAGGGTAATCTCTTCTTACTGAGTTGGGCTTCCAAGGCTCTGTCATCGATGATCGAGGGTCTTACCGTGTCTATCCACCATATTGAAGCTGCTGGCCAGAGTGACAAGCATCTAATTATATACCCATGGAGAACCAAGACATAAGTTGCGATCATCCAAGCCAACGGTGTTCCTGCTTTCTTTCGTCCCATAGCACAACTTGCCAGACGGTCATAATTGTAATCCCACCCTTCTGACCCACTGACATATATACAATACAACAGCAATGCAACCATCAGAAGCATGCTAAGAACGCGGATAAACATGTCTGCCCCCAGAGCGAATGTTGAACCAGTCTTTCTGCTCCAGGACCTGTGATCTGATGGGTCCTGAAAAGGTCCGATCCATCGACGACCTTGTTTCATGCTTCCGTTGGTTTCAATACGGATGACATAAGTGGCCATCAAATGCACACCACTGGTGAGCCATGCGAGATTGGTGACCATTGTAAAATGATAGACAGATATGCTGTTGCGGTGCAGCTTGATGGTTGCCGCAATAAGCATAGCGATACCCAGGACCAGTTGTGTATCGACGAGCGTCATGATAAAAGAGTACAGGACACGATTGAGTCGTTCAATATGCTCTTCTATCCATTTTGACTTGATAAGAAACTCGACGAAAGGAACACAAATGTTTCTCCGTGCCCAGCCGTCGATTGGATTGATCGGCCGCGTGTTTTGACCCGGTGGCCTGAAACCTCCATCTGAGATAATATCCAGCTCAGATCGAGTAATGGCAAGGTAGAGGCTTATGCTGAGAGTTGCCAGGCATGAAGAAGTGATAAAAGCGGCTATGACCTGTCATGCTGTCAGCTCAGACCAAGTTGACACGATAAGGTGATCTTACTCCAATCCCTGCGATATCTGGATCAGGCTCAGTTGCAAATGGGCAGTCATGCCAAGCCGAGCCCATTATGGCAATTGTCTAAGCAGGTTCGCAGTTATCTGAATGTCTCAGTAGTGTCAGACAAAAATGACAAGACCAAAGACAAAAAGCGTCAGATATATAAGGCTATATGTAATTTTTTTTTATCTTGCGATAGATACATTATATTCTATGGAAAGCGCTAAGCCTTGCTGATGGAGGCAACGTTGGCAATTTGCTTCTTGCAATGAGGCTCAGGTGCCAATAATGATGCAGTGGCGTTAGGCCTGTAGGATCAATGTCTGTCGAGGAATACCTACAACTAGGTATAAACTTAGGTGAGACACGCAACTTTCATGATTCTCTGTGACACAAAAGCCGCGTGGTAGGAGAGGCTGAAGTAAAAAGACAGGCAGCATAGGTAAGCTCGTTTTCCCCGATAGCAGAGGGCGACTCATTCCATCTATTTCACAGGATAGATAATGAGACGGAGAGAGAGTGCAGTGACAACAAGGTTACGGCAACGTGGGTTTCAGAAGACGCTAAGTTTAAATCCTTCAGCGAGGGGCTGATGTTCCCTGATGACCATCCGATATCATCTAGATCTATTATTTCTTATTGGTCTATCGAAATTCCGCCTTGACAGAACACTCTCAAGTGTTATCAGTTAATGTCTTTTTTCTCACATCTTAGAATCGCTTTGAATAATTGGAAAATACGGTTCACGTCCTAAATACTGGTTCGACCTATGGTCTGGGTCTCGAAGCCGCCCGTCAATTTGTCGAGTGTAAGCATGTTGTTTATACCCATGCGCACCTCCCCCCCAACAAGCTGTTCAAGGCAAAGCAAAACGCCTTGGCGATCTGCCACCAACAGCTCAAGAACCTGACCAATAGTGCGTCAAATAAATCAAGTATTTAGCGCCGACACTCAACCACTTCCATGTTGTTTGCTTCGTAGCCGCCTTTGCTTAATAGCTTCCCTGAGTCAACAGACAGTTATTTCCAAAAACTCTGGTAAAGATTGGACTTGAAAACATCTGATTATGTTCATATTTGGGTGCCTCCCCAAGGTACAAGAGTCGAGTGATGTGACTGCAAAAGCAAATACCAGTCAGCAGAAAAAGTCCTGCATTTGAAACTATAACAAGTAAACAAGGTCCTGTGTAGACCATCCAATTGTAACTATCAGATCATCCCAGAAAGGTGCAGCCAAGCCAACACAGTCCATAATTAGTAGCCATGGACCGCCGCAGCCTTACCGATCATGTAACAGCAACTCTCTAAAACCCAAGTCCTTCCCTCTCAGGAGGCGAGTTAATCGTCCCCGTTTCTTCAACCTCGAAAGTAGCCTCAAAAATGCATCTCAAACACATCTTCAGCATCACTATCCTTCTACTACCCCAAGTCATTGCTCACGAGGGAATATGCTGGGGAGTCAACGGCAAACAATGGACTGACAATATGAAGTGCCCTGGCTCTTCCGCCTGCTGTGGCCCAGACGCGACATGTATGCCGAATCGTCTCTGCCAGAGAAAAGGGCAAGCAAAGAACCAGTTCATCAGAGGGCCTTGTGCTGTTGCACCCTATGACAGGAAGAAGTGTGCAATTATTTGCATCAGGGGTAAGTCGAACCTGTTTGCTTATGCGTTTGTTGTTGACTAACTCGTCATGACAGAAGAGACAAATGACCGTTTCCCACGAGTTGAGCAGTGTGATGATGGGAGCTACTGCTGTGACTACGACTCAGGATGCTGTGCTGGAGGCCGTGGTGTATTCCTTGCCGAGGATGGCAGCATTGAAGACAACTCGACCTCCACGACTTCTGAAATCTCGTCAGCATTCTCAACATCCACAATACTCTCAACATTCTCAACATTCTCAACCGAATTCTCGACTACAAGCTCCGAACCAACGACATCTTCAACAGAGGAAGCGGACACGGAAACTGATAGTGGCGGTACCAGCCAAGGAGTCACGATCGGACTCGGCGTTGGCATACCAATCGCTGCCATCATTGCCGCCGTGTCCACCTGGCTCTTCCTTCGCAGACGGTCCAAAAAGCAAAACCCACCTCCTTCGTACCCTGTGACGAGTAAGATGTATGAGCAGTCTGATAACAAGACTTGGATTCCGCAAGAACTTGATGGTCACGATGCGATGGGTGAAATGAACCATGGGCGGAGTGCAAAGATTCCTGGAACGCCGCAAGAGCTTCAAGGTTGATGGAAGTGATTGGAGACCGGCTGGATGTATTATGATCGCTGACGACTGGAGTTAATTGGGAGCATTGATAGATCGCATGCGGAAACATGTTTGCAATAGATCAGTAAGAATGCTTTCGCCTTGTCGCATCTTGGTGATGTATATAAGACATGCGCGAACTCGTCTTGAGAGACACTTGGTCGGGGATACTCCCACATGGTATAGCAAGATGGAAATGGAACATTCTGACTGCAGCTCCGTTAATATGGAGCTAGAAGAGCATCCGCCCATGTCAGTGAAGCGATCTTCATGGGTAAATCTGATTACGTCAGGTCATGTGGGGCCGTGCCGGGGAGTTATCTCAATTCTACCCCGGATCTCGGTTACTCAAGCTTCACTCCCGAATCGATATCTCAAGTCGCGCTTTGACACTTTACAAGACAACAGTACCATTGAGTAACCACCCGAACTCATTACAATGGCCAAGAAGCTCAATCCCACTCAGTTCACCAAAGCGGTTCGTCTCAGTCACACCAATCCGCGTATCTGCAACATGTGGAATAGTACACAAAGAGAGTATTGTTCGCTAACCGGTCACTCCTCAGGTTGTGCGCTCATTCATGAAAGACTCCGGTCTTGAGCCAACGTACGTCCCCTAGCCTTCAACGCAGCGAAATCCCGGCATTCATAAGGGCTCATAACTAATCCCCTTGACTCTAGACTTCTCGGAAAACATGTATGTTGTACACAAACCAACTTTCGTCAAAGACTAACAACAAGACAGTTCCGTATCGTCAGTGCCACAGAAGGCAAAGTCGACTTCGAGCTTGACATTCAACAACAGCATACCGTCAGTCTCTCAACTCCTAGTGTATTGCCAACAGCGCTGACCTATCTATCAGAACCGTCTTCAAACTATCCACGGCGGCACTCTTGCCAGTCTTGTTGACCTCGGTGGTTCACTTGCAGTCGCTTCATCGGGTCGCTTTTCTACAGGCGTCTCAACTGATTTGAATGGTATGCGTTCCCATCTCTTTTGACAAGTAAAATTGCTGACTCGATAGTGACCTATCTGAGTCCCGGAGGCCGTCCTGGTGATCTCCTCAAGGGAACTGCTATTCTGGAAAAGATTGGAAAGACACTTGCTTATACGCAGGTCACTTTTACCAATAGTAAGGGACAACTTGCTGCGCGGGGAAGTCATACCAAGTAAGTCTTAAATCATTGAGTTGTGTACAGTATACTAATTGCGTTAGATATGTCACTGGAACCATGGGCGAGGCTGGACCTTTTGTCGCACCTGAAGAATTCTCAGATGTGGATTAGATGGGTGCAAGTTGCGGTATAGACATTTATAGATGCGCTAGAGCAGAAGGTATGGATAGAGGACATAAAACAGACGTAGAAGCCTCGCGACGCTGAGGTCTCCATACTCTTATGTAATTTGGATGTACATCTCGTCATTATTATCGTGTTGTTGTCGAGACTAAATCTCCAGTGCCTTGCCCATTGACGTAAGCATATGTAACACACACCTTAAATAGCAGACAGATTCTGTCCGATATTCGAAGGTTGCGAACGCTGGGGCATGCATCACTTTCGTGGGCTGAGGAACTCATCGATAACGTTGCTGTAAGTGATCTGTCTCGAGCTTTCCAATAACCCCAACATGCTGAAACCGAGAAAAGCCATTCTTTAATGGTTCGAGTACATACGTCCTTCCAAAACTTGTACGACGTCCATTAGCTTAACGCCAGACTTGAAGCGACTTTTCGACGTCAGCCTCCCTGGAGTATGTTACAAACTCTTGCGTGTTGGGGCGCTGGTACTGCATATGAACGTGTACCACCTTTGCTGAGCTTTATAGAACCATTCGAAGCGGATCGCGAAGCATGAAGCTTCATCAAAATTGACAAACTTCCCAACAGAAGGTATTCGCGAGGCTCTTCCCACTACCAACGAGATCCCCGATTCTGTATAAGCAAAGTGATGTAATCTCATTGGGGTTTTCACTAAAACTAAATTTTAAGAATGAAGGCCTGGGGCTCTCTCCTCTTATTTCTTAACACTACGTATCATATTTCGTAACACGATAATCAATTTTTCCGATGCCTACTCCAACAAGAGTCGCGAGCTGTAACTGCGTTGAGGTCCAGTGACAAAGGACCTGTTGTCTCTCAAATACAGTCTGATAAAACCTCTGTTGAAATATTTTGTACGATACGATTTATTGCAGGGCTCGATCGAAGAAACATCTTTGTATAGTAGGCTGTCCGTGAGATAGATGTTCTTCGCCAGGTCCTTCTCTAAGATTTCTAGTCTTTACCATTAATATACACTCATGTTCTATACCAAATATCTTAATTAGGAGGCCTCTTCATTAAATCGCGTGTTATATAACATGCAAAGTCGCGGCGCAGACATGATCTTGGCCTGGCGCACGGCAACAGTGGATCAGTCTCTGAGACCAAAGCTTCTAGATTTATGATCGAACTCGAAGCATAGCCTTTTCGCCAAATACAATCGCAGGGTCCATTAAACAAGGTGCCCAAGCGAAGGCTAATTACCCAGTCGTTCCACTTCACAATTCCCGGTGCGAAAAAGAGCATCTTCATCGGCTATTTCCCCATTGAGTGATTGAAGTGGCCGTCATCAAAGCGAGTGACTCTTAATTTTCGGCTATGTTGAATACGACGAGCAGTTCCGTTATCAAGGCTGAGTTTGAAGAGTTTCGCCAACTGTAACCTATGGCATTCTCCAGGAAAGGCCTTTTAACACACTTCAAGACAAGTCAAACAATACCAAAGGTTTAACACAAGCCCCCAAGGCCAAGATCATTCCAAGTTGAGATGTTCGAGAGAACAAAAACAAGAACAAGTCTTGATCAAAACCGTAGCCTCATGAGTTACCAGCCTGACTACTACGCACAGCTCACCTTGCATAGAAATTACAATCCGTTGATTGTAGTCCACGCGACAAAGCGTATACGCTGGATCATGCTATCCCTCCAGCCTGTAGAAACATCGATTCTACGCCCCAAGAGGCAGTGCTGGTGAGACCAACAAGGGTACCCTTGTTCAAGACGCAGCATGCCCATTATCTCATTGGTTCCTCATTCAATTAATTCTTGGCTGTAAGTTTTGTTATTGAATTCCATTTCTCAAATGAGTCTGGAGATTGTTAACTCGTGATGGAACAGGAAGTGCTTCTATGGGCGGTCGTAAGATATAAGGCCTTCGTGACCCTCGATTCTTCATTTCTATCCCTCGATTTCTATCTCAAGACGACTTTAAACAGCTACTTGTTGACTTACACAATCTTATTTGATCATACTACTTGATTTACCAACGGTATACAAGCTCATATACATATGACCATGCAGTACGTCGAGAAAATGGCCCTCGCCCGCGTGGTGATGGTCTTGGTCGGCGCCTATATACCCTCTATATTCCTCTTGTTGAACTCTTTATGCTCAGTCCGTTCTTCCAAAGACTGTGTGAGAACAGCATTTACATATCTTAAATTCGCCCTCCTCATATTCTCCGCGTAAGCAAAACACCAACATATCACATCGAGTAATTTGACTGACAATCATCCAGACATGCCTTGTTTGACGCTGCCACCTATGGCATATTTCTCGGCAGCAGCATCGAATTCGCAGACATATCCTATGACGATCCCGATTACGACTGGGGAAGATATGCCACTATCATGCAGGTTCTTGGGATTTGTCTAAATGTCTTCCAAGAGTTTGCTAAGATGAGTGAAATGATTACCGACATCCTAATTGCTATCATCCTTCTTCGTCTAAGCGCCGCGATCCTCAACATCTATTCCGGAAGTCCTATGGGCAAGAATCTTCGACTCGCTTCATATGCCATGGCTTTCGTGCTAGGTACCTTAGTTCTCGCTGTCTTTGGTCTTCGTATGCGCTATATCTTTGAGACGTCCTACGGCGACCTTGAGATCGGAGACGCTAGCGCTCTGAAGGGCCTGCAGGTTGACTTTTCTGTCAAGGTTTTGCTCCTTGTCATTTCCCTTGCCGTTCTTGTCAGGGTCATCATGGTCAAGAGACAGGTCAAGGCTGACAAGAATCTTACTTGGGTACGTTTACATACCGACTTATATGCAATGCGGCACATACTGACACTATATCATAGGCCTCTACTATGCTTCTCATCGCTTCTGTAGTCTGGCTCCTGCACACAAGTTTCGCCATGGCGTCTATGGCTGCCTGGGACAACTTGATCGACGTGTGGGGCAGGCCTCCTGTCAGATACGAATTCTACAACTACATATTCGACGTCATCTTCAAGATCTGGCCGCAGTTTGCTGTTCTGGTTATTGTTTACGTTATGGGCCGCGCCAAAGCCAACGGGATCTGGTCTAAGCAGCAGGCGTCTTCGAAGCATGTCGAGGAGGGCAAGTAGACGGGGACTCTTATACTGTTGGCGAGTAATAAACTGGTACTTCTTCGATGACAACCACCGACATATATCGGCTTTTCCATACCGACGACCTATGTTGCTATATACCCCTCTCTTTAGCAACTCATTTGTCATGAACTGTGCCGGTCGAAGATGATGACGATGACGGGTGATGGATTCGTATCAGTGTTTATAGCATGGATTGTATCAATGTATTTAAGAAGGCATAGAATTGAATACACAGCCTTTTGTATTTCCATTAGACAATATGTCCAAGCGAAACTGGAATCGCTGTCTTGACGACGTCAATCCACTCTTGACTGCCGGTGTAAAATACAGGGTATCTCTCGGTTATTTCCATTTTGAGTCCATCGCTGACGCAATGACTGATGATTGAATCCACGACTCTTCGACAGCTCCGCTATCAAGGCTGAATTTGGGACACGAGCTTCACCAGCTACAACCCGCATTTTGTAGACAGTAATGAACCTTTTGACATACTTGGAGACAACGTGCAATATCTACGATTCCAGTACTTCGAGGCCAGTCGTGTTTCGAGCTGATACGCTCAAGAAACAAGATTGTGAATAATATGAAGTTGATCAGGAACCCCGCCATTACTTGCAGCTCACCCTGCACAGCAACTATTTAGAAATGGTCAATTGCAGCGCGATAATCTGTATATAGGTACTTTATTAAAGTGTCCTTCCAGCCTATAGAAGCAGCGTCTTACTTCCAAGATGCAGTGTTGGTCAGATCCAAAGGGTATCTTTACCCAAAGCACAGCTTGGCAGATATTTTACTGGCTCATTTACTGACAACAATCCTTGACTACAAGTCTCGTTGGCAAGTTCTCATTCCTCGACCCAACCTTGTAAATTTAGTCCTGCGGGGGCGGGTTTGAGATATAATGTATTATAAAGGCTCGCGCAATGCTTAATTCTTGGGTCTCATCTATACTTTTTATTCCACGACGATACGACCTACTACTGGGAAAGACTCGCCGATAGCATATACGTCCAACCAAATACGCAGTAATGCATCACGCTGATAAATTAGTCCTCGCCCATTTGGCCATAGTCGTTGCAGGCGCCTGCATTTCTTCTAGAGTCGTCTCTCGCACAAAGTTTGCCGTTCTTGCCCAAGATGAGCCTGTAAGAACAGCATGTAGATATCTCAAATTTGCCCTTATTACCTTCTCTCTGTGAGTTAACTATACAACATTGAATCTATGCTGCTTGGCTTACCACCAGTCGTCCAGATATGCCTTGTTCCACACCGTCCTAATGGTCTCCAATATCGCCAAGTTTTATCTGTCCAGAGACATGAGTAATATGAAAGAGTTTAAAGAGTCGACATATTACCCTCTGTATCAGATTCTTCGGTTCTGTTCACGGGCCTGCGTACCGATGTCCCAAATATGCGACTTGTGTATAGATGCCCTCATCGCATTGATTCTTCCACGTCTAATTACTGCTATTATCAATGTACATCTTGGGGGTGTTGGAATTGCCGCAAAGAGTATTCGAATTGCTTCTTACGGCTTGTCTCTCATTCTGGCCGCTTTGGTCCTCATTGTCCTCAGCCTTCAGTTTCTCGATATCTATTCGACTTACCACGACGATTCAGGCGGTCTTTCATTTGCCGCTTCTTATCTCGGTTCGGTGGTCCGCATTATTTTCAGACGTGTTATCTTTGCCACGTCCCTTGCCGTTACTTTTGGGTCTGTCATAGTCAATATGCAGACAAGTACCAACACAGATCTTGCTCGGGTGCGTTTATCTGTCGACTCGCGGAATGCTGTAGTACTGACACCGTTTTACAGGCGTCTACGATGCTTGTAGCTGCTTCGGTAGTCTGGCTCCTACACGCAAGCATGCTGGCCGGTTGGATACTCTTCAGTGAGGACCTTCCCGCCTACTTTTTTCAAGCCGCTTTCGGTATGTGGCTACAGTTTGTGATTTTAATAATTTTTTGTATCATATGGTTTCCAGAAGCCAATGGGATCTGGTCCAGACAACAGGATCCTTTGACACATGCTCAGAAGGACCAGTAGTCGAGATACTCTTATACTGTTGCCGGGGTGTCACAACACGTTGCACAACGTAGGGTACCTGGGAATTATGATTCAAACATTGATCAAGTTTAACGGTGGCATGATATGACGTGGGAGGGTAGTTTATTTGCAAGGGCTGCATGAGAGTATAAGCGTTGCCATGTATACTTTTACTTATTCACTTCTCCACTATCCGGTATCCTTTATTCCGGTGCATCTATTAAACTACTTCAGGAAATCGCCGACTAGAAGAGATGTTTCAAGATCAACATTCGCTTATTGTTGTTCTGCGTTTTATTGGCAGAACAAGTGCCCAACAACTTACACAACCAACAGCCAAGACCCAAGCCTCGGTAGTTCGGTTAGCTCGAAGTAATGCCGGGAATATCTTCAACGCCATCGGGTTGTTCTTAGTGCTTCGATTTGAAGATTTGTATTGGTAGACTTGAAGTACCTACTGATTCAGGATAATCTCGAAACACAGCTTGTTAATTCTTCTAGCGATGCTCTCTGCAATGAGTTCCTGAATAGACTCTCGTTTGTTCATTCAAGGTTGGCGAGATCTACATAGTGGGACCTGTCTGTGCGAGGATGATACGTCAAAGCTCCTCCCTTGCAAGGCTTACTGGACATTTTTATTACAAATGTTAACAGAACCAACAGAAGTTACAACTCTGAGAGTTCAGCTCAGTGGCTGAATATCGTAGCATTGCCTACCAAGTTGCCTGACGTCTCGTCATACCGAGGATATTCCATGGATCAATGATAGCTTGTTACTACTCATGGTAGGCTTAGGACGATCCTGTACGCAATTAACATGATGTTATGAAGGATTCCTTGTCAATGCCTTCTCGTGTTGATTGTTGATCCTCTGCAGCTGGCGAGGATTCATCATAGGTGTCTAGGTACATGGAGTCATACGATGGAGCTTTGGCTGTGGTAGGGCTTTTTGATCCTCATCATGATATCACTCATTGCATTCTGTGTGATGAGATCTGGGTGTTCGAAAAGTATAAGAAGGAGGTGATGGTCCATGGTCAGAAACTGTTCTCTATCAAGCAGCACAATCACCATCACCACCACTCCAATAAGACACAAGCAGCTTCAAACCTACACAATACCCTCAAAATCTTCAAAATGCAGTTCAACATCATTGCCTCTCTTGTCCTCGTCATTGGCCTCGTCGCGGCTACCCCAACTCCCGAGCACTCTCTCGAGAAACGCGAGGATCGACCTGTGTGGCGAGTTCGTGCCTTTACAGACGATCTCTGCAACGAAGACAACGAGACTGGAACTTGGTCACATGACCAAGAAAAGTGCGAGAACCTGGATAACGTAAGTTTAGAATGACAGTCGGGTGTGATGAATATATCGTGACCAGTGCTGAAATTCCGCAGTTCTCCGTCGATGTCCTCGGCATCACTGGTGAAGTTGATGGAACCATCTTGGGCGCCGCGTGCAGCTGGCAAATCATGGCACATAGAGAGTTGGACTGTGAGGGTGCACTCCCAGAGGACCGACCTGTTAGCACAAGCATCTGCAGGAACGTTGGTTCATCTTTTGGATCAGTTGAGCGAAATCCTATCAAGAGCTTCAGTGTTGCCAAGTTCGGTCCCTGCGACTAGAGGTCTTCTCAGGTACAGGCTGTTGTGCCTATATAAGACAGGATTGGGGCTTTTGTTCAGCAAACATCAAGTGAAGGACATACCTCGGTTATAGATAGCTACTCAAGTCAATTCACTTCAACTTTAGACGACATGTGGCGCTAAATTCGAACCCGTATCAAGTGATACAAGGAAGACTGCAGTGTGTTTGTCCCAGTGTTTGCCTTTCACACCACTCCCATCCCTCTCCCTCGCCTTCGCCAACAACCAATGCCGCGATAACAATAACGAGAGTATACAAACCCACTATGGTCAGGCCAAATGGTTATTTCTTGCTTGAATAACCTGGACCTGATTTGTGATGGGATCCGTGGAGCATTTGATTGTCTGTGTACACCTCGATACCTTCAAGTACCTACCACGTATCAAGCTTATATTTAGCATCTCCTCAATTAACCATCTGCCGTTGAACGTTGAGGCTAAGCAGGGCTTAGACCACCCGTCCAAATATGGAAATTGCCGAGAAACATCTTCCAATCAAAGCCCGACCAAATGAAACTTCGGTGAAGCGATCCAAGATACAACCAACACTCTCTTATTCCCGATCAATGGGTATATCGCTTGTATTGAAATGTCGAATTAAATAAATATCTATATACAGAACAGTCATATTTGACAACCTCGACTCATCTTCTTTATGGTAGCTCAACCCGGTCTGTATTCGCGCTCATCTCAACAGGCTTCACGGGTTGGTAGTGGCCGTAATTCGGGGTATTGTGGTTTTCCGCGGGAGGCTTGTGCATGTAATCGTCTGATACAGCGGCTGGTTGAGAGGCACGGCTCTTCTTTCTTCTCCATAGCCAGAATCCGACTCCGAGTCCGATCAGCACGACGCCTGCTCCAATTCCCACTCCTAGACCGATAGGCAACGCGTTGTTGCTGCTGCTTCCTTCGCTGCTCGAGGACGTGGTCTCGGCGGCGGATGTGTTTGTGTGTGTGACTGTAGAGCTTGTTGAGCTGCCTGTTGCTGAGGTAGCGTCGCTGATGGCTGATGTCGCTTCATCGACTTTTGTCGCGTCTGAAGGAATAGTCGTAAGGACCTTGACAGGATCCAAGGTAAAGACCTGTGTTGAATTGTTGCAGTCGCAGCCTCCGAAGCCGTAGCAGCAAAACTTGCCCGTTCCACAAGCCACAACTCCGTTTCCGTTGCCTTGACATTCCTTGATACAGGTTGGATCATCCCAGTTCTCGTCCGTGCAGGAATTAATGAAGTATTTAGTCAAAGCATCCTTGTTTGAGGACACGCAGAGCCCGTTGGTTGCGCAGCTATCTCCACGGGAGCAACAGCTCTTGATTTTGCCGCTGGGATCGCATGCGAACTGGTCGAGGACCTCGTTCTTGTCTTCGCCAAAGCAGCTCGCCATGTTGCGTTTTTAGGATATTAACCGAGAATTGAGTGTGATTTCGTATATCGATCGAAACTCGTGTGAGAGTTTGGTAGTTTGCTTTGAAGGAAAGGAAAAAAACGAGAACCGAGGGAAAGGATGCCGACGGCCTCAGGGGCGGAGATGTCGAGTTATCTATTGACACTCGGTACTCCGTTCTCCGTAGAAAAACACATACATCGCATCCTTCCAAAGAGTAAGCACCAGTGATACAATCCCTGTATCTTGTAACCGCTGCGCCGCCCTCTCCGCCCTGGTAGGATAGTCGGATATGGACTGGGGCCAATGAGATTATATACCGTACGATATTTAAACCGGGAATATACAGGCTAGTGATTCAACTTTGCAAGGGTCAACATGGGTAAGGGTCTCCAGTCTCGGTTATTTGACGGTCTGTTCGATAGGGCTGCGAGAATGTTGGATCTGTTTGTCAAGTGTAGTTGAGTTTTCCCACCAAGTTTAGCCATTCTGTTCGTTATAACGTGTACTATCGGAAAATAATAGTTAGAAGAGACTGGAGAGATTAAAAGGAGTTGCCAAGGTAAATGCGACGAGACTTGCATCTGGTGGCTGTGGCTGTCGGAAGGATTCAAGATCCTTGCAAGACTAATTTATGAACTGAAGGATCATCACAATAACGCCTTGCCCAGAGAACAGCCGGTACCGAATACAACCTCGTGAACAATGCGTCTTGAATGTCATGAAAGTTGAGACGGTGTGTCAGATATATAGAAACTAATGAATGAGGTCGATATATGTTTTGGTTGAACAACTACGTTGTACTAAAGCGGCCCGTACCCTTCCCGACTTTTAGCCCCCAATGAGTGAGATGAGATGAGATTACTATTATGTGGGCGTCTCCTCAAAACAAGGATAGCTTTTTCTCAAACAGTTGCATCCATTTGCACTTTTATGCGCTATCTAGACTATTGGGCGCCCGCATGAGACAACATTGGGTTTTAAATGCTGAGTTCTCGTGGCTTTCAAAACAGAATGGATAAACCAGGATATAATCAGCCAAGCTGCCGGTACACTACCAATCTCAATAGAAGAGAGCGTGATGACTCTACCAGTACGACCCCAAATAACAGTAGAGACAAGCGCTTGAGCTCGGTAAAGCCACAAATAAAATACAACCCAACATCTCATCTTTAACTCATTCAGTTTTGCCTCAGTGGAATCATGTAGTCAAGAACATACAGTAGTCTACGGTTAGAGTCAACGTCTTACCGCAGGCACGCGGCGCGCGCTTCTGACAAGCAATTGGAGACAAGAACCAACGAACTAACAAAAGCTTAGCACATGACCTTGTGTTGGGATTTGCAGAGCTAAGCAACCTTGTGATGGAGCCGCATGCAAATCTACACTAAAAAGAACTCAAACAAGAAGAACCATCTTGAGGTAAGTATTTTATTAATTTGGACTCATTAACTTAGGTACCACCAAAGACAACTGTCCACCCATCAAACAGAAACCATTTACTGGGTCTTCTTGTTCGCAATCTGCTTTCCCTGCGCAGTGTACCTCACGTACGCAAAAGCACCCAGAGCACCGACGGCCAAAATAGCAGCATTGCCTACATTCCATATTAGCTTTTATCCATACCCAAATTGACAAAAAAAGACAACAGGGAAATACTTACTGGCTACAAACTTGCCAACACCACCGGTGACGTCTACAAGACCAGAGACAACATCACTAATGAGATTGAAAACACCCTGAACAAAGCCCAGAACCGCCGAAAGAATAGAATGAATGACGGCGTAGATGGTGTTGAATACCGAAGCGAGAAGCTCGTAGATGGAGGCGAAGAAGTTGTTGATAGCGCTGGTGATGGCCATTTTGAAAGAGTTGCGTAGAGTAGAGTCGAGTTTAGGTAGTTTATTGGTGAGAATATGTTAAGAAGAAAAAGATGGTCTTGGCTCCTTTTTAAACGTCAGCCTTACTCTAAGACTTCATAAATCTTGTTCCTGATTTTAGAGTCGTGACGTCGTCATGCTGAGATGGACGGCTCAAAAGATAATGTGCATGTGACGTCACCCCGAGGATAACTATGGGTGAAACCATGAACCACGCGACACGAATAAAGAAGGTGCTTTGCGATAAGTATTGCGTCTTTATGAGGTAAGGTCACAATTGGAGGACAAGAGTCACGGGATGATATCGAGCTGAAAGGTGGGCGTTGCCATGTGACTTGATCGTTGGAGATGTTCCTTAAGATAATGTAAGAACTCGACGTTCAAGTGATCTTCAGGACTTAAGCATATATACAGAGTTCAGAGTTTATTCTGCGGTGGTAATGATGTATACTTCAATAAACACAGTTACTGCGATAGACTCGGCTACTGCGCACATCGTGGGACACCTTCATCTGTTGAGGATACTGGAGATGAAGCAGCCAGCTATCATATGTCGATTCCCTTAGTTTCCCATTCGGGCATTTCATGAATTTATGTATCCTTGTACTGCAAAGATGAGACTACAGGCTCTTCTGTCCTCCACCAATGTGTTCATTTACCCCGGTGTCCACTGCTCTGGAACGGGACGCACCTCCGATCTTGCAGCCGGATCTGTAGATCTGGTTGCTCCCGAGGTTCAACATATTGTGGCCGAAACTTGACTGCTACAAGGAAAGGAAACTAATTGTAGAAAGCCATTATTCGGCAAGTTCAGACATCATTACCTCGCCGTATGTGAGATAGGACCCAGGCTTCAGCTACCCCCAAGGCCAAGCCATCTCAGTCTTTAATCACACTCAGAAACGCTCGTCAGATCATTATATATCGTAAATTCGTTAATAATATAGATGTTTCCATCAAAGACTCCCATACCCATCCAAACTTGTCTAAGTCTTTCCAGAATAAAAATATACCCATCAAATATACACCCAAAAGTCCTTATATATATCCAACGTATATTGGCAAATTCGGTCTTGCACGCTCATTAGCCATCAAGGCGGTTTTCTTTTCCCAATTTCCTAGTCGTTCAAGTGAGAGTAGCAAACATGGCCCGCATGAGCTTAGGGGGAGGACCTGTGCAGCCGAGTCAGCCACACGTTTCTCAATAACTTCAGAAAAACAATTGCGCACCTCTAACGGTACTTAGGTACGCTAATGGCCATCCTACCTTTCTTGTCCTTCTCGATACGAGGAGGTTTACGGTGCAAAACTTCCTTCTCAACACGTTCTTCCCTAATGACCAATTGGCCATCGGGCAAGCGCTCAGCGCGAACGAGCTCGCCGCCGGTGGAACGGCCTCGAGGTCGGTGTGTCAGCTCACGCTCAAGATCCTTAATCTCCTTTCGAATGTCTCTGCGGCTTCGGGATTTTGAGCGAGTTCGAACGACAAGCTCTTCAGGCTGGTGGTGGTGATGATAACTATCCCTGTAATAAGAGTCGTAGCTCGACATTGAAGTCATGGTTCGGGATGGCGAAACGTCTCGAATAACAGTTTCCTCATAGTCATACACGGATTGCTGAGGAGGGGGGTCCATCGGGGGACCAGCCATCGGAGGAGGTCCTGCAGGAGGGGGTCCTGGTTGGTAGAAAGCGGGAGGTACTGGTTGAGCCATCTGAGGAGGGGGAGGCTGGTAGTAAATAGGTGGTGGTGCCGGAGTAGGCATTGGCATAGGCTGAGGAGGTGCATGTTGAACGGGAGGAGGAACTGGAGTTGCCTGGACGGGAGGCATAGGAGTAGGTGGTTCCTGAACAGGAGGCGGGGGAGGAGGAGGAGTCTTTGCTGGTGGTGGTTCAGGAGTAGGCTCCCTCACTGTCTCTGGAGGTGCAGGCAAAGCAGCTGTGGGTGCCTTGGGTTCTCGAGAAGCGGCAATTTCAGCCTCGACTGTCTATCGTTAGTAAAGTTCAGAAACAATGCATGAAAAACATACCCTTCTTGTAATCCTCGCTGACCTTGAGCAGCTCGTCAATGTTGTCTTGTCCAAGAGCCTTCTGAACAATGATTGTGGTGCCCTACTCCATGTTAGTGGCTGACATCAGACTTGGATGGCAAAACAAACCTCTTCAAAAAATGGGTATCCAAGATCGATAAGAGCTCGCTTGGAAACAAGCTTGGCTGGAATGCGAGTCTTGCCCTTCTTGGGATACTCGCTTCTCACTGTAGTTCCTCCGCTGCTGCTGGAGGAACGGCTGGAGGATTGAGAAGAATAGGAGCTGCTTCGAACAGAGTGAGTTCGAGTTGAGCGCGACTCGCGGCTACGGTCACGGTCACGGCCACGACCACGGCTCTTGCGGGATCGAGTGTACTCTCTCTCGCGAACACGTTCAGGCATGGATCGGAAGTCTTCGTCGCCGTAATAGTCGGGCTCGGCGATCTTAATGTCATCGTAATGCTCGTCGTTGTATCTCCTAGGGGGTGGCAGTCCCCGGCTCTTGGGCAGAGGAATGGGCTGATAAGGAGGAGCTCTGTAGTCTTCTCGAGGATCTCGAGGACGAACGTCTTCGCGGCGAGCGGGAGCTGGGTATTCCTCGCGGCGGTCAAGGAATCTTGGTCGACGGTCATAAGTGTCAAGAGATGATTGTCTGCGGAGGAAGCCGGGTCGACGAGGAGGGGATTCCCGACGAGGATAGTCTCGCTCTCTTTCTCTCTCTAGGACATCAGTTCGGCGAGCCCAAGGAGGAGGAGCCTCTCGTTCTCTCTCGCGCTCTCGCTGAAGCTGAGGAGGATATCTAGGGTCATCTGGGTAGCGACGATCACGGGCCATGTCGTCTTCTTCATAGTAACCACGGCCAGGTCGACGGTCATATCGCTCATCAGAGTGGTCGCGAGGTCGAGTGCTGCGTGTGTATGAAGCTCCATCATCGTCAGGACGGCCTCGAGACATGCGCTCGAAGCGATCGCGATCCCAGCGTTCGCCTGCCATTATGAATGAATGTACTGTAGGTTTGGGTGATTTGTGACTATGGCTGCCAAGAGCAGGCCAAAACGTATATAAGGGCTAGTCGTATGTGTGTCAACCGATGTTGATGGCGTCTTTATCGTTTGGGTATCGAGTTTAAGAGAATGAAGAGAAGAAAGGGAGGAAATGTACTGGAGGGTGGGCGGGATAAGTGTTGGTTCAAGTGGGAGGGAAACAGACCAGGATTGGATGATTCAAGATGGAGGGTGATGGCCATGGCCGATGACGTTGACAGGTCAAGACATGACCCCGCTTGTCGAGACGAGACATCCCATTTCCAGGGCCGAACGAGGCTTAGTGGAGAATTTGCACTTCCACTGGACGTCTTAGCGGCTTGTGACTCCCGCTACAGGTACGGGCAGGGGACAGGAAGAGCCCTGAATGTTTATTGCAGGTGATGACGACCTGTGATGGAAAGACCCTGAATAAGACAGAGGGAGACACATGATAGGTACAGTACTACATGACACCAGCAGACAGGACTCGACCGGCATTATTGTCTTGAAACGCTACGTACTGTACACAGCCGTTTTTTTACACAAAGAAACTCTCCTCAGCCCACCAAAGACGCTTCGGAGGTCTCGACGCCCAAGCACAAACCAAGTGGGCCGGCACCTCCAAAAGCCGGTTATGGCAGCTAAAATGCAGGGACTGGGGGTTATAGCTGATAAAATCTGTAAAATCCATATTTACAACAGGAAAATAATGATTAAATGGAATCTGTTAAGTAGTATTCACCGAGACGATGATCATCACGTGGTCCATAAGTTGCTGTTCTAAAAATGGCATCTCCTCTATTTCTCCATCTTGATAAACTCGACAATCAACAAGTTTCTCAGCCTGCAGGGTCCTCCCCTGAAGTGGGCTAAACTCGACTTCTTTCTTGTCGTTTTGCTAGTGTCCAACGGAACAGGCCGTGTCTTTGTCTTTACCACTGTATTTCACTGGGTTCCTTAAAGCTGATGACAGGCAACAAGTTTTGGAAATTCCAATCATCAACTGCCGTCTGTGCGGTACGACGCAGATCAGGCTCGCTAACTTTTGCAACCAAAATAACAAACTTGCTCGGAAAGTCGTTCTCAACTCTGACTCGTTCAGACTAGATTCATCCTTGAAGCAAAGTTGCAGTGCTAAAAGCAAGGACCTTTTTCTCTTGTCTTCGTTCCAGGGAGGGGATGTTTTCTGTACGATGACGTCTCACTCGTCTCCACTGAAATACTCAATCCCCGAACCAATTATATCTTGTCCCGTCTCCCTCACACGTGAAATCTTGGAAAGATCCCCAAAGTGATCATCGTGAATACTTCGGCTGGATCCGATATTACTCTACGGCAAAGTAAATTGGGTATTGACATTCGTTTCTCGGTACCTGATCAACATCATCCGTCCTGGAGTCTCGATCTTTAATCTTCCGACAACCTCTATGGGGGACCCCTGTTCAGCTCGCCTTACGCTCTTCTTTGTGCCTTGGTCCACTATTACTCTCCAATTGCCCTGCATGCGATGCCAACTCAGTTTCTACTTCTTTTGTTCCACCTTTTCCTTCATCTTTCAACGGCCGTCTTGTAGTAGCGCTTCCTCGCGGTCCATGTCTCAGATGTTGTTGGCCGACAACACTCGCCTAGGTCGTGATAACGAGGATACCCTTGCTTTCCTTCTCAGCACGAGTCCACTTACGAGTGTCTAAACTTTTCTTTGTTCAAGTGTGGATTTACAGGATCTCGAGTGATCAAAATATTGTACGTATAATCGGTGATTACGGATATCACTCCAAAGCTTTTGCAACCTCGATCGGGTCATTGTACGTGATCCAGTCAATTACTCATGGTATCCTAGAACCAAAACTACAAAAACTATCATATCATGATGCCGAGACCCAAAATCAACAACTCATAGAAACAGCCTGAGCAAACAAAGCGTACGTGTCAGCGTGATTGATGTTCTGCTCAGCTGTCAAGCTTCTGAGGAAACTGTATCCGTAACCACCAAAGTCCGACGTGCCCTTGATTTGATTCAAATGTGTCATCTCATGCAAGTTGGTATTACCCTTATCTTGACCATGACAATTTGTCGTCGTAGCCGGCAGACGATCAAAGTACAAGTCACAGTATGACATGTAATTACCGTTGGGAACAGTATACGCAAGAATACCATTCTTGCACGCGCCGTACACGTCGCTGCAGTAGTATCGCATCTCCCCAGAATCAATTGTCCCGCACGCCGCAGTGATCTTGGCAAACACGTCGGCCACGGTGGCCCGCGTCGCGGGGTCGGATCTCTTAAAGTACTCGTCCATCTTGTCGGCGGGGCCGTTGGCGGCTGCTTGTTGGGCGGCCGCGGCTTGGCTAACGCACTGTGATAGAGCTGCTTGGGTCACTGCGAACCTGTCACCGTTGCAGTCGCTCTGGACCTGGGCGCGTTTACTGTGGAAGGCTGTGCGGACGGAAAAGGCTTGGGAGCCGTCGACTTCGGCATCGAGTTGGTTGGACCAGAAAGGTATGGAGCCGACTAGCTCTGTGGTGTTTTCCTCGGCATAAGACAGCACGCCCGATGATAGGACGTTGAACTTGCCACCGGCGGAAAGATCGTGGAATTCGGCAATGTCAAAGCTCGTTTCGTAAGATCCGCCGGCAGGGATGGTTTCGAAAGCGGTGTTGTCAAGTAGAGAGGTGTCGATAGAGAGGTAAACTCCGTCAAAAGGGACAGGCTTTTTGACTATCTGGTGTTAGTAATGTTCGGGAGACCGACAATGAGGTGAGAGTAATGATGGATGGGGCTTCGGAGTATGTTGTGAGTGCAGATATTTGATACTGCGTTCAACTTGATACTCGGGCATTCACCCAGGCTACTCGTACCGCCCAACATCGTCCATCCCAATGCCCCATGCATCCAATAAGACTTACCAGCAGCAGCACTAAAGTCACTAGCAGAGTAAACCTGAACCCTCTCAACAGGAGCGTTGTCAAGAAATGTTCCAAGCCTGAGAAGCTTCAAGTTTCGACTACCATTATTCGTAACGACAGCCTTGACTTTTGAGTTGCCCTGCAGCTCAAGCTCGACGTTCAAAGGTGTGGGAGCGCGCCCACCAGTCAGGGGCACAGCAGCAGCCAAAGAGGCAAAAGCAAGACCAGCAAGCCACTTCATAATGAACGATAGACCAGATCGAACTAAAAATAAAAAAGACTGTAAAGAGCGAAAAGAAAAGAAAAACGAATGAATGAATGGAAATTAAAAAGAAGCTGTGAGAGAAGAGGGATAGTAAAGCATTGCGAGATGTTGAAGAGTACTTATAAATGAGTCTGGTGTTGATGAGTTTCAGCCTCTGGACAAGGGGCAGGGACATGGGACGATTGCCCATATTCAGGCTTTAGCCTGAGGGTGAACCGTGGGTAGTATCAAGGATTCGTTTCGGGGCGTTGTGGTTGCTCAATTTGTTTGACACAGAAGTTAGCATTGAAGTCCTTGGCGATTCATGAATGGCATAAATTCTCCGAGATAGAGCAGGAGGATGAGTACAACTTAACTCACCCTTCCTCTTACAACCTATATAGAAACCATTTACAGTGATATTTAACATTTAAATTGACTTTTGATCATCGATTCATCAATTCAGATCAAAAATAACTAAATTACAAAAGGATCAAGTGCCGGTCCGGGCGTCATGCCAAACATCCTGTCTAACCAGTTTCCGAAACACAGATTGTAGCATCGTCACAAGGATGAGGGCGTGACCCCACCAAGAACAAGCTAAGAAAAAAGGAACATGTCAGAATTTATGCCTAAATGACAAGAGTTGCGAAATTTAGATCGGATAAATTCTTCATTGGTATTAAAGATCGTATTAAGAGAGCAAGGTTAACATACTACAAGGGGTGCTGTGCTTGGCATTGGCGGGTATGTGTGTAAGTGAGTCGATGGTGGGAGATTGAGAGTGTTTGTTGAGCAAAGTGAAGACCGAGTCGTAAGCTGGGTTGACAAGAATAAAGTCTACAGGCCATAGATTATCTAAGTTATTGATCTCTTGTGCTCACGATAGTCAAGTTGTCTAACCCTTGAGGGTTGTTTGTGTAGGCACGTGGATGCCAGAGCTGGCTAGTGCTGGTCGACATAACTACTCTACCGAGACGGACACTGGGGGTTGTATCGAATTGATCAATCTTCCGGTGATTGTTCAACGTATTTAACATTTACGGAACGCTGAGGGCACCAGGCGAACACCTCGTACCATCCCCGATATTGATTGACCTGAATCACACGTTGATTTAACTCAATTGATGAGATTGAGCGACACAATATTGGAGTGTTTGCCTTCACAGTCCAACAAGTTGACAACTAAAGGCCAGGTTCAATGCATCTTCATGGCGGTCCCTTGTACAACTCTTTCTTCTATATCACATGGCCTCAAACCGCCTGCGTTCCTCTCCGTGCGCGAGTAAGTCAAGATATTTGCCAATGAGGAAAGTTCCTGGCCGGAATCAAACCTGAGTCTGGGGTCCACCAGAGCCAAATTGGAGAGTTTGATCTGTTCAACACATTCAAGTGTCCCTCTTGAACAAACCCGCATAAGGTGAAGGCACATATTCCCTCCTCCATGAATGGGAATGGGCTATAACCCATTACCTTGTGTGCACTGACGAGGTAGTGACCTCGACGGTCCCCAGTGTTGCCTCTACCTTTGCGGTCATAGCTCGAGCAACTGCAACTATTCGGCTATTCGCGTTTCATAAAAGTTGAGGATACTACGGAGTGTCATACTACCGAATGAACATATGTGTCCTGGTGCTTCCATAATAGTTGGTGCAGAGGCCTCCTTCGTTGTAAGTCACCTGCCAAAGAGCTGGGCTGAGGCTGTTCTGAGCGTCAATTGACCACGCCATCATCTATGCGCACGGTGGCTTACTATATCTGAGAACCAGCCAAGAAATATAAAGAACCTTGATATTAACGTGGGCACCTTACTGTAGTGGGATCTAAGTCACAAGAGAAAGAGAAGGCATCATTAGACGGTGACTTGGGCGATGATCTGGCGGTGTTGGAGTGGGAAGTCGATAAGTAATCAGCGAGAAAATGTTCGTGTGTAGCAGAGCAAATATAAATCATTTTAGATTGAGGAGGAAGTGTAGACTCTGTCCAGGTTATTTGCTGAAGTAAACATAAGTAGTTGGTGTTGTTGGTAAGCCGCTGCGAGAGATAATCGCCTCGTATGTGTTGTGTGTGGCGAGTCAAGTTTCCTCATACCGCGACAAGCGTCCATTCTCTACTAATAACACAGAGCATCCACCGATCTTGATGTTACCAGCAGAAGAATTGACCAGAACAAAAAAAAAAAGTGTTGGCAAAAGGAAAAGATATTCATGCCATCCGGCAAAAGAATTGATCACGCTGGGGATCGAACCCAGAATCTTCTGATTCGTAGTCAGACGCCTTGCCATTGGGCCACGCGACCTCGTCTTGTTATTGATTTGCTTTTCCAAATGTGAGTATACAGACCCCTGTCACTGTATCTTCTCTCCCCGACTCCAGCTCGCGTATGGAGCACATCACCCAAGCAGAGGGTACCATTTGATCAAAGCGCAGTCGATAAACTAAAAAATCGTTAACTCTAATAGCGCAGACCCGTTGAGGAATCTGGAGCCTTTTAGTACCCGATAGTTCAGCTGGTCTAATATGTAATAGGTAATATCACAGCTTGTCTTCTTTTTTCAGCTGCTCTCCTTTTCAAGGGAGGATCCATTTACATCCCAGTAAGCGGCGCAGCCCAGCAATTCACGTGAGATGAAATGAATTGAATGCCATGCAGATGAACCCCTGGATTCTGTTTCTTTTCGTTGTTGACTGCAGTTGCATTTCCTACTCTCCCTTGAATACCCAAACGGTTGGGTCCCGTTTTTGAAGTTATTTTGATGGGACGTATTTAACCTTAATCCTTACTCTCATCTCACAACGTCTATTCCTTCTCTTTATACTCGAGACGTTGACTGAAACAATCCCTTGTTCTTTCTCATCACTCACTACACGTCAACTCAACACTGTACAACACATTACACATCACTCATAATACTCTCATCTCACAAAATGGCATCTCCAATTCTACGTCTATTTCTAGGCGTTACAGCAGCCATAATCTTCATCGCCATCTTCACACCCACAGAATCAGTCACATCAGTAACGCAATCATTCACAACACCACTGGCGCTACGCAATCTTGAGGTTGTCATCCAACAAGAGGAAAAGAATCCAGTCCTCATGCGTACAGCCGTTAAAAACAACAATGACCACCCAGTCACCATTCTTAACTACGGCTCACCACTGGATGCTCTAGCTATTCAAATGGGCACGCTGTACATCACCCCAAGAGGTGACAGCAAGCCTTTGGAGATTCTGCAAATTGAATCCTCCAGATTATGGCCACCCTTGGAAGACGCCCTGGTTGAGATTGGACCTGGACAAACAGCTATCTGGGAATCTACACTCCAAGAACCTGTTGTTCCTATGGACAGAGTATTTGAGGGAGCGACGGTTCAATTAAAGGGGACTTGGACTGCTGTGTGGCCGCGAGAAAAGGAGGGTATTGATCCCAGCGAACTTGAAGAGGGAACGCCTATCAATGGTACTCTAACGGGTTCTTACAAGTCAAATGTTCTTGATATCGAAGTCAAATAGACATATGTCTGTTTGCTTTCTGGGCTGGCGTTTAGGGTACGAATCACTGGGTCATGGCTGGAATTGTTATTGATGGCGGGTTAATGGGTAGCGAAACTTGGGAAGGGAGATAGATAGAGCGGTGAAAAAATGTTTACAGTAGATATAACTAACCCAAATAATATTGCACGCATTCCAGCTGTTGGTTGCCCTGCTTTTGTCCTGCAAGCCTCAGTAAGCCACGCTGATTACCCTGCAGGGGTTCAGGTGAACGAATTTTACAGGACGACGACAACGACGGCATGAAGAGCAACACAAGGTATTTACATCGGTAGGAATCTGTTGGGAATCTGATATCATAATACTTCAAAGGAAAATAACTAGAACTTGCAAATCCAGCGATTGGCTTAGAAGAGTTGAGAAATTCGTGATCATCCCACTTACAACCACATTGCTCACGTGCCTTTCCTGCCTCACCTTTACAACATTAACACGAACACGTTGACCAAGAATGTGTTAAATGCTCTCCGTTTACCGTATGATAAGCTTATCGGTAACTCTATTGATAGTGTTCATTTGTATGATGCCCCAATCTTAGACAAAACATTCATCATGGTGTCTACAAGGTCACCATATAACCACCACCATACAAGTACACCAACTGCATATATAATTATTCGATTTAAATGCTTAAAGCACTTCTAGATACTTTTGTTCAATAATCTTTAACATAACAAATCTACTCCCGCACAAACAAACCAGCCATACCCATACCAGTACCAACACACATACTCACAACACCAACCTCACCACCATCCCTCTTCAACCCATGCAAAAGCGTACTCGTCATTCTCGCACCAGTAGCACCAAGAGGATGTCCAAGAGCAATAGCACCACCATCAGGGTTCACCTTTTCCTTTGCCCACGCATCCTCAAGTCCTAGCTCTCTAACACAGTGAAGCGCCTGGCTTGCAAACGCCTCGTTGATCTCCCATCGAGAAACATCCTCTTTCGTCAAACCGACTTGGTTCAAAAGCTTGGGGATTGCGAGAGCGGGACCGATGCCCATCTCATCGGGGTCGCAGCCTACTGTTACGGCAGAGACAAATTTACCGATGATTTGATCTTGGAGACCTAGAGCGGTGGCGGTGCTTCGGCGCATGAGAAATGTAGCTGCTGCACCGTCGGAGACTTGGCTTGAGTTTCCGGCTGTCGAAGTTCCGTCTGCTTTGAAAGCGGGCTTGAGCTTGGTAAGAGCCTCAATAGTAACACCCTCGCGGATACCGTCATCCGCAGTGACAGTAATGCGCTTCTCCTCGCCAACCTTGTTACCCTGCTTATCAACCTCCTGGAACCTCGTCTCAACAGGAACAATCTCCTCCGCAAAGCGACCCTCACTTCGCGCACGCGCAGCTCGTCGATGAGACTCAACAGCCATAGCATCCTGATCCGCTCTCGAAACACCATACCGGCTAGCAACATTCTCCGACGTCAAACCCATAGGCATGATACAATCACGCGCATGATGATTCTCCGACTCTTTCAGTTCAGGCCAGACATCAACGGGAATAGCTCTAGACCCGTAATTCCTCGTCATGCTTTCCATACCAGCCGCGATACCAGAGTCAATCATACCAGTCTGAATCTGACCCGACACCGCAGCGATAGCTTGCAGAGAACTTGAGCATGCGCGGTTGACGGTGTACAAGCTGGTAGTGTTTTTGAAACCGACATGGTTGAGTGCCATGCGTGCTGCTTTAGAGCCGCCGAGTTCCGAAAGGACAACGCCGACTGCGACATCGTCGACGGGTGCTTCAGGGTGAGCTTTCAGTGTAGCTTTGAGAACACTGGCGAGAAGCTCTTCTGGGTATGCATCCTTCAATTGGCCCTTATAAGAGCGACAGATGGGAGTGCGGACAGACGAAAGAATGACCGTGTCTGAAGGGGATTTGGCGAGAACGCTTGACAGGCCTTTGTGGAGGCGGGCCGACATTGTGAGCTAGTGATCTGGGGTAATGATAGAGTAGAAGTAAAGAGTATCAAGAATGTTTTGTTTGTATAGGGATTATGACTGATTGATAAGAGAGAAAAGGAGGATAAAGGTTCAAGATGAGAGAGAGAATGAGATGAGTTGTGTTAAAGAGTGAGGAAGGCCGGGTAAGTAAATACCCCCAACTTTTGATGGTCTCTCCAATCGCCTTCCGGGGCCAAATTCCGGATGGCTCCCCACCGATGGTGGATCATCGGCTTCTGCGTCGGATGCTAGTAGTGTTGTCGGGTAAGTCCCACGGCAATTCGGAGGGTCCCGTATATTCTTGGAGCAAGTTCTCAGCTTGTTATTGCTACGCCCTAAACTATATCTAGTCCATACTTTATAACAATCTTCCATTCATGCATCAGCTATCACCTTATAATATAATGTGCTTCAATAACAACCAACGCCCCAGTACCCTATGCCATCGTGAATATCGTATAGTGAGCCAAACTCCGCATTTTGCAATCTGCATGCTACTCCCTGTACTGAATCCCCAACCCAAACTTATCCGTCAACGGCTCAACTCTAGACTTTTTGGCTGGACTCTCATGGTCACGTCGTGCTTCTTCGCTTGAGTTGTAAAACTTGCGCTTATCCCCATCTCCATTGGCGTGATGAGATAGCAACTTCTGCATACGAACAGACTTTTCTACTGCACCTGGAATCTTGCGCGAGTCTGCTACTTCAAAGCTTTGTCGTGAATCTCGTCGTAATAGTTCTGTAGCTGCTTGACTAGCTTGGCTGTCGTAGATATCCTGACTGCGGTCTCGTGATTGCGAATGTGACGGCTGTGTCGTGGACGATTGAGCTGCAGCTACCGACTCGAGCGCCTGTCTAGCGAGCTCTTCATTGTCGTCTACCGAAATAGTACTCTCCCGACTCCTACGTCGCTGGCGTTCCGATTTGGGTGTTGTAGGAATGAATTGTCGCTGTGTATATCGTTGAGGCTCCGTTTGAGGTACAAGATCAACCGACGGTAAAAGTCCAACATGTGGTCCTGCGGGTCGACTCATAGGCGTTGTAGGCAAAGACGACATTGATTGGGCATTCCGACTATGCTTTCCGACGTGTCGTTGTGGAGGGCGGTGAATATGCATCGGCGTTGAAGGCGCGCTGTTGTTATCCTGGCTCATAGCCTGTAACAAAGCCGAGAGGCCATGCTCTTGTCTACTGTGTACTTGTGTTCTGGAAGCTTGCTGCTGAAAGCCACGCTGTCCGTGTGAGCTCGGGACAACAACGCCTCTCTGTTTGGGTGCTAGGGCGTGAAATATACCTCCAGGGCTGCAGAGCATCTGCATATGCTCTCTGTTTTCTCGTATTCTGTTCAACAACATATCCCGCTCTTCAGCAAGGGTGTTGTATTCATCCTCTCTCTGCTTGATGACCTTTTTGGCAGTCTTTAACCGACGCTGAAGGACTTCCTGGTCTTGTACCATGCTGTCGTACCAAGCTTTCATTTGCAGATATTTCCCCTGCACTGTCTCGGACGCCGAATCTAGGTCTTTTCTAGCTTGTCGTGTGTGCTCCGCATTACGAAGCGCTTCCACCTCACGACGCATCATCTCGTGTTCCACAGCGGCACGCTTGGCATCGTCGTCGGCCTGAAGAGCCATGAGGTTGTACTGCAGCTTAAAGTGGGCAGCCTCGGTTTTCAGCTTCTGCTGCTCCGCAATAGCATTTTGAACCATGACGCGGAGTTCGTCTGCGGATGCCTCGAGGACTTGTTGAGGAGCGGGAGGGAGAAAATCTGACGTGCTGGAGCGATCGCGTATGATGTTTTGAATGGTAGCTGGTGGAGAGCAGAGTGTCGACTGCTGAGATGCAGAGAACTTTCGTTTGGACGGGCCAGGTTGGCTGGCATTGTGGCTGATTGTAACTTGTGTCGAAGGAGGCGGTGTCAAAGACGAAGGAATGACGGTGGCGTGTGGTCGTTCCTCGTTGACTTGCGTAGTGAAAGATTCGTTTGGGTCGATGGGCGAGTTTGGTATCTCGGTCGAGGGTAATGTTTCCTGCATCGGGTCTTGCGGGCCAATCTCTTGAGGTGTCGCAGGATTATGCTTGACAAAGATTGTATCGCCTTCCAGCGGCTGCTGCGTAGGCAGTGAAGATTCAACAGGAGAACCCATGGTGAGTAGATTGTCAGATGATGAAAAGAGGGTTCTCAAAGTCGCGTCTACAGCAGCCGTAGCCGATAGCGGCTGTTGTGTCTGTTATGATTGCGACGTGTTCATAAGCTGTATCTACACGCGTTTGTTTGTTGAGCTTTTTATTTACCAAAACACGAAAGATTTTGAGTTTTGATGGGTCGTAATTGTTGTTCGTTGGTCAAGTTCTAGATTCAAACAAAACGCACGCGCCGTGGACAGAGTGACACAGTAACAAGGTCGTTATCAGTATCCACAAAAAAAGCGAGAAAAAAGCCAATCAACTTTTTGTTTCCAATTTATTGGGGAAATGAACAATGCTGGAAGTAACCAAGATGCACAAGAGGGTCAATGAGAAAAGAAAGCTTGTGACGCTGGCCTTGAGAGAGAGAAACAAGGAGCTAGACTAGAGCTGTTAGAAAGGTCCTAGGAACAAGGGTTTTTCCGCTCACGAGCTACTAATCCAAGACAGGGTTTGACGATGCTTGTTTCTCACTAAATCTGGGGTGGATGAAGCTAGTTAACACACTCACGACTCATTCAAACAAATATCCAATTATTCTCAAAGGGAAAAGAACTTGCTTGATATTGAAACGAATGCATCAAGCACTGTAGCCAAAAGATAATGACCAAACAGAATACACCAAGCACTAAAACACCAAACCCTCAAACATCACCACCTTCACAGTCCATCTTTCTCTTCTTCCAATTCCGATACCCCCTTTGAATAGCTCTCCAAGTAATCCCAACAAGGTAAACGATCCAGATAATCGGCCAAAACAATACCACGCAAGTCCACCATGCAGCAACGCTTAGCTTAGCCCATTTTGTTCCTTCAGAGTCGAGATACCACTCCGGCACCCAATAACCCGCTTTCCCACGCGCGTTGAGACTAACCACGCTTATGAGGCCAAACATGATCCATCCAAATGCCCATACTGCTGCGACGATCTTGAGGGTTGCGTCGGGGCTTGGGTTTGGGGATTTGAGAATGTCATCGCTGTGGCGAGGCATTAGGCTTAGGCCTTCGATGAAGAGGGGTGTGTGATACACAGGCATTATTGTAGATGTGATTGTTTGTTGTAATGGTGTAGCTTTATGTCTGATGATGAGAGTCGAGGAAAAGATGCTTTGTGTTATCTCTGTAGACAAGGTCGAATATCTGAATGTCTGATTGAGTTGGATGTTTGGTTAGAGGCTGGAGGTAAACTGCCTTCCTTCCATGGGAGATACTCGTTGCCGGGCTCATGGAGAGCAGGATGGTGCCTTCTATGTATGGTCCCCCAAATGACGCCTTAGCCATCAGAAATACACTTTGAGGTAAAGTAAAACTCGAGGTTTGCAATTGGCGCGACAAAGTTACGATCTGACGCGGTGACTTGACTTGGTAAAGTATACTTTGCAACTTGATTGACTCAGGAGTGGAAAGTCAATATGTCGGGCGCAGCTTCAACGAGAACGTCAAGAGCAGCAATAGCCACCAGGCGAAGCCGATGCATTGGACTGCACACCGTGGGAGATAGTATGTCTGGTTGAAGGAGTTGACCACGAGCAGACCTTGACTACAACACGACAAGATACATCATGCTGCAACAGAAAGCCATAAGAGTGGACCATCATGGCCATTCCTTCACAGACTGGAGCGATAGAGACACAGCTTTACCAGCAAGAGTGTATTGATAGTATCCATAAATGAAGATGGTATATAACCCCAGGTAATAAAACTAAGTACGATAAATATATACCAAGAATAGAAGTAAACCCATGACACGCGCAATCTGTTCCATCGCTAACCAAAATACCATTTAATCCACATCGGGTTCATTCTCTTCTCCTTGCCAAGCACCCATCTCCGCAACAGGTACACGTCCACGCAGCCATCGCAGTGTGGCATCAGTACCTCGCTCAAGCACGTTCCACCGAGGAACCCTAAATCGGTTGCCCGTGACTTCAAATCTCTGAAGTCCGCCGGGACCAGGTCCTCCAAGAAGACCAATACGGGGGTTGAGAAATGAGATGTCGTTGTTGCTTACATCTACCGTCGTGATACCCTTGATCATCTCAGGTTCGAGGTTGGCAATGTGGTTGTTGCTTGCCAATAAGACGTTAAGATTGGGGAAAACCTCTTTGAGATCTGTTGGGAGAGCATTGATGCGGTTCATTGTGACATCAATCTTCTCCAGGCTGGGTGCATGGAGAAATTGAGTGAGTGCTCGAAGGTTGGTGATGTGGTTGGATGCAAGGTTAATCTCTCTCAAGGCCAATAGCTCTAGCTCCTCAGTCAGGTATGCCTCGCCGACGAGTTGGTTGTGCGACAAAGACAAAGCTGTCAGTGTTTCGGAAAAGAAGCTGAGTGAGTTGGGTAGGGTAGCAAAAAGATTGTTCTGGAGGAAGATTTGGCGAACGCGGTTTTCAGCAGCCACCTTTGCGCAAACGACAGGGTGGAGCGACGAAGACTCAGTTTGGGATCTATCCAAGATACCGCCAGGCTTGACCGGCCAAGTTTGGTTGGATAGAGTGTGCGATCTGGAACGCCGGCTTGATACTGTATGCGAGCGAGATCGGTTTGGGCTTGTGGGAGGTGTAGCAAAGCTATCATTTGACTGGTAATCTTCCTCATCGTATGCGGGCTTTGCATCCGAATCCTTGTTATCCTTCAAAACATCCAAAATGCCAACTTGATCAACTGGCTCCTGGTATGGGGGTGGGGGATCCAGGCGATTCGCAAGAACAGCCTTGAGGTCTTCGGTAGTGATGGAGAGAAACTTCTTGTCACGGAGAGGGTTCCCGCTGAGTCGAATCATGGTCAAGTTGTCCATTCTAGAAACCTCAGGAGGAATCACCCTGATATCATTGCTGGAGAAATCGGCGTGGCGAAGCTTCTCGAGACTCGTGAAGCTGTTGGGAATTCCTGAGATGCTGTTCTCTTCTACAGAAAGCGTCAACAGGTTGTCCCATGATGTCATGTCTGGAAGTCCCTGCAGTCTGTTCATCGACAGCGACAAGGAGTGTAGAACGGGAAAGTCAATGGCGGCACCTAATGGGATCAATCGTTCCAACTGGTTTGCCGAAGCATCCAGAGTATGTAATTGAGGGAGACATCCAATAGGCTCTTCAATGAGAGTACCCTTCAGTTTGTTCTTTCGTACGTTCAACTCTGTGATAGAAAGGGTGGCAAGGCTGTCGAAAGGCAAAGACTCGAAGCTGTTTTCGCTGAGGTTCAGAATGCGAAGACGCGACATATTCTCGATTTTGGGAGGGAGCGCCGAGATGTTGTTACCATGTATGTCGAGAATCTCCAATTCACTGAGACCTGCAAGCACAGGGTTCAGAGGGCCGTAGAAAAGGTTGTTTGCGAGTCTAAGATCGCGAAGAGAAGTAACTTGCGAGATCGTGTCAAGACTGTTGTTCGTGAGACGGTTTGAAGACTGATAAAATTAGTAAGGAAGACAAATACGAATGACAGGTACATACCAAGTTCAAAGAAGTCAGGCAAGTCAGCCGGCGCATACCCAGAGGAACATTGACGAGAAGATTGCCGTGCATATCCAGAGTTTCCAATCCAGCAAAGATATTGCCTTGACTAGCCTGGGCTTCATCAAAAGAGGAAGGCTCGCTGTCAGGAAAGACAAAGTCGTCCAGCTCTTCAAGCTCATTGTCCGCAGCGACTAACCGCGTCAAGTCCACACTTTCTGCCCAGCTTCCGTCAAAGGTACCAATACTTTCCAAGTCGTACATCTTGAGGACCTCAATAGGAATCTCCTTCAAGTGCAGAGCAGCGATGTTAAGTCGTCCGCTCGTCCTCGCAGCATTAACTCTGTTGAGAAGCACTTTCTTCTTAGGATCTTCACCCTGGCGCAGATTGAATGGGTCATCGTTGTTGACACCAAAATCGAAGCCTGTATCATGAGGGACAATTGGTGCCTCTTCACCCTCTTGTGTTTGCGCGAGTTCAGCTGCTTGTTTCACTTGCGCTCGCTTGGCTGCCTTGGCCTTTGCGATTTGCTCACGGAGAGCAGCTGAGGACTTGCGAGCTGATGGCGGCGATCCAGGTTCAGCTGACTCGCCTGTTACTGAGGTCGCGCTGGAAGGAATAGTACCATCCCAAGAAGTAGTTGAAACCGAGTTTACAGATCCGCGTCGGGTAGAACTCGCATGCAAAGAGGCTTTGTTGAGTGCAGGAAGAGATGGCTTCTTGAACACGCCCTTGGCAGGAGCCTTTGCGCTTCCGGGACGGATAGCCAGGGGCTTGGGGGCTGACATTGGTGTAGGCATAGCTGTCTTGCCGGGACTTGGACTTCTTGCATCGCCAAAAGGCGGTGGCTTGGATGCTCCCGCTCGAGTATTCGGGGTCGTTCTTATCACAGTACCCGACCGTTTTCGAGGCGTTCCATCGATGGGTTCCAGAGGCGCTTTAAAGCTGTTGACTGAAGATCTAAAGTTTGGGAAGCCATGATCGGATTGACCCGAGCTAGAACCTGGTCGGCTCAATCTCAACGAGCCATCTGAAGCATAACTAGAACCAGGTCGAGAAGCACCACTATCTGCTCTTGATCGTGGTCCTGTCATGTTTGGATCAAAGAAGTTTGACGTCTTCCTCAAGGCAGGAGAAGAATTGGCAAGTGTCTCGATGGTTCTCTGTGACAGAGAAGGCCTTGACCTTCGAGAACTAGCACTGAGTGTATCTGATCTATCATCTTCATCGGTCGAAGCGGTTCGGGGTCTTGTTTGGCTAGGGTTGAAGATGTTGTCGGGTGGATCGTAAAGGGGAGAGACTGCAAAAGACTCTGAAGGTCTTCTTGTCAGAGTCAATTGACGAGGAAAGATTGTTCCTTCGAATTGCCCAACAGCTCCGCCTGGGGGATCAAATTCAGGTGTAGTAGATCGCTCTTCGAGAATGTCGGCTTCTCGATCTACCGGTCGATACGCGGCGGAAGTGATTCGTTGAGGAGGCTTTGCTGGTGATATATGTGAAGGAGGTCTGTTGATCATCGAGGTTTGTCTTGATCTTGGGACAACGAGTTGGTCTCTTGAGGCTGTCGGTCGTAGCCTTTGAGCTCGCTGTTGAAGATCTGGTTGAGAAGTTCGTAGCTGGTCTCTTGACATGGACGGTCGAAGCTTTGGGTTTCTTAGCTCACCACCACCCAAACTCTCCCTAGAAGGAGAGGCACGGATGACTGATGTTGGTCTTGGTAGAGAAGATGTGGGCTTTGGGATTGCAGAAGTTGGTCTAGGCACGGGAAGCTTGGACGGCCGAGAGACGCTCATGCGCTTCTGTGAAGAATCCTCCATGATGAAGAGGCTGATGGTCGTAGCGCGGGTTTGTCGAGGGGAACAAGATGGAGATTCTGTAGATGTCTCTAAAGAAAGGAATGCAAGACAGGACGAGAACGAAGTGAGACAAAGAAGGATGGTTTTCTTTGTTCTCAAGGGGTTTCGCTTCAAGGATCGGGGTTTGGAGAGAGGATGTTTTTTTGGTCCTAGCGTTGTCTGGTGGACGACCTACGGGACGGATGGGATGGCGGCGGGAACTAACGATTTGAGGCGGGTGAACAGACAAAAGTTACAGCAGTCAACAATACGAGTCAATTATAATGTAGCACAAACGGGAAATGAAAAAGAAATATTGAATATTAAGAAAACAGATGACAGAGCGTGAACTCTTTAACAACGTGACTGTTCGCTTAAAGTCAAGGCTAATGTAAAGAAGAAATGATATCTCCAGGGGTTACATGCGAGGTACAGTACCGTCCCGTCTCTCTGGAGAAGATCAGTCCAGTTGAGTTTGGGGCTTCAGTGGGGTCCTGCGAACACGCTAGATTGCGCTAAGACGTTGATGATGTTTAGTGGGTTTTTTAGGACAGGGGTAGCTTCGGACTGTCAGTTGGATGCCAGGAGTTGGGGTTAATCGTACATACAGACTTTGTATCTATTTGTTTATTCACTCGCTATATCTACTCTCCATCCGACGGTATATGTAAGAGTATCAAAGGGCAACGATGTACAAGTATTGGCGATCATACTGTCGTGTTAAGGTCCATCTCGTTCATCGTCCACTGTTCCCCCGATTATTAGCGTGGTAGCGGCCAGGCACAGGCGGATCCCTTTCCACCGGCTGGCTAATCCCAGTCAAGATGCCCCTGAAGGTCTGCGGGTTGCCTGTTGGGTTGCATCGGGCACAGAGAAAATGGAAGCCTCATTTTCTTTTCTTTTCTTCTTTCCATGTAAACAGACGAAGACAATAAACACAAACCTTCTTTTTGTGTCTGGTACATATAAATAATCATTATATGACGTGTACTTTTTTCTTCGGACGACTTTTGTTTTTAACATGTCCGGTATTGACATGGGGACCCCTGATGGTGCATGAGGCGCGACAGAGATAGATATTCCGTCGGCGGCGTAGAATTATCCAGTTTCCTTTTTTCGTCTTTACGTTTCATGTTTGTTCATGTGGGTTACTTGCAGCATGTGTGTTTGAACTGTGGTGATGTCTCGGTCTTAATCGAGTAATACTGTATCCTCACAAGGTTACTTGCATCTCTTTCAAACACTGCAGAGATCCTTAAGCTTGTTTAACTAGTGCGAGGGGTCATTGTTTCATGTCATGAATCGCACTTTGATGCAAGTCCAATCGTCCGCAAAAGTTTCACATCCAAACATCAACAGTGGAGTCATTGCTAGTCAATCAATTGACGAATAAAGTTGCTGACGACGCAATAGTTAGGCTATCACTCGGTAAACTAATTTTTGTTAAGTTTCCTTGGTAAGTTGAGGCTGACTGGAAATTCTGTCTATTAACAGACTCGGCCATAATGTCTATGTCTTGTTTATGACAGGGAAGATTTGTTGCACTACACCTCAATGACTCCTCCTCCCATGAAGCTAAAGGTTTATCCAGAATATCAGTGTCGAAAATAAGATTCCAATTTCATTAGATCAACATCGAAGCCACTGTTGACAAGTTTCCCAATATTTTATGGAACTTAGTATGTGATTTCCCAGGCTTGTCTTGTCGCTCCCAAACGACAACTGACCTGGTGCTTCGGACTTTTTATGTCCAAGCCATAGAACATATGAGCCCTCCAGCTGCATCTACATTCCCAGACAGGTCTAATGGCACACTATCTACTCTCTATTAAAACAGTGAATGTCTTCTGGCGCCTTTCGAACAGTATCCAAAAATGGATAAAACGACCGTTACATGGCACTACACGCGCGCCGACTTTAGAAGGCCCTCGGCAAGGGGCCATCTCGCCATTGTACCGGATGTTTGGGTTGAACGATTGAGTATTCTACCCCCGACGACCACCGTAGCTCTAGACATCCAGGGTCACCTTCTTGATGCAGATAATGAAGTCGCGTTCGCGTGGAAGCTGGAGTATCTTGGTCATTTGGCTACTGTCGTGGTGGTCGGGAGCTGGGTTGGAAGCCGCAATTGATTATCGACAACTCGCTGCCGTTCTTGTAGATGCGAACTCGAACTATCTGCTCGGCTGGTAGGTGATGAGACTAGTGATGCTGGCGGCTGACTGCAGCTCCGGACCTTCAGGGCCACCCTAACGAAACGGTCGACCCGGCCATCTCGTCCTTCGCCTCCAGGCCGGTCATGAACGCGGGATTTCTCACACATATACACCCGGATTCGGGAACTCAAACCCGACAAGAAGCAAGAGGCGATTTGGAGACAACAAGTTCTAGAAGCCATATCAGATCATGGCTGATGGACACCTTCATGCTGACAACATCACAAATACCTCCACGCTAAACAACATCACCATCAGAGCCACCACCACCTCCATCGCTCCGCTACCGCGGAATTTCGTGGCCGACGTCGTGGCGACATGTTGGCCGATATGTTTTGGGTGCGATGTCATCGTCGTTGTGTAGGAACGGTCATAGGCTGGTCGACTCCGGATTCCGTGGAGCTCGAGACCGAGCGGAAAGACTGAACCAAGAGTCTGCTGTTGATGTTTCCGGCATTCTTCCATTAACTTTAACCCGTATCTGAACGAAATCGCGGTTCTTTGCAATGTCCTGGCAACCGTATTGCATTGACTGGTCTACATCAGCCTGACCCGATGACCCAGTGTCAGACGGTCCGGCCTCAGTGTACATTGTATCGTAATGGTTGCCCCCGTCTCCCGGAAGCCTGGAACAAACATCATGACAACTTATCAACGCATCCGTATTAGGCCTATAGCATTCCTACTCGATCTATGGGTTCATCTCCGTCAATTAAGAGCCCATTTATCGTCGGTAACACCCCCAAAGTGGGCATAATCGCTAGGCCGACATCTGACAAGGACGAGTGGGAACAGCAGGCTATTTTTATGGTTTACGACGCCCATCTTAACTTCAATCGGCGTCTAAGTCAGGAGCTTGCCTTTGGGTGACGAGACGATATTGATACGCCGAATACCCACTGTCGCTGCCTACCTAGGCCTCACCTGGCCTCGTCTTAACCCTCGGAAGCCCTGTCTATATGGTAGACGGCGCATATTGCAGCTGGGACGTCGAACGTCTCAACGCGATCGTTTTGGGGATCAATGATAATTTTGTAAGCTGTGCGATCACGGGGAGATTTCATGGTGAGCAAGTTTCTTGGTATCTGGGAAGTCATCTCCAATAGGTGTAAGGCAAGTCAAACACAAGCACTTAACAAGAGACCATCTAAAACAAAGAAGTACTCGATGATAAGGTTGAGACAAGAAGAGAGAAAAGAAAAAAAAGTAAGGGGCAAAAGAAAATGGTTCCAATATAGAAAAACGTGTTTGTAGTATCTCGAGTTTAATCTCATTTGAGGCCCACTCATGACAATATAACGAGCTAATTGAACCACTTATACCGCAACCTAAATGTTTATAGTTTATGATTACTGCAATCACTCTCTAGATTCTAACCAGAATCTTGAAAAGTTGGCTATATAAGTGAATGGCATCTAACCTCGGATGTCTTTTTGGCTAACTTACTTCCACCACATCAGCCGGACCAAACCAGAGCTGGATCAGCCCGGCCACACCTTAATATCCCCAACCGAAGGAACAAGCACGCAAACCACGCCTCTTATCTAGCAGCCTGCCTTCCAGCATATCATAAATCACATTCGAAACTCAATTGTGACTACCCAAACATCCACCGGCTTTGGCCAGCTCCCCCCAGAGCTGCGCAGACAGATCTATCTTCTGGCCACGCCACCTCGTGCCGCGAATCTCAGGATATCTCGTGTTGACTACCACGGCTGGCTGCAGAAATACAGGGAGGAGATGGGGACTTTCCCAGATACCCACAGACAAGGGTCGTGGGACGCTATGTACGACTGGTAACTCCGCAGCTGTACTACGTACGATACCTGCACTTTTACACATAGCAGAGATTCTAGGGCTCAATTAATATACGAAGGCTACGAGGTTACATTTGGAACTAAGACGAGATGTCCGGAGACGTGGTTCAATTATCACCGGGACGCTCTGTATATTCGCTTCGAAGGGTGGGCTTGCGATAATGACAGTTATTACGCCTACCTTCGGCGTCGTCGCGATGACGCGAAATTATACGGACAAAGCTTATATCGTAATCTGGCGATAGCAGATAAGAAGAGGATACATTAGGTTGTGGAGAAAACCGATCGTTCACTATTTAACTACACAGGGGAGGCTATAGACAAGAATGGACATCCAACACCATTTTTGGCCACCGATCAACTTTCCCGGTGGGCTCAAGCGGCCAAGTACGAACGAACAATGACATAAAGTGAGATATCCAACTTATGTTCCAAGAAGCGGGTACGTTGAATTGCGCGCTGAACTGCGTGTTCATCATGTCCTTGCGGGGGAAGTTTTGGGCACACGACACCAATCTCTCAACAAGTGGTTCCTCACCTTAAAGAATCAACAAAAATAGATATACTGGAATTCAAATATTTATGCTTTGTTATCACTAGCCCTTCTATAGAGTTTTAATCAGAAATTTAAATAATACAGCTATAAAAGTTGGCAACACCCAACCTTGGATGTCTTTGATTTCTTTCTCCTATACATCACTCATACTCATACATCCCATCATGGCTTGCCGAACTTTCACCTGTTTTGGAAAGCTCCCCCAAGAGCTACGCACCCAGATCTGTATCTTGGCTACACCACCTCGTGTCATATTACTACAAAAACGGGCCTTTCTCTACTATGAGTTCTTACAAGAGTACATGGAGAGAGAGGGCACTGAGCCAAAGGGCAAACACTTATCGCGATGGGATGAGAGTGAGGTACATTGCACCTACAGTCATAATGCGATACCTGCGCTAATGCATACATGTAGAGATTCGAGGGGTGAATTGGTGAAGCATGGCTATGAGCTTACGTTTGGGACAGAGTCAACAGCTCCACGTACGTGATTCAATCACCGTTGGGACGCTCTGTATCTTGCTGGCAATATTGACAGTATTCTTATTCCTCCTGGCGTCTCTCATTGGTCGCCCGATCAACACTCAACGGCGAGCCTCTGGAATAGAGCAGATGCCAATCGCTGTTTATTGAAAGAAGACAAAAAGAGGGTACGTTGGGTTGTGTACCGAGATGGCTGTGCGCAATATGTCTTCACGGGGGAAGCTTTCAGCATAGGTGGAGGCCTGGTACCATTTTTGGCTCCTGATAAACGTTCTAAATGGTGCGTAGGAGCCAAATGCCTTTGGAAGCGTCTCTAGCACCTTAGGGTACTCAACAATGTGGTGGAGGGGAGGGCTTGCAAGGGCTATGAGACACAATGTTTCGAAAGCCCACGATCTTAAGACGTAATTCCGGGCAAACCTATTTCAGGGTGAGAGACTGATGAGAAGGGAAGAGAACTTTGTTTGGGCTCCCGCCCTCGTCTCGGCGTTTAGTTGCGTTACCGCGCAAAACCCACATCCAGGTGCTAGAATATTGACCTGCTCACCTACACCTGCCGACACTCATTTCACCTTCTTTCAGGCCCGGCCCCGCATACTCTTACTCAACTCCATCCGAGAACATCAACATCGTTGATGATGCGCCGAAGCTCTCACCTGCGTTCACTTTCATTACGCGTAGGGACTTTACACCCGAACACTCACATACGAAGACGACATCTAGGCGATGGCCTCGCGACGCGCCCAAACTGCTTAGCCGTCATGCAACCCCCTGTTGCTTCTCGGTCGCAAGACCTTTGCACACACCAGACGAACCTCTTGTTAAAGGAGACTTACAGAAATTTGGCATCCAACCAGACGGGGCTCTCACCCTCTATAATGTCCCATTCCAGAACACTCGAAAGGCACCGGATCAGAATCATCCTCTACAAATTGCAACTCGGACCCGAAAGCCAGATTTCAACTTTGAGCTGTTGCCGTTTCACTCGCCATTACTATCTCTATCTCGGTCGAAATCACTAGTTTTGCTGCCAACAACATCACATCAGAGTTTGGCCAAGTGGCTTCGGCAAATTGATCGGGGCCCTGGGTAAGGAGTCCCTTTCCTTGACTTCGCCCCAAACTCTCTCATTCAGAGTTTGGTGTGAAGTCAAAGAAAGTTCTTCTTCTCGAGGGCCCCGACCAATTAGTCGAGGCCCATTGGTTTATAGTTTTGATCAGTAACTTAAACAAGACTATATAAGCAGGCAGTACCCGACCTTGGATGCCGTTTGATTTTCTTTCTTACCACACACTGAACGTCAGGCTTCCGAATCCCAACATGGCTTGCCAAGCATTCACCTTCTTTGGAAAGCTCCCTCCACAGATACGCATCAAGATTTATATTTTCGCTAAACCACCCCGCACCGTAAGTCTTGGACTGGTAAAGGTTTCTTACGACGAATGGCTGGCGCAATGCTGGGAGTCTAAGCCACAAGGCCGCTTCACCTGGGTGCGCTGGGATCATTTGGGTGACTACCTCATTCGCAGTATTACACAAATACCTGCACTTTTGTACACGTGTAAAGAATCTAGGGAGGAATTGGGAAACTACGGCTACAAGGTCACCTTTGCGTACACAAGAAGTCCAGGGAAGAGAGGTCCACGGATGTGGTTTAATTACCATCGGGATGCTTTATACCTTCCCCTCCACCACTGGACTTGTGATGAGCCCTCCTATAATCCTTGCAAGCGTGACCACGAATCTGAAAAAGTCATCTATTAAGCTTTACGGAGCTCGGATAAAAAGAGGATACGTTGGGTAGTGGAGTCAACTATAGTTCAGCAACGTCAGGCAGGCTTCTTCACAGAAATGGAGGGTATGAGCAATGATGGACACACCTTGGCACCATTTGTGGCTACTGATCAACTTTCTTGGTCGGAAGATGCAGTCAAACTTTTGCAATTGCAGCTTTATTACCTTCAAGCCCATCCAATAATGTGGCTTTTATAAGGGAGGCATGATCTACAAGTCTCCGATTGAAATTGTTATCATCTTCTTGCTAACCAACCACGTTGCAACAGAGTTTGACCGAGTGGTTTCGGCTACTTGACTGGACTTTGGGGAGAAGACATTTCTTGAACATCACACCAAACTATCAGCGCACTTTCTTCAAAGATCGACAGTGTATCGACAAGTCATCATCTACAGCTGCAATTCAGCAAATCTCTCAACAATCGGCTCCTCACCCCTTTCAACTCGCCATCTATTCGTCGCCTCCATAGGTCCAGACACACCTTTGAACAACCAACCCCATTTTTCAACAAATCCTTGCGACATCTCCCATCCCGAAATATCCCATGGCGGCGACCAAGCAATCATACCTCGTTTCTCCATTTCATCATCGGGATACCCTTCATACAACCCCCCGATACAATCCGCCCATAGGTCATCCTCATCAAAGGTACCCATGGCTCGAATCAAGTTGTCTCTTCCTTCCGGCGATGGAAACATATCAATCCAGTCCCCATGTGGTACCGTCTGTTGAAGAAGTGTTGGAAGAAGAGCAGCGGGAACAAACTCTGGGTTTGAAGGATATGGAACTACATGGGTAATCTCTTGGTCGCATTCGAGAGGAGTATAAAGAATTCCAGATATCAAGCTGCGGTTGACGGCTAGAGCGCGGAGGGCATTGTATTGAAGGAGTGTTATGAGATGGTCTGGACTGAGAGGGAAGATGATGTTGGACTGATTGTTTTGTGTTTTGTACGGCATCAAGGGGTATTTGGAGTTGTATAGTTGTTTGGCGTTGGATGATGAGACGCTTGACATGAATTCTTGTTTGATATCCCATAGATCGATTGTTGTCTCTTGCTTGACAATCGATGATTGGTTCTTTTTTTCCTGGGCTTTGCGTTTTCCTGTACTATCATTAGCTACAACTTCCCAAACCGATTAGTTACTCACTGTATGCTCTCATATTAAGCCTCGTCTGTGCCCGTCTTCGTGCTGCAGCATTCTTGGTTCCAGTCCAATCGTCTTGTTTGCTTATCGCCTATTTCCGGTGAGTAAGACATTAACCCCGGACTAATCTAGTGACACGAACCTCGGCCAATTGTGGCATCGGAGTGAGCTCTATACATGACATGGTAGCGGCTTTCGACGCGTGAACAGCCATTTTGCCAAAGTTAATTATGAGGCAGATGATGAAAGAGGGGAGATGTTCTGGTATGCACTCTGCTCACTCACAGAGTCAGAGTTATCAACCGAAGGATCGCATGAGGCGCAAACTGTAGAGTAACTCTATTGGTTGCGGATATAGCAACCAACTGCACCAGGCTTAGTGTCATGCAGGCTGCTCACTCGACAAGGGTTATTCATTTACCGATTTGGGGATAACGCGATATGCAAGTTGCTCACTGACATGGATGAGAAGGATCGTATGCAAGATGCTCACAATTGAAGAATGGGCAGGATAGAATGGCATCAAAAGGTTGAGAAATGTAGATATAAAGATGCCCTTTGCCGTCGCTTTTCTCGAATCATTCTACTCATCAAACCAGACACAACAAACACTTTACTTGAACATTTCAACACAATCATCTCTCAATACCTCAATTCTATCTATCTAACAACATCAATTGAATCACTCTTCTCATCTTATCAACATGTCTTTCCATCCCGATAACCTACCCAGCCTTAACGGAAAGGTCTTTATCGTCACTGGCGGCAACGCTGGAATGTGAGGACTCATTTTGTATCCTATTTCAAACAGATCACTAACCTTTCAACAGGGGCTATTACACAGTCTTGCACCTCGCAGCTCATGGTGCCCACGTCTACATGTGCTGCCGCTCCCTCGAGAAGGGTAACACAGCCATCGCAGAAATCAAAAAGACACATCCATCAGCCAGCATCGACCTCTTACAAATGGATCTCATGGATCTCTCCAGCGTCGTCGCAGCTGCCAAGCACTTCCTTACTCTTGAAACATCTCTCCATGGTCTAGTCAACAACGCCGGTATCATGGCTACACCCTTTAATATGACAAAAGATGGCCACGAAGCCCAATGGCAAACAAACTATCTGTCACACTGGGTCTTTACCGAGCATTTGATTCCTCTTATGCAAAAGACCTCCAAGACACTACCTCCTGGTAGTGTGAGAATTGTCAACCTCACTTCTTCAGGGCACCTGGGCGCACCCAAGACTGGCATCAATTTTGATGACTTGACTCTTAAGGATCAAGGTGTATGGGAGCGCTACGGCCAAAGTAAGCTTGCCAATGTTCTTCACTCAAAAAGCCTGCACAACAAGTACGGCCCTGGCTCTGGGAACAAAGATGGTGAGATCTGGGTCACATCTGTTCACCCCGGCCTCGTCGAGACAAACCTCGCTACAACAGTCGACCCTCAAGAAAAGGGCATGCTGAATCTTGTTGCTGCTCTACGATGTTTCAGAATGCTCTGGACTGCTGATAAGGGATCATGGAACAGCCTTTACTGTGCCGCCGGCCAGGAGATGAAGCCTGAGCAGAGTGGACAGTACATTGACATCTATCATCGATTTGGTGAGCCTTGGTGGGCGAGCAGTGCGGCTAAGGATGAGGAGCTTGCTAAGAAGCTTGATGTTTGGACGAAAGAGACTATGGGAAAGGAAGGCTGGGTTCAGTGAGCTACCTTTGATTGTTTGTCTGTTTATAGAGTGAGGGATTTCATTTGTAAAGGAGCGGAGTAATATTTAATCTATAGAAGGAACTGTCCGATGTCTATCAATTTCAAACCTATACCAAATTATGTCTTCACCAAGACCCAGAGTGTTTGCAACGTGTCCCCGTCTCTACCAACCAGTCAAGAAAACAACCCATAGAGTACTATGATATCCACTCACGAGCCTCATTCCTTATCGCTGTCCCCCTTCTCGCCATCCTCATTCCCACTGTACTTCTTGTCGCCGTACTTCTTCTGGCTGTCCTTCTCGTAACTGTCCTTCTTATGGTTGTCCTCCAAAAGAGTCTCAAAAGCCTTGCGAGAGATGGTCCAAGTAGGTCCATTGGGCATAGCGCCAGGACTTCGTGGGAAAACCGAAGCATCAACAACTCTCAACTTATCAACACCACGAACACGGAACCTCGAGTCAACACAAGAATCACCATCGTCAGGTCCAATAGTACAAGTCGAAGAGGCGTGATGACTGAAGGCTGTGTCCTTGATCTCCTGTCTTTCATTCTCAGGGTCCGGACTCAACTGCTTGTAGGGAATACCAGTCGCGTCAAAAGCGCGTCGAAGCATAGCAATACCCTCAGCAATAGCGTCGAGATCGCGCTCAGCAGACTCGGAGAAGTAGTTGAAGTTGATGTTTGGCCTGATACGAGGGTCGGATGAGTTAAGACGGACGGTTCCGGCGCTGTTGCTGGTTTGCATCTTGACAACGGCGTGCATCCAGAATGCGGGGTCGACGCTGGAGAGTTCGCCTCTGGAGTAACCGGGGTAGAAACCGGTGAGACCGGCCAAACCGATACCACTCAAGAACATGAGGTCAGAGTCTTCATCCCAACTCTGGCTAGTCTTCCATAGAGCACCGTAGCCACTGTCGCGAGCTGCGTAGGGTCCAGCAGCATTGTCTCGCCATTCCACGAAACAAGGGTCTTCATCATCGTATGTACCAGTGCAAGGGGAGTTCTCAACAGGCGTGTACCAGTCCTGCTCAGCCTGCATCTGAACAGGGACTTCATAGTTGTCGTGAAGATTGGAGCCGACAGCGGGAAGATCGACAACAACAGGAATATCCCAAGCCTCTAATTCCTCTCGTGGACCAATACCACTGAGCATGAGGATCTGAGGAGTGTTGAAAGCACCACCAGAAACAATAACTTCGTGCTTAGCAAAGACTTTCTTTGTCTCACCGGTCTGCTCAGGATCGTAGCGACCATCGGCAGAGTAAAGACCTTCGCCGACCATGTACTCGACACCAAAGGCCTTGGGCTTCTCGCCGTGGCGGGATTGTTTGAGAAGGACTTTGGTGGCAAGGGAGTGGAAGCTGACTGTCAAAGGATGTCCTGCGTCAATGACCTCGTTGATGTAAATACCAGCACCACTTCTAGCACCAGTGGTAGGATCGATTGCTGAGGGGGTGCTGTATAGAGAACTATCCTTGTAGCGGTCAGGATCCGCGCCGTTAAGGTCCCGGCGAAAAAGCTCTCTCATCTCGTCAGTGGATTCGACATCGATATCTTCAGTCTGTTTGAACATCTGCTGGAACATGTTTGCGACATTGGGTTCTCCGATTTGAATAGTGGCGTTGCTCTGATCGTTCTATGGATATGTGAGTATAGTGACAAACGGCGGAGCAGTATTACTTACCACAAGATAGCCGTCGAAGCCATGTCCAGGAGTGCCTTCAGGGACGTAGGTGCAGTTCTCTAGGTTCATCAAGTGTCGTCGCATATGCTCGTGTCCCCAAGTTTCATCGCCGGTGAGGTTTGCAATGTAATCCCATTCATTGTCAGGGGACCAGACAAAATTCATAGCGTTGACCTGAGCACTACCTCCGAGTGTAGAACCACGAGGATAGTACAAGCCGGCACTGTATCACAGTTAGCTTCCAATTTACTATCAGAGTGATTTTGCTTACGGCTTGGCTCCTTCTGGGGGATCAAGACCAACATAGTAGGACCCGTTGGTCTGGATGTAAGTGTATTTGGGATCACGACGGGCTGCTTCAAAGTCTTCGTAGTGCTGGACAAAGAACTGCCAGGAGTGACCTGGAGTCTCTGCAGCAGTCCTAGCACTAAAAAAGTGTTAGTAAGATTTCATCAAATGGATATTGTGCACGTACAGCAATGGGAAGGATTGGAGAAGACTGGTAGAATTATCACCTCCAGCTTCGATTAGAAAGACCGAGTGTCCCTCTTTTGCGAGATTGGCGCTTTGAACTTGTTAGTCTCTGTATGACTTTCAGTGAGTTAAGTACTCACGCAAGAGAACCACCACCGGGACCGCTTCCAACAATGACATAGTCGTAGATGTCTTTGGTCGCTGAGGTAGAACCAACAGCTAAAGCAGCCGCAAGGGCAAATTTGATACGATGAAGAATCATGATGGGAAAGAAAGAGTAGCGAAAGGTTGTTGTTGTCCAGTGATTGTTCTGTGTGATGATTTTCTCTTTCAAACTGAAGACAGCTGGACTCTTATATACCATTGAAAGTCATCATGATCGACTTCAAAGTCATCTCTACGCTCTGCATACTTCATCTACCAAGCCCAAGCTTTCTTTCTACAGTCAGCAAGTCTAACACTCAGCTATACAGAGTCCATCGTTTCCGAAACTATTCACATCTTGGCTTTTCACAGCCCCAGAACCACGTCACTTTAATTTACTCGACCACATATCGTCAGGGACGAATATACGGTAGAATAGGCATAATGGAGGTCCGCGGATATCTCCAGGCCAAGCCATAGTCAGAATGCTGACGTGCCAAGAGAAACTAACTCAGCTTTGCAGATCGTCATTGCGGAAGTACTTTCTGAGGCTTACGTTGTAAGCTGAGACACTCGTCCACTCAGCCCGCTATAGGCACAGAATCATAACTTGAATCACGTTGAGCATTAATCTCAAGTCTCTCTTGTCCTCCTGAGATTCATTGAGTCTGCATGGTAGACATAGTATCGCAGTGTTCTTGTGATATCTTGAAATATACAACGGGTGAATGATGGTCCATTGGAGCTATGTCGAACACCGTGTACCCCAATCAAAGCCAATGACCTACCAGAGCAGAACCCAAGTTATAGCTTTATCCTAATTGTGACATATTATTGGCAGAGGCTTAACGGTGAGGCATGCCAAGGCGAGAGTCGAAGCAAGGAATGCGGGGATTGCTTACCGTTGAGTTATCCAGACGGACGAATTCAAGATAATAGACTATGTAGCTTTCGGAGACTTTAATGCCGGCATGGTCTAAGCCCCCAAAAATAAGGTTAAACATGTAGAGCTCTGCCAGAGACGCATGTTGATGACTTGGGGGCTGAGTATCACAAAGCTTGCCTTGCATCTCGCCAATCACAAGCAATATTTTCCGAGCTCCATTACTGACTTAATTTACACAACACAAAATGAAGATCTTTCCAAATATAGATGCCTCTAGTAGAAGATATGTTTCTTATCTCTTGGATTTACCTGCTGATATTGCAATAGCCTCCACTCTATATTACCAAGATAAGGGCGGGTTTATAATGCATTTCAACTAGCTATCCCATCCACAGATAGTCCACGATACAAAAAAACATCCTAAACTATTATAAAAACTCATCAAAAAAACAGGTCTCGGAGGGAGTCGAACCCTCGCTGGCGGAATCAGAATCCGCAGTCATAACCGTTAGACCACGAAACCGTAATTGGGATATTTCAGTGATAATCATGATCTTTATCCCAATTGATATTGGATAAGACTGTTTAGTAGAATGCGATAGTCATGTCACATGTCGATAAGATAGCCACCGAAACCAACTACTAGCTGAATGCTGTGGCTACGAGATGATTGTTTTTACTTAATAGAATGTTGTGGTGTGGAATATCATTGAAAATTCGAGGTCCACGATACCTCGGCTAAAGAAACGGGTATGGTACCGAGCCAGATCTTTTAGCCAATCAAGTTAAAGAAGCGGGTATCGGGCTGAGTTTTACAGCCAATTACGTCAATTTAAAAAATAATAGTCCACCAATCAAGACGATGTCATCATTCGTATCATTGGCTGTAGGGTAGTCCCTCTACCTTGTGACAAAGCCACAGCAAACAACAAACAGGATTGTCCAACAGACGGACAAAGAGACGGACAAGCAAGAGAAGCCTAGATAAGGCATCTATGTGTGAATTGAAGGAAATTGGGTATATAGATCAAGAAAATTCCTCTGTAAGGGTTTTCTTCTTGTCATCAAATTATCTAGTCAATGTCAGCTTTAACCCCGATTTTGTCTGTGTTGATGACTCAGATCCTTGAACCTTGCAACATACCTAACCGATGAGATAAATGCATTTCAAAGACGACGACGTGTTTGCTTTAGACATTGAATAATGTGTGTTTATATCTCAACTTCAATATCATTGTTTGGGCAATCTGCAGGACGGATGTTATAACGGCGAGGACTAGCAATTTGAGTCAGTAGCATGAAAGACAATCAGGGTACAAGACTAAATTGGCGACGAACTGGCTCAAGTAGTGTAATATGACCCATTAACTTCGTCTCTTAAGAATGAGAAATAGCACTACGGGTACTGGACATGCTTAAAATGTGGCCCAGCTCATCGAAGGATAAAGCATCTATACTCCTAAAAAACGCACTGGAGCTGATTGCGTTGATACATTGGTGGCTTGGTGAACCCCATGTTTATTTTCAGCCTGTTAGATAAGTCTTTTATTAACGTACTCAACCTCGGCAATGGTCATCACAGTCTCTCTCAGTTCGTCGATGCCAACCAAGCTTCTATTTGCCGATTGACTGAATGAGACAACGCCTTTGTACACTGTGTGACTTTTAAAGACAAGGGTTTGTGATGGTTACACAAGGTGTGCCACAGCGCTTAACGTGTTCATTCTACCTGTCACAAAGACAGCCTGATATTGTACGTACAACTCAGGACAACTGTCTGATTCATTCTGCCACTTCATACCGCTTTATGTCCCATTGTCCTTCTCGAGTCTTTGAGCAAAAGAAGTTACTCCTTTGACAATAACCTCTGGCGCTAAAAACATCGCGTAATCCCCTGTCGTCAACTTTATGCCAGTGGAGCTAGTCACTAGCCATGGTGGAATCAGTCTGGGGTCCTCAGACCTCGTATCTCAAGTAAGTCCTGTTTTATGCTTATCTTTTACCGCACTAATTGTCGACTTTAGCTTTTGTGAAGAGGTATTATTCTCCGGATCCCCGAATCAGCACTCTAATAACTCAAATAGGATTACATCGTCACCCGCTACATTGCAGAGTTTATCAACACACTCAGTAGTCTTTCCTACAGTGAGTTGTGTCCAATTCACCACGTATAACATCTAACCTCTTTTAGTTGTCTATGGAATCTATGGACTTATCAGCTACAACAAGTTCCCCACGGCTTCGCGCCTTATTCTATATGGCGGGTTGATGGGCGTTGGGATTTGTTCTGGAGGGTACCACATGACACTTAAGTACCACACCCAGATGTGTACGACTCCCATTCCATTTCCTCAGTGCCTCTCTGATCATCTTGTTTACCAGTTGACGAACTATCAATGCATCTCCTGACAACACCCCTCCTCTATCGATTACTGTCCTACAATGCCAGTCCCCAACGCACAAAAGTAGTAGGGTTGGTCCTTTCAACACTCTTTACGACTGTCATGGTCACGCATATTGTCCTCGATGAATTCCTCCTACATGCTGTTTCCTTCGGCTTTGGTGTCTTGATAATAGCCCGTCGCTGTCTTCAGATCATCTCCCAACGAACCCTTGATCTCGACACGAAGCGCGATCTGCGAAATATCTCGATTGCTGGCATAAGCTTTTTCGTCTTTGGTTATGTAGTCTGGTTGATTGACGACTGGGCCTGCCGCTACTTGACAGATATTCGACACACTGTCGGTCTACCTTTTGCATTCTTATTTGAACTGCATGGATGGTATGTTCAAGTTGACCGTCTTAGACACAACAGTGCTGACTGATACGAATTTAGGTGGCACTTCTTTACAGCCATTGGAGGCTACATCGCCGTTGTTGTCGTTGACGCTATCACTTCCAATGAAAAAGTCGAGAACCCTACTTCCAGACTGGCTTGGCCCGTACCATTGGTAGCCCGACTCATGGCCAGCTCTGCACCTGCGAAGCCAGTATAGTCTGGGTGTGAGCAAGGCCGACATAATACTATCTCGTGATTTACAGTGTACGAACTTCAGTAATTTACTCTGTAGACTATACTATGAATAGAATGTTAACCTTTATTGTAATTCCCCCCGTCGCGAAACATGACCATGCCAATCATTACTATTCTCCACCACCACCTATTCTCCTTCATTAACTCTATTTCTAGAACTTTATAGTTCATTTCCAGAGCTGAACGTCGCCAGCCGACGTAATTTGGGAACCAAGGAAAAACCATCACGTCGCCCGTCGGTAATCGCGTAACCCCGTTCTCTCACATCATCCACCTTATCCTCTGGATCCTCGTACCTCAACAACGGCGGATCTTCTGCCCAGCAGAGATGACGAATCTTGGCGATCTCGTACATCAGCACGACTCTGCAAACAATGACCGAAGCCATGAGTCGTCCGATAAGGGGCATACAATCTCGAACCGAGATGAACAGGACGCTAGAAAAGACAAGTGTGCCGAATATGATATGTGCAGCGATAAGTAGCGAGACAAATCCGACAAAGAAACTGTAGAAGAGTGTCTCTGGTAGAAAAAATATCTTTGTGGTGCCTCTCTTCCACCATGGGATTATCCATGATTGGAGCCCAGAAAAAGCACCGTCGTCTTCATATTCTTCATGCTCGATCCTTACCCTAAGGCTAAGTGACACTGCCGCAAAGATGTGCGCGCTAGAGCCGATGAAGAGCCAAAGCAGGATAAGGTAGGATAGATGCGGTGCGAATACTAATACGACTCTTGAGCCCATTTCGTAACCCAACTGGGCAACGTTTGCGATGCTGGTAAAAACGATGAGATACTCAACGATCAAGATGAGTGCTTCTGTGCCGAAAGAGTAAAGTTCGAGTCTCAGACGACCCTGACGTCTCTCTAGTGGTTGGGACAACTGACGATGCTCAAAAAGACGCAGGGGTGGAACGCCAGGGGAACCGAGGCAAATACATAGTGCAAGAAATGGACGTCTTCCACATATGAACAGTGTCGACGTCTCATCGACACTAGATCCAAGAGAGCTTAGAATAGCTGGCGTCAAGCCCAAGACGACGTTTGCAGCCGCCATACCAGCTTTCATGTATTCAGGAGAGTAGTTGATGATACAATCCGCAAGAGGTACGACGTTGGCCGAGCTAGAACCAGACCCGAGCCAGCGAGATGTTTCGTGCCATTTCGATCTCGGCATCTTGCCGTCAGTGTAAATTTCGTACTCTGCTGAGCAATTGTCGTGAATGATGCGCTCGAAAATGAAGCCCCATTCTGTATAAAACAGATGGAAAGGTTGCATGTCAGCCTTTGCGGAACTGGCATGGAGGATAAGAAGAACGGCAGAAAGTAGAAGAATATGTTGAGTCAAACGAGGCATAGTAACGACTGGATTGTAAGCGAGGTATGGAAGCTTTGCGATTGTTCAAATGAGATAAAGACAGGATTGATTATTTTTTTGATAGAACAGAGTATGTGCGTCGAAATGATTCTTATTATCTATTATCATACAGCCTGATCGAGTACTTCAACAGTATTCTTTTCTACGTATTCTGAGGGTTGGTTCATCTGCAGGTAAGCAGCCAACAAAATATACCAAACAGTTGTGTCACACATACACTAAATTGGGCAGGCCTAGCAAAAACCTCTTGATTACTGGTTGTAGCTGAAGTATATAGGAGGGCTCCAAGTTCCAGCATCTTCAGCAGCCTATTTGATCGATGTAGGGCAGGCCTGGTGGCTTACGACCAGGAGAGGTACACCCAAATGGAGGAATGAGACTTTACAGATTCAAAAGCCTTCTTCTTCTTGTCATTGCCGTACCTTCACAAGAGTTGGATCGAGGCGCGCGGCAATTTGTCATCGATGTAACTCACGAATTATGGTATATGTAAATGACCATTCATGCATCACGGTCCTGATATCTGGCTATGATGATGCCGCCACAACAAACGAGGGAATTGAGGATTGGTGGTTGGAAAAAAGAAATCAAAATGCCAAGATAGAGTGGCAGTCCTCCGGGTGATAGGCTGGGTCCATCGAGATGAGGCATTTGGAAATGTCAGAAGGTATCACAGTACATCACAGTACAAACAAGACCTCACTCAACTAACCATTGAGCCTCATGTCTCATATGGCGTTCCACGCATTCCAACTGATCGGGGTAATTGGCCAGAGATATGGAGTAATCATGATAATGATTAGCGTGTGATTTTCGCAAAGAAGACGTTTGTTACACTAACTTGAGAGTCAATTCACTTCGATAGGCCGGTCAGTACGTTTCCATGTTTATGGACTGTCTCTGCCAAGACTTCCTGGAGGATGAGCTCCATGACATCTTTACAGGTATGTAATACGTACCCATCCATCTCTCTTTAGTCACTTGAAAGGATGAGGCATTTTCCAACAATCCTTCCGATTACGACTTCTCCTTTACTCTTCATGCATATAAGACTCGCCAATCAAGATAAAACTGTGCCCCTGCTTTCTCTTGGAGATGCCCTTGCTTTTGGGGGTTCCCATCCCAAGGTTGGGTAGACAGTAGATAGATAAGTGTGACTGAGTCTCCAAGTCAGCAATAAACAGTGTGTAAAGCCACTGGTACTGTCCTCGAACTCGACGTTGATAATGAACCCCCTGCATAAGAGAATCAATAGCTTCAGTTTCGAGGTGGTACAGAATTTCAAGTAGATGCTTTTAGTTGTCCCCTGCTGCATAGATCCCTCCACATATCTTTAGGGGAATATTTATATGCAACTAGTTGAAGGCCTAACCTCTTTTTTATTGATAGTCGACCTAACAATGACAAAAACGTTGTGACACTTGTTCCATCGAAGGCGTGACTTTTGAGGCCCCCCGCCAAGACAAGGTACCCCTGGAGCTGATCACAAGTCCAAGTACGGTAACCATACTTCATACAGCCTATTATAACCTTCTGTATCTGCAACTGGTGATTGGTGTGAGTAGTCTTTGTCTCCGATTTGAGACTGACAGCTTCTGTCATGGACGATAACTGTTTCGGACATTTCACCCTTATCGGGGGCGGAACGGCTGAAAGTCTCAAGCTGTCTTGTTTTACCGTGTCATCTCGATGCATGATTTGTGTAACACAGTCTATACAGTATAATGTCAGCCCTCTCGGGAATCTTCACTCAGGACAAGCAGTAAGCGCTTCCCACCCCCTCCTGAATGTCACCACTGGGATTATCCATGCTGAGTGGTTCACTTTGTGTGTGTATGTATCAAAGGGGCAAAGTAAAATCAGGCTGCGGTGGGCTTGAAACTAAGAGATCGATTTTCTGGACAGCCATTTTGTTTGTTTGTTTTCTTTCTTCTCTTCCCTTGACATGTTTTCTTTCTCGTCGTCTTCTACTCAGTCCCTCGTCGTGGTTTTGGGTGGTTTTGTTGTACTTTTCGTTTTGAGACCATCAGTTCGCATATGCAGCCAAGACAATGAACCACCTAACCTGTTCCTCCAGGTCTATGCGAGGTCTGGTTTTCATATTTTTAGCGGTTCAGGTTTACTTCCCTTTTGTTTCATCCAAACCTGCGCCAGTCCAGGCCGCAAGATCTTCAATTCTAAATGACACTGCTCTGACAGTGCCAGAATACATAGCACGCCATGGTATTAACTAAATCCTTAACCTATTTCCAACATAATTCTAACAACTGGCAAACAGCACCGCTTGTTTATCTTCATTCAGATGACCCATTTCTACCCGCTGACATTCTCACTCATATCCGCCATACAACGCCTATGATCGATCGCAAGCCCATCCCAGATCTTCCAGAACTTGATCTAGATAACTTGGCTATCCTGAACGACATCCCTGTCCATGGCGATCAAGTTGTCGCACTCACTTCCAACGACAATGTTACAGCACTACCATCATGGCTTCTCGGAGAAGCCCCCGATCACACCGGTAGGATAGCCAACTCCACGCCGTGCATTGTCCTACTCGTCGAACGGAGTCAACGCGATGTTGATGCTTATTTCTTCTACTTTTACTCATACGACCAAGGCGCAAATATCACACAGGTGCTACCTCCTTTGGATAGTTTGGCTGGGGGTATGGCCGATGGAATGCATTACGGCGATCATGTTGGCGACTGGTGAGTCTTGGTGATCCATTTCTGAACAACAAAGTTTGACTGATGGTCTCTAGGGAACATAACCTTGTTCGGTTCCGCGACGGAAAGCCCACTGGGATTTACTACAGCCAACATTCGAGTGGTGCAGCGTACAATTGGAATGAAGAAGGACTGTCACTCAGGAATGATCGGGTACGTCAACTGTGTACAACGATGAGGACCTCATCATGGGACTGACACTTTCTGTAGCCTCTCGTGTTTAGTGCCTGGGGTTCACACGCCAATTATGCATCTTCAGGTGACCACGTCCACGACAAAGCTCTCTACGACTGGTGCGATGCCGGAAAACTCTGGGACCCCGTCTTGTCGGCGTACTTCTATCACATGGATCCCACAACGTTCAAACTCACACACCTGTCGCCTCCCGGATCAACCTCACCTCCGACGACAAACTATACCTCATTCTTCTACTTCACCGGCATATGGGGCGATGAAGAGTACCCAGAGAATCACCCCAATCAGAGAAAGGTTCCTTACTTTGGCCTCAAGCGATACGTCGCTGGTCCACAAGGCCCCATTTGGAAAGGGCTTGTTAGGAAAGGACTCTTCCCTGATGATCCTGAGCCGAAGAAGTTGATACAGTACGTTGTTGGAGCATTCATGACTCTGTATCCATGCTGTCTCCGAGGATGGAGAGTTTGGATCTTTCTGGCGGTGCTGATAGGAGTCATTGCGTCTTTGGTACTTGGGATCAAGCGAGGAGTCAGGAGATACAGAGCCAGGAGACTGGGATACAAGAGGGTAGACACTGAGATCCCCTTGAGTAATCTCAGTTAGTACTTGATCTTACTTTAGAAACCATAATGTATAATCTATTCATGCAACATCTTTCGGTAATCTTATTTATACTGGGATTCAAAATGTGTTAAAATAGCTTGGATATGCTTTCTTGGTTAACATGTATGGCCAATACTAGATACCACCTGATGAAGTTCTTATATAACTTGAATCGATATCTATCAAGTTCCTCATCGATGAATCATAAACCTTACGAGTAGTGGGAACAATTATTCTAGTGAGGTGTGTCAATTTCAATTTGGTATGTATCTGTGTGTGCTGTGCTAACTGGGGTAATTAGGGGTATCATGTTCCTCAGATCTCATCTTCTCCAGGCCTAATTCGCCTCTCGGAAATTCTAAAGCAAATGTTCAGTACGCCGTTTTGTAAAATCTCCCGTGTTCCCATTAACCGGTCTTCCCATAGAGGCCCGTTTCATATCTCCGAAATGTTCTCCATGTACGCCTTCGTGATGCAGCGCTTACATCTCCATGTTGAGATCATCGTCATCAAGAATGCCGCCTTCCTCATCTGCAGGCTCCTCATCCATCGGCTCCTCATAGACTGGCTCCGGAATGGTGTCGGGAATGCTGAGATCCTTGTCCAGGATGTGCTCCTCGTAGTTTCCCTCCTGAGCCCACTCGTCCTCCCAACTTTCGACAAATTTCCGGATGCTGTTCTGGAGTTCCGTTTTGGTCGAGCTGTCTTCTGATTTGATGGGGCAGTTCTCGACAAGATTGTTCACCAGGAACGACATCTGCTGCTTGACACCGCAGATAGCCTCCTCTGCGATGAGGTCCAGTTCCTTTGGCACCTCGGACTTTCTTGCTGCAAGACCCTTTGCGAGGCGATCGAGCACCTCATTGCACATTGGCCTGACGTCTTTGTTCACCTTTGCCATGATGACACCTTGTCGCTTCTTGTGAGATCCTGTTCCAGCTAAAGAATATTGTTAGTTCTAACTTGCTCATAACATCAATCATGACTTATAAGACTTACTGATCTGTCTGGCGGCATCAAAAGCTGGTTCCATTCCCTCAGACAGGTATTCAACAGCGTCGAAAGTGATATCGGACGACTTTTGAGCCAGTCTTCCGAGTGTGCCTCGGATTTTAGTTTCGGTAGCGCGTTGGGATTGATCTAGGATTGGTCGCATGTTTTTAAAGCTGTCTTCCAGGGTTGGTACCTTTGCGCTGATGTCCTTCTGAAGCTCATTCAGGTACTTCGTCCAAATTATCGAGAATGCTCCCATCATGGGAATTCTGATTCTTGGGAGCTGCTTGTTCATCTTTGAATCCCAATCTTTGCCGATGATCTTGAGAACGGGGGCAGCCCTGGAATTCTGTTAGCATAATATTTCAAAGTGCCTGCGCGACTACTGACAAGTTTTCCATCCAGTTGTAGGTGACCCTTGGGGTGTAATGGCTTTGAAATTTACCCCCCGAGCGTCGGATGTTGGCATAGTACGTGTTCGCACTGATTTTGAGAGGACTCTGCTTGTCGTCGGGGAACTTGTATATCCATCGAAGGGCAATCTTCTTTGCTTCCCCTACGAACTTATTAACAGCCTTAGTTCTGTGCTCAAGAGGGTCGAGTTTCTCAATCTCCATAGCAGCACCCTTGAGTGTTGCGCCCAGTTTCTAGTTACAATGCGTCAGATCACTCCAAATTATTGTAAAGAACAAAGAACTTACTTCGACAAAAACGGAGTGGGTATGAGCCACAGCCTGCTCGACTTCACCTCTGGTGAAGTTGAAGTTCCCATCCTTACCACTTGTTTGAGAGTAGATCCTCATCATTGCCAACTGGCTTTGGTATCCATCCAGGATCTCATCCAGATGTTTCTCCCGCTTGCTCAGTGTTGCTCGATGGAGCCACTGCTCAACAGCAGGAATACCAGTGAATCTCTGGCTAGGGAACCCATCCAGGCGACGGTCACCCTTTTCCAATTGCCAGAAAGCCGTGGTTGAGATGGGATAGATAGGGAGTACATACTCCCCTTCAACCTGAGACTTTTGCGAAATGCTTTCGTCACCAAATTCGCGCTGTCTGATGGCAAAATTCTCACGCATCCGCTTCATGACACGTTTGTTCCGGGTCTGGGAGGCTCGATGGTTAAGCCAATCCTTGAGGTAGGTCTGCTCTTGTTCGACTCTTCGCGATTCTTCATGATGCTCATCGAGTGCTTTGTCAGCGTCATCATAAGCCTGGACACGTTTATCAACAGCCGCCTGAGCAGTCGCGAGCCGCTCCGCATCCTGACCTGGATTCGCTAGATAATGTCGTTAGTATGTTAATTGATGGGGTTGGGTGAAACACCTGATGGTTTAAGTTTCTGTCTGTCCAGTGCCGCCTTGCGATTCTTCTGTGCCAATTTCTTTGCATTTTCTGCTCGAGCCTTGTTGTTTCTCAGGGTTGTAGACTTTCGCGAGAGTCCAACAAGTTGATCCTTCAAAAGTGCCAGTCTTTCTCGTTTCTGGGCAATTTCTTCGTCTCCCCAGAGCTCGTCACAACCATCGATGTACGACTCGAAGTTGATGCCGTCAATCTTCGAGACAATTACACCGAAACCGTTACCATCGAGCTTTCCACGGATCCTCATCTGAGCTTCGTCGAATCCGCTCTGCATGAGTGTCTGTCCTTGCTTCTCATCGGTCGCTCGGATGATGGGACTGACAATCATTCGTACGTCCAAGTCGCTTGAAATCTTTTGCGCCACTTCAGAACGACTTGCAGTTGCATCACCACAGCCAGGTAGATCAACAAGAGTGATTCCAGACTTGAGGATTTCTGCCTTGGTGAAGATGTGAACGTCCTTCACTAGAGGCCATAGAGCAAACTCCACACGATCTCCCACCTTCATGACGCTGGAATCCAGGTATGGTTTGATGATTTTGCCAAGTTTCTTTGCGGTGCTTTGATGCGACTCAACGCAACCTTGATCCAGCAACTTCAGGACGTGGTTGTTCTTCTTCAAGATGCCCAGTGCTACATCGGCGTAGCTGCGATATTCAGGGCAGCTGACCACAGCCTTTTCCAGGTGTTCTTTCTCAATACCCCAGACAGCTTTGATCTTGGGTAGTTCGTACTCGATCTTGTTCCTGGACTCAATGACAGCGTCGGCCTTGTCCTGAGCGTCGTCGTCTTCCTCTCGAAACTTGTTGGCCATGAGATCTTTGTATCGGTTCAATTCTTGCAAGAGTGATGCGAGATCGTTTTGAACCTCTTCTTTCGGGCGAAAGGTGATCTCGGCGCGAAACTCGTGTCCAGGGGTGTCGTTGCTGTTCCATGATACTTTGCCAATCACGGCTGTTGCTGCTGACTCCTGGCCCGATGGCAAAAGTTCTGGAATCCTGAGCAGTGATCCCAGGAATGAGGATTTGCCTGCACCGGTAGGGCCTTCGACGCCGACAAGAACCTGGTGTTTCTTGAGCGCTTCATGAGTGGTGTCTTTCGCGAATGATTAGCATCCGAGCAGATCATCAGTGAATATTGATAATACTTACTATCCTGATCAAGCCACTGTTGGATGATCTTTCGGCCAATGATTACAGCATCTGTGCTGTCGGGATTCGCATCGACCGTTGCAATAGCAGGTTCGAGAAGAGCGCGGATCTTGTTGCAATTTTCTTTCGCCTGTTTGACGGCCTTTTCCTTGATCTTGAGACGCTTAACGTCGTCCAGATCCTGACACTCTCTCCAAGGAAATTTCACTGGAGCGCGGGCGACACCAGTTGTCTCATCAGCCTGGCGCTTTACTGATGGCACGTCAGGTGTACGCTCAGAACTCGGGGATCGCTCGCGCTTCACTGGCACTGTGGGAGCTGCGCCATCTCCAACCTCCATCGAGAATGATTGAGCGCCGGCGTCTGAGTAAATGGTGTCAGTGTTTGTTGAGTAGAGTGCTTGAAGTAGGATGAATGTCCCGAGGGCTCTCAAATGGTACTGAGGCTTTGAAAGGTTCGATGATGTCGGGGAAAGAAAAGGTGAAGGAGAGTGAAGTGAGCAAGTGTAGATAAATGAGAAGGTGGTTGGAGTAGGAAGATGAGGGAAGGTTTGCGGAGTGGAAATGATCCTGGAGAAAAGCAGAAAGAATATGGAGTGCGCCAGAGAAGAGAGGAATGAGAAGGCAAATACCTTGGAGTCGAAATAGTTTTGGATGCTCCTTAGATTGTTCTGTTGACGAGTAGTGCTTGGAGAAGATGTTGTTAGATGAAAGAAAGGAAATGCTGGCAGAAGCACCTAGAAGATGAGGTGGAAAGTTGTGAAGTTGAAAAAGAGAGGTGAATGAACAGAGGTGCATGAATGATTAGATAGAAATCCAGTATGGGGCCGGCGGTTCACTGTTGATTCTGAAATTCCACATTCTAGACCGCGGAGCTGAAGTTGGTGACCGTTCAAACATCTTTAAAAGCTTTGCTATATCAGAAAAAGAAGCAGATATCCAACCCATGCTTCAAGTAAACGCTCGTTCTTTTCCGTCTCCAATATTCGCAGCACTAGACAGTGTTTGTATTAAGTACAAACCGAGTCTTGCCCCTCGTTATTAGCAGAATTTACAACAAGTAGTATAATTTTATTGCAATACATTGAAAACCAACCATGTCAGCTCGTGATGGTGTTGAGGCTCTTCTGCCATCTATCAACCTTATCCACCAACCACCCCTTCCTGGCACAATCTTTATTCAAATAGAATTCTTTACTTCAAACGAGTTCTTTATTTAAAACGACTGATTGGTTCAGATAATATCATTCACAATCATATTTTGTAGCAACACGGTGTTACTTCTTTCTTCCTGTATCTTAGCTAATGATATATACTAACTTTAGCAACCAATAAAGCACATACGACCATACCTATCAGAGAACTCGGGATCCCGTCCGCTCTCCCATAGATAAGCTGGTAAGGGGCGGATTAGTAGTTGGGTCGGTGACGACCAGCGAATCCCCGCTGTTGTATGTTTTTTTTTGGTGATATCTTTTTGTGGTTATAGGTAAAGAGGGGCTGCCAGGCGTGATACGGGCAAAGTGCTACCAGAACTGAAAGGCCTGGAGCTATCCCTGTGCTGGACGGCGTGGTGCCTATTCTGTAAGCGGGAATTCAGTTTTAGGTGCTAAATAAAATTGGCAAATGATTCAATTGCTAAGGAATCATATAGTAGAGTAGGCCAGATAGCGTGATCTGGTGAATTGGCAGAGTATAAAATATGCGGGATCTGGTGAATGGGTGTAGAACAATTAGTCTCAGGGTACAAAAATAAGTTGTCTAAGAAGTATGGCTTGATGAGCGTGAACTGACCCGCTCGTTTCTCATACTCCTGATGTCTGGGTGGGTTCACCAATTATACAATCATCAATTCATCATTTATCCATGTCCAGCTTACAGAATCATCATTGATCGTGCAAAGAATACTTGTCGAGTCCATCATAGACTAATTCTCATGTATACCTAAGTTCTGCAACGGATTGTCACTGTACTTCTTCATCCTCGCTCAACCTCCGAATGCCACCATCCATCTACCCTATAAACTCAATTCACAGATCCATCGGCCCCAAAACTGACTCCGAAAAGCTATGCCACTGACGTAGAGCTTCATCCGTTGATGACTTCACAACTACCCAATCACCATCATCCAAACTGTCACAGAAACAAACACCATTATCAGATTCAATGCTTAATTTGCTGGGGAATTATCTCCAAAACATCTATGTAGCCACAATCCAATATTTCCTTCCCAAACAAAAAAAGGCTACGCAAAAATTTGTCATTTCTAGTTTCCCATCCACATTATATACAACACCAGACTAAATTTACCAAGGCTTGACCTTAAGCATGCTACCCTCCTCAGCAAGAGCCTTGTGGAGATCAAAAGCATTGAACAAAAGGTGAGGCTCGTGACCCATACCCTTCTTGAGACCCTCGCTCTCGGCCTTTTCGTAGTAGTGTGTCAGGATAGGCTGGTACTTGGGGTGAGCACACTTGTTGATGATGACGCGGGCGCGCTCGCGGGGAGAAAGACCGCGAACATCAGCGAGACCTTGCTCAGTGACGATAACGTCGAGATCGTGCTCGGTTTGGTCGATGTGAGTGCACATGGGGACAATGCAAGAGACACCGTGGGGGTCGGTCTTGGAAGGTCGGCTGGAGGGAGTGTGCATGATGGAGTACTTGGCGTTACGGAGGAAATCGGCTGAACCACCGAGACCGTTGAGCATACGGGTTCCACTAACACAGGTGGAGTTGGCGTGGGCGTAGATGTCGACCTCGACAGGTGTGTTCATGCCAATAACACCGAGACGCTTGATGATCTCAGGGGCGTTGGAGACAGCCTGGCTTCGGAGGAGGATCTTGTCGGCGTAAGCGTCCCAGTTGTCGTAGAAGCGCTTGAAACCGTCGGGAGAGAAGCGAGTGGATGTAGCGGTAGCGTAGTCGAGCTTGCCAGAGTCGAAGAGATCGAGGAAAGTGTCCTGGATAACCTCGGTCCAGACCTTGAGGTTCTTGAACTTGGACTCATTGAGACCACCAACAATAGCGTTGGCGACGTTGCCGATACCGGACTGGAGAGGCAGGAGGTTGGCGGGCATGCGACCCTGAGCGACCTCGTGCTCGAAGAACTCAATCAAGTGGCCGGCAATCTGGCGAGAGGTGTCGTCCATAGCGGCGTTGGGACCGGTGGCATCCCAGTAGTCGGACTCGACGATAGCGACGACCTTGGAGGGGTCAATCTTGACCGAAGTGGAACCAATTCGGTCCTCAACGGCGGTGATGTTGTAAGGTGTGCGGTGGGGAGGGACGTCGGTAAAGGTGATATCGTGGAGACCCTTGAAGGAGGGGATAGCAGTGTTGACCTCGATGATGATCTGTTGAAGCAATTGTTAGTTCAATTCTTGACTCTCTTGGTAGTGACGTACCTTATCGGCCATTTGGATCAGCTCAGGAGTAGCACCAACAGAGGCACCAGGAACGAAGCTGCCATCCTCGAGAATGTCGGTAGCTTCGACAACAGTGACATCAAGGTTGCTGTTGGGACGGTCCTTGGTGTAGAAACCCTACAAAATAAAGTCAGCCGCTTTGCGCGCTACAAAGTGGAAAGAAAGCTCGGTAGGTGATTAAAGCGAGGCCGAAGCGCCAAAATGGTGGGGCTTTAACGGGCAAAAGGGTAAATTCTTTCTTTGGACGTACATAAACGAGATCAGAGGGGAACATGGACAGATGCTTGTCGAAGAAGTTGATGCGTCCAGAGTTGATTCCCTTGGCAATATCCTTGCCGACCTGGTGAGGGCTTCGTCTGTTGATCATGTCGAGAGCAGCCCATCGGTTCTCCGTCTCGGAACCTGCCGAGGCGCCGACAAAGAGGGAGTACTTCATCTTGCTCTGGAGGTTGTTCTGCTCGACATAGTCGGCCATAGCAGCTGGGACCTTCCTGAGAGAGTATCAGCGCAATTGTTCTTGGGGTTTGTTTGCGCCGAGCTCGGGTAATGGGAGCATTAGGTGATAATAGCCGGCGGGGGGGCACAGCTCTCCCAGTTCTTTACTCCTTTGTCAAGCTTTGCGGAATGTCAAGAGAACTTACTTGGGGTATCCGACAGCGGTGAAACCAGACCAGCCGATATAAGAACCATTGGGAAAGTGGTGCATGAGATCCTCAGGTCGCGCAAGCTTCTTGAGGAGAGCAGGATTGCGCACGCGCGCCTTGAGGGCGGCAGAAGCAACAGGAGAAGCCATGATGAAGTGACAGAAAGAAAGAAGAAGAGGGGAGATTGTCTAACCAAAGAGTATACAAAAGGAGGAGAGAGTCAAGGGGATAAATACAGTCCAAAGTGGGATGAGAAAGGAAAAGAGGAATGGAACAAAAAGAAAGCTCCAGTTGATCTAGCCTGATGGTGACGAAGTGGATCAGCGGGATACAAAGCGGGGATGTTAGAATTTCAGTGGTTCAAGGGTTCGGTTACAGTGGATGCTTTACTGATGTTTCATTCTCCAATTTCAGTCTCATAGAGTCAGTTATCCCCGCATGAACTACAGCACAGTGGTAGAATACTCAGTAGACAGCTCGGATTTATTGTTCCACGGGTATCATACGGAGTACATGATCAATAACGAAGTAATAGGGGAAGATCATGTCACTAAGATACCGACACAGTACCTTCTCCAAGATCTACCGACGATGCCGAGAAGAGACTGCATCGGGAATGACACTATTAGGCAATGAATCCGGTAAAAGGCACGTCAATCGAGATGGCCTGATTATCGAACATCGTCATTTTTCTTGGCTTCAGTCTTGTCTCTTTGAACATGGTCAATAGACATGAAGAATACTCTACATTTATGATATAAGATAATCTCTTCTCTACCCCGTACATTATCCATCTAACTCCCCCGGTGCTTGTTATATGTCCATCTTCAACCCCCGAAGCCCCGTCATCTTCACCTCCGAATGCCGTAAAGTGGACACTCCATCTTCTCCAAAAAAAAATGTGGTCCATCTTCCGTCCGGCCGAAGTGAGCACAGACCAATGTCGGTGTTGTTCGGTTACAACCAAGCCGAGAGAGTCAGTTACCAGAAACACCAGAGACCAATCAGTTTATAAGCTTGGAGTTTGACTTTTTATACCCCATACTCAACCTTACTACATGTGTTGTAGTACCGTCAACGATTCCGGGGTTCAGAACAGATTATCGTTGGTCAACTTGCTAAGCTACGCGACGTACATGTCATGCGTCAGTGAATCAGAGACATGGCCACTAAAAGCACAAGAGACGAAATTAATAGGCACGTTAGACCAGACTTCTTAGGCAGTTTATTCCTGATCCCTAAGACTTGAGCCATTAGCCACGGTAGAGATCTTTCTAGCTTGGCCTTTCTCTCCCAAGTGGTGGACTCAATCAACAGCATACTAACTCGTGCGGGAAGTTTTTGCTGTGGCTGAGGCTTGACATTAAACACATACGGTTTCTCACAGTGCAACGGGTAGCCATACAATTAAAGAGCCCAGAAGAGGATGATAGTTATACTCCCAATGCATGTAATCTCCATCCCCAACCCTCTGCCGTCTACCAGTCGTTACCCATATTCCACCCCAGGACAGACCGCGCAACACCTTTGTCAAATCCTCCTCAACTTTCTCTGTTCATGTTCGATAATTCTGCCCATCCTCGCTCTCTCATCAGCAGTCAGCTCGACAGCAGACCAACCCACGATTGACTCAATGACGATACGCGGTACTCCCCATGCCATCAACCTCGCTGCTGTTTCAAGTTCACCTCCCTCCCATGCCCTCTGCAATATGTTGCTTTTTCGATCCTCGTAATGCTCAATCATGTACTTGACATTGTACCAGCGGTCCGCCTAGGAGTTACCTAGCACACGCCGCACGTTCGCTTCCTAACGATTGTTGACATCTAGGTTCATCTGGATCTTGGCTCTGTCGTCTTGATCATTTGACGCATAGAGATCGTAGATTCGCGCATTTTCTTCTTGGTCGAGACTCTCGACAGCGACGTAGTAGCCGGTATTGAAGGGAAAGGGCAAGTCCTCTGTGCGTCTGGGGTTATCGGAGGGTGGTTGGTCGGTCATTTTGCTTTGGTTTGTTGATGATATCGGTGATTGATTGTTATTTTTGTACATGCTTTGTACGATGTTTGACGTAAGTTGCTGAGTTTTGTCCTCTGCGATACTTAATTTATACCTACTAACTTAGGTAGGTGCAGGAGTTGGCCATCAAGTCCAAATGTGAATCTCAAGGCAGGTTCGTTGCACCCGAACATGAAAAGTGACTTCCTCAGGTATCAGAAAATTGGCCTCTTGACCTTCGACCCATCGCGGGAGTCTTTTGTGAGCTTATCAAGGTCACGACCAAAACATGTAGGGATGTGTATATAGTGGGCACTTCGTGGCACTTCGTGGCATCAGAAGCTTATGATGAAACATGAGGCTGCTGAGAGTGCGTCAACTTTCTGGTTTCTTTAGTAAGACGAAAACTGTGTCTAAAAAGGCCCAAGGTGGGACATACTCATCAAGTATGCCAACCTTCCATGAGGACCACATTTACCGGATCAGCATATCAATAGACCAAGCCAAACCTTCGGACTGAAGGTTGTCTCATACTGTCGTTCAATAACTTCATAAAAACAATCGTTGACGCCTTTCCGCCCTTTTCGGCAGCTCCATTAATGCAAAGGATCAGGCGCCTGAGATGTAACCAGTAGACATGCGCCGGAAGCTGACGACCCAATGACCATTGAGGTTAGCAAAACGGCTTGACGAAGATGGTCGAAAGGTAGATCAAACATGGAACTATAGGAACCTGCGACGAACTGGGTTCAGGGAATCAGGGTCTCATGCGGTGCGCTCCCCTCGCAGTGTTCCATCGACGGAGTTCTGTCGTTCATGTATCAATTTGTGAAGACGCCTAGTGGATAGCAGAAAAGATGGCCTCTTCGCTTTGAGGTACAAAAATAAATGACCTAAATTCACCACCTGAATCGCATAAGATGGCCTGTTAATTCCGTTCCTTATGCCTACACGGCCAACCCTGGGGGACCCTCTCCGACTATCGTCATCTTATTTCATTTTTCTGATATGTAAACTTTCGCTCAGGTCTTCTTAGTTTCTTCAAGGTTCGTAACAAAGGTTAATCTGCCTGCGCAGATTAAAATTTTAATAAATCTCCAAATTAAAGGTTCTCCCAAGACTAGGTTTCCCAATACATTTGACTCATACAGCAGCAGCTTGAACTCTACAATGCCGGCTTTTACCTATGAAAGAAGACTCCGTCAAGCCGGACAGAGAGCACCAACTTCTTTCTTCCCACCTCGATCAACTAGCAAGTTCACAACACCGCTCGTCAAAGACATCTACATAGTGCCATCATCTTATAATGCCGCCTCCTCTACTTGGCGGTTACAGGGGCATTCAGACAGACACACTGCTTCTTTTACACCCACCATGAACGACATGTGTACCGAGATCAACATTCACACCCCAAAGCCTTGCCTCAAGAACAACCAGATCACATTCGGTCATCGAGTTGGCACGTAGTGTCCGTATGATATGCTCAGTCGTATCGCTTCTGCAACCTTTGTGGGTCAATCTGTGGGTAGGAGAGCCGCGGGGAGGTTTGTCCCCCAGAGGTTGATGGGACCATTGGCCACAGTCGCGCCGTATCGCCCACGGAAGAGAATACGTTCTACCGTATTCAGGTATTGAAGGACCCCTAATCAGCAACTTCCAAGGCATAGACCCGATAGGGTCGCGTGCAAGAGATAGGCCAAAACACCATCCTCGTATGCTGGTCGCTAAAAGGCTCGAATGAGAAGAAAGGCCGCCGCCCCGGCCATCCTGAACTCGAGCCTGAAACTGAGTTGGCTGTCATTATCGTCCCAGCCCTAGCCTTTTCATTTCGAACTACCATGTACTCTGGCACCTCCACGGTTTACCACGAGCCTGAAGGCCCAAACAAGGCCTTTATGACCACTGTTATCGGTACTGTTCTCAACGACGAGCCCGCTCCAGGAACCCAAATGTTGGACTCCGGACTTGAGAACCACATTAGTATTCCTCGAGCGGGTATTCAAGCGGTGCATAACAATCCTCGAGGCGCCGAGGAAATCAGGCGCTACTTTGTCACTGAGAGCTAGGTTGAACGTATCACTGATAAATAAAAAAGCCAGACTCGCCTGTACAAACACCTCACAGGAAACTCCCGCATGAGATCGGACACGGGCTTGTGTAGCCGGTGTTCTGTGTTTCAATCCGTATTTGTCTACCACAGAAATTCCCTATGGTGCTTTGAGATTGCCAGGAATATTTCACAACTGTGGACGCCGACATGATTTATTCTACACACCCTCAGAATGAGCCCGTTCTAAGAATATGAGATATCCTGGAACGGCATCCATCATTCTCTACAATAACTTACCTTCAGCCTCCTGTATGTCTAAATAATGGTTCCAGAGATTGTAGCAGAGGCTGGTCCGTCAAAAAGATGGTCCGACACTGACTCACGCTTGCTAGCATCAAGGGTGCCTAGTTCTTTTGAGGCCAGGGGGAGATTCAAAAGATGGCACTTATAAGCATGTTTGTTGATAGTGATGCTTTGGGTATATTGGTCTGGCGTGGAGAAGAAGGACTGGACGAACTAATTGCGGGGTTGACTTCTCTGATAAGCTCGGAGGATGTAAGTCAGAAGACACGAACTCCCGAGCGTCAGGTTACCCATTTCTTACATCGTACATCAAATTCCATGGTTTGGGAACTTAGCTTTTGCTATTTCGCAATACTCACGAGCCAATATGCAAAGGACCAGGAGAGTCGGGATCCCTTGTACCAGACTACAGAGACTGGCTGTGAGAAGAAGATGCATACCAGTGGTCTCAAGAGCCCCTGGAAGGGGCGGGGAGGCATTAAGACCGTCCACGAAGGGCTGAGGTTCTCGTGCGCAACCTCCATAACCAGCATCTTTTAATGAACGATCGATATATGCGCCCGTGGCCGGAAGATGTAAGACACGAGCAATGGTGCATTAGACAGTCAGAGGTCTATCGAGTCCTGTATGCTGTGTAGTCCTTGACCCTGCGGGTCTTGTCGCCCCCGCCGCCCCTTCTTCTGGTCAGCAGAAAGGAGCCGATGAGGATGCCGTTCATAGCTGCTTGATTCACGGCGACTCGACTGGCAGCGAGAATTGCCAACGCCGAAGCCAAGTGAGGAACACATCAAGCGAACATAGCCAACTATCGTCGCAAGTTTACCAACGCTATCCCCAACGTTGTCATTCAGGGGGCTCATCCAGCTCCAGACTCATGGCCTTACAACACAGCTGCACGATGCAGATACCAAGATCGAGATGGCAAAGTAGAGGCCGCTCTCTAAGAGTACCCGACTAATACGAGTCGAGCTAACATCGACAATTGCGAATGTGTCGGAGCACTCTCCTCTTGCTGCAGCTGTTGCTTTTTGTGCCCTGATCAGACTGACAGGGCAATTGACTCAGGCACCATGGAGAAGAATGCATCGGTGCCCAGGCAGATATCTTGGAAGCCCAGATAGTTCTTGATTGCTGGTGGAATTATTGTTGGTGCTCTGCGATTATCGAGGTCAAACGGTTTGAGTCTAACAATCAGTGTTGCTCGTGAAGCCAATCGCTATGACTTTACTTTGTGCGTTCAGGAGGGTGTCACAAACCCCGACACCAACTCAAAGGTTACACTTGAAGTCAAATTATCCATGGCTCTAAGCAGCAAACAAATGCAGACCCGTCGTTCAGGCCAGATACAACCTCTCTCCATTCGAAACTAGTTCTTTGAAACACTGCTTCTTCTTTGGTGGCTGAGCGGCTTTGTTGTCGTTCTCGGCTTTGTCGTCCATGGAATGGGTCCCATACCACTCCAGCTCCTCGAAGCAAGCGCGAGAAGCGCGGTCGGCTGCCATGCCGAAGACGACATACAGCGAACAGTCATCTTCATGATTGTGTCCAAGCGCGATGAGCTCTGGCACTGGAATGCTTTTGGGCGCTTTGAACCACCGAGGGCGAGTCTGGGGTTCGCTATGGTTTTCATGGCCGATGTCTTGACTTCTAAACAACAAATTGCCGTGGTACAATATATAGTCACACTAGACCGGGTCACCAAAGGCAACCAGAGCCAGTACCTGCAAAGGCAGGGGGGGCCGCGGCCGGAGCGGCTCATCCTTTCACGTCCTGCGCCGCGAAGTGACACTTCAATCCAAACAAACCCTTTGGAGCCGATTACTTTCAGGTTCTGACCATTAGGTATCGAAAGGAGAAACCATGCTGGGCTCCAGGCCAAGACGAGGGAATCTGCCAACGCCCCTCTGAGGGCGTTGCTGAGCACCTGGCAAGGGGGGCGGCTTAGGCCTTTCTTGACTTCCTCCGCGATCAAACCGGAGGATCCTAGCGTGGAGTCGACGTCTTGTTACGTCGCTGACCTTGCTGAAGTTGTACCTGGCTCCTTGTCCGGAGACTTTCTGCGCCGTAAAGTGATTCACTGACACTCTGAATCCGTGGAGCATTGGGGATGGCTAGGGGTTGGCCTCGATTTTTGGATTCGCCATGTGAGCCAGTTGTGACTTACTGTCGCGAGTCTCCGCGGCTCCCATGCTGGCGCGGGTTTCGGGGGAGCTTGTGGTTCTCTCTAGAACCAGGAACATAGGGTCGTGAAAAGGGGCAACGCCATTCTGGTTCCGTCTTCGTGGAGGGAGTGAGATCGACGACGAAGACGACGAGGGCGTTGAGCCCCACAAGGCGACCTCACTGCTCTCACTTGTGATTTTCGGGTATAGTACTTGTCATAGCGATATCTTCTGCAGTTTCTGTTTGCCTGGCAGATCTTGAAACATAAAGGGTGTTGAACTTCGGCGCTGTGACACATCGTCTCAGATGTAACTCGATCACTCTCTGCTACCAAGGTAGACGACGGAGAGCGTCTGTGGGACATGCTAACCTCATATAGTAGGTTCACAATCTTCATCCAGGCCTGCTCTGGTTCACTGTCTACAATGAAGATCCCAAATCTTAATCATCGACCGTCAACACAATCCATCAACTGTAATTTGGTTTAACAAGTATGGAATAAAAATTGCTTCCAATTTCTGTTCCGTAAACGGTGTACCTGTGGTGTATTCGCTCAAGGTCGGTTCAGATGTGATATTTATACTGGCATGTCTCTGATTCACTGTGCTCTGCAATGAGCACGATGCCCTGATTCATCTATGTACATACAATCCATTAAAACACCTCATCGCATTCCCTCCTCAATCATCATCTTCCAGAACTATCTCCTCCTCGGAATAACAACCAACGGATCCTCTCCCTTCCTCAAAGCCGTCATCAAAAGCTGCATCCGTCCATCAACCCTCTTGTCCAAGATCTCTCAAGCCTCCTTGGCAGTAATTCCCTCCTCACACATCTCCTCTACCTGCCTGGCAATTTTCTGTCTAACACCGATATAATTGCTTGCATACTTTCGCTCCTGCAACATTCCCATGCGCCATGATGTATTGTACTTGTTCTCGAGTTCTTCAATCGCTAGATTGCCGTGACTACCGTGTTTCCATTCTTGCCATACTAGTGCGACAGTCTTGGGCATGCGAAAGTATTTGAAGCGGCCGCCTGAAGGACCAGCTGCGAAGCGAGGTGCTATGGAGCGAGAGAGGGTGTATCGAGGCTTTTCGACGTCGGGATCGCCATCTTCTGAGGGTTCTGGGGAGGGTGATGCACGGTTTGTTGGCTCTGGCTCTTGGTGTTCTTCTTCGCTCTCATCTTCATCTTGAACCTCGGGTTCCGGGGCATAGTCTTGATCGTTGGTATCTCCCTGAAACCCATCACCCGACTCTTCATCACGACCTGTATCCTGCACAGTATTGATAACCCTCCACGTCGAATGCCTCAACCGAACACTCCTCGCATCCGCCCTCGTCCGTCTCTTCAATTCCCGATGCGGCCTCATAGGAGGATTCCTTCTCTTAGGCGCTCTTCTCCCAGTACTCCTCACAGGAGCAGTCTCCATATCCGGCGTAGGCGGCAATTGATCAAAGATGTTGCTATCAAAAGGTGCTGGTTCCCCTATTCTTTGTTCATCACTCGGCCCAGATAGCGTTGGCGGCTCAACACTCTGTTGTACAGGTGCGCAAAGTCCTTTGACTTCATTCAAATGAACACCCCCAAACTGATTCGCAATCTCAATCTCAGCAGAAGCAAAATGTCCTTGTTTGACTTCTCTCATGAAACCGACAAACCCATCCATGAGAACGACGTGCATTTGGAGTCGCTTGTCCATCTCGCTCATTTTTTGCATCATTTCTTCGTTTTGAAGGGTGAGGCGGTCGGTTTTTTGTCTTTCGGCTTGAAGTTCTGACATGTAGTATTCTTGCATGTTGACTACCATTCGAGCGAGGCTGAAAGGGACTTGATCAATCGCGTAGTCAATTGAGCCTTCCCTGCTGTCGCTAGCTTTTGTTTCCATGAGTTCGAAGGATTGTTGGCTTGTCGCAGGAGTGATTAGTCCGATGCAAGGTTCCGATGCTGAGCGCCGAAGTGGACCCTCGGACACGGAACGGGAGACGGAGGGTGTTGGAGATCGGCTCGGGGAGGGCATTGTTGAATCTATATCGCTTAATTCCGAAGATGAAGACATTTCGCAAGATGTTGAACAAGACTTTGACTCGAAGAATGAGGGTCTCCCTTGTCTCTGGCGACACTGCCATTCTTATGACCAGCGACGCGGTCCAAGCTGTCCACCAGACTCCAAGAACAAAGAAACATCACGGACCCAAATGACACGATTGTTTGCTTGATCTTGAGAAATGTCAATTTCTTTGGTTTAAACAATACTAACTATGGTAGGTAATAATAGCAACAGCTCTGTATGAATAGCAGTAAAAAAGACGGCAATCAATACAAAACAATACTTCCTCACCATTTGTATCATGCATCCATCTCTTCATCTAAGTTCGTTTCAATCTTTCTTGTTCTGTACGCTTCTTTGCAAAAAAAAAAGAATATGTTTGGCTTTCAAGAAATCATTATCATGCGCTGCGAGACTGTAAAAAAAACGAATAAACAATTACAAAAATACTGTTAAAAACCAACGGGTATATAACGCCAACGATGCTGCTTTGATGCGATAACGTAGAGGTGTGCGGGGTGATGATGATGATGGGGGGCTGTTGTTTAGGTTTCTTTGTTGTATGGAATAAAGAATTACCCCTGGCCTTGTGATAGTTTGTTTGGTGGTGGCTTGTTTAGTTCAGATGTACGCCGCGGGTTGAACCTCGGCCTTTTGGCGTTTCCAGAATTTCCATCCCTTGCGTCTTCGTCCATTCTTGTTCTTATTCTTATACGTCATCTTTTCAGTATGATGATCATCTTCAAGCTCAAGCCTGTATCGTCGCACACTTCCTGAATCGTCGTCAAACGAGACATGTCTGTTCTCGCGAGACACGAAGCAGTCTGGAACGATGTGTCTCAGAACCCAGCCTTTTACACCACGCGTGGCAGCGTCGATGGCGGCGTACTCGAGACGGCGTGTACGGTCGCTGGTCCAGTAGTGTGTTGTCTGCGGTGGTGGAGAAGGGATTGGCGTAGGTTGGACGCGACGATCGGGAACGCTGTCAGCGAGCTGGATAGGGTCTGGCGAGGGGAAGTGGAAGAAGGCGGTGGGTTGCTTTGAGGATTGTTGAGTAGCAGTGTTTGTGCGCACGAGATGAAGTGACTGAGCGCTTGTGCGGCTTGCTTGAACGGGCTGCGTCTTTGCTGAGCAACGAAGAGAAGGACGACGATCGCGAAAGCGAGTTCTGACTCCTGAACCGTTGCTGCTGTTACTGCTTGTGTCTCTGGAGGAGCCATTCGACCATCGACTAGAGGTGGTAGTGTTGGAGGTAGAAGTGCGTCGAGGAGTATTGGACTCGTAGCCAGAATCTTGTCGCTGCATCTTTGCCGTAGGTGGTCGACGGTCCCTCACCCAGTTGTTATCCTTGGGGAGTGGCTGTTGTTGACGCTGAAGCTCATTTTGAAGTTGTTGAAGACTGGTTGTATCGTATGTCACGGGTGGTCGAGGGGGAGGAGACGCAGACTCGAACAACTCCGTATCTGCGAAGCTGTGGTATGTCGTTCCTGACGCTCGAGACTCGGACCTCTCATCCATCATGAAGCTAGCATTCAATTGACCCACTAGAGATGTCTTTATCGATAGAGTAAGGTGGGGTGTAGGAATAGAATATTAATCGTTGTTATTAAGAAAAGAAAAGAAAAGAATGTGAGGTCTGTAAGAAGATGGAGAGAAGGAAGATTCACAGCACCTCGCTTTCTCTTTATTTCCTTCCTTTCTTTAAACGATAGAACAAATCTCGGAAAGAAAACCCCGTCCCAGCCAAGGTTTCAGGAGAGTTATTATTTTTCCTCTCTCCCCAACAAAAAAAGAGAGGAAAAATAACAAATCTTTCTTTCTCGCGGTGAGGCGGGAAGCGAAAGAAGGAGAAAAGGGTTCTCTCGGTAAATAAAACAGGGAGAGAAAAAGAAGGAATGGAGTCAAGCGAAAAGTTGCGGTCTGCAGATGGAGCAGCCAGGTTCCTTTTTATTTAGCGATACAAGAGAGACGAGGAACTGAACAAGGACCGGGATAAAGAGACCCAGATGCCCAAGTTGAGTTGCAGTTCCCAGGGACCGCTAGCAGGGGGGGTTGCAGTAGCTTAAGCGGGAAAAAAGAGAACAAGACCTGGGCCTTTGGGATTGGGCGGTGAAGATATGCACGATGGCAGATGAGGGATACTCAAGTGGTGTCATGCACCTGAAGAGAATAAGCGTGGATAAATATGGAAGAAGACCAGATGGTGTTTGTTTGGTTGGAAGAGAATGAGATCTGAATGCCCTGTAGTATCTTGGATGTTCCCCTCACTATCGAACGATTCACAATCTAGCGGTGCGGTTTTAAATCCCTCTCGGTCGTACTTTACATATAAAAACCGTCAAACGGTTAGTCTAGTCTCATGATAGATCGTCCAAGCAAAATGGAGTAGAGAGAAAAAAAGAATGTCACCTTATGAACCCAACAACCACGTTGTGGAGAGTTTTCTTAGCGCTCTTCAGTTGAGTGGCGTTGACGATCGAACGGAAAAAAGAGGAGTCTTGAAGGCTTATGGGGCCGGTTCGGCTGCGGAGAGCGGATGGAGAGAAATAGCGAGAAAAGGATGATTGAATAAGCGAGAGAAGTAGAAGAAGAAGAAGAAGAATAGGAGGTTGTTTAATAGAGGAGAGAGTAAAGATGTCCCATGACGAGTAGAGTAGTAGTACAGTTAATAGATCTACTCAATCTTCACATGTTCTGTTTCTAAGTCAAATGGAATGTCTGATCTGGTCTGTGTGCCCTGGGGGTGATTCGTTCATCCGGTCTCGACACCGACAGTCAGTGCTTGTTAGTGTCAGGCCAGGGAAGTGAAATCGACGGGTTACAACGGAACAGAAATCCATAAGCAGTCTATCGATCGTCTCTGCAGGGACCCCCCCCACGTAGCGTCGTGCAGAAAGGATTGGTCAGTTGAACCATTTTGGCTCTTGACTTTTACGCGGCCCGTCTGCGCCTTTTTACCATCGGTAGGTCCGTGCCTGAGGGAGGTAAGCGTTTAGATTATCTATGTGAGTGTGTTGCAATGAAGGATTGAGTCTGACAATAGCCGGACATGTCTACCGGTGAATGTTATGTATCAACAGTCAATTCAAGACTTGATCACAGCTTGTTTATCCCCACGTGTCAAATGTCAAGTGGGAACACAAAATATGTACAAGTACTCCTCCATGCTGCATAGTCCCGCCCGTCAATAACAAGGCCATGATATGCAAATCATGCCCAGGTTAAAGCTGACTTGTACATAACACTGACCTTTTCCAGCTTCTCAGGCGGGGTTTCTCTCATGACGATGGATATTCTCGTGACTCAAGCCAAGTCAAGTTAAGCGCTTGTCCTTTAATCGCGGGGATGATCCCAGCGTCTCTGAGACACTAAACCCCCCTCATTTACAGACGCTCAGTCATTATTTTAGTGGCAGACACTCAGATCAATTTAGTGGACAGACACTCTGTAATAAATTTAGTAGCGCTTTGGAATGAACCGGCTCTTCCCGTCGGACCAGCTTATCCAAGACCGCTGATGTGACGCGTTTTGCAGATATCGCCATCATGAATTTACTATATTTAAATGAAGAAAAGATATTTTTAAAAAAGACTCGTCATTTCTTGGCGACAAACTGGGGACGGCAGTGATAGGATTCCCCAGATAATAATCCAGGAGGGGTCTTTAATCGACATCTGGTACCTGGCTGACTTGAACAATATCGTATTCCATCACAAGATTCATCGTAAAACATGTGAAATCGGTGATAGAAATACCAGCCGAGGGAGAGAGCCTAATGCATGACTTAATGTGGCAGCCGTCTTGTTCACCTGATACCACCAACTAAAACTAAGCTTGTATTGGAGGTGTGCCACGCCCAGGCACGGAATTGAAGCCACCTACGGAACTGTGCCTCATTCTACTGCAAGGTTATCTTTATCTGCTTTTCTTTTTCCTTCGAGACTTTGTCTATCTGGATTGCAGTATACTCTGTAAAGCCAGTAAAGATTTGTTCCTTGAGACATCATGATGGTTACAGCGATAGACGATAAACCCGACATCGGAGACGATTAGCGTCGTATTGGATTGCGAAAATTCTATACTGTCGATTCACATGCCTGACGATGTGACGCTACTTGATGCATCTTGACGATCATTCGGTCAGGTGCTATAGGTATGGGACAGCTATAGGATAATGTCCAAGTAGAAGAATGCCAAAGTTGCAGGTTGTGAATATCCATGGGGGGAGACAGGGAATCTGAGACATGCTGCTGTAGGGTGAGTTGTCGACGTCGCTCATTGCCTTGGCTGGACCAATATTGATGCCATATGTTGGTAGAATTGCCAAGTCTAGAATTGAGGCTCTGGATTTGATGGTTGGTAAGTGTCAATGCGTATCACTGCACATGAGATGATCCACTAGACTAAAAACACATTGCCATGACACCTTTGTCTATGATGATACTGATGCGAAGATACGATTGCAGCCTTATACACGCTTCAGATTATAGACATGCCTAATCACACCGAAACAATTCAAGTATCCAGTCTTGTGTCTATTCTTTGTATCCAAATGTCAACTTTTGTTGGCTGAGAAGTAGTGAGGTGGTGTAAAACAGTCTTGGTTGCTTCCTTTGTCAATTCAGCTGTTGAAGCTCACACCACAAAGACAGACACAGACACAAAAACATGCGACTGCTTTCTTGTCGCTCATCTCATATGACGACAATAATCAATACGCGGGTAATTTAAAACTGAATGCGACAAGATAAAAGCCATCGTCAGAGCACCCAGATGGAATCGTCCCAACTAATTTCACATTAATCTATCTTCTGGTATAGGGTAAACTCCATCCAAAAATAGCATTTTCCCTCTATCCCCAGAGCTGAACAAAACAAAGTTTAGATGAGGCTGGGGTAATCTCTACAAGGAAAGTGCTCTAGCCCAGTTCATCAAGAAAGTATCGACTTTTTGATGGTTGCGTCCATTTGAGCAAGATTCAACCAATTAACAATTCGGATGACCCGGAAATGTCATATAACGTAATCACAAACTTGACCCTCTTCATTCCAATACGAACAGATGGCATCTCACTCTTTTAATCTTTTCTTCAACGATGTTATGGACTTGTTAAAAAGACACGGAGATCATGGACACGGCCATGAAGAGAAACACGGCCACGGACATCAGAGCGAAGATGGATTGAGACAGCACTTCCTCGCATGCCTTTACTGGTACGTCCTTGCGACGCTGCTGATAATAGGTTCTGTCTCACATCTGGTCTCAGTCTTTGTTGCTAAACAAAGGTGAGTGGGAACACAATCACATGCTAAACAAACACTGACACCGACAGACTAAAGAGAAGGGATTTGGGGGTCAGTTCAGATACGGCAATTGAGAAATGGATCGATACACCAAAGAATCTCGCATCGAGAGTAATTGGCCCGCTGCGCAAGACCATTGTTGTTGTGGCGTATGCTGCTTTTATCGCCCTTCTCATCACATACAAGTCAATCAAGCATGATGGCAATTTTCACGAGCGCATCGCTTTTCGCGCAGCATGGATCACAGCGACACAGACTTCTTTTCCGTTTCTTCTCGCTGTGCGCGTCAATCCAATCGGTCTGTTACTGGGAACTTCATATGAGAGGATCAACTGGTTTCACCGATGGGCATCAAGAATCTTTTTCGCCAGCGCCACCATCCACGGAGGTTTCTTCACTTACGAATGGCTTGTGGCCGATTTCTTCTGGACCGAGATCAAAACCGTCAAGATGGTTCTCCCCGGCATCGCAGCATGGTTCATACTCGCCTGGACCGTCATCTCAACACTCCCATTCTTCCGTCGCATAAAATATGAGCTCTTTGTCGGGCAACACATCATTTCTGTCGTGTTACTCCTAGTGTTCCTAGTCCTTCACGTTCCAGACCACCACCTTTTTAGTATTTGGTGCGCCGTGGGCGTTTTCGCGTATGATGTTGTGACACGCTCGGCAAACCCCATCTGGCGGAACTTGAGAGTACGAGTCTCGGCGAATCCTTCTGTGCGATATGCCCACGACGCCCAAGTCGATGCCGTCGACTCGGAGTTGACAGTCATGACGATTCGAAATGTTGGATTCAAGTGGAGGCCTGGACAGCATGTTTTGATCTGGTCGCCTACTTTTCGATGGGAGACGCCGCATCCGTTTACTATTACGAATATTCCTGACCCACAAACGAGAACGCAGGATGTTCAATTGACGATCAAGACAAAGACGGGTTTGACGAGAGATTTGAACGATTGGGCGAGAAGAACGGGATTGAGAGGGGATAGTGGAAGTTTGCGCGTGATGGTGACAGGACCTTTTGGGGCGGTACCGAATTGGAAGCAGCATGAGAATATAGTTCTCGTCGCAGCATCTACTGGAGGATCATTTACGACGCCAATTCTCGAAGATCTACTCTCGTCTCAATCCCCTGGTTGTATCCGTACCATCAGCGCTTTGTACATCGTCCGTCGCAAAGCCCACGCCCAAGTCTACCTCGAACGTATAACCCGTCTACTCTCGCGCGCCAAAGAGATGGGTATCTCAACAAAGATTCAAGTCGCAGTAACCAGAGGTCCAGGCACTGTATCCGAAGCAGTTCTTCAAGATGAAAGCCGCGAGAGATTAATCGAGCCAGAGACTACAAGGGGACCTAGTGTTGAACTGGAGCGCTTCTCGATAGACTCTACACGATCGTCAGAGAGTGCGAGAGAAGACCAGTTGTTGAAGGAGGAGGTGGACATGGATCTGGATGGGGCGTATGCCTCGGCTGTTGAACACAGCGAGGGACGACCTGAGATTGCAACATTTATAAGGGATGCTGTTTGGGATGCACCGGGGAGTGTGACTGTTGGTGTTTGTGGAGGAGAGGCTATTGAGAGGGTTGTCAAGATGAGCGTTGCGACGCTTAGAAGAAGGGGTGGGATGAACGCTGGTGATGTGTATCTACATGTTGAAAGATCTGATATATGATAATGTTAATAGTAAATTGAAGCATACAAACAGTCTAGAGGTAGCCTGCACTGACAGTGACCGAGATATTTCCTTTCTCATTCTGATAGCCGAGTTTCTGGTACTCCAATATCGGATTATCGTCATCGCGGCAACCTTTGACTTGGAGGTTTCGGAGTGAACAATATCTTTTCTTTGACAGGTTGCCTGGAACGTCAATTCTCTCTTTGACCTAGCAATGTTCTCTCACAACTACAAGAAAGAGGAGGAGAGAATATATTCTTTAAGGTCGTTGTTCACTATTTACAAAGCCCATGTTCAGACACCGTCAAAGGGTATCGTCTTGTTACTCACAATGGACAACGCCTTTGACACCTCAACACCCGGCTTTGTCTATATCTCCAGAACAATAATGCCTTTACAGCACCGCCTCATTTCAGAATGCGATATATATCCTCCAAACAATCCTTTCCATTACGTTATTCACTACAAGCTTCAATCAAAAGTCTCTGGTTAGAAAATCTTTACAAAATTTCATCAAGCACACACAACTCAAACACAACGAACGCCCAACATGTGTTATGCCACTGTTTTCCACTTTACGCACTGCGACACGCAACGTCGTGCCATCATCAATCCCACCACTGGAGCGACAGCCTTCCACCCCTTCGAACTACCACAGCAATGTATCCACGGCATTGTCAAACTTCCTCCCCTTGCGGACCCTGAAGCCGCAGCTCCTTGTCCGGCACACGGAACTTGTTGCCAGGCCGGCGTAGTTTTTGTCTGCGACAAAAAAGACAACCCCAAGGCTGAGTGTCCTGCATGGCAGGCTCACCATCGGACTATGGAGCCCAAGTTACTGGAACTATACCGGTCACAGTTGCTTCCTATGACTACCGAATATTGGGAGCAAGCGCAGCTCATGACTGATAAATTCGCGTATGAGGAGGACATTCGGATTGAATTCTTCGACGCTGGTGTCGAAATGATCAGGCTTGCGTCAATAGGGAGGCAGATTGTTCAAAACTTTTCCCAGAACGAGGTCTTGATTGATGGCGCGAAGCTAGAAGAGAGAGACTTCCTTCTTCATGGCGAGCAGTATTGGGAGTGGCTGGTTGCGCGAAAGGAATTAGTTCAGCTAACGGAAGCCTGGGAGAAACTCGCCAGCGTGGGATGCATGGAAGTTTGTCCTGCGAAACTCCACGCAGTACATCCCTGGATGAAGTACGCTTTCGCCGGGTGGGATGAACGACAACCTGTCGATTTCCCTCAGTTCCCTGGTATTCCTTTTGCTTTTCTCGACAACATTGATCGAAAAGACGAAATCCTCCGATGGCATCCTTACTACGCTCGTCGGGATATGCCTTCAACCCCCAATGTCGTCGACTGTTTCTGGACCTCTCCCTCCATCCCCCAACGCTACAACCCGGAGCTTTCTCTTCAACTTGAGCAGACGGATGACAACAAGGAATGGCCTGCTGAATGGTGTGGTATTATGAGGAAGGCGCAGAACAAAACAATGACCCTTCGGTATCACGATGAGGACGGCCCTTGTCACACCACGCATGGAGACCGGGGTACTGATTCACCTCTATCCGTACCCTCTTCAAGGCCAAGGACTCTATCCACGCACTCTTCAGGACCAAGGACACCTCCTTGGGCGATTCCCTATGGCCAAGAGCCTCCTTTTGACTGGAAGGAGATTCACTGGGATCAACCGCCTAGACTTATCGAGTCGCCGGCTGTGAGTCCTAAAACTATTCCTGCGAGGGCTGAACATATTTCTTCTGTGCCGTATGATGATCGCATGGAGGTGGATATGTTTTTGTTTGAACAATTTGTCGGAGTCGAGGAACCTACCAGCAGGGAGTTCCTTAGTGTCTCGGTTACAGACGATGAGGAGATGTCGTCGAAGAGGCGAAGGAGTGGGAATGATCTAGATGATGGAGAGGCAGAGATGCAGACGGCTAAGAGACCCCGCACTGCCTAGATTGTTTTCTATGTATGGTATAGAGGTGTTTGGGAAAAGGCATGGCATTTTTAAGGACGTTTCGTGGGAAAAGTTATGATGCATTTACAGGAGGTGTGAGAAAAGTTGACCAAGGCTGGTACTTGGCGATTTGGGATAGACGGTTTCACTATTGGAATAGAGAAAATTGAACTTTAAAAAATGTTACCTCAATGCAAGTGACTTTAATTATTCTGACAACTACTTCAGTGGTTTACCATCACTTACTTGGTTGGCGAAACCCCATCACCAACCCACCCTCATCCCTCTCAACACCATTCCCAACCACAACCCCATTGCCCCTTCGTTCAAGCCCCAAAAGACTCTTCCCAACAACATTATAAGCTCCAAAAAACTCATGCGCACGAACATCATTCCCACAAGTCAATCCATGACCAAGAGTAACACCCCACATATCCCCAACACGAATAGCATGCGCAGCAACACTCGCATCGCGTTCCAAAAGAATAGAGTAAATACAACCAGTGTACATGATAACAGCAGTAGCTTCGTTGGCGGGGAAATCCCAGCGCTTACTGTCGGAGGAAATAGGATGCCATGGCGTAACGAGGACTTCTCCCACACGACAGAGAACTTCTTGTTCGACGGGTGTTTTGAGAACCATGGCTACGCGGCGTGAACCACGTGGTGTACGGACTTTCATGCCGCGACGGAGTTTGCGTATTTGCACGATGCGACCGGATGCGAGAGTTACTTCTGTAGATGCTGCGAAGCAAACGCCCGAGCTATTACGGTAGGCGCTCATGCTCACAGGGACACTGCTAGCAGAAAATCTTCCACCGCTTGATCGTCGAACGCATGAAGGTTCAGGCGGGGGTAAATTGTCAAAGATTTGATCCAAAGAGTCCCGACAGGAAATGAATAGAGGACTTTCGGTACTGTACTGAAGTGGTCCAGGATCTTTGAACGAGTTACAGACTTGGCGTGTGTGTGCGTTGAGTAAAGAGGGGAGGAAATGACATCCCCATTTTTCGAAGTAGTCTTTGCTTTCGATGGCCATGGAAACTTGACCTTTGGGTTCTTCCATTGAGATATCTTGCATCAGAGACTTGTTCTTGTCGTCGTTGAAGTCTTTTGCTGGGATATTCTCGATTAGAGCCTTGAGTTCGTCGGGTTTGTGCTGCGTGTTTCGGATAACTGAACGTTCGCCATCAGACTGGATGGGAAACATTGTCGAGATAAAATTGCAGATGAGGGATCTGGATTCATGATATGCGACTTCTGAAGAGGGGATGTCTGTGTACTCTAAAACACTGCGTTGCGCAGTAGCCATGGGAATAAAAGCTGCATCTTTGGACATCATGGCCTCAAGGACCTTGCGACTCTTAAGACAGTTCCCTGGTTTGACGTATGTCAAGTAAGCTTCTACAGCAGAACGAGCAGGATCCTGTTCAATCAGAAACTCGAGCTGCTTGATGTTATTGACGCGAAGAAAGATGTCGCGTGACTGGCCGAATTGCAAGTTTCCGAGGTTCAATGTCAACTCTGCAACGCTGTCTTCGGAATCATCCGCAAACTCGACAGGTTTCTGTTCTACAGATGGACCGGTTGTTTCTAGTAACTCGAGAGGCTTGGAGTAGGCCAGTTTGAGTACAGCGCGTGTTGCAAATGTGCTTTGGAGGTTTGCGACGGCGTGGACAAAGACTGTTCCGATCATGCCTGCGTCGGGAATGAAGGCGTAGTTACCGCCGCCAATCTCGGCGATGGATTTGAGAAGGCCTGATCGGAGACTGTACCCGAAACCGAATGTGTGGATTGATGCTGGGAGGGGACTCATGTTGCGAATCTTGGGGACGAAGCCAGCTGCTGGGTTCCTTGTAGATGTGAGTATTGATCCTTCATGGGTGAGATGGAATGAACTTACATGTGGTTCGGCATACCATCTGTGAGGATCATAATAGCAGGAACATTGTGAGATGCTTCATCAGTCTTGAACTGCTTAACAGCTTCAAGCATACCCTGCCAAAGATTAGTCGCATCACGAGGCCCCATACTCTTAACATTCTTAAGAGCACGCGCTTTGTTATCCTTATTCATAGGCAACAGAGGTTGTAAGACTTTAGCCTTTGATGCAAAAGTAACGATACTAAGGCGATCATTCTCATTCATGGTCTCGATAATGGTGCGCGCAGCATGCTTGGTAAGATCAAGAACAGACAATCCAGCACTTTCTTGATCTTCTCCTGGCACGGGCGCTGGCTGACCCATACTACCAGAAACATCAATGACTAGAACGATATCGCAAGGGACGTGTGGGATGTTGACGGAGGGTTCTTTCGGTGTTTCTATTTTGATGAGAAGGCCGTTTCTGTTTGGGACAGGCTCGAGACGAATAGTTGCGTCTTTGTCTGTGATGCCAGTGTTGGGCTTTTGTTCATTTTCGGACTTAACAGGTTCGTCTGATGTGGCTTTTGAACCACTGACGAGGCTGCGAAAAAGAGGTACTGTCTGTGATGTGTTGGTTGGGATAAGAAGGGTGAGGTGATCAAGCTTACCACCATGATGGGCTATTAATTCCGTGTCAAACGGATGTCTGTAAAATAGTAAGATTTAAAGATACAAGTAAGATGATTCTTACATGAAAAAAACAGCGAAAAAGATCAGCTTTAAATTGTATATCTAAATGCCACAAGTCCTACCAGATGGATCCATTTGTTGTTGTCTGACTGGTGTCAGACTGAAGTGAAGGCTAACCATCCATGTCACGATGGATTGCTAGTCACTCATACCGGGCTGTGGCGCCACGAATGGCAATCCCCTTAGAGTAAGCACAGCTAAAGCCGCTAAATGCTCCATTTTGGTTCAAGGCTCTTTTAAGGCTGATTCTTTGTGTGGGTGATTGCGCCGCATCTCAACGGAACCAGCCAATCTGCCCAAGACTCTGCCTTGAAGCGGGGAAGAGAATTAGTTCCGATTGTTTGGTAACGACACGTGAAGGGTGATCAGATATGTAACTGATCTGTGTTTGTTTCACCTCTTTCTTTGTCGGAGGTAGAATTGGGTGGACGAGGCAGACACGGTAATAACGTAAGAGAGGCCGAGTTTATACCCGAGATGGAATCGGAGTATCATCTTCTGATGGTAAAACTTATTTTAACATTGCGAATAAAATGGATACAGGTTTGCTGTTGCCTGCTTGGGCTGACTGGATAAACTGTTCTCTGAATTGTAATGGTTCCATTGGTACGAGCGAGTGATGTTGTAGGCCTGAGATCCAAGGTGACAGAAATGGCGACAGAGTTTCTTTATTCTTTCGAGGTGTTGGGTCGCATCACAACAACAAACAACTTCAATATGGCCACGTATGCAATAAACTAAGTTGGCACCTGTTGATTTGGTGTAAATAAAGCAGCTGTTTCTTCACCCTTCGTCCTTCATTCCTCATCCTCATCCTTCATCCTTCAACCAACCCAGCAGGCAGAGTAATACAGCCATCACCATGTCAAACGCTCAGCTTTTACTACATATCGCTTAATCCGCTGGGCAACTGACCTGGCAATTCACGATATGACAAGCTGAGCTTGGTATAAAAGATAAAAAAGATTTAGCTTCTTATATTGGGTATTGTGAGGTTCATAATTCGGCGGATTAAGAGACGAGTAGCTGTAACGTTGAGCTTTAAAAAATGGCCTCTGGCTGCATTATTTTGTCTGCTGGGCGGCCTGTCCCTTGTTTTTAGGTCCACTGATGACGTCGGACTTCCGAACCATCAACACCAACTTTCTCGGCTCCGGCGCTTTGCATTACCAACACAACTTCTTCACTTTTTCAAGAACCACTCTCTTTGTCTTTTAACTGCGCAAACCCTACATACCTTACCTCTCCCATAATCGCAAGCGCCTAACCTCACATAATGTCACTCCCACTACCGGCAAGATTACTACCGAGGTTACGACCCTTACTCTCCTCCTCCACATCAAGAACCATCGTCAGCGCCGCACCAAGAACGACACCAGAACAATGGCCACAGCGTCATCCCTTGGGACCATACTACGAAACCATCCTACAAAGTCCCTCCACACAACCCGCCGATAAACCAGAAGTACCACCCAAGTCCGCAGACTCGAGCGTTCAAGATAAATTCCCCACGAAACAAGCTACACAAACACCAGAGGAGAAAGCCCGCTTGGTTTTCGGATCGCGCGTGCTCGGTCAAGCAGAAAAAGACGAAAGATTAGCTGCGCGAAAGGCAAAAGCTACATACATCGCCGGCATACTCGTGCCGCCCAAACCAACCGAGCCGGACAATTGCTGCATGAGTGGGTGCGTCAATTGCGTGTATGATCAATACCGTGATGAGTTGGAAGAGTGGCAGCTCAAGAACTCAGAAGCCCAGGCTGCGCTGCGCAAGGTGGAAGGATCTACGGATTCAGATGGTGGAGGCTCAGAGGCTAATTGGGCTGCTGCGCCTTCGGTTGGAGAAGCTAAGATCGCAAAGGACTTTTGGGATGAGGAGTTGTATGCAAATTTACCGGTGGGGATTAGAGAGTTTATGAAGACGGAGAAACAATTGAAGAAAAGACATGAGAGCGAAGGTTCTAAGGAGAGCTGAGCGAAACAGGGTTGTTTGGGTACGTACATCGGTGGGTTGCATTAGAAGTTTATATATACCCCGTGCATTTTTTGGGGACGAATGAATAGATGATAGATTCACACTGTCAAATGATTCGCAACGCACATCAGTTGTCGCCGATTGAGATGCACAATGCTGCGATGTGAATTACACGGGCATGCATTGCGAGATAAAAAAAAACCTCGGCTGTCTTGTCATGTTGTCAGATTACGCTCATCGAAATGGCGTTGCTGAATGGTGTAAACAGCTCATGGCCTCAAACCGATACTTTGACGGTATGCAAGGATTGGGAATATTGGAGTTCAATCTTCCAAGGTAAATCTGCGTCACCCCTCCTGTAAGAACTCAATGCAACTGGCTTGAGGTGCATTCGTCCTTTGATGGTGGCCATCTGTCAGCCCTGTCTACACACTACCGACCAACTGGATCTTTGAGCATGTAACCCAGGCCTGTGCTTTAGTGACTGTTTGTGGAGGGACGTTTGGTGTTTTGTCTTATATTCTGAATTTGTGCCTGGGTCTTGGTATGAACGCAAGACAATGTTTGGCGCCAAGGACCTACACTGCAGTCGCTTGTCAGAGCCACGATCGTGTAGCTCTTGAGGTGTGAACGGTTTGAGTTGCTCGTTCAGGCCCGTTCGTATGATGTCGCTGATTTGATTCCAGGTGCTGTATTGGAGCTGATATCTTTCGCCCTCTTCGCTTTCGTACCAGTCGCTAGCTTGTTTTTGGTCCTTGAGCGCCACATCAAGGCTGTCCAGGGCAAGCACTTCTCCGTCCAGCAAGTCAAGAATCCCAGGTTCAATTAGAGCGATCCTCTGACCCTTGCCTACGTCTATCGAAAGTATGGCGTCCCTCTCCCAAGGGTCTCAAGAAGGCATCGTCATGATAATCACAGATTGACCAAGCACCGCCCGGCAAGGATATAAATGATTATCTCATTGAGAAAACGGCACCGGAAGCCATGCTTTCTAAATATCACGAAATCGGGGATCTTGACAAACGCGTCATCGGTCATGTCCTTTTCTCCCCTCGTCTCGGTCCCAGCACCTCAACTTCCCAATCAATTCGCCCGGGACACTCCTTGCAAGTGCAACGTCTTCGCGATTGGGCTCTTGTTGAACTACATCAGAGCAAGCATCAAACACCATTCCAGGCCCAGGGAGCGTGCGTGGTGCATCCTGTCAATGTAGAGGAGCGGGTGCAGATGGGGGGTGGGAGGGCGCGACGGCATAATAGTGTAAGTTGAGTTCTTCGACCTCAGATTTGAGGTGTTGCACCTCAAGGTACTTGTCGCACTCAGAATACACGGGTACCTGTCGCTTTCTACTGCGTGTCGGGGGAACCGTTACCTGATAGGCGATGTAGTTTGAAAGCCTCCTGTTCTTTGAGTCTTCTGGCCCTCACCGTGGGCGTACTGCCAGGTCACTGACCATGGTGGACCGACATTGGAACATCGTCATTGAGTTCGTGTCATCTCTCGACATCGGTATGGGATGCCCAAAGCGCCATGTCGGGTGTTCTCACGAAACACAATATCGCACACGCTTTCCATCAATGGGCTCTGCTGTTGAGAACGCAAAGCCTTTAAAATCGATGTCGCTTGTCCCATGCCGCTGTTGTGGTCTCACGAAGAGCCGAGTTGCAAGTTATGCCTGTCGGTTACTTTTGGGTCCTGGAGTTGGTGTACTAGGAGCTGCAGCACCTGGTTTCTGATGCTTCCCTGTGTCGTTTGGGTTTCGGAGGGTGGTGTAGCGGTGGCAGGTGGATGGATGGTGACCATCTGACTGGTCGTGAACTGGGATGCCTAGGAAAGTGCTCGTGGCAATGCGACGGGTTTCAAGAGGAACCATGTGTTCAAAGTCCTTGATCATCAAGAAAGGTCGGGAGGTCGCGTTGCAAGGGCGTCAACAAGACCAAAAAACATGACCTCTGGCGGAAATGTCATCGCGTTCATGTGGTTGCAGGCGCTGGATATAAGCCTGGTTGAGGTCATCTAACCTGCGTACCTGGGGCCGTCGACCGCCACGACGGTACGTTTCAGACCACCAAACGTTGAACTTTTGGATGATGGACACTCAAACACCTTGGAAATTCTTATTATGCGTCAATGATGAGAGTATTTCCGAGTTTGATGTCTCGAAATTGCAAACATGAGGGTAGAACGTCTGGTCTCGCCGCTAGGTCCAATTCATTTGCATACTCCATGTCGCCGTGAAAGTGCAGGCAGCAAACAGCGCTCACAGTGCCTGCAGAGGACGATATCTCTGTCAGCAATGACGATACAGCCTTCAACCCCTGCATACACTCCGCATACTGGGTCGAACACCACGATGGCACTAAACACAAAGTGCTCAACCAGCCACGATGCATTTTGCCAACCTTTGTCTCGTTGGCAAACGAGGCGCCGAGACCCCGCGCGGCAAGGCGCCTGAAGATGCCGGCTAATAAGTTGCTCAACCAATACCTTTCAAGATGATATAATTCACTTGGACTCTTGTTCTGTATTGGGTCTTGCGACGGGGGGCTTAGAGAATCCCATTTCAGGTTCTGGGTAGGACAGAGACAAAGACGAAGAGGCCTTTGAACTCGCCATGAACCGGGTTGTCGCTATCCAGGTCCATGCAACAAAAAAGACAAAGATGGAACGTTCATTGAAGTGTACGCCGATGGACGAGGATAGAATTCCCGGATCGGGTCAAAGCTCAATACTGGAAGACGGGCGACCAGTGCCGCAATAACAGGGGCGGTTCGGCAATGGTTGATCAGTCAGTGCCAGATATGCTTTGAGCCTTGAAATGCTTTGATAGAAAGGTGAAGTTTGTTCCTTTGTTGCTACGTCCCAAAACCTTGTTCACTGTGACCAAAGGTGTTGTTCTAGTTAGAGTTCAGTTATTATACCATGTGTAAGTGTTCGCCATTAAACAAGAAACTCTCAATCTTAACACAAAGTCTAGGCAATTGAACAAGACAATCTCAATACAAAGTCTATTTTTGCTGTCGAAATTACAAAAGAGGCCATGACCCAACCAAGATTTGCCTTTCCCAATATCCAATGTTGACTTCTTTCGAGATATCTGATCAGCACAAAGCAACATTTACTATCACAACACTCCATCGACATCAAGTGAAACCGGCAAAATGGGCAGAACTTGGATAGTCTTCGACCCCGTCAAAAAGAAAGAACACAATTGGCTCGAACAACTAGGTCCAGCACCAGATGCCCATGCTGTAATAAGCACGGGATTGAAACGTTCTTGGGATTTTGCAACAAGGGCTACTACCTGGGAGGAGTGGAAGGAAATAGAGAATCGTCAAGCCAAGGGAAAGAGGCGAAAACGATTGCCATGTGTGCAAACCCAAAATCCGCATGGCTTCTCACGGAATCCTATGCGACCACTCCTACCAGACCATATACGCGCTCTCGTCAATACCTTTTGCGACCCAAGTATCAGAGAGCCCATGCTCAACAACCCGGACTTGTACAAAGACTTGAGACTCTATGTACGCTTTGGAGAGGTCTCACCCCCAGGCGAAGCCAAGAGTACAGAGCTGAGCCGGCCTGTCTACTTCGACCAACTTCTCAAAGGCATACGTTCCGAAATGAGGACGAGAGCCATACAAATGGGAGTCGCGCTTGCAATTATCCATTGCAATTGTAAATACGATGCAGCTGGTGTCAAGTTCCAGCTTGCCCTCCATCCCAAAAAACGAAAGGTGATGTTGTGGCCGACCAACTTTGAACACTGCAAGACCTTTAAGAGCAGCTCAGAGAACATTGATCTCAAGTTGGCACTGGCTATTGCAAAGAACCCCACGTGGCCGAGGCCGCCCGGCATGTTTGGGTTTCTGAAGAGGGACAGTCGACTGGCGCCAGAAGCTCGGGAAACGTGGTATGTTTTCAGGGATGCCTACGTGTCTGCATGTTACAAGCTGAAGAAACCCAAGTTTTCTCCAATTGAAGTAATGGATCGTGTATTTGGGATTTACAACCCCAATAGCACATGCTACGATAACCTGCCTGTCGAAGAGAGGGTAAGTCAAATTGTGCCCCGACTTTGGACTTGGATGAACGATTTGGAGGTTTACAAATAGAAGGGGGATTTTAGTATGTGAACACGTTCGGAGGGGATGCATTACGGGGCTGGTACCCGGTGGAAGGTTCATGTTTTGAGTGCTTGGGAATGTTTGTTGAAACGGTATGCAGTGTGGTCATTGTAGTATAGTATTCCTTTTTTGGTTCATGCAACAAAAGAAATTGGTCTTTCGAGCTCACAGCCCTGGTATTCTCATTCGTGATGTATGTTTATATGATATCTCGCATTAAATCTGTGCGCCATTTTCCCAACTCCAAATTCTCATAACACATTTAGTTGCTCTTAGTCTGCAGGCTAGCGTTCCTGTCGTGCTCGTCGATATCGATGGCCTCCCAGGGGTAGTTGATCCAGGCATCACCGACGGTCTCAGCAGCGTAGTAACGGGTGGCGAGCATCTCATCGGGGAGCTTTCCCTTCTTGGGCTTGTCCTTGTTCTACAAGTTGTTAGCGGGCACTCTGCAAACGATTTCTGTGTTACATACGTGGAGGACAAAGATGCTGAACTCAGTCTTGGGAGCAGTACCACCCATCTTCTGGCGGGCAATCTCAACATCCTTCTCAAGCTCCTTGACGGCGTACTCGAGAGTTGTTCGGGTGTCGTCAACCTCGTCGACGATGAGGATCTTCTTTCCGACAAGGTTCTGCATCTCGCCGAGAGCGCTCATGTCGAGCCACTGTGTTCGGGTGACCTTGGTACCGGGGGCCTCGACCTCATCGTTGCCGAGAGACTCGTAGAGGGAGAGGCCGATAGCCTGAATGGGGATGTTGGGAGCGCCGCCCTTCTTGAGGAAAGATCGGAGGATTCGAGCAGGGACGTAACCACCACCACCGATGGCGATCAAGAGCGTGGGCTGGAAGTCGAGGAGAAGCTTCTCAGCTGACTTTTGGCACATCTTGTGCACCTGGAGGCATGTTAGCAGCAGCTTTGAGAGTGCTTTGTGTCATGACTGAGTAGCGATTGCACAAAAAAGAGTCGAGCGACAAACGAGATCTGCTTCCTCATATCTGGTAGCATTGTCGCATCGAGTCGGACACTTTTTTTATGATGCGCATCATGTCCCTCATCATCAAGGCGGGGTGGCGGGGTAATGTGAGTCAATCCTTAAACTTACATCGTTGTAGGTGACGTAGAGCTTCTCGACCATTTTGACGGTATTGAAGAAATTTGAAGTTTCCGGGGATATATCGAGAGTCGCGAAAGAGGAGAGAGAGAAAGAAAGAGTATATAAAAGTGCGACGGGGACAGATGAAGGAGTATTAATGCCCAAGAGAAAAAAAAAGAGACGGAAGAAAAAAATAAAATAGGGCCGAGGCAACCGCGGGGATGAAGATGGATCTTCAGGCAATTTTTTTTCCATGGCAGGAAGGTAAGCCAGGCAGTCCCCACACTGAAGGATCCACCAAAACATCGGAAGTCGCCGATAATAAAATTAATTCGACTTCATGAGAGAAATCTTGACGGCGACAGCATAAGAATACTTACAATTCTACAGCAGAGCCCCATAAATGCATTTTATTTACGCTAATTAGACTGATTGAAGATCACAATGGAGGATAAAAAAGCGAATGGGATAAAACCCCAACTGGATCAGCGCCGAATTTTTAACAACATCATCGAGAATGGATGGATTTACAAGGAACGAGAAGAGGATAGATATCGAAAGAGGCTGACTTATGGTAATGTTGCAATGAAGCATGATTCAAAAATGGTATCATATCCTGCGCGGAGGAGAAGAGATTTATCAACGAAGTTAACGACATCAAGCTCTATCATTCAGAATTTATCAGAACATCCTCTTTGTTCAATCAGATGCACAGCCTTTCAGCTGGCATATGAACAAGACACTGTATGTGGATGGTTCTTATTAGATTTTTACTGATGTGGTAAATATGAATAGGCGTCCTTCTTCTCCTATATGATTACAACAACTTGTATTAATGGACCAGCCGTATAGTAGGTATTTGGCAGCATTCAAGATCTGCTCCTGCCGGCCTGTATTTTCACGTGAAACCTTGAAGCTTAGGCTGCCAGGGTATGTGTGATATTCTCCGTATTTCTGGAAATGGTATCTATATGGCCGCCGGGGGAAAAAAAGGAAAAGGAAGCTTTAGACTAGCTTGAGTCCAGATCATATAGGCTGAAAAATAAAATTGTGCTTGTCCCTTAATAACCAACGTCCTAGATATCATTGTCATAGACTGCTGCTCACTTCCAAACTTTGAAAGCAGTACTGTAGCAGACCTATTGACGCCTGTCGATCAGGATCCTTCTCATCATGTATCTCCTTCTCAATTGCTACAACATGCTCAAGTATCTCAGTTGCCTCCTTGACCCGCCCATCGTTGAGATATGCTCTTGCAAGTTCATGCTCCGCTGTTAATCGAGAATGATCCTTCTCATCCAGCATCTCCCTAACTGCCACTACACGCTCGAGTATCTTAATTGCCTCCTTAGTCTGCCCGTCTTTAAGGTATACACTTGCAAGTAGTTCCTCTGATCTTAGTCGAGAGCGGTCCGTCTCGTCTAATATCCCTTTAACTGCCACTACATGCTCAAGTAACTTAATCGCGTTCTTAGTCCGTCCATCTTTGAAATATGCTCTTGCAAGTTCGTGCTCTGATGATAGCCGACCGAAGTCTCGCTCATCTAGAACCTGCGTATTGACTGCCAGTATATGCTCAAGCATCTTAATTGCCTCCTTGGTCCGTCGGTCTTGAAGGTATGCACTTGCAAGTTCATGCTCGGATGCTATCCGGTTACTGTCCTCCTCGTTCAGAATCTCCCTTCGAACTGCCACTACATGCTCCAATATCTGAATTGCTTCCTTATTCCGTCGAGTATAAGTGTACGCACTTGCAAGTTCATGCTCAGATGATAATCTAAAATAGTTCTTCTCGTCCAGTATCTCCTTCCGAACTGCCACCACATGCTCCAATATCTCAATGGCCTCCTTGAACCGCCGGTCTTCAACATATGCACTTGCAAGGTTATGCTCCGCTATTAATCGATCATGATCTGTATCTGGATTAAAGCCCTGTCTCCACCGGAATACATTCTCAAAACACTTAATCGCTTCTTTGAACCGCTTATCGTTAAAAAAGGAGAGTCCAGCCTGTTGGAAAAGCTGATAGGTTTCCAACATATTGTCCTCATGATTTAGGCTAAGTAATCGCATCACATGTGGCAGATACTCCCTTCTTATATCGGGTGTTGTCTCGAAACTCCCTCTCGAGAACTTTCATGCCGTTGTCTTCGGCGTTTCGTAAGAGGCCTAGATATGCCCGTATAGGTGCTTTGGTCTGATGGAGGTATGAGGCAGCCTGCGTAATGGCTAGTGGGAGAAATGTTAGGTAGGTGAGGAGCTCAGCGACCGCTGTTTTATCCTGAAGCAGCTGCTTCTGGGTCAGAGACTTCTCCAAGAGGACCGTCGCTTCTTCCTCATCCATCTGCTCGATGTAGATAACGTCTGATTGCGCAAAGTCGTCGGCAACGTGCCCAGATCGCGTCGTCAATAAGATAATACCGTTCTCGCTCTGAGGCAAGTAATCTTCCAAGCCTGACTTCTCGTCAGATCCAGCGATGAGTTCTTGGTCATCGGCATTATCCACAATCAAGAGCCACTTGCCAGCTTCATCCGTGCTGAGGTACTGACAGACAAGGTCCTTCACATCCTCGTCCTCACTGGTCTTCTGCAACCGAAGCTTCTTTGCGATATCAGCATACGCACGTTCTGCAGTCTCATCACTCAGGACAGGCACCCAGAAAATCGAATAGTCTGGTCTTCTTTCCTTCGTTTGGTAGACAAAACCTAGGGCGATTTGAGTCTTGCCAATACCACCAAGGCCGACTAGGGCCACCCTCTGACATTGATCCTGGCCGAAGAACCTATCCTCTAGTTCATTCAGGATAGTCGCGCGACCAGTGAAGCGTGTATTCCTGGTAAAAGGAATATGGTAGCATGGCACATGAGCCTTTTTCGGCATATCGTTAACGACGATCCTTTGAGCTTCATTTTTTGCCAAGTCACTAGTCACTCCTGCAGTCCTGCCACTCGACGGGATCTCATCAAGCAAAGCTCTAGCATACGAAGCCGCCATCGCTGCCGCATACGGCTGCCAATTTTTGTTCTTGTGTTGATCGCCGTAATCGCATACTCCTCGAATGACGCCAACTGGAATTCGGTTCATAGTTCCTGCTGCTTCCATTTCCAAACCAATGAGACCATATCTGTCCCTCAATTCATTTCTCTTTTTTGCATTTTTCAACAGTTTATCTCCGGACCCAATTGGACCATACCATACTCGAGCGCGCCGATAGTCCGATCTTGAGCATCGAGGACGCTGGATGATTTCCTTATGCCCATTGTCGTTAAACACAAACATGATATCATTGTCTTGCCCTGGATCAGCGAATGTACCAGTGTCATGTTCGCAATTGCGGATCTTCTCATAATATGGCAAGAATATTTCGTTGTCGTTGGGTGCCTGGAGTTTGATACTACCTATCGCTGATTGCACGATTGGTTCAGTCACGGTGAGGCTGCGACCACTCCGGAGCGGTTTAAATCCGTCTTCCGTTTCTTTTCCAAGATCATATGGAACCAGTCCAGCACTCTCGCCAACAGGAATACCAACAAGCACGTCGCCTAGTCGGATATCGCGCGCAGGGACACATGAAAGGTTGGGAAGCCCTGCTGCTACGCCAACGAGCAGGCCAAACCAGAGGTTAGGGAAGAACTTCTTCACCTGGCCGGCGAGTGCAGCCGCAGAACCCGTGCCATACTCTTGACCTACTGGAAGGGTCACGATAACGATGTTATGGCCTCCCATGGCGCCTGGTTGAAACACATAGTCGTCGCCACGGCTGACGGGAAACCGGCCACGGTGCCTTTCGTCTAGTAGATACATGGCAGCCTTAGCTTCGATCTCAAGTGGAGCGATCCAGGCAATTTTGTAATCTTTGGGGTCGAGTATGATCGACATTTTGCAGCAGTTTGCTGCCGTAGTTATGACTTGGTATTTACAAACACCATAGAGATGACCGGAAAGTCCACTTTGTAGTCAAAATTCTCGCAACTTAAATACTCGGGTCGATATGTAGGACTGACTATCGTACTCAATCAGCTGAAGACGCAGTCAGCAAAAACCCCGCACGTAGAAGGATTGGGCATCCAACCAGCTGTGCATATGTGATGGTGTTGATAAGGATCTCCTGGAAGAAGGAAATTCCATTGTGAGGCCTTAGCCTGATTCTCCTCTGTCTCCGAACTGTCAGGACCAATGATGATTGGAAGGTTTCCGAACAGGATAAAACGATGTTGGGAGGCTCTATAAATCATGATGAGTAAGTGAGATGACTGGGTAGGTATCCTGAGAGAAACTCAAAGTTGTTTTATCGTTGTTGGTTGATATAATTATCTGAAGAAGATACGAAATCGAGTCTTTGATAGGATAGAGAGATATCAAATACAACATTCAACGGCACGAGGACACATCACTTGAAAACACTCGACAAGGTTAACCTTTCTGCTCCCAGAATGCTCATATCCTGTCGTTAGACATTATTTTGTTTAATTTAGTGTTGTCAAGCCAGCTCTGCCGACTGAGTTAGTAGCAGTCGAGTTAATTTATTTACATGAAACCGAGATAAACCAATGAGTAGCTGCAGCGCTACTAGCTCTAAGTGCTATCTCACTTTAACAAATGAAGTATGGGTAAGGCAAACTCGCTCATTTACACTTCTAGTATTTTCCCTTTCTGAATTGTTACTCGTTATTTGCCGCCAGAATGCCTCGACAACTGTTGCATCTGAACCTGAACTACTTGACTTTTGGGAAATGGTGGATTCAACGTTCTACTTGCCATTTTAGAGCCCTAGGAGAGAAATCCAGCCCTTGAAAATCAGGCCGATGTGTCAATAAGTAACAGTCTTTCAAAACAGAAGGGCCTCGCAGCATATGAAAAACAGCATTGAGCCTCACTCAAATTATGACGCTCAGTACATCGTCCAAGAACTTGATGATACTAAAGTTTCCCCCGGCAAAACTCATAAGCTTACTGCGTGGTTTCGTTCGAACACGGGTTTTTTCCCCAGTCGTCTGGGTTGTCTTAGCGCTTCTATGTAGGGTATCTACGATACGAACAAATACGTAGTCAGATAATTATTCCGTCTCAATAGTGAAATGACCGACCTTTTCTATTCATTTCAGTTTCTCTGAGGCCTAAGTCGCTCAAGGTGATTTATTTGTCTGGGCTCAACATTTGTCGTCTAGGCTCAATGGTGAAGGGTAAATAGATTTTGCTTTATTTGGGGTTGTCTAGTAAATGCTGCGCCAACAATGACATCAACGCTACCACAGGGAATGACACACAACGGTTTTATTTCCAGCTCATCATTCTAAGTGCTCACAAAAACACAATAGTTTCTGGGCATTATTAGGTTGAGTTAATTCCAGTATCCGTTCATTAGACCCTGAGTAAACGTGACGACGGCTAATTAATTATTCTGCCGCCCTTTACAGCCAGTGCTAAATTAGTTTCCCCGTTTCGGCAAGCGGTGAGGCCCACTTTGAGACGCGACTGGGTCTGTTCAAGTAAACAAGTACCAATGCGACAAAGACAAACATCAATTAAACGACAAATGACTGAAAACGGCATTTAAAAATACAGGAAATGAAGAGACCACAATAAATCACACTCACTAGCAATTTAAGAATATGGAGGAATCTGCGCCAAAAAGACAGCGCACGGAGGGTAGCGCGTCACCTCGAAAAAGACGCCCATCTTATGCATCACCGACTAAAGCCAGCATGTCAAGACATCACCCAGAAGCATTTCAGAGAAGAATGTCTAGATCACCTCAGAAATTACCAAGCGCTCAAAAATCAGCGCAATTTACTTTTGACAGTCCCTCGGAAGCTCTCGCTGCGCGCTTGGCTACAAGTCGGATCGTTAGTGATGCTCCCACGCCAACGCGCCCGGGTGAGGCGACGCCAGTGCAAGAGGACTTTAATCCATTTCGTGGTGGAGGTTTGAGACGATCACCAGCAACTGGAGTACGGATGGATATTGATACGCCGCCTGTTGATCCATTCCGACGTGGAGGATTGAGAAGATCGCCGCCGGTTGGAGTGCAGGGGAACGATGCACCACCTGCGTCGATGCCTGAACCAGAGTTACCGCCTGCAGTGCAGGCTTCCTCACCTCCTCCTCCGCCGGCTTCTATGCCAAAACCCAATATTGGACGGCCTGCAGACGAACCTGTGCTGGAATCGGAGAGCGACGCATCTGCTCCATTGGAGGAATCCCCTCCAGAGGAACTATCCATAGCAAGGTCTACCTCACCTGTTGCAAGTCCGTCGCCGGCTCGATCATTCTCTTCGCTTAACATTCAACTTCCACCTCGGTCGTCTTCTGAGATCAGGTCACCCTCACCTGCTCTATCCTCACCCGCCCAGGCCCTAGTACAGCAAACCGAGCCTGAACCAGAGGCCCAGCAGGAACCTCAATCAGACTCGGCGTCTGAATCGGATGTTACGGTGGAAGCAGCACCCGAATCAGATCGAGGCTCTCCAAGCCCGCCGTCTCCTCTACCAGAATTCTCTCCCTCACCTCCTCCAGCTTCCATGCCACCGAGTAGAATCCCGCGTCTAGCCCAAGAAAATTCTCGAAGTAAAGCACCAACAGCATCACAGCCTATTCCCCAATTACCGCCGTTAGACAATGGGCCACGCAAGAGCTTCCAAAACAGCCCAGTCAGGTTCCACGAGCCATCGCAACAGGGTGTTTCGCCTCTTACCAAACCACCATCGCGACATTTCGAGAAGCCCAGAAAGGGCCAATCTGCTACTGCTTCTCAAGAGAGAAATCCAGCAGCGACAAACGTATCTGGCGAAAGACAGACACGCCCATTTGACCTAGATGCAGATAAGAAGAAGGAACGCGAGAGGATCCAGAAAGAGATTGAAGCTTTGCAGAAGGATCTCGAAGTCGCGCGAAGAGAGAATGAGCGGATTCGCGCCATGCAAGAGTTTGGTCGCGTTCTTGCGCCTGTGGACCAAGATGAAGTTATTGACCTCATCCAACGTCACCTCATGGATGCGGATGCAGAGCCAAGTCAAACATCGACACAACAATTATTACAAGCGGCATTAAAGCCTACAGCTCTCCTCCCATTCGGAAAGGCTTTCGCTCCAGCAACCTCAGCGCCCGTGGATGATAAGCTGGCCTACATCAAGTCACATTACCCTGTTCCAATGACAGCAGACGAGGAACTGCCTTATCTTCAACTATTTACACCATTCACAGCATCATCAACAATCTCAGTTCTGCCGGAAACTGACAGCCAACCCCTCAGACAGCTTCACTCCATTGTTCTACGATCGCGCGAAATTCCCGGACTCTTCACAGCAAAGCTGGACATGACTGTCAATCCGCTCGAACTTTCGGTACTCGATCTAGACGTCGTAGACCTAGAGCCTGCTGCGAAGCCCGAGCTCGGCCCGTTTATTCAGAAGATTTGCACAGGCGACTGCAATCGTTCTATGCAGCGCAATGTGGGTATCTTGTCATGGGCGATGGGTGAATGGCTCCGCATTGCTGTTGAGAGGGCAGGCTTTTGGTGTCAATTGGATCAAAGCCTGGGTACCAAGGATGGTATATCGAAGGTTACCACGCAGTTGCGAACAAGGAAGAGACGGAGAAAAGACGATGATGGGGACGAGGATATGGACGAGTCAGCAGGAGTTGACCCCGTTAGAAAGACAGACCTCATCCGTTACATGGGTCAACAACACTACGACATCTCAATACCGTACAACGATGCAGAAGAATCGGGCGCCAATGTACGATTCAATTGGAAGGTGGAGTTTGACTGGACGGGAGAAGCACAAACGAAACTTTCCGTCCTGGTTGGCGCCCCAGGCAAATGTGAGTACAACTACTACCACCACAAATTGGCCCTTCTAACAAGACATCACAGGGCACCAAACAGACGAACGAGGAGTACTTGGCAAGATCCCCAAGCTTTTTGAAGAACTTGTACATGGCCATCAGAACACAGAAACAGCTGTAAAAACAATTGTAGCGCTCATCGCGGGAGAGCAATCATGATAGAATCGGTCGGGATAGATGGCAAAGTTTACGAATGCATTGGAGGCGCGTTGGTGTCGAGGGAGATCTTTTTTGCGCAGGTCGCACCGGCGAGATACCAGATTATCGTAGATTAAATTTGATTAGGCCTCAAGAGCCAAAAATTCATCCCATCCATCCAAATCCCCCTTTTTTGCCCTCCATCTAAATCGTAGTTCGTTCGGGTAGTCGTTTAGTCGACGGTGACGCCGAGCTTTCGGAGCTCAACCTTGGCCTGCTCAATCTCAGTTGTGAGCTCCTTGTGCGCGTCGGGAACGTCGTTGAAGGTGAGGATGCCGAAGCCAAGTCGGAAGAGGAGGTATGCGCCAAAGGACACGAGAGCCCAGAAGGGAAGCTATTGCAGGACATGTCAGAACATCAATTCAAACCACAGCACCCTCGTCAAATGTCTCGCCGAATGTTGAACGTACCACGGGGACGATCTGCTCCTGGATCAGGGGAGGAAGAGGGATGAGCTCAAGGAAGAGAGCAAGGTAGAGCTATACACTGTGGTTAGTCGAGAAGCAGAGAGAAGAGTCGAAGAGCGTACGGAGGAGACGAGGAGGGCGAGAGAGATGGTCTGCTGAGCGCGGGTCATTTTGGCGGTTTGAGTAAGGAACGTAAGCTTGAACGAGCGCGGGGGAGTCTGCGATTGCGATTGATGATGTCGGTTCTTGAGGAGACGTGTATAAAGTTGTCAGGGGTCGCGTGGGAAGGAAATCGGATGACTAAGGTGGAGAAGCGGGTATTAGGTAATCAGTCACATGTCGGGTGCCATAGGTTGAGGTTGAGCTACTACGACAAGATTAAGGTACGACAAGATTAAGGTACGACAAGACATCATATGATTTATGAAAAACTGCTTTTGATTCAAAGTGATCCTCTTCCAAATGTTCTTCCTGAACACTGACTACTTGACGTCATCTGTCACTGTCTTCCACATAAACAACCCGATACATTCTGCTGAATGGAAAGATGATAGCCTAGTCCAACCTAGAGTCACCAACGTTAAATTGACTCTGTTTCATTAGATCCTTCCAATCCTTAATTCATGGGGTCGGCAATAGCGGCATTTCTTAGTAAATGAAGGATTTTCAGCTGAGTCCGTGCGGACCATGGCGTGCATCAAATGCCGATCTTTCAGATGATTATGACACCTCGACAATCGAAATAGGAAGCTCGTCTGTGTCAGGTAGAGACATATGCAGCTTACTCCTATAGTGCAGCACAAGCGCAGGGCTGTAAATTGAGGGGTGAAGGGGGCATATCCTCATAGCTATTTAAACAGAGTATTCGGCATCTTATTTGAGTTTAGGTAGTTTAGTTGTCATCATTGTTACCTCCGAAGTTTGTCTGACCATGTATTATTCACCGCTTGTGTCTCTTTTACTGTTCGGCTCGGCCACAGCATGGCTTCCCCATGAGCGTGACCTGGCTTCGTTCAATCAGACTACCAGATTCGAACAGCTCGGAAAGAGATTCAAACCAAACTTGGCCGATGGTATCACCAAGATTCGCGGTGTCAACTTTGGTGGTTCGTACAAGATATTCCCCTCGACCAACATCAGCTAACATAACCAGGCTGGCTTGTCTGTGAGCGATGGCTCCAAACAAATACCTGGGAAAACGTCCTCAAATGCGGCAACTCTGAATCCGAATTCGATTGCATGAACGATCACTACAAAGGCGACAATCGCGAAACAGGAAACCAACGCTTCGAAGAGCACTGGAAGACGTGGATCGACCCAGCTACAGTCCAATCTGTTCACGACGTTGGTCTGAACACCATTCGAATTCCCATAGGATACTGGTCCTACACGGATATCGTGGACAAATCATCTGAGCCCTTTGCTGATGGAGATCGAATGTTGCCTTATCTCGATGCTGTCGTGAAGAAAGCTGCTGAACTTGGTATCTATGTCATTATGGACCTTCATGGCGCTCCTGGTGGCCAACAGGAAGATGTCTTCACGGGACAGAACAACAAGCCTGCGGGCTTCTTCAACGACTACAACTTTGGACGTGCGGAAAAGTGGATTGCTTGGATGACGGATCGTATTCACACGAACCCTGATTATTCAACAGTGGGTATGATTGAGGTTCTTAACGAGCCGGTGTCTCGCCATGATGGAGGAAATCGGTATCCAGCACCTGGCCAAGATCCCGGCCTTATCGAGAAGTACTATCCCGCTGCCCTCAAAGCCGTTCGTGATAAGGAAGCCAGCCTTCAAGTCTCAAACGACAAGAAGCTCCATGTCCAGTTCATGTCAAGCAAATGGGACTCTGGCGATGCTCGTACACAATCATCCATAGCCAACGACGCGCTCACAGCTTTCGACGACCACAACTACATCGGTTTCGCTCTGAATGACGATCAACACAGCAACGCGGACCCTTACAAACTTATGCACAGCGCCTGCACCGACTCGCGTGTTGTCGACGGCCAAGACTTTACGTTTACTGGAGAATGGAGCATGACGTCGGACTACGACTGGAAGGACAAGGAGTTTTTCAACAAGTTCTTCACCGCGCAGCAGCAGTTGTATGAGGAACCAGGCATGTCTGGGTGGGTGTACTGGACGTGGAAGACGGAGACGAATGATCCTAGATGGACGTATTCGTATGCCACATATTTGGGATATATTCCTACTGATGCGGCGGGATTGCAGAATAACGTTTATCGGGATGTTTGTGCTGGTTATAGATAGGGCGTTGCTGGGAGTCGTTACGAGGTACCCGTGTGTACTGACAATGTAGGTATCGATAGATTATCGTTATTAATACAGGAAAACAGTCTGAAGTACTTGTTCCGAATGGGTCAGTCAGGTTTTGTTTGTGACATCTGATATGCAATTGTGCCAAACGACATCTCACCCCTGAGTGGGTTACTCCATGATTGACCACACTACCGATTGTTTTTGTTTGTTAAATCCTTTCTTAAACAACAAATCCCATATGTGTCGATTAGTTTGGATGATGAAATCATGGGTGAATCATTTTTTTGACAGCTTTCAGCCTCATAAGACATGTCAGATTGCATTCTTTGAGCCTTATAATTAAATCAAGACGGTGAGAACAATGGGGACAAAAGGCGAAAAGAAAGAAAACCTTTTGGTGACACCACGGTGGAGCTATTTTATTTCTCTCGTTTGTTCAATTGGCCGTTTGTATCTCGCGCTGGCACTGGCTTGTAACTGTCAGCTATGAATCCTCAGCTTTTCCATCTTCTCTCTTTTGCCATTCTCGCCCACCATCGCACATCGAGCATCATTGGATCACAGCATCACACATCACTGAACCACAACATCAACCGTCATTGAATCACATCATCATGCCTAACAAGCCTGACAAAAGCCTCAAGTGTATGTTCTATATGATAATCTAAAATACGGATCTGACACTCTTACAGCCTTAACGGACGCCCAAGCCCGAAAGATTCTTTGTCACACAGCCTATCGCTCGAACCGCAAAGTCCGACTCACCGTCCAGTGGTAGGCCTCAGCCGGTGATGACCCCGCCACCACTGCCGCTTTCTACGAGGCCGAAGTACAAGAGGTTGATGAAGACCTGGTTCTCAAGTACTGGGAAGATGCCGGCTGTCGTGACCAAGCTACCAACCTCAGCAAGGACCGCGTCCTCAAGATCTTGGACGAGATTAAGCGATATTGGGTCTACCAGTGAGTTGGCTACTCGGTGGATGAGGGGACCGCAGATCCGAAGTACATTGCTGTTCACAAGCCCGGCGCCGGTGAGGCTATTGTCAAATGGCGACGAATCATGTCGCCGATCCAGGTATGTTAAACGACATTTCTTCTATTTGATAGATGTACTGACTTGAATAGCTGGCTGCTGTAGATTATTTGTCTATCGGGTTCGAACAAGATAGAAGTTGGCCAGCCTGGTCTCGCGATTTGATTTGCCCGAGGTTGACTGGGATAACATTGACGAGGAAGAACTTGCAAACTACGACTTTTCAAACTAAAGTCTTAGGATTTAGGCCTTCAGGCAAGGTTCTTATATCATCTTGGGCCGACTTAGACAAGGCTTCTAGGCTACTTGTCTCCACAATCGGGGAGCTCAGACAGGCAGCGACAATTGTGTCACTCGGAGGAAATGGTAGTGCTAGTAGAAGAATGGAAATACATTCGATATTGAACATGCTCGGTATTTATTTTGCAGTGATCAAGTATGAAGCCAAGTATGAAGCCAAGAGGGAAGTGAGAATGTGTCAGTGCATCCCATTTTGTTTTTGGTTGTAGTCCTAAGCTGCCTTTGTATCACCAGTAGAGTCCTTCAAAGTTATTATGTGACAAATAAAAATAAAACATTAGTTGTTAATTAAAGATAGTAAAAAAACATACAAATGTTGCTATTTTTAGCATAGTAGATAAATCTTGAAATCATTACAAAAGGAAAACAAGTCCAGTTAAAAGCGACATCATCATCAGTATCCCTTCCATCGTTTTCGCTACGGCTCTTGAAACCACAACGATGGGAGCATTCGGCGCTGCCGGTGTAAATGCTGGCCCTGGCCTGCGGTGGAATGTTGGTTCCTGGGGCTTGGGCTGGCCATCCCCTCCTACCGTGTCAGGTCTTGGTTCAGTCTTAGTCACACCAGCTGGTTCATCATCAGGCCTTGGTTCAGTCTCAGTCCCACCAGCTGCTTCGCCATCCGGTCTTGGTTCAGTCTTAGTCACACTAGTTGGTTTGCCATCAGGCCTTGGTTCTGTATTGATCACCCCAGCCGGCTTGTCTTCATCATAGTCCCCAGCACCGCTTGGACGATGGTGATAAGTTTGAGGTTGATCAAACTTATACCTTCCATCGCCCTCATGTGATCTGTCTCCAGTGGCGGGCAAATCGTTTTGTGGTCGGGGCTTTTGCCAATTATGAGAGTCTCCCTCAATAGGGTAAGGTCTCTGTTCATAGGGGCTGGGCTCGTGATATTGCACTCGGTGAGTTTGATAAGCAGCGTGCTGCCTTGTCTGAGCTGCCACAGCTGCGCCCGCTGGAACTTCAAGAATGATAGTGTTCTCGCCCGAGTGACCACAAGCGTTGCAGTCGACTTTGATGGTTGTCATCTCCACCGTTGGTCGCGGCTGGTGCTGGCACTGACGACAGGGAGAAGGCCTCAGGGTGCTGCAAAACTCGGTCACCGTTAGCTGTGATGGGTTATTGGGATTAACAACCGTGTATGTTATGGTAGTGACTATTGGTGCCGCTGCAACTCTAGTGCTTGTAAAGTTACCCGCATTGAAGGGGGCGCTTGTTGGGAATGGGGGGATGATGGGTCTACCACCTTGTGATCGGGTGATAGGGACGGAAGGTTCAACGGTGATAGCTGAATTAATGAAAGATTGTGTGCTTGAGAATAGAGGCAAGGGAACGGTAGAGTCTCTAGTAGGTAAAAGAGAGTTGCTTGTTATCGCGCCAACAGTACTGAAAGTATCCGAAGAACTCAGAGTACCAGAAATGGCTTCAATCTGAGCATACAAGGTGAGAAGAATGCCTGGTGGAGCATCTCGACGGCTCAGACGTCCACGGGACTTGAATCGTGATTCAGGATCCGAGCTCGTGTCAACCACTCCACCACAGAAGAGGCCTGGATCACCAGGACATGGTAAATCGCAACGGCCATCTGCAACTGTGTCGGCAGCGTCTAATGAATCTGCTGCATAGCAGGATCTAAACGAGGTGAGCTTTGTATCCTTGAACTTCACGGCTGGGATGTTACCTTAGGTAGATACCGATATAAGCACGCCCGGCTCCGAGTCTTACACATTCCGTAGTAGTCATGTCGGGAGTTTCACCGATCAATTCAAAGCCGGGATAGCCCTCTGGAGATCCTAGACATCCGAAGAACCTGAAGTTTCCGATCACTGCTAGGTTGGACGGCATGGCAGACGAGGTAGCAACGGTCGATGTTGCTGGTGTTGGCACGTCGTCAGCTGTTGAAGTAATGGCTAGTGAGGATTGGATGTTAGCTAGTGTATGTAAAGAAGCGATGGAGGGTATCTTGTATTTGTGCCTCTACGGCTGGAGGGTACTTACCGTCACTGGAGCTCGTTTCTTCCTCGGATATAAGGGAGGAGGGAGTGGCAGTGTTGGTTGAAGGCTCGATCTGCTGGGCCGTGGTTGTTTCCAGAGACTCTGCTGTCGTTGTAGTACCAGGATTGGGAACTAAATGCGATATTAGCACACAGTTTGAAATGTGATGGATATCTCCGATCGGGCATATGACAGTGGAGGAGATATTCTTCTAGACCTTTACGAGTAGTGAAATCTCAATCAATTATACTGGTATGTCACTCTTAATAGGTTCATTCGTAAAGGTCGAGACTGTTGAGCTTAGGGAGGGTGTTTCGACATCAACCGAGGTTGTGGTAGTACCAATTACGGGGGCATCAGAAATATTGGTCGTCTCTGTATCTGTCGTACTGTCGGTGGAATAATCTTGGGCTGTTGTAGTGACGACATCAGACTCAGTCACAATGGTTGAAGACTCTGTCTTTGTATCACTTGACGTAAGAGTTGTTGAGGTAGTATCTGGCAGCTGTGTTGACGATATGATTGTACTGCTGGCCTCGGTTGATATCTCGGTGGTTCCAATTGTAGTAGTCTCTTGAGTGATGGTAGTTGTAGGGTCATCACTAGTTGAGTCCGTGGAGGATGCTTCGGTAGTACTTGTTGTTTCGTCAGCGGTAGTAGTAGTGATCTCGTCGGCCGTAGTAGTAGTTGTTCCAAAGTCAGCAGTTGTTGTAGTTTCCTCAGCAGTAGTGGTTGTCGGCTCTTCACTAGTGGTAGCTAGTACTCCGATCCTGATTGTACCAGACACAGTCCCTGAAGCGGTGGTAGTCGAGGTAAAAGGATCCTCGCCCGCCGGGATTGTAGTCGTGGTCGTCACATAGGCGAGGCGGAGATCAGTATCGCAATCAACGCAACCCTCAGCCTTGATCAAGAGGCCAGAGTCCCATTCTGAATCGGACTGATCACAAATCGCAAAGACCATAGTTTGAGCACCAGAGGTTAAGATATCAAACCAGAGAGGTGGCGACGAGCCAGGATATGAGGTGACGCTATTGGGCGGGGTGATGGCAAGGGGATTAGCAAGATAAGGATTGACTGCGGTTATTCTGTTACCGGAATCTAAAGCATATTGCGTGCCGCCCAGAAAGACACCAATGGGGTCAGCAGAGCCGCTAGACATGGTCATTAGCTCAGTCCTTGCTCAGTCCAGAGTGCTACTTACCCTTCTTCTTCTGACGCAAGAATAATCTCAACTTTGATACCGTTATAGGTCGGGTCGAGAAAAATATCGACGGTCAACAAAGCAGCGTTGAAAGTGTTTGAACCGCAATAGGTGTCCGAACCAGGTGCTCCATTGTTGACATAGTGGTCACCGTTGGGTAGAGCTCCAATAGCAGCACCAGAAGTGAGTATCGCACCACTCCCGATACCGAAAGGTCCATCGGCAAACGTTCCAGAACTAACTGATGCACCTGAGAAAGATGCTTGGAGAATAGTTATGCCCTGGCCGAATATTGCAGCCGCCAGAGTGTTTGCATCGTTGCTCGTTGTGACACTGAATGCGTTCGAGTTTGGCAGCAGTGTCGCCAAGGCGATAAGCTGGAACCACATTGTGAGAAATTTGATACACTTTGGAAAGAAATGAGTGTTATCTCGTCCTTCTTTAATTTTTCAGCGGAGAAGCTGAATAAAAGAGTTGCGACATATCATTGAACTCATCTTATGAATTTACGCAAGGGAGGCACAACATGGACTTAAATGAGTGGCTGATATTTAAGCAAATTAAAGATCCCCTCAAACGTTAGATCGGCAAGCCTCAGTAATTTTAAAAGTTCCAGTTCAGGAAAGCTTATCACAGTAGCTCTCCCCTAGTGTCTTGCCTTGAAATTCCACGCTGCAAATAACTACTACCCCTGAAACAAGCGTTATTCTAGATGTCACTCAAGACCTGTTAAAGGTATACACATTTTCAAACACTGTCAGATTATATTACGCAACTAAAATGATAACTAAACATCCAGACCTTCACCGAGTGGGATCAAGAACAAAACTTAAGACATGTGAGACGCATAACATTTGTCAAGTGTATGCCAATTGCCGAAAAGCTTGTGAAAAGTTGGAATCATAATGGCTATCTATAGCTTGCAAATATGCGGATATGGGCAGTTTTATGCAAGCCTGGTCTTGTTCAGCTGAGGCTAGATTTGTGGCAAATGCTAATGACAGAAAAGAGGAACTGCGACTTGCAATCAAACCTGAATACTTCGTTCGTCGGGCTGCTTTCGATCATTCGTCCCAGAGATACCCTCTTCCTCCGCAGCAATTTCATTCGCAGGATCCAGTCCCCAACTCACAACCTGAGGATATCTTCTCACATAAAACAAAATTCCTAAGATGGCAAGGATACTTCCAGCACTAAACGCAGCAGCCAGAGAAAATCCAACTGGATACCTAGGGGAGTCACTCACACGCCAAGCGCGTAAAGGAATCGTTGCGTGTCCAACATAGACCAATGTTATAGCAATCGCCACCAAAATCGACCGCACTTCGGGCTCCTTTCTCAGAATTTCGCCCACCCAAGCAAGTAATGCATATCCCCAAGCTGCAGTAGCAAAGGTAAGGAAGTAGAAGCCCATGATTGTCCTCCATGAATCAGGCCAGCCTGAAAGAACAGATGTTGCGATAAGTTGAATTGTGGCGGCGCCGACACTAACCTGCCAACGCCACGCTTTCCAATCGCTGAGGGCGTTGAGGCCAATATTGCAGACTATACTGATAGCATATCCGCCGAGTGGAATCAGGTTAACGGTGTATACTGAATAACGTGGTGTTCCATCCGCATTGTTTAGTCCTTTGAGGAAGAGCAAGAAGTAAGAGTTCGCGCGCTGACTCCATGCAAATTGAAGATATGCCGCGAGAAACAAATACGACAATGGACTCATGACGAGAAGTTTGAGTTTGTGAACGAGAGTTTTAAGAGGGATGATGCCAGACGTTTTGACACCACAGTCGTTCATGCGAAGACGAGCAAGCTCTTTTTCGGCGTCAGTGAGCCAGAGAGCTCTTGTAATGGCGGGTGAGTCAGGAATGACAAGTAGACCAATGAAACCCCAGAATATCGTCATTATACCGCTAATGATGAACAGCCATTGCCAACCAGCATGACCCGAGACTCCGTCGAGGTTCCTGTAGAGTGCAGCTTGGAGGATGCCGAGAAACATATTTCCTGCTACACCGCTGACACCGAAAATGGCCAGCCGCTTTCCAAGTTCTTCAGGACGATACCTATTCATATATTAGTCAGAGGACGTGTAATCGACTGATTTGAGTGCCATACCAATTAAAGATCAGGTTTACAATACCAGGCCACGATGTAGACTCAAATACGCCAAGAAGAAATCTCAGCGCATAGATGATTTTGGCATTTGGGGCTTTGTAGGTGAAGAGTGTAAAAAGACCCCATATAATTTCACAAACTGGTAGGAAGATAGATGGTCGGACTCGAGTTTGGATGAGTTGCGATGGAACGATAAAGATCGCATAGCCAATGGAGAAATATGTCGTAAACTCTACAAGTTCATTGCCGTAGAGATTCAGATCTTCCTTCATTCCGGAGACAAATGCGGCTGTCGTGGCAGACTGGTCCATGTCCTAGTTTTCCATGTTAATGTATTTCTATTATACATGATGAGCACAACGTACCTTGAAGAGACCGGCTATAAATGCCCACACGAGCAATAAGCAATCCAGTTTAAACACTAAAACATGCGAAGGGTTCTTGAAATACGGATGAACCTTGGCCAGCCATGATGTCGATTCTGTCACAGCTTCATCGCGACGCTCCGATAAACTCGACGGCGGAGACATAATCACTCTGTCTTTTCGCCTGAGCGTCCAAAGATGAAAGACAAGAAAGTGAGGGAGTTTTAAAATTGATCGACATGAGGTGAGAAGGCGATTTAACTAAATTTCCAGCCACATTACCGCTACTCCGTTAGCACTACGACGTAGCGAGTGCTACATCAGTCTAGCCTGTACGCTCGACGTTCTAGAGCTTCCAAGAAGAGGGGAACGGCAAGTTCCTCGGGGTTTAGACTTTCTCAATCGAGATTAGACAAGCTTCCGTTAACGATTAAACTTGAAGAGACGACGGCAGAGTGAACTACCGGAACTGAAGATTCCCGAAGATAAGGTCAAAATTACTCGTCGGCGCAACCCCCATCAGCATTGATTGGTCGTTGAAAGCCATCGGGTATCGTTAGCCCAAGTTCGTTTATCAGCCCTGTAAATGACGAGCTTTTGTCTCTGATGCTACACTATTACCATATCCGGTTAAATCCATCGGGGTAACCCCGATCATCGACCGGATGTCTCCATCCGAAGACGGTCTACTTATGTATCACGACATTTAGACCACTGTGACCAAACCAAAAGCTTGATTCAACAACAGACATAAACCAACAATGGTTTCGGAACCGCTGTATCCCGCTTATCTACCCACTCGCTCTAACGGGTACATGGCGCCCGTGCCCGTTCCCCTCTTTGACGGGGACGAGCCGGGTCTTCAGGCTAACGCCGCTAAGACGAATTTGTTCAAGGGCGGGCGCGTGGAGAATATCACGCCTCGTGTTGGAACAGAGATTCGAGGAGTGCAGATAAGTCAGTTGGATGAGAAGGGTTTAGATGAGTTGGCTTTATTGGCTGCTGAGAGGGGAGTTGTGGTTTTTGTAAGTATTTATGAGTGTGTCTTGGGCAGACTCGACTAACTGTGAGTAGAGAGACCAAGATTTTAAGGATGTCGGGTTTGACAGACAGAAGGAGATTGTGAGGCATTATGGACCACTTCATCAGCATCCGACTATGGGATATCCAAAAGGCACAGGGCCTGAGTTTCATGTTGTTTACGCGGATGAAAAGTCGTGAGTTGTTGCCCATACTTTCATTCACTGGCCATTATTGACACAATGTGTAGGGGAAACCTAAGAAAGCTACTTGGGCAACGAACAACATATGATCTATGGCACGTTGACCAAACCTTTACGCCCAACGTCCCGTCGACTAGTTTCTTTTGGGTCCTCGAGCTCCCTTCATCTGGTGGCGGCGACACAGCATTCACTTCTCTCACAGCAGCCTACGAAGCTCTCTCACCAGCCTTTCGACAAACACTATCCAACCTCAAACTTCATCACACATCCGCTTCAGAGGGCGAAGTCAAGCGTGTAGGCCAAGAACGTGCGTTGGCAGAAGCAATCAACACGACGCATCCACTCGTCATCAAACATCCTGTTACAGGCAAACCTTCGCTCTTTGTAAACCCTACTATTGCGCGACAGGTAGAAGGATTTCTACCTGAGGAGTCGGATCATTTGCTTTCGTTCCTTAAGAATCATATTCGTAGCTTGGACTTTAGTTGTAGGATTAAGTGGGAGACAGGAACGGTTGTGGTCTGGGATCAGAGGTCGGTGGCGCATTCGGCGGTGCCCGATTTTCAGGATAACGAGAGGAGACATATGGTTAGGATCATCCCGTATGGTTCACAGCCAGAACCTGCATTTCATTAGTCCGACGTGAGGTTGCCGGGTACAATCGAAATACTCTAAGCATGGGTCGCATGTGTAATACTGTCAACAGCAGACGAGAGATGAATTCATAATTAGACTAATACACAGTCCCATCCTTGCTATAATCGCTAATCATCATATAATACAATTTGTCTTCTTTTAATTACGATTCGCAGTGGTCCAGCGATACGCAGGGTCGATGAGGTAATTCTCAACCTCGACGACGGGCATTCCCCCTAGCGTCGAGCGACTAGCTGTGCTATCGACAGATCGACGATTGTCTGACCGTTCATTCATGACCTTGTTGTATCTCCTGTTTGCTGGAGAGAGGGCGCTGAGAGAAAAGCGACGCTTTGAACTAAATATTTGTGAGTTATTGGCCTCAAGAGGATGATTCGAAGGCATACTTGGGAGCCATGTTGTAGATTGGAAATAGTAGTTATTCGAGTCTTGGGTAATTCTTGTAAGGTTGTTTGTGTTTGTTCCAAACTGTTTGTCTTGATCTTGAATTAGCAAAGGTAGAGATAGAGTTTATATAGATCAATCCACGATGATAGGTACTCAGCCAAGACGCCATCTTCTCAGTGATCAACATCGCCAACGAGCGATGGACAGATTCATTACTTCATTTTGGCCACCCATACCCCAATCATTTTCAAATTTATCATCATGCCACTAACAATTGAAGGGATTTTCACGTCAGTGACATCAGTTTAGTCCAGTAGAGGACAAACACATCAACCGCGCCGCAGAGATGACGATACCCAGCCTGAACGCACATTTATCCAGATATATAACCACCCAATTACAGGCACATGTCTGACCAATCTCTGATTTAGGGACCCTCGGGATGCGGATCATTGCGTCTTGATCGGCTTTGCCTTTCGATAAGCTCCTGTGGATTAGGACCCTGAAAATCACGAATGCTACCCATGTGCATCATGAGGATCACGCTGTTTGGGATCGCGGGTATATATGGGGAAACGAAGTGACAGGTACTACTGCTGTGCCTCTTGTGGCTGTTGTAATGTTCACTTAAAGCGTTTGCATAACATCAAGTGGCGACATGGCTTTTCTTCATCCATGAAAATGGTCGCGCATCTCTCATGTTCATGTTGACAGCATCGACCACTAGGATATCCCATTGCCTTCGCCCGCGTGTTGTACACGTTATCTCTCCAGCATCTCCTTCATCGAAACAACAAAGTCTTCCACCTTGGTCACCAAGCTCAAATGACTATCCCCTTTCATAACCCTCAACTCCGCATTCGGCATCAACTCAACAGCCTTCTCACTCACCCTCAACGGAACATTAACATCCAAATCGCCATGCCACATTATCATCCGACCCTTTTCTACTTTGACATCTTCCAGCTTGAAACCCCAGTCACTTCCATACAATCTCGCTTCCCATGCTGCTGGATAACCACCTTGTTTCATTGATTCTCTGGTAGATCGTAAAAGAGATTGTCTCAAAACAGCGCTATTCTTCCAGATTTCTCCGTCGCTGGCTGATCTTGCGGTTACATCTTTATCCATCATGTCTTCCAGTTTTTCCGGATGTTCCGTGTCGCGTGCTGTGCTTCCTAGTAATTTATCTATCAACCATCCAAGGGGTGCTGTAGCATACGGCGCAACGTTGAACATGATACGCGTTATGGCAAGCATGCCTTGGGTGGAGAATGACAGGGGCATGCATCCAGCTACCGTGCCAATGCCGACGAGTCTCTCACGAGGTAATTCTTTCAGACAAGCAATTGCGTAAGGACCACCGCCAGAGACTCCAAGGATGGCAAAGCGTTGTATCGAGAGAAAATCTGCTATCTCGAGGATGTCTTGGGGATAATCCAGAATCGATCTGTTGTCTTGGAATGTCGAGTCGCTGTATCCTGGTCGTGAAAGCGCGATGACGCGTAGCCCGTGCTTCAGAGCTGCGCTGTGCGTCGAGCCGCCTTCGTGATGAGACCCTGGGAAACCATGGAAGTAGAAGGTTGTAGGTGCATTGTCATTGTCTGTGCCGTAGATTGCATACGCCACTTTTCTCCCGTCTGCCAACGTGGCGATCTTGTCTTGATGTTCTTGCATTCTGCCCCAATTGATTCACAGTAGAGGTAAGTAGCACGATAGAATGATGAGAGGAAACATTGAATTGATTCTCACGTCAGCACGGAGTCACGTGTAGAAACCCAGTAAAGACTATTTGGTCACAGTTCATGGGTCAGGTTCCACCGTTTCCCTACGTCGCATAACTTTGTGAACACAGTATAGGGTAACCAATATTGAGTTGGTGTTTTCGCCTGCCCATGTTGTTGAATTAAACATGGGATGAACTCGATGTGACAAAGAGAAGCTAATTTTTGGAGCTGATCAATATTTTGGTCTTCGATACAACATGATGTATCTGCTTAGTTTCTTCACACTTCGTTACCGGAATCATGGGATTCTCTCCGTTAGCAAAACACTGTCGTTACAACGCTTCGGTATGCCCTGCACTAACAGTGCGCATACTGCAACCAAAATGGGAAACGCATCAATTAATATTTCGGCGCTTTTCAGGTGGCTATTTCGTCATATGTTCTTGTCTTGGAGGTCATAAGATGATAGAAATCTTAGAATCGGAAGCAAGTCAATGCATTCCGGGAGCCCCATCGGATGCTATCCTCAATTCCAAGCCAATGATGAACCCATAATGTTCCATCCGATCTCATGTGGCGAGCTTAAACCCATGCAAAAGAGAGGCTCAGCCGGCTATTCTGCTCCACGGTAGAGGACACTTCCCCGCAAGGAACAACCTTGTTATTGTCAGGCACAGCTGCAAATGTAAGCCATCTAAGACACAGATAAGATCCTGTAGGTACATAACTTTAAAACCAGTACCTGCAATGTATTAGCTCAGGCCACAACTAACTACCAAACGTCCGTCTTTCTCGGTTGGAAAACATTTCCTTCTTTCCGTCCACGTAATCCCACTTGGCACCAAGGCCGAAGAAAACTATTGAGTACGATGCCATTTACATAGTTCTTCTCCGGACCCCGAATCATACGTCGGTCCGCATGGCCGGGTGCCACTAGGACAGAGCCGTACATGATATCCGCTCCTCTTTCGATAGTTGATCACACTCTCGCCAAGGACCCCTAGTAAATCTATGGTAGGTGGGAAAATGTGGATAAAGCGGTTATGACAGGGGTTTATGAAACTCGCTCTGATATTGTAGTCCAGGGTTGACGGCCCGAACTCCGCAGTTCTTGTTCAAAAAACTCTAGAGTCGTCATCTCCACATTGTTTTGTCGCTGCAGGGGTTTCTACCCGCAAATTGCTACTCCGGAACTCGGTAGATGTTCCTTTTGAGATGGGACCTGAATGTGACCTTGTCTCGAATCGGGATGTCGGAGGATACGGAGGTCTGGGGTTCTTGATTGGTTACAGACGTATAATATTCATGTTAATGGGCGAAATGTCTTCAGCTTGATGGGCCTAATCAATTCAAAACTGTCTTTTGAGCGTGGATCTTGACCTTGAAGTCTTCGGATGTAGTCCTGAAATGGAAGACCCCTTGTAGACAACGTGTGATCGTGAACTGTCAAAAATATAGATATAAATGAAGACCCGAAGATGCATCGAAATATCTTCTTCACCACTCAGTCACTCTCTACACAGACTCTCACTCACAGCTCCTGCCCAACATGAAGTTCTCTCCTCTTCTCCTCACAACTCTGCTCGCCCAGACGGTCGTGGGCCAGACTCCTAACAAGACCAAGGAGAAGCACCCCAAGATCGAGACATACCGCTGCACAAAGGCAAAGGGCTGCAAGAAGGCGACAAACTACATCGTCGCCGACGCAGAGCTTCACGGCATCAGCCAGGCCAACGGCCAGAACTGTGGTAGCTGGGGTGAAGCCGCCGACCCCAAGGCCTGCCCCGACGAGGCAACATGTGCCAAGAACTGCATCCTCTCCGGCATGGACGAGGCTGCGTACAAGGCCAAGGGTATCAGCACCTCTGGCAATGCTCTCCGCCTTGAGATGCTCCGCAACGGCCAGTCTGTTTCTCCTCGTGTTTACCTTCTCGAGGAGAACAAGAAGAAGTATGAGATGCTCAAGCTTACCGGTGCTGAGTTCTCTTTCGATGTTGAGACTCAGAAGCTTCCTTGTGGTATGAATGGTGCTTTGTACCTTTCTGAGATGCCTGCCGATGGTGGAAAGAGCACGAGCCGAAACAGCAAGGTCGGTGCTACCCAAGGTGGTGGATACTGTGATGCTCAGTGCTATGTCACACCTTTCATCAACGGAGTGGTAAGTTTATCCTGATTAATATTATTAGACTTTACTGATTAACCTTTGTAGGGTAACATCAAGGGCAAGGGTGTCTGCTGTAACGAGATGGATATCTGGGAGGCAAACTCTCGCGCCACCCACATTGCTCCCCACCCCTGCAGCGTCCCCGGCCTGTACGGCTGCACAGGTACAGAGTGCCAGAAGGAGGGCATCTGCGACAAGGCTGGCTGCGGCTGGAACCACAACCGCAACGGCGTTCCTGAGTTTTACGGACGCGGCAAGAACTTCAAGGTCGACACGACCCGCAAGTTCACAGTCGTTTCCCAGTTCCCCGCCGACAAGAACGGCAAGCTCAAGGAGATGCACCGCCACTACATCCAAGACGGCAAGGTCATCAAGAGCGCCGTCGTCACCATCCCCGGACCCCCAGAGGTCACTGGAAACATCATCGAGGACCAGTACTGCAAGGCCTCGCATGCAGACGACTACATCCGTCTCGGTGGCACAGAAGAGATGGGTGATGCCATGACCCGCGGTATGGTTCTCGCCATGAGTGTTTGGTGGAGCGAGGGCGATTCCATGGAGTGGCTCGATGGAAAGGGAGCTGGCGCTGGACCTTGCACCAAGGAAGAGGGTCTTCCCAGCAACATTGTCAAGGTCGAGCCCAACCCTGAAGTCACATTCAGTAACATCCGCATTGGCGAGATCGGGTCGACACACGCGGTGAAGACATCTCGAGCTTATGGCGCTCACCGCCTGTAAAGTCCCACTTGTGGAGGATCCATCGATTGGAGCCAGAGGTTTGGGGAATATGCAAAACAGTTGTCACTAGCCACTGACACGTGTTTGTCGGGGCGAAAAAAAACTCTTTGGTTACAGGGGTAGTTGATTCATGTATATAAATTATATTATTGAAGATATTTCGAATTTTAGTTTCACAACGGTCTTGCATTTGTCTATCTACTCAAATCGTGACTAATCCATCCAAGTGGCGTACACTAGTTCCATTTTCTCCAATGTACGGATTCTGGGCTCTAGAGCCCTCCAATATCAAGTAAGTCTTTGACTCTAAGTACGTCATTCTCGCTTGTGGCTGACCCTCCATTCTGCAGCAAGAACAAAAGACAAAACGTCATGGGTCTTTTATCCTCCGAAGACCAAGAAATTCCTCGTTCTCTCCAACTCAGCGGTTTAGAGCATCGAATTCCAATGCCTCGTTCACTTTCCGCGATCTCAAATCTTGAGATTCGCGATCTTAATCGCGATCAGGTTCGCTTTTATCATCCTGGTTATCTCAAGCCTTTGAACCTGCTCTTTTGTCTGCCGCGCGTTGACTACGAACCCCTCCGAGGCGCATGGGGAGTTCATTATCGTACTGCAATTACTGCTTGCCAAATCCTTGCCAATAATGCGTTTGGTAGTGGTAGGCTGGCTAGGGATGAGCGGGGAAAGGATATAGTCGCCGATGATGATCAGATTTTGTTGAACAGGGATTATTGGTTCTTTGTCGATGGCGAAGGTATATCACTCATTTTAACAAGAAACGAAATAACGCTGACAGAGCCTCAGAACGATATCCTATTGTCCCCAGCTTCAGAGATTGGCAATTCCCTCATGATAAAATACCAGACTGGTGGGCTGCACCCGAATGCGAAACCACTCTTCACAGCAAGCGATGCGCTGTCACAAATACCAGCTACGCATTCACATGGGCTCATTTGATCCCACGAGATGAGCAGCAATGGTTCAACAAAAACGGCATGGGTCTCTACGGTGGCGGATCACACACCATTGACGACCCTCACAACATTCTCCCTCTCAAGGCCGATCTCTATGTCTGTTTCGACCAGAGTGTTTTCGCTCTCATCCCCAAAGTCGCCAGGTCATCAAATGGCACTGAACACAACCAGTACGTGCTTCATGTTCTGGACGGACGAGAAGCAGAGTTTGCAGCTTTGTACCAAAACCGCAACGTCGAAACACTCGCAGAAGGAAGCAGGGAGTATCTCTTTGCTCGTTTCGCATGGTCCATCTTTTCATTCCTCAAGCCTTTCCTCACATCTGGTGTTGGACGTCGGGTCGTGCGATACCGTGTTCACGCAGCAGATGAAGGCGAAGAGGAAGAACACTTGGTTTCTGAAATGCAAAATGTCTTTTTAGACTCTAGAAAGTTGGATCAGTTGTATGGTGGTGTCAGAGGAAGACGTGCTCCTTCGCTTGAGGGTTCGTATGTGGATGTTGAGGATGAGTGGGAGGATGAGAACCCTGGACGGAATGAGATGGAAGCATGACGGCACAATGAGATGATTTATGCATGGAAATGATGGATCAGTTTGGGTTGGAATTATTGAGCGTTGTATTTGAGGAAACGGATGGGAATTTGACAACAGATATTGTTTTGCTATCTTAGATGAGTTATGGTTTAAATGAACACATATGATTTGCTTAAATTTATTGGTCTCAATTTTGGTTGTCTAAATATCATTAAAGACCTCTTGCCACCCAGCTGAGATTGTGGATTGTGAATTTTGTGGCGACTAACTGACAATCTCATATGAGCCTAACAGTAATACCCTAGAAGTACAACAGAAGATAGAGATAACAGTAGAGGCCAGTGGTCTGTGAGTAGCGTTAGAAAATATTAGGCTGCGTTGATGGCCTCATCTGTCGTTCACTCAGCAGCCAACTTTCCTTCAGGCACCAAAGACAACGCACAGTGGCTTTGACGTGTTCAAACAATGTGTTTGGCAGAAAAAGGTCCCATGAGTTGGCAAGCATAAGTCATGCAGAAATTGCGGAGCTCAATTATGCAGATCATCTAATCCTTGCAAGTGTGTGTTCCATCCAAAACGCTACCAATCTCATCCAACTTTCTCTGCCAAGCGTCTGACTCAACCTTGATATCCCTCAACTTATCCTCATTCGGTCCCTCAGCATCAACAAAAACATTTTCACCGAGAGTCATCACACCGTCATACAGCTCATCGTCGAGGTCTTTGAGCAACTCCGGACCGGCTTGATCGTAAGACTTTTGATCCTCCCAAACAGCAACCTTGAACTTTTTACCACTAGAAAAGAAAAAGTCTTCTTCAAGATCCTTGTTGCTCTCAGCAAATGGCTGCACGGATGCTTCGGGTATTTCAACGAGACCGAGGATCAATCCATCAGAGAGAAGGTTGCTCGTAACAGAGGATGGGATGGGAGGTTCAAAGGTGACGTTGCTGGCCGATAGCGAAATGTTGGGCGACTTGACAAGAGTATGAGTAATGTGAAATTCATCCTCTGAGCCGTAAAGATAAAATGGCATGAACTTGTCAGGATACTCGATGTCGCGGTTAATCGAGTTTAGTGGGCGACTCTTGATCGCCGACTTCAGAGTGATGACGCCCTGCGCCTTCTGATACTCCCTGCTAACTGTTAAAACCGGCTTAGAATGGCTGAAGGGGTGGGAAACATACTGTAATCCATTCTCAAATAAGGAAACTGGTAACTCGACTCCTTCTGAGATACGTTCGATGACCTTGGCGATGTACAGCTCGTCACACGTCTCCAACATGACGATAGTATCCTGACTATCCTTCAAGATGTTATTGTAGAACTTCTTCAGGTCTTCGTCAAGTTCGGCAGATAAGATGACCTGCTGTCGTCGGGTCACACCGTGGAACGAAGCCTGGAACACAAGAAACACCTCAGATGAATCAGGTGAACCTTGTACAAGGAACTGGAGTTTCTTGGCCCCGGGATCGTTTCTCTTTCTACATTCCTTAACCTGTTCAATAACGACATTCTCCAAGTCGTGCATGATGGTGGAGATGAAATCTTTCTTCGTGGGGAAAGGACTCATCACGACGTTTCGGATAACAAAAAGACTTTGGTTTGACTGTTTGACGCCCATTCTCTCCATGAACTTGTGCGCACAGCTACCATAGTCCTCAGGAAGGAACTGAGTCGAAGTGAGGTAAATGGGAATGGTGGAGGGATCAGTGTTCGGAGAAGTGATGGAAAGTTTGTCAACGACTCTCTTCATGAGATAATTGGCTTCTTCCAGATCAGTGTTCAAATCCTTGTTATCTTTGTCGTATTTCCAGTTGAGAGTGAAACAGTTGATGTTGGTGTCAGAGCCCAAGTCACGGATGATCTTCATGGCTTCCTTGTTCTTGAAAATCTCAGTGTCGGTCTTGCCAATGATCAAGTCGCGGATCTTCTTGCGCTCGTTCATGACAGAGGTGGAGAGGAACTTCTTATTACCTTGGTTCTCGGATGGAAGCATATTGAAGGGGATGCACATGAAGTAGTCATTGTCCATGGTGGCATAGTGGGCCGAGATCTAGTTCTTGTTAGTATTGATGTGATTGAGGGATGAGAAGTGGCTTACTCTTGCGCTTGTGAAAGTTGCTTCACCGAGGAGTTTGCCGTAGCCCTGGTGGTTGAGACCAATGGTTTGATTGGAGAACCAAGCGGACATGGCTGAAGCACCAGGCTTACTGAAACACAAATTAGTCAACGATTACTCGAGTGTTCAAGATTACTTGCCTTCCTTCAACACCATAAACACCAATGTTCTCTGCAGATCCTTGTGATAGATACGGTCCCGACCAAGTAACAAGGTGCCTCATCCTCCCATCACGATACACCAAGCTTCCGGCAGGATACGGGATATAACCCGCCTTGTGCGGATCCACCGTGATCGAGTCCGCCTCAGCCATGGCCTTGATATCCTCGACTGTCCTGGGATCCAAGTACCACTCCGGCTCAGGCTTTGTGGTAGTCTGCTCCTCGACACTGTAACGTCTGTCAGGGTTCAACATTGTGGCAAAGTAACCACCCCAAGCTGCATCAGCATGTACGAGGAACGACAACCCGTACTCTTCTTGGAATTTCTTCCGCAGACGAAGAATTTCCGTGAGTCTGTCGACGGCGCCTTCTTCGGTAGAGCCGATGATGGCAACGACTGCGAAGACGGCGGTTTTGTTCTCGACACATTTGTGAAGATGTTCTTCCAGGAGCTTGATATTCATCTGGGCGGCGTTGTTGACGTCTACACCAACGACGTTGTCAGAGCCGAGACCGGCGATTGCTGTTGTCAAGTTAGCATTCGTGATACAGTACTTGTTGTGCGTCAAACTTACCAACTCCCTTGGGCCATGAGTAATGACGAGTCTTGCTGACAAAGTACTTGATTGGCTCCTTGACCTTGAATTCCCTCTCAAGGACCTCACGGCCGATTGACTGAATGTTGAATTCATGTAGAGCACTCTCAAGAAATTTGCTGGTGATGCCGAACTGCTTGTTGAGCTGGTCAGGAAGATCGAGGATAACCTCGGAGCGAAGGTTGAGGAGATCCCATCCTTGAAGATCTTTGAACAGGGTCTTGGTTGTTGAGTGGAAGCATGAAGTAGCGTAGAACCTGTCTGCGATGAATTGGAGCTTTCCACGTCGGAGAGCAAGACAGAGACTGAGAGGATAGAACTTGATGTTTCGGGCTTGTCATGTTAGCATGAACCAACTCGTAGTAAGCAGGGGAGATCACTTACCAACCCAGATAGACTCCAAATTGGCAATCGTTCCATCACAGGTGATGTGTCCCCACGAGAGAGGATGTTTCTGCGCATCAACATTGTACCCAAACAACTTGCAAAGCTGCTGTCCAACCCTTAACTCCACAAGTGTCGTCATAGGACTAGCCTCGAGAGCGACATTGTTGGGGTTGTACAGCATAGTCATGAAGTACCCGAGCAGGGACGACATGGTCAAGTCAGTGCACATGTGGGCCTCATAGCGAGGGGACCAGAACGGTGCCGAGTGCTCGCCGAGAAGTTGTGCTACTTTTTCGGTTGCGAGACGAAGGTCCGAGCGGGCTTTGAGGAATACTGGGGAGCGACGGTATTCTTTGGATATGAAGGCCTATATAGTGTTAGGGTTGGACATTTGTTGTCAGTGATGGAATAGTTACCTGGTCTTGAGGATAGTAGCTCTGACGAGCGGCGAGGAGTTCATCGAGGATAGTGTTGATGTTGGCGCGGAAGTCGGGCAGGTTGGAGCCCTTGGGTCCGATGAAGTAGGCGTGGACTGCATCAAACTCTTCCTGTCGTACCTCTTTTGGGGCTTCTTTTTGGACTTCAGTCATGATGGGCAATTGTCTCCTGTAAAATTGAATAGAGTATGCTTCGATGTCTTTGGACTCAAGACCAGAGCTTTGATGATGGACTGAAGAGAAGGTCCAAATAAGAGGTTATATATCAATCAAGCCTCTCTTTTCCCTTCTGGCTAATGAAGATCTACCGATTCTCGTGACGTACGAGATATCTCCCTTCATGTAATCTCTCCACATGAGAATCATTTGTACGTACGGCACATCATAAATCATGGCACGGAATGCTGCAAAACCAAGGACTGGTGCAATTCTTGCGGGTTCGTCAAGGATCGGAATTCACGTCGTGCCGCTTTTTCAAGGGACGTGAGACAAGATTCAATGGAAGACGAAATGATCTACCGGCGCGGTCCGGCTGATGCAAGGGCGATCCAAGACAACAAGGGATCCGTGCAACAATTGAGGTCATTTCCAAGGAGAAATTTCCTTGAAGTGATGGATCTTCCATGTAATGCAGCCACTGTTTCGATAGTTCGCGGGCCGTGTCATGGAATTGGCCAATCGGAAGAAAGTGTAAGGAACTTCAGCTGTCAACTAGTAATGATTGTGAGACAGAGATTTGAGGCCTTCCATACAGCGTCATTTATTGAGGATGACCTAATGGAGTTACGATATTCCTACTATAAGGTTAGTCTTTGGAAGTTAAAAAGAGAAATTCGTGAATCAGCACGGGGTTGTTCATGTTATTCCGGAGTAGAAGTAAGACTTTGATCGAAGGACCCCTCGTGCAGTATTCATTCACAGAAACGAAGAAATCAAGTTTACCTATAGTTCTGTTGATAATGAGAACTTCCACTCAACTGCTATGAATGAAAGCCACCAACTGTTTAGACATATTTGGTTTTGAGTATCAAATGAGATCGCCGACCTTCATGTTTCAATCCAGATTCATCCATTACAATTTATACCTAGTTCTTTCACTTATAAATGCCTTCTTCCACCACAGCCCTATTCTATTGGGCCATAATCTTCTTGACTGACTTCTCTGTAAAATCCAAGGCCTTCGGAAGCTAATTGGTCTATCTCGTCATCTATGGAGACCTGCTCGTAGCTCCCTAGCAGAAAATCATACTCGGGGTTTTCGTCAAAGCTCCTTTCAAGCAGGTCTCTAACACTTAACTCTGTTCTATCGATTGGTCCGAACATATTATTACACAAACCCTCCCAAGGCACTTGATTGATAACACGACAGCAAAAGAGGTTTTTATCGCCGTATGTGTGTCTCGGCACAATATTACGAATACGCGAGTAGGATTCGACAGCAGAGTTTGCAATCTCGTGAACCTTGTATGCCTGGGTTGGTATTCCGCAGGACGAGACAGCAATTAGTAACCGATTGAGTAGATACTGCATATCCACTTCGAACGTTGCCCAGCCCTGGGTTGGATAGAGATATTCCCAACTACAGATATGGCGATATTCGTTAGAATCTAATTCTCCATGGAAAATATTCACTATGATTCTTCGACGCCAGTATTCTGGGCATGACGGTGCCATACTGTCAATGACTTTTAAAATCGTCGGTAAAACGTCGTAATCACCACGGCTGAACCGGTTCAAGGCGCCTCTCAGGAGCAACTCATACGCAGATATTTCATGAGTAAAACACGCGTCATCGTCGAAAGGCGGCCTTAGTGACGGTGATGTCAGGCCAACCGCATGTGGGTCTGCATCCGATGCAATGAGTCGTTGGATCATTTGTGTTGGGGGGCTTGCCATTTCTGCACTATTCCACTCAATGCATATGTCGCGAAGAGCGACAGTAGGAGCCTGAGATGATCCTGATTGCAGCATCCAAGAAAGACAGAGGTCTTACATATTTGTCAGCTCACATGCAAGGCGAGCTGGGAGCGAACGAAATGAGTACGATGTATGTCTATATGCACCTTGATCCCAAAGGTTTTGAATGACTTGAAGCACTGGCAACATGGCCTTGTCGTTGACACCTTGCTTTTGGAGTTCAACACAGTGTTCGATGGCATCGTCCGGCATTGCCGTTACCCCAATTGTGTGATACACTGCCGAGAGATAAAGCTCAGACTTGAACATCTTAAGCTGTAAATCAACCATTCGATTCATACCACTGTAGTAGTTGAGGATATCTTGCTCAGGTTTTGTATCAACTAGAAAGTCGTGAGCTGTGCGATGAATGAACTGAACCGAACGAGTAAATGGATAGATTTCGCTTGTAAAGGCATCCTTCCTGTGGCTGGTGTCGAAAACAGACTTCTCGGAAATTTGGAGCAATCCGGCGCAACGAGTACTAAGATCGCTTTCTGTCGCGTCACATAACTGCTTCAGCTCATGCAAAGATTTATTGTTGACTCTGGGGGGAAACATTTGATCATCCTTAAATTTTACCACCATTGATAGTTGGGCCAAGGTTGGAGTCTCCCTGTACATCCTGGACCTTTCATATGCATCGGTACCCCGGAAGCTCCATCCATCGGCTATCATACAATGGAAATACATTGCAGCAGTTTCTCGATAGATCCTGTTGTTGGCATTGAGTTTGGACCACATGGCCTCGTACAGTGCCTCAAGCTCATCGGGTAATTCATCCAGTCGTTTCATAAGGGATTCTTCGTCGTCGCCATTCTCGATTCCGGTAATGATACTGTGTGTTGCCAAAAAAAAGCCAAAGGAAAACTCCATCGGCCTTTCTGAGCAATATGTCGATAATATTTTGCAGCAAAGAGGCAGATATCAATCCTTCTGAAGATCCTGCCAGCTGTTTTTGAATATAGACTGTCATCTCGGGTCTGGTAAGATCATGCAGACGTAATTTCTGAGCCTTCTTTCCTTCAAGTCTCTTTACAAGTCCTGTCTCAAGCCGGCTTGAGACACAAATCTTTACCATAGGCATCTCCCATATCCTCCACAGGACGCGAATGAGCACTTGGAAACCGTCTTTATCAGAGATTTCATCAAGGCCATCGATGAAAATGCAGGTTGGACAGGTTTGGCTTTGTAAAAGGAAGTAAAGGACCTTTTCGGCCTCTTCACTTGACCACTCCTGATAGAAATCTTTCGACCTCGAGAATGAAAAATGTTCCAAAACTTTGTCTAGCATCTCGTAGTCACCGTCAAGAAGGTCGTGTAGTAAACAGCATAACAGCCCTTTGATACTATTTTGTGATTGTTGTCCTATCTTCCAAAAAAAGTATGAAAGGATCCTCATTTCGGAATTCCAAGATTCCAAGAGACACGCCGTGTTGTCGTTTTCAATGATGAACTTCATCAATGTACTTTTTCCGGATCCTGGCTTCCCTTGTATCCAAAATAGAGGATCGTCTGATTGGAGCCATGCGCCGAAAGACTCCCAGATGCAATCGATATTGCCGACATCCACATAATCGCAATCATCGGAATCATCAGAATCTTCAGACTCGTCAGACTCGTCGTGTTCATCGGTGTTGTTGGAATCATTAGAATCTTCGACATCATTTTCTGTTTCTTCCTGAATTCCAATTAAGAAACCCCTCTTGATCTTTCTCCAGTCTTTGTGATCAGAATCCTTACGACAAACCCGCTCGTATGACGCAAAAACCCTCTCGAAGGAAGCATCTGATGGAGACATCACGTCGTTGTATCTCATTCGTATCTCTGCTGGCTTGAGACTCTTCAATAGACGCTCTCTTTGAGCGTCTGTAATAGCCTTCGCTTCGGAAGCTTTGAAATGGGCGGCAATGTTTGTGCTAAGCACTTTCCGCGTTTTTTGGGTTTGTTCTGCAACAAGGTTCTCGATCTTTGTCTGGCCACTCGCGAGATTGCGGATAAGATCTTGGACATCGCGTTCGAGTTGAGAAAATGCCTGGCTTTGTTGCTTCTCTATCGCAGTACTCTGGTCACTGCGTAATTCACATGGTTAGCATAATTGGCAACATGTATCTTTGGGCATAAGGTGATAATCAAGGTACACTGCTAATCAGTAAATTACTTACCATATTTTGAATAGCAACTCTGTCTCCATGACCTTCCTGCACCTTTCTAGAGATTGTTCCAATTCCTTTATCGTTGCTTTGTGCGCGTTTGCGCGAAGTGACATAGAGACGGCTCGGCGGAACTTGCCCTTTTGATATCGCCTAGTGATACTTTGACTCTCCTTCTGCAGTTCCCCGGCTATCTGGACGCATTTTTCAGCGATTTCAGATAGCTTTGCTTTTGCCGGCAAAGGTTATGAATGACAGTATAGCACTAGCGGCGCCAACAGCCTCCAATCCCGTAGCCATCACTCTTTTTGTTTTCTGCTCGCAATGAACTCAGACAATACCATAAAGAGGGCACAATACGTATTGCAGGATGCGTTTGTGCGTTTTGATGCTACAAAGTGTAGTTGAAAGATCCTGACCACCCGGAATTTGAAGATACATGGAATTGAGCGGGGAAATAATGAATTGGTGATGCCAGATGTAAATTAGGGCCCAAGTCTTCTTTATGACATCAGGCTCTGTGCTGACCCAGCCCCAGACTGTTCCCATTGAGCGACCCAGCTTGCAGGGTAAATATCACTCACTATCTTATGATGATGACCTATCATTTACCGCTGAGTCTTAAAGAACAAAATATGATGTGTTTTTATAGGCGGACTCGTCTTACCGATGCATTACTCAGCCACCCGAATCTGACGTGGCAAAGCTTTTCACACCCTGCCTTCGTATGCCGAATTGATTCATTGCTGATAACTTCAGACATTTGTTTTCGCTTGCCCGACTGAAAATACAGAAATCTAAAAATGGGGTTTTGAGCAAGACTCTATAATCTGTGCTTTGCACACTACAGATTAGATTATATTAGTCACGGTTGAGACTTCAACATTAACATATGTAGCTATTGACTGTTATGAACACGGCGTTATATGGCTTCTTGATCTGGCTACTAAACGTGACTTGGTCTCTTTGTAAGCTTCGTTTGTTCTGCTGGTAGTTTGACAACTGACATGTAGGACCAACGCGCCGAGTACCCAAAAATGAATGCCTCCATTATGTAAACAATCACGAGATACTTGGAAGAATGCACATCTGTTTCTCCAAAACTCCGTCTGGAAGTTAACTAGAACTTGGTTTGTAGGGTTGTTGCTGACCAGGAAGATGACACATTCTACTGGACTTAAAACTTGTAATTCACTTAAATGTATTCTCGTAATTTAGCTTTCGATAGTTTAATATATGTCTGTTCTTCGCACAAGTCTTTCGTTAGTTATTTCTACAACGGTAAACTTAAAAACTTCCTCCTGAGAATTCCTTCAGATACTAGGGACAGTTGAAAAGTCTTGAGTATAAAACAACTAGTAAATAAAACATCATACATATACTTGTGAACTTTATAGAACCCACAATAGCATGCAATCGAAAAGCCATTCAATGTGATACAGCAGATTTGGGAAAGACTGAATCGGCCGGAGCTTCGTAGTAGACCTGTGTTTGAGGTGTTGTCGCATATGGCTCTTGTTGGTCAGTAGGTACCACCAGCTTCTTTCTTCGACGAAGCCAGACAATCACGATCACAAAAAGCCCAATAACGACAACAACACCAATTACACCACCGACAATTGCCCCTACGTTGGGCTTGCTACTAGGGTTATCTGTAGGTTCGGGTGTATCTGAAGTCGATGTAGATGCGATGGCAGGGGTGGATTCGACCGTATGAGATTCAGACTAGAATTCGGTCTCGGTGAAAGGGTCCTCCATATATGTTGTCGTGAAAGCGCGACCCTTTTGTCCATCGTAAGAGAAGCTTACATTTTGGGCCTTCATGGACGATTGCATACATCGATAATCCACGATGCCAGATTCATAGTAATATGTTCCGCAATAAGGCTCATTTGTCTTCGTGCTGATTTATGGTTGTTAGCCAAGGAATGATTAATTGAGTATGACTCGTACCACAAAAGCTTGAATTCGTCACTCTGACAGACATCATTACACAAAGTAGTATTGAGTGCAACGGTTCTTTCAAGACACTGCGTGTGTATAACTAAGCCGCAGAGAATAACCTTTACTTCGCCAATTTCCCAAGTGCATTTTGTGTTTCCATAGCATACAACGCCACTACCAGCTGAGCCTGAGACGTATCCGCGGTGAAAGGTATGCAAGATCGCGTCGTTTGGTGGCTTCAGGGAATGCAAGAACATTAAAAAGAGTGTGAGACAAGACGATGATAAACACAAAGGAATTAAGCTTTGTCATGACTTGGTATATGAGCCCAATGAAGTGAATAGGAGAACTGGAAACAAACATGCAAAGTTGGAGATAAGAGTTTGCTATAGATTATTATTATAATTAGTCCTCGATGGGATATTCCTGGGTAGGGGTGAGTGAAGGAATTGGAAGCGAGCTCTTCAGCAGGCCTGAGAGGGCTTTTGTGTTCGTGAAATTAACGTTGCTGTATGAATTCTACAACTGAGGGCTGGCTAAATATTGAGACGAAGCCAGAATTAGACTTTGAGTATGAATAACCAACGATCAAATCATCGTTAGTACGGCTGACAGAGTGACAAAACGTCAACATACAACTGGTGCTCACTAGGCCATTGCGACACAACAAAAGATTAGAGTCGTCCGATCACCCACGGGGGCTCGTCTGACTGCGGTACGATTCGTCCCATTAAGCCACAATTTGCAGTTGGTTGGGGAACTTGTTTGGTCAGAACACAGTCTGGCTTATCTATTCATTGACGGAGCCAATTTTGAGACTGTAAACACGCAGCTGCAAATAGAAGTGAACTTTAAAAGTTCAATTTAACTTGAGTCACTGAGCCCGCACAAATCGACAAGCAAACAGGTAGAAACCAGGAAAGGTCTTCCACTAAACAATGTAGTGTTGTTACGAGTCACCGAGCCTTCTAATGGTATCAAGGAGCCCCAATCAGATACTCAAGGTATAGATACACATTTGCGTACGTAGTTCTTATTGCACAGGTATGTGGGCTGTTCAGCTGTCTTGTTTTGCCCCTTCGAGACCCAGGAGTGAGCTTTTAGCGTTTTTAGCGTATGCTAATAATTGCCTTCATGAGCTGACAAGCATATACGTAGAAGGATTTACGGCTTTGTGGAAAGTGTTAAATGATGGGATGTATCTCTGAGACTTAAGAGGTACTCTTCTCATTTCAATTTACACCATTGACGTCCATCAATTTGATGATCATCCTTGTAAAGTTCATGTATCCCATTGATAGTTACCTGGTAGGCATGCTAATTATACTACGGCCGCACACTAAAAAGTCACTCACAGTCTCAAAAATATGTTTTTTCGTGTTTCCTACACACTGGGTCAGCTGTCGAGATTATTAAATAAACACATAGTGTTTCTTTTAACGTCCGACGCATATTGGGAAAATTTTGAAACCTTGTCTGGATTCGTTAACGCGGTCTTGTGATCATCGCGGGGATTGACCTGTGTATTGAGATACGTCACGGAGGACGGTATAGACCCCTTGCATAGAACAGCCAGCTCTATCACTCTGTCCACACTGTGTTTGCTGACAGAAGCATTCCAATCTCTCTCATTCATCCTCAACTTCACAGTTATATCGAAAGGTCAGTTGCTGGCCCATATCACACTTGCCGATATCAGGACGGTGACACATGAATAGTTCTGAAGGTAGTACAAACTGTAGTGAATTGAGTTAGCCACCATCTGTCATGTTCCAAAATGTCGGATTCCCATCAATCACCGAGATCGCGTGCTAGCTACCACACACAAATTAGGTTCTGGCCTCGAGTCGAGAATGCCTTGTCTAATGAACCCGGGCGCATAGGCTACTGCAATGGGCCAATGGCGAGCAGATCTTCAGAGACAGTGCGAAATTGAGCAAAGCCGAACCGACATCCTTTTCCAATTGGTTCACAAGACTCTTTCATCCCCGAGCTAGATGCTCAGCCCCCCAGTGCCTGCTTCAAGGGAGGTAGCAAAGCGGCACAGAATCTCTCAGCCTGATTATGGCAGAGATCGAGAAATACTAACTCGTTTGGTATAAATTTCAGGTTTGATTGAGGCTCTTGACGTTTTGGGATGCATTTTCTAATAGTTACCCCTTCGCGCGTCTGGCACTCCAGCCGTCTTGTCGCAGTCAAAAGAGAACAGGAGGTATAACCCAACTGAACAGTCCCTACAAGTAACACCGACCTTCTTTCCACATATGAGAGGCAAAACCCATCCTTGCTCCAGTCACAGACCGCCAAAGGCAAGCAAAGACAAAAACAAGCCTCTGGACCGAAACAGACGTAACCCCTCCCACGCCAGTCCCCCTTCCTCTTCCTTGCCATGACGGTCCTAGACTCCTGGTCTACATTTTAAGCTTGAAAGGCAGACATGGCGCATGCCGGAAGGCTGTGGTATGGACCCTTCCATCTCATGGGGTTGTGGCTTAGACACTTTTATTTCATGGTATGCCTTTCCGTTTTGTGAGTTGTTGCGTAACTCATGCACACCTTGAGTACTGGCCTCCTTAGCTCGCCTTCTCATGAGGAAATACCAAATAGCCGGAAGAAGTAACAAAAACGCTGAACCGCAAACCACTGGTCCTGCTATCCAAGCTGGGTTCGATTTAGTTTCTAAATCATGTTTGTTAGAATCTCATAGCTAGTTATAAAGAGCAAGAGGAAACTTACCTTAATATACAGGTACATCTAATGTGCTCCATGGGGTAGAACTAGTCTCTGTTGTAGATTTTGGAGACTTGTCAGGTTCTAGAGTTACGGGAATGTCGCTGACACTAGAGATGTTGTCCTATATGTCATGGTCTACATTGCCAATAAAATATGAATAGGAGGTTGCATAAGAAGAGGCAATTTCTCCAGAAGCGGTGTATACGCTTGTAGTAGATGCAACATTAGTCTTATCAAAGCCTTCGCAGACGCTATCGGCAATGCCCACTACACTGAGAACCTCTTTGGTGCTGCACACTGCGGTAATACAGTTAATTATTCCGCCCAAAAGCCTGTTGCTGAAGCTAATGTCACATTGGCAGGTGGTATCATCGAGCTCATAGCCGGCCTTGCGGACCCCATCCTGGAGGCATTCCAACTGTGTGATATCACTCAGTATTAATATCTTACATGGAGGGTTGTTTTGATGAATGCACTTACAGCATATTTCGGTTCGCCATCGCGATCGCCATGCTGAGCGGCAGTGAAGCCTATAGTAACATAGGTATAATCGCTCAAATAGACACTCCAGGTACCCCTTGGAACACTTTATAGGTAATATCCACTGTCTTAAAAAGACATTGCCATGATCACGGTGATGGGGACAGAAGCACACCCTGTGCCTTTCCAAAACTTGACCGGCGTAAAAAATGATATTGAACAATTAATAAGTATAAATATAGGGTAGTTTTGTTTTTATTCTCCAACCAAAACCCAATAATTCTTCCAATACTTCTCATTCTCAACTATGAAAAATGATGGAATGTGTTAACTGTACACGCAAGAGATTTGGATTATGTATACGACTGCTTCCTGTGGAGTACGACACCCCAAATTACTTCATGCTGCCACGGCAGACAACTTTTCTCATTACTACCTGTTCACCGATGGATTGCGGTACCAACACAGGCCTGATATCTAATCTTTTTCAACAGGCAAGCCATGATATGAGGCGGAAATGAGAAATCATAGAACTATATTCCATCTAGCTGACTCTGATGAATCTCATAGGTGGTTGGGAAGTCATAAGCGTCATCGAGTGAAACAGGCTTGGAATGATGCTCGGTTTGCCTAGTCAGAGTACGACACACTCCTTTCTCCAGATGGCCTTCACCGACTTTTTTTTCCCAAATGTACAATGACACCACGACTCTTGCCCTTCCCATTCAAAACGTCTCTTCACAGTCCTACTCAACAATTGGTTTCCGGTTTATACCAGAACTTGCAACATCCAGATGTCATAAGCAAAGGAAACAGGTGGCAAAGGCTACTCCCAAAGGTCATAAGCAGACTGGAAGTTTCGCTTTCTGTCTTTCAAATGTCGTACCCACAGATAAGCAGGTTGTGGTGTCAAGAATGCCTTGACTACCCCCTCGAGACGCACTGCTTGTTGAGATGGCAAAAATGTTGAGAGACCCTCCCGTCTGAGACAGGCGTTTTGTGGCACACCTGAAAAGGTTTCAGTCACCAATCGGCTGACAAGATTCTAGATTCACAGACAGTGTCGTAGAGCTCAGCTTTCAGTCCCACAGCCTGATTTCAGGGAGACATGCCTGACACAGAAAGCCCTCGTGATTGCTAATGGCGATTCTGACACGAAATCGAAGATCTGTTGTCATATTATATGACCTTTCCCCATGTTCTGAGTTTTCTGAAGACTTGAAACCGTTTTTCTAGCTATTTACCCCTTTGTGTCACAGCCGCATAACGTTGTCTGCGTTTAAAGAAATAATGGTCTTCTTCCAGATGCAGGTACGCCGAAAATTGCTACTGCCTCAGGTTATCACAGCTAGGCACAAACATCGCTAGGCAAATTGCCTGTCGGGTGTTGCTAGTTTGTTACTTACTTTCCGCCAGAGGTTAGGTCGTACGCCCCTACAGACGTCATTACTGCCTTGTAAGGCGCCCATGTGAATAGAGTTCCATCTAGAATCAGATCTCGGCACTTTGGAAAATAATTTTACTGGTGCAGCGGCATCAGCCAGCTATACGCACAGAAGTCGATACCCGATGGCGGATTGAACTTAAAAGAAGCCGTTTGTTTCATATCAACGCTAGTACCTACCTTATGCAAACGTTCCATGTAATCTTCTCGTACATTATCGAAGCAATCAATAGCACTATGTTTACTCTTCACCAAGCTCTGCTGACAAGGTGCTTTAGCACAGGTTATAATGGTGATCCTTTCGCATGCTACAATGAAAGTCTGACGCCTCTCGGCTTGGCCCGAGCTTTCCGCGGCAGTCAACAACGTACATACGACAAGACGGTGTCAGACGAACGAATGAAGACTTTGACAGGCAGTTGATGGAGTTGCTGTTATTTATATTTAGTGACGGAGCCCCCGCTGGAAATATTCTTGGTCAAATGCCGAAGACGACTGGTTCTGTCCGCTGGGTTCATTCCTTGGAGGACATCTCTTCATCTTTCTTTATTCTGTGCGTCGATCCTCCAATGTCAGACACTAGTTTATCTCTCGAACCGTATGGGGACATTCCCCTTCGACAAGCCCAGTGCAAGTATGTTCTATATCAAAGTATGGATTCAATGGACACCCTACTAACACCATTAGTATCGGAACTATCTCTGCTCTCGTTGATAGCCTGGCCCGAGCAAGGATAATTGCTGTCATTGCACTGAAAATACTCTATGATGAACCGCTCAATGCTCATCGCGAGAGATGGATTTGTCCCTTCTCCAAATGCAAGGAACTATTCGCGAACCCCAAAGACATGTTGTTCCATGCCGCAACGTGCACTCATGTTTCCGCCAACGACGCCTACTGTAATTGCTGCGGCTCGTATTATAACTTTTCTGGCCAAGGCCCGGCCTCTCTGACTAGCGGCAATGAGAACGCGCCTGAGATCTTAAGAGATCCAGCTGCGGCAAAAGGCAAGCAAAATATCGTTGGTCTCTCGTCTATTTGCTCTGGGGAGGCTGCAGATGTTGGCTCTGATCGCCGAATCGTCGAAAGCAATACTTCCACCATTGCGTATCCGAACTGTTCTGTCCCCACACCAATCATGGGATTCCATATTCAACAACATCACACTCAGTCAACAGTCCCTATCATGCCATCGGAAGACCATGCGGAGCCTATTAACTCGGATCATGACGATATCTGGATGTCACTGATGTCACATGTCCCTTCAGCCGTTTACCAGGACAACACACAGCAAGAGTACAATGGTACCGCTTCACATACCCACAGAGAGAGTCCAAGTCATCCATTACAGCACTATGAAGTAGCCTATCAGGCATCTCTATGGGACGTGGACACTCGACAAACCGAGGCCGAATGGAACACACTTGGCCAGCTTGCCATGCATCAACAAGCACCAAAAGCACCCATAGTCAATGTACCAAACCTTTCGTTTCCACTCCACAGATTTCAATTCGAGTCAGGTGGTGAGGCTTGTAGCTCTCGTATCCACCATTTGCATCCGCAAAGTGATGTTATACCCAACGTCGCACCACTTCTACGATATAACAGTGAAGAATACGTCAACCTGTTGCACTTCTCACCGACATATTCCAACCAGCCCGATGTAGAAATGACATGCGATGATATCCCGGAATTGGGGGCAATGGGAGGCTATTTAGCGACAGCCTCCTCATCAGCGACAGCCTCACCAGGATTCCCTAGCTTCGGTGACATTGATAATACGGAGGTCCGCTGCCCTGAGTGTAATTATCAACCAAAAGGCGCAGACGCCACCAAAGGAACAAGGTTGAAAAGACATATCAAGGAGATACATAAGAAAACAATTCGTCCGAAAAGAAGGACTTGGTAATCATAGATGTTTGTCGGCAGGTACAAGTCAGCCAGGTCGAGGCTCTTAAAAGCGGTAGGAAGAGGCCGCCTGATTGTTGGTGGATCGAAAATTGAAGGACTGAATTGGAACTTGATTGGGAATTTCTAAACTATTACAATGAATTTGAAATCTATTTTATTCCATAAACTATTTGCCTGCCAAGCAGAGAATGGTGATACAGGGACTTAGGGGCAATGTACAAGTAGGTTAGGGGAAATGGCAAGCAGAACGACGAACAGAGGAGCAATGCACGGTTGCGAGGCATGGGGATAAAAGAGACCCTATAACTCGTGCCAGTTACTATTCATATTTGCAACTTCCTTACGAGATGGATACGAAGCAGCCGAAAACAGCACTACGTGAGACAAAAAAGCTCGATCCGGCGGCTGGAAGAGGCATCTGAGACATTCATGCAGGGCAGCAAAGGAAGTGTCCCACACCGAGAGATGTAAGTCGTCATGTTTCTTGTTGGAATGCAGATCGCAATAATCTAATTTAGTTCAGCTTTCCTACATGTTTAATGGCTTCCTACCAGGTCTAGAAGCCAGGGTATCCATGAATGCCTGCTTGAGATCATGTAGGTTGATGAATTAGAGTTTGTGTAACCAGTGACATCCCAGATGTGATTTATCTTTGCAGGATCCAGGCACAACCTACAGATGTGCACTCTCAAGAAGGTGTAGTCTTCAGGCAGGGCTGGGTTGTGGGTTTCATAGGGCTTTCCCAGAAGTATCGTCAGTTGTTGTTTACTAGGCGACTGGGAGTCGCGGTAATGAATTGGAGATTAACTCATGAGTATAAAGACTGGTTTAGAGACAGTCTTAGATGTTTAAATTAAGACATACATGAAACTAAGCGAACAAAACAAACTCACATCGAATCATATCCAGAAGAAGCCATGGGTAATCCTTTGTCGATCAACACATCCGCCCTGTAAGACCCTTTCATCCCAAGCATTGTGGATTGTAGCTAACTGCATTTTTAAGTCCACCGCCTCTGCAAAAACTCACACTCAAAAATCTGAAGAAGATTCCAGCTGGACCTAGCATGATGTGGAATGCAATGCAGGAGCAGAGTCACGAGAAGGTAGCTTTGGGTATACCGACTGTGCCTAAAGACCGAAATAAACATGGGGTAGAACCAGAAGGATTCTCATGAGATCAAGTAGGATCATCATTTGTTCAAAAAGGGAATACCAGTAGTATTGTCAGGATCACCCGTATTTCACTGGAAACGAAAATTTCGCTAAGAGAATGAACGGACATTGTTGGTTTATCATTTAAAGATTGACGTAATATAAATAATTAACTCGTGAATAAATCATATCCCCTTTCCAGGCCTCGGCAAAAAGGCAGAAACAGAAACGTTGTATGCTCTCCAATCCCTCCACCTGTATCATGACAATTTCAGGTCGAGATTTGGTTCTCTTGGCAGAACTGAAGTGTTCTTTGCATCTGCGATAGCCTCCCCTTCAAAGACTTATACCACAATGTTTTGTCGTCTGATTAATCACGAGGGCCGAATATTAGCTTGGTCGAAAGTGGTACCCACAGGATTAGAACCGCCATTCTGCAAGATTGTGTACGCAGCACGACCCGGCTCCACCCTCTCTCTGTTGCTCTTTAACTTTTCGACCTTGCCATTAGTCTTTTTGGCTTCCTGGTCGAGGCGTTTTCTATTATCCTTGTACACTTGTATCCTGTCCTTTTTATCTGCTCGTTCGAATAACTTCGCATTCCGTTTAGTGTTGGGGCAGATGTCTCCGACTGTGATAGAAGCCTCGAAGCTGACAAAACTACCAACCGGGAATTCCAATTCTTCGTTGACTTCGATAGTGAAACTTGCCGTACCGTTTGGAGTGGGGGCCAATCGACTATTATATATGTTAGTTTCTACACACAGTTGATACTTTGCCATGGGGGAATTTTACATTGCTCGGCGTCCGTCAATTTCAATGAATGTTGCGTAGAGACCTAGCGTAGCCTCGCTGAGATCTATTTTAAGCACAATATCTGTAGGTACAGCTGCGGTACTAGTAACCGTCTTGAAAGTTGATGGGATAGTTTGCGTATGGATGATAACAGTAGGCTCAACAACTGGAGTATGGATGGGTACAGTTGGGATGGGATGTTGGACTGGCTTAGAGCTTGGGATAGAAATAGGCGGATGGGGCTTAGGTACATCATTTTTACTAGGCTCTGGCGCTTTGGAGGTTTGAATAGTTGGCTGAACGGTAACAGGTTCGGGTTCTGAATACCGAATGGGTGCATCCGCACTTGATTCAGTACAGGGGATTTCAGATTCCGTAGTCATGGTCTGAACATGATGACTTGGCGAAGTTGTCTCAGGTGTGAAAGATGGTGGACCATAATGGTAAGATTCTGTTACAGGTTCAAATGGGACCGTTGGTACCGAAGGTTGAGTAGTATCACATGGAGTGGTTGCCTCCACTGGTGTTGCTGTTATATCCTCGGACTCAATTGGCGGATGGTAATAGACAGATTCTGGTACCGATTCGTATGGGACTGTTGGTAATGCAGACTCAGTAGTTTCGCATGGAGTGACTGCCTCCACAGTTACTTCATGCTCTGACTCAATCGCCGTAGGCAGTACAGTTGACTCAACTGTCGATGGATCTTCCACTGAGACAATTGAGCTTTCTGGATGATCAGGCTCCGGTGAATGGTAGTTTTGTCCGTCCTGATTGATACTCAGTGTTGGGTATGGTTCGCTCAGCACCTCATCTGTGTGGCCCCAAACACCTCCAACGATAAGACCAACAATGGGTAAAGCCAAAGGACGCATCTCGGTATATCTCTAGATTGGCAGTGATGGCAATGAAAGTTGTAGAGTATGTGGTTGTGATTTATTTTGAGGACATAGTTAGGGTTGTCTGCTATATAAGTTGGCCCATTGATCTACTTGATTCCGGTTATACCACAGCCTCATTATTCTTGATGACAACCTCTTGATATGGCTGTTACTATTTAAATATGGGGCTGGAGGTGCATGAGGCTATGTGCATGCGTAGTATGAACTTCGCATGTAGGCAATCCACTGTATCGTGGTTCGATAGTCGTCAAAGATTGTTGGCTCTGAATGTGTTCCGGCAATGCATATTGACTCAAAGTCGTCTAGACCGCTTCAAACTATTGAGACATTATGCGTAGCCTACCTCTTCTAGACCGTTCGAATGTACCGAATTGGACAAAAGAAAATTGTAGAGAATGGAGATTTAAAACTGACGAGGGAGTTCTTTTTTTTTTAGGTCCAAATCTTTGAACTGATTTCCATATGCACAGAACAATAAATGAGGATCTTCGTTGCAGGCTTATCCTGTACTTGTGGTCTACTAAGACACTTGCCTGATGATGTGTTATCCAGACCCCAACATTATTTGCTTTTTCACCTTGGTTTAGAGTCTGATTCGATACATTATACAGCATTTATGCATCATCTGCAAGACGATCCCTCAACTCTTGCTCATGGGCATGTAAATTTATGCAGTTAACACAGCCACAACGTCGTAGTGAAGGCCTCATGACTGATAGCTACGGGATTATGATTGGTTTCCATGTTTAGCAACGCTTTGCGGGGTTGTCTATCAATGTGTCTCTTTCTGCTTTGCTTGTCATTTTTCATGGACAAGCATGTGATGTGAGGCGAATTTGCGGCTATCATGTAAAAATAAATCCCCATACCCGAAGTCGAGGGGACAGATTTGAAACGAACATCGATTTCTTATGAAACAGCTTATCTAAGTTTGGCGATGAACATAATATTACATTTTATGATATTCTTTTGCCTGTCTATTGCGCAGGGTTACATTCTCTCCGAACCCACGCAAGCAGCACAACTTGGTGAACCTGACCGACCAACAGAGCCTCCTCATGTTCGGCGTCAAGAGACAAGTACCTCTGAAGACGCTGATATCATAACGATAGCCCCAGATGAAACTTGCGGTTATCTTTCAGGAAGGCCTGGAAGCCCCATTATTTGTGATAACCAAGAAACATGCATGTGGATGAAAGCAATAGGAATCATCTGTGGTAAATTTGACGAATCCGACGACTGGGTAGTACATCAACAATGTTATGATCTGGAGATGGCTACAGATCCAAGTTTTTGCGACGAAGCATGTGCAGCAGACACGCTCGCCCTCCACTGGTAAGCAAATCACAACATGATCCATAATCGCAGGAGAATATAACTAACTAACTATATTTCTATTTAGCACTAACGCGTCGATTCCTTTTTGCGCTACCTATATATTCTCACCTGACGGTATAACGGACTTCAGATGCTTGTCCACCCGCCCGACTCGACAGTTGACCGCATCTTTTACTTATATCGGTCAGAACGACGCGAAATTTATTACCACGGCGTTGCGTCCCGACCAGAGTTATTCCGAGACCTCTCCAACCTTGGCTACACCAACCCACTCTTCACCAACATCATCTCTGTCCCTTCCTTCCTCTACTTCACCATCAACTTCTCCTCCGTCATCATCGGGCTCGACCAATCTTGGAGCCATCATTGGCGGAGCAATTGGAGGATTTACAGCTCTTTCGCTTGTGGCTCTCGCAACTATTTGGATTATGCGACAGTCGCGAAACAAGAAAAATCGTCAATCAATGCAAGGTGACTTCGTGGAGCACGATGATGGAAAGCCAGGGACACAGGTCGATTGGCGAAGCTCAACGATGACGGCGGTCAGCTGGCCTAATTCAGCCTTACCGCATACTGGAACGGGTCAACCAACATCGCCAAGTGCACTAAGTGAGACATCCCAAGGGATATTGACACCGATGAGGCCGCAAATGACGCATGAGATGAGCGGGGAATCTGTTCAGCCCGAAAGACATGAATTGGGAGATTCTGGAATCTACGAAATGGGGAATGGTTCCAATGAACGTTGAATTATTGTTCATTCGACGCTGATAATAGATAGCTTTGTAATGAGATCAATGAATGTCTTTGTTTGTCTATAATCTCTCGGATATAGGATAGGAACTGTCCAAGTATCCCTTGTGCAATTTAACGCGCATCTTTGGACCCCATCGAGCCTTGGACATTACTCTTCTTAGAGACGGCAATGTCTTTTCCGTTGTTGCAAAATGTGACAACGAAATCGAGATGAAAGTGGATAACAAGGCTTTAAAGTGCAGCACATTGTGCCTAAATGGCTCATATATTTAGCAGCTGAAAAGAAGGCTCTATGCTTACGCGTGTTCCGTTACATGGTGGTTGCTCAGCCATATGTAAGGCTTTGACAGTGATCATCGCGTCTTCTGGGTCGGAGAGCACTATAGACAATTTGATGAGCAACTGCAGAATAAGCGATCATCATTTGCGTTTCTGATGGGGAGACATGAAAGTAAAAGAGTGAAGTGTGACATTCAGAGTCCCGTGCTATATCACGTGTCTAACTGTTCATCTGGCGATTAGATAACAGATAAGATAAGCCTGGAGCCACATAAATTGTCGTGAGATAGCGTCACTATTGACCCGTTACCATGCTTCTCATCATATCTGAATGAAGTACTGCAGGGAAATTATATGCTAAATGATTCCATTTTTTTCAACTAGACTACATCAAACTAGAATTGCTGCAGCAAGAGGGATACCATATAATACAACCATGTTCACCACAACACCATGTCCTGCCTGATTTGGACGAATCTCCACAGGTCCAGGGGTACTTGTCGGGATAGGTTGTATGGAGACAGTACCAGGGACGCCAGTGGCAGTGGCAGTTCCAGTTTCGGGCTGCAAATTGGACAATGTAGGCAAGCTCCCAGATTCTTTAACCCCACCGCCTCTACCAGTGTTACTGGGAACTGTTGTTTCTTGAGTCACACGGATAGACCTTGTACCAGGGACAATTGGTGCAGTACTTGGCTGTCCTCTTGGTACTGTAGTCTCCTGGGCCCCTGGAACAGATTCTTGCCCAGTGGCCTCTACTGGTATGGTTGGCTCCTCCGGTTGAACGGTTGGCTCGTTTGGTTGAATGGTGGGCTCCTCTGGTTGAACGGTCGGTTGTTCTGGTGGAATGGTGGGTTCTTTAGGCTGCATCGTCGGTTCCTCCACTGGTACAGGCGATTCCTCTCGAGTACCAGGAAGAACTTCAGTCCTGGATACCACTACCGGGATGTTCGGTCTCTTTGGCGGAGTAGACGATCCGACAACGGATACTCCACGTACCGTGACAGCAATAGGGTTACTCCCAGCCTTTTGGAGTACCTCAATCATGGGATTCTGTACATATCTAGTCTTTTCACTTTTGATCTGTCGGAACTTTCCCTCAGTAGTCCTAACCTGCTTGTCGTAGATCTTCTTCTCGTTCATGATCAACTGAAGACGAGTGCCTGCACTGGCTCTTTCAAAAAGGAACCTCTTCCAACGCTTCGTAGGACCAAGTTCTTCAACTTTGATCGACACTAGGACATTGACAGGAGTGCCTTCTGGGATGGCAATTGGTTCCTTTACTTCAAGAGTGAAACTCGCTTCACCATTAGCAGGTGCTTCTAGTAAACTGTGAAGATCAATGTCAGCTTATATCAGATGTAAAAATTTTCGGGTGAGATACGCACATTGCTTGTTGTCCTGCAACTTCTGTGAATGTCGCACCTGGGCCAAGTGAAGCATCAGTCAAGTCTAGTCTTGCTACCTCACCCGTAGGCTCAGGTGCCGCGGTAGTAAGTGTTGTGAAACCAGATGGTAATGACTCAGTTTGGTCAGGGATATCAGTAGGCTCATTGGAAGCACTTCCAGGTCCCTGGGTGTTCTCTGGCACTGCAACGGATTCGTTCCCGGTTTCGACAGGTTCAGTAGGCACCGTTGAAAAATCTTCTGTGGGAACTACTGTCTCTCCAGTTGGCTCAATCGGTGACGCGGAAGGTTCGGTTTGCACCGATGATTGCACACCTTCATCAGAGCCAGTTGCAGGCTCAGACTGGGCTTCTGTCGCGGATGGAGCAAGTGCAGCACTTGGTGAAGTTGGTTCTTCCGGTTGGCTCGTCTGGGCTGGTTCAGTAGACTGTACATCCTCAGTGGCACTGACAGGCTCTGTTTGGTCTGTTGGCTGAGCAGATTCACTTGGCAGGATGGATTCAGTAGGGACGGGCGCTTCGGTAGGCTCTGTTGGTTCAATAGATTCAGTCGGCTGAGTGGGCTCGGTAACGGGTTCGGTCTGTTGACTACCCTCTGCTCCAGTCTCAGTTGGTACAACATCTGGGATAGACTCAGTCGGCGCTGTAGGAGCTATTGGCTCAACGGGCTCAGTTGCGCTTTCAACTGGTATGGTAGGCTGGCTGAGACCTGTCTCAGCAGTCCCTTGAACAGACCCAGATGGTTCAATAGTGTCAGTTGCTGAGGCTGGTTCGGCAGTATTAGTTGCTGAGGCTGGTTCGGCAGTACCAGTTGCTGAGGCCGGTTCGGCAGTATCAGTTGCTGAGGCAGGTTCGGCAGTATCAGTTGCTGAGGCAGGTTCGGCAGTATCAGTTGCTGAGGCCGGTTCGGCAGTGTCAGTTGCTGAGGCTGGTTCGGCAGTATCAGTTGCTGAGGCCGGTTCGGCAGTGTCAGTTGCTGAGGCTGGTTCGGCAGTATCAGTTGGTGAGATAGGTTCGGCGGTGTCAGTTGGTGAGATAGGTTCGGCGGTGTCAGTTGGTGAGATAGGTTCGGCGGTGTCAGTTGGTGAGATAGGTTCGGCGGTGTCAGTTGGTGAGGTTGGTTCAACAGTGTCAGTAACAGAGTCAGTTTCAGATTCTGTTGGCGGTGTAGGCCCTGCTGAAAGAACCGAGTCTGATGGCGATGTTGGCTCTGTAGTATCAGTTGGCTCGGTAGTATCAGTTGGCTCGGTAGTATCAGTTGGCTCGGTAGTATCAGTTGGCTCGGTAGTATCAGTTGGCTCGGTAGTATCAGTTGGCTCGGTAGTATCAGTTGGCTCGGTAGTATCAGTTGGCTCGGTAGTATCAGTTGGCTCGGTAGTATCAGTTGGCTCGGTAGTATCAGTTGGCTCGGTAGTATCAGTTGGCTCGGTAGTATCAGTTGGCTCGGTAGTATCAGTTGGCTCGGTAGTATCAGTTGGCTCGGTAGTATCAGTTGGCTCGGTAGTATCAGTTGGCTCGGTAGTATCAGTTGGCTCGGTAGTATCAGTTGGCTCGGTAGTATCAGTTGGCTCGGTAGTATCAGTTGGCTCGGTAGTATCAGTTGGCTCGGTAGTATCAGTTGGCTCGGTAGTATCAGTTGGCTCGGTAGTATCAGTTGGCTCGGTAGTATCAGTTGGCTCGGTAGTATCAGTTGGCTCGGTAGTATCAGTTGGCTCGGTAGTATCAGTTGGCTCGGTAGTATCAGTTGGCTCGGTAGTATCAGTTGGCTCGGTAGTATCAGTTGGCTCGGTAGTATCAGTTGGCTCGGTAGTATCAGTTGGCTCGGTAGTATCAGTTGGCTCGGTAGTATCAGTTGGCTCGGTCTGCTCAGTCGGTACGGTAGGTTCGGTAGTCACCGTAGATATAAAAGGCTCGGTTGGTTCAGTTGGAGTATTCTCTTGAGCCGAAGCAGTAGGAACGGTTGGCCCTATCGGTGCATTCGGAGCTGTTGGTGCGGTTGGAACAGTCGGTTCAGTTGGAGCTGTCGGAGCTGTCGGAGCAGTGGGAGCAGTGGGAGCAGTGGGAGCAGTGGGAGCAGTGGGAGCAGTGGGAGCAGTGGGAGCAGTGGGAGCAGTAGGAAGAGTTGGCTCTAGTGGGGCATCTTGCTGAGTCGGTTCAGTTCCAATGACGGTCGGTGCTGGGTTTTGCTGGCTAATGAGGCTATCACCCTGTGTCGCTTGCTCTTCGACCGTTTGACCCCATGCTCCTCCAAAAAGAAGACCAAAGACAAGACTGTTTACAATATGCATTTTACAGCTTCTCTAGGTTTATAATGGATAGCAATATAGAACAGACTGAGAATATCTTCTTATTTTATGATGACCAGTTCTAACTGATATCTTTTACTGTGTCTATTTATGACATACTCACCTGTTCTCTGGGTTTCCGTTGTGGGACGGCTGTTGCTAATATTTAAACCTTGCGGCTTGCATCTGCATGAGGCTCAATGCAAGCCTGGCACTAAACTTGAAATGTAGTCATATTAGTCATTCCTGATTCGGTGAACCTCGGGCTCCGAAACCTAAGAGGCTTTGAAAGGGCTGAAGTGTGTTGTGCCAAGGCATCTCGACCCGACATCGCCCAAGCGGCTTCACAGCCATTCGGGCATTGGTTTTCGTCATGCTTTATCTAGTTTGCTAGACAGTTTTGGAAGACTGTTGCAGATTTGTACGATAATCGATTGCACGATGTTGGCGGCTTGCGCCACTAAAGCTTTTATTAGCTTTACTAAATCTGTCTGGAGGCTCTGGAGCACATCTTACTATGGTAAGTCCTAGGCTTCCGTCCGGAGCTCCATGTTTCGGCGGATGCGACATATTTCTTCCTATAGGATTCAACGATGACAACCAAGATCTGAATACCAGCATAAAAATAAATACACCATTGGCATTAACCCACGCGATGGAAAGCCCAGCTGCTCAAGATATGAACGATAAAATCTGAGTAGGTCAATACAGTTCTACATAATGTAGTCTTGAGCACTCATCACCAATTCTTGAACAAACAGGTTAATTGTATTATTAAAGTATATTATAGCCACGTCGTGCCATATCAATCATCAGCGGAGACTCTTACCCAGTGGCGTGTCACCCACACCAACATCATGCATATGCAGAGTAAAGTTTCTCCGCAGCCCTCAAGAGACAGAAATAAGATACGCGAGGATCCACCTTCAACATAGTAAACATGATCTTCATGTAGCTTGTTTTCTGACACCCCCCAGAAAGCTTGGAGGAGCATGTACTGATTGCTACGCCATCGCCACTCCCATGCACGAATGTGTCAATATCTGGTCACAGCCTCCAGCTCCTCCATTTGTCTCGGAAAGCTAGCCACACCGAGACACAGTAGGCCTCGCGAGTTTGAAATGATTGGGTGCGAAGACTTCTCATGCCTAATATTGGTGTGTATCAGAATGTCTCACGATAGCTATTGGTCGGAGCCTTCTACAGATACACATATGCCGCTGCTGTTGGACTGATTTGCTATTATCACGTAAAAGTAAACCCAAGACCGGGATGTGCGGGACACCTTGACAACACACATGAACCTTTGACTATACACTTCCATTCAACCTGATTGACAATGAACAAGCGACTGCAGCTTGTGATATTCATCGGCCTTTTGGCCGTTAAGGATTCCTTCTCACAAGTTCTCGGTCAAGCTTCACAAACGGGGGAGATGGACACAACCTCAGACGCAACTGCCACTCCCGATATTACAAGCGAGATCGTCCTTGGAGGGGCCAGCTCGACTGCTAATACAATTGTCGTTACAATAGCCTCAGATGAAACCTGCGGTTTTCTATCAGGTCGACCAACATTACCTATAACATGCGAAAATAACCGTCCATGCATGTGGGCAAGTGACCTAGGGATCCTCTGTGGTAACCTTGACAATGGCAACAATTTCGATATCCATTTTCGGTGTGTAGACAGAGACACGGCATTGAATCCAAATCTTTGTAACGATACATGCGTGGGTAACACAGTGAACCTTCTCTGGTGAGTGAAATGTATATCACAAAGATGTGGTGCTGATGAGTATATCTAGTACCAACGAGTCTGCTCCTCACTGCGCGACGTACGCATTTCCGCAAGGAATTCAGGACTTTAGATGCTCCTCTACCCCAGCGACTCGAGTTTCGACCGTGTCATTTACTTATAGCGGCCAGGAGGACGCGAGCTTCGCAACAACAACCATTGACTTGAATGCTGATTCTGTTTCCAAAACCTCAGGAACTGAAATTAAAGCATCAAGCACTTCCGCTATATCAACATCTTCTTCTTCTGCTACCTCAGATCCGCCATCTTCCAGTCAAAATAATCTCGGAGCGATAATCGGTGGCGCGGTGGGAGGTTTCGCTGCAATCTCTCTTGTAATTTTCGGAATCGTCTGGTTTGTGCGACAGTCACGGAAAAAGACTCGCCAATCAATACCGATGAATCAGATGGAACAAGACCCATTGTCTGATCCAAATGTTGGAAAGACAGGACCAACCTCCTCGGTTCCGAGCGATTGGAGAAATTCGACAATGACGGCACTGAGCTCACCGAATTCTGCCTCACCACAAGCTTGGATGAATCAGCCTGTGTCACCAAGTGCACAGAGTGACGCGTCGCAAGGAATGATGCCAACCATGGGGCAGAATTTGACCTACGAGATGAGTGGGGAATCTGTCCAACCTCCGCAAGAAATGGGAGACAATCGGGTTTATGAGATGGATGGCCACCCGGATCGTCATTGGGTCTAGTCTACTACAGTACACTGCGTAATCAAATAATCTATTGATAGAATGAACGAATTAATTAATTATTTGTCTACTCTGTGTCCTGACTGCACGATTGGGTCTCTTGAATGGTGCTGCGGATAGAACGAGACGATCAAGATTTACAATGTAGCGTCTCATGCAGAATAGCAGCAGCTGAAACACAGTTTCCAAGATCGTCGCTTACGTGTGCTCATCTGCATGGTGGTGGCTTGACTAGATTTTTGGCGTGCCAGCGATGTCACAGAACGATCTGGGCCCGACTTCATATCGCCGTGCACAGACGGAACCCCAGATGCAGCTATTTTCAACCAGGCAGAACTGCGGACGATCTGATAAGAAACTAGCCGCAGGGTCTCTATTCTGGGATGGAGATAGTGGAGACCTCGCATTACAATTTTTCCATCGATTCAGAGTTCGTGAGTGTTGAGCGTAAAGGGTGTCACGCGTGCAATCACGTGACCTCGACGATTATCTTCACATCTATTACTATATTTCCTTTCGAGCGAAGTGAAAGTCCAAGGTTGAAAAGTAATAGATATAAGCCATATATACAATGCTAACATTAGTTACTCCTAAGAGTTTAAAGGCATCCTCTCAGGTAATTCATCGACTGCCAGACTAATACAGTAATACACAACCCTCCAATCTACCTGCCCCTCTAGTATACCGCAACGTGACACAGCAGGTCAGCTCTGCACTCGCAAAAGTTTTCCATACAGCTGAGTCCGTCAACATCGAGAAGGGAATCACACTCCTCATTGCTTGCGCACTGGCCGATCACAGCGGCTGAGGTGGTCGCTTGAGGAGCAATGAGGGTGGGGGTAATAATAACAACAGAGTCAGAGGTAGTGGCCTCGGCAGTAGTGGTAGCCTCAAGATCAGTAGTCTCGGCAGCTGTGGTCTCGGCAGGGGTAGTCTCCTCAACGACAACGGTGGTGGTATCTTCAGCGACGGCGGTAGTGGTCTCCTCAGCGGTAGAGGTGACATCAGCAGTAGTTGTTCCAGTTAGGGTAAGGAAGGTGGTGAGGTCGGTGGTGAAATCGACAGCAGAGGTGGTGAGAATGGTAGAAGTGGCCAAAGAGGTCTCGGCAGTGGCAGTGGTGGTAACAACAGATCCAGAAGACTGCGAGCTGATACGGCAAGGGCCGGCACTGACACCGACGGAGAGGGCGACAACGCCAGCGACGAAGTTGGTGAAGATCATTGTAAAGAACGTGGTGATACCGAAGTTATCTTGGTTGGTTAAACGAGTGACTGGTGTAAAAGATGACCTGAAGAATGAACAGGACCTCTGTTGTTGCGACAAGGAGAGGTTATATAGTAGGCACTGTCTTTTGGCCTGATGGTAATGTAATTACGGTACCCCTGCCAAGAGTTCGTGATTAGTCTTGAGCATGAAGATTTCTTCCTCTAGTACAACAATTAGTATGCATGTTAAATTATCTTGTGCTTTTGAACTGAAGAGCTAGAGAGACACTATTGATTTTTATACCAGGCTTAGTTAGTGGCTTAATTTCATTTGTTTGGTGACGTAGTCCAATTCTAGTAAACATTGCTACGGAGTTTTCCACAGCGCCCTTCCCGTGACTCTATTTCTGCCTCAGTACCACAAATGAATAGCTAAATCGGACCAGCCTGAGATGTTTCAAGATCGAGGCGTTGTTCTCACCTGAAAATCCCTGTCAGTACTGCTAGGAGTATACGGGTGCGACTCGACCCGAAATTGCCCAATTGAGGACAACCAGTTTTGCCATGACCCACTTCTCTTCGTGCCGCCGTAGGGTAAGCCTCGCTGATGATTGAATTTTGGAGCTCCAAGTTGGCTGATAGAGCATAATCAATTTTAATTGTTACTTTGACGATCTCGGTGTGCAAGATACTTAGCTAGTTAATCCTTAGTACACAGACAAGGTCAGGATTCATCACTTGGATCAATGGTTCATAGCTCAACTTTAAAACCATCGCGTTCTTGAAGGGGAGAAAGAACAATTTGTATGGGATTGGAGTAACATCGCGCTCCTTTCAAGCCAGAGAGAGTGGCCACAAGATGTTATTGAGTATCATGTTTTCGTAGACTTTGATTCGTCATTTATTCAAACTCGGTTCCGGAATGATTGGGATACAGTTCCTCAAATACAAAAAGATTGACATGGAAAGTAATTCCGAGTTATCACTTTATTTACAAGAAACTAACTACTTTGCCACTTCTGCCGTTTCGATCCAAACACGTTGGCCCTCAAACCAAGTTTCTTTAACCTTTGCCTCCAGCAACTTGCTTGGGTCTAGGCTCATATCAACAACAACAAAGTCTGCCAACTTCCCGACTTTTAGACTTCCTGTCCGGTCCTCAAATACACTTCGTGCGGCACCTTCAGTCGCTGCAACGATAGCCTCGCAAAGGCCAAGCCGAAAATGCTCGTTAACAGGTTTTCCATAGCCTGGTTTTCGAGACGATTGGCGCGTGGTTGCCACATAGAGGTTATGCATGGGTAGCCAAGGTGACGTAGGGCTGTCGCTTCCTAGTGCCATGAGAGCACCAGCGTCTGCAAACTCGCGATAGGCAAAGGCTCGAGAACAGCGGTCTTCGCCTAGAAGTTTTGGCCAGTCTTGCAGGATTGATGGGTCGGCATGGACGGGCTGGATAGATGCTGTAAGGCCAAGCTCACCAAGTCGTTGAGCGTCTCTTGGTGATGCAAGCTCTAAGTGTTCAATGCGATGGCGGCGCCCTGGAGTGCCGTATTTCTCTAAAGAGTCGATGGCCATCTTGATTGCGGCGTCTCCAATAGCGTGGAGTGCGATTTGTAACCCAAGACCGTTGGCTTCATTGACAACAGGCTCAAGGTACTCCGTTTCCCAGATAGGAGGCGGGAAGCAGGACGGCAGTGGGGAGTAGGGCTGCGAGAGATACGCAGTACAAGCATCAATGATACCATCGCAAATAAGTTTGACACCAACAAGTCGCAAATTAGGGCTGGTCGAACTATTGAACTTTCTGCTACGCTCGCCTGCACGCTGGACCTGTCTTAGGTTCTCCTTGTTATCTGTGGTGGGCCTAATGAGCCAGTATGCCGCGATGCGAATAGCTTGATATGACTCTCCAAATAAAGTTACCAAGGCATCCCAGGCTTCCTCATCCATAGCCATCTCTACTAAACCAGTATAGCCAGCAGCATTGTATTTCTCGATGGCGGCGCGGATCGCTTCGATGCGTTCCCCTTTGGGAGACGACCTTGCTTGGAACGGCCAGATGATAGACATCATAGCCCCTTCATCGAGTAAACCAGAAGGCTTGCCGTCGGCATACCGATGGATCTTGCCTCCTGCGGGATCAGGCATGTCTTCGATATCCAGGACCTTCAATGCAGCTGAGTTGCACCAACATGAGTGCAGAGTACTGTTGTCGATAAAAATAGGTCGTGGGTCAATATCATCGATCAGATCCGCTGTTACTCCGTCCGGAGTCATAAAATGCATCCAGCCTCTGCACATGATAGTATCCACCTGCGGGTTTGCAATAGCAAATGACTTGATTGTTGACCGGATGTCCACCAGGTTGGTGCATTTAGTAAGGTCCAACTTGCGGAGGGACTGTCCGAGAAGTAGAAGATGCATATGCCCATCAATAAAGCTCGGTAGCACGACACGCTGTTGGAGGTCATGGATTTCGAGGTCTTCGATACCATCTGCAATGTCCTGATAGGATCCTATGGCGGTAATCTTCCCATCTTGAACCAGCATGCTATCAGCAAATTGGACTGGTGTATCGTATTTGGCATTAGCTTCTGTCAGGATCCGCCCGTTGCGGAAAAGCTTGCTGGGCATCATAGCAACTAGCTCGTTTTGGTGTTTCTGGAATAGAACTTTGGTATTCGTTTAACTGGAGTTGATGGCAAGTGATCGAAGAAGGTAGCATATAGATATATCCTTTTTCTACCTCATCTGTTATAATCTGAACTTGTTTTTATTGTTGCGAATTTGGCTCTGGGAGTTTGAGATGAATTGGGAGGGTAAGTCGAAGCGCCTCAGCTCAGCCCCACTTGGTGATATGGCTCTTTCGATACTGCATGTATACCTTGTCATCCTTTATGGGAATAATGGATGTCAAACTAGGTCTCAATAGATCAATCAAGATGGGAGACTTAATTTTGAACTCGGAATGGGCTCTGATTCGGTGGATGCTGTAGATGGCGGGTAACTTGCCGCTCAAAAGCCCCACTAATCCCCCAGACAAATCTTAGTCTCCCAACGCTCCATCACCAAAAATAAAAACACCAAATCTCGTGGGAAAGGAACGCAGTCGTCATGAAGCCAAGTGGTTGCTGGACATGCAAACTCAGACATCGGAAATGCGACCTTCACGTCCCTGCATGTAGAGAATGCAAAGACCGATGCATTCCGTGTCACGGTTATGGCCCCAAGCCTGTTTGGATGGATGGGTCAGCCGCCGAAAAACAGGAGCTTGCGCGCATCAAGAAAGCTATCAAGCGGAATGCTCAGCATGTCCGCCGAGCCCGGAAGAGTGATCGGCAAAGGGAGAAGGAGACAACGCCTACTGCTAGACAATCTCTGCCACAGACATCTCCAGTCCAAGACGCTAGTCATTCGTCTCCTTCACAGCCAGGGCATGTTGTAGACCATTCCAGTAGCCCAGCGCACCTTCAACTGGGCCTTGGATATACTCAACGCTCGGCACAAGGTGGAACAAGCCCACAGACTAGCCTACCCCCAGAACCTTTGACTTCCCCATATGTCTTACAACCTAAATCGGCGTCTCTAATCATGTACTATCTGGATCATGTATTTTGCTGGCAATTCCCCTACTTCCGCATCCGTTCCCGTCTAGGAAATAGGGGATGGCTCCTCTTATTTCTCAGCAACGGCGGTTCCCTCTCTTGCGCTGCCCTAGCGCTCGCCGCCAGGCACCGAAACGCAATCCAAGTCCCCCAACAGCATGGTTACCATTATAACCAAGAAGCTTTCGAATATTACTCAAGGGCTCTAAGAGAGCTATGCGAGTTTTCGCGCCGCACCGAGATCGAGACGTTACTCAGCGATAAGCCTAAACTTGCGGAATTTCTCGCTGCAAGCATGACGCTGATAAGTTTTCAGGTAATAACAGGAGTGGTGGAAGCATCAGTTGGTTGTTGAAGCATTCTAACTTGTCTCGACTTTTTATAGGTTTTCAACGGCGCAGAATATGACTGGCTTCCTCACCTCGATGCTGTTATGACTGTTCTCGGCATGATTTCACCAAAAGCTCTCAGAAAGTCCTCATCTTCTAATAACCCCTTGACTTCTCCAGCGAGTATAAACAGTGGTGAAGATTCCCATCCGGATTTCAGTTTTCTTGTGACTCAAGCATTATGGTTTGACATCCTGGCATGTGTCTCGACAGGTCGAGTGCCGCGAATTGCGTATCAACAATGGCTCGAAGAATCAGATCTTGACATGGCCGACTTGATGGGTTGTTATAACTGGGTTATGATTTCAATCGGCGACCTCGCACATCTCCAAGCCTGGAAAAAGGACATGCAGAACAAAAGGACGTTGAGTGTACCAGAATTAGTGATCAAATGTCGAAATATTGAGACAAGACTACATAATGGTATTGTAGAACTAGAGGTGGCAAAAAAAGTGAGTACTTTGAAGACTAGAAAAACATCTTGTGACAGAAATGGGTACTAATTCCTCAACAGACCGATACCGAAACTCTTCAGGCGACATGGGTCTCGCACATCTTCGCCCTGGCAGCGTTGGTCCTATCAAGCACTATAGTCTCAGGTCCTTGGGCATCTATTCCCGAAATCAAGGAGACGGTTGCAAAGGCCGTTGATTTACTTCGAGACTGGCCCCGGGCCATTCCACTCCAAGGTCTCGTTTGGCCTCTCTACATCATCGGGTGCATGGCCGGAGTTGAGCAGCAAGGCTTCTTTGAGTTACTCTTGACTAATCTTATTAGAGAATGTGGAGGTATTGGAAATAGTGGCACTGTGCTTAAGATTATGAAGAATTGTTGGGCGTTGCAACATCGTGATCGAGATGGGGCGGAGTTGTCGTTTCAGATGGGAAGTCGTGTATTGCTGATATGAGTGCCTTAAGATATTGACTAAGTGCCGTATTTTCTTTCTGCCGGGTAATGCTCTTGGTTTGTGCTGGCGAAAGTGAAGCCACCTGGGAGAGTATAATGGTATGTGGGAGTGTAAGCTGTATCTGTAGTAGTGCGCGTCTGTTACCTGTGGGGTACACTCGGCTTAATATGCATTCTGGGAGGGCAAGTCGAAGCGCCGACCGTAATAATCTTAGGAAAACGTCAACTGCTACTCGCGTTATTCTATTTAAATAGTTCGTCAAGCCCCTCAAGCTCACAAATCAGAAACTCCATCGCTTTTAACAACAACATATAAAGCCCCGAGTCTATTCTTCTTCTTGGGTGAGACATATATCCCCTGAACTGCTTTACACGTATTAACCCTTTCGCAAAAACAGTCCATCACCGCAAACATGAAGTTCGAGCGCATGCCTATTGAGATCGAATCGCCTGAGGAGTATGGCTACGACAAGATCAAGTACAATCTCTCCGAGAGCTCTATCACCGACCAAACCCTTGAGTCTTTGAACCTCGAAATTCCCAACTTAACCCTTCTATATAACGAACACCGTGGTGAGACCAAACTGCGGGAGCTCATCGCCGACGATGCCAATGTCACCGCCGACGATGTCCTTATCACGTCAGGCGCTGCTGGGGCTTTGTTTATCATTACCGCTTCGCAGCTCGGGAGTATATCTGCATCGGAGCGCAATCATCTTGTCGTGGTGCGCCCCAACTATGCAACAAATTTGGAAACGCCCAAAGCTGTAGGATGCGAGATATCTTACGTTGATGTCACTTTTGAGAATGGCTTTCAGCCCAACATTGAGGAGATTGAGGCTTCCATCAAGCCCAACACTCGGCTCATCTCTATGACATGCCCACATAACCCTACCGGCTCTACTCTCTCTCGGGAGGCACTTGATCGTATTGTTGCCATTACCAAGAAAAAGTGTGTTCTGCTTCTTGTGGACGAGACGTATCGCGACATCTCTTTTGGCGTCAAACTTCCCGTGGCGGCTTCTTTAGGCGATCATGTTCTGAGTGTCAGCTCATTGTCCAAGTCTTTTGGCATGCCTGGCGTCCGTGTCGGCTGGCTCATCAGTACGAACAAGAAACTCCAGGAAACCTTCCTAGCTGCTAAAGAACAGATTAGTATTAGTGGCAGTGTCATCAACGAATGGATAGCGACAGATGTCCTCTCTCGTCGCGAGCAGATCCTGGCCAAAACAACAGATGAGATGAAACTTCGTCTTCAGATGGTCGAGTCATGGATAGAAAGCGAAGAGCTACTGGAGTGGGTTAAGCCGACCGGTGGTGTTGTCTGCTTCCCCAGAATCAAGAAGGGGCCGAAGGGAGGGCTGCCGGCATTTTACGAGAGGCTTCTTGAGAAGCATTCCACCTATGTTGGTCCTGGCCATTGGTTTGAGCTTTCTGATAACTTTTTCCGACTTGGTTATGGATGGCCGTCACGTGAAGAGCTCGAGGGTGGTATGAAGGCTATCTCAGCTGCATTGCGTGACGAATAGAAACAGATAGATTCACTTGGTAATATGGGGAGCAATGTATGTGAGAGAATGATAAACTATAAACCAAGTGATTCACACAGCTGCCGTATGCCACTACTTAGTGGTGGATACGGCAGCATGATAGAAAACGAAGGTTTAGGGTACAGAAATAAAAAGCGTAAGAAGTCTGCTGTAAATGATATAAGCTAAACTACGAATTTCGTCTCTTGGGTTTCTAGCGGTCATCCCTCACACCCTGAAGTCTGTCATTCGGAAATTGCAGCACTCCTTCTGAGCATCTGCTGTAGCACCGCGGGCCTCATCTGTTGCTTCCATCCTACGACCGCTGGGAACCTCGGACAGAAGTACCAACTCATCATTATCGGCTTGATACTATCCATCATGGACCTCTGCACAAACAAGCTTTCAACTATTGTGTTTCTTTAACTCGAGACAAGGTGGGCTAGTCTCTTGCAGAACTACGATATCGTTGTCAAGAAGAGTGTTTTAGGTAGTCTGCTGAACATGCAGCGAGGCTCTCAGCGCTGGACACTTCTTCTGTCTGCCTCGCTTGCCTTCCCGCTTTTTCTCAGTATTGGCTACAAAACATTCGTTGGGGGAAGAATTATAACTCTAGTACTTGTTAGCAGTGGCGAATACGGACTAACTGGTCCTGTTGACCTCGCCAACTTTTCATCTAGCTCTTCTGTCATGGTCAACGCGACTATCCCATTCATGTTCAGCAATCTGACTGGACTGCCCTCTCGACCACATCCCTTCGGTTCCAATATGCTGGTACTACGAAATGAATCCATTACAGTCGCTATGTTGGACGGACCAAGCCCATCTTATGTCACTAGCATAAGGGCCAAGCTCGAGGGTCGACAATACTACACAATAACGGGCGATGTCCATGGACTAGCATGGCATCTTGGCGCCGAGGCTGACCAACATCGTGACGATAAAGAGTGGCGTGACGACCGTTTCAACTCAAGTGACAACAAGACCACGACACAAATATCTCTTTACAAGTGGATGAAGTGGATGCCCACGTTGTGGCCTCAACGTCAAGTGGAGCAATTATTTGTTCTTCTCACTCCCCACGAAAAAGACAGAAAGATCGCACCTTCAGAAGACTGATTTCGAAAGGAAGCGTTGGAGTTTAAAAGTCAGTGAATACACTGCCATGGGAAATGGAAAACCTCACACAGTTCCGTTGACCTGATTGATGGGAATTGCGAAGGCGGAAACTTCGAAAACGAATTCCCCGAAGGTTATACAACTCTTCATCTCAATGACGCTTCGTACATACCAAGTGACTTTGTTAGCGATTTGTTGACAAATCAGCTTGAACGAGCAGCCCAAATAAGGCTGACAGCTGTAGTTTCGTCGCTTTTCTGGTCTCGACTGGCGGCGTACTGAGGCATTGGATCTCCAACAAACCACTTGTCATCGGAAGCCATGGAACAATTCAAGTATCATAGGCAAGATGAGGCTTGGAAAAGGGTTGGTGATCTGAAGGGCACCCCTCTCTTGGCACTCGTTCTTCTCGTCAACCCATTGTTGGCTTGGTTCTCTTGACCGTTCACATCATGTCGTATTCATCACCTGTCTCTGGTGGCTTTGGTCTCATTAGTATTCTAGCAAGCCATATACCAAGAAAAGAACTTAATGCACAAAGATCTTGAACAGCCAAGGTCTGGAATTAAGTATCGCTGACTAAACAAGGGAGATCGACATCATCAAGACTCAAGGTAAATGCAACAGCGGTTTGTTTCAACTAGATGGTTTGAATTGGCTTTTCAAGGTCCAGGGTAAGGGGTAGAGTCCTGGCACGTGATGAACCGGGCTACTTTTTACCATGACTCTGTTTGCGGCTTTTTACTACTGCTATCAAGAATCATAGAATGAAGTCGATCTCATATTTCTTCTCATAACCATGCTTTGTAAATTATGCTCCAGTTTTGATTTCAGTACCGTTATGCGGCTAAGACTTGAACCATATTTCAACACTTCGTTTTCCAATAGAATAAGCAGTAGCGATTTCGATGTCGGCGAACGCGTTTTGCACTTCAGCCTGGAGAGAACAGACTGTGACCCTGAGGATTTCCTCATTCCTCACCATAAAACCTTAGAAGATCTATTTAAAGCTTCTGAAGAATGTGATCTTTGCCGAGCTCTACTACACAGTGCCAGGGATATGATTATGTTTAGGAAGGCCAAAAATGACAGATTATGTGCCCATCCGCCTGGGCAGGGGTTATTATTTCTTTGTGGTCTTGGCAAAGGTCAGGGAATCCAGCTGATGGCATCGGAGAGAAACGACTATCCATATTATGCGCTATTAGGAGGAGTTGGCTTTTATGTCGACAGAGGTAAGTTCAGGCAATAACCAAGACGTTAACATTCCAATCTCGGTCATCTGGGATACTAATAACCGCAACAGATAGCCCCATTAACCATATTATCCATGGGCGTACCATCCCAGAATCACCGCAATCGAAGGATAGCCTCAGTTCCATCAGTGAATGGTTATCAGACTGTTCGACCCACCATCAACATTATGTCAACAATACAATGAAACCCACTCGTCTGTTGAGATATGAACATGACAAAGGAAAGGTATCGCTTTGCACGTCCGTTATCTCAGATATTAAGTATGCCGCCCTCAGCCATTGTTGGGGCGCCGTCCAGCCTCTCACACTCAACAATGGCACCAAACACCAACTTGAACAAGGATTGCCTCTTGATGCCTTCCCCAAAACGTTCCAAGATGCCTTTTGGTTAACGCATCAGTTGGGAATTCCTTATATCTGGATAGACAGTCTGTGCATCCTGCAAGACGATAACGACGACTGGGTGCACGAGTCAGCGCGCATGTGTGATGTATACGGAAACGCATATCTCACCATCGCCGCTACCAGGGCAGCAAACTGTTCAGAAGGATTCCTAGGACCTAGGGAAGGTCCCGGATATGGTTATATTCCCTTTCGTCAAGACGGGGTGCATGACAGCGTTGCTATATCTCCAGTGCCTCTCCGTCGTATCTCACCTTGGGCCGGGATCATCGATTTGGAAAAGGAGCCGTTGTCGAAACGTGCTTGGGCCCTTCAAGAACGATATCTGCCACCCCGAACAGTACACTTCGCGAGTGACCAAATGTACTTTGAATGCCGATCAGGGTTTCATACGCAGGATAATCACATGAAGACCGATGATAGCGAACCGGACTTCAAAATACATAGGAGGACGACAACCAAAGACGACGATGAGCTTCAGGATGCTTGGGGCGCCATAGTTCTGAGGTACACACAACGATATCTGACCGTGGAAGCGGATAAGTTGCCAGCAATCGGGGGGTTGGCTGCCCGCGTGTTTCTCGAAAGAACTTCCAATGGTGACCCTGGGGAAGAGTATCTTGCTGGTCTTTGGAGGACAAGTCTACTTTGGGATCTAGCCTGGAAAGTTATTTATGGATATACATTGAGGGGCGCTCCAACGAGTTATACGGCGCCATCCTGGTCTTGGGCTTCCATCAACCAGCCTCTAGAGTTCTTAGGTCCAGAGGATATCCAAAGTCTTGCTATTGTGAAAGGCGCGAAGGTCGATCTCGAGAACCCTGAAAACCCGTTTGGTCAGGTCACCGGCGGTTGGGTCCACCTATCTTGCGTTAAACTTCACCCATGCGTTGTGGAGTATGATGATGATGACTTATCTATCGGCCATTTATACTTTGGCGACGGAGAGGCGTCATTTCGTGTTGGGGTAGCTCTCGACCCCCCCAGATTTAATCTGCCTCGAGTCCGTCTGGCTGACTACAGTGATAAGAAGCCTGAGTTGGTAGCAGTTCCCCTAACATTGCATTTTGACAACGGAAACCCATCGTTAGAAGGCGACAATCGAGTTTACGGGGCCTATTTTCTGATACTCATATCATCAAACTCTTTGGCAGGTCCAATTAACGGCCCTCCACGCTATCGTAGAGTGGGAGTTGGAACTTCATTTGAGTCGGATGATCGAGAGATGCCTAATTCCAAAGATGCAAGAAGACGAATGGAAAACATATGTATGACAGCAATGACACAGGGAACCTTGGAAGACATCATTATAGTGTAAGATGACTATAGATTAATGTATGAGACATTTGATCATTCTATAAGAACAAGATAAATACATGTAGAGGCATGACTTAAAACAAAATTTCAACTTATTAATTCTGTGATTTTAAAATATTCAATTTCAGCCTACTTTAACAATACAGCACTATTCATTCAAAGTGGATTCTCCAAAGCTCCCGATCAACCCCCGCAGTAAAGTCGCTCCGTGTATGCATCATTAAGATGTTATCACTGACCAGGATATCACCCTTATCCCAAGCATAATACAGCGCAACTCTGCGATCGTAAAGAGCCGAATCAATAGTATCGGTGATAGCAGCACTCTCCGTCTTCTCGAAGCCATCGATTGTGACTTCAGAAGCATCAAACACGGTCTTGGACTGAGGCCAAGGTTCATGGTAACGAAGACATGGTTTTCCAGTCGTGGGATGATCGATAGCCAGTGGTAGGCCTCTCAAGACTGTGTTATCGAATGCTGTTGTCGAAACAGTCCAGGTGAGTTTTGAAATGTCCTTCTTGAGCCACATCGGTAGGTACTTGAAGAATAGGGTTGATGAGGAGAAGATGGTGAATCCAGTGTCTTTGGGTGAAGATGTGGCACCCTGGAAAAGTTGGAACCTAGTTACTCAGTTAACCGTCTCATCACTGTCAACGAACATGTTACTTACTGTGGTGGTGTTGAAACTGTCTTCTCAGTTCCATCCTCGTCAGTCTGTTGCACGACCTTGAACAAGCCATCGTAGTGGAATGGCATAGGCTCGGCAGAGAGAACATTGTTCAAACCTCGAGCGTCTGCACCACGATCCTTGACTTCCAGCAAAAGACCAAACTTCCAGGGCAACGGGGTTCCGAAGCGGTGGCTGAGATTAATGAAACGGTCGCGGTTGGGCTTTTTGACAAAACCCTTCAGAACGACTGGGGAGTTGATCTCTGACAGAGCGCGTACTTTCTTAGTGTCAATGTCATCGATTGTCAAAGAACTAGGTCCATTGGCAGGACGAATGGTCAGACCAGCAGGATACATGGGGTCGACGATGATGCCACCCTTATCCCCAGCCCATGAAACTAGAGATGACCTTTCACGATAGTATGAAGGTCGCCCGTTATTGTAAACCAGTTCAAAAGTGTCGTCGCTATCGAATTCTGATCGCATGCCTGTCCGAATCGTACCATCCAGTCTGTACGCAACACTGCAATGCCATGGGGTAGTGTATATTGAGTCAGTTGGCAGCAAACTAACGGAAAGCTTGTGAGCACCAGTTGATGGATGAATTGATAGCCGAATGTGATCAGGGTACTTTTGTCGAACAGCATTGGCAAAGGCCTGCAATATTAGCTCACGACTCATCTAGTCGAGTCTGATTGAGAACTTACGTCTCCGCGAGCCATCATCTGCTTCGCGATGTACTCGATTCCTCTCTTATACTTGGACTTGCTGCGACCTTCACCAACCGGGTAAACCGTTTCCAGATCTGTTTGGAGAAACTTGATGTAGCCACGATATGTCATACACTGGTCGTCTGACTGTCGAACTTGATCCCAACTCCATCCAGGCTTACTGAAGGTGTTGAGAAGTGCGCAACGAAAGTTTGATGCATTTGCCACGTAGGTCATCTCGTCGAGTTCTTTTGGCAAATCGATCTCGACAAGATCCCTTAGACGTGAAAATGAAATGTTGTGAAATTCCTTTTCGGCTGCCAGTGATCGAAGAGTCTCGCCGTATGCCCAAACATCTCTATCTGGCACGCCTAACAAATCTGTCATTGTTAGCCTACTCCTCGGTCATGCTGAGAATCTCACATACCATTATACACAAGTCCATCTGAAATGATAGTGAGCTTGGCACCTGGCGTATACACATCGCCAATAGAATTGCACAGGCCATTTAGATGAGCAAGGGCAATCTCTTCGCCCTTGTCGGGGAGCTTCCCCAAAGTTTTTGAGGATGAGTTTGGTGACTTGAAGGGAAATGCTGGGAGGCACAGAGGAACAGGGCTATCAGCTTTGACATGTGTATAGATAAGAGCAATGAATCTGAGAGCTGATTGATCTGACTGTGAGCAGATACGCTCATCTTGTTTCATGCGATATCTGCCGATGATATCGAGAATCTTTGTAGAGGTCTCAAGAGCCTCACGATCGAGAGCGAGTGTGAATGGCTCGATACTGGCTTGTGGAACCGTTGTTCCAAAGGGGAAAGAGGTCACGGGACGGTGACTGGATACAGCCATGGTGAACGAAGCAAAGAGCTAGATATGCAGGTACGTGATTGTGGGTATGTAAAAGTGAATGCAATGCTTGATGAATGAAGATCGAATTGCTTCAGACAACGGATAGTGAAGGATAACGAATCTTATAAACTATACTGTGCAGCATCAAGAACAGTACATCTGAACTTATTGCAACTATCCCTCCATCCCATTTTCGTTTTACTTACTAAGGCAATTCGTGAAAAGTACCAAATCGTTTCATTAGTGGACCATCGTACAATCACCAATTACTTGGAAAAACAATTAGCCTCGTCACATCGCCTTATCCGAAGGAATCGCTTCATCAGGAAGCTGGAAAATTGTGACAAACATCCCCGTCACCACACGGAAGAATCCCAGAGTAGAAGGTATCAACTCAACCTTTGTGGAAGCCAAGCCACATCCGTCGTCATTGTGTTACCGTAGTATGAAATATTTTTCCATCCAGCTGGGTCTATTTCGTAAAAACTTGGATTTTCGCCAGGGGACGGTCCGCTCGCATGATCGACATCCCACTCGGCTATCCCACTCGGCTTTCATCTTGCAGGGGAACTTTGAGTTAAACTTGAGGCGATAGAAAAATTGGGTCTTTGTTTGATGTAAGTGCTAGGATATGGCTGTTCGGATGAGACATTTGTGTTTCTTATCCTTGATCGCCTGGGATGGTTTGATTAATCTGAATTGGGTAAGTCGTCTGATAGTTTTAGTTATTTGATGAGTTATCTTGTCTTAAGTCCCGTGAAGCATAGAATATTCACGCTTTGATATATTCTTTTTGAACTATCTTAATACCGCGAGAATCACTGAATCATCAAAATGGAGGAAGTCGATATTACGATTGTTGGTGGCGGTCCTACCGGCCTTTTTGTTGCCCTTCTTCTTCAACCGTTGGGCATCTCAGTCCGCGTCCTGGGTAAGCTTCAACAATCCTTGACATGAACGAAAGCCTGACAACATTTTAACAGACGAGAAGCCTTGCTCTTTGGAGCTTGGTAGAGCTGATGCTCTGAATGCCCGAACACAACAGTATTTCGAGGTTGCTGGTATCCTTGATGAGCTGCTCACAGATGGTCTGAAATGCAACAGTAAGGAAACACAATACTCTCAATGATTAATTCTAACAATCAACAGCCAGTTCAACTTTCAAAGCTGGCGACTTCAAATCTCGTCAGAACGAGTGGTGGGTTGGCATCGAGCACGCCCTCCACAAGAACTTCCTCATGATCGGGCAACCTGTTGTCGAACAGGTTATGCGCAATCGTCTAGGCGATTCTGTCAGCTATAATGAACATGTCATCAACATCGCTGAGGATGAAGAGTCTGCTACAGTAATGACAAAATCTGGTCGAAAGGTTTCCAGCAAGTATGTCGTTGGTGCAGATGGTGCACGATCATTCATCAGAAACACTCTGAGAATTCCTTTCACTGGTACCAAACCTGAGATGACATGGGCAGTTCTGGATACATTTCTAGATACTAACTTTCCCGTGTGTCCTGAGATTATCACCTTTGAGCTTAATGAAGAGTCTCGGGTGGCATGGATTCCAAGAGAACGAGGCATGTCTCGATTCTATGTTTTACTCAAGGGTGAGATTACTCAGCAGTTGGCGGAAGAGTCTATCAAAGAGCATCTCTATCCGTACAGAGTCGAGTTTACCAAGACTGAGTGGTTCAGCACGTTTCATGGTACGTCTGTTGCTCCGAAACACTTACTCCCTGCTGACACTTATTAGTCAAGGAGCGCCTTGCTAGCTCCTTCATCTCCAAAGAAGGCCATGGGAGAATAATTTTGGCTGGCGATGCTGCACATGTTCACTCTGTCAACGGTGGTCAAGGTCTCAATACAGGTGTTTCGGATGCCTTTGCTCTGGCATGGCGTTTAGCAGCACTCGCACGACCTTCCAACCTTACCACTGAATCAAAGAAGGCTATTCTTGACAGCTATGATATTGAGCGTCGATCCACAGCTGCTCAAGTCATCGGAGTGGCTGCAGCACTAGTCAGGGACACGGTGCATACAGCCAAGAAATACGTCTCCACAATCGAACGAAATGCCGGCTTCATCACAGGTACGTCTAATTCCGAAATTCCGCGCCAGTCGATTAACAAGTATAGGCATGGGTGTCAACTATAGCGAATTCGCCACTCCGTTAGTGCAGGGTGTTGAACACGGCATATGGAGACCTGGATTTAGATGTCCAGATGTTGTCATGAACGCAACTTCCGGGGAGACCACGCGACTCTATCAGAACGTTGGATATGGCGAATTCATCGTCTTGGTTATTGGCAAACGTCTTCCCAATGGGTCGACTGCGGCTCCTGTTTACACCATCTTACCTGATGATACGACCAATGGCCATGTCCAGTTGGATCAGGACAGGGATTGTGACAAGACTTTCTTTGCTGATTGGGTAAACAAGGCCTCGGCTATTGTGATTGTTCGGCCGGATATGTATGTCGGATATGTTGGCACGGCCGAAGATGAGGCATGGAAAAACTATTTGGATGCTTACTACGTAAAGTTTAGATGAAATGTAGGGTAGATTGTCTTAATCAGTCGTGGATTTATGTTCACCAACTATTTTATCTAAACAGACCAGTTTCGTACGTCTTTGTATTTATTTTTGCCCGCTTCTTTTGTTGCATATTTTTACATTATGTATAGCTTTGATTTCATGATAAATTGCAAAGCCTGTGAATGCTAGGTATCTCCATCCGAATATGTCACCAATTTAGGCGAATGGAGATGCATTCGTCAAGATAATCTTATCACAATCTGTGCGATATTGGGAACTTTGCATATTGAACATGCATCTTGTAAGTTCAAACCGTACAAAATTACCGCTCTCGTGAGGACATGAATCGTGCCATGCCGTGGGGAGCATTAAATGAAGTTAATCCTGATTGCTTTGCCACAATAGAGCATTAAAATCCAGGATCTGCCATATTCTGCACCCTGCAAGGTCCCGTCGTACAGAATTCCCCGTCTCGGTAGGTGATGCATGATGCATGCCTGTCAATGGTACATGAACTCAATCTAGTTTGCTTTGCCACAGTAGAGCATTAATCACATCTTGGCCACGGGTGTCCCCGGTTTCCTGACCTTGTTCTAGCTTAATTCAAGAACAAGAAAAAAAGTCCAATGTTTACCACCTTCCCAGCTAGGCAGGCCTCGGTTGTTTCACCAATTTGGTAGAGCAAAAAAGTCCCGCTATATCTTAGAAGAACTTGCTTGCTACAGGGTCATGACTGGTGACCAAGATACATTTCTTGAAGTAGGATAGCGAAATTTCTCCATCTGTTATTATTAATCGTCGAATATGCATGTGTCAAGAGTGGCACAGACATTGACTGCATTGTGCCTTGATGTGCTGATTTTGAGTTAATCGAGATCCACTGTGGAGTAAATTACCGAGGATTATCTTGATCCTGGATAAAGAATCGTAAGAGAAACAGAGATTGATAAGCATACCGGTTGTATTTCGGCCCATTCCTCCTTCATTAGACGGCTTAGGTTCTGTCTCAGGACGAGCATTGACAAGAACACCAGGAGCCATGGACGCCACGAAAGAGACAGCCCATGATAGCCCGATGGCTGAAAGCACCTCTTCCGTTGAGGATGCATCACCAAGTCCAATCCCAGATGGCGGCTTGATTGCCTGGCTGCAGGTCGTCGGCTCATTTTGTCTCTACTTTTGCACCTGGGGTAAGTATCTCAAGCCAACATCATGAGCGAAATACTAACCACAGACATATTCTAGGTCTCATAGCAAGCTTTGGAAGCTTTCAGACCATTTATGAGCGTGACCAGCTTTCTTCACATACACCATTCCAAATATCCATCATTGGTTCCCTACAGACCTTTTTGATGGTATTTTCAGGCTTCATCGTCGGTCCCATCTACGACTCTGGCTTTTTTCGACATTTGCTTGCCGTTGGATCTAGCTTTATTGTCATTGGGACTGTACTACAAAGCATAAGCACCAAGTACTGGCAATATCTTCTCACTCAAGGGCTGATGATTGGTATTGGAGCTGGTTGCCTATCAATTCTGAGTGTCGCTGTGACTTCATTATGGTTCACTACAAGATTGCCTCTTGTAAACGGACTCGCAGCTTGTGGTAGTGGTCTTGGTGGCGTACTACTGCCGATAATGATTCGGGAGCTGAACGAACAAACAAGTTTACAATGGGCGACGCGAGCCATGGCTCTACTGCTGTTGGTTCTACTAGCTTTCTCCAACCTTGTCCTTCGACCTGGCCCGAACTCTAGTAGACCATCACAACGCAGACAGCTTCTTGACAAGACGGCGTTTACAGACCGACCTTATATACTTTTCGTGCTCGGCTGCTTCTCAGTCTTCTTAGGAATGTACACGCCCTTCGTTTATGTCCAAAGCTACGCTCTCGACAACAACATTGCTTCATCTGATCTCGCTGGAAACCTGTTGGCTATTCTCAACAGCAGTTCAATATTTGGACGCATTGTTCCTGCTTTCCTCGCTCAGAGGCTTGGTCCAATGAACACAATTATTTGTGCGGCAGTGTTACTCGCCACCACAAGTCTGTGCCTAATCTCTGCAACCACAACGGCGCGACTGCTTGTTACGGTCATAAGTCAAGGTTTCTTTACGGGTTCCTTTTTCGCGCTTCAGCCGACCATCTTTGTTAGACTGGCAAGTGATCCGCGAAGAATTGGGACAAGATTTGGAATGGCGTTTTCGGTTATGTCGGTTGCGCTTTTGTTTGGTCCCCCTGTTGGCGGAGCATTGAGGAAGAGCATGGGGTATACAGCCTCGTGGGTTTGGGCAGGGTTGACTATTTTCATGGGTGCTATGTTGATACTATGCAGTAGGCTTCTAAAGGATAGAAAGTCCTTGATAGTATAATTTTATCGATATCATTGGTGAAACTATCAGCCTGTCTTACAATTTGTGTGTGTCTTGTGTAACATTTGGGGGCCATATGCTGAATGACATCTTACAATTCGGGGGACAAGTAATATTCATATCACCCCCTCCAAGTGCTATAAATACCCTAGCATGGCTTTCAGCCTCACTAACCAAATATGATCTGTCTTTTTATATATTAAGGCTGTAAACCGTTATTGACTTGCCCAGCCCCCAGAGCCTACCTTAACTCCAGCACTATTAGATGTACATGCAAGCCTATCACTCTTAGCCCTACGCCACCTTGCCTTTCGGTGTGAAGCTGCACAAGAACACTTCTCGGCATGTTGTGACCATGTTATGTCCTGTCCCACCTCGGACTTTTCTTCTATATTAAAGATGTTGTGCCCCGCTACGTCAGCAATCTTTTCGTATTCCACTATCATTGAATAAGAAGACGTTTCCTGGGCAACTGCTTGCGGGATTGCTGTCTCAGATTCTTGTCAAGTCTAGTCCAACGTCATGTCTCTCACAACACACCCGCCGCAGGCCAATCTGCCCCGGTCAACAACCCCGAGGCGCTTTCCTCCGTCCGTGAGGATTTGTTCTACAACCACTCTACCGGCAACGTAGACGTACCACAAGGATTCAAGTATCGCCAATACCGGATCTTCGGATATACGCTACCTTGGTATGCGTCGCCAAAGATTCAGTTGGGCATGGTTGCCTTTGTATGCTTCATGTGTCCCGGTATGTTCAATGCATTGAATGGAATGGGCGGTGTTGGAAAGGTTGACACTAAACTGGGGACCGACATGGTAAGCCTAACTTTCTTGTCCAACGTTGACATTGTGTTGAAAGGTGGAAGAACACAGCTTTGTACAGCACATTTGCCGTCGTCGGTTTCTTCGGAGGCACATTCGTTAATAGACTCGGCGTGAGAATTACGCTTGCCTTCGGTGGCATCGGCTACGGCATATACATGATCAGCATGCTATTATCGAACCACTTTGAAGAGAAAGTCCGAGGATTCAATCTCTTTTCGGGCGTTCTTCTTGGCTTCTGTGCAGCGATGCTATGGACTGCCCAAGGCACTATCATGATATCGTATCCACACGAACACCAAAAGGGGCACTACTTTGCATGGTTCTGGGGAATTTTTAATCTTGGCGCAGTTCTTGGAAGTCTTGTAAGTCGTCGATCCCACACTATTCACTCATGTGTCTAACTAACGTCTCTATCAGATCCCCCTCGGCAGCAATTACAAAAGCAACGAGAACGTCGACGTAAACGATGGTACTTATATCGGTTTCATCGTCCTCATGTTCTTCGGAGCGGGCTTGGCTCTTCTTCTCTGCAACGCAAATGATGTCATCCGCAAAGACGGGTCGTATGTCATCCTGATGAAGAACCCGACATGGCAAAGCGAACTACTTGGCTTGTACGAGACGATTCGGTTTGAACCATTCATCATTTTCCTGTTTCCTATGTTCTTTTCGTCCAACTGGTTCTACGTTTATCAACAAAACGTTGTCAACGGGGCTTATTTCTCGACAAGAGCTAAGGCTCTCAACAGTCTACTGTATTGGCTGGCGCAGATCTTTGCAGCTGCCATATGGGGATACTTGCTCGATCTGGAATACCTTCGCCGTTCTGTCAGGGCCAAGATCGCTCTCGTGGTTCTTTTTGCCCTCACTTTCATTGTGTGGGGTGGGGGTTGGGCGCATCAGAGAACATTTACTCGATCAATGACTGGCGCCCAAACGGAGAAGGATTGGAATGATACAGGATACGCCGGGCCACTTTTTTTATACATCTTCTATGGCTTCTACGATGCTGCTTGGCAAGCTACTGTCTACTGGTATGTCTTCTCCCACCGACACAGCTGTCTCACTAACTGTTGTAGGTTCATGGGTGCTCTCTCCAATTCCGGCCGGCGCTGCGCAAACTACATTGGTTTCTACAAAGGCATCCAATCAGCCGGCGCCGCTATCTCCAATAACCTCGATGCCAGAAAGGTGTCTTTCGAAGCACAGTTCATCAGTAACTGGGTCCTTCTAGCTTCGTCGCTCGTGATTGCTGCACCAGTCATCTTTCTCAAGATCCGAGATCATGTGGCAGTGGAAGAAGACCTTGAAGGAACAGATGAAGCCCTGGCGGATGTCAACCCCACGTATATCCTTACCCATCCAGGTCGCAACGGGGAGACTTATGAAAGTAAGGAATCGAACAAGAGAGGTCCTGAATATACTGCAGTCTAACTGTGCTTTGCAGTGGAATTTGATGAGTTCAATAGTTCTACCAAGTTACTCCGCAGGTGGTAAGATGTAACACAAGAATTGGTATTTTGTTGGTCGGTTGCGATTTCACTACTGCGACGCTTCATAGCTTTATTACAATGATGTTCATTTCTAAGTACAATACTCCTCCAATTTTCTGGCATATGTTGACATCAAATACCCTCATTTCTGTACATACAACCCAGTAACTTCATCACAAATCAAGACGCCGCAAACATATCCTCCAACATTTCAAAAACTCCAACTTGATTCGCCCGCTTCACACATGTAATCATCCAATTGGCACTGGTTGGTTATAAGCTCAAATCTCTTGGAATGGGTGGCCATACCGAAGCTGCAAATGCACTTGATCAGTCTGTATCCAATTGACAATCATATCATAGGACCAATAATTATGCCGATGAAGAAGTCTCAGATGCATAGACTGCCCCTAGGACACATTTACTCCAATCTCCGTTTTTCAAGTTAGCCCAGTTATGGTCTCTGCAAAAGATCTTATGTGTAGTACAGAACCCTATGGCCCTTTGGCTTCGACAGTTGCCCTTTCGCTTCATGGGGCAGTGATGTGTTGTTGTGGCACCTCTCGGGGGCATTGTATATGGCAGCAATAGAAGTATGATAGAAATGTGGTCAACGAAGAAGAGAAGAGTGAATTGGGATGGCTATCTTTTGCCAAGAGACGACATGGTAAAAATGATAGACTTTAATATTGCGCCTCCAATCTTCCCTGCTTTGTTCAATATCACTGAAGTAGGCCACCACAAGCTCCCACGTGTGACAGCTGTTGATTTTGGAGATCACATAACGGTGCAATGCTCCCATGAGTCTTTCATCAGTATCGCTAACAGCCAAAATCATAATATGTTCGATTACATCCAAGCTCGCTTGTGTCTTTGGTCTACCAACGTTCATGGGAACCCAACAACTGTGATTGGTCGCTGGCTGTCTTTCACTTTCTGCGGCTGACATGCTGATCTCTTGGTAAACAACAAGTAGTTCAAGCCCTTTACCATCGTGCGTGGAACAACAAGGAAGTATAGCAGAGCACGATTTTGAGTCTTAGAAAACCCCAACGTGTCCTAATTCAGATTCCTTCAGTTATGCACGGGCAATGCAACGGTTGGTAGTTGCGAGATACTTTGTGTTTAACGCTTTGTCCAGTTAACATCGTGACCTCACCTGCACATACCCGTCAGCGGAATGGGGCAACGATGGCAGACATTTGGGATTCTCCTCCCACCGCCAATCCCATTCACTGTGATTGGCCTCAACAGAGTACACAATCGGTGAGATTCAGGGTGTGTTAGCTAATTATTGACGAATATGTATTGTGACGGTTCAAGTTAGCCGACAGAAGCATAGGAGACGAAATTAGTAGGTCATTTTATGCTTATAAGACTATACTTCTTACGTTAATTATTTTTATAGTCTAAAGCTCAAAGGCTACGACCAACACGCTACACTAATACATGTATTGCAGAGGTAACTTGTGGAGAGCTTAAATCATTGGTTTAAGCCGCCCTTCATCGTTTCCTTTGTTCAACTTCCTTCCCTTAGAGGTCGATTTGTCCGCGCAGATTACTGTTCCTTCCTTCACTTTACACAGAAATTATCGACTCGCACTATGACCTCATCTTCGTCTTCCTTAAGCTTAGTTGATGACGATAAGTTATACACATCTACCGTCGAGTGGGACCATGAATCATTCGAAACCTTCCAGTTTCGCGTTATGACTCTTGCCTAGAAAACCTTTTGGCCGGAAGCTTCTTCAATCGACGACGAAATCACGGTGGGGCGTCTCAAAGGCGGCTTTAAGCGCATTATAGAAATCACACGACAATCCCCCTATGGTGAGAAAACGGACTACATCTTACGAATGCCTCAGTTTGATGCTGCCCAGGTTGATCACGATGTCGCTGCGCTGCAATTTGTTCGTCGAAACACCAAAATCCCAGTTCCCAGAGTGGTGATGTTTGACGAGACCGAGTACAACGCCCTTGGCGTGCCGTACGGGATCCAGAATCGCATCCATGGGGTCGATTTGATCTCAACGTATCCCAATCTCTATCATCAGGATCGATGTCGATTCGCCTGAGAGTTTGGGCGCATATTCATGCAGATGCTGAACGTGCACAGTAATAAAGCTGGTAAATTGGTTATGCTAATTGACGATAAAGACATGACAGCGCCAATTCATGTTCCGGCTTTCAGATCAACGGATCCAAGTCTCACCACACCATTCAACAATTCTTCGCAATCTGAACAACCTATTGACAAGATACTTGAGAATGTTTTCAACGCCCAGAAAAATTAAATGCTGCAGCGCCGTCCAAAAGACACAGTTGGGCCGAGACAAATGGACGAGTTCATCCAAATGGCGTCGGAGCTAGAGGCTAGCGGTTGGTTTGCCAACCAACACTACTATTCCCTTGCTCATTTAGATCTCGCTCCACGCAACATTCTAGTCGACCCTACATCCAACAAAGCCATCATTTCCGCAATCTTGGACTGGGACAGTGCGATCCTTGCTCCCATGTTCATGTCATGTGCTCCTCCGATGTAGATCTGGGATTGGAAGGAGGATGAGGAGGAAGATGAGCGCGAAGCAAATAATACTCCCCCGACCCCCGAAGGTCAGGAGCTCAAAAGGATCGACAAAGCTGCAGGGAAGCGATACTGCAGGTTAGTCTAAGAAACATAAAGTGTTCTATCAATTTTGTCTCTTATGTATCCAAATGATGTAGGGTATTATGGAAGACTGTATTAGCGTGTTCGGCTTTATGCAAGGTTGCATTATTCTGCTGTCAGCCTGTCACGCAGAAAGAAAGGCGCCCGGAATAAGCCCGGCAATACGGAAACCGGACCGAACTGTTCCGAGCAGGGTTCACAACACCTTTCGTAATAGGGAAGTTCTGCCTGCTCTCAGGTAGATGTAAAGAAAACACCTTTCACAAACTATTCCTTGCTGATAGCTAACCACTGCCTTCCCCATATCGTGCCCAATTTTTGACATTGAATTTTTACACATCTAGTTTATTCTTCGGAATTATTGACATGAACTTGATGAAACATAATTAACATAACCCCGTCATGAGAACAATAAACCTGCAGAATAAATCGCAAGTTTCGTCGAAACTAATTGAAAAGAAACTACGGACAACACATAGACACCACTATGCCGTCAATATCAACTAGAGATGAATGGATCTTCTCCCAAGCATCATCCTCCCTGGAAGATCTGGACAACATCTTCGTATCATGCCACCTCGACGACGCTATCACTCTTTGCCATTATCTCAACGGAGAGATGAATGCAAAGTCCGCCGCACGATTGATCACGACAATTGCGAGGCGAGAAGTCATAGACGACCCAGATGCCAGAACCATGACTGTATTCAGAATAATGAGACTTCTAGCCGCAAGTTTGATACATTTCGATCAAGAACACGAGATGATCCTGGGTCTGCTGCTCGCCATCCAGGACCTACCATGCGACGGGCGAATACATTGGTGGAAATTACCCACCTTCACCTCACGCTGGTCAAACTGCTATTCTGAACACAGAGACATGGGTAATCAAAAAAATGTCGCCTTTTTCAAAAACGCTGGTTACTTGGAAGCGACGATGTACCTCCGCGGCATCTCTGGCATTGAAGAAGAATGGGCATACGGAGTGATCAATCTAGTATGCTTGGAGATGGAAGAGTTCGAATTTGAGATTCATCAGGTTTGCGAATGGCTCAAAGTAGCCGGATCAAAATTGGTCGAAACTCTACAGCCAGCGAAGCTCAAAGTTTTCGACAGAGCTGTGCGGGGGCGGAGTAACAAGACTTACATGATAGAGGTTACCATGTATGAGCACTGGGAGCACTGGAAGAAGAGATTCTTACAAGTCAGTCACGACGAGGATTTTCTTTCGACTGAGTCCAGACAGGTGGCAAAAGAGTGTCATGAGATTATGAAGGGCCTTGTCGTTGAGCAACCCGATCCTCCTACAGAGGAATGAACCAAAGCCTAACCAGCAACTACTCTTAGTTCTCCCCTCTCACATCCTTTGGCGTCTTTGTCCTGTCAGAGTCCGTCTGATCTCCCGTATTGACCGTTCCTTCGCGCTCAACCATCATGATAACCGCATTTTCCGCCACAGGCTTATGTGTCACACCCTTTGGCACAACATACATATCGCCTTCTTTCATGACGACCGGCTCCTCGCCTTGGATCTCCATCGTCAACTTTCCGGAGAGTAGATAGAAAAGTTCTTCTGAGTCTGGGTGCGCGTGCCATATAAATTCACCGTCAATTTTGGCGACTTTGACGTCGTGGTCGTTTATTGAGGCGACGAGACGAGGGGACCACTTTTCGGTGAAAGAGGAAAGGACACTGGGGATTGAAGTGGCTTGAGACATTTCGTTTCGTTATGTGTTTATGTTTCTCTTTGTATGTGTTTGCTTGTATTTGAGATTTAGAAAGTTAAATGAGTTGATTGTTATTGATATAATGAATGATTATTCACGGTTAGAGGTTTTATATCGTTGAGTTGAGTTGAGCTTACATGGATGATGATCCACTCTGGTCTGTCGCTTGCAAGGCGTCAGCAAGGGCGCAGACTAAGATAGACGATGTGGGGAAACAACAAGATTGGTCATCGCGCGAATTCTATTGCTTTCTGTCTCGTGTCTTTATTCCCGGTGGAGATGAATGATATGCATTCACATAACTAGTTAAAACCTAAATCCAACCTACACAACTTCTTCATTACTGTACTCCATAGAGAGATGAGCGTATCAGTTGAGGATGACTCAAAGAAGTAATAAAAGGACTGTAAAGAACAACAATTGACCACATGCACAACTATAACTGGCATGTCTTGACCCGAAGTCTTTTACGAAAGAATCCCTTCCCGCACAAGCTGCGCCCTCAACTCGGCCTGAGTCCTCGCAATATACTGCTCTCTCATATTTCGACCCTCCCAAAGCTCGTTGGTCGCCTTGAGAGCCGCGCTCCCAGCAGTGACAGCGCAGGCACCCAATACTGTCGTCGGGTCTATGGGTGAAAAAATAAGACTCATGCCCGCAATGACCGAACCGCCGCCAACCACAGCACCGGTCAGTGCGAAGTAACTCAGATCGCGGGCAATTCCAGCATCCTTGACCATCTCACTGAACAGTGTTGGGAAACTGACCTTGACGTCGTTATTTCCGACAAGATTGACGAGAAGGAGGACAAATACTTGGCAGTTGGTCCTGTATTCGTGGTATGTGTTTCGGAGGGGGCCGTTCCAGATTAACTCAGCTATTTTGTATGTCTCGTTAGCTTCCATGATTGTGGATATCTTTTATAATGCTTACACATGCGCTTGATATCTTCATGAGTCCATCGCCGTGCAGTATATCCGAGAGGGTCTCGTTCTGTGATGCGTCTTCCCTCTAGTCGCTTTATTCTTTTCCACTCCTCTTCGGGCAGAAAGCGCAGCCCGTACGTCTTCTCGACGCCCTGTGCAAGTCTGGCGAGTTCGTAACAGTAGCCATTGATACATATGGCCCAGTGTCCAATGATATCAATGTTTCTCTTCCATATCTTGTTCTGTCTGGTCGTGGGTGTAGTATAAAGGCAAATGGGATAACCAGTATTGATGTTTTTGCGAGTTACAGTTCCCATGACGGCGAAATGTGTGATGTACTTGTTGTTATCAGAATGTGGTAACTTTGATGGAACAACGAATTTGTCGGCAACATGACTTTAAATGCAAGTCCTAACTTGTAATGGTTCAAATAAGGCTTTGAGGGCCATTCCTCAGTTGTGATTCCAAATATCTCATCCTGGAAGGCGTTCTCTCTGTTCGACTCTTCTAGAACAATAGTGATCGACAATCATATGGATCGGCGCCTCGGCATTTTCTTAGTCGACCAAAAGTCACCGGATGACTCGGATTGGCAGGCATATGAGAATGAGGTGGAAGAGCCAGCTGCGTCAGTTGTATTGACAATGAGGCAGTGCATAGATCGGATCTTTTATTGGTGAGCTATACAAGAGCTCTTGTGTGATTGGCCTGATTATTATCTGGTCGAGAGCATGAAACAGACGTATTTTATAATTTAATTTACGGCGAATAATGCTATGAACGTGATTAATAGTCTGTCTTAATATTAAACATCCAATCATCGAATCATTATCGTATTGAGTGGAAGTTCGGTCTTTGCGCTTCAAAAATCTTTGGTTGAGGCTGTGCTCTCGACATTTTCTTTCCCTTGGCAGAGTAGAGTAAGCATTGTTTCGTCTCTTCGGTTTTGAGCAAGAGTCAGTTTACATGTCAAAGATTTGACCTAGGATGTCAGAACCTCTCTTCAAAAGAATAGAGGCAGTGCATATGCACCTGTTTGGTCTAGTGATGCGCCCTCTAGGCAGTCGCTGACATGTGGTCAGACACTCGCCACGTTCTCGTTCTATCACCAATCATGTTGTAAGACGATATCAGGTGCAGTGTGGTTTATCCCCGCGGATGAGGTGATTGACGCGGTAGACGCGCAAGGTCTGGGGCCTTTCATTGTTTTCCTTTACCGGCTTCGCCGAAGAGCCCCATAAGATGTCAGATCTGTTTGCATCCATATGCCAGTGCATAAATTAAAGATGGGCGAACGAATAACATGTAGACGCATTAATCCAATATTTTGTAATTGGATCTCAGCGACATCCATGGGGAAGTGGCTTCAGAATCTCTACCTCCCGCCGAAATGACAGAAACAGCAGTCTCCAAAACAAAGCATTTATTCTCAAACATGACGAAATGTCGAAAATTCCTCTTGTTGATGCGTTGTCTTTTCTTCAATTTCTTGACTTTCACATATCCTGGTGCATATGACCACCATACTAGATCACCCGTTCGGAGAATCGCTGCCCATCAAGATTACAACCAGAACAAGATAGATACGATTGCGTCATTAGTTCAGTTCCGTAAGCTCAAGGAAGCCGAACTGCGATTCGTTCAAGGAGCGGTAATTCCAACCACCAATGGTAATGAAGCACGAGCTTACTCATGTTCTTCAAGGCAACCTTGTCAGGCGCAGCAGCAATAGGCGTATTCTCATGGCCTACCACAGAAAAGGCGATATGGGCTACCAAGATGTTTTGGAACTGGGGCTTATTCTTCTCCATTTTCGCGCTTATTAGTTCCGCTCATCAAAGGCTCCTCCGATATCTGCCGGAAAAGGCCGATCAAGAGTTTGAAGATAAACAAATTGAAGTGGCGCTTAGTCTTTTCCTGCGGCCAGTAAAAGGGCAACAAAAAGATATGAAGAAAATAAGCTTCAAGATGCTGTGGTTCTGGCAATGTCCCACCATGCTTATGAGTTATTCGTGGGTGTTCTTTGTGACTGGATATGCACTACATTTACTCACTCCGGTTTTTGGCTCGTCAGGCGTCAAGACTTCAGAAGAGGTATGTGTCATTAGTAGGAATTCTAACTTATCCACAGACTGATTGGTAATAGGTATATGGCCTGACATTGTGTGGCTGTGGGCTGGTTGTTCTCAACTTCATATTCTGTGGAAGTCTTTGTCAGCACCGGCTCACCATGGCGAGGCGCAGGTCTACGACCACGCTCAACGCCGACGAACAAGTGTGAGCATAGCAAATTTAAGTTACATTCATCACAAAGTAATGGTCAACTGATGAGTTGGCGTTTGGATTGGAAGGATATTTCCCAAAATGTTGTGGCCCATCAGAAGTCTTCAGGTTTCCGTAGCAAAACCATTCCTGAGTATCATAGGTTCTTCGAGGGAAACTCCGTACTCAGCTTTTTAAAGAATTCCTTATTTTCTCTCCTAAACTTCCGAGCAGCGCAGCTCTCTTTCGTAAGGATTTGATAAATTCTAGATATCAAAGTCAGTGGTCTAGCAGTTGTGGCTTATCCATAACGGTTTCGATGAGACAGTTCTTGCTCTATCTGGTCCTTTGAGCCGTCGATTCTATGGCCCACTTGTTGCTTTTGCATATAATGTGGATATTCAGTTCCGTTTCGCAACTATGGACGACATGTCAGCTGCTGATTTTGGAGCCTTGGTCGACGTCTTCCACAAATCAGAAATAAACCCGACTATCGGACGTATTGAAAGATATCTTGGAAAGACCATTCCGGCAACTTTCTTCCCCGGCCCTTTTAACTTTCAGCGCGTAGTTACCCATAAAACAGAAAACATGTTAGAGAGTTCTCATGAGCTCTCAATTTGTCGCATAACTGGCACCCAGGATGGAGTCGTTGAGGTGAACATCACTGCTTCACTCGACTCTAAACAGCTTTGCGAGAAGCATCCATGACGCCTTGGCATTTTATCCATTGAACAACTCTGTCTCGATGGGGACACATTTCGTGCGCTGCTACTGGGGTCTCTTCTCTTAGATCTACCTTGAATTGGCAGAGATGCTTAACTCACTGGTAATCATGGTAATTTACTAGAAAAGATGAATAAAGGAACGAGAATAGTCGGAGGTTCTGGCCCAGATTACCGCTGGCAAAATTCGCGCTCTCGCTTTCTACGCCGGGGCATCGTCCTGTGCTACAAACTACTAGGCATTCAGAACGTGCCTTAGAGCGATGGAATCACGATATTCAGTGCATTTGGCGTCAAAATAAGCCCACTCCATCTGATTGCTTACGACGAGTTTATGTTCCGCCAACTTTAGACTAGAAAGTGTAAACGCCAACTTTCCAAGGTTGGCCTTCTCTCGTATAGGAACGACCTCAAGTCGGGCAAGGTCAAAATAACAAATGAGCTCTCGAAAGACCGACATTCCGGGCTCAACTTTTCTATGTTTTGGGACGATTCTAAGGGGGGCGAGACCAACACAATGAATCACGTCGAACTAGATTTCTCTGACGAATTGTCTCCATATGATTGTCCTGTGGATGCAAAGTCTATCTTGACTGAAGATGAAAGCAAAATATATTCCTATGTAAGCAACTTCTTCCGGGATCCAGACTTTGTGAAAGCCAATTAGAGAGACTGGTTAGAGATACTCTTTGATGCCAGTGCGGCTGTACAGGACATGTAATTGTGCTTCAACTATACCTACGTCGAGAACGTCATTCACGCTCTGGCATTTAAGGTTTGAATATGAAGAACAAGATCGGAACCACCGAGACTGCGAATTCTTCGGCATACATCGAAGCATGAAACGAACAGTCTTGGCACAGCTCCCATACAATGTGGCTTGGTTTTCCGCCCGCATAGCTATTGCATGCTTTGAATACACTGCTGGAATCTGCAAACCTGGCATGTCAGTGCGGTATAAGAATATTGTCCCTAGCGTTCACAGTCCTGTTAGCCAAATGTTTGATGAAATCTGGGAATGGGACATTAAATCGAGGCCGGGAACAAAAATAGTTCAAGACATGGAAACGATGGAACGCCGAGTATTTTCAATGTACAGGGACCGAACAGCCTCTCCATACGACGGAGATGAGGATGATGTGAGTCATGCAGAGGTAAGAAAATCGCGAATTGAACTTCGTTATATCCACTGACTTTAATCAGATGTTCTTTTACGCATTCCTAGAGGTTGGTGACGACTATGTCTTACTTGACGAAATGATAGAAGACAGTCGAGTTCTCTGGACTGTTCTGCGGTTATTCCAGAAACTACTCGAGATTAATGACGATACTGACAGAAAGAGGTTCTCTACAATTTTATTGGAAAAGGATTGCTGAGAAGATTTGAATCCAACTCAGCCACAGGCTCAGAACGCCCATGAACTCTTATGCTTCATGGCAAAGGTGGCACATCTAAACTCTTCCTATATCCATAAGCTATCTATGGCCGGAACAAGTGATATTCTCAAGGGTTTCATTCAATCTGGTTAGTTGGTATCTCTCCCGTCGTCATTTTCGGATAGAACTGTATATGTAAGATTGGCTGATATAATTTTATAGCTGAGGATCTATCGCCGTTACATCGGGCAATTGCCTTACGGTCGCTCGATGACCTCATCAAATGTGTCTCCAAGTCACCTAGCTCGATATTGGAATTAATATTGTTGATCAATGTCGATTCGTCCATTGAATGGTACACAATTCTGCACTTGGTTGCCGATTGGCCTGAGGGGTTGCGATACCTACTGTCAACTGAGGCAGAAAGGTTCTTGAATAAGGACACGTCCCCTCAGAGATATTTCCCTACAGTTATTTTTGCGTGTTGGCGTAGTAATGCTGAATGCGTCAGCCTTTTCATGGAAAAGAATTGTCGTCTTGAGCTCTCTAGGTCGGCAGCCCATGCCTTTTGGGGTTCTACACAAGAGTGCATGGCAGCAATAGCGTCTTATCTTGCAAAGCGAAGACTAAGTTTACTAAAGTTGGCACAGGAAAGGCTTGGTAAATTCCTTGAGGGCACCACGGTAGCCTTTGCCGACATAGCAGCAGCTCGCATTTGTGATTCCCTCGACAAGGCGAGCATTATGGTTCATTCAAGTCTTCGGGTGGAAAAGGACTACAAGTCAATCTATTCCTGCAATGGCATCCTGTTTCAGCGTTTCCCAATTTTTTTGGGATAACGGATTCCAACATGGGACGTTTCATGACAACATTGGCCTTCTTCCCGCGACGACGTATCGCCATCGTCTATTCAACCCTCCTAGCCACTCACACATTATCATCTTCTTGAACTCATAATTCTGGATGCGTGATAATGGATTCCTTGGCGTCACAACAAGAGACCCGCTCAAACTAGGATTCAACCTTTCCTCTACTGGCTATCACTATATCGGCGCTATGTCTGGTGCTTTTTATAAACCATATTCTCCCGAGCGTGAAGCAAACGCCTGGCACCTAATTAAGAAACTGTCAAGTGTTCAAGTTGAGGATGAATGTGACTGTTGGTGTAACATGACAAATCATGGTTGTTCACCTATGAAGCTACTTCTAAAGTCTCATCTTGACGAGACCCGACCCGGTATACAAATGGACTTCGATATACTGCGACACATCATCTTTCACCATGGGATATCTGAATTGTTTACTAACGTCAAGGCTGAGGATCTTAATGGTTTCCTCATTGAGCTCTTAGGTCTTCTTACGTTTGAGGCCCTTGACATGACTCATACATGCTGCACATTTCAGAATATCAGCGAGGACATCGTCCGAGACCTAGTTTCTACAGTGAGCTCCAAGCCTGCTGCAATATTTCGTTGCAGAGCCGAAAGGGTTCAACAAGTTCGTTCCTGCGCCGAAGAAGCATCAAACACACGTTTACTTGAAGACTTAATGTCAGAGTTGAAGTCAGAGCTAATGAAAGAATGTTCATGCCACATGGCGTTTGAGGAGCTTATTAAGTGCTATTGGCGACAGCGTATATCTGAGCTATATGACCCTCACCCGCAAGTTATGAGGGATATAGAGCAGCACCAGGCGTTTAGGGGGTTTAAGGCTTCATCTGGTGTAGAGTGATGTAAGTACCTCTTAAGAAGATCCTAAGGCACATGAGATAACATTTAGCTAGATATACTACCGAAAAGGGTTTTGCGTCTCCTCGGTGACAATTTCAAGCTGACGGGGTTTGACGACTCAGAAGACGACACTACATCACTATTTGAGGAGGAATCTTTACCTGAGATCGAATCTTTGTCCGACACGAAGCCATTCTGTGAGTGGTGTTACAGGAGCAATACAAGTAGTGAATACGATAACAGTACCAGCGATGATGGTAGTGGTAATGAAGATACTGTTTAGGGAAATTTGTACAGGTTGTAAATAACTATGTGGGGACGAAATTATAGTATGGATACAAGTGAACGCTTGGAACTTCGTGTTCTCAGTAACCCTACCTCCTACGCACAGATCTAGCTACTTAATCTCGAAAGTACAAAAGTCATGATTCTGTCCTTCGAGGGTCTCCCCAAACATCATTCCATGAACATAAGCCTCACCTATAAACATAAACTGATTCTCGCCAATCGGCCGAAGGATATATGGCGTTCGTCCACCAGCTAGAAGAACCACGCAATCCTTCGGCTGAGCTACCTTTGATGAAACCCCTAAATACCCTCCTTCTGTTCGCAGCAGACACCGTTCTGTAAGATTATTCATCATGCCAGATCTAAAGACCTGCTCGGAGGTCTCTGAGAGCCTCTCAACCCCTAGCTCGGTTCTATCATGAAGACCTTCGTTACTAGTCATCACATCCAAGGCTGATGGAAGCAAATTGCCCGAGTCTCCTTTTCGTAACTCGTCCAAGACATTGCAAAGCGACAAATGATCATCACTGGAGTTCCGACGCCGATGTTCGACGATACATTGAAGTAAGATAACTTTGAACCGGTCCTTTGACACATCTGTATCTTCATTGTCGCGTTTGTCTTGCACGATAGTTCGCCATAGTGCTTCGACGTGACTTTCGCCAGTGGGATAGACAGCTGAGAGCCGTGACACGATTCCCAACCATTTTTCTATTGCATTGTCATGTATCAGGCGTTCGTAAAACGTCATTAATGGCGGTTCCTCCAACTCAGCAATCGTGTCGACTACCAAGCCATCGAGCTTGAGTATTCCTGGTAACGATGGATAGAAAATAGCCTGACGATCCCGTGAAGCATTGTATTTTCTATTGTAAATTCTCCATGAAACCAATTGGATATTAAACATCGGAACCCACGACGGCAAGTCCAAAGGGCGGCTATGTTGAGGTTTGTTTAACGAAATGGTAGTTGATTGATATGTGAAAGAGGAAGGTGGCTGAACAAGAGACAGTGATTCCAACGGTTCCAAGTCATCCACCTTGTGGGCCCAGTTCGGAACGCTATTGTCTCCTTCTGCTTGAATAAGGAGTCTAGCCATATCAGTGAAGACCTCCGTGGTTGATTTTGAGTAATCCGCCGAGATGCCTTTCAATGGCCGCGAAATAGCTAGCAATGCGAATATCCTATCCCGCGGGTCGGAAACACCGAAATTCCAGGAGAGGATAATCATTGCAGAGAGACTTAGCTTTTGTTTGGGGAGCTTCTCAAATACCCATCGTCCTCTTGCTTTTGCCTCTTTGCACTCGGGTCTAGTTCGAATCCTGATATCAAAAAGGGAAAGGATTTCTGTGCCTGGTACCGCTCTGCCAAATTTAATAGCTGGTCCACCGCAGCTCAGGATCATGCCAGTTCTGTTATCGCCGAACCGGCCAAAAATGAGGTCAAACAGTTTCATCCAGCTGAAATGAAACGGTCCGCACATCATATCGATCTGTTTGGCAAGAGACACTTCTTGAATCACCCATGTCCGAGAAAACCACAAACGGGTGAATAGACTTCTGATGGCTAGGAACTCCCTGACAGATAGTATAACACCATCAGGTTTCTCATCCAAGTCGAGTTTCTCTCCTCTGCGATAGGCATTCAAGCGTCTGAAAGAGTACATGTACTCTTCGGGGCCAGGCATCTCAGACGATAATACATTGCAAGCCAATTGGGTGGTATCGTCCACCTCTCCTAGCCATGCCAAGACACTTTGTGCAGATCCGTAGATTTGCGACATCATTGCAACTTGGCTGTTACGCTCTGGAATGTCGTCTTGACTGATACAAATTGCATCGATCCAAAGAGGTTGTCCTGTGAGAGTCGTAGGTTTTGTTGGGTTTGGCCTGTCTATGTCCTGCTCATCCCAAGATCGCAGTATCTGGGCGGTTTCCTGCCATTGACGCCGCTTCCGTTGCAAACAACAGCCCAATGGATCACGCCCGGTTGAATCTCGAATATTTTGGCTTGCACCTCTGAGAAGAAGAAGCTTGACGATTTCTGCATATCCATTCTCTGCTGCATAATGCAAAGCGGTCTCGCCGAAGTTATCCTGACAGTGGTGGTTGGCACCTGAATCGAGGCTTTCCGTGACCTGGTGTAAGTTGCCGTCCTCGGCAGCTTGTATAAGCTTCGTCTTGTTGAAAGCATAACATCGGTCATCAATACTGTTCGGCTCTACCATGCGCTCCTGGATTCTATACAGGGCTTCATAGAGATTCTTTCGAACATAAAATAAGCGGCCGTTGACAACTATGGTATACATGTGCCGGATGGAATATCGATCTGACGACTCGGTTTGGGGTAATCCAAATTCAGCCTCTTTCGGGTTGCCCCAAGTGTAAGATAGTGCCTGGTACGGAGGGCGTCGGTCATGCTCTGATGTCTCAAGCAGAAATTCCATCAAGGGGACGCCGTTGATAGAACGTTGTTCAGCATCTTGAAATCGCTTTATTGGCCGGAGGAGGCGGATGGAGGTTGGTGATGAAAGTGCATCGTATTTAAAACTTTTGTATTCAAAAGGAATGTCCATTATCATATCTTGCGCTAAAATCACCTGTATACCAAATATTGTATGCGCGATGGTTGTATTAATACTGCGTGATATTTATGTGATGCTTTATGAAACCAGTCTGCCTTACCGCAATCTGCTTCCGTAGCTGTTGAAGAGAAGGCCCCCAAAGCAGCCCCACCCACTTGTCTTAGCCAATAGAAGTTGCAGGTCTATCTATTTTTAATTATCTTATTACGTGGGATACAGTGCAGGGTGGCTGAGCCTGCAGCAAGAACAAAACAAAGCATATGATAAACGAACCCTTGTTTATTGGGAAATGGTATACAAGCTTGGAAATGCAATTATTAGTGACAGCAAAGCTACTGCCCTGGCTGAATTGAAGGAGCATGTACCACGTACCCCCCCCTCTGAAGAAAGATGCCTGAGACATAAACGAAGATACATAGCTAGGACTATAAGATAGGGTACGGCGTCTCTTTTGTGGAAGTTTCAAGCTGACAGGACTCGATAGTTTAGAGGATGAGGCGATGTTATCCAAGACAGCATTGTTATCTGTAAGGAAGCAATTTCACAAACATTGCCACACAAGTAACGCCATATCATTAACATCATGTTTAAAACCACAAAAGCCGATTACTTTACATATGGATTAGCTAGTAGGGTTGCCGCAATTCATTAATCAGATAGTAATAATATAAAGTGGAGGATTTTTATCCTGCTCGCTTATCGCGTACATTAGTTATATTTCCAAAGATTATAAATTCGGAGAGTGAGGTTCCATATAACGCAATCAAATCTAAGGTTCAAGAGGAGGACGTTGAGTTCTGTGCACCCTACATTCTCTATTCTATGCTTGGCACAGTGCTTTCCATCGACGAAAAGGATCCGATGATGGAATATGGATCATGCCTGGTACTACTAAAGCTTGTTCCTGCATGCCTTATGAACCTGACTCATAATAGCAAACACAAATAGTGCAGCTCCTAATTATCAATGGTGTCTCTGCCCATCTCTGTCCAAATTCTTGCGTCAATGTAACCGCGCACAGCTGCTCTAGTGCGTCCTTGTGTTGGCGATGTGGTCATTGTACTCCTCAATGCTCATGGTGCAGGGTGACTTATGATAGGGGAGGGGGGGGAAGCGGTTAAGTGCTCTTGGTGGCCTGCACATGTGGATGTCGAGGGTACTTGCGAGGTTACGAATGATAGCGGGTAGCCATGCTGAATTAAAGTAGTCTCAAGGTCGTTATGTGAACGCGGGTGCAAACGGAGCGGGCGGTGTTAATGACCTGAGGCGCCCTTTCGCTGACCTATGACACGGGAAGTGTTTTCAAGTGCCGATCCCAATGCGGTAATAATGTAACTGCCAATCTTAACCGCCCATTCCCTTCATCCCGGCATCTATTTACAGCGGCATAACTAAGCGTTGCTGGCAAGGTATATATACGGTGGGGAGTGCTTTAACCTTCAGTCGCGTCTCGCAATTTCATTGATTACTCGTCTATGTCAAGCACTATTTCATAGCTTCTCAAAGTTTCTTAACCCACCATAGCTAATTCAAGGATCTTGTCAATATGAACAGTGCCGCCATTTGTTCGGTCCGCTCATGGTTGGGCATCCCCTACGCCAAGGCAAAACGCTTTCGTCGGTCTGTCTTGCTCCCTTTTAACCCAGATCTGCCCTACAATCAGAAAGGGCCAGCGCCAGTGTAAGCCGGCAATACCGACTGGCTCGAGGCCGACAACGGACTGAGCGAGGATTGTCTGAATCTCAACATCTGGGCCCCCGAAAACGCACGCAGAGCCAAACTTCCCGTGATCGTTTACATCTTCGGTGGCGGGTTCGAAATCGGTGCAAACACGACGACGACCTCCAACGCCTCGGGTCTGGCTGCAACTGGCCGCGCCGTCGGTGTGTCTCTGAACTACCGTCTCGGACCGCTCGGCTGGTTATCACTGTCTCAGTACGGCGGCGTCTTAGCCGAAGCGACCAACCTCGGCCTGCAGGACATCATCAGCGCGCTGCGATGGATACAGGAGAACATCGCTCGCTTTGGCGGGGACCCGCAGCAAGTCACTGTCGCCGGCCACAGCGCTGGAGCGTACTCGACCATGGGGCTCATCGCAGCCCCGGCTGCCAACGGTCTGTACCGGCGTCTCGCCGCCTTCTCCGGCGGTGCATCCCGCATTGTTCCGGCATGGTGGGCCGAGGAGCTGGCGATCAAGGTCCTCATCGAACTGGGCATTGCCGACGACCCTGAACAGCTGCTGACTGTAGACGCAACACTGCTCGCCGAGACGCTCATCAAGGTCAGCCCGCGCGACATTGGCGACAGACACGGCGTCGATAACACGACCATCGGTATCGTAAACGATCACTCCCAGCCCGGGGCAGTTCTCATTGACACGCCACTGCGTGTGCTCGCTTCAGGCCGTCATCGAGATGTCGACATTCTCCTCAGCACTGCAACGAACGAGGCCGATTGGTGGGTCATTAATGCGACTGAAAAGTTCGACCCTGGCAGCATCGACAACTTGGTCGATGAGCTTGTTACCAAGTCGCGTATACCCCGAAGTCGTGCTAAGAAACTCGTTGCAGCCTACGACGTCGACGGACGCACTCCAGTCGAGGTCCGCGGGGCTCTTCTCACCGATTACTTCTTCACGCTTCCAGCTGCGCGCGCAGCACTCGCGCATTCCGCCGCGGGCGGCAATGTCCATCTACTCAGCATCGGCCCCGTCCAAGATGCGCCAGCCGTACACGGCACGGAGATGTACGGCATTGTAGGGCAGCAACGCCCTAAAAGCAGTGAGGAGCAAGCCAAGCAGGACATCTTCGTCCGCGACGCACTCCTGGACTTCGCAGAAGGTAATCATGACCGGCTTTGGAAAACTGTGGCTGGAGAACCTACCACGCACGGCATCGGTAACCCCCCGTACGACCCGACCATCCATGCGGCCGACGTTCTCCGAACCTTTGAGGGCATTGAACGGACATAACCTCCAGCAAGGGGCAAACTAGACGTGAAGCAGAAAACTGGTGATGACCGTCGTGCAATCACCGTCTATAACATACTGATAGTAGATGGCTATATTACTTCGTTATAAGGTTCCCCTGTGATTGCATATATGCTTGTGACTGTCGAGACATCGCAGCCTGGCTCTGTGTGCTACATTTAAAATTCTGCTGTATTGACCAAGTTACCCAAGAAATAGGTCGTATCTCGGACGACCTCGGCTTCCGCTACCAGCGCAAGCAGCTACTTTTATTCTACTAGATTAATCTATGCTGGCGGGGGCGTCGCCCTCCTCAAAGCTGTCGTTAATGCAGTAAGGGTCCGGCAAGATGCCACGGCCCAGGACTAGGCAGGCGGCGATGCTGACGCAGAATCTGTTATTAGTAAATAAGCATCCGAAGCCATCTAGGCAATTATTAACAAAAACACAGAAGCGCTCTACGTCAATCGTATCCTCATTGTTTACCCTACACCAAAGGCCATCTTCAGAACTTATGTAATCACTTGCACACGAACATGCATGGCTCACGCCCTTTTATTTGTACGTAGTACAGAGGCTCAAGGAGCGACCCCCGCTAGAACCTGACTGTTGGTATGTTACATCCTACTCAGATGGCTTCAGCACCTCGGTCAAGTCAACCAACTTTCTCTGCCCATCAATAAACTTGATACTCGCGATGAGCAACGTAGATGACTTGGTACCAACGCCAGTCTCCTTATTGGTGTCGGTGAAATGCATGTACTGTGCGACACACCCAGCGGCAGATCCGTCAGATGCCTCCCAGATTTGTATGTCCCTAGTGCTCTGAATACTCGTGGTATTATCGACACGAAATTTCAGAACGGCTTCCATGAAGGTTTGACGCGTGAATTGATCATGGTTGATTCTTAGTGGCACGATTAGTTCAGCTCCGTTTTACCTCAGGTGGAACCGTTCAACATGTAACTTACCTCGCAATAAAGTCCTCTGTAACATGATTCTTGAAAGCATTCGTCGACACCTGGTCATCTGGCTGAACGAAGATGCTGTTGTAAAGTTCCTCAACCCATTTGCCCAGGACAGAAGAGGCACGAGTGGGTTCGAAAGTGTTGGTCATGGTGACTAAAAACGAGTTGTAAATGAAATTTGGGAAGTGATGAAGTTGTCTAAAGATGATTCAAGAAAGTTGCACTTGGACAGCTCGCGAGCACATATTTATACCCATTGGTCAAGTCTCCGGCTTCAATATGGGCGATTGAGTCGGGAATGGATCCACATGAAGGTTTAGTCTAGCGTGCGGAACTCCGCATGTTAGTTAGCTAGGCCCCGCATAAGCATCAGGCCGGGAGTGCCGAGTTCAGCACTGACCGACTCCTTTTTCAAATACCATGTATCTTCGCGCCCTGACTCCATCTTTCTAGCCGTAACCAGTCAACATCTCGGCAAAGCGTCATATTTTCGTCTCACAGAAGCATGATATCATCAAGACGAAAGTCCTGCGCCGCTTGTGCCCGGGGTAAAAGGCGGTGCGACCTCGGGTTCCCGCACTGTGGGCGCTGTCTTGCAAGGCGAGTCACCTGTGTGTATGCTTGGATATCACCCCAAGAAGCCCAAGAGGTGGCAGAAACCACCAACCCAAGTCTTTGGATACCGCAAGAAAGTCCACATGATTATCCTGATCAAGGCGGCAATACCGAAACCTTTCAGTCGAGTCACGACTTGCCCGGGCCAGGAGGATACCATACCAATAATGATGCCACATTTTGCCCAGCTCCCTTGACTCTCTCTACGGACCTAGTACCTCTAGTAGATGAGATTGCCGGCCGAGGGAGAACCATATCATTCCTTGCCCCAGGTCCCCAACTTCTATTCCTCGACAAGTCATATGCAAATGCGGGCTCACATGTATATGGGCCCCAACCTCCACATAACATTGGTATCCCACCAGCACCTATCCAAGGAACCAGCAGTAGCTCCATTTATACAGACAAGATCTTTCATGCACGTGCAGAGTATGCTGCCAGTCGCCTAGACCGTCAGGTTAGGACTTTGGCAGAAACGGGACAAACATCCTTCATCCACCACTCTCATGTCGGCAGCTCTGCTATATTGAGAGACGCTTTCGCTGCTTGCTCCCTAAACATGACACGCAACTCGGCAAATGAGTCGCTTATTTGGTCAGAGATTGCGAGGCGGGTAGGACTGCTTATAGAAGCTACAGAGACAGCCATTTCCCTGACGCCGCCCAGTTCTCATTCGACCATAAATCTTAACCTCCTACCAGCTGTACAGGCCATGCTTATTTACCAGTGTATGCGGCTATTTTCAACTGGGGACATTGCACAGCAGACACAGGCAGAGCTAGACGCCAAGTCGCTTGCCAGATGGGTCGATATCTTGGAAGAACAGACCCAGTGGCGGTGGGACAACTTTTCCAACGGTACACAACTCGATCTTTCCGTCTGGAAAGACTGGGTCCAAGCAGAAAGCATCCGACGTACTATGATCTTTGCGGAGCTGCTGGACGGCATCTACACCTTTCTTAGATTTGGCTGGTACCAACCCAGTGCGAGGATGGCCAAGCTGGGCTTTACAGGACAAGTCGTTATATGGGAAGCAAGGTCGCCAGCAGAGTGGCACCAAGCAAGAGGGCAAAATCCTTGGGTCGAGTTAACTATCTCGAGTTTCCATGAAGGCATCAAGGCGGCATTTCCCGACGACCTTGATGAATTAGGAATCATCATCTTGGTAAGTTATGATGGCGTTGACGTGTTGGAAGAGTGGGCGGGTGATGACAAAAGACTGCTTAAGAAATGGGGGTTAAGCTCCGGGAATGACAAAGCTATACACAGAGATTTATAACATTATTAACTAGGCTCTGAGTAGTTATTACTCTTTTTACCCTCTCTATCATAAACCGTTTTATTATTATTATTAGGACTGACATCGTCCCCTTCTTCAATCTCGTCTTCGTCACTCTCTAACCCTAACCTCCTCGTATCAGTAATCATTCTGAAGTTTATTGGCAAATTTGGGTTGAGTTGAGTCTGCTCGATTTCGACCTCATCGATATTCTCTCTGTAGAGAAGACAATTCAATATGGCAAGTGGGAATCCGGGATCTCAGTATAAGAGCGTCTCTGTTTCATCGTGCAGTGGATGGTAGTGCCCATAAGTGCTATTACGTCCACAACTCCAACAACTATTATACCCGAAAGCTCGCCGGTCGAAAGACTTGAAAGACCATGGCTTCAAGTTACTTGAACCCTAAAACTATAGAGAGGCGTCTTACGGACTATTTGGAAAAAAAAATTAGTACGATACTGGAACCATACTATTACACTATGGATAATGGTTTGATTGTCTATGAGAGTGTTCTGGAGAATATTGTCTTGCTCGTTGACAATAGAGAGTCGATGTCATGGAACATAGACAAACTATTCCGTGAGCTCGAAGTAGAGTATTGGGGAAGAACCCCGAAGGCCATAGAAGCGCGGATGGAACGCTACAAGAGGTGGAAGAATTGGACGGAGGAGAGAAGAACGCGTATGAAAGAAGGTCTGTAGGTAGTCGGAGAAAGACCAACTAGATGCATTGGATGAAACTATTCGTCAGGTGTTCTAAATCAGAGGATGATTAGCTTATTGACCTCAGAAGCATACAGTATGCTATATTCAATAAAAAAGTACCCACTTACCGACCAAGAGTTTATCAGGAAGAAGATAATCCCAGGTTGACCTTTTCATTTTGTTACCTAGAGGTAAATGATATAGCCAGACAGAAGAAAACAATTGATTGAATTAATTTCGCGAGTGCAGGGTAAGAAAACTGACGGCGGGGATGAATGATTATCCGTGATCTCGGCGTGAATACCCCACCTTCGAGATCACCAGGTAACCGCCCAGCTGTGGAATCTTAAGCGCTCCTACCAAAGTCATCACGATAGAGTTTTCTCTAATGTTGCTAAAACCTTGTATACAGCTTCACTTCGATACAACGAGAGAGGCGTCGCTGACAACATGAAGCTCAAAGGAATACTCCACGCTCTTTTGGTGCTAGGAGCTTCTGGGGTAGTCCTGACAGGTGCGCCACTCTTCTCCACTGATTCTCGATACCCGACGCTAACCTCGTCACAGACACGACCCACGATTCCAGCGGACTCTACGATCTCGAACTTCACGACGGAAATGACGCGACAATCCAGAAAAATTATAAAGGATGGGTGAACCCCGAGGACCTTCCTCCTATGCCACAGTGCATCGCTCAGCAAGACCAAACCGGCTGGTTGAGTGCCATGACAAAATGCACCAGACATCGATGCACCCACTGGTTCATTTTCTGTACGCACTATCAGTGGCTCACTGAACTTAGCTGTCTCAGAAATGAATTCTCCCCGAGTACCATACAACGTTACATTTCGTACTGCAGTCGGTCGGTACTCGCCGAAGCACAACTGGCCGAATGGATACAGCACATCACTGGTCGGAATTGGCTGGTACACCTCGGCGACACCAATGGGTTACAGAGTTTGTCCCCCAGAAGCTTGACGCAAGGATTCAAGACCGTCAGCGTTGAAGAAAAGGCACCTACGTGTCTCAAAAAATCGACATCGCAAATCAACGAGCCGTTTGAACATGTCATGGCATCTTGCGGTTTCACAAGCACAACACTTCACGAGGGGAACGCAGATCGACCCTGGGAATACAGCACGGCTCGAAAATCCATGACTGCCCTTGGCTTTGATACCGCTGGGTATGACCTAACCAACTCGCACATACCTCTGGGCGAGTATTTCGACAAAGAATGCTTTTGCAATTATTTCTCGATCGACCCCAAGCACGAACCGTGTTCGGATCAGCTCGACTTGGCAAAGGAAAGACTATGGCTGCATGCCATATGCGGATCTTCACAACTGCCTGTGAATTGGAAAAAGTCATTGAAAGTTGTTGGAGAAAACTATATCCCGACTTACAGGTGGGCGAGTTCTTCAGACCTGCCAGACCTCCCGCAGAGCATCCCAGAACTTTCTGAACAGTGTCGAACTGAGGCGTGCAATACCGACCCCGAAGGATTTTGCCAGGTAGAGTCCGCCATAGACAGAACCTGTGTTTGTGGCAAACTCGACTATAGTCTTTGTCAAGGACCTTGCCAAAACTTCGAGTCAAGAAAGAAGTACGTTTGGTGGCTGGTAGATCTCTGCGATGATTTTGAAGACTGGCATGGGCTGCCCAATGACTGGCATGAACTATTGGCACCTCGGCCTCGCGACATGATCCCATGGCGTTGGATTTTGAGACCAGAAAGCGACAGAGACATAAACTGTCCGTCCTATGCAGCGAACCTCAGCAGCCTTGCCTTTGTCAACATAGCGATTGCTCTTGCTGTGTACTTTGGCGAGAGGTTCTCTCGAAATGTCAAGGCTCCCGAATCTCCCCCACAAAGTCCAGCTTGGGTCCTCCGAGGACTTGTACTTGCCAGTGTTCAAGCAGCAGGCCACTGGATCGCAATCAATACTATTCAGAGTACACCAGGCTATGAGAGTGTTCCTACATTGCAACTGATACTTCTCTTGTGCACAATGCCCCGTCTTGGCTGGCTCGCGATAGCACCGAAAGAAATTCATTGTTCCGAATCAAAAGATCTGACCGCGGCATGTTCAGCGCTCTACGCGGAGGGTTTCCTGCAGATCCCCAACTTGTATTCAATGACTACGGTTTTGAATTATGGATTTCGCAATGGTTTCTATTTCGGTGTTTTGCCTTATACAGAGTTGGGATACTCCGCTTGGATGATGTACGGCGGAGCGCTCCTGTGGCTCGTTGCTGTTGCTTTGATTGTTGTAATTGTCATCCGAATCCTGCGTCCAGTATTCGCCACCCATACTCTCATATACACAGTATCAGAGGACCTATCCAAGTGCGATGGCAATAAATGCACATCAACAAATGAAAGAGATGAAACTGGTCACTTGTTGATCAATCCTGAGTACAGCGGTTTAGGAGAGAGGCTCAGATATGGCACTATACCAGAGGTGGCTGGGCCCAGTCAACCCCCCAACAGTCTAAGGGAGCCTCATCTGAGTCTGTACGTTGTTTTGACTGCCGGCTTTCCCGTGATATTCCTAGCTCAATGTCTCTTCTGGATTGGATTCGTTCGTGTTAGTGGAGCCAAGTAAGTCAAACTCCGCACATGATACAATGTTTATTGCTGATTAATCATAGTTACTGCCCTCCCTTACTTGGTATCTTAACCTCCGTATGGACAGCTTCTTCACTGATTCAGGTCGCTCTCAAATTCATTATCTAGATAGGATCTTCGCCTGTGTATAGGTATCTGAGACGCTCTATATAATCCGTTCTGTAGGCGTTGAGTTAGATCACGCATCGGAGAATACTATGAGGAATACATGAAACAAATTAGTTTATAATGTATATCTTGCGTTGGCTACTTGTCTGCTATAATTGTGCCCGATACTGTCTCTTTATTGGCCGCATAGTTCAGCCATTGCCGCGCGTGCAATTATGTATGTGGCTAATGCCTAAGGGGGTTGAACATTGAAGATAAATTGGCAATTACTACCCATCAACTTTAGTGGCTTTGTAAGTAACGTTGCGTTTGTGATACTGTTCAGGTATAGGAGAAATATTGACTGTCTTGATAAGTCTCAAGGTGACGAGAAGGTAAAAAGTAGGTATAAAACGTTCGCCCGCTTCCAAATTCCAAATTCCAAATTTGTAAAAGGACCATGTCCCTGAAATGCCGGTATACTCTTTCGCATTAATCCCACTCATATAGAATTAATGATACGCCCCCTGGGTTTGAAGCTCAGTCAATACCTACGCTGCCAAGAATCTATACTTGAGCCCAGGAAGTGTTATGAAGAATCCTGTCCATCAACGCTAGATGATTATGGATTGCCCCAATACTGGACACATTCGGATCTAATTCCAAGTATTTCAACGAGACATTGGCATCCTGGCCATCGGCAACATCATTCCAGTGCGCTTGTGTTTCCTCTGACATCTTGAAAGATGAATTAGACTTCCAGCTTATGCAGCTGTTGAATTGATCAAGTCTCTTATATGTGAAGATAGCAACAGAAGTTATCTTGTCATACGGTGGCACTTGGTACAATGTTTTGTAGCCCCAAATCTCAAGAGTCTCAAGCTTGGGTATTTCCTTTGCCGCCTTCGCTACCCGGCACAACAAGCTATTGACCGCGTGTTCGTCGCAGACTGCCAAGACCACCGAGGTCAACGCAAGCGTCTTCAATTTCTTGAACCGCCAAGCGTAAGGATGTTTAAAGATAACTTTGGCTTCGTAAGCGTGTGAGATAGCAATATTTTCTGCCATCTCAGCTACCTTTGATAGTAATCCAGACATCATAGTTTCCACCACATGGTTTGCTCCAACCAGGCGATGATAGTAGAGAGTGTTGTTGTCTTGATAAAAGGAAAAGTCTTTAACAGACTGTGGTAAGTTGAAGCTAGACATGAAACCTATGTCTGATTAATATATCGTCAATTGGATGAGACGGAAAACACTTACACCGTTCATATGCACCCTCGTATATTACGTTGCCATAAGACCAGCGCTCAATATGCACAGATTCCAGACATGTCAATGAGTGCATCATGATTGTCAAGGAGAATAGATTAATATTTGGAAAGTCTTTTCGGCGAATCAGGAGCTTGGAGATACAGTTTACCTCAGGTAGTAACAATGGCGCTGATACTGAATGAAGAAATTGAAGGCGCCTGTAATCATTAAGCGCATGGCTCCTAGTGCCGAGTAAACATGTTGTTTTGGGGACCTCCCAAGTGCCGCCAAATAATATCTCGTCTGGTACCTGAAATACTCGCATATCATTTGAGGGGAGGTACGTCGAATGATCAAAGCCATTTGTGACACCTCTATTATCCTTTTCGCCAGTGGAGACTACTGTCAGACTTCGAAATAGTTGTCGTTCGACGATATCTTGCCAGGTCTTGCAGACGGCGGCAAGGGTGGAAACGTTTACTCTGGTGTCATTTTTTTCCCAGTGTAATAAGATAATACAGAATTTCGAGCTGGATTTCGAATGGTAGTACGGGGCGAGACGAGACTGGCGGCATGGTGATTGTGGCGGGAGAAGACATCTTGAGTGAAGTAATTGAGTCGCAAGATAGTTATCACTGATAATCAGCGGGGGATACAGGCATTTTATTTACATGGTGAGGGCTTAGAAAGTCAAAATGGTGATTGGAACCCAGGTAGACAGTTGTTCTGCCAGTCACGTACGTGTTTTTGTTGGGAAAGTTAGTTATTGAGACAAACATTGGTATATAAATTTAACGATACGTATCAATCCAACATCACACTTTGAAGTAAACTGAAAAGTTGCTTCTGGAAACTTCAAACATGAAGCACCAGAAATTGTCATAAACTCTCATCATAAAAATCTCCCAAACTCCAATTGCCGATTAACCCTATAGCGCACGTGGTGACCCTTAAAGAAACTTGCACTATTTTATTTTGACACATATTTCTTATCTATTGTCAAAATTGAAAACGTTTGTAAAGATGAATATATGGAGGTAAATCTAACCTCATGACAAGCCACATGTAAATTCAACGACATGGATGCTCATAAGCGAGACATTAATACATACCGTGGATCACGTGACGGGCTAAGGATTTATTTGCACGCTGTCATCTTCTCTACCTACTTTCGGTGAGGAAAGGCCAGAAATTTGCGAAAATGTTCGACGATTGCTACTTCGGCTCTTGAGATTGATACTGTCTGTCACTGTGGTAAGGTTAGCGTGAATCAACAGAGGCACAGTTCCACTACTGCCAAGCAAAATGCCTCAGATACCGAGTCAGCCTGTCGGGTGTCTAGACAGAAAGGAAGAAGGTAATGAGGTACACGAAACAACTCTGCAGAGAACTCAGGATAGGAGGCAGGATATTAATGACAACGAACACACCAAGGAATTGGTCGTATCGTGGCTGGCGCAATGTTTCAAGAATTCTAATGGAAAACACGATATCTGCAACCAAGGCGTCGATGGCTACATCCCTACTCGTCTTCTGGATGTCCGACATGCTCTAGAGAAGAATGTAGTGCGCATCGTCTGCTCCGATAAAGAGGATGAGACATTTACGGGCATCGAATACGCAACGTTAAGTTACTGCAGGGGTCCTCATGCTGCTGAACAAAACCCAATGCTGGTGACGAACAATCTTGAAATTTGCCAGACAAAGGGGTTCAACTGGGACCACCTACCAAAGACATTCCAAGATGCCTTCAAAATCGCGTCTTGGTTGGAGCTGAACTGGATTTGGATTGACTCTATGTGCATTGTCCAAGATTCCAAATCCGACTGGAAAATCGAGACCAGAATGATGGATCAAATCTATATGGGAGCGAAAATCAACATTTCAGCGGATATAGGAGTGGACAGTCAGGCAGGCTGCTTTGCACAACGCACAAACACTGATATCACTCCGCTCCAATTGGTGGACCGGAGTCTCGAGAAGGAGTGGGCAGTCACGACAGACGACACATTTGAATGGATGAACTCTGCACCTTCGATTAGAAGAGCTTGGATTCACCGTGAGAGACAAACATCAAGGCGAATCATACACTGCACAGCAAAGGAAATGGTCTGGGAGTGTTGTGGGTTCGACAATGCCAGATTTGCCAGTGAGACTATGCCACAAGGGTCGCCCTTCGAGAAGATATTCAACGGAGAGACAAATTTCCAGACTCAGATCGCACATGCCTCAGACAGAAACTTGAGAGGTAGCGAAAGACGGGAAAGGCTACACATGCTGTGGAACTCTAATTGCCAAGACTTCACAAACAAATCTGTTTCACAGACTTCAGACATGCCTTATATACTTTGGGGTATGGCTTTTCGGTTCCACACCTTGTTTAGAGGCGAGGAATACGGTTGTGGACATTGGCGATCTAACCTGGCTGAGTCACTTACCTGGTGGATACCCGGCGTGAAGCCAGAGTGCGAGGACTACCTGGCACCTTCATGGTCCTGGTTGAGCGCTGGATGTCCGGTGCAACTAGTTCATCTAGATCTCCGACGTCATAAACGGGCCGTCGTCGATATACTCTCTATATCCAGGGGCTTTGAGTCATACCTCGATGACGGCTTCGGTAAACATGCCTTCGGGTCTATGTCTGTCAACGGCTTCTTACGCAAGGTCCGTTTTGACTATAAGGGGCCACAAGAAGATGTTATCACTTTGAGTGTCGTCGAGGAGGATGAACATGGCAACCCTCGCATCCGCAGCATCGGTCGAAACATAAATCTCAATCGTGATCTGTTATTTCGTTTAACAATGGACCGATATGAGAAGCTGCCTTCTCGGGGATTAGAATGCTACGCCCTGTTCACAACGTTGCATGAATCCGCAAAGGACGAAGCCGAGTGTCAGCGACAACTTGCTTGTATCTTACTGGAGCACGACTCGGTTATTCACAACGGACCTTATCAGTACCATACGTACAAGAGGATCGGTACAATAGATGAGATAAGCGATTTGTACAGTCTCAAACTTCGTTATCGGGTCGCACCGTCGGCGAAGATCCTGGAGGTTGGTGTGTTACAAGACGATATATGGGCTTTGCTTTCACAGTACCTTAGCTGCATCCGACGGACCGTCATCCGCGAGTTCATGGAGAGTGGAATACCAGATTCAAGTGGATACTCGACCTGTGAGCAGTCAGAGACAGATGAGAGCGAATGGGACGAATGTTCCTTGCAGTCACGACCAGAGAGTACAACAGGGGTCATTAACAAAAAAGACGAGGAAGATGTACGATCCGTGTCTTCTGAGATCTTCAACGAGAGTAAAGATTTACCACAGGATATGAACGCCACCAGTGGACAAGAGCAAGTTGATGATGTGGCACGAAGGCACCGCCTACAACTGCTTGACTTGCGTAACATAATCATGCAAATTCATGACCACCCATCCTCAGGTCTTAGACCCATCAGTGACGGAGAGAACAATGACGAAGCTTCGAACCACCTGCAGCAATTAATTTCGTTTCAATCACAAACGGTGGCCTATGGTAACAACATTAAGGAAGATCCAAAATGTGTCATGTATCAGTTTGATGACGTACTGGATATGTGGCAGAAACAATATGGCGTAGTGCCCTGGTTGGAAGAGCTGGAGACTTCTGAATTCAAAATAGTTTGACTATTAAGCTTACTTTATCTTAAAGACTTATTGTTAGATAGAAGCTTTGTGTTTTGCAAGACGCGATGCCAATTCTTTACGTCACAATTGTCAATATTCTTGTGCACTGAAACATTGATAGAAAGCCTCTTCGTATATGTATTCTAAAACATTATGCATTACCGCGTCTTCACATGTAGACGCTCTATGTACAAGTGTCCACCCCGACACTCAATAATCGATGTCCCCCCAGCTTACTTGGGAAGGTTGGCAGGGGTGTAAGACTGGTCAGGCTTAACAACCTTTCCTCCCTGAACCTGCTTATCGGTATAGGCAGGCCAGACAATCTGTCGCTTGGAAGAAACAACAGAGAAAGTAGTGAATCCGTTTCCAGGACCGAACTGGCCGCTCCAGCCAGAGGTGACAGTGTAGTCACCGCACTTGACGGGGCCGCCGTTGCGCTGAGAGGCCTTGCTGCCCTTGACGACAAACTTGCAGGCGGTGGCAGCGCCCTTGTGGGTGTTGACCTTGAAGTTCCAGGTGCAGGAGCTGTCGTCCTTGGCACAGCTGCGCTGCATGCTCTCAATAGTCCACTGGGGAGTGGCGGCCATCATGTTGACAGCGGGCTCAGTGGGGGCAGCGGAGACGCTGGTGGCTGAGAGGACAGCGGCGAGGAAGGCAAGAGAGAACTGCATGTTTGCGGTTGTTGTTCTAGAAAGAATTAGTATACGATTGCAGAAGTCTTGTAATGATGTACTGACTTGAAGGTGGAGTGAAAGGTTGTTGTAGATGTTGAAGCGAGTGACTGAGTTGTGAATGATGATGAGAATTAAAAGTTGCTGATTGTCGTCTCTTATATACATTTCTGAGCGGTATGTCCGGTTCGAATATCTGACCATACGATGCTATACGGGCTTCAATTCATAGCCTGTTTGTCTTGGAACGAACTCAATCTCGACCAGTCCATTACAGCCATTTCGGGTCTAAGCTCGAACAACTACACCAACTGAATAGCATTAGCATTCACGTGGTAAGCTTATTGCGGTGAAGTTGCATGATTTGTCCGTAAGCAGTCTAGTCACATCTCGTATCACCATTAGCTGTGTTAGTTATTTTTGGAGCCAAAACCTTTGTCTCAGTGTCAATTCAGCCCAAAAGTGGGCGGCTGACAGTTATACCAATGGGAAACCTGCTCGTATAATTCATGGATCATTCCATCGTCTGTGAATTATCGAAAGGCGATACCCGATGCGTCCGTGTCGACTTGAAGCTATGGCTATATTTGGATAAAGTTGAAGTCCGCGCCCTTGTCTAGTGACGCCACATGTCGTTTAGTTCGGAACATCGGCATTATTTTCCAGGGGTCAAGGGTCTCGGCTATGCCCGCTCCCCACGTTTATCCTTGTCTGTTACGTTACGAGGAAAAGCTTAGCTTTACAGATCATGCTACGTCGTACCGGGTAGGCCGGTAGTGACAGAAAAGTCGAGCTCAAAGGTTCAGAGTACAAAAATACACAGTCAAAAATTCCATCCTAGCCACTACAAGCTGACAGACTAATTTTTTCTTCAATAGTTGCTGCGGTCAGCTGTCCTGCTACCCTGGGGCTAGGCTATTGAAGACCAATGTGTAGGAACTCAGAATTATGAGACTGGTGATGTCATCGATTCAGATCTTCACTCTCACGGGTCTTAACTTCACCCAGGTATGCCCAAACATGTCGGTCCCTTCATGTTTCAGCCCTGGACTGTTACCCTCTTCAATTCATCCACCAAACCCGACATACCAGTGAATTCATCCGCTTGTGCCTCGCCACCTACCAAAGGGCGTGTAGCAGAGAGATACAGAATGTGCCCAATATCACGATGAGCAGCCAGTAATCGGGGATCCGGCAGATCATCATTCCCTCCGTTGAAACTAGAGAGATTTCTCGTAACCGGAAGACCGGGAATACCTGGAGGGAATGCCTTGATCACGTATGTATCTTCTTTATCTTCAACAGGATCAAAGAATATACGAAATCGCTTGAATGCATCACGCAAACTGGTTCTTAGCGTAAGTGCATTCTTCGGGCCCTCAATATCGCCGTCTGTGATAGTCTTTAAAAGACCGTGATGAATCATATTGAGAAGGGCACGGTTCATGCATTTTCGAGAGCCCTGCCGCAGTGTTAGTAAGAATAACATATTTGTAGCACCAATGGTTGTTACAGGCTTTTCAGACCGACCATCAGTAAAGATGGAAGGTGGGAGAATTCGAACAATCTCTAGCTCGTCGAAGTGGGTTAGGGCGGGACCATACATGAGTTTGCCATCAGCATCGACAAACTCCATTCAGGAATGTCGATCCAGCAGAAAGGCTTTATGCTCATTAAATATTTGCGAAATGACACAGCGATGTCGGTCTCGCTGGAGGCAGGCACGCTGGAGGCAATCCATTTGATATTGCGTCTTCGAAGACACACGATAATCACCCACTGAATGATTGTCCAAGACACGTGGTGATGATGGTCGTGCCTTCTCTCCAGCCAATGCTTTTACTATTGAGGCGTCAGTATCGAACCATTACGAAGTAGAGTGTAGACATACGTGGAAGAAAGAAGTTTTGCAACAGATTGTTGGCAAATCGATATAGACCAGCTTTCAAAGTATCTCGGAGGCAGGCGTCGTCGAGATTGACATGGTAATCATCAGAATCTATTATTCCCATGCGGCAGAGTGCAACAAGCACAATGAGATCTCTCGATGATTGATTGCAAGCATATTCATAAGTGAACTTGACAAGCTTCACTTTATCATAATAGCCTATGTTGATGTCATCATTATTGTTCTCAAAATAGGTGAGAACCTGTTCAAAACGACTGATGGCTGAGATCCGCTTGGACAAGTCCAAGAAAGGCGTGGGGTGTCCTTGACTCATGTTGTGTATTAGGTAGGTAGGTACTTAGGTACTTGAAACTTGGTGCGTAGTTGAACGATTGGATGTCGTCGAGTCTCCGAATGATGTGGCTGATTTGTTGTGTCGATGGTTGATAAAGGAAGAAGCATGAGTGGTGCGGACACCTCATTAAATGTATTTTCTACACGTAAGTTTATTTGAAACTTAGTTGTCAGCTACATCAATTTTCTATCACGGTGGAAGTTACTTATCGCGATATACCTTTATTCGGTGAGATTGACAAATATTCAGTATGACCTTTCGTGATTAAAGTACGTCCCTTGATCTATGAACCCTGTAAGATTGTATGAAAATCCAGTTACTTTTTGGAACAGTCCAATTAAAGCTACAGAGCGAGAGAAAAATTCAGCATTAAATTTTAGAGAATTCGTGGAACCACCATATAAAGTTATCAAAAGTAAAAAGGATTATCATCCAATGGGCAACTAAGGCTTATATACTTTGACAAAACTCTGTCACAGATATGATATGATTGTCACGAAGCTAATATGGGATAGAATAAATTAGGCTCTCGACTATTTATCCGCAATGTCCAAGAACCCCAACATCGCTGCAAGCACTGTTGTCTGTTAGAATATCTCTATATGGTCTGATGCTTGCATTACGAGGCATTTGGGTCAACTTACATGCCCCGGCTGTCACGATATATGAAGCAGTACCCCAAGCTGTCTGTATCGTCGCAAGATCTGTCCAATCCTTTGCGTTGAGCCATATCCCAATGGCCAAGCTCAGAAGAACTGGCACTAAGACCACGATTGTGATGCGTGTGATTGACCAGTCTAGAACCAGCTCAAGGGCGTATTCACCTTCTAGCACGTCGAGTCGCTCGTCATTCAGCGTGCGATGAGTCCAATCTGCCCAGGCTCGAGAGATATGCTGAGGAACATGCCAGCTTTTGTAGGTACTCAACAGAAGATACAAATCAGCAATTCCATTAGCATCTAGATTGATGTGGTCGTGTTTTCCGGTATTAGCATCGCACTGGATTCATCAGTATAATTTGATACCGGTTGGCGACTGACACGGACGTACCTTGTACAGTCTAAACGCCGCGAGATGCTTCAAAGATAATAATGTTCCTCTCATCCCACGAAGCCGAAATGTCGCCCACCTGAGCTTTGAGAAAAATTGGTCGGGCCTATCGATGAACACAATTTGTTCCTTAGGGTTGAGAGCACCGCGAGGAAATATGCCCAGGACAACATATGTCGGCTGGATTCGTTCCTCAAACTCAATAGCTGTAGTATGCGACACACCGAAAACCGGTGTTGAGAAACCCCTCTCCTCAATCCTCTCTGATCTCCGATCGATCAATACTGCTTGGGATGGTCTTGGGCTCTGATGCTCAGCCGAATTACTGCCCGTATTTCCATGCTCTTCGTCACGTCGCGGAACGGAGTTCGTTGGAGACATGACTTGCTTGAAAGCTTCAGGATATGGAAATTTTGGGCTTTGCGTGGATTCGACATTGGCACCCAATTGCGGCATGCCTTGAGCGGCGGGAGGTTTTATAAACCACTTGCTCTTGATGCTCCTTTCCTGTCGAAGTGTTCGGATACACGGGTTTCGCTGCGATACAATGGTATCGTACTCTGTTTGGCCTACACCATAGGCAAAGTAAGTGTGCCATGTCGTTGTTGGAATCGGTGTGGCAGGTGCTGGATGTGTTAGGGCAACTGGCTTATCTGGATCTGTGAAAGCCATGATCGTTCATCACCAGGTTGAAAGAGGCTGAGTTGTTTTGGCGAAGGGGAAGACAACCCCGCATCTTATGAGTAGCGACCATGTGAAACGGTACCTATCTAGTCTCGAGCTTTTGTGTCTTGGTTCAGCCGCAAGCCACCTGATTACATCCAATAAAATGGAAGAGAAGATTTAAACGCTAGACTAGCCAGCGTAGACGAGCGAAATTGTGCCTACCCTATGGCTACGTTGCTGTCCCAAGCACAGGGAGTTCACTTCTATCTTTACCATACAATGATCATGTTTCCCTCAGCTACGTCTTAAGTATACTTGTAACATTCTCTGTGCATCACGATTCAGTATATGGTTTAGTTCAAAGCCCAAGTTCGAAAGCATGCAGCGCCGAATTTGTTGTCTGGTTACACTTATATCCGGCGTATGGTGACCTGTACATTGTTTGATGACAAGTGTGTTGCTTCAGTGATAAAGACTTATAAGGAATCAATTTGGAAATAAGTGATCTCTCTGTCTGTCTGTTCAACGTCTGGCAGGCTGGCCAAACCCAACCCGGTCCATGACTTCCAACGCATGCTCTAAACCCTCATCCAGCGCAAAAGTCCTTACCAACTTACAACCTTCGACAGGACTGGTTGAATAGGCTTGGAGGACTTGTTCGACCTCCGGAAGGTTGAGTAGGAACTTAGCCGCACGTGAGGGTCTGCCCTCGTCCTAGTTGTTATTTGTCATTGCATAATGAAGGGGTGTGAGGCTATGTGTAGACTCGTCTGCTGTCCATGTGAGTCTCATGTTTCTGTCCAGAAATAGTTGCATTAGGTCTTCGTTAAAGTCCACCTCATTTTCGCAAAATCTTGCAAAGAATGTTTGACCTTCCCTGTTTCTGCAGAGAAGGTTGACATCCTTGTTCTGTAGGAGGGTTTCCAAAGTTTCCTTACTCTGTACATAATGTAATGGAGCTATTCCCCATGTATCTTTGTGATTTTTGCCCTTTGAAATTCTTACAATAGCTTGCAAGACTGATGAAGAAATGTTCCTGTGTATTGCAATGTAGACCGGTAAATAGCCTAGGTGATTGCATTGATATGCGAGTCCGGCGCTGCCGAGCTTGACGAGGCGCTCAACCATGTGTATACAGCCATCACAAGCATTTCGACATGATTCGGGGATAAAATTATGCAAGGAACTGTTGCCGCTTGGGCCTTGTCTTTGCACTACGTTCTCGCTGTCGATGTCCATCAAGAAGGAAGCATAAGGATAGTTCTTCTCGATAAGGGCATTGTGAAGTAATAAAGTCTGGCTTCTCAGAGCCTCTTGGTACATTCTATGCCCTTGGCACTCGGGATCAGGGTCGAAAATTATCGTTATGGTTGTACAGGTTTGAAAAGAATCGACGAAACTGTGTATGTATGGCTCTGGCGTCGTTCGAGTGTTCGACTACGCTTAAGTTGTTCCTTCAGACGTTGGCATCCATTTCATGCCTCCAATTGGCTAAAAATGTTGCTAACTGCTCTACCAATACTGATCCAAAATATGATAATTGCCCTGTTTCATTCTCAGTGACTGGTAATCGTAGTAGAATGTTAATACCAGGTGGGTAGTGCTAAAGAATGTCCCACCCACATGGTTCTATGCGCAGGGCGTTAGTGGGGGATGTGTATCCCCGGTAGGCAAATAAGAACAATTCCAACATATGGGAGTCTCTAGCTTTGATAACATGGGAGATAGGAGACCAGTCATATGCCGTATACATTTTCCCAAAGGATCGGCACCGTTTTCGATGAGGTATTTGCATATGTGGCCATGTCCAGCTTCATAAGAAATTTGTAAGGGTGAATCTTGATGTAACTGACTTTGTAGATCGGCACCTAGATGGTGCAGTAGCCTTACGTTCTTAAGTTCTCCTTCTTTGCAAGCATTGATATAGTCCTTGCTAGTTGTCTTGTTGCCGCCAGGAAGCTTTATTTTGACTATCGAGTCATCATGGTGAAAGGTGTGGCTATGAAGTTGCAAGTCCCTTTGGGATGCATAACCAACAATATAGGCAAAGCAGCTTTCGTCCTTGCATTTAAAAGGACGCTCATGACTGGTGAGGTGTTTTCGAAGTAGGGGATCACTCAGGTAGCCAACACAGAACTTGTCGCAATGAATGATAGGACACTTGTGCCTTTTCTCGCCTTCGAGTTCTTTGAAACCTGTGTTCTGGGACAGATTATCCCAGTGGGTGTGAATCGTCGTTCGTATATCAAAACCTTATCTTGTATAGCTTGAACAAGGACTTTGTTAGTTTCCTCGGAGCTGCCTGCGAGCGCATCCATATCAGCTGCATCGTGTGGGATGATGGTATTATATGAGTCTTCCAAATTCGACAAGGCGTCTTTTATTTTCACCGCCAAGTCCGAGCCAGCATCGGTTAGCAAGAGATTGGCTTTCTTAATGTGAGGTTCGTAGGATGAAGCAGCATAGTCCATGAAACCAAAGTAGCCTGATTCAACCACTTCCCTCAATTCGTCGGTTTCAATGCTGAAAAAGGGTTTGGAACCAAGATAGCGGCAGCAAAACAGGGACATGGCGATATGCTCTTGCATAACATCAACGGTATTGGTGTAGATAAGATACCTGTGACAGAGTAAGTGTTAGCCACTAAAGCGATGACTTTAGAGATTTAGCGTACTTGCTTGCTGTTTCGTGGATCATGGTCAGAGTCTGCTCAGACTCGGCTCCTGGAAACATTTCACAGTTTGTAACATCTACTAGTGAACTGCAAAGCTTCTTGCAGCCATCCGCACGAACGTCTTCTTGGTCGCAAAGTTCGTCGTCAACATCTATACAGAATCTTGATTGTATCTCGCGCCATCGAAGTGGTCTTTCAGAACAGATCAACCAACCAAGAATCTGCTTAGCGCTTGCTTGCGCAGACCTACCAGCTGTATGTATAATGCGCTGGACAATGCGCTCGTAACTAACTTGGTTAGTTAGGTAAAGGGCCCGTAGGAAATGCTTACGCTTAATCTAGGTCTCGTGGAAACTCGTTGTCTTTGAGCTCGGCTTTGAACTCCTTCCTCGACTCTATCGATATGAGGTTTGCTAGCACGACTTTTGCATACAGAAACATGCCCAAGGGCGTGACTGTTGGTGTCTTCATCTCGGTCTTCACACTCCCTTTTTTTGAAGTATACCTTTTGCTGCCTTTGAAACTTTGATGATCAAATCTGATTCGTCATCAGATGGAAGACGGAATCTGGAGCTGATTACAGAAGCCCGGTCCTTGCAGTACTCCTCAATATCCTTCCTGTGCGGGTCTAAAGTGTGTAGTCGGATTTGAGGGTACGAAGATAGAAATGGCTCAATTCTTCCCTCTTCCTGTCCGCAAATCAGAATTCTCACATGACTCCCTTGCGACATGGCAGTTTGGAGGAGATCATAGAGACACCACTTTAGAACGCTTTCTGGTTCATTGTCCTGGGCCTCGTCGAGGCCATCAAGAACGATGATGTGATCACGCTGAAATAACAAGCAATCTGAGGCTAGACCTTTTAGGAAAGAAGTATGAAGGTAGTCTAAGGGAGAGCATTTATCGCAGGCAAACCGCATCATTGTATCGTCTGAGTGGATTATCTGTGTGATGATATGGCACAGCATGGATCGAGTCGATCTACGATCGGCACCGTTGTGCTTGAAAAAGAAATATACCATTGGGGATTGAGATTAGGATTCTCGTGATCGGTTATTGTTCTGGTGGCGAATTGTTGTTCTTGCCAAAGTTGACTTTCCTATGTATCAGAGTCAAGATTATTAACTATAGTACTAAATAATAAGATTGTAGAGGCCTACCAGCACCGGGACACCCATTCAAAATAGGACGCATCGTTGCGATGACGTATTGTCTTCCCACGATTGAAAACGTGGGTCAGAAAGAATCCAGCTACCGGAGGATTCAATGACGGTATCCGGCAGCTCGAGCTGACTTATTATTTGTGACAAAGGCACATTGAGTTTCTTTTCTAACGATAACTTGATTTCTTCACTTTGCTGTTGCTGGCGTCTCAGCTGTTCAGAGGTGAGCACATCACCCAGGTCGGAATGTATTTGTTCGAATTGGTCTTTCGCGTATGAACCGGAATCTTGAAGGGTTTTGAGGATCGTATGTTGTTGAAGCTTGTCGTCTGACAGCATTGCTTGCTTCCTTTTCAGGCTTTCGATAATCGGCTTGACACTTCGTCAAAACTCTCCCCAGATGAAGAATAAGAATATTTTCCAGTCTGTAACAACTAGCAGATGCTATGGGCATGACGATGAATTAACAGACCAGGTTTAGTAAATATTGCGAGAATGGAGCGATGGAATCGGAGGATGTTAGAGAAGTAATCTTCCAGCATTCGCTTTAATTGATCGTTTTCTCTGATTAGGTTATGGAAGACAGCGAGGTTGTCGAGTGCAATAGCAATTTCTTCATAGACATCGATGATGTTTTTGATACCATTAGTCCATGTTGTGGCCAGCATGAGAACAAGCTTAATAGGACCCTGCACATCTTGATCCATATGGCACAGCTAAGGGACAAGTATAGCTTACCCAAATGAAGGCCACCGCTTCGCTGACGTTGAGAAAAATTGTGATGAGCTTTTCGATCTCCTCCATTGCGTCAAGAAACTTGGTCATTCTGCCCAACCAGCAAAGGCCTCTCTCGCGCCCGAGTTTCGTTTGTATGATCTGAATTTCATTGTTGATGACTATCCTATTTGCGCCGCTGATCTCTGCCCTTTGGGCATCGTTAAGTCCACAGCAGAATTGGTCCATAGACCTTTGCAAGTTGAGTTCTTGCGGAGACGCCATACTTTGGTCGCAGTATAGGTACGCGAATGAATGTTGTTGATCTTTGGATGGTGGAATACTCGTTGACATACATCTGTTCATCCACCTTCGGTTCAGCCCAAGGCAGAATTACTGGGTAACTTGACTCATGTGACTTGGAAAGACCGGGAAGCGATTGGTTGCATTTGAGATGTGAGGATATGCTGCATGCACAGCCTGATCGGACAAATAACAGATTTCGACTGTTGGACGAGGCTGAACGGTTTTATCACTCAAGCACGATCACAAGTCCTCTTCTTGTCTTTTCTATAATTCATAGATATGTCAGCAAAAACCAAATCAAAGGAAAACCACAATATCTACCGTCCAGATCCAAGATGCTGGGAATCTCAAAACGGCGATTATGCTACGAAACCGACACGAATGATTGTAACTCACCTAAGAGACTCTCAGATATCTCCAGGTCTGGGACTCCTCACTCGCCCTCTAAGAACTTCGACTCGCCTTACTATACAGAGGACATTACAGATACAACAATGACTGAAGAGCGAAATGCTGATAATGAGAAGATCTGTTACGGAACTGTAAGCCACAAAAGTTAACTAGTCCTATATGGCATGAGTAAGACTTGTGTTGATGACTGATAGATATGCGATGTTCTCATTTCACTCTGCTCCAACGCAAAGGTTCGTCGGAACACGCGGCCGTGGGATAGATATTATTTGTTCAATGTACAAGTTGGCTCCGGTGCTTGCTGTCTGCTGCCTGATCTCGACGTCAAAACAAAACAACGATCTCGTCTTGACGGAAATACTGTGGCCACTCTGACGCTCGTTTCTTCCAAAGTGCGGCACGTATTCTTTGCAGCCGCGATCGGTGTCAACGCACTCTATGGGAAACGAAGAAAATCCTCCAAGCCCATAGTCCAAGCCACAGTCAATATCTACGGCCCAAAGCACTTGATGGATGAAGTTGACGAAGCACTTTCCACGATATCGACATCTTTGCAGCACCCGTTATTCCTGGAGCCGAATATTTCTTATATTAACCCTCAATTTCTCTACCCCGGCCCTGGTAAGACCGACCTAAGACATCTAATTGGTCAGACCTCTAAGGATACCACATCTGGCTTATCTCAGGTCGTCGATGGGGTCATGGGATGTTTGAACTATTGCTCTGAAGATCAAGAGTCCTCCATAAGCCTTTTTCAGCTAATATTTGATCAATATCTTGTTGAAACTGAACTTAAAGAGTACTTGTAGTGGCCAAACGTTTTCTAGTCTAAAATGATACTAACTTAGATATAGTCATCAACTCCAAGGTGTGAATTTCATCCTTGGACGAGGGGATCCAGATGTCGCCAAGCAAATGGAAAAACAAATGTTGATATCTATTGACAACTAGTAAATCTTCCTACTCTTGTATAATGGACTCTATTTGAGTTGACCATTGATAGCTTATTAATGCGTTCAGACTCATCATGTTCTGGCGGCATAGTAGCAGATATGATGGGTCTCGGCAAAACACTAACTATGCAGAGTGCAATTCTATGCTCAAAGCAACTAAAACAGCAATACAACATGAATGGACCTAGTAATTATCATGACCTTGCAGAGAGACCAAGGTCGACACTCATCGGCTCACCATCTCGGCGTACGCCTTCTAATCAACTTGAAAGACTCTTACTAACGGGACTTAAGGGTTGCTTGATGTATGGAGAATGAGATCGACAGGTACAAATTATCAACAGGACGATATGAATCAACATAAATAAAAACGTTTAGGCGATTTCGACCGCAGACTTTCAAGACTCAGATTTTCCACGGACAGACACGAGCCAAAGACAGATATCATTTGCTTTACAATGACATTGTTCTGGCGACCTATCACACGCTCGAGAGAGACAGCAGCAGCAACAGGATCTCGAGTACGATTAGGTGGTCAAGGATTGTACTCGATGAAAGCAAGTCCAAAAGCGCCATATTCTGAATATCGCCATTACTTACAACTATGAAAGCTCACCATATACGCAACTCTTCCACCAAGATACACAAAGCCGTGGTATCCCTCCAGAGCGAGACGCGATGGTGTCTAACAGGGACACCAATTCAGAATAGCCTTGACGATCTTCGGTCCCTGTTACAATTTCTTCACTTTGAACCATTATGCCAAAGCAAGACATTTGAAGAATATGTCGTCGCGCCATTGAGAAACGAAGCGAACGAAGATCATAATTTGGACCCCTCTCGAAATCTTAGACTCTTGCTGAAAGCATGTTGCCTCAGAAGAACTCAAGAGAAACTAAACCTACCGACAACGACGATGTACAAGGTTCCAGTGACACCCACAGAAGTTGAGAAAGCTATGTTCCAGAGGATTCTCTATGACTGTCGTCAGGAGTTTGACATTATGGCCGGTAAGGGCAAAGGTGTGAAGAAGTTTAATATCCTTTTCTCAGCGATCATGAAGTTTCGAAGAGTATGTAACCATGGAGATACCAAGCTTCATATTACCACTCCGAAACAGTCAAATTTTCTGACCGTACCTACGATGAAACAAATTACTTCACGCACACCTAATGTAGAGCTAGATTGCAATTTTGTAGCAATGCTACTTTGGAGCACGACTTGCTTTGTGGGTTGGACAGCTGTCTCGTCTGCAATCGGCTTCTTTCCGAACAAAAACGTCAATATCGTATCCAGAACTACATCACCGCAGTCGATGCGTTCGTCAACTGGATCCCCAATGTAAATAGACACACCAGAGCCTCCGAGTACTAATTCGTATTCCATACCGTCTGTTGATCCGTTAAGGGGACAGTCCTCGAAGATGTCAACAGTGATCAACAATATCAAAGAATCATGCTTAGACAATAACTTAAAAAGGTAACTCTAACGGTTACGTGCTATGACCTCACTGACATACGAATAGCGTTTTGTTCTCTAGTTGGAGAGACACACTGGATATCCTTGCCACAATGCTTATCGCCGAGGGCATCGCATTTGTTCAAGTCGATGGCCGAAACCCACTCGCGGGTCGTACTGAATTACTTTCAAGTTTCCGACAAGATCGTGCTATCAAAGTGCTTCTGATATCAATCAACACTGGTGCTGTAGGGTGAGTTAGTCAGCAAGATCGTCATAATTGAATGAATTATGCTCACGTTGGTTCAGACTTACTCCCACAGAGGCTAATATGGTCCACATCGTCGAACCGCAATGGAACCCGACAATTAAAAACCAAGCCATCGCACGAGTCGTGAGAATGGGGCAAACACGGCCAGTCACTATATTCAAGTACATCATGAAAGATTCTGTGGAACAGTTGATGTTCAATGCTTCTCCCCATACACTAGATACCGGCTAACTTTGAACAGTCTGTGTTGAAACTTCAGGAAAGAAAAACCCAGATCATCAAGCTTTCCATGCAGGATAAGAATAATGATGAGTTTGAGGGGAACATAGACGTAAGTTCCATTGAATACTATTTTCTTGTATTGAGGTAACATTTTAAAGCGCTTCAAGTTTGCTATTGATCCTCAAGAATGGGAGAGTAGCTGCTAAGTTTGATTGACCGTTTGACTTCTCGATATGGTAAACTACTCTTACAAAGACATTATCAAGAACAGTCAGGATGAGAAGTCAAGACCTTGAACATTGCAATCGAACACCTAGAATTAGCTAAAGAGATCAGGGAAGAAGCGGTACGTAAGATGTAAATCCCAGCCAGCATGTCTTTCGCAGATACTTCATGTCCTCCATTAATTGTTATCCGCTTTAGTTTTTTCGGCGTATGTATAGCTAGCGTTTTGGTTATCACCATTGACCTGAAATCCACCCGAGCAGTTATGCTGGTGTCCATTTCCAGCATGATAGAACTGGGTACCTGAGCTATTGTTGTTCACGTGTATGCCAGCAGAGGGATCATCAACAAGAGAAGGGGGAAGTTTCTTTGCTTCCTCCAATACTTCATGTAGACGTTCTATCTCTTCTGAACTAACAAAAGGCTCGACTACTACACGGCTAATGCTAGTCAGGAGGTCCACCATGATATTTTCAATCTTGTTACCGTCACCTCTCTGAACAGCGGCCGCATAGTGTTTATTCTTGGTACCGCTCTGATAATCTTGCTTAATAGCGTCGAACAGGCTCTCGATAGCTCGGAGTCGCTTGCAACTCTCGTCAGCCACCAGTTCGATGACTGGATACATCTTGGCCATTTGCGCCGTCTCCTCACTGCCGGGTTCGAGTCGAGTCATTACGGAGACGAAGAGCTCTCTAGCGACGGGAAGATGCTTTGTCACAAAGAGGAAGGCGGCAGGCGGATCGGATGCATTCTCTGGCAGGGAGCATTCGGCCTGATCGAGAACGAACAACGTTGTTTTAAGAGCTCTGGCAGCTTGCGACTTAGTTGCCTCAGCGCTTGGCATCTTGGTGTGAGAGGCGCTTGGCCTTAAAGAGCCAGGGCAAGATGACGATGGAAGAAATAAATATACTATTAAGGCTTTTACAATCTTTGTTGCATCCGAAGGTTGTTGAAAATGTTGCAGAATAATCCAGGAAAAGGTCAAGCTCAACAGAACACATACTTACCATTAATATAGAGGAAGGGCAGACTTGTACAATCAGGCTGAGCTAAGTAAGCTGACGGCATAAGCGCCCAGAACCAGGCTGTATGAAATAGTCGGCTTGCCACCCCACTTGTGTAACCATCCTACCTGCTGCCCAAACGGAGCTTTACACGTGGTTGCATATCGGCCTAAGCCTAGATTGAAAACTCTGCGTGGGACATTTCCCGAGACTTGAGCCGTGACATATTGATATCCTAGCTATACCGACTATCCGTCATATTGCAGAAAGTTTCAAGAAACTGATCAAAATGTCGGGTGCAGAAGTTTTAGGTGTCATCTCCGGCGCCATCACACTTATCGAGGCCTCTATTAAATTTTACAAGACCGCCAAGGAATCGTCAGGCTTGCCGCCTTCACTCCGCGATGCAGCTTGTCGCCTTCCACTGATCCAGAACAGTCTGAAGCTAGCGGCCCAGAGAGTACAAGAGGATTGTCAGCCAACAGACTCATATCCTGCACTGGAGGCCGTCCTACAGAAATGCAGCGATAGAGCTGCACAGCTTCATGACATCTTTAGAGCCATGATCCCACCAACAAAAGCAAGTCGGACTGAAAGATATATTAAGGCTGTGAGATCATTTCCTCAAGTCGAAAAGGCGAACGGGCTGGTTGAAGAGATTCTGGCAGACCTGCAGGTTCTCACGTTGAATCAAGTTGTTGAATCTGCGGCAAGACAGCGGGTTTGGAACTCGAAAAATAGTGGGATGGAACAGATCGTCGGGGGGGAAGTTGTGGTAACATTATACAATGTTGGTCTCGGCAGGCAATACGTTCACACAGGGCAAGGAAGCCAAAATGTTGCGAGCAACACCGCGTCTCAAATCAACGGCAATTTCAACGGAGGGACATTTTCTTTCACGCAGGCCTAATAATTAATTTGTATCTAGTAGATATAGTCATCCATATGTATGCTTGAATTGGGTTCCAGAAGCAACGTTCTTACGACATCGTGGTCTCTGCCTTGACACTCATTAGAATGAATCAAATCAATGACTGACCAACCTAATGTGTCCAGTCCAGCATAGCGATCGACCCCTTGAATCAATAATTCACGAGTATGCGAGACTTTCCCGAGGTGAACAGCCCACATCAGTGGCGTCAGCCCTTGGTCGTCACAGGCTTCGAGATTTGCTCCCCCTTCAGCAAGGAGACTAATGGTATCGGCATTCGTGTTACTGCTACAGACGGCATGATGAACGACAGTATAGCCGCGTGAGTCGCGTTGGTTGATGGCCATGCTTCGAGCCACAAGATACTCGAGGGCAACATTCAATCCCAGACTCGCAACATGGTGGAGTGCTGTCAGAGCGTTCGAATCCGTATACTGGAGAGAGGCCCCACGATTCGTCAGATTCTGTATCATCGATACGTTCCCTCGCATGGTTGCTATCAGCAGTGCGCTGTTACCCCTCGTATCTGGCTCATCGATCATGTCCTCCACAGAACGCCGCGACAGAACTGCATTTAATACCTTCTCCTGATCACTAAGAACGGCATAATGTAGAGCTGTGAAACCGGCGGTGTCTTTAACTCCTAGATTGGCCCCATTGCTTAGCAGAAACTCAACTTCGTTTACTCGTCCTCCATCACAAGCTCGATGCAATAGAGTCATGTTCTTTTCATCGACTTCATCAATGTCGGCTCCGTTTTGACAAAGTAACCAGGCTATGGCGTATTGAGAACTTTTTAATGCCATAAGAAGAGGACTCGGATTGTCGTGTTGACCCAGCTTCGCATTTGCTTTGTTTGTTATTAGAAGCCAGGCTATGTCTTTGCTCTGGGCTTCCACAGCATGGTGCAGAGGCGACCAACCCCTGTCATCCTGTCCGTTGACGTTTGCACCGTTCCTAATGAATAGCCAAACCAAAGCTTCTTTCTTATTGGAGATAGCCTGGATCAACGGTGTACTACCATCAGGTCCCTTCTCATTGACATCTGCCCCGTGGCTGAGAAGCAACTCTGTCTCATGATATTTCCTGTAGCAGAGGGCCCAGTAGAGAGCAGATCCGCCATCATCCTTTTCTCTTTGGTTCGCATCCGCTGGATTGGGGTGACGCTCAAGCAACCGTTGAAGCAATTCCGGATTTCCGTTCTTAACAAGGTGCATTACTGGTAACCAGCCATCTTTTGTGGGACGATTAAGATCCACGCCTTTTTCCAAAAGAAGGTCAATCAAACATGACACATGAGTCCTGACTGCATCTCTTAAAGCACACCAGCCATCGTCAGAAGTTTGATTGCGACGAGTAAGAGCTAATTCTCGGCTCATCTCATGCGCGTGAAAGAAAACCTCTCGCAATGATGTCCAGCCTTCTGCCAGCTCCACATCTACATTCTCCTGGCTATCAACCAGCAGCAAAGCAATTGAGGTTGGACCATAACGAATGGCGGATGATAAAGGTGTCAAACCTTTGTTTGATTTGATGTCGAGGCTAGCACCGCGACGGACAAGAGAACGTGCAGCGCAAAGTCCATCAGTTGTGGGCCCCAAAAGTAATTTATGCAATGCTGTTTCGCCATTTGCGTCTGTGATGTTTGTTTCCGCGTGATGCTTAACCAGGTAATACAGAACTTCATATCTCCCATGCACCGCAGCCCAGTGTAAAGCAGTTTGGCCGTTTGAGCATGAGGAGTTAATATCTGCACCCGATTCGATAAGATGTTTGATCCACGAAGACCGGTTGAACCACACTGCGGCATGCAAACCCGTCATTCCATAGCATGTCTCTGAAGGGAATTCAGTAATCATCTTGAAGGCTCTCTCCAAACTGGAGTTATCCAGTAAGAATTTTCTGACTAGTTTTCCTATATCTGTGTCAAACGGCTTGGAAAGATGTGAACACCAATGCGTTGCAGAATATTCGAGCAATGGTTTGCGCAGTTGTTCTGAGTCCCCCATCAAGAGAGAGGTCAGGCATGACTTGGCGATATTTAGATTAGGATTCTCCAGAAATAACTTGTTCTTTTGAAGATGATCCTTTACAGACTCGTGGACAAGTCTCAAGGTTTTTGTTTCCTGGTCCTCAACAATGAGACCAGCACAAGCGGACAATATTGCGTTCTCTGGTGGCCGAGAGTCTTGATACTGTTTTCCATTTCTGGTCTGAATGCTGAAGCTGTCTCGAATTTGACTTATAGTCAAACCAGTTTTGGCGTAAACTACCCAAGTAAAAACGTGTCTAGCTAGGTCTATTTGGAAAGGACTGGAAGTACGAAGAATCTTCCGAACAGATATCTCGAAGGATCCGTCTGATGTCGTAGGAAGCTGCTGAAGGGCAGCCTTTATGTCTGTTACAGTGCCTCGATTTCTGAGATTATTCAAGTGCAAGTTGGCGAGAAGGAACCTGTTGTGTCTTAGTCTCCAATAACATGGAATGAGCGATAGCTTTAAGCATACATTCCACTTTCCAAAGTCAAATTCGTAACCCTACTAACCACATTCTCTTGGTGGTCCCGGTTTGAAAGGATCTGAAGAAGTTCGTTGTCTTTGTTGATCTCATATTCGATGTAGGTTTTGACATCCTGCTCGCAAGGTTTGACCTCTATTTTCTGACTTATTCCGAGGTCATCGAATAGAGAGTCCCGCCTAACCGTAATGAGAACTCGAACGTTTCCAGGTAGTTTGCGCAAACCTTCTTGCAACAAATGTCGAGTTCGCTCATCTTTGCTGTTTGTACAACTATCAAGAGCATCAATTATCAAATACACGGTATCGAACATCGAGGCCTGAGCTATGAATAGGCCGAGGTACTCAGTCTGATGAATAGAAGCTGAGACACGCACAGAGTTGCTGAACTTGTTTTTGAGCTCCTCTGAAATATTGGGTGAATGTTGTAACAGTTGCAGTAATAGCGTTGACCAGATTCGGCCGACCGGGGGCGACCTGTCGTCTCCTTCGTGGAAATAGAAGTATATGCAAACAAAGTCACTTCGCCTTCCGATCTCAGATTTCAAAGCGGCAACAATACGAGACCTGGACAATATTCTATTAGTAAAGAAACCCAGACTTGATTATTAGCTGGGGGTTACAAACACAAGCACTGTTTTTCCTGATCCCACTAAAAAAAGTTCATGAGCGCGAGCCGTTCAGTCCAGTACTATCATGAGGGCACTTACATATTCCGTGCATTCCAATCCGGCGATGAGTCAGCCCAGAAGAGTCTCTCCATTGTTTTAGCTCTGGACTTTCCAGTATCCATTCTCCCGTTTTAGGCGTGGCTTGGCTAATGATATCAAGATGTTGATAATTAAAATCTAGAGGTGAATAGTTATCTTGACGCGTTAGCCACTCTATTACTCTGGTAGCTTCATTCTAATGTCAGCAATGTCTTTTCGGTCCGCGCACTAAACAGTAGTTTCCCTACCCGTCGGCTCAGGTGGCCTGTGTCCCTCTTTGAATATCTCAGCCAAGTTCCAAGCTGGTGGGATCCCTTGACCACAGTGCAGTGCGAATGTGTTGTTATACTGTCGACGGTCACTGCGGTCGTTCAACTGAACACCATCGCTGCTGACCACATTCTGATCACCGTCGCCAGGGCCCAGATACTGGCAGCCGGAGGCATGATTCTGGGCTGAGATATTTGGTCCATTCTCTGGAACCTTCTTTGAATTCATTCTGAGGAGGATGATGAAAAGTTTAAATTTGTTCCGTTTCCCTGCAGTAAATGTTAGCCACCCAGGACAAGTCGCCATCATTCGAAACCCATGAGTCCGTGATGAGGCAAATGGAGATCAGGCTGCGGTGGCGCTGTAAGCACTAGCTGTTTTCAGATGTCATGGTCCCATTGCTCGAGACCATACGCGAACACACAAAAAACAGCGGCTAAGGTATGTCTGATGCAACTTGGGCCTGCAACGCTTACTTGCTGTATTATCAGCCGCACGCAAATCAGCATCCAAAGGAGGACATCTATTCGCTGCGAGGTCTGCAGGAAGTTAATAATGGCCCGCCTAACAAACACCATCCCACCAATAACCACAATCCTACCCTGACAGTCGCCAATCTCACACGTAGAAGTACTATTATGGTGTTCTCTCTTCTAGCAATCATACGTTCCTTCTGTCAACAACAACTACCTCTTCAGTAGCACTGGAATAGTCCGAACTACGCTTAGTGCCAGGATCCTTATCCTCATCTCGGTCAAGAGAATACCATCATGTTGAGGCAGCGTCCCTCACAACGCAAAACCCACGGTCGGTCGGATGGTGACAGTCGGGAGAACAAGAAGACCACTGTAGAGTCAGATGTGTCTGTAGAAGGTGATGGGAAATCTTCCAGCGATGCCTCGGGCAATTTTTGGCTAGAGGATACGGAAGAACCAGAAACCGATTCAGTAACCTCAAACATTCACCCTCCCAAACCTCCAAAAAGACATATTCCTTCTCGAGGCTTCCCCCCCAACGGTTTGGGTGGTAATCCACTTGTCACAGTTGAACGAAGAGGCCATCCGATTCGAACGCAAGTGCCTCCTTATCATCAACCAAGACGTGTAATGGATGAGTCAAAGGAAAAGAATGTATCCAGAGGATATCTCCACAATACCATCCACTATCATCCAGCCCCAAATATGCAAGGTGTTCCCGGTCCCCAGGTCCCAATCAGTCCGTATGGAAGTGGGGGCTACTATAATAACTATGCTCCTTACAACCCCTACATTAACCAGCGAACACCAGTCAAGGCGGCAGAAACTCCTATCAATAGATCACCACCTCCAGCACCTCACCCGACTGAACAAACTCCTATACCTAGAGAGGATCCTGAAAAGATTCGATTAGAAGCTGAAATTGCTGCTTTCAAGGCTATGGAAGAGAAAGCTAAATTAGCCGAAAAGCAGAAAGAAAACGAAGAATATGTCAGAAAGGAGGCAGAGGCGTCTATGTTCCGACGGGTGGAAGATATGAAGCTTGCTCAAGAAGAAGCCCGCAAACAAATGGAATTGACCAAACGTGAATTAGAGATGGCGATCCGGGAGAATCTTGAGAATAAAAGAAAGACGGAGGAAATACAGGCAAAGGAGCATGCTCAGATGATCGCATCTGCTGAGAAGGCAGCACTAGAGAGACTGCGGACTGAAAAAGAGTTGGAGGAAGAAAGAGCTAGGGAACTCAAGAAGTTTGCTGTGGACCTGGAAAAGGAAATCAGACTGAAAGTCGAAATGCAAAATAGGGCCGATATTGCTGAGCGAGAAGAAAAGGCAAGGCAGAGTGAGGACATCGAAAGACTCGCAAAGGTTAAGATGCTGCAAAGCATGGACGAGATAGCCGATTCGGCAAAGAAGAGAGTCCTTTCCGACGTTTCGAAAGATGGAGACACGATTTTACTCGAAGATCGACAACGCTGGCTCGCTAAGACTCAGAGTGGGACTGAGATCGGGAAGAGCCTGTCGCCCAAAGAAAGCCGACCAAACAGAGCCAAAACATCGATGGTGAAGCAAACCACAGTGTCACAGCGTGCCATAGCCTCAACCGTTCATGGAGAATCAGACGTATCTGTAAGGCTTTCCAGTCTCTCACCAGCTCCATCTATGACTGGGTTTCCCCCTGAAGTTCCCATGGCTCCGGGATTATCGGGATCCGAAAGTGGAAGCGAATTGGCCCCAAGCGAAGATATTTTTAACAATACACACTCGCCTAGATCTAGACAGCGAGGTCGAGCCCACCAACAGGCGAATGAGTTTGAAAGGCCACAATGGGATGAAGTTAACGTCTTAGGCATTCAAGAAGCTCTGGTGGACCAGATAGCTGACACTGTCGTGCAAAGACTCATTAGTTCTTCATACAAGTGTGTTCCGACGCGTCACCGCCGATACACAGACCAGTCATACGATGCCAATCCATTCGCTCCAGCCCCGGGCCCTTATCAAAGAGACATAAAGTCTAGGAACGAAAAGATATCGGGCTACTTTCCTCAAGGCCCTGCCCCGCGTGGAGCGACTGGACAATTTCATCGACCTTATAAACCTGATAAGCCAGATCATCTCCGAGGAAAGATTCTGAAGGAGTCTGATATATTGTCGTCACTCGAACCGCCTGCACATGCTACTTCATCTATGCAACAGCATGTCGGTGATGGTGGGCCAGCGATTTCCCACACTACACGAACACCTCGATCATCGCTCGAAATTTGGCTTGAGAATATTCAGAGACTTAGCGACAAGACTCCATCGCAGAGGGGCTACTCTGAAGTTGAGACTATCACTGAAGAGCCATCTACATTACGCAAAGGTCGATTGATGGCCGGAGGTAGTGATGACTTTCTTACAAGTCAACAACATATTTTACATCTCAAAACACACCGTCGAAGGAAGATGGCTGATTTGAGTGAATTTACGGCATAATCAATCATCGGTAACGACTCAGATAGCATATGATGGGGGTCAGGGATGGTTGCCTACAGGCGATAACGCTGTTGATACAACACTGCTGCCAGCAGAGATTGAACTGCAGTGGATTTCATCACTCGCATACCAAAGGGTATAAAAATGGCGTGTACGCTTTTCACGTGCATGTAGAAGGATTTGATGAGTAAGTAGTTAGTCTTTACTATTACTTTTAAATACGATTTCATTATCATCTTCAACTAAATCCAAACCTTCTTCTAATCATATTTACAAAGGTTTCTATGAGAGAAAATGCGAGAGAGGTCTTTTTTTGAGCTGCTTTTAGCACATAGAACTTCTTGTAAAAACAAAGCGACTGTGTCGCGATATCACGACAATTACCCTAGACTAGAAACGCGTTGATAGAGTTTTCAGTGTCACGGACCACATTTAACGATCACAGTGTAATCTCGTTATCTTCTGCATGTCTCGTATGCATAACATTTTATATCTCATCGGGTTCATGCAGCTGGTTCATGTCCGATCAGCAGTTCATCTAGACCTTATCGCTCAGCTGCTGTCACTGGCCCAAGCAATCAATATTGGCCGCCACGAAGCTGAAAATGTGGCAGGGGTGGTAAAATGTGACAATTCTATTGAAATAGCGCGATAACATCTGCGCAACGTTTATCAGGGATTGATTGGTATGTTCCAGGTTCCTGCATCCGGGTTCAGAATCCATCTCGATCCACATACAGTTTGAGAATCGTACTCTAGCTGTCTAGTCACTAGATTAGATAAGTGTCGGGTTCTGGAATCACCATTGATACAGCATATCATTATGCGATATGGCTAAACATCCGAATTAAGTCGCATGTTAATTCTTGGCCATGACTGGTCTTCTATGTTACAGCAAACATGCGTATATGTTGAGTCATTTCATCAAACATGGCTTGCCAATATGAATCAAGCAGGGCAATGATCAGCTCTTATTGCAAACCCAGCTCAATGCGGCGTTGAGATTAACACTTGAAGAGTCTATTCACAAACGCCACCAGATCCAAATAGTCGGAAAGCCGTTGCTGTTTCTGGTGCACAATAACAGCCACCTTTCCCATCGGAAAGATTTCAGACTGCCGAGGCACACACACCAAGAACACCTCCTTGTATCAATCCTTGTTCCCGTAGAAAAAATCGATTCACCTGAACAGGGACTGCAATTCCTTGCACAAGGATCGACTTGAAAGAACGACGCCATACCTGTATGAGAAGGAAGATTGAGACTCCATAAAATTGCAGAATTTCGTAACGAAATGATCTTCCTCTAACCGAACCGAACCAAACGTGGAAGGTCGTTCAAGAAGGGGGTGTTACCTCGGATCGATCTCCGTCGGATCAGTTGACCCATAAAGCTTAACGTGAAAAATCTGTTGAAGAAAAGAATAAAAGTGGAAGGAGAAGAAGACGAAACCTTGCATGTGAATACCTGCAGCAGGGGAGGAGAGAGTGGAGATACAAAGTGGTGTGAGCTTAAAGTCGGGCCGTGTTACTAAAGATTTTGGTCTCTGGTTAGTTACCAAGCGATTTAGTGACGGCTAAAGACTTGTGATCTGCAAAACTAACTGTTTGAGACTCAAACATTATCAATAAGACAAATAATTCAACCATAACAGAATAATTGTCATTTTTCTGATTGCTCACAGATGGTTTCAACTGAGCCCCCAAAAAGTGCATGAAATTGCCCAGAATAACTGTCAAATCTTATTGGTTCTCAAACAAGGGACTAGAAACATCCCTGTACACCGAATCATGGTTTAGTTACATGTCAGTTCAGCGAGAGACTACTTGCTTTTTAATGGCCTCACTGGCTAATCTACGAATCACACTTACCGGCCTTTTTTTCTCAGCTGTACTGATTTGAATCACTTGATGCCTTGTACGTATTGGTTCATCCAAGAGTTTTGTCTTTACTGCTTTTGGGTTTGAATACCGTGTTGCCACGACCGTTTTCGGGCCGCCCAGACCAATCTGGTGGCTTGGTTCATGCCCTTTTCCATGTGTTTGTGATATTTGTGCCGGTGCCTTGCATGTCTGTTATGTGAGACTGCCACTGATTTGAGTCTGTCTCTCACACGCCATGTAGGATCAAGTTCCCTTAATCTTTGCAGCTCTGGCCTCGATTCGCTGCAACTGCACTGTCAGCTCCCCGACCTTCTGAGTTAGCTTGTAATGCCATACTGTACCTTGACTTAGAGTAAGCACCTTGTCTTAGCTATAGCTGTATTGACTTTAGTAAAACTGCCGGTCACACCTCTTTAATATCGTCACTGGCCATCGTGAAATCCCGTTTCTTCCCCTCCTCTTCCCTAAATCTCCGCTCCTTTTTTTCTGTTGTTTTGTTTCTTTATTTCTGTCCCCAATTGTTCTGTATTCGCCCGCGGCGATAGCTGCTCAAGATGGGTTCTACACAAAGAGTCATCACAGACAGCAACAAGTCGCCCCTCATCCAAGTTTTGTCGTTGATGTTTCTTGTTATTGCCATTCTTGCTTGTCTTGTTAGAACCGGTACCAAACTGTACATGATAAAAGCTGTGAGGGCCGACGACATTCTTATCATTGTCGCAACTGTAAGACATCAGCCCTTCTCAATCGCCCATACTTACCCGCATAGCTTCTTGCGGCTTGTCAAACAGCCACCGTCTTTAATGCTTGCGAGCACGGATTCGGCCAACATTTTGAGACTCTTAGCTCTGACGACAAAGATGTCTTTTTTAAGGTAATTTGACTGGTTATGGCTACGCAATGACATCAAGCAATTGACGAACCCAAACAGAGCCAATATGCGACAAATACCATGTTTATCGCTTCACTTCTCTTTTGCAAATTGTCTGGTACAATGAGTCTTCGCATCATGGCGCAAAAGAGTCAAAAATGGATCATCATCATCTGTGAAGCCATCGTCGGCGCATGGGGCTTCACAGCACTTTTCGTCAACTTCTTCCAATGCAAACCACCACAGCCATGGATCTACGGCGACAACGACGAATGCATCAATTTCACGGCTTTTTGGACATATTACTCAATTGCGAATATTATCACCGATCTTGCGATTGTCGTTATCATGGTCGAAAACGTGGTCAAGATCCAAACCTCGTGGTCAAAAAAGATCTTGGTCATGAGTGTTTTCGGCAGCAGAATCTTGTACGTGTCCCCCCTCAATTGATCGACAGTTTTATTGACCAGGAAAAATAAAGTGTAACGCCCGCCATTGCAGCGCAGATCCACTACTCAAACAAGGCCTTCACTTCCGTCGATCACTCCTTCGCCATCTGGCCCGCATCAGTCACGATCCAATTAGTCCAATGCCTTGCGATTTTGACTGTTTGTCTACCCAACTTCAAACCCTTCCTTGACAGCCTTGAGTCTGGCCAAATTCGCGTCGACGATCTTAGACGACAAGGCAAATCGAGCAGCAACGGATACCCGACCAACAAACCAGACTATACAGGGGGATACAAGAGCAATAACAAGACGGGACATAGCAATCGATCTCGCGCGCTTACAGGTGGTGGTGGATCAAGAGCGCAACGAAGCGAGATACACGAGATGGAGGACTTTGCGACCCGATCGAAGCCAAGACATGAACACGACAAGAGCTGGGATGGACAAAGTCGATCGAGCCACTCAAGTCAAAAGATTCTGATTCAGCAAACGTGGCAAGTAGATGTAGAGAGCACGCATGATCCAAGCCTGGCAAGCCCCAGACAGACATGAATCACTTTTCTTTTTGTAGTATTATATTTATGACAAGACACATTGATTGGGGTTTGGCTGTTTCGGAATGACATGCACCCGTACCAATACGGAGTTGTAAAACGTGTTTGCTAAATAAAACGTGGAATTAAGTCAGCTACGTAAGACTGACAATTCATAAAAAAAAGAAAAATTGCATGAATTGTCTCTGACCAACATGCATAATGAAACGTTGAGAAAAGAGAAAATGGCATCAGTTACTTCTGACATGCAGGGGTCTAGACCGTGCCTTCTGATGTTTTCTTGCTCGGTAGCATATGAAAGTGATACATGACGAGAAGGAATGAAGAGCCCAAAAAAAAAAATGAAGGATACGTAATGTGTATTCAATAAGCTCTTACCGAATAGCTGGAAAGGGGCAAGTAAACCGAAATAATTAGTTATTGGCCTGATCTTTGCTGCAGATCTGGTGGCTCGAGAGTTCCAGCGCTCCCGGAGCTTGGTCCATTTTACTTGGTTCACTCCCTGTCAGTAAGGAACTTTTTCTCCCCTGAAGGTAAGCATGTGGCGTCAGTGCCGCTTGTATGCGTGTCTAATGCCGAGCCATCTCTGAATACAACTCTGAGAAAAGAATAATACGGTGATCTACGCCGATTGAGTTTACGGGGATTTCTTACTGAGACATTTGTTCATGGAAGATCCCTTTCGCGGGGTGTTTCGTGGAAAGAAAAAAAGAAAGAACACATGTCTGATTCTGGTGTCAGAATTCCATCCGTTGATTGATTTGCTGAGGATGTGAAGCCCTGTAATCACGCTAGACGTGCTGCAGAGAACAGGGTTCAGGGTCCATGAACTAACCAGACGGGGGTATCGGAGTAGTCGCCGGATCAGCAAATGATACTCTACCTAACTAACCGAAACCCGCAGGCGAACGAAGCGATGTTACATTTAAAGAAAAGGGATCTAAATCAGTGAGTTATTACCGGTAGTGTTGCAGCATAAGAGACTCTGTACGGAGTATGAGCCTCTTGGTTAGAGCCAAGACAGTGTTGGTGGCGCGCAAACATTCAGATCCCATGCCATTCACTCCCTCTTGACACACCCCGAGCTTTCCATCCAAGGGGTCTTCTTTTGCTGTGCCATTCTTGTACAGATGCTCCCTCTCTATCACTCTTTAATGTGCTTCTTTCCTCTTTTCTAAGCTGTTTCCTTTTTCTCTCATTTCTCAGTACTACCGTGGCTCCTTCTTCCTTCCTTTCTTTTTTCTCCATTGTATTCCCGACTGTCAATCCTTTTACTCTGCGCTCTCACACAACCATCCATCATGGGAGACAGATCAAGTCCCAGCTTCGAGATGGGCAACAACGCTACCGTCAAAGCCGACAAGGACATCAAAGTCACTACCGCAGCAGAACCAGACTCTGGAAGAAGTTCCACCATCAACTACCATGATAAAGATCAATTAGAGCGTATGGGGAAGAAGCAGGTCCTTCGCGTATGTCACAATCTCAGCCCCATTACAACTTCTACTAACACTTGGCAGCGCAACTTTGGCTTTCTGTCTATCCTAGGTTTCAGCTGCACCATTCTCATCACATGGGAAGCCATTCTCGTCCTCTTCGCCCAAGGCCTCAACAACGGCGGCACAGCCGGTCTCGTGTACAGCTTCATCGTCGTATGGATTGGAAACTTCAGTGTTTTTGCCTGCATGTGCGAGCTGGTCTCTATGGCACCTACTTCTGGAGGACAATACCATTGGTACGACCCTCATACCTCGATCCACTACAGTCTGCTAACATTGTGCTAGGGTCGCCATGATGGCACCGCGCTCCTGTTCCAAATTTCTCAGCCATCTCACAGGCATGCTTACGGTCGGCGGCTGGCAAGGATCCGTATCCTCGAGTGCCCTTCTCACGGGAAACATGATTTTGGGAATGGCGACTATGAACAATGAATCTTTTGAGCCTCAACTTTGGCAGGGAACCCTTCTCTTTTGGGCAATCTTTTTGTTTGCCGTTTTCATCAACACCCTCGTCAGTTCGGTGCTGCCCAAGTTTGAGGGTCTCATCTTGATCCTCCACATCCTCGGTTTCTTTGCTATCCTCATCCCACTTGTTACTCTTGGACCCCATGCTACTGCTTCGGATGTCTTTGGCACTTTTGTGAACAACGGCGGTTGGTCTACTAACGGCGTGTCGTTCATGGTTGGTATGATGGGTAACGCCTTTTCTTTCGTCGGCACTGATGCTGCCTTCCACGTATGTAACCTTCCAACGTCCCATATTATCACGATACTAACCTTCTCTAGATGTCTGAAGAAACCGTCAACCCCTCTGTCGTCGTCCCCACCTCTATCCTCCTCAGTCTCTGCATCAACGGATCCTGTGGCTTCGCCATGCTCATTGCCATGGTTTTTTGCATGGGCAATGTCGACGAGGCCTTCGCTTCGGGTCCAGGCATGCTCGGATTCCCTTACATGTACATCTTCGAGCAGGCGACCAACTCCCGAGTTGGTGCTACCGTCATGTCTGCTATCATCGTCATCCTGGCAAGTTGTGCGACCGTCGGAATGCTCGCCTCGACTTCCCGTGTCTTCTGGTCCTTTGCCCGTGATCGCGGTCTTCCTGGATGGCGTAAGCTGTCACAGGTCAGCGAGCGTACTACCGTTCCGGTCTACTCTGTTCTTTGCACCGCTGCCATTTCCGTCCTGCTATCTCTCATCAACGTCGGATCACCAGTGGCGTTCCAGAACGTCACCTCTCTTTCCATCTCCTGCCTCTACTCATCCTACCTCATTGCTGCCGGACTCCTACTCTACCGCCGTGTCACCAAGGGCTTTTCCCTTCCCGGTTCCACCGACCTTCCCGCTTTGGCCAACACCACTGGTGCCGAGCTTGTTTGGGGACCATTCCATCTCAAAGGCGCTCTTGGCATTGCCAATAATGTCTTTGCCATGTGCTACCTCATCGTTGTCGGCTTCTTCAGCTTCTTCCCGCCTATGGTAGACCCCACTGTTGACATGATGAACTACAGTGTTGTTGTCACAGGTGGTCTTGTCATATTCAGTGTTGTATACTACTTTGTCTGGGCGAGAAAAGAGTACAATGGGCCCATTGTTGAGAACTAAAAGGGGTGTTAAAAGGTTTGAACTTTCTTCTAGCGCTTTGCGAGAAAGATGCCATTTATAAATATGTTACATATAAAGTTGTCAAAATAATACTTAGTATAGATATAAAATAAGTCTATGAGATTAAGGATATTTTAATTATTGGAAAGGCAAAGATTTGTTATATTTTTATATCTATCTTGTATCTTTATATTAGCAAAATATTTTAATGTTATTAAATATTTTATTAATTTAAAGATATTAGATAGATGAAAAGATACCACAGATCTCTGCCTTTCCAATATTTAAGATGTTCTTAATTATTGATGACTTTTCAAATTTCAGCTCAACCATACTGCCAAGGTAAGCATCTATAAGACTGGCTTCTATTGCGAAATTCAGTTTTAAATACAACGTTCAAGCTACAATAACCTTGAATATCCAGATTTCAGAAGTTCTTATCTATGACCCTGGCTCATTCATATCCGATTCCAACTCGATATCCCAAGATCCATCTGACACATCTTCGCGTTGTCATACTATTTCTGAATGATCTGAAACAATTAATGGAACGAAAGACTTCCAAATACAAGACCCATCACAGTCCTCGATGTATGCATGCAGAAAATCCCAGTTCCTGTTGTGTGGTATGCATTGAATACCGTTGTCAGCCAACCTACAGTTACTTTTGTCAACCAAAGCCTCCTACACTTCGCGGACGTCACTGAAACAAGATGCTGAAAATGGTATGTCGATCTCTAAGAGCGTTATCAGGACAGATCCAGATATCCGGAGTTCTGGGCAGTGCGTGAGGATCATCTCGATATTCGTTTCACCAAGGCCTCTCTTCCGTATCTCGTCTTCCATAGAAAGCAGAAGTTTCTCTAGAAATAAACGTGGTTTTTAATTGCCGCTGGAGGACTTGGAATGTTGTAAAATCTCTCGGTTGCTGGAATTTTTAGACAATCTACATTTTCGAACTTTCACATAACAGAATTCTCCCCACGCGCCTACTATTATCGGCAGGCGAGAATGTTACAAAGATGATACTGATCCTGAAGTCGACTTGGATGAAGATATCCAAAGAGTTTCTGATCATACGAGGACAATCCGAACAAAGGGAGAAGAGAAACGACGAGTTGAGGAAAGAGATACTATATCATTTGGAGTTTACAAAATCGCCTTTAAAACAACATGAACGTAGAATTGTTTCCATTTAAGGGCCAAACACACTTACGAACTTGAAAGTGTATACTTATTTATCTTTATTGCTAGATAGCTTTATATAATATATATTGAAGTACTATACTGCAAACACTAGGATAAGGGCCACTATCAAAACTGGTAATCTCTGTACTATTAAAACAGTCGCTGAACTCTTGGAGCTTGACTCTGTAGCTTTGGTTCCATCCGCCGAAGCAGTTCTACTAGCGTTCGAATCAGATTGAGTTGCTTCAGACTTCCCGCTGCCAGAACCAGTTTTAACTCCAGCAGCCGTAATAGTATAGACAACACCGTCGCCACCATTGGTATATGAAAACACATGCCCACTTGCAGGAGTCGTCACAGATCCAGGGCCATTACTCAATGTAGCTGACCCAGTCTTGAGCGCATCATCCGGCTTCAAGAATGTGCTGACGCCGTCAATTGAGAACGAGAGGTCTGATTTGCAATCATAAGTATCCATGTACTTTCCACATTCAGTGTATTGGACATTGAGTTGCGATTCGAGCGTGGCAAGGTTCGATAGGCCGACGAGTTTGGGATCGGTGTCGGGGCAAATCTCAACTATGCTACGAGAAATCAGCACTGTTATTGAATTCTATAGAGACAAAGTCCAATTACCTTGAAAGAGCACCGCTGAGTTCGCAGCACCCGCAGCCCTCTATCTGCTGCAGGTTGGCTCCAGCGTCACCAGAATTGGCATCGTTGGAACACGTCCCCGCCTGCTGAATAGCGTCGTTGACAGCAAGATTAATTTTGCCAAGATTGCATGAACATGCGTCCGGGGCATCGTTTAGGGCAGGGAAGTATGGAATTGGGAGTTTAGCGGTTAGGCAATTCTGCATATACGCGATGATGTACTCTTGGTATTCGCATTCCCAGACTCTGTTCCAGCAGTAAGCTGCATAACAGTTGTAGTTATTAACCGAGTCTTGGCAACCACATGCTAGAAGTTCTTTTTGACTGTTGTCACGATTGGCTTGTTTGATACAGCTTGATGTCTGTTTGTCGGCGTCATTTTGACAGCTTTCAAATCCGGCTGCATCTACGCAGCCTTTACTTGTCAGACTTGGGTTAGCTGCCATTGCCTGAGCAGCAAAGTAAAGAGAGAACAAGTAGGAGACTTGCATCATATTGATAAAAATGAGCTACTAAAGAAGGACGTAAATGTTTTGGATTCCGCCGTAGCTATATCATTCCTATTATAGCTCAATCCGGAACGATCGGACAACAGATTAGGAATAGAAAAGCCTCATGACTAGGAGAGCTGAAAGCTACTGGGAGTTATCAGGGTTGAAAAGCCGAAATAACCATAGATTTATATCCATGTGTTGTCGCAAGACCACAAATGCCCTGTAATCCATGTGCCGAGATCCCGAGTGGAGATGTTAAATTCCAATTGAAGTTAGAATAGACATGATGCAGAGTAAGGCTGAGGTCGCAACAGAGCATTGAGACGGAAAGTTTCCGCATTCATTTTGTCCCTTTGGCGACGCTAACATTACAAAGAACGAATTAGATGTAGTTCTTTAGATTGTCAATTAAATCTCGTAAACTCAAATCAATACGTAACAGGCCTGTAGAGATATGAAAAGTAACAATTTCACACTAATACCTTAGTGCAGAATTTGCACTGCCACGATTTCTAGTAAATTAACATAGAGATTGAGACAGACACGTTTCTCATTCACGTTGCTTAGAATCCTTTCGTCTCTTGTGCCACTGTCTATACACCGAGAGAGGTGTAAACCGGGGCTGAATTGGCCGTATACCAAATTGCCTCCCAAGACTGGACACAATCCATAGAATAAGATACGATACACCACTGTCGATATTTTTAGGGGTGAGTTGAATCCGACATTGAATATCGAGAAGAGCTTCGGTGCATTCAAGAGAACCGGCACAGTGTCAACCCGTAGAAAAATGATAAGTAGATTCAGTGAAATCCAGATACCCAAGAACAGTCCTTGAAGTCGTGACGGTAGGCGCGAAACAAACCAACAGTCAGCAAGTATCTTTGACGTATCAAAGATATTGCTATTCAGGTACCAATAGAAGGGCTTCTTGTCGCTTTCAGGTGGATCCGTTCTTTCAATCATTTCCACATCTTCGCCAGCCATTATTGCTAGTCCCCATTCATGCCACATGTAACGCGGCACCTGTACTTCCATTTTCTGCCCCTCATTAACAGTGAATATTTCTTTTCTGTCCCCCAACTGAACCTAGATTGATCCTTTGATGAGGCATAGCCACTCGGTATGCGTTTAGTGCCAGTGCAACCCGCTCGACCAGGTTGAGTTCTCGGGTAGGGTAATGGAGACTTGGAAAGGTGTAGAGAAGTCATATGTAACAGCTCTGGGAAGTGGACGGTTTATCACCCTTTGGATTGCTTTGTAAATCATTTTGGTGTTTTGGCTCGCTGACTGCCAGAATGATGATGAGAAAGAGAAGTAACAGAGCGACCCCTCATCTTGTACATAAGCAGTGACATAAGCTGACCAACAGTAGGGGCTGTCTCGGTATTCATTAATCCATTCTTAGACCTGGCCAATCAACATATGACATCTCCTTTGCTATTCGATGTAAGCTTCTGCTAATCAAAGAATTGACTAGAAAGTGAAACCGTGCCGTAGCTACTATCCTGGTTCCGTATCGCTGCAATACAATAAGGCAGCCAACCTCGACAGCCACAGCCTGCTGACGAGCCTTGGCATGTTCAGCCAGCTTTCCCCAATCCTTGTTTACACCCGCCCTTCCAAGGTCCTTCAGAGCGTTGATAGCGGGACCAAAAGTGCCGTTCCACGAGCACTTCTCCTTTTCCTCATTTGCTGCCATGGCTGTTAGTCTTATTAAATCTTAGTTGTCGATGAGCAATTCCAGCGCTGTCGCTACGTAATTGTCACGCGTCGAGTTCCTAACCAATGGCTCTGAGCATCTTTTCATGAACAGCTCCATGTTTTCGTCATTGTTGAAAACACTCTCCATAGTCTCTAGTCTAGACTTCTCCCAAGGGTTGGATCCTGCTGTCTCACGTTCCTTGTTGATCTCCTTGAATACCTCCTTGAATATCTCCTCCAGCTTTGAACGGTCTACGGGACCACCGTTGACTTTGTTCTTTTGTAGATTGTTAAAAAGAATACAAGTGTCGGTACTCAAGCCGTCACCATAATCCTTGGCAACAGCTTCACTTTGCCTGATCTTCTGCACATAGTCACGAAGATATGTCTCGACCGCCTTATTGAGAGGCACCAATAAGAATATTAGTTTAGACTTGTCAACATTAGAGCTGTAACTGGTGACTTACTTCGTCAGCGGCGTACTGCAGCATTTGTGCGACATCAGTATACGGCATCGGAATGCCCAGCGACGCCAAAAAGATCTGAACACGCTTTACAAGAACTCTATCCGGGACCTTTTCAAATGTGCTTCGCTGGTAGAAGTGGTAGGCAATGATAGGCCGAAAGAATATTTTAGAAGTATCGTAAACGTTGATGTTACCACCGTAGTCGTCTTTTGGTTAACGTTCAATAATAGTCGGCTTGTGCTTTTCTACCATCTCCTGCGCTTAATTGAGAAGCCGCCTGTCGACTTCGGCGAAGGATCCATCGAGGTTGGCTTTTGCCTTCTTGAGACATATCAGCCATTCGATATATTCCTCAAGGTTCCAGTCGTCTTCAACACCCAAAGTCTCAGCACCATTCGACCATCGATCGTATGCATTGGTAGACATTGCAAATTGATGTTCAGGGAAGTATTGAAGTGCCTGGTAGATATCGGAATTAAGGATGAGTTGTTTCAAGAAGATAAAATGGTTACTATTGTGAATGTGTGAACACATAGAGTGTTTAAGTTTTTCATTGAGATTTTCGTTTCGGCGTCCTCGCCGCACTGCCTTTGTGAAGCTGAAAATGCTGTTATATAATATCAGTACAATCCCACTCACATGTTAGACAGAACAAGACACACATTTCGGCATTAGTCGAGTCTTGGCCAGTCCTCAACCCGGTGGCTGGATTTTGTTTCACATTACCGATCTTAATTCACGGATGTTTTGCTTACATATGCAGGTCAAACGACACGTCATTCAGATACGCGAAACAATGTGAGCTTGGTATGACATTGATCTGACATGACTGGCCACATGAAAATCTCTCAGAGCGGTGAGAGTGCGACTCTGCAAGAAATAAGACACGGGATGTTTTCTACGGGAAAGGTTGAGGGCGGTGAGAGTGAGGCTCTCGAGAAATAAGGCACTGTATCATAAGACACGGGATCTTTAGCTCCTGTCGCATTATCGGTGGCGCGATTTCTAGAGGAGATGCTTTACATTTTGATCTGAGAAGGGCCTGCTGCATTCTGGCCCACTTGTGTCCTTCATCTCTATACTAGTTAAGTACATCGCAGCCTTGTTCTGTTACCTCGATACAGTCGTTGTTAATCGGGGGCGGATTATATATCGAATGAGACCTGCTAGTACCTGTCAAGAATTTCTAACCACCATCCTAGCCAAATATTGTTTGTATCTGTTCTGCTTCTACCGTTGCATCTGCCAAAACGCATATCAGATCACTTGTGTTTATCTCATCATAGTCTCTCAGACTTTTTTACACATTTACCAACTCACTTCATTTCTTCATCATGTCAAGCCACTACAGTTATGGGGCCTTTGATATCCTCAATGAAAAGACTGCCATCGAACTGTCACAGTCCCGGGTTGGCACCAAGATCGACTCCATCCACAGGCCTGGAGTCAAAATCAACGTGATGAGCGGCGAAGAATGGAAGCAACTTGTCAAGGTATCAGACGCGCGCAGGCGTCAAAAGGATGCCCAAATCCAACAGGATTTAAAACAACAGCATACAACAGTTAAAGAGATTGCTATCAAGACTGTTACTTCATATTTTGCTATGGTCAACTCCCAGAGGGAGTATGTGTCCAAGCTTGCAAAAATGCTCAAGGCTTACTACAAGACTCCAGATGGTGATAAATTGTCTGGGCAAGAGTGGGAGGCAGCATATGCTGAGGTTGGCCGCTTTCTGGCAGCTGTTCTTGTGGCGTTTCACTTCCAGATGGACAGAAGCTGTGGAGTCGACGTGCAAGGTCCCGGTATCGAAGAACTCCGCGAGGCGCACATGGGATGGGATGTACCAAATCGTCATTGGGTTCAAGACTATATTGCACACCGGCAAGTGTCTGTCAGCGATGACGAAGAGAAGTATCTTAAAAGTCTGGTTGATAGAAGAGTTAGTCATATCTTCCCGAACATCACCCTATATAAGCAATTTTACTGACTATTTTATCGAACAGGTTGACCTTCCCATCTTCATCCTTGCTGCTTGTGAGGACAACGTGAACAGAATTTCTCAGACTGAGGGGTCCTCACTCTCTGCCCCCAAGGCACTTCTTGACTTTGTCATTGAAGACAACTTTATACGAGAGGAAATGATTAAGCTGGTTCTGGAAAACAACTTGTGGTAGTTCTTGTGTGGAAGATTGCGTCTTGGCATTGACAATGGTCTCAACCTTGAGATCGCTGTTAGTCATGCTACTGGTAGTCGTAATAGTCGTACTACTACACCTTTATGCAGGCTCAGTCAATAAAAGCCCCATTGTTTATCCTACTTCAGTGATTCTGAGTTCTATGATGAAGCCTGGCTATTATCTTCTGTAAAGGTTATCGGCTCTCGTCGAGTTCGATCAACTTTGAGATCAAACACATCCAAACGCTGATATCCGCCAACAACGTCATGGTACTGTTTTCCTTCGATACACTGGTCAACGTCCAGATCCGCATACAGAATGTCTTCCTCTTGTTGTAAACATTCGGTAGTAACCTCTTCTCCGGTTTCACTATCAATAGTGAAACCCTTCATAGGTGCGCCGGTTGTGTCTAGGAACTGAGTCGCGCCGCGCTGTGACTGTTTCAGCACCTGGGTTAGATAAGAAGACCCTTCCGACACGATATCTATAGCATCATCGCCCAAAACACCAGAACAGAGGACTCCAAAACATTTGGCTTCGAAACAATGGGCAGCTGCTCTCGTTCTGTTGGCCGTCACATTATCGTAGTTGGGCTTATCTGGCGTTGACTTGGGCTCATCTGTAGACTGTTCCATTGGTGGAACTCGGGTTGGCCAGATTGGTGGCCAAGTAGATAAATGGATATTCTCGCCCTGGGCCATGAGTGCATATCTTGCTAAAGGGTTCGTGTTCTCTCCACATATCAAGTTGCCGATCTTTCCGTACGCATTATCTGCCACGCGTAGACCGTGGCCATCTCCCGGTGCCCAAGTGAGCTTTTCGAAGAATGTAGGCATCAACTTTCGATGGTGTATCAAAACATCACCAGAATCTCCGATAAATAGGTTCGAGTTATACAAAGTAGCACTGCTGAAACGAGTCTTCTCAGAGAAGCCCATGCTAACCATGATATTGGCTTGCTTTGCGGTGTTCCGGATGGCGCGTATCTCTTCACTGTCGGCAAAGATAGATTCTTTTGCCATCCGCTCAAAAAGATAATGATTGTCGGTTGGCGGGCGGATTGAACTCCAGATTGGAAACGCTGAGATGTATGTCTCGGGAAAGACGACTAGGTTTGCTTTGTTCCTTGCAGCTTGTTTGATCAAAGTGATGGCTTTTGCCGTCGTTTCTCTTGCGGAGAGGAAGATTGGGGATACATGACATGCAGCTACTCGAATCATGCTTGCTGCCTATCAGGCTTCATTCAATGTAATGAGAGGACTTACACACTGATTCAGGGAGAAATGTTTGTAGAAACTTGGAATTACATCGCTCTTAATTTTAAAGAACATCTTAAACGTCCGATGAAAGTGGAGAAACGGCAATGCCGGGTATAACGGGTTCAACCGCCGAACGGGGACAACGAAATACGCTAAGGCTAACCTAACCATATCTATATATAGTCAGAATGGATCAACTTATTCTTTGGGCTTAGCGCATCGCGAGAGCACCACATACCCTGGAGCTTCAGGCGTGCAGCTATTGTCTTGTCAGGCATCGTTGTTATAGCCAGGATCGGTATCAGCAACAGAGATCTAAGCGTATCAGAAGCAAGGTGAGTTAGCTGACACGGAGACTTGGTGGTTTACCATTCAATGATTTATTCAATAGCTAAATCTTCCCCGGTGGTACTGGAAAAAAATGTTCGGGAAACGTAATATTGTTTGTGTAGAAAATAAGAGTGAGGTCACTTTATGAACCCTACTTCTTCTGACAAAGCTGTCGGGGGAAGAACCCATATGTCTAGGAGGTTGTAAACCTCGAAAAGATAGAAATATACAATAGAATAAAAAGCCCTACCTTTTGCAACAAACACGCCGCGAAAGTCATCATACCCTGGATCTTCAAACACTCCACTTTTATGACGATGAGTCAAACGGGGTGGCTTAGCATTGAGACTCAGCTTGACGTTAATTATGCAAAACCATGAACTCGTCCCCATTTTATCTTGATTCCCACCTTTCATCTATTGTTCAACTGCGCCGACTCCAGTCATGAATGTCGACAAATTAAGTGAGGAGCTCACTGCCCTCCTCTCGCAACATTTCCATATAGTCGCTACAGACTCCCAGCGTCACGATCAATGGTACAAACGGTCATACCAATCATTCACCTCCGAGCACGGCGACCAAAAGCCATTGATCTTGGTTCCTAAAGATTCCAGGGAAGAATGGGTTCCTCACATGCGTCAATTCGCGGCTTCACTTGGCAAACAGCTTAAAAAAACCGGGAATAAACGAAAGCCTACCGATAACATTCCCGAATCTAAGCTATTTTTAGACAATGTCCTCGATGAAGCACATACACGACCACTTTGTCTGGGTATCACTGATTCGAAACCATTATTCCCAGACATGATGCAAATGTCGTGGTGGACAAACAAAATTCACCACCCGGAGGATAAACATCGTCGCCGAAAAGGGATCAAGGCACTCATTGCCTGTGGACAAGTGGACTCTTTAGTCCGTCTAGCTACATGGCCCAAAACGCACCCAGGAGAGGTTGACCATATAAGATCCTACCAATGGAACGTGCTAAACAACGGATGGCAAGCTACTACCGATAAGATCATCGTTATCATGCTGTTCATCGGTATTACGCGCACTTTTACCGAAGACTTGATTGCAAAAGACGGCTACAAATACTGGGCTCCTGTGGTGTTTCTCAATTACAAATCACCGTTGAAAGGATACATCGAAGCTCTGGGTGGTAAAATACCTGCAACCGATGCTCAAAGGCGACAGCAAATGACGCATTGCATACAGGCTTTGCGTGCAGCCCAATCCTGGGCTGTGAGCAGTGAATCTCTTATCGATTGGGAAGAAACAATTACGGACATGTTCTTATATATGTTGGGATTCGAGGCTTGGAATCAGGGTCGGGAGGGTGAGGGATATTTGGCCTGTGATTTGAATAAGACAAAGACTGCCAAGTCGCTTCAAGGAGTGGGTCAGGGCGATGAGGAGGAGGAGGATGTATCGGCCGATGATGACGAAGGAAACCCCAAGAAGCCGATCGACCCCCTCAATTTGAGGGACCCCAAGAAGGAAACTGTACCGGAGCCTAGGGAGGAGGAACAACAACAGATGGACGAGCTCGCCGTGTTGGAATCGGCGGAGGCGGAGTACGGGCGAAAACGAAGTGACAAATACAAAGGCAAGAAAAAATAGTGCCTAGTTCAATTGATCATGATCTAGGCTCTATAGACAAAATTATCAAGAATGCGACACTATTAGGATAATCTGTTGAAGATGTCGGTTCGGGCAACCAAAAGTCTAGTTCTATGCTGCCCGTACTCCCATTAAAACGATCGGCCATGCTCCGTAACAGCATTCTGGTTCTCGACAACGATATAGTCAACACCAACGATCAGTCTCATAGACTCCATATCAATGAAGTTAGCCTCATCAGCCTGAATCACACTGGTGTAAAATGGATCAGCTCCCATAGCCGCAAATGTCTCCATACTCTGGACCCAAAACTCCGCAGCACCATCAAACTCAAGGACGGGAGCAGCACCCGGGACCCGGACCAGGTCGCGATACTGGGGAGTGGAGTGGTACTTAATTCACGAATCAGTAGATGGTGGGGTGGGGTAGCTGGAGGGGAGTGTTTACTTGAGAGTACTTGTAGATACCATGGCGAAGATGAAAGTCCCCAGCAGTCTTGGTGTGGTTATTGGCCCAGTATGCGCTGAACTGCTCAGGTGTGGTATCCTTCTTGTGGTTGTAGAAAAGTTGGATGTGAAACATGCGTTCGAGGTTCTTGGTACATGTTGCTTTGTAGGTGAAAGGACAGCATTCTTCCGAAGTGGCAGGCTGAGGGACGTAGTCTGTTCGAGGTTTGTTGATGCTCTTGGCAGCAGAGGCCAGAGGGAGAATGGAGAGGAGGAAATTGGTAAACTTCATGTTGATAGAATTCAATGTATGTGAGTGTTGTAAGGCTGGAAGAATGTGTATGGAATGGAGGTTAGGGTAAGGCTTAGGGGGCCATTTTATATCCAATAGTTCGTTATTGCAAACGTGACATTCTCATTTGCCACAATTCTGACATATTTCAAATACTATCTAGCCCCGCGAATATTCGGACGGTATCAATAGTGACGCGTTCGATCGTTCTTACTTTTCGTCCATTTTTGCAGGGGTTATCGGCATCATTTATCGCCAAGCATCAACATCTCGCTGTTGTCGGGTCGCGAAAAGCGAGACATTCGTGGCCCCGCATAAGCAGGAAGTCTGAATAGAGTTTAACCCGGACGGACTGATCACGTAACACGACTTGTCAGCAAGAGTAAATGGAGTTATACAAAACTTTAATAGACAAGATCATCTTCTTGCGTTTTTGTTGCTCGGATCATTGCAGTGGGTGGAATGATTAATGTGCCGTTGTTATCGTCAAGCATCAACCATGACTTGGCTGTCACAAACAGGAAATTCCGAGTTCCGTCTGATTAGCGGCGCAGCAGCAAAATTCCAAATTTATCATTTTTCTTCATTGCTAAGCAGCGCTTGTTAATATTAAAGACATAATCAAATTTATCCAAATATATTAAGTTATATCCCATAAAAGTAAAAGGACTGGGTAAGGAATACATAAGCTTTAATTTATAAAACCCAACAACTAAAGTTCTGAAACAAAACTCGACTCGACTTCCTCATGATAACCTACTCTCGCACAGCATCTGAAGACGAACGTATAGGTATTGCTCAAGGATTTAATCTTAATAGAGATGTCATCTGGGGAACTGGTACAGAAACTAAGGATTAGAACTAGTTAGGTGGTACTCTCATAGTCCAAGGCCCTGTAGCTATATTGACATCCCCAGTACTTCCAAACGCCAAACGACCTATCACTGTTTTCTATGTCGAGAAAGCGTCCTCAGGAAAGTGTGAGGCGACAGTAGAACGTTCCCTTTTCGGGATTACACGATCCTCTTCAACTTTACAATAATGAGCACGGCCGTTCGATGTCCCGTAAATTCCTGTCGTCTCATCTATAAAATGTAGCCAGTACTCTCGGTCGCCCAAAAGTCTCTTCTTCCCAATCCAGTCAACGGTGCCTTCGAGGTTAGCGATATAAATTCCATTTTCCGTGCCGATCAAAAGGCGCATGTCCGAGATCCAGGCAAGTGAGAGAACCTCGCCTGGTGTTTCAGAGGCGCCCCTCCGATGTATCGACCCCTCGGAACCTACCATCTCGAAAATGCTGACGTGGCCTTGGGTGAATCCTACAGCGAAATACCCATCGCTACCGAATTCTATACAACTAAAAAGGCCTCGTTCTCGCATATCTGCAAAATCCCACGTCGAATACACATAAAAGTAGCGCAAGGCATCATCATCAGAGGTGTTGAAATTGGTTTCAAATATTCGGAGATCAAACATGCGCGAAGTGGTAGCAGATACGAGATACATGTTGTCAGATGAAAGAGCCAGGATGCAGTTATGCAAAGACCATGCCTCTGTGCGGACTATTTTGAACTCAGCGTCAATGGGGTCAAATTTGAAGCGAATCATTTTGGTCCCGCAAAAGGCAAGAAGATATGAATCGTCATTGCTGCGGATAAGATGATTCACCGTATCATCTCGACTTGAAGTGATACCGGAAAATCGAATGCCGCAGGAGAGAATTTGGTAACGGCGCCAATTGTTGCGAAACCCTAGGCTGTATACACATATCTTCTTTTTTTCGGTTCCAATGAAAAGAGTGTTTCCATCAGAGCTGAATAGTACAGACGTGACCTTTTTGGGAAGTCCTGAGATTTTATAATTTTGTTGATGCCTAATTGCTGCGTCAGTTCTGTCGAGGTGATAGAAAAGAAGGGCTCTCACTTTGAATCAGGTTCCGGTTCGGAAGTATTCGGTGTACTTAATGACGCGTTCGATTCGCTCAGCCGACCCTGTAACTCAGAGACAGCAGTCTCTTGCTCTTGAATCTTCCCTTTTTGCTGTATCGTAATCACCTGGCGCTACTCATGCTCTTCTTCCTCAAGTTTGGACTTTTCATCAAGGTTCTTGCCCAGCGTTCGTGATACTTCCATCTGTTCGTCTAACATCTTCTGGTATTTGGATAGGCGCTTCGTGTAATTCTTTTTTGCTCACTTTGTGTTGGTGACATTCATCCAGCATAACCCAAAAAGCAAGACTCCATTCATGTTGAGCCTGTCCAGGATGAAACAGTCGAGCCAGTCGAGCTGAGGTATGTTTAAATTCCAAATCATCACCGCTCCAATTCCACTTACACTGTTTAAGCCCCGACGACATAGTCATTGCGGTCATGGGAGTTACTGGTGCCGGGAAGAGTACATTTATCCATCACGTTACAGGTCAAAAGGTTGGGGTCGGTCATGGTCTTGCATCTCATACGATAGGTGTGAGTATGTACACACCGTATCGCACAAGACCGATGTGTTTACCTTATCGAAACACCAGGATTTGATGGCATCTCGCGCAGCGATACAGAAGGCTTGAAGGAAATAGCCGTCTTTCTCTCTCAAATATACAAGAAGAACGTCCAACTAGTAGGTATCATTTATCTACATCGCATCGCCGACAACAGAGTCTCTGGGTCAGCCTTGAAGAATCTTAGCATGTTCAAACAACTATGCGGCGAGAGCGCGTTTCAATATGTTGTTCTGTGTACATCGATGTGGCACAATTTGGGGATGGTGTTCCCGGAGATAGGAACCGAGAGGGAAAAGGAACTTATCGATACATCTTCGTTTTGGGGATCTATGCATGCAGGAGGAAGCCAATTGGCCAGATAGAAGGGCATTCAAGAGTCTGCTCAGGCTGTGGTTGATCAAACGATTGAAATACACGAAGAAAACGGCAAGGCCAAGCTCAAAATCCTGGAGGCAAAGGCAGAATTGAAGAAAAAGATACAGCAGCTCCAAATAGCACAGGAGGAAATGATCCAGGAGTCGAAAGAAACTCTAGCCAATGAGCTTGCTTCACAACGGAAAGCTTTCGAGGAGCGTCTCGCAGAAGCAAGTGAAGCACAAGAAACGCTCAAGATTTCGTTCGAAGGTCTTGTAGAGCGAAAGGAGGCAGAATACAAGAAGCTATTGGCAGTTGCTATCACCGAGCAGCAACAATTGACAGCGGCGCTTAAGGGGAAAGCGGCTGAATTTGAACGTGCACGTCTTGAGCAACTAGAAGACGAGGAGAGTTTCCAAGAGGCACAAGCAGAATTTACTTCCGAGGTGCAGAGTCTGAGACAAAAGTTAAAAGACCAAGAAGATATGATGGAGCAGCAAAAGTTGAAGGTATAGTTGAAAGCGGCGGAGGAATTCAAGGCAGAGCTTGAGAAGCAACGCAAAAAGGAAGAAAATACAGCCATCGTGAAGAAACAGAGGATTGAGGAGGACTCTCGGAAGAAAGAGCGAAGAAAGCAAAAGATGAGACACGGTTTAGCAATACTGGGAGACAGTGCCTGGCTTATATAGCCAATCGACCGACAGGGGCTCCATGGTCCCTTTCCTGTCTCTTTCCTGTTTTTCGTTTGTCATCTCTATATTTCTAATGTCTCTTCTACACTATCTGCTAGCGGTGTTTGGTTTTACCGGCGTTTTACCGTGACACTCCCGTATTTTCACATTGCATGCAAGAGACGCCTTCGGAATGTGACGTTTGCCGTGTTATGGCATGTAATTGGCTCACTCTTCAATACTCTCTAATACTCTCGTCACTCAGCACGCCACAGCTGTTAACAGTCTTGCAAGAGCGGGTTCGTCCAGTCTAGACCTTGGCAGAGGTTCAACAAGTTCAAAATTTATGTTAGTCTACTACCGCATGAGCACCTGTGTTTTGCAGTGGTTGAGACATAATGAGACATTTTATTTCGAAGAAGCTGACCCATTAATATGCCTGCTGAAAATGAGGGACGAGCTACTTGTGATCCCAGATAGAATTTCGCGAACGCTTAGGTCCGCACCCCCAGCTGAAGTTGTATGCATTTCAAGTTGCAGAAGCCTTTTATCACGACAATCAAAGATGAAGTTACTTAGCTGGAACAATTTCCCTAAAACTGATCTAAGTCACCCTGCCAACAATGCCTTGCGTTGCTTGGCATCTGACGGGCTTTATTTAGTGGGAAACTAAACATGAAGGTGCTGACAATCTGGCAACTTTATTTTAACACCTCTACGGGCCATTATCTTGAAGTAGGACGTGCCCAGGTGGTAAATGTATTGTTTTTGTCCAATTTAAAAGTTGATATAATTGTTTCTAACGTAGAAGTGGAAGTACATGAAGCTTAAGCCGTTTCGATGATGATTTTCGGGTAGAAAGAATAAAGACAGAGTTTTACGAGTACTCGTTTGGTACAGTGGTGGCTTAGATGATGGCGTCGACTTTACTTTCAGCTCTTCTGAGATCTGTTGGTTGCTGTCGTTGTGTCAGCCTAACTCCCCCCCTTTACCCAGACAAGAAGTTTCGAGTTCGCACTTTTTTATTCCAACTCTGCAGCCCTTGTAATGTCTGTCTTTCCAATTTTTGTTCTACAGGAAAAATACAAGAGACAATCATCATGACGACCCACTGGTATTATCCATCGGCTATGACAGCTTTCATGATTTTAGGAACTGCCTTTTCCATCGGTCACCATTGTTACTACGCATCTCTCGACGGAAAACCGGCCAACAACCAGGAATGGGTGATCCGATTTGGTACTGCATTCTCATTCCTCGTCAAGGCTTGTTACGCTTCCAGTCTTACTATTGCGATAAAACAGCTCGTCTGGGCTCGAATTCGTCGGACTGCGTGTTCTATCCTCACCATCGACGCATTGTTCAGCATAACAACCGATATTACTTCTCTCTTTACAGGCGGACTATGGCGTCGAACTCCCTCTGTCGCCGTAATAGGTGTCGTTTTTGGCTTATACCTCTTGCCGTTATTGTGACACCTTCATCTATATCAGTGTCAACGGATAAAGTCATATCTCCCCAGCCTTGCAACATACCGACACTTGACTTTGACAAGAAGTTCGACCGGTCATGGAAATCCCCACAGTCACCACTCGCAAACTACAATGTTTCTCGGTATCAACAGCCTCAGTTCCCTGAAGACGACGAGAGTCCTTGGGAGGGGCACACACCGGCGGAGATGGCCTACGGCGGACCGTCCTCGTTTGTGGAGAAGCTTATTCGTCGTGTCTTCATTGGAGGACAGATCCTTGATACACCTTCCATCTGTGGTCCAAACTGCACGTACCGTGTCGATGTACCTGGAATTGGATACTCTTGCGAAGTGCTTCCATCGAATATCGATCTGATCGATGCGATTGACGAAGACATACCAGCTGTAGCGGCTCAATACCACAGCTTCATTGCCGAAAATCGAAACATCCTGGGATTGGTTTTCACGCGTGAAAACCAATCTCCAGACGGAAAAGAGAATATTTCAATGGAATATTTTCGTTGTGAACCACGACGAGTCGTACATGATGTGAAGTTTTCCTTCGTCAATAATGTACGCACTCTTCAATTTGGAAAGGAGATCTTCGTTGGCAAAGTCCCCTGGATTGTTTTCAATGGCAATAAAACGCTAGCAATGAGTTACGCAGCGACCAATTTTTGGGCATATCAAGGGCTCGCACATATACTGCGAAAGCATATGGCAGGCACCATATGGTGGCCGTTAAATTCGGGCACCGCATCGTCCACTCTGCTGGGTTACACGTCACTTGTTTCAGAGCAGACCAATAAGGTGAACCCCAATGAGACTCTACTTCAAGGCATATTGTGGCCAAGGATGAATTTCCGAGATGGGCTAGTTGAACTTGCTAGAAATTTCTCTATGTCGCTTCTTGCCGACCCCAGTCTCTATATCTATACAACAATACCTGGCAAGTGCCAAATATCAGACTGGGTCACTCGGTGGGAGTATAATCCTGTACCGATGTGGATCGCATATGGCTCGCTTTGTCTTATTGGTTTCGTGGGAATTGTTTTAGGGGCTCTTTCTATCACGTTCAATGGCTGTACTAGCGACATGGCATTTTCAAAAGTTCTTTGCACAACACGCAATACTGCGCTTGATGAGACGGCAATGCATGCTCATTTCGGTAGTCACCCTCTTCCGAATGAGGTATAGGACACATTGATTCAATTTGGAGAAATCGCTGGTGAGAATCATGCAGGTTTTGGGCTCGATCATCAAGTTACAACACTCGCAATAGGGAAATGTGAGCCAAGGTTGGCATAAAAGAAAAGACATCATGGATTATACTACATTGAGCCGAAGAAGGGAAACTGCAGATGATACGTTTGGTTGTCAAATCTATCTATTGCGCTGAAGAGCTGAGAAAACAATTCATAAAAAAGCCTTTGTTATCCCATGAGGCTGTAAACCCTGGTCAGTCGAAAAACAGGCTCGCGTATCATTTTCCAAACAAGGCAGAACCCCATCTCCGACAGCCAGTGGCGCCCAGTCATCGTATCAAGATGTTCTGCGTGACATGGGTCTAATTAAGTTTAGCGTTTTTGTTCCAATCAGCTAAAACTGCGCCTTTCTTTAGGCAGCAACACACACCATGACAATGCCTAGCGTCTGGGCGTAGTGTCATCAAATCCCAAAGACAACTTCAAGGCAGGCTCTCCAGATTTGACAAGACGGCAAAACGATCGATTATAGTAGAAAAAAAGGAGTGCGACCGCTCAAACATTAATTAGTATATAATTGCTGTTCTCGATATCCTCTGATAATATCTATCATGTTGGTCATCGATTTATAAAACCTGCTCCCATGCTCTCAATCTAGGGCATGCATCTATCTACCCCTCAATTGCTTACATCGTTTTCTCGGTTAATATCATTCCAACAGTCTATTGTCTACGGCACATAAAACACATTTGTCTTGCCGCTGAACAATTTGGTCTTTCAAAATCATCCGAGGTCTTTTGGCAATAATATCGCCATGGAGGTGGCAGCTAGCGTTGCTGGCCTTATCAGCCTTGCGGACCTGACGTTTCGAGTTGTGTACAAGTATGTCCGTGGGGTGAAAGAAGCGGAGAATGACATCAAGAATCTAAAGAGGGAGATTGAGGGACTATGCAGTGTTCTTCGCACTCTACACGCTCTGACGGACTTCCTTGTCACAGAAGAAGAGAAGGACAAAGCGGCTTTGAGCGTCGGTATTCTTGATCAGTGTAAGGAAACCCTTCAAGAAATTCATACCAAGGTACAGCGAGCTCTTACCTCATTTGAACGAAAGAAGTTCCTCAAAACAACGCTTCAAAAACTAAAGTGGCCGTTCAGTAATATCGAGACTAAGGAACTTCTGAATACACTATCCCGATATAAGCTCACTATTTCCATGGCAACGTCCGCGGATTCTCTGTCCAAACTTCACATTCTCCTCAATAAGCAAGTTGAGCACAACATCAAGATTGAGGAAGCCGTGAAGAATATCGATGACAGCACAAGGCTCATCGCCAACATTGAGCTGGACAAGGAGAAACGACGCATCCTCGATTCTTTCATGGGACCGACTTTGAACCCGCGACATAACCTGGATCAGAGTATTGAGTTGCGTCACCCAACAACAGGCACTTGGCTTATGTCAAGCATCGAGCTCCAGAGTTGGTTTACTGAACCAGGGTCTCTACTATGGTTAAATGGCATCGCTGGAGGCGGAAAAACCATATTGACTGGGCTTGTCATCCAGAAAGCTATGTCCAAAAGCTCAGATGAAGTTGGCGTAGCCTTCTTTTTCTGTGACTACAAGAACAAGGCAACTTTACACCCAACAAAGATCCTTGGATCCATCGCGACACAACTTGCTCTTCAGAATGATGCCTCCTTCGAAATTCTTGAGAAGTACCACGAAGACCTCAACCCACCAGACGCGCTCGCCGCCATCGCAGGTGTAGATAGATTGGCGTCTACAATTTCATCTATGATCAAGACCTTCCGGCAAGTATTGATCGTGGTTGATGGAATTGATGAGTGTGGTGACGAGATGGGCAGTGTCACAATGAGTCTCGCTGCGTTCACTACTTTGAATATACCTGCATCAGTTGCACTTTTCAGCCGCCAGGAGCCGGATATTGGCGCACGAATGGGAGACAATGTGACAGAGATTTCAATCGAAGCTCATACCGAGGATATCGAAATGTATGTTCGGGCAGAGTTGGAAAAACGCATCCAATCTCGACAACTTCGTTTGGGTCACTCCGAAACAAAGGAGAAGATTGCTGAAGAGCTCATTGGTAGGGCTCATGGAATGTATGTTTCCTCTTTATCCAACACATTCATTCAATACTAATAGCTGTATTACAGGTTTCGTTGGGTTGCCTGTCAATTAGATTCTCTGTGCGACTTGTTTACTGACCGAGATCGACTTGACGCACTTAAACAGCTGCCACGAACCTTGCATGACAGCTACCGAAGACTCTTGGAAAGAGTCAATACTAAGCCGGCTCGAACACAGAAACGAGTCCAGCTTTGTCTTCAGTTCATTGCCTTCTTTCCAGCGAAACTTCCCATTGTGGAGCTCTGCCAGGCTGTTTCAACCCCGGAAGAAATTGGAGACACCCTCAACAAGAGCAATACTGTTGTTGAGAATGACATTGTTCATTATTGCAGCAGTCTTATACGGAAGTCTGCTGACGGGAACACCTTCGAATTTGCTCATTTTTCTGTTCAAGAATTTCTGGAGTCAGACATGGCTGGTCTTGAAAAATATAGAATCTCACGACAGGAAAGCTCATCGCTTCTCGCTCTTCAATGTCTCAAGTTTGTTCAACTCAGAAACATCGATGCACGACCTGACGGGAATACATTTATGGGAAGGCAAGCAGACTTAGTTAATGAGCTTCCATTTTACCAGCGCGCCGCTGCTTGCTGGCCAATGCTTATGAGAGAAAGTCTCGGGAAGCCCGACAATCCAGTATTACACGAAGCCACACAATCACTATTCTGCGACTCCTACTCACCCAAGTTCAGGACTTGGGTCTTTTTTTTTGTATTTTCTTTGTGCACGGCCGTAAGCAAAGAAAATGCGTACAGTGGAGATTCAAAATCTTCTAACATCGGCCTAGAAATTGCTACCGACATTGCCCTGGATATGCAGATTGAACCTCTCCATTTCGCGTCTGCGTTGGGCATGCCTGACTTATGCCTTCGCCTCATAGAATATGGAGCTGATCCTACAATGAGCTGCCAGTTGGGCCCTCCCCTTCTTTTAGCAAAGACCTCATTGCTAAACGCGCTCGGGATGAATGCTGAAGCTCTTCCCGTTGACTCATTAGTCTTTCCACTTCTTTTGCCAACAGCTAAACAGCGAAACTCCACCATAACATGTCTTACGAAAGAAGCAAGCTTGTCGGATATCTCCAACTATGCATCGTTGTTCTCGAACACTGTCATAGTTTCTTGTCATCTTCAAGACTTCGGGCCGGTGATAGATCTTTTATCCAGTGGAATAACTCCCACAACTGCCGATATAGAGTTATTTGGATCCTACCTCACAAGATGGTGGTCTTACCGTGACAACCGCTTCAACCATGGAGGAACTCATCGAAGGAAGATTGCCTCGAATTTCGAGGCATCCCTTCGTGCCCTTAACAGACACCTTCGAGACACATCTGCCTTTGAACAAGATTGGGGGTTTGAGTTTGGGAAAGTTCTCTGGACCAAAGCAGTTGCTATGGAACTGTCGTTCACCAGAGATCCTAGCCTTACACATCAGGAAATCTCTATATCTCTAGAAACGCTGCGTGAAAGAATTATGCTAGCCATTTCCAATGACTCACCTGATGCACTTTCAAATCACCTTCAAGATAGGCGAGTTTCGGTCTCTGACTCTTGGTCATGGAATGACTCGGCATCCCAACCTCTCTTACACCATGCCACTAGATTCAACGCCCTTCAATGCGTCGATCTACTATTGGGAAAGCATTGCGATCCATATACTGTCGATTTTGACGGTGTACCTGCCCTCCATAAAATCGACATCACGGGGGATGGTAGCATGATAGACGTATTCTTGGCGCACCATGTGTCTTTACTGACTATTGACACTCTAGACCACTGGAACTTGTGGCATATTTGTGCATACCGGGCCGATTCTAGCGCAGAGTTCATGCTCAAGCTTTTTAGTGCAAAGCCTAAAGAAACACAAACAGCAGTTCTGATGAAGACAGATGACAGTCTTACACCCTTGTCATTGTCACTATCAAATGAGCCTGACTCTAAAGATGACTTTGAGATACTTGAAGACAACGCGCTCTCCTTTATCAAGCACTGTAATGATGTTCCTGGATTCTGGGAAAAACATGATTCTATATTACCCGAGGCTTTCGATTTCGGTTCCGAGAAAATAATGCATCGGCTTTTCAACCTCGGCATCGAGCCAGAGCCATTCATCGCTGGAACTTTCACTCCATTACACGACCTTCGTGCAAATGTATCACCATCTTGGGTTGAGTTTCTTATGGCATCTTTTCCCGGAGCTGTGGACTCTAGATATTCCGATAGACTCCCCATTGAGGACTATGCCGATGCATGTGTCAAGGAAGGAACCTCGCCCGATGAGAAGGTGTTTGAGATGCTGTTCTCAAGTACTAATCTACAGTCTCGAGACCAAAACGGATCGACGCCATGGGAGTATTCTTGTTCCATTATCAACAGATCACATGGTTGGTACAGTGATTCGAATATCTCTATCAACTCCGACTCCGGCAATGCCATAGGGGTCGTCTGGAGTAACTACATCAGCCTGGGGGCTGTGAGAGCAGATGAGGAAGTGTCAGGGGGTTGTGGAACAGGCAAGCTGTTGTCGGCTCTACTTCATTGTGTTCAAGCTGGAAGAGACCCCGCCATAATCAGCATACTCAAACCCGACATACTTGACAAAGCTATACTCTCGTCTAAGTCTTGGAACCCTTTATCCGATGACGTTATCCGCTTTCTTATGACATCAGCCAAACTCCAAAACGCCGAAATGGTCAACATTCTTCTTAAACATGGTGTGGATGTTCATCAACGCGTCAATGGATTTTCATCAATAGAGACGGTCTGTGACGGCCAATGGCCCACAGATTTGTGTTCCACGGAGAAAGGCAGAAACATGATCAAGTCACTTTTGGATCATTCCAACCATTTTAAGCTGAGAGATTTCTCAGTTGACAGACGTGGACGTGGGCTATTGCACAGAATTGCGTTCTCGGATAAGGAGCCACACGTCCGTTGGTTGATAAAAGAGCTTATGGATAAAGGAGTTGACATCAACGGCATTGACGGTGAAGCTGAGCCCCGATATCGTTATACACCCCTTACCTGGCATATCGCCAATAATTCAACATGCTACGCCGGGTACCTGTTGGAACTCGGAGCAGACGTTGATATTCGTGAGAATAATGACGGCAGTAGACTTGCCCACCAATTGAACGCAATATTATCGGCAGCATATTATGGCAATCTGTCCTTTCTTCGGAAACTCTTGGAATTTTCACAAACTACGGCAACAGAAACTTGTTGGACCACTTTCATGCCTTTGAATTTTTCTTGTGGGCGCAAACTTATTGCTATTGAATGCAACAGTTTACATATTGCGTGCTACAAAGGAAATTACGAAATGGTCAAGTTCTTCGTTGAAGAAAAGCTTCTTGACTACGGTACAACGACGAAGAATGGCTACACGCCCCTACACCTAGCAGCAGTCGGTGGCCAATCTCGTATTATCAACTACTTAATAGCCCAAGGACAAGAGGTTGACGTTTTGACCTCAAACAGAGTTACTCCATTACATTACGCCGCTGCGAATGGGCATTTCGATGCAACAGAAGCACTATTATGTCAACATGCACAAGGCTCTATTTCTGCACTATTCTGGACACCGAGAATTGCTGCCTCGGAAGCAGGACACCAAAATATCGTTGAGCTTCTGGATAATAGAATTAGGACTCAGGATGAATCAGAGTCTGAACTCATCAGGGCTCATCGACACAAAAAGAAGCTCCTCGGCCAGATGAAGGAAGCAATTGTCTCTAACCATGTCCTGGAATGCCGCGCACTAGCTTCAAATGGGTGTCCCATGAATGATCTTATCTCGCAATCGAACGATATTACGCCTCTACGTCTCGCCTTGACGGTGGGTCATTGTGAGCTGGTCAGAACACTCCTTGACCTAGGAGCTTCAACTCTGACGCATTGTGATCCTGGTGACTGCTATATAGAAAGCGTAATCAATTATGCGGCTTTGTACAGCGAACTAGTCGATATACTCCCAACCCTGGTAGATCACTACGTGGAACAAGGTGGAGACTTGGCTGACGGGCCTGACTCGCCAATATTCTTCGCTGCAAAATCAAACGTGGAAGGAATGAGAATTCTATTGAATCACTTGCGAGAAAATAACAAGAAATGGGGGTAAGTCCATTTAGCCATGGCGTATTTCCTTTCCCAACACTAATTGAACAGTGGTAGATGTGATTACGAAATTGAAAAGGTTCTCGAAAGGCGTCACTCAATGGGTGTTTTTGAGGAGTCTTACTTTGATAAAGTTGCAGCTCTCCATGTTGCTGTTTTTTACGACCAGATTGAGATCGCTCAGCTACTACTCGAAAGCGGAGCTGATGTTAATTCGACGAGCATCTACGGTTTTTCTCCAATTGATCGCTCCATGTCGTCAGAGATGACTTCTTTACTTATGAGGTTCGGTGCATCAACATATCCACTGCTTACAATGTCCCTTATGGAAGCAATGTGGTACTGGGAAGATTTTGCACCTGAAAAGGCTGAAGCGTTCAAGAGTATAAGCATAACAGAAAAGGGAATGCAGGCAACACAAGGAAAAGAGCCATGGCTTGGATTAGATATGTTTCCACAACGATTTAACCATGTTGTGCCGGACTGGAGACAACTTTTGGCAATACGACACCTCCAAGGTCCTTTAAATGAGTATCTTCGGTCAGATTCCAAGCTAGCGAACTACCTTCTCGGCTTTGGCGAAGGTCACTGCTTCTTCTTGAACAGTGATCACCAACTGCTGAAGTTGGAGCCATTCCCCTGGTATCAAATAAGTCGATACGTTTTCGACCAAATGCTTTTCCTACGAAGTAATTTTCGCCTGTTTCAACGACGATTCTCTCAGCCAGTCTTCAAACAATGGCTTAATTTGGAGCCAGACCGGGGTTGGAGCCCTTTATGCCGAGCCGCATCTATGGAATACCTCGACGTCATTGAAAACTGCTTATCCATGGGTGCATACATCGATTTTGAAGGATGTTTTTGGGGCTCAGCATTGATCATTGCCAGCGCTTGTGGAAAACTAGCTTCAGTGAAGCGTTTGGTGCGAGCAGGTGCCAAGATTGACTACATCGGGAGCAACGGGCATACTAGTGCTTTGTCAGTCACCAAGTCCGAAGTTGTTAAGCAATGGCTGTTAGTCGGGCAATTCGTTGAACAAAAGAAGATCGTGGCAGCAACAGAGTCTGATACAAACTGTTTGCAGCACCAGGCTGGACGGCGGAGTGGTATTGCGAAGATCAAGGTCAGGTTGGCTGAATTGTATCGCAGACGGTACGAAGAATCAAGTCTTGACTACTTGAGGAGACTTGAACTGCTAAAGTTGGAGATGCGAGGGAAGGTTCCTTATTATACTGATGGGGTTATATACGAGGATTATAATTAGTATGGAGTAAAATACAGTAGAATTTTGTAAGTGGCTTCGCATCTGGAACATATGAGGGAAAATCTTGCTAGCTTGTTGGTCGGAGATACAATCCATGTCTTCAGACCCGCTTGTATTAGGCATCAATGAACAGCGCCAACAACGAGACAGCAATACCATCAAACATATAACGCCAGTTCACCCTTCGAACTTGGTCAGTGCTTAATATCTACAGAAATAGCGTTGTCCCACAAACAACAATTGTTAACAAACACAAAGCCTTTACCCACAAGCATTGTGTCGCTTCACACCTATTACAACAACATCAGCCTCCTTCAAGATGCCGCCTGTACCTCCTCCTCTGCCTCTTACACCATCCTCTGTCAATAACTCTGCACCCCTTCTAGAAATACCCCGCCCTGTAGTCCCCAACAATGGGTCTCCTGGTGCGCTTCTGCTTCACCTTGCCATACACAGTGGTGGCAGCTTCAAGAACCATTGGGGATATTTCATCCGATCAGTTAACAATCCCAACTTGGGCACCATTGTTCACGTTGTTGGTGATGTGAAGAATGGCTTTGAATTCGAGGTGAAAAGAAATCACGACTTCGAAACAGCCTCGCCCGCACCCCTGCATGTCATTCCACTGCAGTGGGTTGATGGAAAATACTTCAACGACGCAATGCTCAACAATGGCATCCAAGAGCTTGACTACAAGCCTGTCTGTGACTTCGAAAGAAGTGTTTATAAGATCAAGCCGCCTGAAGGGTCTCTCAACTCCTCAAAATCCGTAAATTACCTTCTCGATACTCTCAGTATACAAATCATCGATCAGTGGAAAGCTAATATAAGACGTTATAGGACGCACCTAAAACAAGAGTTATTCAAAGAGATTGCCAAACTTGGATCTTGGAGTCGGCCAACCACCTAGTCACAGATGGAATTCTACATCAAGAGATTGTTGCTTATCTGGACGCCATCAAGCAGTAGAGTAGCTCCAGTCCTTTGATTTCGGAGTTTATCTTACATTCTCAAACTAAACCACATATGTAACGCTAGTGGCATTTTCTGACTCGCAGTCTTCATGTTCAAGCTATGGCCAACACTTGCGACAACAATCAAACACCCTGTCAAAAGAGATGCCCCGTCCGTGAGACCCTTACTCGTAAGACCCATAACAACTCCACCAAATGCAACCTTCCATTCAGGCTCATAGGTCCAGAACCGGATATTTGCGGAAATACTCCACCCGACAACAAGGGTTCCCGGGATTCAGCTGACTTTGAAGACTGGATTAACAAGCAGCAATTGGTGCAATTACGGGTCTTACTTCTTTTTGGGATATCAGAACGTTGGCTAGAACTTCCTAGATTCAATAGTTTGAAATTGAAGATTGGTATTTGCTTTGCTGGCGTAAGTTGTCAGACCACATAGCAATCGTTTAAATAGACAACCCAGTGGCTTTTTTTTTCTCTCTCTTTCCATGCACCCACTTACAGAATTCCTTTCCTGAGTCTTCTGTGATTCAAGATGGTGACTGTTAAGTCTTTTTTCATCCTTCTCGCGCTTGGCGTAGAGTCCTTTGCTGCATCGAATCCAACGGCGACTTGCACCAGCAAATATGGAACAGTCAGCATTCCATCCAACAAGATTCCACGAGCGACAACATCTATCCAGACTAAGGTGACGGTCGTTAGAAAAGTTACTCGCAGAGTCACTGTTATTGTCATCCCCAAAGCAAAGACCACAACTCAACAGGTCACGGTCAAGACCACGGTGACGGCAACAGCTAACCCCAATGTTAAAGTGGCGACTAGCATAGTCACGGGTAAGATTGTTTTCCAAATGCTTCTGCGACACATACTTATACTATACCTATAGATGAGCAAACTAGTGTCATAACACGAAAGTTCACTACGACGCGTATCGCAACATCGTTTACCACCACTACCAAGTACACTACGAGTACCATCCCTGCGTCACCCAGCTTCAAAGCTATCAAGGAGTTTGGAGGCTACCAGGCGAAGCGAGCCAAGCCAGATGTTATAGCTGCTCTCCCCATGGCTCTCACCAAGTCTCAATACGTCCAGCGAGTCGACTGTACAAAGCGCATCCCTTACACCTCGATCAAGACTACAACAACTACCGTCCAAGGACCTCGAAAGACTCTCGCTCCAAAGACCAGTACCAAGCTTGTCACAACTACTGAAACAGAGACTTCGACAGAGTATCCGGATGAGGTCACCAGAACAGTGACTCAAACTGTGTCTCCTACTGTTACTAGTTTTGTTTCAGTCACAGATACTTCCTCATCTACTGAGACTGGTTAGTTCAACGCTTGGCTACTATTTAAAACTATGCTAACGCCTCACAGTGACCGTCGAGACTATTATCCCTGTTGCAGAGCAATTCTACGCCGCCTGCGGTGCTAGCAACATGCTGGTAACAGCCAATGGCGGACACCCTGTACCTTATGTCGACATGATGATCGGTTTCGGCGTTGCGGTAGTGGATGCTGCACAGGGAGATGCCTACAAGTGCTGTACGACGTGCATGCAGAACCCTCTTTGTTTACTTTCTTTCCTCTCGGATTATGATGGAGGGTGCACACTTTTGACTTCCCCCACGAATGTCTGTCCTAATGGACAAGTTCGCATTGGTCAGTATAAGTCGCAGGCAGGCTCTACGTCGACTTATCACTGGTCAAATGGTCCCTGTGGGTATGTTGAGAATGGTGGAGAAGTGAATTAATAGGGTGGTGCAAGCTATGCTACGCTAGATAAGGACTCTTATAGAACCATTAGAGGCTCCGAAACTGAGACTTGTATCAACATAGGGGTCTGCCTTGAGTAGTAGGTTTCAGTTGGTTCTACCTCTCTTCTTCTCTTACGTAAGTTTTGGGGACTTCAAATAGAATTCAGCGCGTCGATACTTCTACCACCCGATGATATTTAATGCTAGAATAAGAAGTTCGCGGTTAGAGCCCGAGTCTTTAAAAAGACCAACTCTGCAACCCTTGACTATGTTAGTAACAGCGTCCCAACGCAAAGATCATGTATGGTCGAACGTGACAATTTGGACGCTGGTCGCATTGTCGTTGAAGTTGAAATCTTGATTGCAAATCTTTCCACCTTGGAATAAGTGACATCAGGAAACAGTTGAGATGACAGTTGACGATGGCAGGAAATCCATACATGTGATACATGCTTGTTGAACGTGGAGGTTATCATATGTACAATCACGTGATCAGATCATACACAGATGTACATCCTGGTTTTCAGTTCTCCAACCGAGATCGTCGACTAATTGTTCTCGAATAGTAAAATTGTGATTATGTAAAGAAGAGAAGTTCTAGAGTTTTTCTTGTAACAAAGGGGGATAAAAAAAAGGAAGCTGGGGAAGGCGATGCAGCACAGGTGGTCAGTTGTTTTTATTGAGTTTAACTGTCTCTTAACATCAATCAACCAATGTAAATTTCTCGGCATCTTGTCATAAGTTCACCAGTATCATCCGTCATTATATTTACCGGGAATATAACAGTGATATTTGAACTGGATTACGACCCAAGAGATCTGAAGGATGAAAACTCGGTGACTAGTGGTCCTTAACATCAACTGTCACAATTGGAAACCACAGTTATGACTATACCCGAGGGCCGATCTTGAAGGACCCTGAATGCCGCCATTACATGAACGTTCTCCGAATTTCCGAGAATATGTCTACACCACAGTCTGGCCTATGCCTACCAGTCAGCCACTTGTCAATAGAGCCGTTGCTAGCTGCATGCGCTAATCGGGGATCTATCAAGCCAACCGCATCCCCAATTCTATCAGGCCGATCTTTCCCGTTTGCCCGAACCGTTTTAGAGTTTTAATAGTTTCTGCAATTAGCCTCGTTGAACGGAGCTACTGCAGAGACCGCATTGTAAAAGCATCACGTTCGCAATGGCCACCTCAGCCAGATTAATTTACCCCATCCCTCCTGTTCTCCCAGTATCTGCCTCTTCTAACTCATTCTACCTAAAATGACTTGCAGTGACTCCTTAGCGGTTAATATTAGGTTTAATAAGTGCCTCAAGATATAACTACAACAGTTGGCTTAATGGGATTGACAAATTTCTCATATCGAAGAAGGCACTCCACTCAAGTGTGAACTTCCATCACAATGAAAAGGCTGAGCATTGCATTAATAAAACCGAAAGGCGCTGGTTTAGCACGAACGTCTGCGATACTTCTAGCTCCAATGATGAGTCGAGGTATGGCATTCATGCTAGTAGAGAAGGGCCCCTAGTTAGCAGATTGGCTCTATCCTAAGCCACCAAACCACACCCCTGGTATTATCCATAGCTTGGAGCCGACGGTAAGATCGAGCGTCTCCTTAGAGCACGCCATTTGGCTCGTTTCAAATCCCCCATCTTGTGTCCCCGCGTTCGCTACTTCCCTATTACATCCTCGTCACACGAAACACAAGAGTCGGTTCTTACTTTGCAGCGCTATACATTGATTCAAGAGCTACTGCCACATGCACTTATGGCGCCGTTCACAATCACCATCAACAACAAGTCCCAGTCTAGTTCTTCGTATGGGATATATGTAGAACCACCCGGAGTTACGCCATCAGTCACATCTACAACCCGGATCATCAGTCGGGTCGTAGGAGTGGCTAGCGGTCAAGGCCAGGCTACGTTTGTCCTTTCAAAACAGCTCATCGCCACATGCGGTATCTACGACATTAGCTCCGACGTCAGCGACCCTCCAGACCCGAAGAAAAAGCCAGTTGGCACAGGTACTGAGGTAGTTGATCAGCGATACGTGGATCTGGGGTCGAAAGAGCTAGATGGGACACCTGTTCCCGGGTCATATCTAGAGGTCGACTGCTCCAGTGGGACTCCATACTTCTCACGAGCATCTACCCATCCATTGGCTTGTATTGGAGCCTTTGTCGTCAAAACAAAGCCTGACTTTACTCTGCAGCAGGCCGCTTCCAGTACGTGTTCGCACAGCTTCATTATCTACACTGTCGCCATTCCATAACGCTGACGTTGATCTTGAAACAGACAAATTCTTCATTGGCTTTAGCTGTTCCGTCCGTCAAGAAATCGGTTCCTATGTCACCTTCATTCCAAGTCCGGGCCAAACATACGTGATAATGCCGTCCAACAAATTCTACGTTACGATTGGGGACTTTAATGTCAGGGACATCGTCAAAAAACCTTTGAAGACATCTTCCGACACTGTTCTCATTGACTTCGATCAGCTTGCGACCGACCGCGTGTCTCTCGTACACGACGCTTACAATAACCTCTCCATTCAGGCCACACCTCCCCTGTCCAGCTACCCAGTCGCGATGATGATGAGCGCTCCCTCTTGGAAGATCGAAGATTCGGTCGACCCAACGCCAATAACTAATTATGCAATTACTGTGCAAGGCGAAGAAGATATGACTGAAGAGTCCAGCACGGCGCCTGGCTCTCCTACACCTCAGAGTTCAATCGTTTAAGATACCATGTTATTTACGCGGGGTTCTTGATCACTGTCTTAAAACATCCATTTCACGTAGGTATTTGTACGTTCTGGAGCGTCCGCGAACAAATAGAACTTGCTACCATTAGTTGTCAATAATCCCTCATCTTGCAAGTGACGAGCCTTCAACTGAAGGGTATAGGTGAACCCCTACCGGCATTCGGCAGATTAGCTTAAATGTGTTTCTCTTGGGGCGATCTAGACCTCTGATACTAAAGACGCGTCAGGTCACCAGAACGGGTAACTTTTATCAAGAATGAGAAGATCCGCATTAGCGCTTCCGTTTCCATCTCCATAAAGACGTGGGAAGAGGAGTCTGATAGGATCGCGGGGTTCTGTTTACAGGCTAGTGATGCTGGCCGATTACCGGCTCGCGCCAGTAGCGTTTGACTACGCACGCCACCAACCAATAGTCCCTGGAATTATCAGATTGCAAGTTTCTATGAACAACATGGTATTTGTTGGTGACTCGGACCTGTAAGCTGGGTCAATATCTCACTACGAGTGACCGAACATTTCCATGAGACTGATGACGACAAGAACACTGAACTTCACGTTCGTGAAGCATCAAGCAAACTTCAGCGTGGCCCTGAGATACCTGTCTTTCCTTGAACATCACAAAATCGGCATATAGTTAAGGTCAAAATGAGACGCACCCTTCCGAGTCTTGTGTGTCTTCCCCTCGTGGTTTTGATACCCTCAATAGAGCCGACACGCGGCCTCGTCGTGAGACCCCGCACATAGCTGACGAGAGGGTACTCATCAGACGTGAGCTAGAGCTTAAGTATTACCCATAAACGGTTCATACCGTTTTTCTCTCAGTCTAGTAGATTTTAGACTTCCAAATGTGGCCTATATACCATTGTTGGGGTCCCTGGAAAGCAAGGTAAGCTGAAGTTGGGAACATCGATTGCATCTTAGTCTTTTCACTAGCTTCCCTTTATTTGAGACTATTTCCCCATGAATTACTACTATTGGATTGAGTTTTCTTTCATACTCCATACAACAATATGCGTGTTTCAATTTAGGGTCTCGCATTAGTGATCTGGACTGGGCGCTTGTCAGACAAGATGCATGAGTTCATCAAACTCACACGAATCACATATCGTTTTCCACCCACATATACGGACGCTTCATGGTGATACCCCTACATGCTCATGCCTGATGATCTACTGACATGTCAATTATACGTCAAGTGGCTGGCTGAGTGCTTCAGCTGGTATTGTGAAGTAAAGAAACACCAGTACCAAAGAATCTAGAACCGTGAGACGGCTAGAAGATGCATGGGCCATGGGTTCAGCTGAGGTCGTCTTTTGGAACACTGGCCAGGCCGAGAATCGAGACCAAGTGCTCTTAACTGACTTGCGTAAAGTTAGGGTTCCTAGTTCCTCAACCCATCAGGCGAGGAGTCTGGAGAGTTTTGGGTATAAAAAGACGCACTGCCCGCTCCAATAGGCATAGGACTCAGACTCGCTACACTCAAATCAACATAGCTTAACGCACTTCCTCCTACTCAAACAACTCAGTTACTCTTCTCTTTTACAATATTATCTTTCAAAATGCCCAACACATATACCATCACCATCCAGAACAACTCTGGCACCAACCAGAACTATGCTCTCTTCAGCGAGCCTCCCAAGCTTGAATCTTCCGTGAGCTCCAAAGTTTGGACCAATGCTGTGAAGACTGCTCATGCGGGGCCCAACTCCGCGACTACTTTTACCATCTCCTCGCAGTTCTTCGCATACGTCGGTTCCTCGAGCGGAGTCCCTGGCCAGGATGATGTGACTGTATCTGTCTCCAGCTCCAATGAGGTTGAGCTTGGTTCCAGTGACCTCTCTGGGAACGCAAAGAAGGGCACAACTCTCAAGATGGATGTCATTGACATGGCTCCCCAATTCACCGGCGCGGCTGCTCCCGGTGGTAAACAGGGTGCTTTTGGTATCCAGACAGCTGCTGGAAACGACCAGAACCAGTTTACCTTTAATAATGCTAAAGACAGTAAGTTCCAGACCCATAAGCCATCACACCGAGAATTCCAACCTGTTAACCATCTTAAGACGGCTGGGTTATCGGCCTCGGAAAAATTGTCAACGGCCAAACTGTTCCCGCTGCTACTATCATTCCTCAGCCCAACTGCAGCTACCAAATCCAGCCAATTAACACCTGGTACATTTCCTATGGATCCTATACGGCTGGTCAGGTCTGTAACTTCGAGATGTCTAGCCTTCAGAAGGCCACTGTCAACTTTTCAAACTCTTCAAATGCCAGAGTTGTTCACAGTCCCGGTGGAGAGATCACTACCCAGGTCTAACGGGCTCTATTTACTTTGATACCAGACCGTGATAATTCTCACCTGAGTTAGTGCTACAGAATAGATCACAAGTCAGTAAAGTTAATGTCATTTCGCAACTCATTATGTTTAACGGTGCTTTATGACTTGTGATTATTGGATCGTTCTTAAACTATTTTGTTGCCATTTCTGCTTCTGGTTAGCAGGGTGCTGCCCTTATGAATTGACGCGCGTGTCCACTACCGCTGTGTCCGACGGGGACGGAGATAAGCCTATCGGTCTATCAGCTTGTCAGCCTATCGGTTTATCGGCTTATCGCATTCGTAGATGATAGGATAACGCAACTACCCGGTAGCTTTAAAACTGTTTAATTTTCGTCCTCTTTCAATGGTTCAGAATTATGAATTTCCGCGAGTTAAAACACCTCGCAGAAGACAGCTCCTAGTGTGTGATGTTAAATTGGGAATATTCTTAAACTCTTTGAGATAATGATCTATCTCCGAGGTAGTTTTTACTGCTAAGGTCTACCAAGTGGAACAAGCAAAGGATACATCGTAATAGAATATCAATTTGTGAAATTAGGTAGCGTAGTGGGACCTAGGTTACCTTGGGGTAAAATCGAGAACCTTGGTCTTGCCAATGCTAAGGGGGTTGCCACTATCATCTTCAGACATGCTGTAAAACTTGCGGGTCGAATCGATGTCAGACTGCTGGATCTCTGGAGGCTCACTACGGTAGTTCATAACCGACTTATCATCCGGGGCATCAATACGGACAGCATCCATCATCTCTTCGGATGCAGTCATCTTGTCACGGACGTCCTTAATTGCAAATTCGTGTCGCAAACCAAGGACGTGCCCAAGCTCGTGGGCAAAGACATTCCACACTTCGAACTGTCAGCCAGTGAAACAGATCCATGGTATTTGGTGAACTTACTGTGTGGCTTCCACTGTTTGTTGAATGCATAGGAGAAGACAAAAACGTAGTTGAGGTCCTCGCCATTGGGGAAAAAGGCTCGTGCAAGAACATCGCCATTAGCACCGCCATGGGTCAAGACAAAGGTAGCATCCTTGGCCAGGGGCACCCATTCAAAGGTCACGCCGACATTGGCATCGTTCCATGCCTGTGCAGCGATGGCGAGTTGCTCTGCAGCGTAGTCGGCGTCTTCTTGACTGCGAAAGCCCTGTCGCCAGGCAGCCCACTTGACAACTGAGCCAGGGACCCAGCGAGGTATGTGGTCATGCAACCCGACCACTATATCCAACATGCCATTCTTGCGGCCCATGGCGGCTTGGAGGGCTGGAGGGATTGGAAGCTGGGTGTTGCATACCGGCGCCTGAGTGATTGCAGGACCTTTGATGTCTTTGACCACATCCGAGACATCGGTCGGCTCGACGGTCTGCAGGACCTTTGCTCCAGCTACCTGTTCGACAGCGTCAAGGAGAATCTCCTTTGTTGAGGGGCCTTGAGAACCCATGGTGGTACTGAAATCAGTGCCACACCAGTTGAACGTATCCAGATTGTCTGATTTAGCGGATGATGATGATAGAAACAGTGAAGAAAGCCAAAGGATAAAGATGTGTGCTGGAGATGATACAGGATGAGTTTATTTGCGAAGAGAGGCCCTTCTTATACACCGAGGGTAGCTGGTACGTCTCAATCCGATCTATACCCAATACCCTCTTGTCACTGCCAGCTGATAATTTACGCATTTTGCTCCATTTGGCGCTGTGCAGCTGAAGGTCTAGAATGATGCTTGAGACACGTGTGTTTTTAACAACCACTGTGTATTGTTAGAATGATCCAATGGATTCATGAAGTTCAGTGTTGCCTATGGTACTCCACAGGCGTCTTTCTCTTTAGACAACTGTCATATTAGAAGTGGCGTGACTAGCTTCACAGAGGCTCGACTTGAATAAGTCACGCTTGAAGTGAACCGCTCTTCTATGTGTCGGTCCATTATGTAAGAGGAAATACATTTCCGGCTGCAAAAATACGTATCATAATTCTGGTAAGGCACAGCATGCCACATTCCGAATATACGTATGTAGCAAATTTGACGGGTACGGTACACTATCAAAGCTTCCTCCCCTCACACCGAAACTGCAGCTAAAGCCTGGTTCTTCCGTTATCAAATGTGATAGCTGGAGGTATGAGGCTGGCTGAACGTCGCGAAAAACATGACAGCTGAAACGATGAGGCTGGCTGAAGGCGGAAAATGTGACACTAGTGTACATAACGCGGGGTTGATCACCAGAATCGAACCACATCGAACCTTTGCCAAGCCCATTCAGCACTATTGACTGCCTACTATGCACATACCATGCCTTGAGGAATGTGATAAGAAGCACATATCAATAGTTAATTCCATATGTGAACAAAACGCCCTTCACATCGATGAAATCCTTACTTCGAACCGTGAAGTTGACCTGTCTCATAAATCTCGTCTTCTCAATCTTGTGATTGGACAATGTTGTTTATTGACTTTTGACAACATCTCCCCGTCTCAACATGCCAAGACTACCTCAACTAAATTTCAAAACAGACGCATCTAGATTTGCTCGGCTATTCGTACTGACAGACACTATTGAAAAATCATCTACACGTGTTCCCAAGACGTACGGAGTGTCTCACTACTCCTATCAGCTGGCCTGTGAATCAGGGGTCTTGAGAATATGCTACGTGCAACAAGGCTCATTGGTATTTGGCCTGGGCGCATGTCCGAAAATCGAGACCATAGACCCCGCGATGATACGAATCGAGATGCCGGAAGGAGAAATGTTTCCATGGTTTTCATGATGAGATTTGTTTTGTGGCTAGCTGAAGGAACAATGACTATCGATCAGAGGCATTTGGCAACGATGATCTATGTTTCACCTCAGTTTGCCACATTCACGATATGATAGAACATGGGTAGACTGACAACGGGACGGGAACTTTGAGATTTTGGGACTTTTTCCAAGTCAGTGGCAAGGTCCAGTGCTGAAGATTGATAGAGGCTATTACGGTGGCTCATGAACTATAAAGATCAGGTTTTGTGCTCTACAAATGTTGTATCACCATCAAGTTCCACTGCAGCATATCCTCTCTGCCTTAAGTACTACCTATCATTTCTGTCCTGCCCATCATGCCCAACAAGCGCGTCCGTCGCTCCCTCCAAGAACTCGTCAGTCTTTACGACAAAGGCGATAGAACGCAGCTGGAGAATCTCGTCAGGGCTTTCCGCAAGATCCAGGCCCTTGAAACTGAGCATCTGGACTCATTCTACAAGATTGCTGGCTATCATGGCGAGCCTTTCGAAGGAGAAGATCCTTCCGACCCAGAATGGTGGGGTGGCTACTGTCAACATCAAACAGTTCTCTTCCCAACCTGGCACAGAGCCTATCTCCATCGCTTAGAGAATGCTCTTCGCAATGCTTTGCCAGAAGCCACTGACCTGGCTTTGCCCTTCTGGGATGAGTGTGCCTCTCACGGAACCAAGGAGAATCCTATCCCCTGGTTCGTGACTGCTCGCGAGCTTCCCTTCCCAGTTGATGGCAAAACAGACAACCCTCTTTTCTCATACACGCTTCAAAAGGGCCTGGCTGACAATCATACCACAACGGATGTTAACCGCTACACCAAGCATGCTGGCTACCAGACGGTTCGCTACCCATTGTCCGGTCTTGTCGGAAATGATAAAGACAGACATGAGACTGAAATCCACAACGCCAAGTACAGGGATGACGAAACTAATATCAAGATACTCAATTCCAACGTCAAAGCTTGGCTGGATGGTACGGTTGAGATCAAGGATGATGGGGACCCGTTGACTCATCTCCCTGACACGTATTCTGTCTATTCCCGCTTTCAGCTCTGTCTCGAAGCGCCAAACTACACTGTCTTCTCCAACAAGGCTTCCATGGGGCAGTATATTAAGGATCATGGCGGCAAGCCGCACTATGGTGTTGCACTCGAGGAGCCTCATAATGCTATTCATCTAGCCCTCGGTGGCTTCTACCAGAAGGCCGTCTACAACGCTGACCCAATCCTCGGCGCTAATGGTGATATGGGCGAGAATGAGACAGCTGCCTTTGATCCCATCTTCTATCTCCACCATGCCTTCATTGACTACACCTTCTGGCAGTGGCAGCTCCGTCACAAGTGCACTAAAGCCGGCAGTCTGACTGTCCAGGCTGGTTACCCCGGCACAGAGAGTGGAGGCAACCCGGTTTTTCCGAAGGACACAGCCCTCAACATGAACAGCCCACTGAACCCTTTCGAGAAGCCTGGCGGTGGATATTACACTTCAAACGAGGTGACAGACATCAATGAGCTTGAGTACAGTTACGGGCCTGGCTCACTTGACATCGAGAACGTGCCGGGTCGGTACATGCCACCCAAGGAGCCCATTGCTCGTATCGTGCGGGTACACGATATTAATCGTTCTGACTACGCCGGTTCCTTTGTCATCCGTACTCATATTAAGCTGCCTAATGGTAGTACTGTCGAAGTTGGGCGCGAAGCCGTACTGAATCGGTGGAACGTTGCTGGGTGTTCCAATTGTCAAAACCACCTGAACGAGAACTCGTTCATTCCTATTGACGGGAAGACGATGGATAATTTGAAGGGCGAGAATGGCACTGACAATATCAAATTCGAAGTTCAAATCCAGACACGCGGATTTGCCGGGGATGGATTCCGCGCTCCTGTGCGTAAACCTAAAGTTGAGTTTTTGTAGATTCCTAATGGGGAACAATACGTGAGATGGCTGGTCGGTTGATTATCATGGTGCTGATTTTTCCTATGTCAAAGTTTATTTCTATGGGATACATTGAGTAGAAACAAATCTAGTTGTTTCCAATGAGAAGCTTGCTTTGGTGGTTATGAAATGCCTCATGAAAAAAATGATTATTGTCACATGGTTTAAAGGTTGAGAAGCAACTGAACTAAACCCGTGTGTGGCTTAGTGAATAGAGCTATGGTCAATCGAGCCTAGTATGCGATTCAAGTGGCTTGGTTTACTGAATCTGGGCCATTTCAGAAGAGTTTAATTGCTTCTAAAAATAGTCTGTAGGCAAGCTCTCCAAATCTACCTACCCTATTGAATACTGAAACTTACCTGACAGTGGAGGTTCTACAACTAACTCTAAGAGAGAATACAATTCCTTTTCAAATCTTATTCGTGTATTTATACATAATCAATCCGTCACATACTTTCTTATTTGTTAACTCTCCGGGAACAGTCGTAACAAAATGTGAGTACTGAAGCTTGTGCAAAAAAGAAGCAACAACAACAAAATATTTTCATGTCTTAGAAAAAAACCGAAAATTCTTTCTACTTAGTCCTTCTTATTGTCCTACGCATGTTGAATAAACATGATGTATAAAGCACTAGGCAGCCATCCCGAGCTGAACAACCAAGGCATACTTCCATCGGCAGTTATCAAACACGAAGTTCCGACTGGTGCGGGGACATAAGCTTAACGTTACATAGTGCTTAGTGCGTTGTTTATTCCAAGGCATTAAATAGTCTTCGATCTCGATGATGCTGCGGCTCGTCGGCAATCCGCATGCCGTTTGAACTCGTGGAATCTAGCAGTGCCTGTTGATCTACAGGAGAATTCTTGATTGGGGCAAGGGCTTATTTCAGGCTAGCTAGAAGCGGCTAGCCTAATAATACTGCAATGGCTCGCTGGCGGTGTCCCGGGCGTTGTTACCTAACTCCATGATTAAAACGGTGACTGGACAGCGTCTATTGTCAGCTTAGTTTTCGAAGGATGAGAAATATTGTGATGCGGACTAATTAAACAGTTTGAAAGCCAAGTGGTTGATGTAAGTGGCTGTACAAGGGATGTTGTAAATGGAGTTGCGTGGGCAAGCGTGGCTAGCAAGCTCTGACATGATCCCAACCCCTGCTAAAATGTTCACGAATCAGGTCATTTCATTGCCAGGCTTCTGCAAGAGAAGGTCAGGGGAAATTGGCCATCACGGGAGGGCCCGAAAAGCCAAGTCCGAGTAAGTCAAGTCCGAGTTTACTTTGCACTATGTACACAAGAGGGACTGCAAAGGACTACGCTAATTGATATTTCAATAGTGCTAAGTGGCTTCGGAATTTATGGAAGGGTACTTCGAACTATCTTATTAAATCGGGTATGAAAGCACTAAGGTTACTGTCTAAAGGATTGGGAGCAAAAGAACCACAGTCTCACGCAAAGAACAGTATACTAATCCACATTATTGCAAGGAACGAAACAGACCAATAGAATCGACGCGAGAAGAATGTCGACTGACAAGGGAAAGAAATCGAGCGATTGATCGAGTCGGTAAACGGTATCCAGAAAATGTCCGAGCGTATATCTGGAGAAATCCCCATGCTGCATGATCCTGCAGGATTTCCGCTGAAGGCTTGGCCACAAAATACAACACGATATCAAGGCGGAAGTCAGCAGAAAGAGACTAGTAACTATCAAATGGCCATGGAAGGCGCGAAGGAGCCATAGTCACCGTTGTATAGCATCCATTGTGATCTTCGTCAGTAGTACGAGAACGTACTTCGGTCTTGGACACTGCATGAGTTTTCAAGAATATCATGGCAGTACTTCTGATGTCATCGAGATAGGGAAAACCAGTGGTCAGGTATAAATACGACTGGGACACCGTCGTGGAATAATAGTATTTTCCTCACCACTCTCAACACAAACCACTCAAACACAAACATCATCTTCAACCTTCCATAATGATTGGAAAGCTTCTCTTCAGCTCTGCCATGCTCTGGGCAACTGTGAGTACCAGCCTTCCGCAGTTTCTGTTCATCAACAACTAACACTATCTACCAGGCTACTGCCAGTGGCCTTCGTCTCTCGGACACCGGCACCCCTGCTGGTTGCACTGGCTCAACCGGATGCTGTATTCCTAGCTGTCTGGTAGACGTCTCTGATTTCTGGGGCTGTGGTGGAAACGTAGCATTTTCTGGTACTTGCCAGTGGAACTACGACAACCCCCAGGGAACTCAAGACGTTGGCGGCTGCGACGACGTTCAGGTCACTTTCCTGCGAGACCCTGATGGCAACCCTGCCATCGACCTTTACCACAAGACCGACAAGACCTATGATCGTTACTCCTTCAGCAACTGCCAGACGCCTACTGTTGGGGGAAGCCAGTGTGTTCCCAAGGGAGGCGGCTGTGTAAGTAACAAAATCAACATGTTTATTGATTAAGTGCTAATGAAGTGAACTAGGACACCAACATCATCCTGACTGGTGCTCAGGGATAAAGGACATGGCAATGGTGGAGATGATGAAGGGCGATTAGTCGCTAGCCCTTGGTGATGGGTTTGCAGTTGTCAAAGGATTGTTTTTTTGGAACAATTCTTATTGTAGGTTGTGGGGGGTTCAGTATATACACACCACATAGCCTCTCGCGATACCGTTACCTCTTTAGTTGGTCAATGTCATTGTTGCAACTCATTACTGGACCCACTACTTTTTACATTTCGCAAAGGGTCTGTATAAACTTGACCAGAATAGGTATAGTCTCACAAGGCTGATCATAAGCGGGGATCAGCTCAAGATTGAACAGAATCGGTCAGCCTGCTGTATCTAAACCTGCCATTACATCTCTTTTCATGAAACCGTGACTCTGAAGGAATATATGAGAAATGTCACAAAGGGATGCGCAACATCCACTTGACGTTCGCGGAACTATGGACTCCAATGACCAGATATACGACACTTTGCCATTGAGTGGAGATCAGTTTCGCCTACTCAAACTGCAACATGGCCAATGGGACGACAGTGTTGTATGCTACTTGGCAGTCCATGAGCTCGCAAGTCAGCCCGAGTTTGAAGCACTTTCCTATACGTGGGGGAGTAACCAAAACTGCGAAGTCATTACCATAAATAGCTCATCTGTCACTATTGGTGCGAATCTGGAAAGCGCACTGAGATACATCCGATTACCCGACAAACCACGGGTTCTGTGGATAGATGCATTATGCATTAACCAGAGAGATGATACAGAGAAAGGACACCAGGTCCAGAATATGTGTCAGGTATTCTCTTCAGCCACTACTGTCCTCGCTTGGCTGGGCCCTCCTCATTTAAATGGTGAGCGGGCGCTGTCAGATATGCGACAAATCGGGGAGAAACTGGCCCCCGTCTTTCGCAGAGAAGCTGACGGAAACGGTATCTTGACCAGCCATGGGAACGCATGGGATGACATCAAAAATCTTTCTCCAGATCGCATTGGCTTACAAGTGGAGGCTATAGGTTGGGATGCTATATGGGACTTGTGTGACCGTTCTTTCTGGCGTCGTATGTGGATTATACAGGAGTTGGCTCTGTCTGGCGACCTCTTCGACGACAGATCCAACAGTAGATGTATAGTTGGTTGCGGTTCAGAATGGGTGCCATTGCCGGTCTTGTCCACGTTTATCTCCGTATTTGGCCTCATGAGATCCAATCCTCGTTGGATGAATGGAAGCATGGCTAGACCCTTTGACAGGTTGAAAACAGATGGAGCTCCAGCTGTAGAAGCCATGATCACCGTAATCTGGCGTTTTGACTCAAGATTCGACCATGACAGGGAAGACAGAACGTTGGACAACATTATGCGACTATCACGAAGCTTCCAAGTCACAGATCCTCGCGACAAGCTGTACGGGTTGCTTGGAATCATCACAGACCATCCAATCGATGTCGACTATAAACTTAATGTGAGCCAAGTCTACAAGTCGTTGGTTACATCTTGGATCGAAAGCAAGGGCAACTTGCATTGTATCCTTGGCAATAGAGCACCTCTCAATGACGTTGGGCCATCTTGGCTTCCGCAGAATTCGAACCAGCTGCTTGACGGCTTGCCTTTCCGGAACTTGATGCGGGCAGCACAAGGCAAAGGCCAATATGCACAGTCTCCCTCAATCAGTTTCATGCAGGAAGATAATGTCATGAAAGCTCGAGGAATTCGCCTTGGCAGAATAAACCACGTTGTTGGTCCATTCTGGAGCAGCACTAATTCCCAGATTGAAATGGACCTAGTCGGTAAACTCAATACAGACACAGATATGAACAACATGTTTCATGTGCTTGGAAATCTGTACCTCTCGCTGCCCGAGAATGTACAAGACGATGTTTAGAGAGCTTGTGTTTTGGATTCAGATATGAGTGACCCGAGCAACATTATTAGTCCAGCACCAGACCACTTTCGACAACTATGGCATGCCTTTATCTTGAAGGAAGAGATAGACGAACGCTTTGAGCCTCATCTAAATCATAAAGAACGTTGGAAAAGATACATAGAACCGCTTGCTATAAGCCTTGGTCGCGCTGGGTGTTGTGATCGATGCCTCTTCGTCACCGAGGATTTTCGAATGGGAGTAGGGCCGGTTTCGATGCGAGCGGGTGATGAGGCAGTCGTCTTGTTTGGGAGTCCGCTTTGTTTTGTATTACGGTCTGACGAGCAGGGCTACAGACTTGTTGGGGATGCTTATGTTCAAGGTGTTGATCCGTTTGACTTTCCAACAATTGAAGATAGAAAGGATCTTCCCTTCGAGGACTTTATAATCCACTAGTTTGAAAAGTTAAAGGGGCTTGTGAAAAAAATGATTTAGACTTGTCCTTATAGAGTAAAATGGCCCCCTATTTCCATAGGAGTCCCAAGTGTATACAATCCATCCAACTAATGTTGCTTTTGAAATCCATGCCACCGATCAAAGACCTCCGTATCAAGATCAAACAGATCCAACATCCTCCCCACACTATGATCCACCAAATCACCTATAGTCGCCGGCTTGTTATAAAATGCAGGCACTGGTGGGAAAATAACGGCACCGTTTTGTGTAGCCGTCAACATATTCTGCAAATGAATTCCACTCAACGGACACTCTCTTGTAACAAGCACCAACCGATGCCGTTCTTTGATCATCACATCCGCCGCTCGCGATATTAAATCATCGCAGTAGCCGGTGCTGATGGCTGATAACGTCTTCATACTGCAAGGCACGACTATCATGCCATCAACGCGGAATGAACCACTCGCGATTGGGGCAGCTAGATCATGGTTGCTATATGTTACGTCGGCCAGGGCACGGATATTAGCGACTGTGTAGTCTGTCTCGTACTTGAGTGTGTTTTCTGCCCATTTGCTGATAATGAGATGTGTCTCGACATTGAGGCGGCGGAGGATAATGAGAGCCTTGATGCCAAGAATGGAACCTGTTGCCCCTGTGAGGGCGACGATGATTCTCTTGCGTGTTGTAGATTTAGGTTATGTTGGAAATGTGCATATTTGTTCTGAAGTAGCGAAAGTGTGAGACATTTTGGTGGTTAAGTGGGTTGCAGGGTCTGATATGAGTCAAGCACGGGGTAAGGTATTCTTCGCGTTGTATCCGAACATTTTTAACATGGTACATAACTGATATATGCTCTTTTTCCCAGTTCCTTTTCCCATCATTAGATAATTGACCGAGACCTTTTACGCTACGGCAGACCTCCCGAGGTCAGTTGCCGGTTTATAAGTTAAGGTATTCCTCTTACTTCACCAAATTGATCCCCCACAACTCCACTCCAAATATCGGATCGATCCGAAGGGCATGGTGTTGTTGTGGAGGGTACTTGCCCGCTTAGGAAGTTGTTGAGAGAGCAATCGACCTTTAGCCACTACTTGTTTGTCCTCTCTGGAACTTGTTGGCAATAAGACATATAGATAGATCATTTCGGCCATCACAGCATTGAACATCGTCTACCCATCTGTAGCAGCGTTCGTACTTGGTCACTCTTTAGGTATGAAAGAAATTCACATTTGATATGTGAGCCTCAACTACAGAGGGTAGCGACAAGGATCCTTCGGCTGCACGGGAACGTAGCGGGGCCATAGAACGGGTCTGTTAATAATAGTGTCTTTGACGAAAGGGTCGAATAACGTAGCCATTTGAGAGCGTATAGTTGCTTACTTCAACATGGTCTAGTGCCTTGATATTACTCAACATGGACTATTTCTCAGGATCAAAACTCATCGGTCAGCGGAACCCACGTTGATTTTTGCACTTCGGCGATGAAATGGAGATGCCTTATTCCAACATGTCGGGAAGGCTCCCGTGAAGACTTCCAAAAAAATGATATTACGTAGATCCCCAAGAGTATGCATAATGATTTGAGAGATTGGACTTGCATGCATCCGCTAGTAGGGTATAATGAGTATAAAAATGTATGTATGATCTTTCGAACTGTGGTATCTCTACAAGTCGATAAATACTACTCATTCGTCAAATTCATCTACTGCTTGGAACAAGGACGCCATTCACTTCGTGGATACTTCTATTGTAAACTGATTAAACCTCCTATTTCAAGACAATGGATACTACACTCCACGAAAACTCCAAGGCGGCCCATAGCTTTCGTCGCTTCATCCAAGAGCTTCAAGACGAGAACGATCGCGTTGTGATAGACGAGGAGATTGACCCTCACCTGGAACTTGGAGCTATCGTCCGCAACGCCTACGAAACAGAAGACAAAGCACCACTTTTCAACAACGTCAAAGGCGCCCGGTCCACTGGTCTCTTCCGCATCTTGGGTGCGCCTGTAGGAGCCAGCAAGATCCCTGGAAAACGATTCATCCGCATCGCCAAGTCCCTTGGTCTCCCCTCAACTGCCACTGGGCAAGAGATAATCAACAAAATCCATGAGGCGAAGAGACTACCCAAAATACCATCTAAGGAGGTCAATTCAGGCCCTGTGAAAGAGTTCAAGATCTTTGGCGATGACATCGATCTTAGAGCGCTCCCGTCGCCTCTTTTACATCAGAACGATGGTGGTAGATTCATCCAGACTTTTGGAATGTTTATCGTCGAAACTCCTGATGGGTCGTGGGTCAACTGGAGTATTACTCGAGGCATGATCAACGAGAACGACCCCAAGTCTTTGATCTGCCCAGTCATTCCAAGACAGGATATCGGCGTTATTCGCAAGATGTGGCAAGATCAAGGTAAAGACATGCCCTATGCGCTATGCTTTGGTGTTTCACCGGCTGCTATTATGGTGAGCGGCATGCCTATACCCAAGGGTGAGAATGAGGCGGCTTTCATCGGTACCCTAACAGGTAGTCCTATCGAGGTTACAAAATGTGAAACCAGCAATATCCGTGTCCCAGCTGATGCAGAGATCATCTTCGAAGGGACAGTGTCTCGAACTGAAACAGCCCCTGAGGGACCCATGGCTGAATACCACGGTCATATCTTCCCCGGAGAGGCTAAGCCTTGCCCCTTGTTTAGAGTCGATGCCATCACTCACCGCAAAGATCCAATTCTACCTATCTGTATCACTGGAAGAGCCCCTGAAGAGAGTGAAACCGTCTGGGGACTTACTCAGTCGGCTGAGGTGCTGACAATCTGCCAAAATGCTGGATTGCCTATTAAAATGGTTTGGAACCCATTCGAATCTCACTGCATCTGGTTCGTTCTTCAGGTCGATAGAGCTAAACTGCGAGCTATGAACACGACTATGGAGGAGTTTTCCAATAAGGTCGGCCACCTTGTTTTTGCATCCAAGCCCGGCTTTTACATCCCTACCATTTATCTGGTAGGAGACGATATTGATCCTACCAACTTCCGAGATGTTGTCTGGGCTGCTGCCACGAGATGTCAACCCAAGGCAAACGAGTTCTTCTTTGATGAATATCCTAGCATCCCCCTAATTCCATATGTTGGCTATGGGGTCAAGACTTCGAAGCATGCTTACAAGGTTGTTCGATGCTGCTTGTTTCCCAGCGAGTTCAAGGATGAGAGTTTAGTGTGGAAGGAAGCTTCTTTCCGTGGTAACTACCCCAAGGAGGTTCAGGAGAAGGTCAAAAGTCGATGGTCGTCTTATGGGTTTTAGTTCTACACAAGGTATAAGAAGCAGTGTAGTTGAAGTATCAATTGGACTTATAATTAATTACTATTATAATTTAATGAAATTAAATTTACTACTTCGCATTTAGCTATATTAGCTTATACAGTCTCGACTTGATATTCATTTTCCAGCTCTTAACTCGTTCCTTTATCACCTGACGCTTAGTCCTGATGGGGGTATCCTTATCACTAGCCATGGTGTGCATCCCTCTCTCTTTCTCGAAATTTCTATCGAGCATCCTTAGATGGGGTATTTCTACTCCTGATACCCTTCTGCTCTCATGACTTTCTCCGTCTCGTACAGACGGTTGTCTGGTTGTAGCTGGCGTCACGCTTTCAGTTAACACCTCGGTAGAATCGTGAATTTCTCGAGCCACTCCCGATGAACCCGATCTCAAACTGTTTGACGTTTTTTCTGGTGACAAATCACCTCTAGGCACCACAAGATATCCATCGACACTTTCATGCAGTGCGGCCTCGTCTGGACCAGGCGTCAAAAACACATCCTCAAGTAGGTCATAATCCGAGTTCTGGGGGGCAGATGATGTGAAATGTTCTGGCTGTGGCAACACAACAGGTGGCCAGTATTGGTCCGGTGAGTCCAGCAAGTAAGGAAGATTGTCCATATGTGACAGATTTGCGTTTCGAAGTGGTTCGCAGTATAATATCGTTGATTTTGCAGAAGAAACAATCCTACCCATTGCTGTCGTGACTCGTAGCATAGAGCCTCGCTTCTCTGGCTTAGCGATCAACATGGAATCCTGTATAAGGTCCAAGAAGTCATGTAAAGGTTGAGAATAACACTTGTGGCCGCGCAAATACTCGATCCACTGTCGCAAATTAGCTAATGTTCGTTTTTATTTAGAGATGAGTGATATTTACTTTCAAGACAGAAGGTTTCACAATGGGACCGGAAACATAAATCGAGTTGAAGAACTTATCATCTCGATACCCGGTATCATCATCCCGTTGTCGCGATGTGGCAAAGTCCTCACGTTCCTTTCCATCAGGAGCGGTGAAACCTCGTCCACAGCCTCGTTTGCTTGGACGAACAGCGTCGGAGCCAAGAAGATGCCATGTGATGAACTCAAGAAAGACACACCCGAGCGTCCAGATATCATACTTTTGACTGACTTGTGTTCCCTCGCCCGCAGCCTTTTCAGGCGGACGGTATGTCTCCGAGAACCCCACCTTCTGGATCTGCGTGTAGTCGGCGTTTGACGAGTGGAAGCGCATCAGTGTAAAGTCTGCTACTACTAGTCTACCAGGCGGTTTCTTTTCGTCTCTGAAAAACAGTATGTTCTTGGGTTTTATGTCTCCATGTCGTCCCCTGCTTCGGCTTTCACCTCTGTCTCCTTGAACTTGGAAAGATGGGTTATTGTGGACTCTTTCGAGGCCAGATGCAATACCGTGACATTGTTGAAGCATCCAGATCAGGTCATCCCGCGATGTTGGATCGGCCTTGTGGTTAGCCCAGTGATATTCCAGGTCACCTTCAGCGCAAGGAAAGATCAGATACTTTGCTGAGCGTAACTCATAAGAGTACAGAAGCTGAATGAGACTCTCATGTCCTGGATTTGGATGACTAAATCGAACTAATGCCTCTCTCTCTTGATCAAATGAAGCAGGGTCAGCTGTAAAGCGTTTGACAGCGTAATGATCGTCGCATCTCTAATTTAAGATAGTCAGCTAGAATGACAACCCCGGGCTTTCTTTAGGTACTTACAGTACGCTCGCCCCATCGTTGATAGTTTTCATGTATCCTTACTTTAGAGACCTGACCGTGTGCGCCTTTGTCAGGGCCGTTTAATGGATCCAAGAATGGCATCCGTATTGAACTAGGAAATAACTGGTGTTTCATGCATTCGAAGTCGATAACTTGTGGTAGGAAAAGATGTTGCTTCAAGACAAACCCGTCACAAGATAACTCTGACCAGTCCTTTAAAATTTCACTTGAGTCTGCAAGTGGTAGGTCGTCATCCCAAACGTTGAACGCGATAAAGTTATGAAGACGCTTTGTCTTTTTGATGTAGATAAGCGTAGCGAGTATCTTCAAGCGCCCAGTCCGTTTCGCGTTATCGAAAATCGCGTCCAGGTTAATAGTAGGCTTTTCGGGATGGTGCTCGTGGATTTCGTCAAGTACATCTTGGACACGCTCTGGGCTGAGTATTTCCCTGAGAGAGGACTCTAGTACGAATGCCTCGGGCTTTTTGTAAAACTCGGGTGAAGGTTTTATTGCCCTGCGTATCCTATTGGCGATGATTTGGCTTACGGGTCGCTCATGCAATAGGTCGTTCGGTTGGGCAGCTGGGCTCTTACCATTCGCGTTGGTGAACCCAGGTTGATGATTACTAGGCTCATCCATGTTGCTGAACCTAGTTTAGGACGTTTTGGAGAATGACTCAGTTGAGACCCGAAAGACGTGGCTATGCGTAAATGGTTCGGCGAGATAAAAGCAGGAGTGGATATGGAAGTTCAGGATTGTGAGGTTAGAGTAATCGAAAGAACAAACTCAGACCAGAAGGCAGCTTCGCGCGTTTACTATCCGATAACTGTGCTTTTGTAACTATGGTTAACACCGGAGCCTTGTTGCAGAAGGCCACCATTACGATTATTCCCTCCCTGCACTATTACTAAATGTAGATAGGTATGGCAAGCGGCTGAAAATACAGGGCTGGCCAACATTGGTAAAGCCCCCAACTTTCTTAACAATGTCATTGTTAATAAAGCCCTGGAGGGCTGCATAAAGTGCAGAACTAAGAAAGATTTGGGCGGCTAGTTAGTTATCCGAAGCACTCTACGAACTTTGCCGCTGTGCGAAGGCGAGTGGCGTTCTGACAGGGGGATGATTCAGGCTGGCTTCCTGGAAGGCAAGGCCGATTATTAGGTCTTTAAGCCACCATATGCAAGTTACAGTCACAAGGACTTCCAGCACGTCTGCTGACAGACCCCTGTGGAAATTCTCCTTCAATTTCTACCCAGCCGAAGGGGCAAAGTTACTAAAAGGGGATATGGCGGAGGCTGTGGCATACCTGCACTACTGCCATAGGTCAGCACAGCCTGTAATTCCGAGACATGCAGATCGAGATGGATGAGTCCTACGTCCTAACTTCAATCAGACCCGGTTAGGAACAGCTGTGCCATGACAAATTGCAATGGCTTGTCAAGTCTCGCACTTGCAAATTAAACCATGTGCTGACTCGACGTAAGGTCAAGAGGCAAACCAAGTCTCCCCTTATCTCGGAGGATATAAGCAATCTTAGTTCCGATTGTCCTTCTTGCTTTTTTGTGATCATTTATCTTCCTTTACTCTTTCCTTTGTAGGAATTGTAAACTCTTTTCCTTGAACACAACATCGCGCAACCATGCCAATTCGACGAGAAATTCCGTCTCATTCCATCAAGAGTCGTCAATCACTCATGCAAAATCTCCAAATCTTCTGTACCAAGAATAAACTTTTAGTGCAGAGTTTGGAGATGCGCAATGATGTCTACATAATATCACTTGAGGAATTATCTCTACCGCTTCATCGATCAGAAGCGCCAACGATATTTTAATGTAAGTATCTTCTTTATTTACATCACGAACATTCTGACATGGAAGCGCAAAGCTTTATTGAGTTTCAGTTATTAGTCTTATAGACATGTCTTCCTAGGCGCGCTTCACTGCCGCATTCTGAAGCATACCTCAGACAACTGAGAGCTTGTATATACGTTATCACGGGAAGACGGGAATCCCCAAATAAGGAGGCGTCAAGTTTGCGGTTTTCTGTTATCAGCTTCGAATCCGTAGAGTGTTGGGAATAGGCGCTGTATGTAATAGAAATACAAATAGGTTCTGTCCATGTTTGGGTTCGTGAGAGAGTGTAACATCCACCACGGAATTCGAGAGCTGAGCGTCAGCAGACACTCATTGCTTTTCCTGGTTATAGCGCAGATGCGAGAACCTGATTTGAGGCCTGCAACAAATGACGCGGTGGCCTGATAATCACTGTAAGCATATCCAATCATCTGCAGAGTATCCGTTAATTTGCTTACGGAGGGGCTGGAGTGGCTTATCTGGAAAGGTATGCATCGCAAAAGGGAGAGTTACAGTGGTCAAAATGAGCCTATCAGGCACTTGTAAAAGACTGTACGTACAGTTTCAGCTCTTGACCCTAGTTAGCTTGAACAAGTACTTAATATCCCTGTCGGATATCTTATGACAGTTGAAGAACGCCTACTGAGGCTATGTGCCATAAGGCTCTCATTTCTGTGCATTAAATAGCTCATGGTGTTATGAAGATTGGGTTCATGAGATATGATCGCTGAAATCAAAACAACCAGCTTTTTGTCACGATAACACGATTACCAGACATGGCACCACAAATGAAAGAACCAGATGTTCCAAAGATAATAAGCTCCAGGGCAATCAAGAGATTACTGGTAAACGGAAAGACTCGTGGACTTACCGACGAACAGGAACAAGAGCGGAAAGCTGCTCATTGTGAACCCTTCTTGCCAAACAAAGACATCGAGTCCTTGGTCCAAGAGGCCAACGTCAAAGCAACCTTGAATCAAGATAAACTGCTAGGCTCACATAAGAGTAACAAGGAACTCGCAGAATACGTCGTTAAGGCAGCACCTAGAGCTTTTCTGACCGCCATATTCATAGGGGCGGATCAGGAAAATTGCATCAGGCATCTTAAACAGAAAGGTTTCGTAGATGCAGAGCTTCCCATCCGCCTTATGATTGTCGAAGATGCAGAGGACGCAGAAGATTATTATAGAGTCTGTAGGGTCAAATCAAACCATACGTTGCCGTATTTTTCAGGATGGAAAGAAACGCTGCAAGAGAACTACGAGACAGATCAATGGACATTCCTGGCCCCGACCTTTGAGGAAGACGACTTCAGCTATGAGTTCCATCAGAATCTTCGGCTCCCATTCGTCTACATTCCTAATTCCAAGCCAGACGGAGGTTACTTTGGCAAAGTTCTCAAACTTGGTCTTCGCATCGATCATCAAAAATTGACAAGTTTCGAAATGGTAAGGGCCCACGTTTATCCATTCAGGCATTGGGTCTGACCATCTTTTAGACCCCCAAATTCAACGAGAAACATATCGAAGTCGCTGTCAAGTTCATGAACACCGATTACAGCATGGCCAACTCAGACGTGAAGAAGTTTTACGAGAGAGAAAAGACAACGCTAAAACTCATGAGAGAGTTGAAAGATTTACATCTCATAAGAGCAATTGCTGCGTATACGAAAGGCACCTCCAGGTGTTTCGTCTTCCCATGGGCTGAAGGAGGCAATCTCGATACCTTCTGGCGGACTGATCGAAGCTGTCTTGACAAAAGTCTTGTTCGGTGGGCCTTGGACCAAATGACAGGTATCGCAGGTGGTATTATGAAGCTCCACGCTAAGGATACCCGGCATGGAGACATCAAACCGCTCAACATCCTCTACTTTCTCGACTCGGTCGACGAACGCGGTCGTGGAATACTGAAAGTAGCAGATGTTGGTCTCGCAAAGGTTCACACAGAGTATACAAAGTATCGCGCTGCCACTACGACGAGGATGAGTAGTGAAAGGTATGAACCTCCTGAGATGCTCAGCTATCTTCACAAAAAGGCTGCTATACCACGCAGATACGACAGTTGGAGCCTCGGGTGCGTGTTTCTCGAGTTCACAGTCTGGCTTATCTATGGTAGATCGAAACTCCATAGTTTCCATCAGGATCTTAGAGACTCCCTTTCGGACAAGTTCTATGAGACGAAAGGAGATTCTTACCCTCGGCATCATGTTGTGAACCAGCTGATCAACGAGATGGAGCAGAGTTTATCAGAGTCTTCAGCTCTTCACAGGCTTGTTCGTCTAATCTCCGAGCACCTTTTAGTACCTGTAGACAATCGCATGTCCACCAAGGCACTGTATGAGAAAATCGACGATATCAGGAAGAAGTGTCATCATAAATCTTACAGCCTTGACTCTTCTCTTGTGAGCCTAGCAAAAAATAGACCCATGCCCGATGGCCACCCCGACAACAACCTTCAACCACCCGATAACGTAAGTCCTCCTGTCTATGACATATCACCTAACTAACTAACTGGGATCAAGTATGTGAGTAAATCGTCACTTAGGAGCCTCTGCTGCTTCTAGTTCAACTAACCATAAGTTACCTCCTCACAGAACGTTCGTTAACCCTCGCTCTTTATTTCCGATGCTGACATGACCCAGTCAGTAAGTATCCTGAACATGTTAAGGTACCGAGACTCTGACAGAGGGAACTAGCACACGAGTAAACTTGATAATCGGTGGCGAAACATCCCAGATAGCGAATGGGCGCGATTTCTCGTTTCACGTCTTGACTGGCCCTCTCTTCGTCCTACCATTGTGACGGAATTCTGTGACGCTTGCAGTTCGATTGACTTCCTTGAAGATAGTATTGAGCTGAATCGAACTCTGCATGACCTTGAGGAGGGGTCTGTAGGTTGCTCGATCTGTTCCTTTCTGTTCCGAAGTTTTTCGATGGTCTGTACTGGAACAGGAAACCCCATTGTTGATCAAAGCCAACGTCTGTCGCTATCTCAGAATGACCATTGTCCAATATCATTCTACCTCAATCCAGGCAAGTCGCCCCTCATGCTGAAAAGCACATTCTAACTATTATCAGACCACATGAGTCCGGCTCCACGTCAAGCACAGTTGGGCTTGCCGGTTCTTCCTAAACTTGGCAGTCCTCAAGAGTTCGCACTTCTCAACGAGTGGATCAATCTTTGTGACAGAACCCACGATTGTGTTTCACGAGGGTCCGATGGGGAGCCTCTTAACCAAATGCCAACAAGGCTCATACACGTCGGCACAACAGACGCCCCTTCTCTACATCTTGTCGAGACGGCCAAGGAAAACATTACGGGGAATTATATAGCACTGAGCCATTGCTGGGGTAAACTGTCCAAACAAGAGCGGTTCTGCACTTACATCGACAATATTCAGGGTTTTAAACAGCACATCCCATTTGACGAACTGCCCCAAACCTTCAAGGACGCCGTCATAACTACAAGAGCGTTGAAAGTCCGCTACCTCTGGATTGACTCGCTTTGCATTATCCAAGAAGACCCACCAGACTGGAAGATTGAAGCTGCCAGAATGGAAGATGTTTTCAACTCGGCGTACTGTACCATCGCAGCGAGTTCCTCAGCATCTTCACTTGATGGCTTTCTTATTCACAGGAGGGAAAGGGCCGTTATCGGAATAAATACTTCAAAGGGACCTTTGTATCTCGCTGAGGCTATCGATGACTTTCGCGAGGATGTTGAAAAAGGGATTTTGAACACACGTGGTTGGGTCTTCCAGGAACGAGCTTTATCTCGCCGCACGATTCATTTCACTTCAACTCAAGTTTACTGGGAGTGTGGTCACGGAGTACACTGTGAGACCTTGGCTCATCTACGAAAGTAAGTTAACGACTAAGCTGAAGATAAACTTGCTGACTCGATATAGTCGCGAATCCGAACTGCTGGGCGACTCCAAGTTCCCAAATCACGGTATACAGAAGTATAAGGACGACAGTATTCGACTAGTGCAGTACTTGTATCAGACCTATTGTGCACTAAACCTAACAAACCCTACGGACCGCTCCAAGGCCCTCCTGGGATTGGAAAGTCGTCTGGGCCGCACATTCCGGTCACGGGCAGTATATGGTCTTCTATCGGCTTACTTTGAGAGATTACTTCTTTGGCAACGCGACCAAGTTTCCCCCATGGAAAATATACCATATCCAAAAGGTCAGACTGTTCCTTCGTGGTCATGGATGTCTTTCATGGGAAAGATCAACTATCAGGATGCCCCGTTTGGCAAAGTAAATTGGACTGGAGATGTGGAGAACCCTTTCATTTCTCAGGATTATGTTCACTGGGACGGAAGGTTGCAGGCTAGAGCGCACGAACTGTCCATCGATGAGGATGAGCTGAAGAAAAGGATACGAACTGACTTGATCCATTCTAAGTTGACTTCTGGGCTTTTCAAGTGTGCAGTCGTCGGGACGAGTAAGGTCACTAACGAGGATGGAACGACAGATCAGTACGTTCTGCTGATAAGTCAAACGTCGCCTGGTATTTTCGAACGAGTTGGCACGGGTATACTTATAGATATTCACATCCGACCAGATACTGAGCTAGTCTATATCAACTAGTACATCTATCTAACTAATAGATGTTATCCCTTCCTCACCTTCATCTATAAACTTGCTAGAGATCCCGCCTTTATAGTGATCTATGCAGAAATATCCCTTTCTTGAGAGCACTTAGACGCTGTAGGCTATATTTATTGTCTATATATACCACACTAACTACGCTGGGAAGATACAACTTTGTAATTGTAATACCGCCTGTAGATAAAGAGAAGATTAGATACAGTGTGAAGAAGGGGAATACAATAGAATAAAAATGACTATTTTAAGCTGGTAAAATACTAGTCAAATAAGTAGCCCAAATAGAGACGGATCCATAGACGCCCAACAGATTTAGAGTCTTGAAATAATCTCTGATTTACACCTTCTGAACACTCAGCTCAAGACGGTCATAGTAATCAGGAGTGTTGTTATTTCCAATGTGAAGGACATGACCAGGGCCCTTGATGGCTGTGGAAAACACACCCCAAGTACCAGCAGCCGCCGAACAGGTTGGCATGTCCCACGGAGCATCTCCCGTAGACACGCACGTGACGGCCGGGATCGAACACTGTACCTTGAGTTCATCGCTCAGCTTACAGGTCAGGAAGACTCGCCGCAGCGGGTACTCGTCTTGACAGGTTGTCACAACGGCAGGGGCATCGAGCAAGAAATTCATCGGACTGTAGGATCCGCATAGGAACCAGCCTAGTGAGTTGACAAGTCTACCTTGCGAGTCGATGGTGAAAGGGGAGACCTGTGCATCCAAAGCGGGATTGCCACCAGGAGGGGCATCAAAAGCAACCATGGCGTTGTCGTACGGGTACGTTTGTAGACCTCTGCCCGTCATGGGACCCGAGCCGGTGGCAAGGACCGTGAAAGTGGGCATGGGCTCAGCTGATGTCGTTTCAGTCGTTGGGGCAGCCGTGGTGGTGGGGATAACCTCGATGGTATTAGAGGTTGCTGACGTTTCAAGGGCGAGTGACGATTCACTTGTCTCGACTGACGAATCAGCAGCGGACGTGATAGACGCACCAGACGTTGCAGTATCGATTGTTGTTGCGGATTCAATTGATGAGGCCAACGATGTCTCAGTGGGTGCATCTGAAGTGGCAGCGGATGAAACTAGCAGGAGTGTCAACAATGTCTCATTGAAGTGGTTAGTCATATGGAGTAGTGTACTCACTCGGCTTGCAGGGGCTCGCAGCCACAAAGTCAACGGCCAACAGGCCAAAGACCACACGAAGAAGAGCGACAGAACGCATGATAACGGTAAAGAGTGACTAGAGTTAATACACGAGAAACGATGTCATGTACCTGATGTGGCACCTTGACGTGTTTATAGGGATGGAACCGGCAGTTGGAAAGGGGCATTATTGAGAATATGAAGCGCCTAGCTGACGCCACAAATCAATAGTCGGTGTTAGTTGCTGGACTATTGTTTAAGTTGGTAGCTGAGGGCGTTCATACCAGGGTCTGATTGGCCAACTAACGCAGGCGTTGAACGAGACGGAATCCGCCGGTCATTTAATCTCCGGGTTTGTTATAACTAAAAAGCAAACTCAATTCAACTCAGCGACATAACTTCTGCCACAGGCAGCCCATGCTCCAAGCGCATCCGCATGTTCTTTCTCTTGTTGGAAGTATCGATCAGCCTTTGGGCTTGGCTTAAAGTGTGCAGACTGAACACGTTCGTTTGATGGGTACTCGTAGATGTCAATCTTGACAGCTGCACTTTCCATATACATGCCGAGGAATTGACTACTAGACACTGTATTCATGAACTCTTCATAGCGTTCAAGGTCGTCTGCGTGGATTGCATCTTGGGCTGAAAGGGCCATTGCCCCAATTGCACAGAGAATAGTTATCTTCAGAACAAGATAAAAAGGCGACATGATGTTGAAAGTTCGGGGTTTAGTATTGTGAGAGACAGAGTTGCGTCATGTTTACTGGAGGGCTCAATCTGGATAGGTATTTATGGATGATGTGCAGGATGGCTTTTATTCTGACATGTAAGTTTTTGCGCAATTTTGCCACACTACATGCAATTAAATTATTTTCTTGGTAGTCGTCCGAGGCGCAACAAGTTTATTTTATATAGCTATCACTTGTTTTTGGAAATACGGCACCAAGATACGAAGATATGTTGTGTGTGATTGGACCGCTCTGTGACTGTTGGTTGTGTTGTGCAGCTTCAAAAGGACCATTGTCTATGCCGAATGCCGCCCGACCATTGGAAAACTTTAAAAAAGTTGACAAGTCAAGTATAATCATACGATCATGCACCTGAATTTCTCATTGCATTACGTATTAAACGGATCGTATTATGTGACTCACGGGTTATACTCCGATCGCCGATTCTGACAATAAGTTTCTCTGGCCACTTGGACTTTAATCATTACTTGTATTTAGTAGGACTTAAATTTGCATCAAGATTATACCCTTACCTCTTCCATATATAAATCATAAGTCCCGTCTCCGAGATGTCGACTCCTATATATCCACAGACTTTTTCCCTTCCCGCTATCTTTGGTCTCTTCATCCAATATATCTTCTTCAATCATGTTCCTCAAAACTTTGGCTTCAGACAGGGAATCGCCCTCTGGCACAACCACACGTTCCGCTACCTTGGTCGCCACAACAGCCACCAACAGCTGAAGAAATGCTGTGATCCACAAGATAAGAGTGATAATTCCCCAATGCGAAACGTTGAGTTTTTGTCCCACCGTAGGCATTTGGCCAGCAAGCACAATATCTGTGTTTGACTCAATGACAGATGCCAACACACCTGTTGCGAAGCGTGAGAGAAGGTATTCCATTGCTTCGGTTGAGCCATTAAGCGGTGCGCCGAAGATCGACGCAGCTGGGTAACTGTTTGATCGGGTATCGTTTGCACCGTCGCGGCCTCCAAGGGCTATCGCAGATGTAGCCAAGCGTGCCAGTCTCGGACCAACCTCGTGCTCTGACCGCTTTGCATTCTCCACGGTGCTCATTTGGACGGTGCAGTCGTAGAACCACGAATTTGTCGTGGACGGCTCAAATACCCAAACAATACTGCAATCTTTTCCGCAATTATGAGACGCAGATGTCATGTAAATCTTCTCGCCAACCACTTCCTTCCTAGGTAGAGTAATATTCGCTTCTCGGCTCCCTTCTCCTACAATGATACTTTCCCCAGTTCCATTGCCACCTTGCCGGACCTTGAATGCCGTGCATTGCGTCGTAATATTGACCCTTCTATCCGTGAACGCAGCAACCGGAGCTTTGACAGGATTGTCCAAAGTCAACGTGTTTGTCTCGCGAAAAACATAAGAACAATTTCCTTCACAAAAGAGAAACTTGTTGTCCGCAAAGAACAAAGTCCCAGGCCAAGGAATGTCGTAAAATTCTCCCTCGTTTAACGCCAGAGATATGATCCCGTAGCTGTTGGCCGCGTATTCCTCGGCTTCTGTTGATCCAGATGCGTTGACAATACTTGAGGTTGAGATGGTAGTCAAGTTGGCGATGGAGACGTTTCCGGGGATCATGAGGGCTTGGTCCTCGGTTTTCTCAACAGAGTAGCAAAGGCCCAATGAGGCATAGCCTATTTGGGTTGCCTTATGCAGTTAGTCAGGTCCCAAGAAGGTGAAGCGAGACGTGGACGAGGACATACCAGGAATAGCGCTACCCAAGTCGCGACACCAACGTGAATTGTCCATCGACTTGATTTAAAGGCCAAGACTAATACTTGGCTCATGCTATGGACTTGTAAAATTGCTTTGACCTACATTTAGATGGATTAGTCAACCAATCACTTTCCATAAAATGCTCAAACTCACCTTTTGACGGGACCTTGGTCGTTTACTCAAGATCCACCATCGCAAGTCCTGCACCGCATGTGTCAACTGACTCATTGTCGAAAGACCCAGAGCAATAAGAAAACCCGTGATAAGCGCATTGAAGTATTTCTTCTGTATCTCGGACATGACATCGTGTAAAGCATACGCGATTAGGATGATGTAGACGACTATGATAAAGATAATTGTGATGCACCATTTTCCGGTGAGGCCTAGCCATAGTTTGACTTTTGATCGACGGCGTGCTGGAAGGCCTTGGAATCGTCTCGTTGGTGGTGATAGTGATGGTGATGAGTTTGGTGTAGCTGTATTTTGGAATTCAAGATGGATGTCTTGCTGGCCTCTTGATGACACAGGGAGGTATTGTCCTGCCATCATGACGGAAGATGAAGTAAAGCCCGCCATTCAACTGAATGGCGAACCCAAGCATTATAAACACGAGCTTGGATCCGCTGCCATGACGGAAGAATTGACAACAGATCCACTGCTCAGCCCCATTTAGCTTTTAGGTTCTCGCCTAACTATACATTTAAGATATAGTGTTTAGAATATCTCCATCAGCCTGGCAGATCTTCATCTCGATTGGCTGTCTCGTATTGAACGCCCGGAAAAAGGGGTCCCGTTATACGCAAAACTGTTTCAGGGTAAGTTCAGACGTTTTTTTTTAAACATTCTAGGCTTCTTGGCACTCTATGCATCACAGAGAATTTCTCAATCTGAGATAAAGCTGTTTTATTGAGAGAAAAGATTGTTACTAGTAAGTCAATCATTTCTTGGCTTTTTTATTTTGGTAGACAAGGTCAGAATTGTCAGAATTGTACGCGTCCAAACCATTGCCAGCCGGGGGATTGAAATCCAACAAAGACCCTGAGTTCCCGTAAACCCTAGTACCTATATTCACGGTATCACCATTCTGATTGTAGGGACTGTTGTTGAAAGCACCGTTGGTCGATGTGACCTGGGGGTCGTTCAGATGCCTCTTCTTCATTTCCTCGTAAAGGGCCTGATCAAGTTGGTCTTCGAGCTTCTGATATGTCGGTCTCAGGAAAGGGTAAAAATAGGTATCTAGACTTGAATTTGTCCCCATGTTCAGCAACTTACAGCCCCTTGGGAAGCTTATCGAGTAAAAGATTGTATACGCCAAGAAGTCGTACGCCTTTGCTAGAGCTTTCTCGTCACTTGACATGTAAGAGTTGGTGCGGGAGTAATGGCCTGTAAATGCGTTTTTCACGTCGCGTATTACAGGTTTACCTATCGTGTTCCGAGTTACTGTAAGCTTGGGACAGGACGTGCTTGACTTAAGGTCGGGACTGTCTATTACTAGGGTTTGCCAAGCCTTTTCGAATCTTGCAAATCTGTTAGCCATGTTGCATAAGATTTTCGGGGATGTGAAATGTATACCTTGTCATGACAGAGTTTGTCTCAGAAGTTCCAAGAATCAGATTTCCAGGAATGTCACTCGATCGATACAAGAGTTCACCTTTCTGCGAAAGGGTCGTGAGACCCCCCCATGAGAAAGCGCACAGATGAAGCCACTAACATGTATCAGTAATGAGAATCGTATTGTACCGCGAGCCAGCACGTACTTCAGCCATAAAGAACCCGCTAGACATCCTGTGTTCATAACCCAGCAATAGTTTCGCCTTATCCAGTGGCTGCCATCCGAGGGCCTTTTCAACAGCCTGACGTTTGGGTATATTAGTCAAGTGGAGAATGATCGTTGGAATGCTGTACAGACTTACTTCATTGGCCGGCATGCCCATTATCTTGGCCGGCGCATACTTTCCGATACGCTTCCCACGTGCACTGGAGATTTTGTCACTGCTGACGTCGATGCGCCAAGTAGACCCGAACCTGCCATCCTTGATATTGCCTTCTCTGACATACAACCTTTGTTTGATGGGTACGATTCCTCTTTTGGTTTCCCAATCTTCCATAACACACATAACGTCCGTTTGCGCCTGGGTGTAGTTTTCTTGACCCTCACTATCATACGGCTCCATTGGTTGGTACATGTCAGCAAGGTAGTCATTTACTTGCTTGGTGTCCGTTTTGATAGCACGGTGCGCGTCCTGCCTCGTGAGACTCTGATCTTCATATCCCCTCAGGACTTCAAGGCTTTTCATGTACTTGTTGAAGTCTTCACATGAAATGTAAGTGGTGAACAGGCCAAATGGATTCTCTCCCATCTGTGATCAAAGTTAGTAGAGAGAAATAAAATAAGTAATAAGGTAACACCAGGATATGATAATTACCTCGACGTAGCGAGTATCATCCCGCCCTGGACGTGTTTTCATGACTTCCATCCCTGCGGGATCTTGAGACGTTTCATTGTTGATTTTGTCAACAAGGCTCTGAAAGAGTGTGTACACCTGGCCCGTCTGCCAATTTAATCGACGGATAAGGTTTTCAGGATTTGGAACCACCAGTAAAGGGAAACCCAGATTAGCGGATGAGAATCGAGCACGATATCCAGCAGCGGATTCAGGGTCTGTAGCTGTGGCCGTCATCCACGCATTTTTGAACCCGTCCTTTATCTTTTTCAGTTGTGCTAGTCTTCCTTCTGGAGTCTTCTCCCAAGTTCCGAGACGAAGCCACATCAACCAGCCCATCTGATGCCGTACCGGAACATAGATGCGTCTGCCCTTTTTTTCGCTGATTTCCCATACGATGTCCCCCTTAATAGACATCCACTCCGCATCAATACCGAATTTGGTTTTCTTACTCTTCTTTTTCTGTTGGGATGTTTCTTCCAGAGCCATCTGCGACATTGAATTCACAGGCATGACAATTGGCTGATGCGTCGATTCTTCTTTCGCCTGGTCGTGTAGAGGATCGTTCTCTGGGTAATCTAATAGCTTTCCGAAAGTCATTTCTTTGAGCATGTCTGCCTCTTCTTTCTCTTTCGTCTTCGTCTTTTTGGGAACTTGCGGGTCAATGAGGCGGCTGTAAACTGGTAAGACAATAACTAAGATTGAGGAACAGTTGTGCAATTACCTCAAGGACAGCCAATTAACACAATCATTAGCCACATCGTGAAAAAGCTTCAACGAAACGTTGCAATATGACTGAATAGCTGTGTCTGGCAAAGGCCTCCCTTCATAGCGTGTCTCCGTGGCCCACTTGCCCATCTGTTGCTGTTTGAACATTTCCCCCATTTCGTCACGCTTGATGGCCATGTAATATGGGTTGCGCCTACTGGGAGCGTATGTAAGATGTCCCTTCTCAAACCCTTTGTCGAAGTCGATAGTCCCGGCGTTGCCCCTTTGGAACGTCGAGATTACGGGAGACGGACCTTCACCGTTTTCCGCATTTTTGGCCCCAGTTTCGTTCTTAAAGATCTCGCCAACTGGGATCCTCGTTCGACGATTTTGCGGGTTTTCTTCGTCATCCTCAACTTCAATGTCGGAAGTTTCGGATTCTTCGGACTTTTTGATCCTTTCGATGCTCATATCATTTGATTCCTCCATCTTTGGGGTTGTTACTGTGGCTTGGAGTATGGCTACTAGTGACAGTGAGGAGGGAAAAAGGTGAATCTGAAGGAGGCTGTATGAGAGAGGCGTATACAGAGGAGGTTCATGTGTTCCAATTGTTTGGCTTGGGTCTTCTCCTCTATTGGTTATTTTACGTCTAGTAACTATTTTGGTGATAAAAATATAAGACTTGCATATTGTCGTATCAATATTCCCAAGTCGTTGGGTTACATCCAATATTTGTCAATAGTCTCCCAATAGTCTCGTTAGCCCCTCAACTGCAGTCTCGACCATAATACTCCCACATGACGACCACGCATTTGAACGCTGGGCCTTCCCACATCCAGAAAACACATTCCGCGGTAAGAATTCGATAGCCATGTCGTTATCGAACGTTACAGCGCCTCCTCGAGCCCCAGCCGTTTTGACAGCGGATGGCTTCGACCCGGAGACTTTTGACCCTCTAGTGCCACGAATAGTGCAACAAGCCACCACACGGTCGCCTATCCTTCTACCCTGGCAGCCCCGCATTATGCCACTGGGCATGTTCTTTCGGTCGAACTTGGCCGAAACCGCCCACAATCCATTCGCGCCAGAGACGGCGTTTAACCAAGAGTCTTTGGAATCAACTCGGATCATTTTCACGGCAAATGATGGCAGCTGCAGCTTTCGATCCTCCGAAGCCTTCAGCTCGTCATCTTCCATGGATCATTTGAGCGTTTCTTTGGGTGCAAGTGTTGATATGACTTGCCTTGAAGCCAGCGTGTCAATGCACTATGATAAAGACGTCATGGAGAACAAGGACTCAAACAAAGCTTCAGTCACAACAAGCTATCGTGCGGGATCCGTTGGATATGCGCGCTCTCCAGAGTTGTCAGAAAAGGCCTTCAAAATTTTAACCAGGCAGGGTATTGAGGGATTCAAGTCTGTTTATGGCGATTACTACGTGGGCGGATACCGCATTGGAGGAGATACGGCTGTCCTTTTCAGTACTGATCAAAGTTCCTATTCCAAGACGGAAAAGGAAACTGTGCAAATAAAGGTGGAAACATGGCTGGGTGACTACGATGAGAGCTGGTCCACAAGCTCGACACATTCATCCAGCTCTGCCGTTGTCCGTGTCAGTGCATTTTCAACACTTGAGCAGCTGATTGTTACGAAAACGGTCGAGACGGGGACCCCGGAGTTCCAGGCCGCTATTCGGCAGGGGAGGGCGATCCACAAGCGAGCGCAGGGGTTAGAGGATGGCGTGGCCAGGGTTCTAGATGAAGTTGGCGTGCGGCACGGAAAGATTGTCACGCCTAGGCAATGCACCCAACTTTGTCAAAGAGCTGTAGTTGTTGAACTTCAGCTGGTGCCTATTGAGTGCCTCCGCCAGGTTCGTTTTTGGACTTTGCTTTAGATTAGTGGATGCGCAAGGTAGGAGATGCAGATAGATGTCCGGAGCTGATCTCCATACCAATAAACGCCCGTTGATGGGGCCATGTCTGATACAATATTACTGTAATGATCGCTAGCGTTTGAAACTATTGATCTCATGTCTAAGCGATGTCTAAAACGGAAGCAGGACCATCTGTAGTAAGCTGAGGGACAAGTCAAGAAGGAAACTTTCTGTGGCCGAGAAGAATATCCAAAAGACGCAAGTCTCTCAGACAACTCAAGCAATATTCTTCAGCGAAAAGATCTTCGCCATCATGTCACTATTACTGGCGCCATACAACAATGGCATGCGCCTAGGCCAAGGGTATGAACCTGCCAATTAACACAATTAAGCTACGAGAAGACTGACTTTTGAACCAAGTTTCAATTCATACACGCAACAAATTTGCATTGATGACGCCGTGGTCATTGACCCAGACCGTGTTGACAATTCCGTCACCAACGATGGTTTCACAATGCGTGAGCTTCGGCATGCCATCGGCGCTCGAGCTGGTGGTGATGATTACGCCGACGAAGAAGAAGAAGAAGATGCGATAGACGCTCTTCCAGAACCAACTGCTCTACCAACAATTACAGCATCAGGAACAGAAGTAACAGCAGATGGGACAGGCAAGACTGCTGATGCCACTCCCGCCGCTACAAAGGCGCTTGACACTATCGCAATTCAACTGCGAGAGGACGCCAAAACAGTCGAGAAGCTTGTTTCAGACGTGGCCTCGCTAGAGACTTTGATTGAGGAAGCTGTCGACCCTTCTAGTGCCGAAACAAAGCGCAATATTCTTTTGCTTGAGAAGAAACGCATGCGTCTAGCACGTATCAAGACCAATGGCACTGGTCTCAAAGGCAAGAAGCTTCGGGGCACAGTCAAGGCGCTGTCACAACGAGGGCCAAGTCAAATTGTTACCTACAGCTCACGATTTGTTAACAAAATCAGGTAATTTACCTTCCATCCAAAGAGTATTGACATGTTACTGACGACCTTTATAGTGAGATTACAGATGACATGAATATCTCAGGGTCTTTGTCCATCAAGTACGGATCAATTGGCGGTGCAGGCAAAGGCTCGTTTGTGGACTCTGACAAGTTCAAAGAGAGTGACCTCAACTTCTTCATCAGCGTCAAGGTCATCAACCAGAGTATCAACATCAAAGATGCTCTTGTTTTTCAAGGTCTTCCTTCTGTGGACCAGTCAAACTTCCGAAGCGTCTTTGGAGATTGCTACATCGCTGGCTTCCTCGAAGGTGGCGAGTTCAACGCTCTGGTCAGCATGAAAGTGGTCAACAAGGCTAAGGCCATGAGCATCAAGGCTGAGTAAATACCCTATCTTCGTTTCGGAGTTTAGTATTGACTATAATCAGGGCCGAGGTGGCGTTGAGCGTCGGTGCTGTCGATCTGAAAGCAACGGCTAAAGTCGACATCGACAAGTCCAATTTCTCCTCCCAGACAGAAACTACAATTCAGGTCGGCTGGTCTGGTGGTGGCCATATCAAACCAAGTAAGTCTTTGCTATCACTATCGTACTTTTGAACGTCTTCTAACTTCTACCAGTGGACCAACCTTGGACAATCCAGTCTCTAATGGAGACAGCTGCCAGGTTTCCTGACCTTGTGGCCAGCACACCTCAGCGAACTTAGTATGAACCTCTGCAGACTATCAGACGAGAGAACTATCGTACTAATCCTAACCAGTGCCATATTGACAAAGTACGAGTCCCTTCGTAGCTTCATGGCTTTGAAGCCTCCAGCACTTACACCCATGTACTATGAAAATGCCTCGATTTATACCAATGCTCTACTCGATGCGTACATGGACTACAAGAATGTAAGCAACATCAGGATATCGTTTGAAGAACCATGTTGACCAAGCTCAAAGATCTACCGTAATATCGGCACTGAGCTATACGACATCCAAGCTGGCACGAAAAGAATAGAACCATGGGTTTCTAAGGAGGGCGAGCTAACATTCACCAAAAACACAGAAACCGGCGATAACAAGATCGAGCTACGCTTCGAGGCGACAATCAAAGGTCTTGACCTTGCTCGTCGTGCATGCCGTTTCCAGATGATCAAGATCGTCAACGAAGTTGATGCTGTGGAAAAGAACCCAGGGATAGCTGCCGAGGAGACAAGGCCCGAGGCATACCAGAGCACTATCGTTTTCCGTGAACGCATGCCTGTTGTCACCAACGTGGAAAAAATGCCCCATCTCAAAATCTTTGGCACTGAAGAACCTGCACCCAAGTTGATTGAATCAAAAGAGGGCGACGGTATACTGGAGCCCGAGTTGGACAAGGCGAACAGCTACAGGGAGACTCAACCCGATATAGGTGTATCGATGAGACTAGCTCCCATGGTAGGCTCGGCCTTTGGTGCCTTGTTCTGTAACTTGGACTTTGTCAAGGCCGACTTTAGTCTCAGGACAGTCACGGTCGAGGTTGAGAATGGAGTCGTTGTTGCCATCAGTGTTCGATATGCCAACGGTCTCCAGGCAACCGTGGGTACACCAGGAGGAAGTCACAAAGTCTCACTTACACTTAGGCCCTCCGAGGGCCAAAAAATCATCGCTTGCTCCATCGAGACGGGTCGACGAAAGGATAGCCCTGACGCTACGACACGCGTCACGGCACTTCGCTTGTACACCAATCGTGGTCCTGACCTAGAAGGTCATGCGAAGGATTGGGTTCAATCACAGAATGAAACAGGTTTGAGAGATGGTATTGAGTTTAAGGATCTCAAACTTGTTCATTTCGATCCTCTTCTCGTGAATGCTCACGTCAAGGGTTTCTGGGGCCATGCTCTGACAACCAATACTGGTATCAACTCCATCAGTGGCGTGTATCGTTTGGCACCAATCTGGGGTAATAAGGAGGTAAGTCGTCAATGGTGACGTCTCACACAATTACTGATTTCTGTCCTCTTAGGATACTTCCCAAACAGGTGATTCCTCGATGGAAGCTGACATGTCACTCGTTCGTACCCAACCCGAACAGCATCTGATCAATTGTCGTGAACGCCTTGGCTGGAAAGACTATGTTGCTGGACGCAGTGCAGTGCTCGAACAATCCTTCTATAAGCCTCTTCCTCTTATACCTACAGTCATTTATGGCTTCCGTCACATTGACGTCGCACATACTGACTCCCCTCGTGTTGCTCTCACTCTGCCATCGGTCACAGAATGGGGATTCTCACTGGGTCTCAAATCCTTCCTCCACAACACCTGGAATCTGGAAGCGAATGTCATGGTCCTCCCAAATGGAGTTTTCCCCTTCCAGCATGGTTTCGTAGATGCAAGTGATAATCCAGGTGGTCGCAAAGCAACGGAGAATGCGTCGATTCATGTCACGTTCGCCAAACCTTTTGCCAAGACACCAAAAGTGGCCGTATGGTTTACAGAGATACATCAACCCAAGGGTCATCGCAGTCTCAAGACATACGTTGCTGAAGTTAGTAATACAGGTTTGCGGATCAATATTGAGACATGGGCTGGACGCGAGTTCGACAACGCTCGTGTAGCATACCTGGCGTATCCAGATGGAAGCGATTACATCAAGGGAGGAAGTTCTGACTTTGTACCCAAAGAGGACTGGAGAGAGACAGAATGGCCTGGCGGACCATTCAAGAAGGAGCCCAACGTTTTTACTGCCATCAATTACATTGATATTGGATTGAGTGAGAGCACGCTTGACATTCTGGTCACGCACCAGACTGCTTCTAGTACAGGTTTGAGACATTGTGGTTGGGGGTCTCCTGGGACAGCTCTTGTGATGATAGGTATGTGTTGGATCGGTATCTCTTGCTAGTAGTAGAAATAATACTAGTGCATGTTGCTTGTTATCTCGTTATGTAGTCTTCTCTCATTTCAAATTATGTACCTACAAAATCTAGCGCCTCGCGGAATCATGAGATCAGAATTGGATGCCGAGTGCCATCGGCCCGCCCCTAGGCCTTACTGCAGGGAGACAAGAGGAAGCCCTATAGTAGGCTCGGGGACATGGGACACAGCCCGTGTCTTGGACTACGTATCTGAATCCCGTGTCTCGGAGCTTATAGAATACATTCTATCCTTGCATTCCACTAACATGCCGTGTCTATGATCAAACCAGCACAACCAATATCGGCGAGTGAGTAAGAAACAGATGATATGAGCTGAGATTGCTACAACTGCAACTACCGGGGCTAGTCTGACAGGTAACGTCACTATGTCTCAGGCTACTAATAGCAAAGTAGAAGTTGATGCTCTCAACACAGCTGAAGCTATTTCTTGTACAATTGATAAAATGGCAACCGAAGACAGTACATATCATTACAAATGGTAGTACTGATAATAATGACCCTGTCCTGTTCGAGTCGGCAATGTAGGCACCTATCTTTCAACTACACATGATTCTGCCTTAAGTAACACAACATCGTTGCAACGGTAGGAATCTGACATCAAGGAATACCCCGCTTCAGCCGCTCACTTTTGTCTCGAATGGTATCAAGACACTCACTGCAGCCTTCATATCATCGGTCTCGGAGTTTACCCTGACTACTCCGGAGAGGTCTATGCTATCAGTGAAACAAGACATGCAACGACATCATTTGGCTTCTGTATATCCACCCAATGTTCGTAAACTGCTCCATTAACCTGGTGTTCTAAAGATCTGATTGGGCTTCAAGTGTCTTTCTTTCAAGTCCCGACAAATACCTTTAGTCTCAGCCGCAGTTGTCACCCTTGGAAGTGGCTGGCTGATAATCCCAGAATGGACGTAATCTTCACGATAGGCAATACACTTACCAACACATTCGTCGGGTTATACAGTTGCGTAATGTAATTTGTATCACCGCATGTGTTACCTCGAACAGTCGGCAGTTGTTTCTCAGTCTGTCTTGATACACCAAGATCTATATAATTTGTCCTCGATCCCCCGTTATCTTTTTCTTAACTATCATCTCTCCATAACACATCCCTTCTATTGCCATCTCATTGTAAAACCCATTTTGATTACTACCATCTCCCGTCCTACAAGATGGATCACTTGCTCCACCTTGACACAGACGTCGTCTGTCTCTTGGCCAAACTCGATTCCTATGACTACATCATTGTAGGAAGTGGGTTTGGTGGAGGCCCATTGGCTGAAGACCTTGCTTCCAAGAAGAAAAAGGTACTTCTCATTGAACGTGGAGGTGTCATATTCTCTACCCACGTTCTCAACACTTCTCGTCCCTATTACAATCGTGGCGCCAGCAACTCGCCAGAGGGCAATGAGCGTGTCTACGACGCCGTCAAAGCCAAGGTTCAGCTGACTGATCAATCCGACAGCTATGTCGGTGGACCAGTCTATTGTATTGGCGGCCGCACCAACCTCTGGGGCACATGGGTTCCAGAGATCGGCGACGAGACTCTCAATGCTTACTTTCCTACCGAGATTGTTCAACATCTCAAGGGCGGAGGTTACAAAGAGAGTTATCAATATTTGACAGACGATGATCCTAGGGATGGTATCTATCCCGAGGGCGATGGTGCTCATGAAGTCAGCACTGAAGACATCGGTCTTGCCACTCAGATGCTCAACAAGGCTTTGACAGGGGCACAGTTTGGCATCATGCCTATTGCGGCGCAGTTCAACTCCCCCGCGCCGTACAAGTTTGCCCAAGGTGCTTATAGCACCACATTATCGATCATGAATCGAATGTATGCCAATGATCCTTATCTGTCCGTTCTCGTCAACACAGAGGTCATTGCTGTCCAGTACAAGGACACTGATACTAAGTAAGTCTCCATCCCGTAACAAGTCCAGGGATGAACGACTGCTGATATTTCGGTCTAGCGATAAGACAGTTACTGCGCTCCAGATCAGAGACAAGGCGACTGGTACTATCAAAGAGCTTGGTATCGGAAAGGCCAAGGTGGTGCTAGCTGCTGGAACTATTGGTACTGCATCCATCGCCTTGAACAGTGGCTTGCAGAACTTGAATGAGAAAGTAGGCAAGGGTCTCATTGACCACAATGTCTGCTACGCACGTTTCGCCAAAGAAAAGGACGGTGGCATCACTCGTAAACCGCTTAATTTAAAGACCCATCTCAAGGTCGGTGGAGAAGAGTGTCTTGTCACAGTCACCATCAACGCCAACTTCTTCCTTGCTGGAAGTTCTGCAAGTATCAACACGACTCACTTTTACGACAGAAAGGGCAATCTCCTGGGACCAAAGTCTCCTGCTAAAGAGCAGCAGAACTTTGACACGATTTGTGTTCTGTTCGAGTTCGTTGGACAACTTGCAGAAGGGAACTCTGTACTCAGTATTCCTGGTATGGATCCAGTGCTTGACATCAGACGTGATGCTCTCAAGCATGAAGTTCAATGCGCCATGGAAGAAATTGTGCGTAATGTGCGAGATGCGTTTGTTGACGCCCAGCCCTTCACATCGCCTACATCTGGCGGGGAACTCTGTCCCGACCCCGGACTGCGTCCGCAGCATTTGGGATTCGGTGTGTTTTCGCACGAGTGCGGAACTATGCGCATGGATGGCCCGACTAAGAAGGATGGTGTGGTCGACTCTGATCTGAAGGTCAAGGGACTTGATAACCTTTGGGTGTGCGATCTTTCGGTCATGCCTGTTAGTCCAGAGGCCAACCCATCTCTGACTCTTGCAGCACTCTCATTGAGACTTGCTGAGCATTTGAGCCCTACCCCTCAGTAGGCAACTACAAACTGAAAATATTTTTTTCTTTGTTTCATTTACTATCTAGTCAAGACTGTTTATGTTAGGTAGTTATAATGATACGTACAGCTACCAAGGCTGTTGAAGAATGTGCTCCAAGAACGACCTTTTCTCGGTCATTGAGCGTATCTATCTTACCCTCATGGTGTCAGATAAATTGACCACCAGAAGCAAAGGGACAAAATTGGTGGGCCAGTTTATGTCAGATCATACTTCTTTGGCTGTTTATTTTTGTACCCCCAAGATCAAGGAGCCCAAACTTTATTCCCTCGCTTGCTTGCCTTGCACCGAGTTTCGGTTGGGGAAGCTGAATAATTGAAGCCGTTACTGTAATGACAGGATTCGCATCCATGTTGTGTTGGTCTGTCTGACCCTTGTTGGTTGGTTGGTTGGTTGGTTGGTTGTCCTACAGGTTGAAATGTGATACATGTCAGCAATTGATTGGAATGTGCAATCAACCCCTCCTATTTATTTGCTTCAGCGTAGTTTCTACGGGGGATGGTGATTTTATAACTAATGCAGTTGTCGCACAGAGATATACCATCATTACTACTAACACAAGGAGTAGTAGCCGTTTATGAGTAACTCTACAGAGTATACCTGTAAACTTGACTTATTTTTGCCCTTAGGATGTTCCTGTCAGGTAAGCATCTAATTATAATTATCCGTGTTGGTCCCTCCCTGTGCCGCTATTTTATTACCCGCCAACCCCTGCTAGCACAGATTAAAAGGGCGCCATGGTCAAACATCCAGGGCTCTGATCTTTCTCTGTCTTCTCTTCCCTTCTCTTCATCAATTCCCTCCTTCCAAAACATCAAATCCATCATGGGAAACTTCTTCTCTCGTCCAGGCCGGGAGTCGGACGCTCTACCCCCAGGTGCCTTTTCCGCTGGCAACATCTCATCTCTCGACAGCTCGTCAATTACTCCATATCTAGGCATCAACACAGGATCGTACGAGGACCCTTACCCGCCCATACCGTTCGAGTGGATCGTTTCGCCTAGCAATGTTAACGACGGATCTTGTCCCAATGGGTCTCAGATACTAACGTGGTTCGGTGTCACGGATGTTATCATCACTCTTTTGGTGATTTTATGTGCGTACCGGCCTTTTGTACACTGGATTGCTCGCGGAAAGCTAGGGAACCGTCGCAAGAACCGCCTGGCTCTCACATGGACCATAACGTTTGCTTGTCAGCTCACGGCCAGCGCTATCGTCGCTGGTATCATCGGGAATACATCAGGTTACGAGTCTTTGAACATGCTTCACATCTTCACTGTTGCCATGTCACGACCCCGATTCTATCCCATCGTTCTCGGATTATTGCGCTGTGTTGTCACCTCCCAACGCACGAGGGACTGGGATAAAACAACGATAATTAAACGAAGCGTCGACGACCGTGTCGAGTTCACCTACACAGACGCCTGGATCACAACAAGCTTTTCCGAGTTGCTATTACTCCTCATATCCGCCGTATTCACTGGTGTCACATGGCATCGCCTGCCTTCAGACAGCAAATCCCGCGAGTATGCCTCGGACCACGTGAGCTTCGTATCGAGTACCCCAGGAATCATGTTCCTTTGCATGCTTGCTTTCCTGCCGATCTACAAACGCTATGGTGAAGCATACCCAATTGAAGGACGACGGTACGAAACTGGGAGGTACTGGGGCGTGACAATAAGCAACGATGGCAGGACGAGAATCGGCGTCAAGAAGGACAACAAGAAGACTGCAGTCAAGAGAGGAGCTAACGCGTTGTGCGCGGTGCTTCTCTTGGCGTACGTCGCATTGGTGCAGTGGGCGTATTGGACGAGGCTTCTTGAGATGTCAGGGGTGCTGTGAGTGTTACTTCGCGTTGGTGATTGGGGTTCATGTAAGCTAACTTCGAGTTATAGATTCTGTCCCCCGAAGATGATCGAGTCTGGGGTCGTGTGGGTGGTGTTCACGGCGGTCGGTAAGTGACCCGAGACATATAGCTCGCCTCCAGTCATCTTGGAATTGAACAACTAACAAAATACTAGGGTTATTGGCTGGAGCTGCTTCATAACTGCACTCTTTTCTTACTAAACCATCTTTGATCAAGTCGTACAATAGTTTGTCATCCTAGCTTTCCCTCGAAATTAATGCGCGCTGAAAGATTTGCCGGTTATTTATACCTCTGGTAGCATAGGATTTCCTGAGTGTCACCTTGGAGCACGTTGGCATATACAGCATCGTACTGAGGAGGAACGTGGTATTAGAGATGCTATCCCCGAGAGGAACCTGGTTGACACGTCTATCAGTAGTATCGTTGTCGGCTGTGGTGTAACAAACGTCCCTCAATGGACCATGTTCACTATGGGTACTGGGGAAAATCTATCTTGTAACTACCATGCCAAATACGAGGTCATTGTCGAGATCATAATTCCCAAAAAGGTACGAGTGACCCTGTACTAAAGTCTTGAAGAAGTATCTAGCTGCATCGCGGAGAACGTACAGCAGAGGTATACTGGTGATCAGTTTAGGTTAGCTTTTGGTTAAACAAGTCGAGGGGCCGGGACATTACAGGGATTGAATCGATGGAATCAACCCACAACAGATAGTCCCATTGGGTTCCAGAATGGCATTAGTCGGTGAATGATAAACAATCCTCTCTAGCTGATGTGAAGAATATTCAGTCATCTGCATTTTTTCGTTGTTGGTTATGTCGTTCAGAACCAACCAACAGAGAGTATCTTGGCACTAATGATCATTGGGTGGAACCAGGGATTTAAAATGAGGTCTCTCCACTGTTCGGAAATGCGGTCGAAAGTTTAGGCAGATGCTCAAGGGTCAAGCGAATCCTTATCTATTTAAGCAGAGAGCACCCTTTGCACAGCACAACCAAACACGATATACCTTCCATGCATTCTTCACTTCCTACCTCAAGGAAGATATCTCTGTCAAGATGAGGATAAAATTCATCATTATTTACTACCTTCGCTATGCATGGGAACTTGCGAAGACCTTTTTACGCTCCATCAAACTCCTTTTCACCAGTTTGCTGCCATTCACAGGACTTACCATCATCCTCTCAATCATCCAGGGCCTGATCCTTGGTCCATGGTATCATGGCACAGAAGTGGATCAACTACACTTTCTCATGAAGGACATGGTAAATGTCCAGACAGGCGAATGGCTCAAAATGCCTGGCGGCCAAAATCCACTGTATTACTCACGGGCACCATATTACATCCCGCAGCTGCAGAATCCCTTGAAGTGGACAAAAGATATAGGGATCAGCAGGCCCGTTGGCTGGCACACTGAAAATGCCGGGAGATTGACTGAATTCCGAAACTTGTACCGCGCCCGAAGACGATACTCGGATGACCCAAGTTGGCATCACTGGATCTATCTCTCCGAGAACAAGCAGCCTTTGAACGAATCATGGAATGAAGATCCTTGGGATAAAGCGTTTCAAGAGTTGTTGGAGCATAGAGATAAGCATGAACCATTAGGCCGTGCCAATTTCAACTATCTCACTTGTCGACACAGCTTCCTATGTGCGTTCTGGTACATCTCAGGCCCAGCATTGGTCCACTTTACCAACGAGCCTGTGAACCAGAGTCTGACGGATAGACCATCTCGCAAGCGAATTCTTGATCCTGTTTCGGTCCGAGTTTTCGAGCTTCCTCTCAAGGAATCAGTCATTCCTGATGCATTTCCTACCCGTTTCGAGCAAATGCGATCCATCACAGCAAGCAACTCAACCTACTGGACGACAAGGACGGCGTATTCCAACTTTGAGCAAGTTAGCGGCCAAGCTCGCAAGGTGCTCAAGGGGTACGAGGAGAAATATCCTCTGACATACGGCATGCTGGCCAAAGCAGAGCACAAGTTGATAAGACTCATCGGAGCCGATGACACAATTATCCACCTCGTTCCACAACTTGTCTCGTTCCTCGCTGCAGCTGTTCCTAGTCGATCTGGTTCACGCATGTGGAGGGAAGTACAGCTCTGGTGGAGGAAGAGACAGTATGAGAAGTCCACGAAAGGGAATGTTCAGCGTGAAACTGATAAAGCGGCAAATGACCCTGTGGCGTACCAGCTCCAGTATATTTTGGATAGTATGACAGATGAGGATAAGGAAAAGTTCGGAAAGACATATAGAGGAGAAGTTCTATTAGAAAGACTAAAAAGTGGTTTGGACAAGAAAGACTGGGATGGCAGGGAGGATATCATAAAGCAACTTGAGGATGCTTTTGTTCCTTGAACGAGTTGTTTGTCATAACGTCAGGTCCAGAAGACTTTCAGTAAGAGACGAGTGTTTGGGGTAATAATAACGCAGACGAATTTAATGAGATAACAATGAAGCAACCCATTCCTTTCTAGTCCCCAATAACGTATGGCTTGTCATCCTTGAAAATTAACCCAGGTTTTCTCTCAGCCAAATCAAGCACCATCTCGGCAAAATAACTATTTGCCCATGCGAACCAGGGTCTCGTAAAAACAGTCGAGTTATAAATATTGACACTCTCGTGGATCAATCCAAGTCCTGACGTGTTCTCCAAAATGATGTTCAGTCGCTCTGTAATCTCATCGTCGTCATCTGTGCCGTAAATAGCTGATACGTGAGCCATGGGCCATGGATTTGTAGCGTTCGCATGAGGACCACCAATGCCGCGGAATGTCTCTCCGACTGCGTAGTATGGGTTTGCCCGGGAGAATAGAAGAGACTTTGTCTTTTGGTAAGTTTTGTCGGATCGGTCGAGAAAGCCGAGGTAGGGTAGTGATACAAGGCTGGGAACGTTTGCGTCGTCCATAATATACTGTCCACCATAACCGTTTGTCTCGTAGGCGAAGATACCGTTTGAAGTGAGAGTATAGTTCCATACAGCTTGGCGAATTGTTTTGGCATGGCTTCGAAGAGTCTTTGGGAGTTTCTTCTGACTTCCCACTTTGTCTAGTACATCAGCTACATAGTCGAGTTCAACCGACATCATGGCGTTGTCGGAGGTAATGTAGTTGAAAACACTGAGATCATCAGATGGTCGATGACTACAAGCGACGAGGCCGTTGGCTAGTTTCGGTTCACCGTTGCCGCTGTTGGGCACTGGTGGGGAGAGTGATCCTGCATTGCCGGTCCAGTTGTAGTAGCTGACATACGACCAGTCTTCGGCCCATGTACTCTGGGATTGTTCGTCGATAACGCGAAGGATTTGGGTAATGGCAGATTTGACTTCTGAAATTATTTTACGATGAAACTGATGTCGAAATTGCGCTACTTACAGTTATCGTTGATGAAAGACGCATCTTTGGTGTTGTTGTAGTAAGATCGCGCAATTTTGAGGAAGCCGGCCAGAGAGTCGAGTTCATACTGAATATCCGTTAGTGATGAGGTTTTGGTAGTTTTTGGATACCCACTTTGCACTCAAAGACGGTTTGGTTGTCGACGGGTCTAGAAATTTCACATAGTCAGCCTTATAGTATGAGAAATACTTGGATTGAACATACGGATTCACGGTAACGAGCTCGGCATAGTCCTGAGCAATCGATTAGTCTCTGCAAACAAATTTAGGCATGATTTCAACGTACGTTGACTGAAGGACTCAATCCACTTTCGGGAGGAGGCTGAAACGCGCCTATCGCAAGTCAGCTTCAACATTTGACAGATTCAACGTCGCCATCATACCGCAGTAAGGATACTCAGAGATGTATCTCGCTTCAGTGTTGATGATAGCCTTGACGAGATCCTTCAAGTTCCCATCTTGAGGGAGTAGCTTGTACAGATGAGCAAACTGGTTGCCAGTGTCGCGTAACCATTGTGCGCTAGACTCCATTAGCTGATGTTTCCAGCCACGGAATTCACTTCGCATACGTGATGTCCTAAAGAATTGTCAGTTAATATCCCAGATATGTAGACGTGGAAACATACACCAGTAACGATAAACGCCAGGTTTTCCTTGGCGTCAAAGTACTTGACCGTCGTATCAAGCGTCGATGGAAAAGCATTCTCAAAAAGACGTGCGAGATCGGGATTTTTGATACGCTTCTTCATGTCGTTTATGACTTTCTGCAGCAAGGTCAGTGAGTGGTCTTCTCACCCTCATATCATGCGAATATCCGTACCTCGACAGCAGGGCTCTTGAAAGTCCTGCATTCTTCGCTAGGTCTCATAAACGGCAACTTGAGCTTCCCTGAAGACAAAGGCTCATGAGGTTTTTGTGAGTAGTCGACATAATCCGGACATGAACTCGGTGTACGATTCTGAGGCTGATAATCCTTCCAGTTCGCCGCATCGACGCCTTGCAGTGCAAGAGCGCCGAGAAGAAGTTGTCGCGCGTACGAGTACATCATCTTGTCAAACGAAGTTCTCACGAGATCTTTAGGTCAGTGTCCTGGGAAAAGAGATCAATGTTTTATTTACTTTGCTACTTGGCGATGTTGGATCTTATAGTTACCGACAAACCCGTAAAAATTGCCGATCCTACACATCTTGAGCTTAAAATGCGGGGGAAATTGTCGATGTGAGATGACGATCGACCTTGTTTCTATGTAACGTTGAGATAGAATTCAAGGTCATGATTAATTGAGGTGACGTAGTACAGTGGAGGTTAGACTTTGGGGTTGACGAGGGTATCATGATTGGTGCGCGTATGAATCTGGGCATGATATTGTATCATTCTGGGCATGATATTGTATCATTCTGGTTTGTTATTCAATATAGTATCCTGGAACAATCAATCAACTACTTGGACATTGAGTCTAGCTTCAATGTAATTATTAAATGATAGAAATCTAAACATGAGAAAGAAGTGATGGTTTATTATTGTAACTATGAAAGTGGATACTTCGGGGACTGAATTATACCGACCTCGGCAGAGTTGAGGGGTTCTTGGGCCCCGGCTCTATATCTCATGACCGACCAACTCGCACTTCTCACCGGCAAACATCACGATAGCTTCATTAACATCAACACCAAAAATTGACTTTTTCACTTCCTCAACACAATCTGAACATACTTTGGACTTACAATCATGGCCGACTTCACCGGATATGGCAATGCCACTGCAGAATGGCTTGCAGTCACAGACAGCAGGCCACCCATGGATCCCTCTCTCAGCCTCAAGGAAATGCAGCGCATCACCAATATGCACCGAGAAAACCTCGCAAAGAACGAACTTGAGAAGCTGGGAAACCCAGAGATCCACATGAAAGATTATACTGTCACTGCACGGGATGGATTTGCTCTGGAGGTACGAACTTATAAACCACCTATAGCCGACAAGGACGCCCGTCTTCCGATCTACATCCACCTCCACGGTGGTGGCTATGTATTTGGAAACATTCCTTCAGAAGACGCTATTTGTACCGCCATTGCTCTTGGAGCCAACGTTACCGTCGTGAACCTGAACTACCGCCATGCGCCGGACTTTGCCTTCCCAACAGCGTGGGACGACACCGAAGACACTTTCCACTGGGTTCACGACAACATTGATGAACTCCTCGGCAACCCAAGCCAAGTCTTAGTTGGCGGCATCTCCGCCGGTGCCCAACTCTCAGCTGCCTTGACACTGCGACAAAATATGTCGTCCGATGGCCTTTCACGACCTAAGCTTGCCGGCCAGGTGTTGATGATCCCTGCCCTAATTCACCCGGATTCCTACGCGCCCGTTCTCGAACAGCTCAAAGACCCTTCACTATCATCATATGTCCAGAATGCGGATGCTCCACTCCTCAACAAGGCGGCGGTGGACAAGTTTACCAGCCTGCTAAAAGTTTCGAATCCAGATCTCAAGGATAGACGATTAAACATTGGACACGCAACTGCCGACGAAGTTAAAGGCATGCCGCCTACGACGCTTGGAATTTCTGGTTTGGATTGTTTCAGAGATGAGGCTCTTTTCTATGGCAAGAAGCTTGTTGAGGCAGGGTAAGACGCCCTTTTCCTGATCAATGATGTCCGCTAACAGCAGTTTTAGAGTACCTACCGATATCCATGTCTTCAAAGGTCTTCCTCATGGATTCCGTCGTTTTGGAGATCAGTTGTCTGAGAGCAAGAGATGGGACAAGGTCATGGAAAATGGAATCAAGTGGGCTCTTTCAAACCCAGAGTCAACTGGAAAGTTTGAGATTAAGCTAGAGTAGACAGGCAATAGATATACAGCTAAAATTTCAGTGTCATTATCGGCTAGGCATTGATCTAGAAGGAATCTGTGCTAATGATCGTCAATCACTTTCGTGAAAGACCCAAGTGACATCTTCCCAACCCTCTCGTCTCTTCAACTCAAATCCCTTATCCATGCTTCCCCAATCCGGCATCTTCCCACCTATACCTACCCCAGCATACTTGGACATTGGCAACTTCAGCCCTTCAACTTCAAAGCCCAAAGAGACAACACCCACCAATCCCAATAGCTCGGTGTATGCAAACTTCCTTCCAGGGCAAAGATGCTTTCCACCTCCGAAAGACAGTAAAGCACCTCTTCTTTTCTTCTCATCCTGCGCCGTCACGTCCATGAATCTTTCGGGTCTGAAAATCTCGGCGTCTTGACCCCAGATCTCGGTGTTAAAGTGCGTAACTGGTGGTGGCCATTGAACGTTGACGCCTTGCTTGAGGAGATACGCTCGACCTTGAGTATCTTGGATCTCGGTATCTTGCATGACGCGTCTGTTGCCGATGGAATGTGAATAATGTCTCAGAGTCTCTTGATAACACGCGTTCAAAAACGGACAGGATTTCTCTAGTAACCTCGTATCAAATGTTGCTTTTCGTCCTTCTGGTGTGTCTGTAACAATAGTAATCGCTTTGATCTCTTCGCGAACACGATGTTTGTACTCAGGGTTGCTGAGGACGTGCACAAACAGCCAGAACAGCACAGGCGCCGTGTTTGTCACTCCGACCCAAAGAATCATCAGTTCCATATGCGCTAGGTCATCATCTGTAAAGTTTGTTTCGCGAAGATATGGGACTCTTTGTTTGATGATTTCCGAAACACCTTTCTCGTTCTCGCTTCCGCTTTTGTAGTATGAGAGTAGGAGATCGTTCATTTTGAGTCTTGCGTTGATAGCAGCCTTGGTCATGAAACTTGGTAGGCCAGCTGCTACCAACATCGCTTGCTTATCGTATTCCCTACCATTGTCAATGATTGCCGGTTCGATATTTTTCGAGAGGACTCACCAAACCAAGTGCATCTTATCTACCGTGATAGGATTCTTCCACCCGAACACAGCCGTGGCAGATGCATCAGTGAGCATATCACGAAGCCAGATATACGTATCATCCACGCTGTGCAATTCTCCTGGTTTGATCCGATTTAGATAAGTCATGAACCTCGACAACGAGTTAACATTCAGCTTGTGCAAACTTTCCCCGCCCAGCGTAGAATGAATGATCTGCATTCCTCCCTTGAGATTTGCCTCAACCGAGATAGAAGCCATCGCGTTATCGCTAAGACCCCACATCGCTTTCGAGGATTCAAGGATGAACGGGGTGAATGATATGTCGTTGTTTCGCAAGGCCGATTGGATCAGGTCTGGGGCATTGATGACGTAGAGTTTGCCGTTTAGAATTGGGAGAGTTGCGATAGGCTCTCTGCGCTCTTTGCTGTTGGATGTTAGTGTATTATAACTAAAGGTCTCAGGCAGGAGACGTACAAGACATTCACGTAGAGGTTGCTTCCGTCGTGTAGCATTGAAATAAGATGTCCTATGAAGGGCACCCGTGGTTTGATTATCGGAGGTTCATTTTCGTCGACACTCGGTAACGCAAAGCGGCTCAGAACAAGCAGCAGAGCCGACAATGCCACTACAAGCCAGGTGTTCGACAAGTAGGGGTTGTCGAAAATCATTGTAGACTTCGGACCTGACTTTGATAAGAAAGGCCACGAAAGACAGAACGGAGTTCATTGACGTGGGGTTCTGGTATTTAAAGAGCTGGAGTGTCTCTCGCATCGTGGCTGAATCACTAGTAATGTCAAAGGCGGCTCTAACAGGTTTAATTGGGACGTGATTGGCTGTCTCGCAAGCCACGGGTGGCCGAAGGAGCAGATAAACACGCTTAAATCTCACTCTTGGGTGAACTAGTCAGAATCTATACTAGTTTTGAGTACATACCAGCTTTTCCTACTGATGCAAATGTAAATTGTAAGCAACGTTGGTTACGCGGTTGAGTGTCTTTATGTATGGTAAGTACCTAGATTCAAGAAAGCTGTACGAAGTTTCTGATTGTTCATATTAGATGCGGCTGAAGTTGCAAGGTACGATTTATTTCTTTTGGCGTGGTCCTAGATAAGACCGCAACCTAGCTAATAGTTGACTGCGTTTGTCAAGTAAATTTGGTTCGCAATCCGGTACCTGACTAAACTAGTATTGGGCTTCCTTATCCGAACTTAGGACAAATTCATGTTGTTGAGGTTATACCGTAGGTCAGCCGATAGAAAGTGGATGATACCATTGACACAGGGCCGTAAGTCAGAAACTGTCCATCGACATTCTCCAAAACACTTGGCATCCAACTGCCTAATCACAAGTCAAAATGTCCAAAGTATCCATTTCTAGCGCTGCCATAGCCGGTGTTAGTCAACAGCTCGTTCCAAAATGCCCAGCTGACTTGTCCCCGGGGCACCGTACGTCCCGGTCCATGAACCGTAAAGCATTTGTTGCAGAACGGCTTCAAAGTCCGCGTGCTGACGCATGACCCCTCATCAGCAAAGCTTCCCAATGAAGTCCAAATCATCAAAACAGATTACACATCGGCCGAGACTCTTACTCCAAGTCTGACAGGTCGCCTCTTTTCACCCCCCCCCCAAAAAAAAAATCGCCAATCACTCGGTGTGATACCTAGCATATTAGACTGACCCAAGAACTAGGCAATCATCTCGCTACCAAACAAAAGCCCAGCAACGTAAGGCTATCTTAATTGAGCTCTTTGCAGGTGACCCAGGTTAGGCCAAGTATAAACGTCATTATATCACGCTGTTTCCTTCCTGGATGAAGAAGTTCCGTGCGACTGCTGCATGTTTCCTATACTAAGCTAAATACTCCATGGGAAGAAATCCTGAGAATGCTCAGCTCAGCCTTGGCAGAGCAGATTAGGAAACATTGTGCACTCGCAAATCTCACGTTGATTTCCCCATCATCAAGGCAGAGATTCTAGCTCAGCTCGGGGCTCAGGCCAATTAGGTAGCTCAATTGTAGGGCAGTGCATTTCTCGGCTCATACAAAATTCGTCAAAATGAGCCATTGAGAGCATCGCACGATCGGGGCGCAGGAAGGCTAAGAAGTTATAACCAAGACAAGACCCATTGTGCGCTAACTAGCCCTCTTTTGGACAGATTGGGCGCTGAGGTCACATCAATTTCTTGATGTCAGTGGCACACTAAACCCATTATAGTGCAAACGGACCGCTCTCAACCTTATAGCGAGAATGATGCTAATGACAATCCATTAGCTATATAATGGAAACGAGCTTTATATAAGACTTCATAGAGAACTACTAAAACGTCAAAAAATATTCGATCAATATCGATATTATCAATTGACCTTTACAATGCGTTCTCATTCATACTTGGTCAGCGCGGTCCTACTCGCCAGCTCTGTTACAGCGAACGTCCTTCTTTCCAACGACGTTCCGTTAATTGGGCCCTCTTTTCTTCCCAACGTCGACTTTTCCAAATCGGAATTCATTAGCCACGCAAAGAAGAAATTCCCTTTAGTGATCGATGAACTTTTCGATACCAAGGTCTTGAACAAGACAGATCTTATCTTCGCTGTCGATGTCTTCTCAGCTTCAGCAAACGATTCCCTCTATAGCTACTTCCATGTCGGCGAGACAAACAAGAAGACTCTCACAAAGGGAAAGCTATCTGAAAATACCATCTTCAGGGCTGGAAGTGTTACCAAGATGTTCACTGTCTACGCTATTATCGCCAAGGCTGGCATTGAAGCATTGAGCTATCCTGTTTCTATTTTCCTGCCTGAGCTTCTGCACAACTCTTCTACCAACCCTCTTGAGAGAATTGATTGGAGCGAAATTACAGTTGGTGCTCTAGCCGCCCAACAAGCTGGCACCAGCGGTCCCGTCGGTCAGTTACCAAGTCTCCCTTCAACGCCGCCCATACTCACTCGTTGTATAGATTACCTGAATTATGCACATAAGATGAACTTCACTGGAGGTGAACGTGAGCGTAAGCTAAATCAACTCATTGATTGAACATAGCATAGACTAACAAAGACTAGCATTTCTAAAATGGATGCGCGATACCCAGGTCCCAACCATGGGCCCATGGCGAAGCCCTCTGTACTCCGATGCCGGATACGGTGTTCTTACCCTAATCCTCGAGCGTCTCACTGGCCAAGAGTACAAGGATGCCGTGAAGGACATTCTTTTCAAGCCTCTTGGAATGGACTATTCTTCTACAACTGTTCCAACTGGCAAGAATATCGATGCTGTGGCCCGGACTGGTAAACTAGCGCTCTCATGGGGAGTAGATGTTCCCATCTTTGCTGGTTCTGGTGGAATCTACACATCTGCCAAGGATCTTCGAATCGCTGGTCTTTCTATCCTTAACTCTGAACTGCTTTCACCCCGAGTTACTCGAGAATGGATGAAGCCTCACGGCAGCACCGGTACACTCGTCGAACTCGTCGGTGCACCCTGGGAAATCACTCGTCTGACTCTTCCTACTGGCTCCGGCTCCAACCGCACTCGTGTCTCTGACCTATACATCAAGGCTGGTGGCAATGGTGATTACACCTGTATCGTCGGGCTCTCACCAGACCACGGCATTGGCTTTTCTTTGCTCGTTGCCGGTGACCTTCCCAATGCCACTCCCGGCCGCTGGCCAATCCGCGATGCCGTCGCCACGACATTCCTCCCGGCTGCCGAGTACGCCGCTGCCGAGAATGCCGAGAAGAATCTTGCTGGTACTTTTGTCGTCGAAGGCAATGAGACAACCAACATTACACTCGCTGTTAACAAGAACGAGCCCGGCCTGAACATTACATCTTTCTGGGTCGAGGGTAAAAATGCACTTGCCGGCATCGGTTCTTCTCGCCTGTACCCAATGGGTCTCTACTCCACCTCGCGCTCTCTGGCTGCCCAGTACAACACCAAGGGCAAGTATTCGGTCGCTTTCCGTCAGGTTTCTACAAGCGCAGCCCTGCCATCTGATCGTGCTGGCGTGGAGGGTGGAAAGGGAGGTCTTTTCGACCACAGCTTTGCCTGGATGAATGTTGGAAGCGACGGTGTGACTGATGAGTTTGTGTTCCATATTGAAGATACAAAACTGGCTAGTATCACGGGTCTCGGGCAACTGGAACTGGTTAGAAGTGATTAGAGCTAGCGTTTATGAGGAAGCCTGGCAATGTCGAGCATAGTGGGAGGTATGAAAGTTGGGGTTTCCTTGGAAGGATTGTATCTCATAGTTCGAGATTCTTTTTCGTCATCTATTTGCAGCTCATGGTACGTGTCCATGTATATCAAGAACATTTTTTTCGCCATATATTGTTTCAATTAGAGCATCCCGGTTCTGAACGTGTAATAGGTAGTGGTTATAATTCCTGTGTGGTTAAATGAAGGGCGGATAGTCCGCATATAAACCAATAGCATATTGTATTAGACTCATAGCGCTCAAGGTACTAGGAAAATCAGGGGCTGGGAATGTAAGAGACAAAATTAGTAGGTCACCTTATCCCATTTGGTTTGGTTTCTCAGGCTGGTTATTTTTGAACTCTTAAGCTCAGAAACTATCCTGTCTGCTACACACTAGGCAACGTGGACTTCTATTGCTCCGGTTCGTACTGTAGCTAATTACCATGAAGCACTAGCTGGGAACGTGCGTTGCTTTATTGGCAATTGTACAAGACATATCCCTGTATAGGGACCACCCCGAAAATTACTCCGCACGGCTTTAGAACTACATGGATGAGAAAGTTGACGTAGACTACCTTGACGAACATCAATTGCATTGAATAAGAAGGTAATAAGCTATAAATCATCATTCATTAAAAAAAGAGGTTAGGCGATACTATGCCACGAACCTCCCTCTTGGCATACGAGGTTCAGTTTCGGAGTAGCTAACGGCTGCGGAGGCGAACCTACTATACCGCTACCTCGGCACACTAGTGGCGCACTTACCCCGGAAAAGAAGGTCAATACATCGAGATAGATGCCTCCGCATCTTGATACTACCCTACAATGTTGCAATTGAAGCTTGAACTTACAACACTTGACCTCTCTGAGGAAGGGCTAGATCTCACCCACGTCCGAATCTGTGTACATAATGCTTTCACTCGCCCTCTGTGACAACCTATCCTGCATGTCTTAGATCGTCTCCGTTTGTTTTGCCACGCGTCCTGTACTGAGTAGCAACATGGTATCCTTCACCGTCCTCGTTACTTGTCTTTCTGGTGCAACAATTGCTACAGCTTCAACTATTCCCAAGCAAGGTTCCGCCTACGCGCCAAAACACTCAAAATGCCCATCGACACCACTTGTCCGGGGCGCGACAGGCATCTCCACTGCTGAGTCTGACTACATCACCCGGCGACATGCCAAGGCTTCGACCGCGTTGAAGAAATGGCTAAAGTCCGTGGATAATGGGTTCGATTCATCCACTAAGGAATGGGCTTCGGAGAAGTATGGAGACGCGCCTGTTGTTGCTCTCACATCAAGTGGCGGCGGATACAGAGCCATGCTTAGTGGTGCTGGCGTCGTCAAGGCCTTTGACGGTCGTGAGAAGGTCAAGACTGGGGTCAGTGGCCTCTATCAGGCTCTGACTTACGAAGCAGGCCTGTCAGGTGGCTCTTGGCTTCTGTCGTCGATTGCAAGCAACGATTACGCAACTGTCAGCTCGCTGCAGAAGAAGTTGTGGGAAGAGGCACTTCAGAGTAGTCTTCTTGTTCCAAGCATCCTTGTCTCGCCTAAGAAAGATCCTGTCTATGATACTGTTGAAGCAGATATCAAGGCGAAAAAGGCAGCTGGCTTTGAACCAACCATCATCGATCCCTGGGGCCGACTTCTCGCGTACGGTCTTCTGCGAGGCCCTGATGGAGGAGTGCGCGAGACCATGTCCAGCATTGCCCAAACCTCCAGCTTCAAGAACCATGTCGTTCCATACCCCATCATCACAGCTCTCGGCGTCGACCCTGGCTCTTGTATCCCAGAGAGGAATGGCACACAGTACGAATTCCACCCGTACGAGTTTGGCTCATGGGATGCTGGAGTTGAAGCCTTTGCTGTCTCCAAGTATGTCGGAACTACTTTCTCCAACGGCAAACCCACCAAGGACTGCATCACCAACTATGACCAACTGAGCTATGTACTCGGAACGTCTTCGAATGTCTTTGCGGCAGCATGCTCACCCATACCAGCCAATAACTCCGCTGATGCCTCACTGGTAGAGAACTTTGCCGCGTTGGTCTCTCCCCCTGGCACTGAAGTTTCAGTACGTCAGGGCTTCGGTCTCTTTCCCAACCCTTTCAAAGGTCGCAAAAAGTCTCCCGAAGTCACGGCTCTCAAAACTTTAGAACTTGTAGATGGCGGTGTTGGAATCGGCTACCAGGGTAACCCAATCTGGCCATTCCTGTACAGGAAGGATGTAGACGTTATCATCGTCAACGAGAACTCAGCCGACACAGTGGATCATTATCCCAACGGTACACAGATCGTGAATACCTACAAGGCGGCCAAAGCAGCAGGTTTGACACGTATGCCAACAATACCATCTTCCGAGACCTTTGTCGCCAAGAAGTTGAACCAGAAGCCTACCTTCTTCGGTTGCAATGATAAGAATGCGGCGACTATTATCTTCATTCCCAACTTCAACTATACATACGAAAGCGGGCAGTCAACGAACAAGATCCAGTATTTCCGCAATGAAACTGTTGGAATGATTGACAATGGTGTGGAAGTTGGAAACTATGGCGGCAAGAAGAACTGGCCTTTGTGTCTGGCATGTGGTATTATGAAGAAGCAAGATGGAAAATTGCCCAAGGGGTGTTCGGCATGCTTCAAAGAATACTGCTTCAATTAAGAGAGCAACTGATAGATTACAGTTATCTGTTGTAAATCGCACAACTACACAATGCGATGCAATTATGATAATGATTCTTATTACTATCACCTTAAGTTCAACGGCTTTCAATACATAAAAAATCAACAAATATGGTCATATCAGACCTTGGCCTTGTTTGTCTCAGGTCCTGCATATGTCGCTGTCTGACCAAGCTTCGTCCATGGTGCGAAAGCCTATCACAATCAGTCTGAGAACACCAAGTTTGAGTCGGAATGATACTTACATTCTTCACATTGTGTAATGGTGCTGCGAGTTCAGGGAAGTGCCTGATCAAAACATCCTTCATGGTGTTCTTCTGTACCCAGTCCATACCTTCGCGGGTGTAAACTTCAGGACACCAACCATCTCCAGCAATAAACCGGTCAGACTTAATACGACGGGTAGCCATGAGGATAAAGACGCGGAAGGCGGTGTCACTGAAACCGAAACCCTTGGGGAGAGGCTCGCAGAGTGTACCGACTAGAAGATCAACTGCTTCAAGATCACCTTCGTAGACTTCTTCCAACTCAGATGCCAACTTGGCATCCCCGCCCGTGAGGTCGATGAAACTCTTGGCAGGAGGCATGTGGAATAGACGACGGAACGCGTTGTAGCGAGGAACACCACGCTCGCGATCACGAAGAATGTCAATAGTTCCCAAATCCAAGTGTCGTCCCTCAGGAAAGTCCTTGTCTGCAGGAACCTTCAAGTCTCGCAAGAAGTCGGGCATGTTATGGGCTCGAATAGCACCGGGATAGTTGACACCGAATGAGTAGAAGACATCCGCGAAAGACAGCCCCAGACCTGGTTTGCCCTCGTCAAAAGGTTTGCGAGCCGACTCAAATGCAACATCGAGGATGGGGAGGGTTCCTTCATGTTGGCCATCTTTAATGTTGAAGAAAGCGACGTTGTCGGGGATGAGAGAATGGAGTCGATAAACCGAGACGAATTCCTCGGTGAGGCAGTAAGGTGCCTTATCATGATTCACGCCTGAACCTGGGATACCGGAGATGACTTCCGACTTGTTGTCGAAAACGCGACCAAAGGCGTGCCAGAGCTATTTCTTTTATTAGTGTTCTAGTCTTGTTCAACGAGGGTAACAAACTTACCTTGTCGCCCAAAAGTCCCCACCAATTCGCGTTCATTCCAATCTGCAGCGCCGGGTGCTGCAAAATACCAGGTGTCCACTCAACAGTATGGATCTTGGCCATGAGGGCACAATTGATCAATCTAGCCGTGTCGAAAATATGGTCACTCGACCAGCTAGGGTTTGACAGATGAAGCTGCGTAGCAATGGCATTGTGCTCAAGGGCAAAGAGTGTGTGCAAAAGTTCCAGACCTAGCCACCAGTTCTGTCTGAATCCAGTCTTTGGGATACCATCTTCAGACCGAGGAAGGAATTGTTCACCGTGAGAGACGCTGACCTCTAATTGACCAGGCTTTGACTTATGACATTTGGCGCGTAGAGCTTGTGTCTCGGCCTCGCTTGATCCGTAGATCTGGGAGGCGTCCCACCAATGTGTGTTTTCGTTGTCGTAAGCAGGTGTCTCTGCATCTTGCCTAGACAGGACGTCGGCTTTCTTGGTACGGGGGATTTTCATGGTCTGCTCAGTCCACTTGTCTTTGTTGTGGAGAGGAATGTCGATTTCCTTGTCGCCATTTGTCACGAGGAAGTGCTGCGCCCAGTCATGGACCTGAAACTGAATCCATGCTGCGGCGAGAAGATTGACAATCTCAGCAGGTTTGAATTGACCTTCAGGTCGGGCAAGAATTTTTTCAGAGATAACTCTTGGGCTGGGCGTAAGCAATTCCTGCTCTGTGGGTGGCTTAGTGAACTTCCTGGGGACGTTGCGACCGAACCTCATTCCAGCGCATCCCATCTTGGGCTGTTTGAGATCATTGTAAAGACCATCTGAGTCCCTGGAGGAGACGAACTTGGAGTCCTTCATGGGACATTTGGCCTCAGTGCCCTGGAAGTCTGCATCGGGGGATGTGTCATGCAAGTTCTCATCGCGAAGTTCATACCGAAGAGCAAGGAGATTGAAGACAGCGAACCAAGTAGGAAGTTTGTGCCAGTCAATGAAATGATTGACACCTTTCCAGAGGCGGATGTATAAAGACTTAAGAATAGAAACGAGTGACATTCTGGCGGCGTATAAGAGCCCTGTAAAGAGGCCAAAGAAAAGGATCTTAGTGACAGAAGCCATGTTTGTCTGTATTACTTCCAGAAATACGAGGAACGAGCTTGATTTATACCTGAAATCACAAGCTTAAAGCCAGGCAACAAACACATGCAAGTCATCTTCCATGTGATCCTTCACTAAGGCTGAGGCTGACACACAGAGGCGTCGTGCTATCGTGAGTCCCATGCCACCCAACTCTATTGGTTCACGCTATCTTGTACCCCTGCAGTCCGTGAACCCTCCGAGATATACACCTATGAGAGGCCTCATTCTTATATCATACGTAGGACAAAACGGCAACGCCGTCACAGCCGAATCTTAATGTAGGCAATCAAACAGTCATTGCCATCATCTGTGCCTGGTGAGTGGTAGCTGGACATCCCAAATGAGGGGTAAATTCCAAACTTTCAATCCCATGTGGCGTTGTTCAGCCCAGTCTCAGGATCGTGAACTACCACACTAAATAGTTCGTGCCTGACATTTTTCACTAGTTTTGGAGTCTAAGGTATGCAATCGTCTCCCTTGATGTCGATATCTAACGGTCCAGAACCACGTTTAGCGCGTCTGTTTACTATGTGGCACAGCTGAGATTGAAATGGTGAGTATGATGGTGCAAATCACTCACGTTTAATTGGTCAAAAATGTTTCCAGGCTGAGATATTACAGTAGACTGTGGCTGAAAGCTGAAAGTCTCCCTTTTGTGAATGGTTGGCTGTGTGGGTAGGGCTGTAAGCTTACACAGCTTACTTCTCACCAACAATCCTTGCTTCAGAATTACGCAGATTTTCTATTTCTCCCATGGAAGTTCGCAAGTGTGCAATGCTTTTTGAAAGAGCGAAACGACTGAACCGTTATAGTTAGAGTAAGGTGAAAAAGGTTAGGGCAGAGTTCAGTTTACAGGGTAAGCTCAATTTCATGTCTTTGTTATTTCCGTCGTGTTCAAAAGTCTGTCACGTGTGAAACATTCACTCAGTCACAATTCTGTGTAATAAACAAAGCAACAGAACAACACGTAATTGCGGGAGGGGTTTCAACTCACAATATCTCTCGTCCATCTCAGCCAGATATCAAGTCATGTCGTCGCACCAAGACTCAACTTCAGTGCCTTTTGCACGCTACCCTACAGAGATTCTCCACCATGTCTTTCGTTCGCTATGTCTACACTGCTGCAATACGCAATGCCTTGAAGACAACGTCGATCATCGCGCCGCTTGCAAGGCACTTCTTGCATTGACCCAAACAGACAAGCTTTGTCGCTCCATAGCCATGCCAATCCTCTTCCATTGCCCAAACGCACATTTCAAAACAAGCTACATTTTCAATGTCCTCAACTGTCAGCCGAACTTGGCACAGTATACGCATTGTCTGGATTTGCCCATTTCCAGAAGATACAAACAAGCAATGCCGTGAAGTTCTTCTTCAACAACTGGTAGCCGAAAATATTACCCCCGGTCCATACCTCGGCTCGGAAACAGCAAATACGAGTCTTTTATTAATGCTTTTCTTCAACATAACACGTCTCGCGGTAAACGAAGAAGGTGCTCATGAGATGATGTTGAATGGCCTAAAAATAAGGGGAACTTCTAAACGCCTCACTCACCTCAAATATCTAAAGCTCAGTGATGGATTCACCTCTCATGTAGTGTCTCACGCCTTGTCGTTGCTTCTTAAAGCTTCTCCGACGCTCGACGTTTTGGTCTTGAGCGGGGACAGCTATTACCAACGGAACGATAGTTTTGAATTAGACATGAACACATTGCGCCCTGTCTTCGAAGGACTGGCCGAGATCCGGCTCTTCGGGTGTACTCTAGATCAACAACTTTACAGCATCCGATGGGTCGCTGAACTTGTGGCAGCAGCCCGGAACCTCCAGACCTTCAAATACATTTGCGACACCTCTGTTGAGTTGATAACCGGCTACGGATGGCATAAACGACCATGGTATAGCTTTCTCGGCATGTTGAAGGCAGCAAGAGGGAGTTTGCGACATCTTACAATCGATTTAGACGGGACACAAGTTCGAGCCACTTCACACACGATGGTCATTGATCCCTGGGAGATAGGCGAGATTTTTCAGCTTGAAACCCTCGAAATCGATCAATTCTGCTATTGCAAGCATCAGCTTGGACGAGAGAATTTGGAAGATAAAGAATGGGACAGAAAGACATATCTGGCCGATTTCCTTCCTACCACTGTCAGGAACTTGACAATATTTTGAAAAACCAATCCGAGATTCTATCAATGTTTGGACCGTATCTTGTGCCTTGGTGCGCGAGTAGTCGTTGGTGACTTTCCGAAGCTTAAAAGCGTTCAGATTGATGCTCCTATTATTCCTGATAAGATTTTCAGTGCTGAGGACGACGAGAAAGAGGAGAATAACTGGAATGGGAAGCTGGACACCATACCGGCAGAGCTCGAGGGCCAGGCATGTAGGTTTAAAGAAGCCTTTGAGGGCTCAGGTGTTGTGACAAGGTTCAGGATTTGGAAGGCTGATAGTAGTGTTTTTGACACATGGGATAAGCGGCCTGCACCGTATCCAATTAACCTTTAGGTGTCTAAAGACGTCTCAGTCCATCATGAAGGCCTCCTACAACCTGAGTTATATTAGTTTTAGCTAAATTTGCAAGTCTGTTTTGCTTTAGAGTTGAATTCGATTTGTCTTTTATGAATGATAAACATCTTTTTCAACATATGTTGGGCAGGTTGGAAAAGAACAGACCATATCTACACTTAGGGGCATCATGATTGTTAAGCTCAACGCAAGACCATTATCTTTCGACCGACCCTACGATAAAAAATATACCATAATTGCATATATGTAATTAGATGTGGTGTACTATCCATACCGTTCTGTACCCATTTCATCGACTCGTGAAAGTGATTTCTAAGTAACGTCATTGCAAAAGTCTCGTATCTTCATCCAAAACACCAAAAAGGCTGCCAATTTCCTTCCCCACCATCCTCAACTCGTCAGCCACCTGACCCGTCACAAGGGCATATGCATAAAGCAATGCATAATCCCTTTCTTCAACAAGAACTTCCCTTGAATCATCACTCCCCGTGGTATCATCATCATCAACCAACCTTCTATGATGGCCCTTTCGAAACTCAAAGATCTTGCTCAACAGATTCTCGCGTGCCGAGACAATGCTCGGTGTAGCATCTGCGAAAGGATATTCCAGCATAGTCGAGCTGGCAACGACTTGGAAAGCTTGACAAATGTGATCACAGAGAATAGCACGCTCGCGAGCCGTGTACTCCAGCAAGGCCTTTTCACCTTCTGTCAAATGTCCCTTTCGACATGCCACGAGACTCATGTTGTAGAAGCTATCGAGGATACGCATCGTGCCTTTCAGGACTCGACCGTAGACATCCATGGGAAATGGACCACGTAGCTCAAACTCTGACGCGGCTGACATGCGTAGACTGTCTAGATTGGATGCGTATCGTTGCAAAGCAGCTTGTTCACCGGATTTGAGATAGCTTTGCGATCCTTCGCTGCGGAAAAGGACGGTGAGAGGGCCTCGTTTCCAGATGAGACCCATTTGGAGATGGAGTACAGAGAGACTCTCTTTGAACTTGCGTCGGGCCGAGATAGGCCATATGACGCGGCAAATGACAAGACCCCAGATGATACCGGCTGTGACGGCAATGGCGCGACGCTTGGCTATCTCCATGATGTCGGGCTGATCAAAGACACCATCATCGGCCGTGTCGTTTCCATCTGCCTTTCTCTTCACTCTGTAAGCATATAGCGTTGAGACATTATAGGCAAGGAGACTGATGCGCCCGAATGAAGCCTTCCCATGCTGAATGACGAGATAAAAGTTGATGAAGCTAGTCAGCCATCCGAGGGGTATCAAAGCCAAGGCATATCCATGGCTAATTTTCCAGTTGACGACAGAGAACAGCGCCCCGAATAGCGTTCCTATGAATCGAGCCAAACTGACGGTATTGGAAGCACCGACCGTGAAACTGCAGACAATGATGAAGGACAAAAGTCCCCATTCACCACGCCATTCTCTGTACAACTCTCTTGTCTCTTTTAGGAACGCGAGCATTGCCCAAAGAGCGGCACCAATACCGACTTTGAGGCCGAACTGGATATCATCTCGCGCCATCTTCTTAAAAAGTGCAGAGATGTTTCTCCAGAACCAAGCCAGAATCCTGTTTAGATCAGGTGCCTGATACCATGTTCTGACATCCACGGGTATGGGAACAGCGGCTGAAGTATCTGCTCCGCTGTGCGAGCTAACAGATCGTTGTCTGTTGCGCATCAACACATCCGCCTCGGCCGACTCAAACAATCTGATAGCTTTTGCGCGGTCTTGTTCATCACCCTTCCACCACAGAAGCCATCTCCAGCTTCGACTCTTGTGTAGGATGACGTACTGCAGATCGTCCAAGACGTCCAGGTATTGTAGCACATCTTCCCCGAAAGACTGAACGCTAAATGTAAAGTGTCCACATGCAGCGGCGACTTCTTCAAGGTTTGCACGTGTTGTAAAGTCTGAGGAAGCCATCTGTTCTATGCGGTCGTACAACCCCTGGAGGGCATCGGAGCGAGACTCATCGAAGGTGTCCAATGAGTCCATCAAATTGCGGCGTAGATCCTCATCGACACTGATCTCATAGTGGGGAGGCTTGCCAAACTGTGGCTCATGTAGGATTCGGCAGAGATTCTGTCGTACTGAAGACATCGACATGGCTATGGACTCATTGAAATGTTCGAATAGCTCTTGTGCGGTATTCGTGGTGCTTGTCCCATTGGTATCAGAGTTCAGTGGCTTTGGGTGCCGCAGTTGTTCGAGCTGAGCATTGGTTGCGTTTCTCAAACCACCCAAAGCTTGCGAGAGTGTCTCCATAGATCTTGCAACAGACTTTTCATGCTCGTAAATGGCTTCGTGACCAAGAAAGTAATGCTCAAACTTGGCTTCTCTCATATCCTTCATCATCTGCGAGTAAGACTTCGCGTAGTGTGTAGACGCGGCTGTGAAGCCATCCGACACGAGACCCTCTTCCGATCCGCTGAGGAAACTGGTGGTTATCATGTAAAGCATGTCTCCCAGAGGAATCGAAACCCTATTCATGGTTTCTCGGAGTGATGCTCGGGCGGAGGTTCGCCACAGAAACACGTTGACCAATGTTGTCGTTGTGATACCCATGACCAGCATCTTGAAAACCTGTAACACTTTCTCATTGGAGAACACGTTGGACATGACATGATTCTCCTTGGTGACGACGCCGATGATAGCCAAGGACGCAAGGGTAGTCCCAACATTGACGAGAGGGTTCAACATCCTTTGCTTGACCCACCCCATGAAGCCAAATCCGCCTCCAATAAATACCACAACAACCAGGACATGCGATACTGTCACAAGATGCATTGTCGATCCGAAGAATACCGAAGTAACCATAGACAAGACCGAGATAATCTCGGCATAAGCCACAGCGACAATCGCGATAAGAATAGCCTCAATCATCGACCCAGTTGATCGGGCCGGATGGAAATAAACCGTAATTGTCGCGACGACATGTTTTCCCTCTGGTTTACCAAGAAAGTTTGCCAGAAACGGCACAAAGGTTGCGAGACTGGCGATGGTGTATGCGACAGTGCATTTCAGGACACCTCGACCATTGGGTGTATCAAGCCATCGCTGAAAGCGCGCTGAAGAGTCCCATATGCCATCTCTGACAGACTCGATTAGTCGGGGCATAACTTTGAGATGTTATACGCGTTTCATTGTTCATGACATGGTGGATGTAAAGTTAAAGGCTAATCCCGTGGCTCCCGAACTCGTCAGCTTATTGGTGCTGAATGGTCAGATGATTAGTCATCTGAACTGAACGAATCCATTGGTTGGTCTAATCTGTTGATTGGAAATGATTCCGATCATTAGGCAGATAAGAAACTTACACCTGAACGCCTTCACAAATACCGGACTTGGAAGTATTATGCTTAGAACGTGATAGGTTGTCTGGCGGAGCAACGCACAACTTGGAAGTATCTCATAACCCAGCGAGTATAGCATTACGCATAGCAGCTCCTGCATCTATCCACCAAGTCCGTCGAGGACAATAAATCTAGCTAATAAATAGTAATTACCGATCTCAGTTACTTAAATGGTTGATAAACATACGTAAATCGAACTGTGGGAGGCAATGACTTGGGAAGTCATATAACCCAATGTACACCAAATTGACATTTGGCTTCGGGACTACTTTACTTCAAGTTCCCAATTTAACTCTAGAAATGCCCCCATCACCAAATCACAGGCCCACAGCCGAGAGAATAAATGTTTAAATAGCAGGCCTCAGGCAAAGACGAGGGGTAGGCAAAGGATAAATTGTCATTGTCTATACTATCTACCCACCCTGCAAAAAGAGAATAATTGGCAATCTCTCTAAGTTACCAGCAACCTTGACACTACTTCTCGACACCCCAAACTTAACACTTAACACTGATCACGCTGCTGAACCGAATATGATGACGCAAGGACAACTCTGGCTTGGAGGGCTAGCACAGGACCTTTGCAACACGTTAGAAGATTTCAAGTCGGCCCTCAGGCTGCACAACAGAGCGTCATACGAGCTTCAGAGCCATTCCGTCACCATGTCGCCCTCTAACGACCTGAACATAGTAACCATGACCCTAGTAAGTATCTCACTATAGGTACTAGGCATAAAATGTCACTAACGCCATGATCTACAGGCCGAGGTGAAGACTTTGCTAGACGAATCGTTCAGACTGATTACGGACGCGCAGTTACAAATGAAGGAGTTGAAAAACTCTTTCCACGCTATTGCTACATTACTGGCTACCTCCGTCAAAAAATTGCAGGACAAGTTAGAGGAAACAGCCAGCACCTCCACGCCGTCTGATCAGACTTTTGAGATGGACAGTTCTTCTCTTTTGGATATAGAACAATCTGTAGGTATTACCATTTCCTATTGGGCACAGTTTCTAATCCAGATTTAGCTTCTCTACAAAGACACCATCGCGCTAAAAGCCTTGTTCGAAATCTTTGAAGATCTGCCGTGGAGATTGGATTATGCCTATGTGTTTTACATCTCTCCAGCGATTAGGGCCGTTAACCAGCTCGCCCAGTACACCAATGACCCGGAACAAAACGAAACTACCTTACAAATCTGGTGGAATCAAGCTCAGCTATATGAACCAGGGGCGCTAGGCATGGCAGTCAACATTAGAAGTTACCAATCGATGACCCGACAGCTCGCAACTGGTACGATCGCAGCCCGGTATCGAATGACCAAACCGGAAGGCAAAGAAGCGATGTACTTTCAGACTTCCACGATTTTGGCGTGTTTACTGGCCAAACTTCTTTGCGTCAGTTTTCTTTCTCGGTACCACTTTGAATGCCAAATTCTGACTTACATTTAGTGTCCAGAAAGCAATATCCCGCTAAATACCTAGGCATACATGAACGAGCCGTTGTAGTACTTGACAGAAGTTCTGTTAAATCTTACCCGCATTTATTTCCATGGGTTTGCTAGGTAACATCAACCAGACTATTGTCCTTCAACGATGTATACCATTCAAGGCTATTCTGCATCCATGCTTTAGCAATTACGGGCGCTTTTCAATATGACAAAACGTTGTGGTATAACTTTTTGTTGTGGAGGAAATGAAGATAATTATGACTCTAGCTTATCCATCACTCCTCTCTTTTTAAACTCTTAGCAATCATATTTTCAACCAAAGAATGAACTTTATCGAAAAAAACAAAAACTTTCCAAGTCAATCAGTCAGATCATTAGCTCCACTCTGGTATACAAAGGCATACACATCCTCACTCAAAACCAACTTACATAACCTTTCATCTCTTTGTTTTTTACAACTACTACGCGCTATCATCATGGACAAAGAAACATCGACGCTTCAAGATGCTTTTAAACCCCAAATGGCCGAGGTAAATTGCACAAACCCTTCAACGCCAGGAGATCTGTGGTATCAGATCTTACATATCTGGCGCAGTCCAGACTCAGGTCTCGTCAAGGCGTCACACCTATTTCCTAGACGACAAGCAAGATTCATGAACTCCATCTTTGGAGACGGTGCTAGCCGAGATTTATTTTTACCTTGCAATGGTTTATTCCTACATCCAGCGATTGAGAAAGCCCTTCACAGCGGGTATATAGCTATTATTCCCGACATGGGACTTAATGATTGGTTCCAATGGTGGGACATAGCCAATTTATCCCAGTCCATCAAAGTTGCGGAATGGGACAAGCTTGACGCTCAGGATTACAGAGTGATCGTTTTTAACGAAACAAGCCGTCGATTCCGTCAGCTTTTTGCCCACCATCAATCCGATATACCCAATGAGTGGAGGTTTCTGGATGGACGGAAACTTATCTTCCAAAGCGACTACCGACCTAGTGCACGTTATGTTTGGTGAACATATCTCAACACACTACTGCACATAGAATGGAGGTCCCAAGAGGGGAGCATTACGTGCGGTAGGAAACATAGAATGGACTGGGAGAGAGCTGCGCAGTATTGGAGTACATATGGAAATTACGCCAAGACAAGTCAGATACTTGGTTTTATAAAGCATATTCACTATGAATAAGCTCGAGACTTTTTAAACGAAGGATATGGGGACGTCTATAGTATCGAAGATGCCAGGCCGGAAGCGGCGCAGGCACTGCTACTTGAGGTTATCGCACGGTCAGAAGAGGATGGAGATGACGAGTATGACGATGATGATGGTATACATCCAATCTGGAAGGAATCACTATGTTGGAAATACGATAGCAAAAGAGGCTTCTATCGCAAGGCAGACTTGCGAACAAGAAGGATGGCATCTTAAGTGTTTAGATACAAAAATGAACCGCCCTAGAAGTCTAATCTATGTTAATAGAAGACTTGCGATGCCCTCGTGTCCGGTCTCTTGCATGGCCGAGTTCTAACAATTTTCGCCATGTGAGGAGCCGTCAATACAGTTGTACGCCCTCATCCTTTTCGGCACATGGCACGAAGATATACTGCTTCGACAAACACCTCGAATCAATGGGAGAACGAGTCAAGTATTCAGTCTTTTTTATTATAGCGGCTAGATACTTAACTGATAATATGATCTTTCATCGTCATCGCCATATGTGCAAACGTTCCTGGATGTAGATCGTGACCAATCATGTGACATAAACGACCCTTATGTAATCAAGTGGAGTCGACTTGCACGAATCATCAACTACCTACTTTGAAGAACTTGTAACTACCAACTACAGAATTATTTATAACTCAACTGTAGGTTTCTAACCAGAATGGGCGCTTGTAGAAGTGCTACTTCAGATTTGAAACCTTCAATGTTGTCCCGCAAATTCTGTCATGATTTTCAGTCAGGGGGCCAACCTCAATCCCAGTCTGAAGGGGGAACAGCTGACGAGATATCACATTCGAGTCGAGGACTTATCGACAAGCTGTCGTCGGTGCAATCTACTGAGAAAAGTGTGTTAGTGGAAGAATACCCAGATTTTGCTGCAACAAATCATGGTCCTGGTACAGATAAAGAAACATCCCTGTCCGTCCGAGGTAGTGGGCGACTTGTGGCAAAATACTCCTGGTATCGAAAAACTATTAACGCAAATGCTGAACGTGAAGAGCCGTCCTTTAATAGATATGTTGATATCCACCAGGATACCGAGGTAAGTTTGTACTGTTTAACATGACGCGCCATCGTTAACAGACAAAATCCCACACACAAGACACCACAGAACTTGGTAGTCTTCGGGGCTTGCAATGGTCTCCCAAGTCAGATAGGCGCAATTTAGCAATGCTCAATTCTAGGTGAGGTCCAGCATGAACAGCAGAAGTATAAACAGGTCGTGCGCATTCCCTGGTCTCCAGGTATGCGCACCTTGACCATCGGTGCGAAAGTTCTGTGTGTGTATGTACATATACGTGATTGAGTTTTACTGCTGCTGAGTTTGGAAAGATGAATCACAAGTTCCCGCTCATTTGGTAGATTGGTGTAAGACGCCTAGTCATAACCGAGTGGGGCATAAAGCAGCGCCTTTAGCCTTGGAGCCTACCGTAGTCAACTCACCCCAATCAACATCGTCTTCCGCAGCCTATCCTGAAGCCCACATTAACCTGATCATCAACCTCCAAAACGCCTCTTCTTTCTCTTTCTTTTTACTCTTCTCGTCAACGCAAACGACAACTGACAGACGACAAGATGGCATACTCTGCAGATCCTTTCGCCAAGTTCCTGGCGGAGCTCCGTCTCCGTATCATCATGTCGACAAACTGCACTGCGACGATATCACGACTGATCCGAGCCTCCCCGTCCATGCTTCAACAATATCTTGCGGATAAAAAATACATCCAACGATATATTATTGACTATGATGAAGACATGATACAAGACGCCATGGCAATTGTTCTAATTCTACGCTTGTGTCGAACTAGCAAACAAGCTCCAGATGAAAATACTATAACGAACGCCCGAGCAGTTTTACAAGATTGGTCTATTGGCCAACTTCCACATCCTATCCAACACAATTCCGACCACGTCACGAGCCAACTTAACGAATTGCACAATCGAATCTTGTTTTTCGTAGAAGACTACATCATCAAAGCCACGGCGTCCTTTCCTCCCAGAGATTATCGTTGTCTGCCTCAGGTGCAGCAGACATCAGCCGATAGGCATCTTATGTTCAAAGGTGTGAAGGTGGCGCCGCGATTCAATTCCGCATACCTCACAGCCTCGGAAAAGAAAAGAATGTTCAAAGCATTTCTGAGGCACGAGCTAATGTGCAGGGCCAGCACACTGTTTCCTGACGAAAACGGCCTGCCAAAACGCTTGATCAGCAGAGCGGAGTCGGAAGGTATCAACTGTGTCCATGACTACTACTGCTCTGTCTACGGCGCAATCTTTGCTCAGTGCAACAATGCCCAATGCAGCAATGCTCAGCTCCCGAGTAGTTCAGAGGGGATGCCACTTGAGACCGAGCTAATGTTTCCCGACACGTTCCATTTCGATGCAAATAGTTATGCACATAAGCTGGTGGGAATAGTTTCCCGACTTCGCGTTTTGGTTCTCACGTCTCGGGCTCGATCGTCTCGCCGATTTTCTCCGTTATGACATGGCTAAAGACGATGAGAGAGAGGCCCTCAAGCTTCAAATCCAATACAAGTGGTTTGGTGGTGGCAAGAAACACAGCCTGGGCTGGGACATGCCATTCGGAACCATTTTTAAGCACCCGAAACTCAGCGACAACATTGGCCACGATTCACCTATTTTCAATCAACTTGATGGATCTTTTGAACAAGTAATCCAATGGGATATCGCGCGGCAAAGGGCTTGGGTGTTTTTTGACAACACTCGCTTTTACCCTCGAGAGACCACTGAACGACCGAACTTCCCATCAAGCAATTTACTCAAGGAAAAATGCATCCAAGAAACCTTTAACGACGAGTGGTTCTATCACTCTTACGCAATGAAAGCTATGCGAAGAGTAAAGTTGGCCCGTGAAGAGCGGGACAGGGCGGGGTTACCAGAGGTTGAATGGCACCGTGCCTGTCCTGTACTATCAAGCGGGTTATCATATTCGGGAGGCTAGATTGACTATAGAGGGGGAGCTGGGCATGGAAAGTTCGGATATCTGTTATCACAGCCCACCTAGATTGGCAAGCCCTTTGGTCAGCCATCAAGGGATAAGGGATGGTTCATTATGGACCCTGAGGAGAGTGATGCCTGTCGTTGGGGATCTGATCGCAGAGGTACAGGGGATGGGGATGCGTATAGCTAAGGGTCGGACAGTGCTACGATGTGTAATATCGGTGAGAGTATTCTGGGCGAAAAGTCCAGCGGCCATACCTGCAGTTTCCCTGCTGAAACAAGTTGCAGACCGTCATCTTGTTGGATGATTAAATGCGCTGTCGCTATCGGGAACAATGGGTGTTGTTGTTTGTCGTAGAGGGGAAACAAATAGATGAGCTGGTGTAAACCCCACGAACCAAACAATACTCGACCATCCGTATATTTCTGGCCGTCCCGCGAAGCATGCTTAAGACGGCTTCACAATGCCTGTTTGACCTGAGCCTCCCTCGAGCGCCGTGCCCAGGTGTCTTTCCGTTCATCTACCCGATGTTTCAAACTTGACGCCCTCTTTTAGGCGTGGAACACGCCCTCGATACTTATCCGGTGATAGAGCAAGACACCAGTGCTAACGAATTCCCGCCATTGGTGTCAAACTATCCTCAACGTCATGAGGTAGTTTCTCATACGGCGACTTTGGCTGATAGTATCAAAGTTTCTACCCAAAATCTAAACACGGCAGCACATTCAATCATCCATCGAGATGGCGGTCTGCGAACTTCCAGCAGGGAAACTGCAAGTTTGGCAGTATGGCTTCCTCAATTCTCTCTGTGTTAATCATACTAATTGATCTATAGATAGGTGCCGTAACGAGCACATCAACCCGACCAATCAAAACCGCTTTGGAGCTCTAGGAGGAGGCAGCAACCAGAGCGCAGCTGGTACGTAGCACATACAAACTTAATAAGAGCGGAAAGAATTGACAAGGGCTAGGGTGGAGTCCCCCTGACCCGCCCAAGGGACGTCGCCCTTTGGTAGCCATCAACCTACTCAAGGGACATCGCGGTCGGTAACTATTACACAACAACCTTGAAGGTAGTGAATAAGGAGTGGCCGGCCGTAGGAGAAAATTTAGCTATCGTCGCAGAATACTATAGAAACTTCTGTAAAAGAAATATTAATGCTCATATGGATGTGGGAATGTTACAGCCTGAAATATTTTAAAGGCAGCCGCCTCCCATATGCAGAATGCAGGCTTAATGCAGGGATGAATTGAGGTCTCCCACCGGACACACCTGGTGATTCTGCTATTGGCTATAGGACAGGATCGGTGGGTCGTGTTATGTTTGTAATGGTGGTGAAAAAAATAAGCTGAAAAGCAGGCTGCGCAAGCAAAAAGTGACAACTCGTAAACTGAGGTCACACTGAATATAAGTAAGTGCCTACTACGTGTGACTATAGAGAAGTAGATAGATGTACACTGTTTTTAAGCACCTGACGCCTAAGTACTTGAGAAAAAAACTGAAATGAAACACAAAAATAAAATTTTGATATCTTAGTGCGACCACGCCAGGAGTCGAACCTGGAATCTCTAGAGTATTCAGAAGATAGAGACCGAAATCTAGCGCCTTAGCCATTAGGCCACGCGGCCGGTGCTTTTCATGATATGACAGGTCCAGATTGAGTGTCAAGAACGTCTGGCTCATTGGTCACGCCGCCACTACCAGCATGTAGTTGGCTGCGGACGGATCAATATCGCGTTGGGAAATGCATTTATCTCAAACCTACCTGGCATTTACCTGAGATTCACGAGACTCGGCTTCAACAAACGCTCTTTATTCCTGCACGTCTTTGTAAGGGCATTGTATGATACATCGAATAGGTACGGTGCAGGTTCCCGTGAAAGAACGACCTATTGCATTGTCAACGCTTTCTAATCCGATACAGAAATCATCCAAGAACTAAAATAAGGAGGATAACAGCAGAACTGGCTGAATCTAGTTGGTTCAACAATGGTCTTGTCGGCCAAACGCAGTAGCCTTCTTGCACAACATATTCCTGGAAGCGAGTAACAAATCTGCACCGATGCAATCGTTTGTGCCAGCTATTTGTCACTCACGAAAATTCCACCCAGGCTCTCGCACTCCAGTCAACCATTTCTACCAGTTGTTGCCCCGCACATTTTCTCCTCCTGACTTTCTTCTTTCACAGGCACTCCAGCCTACCACGCCAATTTTCTACAGACGAGGCTCACGGCATCACAACAACAAGCTTTCACAGCCTGGTGCATCCCTCAAGATGCTGGAACATCTCGTTCCATGGTCTCCTGTGACCGAAGTCACCGACAAGATCAAAATCGATGACTTGACGATCTCGTTCAAGAGAACAATCAGGGTCTCAGACAACAAAAGCACCAACGATCTTCCACCGGACATGGGTGAGTTCCCTTTGTCCAAGATGGATGATTATGCTGAGACGATTCCTCTCAGCATGGCGGAAAAGGGCGGCGTCTTCATCCCCATGTACCGTAAGTTGACTCTACCGCGTCTACCGCGGATTGCTATAGACTGACTCCCCCTTCTTAGAACGTGAAGCGCTTTGGATCGGTTTCGAGTCTACCAAAAAATATGTAATTCGCGTTTTTGTCGGGGGAATTAATGCCGTCTCAGGAGAACCAAAGGTTCCCCATGCCGCCACGTCACTCCGCCGCCGAACTCTCATCAGCCAAGGCAAGAGCGTACAGGACTATCTCTTCGTTCCAGGACAGCGCCGGCTTGATGGTGTCGCAGTGGAAGGGGTAAAGGTCCGACAGTTCGTAGCCATGCCGGCGGGGACAGGTCACTCCATTGAGACACAAATAATCGGCGAGGAAGTCACTGGAGGTATCCAGTTCGAAGTAACTCGTCTTGACATCAGGCTTCGTGAGATTAAGACGCAAGAGGCAGTCGTTATTATGGTCAAGTCACCCATCTCTTATGAATCTAAAATTCTCATTGGATCTCGAGAAGAGAATGTCTTTGACCTCAAGACACGATATGAAGCCCAAGAGAATGTACCTATCGATCTGATTCGCTGCATTCATGGAAGAAATGAGCTTGAGGGTGAGTAATTAACATCCAATCTCTTTACTTCCTGACAAGAGATAGACAATCGTACCCTGAAATCATACGGCATACGAGGCCTTGCCACCATCGAAATGGTTCCAAGGCTCCGCGGAGGTGGCAAAGCCTCGGCTGAGATGCACATGTCTGCCGGCGGGCGGATTACCCAGGGGATTGTCGCACTCCAGAAACGCAGCTACTCCAAGACTGTCCCAATCGCTTTCAACGTCCAGGTTCTCAACAGCGCAAGCTTCGAAAGGCTTACTGACGAACTGCCACCTGTGTCTCCCGTATCAACCGAGACCTACGCCAAATGGGGATTCCCGTTCTTTTCCATCTACGAGGAACCTTCGGCCATTTGTGGTGACTTTACAGGTGTGAAGTCTATCGCCGAGATCTACAAAACTTCCGAGAAGTCGTTGCCCGATGGCATGCTCGTCATGGACGTTCGCATCAAACAGGTCCGTCGCCGCGGGGATGGACTACTGGACCCCGAGCCCACAATAGAGGAAACGTGGCTTGCATGGGAATTGGAGGAAGAGCTCATGAAGACGGAAACTCTTTTTTGAGTCTTTCACTCGAGGTTTAGTCGGCGCGCTAGACAAAACCGGGATAGGAGTAATGATGTAAAAGGCATCACGTGTACATTCACGTGATTATCACGCATTTTCGTCAGAAGGCTCAAATCTTGAATCATTCTTGCACCATTCTCATATACCAACACCGTCCCTTATAACGTAGAGATCCAACTCTTGCCCATGCCGTGAAATTATGATGTAAGATCTCGTCCCTCATTGTGCAGACGCGTATGGAGAGGTTTTAGCTGTGGTGGAGGATCAATGACGCAGCAAGGCTATGGTGACTCAGAAATTGAGGCGGGGAGCTGAGAGAACAAGGCCATTTAAGCATATCCATTGGCCCGGTTCGTTCCTTGATGGAATTGCCCCGACTTCCGATTATTTGTCAGATTTGTTTTTGTGTTGAACCGTCTTGGCGCGTATCTGTGGACCATGTCTTGGTCGAAGGATTCATGCTCCAGGGTAATGCTCGTCGCTCCATCTGAGGGCAAATTCAACGTCCGATTTCAACAAGGAAGGGGAATAATTGAGCCGAATGATGTAAATAACGTTATCTATAACGTTACTCTACTTGTTATGCTTCATGTTGTGCTTCCTGTTATGCTTGATGAAAGCATAAAGTGTCAGCGTCAGCATGCTAGCCTTAGTTCTTGGTAAAGGCGCCAGGATTCACGTCTAGCTATAAATAATAAAGTCGGTAGACCTCATCAGTGAACCATCATCCTTCAGTCTCAATTCAATTCAAGCATACAAAGTCTCTCCGATAATATTTTGCAAACATGTCTCACCTCAAGTATTCCTCTTATGAAGGCGCTGGCGAGTACCTCACCAATCTACTCGGCTACAGTCAAGTGGTCCGTGTTGGCGATCGCATCGAGATAAGTGGACAAGGTAAGACCTACGAATAAGAAGTTACAAGTTCACCAAGCGCTAATTGATTAACAGGTGGTTGGACATTCAAGGATGGCGAATTCGCATTCCCAGAGTCCCAGCTCGAACAAATTGACCAGGCATTCCACAACGTGGAGACAGCCCTCAAGGCGGGGGGTGGAAAAGGCTGGGAGCAGGTCTACCGCGTCAATTCGTATCATACAGAAATCTCACCCGAAGTTGGTCAAAGAATGGCCGAAAACTACAAGAAGTGGATGCCAAACCACAAAGTCATTTGGACTCAACTTGGTGTCGCGCAATTGGGAGCACCTGAAATGAAGGTAGAGATTGAGGTGGTCGCAATTGACTCGAGCGCAACCAAAGCTTAGAAGCGATGATTCAGAGCATAAAAACAAGCTTCAGAATAACTGAATAATTGAAGAATAAATACAAACACTCCTACACAAAGTTTGAACAACAACAATATATAAATACCTTCCCTCGCACAACATCAGCGTCAGGGAATCATGCTTACTAACATGACCGAATCACAATGTTCCAAATACAGTTTAGCGCGGGCAAACCTGGGAAGGTCGCGAGAAAGGTTCTTTTTTCTCGCGACATCATCGTTTCATCCCGCCCACACAAAGACCTCACAAGGAGAAAACAAAAATTAAAGATGCGCAACAAGCCCAACAAACCAAGAGCGCCGCGCCGCCGCGATAACAGAGATCGTCCTTATGGAGACTCGGATTCATATCGACCTGGCGACAGGCATGATCTTCCACCTCGACCGCCGCCACCTCGCGATGACTTCCGAAACTCGGGAGGTGACTCGTATCGTCCGCGCGTGCCCCAGGGGGACTTCACATTTCGCATGGATAAGCCAGCTGGAATGCCCGATTTCCCCACTGATTATCGTGGCCCGCCGTCCGATAGAAGAGGTCCGCGTCGCGATGGTGGTAGAGGCCGAGGTCGGGGTAGAGGAGGAAGGCGCTGGCAACCCCCGCCTCACCCCTCCGAGCGCGCTCTAGTTTCAGGCGCGACGCAAAATATGCCAGAGGAGCGTCTAGGCGAAGATGGTATTGCCAAGTTCCGCGACGTTGATGAGCTGTCTGATGATGACGAGCTCGAGATGGATATCTCTGAGGATGAAGAGGCTGAAGGCCCTTCCAAGAAGCGTGCCAGAACTACGAATGATGATGATGATGATGAGGCTGATGCATCTGGTGATGCTGCACCTAAGTGGTCTAACCCTGATCCATACACAGCTCTTCCCTGCCCTGATGAAAGCACGCGAAAGAAGAAGGATATGGTAAAGCTCATCCGAAAAGCGCGACTCGAAGACCAGACAGATAAGCTGGCTGCGTCAACTGAAGCTGAGGACTTTATCTCTTTTGATCTTACCGAAGACGAAGAGACCAGTGAAGACGAAGAAGAGGAAAAAGAAGCGCCACCTCCTCCTCCCCGTGAGCCTCCTCCCACCATCGAACAACCGCCGCCTCCTCCTCCGAACGCACCCTCTGGACCCAGAGCCGATCGCGACAACGTGCGGACGCCTATGGACGATATCATGGAGGCTAGAAGACTCGCGAATGATGGCCTAGGCTCCCGCAAACGTACCGCCGACGACGTTATCAAGCCCCCCGATTACGGTCAATTGAAGAAGGCCACTACAAAGCCCTCCAAGGGTGCACTGCTACCCAGCTGGCAACCAAAAGCTACTGAGGATCCCTGTCCTTGGGACACTGTTGATCACTCTGCTACTACTAACATGGGATTCCGGTAAGTTTGCTCTCATCGCATGCTGCTTGTCGCAGTTTCTCGTCGCCTATGCTAACCTTTGTAGACTACACAAAGAAGTTGTGGACTTTTACGAATATGTCAGACCCCGCGATTTCGAACAACGCATTCGTGACAACCTCGTCGATAACCTCCGCAAGGCTATGCGCCGCGATGGTCGAAACTTTGCCAGTGCTTCTGTTCATCCCTTCGGTTCCTTCATGTCTGGCCTTTATCTTCCGACAGCAGACATGGACTTGGTCGTCTGCTCAGCAAGCTTCATGCGGGGCGGTCCCCCAACATACCTGTCTGCTAAGAGCTGGCTATACAAGTTCCAAAAGTTTCTTGTTGCTCAACAAGTTGCCGAACAGCATTCTATCGAGGTTATCGCCCACGCTAGAATCCCGTTAGTCAAATATGTTGACAAGCAGACCGGTCTCAAGGTTGATGTTTCATTCGAAAACTTGGGTGGTGTCAACGCGATCGAGACTTTCCTCCAATGGAAGGACCAGTATCCTGCGATGCCTATCCTCGTCACTGTGATCAAACACTTCCTTCTCATGCGCGGTCTCAATGAACCTGTAAATGGCGGAATCGGTGGCTTCTCAGTCATTTGCTTGGTCGTCAGTATGTTGCAGCTTATGCCACAGGTTCAAAGCAGAAGTCTGGTACCAGAACATCATCTCGGCGAGATGCTTCTCGAGTTCTTTGAGCTTTACGGTTATGACTTTCACCACGAACGCAACGCCATCTCTCTTACGAGACCAGTTGGCTACGTCCGCAAGGTACGTTCGCATTCATCGGCGATCACAACCACTGCTAACCTTGACCAGTCCCATGTCAACAGTCTGACATACAAGAACTACGACCGTCTCTCCATCATTGATCCTAACAATTCTGCCAACGACATCTCCGGTGGTTCATCCAACACCCCAGCCATCTTGAACCGTTTCAAGGACGCTTTCAATCTCTTACGTGACAGGATGAGTGACATCGCGCGCAATCCCAACAAGGGCAACATTCTTGAGGTGATTCTCCAGGGTGATTACTCGTCTTTTAGAATGCAACGGGAGTATCTTCGCCATGTGCATGAGAAACACATCGGTCCTTGTTGATCTTTCCGCCCTTGGTGATCAATCTCATCCGTCTATACTGATACCCGTTCGTTGTGCATATTGTTTCATGCTGGAGTTGTTTTATTTACGGTCACGAGGCATGGATATCTAGATGGATCGGCTATGGAACGGGTGGCTAAGAAGTCATGCACGCACATGTCTTCTTCATTTTCTTTCTTTCTGTTTCTCTTTGTTTGCATGTATAGTAACGCCCCGTCATGATATGGAAAGGAAGCATCCGGTGGTTATTTGCTTTCATTTCTTTTCTCTCTCTGCCGTTATGGCGTACATACCAGCATTGTGCCTTCGTGTGGCTACGAAGTATATCTCATGAGGGGGACAAAAGGGCCTAGTGGCCTACAACAATTGGACGATTTATCTATCCTCGACTTGGGACTCTTACTACTAACATCTCTTCTTCGCAGTGACGCTCGACGATGTGACGGCTCTACTAATGCTTTTAGGGTTGGCTCTTGATGCCCTTTTTTCTTCGGTTTATCGCTGTTGAAACGATCGTTGTCTTTGGATGACACCTTTTCTCACTGCGTGCTTTGCTTGATGCAGGGTCGTGGAGAGGAAATTAAAGCTCGCTATGAGGAGTGATTCTTCGTTACGGTTGCTGGATGTCGCGAGACATGATGTTGGGCTATCTTGGAGTTGTTGCTGATGCTGGGGTACCGAAAGGATGCCTATGCTCGAAGACCCCCACTTCAGGTAATAAGTTCAGAGTATCGAGAATTGTCCACTACATAAAGTTAGTCTCCTTGAAAGTTCGGCTAGATCAAATACGACGCCGGATATTAGTAACATAACATTGCCGTTTTATAAATAGTGCCTTGAGCTTTCAGTTGGTGGAGAAAGTACAGACGATGTTGCATTGACAGGTGCCTTGGCACATTTCAGATCTCTTAGCGAATCCACTCTTCGGTCACTCCCATTGGACTACATGGTTCATTACGAGACAACTGTGGAGTTATAGAAGACCTGCATCCTCCTACGGGCCTCGGCAGTCTCATCAGGAGGTCTTGAATTACTAGTATATAGAGTGATCCATATCATAAGCAGTTTTCTCTTTTTTCTTCTTTTTTCTTCACCGGCTATTACATTCTTTCGCTATTACCTTCGTTAATAATAGCAACATTCGTTATCATGTTGGCATTAACCACTCTCGTTTTATCCTCCGTTTGGCAGGCTGCTGCCCATGTAATTCCACGCGATTTTGACGACTCATTATTATCCGGAAACGACACAACCAACGGGACGGAGCCCGTACGTGGAGATTACACATGGACTCCAACCTGCAAATTGCCATCTTCCAAGGGCTTCATGTTTCCCATGGGCTTTGACAAGTTCGAAAACTGTGTCCCTGCCACAGGAGTAGTGAATGCTCTCATGATCTTCGTCGACTTTCCAGATGCCAAGGATGACAGTTCTCCCAAGACCATGCACGATAGACTGGTTCCGGAAGCGGTGGAGTGGTACAACCAGGCTAGTTACGGCAAGCTCAAGTTGAACGTCAAGGCCGATACATCTAAGTACTACCGTATGCCCAAAGAAGCCGGCTCGTACGGGTGGATGCAGGGTGGCTTCTGGCAGGATAACTACCTTAACGACGCCCTCGATGTCTTCACCGCTAACGGCACCCGCGCTGCACCTGAGGCTGACTTCTTGTACGTGGTACCGACCGGCCGCGCGGCAAACTCACTGTCACGTTCCATTACGCGCTTTGAACCTATCTCCACGCGCCACGGCAAGGAAGTGACCTACAAAAAGACTGTGCTCATGGCTGCCACCGACTGGGATCTTCTACCCATGACTTTAGTCCACGAGACAGGCCATGTCCTTTGCATGTCAGACTACTACGCTTTTAACGGATACCAGAACCAGTATGTTGGAGAATGGGGTGTCATGGGCATGCACAGTGGCATGGCACCTGATTACTTCGCATGGGATAAGTACCGACTGGGTTGGATTGAAGACAAGGCCGTTGACTGCGTTCTGGAAGCTGGAAACACAACTCACGTCCTGACGCCGCTAGCGTACAACATGGAGGGAAAGAAGGCTGTCATCATTGCTCAGAGCGAGATTAGTGCTCTTGTTGCTGAGGTCCGCATTGCAACTGGATTGGACGGAAATGTATGTGCACCTGGTGTTTTGCTTTACACGATTAGCACTAGGATAGGAAACGGAGCCCTTGAGGTGATTGACGCGACGCCCGACTCCATGGGCTGCGCTGGGAAACTTGAGGACAAGAATGATGCTACCCTGTCTTTGACCTTGAAGGGAAGCGACTCTCTCGCATATGCTCCTGTTAGCTCGTTGGAGGTTCCTGGCTGGGATGTCAAGGTGACTTTGGAGAGCGTCAAGGGCACAGACTATACTATTCGCGTGGACCGCAAGACAGATGTCAAGACTGATTCATGGTAGTATATAGTATAGACTAATTAAACTAATTCTTCTGCGACGATACCTAAATAATCTCCCATAGCCAGCCACTCCTTATCTATCCTCTTAAAATTGTTCTCCAGGAGTCTTGTCACCCAGTCTCGGTGAAGAAGTAACTGTATAGACCCTGAAAGACGAAACAATTAGGTTAGCTTATAAAGTTTAGATCAAAATCTTGGACTGTTTATATTTCTACCGAAGGCTATAGGATCTAGAATGAATTTTTTGTTCCGTATTTGCTGCGTACAGGGCCATGCCTGTTCATCTTCCACTGACGTACTTCGACCCTGGCGAACAATTCTTGGGCAACAGCTGCATGGCGGGACAAAAGGAAGTCATTCTTGAATAAGATCTTGAGAGCAGTGATTTCTGCCCAAGTCGAAGGTATTGGTAGATCATCGATTTCCCGGATGGGTTGTGTGGTAACAGTCTTGATGATGTTTTCGTAGGCCTGTTTCTCGGTTTCGGAGATGCCCTCTCTAGTTACTACCTTCCATTTTCCTTCCAACTTGTGGAGATTGTTCACCGATATTTCCGACTCGACAACCAGCGTGTTGGAGGGAGCCATCCAAAGGCAGCCCCGAGACCTTTGACTGGATGCGTCATCTATCGGCGGGTTATGGACATTATTCTCGCAGTTTTAGAGATTTCTTTTTCTCTAAAGAATATCCGCTTGTGTCCTAGCGGGAAGATAATCAAAATATAATTTGCTTACAGGTATGAGCACGACAGCGCTACACCACAGCCAAGCCAGGTAAGGGTCATCGTAGAGTCAGAATCCCAGATGTTTGCTATCAAGATCCAGTTCATAGCGACGGTGTGCCCGTCGAGCGGTTCCTTCGTGAAAATACCGCGAACGGAGATCATCATACGCGCAAAGCCGATTCCTGAGACGACGGCTGTGCTTTTCCACTTGCCTGCAATATAATAAGCTGCTGTTCTGAAGTTCATATATTGGGAATACTTATTGAATGGCATAGATGGCCGTTTCTTCGGCGATGTCGGCCTTTCTCTTGCCTTCCCGCTCCCGATTCTTAGCGGGGATATCATCGTGGGCCAGGAGCCGTTGCAGCCATGCCAGGTAGGCATACACGTTCCATACAGGGTGAGGGGCCTTGGAATCCTACTGAAGAATCCTGTTCTGGAACTGCTCGGTCAGAGCATATGCATGGTGGCAGCATCGCGTGCCATCTGAGCGTAACCATCATGGAGTGCTCGCTGGGTAAGGTTAAAGTAACCATATTCCCAGTTCTCGAGAAGCTAGTTGTGAATCTCTGCCTGCATGGGGAAGGACAAAGACGGAAACGTTCAACAACACTCCACCGAAAAGAGGATTCCATCTAACCCTGGCACAGGCGTTTGCTGTAAAGTCACTCTTCTCGACTACCACTCAGGAGGGGAGTCGGGAAGAGGGATGGATTTAGGAGGTGATCTATGATTATTGCCCACTTGCCTCCTGTATGGTTGAGTTCATCTTATGTGATAAGCGAGTTGATCGTCGGTGCTGTGGAGTCTCGTTCGGCGGCGAGGGTTTGGGACAGGAGTAAACCGGTCGCTGATGACACCCCAGTAAGTTCTTGCCAGCTGGTTCTGGCGACGCTAAGCCAGGTTGTACTGGTATCGGAGCCTAATCCTTAGGAAACTTTCGCTGCTGGAGGGAGCTATAGCCCCAAGACCACTTCCTCGGAAGCCGACTGTGCTTCTCAGGTTGACTGCAGCAGTATGGTTAGCTGTTGAGTTCTTCTGTAGAGATTCCTAATTACTTACTCAATGGTATAAATTGCAACTTCATAAGCCAGATTGGCCATCATATCCCTTATGGGATGGTTCCGTGGCGCCGCAGGAGGAACTCCCGCAATCACACCCGGTGAGCCTACGCGGAGGAAAAAGGATTCGGGAACGTCTGGGTCGGAATCAATCCATGCATTTCCTTTCTCAACTTCGTCGCAGAGATCAAGAGATGAACATAACCAAGGATGCACTGGCAGCAGCCGTCAGCATGATTAATTGTCGACAAGTGCAATTCAATTTTCAAGCCCACATTTCGACGGACCAGTACATAACTTTCGATCACCACCATCGCTATGCATCACACTCTTAGTTCATCAAATTATATCATCAAACTAACTATTTGAGAAATATAATTATCACCATTACCAGAATGTCTTCCGCAATGAACGCCACCAATATCGCACACCTCGCCGCCATGGGGTCGCCCACCCCCGAGCCAGTTATACCATCGTTCATAGAGCTGTCTGTCCTCAGATTCACCAGTTGGCCAACTTGGTGACCCCTGCTGCTTACGCCACATGGCATAGCCATGTTCCTGAGTAGGTGAGGTTCACCTTAGCCCGAGATCGCAGATAACGTCAAGACCGTCGATCGGGCTAAGACAGACGAAATTAGTAAGTCAATTTATGCTGTTTATTCCTAATATTTTAATAGAGAGTCTTGGGTTATTTATTATATGCCTTTAACCTTACAGACTAACCTGCCTGCTAAAACTTGTCGACAGTACCGCTGCCACGAACTCCATTGATATCACTCATCTCGACGCCATCATCATCATTGGCACCACCGATAGCCTCTTTTTCTACATTACAATATCAAATTAACTTTTCAATAATGATAACTATCACTATTACTAAGCTGTTCTTACCTTCGCCATCAATGCCGCCGATATTGCAAACTTTGCCTCAATGGGATTGCCTGCCCCTAAGCTTGTCACACTATCGCTGCATTAAGACATCTGGGACCAGGCTATTATTCTTAGGATTCGTCAGTCGGCCAACTTGGCGATCCTGCTGCATACGCCGCACGACGTAGCCATATGCCTGGTTCAGAGCAAGCGAGGTTCACCTCAGCCTGAGAGTATAAACGACATCAAAACCGCCGATCTCGTCAGAAAAGATAAAAGCGGTAAGTCAATTTATATTATCTAGCCTATATCTTTAGGTCATTTATACTCCCTCTCCTATATGCTTAGGCTAACTTTCTTGTTGCCTGCCAGAATCCCGAGTCCATCGCCATAATGAACGCCGACGACCTTGTCCACCCCGAGGTTGACAATTACCCCTCTTGGAACTACGTCCATAGGAACGGATTGGCTGTTGTATGCTGCAACAACATGCGGAAGGATAATATACTCCCAACGCAGCATCAGATGAAGTGGAGTGATCTGATTACTATAAGCTGTGTTGCTGTGTTGGCAGAAGAGGGTGTGCCCGCAGACGCGATGAAGAATTGTTTGGCCATATGGCGAAACAATATCATCGATACGGACATGACGCGTCTTATCAGGTAATTACAAGCCAAATGTTCAACGCTGTCGAGCCCAGCCTCCCTCGATGTTGGCCACGACGATAACTTGTTTCATAGCATCTGACAATGGTCGAGGCATTGCCTCAATGCTCAGAGATTACCCCTGGATGTTGGGGTTCAAGACAATTGTGTCTGCACTGATTGTGCCGTCCAAGAATATGCCCAGTACTGCGTTACTACTCAACCCTGAACAGGCTTCACTTTCCAATCGCATGAAATGCGATCGTTTATCGCTATACAGCGGGCGTGGTTGTTCTCCGATGGCAGTCGTGTCTACCGACAAGAGGTTGTCAAAAGACCAACTTTTTTAAACAAAGGGCTTTGTAAGGAGGATGAGAACTGGAGCGTTGGGTGCTGGCACCGCAGCTCTAGTAAGTAGAAGGCTTTGCGACGTCAACGATGTTGGCGCAACAGGCTAAACGAACCTGATGACTATGATGATCCGATTGATAGTGTTTGGTATTGGAACATCCATTCCTGCTCCAAGTGGGTGGGTTCGAATTGTTCTTGGTCAAGCTTGGGGGGTTGGTGCGACGCGGGGGAGATGTAAATAGTATAGTATAAAGTATAACTGAGGCTCTGTTTAATCTGCTTTCAGCGGTAAAGTTAGTATATCTAATTAGATACCCGATACATCAATATTTCCTACTTGGACTCTGCAAGTCTGAAATCTGATAGCATTCGGATCTCTGACACTGAAAAGGATTCATATTGAGAATTATTGGCCAATGCTTTCTGATTTCAAGCCTCATACATCTCTTGGTTCGACAGAAGATCAATATTGAGCCACTTCTTTATAATACCTTATGGGACAAGTACTGATGAGTCTCGTGACACTCATTGAGCTGCTCAATTTGCTAGCTGGACTGTAGCCATTGATGGCCTCGCTGCTGATCTTAGGGATATAATCAATTGGGTAATGTAATAATAAAAGGTTGATGTTAGTATCTTTGTAATACGTATTAGCTGTTACTGATATCCTTTTTTATTTTACGTTATTGTGCTGTTTCCTCCCACTATTTAACCAATAACCAATAATGTGTCGTAGTAGAGCCCAGCTGTCTATAGAAGGCAAAATATGCCGTCATCGTTAGCTATCACTTCATTTATCAGTATTCATCAGCTCGTCATGCCACCGCTGTGATCGTCGTAAAGCTCTCTCCTTGCCGGGATTGTTGAACCAGCCCTCAATAACTGCTTGCTTACAAGGTTGTTCATTGAGAAATGCTTCCGATGGCAAATTCGGTCGTGCAATGGTCTCTTCAGGGTAGAAGCGACGGTCGTCAAAGAATAACCAGGCTCGCTGTTTACCGACTTTCCATGCCAAGCCATCATGTCGATTCAAAGGCAGCTGCTCAAATATAAACGATTCGCAACCATTTTTGTAATTTAGACCTGATTTAAAGAGGTCATAATACGAATCCCAACGGAGGGGTGGCTGCTCATTTGCCTGGATGTCTTGCAATCGAGCCTTCAGGGCTTTTCTTTCATCTTCTTTGGCCATGTCAAGGCGAAGGAAATCGGCGGCACGATCAGGCCCAAGACGTTCAAACTTGGCAGAGAAGGAGTTTCGAAAGCTTGAAAAGCGACTCGTAAAGAAACCCATGTCCATTGCGTAAGCGTCTGGTTCAAAGTAAAAGTTATCAGGAAATAGGAGCCCCGATTGAAGTGAAGTAGCTGATGGATTGCTTGGAAGCCAGGCATCGTCAGTACACTGAGCGAAGATCGCGCCATATAGGGAACGGAAATAGCTGGCGATGCAAAAACACGCTTCCTCCTCGGCTTTGGTGACTTTGCGTGGTCTCAGCTTAGGGTAGACGTAAAGGACAGAATCGCACTTCCTTGTTAGCGTATACATCAAAAACGCTTTTATAAACCTCGACTTTTCCAACGCCGTGAGACGTGCAGAGTCGAATTGCGGCACCACCTTGGTACCTTTGAACATAAGGTACCTTCCACCATGCGCGTCATGGATCTGCGGCAGACAGAGGTATTCTCGAGAGGGATAATACGCCGTGGCTTTAGTAATATAGTCCTCGATATAGAATATCATTTGATCGTGTAGTTTGATAAGTTGACTTGCTAGACGTTCACCGTTATCTTTGAGACAATCTGGACTTGTTAGACGGCCATCGTTATCGGTCAGGGGATCCGGGAGTTGAGAATTCAACCATTTCATCATGTGTTGTCGTGCAGACTTTGAGTGACTGTTGCTTGGAAAGCCTTAATCAAGCAAGAGACGCGGAAACGTAATAATTGCCACAGCATCTTGCATCATGATCTGGTCATAATTAAGAATCTTTCGAATAATGTGCATCTTGTGTGTACGATATTGTTCAAACATAATCGGAGAGGCTTGGACCAACCGTGATACTGTCGACAGGCTGCCGCTTGAGATGAGAATATGGACACGAAGCTCTGCGGGCAGCGTGGTAAAAGGGTCCGATCCAGAGATTGCCATCTTGTCGTTTTTCTGTGGTCTTTCACGTTGTTGAGAAGAGTGGACTTTGTGAGTTGTCGGTCGCATTGACAAGAAGAGTGAAAAGCAATCGAAGGGGGACCAACGCGACTATATATACTCTAATTTCGACGGGTTTGTAAGCCACGTCTCATGTGACGGTTCAGTGGAAATATTAACTTCTAGGCAGAAATGTGATTCACGAAGAAGAGTTCATGTCCAAGTAACCATACAACATAAACTTTAGCATAAAAGTTGTATCTTAAAGCATTTCTGTAGTCTGTCCCCCTCAAGAGCCATAAGCTAGTTGGGACATTCGAGTATCATGACCGTGAATTTGCATTTTAAATTCTTTGTATTGTATGACTCTGTTGCTGACTATCACTGGGGTAATTGAAGTAAACAATAAGCTTTTAGTTTCTTGTTTTTATCCTCATCCACCCTATCCACGCTTAAACCTTCACCTACAGTAATGAATTACTCGCGCTTTTGATCAACACCAATATTCCTGTAACTCATCATGAACGAGTTCAAGTAATGCACGTCTAATGGTGGCATAATGTATATGGGACGAAGATTGATCTTCCGTCTGATCTTCACTCGCTTGATTGGCATTGCTCAATAGGCTTAGAACTGGGTATTTGGGAGACCTTTTATACAAAGTTCAAGGTTAAACCTAGGTAATAGTAACTTGATGTACGAGTGCAAACTTCTATTAATAGACTTTTGGTGAATCATGGTATGGGTTTCCGCAACCTAGGTTGTCAAAGCTTTGCAAGTGGTACATTGAGTTATAATTGTACATTGTGTGCGACACTCGCCGACCTGGCATTACCAACATGCAAAACAGTGTCACTCGGGAGATGATTTGCATATGGTGTAATGATAGAGCGACGTTGTGACATCATCAATGTACCAATGACTTTTTTGGCGTGCAGCTTTGTCACAAAAGATAGGGCTTATAGCGCAACCTTGTTCTCACATAATACGAGAGCAAATTGAGACATATAAATGAAAGTTCATGGCGGATCACAGTGGGAGAATTAGATAAAACACATCTTGACATTGTGATACAAGACTCGGCAATAATGTGAGACCCAGCATCAATAGAATACACTGTGATGTGAAGCGAGTCCACATACGAAGTACAAATCCCACTATTTGTATGGCTAGCAAACGTAGATGGTTGTAGACATCAAAGGTTGTACAATCTATCAGCTACTGTTCACAATCTATCTTGCATTGGTAGCCAGAGTCAGGTCTCTCAAACCAGCGTCTGTCGATTGAGTAGATGGCAGATATACCTAGTTTCAGGTGGAACCATTCAGTCACGCTAAGCTTCTTTGATAATTTTCCTCAGATTCTTCTTATGGAAGTCTTGGCTACACTCTAATCTCGCAGACATTGCATCTACTACTACAGACATGGTTAATGAGGTATTATCTGACAATTCCATTTATCTTATCAAGAAAATTCAGGGTCCAATGTCGCTTAGTCTGGGAACCTTGATGGACCCTTGACAACCGAGTAACTTCTGTCCAATAGAAGATGCGGGATTATTAACATGAAGAATCTATCTATGACCGGTTCTGACGCACACAATTTCCATTCTCTACAATGTTCAACATTTAAACTTTGAGGATAAAAAGTAACTTCTGCAGCTGTATCACATGTGTTGCTGAAGCTAATTTGTTTTGGTAGTGGTTGACTATCTTTGGGGCGATACGAGTAAAGAGGAAAAGAAGTTGATACGAAAACTCGGTGCGTCACTCCCGCTTTTGTGTTTGGATATTGCTGATAATTCCTAGACTTTTTTATTCTTGTAAGATATAATCTTCCCTGTTTTGTATCCGTCTGTGGACTGAACAAGGTAGACATTTTGCTGTTTCAGCTTCTTCTTTAACCACCTCGGTAAGCCCTGTCATTCACAAACTCGAGAACTCAGGTTTTAACTAGTGCTTTAGATAGACAGGCCTTTGCCAATGCATACGTACGTCCATGACCGAAAAATATTGAAGCGCCTGACTGACCATGAGATAGGTAGCGGGTTTGAAAGAGGCTCTTGACCTTCATGGCAACCAGTACAATGTTCTACTATCAATGACTTCAGCGGGGTATGCGATAAACCCCTCAGTCATTTCTCAAGTCAACTAACAGACTCATAGAATGTTGGTCGGACAGATACCAAGCAGTATCATCATCCACAAGATCAGACCTCGAATATGGCTATCTTCAATGGTCGTCACCTGGGCGGGCCTGACAATGGCGAGTGCAGCTTGTAGGACATACTCTCAACTGTGCGCCGTTCGATTCCTCATGGGTGTAGCTGAAGCCAGTACTTACGCTGGATCAATCTACATCATGGGCTCGTGGTAGTAAGTATGTCATGCGTCTTTACCAGTGCCATGCTTACACCCTCATAGCAAGTCGGATGAGATCGGCAAACGAACAGCCATGTTCACCGTTGGCGGTCAAGTCGGAAAGATGTTTGCAGGCGCCATGATGGCTGCTATCCACCAGTCTATGGAAGGCCATGCTGGACTCGCAGGATGGCAGTGGGTGTTTCTGATTGACGGCATCATCACACTACCCGTTGCTGTGTTTGGCTTCTTCTTCTTTCCGGATGTCCCAGAGTATACCGACGCTTCATATCTAAGCGAGAAGGAACGACAATTAGCCCTAGATCGATTGCCACCCAAAAGAGAAGACGGCCATAGTATTCAAGCTTGGAGTCTTATCAAGAGAGTTCTGGGAAATCCTTTAGTGTGAGTCAATGCTTGGTCAATGTTGTGTCACCGATGCTGATGAATTTACAGATACGTCTTTTGTGTCTTGTCCGTTCTTGGTTCAGCTCTCCAATCATACGTCGTTCAAGGACTTATGCTACTTTACCTGAAGTACCGCAAAGACATTGACGGCTTTACTCAAACCGAAGTCAATACCCTGCCAATCCCAACCCATGCCGTCGGTATCGTCGCCGAGTTCTCTATCTCGTTTGTTTTTGATAGATACAACCAACGAATGTCACTCGGCTTCATACTCTGCCTAGTTCAGATCATCTGCAGCATCGTCCTTCTGATCCCGAACATGAGTGTACCAGGCAACCTCACAGCGTTGTACCTTTCAGCTTCAGCGTATGGCATAGCTCCTCTGACATACGGCTGGGCGAGCAACATTTTGGCAAGAACGGCAGATGATGCAGCACGAAGCGTGACTCTGGCGTCCATGACGGCTGTAGATGGTCTTTTATGGACGTTCTGGGGCATTGTGCTTTTCCCAGCTGACGATGCCCCTTATTGGAGGAATGGATATATCGGGATGATATGTGTCAGCGTTGCACTTTCTGGGTGGTTGTTTGCGGTTCGATGGGTATGTTTCATTGTGAGATTGATGTTTGGTTATGCTAATGAAAGTAGCTTGACCGTTATACGGCTGAAAAGTATCCTGCTGGGGAACATACGAGTGCTTCGTCTTTGGTGCCGACTCAGGTTAATTACTCTACCATGAGTCAACCAGAAAAGGGAAATGGAACGGCATAGACAAGACGATAATAACAGCGAGGGTGACAAACAACTGAGACAAAAGACAAGAAACGTCAACCTAGAAGCTCCAGGGTAGTGATATAAACAACTTATAACTACTATACATTAACATAAAGTAACGCACCAATTAAATCACCCACATTACACCTGTAAAATACTTCGATACGGAGGACTGACCTACACACGTCCTCTATAACTTCGTCGACTTCCTCCTCGAGATCCCCCCCTACCGCCCCTACCTCCACCACTGGGACTGCATCTGAAGCACCTCTTATCATAATAACCAGGTATTCCTCCCCTCGGCGCGGGAAAAACCTCGTTGTCAGGATAAAGCGTACAAGAGCCCTGTATTCCTGGTTCCTCTCCAGGTGTAAAGTTGATCAATTCGCACGCAAACTGTTCATAGTTGAAACAACTCGTGGCGCAATCATACACCGTCCAACTTGGGATAGTATAGCTGTCGCCGTCTTTAAACGCTCCGCGGGCATTGCAATTCAGTTCTTCTGTTTCGATCTCGGATTCAGCTTTTAGTTCGTAATTGTCGCAGGTAGATGTTGTAGCTGAAGCTTCGGATGTAGTTGTTGCGGTAATCTCTGTGGAGGTCGTGGGAGAAGGCTTGCAGTTACTTGCGCCAACACCTGAAGCAGCCAGGGCTGCGACGGCGACAGCGATGGCCTTTGTGGAAGGCATGCTGAGTCTCAGCCTTTTCAATTGAGAATTCAGGTATTGCGTTGGAAATAGAAGTGTTCAGGGGAAACCCGCCCTCATATATGAAGACCCCTGTAGTTAGCGTCAATAGTCGCACGCCACATTCGATAGCTTCATTGACGTTTAATTAATCCACAGTCTAGTCTAGATCTACCTACAATCTTGGTAGCACTTGATTTCCAAGCTTAGGGCAGGGTAATAAATAGTGTAAAAAAAAACTGAATGAAATAATATAAACTAACCTGCTTTTGTCATCCCTTATGCTTCCAGCCCCAATTCTTCTGCTACCCTGTGGCCTGGAGGTTTAGAGCTTGGCTAGTTTTGTTTTACAGTGCAATTGATATTCTGGGACAATCCATGAACAAGTGTCTTCACTTTTCAATTGATCTTTGTTTCGTCCATCAACATTTAACCTTCTTCGTGACGAGACTGTATGCTGCGGGCGTCGCCACGCCCAATAAACTAATCGAGTAAAACACAGGTATGACGAACAACTTGCAGTATGAAACCACAGGTACCCCAACTTGCTCCGCTAATAGACACAAAACACAAATCATCACAAGACTTTTTGTTGAGATAAGAACCTCTTTCCGCACCCATAAAAACTCCGGGTATCTGAGTGATGAGGATTGCAGATGAAAGTCCAGGATCAGGCGTCCTGCCACTACAAGGGTCAGAAACGCCGATGAGGGGAGGACAAGTCGTGGACTTGAAGTGACTTGTGAAAGACCCCAATGTGTGAAGCATACTGCGTGGATGAAGACGCCACCACTTAGTATGAATTCTGGACTCCGTCCCAGCTTTTTTGAAGCTAGTAGAATTGACTATAAACAAACAAGTCAGTACTTTGGACACCGAGTTCTTTATCACAGCATGTTGACATACCTCGAATGGGATAGTCAGCAACGGGATGACGGTAACCCATCCCGAAGGCATAATCGCAGTAAGCACAGTTGGAAACGAACAGATAATCGCAGACACCTTTAGCGCACGACTCCATCCGAATGAACAGCGGCTCATCTTGTCGCTGTACTGTTGAAGTGATCCGATATGCGCGTTGATAAGAGTGGTCGGTGGACGTCGATGTGCTCGTGATAATGCATAGTTGAACAGCAAATATGTAAGACAAGACAAACAAAGGGCGAACGAGTAATCCTGGAGTCGAAAGTTTTTTTTGCCCCAGTTGGAAGGTATATACAGGCAAAATGAAAAAATGGATGCCAACGCCATCATTCGCATACTGACAAAGTAGTGCCAGTTCTTCATGAGGGTGTGATTAAAGGTTGCCACAACCCAGAAAGCATCAGTTCCAGCCATGAGACTCAGAGCTAGCCAGACGTCGCCACAAAGTAAAGCAGCGGAGCTCCCATGATCATGTGTCTCATTTGTTGTGAGATCCGAGGATAAGATTGATATATGGTTGACTTGATCGATAATGGCTGGTGATGTGATTGCCAGGCGACGACGAGATGGTATTAGCTGGTCTTTCACTTTCGGCAAATACAAGAGTGTCGTTGTGTAGAATGTGAACAACATTATGACGAAAAGTTGAACTAGAAGAAATTTGTGCGTATTTCTGTCTCTAACATCAAAGGCCATGACCGGCCTAGAATCCTTGGTATCCATGGTGAGGTACGAGAGAGATAAGAATAGCCGAAAGATAAGAATATAGCCAGTTATTGTGACAGAAACTTTCTTGTTGTCGGGGACAAATCAACCTGATATTTTGAGAAGTCGAGGAATATTAATAGATGTAAGAAAAACAGAAAAAGAAACACAGCCTCTCAAACATGGGTATCCCCGCCCCATAACGGCGGATGGATTAATTTATCTGTGATGACTGCGAACCCCCTAAATCATTGTGGCTTTGTGGAGACTTCCCTGCTAGTCATGTTAAGGCTGCAGCTAATCTTGCTTGTTCCAGCTAACAATTTATCGGTAACCAGGACAGGAACTGCACTTGCTTGCGAATTTTCTTTCTTTTCTTTTCTTCTTTTTCTTAAAATTGCTTTCAAAAGCAACGTGCCAGTGGCTGTCGTGCATGAACGACAGCCACGCCGCCATGATAAATAACTTATGAGGCGAAAATACATCAATACAAAAATTGTAGAGGATCAGCCTTACGGTATTGCATCGTAGATAGAGTTTAGATAGTTTGAAACCTAGACTAGATAGGCGTGATCCTAGTCAAAAAGGCCCTCCTTCTATTGGTCAAACAAGTTGGGTAAAAGAAGCTATTGCATCAGCTCTGCCAAGTGCAAGTAGGCTAAATGTTGTTTTCGGCGCCTCAAGATGTGGACTCTGTGCCACTTATCACACAAGTACATCTTTTCTAGCGTATTGATCAAGGCTGGTATAGAGCTAATGTAAGCCTCTGACTGTTTACTGTGATAACTAGTTGGGCTCCCTGCTCGCTGGCGCACCAATGAGTGTCCGTCTTGATAGCACACTGCACCAAATAAGTTTGGTGGAGGCTAATATTACATTGTCCTCGAGGCTTAAAGTCGGTCCAGACGTTTGGTCTTGTCGGTGAGCAAGACGACAAGTTTGCATGTGGCTGTGCTTAGCCGTACCACCAACATTGCCAATCACATGCTCAGGTTTGCCATGTGAAGTAACTAGCTACCTGGCGTGCGCTCTGTGTTCTGAAGCCTTGCCATTTCCAGTAATAACCTGTATATATACAGACCAAGATCGGCTTCACGAAAGGCTCTTGCATACCACTCCCGGCCATTCATTGCTATCTCCTTGGCAATCCTTTGACCAGATTTCGTTAGTGTAAGAAAAGACACTAACTCGGGAAGCTCCTCCATGCTCTGGCTTACAGGTACGTAGTGTAGCCATGGTACAAGACGGTCATCATGCCATTCCCGAAGAAGTGTCTGCTTTAGCGGCATTGATTTTGAAGCAAGCAACTTGTAAAAGCGACCACTAATACCATTACCATCAATGTCAAAAGCGAGTTTTGATTTTAGTGCTGCATCTTTGTCGACCCATGCTTTAATTCCAAAATGCGCATCCTGATCCCTGCAAGATTTTCTTTCACACTGAAAGATACGTGTAAATGCGACATTGAACAATCTTCCGTTGAGGAAAGAAGATTCTACACGTTTGGCAACGCCATTTTCGATCCTGAGGTAGTAGTTTCTCTTCTTTTGATTTTGTGCTAGCTCCACGAATCGCTGTCGGTGGAAGAGTTGCCAATTGGTATTGGTCGCGTACCCTCCAGTGGTCGATCCAGCCCAGTAGAGACCATTGCGCTTTTGATCCCATTCAACATCCGATGCCTCGTCATATATAAACTCGCTCTCTGTATATGCAGGACTTGGGAACAAAATATCCCTCATTGTAGATAGTGTACCTGTTGAGAGCACAGGAAGTGGGCCTTTGATGGGGCGGAAAGAGACAGGACTCGATGTGAGGCCATGCCGGTCATTATATTCAGGATGCCGACACAGATCTTGGCTTGATGTGACGTTGGTAACGAATGGCAGTCCGGAGTTTTTGATACCATCTTCCTCTTTTTCCCCATCATGGATTGAATGACAAGTCATTGTGATTAAGTCCCAAACAGACTTGTGGCTGTGGTTCTCAACACTTATCTTCCCGTCTTGTGCAGAGTGGTCGAGAACTCTGGGTTCATCTATGTGGTTAACCAGGAACTGGACGTCAGGAAGTTCTGTAGCGTTCATCAAAGTGCTGTTGAACATTCGTGACATGTGCCGGTCAAATGTCTGGTGTAGATGACTACATTCCGTCTTTAGTGTTGCACTCGAAAATTGACAGAGCCATAAATCTATCCCTGGTAGTCTTAGAGATTCTCTCATTGCCTTTTGGATGTCCTTTCCACTGAAAGATCGCAGCGCAGATATCGACCGATGTATCGTATCAAACTCGTCAATCAAGGGCGACCCGAGCGACCTTGCTCGTTGGAACCAACTCTCGAACCCTGGTGGTGGGTCGAGACCGTATCTCGATCGATACTCGCTGGATGCCATTTCATAACTGGTGGATTGTCTCGCCAGCATGTTTTGAAACCCATATCGGGAACGGTTGAATAGAACTTCCACGGGATGGGAGTTACTTTCACTGAAAGTCTGGGCCTCTAATTGGGCTCTGTGGATGGTAACGATGGTTGCCGAGTACGGGATTAAAGGTAGAAGAATGGCAGAGATCAATACCCATTTTGGTCTGACTTGCTTCGGAAGAACTCCACAGATTTGTGCAAGGGTAAGTAAAGATCCCAGTACGTGTGATACAGCCTGACTCTCCGATGAGAAGTTGAATGGATTGTGGGTAGACAGTAAACTGAAGGACGCTAGCATCGATGCTAGACTCCAGGAAGAGCAGTGAGCCTAGATCTGTCATTAAATAAATGCCTTTGTCTTGGTCGTGAATGTGCCACTTACACTTTGGGCGGTGTAGAACCAGGCCAAGGCTTTCATAATTCCCAACAGTAAAGAAGATAGGGCATTGCTTGATGGTAGTCCAATCAATGACACTCTTGCAAAAAGGGCAATCAGAAGTACAACTACTACCCTTGGTGCAAGGGAGTAAATGCATTTTTCAAATGGCGGTAGGGTAGGCAGTATCGATCTTTGCCTATTCTCGACCAGAAATGCGCCGTAAACAACAAAAGAAGAACTACTGACAATAAAGGATGGGATGAGCCCCCTGTAACTCCAATTTGCGAGTGTGAGGACGGAGAAGAGAGAAATGGCCGTCACGGCGGGCTTGATTTTGGATATTACAGCAATGAAAGAATCACGACCTGATTGGGTTTCCGGATTTGATCTTCTTTCAGCCAGGAGGAGCAAGGGGGTGAGTGCCGGATGTTCAAATTTTAGCAACAGACAAAAGATCAGAACACTCTTGATTTTGACTCACTAAAAGCTTCGCCGAGTTTGCCTCGGCTCGAAAAAAGGACACTATTGATAGACATGCGGCGACAGCCCACAGGCTGAGCGGACGGGCCGGCCGGAACTCGATGTTGGTGAGAAATCTTGAATCTGAATCGTTTTTTTCGTTGGAGGCGCATATCCTATGAATCAGGGGTAAAGAGACCCAGCAGATAATTTCTGATAATAGCTCATCTTCTCTCCGAAAAAGAAAATTGCTTGTCACGGTAGAGAGCAGGGCTAAAGTAATTGATAACTCTGGTGAGAACATGGTGTAACGCCACCAAAATCGAAATGCTGAAGATGGCTTTACTGAGTTCAAGATTCTTCTCCGGGACATATGGATAGGCAAGGGTTTGCTTGTGTTGGTAGTTAGAAGTTCTGGCAAATGCATACTATGGAACCTCCAGGATATCAGTATAAACTTGATAGAAGGACCTGTTCGACCCATATGTCTCACGGCAACTATTTGCCGTACATAGCCCATAAAACCCTATGAAAATCCCGTATTCTTGTTCTTGTTGGTTGTGTATTTGAACGCTGTTGGTTGTACCCTTGTTGCTAATGAAGCTGTAGATAGATCACTATCCTAAAAAGACAGCTTTCGGGAGAAGTCACGTTGCCGATCATGCCATGGACATGCCCGGGCACCATTCTAGACTCATTTGATCCCCATACATTGCTGAAAATGCTCGTGTTATTAGTCCTGTTAATTGTGTGTTTGAACTCTGTTGGTTATACCCTGGTTATAATTGACGACGCTACAGATGGATCCTTGACCTGAAAGGACAGTTTCCCAAAGTAGTGACATTGCAGATCCTGGTACAGTCTCGCCCGGGCCCTTTTCGGCACTAATTTAGTTCTCATGGAGAGCCCTCAGGGGTCAAGAAAACCTGGCCGCTGGAAGCATATGAGACGAAATTAGCAGGTCAGTTCGTTATACTCAGACCATGTTTTTTAGACTATTTATTCCTGTACCCTGAGACTCCATATGCCGAATTTTCTGTTGACGATGTCATGCCGTGAGACTCATTGGATGCTCATCCCGCCAAAAGCCCCCCCCCTGTTTTGCCTAAATGTTTTATGCCCCTGCTCGCTCCACAACGAGTAACTTGCGTTTCTTGTGGATCTCCCTATCATGGCCCGTCGAAGGACATCACGTCGTCTGAGGTATGAAGAGTTGGAAATATACAGAGTTTACATGGTTGCATAATTTGTATAATAGACACTCTTCAGATAAGAAGATGCTTTGTATGTGTATCTCAGTTGTGTATCTCCCAGCTGTAAGTATGTAAATGTATTACTAGATTACTATCTATATAGCCTCAATTTGGCCAAGCATTCTTCTAAGTTAAAGATAAAGATATAATCCTTTTGGCTTTAGACTAGCTATGAATTAGTGGCAGCTCATCCAACACCTGCAGAACCATGGCACATCAAAGTCAGCGCGTCACCGCTTCGGCTCGTCGCTCGTTGACATTGTTGGACCAACAGGCCCATTTTCATGCCGTAAACCCAACTACACAACCAACAACAGGTTACATGGCGGTCAACATACCAGCTGGTAGAAACAGGAAAGGACAGGACTCAAGACCTCGACTCTATCGTCTCAGCAGCAAATCTCAGTTTCTCAGAGGTGCTGAAAAACGTATAAATAGTGCCTCCTATCCTTTCTGGACAACCAAATCACCACTGATCATCTCATCATCTTGAACACCTCTTACCTAAGAACTTATCTTCCAATCAACATGCAATTCATCAAGCTCACTCTCCTTACAATCGCTACATTTCTCTCCCTCGGAGAAGCATGCAAGTGTTACGGAAGCAAGGGAAACCTCAACAACGGCGCAACTCACAAGTGTTGCCAAGACTACAAGGGTGTTTACTCTGGCAACGACTGCAAAGACGGCTCTATTTCCGAACACCTCAGTGGATTCGACCGCTGCTGCAAGGGACAGGGCTCAGACTGTGACTTTCCCCGCCTTGCCGCTGCTGACACCAAGATGGTCAAGGCTACTAAGCACGTCGAGTTCAAGACTGCCCTTGCTGCTTGAGGAATCGACTTCTGACTGTTGGGTTAGTAACGTTGATTGAATCATCTGACCTGATCACATATTAATCGCTGCGATGCAGACCGTACAAGATGTTTGAAAGAATATAGGCAGGGACAGGGGTAAGGTGAACAAACACAGGAACAGTATACGTTACCATGAAGGATAACGTTGATTTGTAAAAAATCAAATAAAAATAATTATTATGTCATAGTATTATTGCCTACTTACACTTGTCAAACTTTGAGAATACGATGGGCGGGAATCGTGTCATTTCAAAGATCCACAATATACTTGTATTTTCAGACAAAACACAAGCGATAAGTAAATCGATATATTCGATACTTGAGAGCTGAAGAAGTTTCCCTTCCAATGGCTCTCAATAGAATGATTCCAAAGTTTGAGGGTATTTCAATTTGATGTTTTTATAAACATACTAACGTATTTGATAAGCGAGCGACGCAGATAAGCGAGCGACGCACTTTTCCCTCTTACATCTAACTTTTTATCTGATTAATTAGTTTTTAACAACCAGTAATGTCACAACCTTCAATTGAAGCAAGAACAGTACTAGCCCTTTAGGCCATTCAAAATAACCCAATATTAAGTACCCGACGCGCTGCAAAAATGTATCAGATCTCTGAGCCTAGGCTACGTCGCCGTCAAAATGGCATTCAATCGCGACGCGATTCTATCCTAAATTCGCGGAAACTATCTGATCAGGAAGAGGATGTAATAGTCTAATTCATTCTTGACCTAGATTCGCGAGGATTTCCCTCTTGATTGCGTTTTATGGAAGAAATGGCTAATTCCCTTCTTGCTGACCGCGATGCGCCACCTGTTAGCACGCGCTGGGCTCATAACTTCATTAAGCGACAACCAGAGCTAAAGACGCGTTTATTTCGGAGATATGACTATCAGAGAGCTAAATGCGAAGATCCTATGATTATTCGTGGCTGGTTTCGGCTTATAGAGAACACAATCGCAAAGTACGGTATCCGATCAGATGATATCTGGAACTTTGATGAGACCGGCTTTATGATGGGCATTATGCAGTCCGGAATGGTCGTTACAGGTGCAGAAAGGCAAGGAAGGCTAAAATCAGTATAGCCAGGAAACCGTGAATGGATTACTGTGATCTAGGCGATCAGTGTCGAAGGTCAATCGATCCCACCGTTTATCATTAGTGCAGGCCAATATCATCTTGCGAATTGGTACCGAGAATGCAACCTCCCCGGCGATTAGGTTATTGCATTGAGCCAAAATGGATAGACAAATAACTAGCTAGGTCTTGACTGGCTGAAGCACTTTGATAAGTCTACAGCTAAGCGAACGAACAGTCGCTATTGCCTCTTGATCCTCGATGGTCATGAAAGTCATCACTCTGTCGAATTCGAGAGATATTGCAAGGATAACAAGATCATTACCCTCTGTATGCCTGCTTATGCATCTCATTTACTTCAGCCTCTTGATGTTGGGTGCTTTGCAGTGCTTAAGAAGGCATATGGGCAAGAGATAGAGCATCTGATCAGATGCTCTATAACCCACATTTCCAAGACTAAGTTCTTTGATGCCTTTCACGCCGCTTTTAAAGCTACTTTTATTGAAAGAAATATACGAGGAGGCTTCAGAGGGGCCGGGCTTGCTCCCTTTGACCCTGAGCATATCATCTCGAAGCTTGATGTGCAGCTACAGACCTTATCGCCTCCAAAAGAGGCAGCTGAACCTTCCACTCCTTGGACTTCAAAGACCCCAACGACAGCAAATGAGGCTCAATCTCAGACTGAATACCTAGAGAGTCGAATCAGAAGGCATCATAGTAGCTCTCCAGAGTCAATTATTGAGGCTATCCAGTCTCTTACTAAGGCAGTAAAGAGAACTATGTATGAGACTACCCTTATGAGAAATGAGATCCGAAACCTTCGCGAGGGAAATGAGAAGCTAAGCCGGCGCCGAAGGTAAAAAAGAACTAGGTTATAGAAAGGAGACCCTATAACTGTAGAGGAAGTATCACAAGTAATTGATCAGATAGATGTTGATATGCAGGTAGTGGGCGAGTCATCGAGAAGTGGTGGTCGAGGAAGGTCGGTCGGACCGGGTATTCGGCGATGTGGTGTATGCGGCAAGACCGGGCATAATGCAAGGACCTGTCAGGTAGTTCCGGAGGCATCTGGAGATGAGTATAGTAATTGATTTTAATTGATCAGATAGTCTGTTGTATTTTTATTATAATTTATCTTAAGAAGGTTGAGATTTTTGTCCCGCTCGCTTATCTGTCCCGCTCGCTTATCGCGTACGTTAGCCAGTTCTTTCATCAAATATAACCATCATCTCCTGGACCGGACCGTCTCAAGCCACGCCATCCAAATCTAAGAAGTCTACCTGGAATGATCATCCATAAGGGGGATGGTTCACTAAGTCCAACTGATTGTCAGTCTCATTGTGATATTGTATCAGCAGCCTCCTGTGGTAATCCCTCACCACCCCCAAGAGACCCTGGTGCCCCTGTAGATGGCAAACCTCGAGCTCACCCTCTGTCCTATTGGAACACCAACACGGCCCGCCACCAAACTTCATGCGCAAAAGCGGGGCGGGGAACATGATGCTAACGCGAATGAGTTTGTCCCAACGACGCGGCATGTCGTGTCGCGACGCCACGAGCCGTAGAAGATCCCACTTGTCACCTTCGAACTTATGGGCATCTACCAGACTGTGGGCGTTTTGAAGAGCTGTAATTTTGCATTCCGTAGTTTGTTCACACTTGCATGTAGTCCTGTTAGGCATCGTCTTCGTGTGGAGTGTGATGGCCACGATGGACCGTCTAGACTCTGGACCCTTAGGCCGTGTGAACAGCACTAGAAGCGGGTTGCGGGGAGGGTTACGGACTGTTCCATAGCCCGTGCCGACGCTACCATCTCCTAGCTTCACGGGAACATTGTGTTTAGAGCCTTGGCTGCTGTGGCTCGCGCCAGAGGAATTCGTGGCGATGGACAGATATGAAGATATACTATTGGAGCGATTTTGACGTTCTGGCTGGCGAAACTGATCTGTTGTGGTCATAGGTGACATTGTGGGGGAATTGACCGTGTTAGACGACCCATTTGCTGGAGGTGAAGTTCGAACATCAGGGGGTGATACAGTCTCCCATCTCTCTGGCAGGAGGTTTTGGCCAGTCCAGTCCCAACTCTTCCGCACAAGTGGAGGCGAGGTTCGAAGGTTAGGGTTGCTTATAGTGCCGCATCTGTTTGGCAGGATATTTGAGCCGTTCCGGTCCCAACTCTTCTGCACGAGTGACGGCGTAGACAAACCATAGCCAGATGCCCGACCTCCCTGATCGTTGGCTGGTGTATCCTCTGCCGAGCGATCGGCATCGGTCCACTCTTTCGGTATCCATATTTGTATGGTTGCATCGTGAAGATCTCCCAACTCGTCACCATAGTCCCCACTCATGATGAACCTGACTATCGCACGAGGCCTAGGCGGGTTAGCTATGTCTGCAATCATCCATAGTTTGACAACCTATGAATGAGGGAAGAGAAGACTCACTCCATATAGCCGTCCACAACCTTGAAACCGGTTAGAATTGCCTGAAATGCCAGAAGATCTTGCAAGAAAAGAAACCTGTAGTGGCGTTGTGTTTTATTCTCGTCAACTTCAATCATGATCTCTGGTGGCCGAGTTGCCGTGCTGCAGCCTAGCGGGTCTGCATATAATGGAATGAGGACAGTGGATCGGATGTCGAAGTCGAGATCTTTTGGATCCTCTATCGGTGGCTGGCAGTTTGACTCAATGGTCTCAACGATTTTAAACCGGTAATTAGAGCCCAATTGTCTCTGTAGTTTTATCTCGCGTCGAGAGATGTTAGGCGACAGGGTCGCCAAAGGCCTACGATGTCAGTTCGGCTTCAGTGTATATGGAATATCAAAGAGGGAACTTACCCTTGGAACAAAGAAATGTGTTCCACCAACGGCTCTTTCGGTGCTACCACCGTTCGAGGTTCGTCTTCGGGCCAGAAGGCAAGAATCTCATCCCTACACATTGAAGTGTCAGGTACAATCATTACACTTTGAACACGAGAATATGCTTCCGACAATTCCTGCAATATGATCAGCATTACTAAATCGTTCATAAGATAACGCGCATATGAATCGTACCTCTTCAAGACCCCGGATGTACCCAGGCCAAACAGACGTTCTCCGTGGGTTCTGTATATCCTCAAGCTCCTTCATCCTATTCATGAGTACCTGGCATTTAGCAAACGGCAAGTAGTTAGGCACCCAGGTTGCGTTGTGAGGAAAGCTATTCGAGCCGAGTTGAGGTTGAAATGTAGCCCTCTGGAGATGGTACAGAAAACAATCTGCCATTAATGACAACTCAAGAGGCCGACGCCGCTCCAGCATGCGCTCCAATCTGCCCAACAAGTTCTCTGATATTCCGACGGCGCAAATCTCTGTCTCGAGCTCCTTCTCAATTTGTCTGGCGAGGATTGGATTCTGATCTTGGAGCAAGGCCGTCACGGTCCTCATGACTCCATGTAGACCCATGTGCATTGTTTGCATTCTCCGAATCAAGTCGTTGTGGATGTTAGTAACTAAGTCACTGTAGAAGCATAGTGCGTTAGCAGAAGATCCAGACTTCTCATTATTTAATTGGAAGTAGGTAGAGCAGGCGGGTAGTCTCACATCTGGAAGGGTTTAAGAACATGTTGGATGCGAGTGGAGTGCATCTGAATTCGACCTCTCAGATGTTCCACTTGAGGCATAATGTTGATATTCCAGTCAATGTTCTTGATAGGGCCCGTTGTCTCGGCGTAACGCCTATTATCTCTGAGGAGCTGATCGCATTCCATTAGAGTGGCATTGTAATCTCCAATGACTTCCAATAACGAGTACTGGTCACCACCCAAGCTGTCTCTCGCCCGCGCTCCATGGCTACGGAGAGATTCCTGGGCTCTTCTGACGGCGTTCTCGAGCTCTGTGAGGTTGTTGTGAAGTATGCGTACATCGGAACCAAAATCACGATAGTGTTGACCTTCTCGACGTCAGCTGCTTTATTCAGAAGTTGACACGGATAATTGGTAACGAACTGACCTGCATTATTCTCCCTTGCCCACCCATATTCCCAAACAGTCCAGGCAAACTCAGCAAACTTGATTGCGTCTCCGAGCTGAATAACGCCAGCCATAATCACTGAGTAGTTAAATGATGATCAGTGTAGTCAACCTTGTGGACGATTCCGGGCGGATTAAGTAGCCAGGGCGCGGGGGGTGGTCGGGTATCTGTTAATGTACTAAGAGCTCGTTAGAGCCGCAACGGGCGAACGAAGGGCGGGGTCAACGGCAAGGCAGACAGCAGATGTCTCCTTGAGTTTGACATCAGACGTGGTGGCTGCATGGGAGGAATGTAAGCAGCTTCAGCTAAGACTTTGGCAACAGTACTAGGAGGACTGGTTGACTATGTATCCGGTAGACCATCGAAAGCCTCATATGCATGTGTTGTTCAGCTGCCTTGGCTATGCACCCTCGATTCTACGCAACATCTTCTCTAAAAACTGGAAAAAAGCCCACTCCTTGTAGGTGTAGAGAGCCTAGTGGTTAAAACAAGGCAGTTGGTGGCGTCTTTTGTCTTTGCCAAGCCTGTTGGCTTTCAAGCTTAAGTCTCGACCGTTGCTTTGTCTGACTGGATGCGCACCTTATTTCTTTGTTGAGCTTGTAATTAAGTATTTATCTCATGACGCGTCCCCTTGGGAAGCTCAATTATATCTTCTCGTAGCTTGAATGCTTGCAAGAATCATCTTCCGTCCTGTCCGGTTCACATTGCATGCTCAAGTCAAGCGTCTCATTCTTCGCACAGGCTGAATTCTCCCCAATTTGATCAATCATGGACGTCAGACAGCCTGCCGAATATCCCGGCGACTCCCGTCGGCCTGAGAACGAGGTCAATCCCAATGATGGAGATCTTGCCCGGATGTTCGAAGGAATGCCAATCAACAAGAAGCAATTCGTCACTGAAGCCCCAACGGAGCCATTTAAGCTTACTTACATCGACGTCACGTGCCTAGTAATAAACAGAATGATAGGTATGTTTATATGCTATATCGCTTCCTTGTCAAAATAAGAAAAGCACTAAGCAATGACTGCTGAACAGGGACCGGAATCTTCGATAGCCCCAAGGCGGTGATGATGGGAGTCGGCAGTCCGGGCATTGCAATCCTCTTCTGGCTCTGCGGCTGTGTCTATGCTCTCGCCGGAGCTCAAGTCTACGTCGAGTATGGGCTGAACGTACCGCGGTATGTAATCGACGGTGTCGAGCAATCTGTCCCACGATCGGGAGGCGACCTCCATTATCTCCAATACGTTTTCCCATGGCCGCGGTATAAGAAAGGCATAGTGATGCTCAGCGGTGTCTTATATGGCATCAGCTTCATCTGTATCGGAAACATGGCCGGTAATTGCATCAATTGCGCGTTTCGCCTCGTCGAGGCTGCGAACCCCGGAAAGAAGCCTAGCGATCTGAACGAGGGAACCATCCGTGGTATCGCTATCGTCATTGCGATATTTCCATGCTTGATCCACGCCTTCTCTCGCCGGGGTGGCATCTTGCTCAACAACTTACTTGCCTTCATCAAGGTCTTGATGCTGATCTTCATGATCATTGCCACCTGGGCCGTTGCTGGTGGGCCGAAGGGGGTGGAAGGGATCCCCGACGTGCCAGAAGACCTAACCCATGAACCAGAGCCCTACGATGAGGGTAACGCCCATGCACAGGCCTTCCTATCTATCAGTAAGTATCAGGCTTGCCATCCCGCGAAGAACGACAACGACTAACCGAAACAGTCTTTGCCTTTTCTGGTTTTAACCAGCCAAACTATGTTAGTAAAACATTCGCACCGGCAGGTCAGAAAAGACTAACTCTGGTCAAAGGTTCTAGGAGAAATCAAGCACCCGCGGAGGACTTATCCTCGATCCATGTGGTGGGGTGTCAGCCTTGTGTCGATATTATATATGGCCGTCAACATCTGCTATGTAAGCTTTGCACCGGCTGTCTCTAAGTTATGCATGGCATCCTTGATTGACCCATATCCATTACAGATGATAGTCGTCCCAAAAGAAGACCAACAGAAAAGAAACGTGGCACAGGCCTTTTTCTACACCGTCTTCGACGCTACTACCCAACAAGAACAGTACACAATCAAGCGTGCTGTTAACGCATTCCTAGCTATCTCAGCGTTCGGCAACATTGTTGTCATGACATACACGGCAGCACGTATGAAGCAAGAAATTGCGAAGCAGGGTTTCCTACCTTTTACAAGCTTCTTTGCCAAGAACAGAGACGTCAGTCTGGGCAAGTTCCTTATGTGGCTTGAAAGAGGAGAACGAAAATCAACAAACCAGCCTGTGGGGAACGGGCAGGGGTATGACCCACGGAAGGTCGCTGGTAATCGTAAAAAAGGCTCCCGTTTCTTCATGTTTCTCAACCCTTCCAACCACCGAGAGAAGACGCCTGTCGGTGCTCTCGTCCTCCATTTTGCTAGCTGTATCGTGCTTATCCTGGCCACGTACAACAGCTCAGCGGAGAATGCCTACGCAGTCCTTTCCAGACTTGTCGCTTATTTGACATCAGCATGGTTTGGATTCTTCCTTTCCCTCGGCATATTGATTCTACGGTTCCGTGGGCCCCCAACAACACAGCCTACCCTGACACGTCAACACCGTGAAGTCCTGAATCAGGGGACCTTCCAAAGGAGCTGGGCTTGGATGACTCGGGGGTCAGTGAATTCCAAGTTGAGTATCCTTTGCGGCGGCCTCTATCTCGTTGGGAATCTATACCCAATCATCACGGGTTGGGTCCCATATAATCTGGAATCCCCGGCCTGGTGGGTGGTGCCGGTCATTTCGTGGTGCGTATTGAGTTTCGCGGCCCTTTGGTTTCTGGGTTTTATCGGTGTGGCCAAATACAAGTGTCACACCGGCCGAAGCAAGTTCATCTACTTGTGTGAGCCTGAATTTGGTTTGGCTGAGAGCTCTGAATATCGGAAAAGGTCTGGTGGTTGTAGTGACTTGCCTAGTAGTGAGTGTGGTGGGAGGGGCCATCATGGCGGGCTTGTTCTTTTGCACGAAACCATCTACACAGGGTGGGAAGGCATTGAGACGGAGCAAATGTTCAGCCACGGGGCCGATATAACTGATGACATCTTACACCCAGCCCAGTCGATGCCGGTACACGGTGGTGAGAAACGGCGGTCAGTTGATCCAGCAGTCAGTTTGTATGAGGACACGGATTTTCCAGAATTCGCGCAGCAAGAAACTCCAGTTCACGAACCAGAACTGGTGTCTAACACGCTATCTACCCCAGTGCAGAATGATCAAAATGGAGCGGGACGAGGTCTACCGTAAAACTCTAGGAACACAGCAACATGACTATCAATCTTTACCATCCTCTAGCCATGTGGATGACGCGTCGATACCAAAGTTGTATTCAAATTCTCAGACTGTTTACTTCCACTATGGTAGCGAGAGACTCTCATATGAAGTAAAGGGGAAAGAAAACAGTTGCAGATATTATACTTTGTATGCGTATCTATGTTATAACCTATCAATATACTTATTTGACGTTTTTCTTAGTTCATGCTCAAGGACTGACGTGTCAATCGCGTAACCCAAGATTTCTCGTTCTGATCAACATGATTTCACCATGCTTGTATAGAAATGACAGAGTTTCCAATAGAAAATACCTTTATTTTATTTATATGACGATAAGAGCTATAGCCCTTGTTATATCAAGGATTATTCAGTGCTTTCTAGAGGAGACTATAAACGGTATTCATCTGGTAACATAACATTGCGGTCGAGGTTATACGGAAGTCCATGGTGACGCCCTCTAATCATCATTAAGCAGATGACAACCTTACCAAAGGTTCCAAATTTGCCACAAAGAGAGGTGCTAACTGTTGGATGACCGAGACTGAGACCGACATTACCACTAGAAGCTGATGAGAATCTGAAGTGTAAGTTGGAAGACTGACGTTGGTTTACTTACTAGGCTGACGTAACTTCAAAGAGGACTGAAAAGATGGAAAACGCCTGTTAATTGTTAGGGGATAGTGTTGGAAGATATCAGAGGGCCGCTGGTGCTTACCGGTTCTTCCACATCGGCGATTCGGTTGGCTTCAACGATATATATACAAAATGTCCCCAAAACGACATACCACAGATCAAAACTGAGCTGGCTTTTCATATGCCGCATCAAATACGACCTCCCGTTCCGCTCATTTAAAGACCCTTCAGAGTCCCACATTCCAAGGGACTTTTTCTCATATGTATTTGAGGTACGGATACTGATTGGGATTGGGAAGATGGAAATATACATCATGATCAGAAAACTGGGTTATACAGCAGGATTGATGTTTGCCAGATTGAATATGGCGGTGCCTGTATGACGGGCTGATGCAGCTTGGAATATGGCAGCAGGGATACGGGCATCCAAGAGAAGAGACACGACCTCGGGATTGCTAACATCGAGGACAATGATAAGCAACGTATCTATAAAGTTGAGGGCGAGAATAATGCCAAATAGAACCCAGGTGGGTTTGCTGGGGAACAGAAGGGTATAACATCTGCGCAAGTAGTTGAGAAGGAAGGCCAGGGGCTCTTGTGTTGAGGAATGCTTTGGCAGTATCTTACACATAGTCCATATGACCAGGCGTAGGAAGACCAGGTAGAGAGTGTTTCTGGCAAAAGCGAGGAAGCTCATGAGGATTATAGGCCACTTGGCATCACGAAAAGAGATCATAGAGTCGGGCGTCAGGGGCTAAGTAACTAAGGTGCTGTTGTCACATTTCGTCAGTTACATTCACAGAACCAGACGAGCGGATTTCTTACCAAGACCCTTCAAATGTCTCTTGAACCAGTCCAGACGAACGACGACGACGATGATGTCTATGAAGTCGAAGTTGGTGACAATGGGGATAAAATATATGTAAAGCTGCTGGTAAGTTTTGAGGTCCATGACATCAACGCTGTACGACAGTGGGTTAATAAAGGCGACAAGGGGAGACACGAAGGTCGACGTAGGTGTTGAGGCTAGACTCTGTAGACGCGCTGGCACCGAAAAAATAGGCATCGGTTGTACTGATGTTGCCATATGGTACGAAGAGAGGCAATGCAAGTAAACTCATGGATGTAATCCATGCATCTGTGCCAAGACGCCATTAGCCAACCATTCCACACCAAACACAACATGGCTAGTATTACAATACAGAGTTTAAAAGTTAATTAGCGGACGCCACATGTTGAAAGTAGTAAAGAGATACAGCGCTGGGCCTTTGATGAAAAAAGAGAGGCTCGTATAGGGATTTATAGCTACGGTGGAAGGAGAAAAAGGGAGGAAATTTAAGAAAAGGGAGGCGTCACAGCCTCTTTACATTTTACACCAACCCTTCATCGCAGTATGAGAGGAAAAGTTCAGTACCTAGACTAGGTGGTCTGGTCATTACTTTGAACACCAAATACCACTCATCAAAGCAGCGGCTTACTCTGTCGAGATCGGTATAAGAAGAAGCATTTTGATTGGATGTATCGTAACTTTCGGGTGCATATTGTTTTTTCTCTTTTAGGTTAGACAGTATGTCACCGAATCATGGAAGTAAGTAGAGACAGCCCACAAACGGTAAGGCGTAGAGCTAAAACCGATAAGCATAAACCTAGATTTGAATTTAATTGTACAAGCTTATCTGGATCTGTATATAATAGTATGTTAGACTTCATTTATTCTATGTTACTGATACAATTTCATTTTAGGATTAAACTCATTAACCCCTAAGTCTAAAAGAATGACTTCTCGCATTCCCCCATCAACCTATTGCCTTTTATCGGTTCTGTCACCGCCTTCCTACAGGGTTGGTCTGCCGGCCAAAAGGTCGTATACGGCATCACTAAAGTTTTAACTGGTGATATCAATACATCCAGAAGCTTCCGTTTTCATGGCTCAACACATACCAGGACAATTCCACCTATGATAATTCCCCGTGCGATGACAACGACGTTTGCTGATATGAGGAACGTCTCTCCGTTGTTTATCCATACTACAGTGAACCTCAAAATCCAGTTCCCTAGTTTCCGTTCGGGCTTGGTCTTTCTAGTATAAGTTCATCTAATTTGGCCACCCTGCCATCTAGCCTTGTAGTTTCTTAGTTGAGGTAAATCGGTACTTACCGTCCTGATCTTAGTGATCATGTCAAAGAGAGAAACTCCACGCCTTTCTATAGCAGTAATAAGAGCTGAGATCCCTGGTGGCCCGAGCTCTGCAAGAGAGTTGAGAAGGCGACAACTACTATGACGCTGATGGATTTCCTCAAGATTCCCCTCCAACTGCCACACCCCATATTTGTCTTCCTTTAGCTGAGTCTCGAAGCGATGTACCTCTTGCCTGCTTAATCTCGATGCTTCTTCTTCTGCGCATTTGATGCCAGCCTTGGTATTCGAAACGGTTTCGTCCCATTCCTGAAGTTGGGTGTTATAATACTGAATGCTTTGAGAAATGAGTTCGTCACTCATACGGAGAGACAACAGGCTTTATTAAAATATCACCTTGGCCTTTTTTATCTCATCTCTTTCTTTCTCTTGCTCCCGGAGAGTTTCTCGCATGTTATCAACAGCTTCAGCATGGATTGTCACGTTTGCAGCTCTTTTAATTTTGTCTTCTTTATTACTAACTGATTGTCGTAACACAGAGAGATCACATGTGAGGCTTTCCCTTTTGGCCTGCGTTTCAGCCAAGAGAGGAGCAATAGCATTGATAATGCCGGCGAAATTCGTCGCTGCTGGAGTGGATGTACGGCGAGCTGTCAGTATCAGCTTATATCACGAAACCATAAACAACAATTTGAAACTCACCCGCTCTCGCGGTCATATTTGGAGACAAGCTGTTCTGGGATTGTGTGACTTGGTCCGTCTCCACGTCGGCCACTTAGGATCAATTTTCATTATGGCAATTCTCAATAGATGACAGTATACTCTATTATGCACTGATTCATAAGGCTAATACTAAAGTTCAAATAACTGCCATTGCTCCAAGGTGACTGACCGACGTCACGTCAGCCTTTGTCGGGACCTTCCTATTAATCAGACCCGGCTTGAATCCTTCCCGAGGGGCGGTGATATGCCAGTTCATCAAATCGTTCTCCGTCACGCCCTTCTCCATTAAACCGTGCCTAATGCTCTTCTCAAGAACGCTGTAGTTGCCGTCTGTACGATAAAGATGATAAGGCTCCTTCAAGCTCGTCTTGGAGTTTGTAATGGCGCGGAAAAGATGCTTCTCATTGCGTGTGGTGGAGTGGATCAAAAACGGATGTAACAGGAAGACATCGCCGACCTTGCCTGTCGCCAAGTCGAAACGGCCATTGGCCCGGGCAACTTCATTGGCCCAACCAAAGTGGCTCCCGTAAGTATCATCGAACCTTGGATCGCTTCGTGGGACCATGTCTGGATTGCAGCCCTCGGGATGATCATACAACCATTTTGCAATAGTGGCCACACTCCCCGGGCAAAGGGCCGTAGGACCACCACCTGGGAGTACGTCTGTCCAAAGTGGTACACAGAGAATAGCCTGATCGGTGCTATCAAGATAATGGACGAAGAACTGGCCATCGACATGAAAGACGTCCAGATCCTCTAGTGGCGTTTCTTTACCCTCATAGACAGCATCACCAAGGTTGACAATGAAACCATTGCTCCAAAAACAGCCTTCAGGGTCCATGCGGTCCTCTCCACCAGAGAGCTCGCAGATAGCTTCCCAGGCTTTCGGGGCGAACTCGGATGCCCGAACCCATTGTGTAGGCTTGAGATTGGTCCGCCACTGTTTCCATGTTGTCTTATCATTCAAGTCTACACTGAGGCGATCTTGAATATCTGTCATCAAAGGTGCAGCCTGATCTGCAGTGAAAGCACTTTCGATTCTGTCTGGTATTAGATGCCCGCCTCGCCAAGGCCACAGGGGGAAACTTACTTTAACCAGCCATTCTCGATAAAATGCTGTTTCTGTTCCTCTGTAAGACCCATGGTCGGTGTTGGTATATCTAAGCTTAGATTCAGTAAAAGCGTTCTGGTCGAGATAAGTTCACCGTTTATTGAATGCGAGAGACTGATGCTTGGGAGCTCGTCTCATTCGTTCCAATTTTCACAGACCTTATATACTGCAACAACAGCTACTGGAAAGGATAGATTCTATCATTTCACCGGGTTTCCGGGCCTTATTTCCTGCCTAACATTACCTCTCCAGAGCTTTATGCGCAAGTATACAGATGTACCTCCCAGTAAAGGCTATCACGAGGCCTCCTGATATTACTCTAACCAGGATAGACACGTATTTAACGAGAAAATTGACAGGAATAGTTAAAGTTACAGCAGGTCAGTTGCCCTTTTCATACTTAATACCTCATAGAACCTACGTTTCACTGATGGCTGGAGACATTCAGATGTTGGTCTTTGAAAGTAAGGTTTTGATCAAGCATCTGCATATCAGGTTATTGTACAGATAAGGAAGGTTTAGGATACTCTTATGCGAGAATGAGTCTATGACCCCATCAAGTCTGCCAGCGTCTTGCATTCTACCCACCGTAACTTAGCTAACGGCACAGCGACATGCAATGCCGTAACCTGTAACCCCCACGAGTGGCGTGACTGTGCAGGCATTCACATGCATATGTATGTACTTGCTCTGTCACATATAGAGAATGCCCCTGGGCGGCCGCTCTGGTAGCATCTCTCATTCGCTAGCTTTTTCATATTACCAATTGGCGGCATGTCTTCTTTATGGTTACAATTTCTAGTATTGAACCAACAACGGGCTAGTTGTGCAGTGATCCGTGCTGCCTGGAGTCTTGGACCCTGACCTGCAGGCTTGAAAGTAACAGGTTATAACCCAAACTGGTATGTATTGAGCTTGGCAGATAGTTATAAGAAGAGTACAAGGTTAAATTCAGCACCCCAGCTTTTTTGCGGGAGATTATGAAGATTACTATTGTCTCTACATGCCCATAGTCAATATGTAACGTATAGGTAACTTTGTGTGAGAAAATAGTGTATTTCAAAAGTATCAAATATACTGTTAAATCCACTAGACTATTTATGGCCTGTCCAGAAATATCAATTATACTTCTTACAATTTGAAACCTGAACAGGTAGTTACAGTGAACTCTTCATCCGAGGTTCTTCTGCTCTACGTTCCATAGAGTCTCGTTGCATGAGTTCGGTGGCAGTTGAGTTCTCCACTTCAAGGATGGCCTTTTCAGCCGATGACTTCTCATCCTCGAATACTAGTTTATCACACTGTTAACTGTTTGAAATGCTGGGGATAGGGATCCGTGGACTTACAGAACGTTGCTTCTTCAAGGGTTCTACCAGATGTCTCTGGGAAGTAAAAGTACACAAAAGCAACTTCGAAAGCGAGAAAGCAGCAGTAAGTAAGAAAATACCGCCAACTTATGTTTGCAAGCCCAATAGGATTGACAAAGGTCGTGAAGAACTCAGCACAGCGCGAAAAGAGCTGGAAAACAGCTATACCACGAGATCGCTCAGCGTAGGGCCAGATCTCAACCAAGTATGCTAAATTCCATCGTTAAAACTGGGCCACATCATGGGCTGGATTGTTCCACTTACTATAGGTAACAGTATTGAGCGCGAGACAGTAGGCGGGAGAGTATGCAAACAATAGAAAAATGCTAGCTGTACCGGCAGCATTGTTTACCTGCCCATTCTCCTTTGCTGTAATTGCCCTCTCCATGCTAACAGTGTAACTGGAGAAGACAACGAGCAGACTAGCTGTGCAGGCTAGGTACATGTGCCGTCGTTTGAAGCGACGAACAAGCATAGAAGCGGTGAAAGAACATACAAGACTCCAGCAAGACAAGCTGACATTGATAGTCTGCTTGAAATGGGAAGAGTCCTTCCCGATAATCTGCAGTAGGTCGCCAAGGTAGTATGAGATTAGGGTCGAGCCAGACCACTGAGTGAACAGCCCCAACATGCAGGTAGTCAACAAACGTCTTCGCATGCCAGCAGTTGCTCCAAGATCAAGCCATGACCTCTTGGTACTCCGCATCTCGATGCGCAATGTCGACTGGATCTGTGCCATCTCAGCTTTTACGAACTCAGACTCTCGGCCCTCGGCATGATATTTCACCAGCGTCTCCATCGCTTCTTGACTCCGGTCCCTGGCAACCAGCCACCGCGGACTTTCGGGAACAAAGAAGACGAAACAGAGTTGAAGCATTGGGGGCACGATCTGGAGTAGGGAAGGAATACGCCATCCCCAATTGGTCGTTATCCCGTTGGTACCAAAGCATATGCCGGCCGCAGAGATCTGACCGAAGAAATACGAAACACTGAAAAGCGATGTCAAAACTGCTCGTTCCTGGTAATGGTTAGTCCGATTTCGATAGATATTGTAGCGTTCATACCTTTGGGTATCCCAATTCTCCGATCAAGGAGGAGCCTGATACTAAACACGGCGGGATGCCAAAGCCAAGGATTAACCGAGCAGCGATATAAGAACCAGCTGTGGATGTTCAGTCAGTCCGTTCTCTCAGGGCTTACCCAGATTGGCATTACGTACCAGAATTAGCAAATCCTTGTACCAAAGAAGCAATAACCATGATGAATGATCCAATGAAAATGGACCAACGTCTCCCGAGTCGATCGTTGATGATAGGTATCAATGGAAGCGACAGAATAGCACCTAGAGGGTAGGCAGCTGCAATGATACCCTTGAGAGATCCTTGAGGATTGCCAAAATCTATCAACACATTATTTGTCAGTCTAACGTTTCGCAAGAAGACTAATGTCATGACATACAATTGATCCATGACGGCAATATCTGCATAGCGTTGACCATCTGTGAATGGAAGCCGGAGGTCATCTGAATGCCCATACATGTCGGTATAAGCATAAAGTAGAGGTTGCGTAGGTTTGGCTTCCGATACCACAGCACCATGTCTTGGTTGGCAAGGTTGGTAACAATCGTATTGAAGTCGCGTTCTTGCGCGCTTGACGACGGTTCCTCGACCGCTGGACGACTCATACTGACAGCCTTTGCGCAGAGAACAGAGGGTAAATAGTTAGAGATCCGGAAGATCTTTCGTCGATACGTTGAGAAGTTGGAAAACTTGCCAAACATCTGACTTGGAACCTTGTTGTTTTGTGAAATCGTCTGTTAGTTGAGCTTGGCCGCGCGTCCTTATCCTCCGCGAATCATGATCTAGACCAAGTCATGTACAGACATTATCTCGCATATGCGTTGGCCTTCTGTTGGTTGTGTCCTCGTGACATGCCCCGGACGTGTCAGGGTATGATATTGGCTAAATACATGTCTCGCTCCTCATGCACTAACATCACCAACCAACAGCTTCTGGTTTAAGTTAAGATCAGCATCCGTTGGGGTTGCATCAGCGAGTTCAGATCATCTCGGCAGTTGATCAATCACAATCACATACTAAAGACATTCAGCAAAGTTGGGAATTCTGCGGGAACTCGGGCCGCCTCTTCAACGGCGCAACATTTGCAGTGGGTCTTTGAGATGGTCCTTGTCTGTTGTATCTCCACTTCATTCGGGTAAAGCGTTATCAGAACAGCACCAACTCCATGGTTAGCCAACATGCAGCATCAAAGTAACTTGAAGATACATCAAGGTGGGTTGGATCTAACTCGTGGGGGTTAGCCCTTGGGCTTGAGGGTAAATCGACGTCGGCGTTAGCAATCAATTTGCTCTGTAATTAGATAATCGCGAAACCTGGGAGAAGCCCTGTGTCAGGTAGAAGATAATGGGAATTTTTCCATTCCTGAGCCTTTGTCTCACTGGTATTTATTCTCACTCCGCCGCTGGTATTCCAACTTGAGTCTCTATCATCACTGACTATTCATCATACGCTCTACATCAAAAATCGAAACAAGATGTCAGCTATTCTTCTGGGAATGTGGTAGGTGCAAGAAACTTCCGGCCTCTTAACCTTCGTCTTTTCTACCTCCATGCTTCAACGGCTAACAATGCAAAGGCTGTGGACTCAGTATGACGCCATACTCACGAGGAGGCGGGTGAAGAAATACAACCCTCCAGTACCCCTGGAAAAGCCAACGTTTCTGACCAACACCGTGAGCATCTTGATAGTGACCATTGATACACCAGACGGCTTTACAAACACGCTGCGCACTTGCCTTGCCAGCCAGCCTAAGGAGATCATTGTTGTTACGATTCGTCGCGATCTTGCACGAGTCGAAGCCCTTGTATCTCCTGTTCTTAACGAGACTAACAATGTGCCAATTACCATTCTGACTGTTCCGAAGCCTGGAAGACGGACACAGATGGCTCTTGCCGCACGAGAGGCTACTGGTGATATCATGTGTTTCGTTGATGACGATACAGTGTGGCCAAGCAACAAAGTGTTGCCATATCTCCTCGCAGGGTTTGAGAACCCAAAGGTCGGGGGCGTAGTCGGTCGACAAAGGTGATTAAAATCCCCAAATCACCGCCTGTGATCAGAGCTAACACACAACAAGTGCTTGGATCCCTAAAGAACGTCAGAGCCCTGACGCCCTTACACCTTGGGAAGTAGCAGCTATCCGCAAACTATCAAGCAACAACGAGAAGCAGATGCTTCTTCATGCCAGTGGAGGTGGCATATGGTGCTTAACAGGTCGAACCATGTTACTTCGGACTGCTGCTATAAAGCCTGGTACATTCCTAGACGAATGGACAAATGAAATATTCTGGGGCCGACTCATTCAGACGGGCGAGGATAGCTTTTTGACTCGCTGGTTGCGTGATAATGGCTGGGAATTGTTTCACCAAGACGCCCTCGAGGCTGAAGTGTTCACTGAGGTCAAAACCGACTCAAACTACATTGGTCAACTTATTCGTTGGCGACGTAATGGATTCCAGGCCTTCATCATGCAGCTTTTCGTCGATCCTGGGTTTCGAGTTATCTACAGAAGGGATACTTATTTTGCCCGAAAACTCGCCGAAGAATTGGGCCGGCCTCTTATCACTCTTGTCCACCTTGTTGGCTGGGTATTGTCCATTATGTACTCACCCCGAGTCGCGTAAGTGGTCCTCCTTACCCCCCAATCACTTGAAATTCCATCACTATACTAACAAGAGTTTAGTGTATGTTTCATGCTTTGGTATCTGTTTCAAATGTTCAGGACCTATCGGTCTTTCCTTCGTCAATTCCCCTGGGTTGCTGTAGAGAACATTTGGGCTGCTATTGCAATGGATTATTCCTATCTCATTCTAGACTACTATGGGCTACTAACTGTAAGTCAAGAGGGCTGGTTGACTCGCAATGATAAGTGAGACTATCGATAGATGTCTTCAGTATTAGTTGTTATTTTTTAACCCTTTATCCGCACAATACTCTTTGATAGAAAGAACAGGGGAGATAGACAAGATAGATAATCTAACAACATATTACAAGTGGGATTGTTCTTTTTGAGTAAAGTTTTTCATACTACTACTGTAACTTCAAGCGTTGTATCCCCCACTGAGTTATTATATAATTTGAGTTAAGATATAACGTACATCACAAGCGAGTGTCCCACACAAGCGAGTGTCCCAAAAATCCCTCAACCTACACCATCACTATTCAATTAGATATTTCTCAACCACCCATAATGCCACGATCTTCAAATGAAGCTAGGATCAATCTTGCCCTTCAGGCCCTTCAGAATGACCTAAAACTTACAATCCGACGGGCAGCATCTATCTATACCGTTAACTACCGTACATTAGCTCGCCGCCGGCAAGGCATTCTTTTAACGCATAATACTCTTATAAAATCACGAAAATTGTCCGATCAGGAAGAACAAACAATAGTACAATTCCTTCTTGACCTAGATTTGCGAGGATTTCCCTCGCGACTATTATATATAGAAGATATCGCAAATTCCCTACTTGCTAATCGCGACTTACTACCTGTCGGCAAGAACTGGGCTTATAACTTTATTAAGCGACAACCAGACCTAAAGATACGTCGGTTTCGCAGATATGACTATCAGAGAGCTAAATGCAAAGATCCGACTATTATTCGTGGCTGGTTTCGGCTTATAGAGAATATAATCGCGAAATATAGTATCCGATCAGATAATATCTGGAACTTTAATAAGACCGGCTTTATAATAGGCATGATTAAGCCCGGAACAGTCGTCACAAGCTCCTATAGGCAAGGAAGACTAAAGCAAGTACAGCCTGGAAATCGTAAATAGATTACTGTGATCGAGGGGATTAATGCCGAAGGTCAATCGATCCCGCCGTTTATCATTAGTGCAGGTAAAGATCACCTTGCCACTTAGTATAAAGAATATGACCTCCCTGGCGATTAGGTTATTGCATTAAGTGAAAATGGATGGACTAATAATAACCTGGGTCTTGAGTGGCTAAAGCACTTTAATCGGGCTACAGCTAAATGGACAAATAGTCGCTATTGACTCTTGATCCTTGATAGTCATAAAAGTCACCACTCCGTCGAATTCGAGGGATATTTCAAGGAGAACAATATTATTACGCTCTATATGCCTGCTTATGCCTCTCATCTACTTCAACCTCTTGATGTAGGGTGCTTTAGGCCGCTGAAAAAGGCCTATAGTCAAGAAATAGAGCATCTGATCAGATGCTTCATATCGCATATCACTAAGACCGAGTTCTTTCCTGCCTTTTATGCCGCCTACCAAGCTGCTATTACAGAAAGCAATATCAAGGGAGGTTTTAGAGGAGCTGGGCTTGCTCCCTTTGACCCAGAAAATGTCATCTCAAAGCTTGATATACAGCTACGGACTCCAACGCCTCCTATTAAGGTTATAATACTATCGACCCCTTGGACTTCAAGGACCCCAAAGACAGTAGCAGAGGCCTAATTGCATTCTAAATATCTGCAAGGAAGGATTAGAAATCATAAAAGCAGCTCCCCTGAGTCAATAATCCAAGCTGTTAAGTCTTTTGAGAAGTTAACAACTAATCTTATGGATAAGATGGCCTTACTATATAAGAGGAATCAAGAACTTGAACAGCAGAATAAGACAGTAGGGCAGCGCCGAAGGGGAAGAAGGACTATAATACAGAAAGAAGGGGCTTTAACTATAACGGAAGCATCATAAGCACTTGATCAGATAGATATTAATGCGCAGGTGACAGCTGAATCCTCAAGAGGTGGTCAAGGAAGGTCACAAGGATCAAAGCCTCGGCAATGTAGTATTTGCGGAAAGACCGGGCATACTGCAAGGACCTATCAAGAGTCAATTGAGGTCAATAGGGAATAGTATAGCAATTAATTTTAATTGATCAGATAGGTTGTAGTGTTTTTATTTCTCTTTCGAGTCTTTAGGTGTAGATTGGTGGGACACTCGCTTGTGTGGGACACTCGCTTGTGATGTACGTTATGTACTATGCCACTGATCTGCATAGACCCTTGTACTCAGATTGTTACCGTACTGTGATTCGTACAAAGAGGTCCACCTGTGACCCTCGAGGTAATTATTAGTCCGGTGAGCTGTAAGTGACTAGTCCCATTTTAGTGGTAGATCTCAGGTACCACTATCTGCGTCTTTGAACAACTGACGACTTTCCTCCTCTGAACTTGAGATCGCATCATTTGGACTCAGGTATGCAGCTGCTTTCGAGGCCATTTACATCGTGAGAGCTGCAAAATATTTCTTACCCCATGGTATGAATGTATTCTAATACCACTGCAGTCCTGAGTACCTCGTGTCAAGCTTTACTCTATATCAAACTTGGAACTGAAAGTTGTATTATTACTGCTATTAATCTCAAGAGACGCCTTGAGTGAAAATAATATAAACCCAATTGAGATCGCCAGTGAGTTCAAATTATCTGAGTAGTCAATTGATTACAATTGCATAAGAAAAGATGCGTAATAGTATTCAGCAAGCTGAAGGGTTTTACTAAAAATTAGGATGCCTCTTCCCCAACGCAACAACCGCCGTGCTTAATTACCCCGCATGTTCCTGAGGGATTGATGTCTGGTGTAGTCTGGTTTTCTTTTGGATAACTTTCAAGGCATTTAGGTTCTCCGAAATAAGGCATGCCTCATGGAGGATTGTATTCATCCCCGATTGTTCGCATTTGATCTCTATCCTTTCAAAGTCGTCATCACCCGTCCGTGCCTTGCTCTTTGTAGGGGTAGAGCCGTCTTTCCTGTCAGGCACTTGGTACATATACGCCATTTGCCCGCTTAAGCACAATGTGCCAACAAAAAGGCCAGGTCGGGGGTGCCCTGGGCCTCGGGACATAAGGCGAAGTCAGGATCGCAACTTGGGAGCGTTTTCTTGAGGGACCGATATTTGACATAGTCGAGCCTTCTTTCGGACAACTATCATTAGTACTGCTGGAACCCGGGTCTCGTCACTCCGGTCTCTCCAAACTCGCATAAACCAGTTGTCGATGATTTCTTTTCTACCCTTAACTTCTCTCCAGTTGTTGACCTTAATGGTTTGCCGGCATATGCAATGGCCGTAGTATTGCTTGAGGAACCCAGATACACAAGGGGGCCGCCATGCTTGATTATTCTACTTGGCAGTCTGTTTTTTTCAGTCTTTTTTTGCCTAAATAAAAGAATAAAAAAGAAAAACAAAAAAAGAAGAAAAACAAAAAAATAAGAAAAACCCCGGCAGTCTATCTTCCGGATCGAACAAGTCTAACTCTCATCCCTACCCTGGGGTCTTGAGGTTAACTATAGCGTTATCCTCTGGCCGATCTGTTCTATTTCTAATACCCGTGAGTAGGAACTGTCTTCTCGGGATTATCAGCGATGCCTTCGATTTTCTGCAGCAGCTCGTTCTCGGGAATAGGTTCTAAAGCCACGTTCAAACACAGTCCGTACAAAGTGTTCATCGATCTCGCGGTTAAACTCGGCCTCCAGTTTATTCCTATGGTTATTTTCAGACTATAGGTTTAAATAGTCCTTCGAGGCGCAACGCATCAGCTGGATCATCCTTTTCATCTGTCTGCATGCACGGATTACAATGAAATATTCATTCAGCTCCATGAATTTCTCATTGAGGACTGTATAAGGAGTTCCCTGTTGAAGCTCATTTGGATCATGATTCAGCATCACCTGTTACAAAACTCGGCTTTGGAAAACGACACTGGAAGTATAAGGGATGAAATTACTAGGCCACTTTATGCACCTTGGGCTACAGTTCCTATAGTACTTATATTTTTATCCTGAAACTTAGGATTCCATTCTTTCTGCGACCCAGTAGCCCAAAGACAGACTGCAGGATGGAATAATTGAGCACGGCAGCGGTTGCATTGTGGAAGAGGCGGCCCGAGTCAGTGGGTAGCACAAAAGATTGTCTCTTGGGCTTAGCATGCGAAAATAAGTAACCTAAACTCATTGCCTAAATTCCATAAAGTGGTCTATTACTACTTTCATCCCTTGTGTGCCGCAAGCGGCTAAATCTTCTGATACCTTGATGCCGAGTTCGTAACGATGACACAGTCCCAAATCAAGAGCCATCTAAGCTCAACATATGCTTCTTCAGCATATTCCCAAAACTCGCAAGTTTTGCGTCAAACTCAGAGGTAGAGCCATCTAGTATATCTGCGCCCACATGTTTGTCAACAAAGTCGGCAAAGTGTAAACGAGCCTTTCGTTCCTGCTCTCGGCCTTGCTTTTGTGCTGTTGATTTATTCATGATAGGGAACTTCGAGAAATAATCCAGGTCTTTCGTTACGGTCCAACTGTACATTGTAGGATTCTCTAACAATTGGCAGGATCTGGTTGTGATGTACTTGTCGAACGGAACCAGATTCTCCCGAAATCCATATTGACAGCCTGCCGTGTCGATGACCCATGATTCCGTGGTGTATAGTAGTCCAACCTTGATCAATGTGTGCGGACAGTCCTTCAAGTCAGGACCAGGAAGCAGCTTCGGTTGAAGTAGTGGTTTTCCGATGCGCACATCCAATACCTCAATAGTCAAATAAACTCCTGTTGAGTGTGAGAAACATTTCACCTTAAAATGAACACTCGAGAATGCTTGCCTGCAAGAATCTTTCGTGTTAGGCCACTCAATAGCGCCGTGGCTGTTGTGCATTGATTAATCGTGAGAGCTGCTTCTTTATGCTGGACATTGGTCGCCAGATGATTCGGGAAGGGTCCCCGTTTGACATGAGCGGTAACGGCTCTCTGGTGTTGATACAGATACAGTATCCCGTCTTTTTCTTCGATTTTCATGAGATCAATGTCGTACAAAATATCTCGATACGTCAACAAGGCTCTTTGAAGTATGTTGGCTGCACGTAATAGTTTCTTTCGTCGCTTCATGATACGGCAATGGGATTTGTGGTCAGGCCAGTCCTTCGTTTGACAATCACGATCACAGTAGACGGTTTTCATGGCATCACCAAGGTGATATTCCGGTGCTCCAATGCATCCAGCGCAATGCATGGTTGCCTGCTTTCCACAGTTGGCGCATTCTGCTCGGTCAATTTCCATGCTAAAGAGATACAATCGTTGCTCAGAAAAGATTCAGGATGATGATTGAGTGACCCCGAATAAGGGGACATGAAGAAAATCTAGAATGGAGGTAGTGGACTCTCAAATATGGCTTGTTGCCTATGTTTGCGGGGATTAGGATGGTTGGCCTCCCGCATAAGGTGAGGCCCCCTTTCACCACCAAAGGTCCAGGGAGCTAACCTATACTTTAGGTAATTTTCTGCTGACATTCCCGAAGAAGATGCAAGTTTCACAGTGAAGACCAATAATGCAACAGTGTGATGACAGTAGCGTCGCAGGGCTGAGGGAGCTAACCTATACTGTAGGTAATTTTCTGCTGACTGCATTTAAACCCATGTCAATGCACTCAGCTCGTATTTACTAAACCATTAGCGGCTAGAGATACTGTTGCACATGAGTGAAGATTGCGATAACCCCTGTTAAAGTTGTACGACTAACCGCTTACTTTCTAGATAGAAGTATGAGCCATTTTCTTTATTAAGGCATGGTTATTTCCTCCTCCGCTTCCTCCAACCTCTTACCATATCTCAACTATCAACAATTTCACTATCTTTCCTTTGCTCAGTATGGTAGCTAAAGGGGTAACCGAAGAGTTGGGGGAGCAACTCAATAATGATGATCGCGATGTTGCAGACCTCTGGAAAGATGCTATCAAGAGCTATCAGAGCATTGTTGGTTTCGACCTTCAACGCAAGTTTGACAACGTGCAGTCTATGCTTGATTTTGGAACTGACCAAATGAACAACTTCCACAAGTTCAGACATGACAAGAGCAAAGTCGATCGCTTGAGGACTTTATTCTCTGCCAACTTGGACTTGGTGGAGAAGGGTGCCAACCAGATTATTGCTGCTGCATCACCAGCTTTCCCACCAGCGGCTGCCATAGGAACGGCCTTGACCTACATGCTTCAGGCTTGTCGCTCTGTCTCGGCCGACTACGATATAGTCATTGTCTTTTTTGAGGATATGAACAGCTTCCTCAGTAGAATTACTATTCTAGAGACAAGACTGCCTCAACATAAGGCTTATCAGAATTGCTTGATGGATGTTTTTACTTCACTGCTTACCATGTGCGGTTTCGCACACAAGTACATCGAGCTTGGACGTTTCAAGAAATGGATCTCCAATTTATTCAAAGGCGACGATGGAGAACTAAGTGGTGCGCGCGCCAAGATGGACAAAAACATAAAACATCTCCAGCAAGCTACTGAGTTTGCCATCCTTGGTAATACCGAAGAGACTCGTGCAATGACGTCTCAGCTGGACGCGAACCAAAGAAACCATGCTGAGATGCTCCAGCGAGTCGGTCATACCATCGACACCATTCACGAGAACACGGAGAACATCAGGGGTGATATTGCAAAACTCTTGAAGCTCTTTGGTGGGCAGAAGCAGCAAGAAAAGTCCCAAGAGAAGCCTCAGACCAACAAACCGCCCTCTGGTAACAAGGTCCGGAACTTCATGCTGATAGTGTATAACGATGACCAAGAATACAAAAGCTTGAAAGAGACACTCCTTCCAGATTCATGCAGTTGGATCTTCGCACAGCCTGAGTGGGAAGATTGGCTGAAGTTGCCCGAGGCCAAACGCCCAATCCTTGCACTTGCATCGGGACCTGGTACTGGCAAAAGTCACATGGCCGCTGCAGTGTATGACAAGCTTGCTCAGAGGGCTAAGCAGGATGAAACTGGACATACTTGTGTTGGACACTTCTATTTTCGCGAACAGGAGGACACTTACAGGTTCTTCCTCTGCGGTATCATCACTGTGATCATCCAGATTGCGGAATCCAATAACATTGTTTGCGAGAAGCTGAGCGCTCAGATATCGAGAGACGACCTATCTATCGATAACAAGAAGTGGCAAGATTTGGTTAAGCATCTTCTAGTTGCTGTCTTTGGACCCGAGTCCAATTTCAATCTCTCTATCGTCCTTGATGGTTTGGATGAGCTGTTTGATTGGGACAGTTTCAAGGAATTCTTATCCGACTTTATCAACGACAAAGGCCTCAAAATCTCGCTCGTAGTGACCTCGCGACCTGATCGACTGAAGGACATTCCTCAAGGTACAAATTTGGTCGAGGTACAAGCGACTAAGGAAAAGCAAAGTCAGGATTTCAAGGCCTTGATCTGGAGCCACCTCAACTCGCTCAACAACCTCAGAAGGTTCAGTCGTTATATCAAACAGAGGGTTGCTGATAATATTGAAGAAGATTCCCCCAGTAAGTACATTTGCTGTTTATTTTTGTATCTCTCAAAGAACTAACCAGTTGTAATAGACATGCTATATGCCCAACACCTCCTTGTTCGCTTCGATGAATTAGGCCGTGAGGGTGCAGTTCTTCGAGCACTCAAAGACAAGAAACCAGAAGATCTTACCGGCATCTACGACATTCTTCTTGCTGAATGTCAGCGTCGCCTACCAGATAAGCACCAACGAGTTGCCGCCTCATTGCTTCATTGGGTCGCTTTCTCTAAGAGACGCTTATCGCTTAGCGAAGTTCAATTGCTTGTCAAGCACATTGCACAAGACGATGAATTTACTATCGAAGAAATGCCTGAGCTATTCTCCAAATTCCTGAGAGTCGGCGGTGGCGGCTATGATCCTGAAGTAGACGCCAAAATCGCGGCCAGCAAGGTTACTGCAGTCCAAGATGTTAAGCAGGAGGAGGACAACAATCATGACCGTATTTACGATGATGGTCCACTTCCAATTACTTTCAAGGAACGTTCCATAAGACTATATTTCACTAACAGCTCTAAAAACGCAGGCAAGTTTAGATGGGGACCTTCAGAGGCACATCGAACCATGGCCATGGCATGCGCTGAGTTTCTACGTACTATCGAAGATGATCAGAACAAGCTGAAGGCTCGTGCCACGTCTTTTCAAGATCACTTCAACAATATAGAGATAGACCAGCACACACATAAAGAGCAAATCGAGGCTCTTGAAGTTTGTGCGGAGGTTTTATCTAACAAGACGGGGATAGCCAAGATGCTCAGCAAGGCCAATGCCATTTACAATAATCGTGCATTGGTTTGCGCAACCCACGACAAGCTGGCGAAGTGGTACAAGCTCCTGGAAAAGCCAGAAATCAGACAGAATCTCAGCAACTTTTCAGTTGAATGGTGGGAACGCGTTGGGGCTGATCCCTCATCTTGCCGCTTCGGTGTAGCCAAGGGCTTTTTACGTGAATTGTATGAAGCGCCGGACACATCAACCTCTATTGAGTCGTGGAAACGCCTGCGAGATCTTCTCCATATGGTATGTACCTCTCCTTCGTTTGCCCCTTCTGCTTTCAAAATTAGCTTCATAATTTAACAAAGGCTAATGATTGGTTTTGCTTTGACTAGAGTGGCTTAGAAAACCTGCTTATGGACCAAGCCGTAATCAACTTTCCTGATGAATGTAAAGACAAGGACACCTATGATGAGAATATCGCTAGTCTGGGAGTTCTGAATCTCTTTGGTGACGAGATCAAGCCCGATGCAGCAGCACATCGTGCTGTCTCAGAAGTTCTTCACTCGTGCGACCTCATGGGACCTGCTGAGACAATCTGCAAACGCGCTTTGGAGCTTTGTAATCCTGGCCACCAGGAGTGGTATAAGATCTCCAACGGTTTAGTCGGTATCCTGTTGCAGCGGAAGAAGAAGAAGGAAGCGCACGAGGTAGCAATCGCTGCAGTTAACCAACTACCGACCAACGAAATGCCTCCTTCGCTCCAACGAACCGTCCATACTGCATGTGCCAGAGCGCAATGGGAACTGGGCAACTCAGAACCTGCGCTAGAATCCTACTCCAAGGCTAAAGCCAGCGACCCAGATGGAATTACCCCTGGTGAGGATCTTTCTGCCGAGCTCACAGTGGTCGAGAGAAGAGAGGACAAGACAGACTACATTCAGAAGCTCAAGAATTGGAGTCTCCTTGAGAGAATTACCTGGCTCGCGTCAGAGTTCATCTATGTTGCAGAGGAGAAACTGGATATGTTCTGCGATATCGCTTGTGAGAGAGGGGAACAGGACTTTATTGTAAGTTTCTACGAAGAAGCAATTGAGTTCCTAGACAATCTGGATGCTTCTACACCTCTACGACTCCATCTCGCACGCATCTACTTTGAAGTGTGTCGAGACCCTCAAAAAGCAATGGAAATTCTCGATGAGATATTCGATATTCACTCAACGGCCTACAGGTACCCCATTCTGGGTGGAACTGCTCTCTGGCTGATGGACAGTCTCCTTGATACGATGGCGAACGTTCAGCAGGCACTATTCCGCCAATCTCGAGATCCTGCGTACAAAGCGGAACGAATTGCTTCATTGGCTAGCCTCGATCAACGACCGTTCATAGTGAACATTCCACGAACTTCTGTCTCCTGGACCAGTGCTCATAGAGTGTCACTGGCCTACATGTATCTGGTCATGGGACCCACGGTCAAATTCCAGGAGACTATGCAGTCTCTGCTGAAAGACTGTTTCGCTGGTCTTAATGATTCTGTTGGATGGAATGATGCAGCGTTTCTCATTTTGCTAGCACAACTGTTGGGTCTCATGAGTAAGGCGCTGCATGGCGACGAGAAACTACGCAGATATGCTCGAATTGTGGGTTCTGCCATGTTCTCGCGACTAAGTAAAAGCGACGACGGTGAAGAGAATGCGGTCGAGGATAAAGTCGCTGTTAAAAGTGAAAGCACGGATAAATCTCAGGAGGAGGAGAAGGTCATCGCAAAGATAGATGACCAAACACAAGCCACAGACGATCAAGATGAGGACGGGCTAGACAAGACTGTCAACGAGGAAGAAGACGAAACCCCTCCCGAAGACGAAGGTGACTTGGGTCTCGATGAAGACACCTACTATGGTTGCGGAGGTTTCTGTAACCCTGAACGCGAGTTTAGGTGGTGGGGAGGTCGCTCGGCCTACCTGTACGTGACCTTTGAGTCAGGTCTCATCTGCGAGGAATGTCAGAATGAATACGACGCCATCGAGCTTGGTGAAAAGTCTTTCAAGGGCCGGTACTTTTATGGCGTTGGTCTGGACAAGATCAAGCTTCCTATCGAAGGTTGGCGCGGGGTTAAAGATGGCATGATTATGTTGGAGGGTGAGGAGTCTGTCGCTGTGGATGACTTTTTTAAGAAGCTGCAGAATGAGGTGCTTCCGAATGCGTGGGAACGTCTTTGGGCTGGTGAGGCATTTTGAGTTAAGTCTTAGTCCTTGATTTTTGATACTCTATTACTTGTTTAGGCTTTACGATTTGGGAATTTCCAGAGTTCGGTTAATACCATAAGCATTTGTGCTAGAAACATGGTCAGTGGTTACTGGTAGTTGGTTCTCACGCCAAAAGGGTCTTGACTGTTATTTGAAAAAGCGAGAATAGTTCGAGCCAGAATAGATGCTGCATATGCTGCCGACGTTAAGTAGTATTTAGTACCTAGGCAAGCTAAGTTTGAGCTCCTCCAAAGCTATCGTCCCAATACCCAAGCACTGAGCAGACAACTCCAAGGATTTGTTGAAGATCAGTACAATCCGCCTTGACAAACTCCGAATCACTCAAATCCTGCTTATTACATCCGCAATTATATTGTTAAACAGCTGTGTAGCTTTGTCATCTAATTGTTTGGGATGTTGAGATGAGGTTCACCCTCCAGGACTTGCGGGTCTTCGGTTAAATGAAAGAATGGCAAAGACGTGTCCGCCGAATCATCACGGAGAGAGTCGACGAAATTCCATGGTTCCGTTTCACCAGGCAGTTGCAGATCTGTTGTTGAAAAATCCATGTGAGGGTATTCGACCTGCTGCATCGAGGTTCCGAGTGGGAAGGTGAACAACTTCTTAATTGACTGAAGAGTACCTTCAGACCCTACTCTCGAGAAGTTAACAGGCAAATTCGACGTTTCAGAGGAAATAGCGTAAGACGAGAAAACGTCATCGCTTGAGGAGGGATGCTCAGCTGCAGGAAGAAGGATGGGTTCCAAGTTTGCTCCAACCATATCTTGTACGAGGGAAATATCGAAATGCAGGGGTGATTCTCTTGAATTTGTTTCCGGAGGTTTCTGCTCGAAACGAGTTTCAACCTTGTTAAGAAACTCGAGTAGTAGTGAGTGAAGCTGGTCACTGCAACTGGGTAACTCTCTTCCTTTTATAGAACTGGAGATGATTTGGTCCCCCTCTTTCTTCCAAACGCCACGGATTATCCCAGTAACTTCCTTGAAAATATTGTCTAGATAGGGGTTCACTGTAGGATTCCGTTTCCCAAACAGAACCTCCCAGATTTTGTTCCACTGGTCTTTCGATGATAGACTCCTCTCGAAGCGAACCTTGATGGCTTCTTGTGCAGCGGGCGAGACGCATTCAAGATTCGCCGCCGAGACCCTGGAGCAATTCGCTTGTCGAATATGGTCCTCGTAGACCTTTTGTGATGAGAACCCCTTAGAGCACCTTAGGCAATAGTAACGAGCTGTATGTCTTCTTTTGAGATGTTGCTTGACGTCTGAAATACGGGGCATTCTGAGATTGATGCACTCCAGAAAACGCTCAGGGTCAATCCTGTAGTAAGGACATGCAAATGTCTGTCCTCTCCTATTATCGGCATCATCACCGCCCATGCGGTGATCACCGTCCTCATTGACTTCACCAGCGTTTTCGTCATGTTCGGATGTGCGGCTCCTTTTCTGGGGCGCTTCACTACCCTCACCTCGCTTGGCGGGCCTTTTATTGGGGTTTGATGAAGTGATGCATGTTCTGCTATCTGATTGGGGCCAACCCGAATATTGCTCGAATATGTCAAAAGAGAGCGTGTCAGGATTCGAAGGATATTCACTCCCAATCGTCGTACCTGACATATATTTGAGTGAGGATCCCGGTGGTTGAGATGACTCTTCCTTCTGTAACAACGCTCCATCTAGCGACCATACCTGGTGTGGACTTTGGCAAGGCCATGCACCGTCGAACCAACGGATATCGGGTTGCTCTTCTTTGCAGGCATCTGGCGGTTCTGCGGGAAACGTTGACTAATGTTAGCTTCCTTCGCTCGTTCAGACGTATAACAGTTATCTCACTTGGGGCTAAGGGGCTTGGTTTATTATCTCTATTCGTGTGGGAATCGGAGACTCGCAGGCTCAACGGCGTCGGTATGCTCGATACTCTATTGAAGCATTGTGATGTGTTGTCGTTAACTTGGATATTTGAACTGGACAGCTTGGGAGGCGCATTACTAGTCATTTTCGGTCGCTTCCTTGATCTCTTAATATCACTGTCCGCGTGCAAGTAGTCTTTCATAAACGTGTTTGGCAGGTCGGCATCCGTGATATCAGATTGGCGGCCAAGATAAATGTGCCTGTCACAGTGGCAATGCCTCAAACAAATTAATAGGTATGGATGATACGAACCTAAGAATGATCAGATAGTGAAGAAGCAAGAAGGGGGGTAGGCTGAAAACGGGAGGGAAAAAAAACGCAAGGCAGATGGGGTCCAGCTACTAGAGTACTTACTATAAAGCATAATATACATACACACGGAGGGGTGGCACATTCACGTCACGGGGAAGTGAGACTTGAACGCCCACCATACAGCCTGCTATAATGGGAGACGAGCAACAAAGGCTCTTGGAGGTTTTGCGCCATGAAACAGATTAGATTATCAATTCAATAATATTCCTTATAACAAATGCATTGACCCTCGGTCATCAAACGACCATCCACAAATATTGGCGATATTAACATTATGGACAAACACAAAACAGAACAAATTTTCGCCGATGCTTAGTTATCGATCAATCCGCCTAAATGTGCGCCTTGGGCTCTGTCTTGGCTGATTTCTTCTTTGAGGGTCGCGGGCTTGGGGGCTGTACTCCGCTGCGGCTCCCAGCCAGCAGCCTGCCTTGAATATCGAGGCCCCCATCCGCCATCCAGCCTTGAATGCGGTCATTGTACAACTTGAGCGAATCGCTGTGTGAGGGTTAGTTTGTATGCCACCAGACAATCGGCGTTCGAGACGGACCTCTTGTAACTCTGGGTGGATGCAGGCATGGCGATAAGTTTGTGATGGCTTTTATCGTTTCAATGGTTTTAATAAATGTTTGAGTTCTCGATACATCACAATAAGACAAAGACATTGAAGATATTTGTAACTCCCATCTCCCACAATTGCGTCTGCTCTTCCCTCGCAATTGTGGCCAGCCATGGTAGGCTCCGCGATCGTGGACTTGAACAATTGAATATGGCTCAGCACGCAGCATTGCTCTTCGATTAGACGGGCGTGAGGAATTTGCCCCGCGCGTTGACTAACATGGCTCACCACAGATGCGGACCATGTACTGAGACAAAACCTGTAAGTGGCGGCTAGTGAAGCTGGATGGCAGCCTTGATAGGCCACGCAACTTAGCTGCAGCGTGTTTGGACGAATCAAGTTGTTGAACACGGGGGTTTGTGCAAAAAATGATCGACACAGGTTCCCCATCTTCCACAATTGCGTAAAGCAACAGGCTACCCAAGAGGCCGCCTTAGAAGCGAACCACCCCCTATTGTTCTACCTAACACCTCGAAACTGGTTCTTTGTTGATTCCAAGAGGCATTCATTGAGAATAATAATTCGTACTTTATAACGCTTGTATCCCTCAATTCTCTTCTAAGAGTTCCCTATCGTGCTATTCGTGAGGTCAATTATCATTTCGATGGTTCGGGAGGGATAAAACGTACTTTCAAGTTTCTAGTGATGACGCTGGGTCGGTCCCATCGTCCACATCCGTGTAGAGCGCCTCTTAGTGAGCCTAATTTTGTTGCACAGAACAACCTTACTTCGCAATTGAGGACAAGGCGGACAGCCGCCTCTGCGATGAAACCACAAACAGGAACCAAATTTCTGCTAAAGTTGCATCCACTCCCGGCAACATGGGACTGATCTAGGACCTCCTTATCAACTTCTTGTCCCCTTTCCGTTTTACCAAAGGTCTGGGGTTTTTTCTTTGCAATATCTCGGTGTAACTAACGGCCAGCTGCATCATGTTTTCCGCTTTTAGATTTGTGCCCCGTCACAAATCGTCACCAATGAATTCTGCTACATCACCCTCTCACAATAGACTTACCAAACGGCAACTCCTATCACATTTGTTCAAACCTAAATGCAACCACAGTGAATCCGGAGTTACTTCAATCGCTAAACGTCTTTCTACTTTTACATTGGACAACAGTGACAGCAACAGCGACGGTGTTTACCCTACACTTCATTCGCCGTCGTCTGTTGATCAGAATGGTAATGCAGCTTGCTCCAATAACATACCTGCACGAATGTCTTTCAACGCAAACTAACGTATATCAACTCAGGGTTTGACACGGATATTGTCACGGCTGCAGCTAAGTTGACCCTACTAAGCAATGGCCAATACAACACTGTTGGGACTAGCGAACCCTCGAGTCAAAAGCGCCCCCCAGATGGTTCACACCAGCCTGGTCGGAACGGGAAGAAGCAGCGTCCAAACAAAAGCCCCAACAATGGAGTCGGTAGGGATACGGGTGACGGAAATAACCAGGGAAATAGCAGAGCCCCTCAGCCAGACGGGCCCAGATACCCTCAGCCCAACAGTCCACCCTCCAAGATGTGGGAATGTCCTTTGCACAAGCGCGATCCAGATCGGTATCCGATCTGTAAAAGCATTCGCATGCACCGTGGTGTTTCGGATGTCACTACACACCTCCAAAGGAAGCATCTGGTCAAGGAAGTCAAAATTGGGCCTGGTAGCAACGTTCAACCTAGAGATGTTGCTCTGTATTGCCCGTGGTGCCGCGACCAATTTTACGGGCCAGGCGCTGACGGTAGGCTCTGTATTCATTTGGAAACCTGTAGATCTATCAATCCTCAGGCCACTATTGAACAAACTGGAGTATTTTTGCCCAGTGAGTTCGAAGAACTTAGGGAAGACCTTCGTTCAGGGTCTGACGACGTTGAGAAGTGGAACATGATTTGGAAGAAGTGTTTCCCAGGGGCAGGCCTTCCAGCATCACCATACCGGGATGTCGGGGCTCTTGTCCCCCGCTCGCAAGCTGAACTAAGCTTCCAATCGGCTTTTGATTCTTCTTCCATTGCCAGCGCATTTTTGACTAAGGATGACATCGAATCTATCATCAACCAAGCCTTGAACGAAATTTATCCTGGTTCTTCATCAGCAGCAGCCGAGCCCCAAGATAGCGTTGCTATCCTGCCGCAAGTCCAGAACCAACCAGCACAACCGCTATTTCACCAGCCAGGTTTGCTCATCCCACCACAAAATATTGAGCGAGGCTCGACATATTTTACGGACACCGACCCTTTCCACCAGCCGCATCAGCTGGATGCAGGTCATGACTTGGCTATTCCGAATAATTCGCTGTCTATTGGAAATGAAGCCAGCCATTTCGCACCCTTGATGGCCAGTCCATTGAACACACGTAGCGGTGTCAGTGATCATATGCCATCTCAGCACTATGCTAGCCCTTCTTTACCAGTAACCAATCAGTATTTTACTCAGGATGAGGATGGCTGGGAGGTGTTTTCATGACTAGCTTGTAGTAATAACTATCGTTTGGTAGTTAAATATGTAATTTTCTTTATCATTATACCATTTCTTTTATTACCGATATTATCTATAGTTATTTCTTTCTGTATGTTAGATAGTATAGGGTCTCTGTTGAAAACACCATCAAAATCGCTATTTCTGTTATAGTAGCCGACACTGTGAAAGGAGCCGCACGCTTAATCGTAAACTCAGTAATTTAACAGTATAGTTATAAGATATCTCTTGATTAAGCTAAGCGCGCGCATTTATTCTTCGATAGGCCGTACCTTCAAAGACTCATGCTCCTTGATAATGCCCTTCAATAAATCGTCTAGTGTAACGTTAAATAACGTATTATGGGAGTTCTCGTTACCTTCTCCATCAAAACCCTGATCCTTCATATAGTCGGCGACGCATTGGTGACCATTCAACTCCCAAAAGTCGCGTACCATAGAGATGACAAGTCCGCAAGCTCGATCTAGGTACGGGGATTGAGGCGGCTCGGAGGTAGGGAAGACGATGGACCAGATACGACACCAACGTTTCTTCTCACCCCGGTAGTAGCAGTCCCTGCTGATCAATATAGCTTTCTGATCTTCATTGAGCCCAGCTATTGGCTCTGGATCACGCTTCGTGCATATGTTGTCTATAATATGGCTATCACGGTTTATCACCGTCTCAAAGTCTTTGTTACATATATAACAATAATGGAGCCGAGAATGATACCGTAGTAGATGTTCAATGACGTCTTCTATCGACTGTAGATTACCTTGCATCAGGCATTGTTGAAACCTGGCTGGGGCGTAAATGTTGAACGGGCACGCCAGGTGATAGAAACCTCTCGATCGCATCGAGGGAGAGACCAAGGCCAATTTATGATCATTGATACTGTCGACCTCCTCGGTTCGCGGGAGGCTTGATTGCAAATGTGACGCCTTGAAACGTTTTCGCGGAGGTAGCCGGTTGTCCGATGGAGCGGCGTATTCCACTCCAGCGCTCCAGCTCTCAAACCTTTCAGTTGATAGTTGCTGTAGCTTGAGTCTGTGGACCTGGAGGTCATGGTGCTGTGGCTGCAACGGGTTCCAATGGTAGGGTTGATGAAGTCTGAACTCCTGGCCTGGAAGTTTATGGTACCAGGGTTCATCCTCGTCCTGAGAGGCTGAGTTTTCATTATTATGAGAATTGGCCGAATACCGCAATTGCCTATCGGACTCGTATTCCGAATATGAGGGTGTAGTAAGGTCGTGTACTAACGCATTGGATTGGCTGTCAACAGAGGATCTGCATAGGTCTGCCCTGGTGCGTTTGGTTCCTCTCAATGCCCAAATATGTGGGGGAGGATGGCTGGACCTGGGTGAGCTGAGTCTTATCGACAGCTTGCGCATGGGTGATTTAGTCATCAAATCCGGGCGCTGACCTGGTGAGGGGGTTTTAAGTAGCCCACACAAGGTTGAGGAGTAAATGCAGTCGCATGGAGGCATAGTGATTGAAGTTGCTTTCAATATTAGATAGAGAATCTTATCAGTGACTGTAGCGACTGTTGGATAGATATACGGAAACAACTGATCCCAAACAATATAGTTCCACTGTCAAGTAAATCGCAGCACAGTTGTGACCATAGGATTGCAGCAGCCAATTAGATTAGTGGAGATAGCGGATTGGCCCAACAATCCAGCCCAACATGCAATCAGAGCGTAACAAGTCTACACAATTGTGGAAGACTTGTGGAGGCTTGAAGTGTCGCAAGCCATTCGTCATGTAATTTAGTGACCGATATTGCTGGTTAACATGTCGCAAACGGGAAGCAAATCGCGGGCTGAGTTCTAGTTTTGCACATGAGTACTTTATTAGACTTAATCTAGGCGTAACACGGTTGTGGACCTGGCTGCCTAGGTCTGACATTTTATCAGGTGGTTGGTAAAGTGCGCATTCAGGTGCTAATATGACCGAGACGACTGACGCATTGCTTATTCTTGTCTTACGTGGCTTGATCTTCCTGAATGGAAAAAAGACGCGTTACTTGAAATTTCAATCCATGCATACCTCAGCTTGAAATTAAATTATCCATTCATATGCTGAGTTGTACACTTTTTCAAAGGCCCCCGTGAGTTTTCCGTGGACTGTTATTTTGGACAATGCTCACAACAATTTGAAACCATGGCAACACAACAGTAATAAGCTATCGTATTGACACTACACATCTGTAGAATGCTCTGTAGCCTCTAGGTTCACCATGACGGGTTCATTCGCCTTTTCCAAATGGCCATTTCTTATTTATTTTTCTTTTCTTTTTACTCCTGACGAGGAGCTGGATTGAGTCGTGCAGCCATATCCAGTGGCGGCGCTAGATCCTTATATATTCATAAATCACGACCCGGGAATGTTAGAAGAAGCTTTGGAGAAGAGGCTTCTGCCAATCGAGAAGTTTTAGCTTTTATAAGAAACGTCAATTTATTACAAAGTTTTTACGAAAATCGAAGTTAACTGAATTTTATATTTATATTCATGTGAATACTAGAACAATGTTTCACTCACCTTTTTCTAGATCAACAATGACAGTAGCTAATCTTTTGATGTCCCATCTTCAAAAAAATGGATATAACGCTGGCGTATTTCCACTTCGTTTGCCTATTCTAATCAAAGATGCTGGCTACTTGGTTGGTCGTAAGGAGTCGGAAAATCTGGCCTCTGAAAGCACAACAGACAAAATTATTAAATCAGTTCATATGACTTTAAAGCAGAATCTTGGATCATTTAGTTTCTGTACCGTAAAACTTACAGGCTGACTTCTCCGTTGCGTACTTGGGTCGAGTCTGCTTACGCCAAGCCGAAAGTGCTAGGGTCTCAATCAGCACGGCCTCGGCAAGCTACCTCCACTTTCTCTACAGCAGTTCAAGATTCTTGCATCAATCATTCCAAACATTGTGCTCTCTGGTTCCCACAACTGGCCCGTCGACTGATCATCTCCATCGATGCCTTCATTTCAGTACATTCCGTTGGCTGTCGGTGAAAATGAAGGAGACCACCATAAGTTTCGGTTTCTAGAACTGCATCCCGACTCGTCTGATGCTCCGCTCGCTGGGACCATGTTGCACAGAGTGATAAATCCGTTTACGGAGGATAACATATTTGACTTTGAAGCACTATCCTATTGTTGGGGTTCCCAAGCCCATCCCGAATCCATCACACTTACAAATGAACCGCGAGCAAATGAACAAGATTCAGGACATGTCAACATCGGACCAAACCTGGCATCAGCTCTACGGCTCTCAGACACACTAGCAACAAGCGTATCCTTTGGTGCGATTCTGTTTGCATAAATCAGAAAGACCTTTCGGAATGATCTACACAGGTGGATAACATGCATTGGATCTATCGCACTGCCAGAAGCGTCATCATCTGGCTAAGTCCTGAAACCGCCTGGAGCATCATGGCTATGGAAACAGTCCGGTGGGCAGCAAGCCAATTACTTCTCGTGGATATGAATTCCGAAACGATATCCTTCGAATTCAAACCTAGCGCAGATGAGCGTTTCATCAAAGATAAACATATTCCTCTCACTCTCTTCCAGTGGGAAGCTGTGGGACAATTGTTGGACTTGGATTGGAATAAGCGTCTCTGTACTTTTTAGGAGGCTCGGTTAGCAAAGCAAGAATCCTGTATTGTTTGTTAAGCTAGGAGGCGAAGAGATTCCGTGGGTCAAACTTAGGGACGCTGTTGTCCTAATATCAGGGTACAAGGCGCCGCCTTCAAACGCCATTCTACATCCAGCTTCTTGGAATACTAACATGGAAAACTTTGGTTGGAAGGCTCTGTCACCGGATGCAGACCGCGCCAGCGATTATAATGACTGGGTAGCATCGATATCGGAAGCAGCGTCGTTTCAATGCTCCGATAGTCGTGATCGAGTATATGCTGTTCGGGGATTAATCGCCCCCACAACCAGCAAGCACGTCAAAACAGACTAAACAAAGTCTACCAAAGAGATATTCGAATTAGTCTGCCTAAATCATATCGTCCAGAAGGGAAATCTTGACTTCCTAAATATGTACAACGGAGCTTCGAGCCCAAGCTGTGTAGCAGACTTGGAAATGCCATTGAATAGGCTCTACATTGATAGCAACGCTGTGGGTGGATCCTTATGCTTAGCGCATCTAGTAGAACTTGGTGTATTGGAGGTAGCTGGTATACTATGTGACGAGCTAGACCACGGTCTTATACTCATAGAGTGCGATGGAGGCTGGAAGGATGCCGTACGGATTCGATAAATCGCCAACGTCTTCCAGGTCCTGATAAACGCAGGTTTACATGAAGACGACGAATGCCTTGACAAACTGATTATGATGCTCACCTATGGAGATGTCAGGGATTATAGTACCCTCAGATTTGAGCGCCCTAAGAGTCGTGGAAGACACTTTCTCCAAGACTGGAGATAGAAAATACGGCAATGGCTATTAGGTATCTTCATTGCTGGTGATGATACTGAGAACCCACGAGAAAGCGACGCATCATACCTGAATATTCATTCAAAATAAAAACTATTGCTAAAACCATTAACCTATTAAATGACCCTCTTGAGGCAAAGATCTATACCATTCACCATGTTAATTCACGCTCATAAGCGACAATCTTCCTTCCAGTTCCCTTTACTTGCATACAGTCTTGTAGCTATTGAAAAAGGTCGGGGCCTTGAGACATTGAAAATCCTTAGGGCTCTTCTCTCCATGCCTGCAATGCGTATCTTGGAATACCAAAACTAGTCCCTTGTCAGTCGGCGATTTCTATGTGAACGTGAAAGTACTTACGCTTGCAGCCCTTGACGTGTTCAGTCTGGCTGACAGATTTGACCTTGTCACTGAACTTGAAGCATTGGCCAAGCTCGTCGCGGTGTGTGGTCAATTCGCCAAGGTTTCCGATGTTCTCGTTGTTTCCACAGTCTGGAGAACTCCAAATGCGGGAGCCGATGATATTGAAGGGTAGTTCATCGCCTTGAGGCTCGGCGCTGGCGCCCATGGCCAGGGCAGCAGTGACGAGAACGGTGGTAAAAAGCATATTGGTGGTATTAAAGATGTAAAGATGGTGTTTAAATATTATGGTGCTGATTGTTTGGAAGGTTTGCTTTGTTGAGGAGTGATGATGGCTTTAAAGATGTTATCGATGATATATCTGGATATGATTGTGGCTAAGATGGGAGTTTATAACTACAAGAAATGCCTACGTTACATTTGTTACTGTAGGTATGTATGATGCTTCTGGAACTGCCGATATGCATATAAGTGCTCAATCGAGCAATCACCGCATACAAGCTGCAAGTATCAGCGCTAGTAATACGAGTATAAGCTCACAATGGTTAAAAAACGTATTATCAGCTATACCTATCTTTATCGTTTTACTAGATATCTTGCTGCAGCATTACACTGATCAGCGGGACTTGTGATATGCAACTATGTCATGTGCCTCTGTAGTGTGCTTTTGTAGCGTGCTGATGCTCCTTCGAATGTAGAAATACGAGAAAAGGGATAGCTGTGACTGCAACCATCACGTCGATCGCTTACATTACAGAAAAAACGATTGGAAATCTATCTATAATATGTCTCAATAATCTGACCACATCATCGTATTTCGGAACTCGCGGCCAATCTATTTACGATACAGCTGAACCCAATTGATCGCCGCCAGCATTACGATATAGACTGAGACTGAGCTCCGCCTCAAAACTCGGACTCTGCGGTATGTCATCATCCCCCCGCATTTGCCGACAATAATCCGGTTTTAGAGTTACAATGCTGCAAAGATGGAACCTCGTGATATCTACTTCTGTACCTAGAATACGAATGCCGCTTGTTCCGTTTTGTTTCCTTTCTATCTACCGTATTCCATATTTTGATCCATAGGCATTTTGGCCAGAGCCTACTCTCCTCAGCTGGCGCTGGTAAACTATCAGTACTGCATTTTCCAAAATGCATTCAGTCTGCTCACTAGGATGCGTTTCTATTGGCGCCTAATACACGCCGATTTAATACTTAAGCTATTTGACCGTTTGTTTTATTAAAAAGAATGTGATAAGGTAAAAAGCGATTTATTTCATTGAACGAAGATTTATCAGAAATAGTACAGGGTAGCCACCTAAAAGAGAGGAAATTATTATCGCATAAACTTGTGAAATTCGGTAGCTTAGTGGGTCTCAAGCCCACTCAGCCATTTGGCCAATGGCATGATGACTGACTGATCTATATAGTGTCTCTGACCAATTGACAAGCTTGAAATAAACCCTTTAAGCTACCGAATTTCACGAGTTAATACGGTAGGTCAGATAGCAAATTTAGAAAGAACACGATATAGATCTATTTCACATAGGAATCCAAAACAATTATCTAGAATTTCCTAAGCAGCTGAAGCTATCCGTGGAGGAACGGGAAGCATATCTTCGTATCGCCCAAGCAAACCACCAGGCCTTGTTCCCATCAAAACCTTGTCCTTCTCTTTACTCCAATTCATCATAGCCGACCATAGCCCTACCACCTTATTTGCTCTTTCATTTACCCCATCCTTCTCCCATTCGTGTTTCACTCGCTTCCACTCACCCTCGTACTCTCGTCTAGGCAAAGGTTTCCAAGCATCGCTCGCCACGCTTTCAATTTCTTTGAAAGGATATCCATCATTGTTTACTCGCTCCAGCATATCTGCCACAATGTTGAACTTGGGTACCTTATCCTTCGACATGGCCGGTAACGGTGGCTGGAAGCTTAGCCCCATCACGAGAGAAACACTACCGGTAGCAGTGGCGGGATTGAGCAGAGATTTTACGGCATTTCCCGCGAGGGCTGGATCTGATGCGGCATCGTATCGTCCCCAAAGGTTCATCGGGACGTTCTTGAGGATGGGCTTGACAAGCCATCGCTTTGAGGATCGTTTCTCTTCTTCTATCACATGGAATGGTTTAGTGACCTCCTCCTCCTGATCGATGGTCATTTCCACTGTCGACTCGATAGCTCCAGTGAGGCGCATTGGCAATGCGTAGATCTCTTGTTGTGCCGCTGGTATGGTTACAGTCCAGACTTTGTCAATTGCCGTGTTTCTGTTATCCTTTACAGTGACCGCACTTGCAGCAAACGCCAGGGTGATGTTGAACTCAAGCTCGCCTGCTTTGACAGCCCACGTATTCTTGGAGATGTTCTTATTATCACCAAACATGGTCCTCATCCAGGAGACGTTACAACTTTCGGAGGGTTTGGATCCAGACGCAATGTTTGTGTTGTTTTCCGGGAGAAGTCCGGCCGTGCAGTTGAACAGAAAGCGCTCACTGGTCTTCTGACTGGCAGGATTATCGTCGGTGGTCATGATGGGATTTTTCACGTCGACCCAATCCATCGGCATGGGGACTCCTGTAGCCGCAGTACCGCCGCCCTTGAGAACAAGGTTCTTGAACTGGTCAAGGCTCAATTTGAAAGCACCTTGCTCCAGAGCCTTGGCACGATCACCAAAGTCGATGTCGAATCCAAACACCCAGAAGTCGACGTGAACAGTGCCTGCCATGGGAGGACCTAGGACGCTCAGTGTTGCCTTGATCTCAGCGTTGATACGAACCGTGACGAGCCAAAGATCTAAGCTGAACCTCACACCCACGGCAATACCACCATCTGCAGCAAACTTGAAAGGTCTGAAATTAATCAAAAAGTCGAGGAACGCATCGAACCACGCTGACAGTGGTCCTATACTCAGTGTGGCGTTTAATTTCCCGCCACCCATGCAGACCCTCGCCGTCACAGCAAAGTAGGCCTCTCCAGAAATTCGCAGGTTATCACCAAGAGACCAGGCTATCCCCAGCCGTGGTGGTCTGGGATACGCAGCCGGGACCGCAAATGCCTGATGGTAACCTCCCAATGTCATGACGAAATCTCCCGTCTTCGCCCAAGCATAGAGAGCCATGCCTCCTGAGAGATGGCAGCTTTCGTGAAGTACATAGCTGCGAGGAGAAAGTTGCGCGTCGAAGCGGAATGTTCCGGCTTCAGGGTCAAATACACACGCAATACCCAACTCGGCGTGCGCAAACTTGACAGGTGAGGCGAGACTGGGAACGTCGATAACAGCAACACCAAAAATGCCGATCTGAACGGATGGAGTAGTCGTTATGACCAGGACTGCATCGGCGGACAGAACACTCAGTGCGGTAACTTTTAGCCCGGCAGCGATCCAGAACGAGCCCTCACGGGCTGTGAACCAAGGGGCAACGTCCTTAGAAGGGGGCCGCAGAACAGTCTTGAGGGCCGCAAGAGGTCCCTCTGAAGGATTCGGTGTTCCTGAAGGCTTGGTGAAGGGGAAGTCGAGGACTGTTTCAGCCGTCGGCAGGCGAATCGCGGAGTTGACACCCACACCTGCAGTGAGTCCTGATATATCGGCGAAACCGATACTGAAAAGAGGGCCTTCAACCTTGAGAATGACAAATACCATCGTGAATGTATCGTGACTGTTTTTCTTTTTGTCTTCCTGTTTGCCGAACTGAATGTCATCCAGCTCATCATCTGACGACATCTCAATAATATCGAAGACGGACGATCTACCCCTGCGATGTCCACGTTTCACTAGACTCTTGGTCTTTTCCTTGGGTACCTCTCCGTAGACGCCCATCGCCATTAACTTCCATGGCACAAAGCCAACTATCAAGCCACCTGCGTAGTATGGTACTTCGTCAACGACGGTTCGTGCAAAACCGCCAGCAATTGTGACGGGCGGCCGATCGAACGAAACCATGAGGCCCTCCAGTGTAACTTGAGGATCTGATATGGGCAGAGACCCCAGACCAGCAGCTTTGACGGCGAGAGACGTGAGTCTATCGTGTGAATATGGTTCAGGATTCTTCTCTTCGTTATCGTCCTTTGCCAGCTTCACATTGACCCCAAAACCTAGCAATGCTAGTCCAATTGGACCAAGCAGAAATGTTGCATCAAGAATCACACCCAGTCTCTTTTCTGTAGCGTTATAGGTGAGACCGATGTTCTCAATCAGGAGGGGACCAACACTTTTCTTGAAAGGCGCCTTGGCAGGATCCTTGTTCTTCTCCTCGGCCACTAGTATTTGCTTGCCAGCCTGAGGATTCGGTCGTCCAAAAACATAGTCAAGAACAGCGACGGTATCGCCTACAGAGTTCTTAGCAACGATCATGAAGTGAGAGCCAGCCTCGATGACAAACTCCCCATCGGGAATCTTGTCCGGGTCTGGAGCGTCTGATTTAAAGTACAGCTTGTCTGCGTCGACCAACCTGTCGCTCACGATTCCGAACTCGGATTTGGTGATGCCTGCTGTCTTTTCCCCTTTCTTGGCAAGAGATTTGGGCTTGGCTGCCGAGGTCCTATCTGACACCCACATGTAAACTAGCTGCTCAAAAGGTTGCTTTAGCTGGCCGACCAGAGGAGCCGTGACGGGTCCTATCTCGTTCAAGGCCACTTTTACGACTCGTTTCGATGGTACGCTACTTTCCCAGGATGTGTGACGCCACTGAATGAGAGTCAGACTGATGGCGGAGATCTGGATCGAGAAAGTGGTCATCATAGTACCGCCATGCTCAGGTTTGTCGTCTTTTTTGCCTGTGTCTTTGATAAGAAAGCATTTCAGAGAGAGAAGCTCCCCCTCGCTTCCAGGTCGACCAACAGGAATGTCAAGGACATCGCCGGGAATATCTGGCAGAGAATCCTTCCCAATCAGTTCCACAAGAAGTTTTTTAACTGTGACGGGATCTTCTTTCTCGGTGGGAGGGTCGTCATCACCATCTTCTACTTTGGCTGAGCGATCGAAGATCAATCCAGCACTCAAATCCCATCCTCTCTCGTCATAATGATACTTAAGATCAAGTCCCAGGCTCCCAAGCTTCAACACTCCAATGAAAGTGAAGTCCTTACCACCATCTCCATCATTGGGGCCAAAGAGGTACGTTAGCGTTAGCTGCTCCACGACTAGGTGAGACAGCATAGTCATGACGGCCTCCCGAACTGGTCCTTTATCCCAAAACGTGGCCAGATGAGCGATCTTTAGATTGCTGACGCTGGCCTCCAGAGTCCACAGAGACACTTGCTTGTTGTCCTGTGCGAGAGACCTTGCCGCGTTACTCTGATACTGGATGTTGCCCCTGATGTAGCAGGGTGCGTCATCCTTATACGGTAGGACAGGTTTCTTTCCCGGCTCGACAACAGGTTCTTGGCCAAGCGGGAATAACAGCAAAGCAAATCCGAGACGAGCGTCCCAAGATCCTGGGACACCATCCGCACCCCATGTACGTGTAAGCGAGACCTCCAGAACATCCAAAGACAATTTTGGCATGTTAGAGTGCTTATCTTTGTCGTATACAGCAGAGACAAATGTTGTGATAGACATAGAAGAACCATCAACCGACAAGGTAGCCTCAGTGATCTCTCTCGGCACCCCTTCTGGAAAAGAATCTAGTCCAAGCAAGTCTTTCAGATCAATACGATCGACGATCTGGTTCGGACCATTAGGTTCCAGATTGACGCGACTTTCCCAGGCAGGCATCATAGATCGGTAATCGATGTTGTCCTCGAAGACCGGTTTGTTCCAGAGCCTTCCGTCCATGGATGCACCTCTGGCTCTGCTCCAGCCAAATGTCACAAATATCACGATAGGCCCTGCTTTGCCCACCTTCAGTTCCACCTGGAGAGTGATGGAGGCTCCTTGTACGCCTTGGAGTTTGCCTTTCTCGTCATAATCAAGCGCAAACTCCAATACACGAGGGCGAACGTTCCAGAGAAGCTCATTGGCAGCTTTAAGCCAATTATCGCAAGCTCCCCATGTACTACTCTTGTAGTCTTCGTCAGCCAAGGTACCTTCTCCTTCATCTCTGCCCCCAAGAGAGTTGTAGGCCCATTGGAGTAAAGTAGCCAAGTCGTCGCCACCTTCACCTTTCCCATCACGCTGCAGGCGAAACGTGACGGAATTTCTGTCAAACGCGATGAAAAGAGAAAAGTCCATCTTTGCAACAACCACTGAGACATCAAATGTGATTGATCCAAGAACAAACGCCTTGACATCATCAGGTAGTTCACCGTCAGATGCAGGATCGCCAGCTTCAAAGAGAGCGGCGGGTGAGAGCTTGTGTAGTCCTGCACGATAGTAGATGTTTCGACGTGCCACAACACGGAAGTTCTTGACAGTGATGCCGAATCTCTCGGACTGGAGCCAAGTATTTAGGTCATTGGGAATGCTCTCGTCTAGCAGAAACTCCAAACGCAGGTCAGTTGCTCGTCGTTGTCCAGATGAATACCACATAGCCGTGCGGCCTGATTCGTCAGGATTGACCGGTTTTAAAGGCAGTTCTCTCAGAAGCTGAATTGTTTTGCTGTATGGGAATCGGATTAGTTCCGCAACATTGCCAAGGTTAATGACACCAGCCTTGGCGCTCACAGAGACTCCAAATGGCAAAATGGCAAGCTGCGAAAACATGGCATTGATAGCCTTTCCAGACGAATCCAAAAGGGCTTTGGCGGCCTTTTTGGTGTCAAGCTCCACTGTAACCTCGGTTCCATCACTCAACATCACAACCCCTTCAATTGTAAAATCGAAATTGGTCGAGTCGGTAGGTGGCCATTTAGAAGCTTCCATATACATGATACCCAGCTCCGGTGGTACATCTTCAAATCGACCAGCTTCAGGAGTCAATAAATGATTGACCGCGAGAACGTCCTGGAGCCACTTATACCATTCATCACTAGGCGCGAAGGCGACACGCACACTACCAGGCGTACGCCCTTTGGTCCGTTCTACGTCTGGTTGCATTACAAGTTCGATCCGGCCTGTTGGAAGGCTGTCCAAGAAGTCGTGAAGAGAATTGCTGGAGGATATCTTTGTTGAAGCAAGTGTCTTGTTGAACTCTGACCATTGTTGTTTCTGCGGTATCAGGTAGTGATAGTTTGATGAGTCCAGTCCCACGATTTGGTTAGTACCATCAGCGAAACTTTCCACAGGGTCAATACATTCCCAAGATGAGATCGAGGACAGAGATGTTTTTCTTGCGCAGCAAGAACTCGCTTGACCATAGAGATTCCTGATCGGCTCATATTCAGCTCTAGTGGCCTCGTAGTTACCCAGCGGACCCTTAATCTTATGCTGAATGGCGGAACTTTCTTTTGTTCCGGCGGCTCTGAAATGTACGTAATGGCTGTACTTGAATATTAAAAGTGCATTGTAATTGGCGAGAAGCGTCGGGAACATGACTTTGAAGAGGGAAGGAAGAATGATGCTCTTAAGCTTTGTCTTGTTTTTCCATAAATCCGGGTCCATCTGAAGTTCGTTTTCCATGGCGCGGAGAACGTCGGGGTATGCTATCTCAGCTTCTTCGAGACTCCAATTCCCTCTTTTGACGGCTGTTTTGTACTTACTGAGGAGTTCATCATAGCATTCCTCAGCTGCGCTCATATTGGGGTTGAACTTGCTCTCGCTCTTGTGGTTTCGGAGTTGGTATGCAAAGTCGACGAGATAAGCTGGCCATCGCAGCAGATACAGCGGAGTTTGGTCGAGAAAGGGGCCATTGTGTCCATATAGGTGGAGTCCATAGATATCGAATACCACCTCCCATCTGGGATGGGAGAAATTAGGATTGTTGCCCGACATGGATACAATGGCCCTAGGTTTGAGGGCTGGCAGCAGCTTGACTGGAGTTGAAGATGCTGAGCCGTGGTGGCTGAGCTTATGAAGAGTAACAGTCGACTTTTGCATCCATTCAGCGATGTCCATCTCGAGTATTGAAGGGGCATCAGCTGCTGCGTATACGGACAAAAAATTGTTATCATAGTTTTGGGTCTGCCACGCCAGGAGAGAGCAGACGCTCGACATGTTGGTGAAGGTCAGTTCGGCACTTGCCGGCCAAGCTTCTTTGCCTTTGCCAAATCGACTCTTTCCCATGACTTCCATGTTGACTGCGACACAATAAAGCGCGGGGACAGTAATCGGCAGAGTTTTAGCCTCTCGAAATTTGAGCATGAAAGTATTTAATGACTTGCAGCCTTTCCTGTTTCTGACATCAGTTGGATCGAAATGATCACCCTCCTGGAAAAAGTCTCGGCCAAGAAGCTGGTCCGTTCCCACACGCATCCTCAGCATGTCTCCGTGCCACTCCTTGGGCCCTCGAATTTGGAGAGTAGTGGTGATTCTCATCCGCGTCTTCTCGTCGTCGATCGTGTAGAAGACGTCCATAGGCGCCTTATTAGGATTTGGCGACCCGCACCTTAGGTTTGGCTTCCCACACTTGTACCAGTATGGAGCGTAAAGAGTCGATTTTGGCTCGTTGTCTACATAAATGGCACGCGAGAGTTTTCCAAGTTTCGCGGCGTTGAGCATCGTGTCTTTTGCCAGGAAGACCATGACTCCGTGATAGTGGTCGTGGTCCCAGTGTGTGATAACAAACGAGTCAAAGAGAAGACGTTTCCGCTTACTAGCTTTGGGATTGCTTCCTCCATAGGGAGCTCCCTTTCCCTGGCACTCGAAATTGTCTTCGATGTCTGCAATGGCCGTGTATATGGAGTCGTAGTTTTGACTGAATGAAGATCCACCATCCATCATCACGGCTTTTTCAATTTTCTTAGTGCCTTCAGGAGTAGTTGACCAGCTGATGTAGATGGCGGCATCTCCAATGTCTGCACCGATGAAGAAGGTATCAGCACCGGTTGTCTGGTTGGTATCCATGGTGCTACTGCTGTTGTAGGTGGACCTGTATACAACGATATGATTATTAGCGCAAGAGAAATGTGAGAGAATGCGGGAGAATGCGAAACAGTTCAGGCTATCTGATGTGTGAAGTTCAAGTAACGCCTTTGCGAATGTGTAGTGTTGTTTGGAGGTATTCCAACTAGCACTAATGGACCCTTGCACTTTAGACCCCTGTTAGGAACAAGAGGTGGTCTAGATCAAGTCCAAAGCGGCAGAGTTGCCACCAGCTGAGGAGGGGTTGAAATGTGGTTGTGACAAGTCATGGGGCATTCAATATTGCGGAACTTTACGCCCACTTGACGATATGCTCAGGTAGTTAGACCTTGATCTCTAAGACATAGTTTCACTCCATCTCGCCCAATTATATACAACGTCACAAGTCACATTTCAGTCAACGCCATCACTTCGTATTCAAGAGCCTACTCTACAGCTTGGAACTAACCCGTATGGTGTACGTACCCGTTAGCTCTATCTCCGCATTCAACCCTGCCCCTGCTAGTCCGTTCATTGCGCGGCACAGTGGGCAGTCTCCCCCCGTCCTGGGTCTAACTACACTACGGCATGTTTCTTCTGGTACCTCGTGCTCCAGTCAAGAGGTGATGCTCGCAACCGGGTGCACGAACGAGTTGAAAGCATATTCGGCAGTGTTAATGTCGGTCAGGCCAAACACCACGACGCGGGGTTCCTTGTGGTCTTCGTCAACAATCGCGGTCAAGCCGGCCGTGGTGATGACACTCCTCCTGTTCTCCTTCTCGACCACTGTGGGCTGTTCATTGGGGGTGTCAAAGTACAACTGCTTGGCCAGCTTGCTGTTGGCGCTGTAGAGGTGCTTTGATGCCCCGGTACCGACGAAGTACACGACGATGCGAGCATCTGTTAACTGCTTACTGGAGGGTAGAATGACGGCAGCAAGGGGAGTACCGGGATGGGCGCGATCATCCGTCGTGTCGATGCTGAAGACGTACTTCTCTATATTGGTGGTTAGAATGAACAAGTGGAAAACTGATATCTAGCGGAATACTGACTATCGTTTTTGTTTGCATTAAGGATGTTGATCTCATTATTGGTACTTTGGTAGATAACCCATCGTGTGTCGTGCTCCTTGTCGTAGACTGCGTAGAGTTTTGTACTTTGGTTGAAGTCTGTAACGTGGAGTGGGATATGAATCGGGGGTCCATTGGATATGGTAAGCTCGCCAATGGCTGGGGTTCCGTTGTTGTTCCTGTATCCAATATAATTAGACAGATACGGAGAAATAATAGATTCAGTTTACGTACCAGATATAGTAAAGCCAGGCCTTCTCCTCAGCGCCCTCCTTTTCATTGGAGATGCCCGCAATTGCACCAGAAACTGGCTGGAACCCTTCACTGTCTACAGGAGACTGCACAGGACTCAGTAGCTCCACCTGGTAATCCTTCTGTTCCTTTCCAGTGATACCATAGACGTTGATGGAATCTCTGAAGACCATACTCACAAGCTGGCCAGGCTTAGTGATGGGCCGGACAACGCTGCTGGCATCCTTGGGACCAAGAGGTTCCTTGGATGCAAAATCAAGAAGACTCTGTGGCACGACGCGAAGCCCGTTGGATACGGCACCGCTTTGGAAGAGGAACACTTTATCCTTTGCCAGTGGGTTTGAGATGACGGTGACGGCAGCCATCTTTGCGGGCTTGGGGTCCTCCTTGTCGTCTTTCTGGCCAGTGCTCATGGTGACACTATTGCTGGAACAGGAGATGGAACAAACGTTGTTTGAACTGAGTAAGACAAGAGAGAGGAATATGTTTGAATGTGCTTGATTGAAGAATGAGCAGCAAGATACGTGGCAGAAATGGCTCTATTTCTAGTCGTAAACATCGACGGTTTGAGAGAAGACGGCATCGCATCAACAGAGTCGACCATTCCGCGTAGCCAAGCCCTTCCAGACTCCGAGGCAGAATACCCCGCGATGGGTCGAGAACTTGAACTGATGTAATAGCGCGCTCCCGATTACGCAGCTTTTCTGAACCATCACCATGGCCCAGCGGCGTATGAGGTTCAGCTTAGGCGATGATTCGGTGCCAAACCTGATTCAGAATTCATGAAACCTCGCAGCTGAAGGTGGCACCGAGTTATTGACGGTCGAGCTGAGACTATTGATGTCGACTTATGTTTCTGTCACAAAACGGGCAGGGGTTGGAAATGACAACCTCACGGGCTGGGCCTAGACTGTCCGGGTGAGATTGACCCACACTGTGCGTCCTCTTTCAGCTGGTCCTTGGTCGTCTAAGCGCCCTGAGACGGGGTAAATCCCATTGGATAGGTTACGATATGATCTTTGGTGTTATCAAAGGCTGGGATTTTCATCCGCTATGCAATGTCAAGATCAACCACAGTCTGAACTCGCCTTTCTCGAACCATCCTGATGCCAAAGTTGCCTCCTCCATCTAAATTATGCAAATAATGATCATGACAGACGCGCCAGAGGAGCCGAAGCAGCCCCGAGGGCCAGAGCAGTCCGTTCTTGTGCCTCTCAAGCTTGACGCCTTTGTCTTCAACAGTTTGGTCTGTGACGGAATTCCCCCGAAGGCACCGGCTACTCCAAACTCACACCACGAGCCTACTGCAGCCAAGATCGCCCCAATTGAACAACCCAACTATACATTTCTCAGGCTGGATAGTACCTTGATCCAACCAGATATTCAGAATCCGGTCGATCTTTATAATTCGTGGCCTAGTTCCAGCAATTCTCGACACACGAACCTGGGAACTAACAATACCTATCCTCAGCGTATCGGTGTCTATCTTCATTGGACATTACCACGATTCTTCAGAAGTGGCTTGGAGCTTCCAAAGCAGGACAAGAAGCTCAAACCCAGGGGAAAAAGCGCATTCGAGGGAGGTGACAAACCTAAGCCAAGTCCTTCTAAGGATTATACATCTAGCGTATTTCCTTCAGTTCCAAACCGCTGGCTTGTCATTCGGCATATTCCCGACAAAGGAACTATTGTACCCAGCGATGCCGAAGTGCCGGAGTTCTCTGGCTGGGTCATCGAGAGTGACAGACGATGGGAGTTGAAGAATCTCGGCATGGAAGTTGACTTACAGACGGATGTGTCACCGTTCATTGCCGCTGGAGATGAGGGCAACAAAGACGAGGATAAGAAGGACAACACCGTTTCAAAGCAGGCTGAAGTTTTCATTGGTTCCAAAACCCCTCTCGAAAGCTGGGTCGAACAGTACCAACCGAAGTCTGACAAGACCATACCAGGAGGCACTGCCGACGACAAATCACAGGCAAAGTTCCTACCGCATTTTAGCTTGCTCACATCGTCAAATCAACTGTTTGCCGACTATCAGCCTCACAACCCCAATGTTTTCAGCATGTGCGACAATTTTGAGTATGAAAAGGGAAAGTTTCTCGAAAAAGCCACGGCTCACTACTACGTTGTTGGCTGGTATTCCGAACCAAAGAATGATCTAATGTTTGGACCGCTCCTTGCCAAGAATCCAGACGGATCGAAGAGGAGCAGAAACGAGAAGCTGGAAGCCCTGAAATCTAAGATAAAACTTGAAAATTCAGAGGGCAAGCAATTGAAGGACGACCAAGTAGCAACCATGTTCAGTTTCTGGCTCGACGACAAGACTCAAACGCGCATGGTCTGTCACGGGTCTATGTATGAAGTCAAATGGGATTCCAAGAATAAACCAGACAAGGTACCAGCCGACATGTTTTGCACTCAACTGAACACCACCCTGCCCCTCGCTGTTGGCACAACTCCGCTGGATGCCATGACAACATATGCGCGAGCTCATACATGTCTTCCGTCTAAGAACACGGATGATAAAGAGGTCACTGTTCCTCAATTAGAGAAGTGGATCACGGAACTTGAACGGCACTTGCTTTCCAGAGATGACGGCATCGAGACACAGAATCAAGCTTCTGACATGCTTTACAATTGGAACTTTGCACGCAGCGACGGCGGCCAGAACTGGAACGCAGCCGGAATGGACCAGAAGGCTGAATCGCCTAACCGGCCTGGAGGTACACCTTTAGACCTCGTAGATAAACTACGCGATCTGAACATTCAGCAGAAATTTTTGGACGCCATCCAACGGGCTATGAGTAGAGTCCGCAGAGACATGTTTGCTGTATGGTGGAACTGCGTTACGGATGATACTGCCGACGAGCTTTTCGCAGACAAAGCTCAAACCCTAAAAACAAAGTTCGATGCCTTGGAGGTGAAGAAGACTGCTTGCGAAGCGGCCATCAAGGAGTTGGTTGATGAAAAGAAGATGCAGAAGGGTGCACTTCCAACATTTTATCAACAACGGGATCCTACTCTTTTAGTGGGTGGCGTCAGTTCGGGGTGGCAGTATGACTACTTAGACGACCTATTGGTTCGTTTAGATGAGCAGGTTATCGTCACAACGAAGAAGCCAGAGAAAGATAACACAGTAACTTCCCCGTGGGACGACTTTGAGAAGTCGTTTGGTGGCAAATTTCCAGACACAGTCAAGTCCAGTATCGCGAGACTGTTCGCAGAATTTCAAGCTCTTGATCCTGCGCACAAAGCGTTGAAAGAAGAGCCGGAACGCAAAACGACAAGTCCCCCTCTTTTCCACGACCAATACTCAGCACAAAACCCCAGACTTGAAGTCCAGATCTCTACTGACGGAGAGAAGGAGAATCTCTGGCGTGACAGATGGAATAACACACAGCCATGGTTTCCCTTGTTCCTTGAATGGGAGGTCGAGTATCATCACATCCCATTCGAAACCTGGGATCTGGCCAAGACTACGAGTCGGTCTTCGAATATGCCGCAGCTGAGATATGGAATCCCTAGCGACAAGATCGTGCGAGAGAAAGAGCCACCCAAGGGAAAGAAGCTACCGGTAGACGAGGAGCCAGATAAACAACGAATTCAAGGGCGTGTCCTAATACTGCCACAGCCAAGTTTTTCGCTTGGTGCCAAGATCGAACAGCTCTTTGCGGGAACTCCACAACCCATTCTAGATCACTCGGATGACTATCTCAGTCCTGAAAACCGTGCGTTGCTGCAGAAAGAACTTTACAAGCTCGCATTCCTCTCAGCTCCTCTGGCTGGCCTTTCAGCCCATCTCACAACAGTCCTACAGGGGAATCACATCAAACCCAACATGCGCAATGCGGAGACCAACAAACTGGATCCTATCAAGGAAGCTTTGCGTCCAAAGGCTGGCTTGGATGACAAGAAGATGCAAATCATCGATATTGAGACCGACAGCACGCCTTTCGGAACGTCAATGCGATCTCCAGTCGGGCCCAAGAATACTCTATTCAAACCAGTCACACATGGACAATTCCGATTCACGAAGCTCAACATAATTGATAAGTTTGGCCAGGCCATACATGCCATTACTCCTTCGGCAGAGATTCTCCCTGAACCTATCTTGCCCTGCATATCTGAGTGGTATGCACCGCAGCTCATCGGAAAGACAGAAGCGCCAAATGTAGTAGCTCCTAGGGACCTTGAAGCGGCCCGGTTTGATGGTGCGAAGGATGACCCTCAAGAATGTCCACCAAAGAATCAACAGAAATGCGAGTTTATCCAAGTGCCCCCTATGATCAACCAGTATTCCCGTCTCAATGCCTCCTTTGTCGTGCGCGTATCAAGTGACAAAGAGAAAGAGAAGAAGCCAGAGTTGCAAGCAGACCCAGAACCTGTACCTTTGAAGCCATACGCGTGGCGTCCAGCGAGCGAGTGGGAGAATCCAGTCTGGGGCTGGGTTCTGATCAACTATGCAAACCAGGGCATACAGATCTTCACCCAGGATGGTAGCTTCTATCGCGAGGTTAGACTGGGTGGACCGAAAGGTGCCCAGAGTACACCCGCTTGGCTTCCCTTCCGACCTCCTAAGCCAGACGAAGCTTGTAAGAATATGACCCCGGAGATGGCACAGCTTGGGCTGCTGGTTGCGCGACTTGGAAATGTGGATTTCTTGCGTGCATTCTGGGAGATGATCATGAAAGCAACGCTGAACTTGCAGCCAGCACCCGAAGCTTATGCTGGATTCACCAATGCTGCACTAGTTGGACGGCCACTGGCCCTCTGTCAAGCTGGCTGGTCGGTGGAGTTGGCAGTCGACGCCTTGACGAGTCAAGCTCGGGGTGAAAATCCAATTCCCAGAAAGCTACTGGGGAAGAGTAGAGAGGCTCACAAGATTGAGGATGATGATAGTGATGAGGAAAATAACAATCCAGGGCAATATGCTTTCAAAGTCAAGATCGGCGACAAGCAGAAGGGGTTCGACGGCCTTGTCGGGGTTCTCAGATGTGACAAGTACGCGGATCTAAAAACACAGAAAGGCCTGGGTCTGAAGCTAGATACTGTCTACTCCGATTACGTTGACCAGGGAGATGCTTTTCAAAAGGATGAGGGTGGCAAGGATGTTATTTCCCCAATGTCACCACTTGTTCTACGCCCATTCTACCTCTCTCCTAATTCGGTTTCCGGAGGCAAAGAGTATGAGGAAGAATGCAACAAGAAGCTATCCGTCCGAACCATCCTAATCGATCCGTTCTCTCCCATCCACGCCTACTCTGGAATCCTTCCTGTCCGCGAACTCATCCTACCGCCTTGGACATGGCAAGCCGCCCTTTCGAAGATGGCCGCGTTCTTCCACGCAGGTCCTATAGTGCTCACTAAAGATGTACCCAGCGAGTTCAAAGAAGAGCGTGAGCTTAGCTCGGACGACCCCAACATCTCTGTTCCAGATGTTATACCGGGAGAAGGTCCCGTGCGGCTACCAGAGTTGGGAAATGGAGGCTGGGCGTGGCTGCAGCCTTATTATGGAAATAATGGAGAGAGTTTTGATGCGCAGGTTGGAGAGAAGGATGCGCCGGAGAGGTATATGATACTTCCTACAGCGCCGGAAGATCAGGGGGCGAGGTTCGAGGAGGGGCCTTATACAATGGTTGAAGGGTATTTGCTGAAGGTGAACGAGAACGAGAAGTCTGGAAAGAAGAAGCCGTAGTGCTCAACATTTAAGATGGCAAGTAAATGCATAGCGTTAACTTGAGACAATGCTCAGTTTGGACAGTGCAGTAAATATTTGTTCCTCAGGAAAGTGTTTTCATGCGAAAAGGATGACAGGTGATTTGAGAAGTTAAGATCTTTCTATTGAACGGTTCTAAAACACTTCGACTGTAAAAGCCACGGTTGGTTTCTCTTATAAATCTATCAAAATGTACATCTAATAGGAAATGCTTATAAACCTCGAATACCTAATGAAAGTTTGAAGAGAATCATACAATAACTGAGTAAATCGAATAATAAAAGCTGAATACCCTTTCTAATTAGCCCGATTTTTTTCTTCTTTTTTTTGTACAACCATTTTTTGTCATGATACTTTTGCTTGCGTGATATAATCAAAAAGCACAACATTTCAACTTAATTCTTCAACAGCGATTGGTTGACTAGGTTTCTCGATCAACAGGGTCTTCTGCGTCAATAGCGTGTGTGATATTAGCGAAGTGAATGACACTAAGTTACAGTATGAACACTGTATTCTGGACTCCCTGCCAAGACCCTGTCAAGACCCTGGACGTCAAGTTGGGATGAGAGGCTGGCGGTTCCGGCTCCGATAGGTGGCAGAGGCAGCTGAGTATCACCAGGCATTATGACCAGTCTCGTTTCATCAGGTATGCAATTCCCCAATAGTTCGTGCACTATTGAAGTGACAACGGGATGATTATCCTTTTTCGTGCACCACTAGAAACAACCTGCATCTGCCTCCATGAGCGGTAATCTCAATACCTTGTATCCGTGTTGTGGCTCAATTTGGTTGACCGAAGCAAATTGTCTTTCATCAAATCCCATCAACTCAACGTCAGGCTTGCAACATTTCAGGCGGTCTTTCGTACAACAGAATAGTAACATGCCGTCTTTACACCGTCATTTAGTCCACCGACACGCCAGGCGGATTCTAAACAAGGAACCTCGTGATTTAGCACCCGGCGAGGCACAATTATTCTCCTTCTACGCTCCATCGCTCGTCGGTGGGTTGCATAACATTTCTGTTAATCAAACAATCACGGCTCCAGCTGAAGCGGGAAGCAAATCAACAGCACGTCGTGAAACAAAAATCGACCCTCTGTCGCAGTCTTTTGTTGTTGTCGCTCCTCGCTTTGCGCTTCCACCCAACGTGGTAGATTCTGTGTATCCTACTCCAGGAATAAGTGTCGCCCACACAGTCCTGCCACATATTGTTCTCAAAGATCCTCATCTGCCATGGTCTAGGGCACCTTCGGATGCTCACATCACGCCCGAGGAAGATAAAAACAATGTCCGTAGTCGCACAACATGGCTTGCTTTGTTGGTGTTCTCTGTCGAAGAGCTGCAACTCAGCCAGGGCCAGATTGACAGAGTCATGGGCAACTTGCCAGTTGAGATAGACAGAAAGCAGAGCGAGACGAAGACTCTGAAAATCATTGCAAGGCAGACAACCAAATTGAATGATATTGAAGGACTCGTCAATACAACCGGCTTTGACACGACATTGGATGCGAAAGATGCCGACGAGCCTACGGAGATCATTCTTCTCTCTGGCTCGTTGTTCACAGATCTATTTGTAGACCCAGAAGGGCCAACTGAAATCATCAACGTTTCCAGCTACAAGTACATGGCACATGTTAGGAAAATTGCCACAGATGGTATGGCCAATGCGGGTGCCGACAGCGATGAAGCGTTGTTCAGCTGCGTGGTCAGTCCTCGAACTGGGCCTATCGACGCTGATGAGTCGAGCATGATGATTGCTCACCTGGTCTCCCTGAAATGGGACAAAGACATGCGATATCCCAAGAGCAGCGATCTGGTCGCTATGACAAGTCTGTATAGCTGGACTTATACGTGTCTTTCGTCAAAGAACGTGGCTAGCACCCGTGATTTGCTCACCAACTTGGGTCAACACCTCTCTGTTCTCCGGACTGGAAAAGGTGACGAAGATCCTGCATCTGGGAAAGATAAAGAACAGGTTGATTTGGCAGCCCTTATTGCAGCTCGTCGAAGAGACGGATACACCCTCGCTCGTCATCGCACAGCAACAGGCGAAATCACTGCAGCTATGCTCAGAGGACCCTTGGTACCTAGACAGGTCAAGCACAAAATAGACGGTATGCCCATGCAGTCGAATTACGGGCATGACTTGGCCATCTTCGATCCCAAATTCGGGCTGATGGATACGACATATTCTAATGCTTGGCAGCTTGGACGCACACTGGCAATGGCCGACAACGCCTTCTGTGCTGCTCTCACCAGATTGAGGGAACCTGTCCACGCGTTTTCTCTTGATTCGGCCAAGAAAGACGTCCATGCTCTTTTTGGCGATGACGGCCATGGATCGCGCCAGCGGCACGCTGCAAGGATGGTGGATTTGGTGAAAGGTCTGAATCGCATCAACGACTCTATGCATACGCTTGGTGGCTCTGCCACTGCCGCTGGCCCCAACAGATGGTGCCATCAGGACGACGATCAATCAGGAGTCGGTATTGAGTCTCTTGACCTCGTGTCGCAATCATCGCCTCACATCATGCCGCGGATCAGAGCACATGCTTCTACAGCTGCGTTGCATTTCGCCATGGCAGTTAATACGGATGGACATGTGAAAGGCGAGAAACAAGAGATGTACAACGAATACAACACGCCAGTCAACCCACATTATGCCGTTGTCTACTCGTGGGTCCTTGATAAGATCCATTTAGGCAACGTTCCAGCCCACTACCTGATTCCAGACCCAGCATTTCTACCCCAGGAAACCCTTCGATTCTTCTACCTCGACACCAACTGGCTAGATGCTCTTGTGGATGGAGCTCTAAGTCTCGCCAATCACTGGGGGGCCAAACCCGAGAGAGACACGACCCGCACCGCAATCAAAGAAGCTATCAACGAACGTTTGAGAACTCCAGATCCAGCGCTAGGTGGCTGGCATGTGCAGATGCCGCGATACGGGTTCCTGTTGCGCAGTCACATCTTGACTCAATTCCCAGATCTCTCCATTGACGTAAAATTCTCAGAGAAGCGGGAGAATCCAGCCATGATGAAGGTCGACCCTCCGGCCAACACCCCAGCCCAACAACCCATCTTGGTCCAGAAGCGTATCGCGCCTGATACTATGTACCTACTACTCGACGCAGCCCCCCCTGATCTGAAGCGCATCACTTTGACCTTACCACCGCATCAGCAGTGCTTCAAGATCGGATACAACCTGACAGCAGATACCCTTTCCATGACTGTGAGGAAGACTTACACCATCGAGAACCGACCCAAGGCTGGAGCGACTCTGGGCGAGAGACACTTCAAACTTGATGGCACACCTGTTGCGGCTTTCAATTGGAAGACTCGGACACTAAACCCAGCTATCTTTAGTAGGTATTTGGTGCAGCAGCTGGGAGAAAGTCGGGAGGGGGAATTTGAGGACAAAGTACCGACATCTGTGGTCACAGCTCTTCAACTCAATGAGAGTATCTTACAGCTGGATATTGGCGATGCTTGGGCTACAGACTCACCTGAAGTTACTCCGTTATTTCAACTGTCTACCCTATCCGAGATGGGTGTATCGCAGCAACCTCCACCTATAGTACCTAGGCCACGGTTGAAGATGGAACCGGGATTTATTCGTGGTATTAGCAGAAATTCCACTAACTTGGCTTCCCGTATTGACCATTCCATACCCGATCGCCCAGTCGAGGACATGGCGAACCAGCTTGGTTTTGACATGGTCGTCACCCCCATGGGCACGGACAGTCAAGCCTTCATCCCAACCAACTCCCCCGTGCCTATCGATCTCATCTTCCGTCTCACACGAAAGCGAGTCATATCCTGGGGCGAGCCTCTTACCCGCATCATCGTCGGCGTTCCAACGGGAGATATGCCGCCTACAGACAACGACCCCACGATTCTCAAACCACTTCTCGCTGCCAACGCTGAGCCGTCAACCCCTACGATGCTCGGTAATCCGCGTCTAAATGTGCTGAAGCGGTACCCGAGGGAAAATGAGAAGGAGTTGCAGAATCACGTGGTTTTTGAGCTGGTCCCGAGAGAGCAGCCGGGTGTTGCGATCGATAAGATCACGAATGCGAGCTTTAAACTGCCTAGGGCTGAGATAGTTTCGTATGATGGTGTTGATGAGAGAACGGCTTCTATCAAGGTCTTCTATGAGGTTTGGAGAAATGGTGTTTCGGTCAGGGAAGATCAGTTTATGCATATTGGGAAAGTTTATCTCAAGGCATGTATTAAATAAGGCTAGTTCGGTCTTTATTATAGGATGTTTTACGTTGTTTTATTACTGAAAGTTTGCTGCTTTAGAACATCTCATTTCTTCATGAAATGATGGAAAGTCTTAAAAGATGGAAAATAGGATGTTTTACATTACATTACAGGTAAAAGTCATTACCGGTAGCAGCCAACAGTTATACAACCGACGCCTGAGCCTGATTAAAACTACGGCGTCCTGATTACTACCTATAATATTATATAGTATTAGTCCTCCAAGTCCTCGTGATGGAGAATGGCACAAAGGATCTCTTTATCGCCTTCTATTGTCTTCTCTTCCTCCAAGCCTTTATCTCGTGCCCTAGGATCCGCAACGGAAATTATGTCCAAAGCAGCTTGCCTGCACGCCTTACTATTAGTACCGAGCATAACTCCTCTGGTATATTCATTTTCATCGTCATCACGATATATATTGGTTTCTTTCGACAAGCTTCGACGGCGTACGTGATCTAGTTGGACGACCGGTGGGTAGATGTACCACATCTGCGACACGATTAGTGCTATGGATCAAAGGGGACCACGATTGACTGACTGTGTGATTTTGGTGGATCGATGATTGCAGGAGGAAGAAACAGCTGCTGTGCGTACAGCTCGGAAGCTTCTTCTATATAACCCTCATTATAGAGTTTGGTTATTGCCCTGACACGTATATTCTTGGTGAGAAAGTAAGTTACTGAGAAAACCTTGATTTGAAATAATGAGTTTTTAATCCATATGGATATTTTGTTGAATATTGGAGTTATTGAGAGCCTTAGACTTGCATCTGCTAGTAAAGTACAGAAACAAATAATAAAGTATATTAATTTTCACTCTCAACCTCGCCACTCTTCTTCACTCGGATGTTGCTTACACGGTAGTTAAATACAAAGTTTCCACTCTTCCATCTTGTACGATGATTATTGCCAATATTTACCTCAATCCCAGGCCCACCACCGAGAGGCACGGCACCGCCAGTCCAGACTATGCCATCTACCCCAACAGAAACGTTTCCGCCGACGATGCGGGATTGGATACTATTAGCCACTGCACCAGTAACAACTTTCAGTCCAGTGACGGCATAAATAGGTTTAGGATTGCGAGATCTCTCTAACCATCTGCGTACAGCTTCGGACTCAACACAACACTACAGATATTCTGCTGTAGGGATAAATTCAGCGGTTTCCAGAGTGTCAAACACAAAGCTTTCCTCCTCAGTTACTGTCAACTTATTAACCCATCTTACAAATTATTGAATAAACCTCCTTCCACATGTCCACACCAAAACCAAGAATACTGAGAAACTTGGCTATAATTGAAAAATTTCCTCTTTGTGATTGCTCTTTCGTGTATTAGACTTTGATCTTCTCCGTCTTATAAATGTCCGTATTTTCACTCGGTAGACAATTAATAAGGGGTATATAAGGCTTCTTGACTGAGGTTATCACGATGCCTAGCTTGATCGGGACTTCGGACTGGTAGTCCCCTGTCATAGTGTAGAAGTAAAAGAATTCTCGGTTGGCCATTTCTTAAACTGATAATTCCATTTACGTAGCCAAGATATCGTCGCGCTTCATAAAAAAGATAGAGAGCCAGCTCTGTTAGGCAGCAGCAGAATGCATTAATGATTCAAAGCCGTTTATTGGTGGTTGCAGCGACATAGCCACCAGAGGCCGCCAGGACCTCAAATCTACGACGCAGCAATCCTTGTCCAAGGGACATGAAGAAGTGTCAAAAGTGATCAATTTTAATGATCTAGTTTCGATACCAAAGCAGTTCGGTGCTGCAATCAGCTGCTCGAGAAGATAGATAATGGCAACTAGCACATGAATTCTACATGAGAGGTCGGTTCTCTGTCCGCCATAGCATTGTTTGCCGCCTATTTTCAAGGCGTTCCTTGCACTCTTCGCAGTACCATGTCGCTGATGTTCTATTAGCGGCTGAAGTCTGATTTGGTTGCTCTTGTAATAACTTACCTTCTGATTTCGGGGCAACCTTAAGCCCTACACACTCTAAATGGAACCATTCGCGGGGACATTCATCAGCATCACATGCTATCATCTCGCCGTAACTGACTTCATTGCAGTAACAGTATTTCGGCTCATCCTCGTCAATTTTACTGTCATCCCCATCGCCCTGTATGCTGCTATTTGTATCTTCGTCTGCCGGCTGAGCGACGTGGATAGTACGATCAGCTTTCGGTGAGGAACTTGTAGGGAGAGGTATTAAATCCTCATACTCGATCTTGGCCAACTTGGCCATTCTTGCTTGGTCATCGTCAGGCCCATCGAGATACTGGAAAGTGCCGATGGGTATGCGAAGGATTTCAGATCCGGAAGGGTCATCACAAACGACTTGTAATGGTACAAGGCTGCTTGCACAGTTTGTGGCCGTAAATCGAGGCGCATATCCCTCACATGAGTAGATAAAGTTGTCTTGCAGGTCTCGCAACACACTTTTAGCAGAGCGCTTTTCTGACCCAAACATCAGAGACCACGTCGGCATCGGCGTCGATAGCAAAAACAAATCATGTTGTGATGAAAGTTTGATATAGACGTGGGTGCCAAATTCACCGTCCGATGGATGGCATGATAATACAGTCGGTGCTTGAGGAATGTGCAGAAAGGAAAATGCGGCGTCGGATACTTCATATTCGCCGAGAATGGTTTTTGTAGGGCTTCGTAACGAGACTTGGGAGCCCGTAGTAGTGATTTCTTTGATTGTGGTGCGATTAGAAATGACACCATTGGAGTTTTTTGCATCATTTTCATCTTCGTCGACTTCATTATAAACCTAAAGGGGGAGAGTTTCAGCAATTATCTCAATACGTAAGAAACAAAAACAAGAATACACTCACAGGTGGCAAAGATCTTAGCGCAAGCGACCTCAAGTGTCCAGCAATATGCTTCTCAAGATTGCCACCGGCTTGCTGAACGTCTTGACCGCAGAGTGGACATGATGAAAACAGCGGTCCCGATTTCTGTCGACTCCTGTTGGTAACAAGGGCGAGTTCGGCGTCCGTATACTTCTTCTTGTGATCTTGCTCCAGGTGTTTTTGAAATTCCTCCTGTGTCATGAAAATCTGGCCACGATGCGGCCTTGCTGGACATTTCCACTGCAAAGCATGCTGCAGCATGTGTTTCAGCCAGCCTTCACTATGTGTCCATGTGCGTTCAGGCTGATCGCACTCATTGAAAAGGCATATATATGCCTCTAGATCACCTATGACATGTTCTCTGTAATATATTAGGCATATGAAATTCCGGGGTCGAATGATGTCGTGTGCTTACCGCCATTTTTGCTCTGACCTAATATCTTTGCTAGAAATTATATAGAGACAGAATGGGCATACTTCTTCAATGTCTTCATGATTATGATTCATTAAGGGATTCATTATTTCCGGTGCGACGCCTGGATTGAGCACTGCTTCTTCATTAGACTCGACTTGGCTATTCTGACCCACTGCGTGATCTATTGACTCACATCCTTGCGTGTGCCGTGGCTCACGTAATGTGTAATATGGATTGTTTTCGAGAAGTTTACCAGGCGGGCGAGGGAACACAAGCTGTTCGTGTGAATCCAGAGCGATTGTCCTCGACTTCGACACCACTGAGGGTGTTTGAGCTTTTTGAAAATCTGGCAACGCTAGAGTAGTCGCACTTCTGATGGAAGTCGATGCAATTGCACTTCGAGACTTCCCAACAAGTTCGAGTTGTGTCTCTTGCCCCTCTAGCTGACGCTGGTTCTGTCCTTCGCAATGAGACTGAGGTTGCAGAGTAGGTTTATCCGTGGTCTGGAGTATTCTGAAAGGATCGCTAGAATATCGATCTCTGCGATAGACAATCTTCTTCCTTCGTAAGACCATTGATCTAGCTAACCGTATCCGAATTACTTCGCTGCATCCTGGAAAGCGGTCGAGAATGTTGTTGGCCCAGGCTTCCTGTAGAGCGCCTTCAATATCGTTACCGTCGGTATCAATTAGGGTAAATTGACCCAGAGCCTTCTCATCTTGAGTCTTTCGGTTGGCTCTCCGTATGGTGTTTGATAATTCATTGAGGAGGGTGAGTTCATTGCTAATGGCTAACAGCGCTCGCTCGAAATCGCCAGTAGCCAGTAACTGGTTGCGGTCGGGAATGGATAAACCTGATAGGCCAAGATGTTCCAGTATCGAGAGTACTTTTGTACTTGAGTAAGTGTTTCTGAGGGGCTAACGGCCGCTAGGGTAAATACTTACACTGCTGAATGTCATTTTCCAGTAATCCAAGTAGGCTAGTAACAAGATCCCGCACTTGAGGGGTCCACCGTAGTCTGTGATCTAGCGATAACTTCGATCTCGCAAAAACGGCCATGTTAGAGGTCCATAACGAGAATCGAGCCATTTGGTCTTCTATACAAGATTGCCTTTGAGCGTCGACGTTGGCTGCCCTAGCCATACAGGTATCGAACAAGCGAAAGCATGCTGCGGCTTGAGACGATACAGGTGCGGACAGCTCCCTGGATGCCTTCACATCTGGTCTCAAGTTCAATATTGAGTCGTTAATCTGTCCCGCAGCCATGGTGATGATGGTAGATATGCTTCATCACTATGTGTCACTGAGCGAGTGAGACTGAATATTCATGGTGTAACGTTGGCAGAATCTCACATTGTGGTTGCCTGAGGCAGAACTGTGGTGCGGCTGAAACGAGGCTGTGAGACGTCTCACGCGGGGTTCTCTCTCAAATCAACCTCGATCCGTATGGAAAACCTGTCAATGGCTTCACCTGGCCCTCAGCTGATGAGAAAATGGGCTCAGTTGCTGCCCGAAGTCCTTCAGGTATTTCGGGAAATTTGCGACACCTTGGCACGCACTGAGCCTTCCTTAGAGCTCAATAAGTTCTATGTACATATGAACGCCCGATTATTCATTCTCTCTAATACCAATGAGGAGATTCCAGGAATTTTCTCGTCACATTTATCAACCAGTCAAATTCTCCAGCAACTTCTCTACTCACTAGACAGAGTCTATATAGGAGATCCAAGCACTCCAGTCACAAATTACGACCCTTCCACTCTACAGGGCCTAAACAACATTCTCCAGGCATGGCGTGACAGCTCAAGTACCAAGGCCAAGTACGCTAGCACTTGCCTTGATTTTGGGTCCAAAGCTCGCCGTGACGAAATGATCAGTTACCTCAAAGAGGCAGAGGACGTGTGCCGGATGAGCTCCACAGTCGACAGAGGGGACATTGGCGCTGATCCAGATATTTGTGTAAAGACAAGGCAGATGCCGCCGCTCGACATATGGCCAGTGGCCCAATCGGTCTATTCAGCGCTGGACTCATCTAATATGGGTCCTTGCAACACATGTAACGTCCCGCATGGCTACGGTGCCCGACTGTGCATTGAGACATATCGGGCTCAATATGACACCCAAGGGTATGATTTCGACATGTTTCTAGGCTTGGATCAGCTGTGGCAAGAAGCACGTGTCAGACAACTCAACAACTCTGTCGTTAAGTTCATAATCAACGACGATGATAACAAAACCACGATGAAAACGAGTATCAGGGTGAGAAGCCTATGTCGACAAATCAAAGACACTCAGAAGCGATGTATGTTCCGGTTGAACTTTGAAGTGAGAGGTAACGAACTTTGGAAAACGAAATCTGAACGAAGCAGATTTGTTGGTCATGTATCAGAAGACGTTGTTTCGCTGTCACACTTCATTAACAAACAACCTCATCTTTTAAACGGCAAGACAAAACGCATCCTGGCGGTTCTCTTGGGTTATGCAGTGCTTAATCTCCACGGCACAGAGTGGCTAAAACCTACGCTATCAAGTGACAATATCTTGTTTTTCAAGACTAATGGTACAGTGCCGTTGAAGCCATACCTTCAGGTCCACATAAATTCCAAGACTGCGACTCATTCTCCCATGGATGGGAATAATCGGGTCGTTGACGAAGACGAAGATCAGAATGACCCCGATTATGAATTGTGCTTTCATCCATACCCTTGTCTTGTCAGTTTGGCCCTCATACTCATCGAGTTACATCAAGGAAGGTCCATACAAATGATTGCCGAGGAGAATAACCTTCTACTGCCAGATGAGGAAACCGACGAAAGCAGATTCTTATTAGCAGGCCACATCTTCGAATTTTGCCAGCAGGATTTCGAGGACCAAACGAGAATGGCTATTGACGCTTGCCTGAACCCGAATATTGGGAATGAGTCTGAGGACACGTCGCCACATGAAGACAATTTGCGCACCGCTATCTACCAAGATATTGTTCGAAGATTGGAAGACGAGTTGGAGCAAGGACATAGTTACATTTCTGTCGACGGTCTTGACACCCTTGCACAAACCCTGGATTTCGCTCGATTTGGACGACCTATTAAGCCTGAGAAGACCCAAAGCTCAGGATTGAGTCTAGCAAGGCGAGGAGCAAAGTTGCAAGCTAGCAAACGAAACCGGGATGACGAGTGTCAAAATTACCGACGCATACCGGGCTATTCTAGTCCAGCTAGCAGGTTTCCGACATTATCGGATACTCGAAGGCCAAGCTTCTTCGATGATGGAAGAGAGTCCGGGGATATAACAACCGTGAAGTATGAACCTAGAATTTAGGCGAGTTATAAGACTTCTACTGACATCAAGACAGAAAAGAAGCCTATAAATCCTGGAGGGGAGGCGTCATTGACGTCTACAGCCGATATGCACCCGACGTGGCCGAAAAGCCCCATGTTAAAATCGTGGTTCTGGATACCGGGGTGGATAGAAGTCACCTAGATTTTGACGCATACGAAGACAGGATAAAAGCTTCAGTATCCTATGTCGGTAACGACCGAAAGAATGTTCGAGACACCAGTGGCCATGGGACCCACGTCACGACGTTACTTTGTGAATATGCACCGGATGCTGATATTTACATCATGAAGATCGCAGAATATGATCCAGTGTCACCATCAATGGTAGCTCGGGCTATTAACGATGCGGTTACGAATTGGCAACCAGACATCATCTCGATGTCATTTGGTTGGCCTGCTAGAGACGATGGATACGAGTCCCTTGAGAAAGCCATTAAGAACGCGCAATTTCATGATGTTTTACTCTTTGCCGCAGCATCCAATGATGGCGCTAATGCTCAACGGGCGTGGCCGGCTCGACATCCAGGGGTCATATGCATTCACTCTACGACAGCAGATGGAAACCCCTCTCCCTTTAATCCTATCGCGATACCTGGCGATAACTTCGCGGTTGTCGGTGAGGCTGTAGAAGGAGCCTGGCCTCGGCATCTGTGTGACGAACAAGTCAATAAGAATTGCTTGGCATACAAATCAGGCACCTCATTTGCAACGCCAATAGCGGCGGGTATTGCGGCTTTCCTATTACAATACGCCCGATCAAAGCTTGGTTTAAGACAATTCACACGGTTAAAGCAGTTTGAGGGTATGACGACAGTGTTGAGGCGAATATCGGTGGAAAAGCAGGGTTATAATTATATAGCCCCCCGCCTACATCCTGATAACTTTTTTGGGAAGAGCGAGGAGTTTATCCAGACTAATCTCTATGAAGCATTATTATAAGTCTAGTTTCTAGAAAATTACTACAAGATCCAAAGGTTTATATCATAAGAGTTATTTCCCAAATTCATCTGGTCATATCGTGTGTTAAGACGATGCTAGATGTTTATTCTGTAAGTGGAATAAATCTATATTCTGTTTATATTCTGTCTGAAATCGCTATCTAGCCTAACAATTTCCCCTCTTTTGAGCAGATACCTAATGCAGCTTTTCCTATTTAGATGAGTCTGTCTTTACCCTTTTGAGGTTTCTTTTAATGAAATGAACCGCTAACCGGCTTGTACAAGGTAGCTTGGGTTCAACAGTAGTTAAGGCGTAATTCATGGTCAATGTATAGAAGGAATACGTATCACGAGTGAGACTTTAATTACGCTAGCTAGCCTCTATAATCAATTCCCTACCGCCGCCTCGCGTCGCGTCTAAACTCACTTCATACAACCTCCAACTTACTCAGTACTCTATACTATCTTCAACACGCAGAACACTTTAATATCCTACCATGCCTCCTATTAGATTTGGAAAATCCAACTAAGCCGCTGATGCCCCAGCTCCCGGCACAGACACCCCAAAGAAAAGGCTCCTAAAGCCCGTCGTCAAAGGCATCAAGGACGACAGTTTCCTGAGCAGCGTAACTGATTGGGACGGTCAATATCATAAATTTATCTTGACATCCACCAGGACAATCAACTTCGGATCAAGATTTGTCTTGACTGAGTAAGCAAATTCCTCCTATTCAATGCAATCCATTGCTAACGAGACATCATTAGTGATTATATTGACGATATCTTGACCCTACCACGTCAAGTCCGTAAAAGATCTGGCATTTCATTTTCAATTACGCCGACGTCAGTCAAGATGCAAAGAACGATGCCAAAGATCTCACAAATGAAGCCGTCATTCGTCTAGCAAAAGTTCTTCCAAACCTCAGAACCGTCATTCTCCAGAGCACCACCAAAGTCGGCAACGAGGGTTTCCTCGCCTTGGTCTCCAACTGTCCCGACCCAAGGTTTCTCGAGATCACACCGTTACACCCCTCAATCGGCTCGAATAAAGTCACTGGGGAAGCACTAGCAGAGTTTTTAAGCATCAGGAGTGGCGTCCTGGTCTGAAGCAGGTCATTTTTCAAGAGGAGAAGGATGGAAACAAAGAGTTCATGAAGCCTATGCGTGAATTGGGCAGGCAGAGGGACAAGCTGGTGATCACTCTACTGGATCGCTCACAGGAAAAGAAATGGGGCGACTGGGAGATAAGCACGCATCCGCGCCATTATGTCAAGGGTCGTAAGTGTGAACCGGAAAAGACCCCTCGTGGAATATCTCACCGGTACGGAAAGGGATACTAAGCAAGCCTGAAATCATATAACATGGATGGGCTTGGTTATAGTGAGATAGGGATGTTAATTTTAATAGTTTCAATAATTACTATATTATCACGATGAACATAAACTGCAAGAGGATATTCATAAGTTATGGTAGTATCTATGACTAAAGAAAATATATGTCTCCATGAATGATGTCCAAGTAGGGAAAGTGTGTGCAAATTGGCGGAATATTTGTTTTCATCGCAGAGCTGTAGGTTCTCATGTCAAGTTGAGGGAAACAATATGAGGAATCTTTGTCAAAACACTCAATTACAGATACTTTGCTATATACTATCGTCTGTCAAACTACTTGTCCAACGTTTGTTTTGGCTCTTGGTCCAGGACCAGTCCAATCATCTTAGCCGGGTTTACCGCTGCATCATAAACCTCTTCCGCCACCAACTCAAGCCTCAGTGCCGCCTCTTTAGGCGTAAGATCTTCCTCCATCTCCAAATTCACAATGCTACACACGGCATCGTACCCGATCACCGGGTTCAGAGCCGTCACCAACAGCAACGAGTTATCCACGTTACGTTTGAGAACCTTTTTGTCCACTTTCAAGCCCTCAACCAAACCCCTTGTGAATGATTCCACACCCTGTGTCAACAGCTCGATGCTCTGAAGAACATTGTAAATAATCACAGGTTTTGCCACATTGAGCTCAAAATGCCCGCCAGCTGCTCCGGCCACGGTGACCGTTGTGTGGTTGCCCATGACTTGAAAGGCGATCTGGCTCATCACTTCAGCAAGTGTCGGATTGCGCTTTCCGGGCATGATGGAAGACGTGAGGCCGTCGCGAGGGATCACAATCTCAGCGAGTCCGCATCTTGGTCCTGAGCCGAGGAAGCGTAGATCTGTTGCTATCTTGAGCAAGGAGGTGGCCAAGCCGTTAAGTACACCGCTGACGTCCACTAAAGCGTCGTAACAACCCATAGACTCAAATTTACTAGCGGCTGGGACGAATTCAACCTTTTCGTACGACATTTCTCCTCTAGGACGTTGGCTGATTGTAACGTTGAGCTACTCACAAAACAACGAGTCAAAACCTGGCGGCACGTTGATGCCAGAGCCCACAGCTGTGCCACCCTGGGGAAGTTCGCGCAGTCTATCAAACGTGTTCCGGATGCGATCAATGTGGTGGCCAATCTGACGTGCAAATGCGTCAAATGACTGACCCATCGTCATAGGGACAGCGTCCATGAGATGTGTCCGACCGATCTTGATGAAATATTCGAACTCAACAGCCTTGCGGTTCAGTGCCGACTCCAACACAGAGAGAGATGGGATGAGAGTATCGAGCAGTTCCGTCATAGTCACAATATTCATGACTGTCGGGAAGCTGTCGTTGGAAGACTGAGATCTGTTGACGTGGTCGTTTGGATGCACAGGGTATTTCGAACCCAATACTGACGTGCTTGCTCCCTTGGCCTCGGAAACGATCTGATTAGCCCTGTTTGCAATAACCTCATTGGCGTTCATGTTTGTCTGAGTTCCAGAGCCAGTTTGCCAAACCGTCAAAGGGAAATGATCATCGAAACGCCCATCACGAACCTCAGCAGCTGCCTCCACAATAGCTGACGTGAGTCTATCATCGATACATCCTAATCGCTGATTCGCTCGGGCAGCAGCGGTCTTTTGCAATGCAAATGTGCGTATAAGACAGGGTGGAAACTTCTCGCGGCTGATGGAGAAGACGGCGATGGCCCGTTGGGTTTGGGCACCCCAGTACTTGTCTTTTGGGATCTGAACTTGCCCGAAACCATCGTTATCGAAACGGTATTCCCCTTGTGAGGCTAGCTGCTGTGCTCCGTCGCTCTCCGGAGATGCTTCTACCTGCACATTGTCCGACATGCTGGCCTAAATGTTATATATGGCTGAGGGACTACTTGGAAAGTGTCAGCCTTTGCATAAAGAAGTGAAAGGAAGTTAATAGTATATATCAGTGATGGTGCTGCATGAAAATGCAATTTACGAATGCATAGCTTCAGGAACGTTATTGAACCATTACGCCGCTATTCCGAGCTTCGGCATACGGGCTTATCCCGTTATTGTCCTATCCCGCATGCCAAGTTCCGGCAATACTTCAACGTCCGAGAGCCGGTCAGACCTATCAGGTCAGCATGCTTGCTTATCAGTTATGAGTTCACTCAGAAATATCGGTCATGGCACAACTAGTGGCCTCTGATATGAAAAGTAAATACTGAAAAGTTGGTATCCATTGCTATCTTGCTTTTTATATAACGAGATATATTAAATTTATAAACGAGTGTCGTTAGAAGTATAGTGCTAAACACCCTTGTCTCGTCAGTGCAACTGAGTTCTGACAGCCAACGGAGATAATTTTTCCACAAGGACGCAGAAGTGCTTTGGGCAATATCTTAGAAACGATATCCTATGGTAAATTCCCACAACGTTAGGGATCTACTAGGTAGCAGAAGGAATGGTCTCTAAGCTTTAGGATACAAAAATAAATAGCCTAAGAATCCTAAGCTAAATACCATGAGCTGGCCTATTAATTTCGTCTCTTATGTTGCCAGCGGCCGATTTTCCAAATATCCTGAGGGGCTTGGTCTACTACAGCTTTGCTTTCGTCGCCGATTGCGACCCAAGTACTTCCTTCGACAGCTCCGTGACTTCACTAGCCACGCCCCACGAAAGCTCATAACCACGTCCCCCAGCTCCGTAAGCATGCACAACGTGTTTGGTCCCCCAAGTTGTATCCTTTGCTTCTGTTTCGACCCTCATCCCTCCTTCACGAGCTGGTCTTCTTCCAACAACATCCTTGATCACCTTTAGCGAACCAACATCGTGTTCCTTGTCACAAGCTTGGGGTAAGATGGATTGAGCAGCTTTCAGTAACTTATTGCGCGTTTCCTGAGACGGCTCAAGATCCCAGTTGCCCATCTCTTTGGTGCCGCCAATAACGGTTCCGCCGTTGAACGACCTGGGGATGATAAAGCTCCATGTTCCATCTTTCTTTTGTGTGGTAATGGTTTTGTCGGCGGCAGTGAGGTTTGTCAATACCGTTTGGCCTACTCATTTTTAGCAATTGTAAGCGTTGTTAATCATACAACGTACCTCTGATCGGGAAACATTTTGTGTCTCCAAAACCCATTCCGCTCGCATTAACCACAAGCTTCACATTCGGCGCCAGGATGAAAGCCTCCCATTCACTCTTCAGGTCCCGCTGAACAGTCTTGCCACCTTGGATAATGAACTTTCGAAGCAGGTTGGCGCTGTACAAGGGTGCATTGATACAATACGTCTCATACTCAAATCCAAGCTTTACGCCCTCTGGAAGTTCATGAGCCTCGAACTTGCGGTATCCCGGCAATCCAGTCTCGTTGGTGAAACTCAACGCATCTTGCTTCATATACTCAGCTGTTGGATCCTCGAGGTACTCAATTCCTGGAAGACGACGAATTCCAACTCCAGGTTCGCTTTGGCGATGCTTCTCCAGCTCAGCGACAGTAGTTTTCACCCATTTTGCTTCACGGCGAAGTTGTGGCGTTGATGCGGGGATGGGTCTGACATGAGCGCCAGCCCACATGGAAGCATAGTCAGCCGAATGTTCAATTGGAGCTCCGGGAATTGAGGTTGGCCATTCTTTAGCGACGAGGAGTACAGATGTTGTATCAGTGAATTGGGAGTCTGCTATTAATTGTTGGATCTTGAGTGCGCTGGTCAAGCCGATGATCCCGGCACTGAATACAATGTCAGTTTATAGTATGGGCTACAGAAGAATGGGCACGTACCCGATCACCACGATGGTGGACTCTGCAGTTTTGGGTGAGCTAAAAGAAGACATCATGCAAGCTTGGAGTAAATCTGGGGAAAGGTCTCAGAGATGGGGTTGTGCTAGTTAAATAAAGGTGAGTCTGTGTCACTCGAGATTCGGCTACCACTGCAAAAATGACGCAGAAGCAGGGTGTCAGATCACACTTGAAAGCATTACAACAATACAAAGAATTAAGTATCTTTGAAAAGAGAGCCGGTATGACAGATCAAAGACTCATCACCAAGTTATTGTCAACTTGCATCACCATTTGCCCAGCCCGATGAACTGATTGAGCCGCGCCCTCCGAGATCGGCCTCGTATATTGAATGGTAGCAACGACCCATCGTCAATGCGTATGTGCGCAAGATGTTAAAGAGCCTTTATCAGGAGAACAAAAAACGTCATTGAAAAGTATCGAGTCTATCGCTATAGAATCCCAAGCATGGTCTTTCTCACTCCCAGCGAGCTTGGACAAAAGGTTAAAAAAATGAGGTCCTACCCGGGTTCGAACCGGGGTCTTCGGAAAGTTTTTGATTGGTATCAAAATCCAACGTCATTACCACTAAACTATAGGACCGCTGTTTTAGATGACTAAGCTTGAGATATTGAAGTATAAATAGCTATTTTTCTTGGGAGCGCCACGACCCTCAGACAACTCGCAGAAATACCACAATAGCATAATACCAGATATAGAATATCTCATGATCTAATAGTCTTCCAATTATGAGTCCTTGCTGCTCTTTTACTTCTCTACTCTAGGTTGTTCCATCGCAAAGGGATAGATACCCAGCAAGAACTGTCTGCAGCAATACTCAAGTTCGTTATGCAGGTCCGACCCAGCCAACAAAACACGCAGGGATCTGGTCCTGTTCATAACTCATCAAATTCCCTCACGAACATTATTTTCACAGGAGCCTTTCGGTTCGTAAAACAATATGTCGCGAAAACAGCCACTCCGCCCGAAATCCCGGGACGAATTCGAGATCGCAATCATCTGTGCTCTTACGCCTGAGACTGACGCTGTTCTGGCCCTGTTTGATCACCATTGGGACGAAGATAAAGACAACCAATCTTTCGCAAAGGCCGCTCGTGACCCGAACGCATACTCATTTGGCGTTATTGGGCAGCATAGTGTGGTCCTGGCACATCTCCCTGGTACGGGCAAGGCTGCAGCGGGCAATGTTGCAGCCTTCTGCCGTATGAGTTATCCGGGTATCACTTTGGCACTTGTTGTAGGGACTTGTGGTGGAGTACCATTCTATGGTAAAACGAAAGAGGAGATCCTGCTCGGAGACGTGATCATCAGCACTGGTGTTGTACAATATGATCTCGGCAGACGATTTCCAGACAAATTCAAAACGAAAGATACTCCAGAGGACAGTCTTGGAAGGCCGAGTCTTGAAATTAGATCCCTCTTGGCAAAGCTGAAGACAAAGAGAGAGCACGGAAGATTACAAATTGCAACTCAGAAACATCTTCAGGAGGTGCTAGAGCAAACCTACAATTTGATTGACCACCCGGAGGGTATGCCCGACAATCTCTTCCCAACAGATTATCGCCACAAGCACCAAGAGCCTACACAATGTACTATCTGTGCTACCTGTAACGGAATGCCAGACCCTGTATGCGATGTTGCTCTTGGTTCGAGTTGCAAAGAGCTCGAATGTGATCGCAAACAGCGTGTCTTACGCGGTCGGTTGGGCGAGGTTGAAAGCTATAACGAGGAAATATCCATCGGCCTCAATAGTGAAACTTTTCTTCCAATGATTCACTTCGGGAAGTTCGGTTCAGGGGACTCGGCGGTAAAGTCAGGGGAATATCGTGACCAACTCGCGACCACCCATGACGTTGTAGGGTTTGAAATGGAGAGTGCTGGGGTTTGGGAACTTTTCCCAACTGTTGTCATCAGGGGCGTGTCTAATTATGCCGATTGTCACAAGAATGGCAATTGGCAGGTCTTTGCTGCTGCATCTGCAGCTGCATGTACTAAAGCGTTTCTCAAACACTGGGAATCAACAAAACAGTAAGAGACATTCTTATGATCTCGTGTTCCTTCTGGATAATACATGCTAATACACGACAGAGAAAGCAGATCAGAAACAGAAGGACATATGCTTGGCGAGGCTGTTACCAACAATCTTCGTTTCTCGGAAATCAATGAAACGATAGATAACCCTACGCCTCCAGCCTCGACCATATGTTAAAGGAACATTGAGGCCTGATCGGGGGATTGAAGTCCAAGCTTCTGGTACGGTACTTGAAATCATTGATACCTAATACCTAGGATTCTTTGCGAACCCATGACCAAATTCTCTCAGAGTATTATTGTTCGAAACTTACCATTAGATATCTTTAAGTGAGAGGGAAAGCACTGCTACCGTCGGGAGATTGTAGTATCATTTCTAGACCTTGAAAGAATGTGTTTTTGTCAGAGATGCCTACAACATACACCTCCGCTCTCCTGACTTGGAACCTTGATGCGCTAGTGATTAATCTCTATCATATGCAGCCCATGGTGGAAAGCTCCGTTGAGCCCGTCGTCTCTTGGATAAACATAAACGTACTACATCAGAGGGTGTCTATTGCTTCCTCTTAAGTCTTTGAGATTCAAGTACAGTTGATACAAGAGTAATGTAGCTGATAAAATACATCCTGGCACAGAAATATAGCCCCAATTGGAGTGCAGTCAATGCCCTGATAATAGGCTGACAGCCTGTGGCTAGTCCTTGGCTCAGACTTCTCACACATCTATCGAATTCTCCGGACAGCTTCTTTCTAAACAAACCAGCAGAACGAGGTCAACTTATTTCGGAAGCTATGCAAATATCCATCAAGTCAGGTGCGAGTCTGGAGTCAATATCCCCGGTTGTAGTCCAAATCAGAAGTTTTGCGAAGACTATATTTATTGTGTTGGACAACCATGTTCCTTTCTCACCGAGGCTTTACTCCAGGAGTGCGTGGTCATGGAGGTAAATATAAATGCAGTCATTAAGCTTATAAGAAGGGCTATCTTTTTTTCCTCAGTTGATATCTAATAGTGAGGTTCACCCTCGCTTCCTCACAACTGGCTCTTACATAAGACCATTAGCATTTTACAAAGGAGGATGATTGAGCTCAAATATTATTGAGGATCAGATGCGCTTATGCCAATTTTCCTAGTCGCATTCCTGGAGGGATTTTCTTCAGATTCTAAAGGCAGCAAAGGTACTTTAAGATGTTATGGAAATAAGTTGGCCTATTTACCCGCTGGTACAAGGCGGGTGCTATCATTGGCAAGGGGATAATGGATGGCTGATCTGATGACGATGATTACCTATATGTATCTAACCCAGATATTTTGCAGGGTTTATAATATCAAATTTGGTGTGTTCAGCCTCAAAGTAAAAGCATGCGATGTATCATAAAAGGTAGGGCCCATGAAGCAACCTTATTCCCACATAATACAAAAGCATACTAAGCAGTTTACTTTTTCTTCCCTTGTCATAAAGACATTACTACCGACTAAGCATTACTTATCAATCAATTTGCCAGGTTCTTATACGCCTTGGTACCTATTCCTAATACCGATCCTAGCCACACGCACGAATTGGAAGGACATAAAATCTGCATGATGCAAAAGGCTTATAGGCGAGGTGTCCTTTGACAATGGCGACTGTAGTATCTCCCCTATAAGCTTTTGCGTTAAGTAGGTTTTGTGTCTTTCCAAGTCGTGTGTGTGGCTAGGATCGGTATCATTCTAATAATTCTTATGGAAAGCAATTCAAGTTCGGATTCTCATTTTCACCTCGCAGTTGTGGCAGCTTTCCACTCCAAAGTCCAACTCTTGATGAGCAAGCATATAAAGGTGGACCACGAAAAGGCGGGTTGCTTGTCTCAGATATCGAGAGGTTGATCAACCAATGACGGAGTGAGCGAAACTGCTGAGATGTGTTAGTGTGTTCTAGCTCGTTAGCTGACAGACGCATGACATGGATCGTATTCAGCGTGGCATGTACCGGGAGGCAAGAATCGACAAAGAAAGAATAAGCAATCGTTCATTGGCTGATGTGACTCTGTCAGCAGTCTTTGGCCAATCACAGACATGATGATTACCAGTCCGAGGTTCCGTAGCTCTGGAGCTGTAGATAAAGTGGATCCAGCATTCTGGAAGTGATAAAGTACAAATACGACGAGCCGCCGCATCCAGAAGAGAAGAAACAGAATCCAGCACTCTACAATCAATTCACTCTTCTATCGAGCTCTCAACTCTTCAAATCACCAAACAACTCAAACACCAACTTTGCAACACTCCAATCCATCAAAATGGTTGTCAACGCTCCCTCCACCTGCTGCCGCACCGACGGTAGCGAATGCGCCTGTGGTATGTGACATCATCCCCCAGCATCACCACAACACAAAGCTAACAATCCTTCAGCTCAAAAGGCCACTTGCTCATGCGGTCAAAAGTCCGCTCTCCAATGCACATGCGCCAAGGCCCCCGTCGAGAACACCGTCAACGGCCCTCGATGCTCATGCCGTGCTCGTCCCGCTGGCGAATGCACCTGCGACCGCGCTGCTTCTGAGAACGCCACTCCCAGCGGCGCTACATGCGCTTGCGGATCTCGTCCTGCTGGTATGTAGATTGGGTTCCTGTGTCAACTGAACTGTTTTGCTAACGATTATGGATTAGGTGGCTGCACTTGCGAGAAGGCTGCCGATGGTGGCTTTAACCCTGCCAACGAGATCGACTTTACCACCAAGAAATAAATGTACTGTCATCACGATATGGGGATTAAGGAAAACACAATACATTAATGAATCACTGGGACGGCGTTGGGGTATTATGACAACTTTGGGTTGAGACGGCGAGACAAACGATACCAGATAAACAGAGACAATTAAAGAATACTCATGACAACCATCAATTATCGAGTGCGTGTATTGTTAGCCAAGAACTATTGTGGCCGTGTTGTTTGAACGCGTGTGTGTACAACAATGGCCCACGTGGTAAGAAAATGGTGAGAAAACGGTGACGTGCATCTACGTTTTGGTTCGTTTATTGGTGAAATGGTTCAATTGTTAAAGACAACCATATCAATTGTCTGTGCTGTGCGACTCTATTGTTCGTCCGCTAACTAAAAAAACGCGACCAGTGTGAATCGCGTATCGAACACCTAAACTGACAGCTCAAAAGCGGTGAATCGAAGCTCATCTATTGTCAATTGCGCTAACAATATTCTGCCGGACAAATCAACCAAATTAGCTCAAGCTTTCGAGCGGTGACGCAAACTTGGACAAGCATCATCCCCTGTCAAGCCCGCAAATGATCACACCCCCAGCGCGGTCAGATCACTTGTTGCTAGAAAAAACCCACCCATCGCGCGCTCCTAAAATCAGCTTTTTTTTCTCAGAGCTTGATTTTCATCATCACAACACAACCATCAGATTTCGCCCCCTATCCTCGCGCAACCTGACCTTATTTCTCAATCGCCATCATTGATTGAGCTACCCAAAGCGCAAAATCTTCCCCATCTCTAGCGCGCGTCCCAAATCTCCCGTCATCACAACATATCTTCACGCGATATGGCACCAAGAACCGCTGTCGCCAGAACGGCTGCGACTAAGAAGTCGACTACTACCACAGCCGCTGCTGCAAAGAAGGATGCGAAGCCTACGAAAGCTGCCGCCAAGAAGGCCGAGCCTGCTACGAATGGCGCCTCCAAGAAGCGCACTCGCGCAGAAGAGTCTGAGGTAGAGCAAGACGAAGAGGAGGAAGTCACCCGCAAGACCAAGAAGACAAAGACCACAGAGCGCGTCGTCAAGCCTGCCGCCAAACCCTCAGCAAAGGCAAAGACCGCCAAACCCGCTGCATCCAAGGCCAAGGCCACAGCCAAGGCCAAGGCCGAGTCCGAAGAGCCTGAGGAGAAGAAGCCTGCCGCCAAAAAGGCTGCTCGTCCTGCTGCCGTCAAGAAGGCCGAGCCCAAGAAGAAGTCCCTGTTTCCCGGCATTGGAAAGAAGATCAACGATGCTCCTACCAAGATTCTCGATGTTTACGTGTTTGGTGAGGGATCATCAGGTGAGCTTGGTCTCGGAAGCAAGCGCGTCAACAACAAGAAGCCCATCGATGTCAAGCGTCCCCGACTCAATGACAACCTCGCCGCTGCCACTACAGGTGTTGTTCAGATCTCTTGCGGTGGTATGCACGCTGTCGCGTTGACACACGATAACAAGATCCTGACATGGGGTGTCAACGATCAGGGCGCTCTCGGACGAGACACAAACTGGGATGGTGGCCTTCGCGATATGGACAACGCCGAAGACTCCGATTCAGAAGACGAGGATGATACTGGAATCAACCCCAAGGAGAGCACACCGACCGCCGTTTCTGACGAGTTCTTCGCCCCTGACACCAAGTTTGTTCAGGTCGTTGCTAGCGACAGCGCCAGCTTCACTCTCACAGAAGACGGCCGAGTCTACGGCTGGGGAACCTTCCGATCCAGCGATGGTATTCTCGGCTTCTCAGAGACAGTTAAGGTCCAGAACACACCCCTTCTCATCAAGGACCTCAAGAACATCAAGGCCCTTTCCGCAGGCTCCAACCACATTCTTGCTCTCGACCACAAGGGCAACGTTGTCGCTTGGGGCTGTGGTCAGCAGAACCAGCTCGGTCGACGTATTATCGAGCGCAACAAGATGTCCTCTCTTATCCCCCAGGGTGTCGGTCTACCTCGCGGAAAGATTGCCAAGATTGCCTGTGGTTCATACCACAGCTTTGCCATTGACAAGGAGGGTGTCGTTTACGGTTGGGGTCTCAACAACTTTGGCGAGATCGGTGTTGAGTCAAATGCTGGCGAGGATGACGCTGTTATTCTCCGACCTGCCAAGCTCACATACCTCGACGACTACAACATCACAGAGATTGATGGTGGCGAGCACCACTCCCTTGCTTGCTCTGACAAGGGTGATCTCTTGACCTGGGGTCGTGTGGATGGTTACCAAGTTGGCTTCGAGTTTGACAAGCTGTCTGAGGACAACGCTATCTACGACGAGCGAGGCAATGCCCGTATCCTGTTCAAGCCTACTGTCCAGCCCGGTAAGTTTTACGCGCCACTCATCCTTCCAGCAATCACTAACATATCTCAGACGTCAAGGACATCGTCTCCGTCGCTGCCGGTACCGATAACAACTTCGCCATCGCCTCCGACGGCAAGGTCTACTCCTGGGGCTTCTCCAGCAACTATCAAACCGGCCAAGGCACGATCGACGACATCCACACTCCTACCCTGGTTGACAACACCGCTATCCGCGACAAGAAGATCATTGGTGCAGGAGCTGGTGGTCAATACTCCGTCCTCATCGGCGAGGCTGAAGATGTCCCCAAAACAAACGGTGCCACAAACGGTACTGATGACAAGGCTTAAATGAGCAACGAACTGCTACGACGGATTTTGCGAACGAAGCTGGAATTTCTCTTATTTAGCCCAACTTAATCTCGCTGTTGCTGCAGGGCAGCCCTTTTTCCAACAAATTTGTATTTTTTTTTAAAAGCCCGCCATTTGAAAGAGGCGGACCACTGAAATGGTTCTGGGAAATCGGATGGGCGGGTTTCTCACTGTTACTCAAAAAAAGGCTTTTCACGATTAAGGAGGATGCATACTGTTTTTTTGTTGATGCTTGTGTGGCATATATAGATGGTTGTTACGATGTTCTTTGCATAACTTGAAAACTTGTTTTTTGAGAGTCTTTTCTTCTCAACGCTTCATCACTACACTCCCTCGTTCTTTTATTCGTGACGTATTATTCTAGTACAAAAAGGAAAATGCTCCCGAATCCATGTAACTTGCGTATCTTATCTCCTTGTCTTGCCGAACGCCTTTGCCTGTCCGCACCTTGCGCTCTTTCATCGTATCTCTGCCACTGAGGGCATCATCATGTAGAGTTTCCCAGCGCAAGAATATTGCGCATAAACTTTATCGCGATTGAATTGACTACCGAAATCGTGTCTTAATTGTTCAAGCATTAAGCTTAGCAGCAGCGTTGGAAAAAGATCCGCTTCCTCGACTGCTGAAAATACCCATGATACCGAATCCAACGTAGAACAGAGCAAGAGGATAAGCGACGAGTCCTCGCATGCGCTTCATCTGTCCAACCGCGCAAAACATACCGCTAGCGCTATAAGTACACCAGAGAATAGCAGCAGTGGTAGCGACGATTCCGATGGGTGTGTCCATGCGCATAACGATGCCGAACAAGCTCGTCGCTACAAGAGGTAGAAGGCAGTATCCCAACACGCTAGCGCTTCGGGGGTATGTCAAGGTCGAGGAGAAGTGGCCACCGTGTTGGCCTTGCGGTTGCGGGGGAGCAGATGGGTCGCTGCTGTATTGGGGGAAATTGTTGACTGCTTGTGCGCCTTCGTCGACTTCGGAGGGCGACATGAGGGAGAGGATGAGGTGTAGAGAAATAGACCCTAGAGCTGCGAGGCCGTAGATGTAGCCGAAGTGGACTTGTCCTGAGAAGAGCAGGATGAAGCCGAAGAGGAGGAAAAAGATGAGCGGTCCTGCGAGGTCGGAATCGTCCATGATATGCGCATCGATTCGTCGAAAGGGGTTCAGCACAGCAAGCGTCTGCAATCCTCATTAGCATTTTACATGCGGTCGTAGTCGGGTTGTGTTACCTTTGCTTGAATATGTCCAAAGTTAACGCCCAACTCCTCCAGCAAAGGCGGTTCACCATCATACCCCTCTGACGAAAAAGCAGCTACCCAACCCGTTCTTAAACCACCCTGCTCACCCATCCTTCCACTGACACCAGCCTGCGCACCAAAAGACGCGGGATTCGCAAAGTTTTGCGCAGGCGCGCCTACGCCATAACCGCCTGTGTTGGCACCATATCCGTAGCCACCAGCACCACCCTGCTGTGGTGTGCCTGAAGTGGTGGTGTACTGGGAGGGAAAGAACTGGAGGTTTTGAGCAGCGGTTGGAGCGCCGCCTTGGGGGTATTGAGGTTGTTGCGAGGAGTAGTAGTTTGACATTTTGAGTGCGGTTGTTGGGAGGAGAGAGAAGGGAGGCGTTTGGTGCTGCTGGTTTTTTGGTGCTGGGCTTGAGGACAGCTTGGAGATGACGGAGAGCTTTGAAAAGGGTGTGGCGTCGGTAATTGGTGTGGCTGTGTGCGCCACACTTGTGAATGATGAGGGATCAATCGCAGCACGTCAAAAATCTTTGATCAGTTAATAAGTGAGTAAAGTACTGAAACGTTGATTATGCTCGCATGATTGAGAGGAGATTTGTTAATTCATTTTGTGTTTGCTGTGGTTCCGACAAACTATTCTCATTGAAAGATTGATACCTATAATTTGTTGTAACGTTAATAGCTACGGACATGATTGTTCAATCACGAGCATCCGCACAGATAACTAGTTGACAAAGGGAAACACTCTCTAAAATATTAAGTAATTTACCTTCACATTTAAGAACAGTTACAATTCGTGAGTGGCGTTTAACACGATTGTCCTGTCATTTTGCGCAGTCGAACCCCAAGGTACAGGGTAATATAAATTCGCAGGATGGGTGGAGACAGTTTCTTATCAGCTTATCTGTGACGCTAACGTATCAAGAGTCAAGTTTCACGTTCTGTTCAGAGATGACACCAAATGCGACATTCTGCACAGCCACAGCTACGGTAAGGCATTGCTGTAATCCTCAAAGTACAAGTTTATTTGTTAAACGACAGAGTTTGTCGGAAACTCCACCTAAGTAACCATCTTTAAGAGAGGCAACCTATTCACTAACAAATAGAGCAGTTATTGACTGGTGACAAGGACTGTTTCTCATTCACATCTACAAAGTGGCTGAGAAACACTGTGTTAGATCTACCACAACAGCCACAACATGGATCTCGAGTCACGAACGATATCTCCCTTGTGCGATACGCATCGGCACATCCGGTCACTAGTCGAGCTCGGGAACCGCCAAGTCCGAAGAAAGACACAGTGAACTACGATGTTTCCAGCTCATAGTAGTGTCTCGACTGGACGGGCCGACGGTCTAACACGATCTCAGCGACACCCATACTGCCAGGATCATGCCAAGGCTGACTTTCATCCGAAAGAAATCGGGATACTTAGCCTGTCAATTCATCTGCCGAATGCCAACTATTCTACGCTCATAAAGGGCTGAGTTATGGAAGGATGCAGCACTAACAAAAAGCCCACAGGGCCATCTGTAACACTGCCGGGACCTTTTCTCTTCTTATTCCGGTCTAGCTTGAAGCTGGGGCTCTTTGTTTTGGTAGATCAGGGGAATGGTCAGTTCTGATAGGTGACATTACGGGCACGGATCCAATCACTATCAGCCGCTAAATGTACTCAAATGATTGAGATGTAAGCTTAAATTAGATTATTTCATGCGAATGATACCCCGTGGGCTGGCTCTCTCCTGACTTTAACGTCGATGGATTGGCTGGAGGCCGTCTTTTCCGCTACTCAGTACTCCTTAGGAACATGCCCTCCCTCAAGCTGTTGAGATTGACTACAGCCACTATGCTGGGAACAAGTTATGGGTGTGGCTGTGTGTAGGCTTCACTAGCTTATATTCGTTTCAACGGCTTTCAGCCCTTTGAAGAAACTCTGAATGCGGCAGATGCACATAGATGTCTTGCCCAGTGGGACAGGATGAAGTCAATGCGACAATCTTCTCTGTAGCACAGCCATGAACCTTTACATTTCTCAATTATAACAATATCTCCTCTATCATAACTAGAAGGTGCCTTATCGTAGGATCAGCGTTAATCTCAGAAACTCTCGTGTATCCGCCCCAACGGCGACCTCATCATGTAGTGTAACATTAAGCTCATCTAACCCCACAAAATCCTACTTCCCGATCAAGACTTCCTCGTCGATCACAGCCCTGGGAAACATTATCCAATGCGAATATTCTTATCTAGACGCTTATCTAAACCATCGAGGCACTCATCGCAACATTGACCAACATACTGCCCTTGCTTGTAGGATTCACTAAGGCTGGAAGTCTAAATTAGCATGTTACAGACAATCGTCCTGAATTTATGTAGCATTGTCATAGCCTTCAAATCTGATATAAAGTCGTTGTGTAGCCACCAAGAATTACCATCACCACTCACTCACTCACTCGTTCATTCATTCATTCATTGACTTACTCATTCACTCTTTTAAAATCACAACATGAAGTCTTCTACTGCTTTCTTGGCCCTTGCGGCAACTGCCAACGCCGCGCGCATCGCCAAGCGCGAATACCCATGGGATACTAAAGAGAGTCTCTGCAAAGACAAAGCATGGCTTCTTGACACTGCCGAGGGTGCTTCTCAGGTCTGGGAAGAGACTGGTGCCGGTGACGAGCTCGACATCCAAATCATGGGGCAATGGGGTATGCTTCATCATCAATCCTTGTGCTAAGCGCAACCCAACTAACATTGACAGAACATGAGGTCAACTGGCTCTTCAATCTGGAGCACGCGATTAACAATGGCAGCGGAAACCTCGGCATGTCTGGCTGTGGTCTTATCGACAGCACCGATTGCTTACCCCAGGGCGCCCCAAGCTGCGAGGAGCACTTTGACAAATTCGGCACGAGTGGAGATCCCTTGAAGGATCCCATCGGTAGAACCTCCTACTGGATCCTCCAGGCTATCAAGGGCATGCACAGCAAATTCCAGATGCTTCACGGTAAACTGCTTGAGGAGACTCTTGTCACCAACCTCGAGATCGGCCAGATGGTTGCAGACTTTCAAGGCAACGAGGATAAGACCGAGGATGTTTTGAAGTGGCTCTCTGCTGCCGTTGGCTTGGGAAGCACCATTGGTGGTCTGGTTCCCGGCGCTGTAAGTTGACCGATTCTCTCAAGCGTGGCACGGAAAGATACTGACTTTAATAGGGAGAGGGCATCGCTACTGGTTTCGACATCATGGGCGGCGTATTCGATATCATTGCCGAAGAGACAAAGCCGGAGGAGATCGATCAGGCTACTATCTCGTCTGCCCTAGGCGCCATCTTTAAAGCCACGTCCGAAAAGCTGAAGAAGACCATGAGGCTGGCTACCGGTACACTTCTGAAAGATGAGTCCCCAGACGTCTTCAACACCCTTCCTGCCTCCAGCAAGTACGGTCCCTGGATCCACTCTCCAATTACCAAGTTCTTCAACGGTGGCTGGTTCCTTCTCAGTGATAGAAGCGAGCCCGTCCAGAGTCTCATCAACGCCATCTCTGGAAACATCAAGCCCAAGATCGCCAACAACGTCATGAAGGCTGCTAACCTCCGCCTCGTTGCCGACAAGCGTATCGGAAGTCAGGAAGACTGCGGTTATGCTACCGGCCGTCAATGGATGAACTTGAGGGATAGCGAGAGCTACTGCTTCTACATCGCCCGACTTGACGAGCACGGTGTCTATGGCGAAAAGTACGATGAGGCTGCTGAGGATATCTACGCCAACATGGCCAAGTACGGCCTTGGTAACAGAGATCCTTACTACCGTGCCATTCTCGACTGTGCTACCAGTGGAGCGGAGGGTCTTAACTTGGACAACTTGGGATTCAACAACATCCCTATTTGTTTCTTTGACCTGCCCGCTTACTGGCTTGAGCGTAATGATGGTCCTGAGTGCACATCCAACTTTGTCAACAAGGCCTGCAACCCCACCAAGTCCAGCCCTATTTCTTAATGGCTTATCTCATGGTTCTACTATTCTGTACATAGCTATTTAATACTTTCATATGAAATATAATTCTCCTGTTCTGAAATTCAGATCATGCACCAAGAGTACATTCTTTAACAATTCGTCCATTGGCAGGTTGACACTTGCAAAAAATTGAGTAATGATCCCTTTACTAACTTCGCACTGATGGGGAGGTGTAGGTGAAGTGTCATGTCCAGGTAATTGTCGGCATTTATTGCCGGACCGTCTTTTGAGGCTTTGACTAAGTAGTCAGCCTAGTGAGGCTGAGACAACACGTGAAGAGTTTCAACACTAAAATATGACTCGGTAATATCTCGAACCGTCTTCAACAAACATCAATTGCTGAACTACAAACATAGTGATCCGAGGAAATGACGACACCGAGCAAACCTAGTCAGAAGACAAGCGGCGCCTCCGTCGCGAAGGACTTTAACAATGTCTTGAATGGAACACCTGCTTTCGAAGCCATGCGCTTCACAGCAAATTACGCACGAATAGCAAAGGTGCGCCACTCACCCAACTCTTTCGATGATAACCTCTGACATTCAGAACAGGCCGAGCTTCAAAGCTGTGTCTATGAAGAACTAATGGTCGCTGTAAAAGAAGCAGGAAAGCTTCTGCCAGAGACCTTCAATCCGACCATAGACGAATGGCCAGCTGATGCAGAAAGGATCAATGAGAATATGGAAGAGAAATTGAAGGATTGTGATAAACTTGCTGGAGGGTTTAAGAAGTTTGTTGAGAATGCTCGTGCAGCTGTGATGGCGGGTGCGAAACGTCAATAGTGGGAAGTTGGTCACGGACGTTTGTTGTGCTGTCAGCTTTTGTTCTTGATCGTATTAAGACATCTGTTACTATAGAGCCCGTGTAGTGGTCATCAGAGAATTTAGCCTCCCAAGTTTTAAAGCACAAGAATAATCAACAAAAGAAGTCTGTTTTAAGTAGCATAAAGTGACCTACTCATTCATTATGCTTTCCATCGGTAGGTGTTTCTGATATTCCAATGTCCACCTCAAATGTATCTAAGCGTGGACTATTTAACCTTTAAAATAGATTCTTAACGTATGCCACAGGTTGTTCGCCAGAGACAAGTGACGGGAAGAGAAAATCCTTGAATGACAACCATACTGTGCTCTTAGATAATCTAAATGAAAATGCTAAAATCTAGACTAAACTGTGCGAAATCCACCACCATTGCATCTCAATCTCAATTCGCTCGAAATCTTACAACGCCGCCAGATTCTTTGGTATCAACAACTCTCGCGTCTTTCTAACCCGAGCGCCATCCTCCTTACTCTTGAAATAACGACCTGTCTTGTAGCTCCAAAGTAGACTACCAAGAGCATGGTTCTTCTCCACCTCGAGAAAACCAAGCAGAGCGCGGTCAGCCTCTTCGCCGAAGCAAGGCATCTTTGATAGTGCTCTGTAATAACGTCTGTAGCAGTTGTTGATCAAAAGTCCGACCTCAGTTATGGCCTGTTGGGTTGTCAACCCCTTGGCCTTGAGTAGACGGACCATGTTGTGGTCCACACCAAGACGAAGGTCCTTCTCGTAGGAGAGGATGTCATTGACTAATAGGATCTGGTCGCTGATGATGACCATGATCTCAAACACAGAAGGATGGTCTGCTACCTCGTCAGGCAAGTCAATACCGTAGGCCCACTCATTATTAACAAGAGCAGGGTAGGCACCGAGCGAGCCTCGGCGCATAGCCATATACTCTTCTGGATGACGTGTGTATTGTCGGCCCTCAACATTGGTCCGAACCTGGTCGACCAGTCCATCCCAGTACAGCTCATGTGCCCACTTCCAACGCTTGTAGAAGCGCTCTGACGTCGGCTTTCCCACAAACATACCCTCTGGGCTTTGCTTAATGCGATCGCACAATGTCTGGAAGACATAGCGGATGGGGTGCTCTGAGTCGACGGTATACCGTGGGGCAGTACCTTCCATGATCTCACGCGTCCTGGCAATTTCATTTATAGCACCCTCCAAGTCATTGGACAAGTGGCCCTCATCGAACTGGTCGTCGAAGAGAAAAGCCCACGAGTTCCAATCGGCTGACGTGCGCAAGGCAAAGGCACTGCAGTCAGGGGCCCAGATGTTGGCAAGATATGTAAAGTCAACACGCTTGTTTTTGTTGGTCCAGTCGGCATCGGCGTTGATAACGCTTTACAAAACCATCGTTAGTCTCAAGGAATATCTGTTTGATGTGAAAGGCTAACTTACGAGCAAATCCAAGCATCGGCGTCTACTTTGACGCTTGCATAGTTGGGGTTCTCACGGGCTGGGACCGACATGAAGGAGGAGAAGAGGTCAGGAAGGATGAGAACCTCCATCTCATCACGGTCCTGGAACTGGTCATGTTTGGGTTCGTTGTAGACACCGTTTCCGTTCTTCATCTTGGGCTTGACTTCATGTATGCTGTCGATATAAATGTCGTCTCCGGTTGTCATCTCGGACTCGGAACCACTGTCGAATTTGACCATGATGTTACTCTTTTGTTAGGATTGGTTGTTCTATAGTGGATAAGGGAGTTTAAGTCAAGTTTATAAATGCTTCTTAAATATGTTGTTGTCTAAGAGTATCATACAATACATCGCCACGTCTTTATTACATTTGAAGCTTGCGTATGTCGCCATAGAATCTACTCATACAGGATCTAGCTCTTATGTCTGGATTGGGAAAGATGCCGCCACGGAGGAGGAATGGTAGGGCTGTGAAACCGTTTATGTGCTGGCATGTGCAACAAGCCACCGACACGCCCTGGCCGTATATACAAGCACGAACTACTCCTTTTGAGCCTAGATCCGGTTGTTCACCATTGGTCCCGGACAAAACAAATGCCGGAGGATGGTAAGAATAAGGGTTCCGGTCAGCTGACGTGAGCAGGGAATTTGTTCCATTCTGCAGGGTCCGATGAGATCAGTCAGACCCTGACAAAGCACTACGAAAGTGTGTTCTCGTATAGCCTTAGATAGGCAGGCAGATCGTGGCTCAGAAGGATGCGGACAGTAATGTACTTATGGCCTAGTGCTGACTGAGATGCAAGATGGAGATAGGGGAATTTATGCGGATGGACCCGCAACCCTTGGGAACTTAGGTAGGCTAGTGCCCTTCAGGATTTATTTCCGGCTTCCGAATAATCATGATGGAAATTGGAAGGTGAGGACAACATACAAGTACAACCCCCCCAAGGCCTAGAATGTAGATCCTGGGATGAAACAGATAAGCCAATGAATTTAGCTGAAGTCACTGATTAACCTAGTATCATCTCCATCTTCCATTGGTTGTATTGAATTCCGCCGTGGCAAAGATGCGCATTCATAGTGAACCCTTGGGGGCTGTACGATACAGCGGAGGACTACTTGGTGCTATCGTTAAACGGCGTGAACTGCACTGAGACTTAATTCATGATCCTTCAGAACATGCAAGCCAGTCAGCCAGTACGCGGGCTCGCTATTGTAAGCTCGGCTAAAAGTCCAGGGGAGACAGCATGGGGAAGGTAGCACAAGCAAAAAAAAATGCGAAAAGGCGGACATGACACTTCTCGCTACCCATCCTTCGGTATATATTTATAAATCCGGCCTGGCTAGATGCCCCTGCCTGTCAAACTACTGATTCTGTTTGTTTGCTATTTACTTGTACTACCTCTGGATTATCCAGGAAATCTAAACTGCAGATCATCATGTTTAGTACCTTGCGGCAAACGTCTGGCGACGGAGACCGTCTCCTCAGCGTGGAGATTGCCCCGCCCTTTGACAAGGACAGGATGTCAATGCGGACCGCCTGTGAAAGATGCCGCATGCAGAAGGTAGGTAGTATCGCGAACATTCATCACAATGTCAATTCGGAGAGTCTTTTTTGATAAACCGTAGAGACCTTATTTCTTTCATTTACGTTTTCACTTGATAACTATGAAACTCATTGACGTTTTGCCTTTAGTCCAAGTGTGTCAGTGGCGAGAATGGTTGTATGCTCTGCGTTGCAAAGAACCAAAAATGCGAGTACTTGGTTGTCTCAAGACCAAGACGGCGCAGATCCAGCGTCGCTGGTGGTGGCTCAAAAACACGCAACGACAATGAGGATGAAGACGGCGACAACAACATAGTCGTCAACAAGCAGTCAAATCAGGCAAAAATGCACAAACGCTGGTCTAGAATGCAGACAATACGACAATCATCACCATTATCAACACAACCATCATCACCCAAAGAGCAAGTGAGGGCCACAACAGTCTCAAAGCCATCGCTTCAGGACAGCAACAACAACACAACAGGGCCAGATATGAGTCTGAAAGATGCGCAACAACTAATTTTCAGCGACGCTTTCTTTCCAGACCCCCTTGGACAAATTCCAGCTGTCTTTCCGCATTTCGAGCCCGCAACCGCCAGAGATTTCTTTAGCAGTATGCCTATACCTGCTGAGAAAATTTATGCAGGCTGCGGTATTACCGCTGAAGCATTGACTGCTCGAGGAGACAGCAGTAAGCAGAACAATCACACATCTGTTTACTCGTCGTCATCGGCAGACAGCATCTTCGAATTCGGAGTTGACCAGATGGACTTTCTGATGGATGAGTCACGCATCACTGCAACAATGGCTCCCAACAAAGCCCGAGACAACAACAAAGTCTCAAATGAGGCTCGGCCTATTACAACTCATTCCTCAACACCGTCAGACTCAGATCCCGTCTTTAACCCCACGTCCATCTCCACAACGTCATCTTGTGGCTGCATGATGACAGCTGTTACCATCTACGAGGCCTTGCAAGTTCAGCTTGTATGGGGAGACCCCATCGCTGGCCCATCAGCGACATCGAGTCCCAAGTCCTCGTCAGCAGGATCTTCGTACTCGTCTGGGCCATCATGGTCAGATTCAGCATCAGGATCAGCATACAATTCACCAACACCGCTTATGACACAACAAACAATCCTCAAACGTCAGAAGACGGTACTTATGCGTTGCGACTCACTTACCCGATGTGGCAGCTGCTGGTCTCGTCCAGACTTTGTTATGCTGATCATTACCATATGTGATCGCATACTGACTAGTCTGGAGGCGGTCGAGCGTTTCGTCTGTAATAAAAACGACGATGACATGAATACAGTCAGCTCCAACGGAAATGCTTCTGCCGTGGATATTCAGGCCACTTTGACATCGTCGCGCACGGAGCTGGATTCATCCTTGTCTTCCTCGTCCCAGGGGCTGCAGCGTGGGGTGGGTGCATGGCAGATCGACGACGAGGATGAACAGGAACTTGTTATTAGCTTGATCAAGTCCCGCGTCACAAGGCTCGGTAATCTAATCAACATTGCAGAGGGAACAATAAGCGCAAACGGGTGGCCTTGGCATGAGAGGCTGGTCCAGGCTCTGCGGAGGAGGTCTAACAAGCTTGCTATCTCCCTGTCATTTCGCGGCTTTCCCTAAGGCCTTGTTTCGCTATCATTGGGTATACGGAGTTTATTTAAAATGGCTGGAAGGATCAGCCTGGATTGGAGAAGCAAAAAGTAGGCATGTTTAGTAAAAGAAACACGAGTTAAATATTCAAAGCCTTTTCCTGTATAGAGTGAGATAGTAGTGTATTATAGCTATACGAGCAAGTAAAACTATGTTCAACATCAATAAAGATATAATATGATCTACGGCTATAACCTCCGAGTCCATCCCCCGAGTCCATCGTCCGAGTCAAGTCCTCAAGTCCGGTCTCTGTACACATCAAGGCTTCTTACCCGTGTGGCTCTGAATGACTTTCAGCGTCTGCCTTGAGTTATGATACTGCAAGTAAGACGGAATACAACCTAGTGGTTTTCGGGAATCAGATGTGCATTCCCGCTGACAGGCTGCTCAACTGACAGCTGACTGTGATGGACACTTGCCGTTTTGGGCTGACTTCCGCACCGTTACTTTGACCCCGCCGTGTCTCACCCATCTTGCCGCACCGGGTATACCTCCGCTCTGCCGAGTGGTGAGATAGCTTACAGCTGGAAGCAGCATAAGCATAGTGCAGGCTGATGAGGCTTAGACACACCACTGCTTTGAGTATGTCCGTATTTATCAACGCTTCACGAGATTGATCGATTAAGTTGTACATCGATATAAGGTGCAAGGACAAAGACTCGAATTCGACTTGAGTAACTCTAGATCCTGTATCCCCATATCTCATAGTAATTGGACTCGACTGAATTGCAGATCGAGTTGCTGTCCTAAACGATCGTTTGGACGATCCAAAGCTTCCTACAAAACCTCGGAGATATTGACTCTGGTTGATCATTTCTGACGGTCTGATTCAATTCCCCATTACCTTTACTGAGACAAGTCTCTTTCTTCACTTCATCATGGCCTTTCCTATCCTGATCGTCAGCGCCGTCGGCGTCTCAGTCGTTTTCCTGCTGCGTTGGCTCCTGACGTACATGCGCACAGTCCTCAAGGTTCGCCGCAATGGCCACCCTGCAATTCACAGCGGTGTTATGCTCTTTGAGTCCGTCGTACGCTCATGGTATCCTCGCATACCAGTCCTGGTACCCATGGAAAAGCTTACTCTGAAGGATCCTTTTAAGAAGTTCGCCGATGCGCAATCTGATATGATTGTTATTACCGAAGCTGTGAGTAACCTCTCCCTTCTCGTTGAAAGAATGTGTACTGACGTGGGTGAATCCCATTACTAGACGTCACCTAATGGCATTGCCTATCTTTTTGGATCACCAAAGATCTTTCGTGAAATTGGCCGCAACGGCGACATCTTCCTCAAGCCTCTCGAGAAGATTCGCTATCGTATGCTCAACACCTTTGGACTTCAACTTGCCTCAGCGCAGAATGGTGCCCAGCATGAGAGACACAAGCGTGTTGTCAAAGCTGTGTTCAACAACGAACTAATGGAAAATGGATGGTACAACATGCGTAACATGTGGCGCACTTTGCTACGTGAAGAGGCCATCTATCCAGCAGCTGCCAACTCAGAGACTGCACCCGTTGTACAAGATATGAAGTCAACCATGCTGAAAGTAACACTTGGTGCCATCGGTGCTTCGTGGTTTGACATTGACATCTCCTGGGATCCAGCAAAGGAGACACAACGCCAAAATGATGAGTTAATGCCATTCGCTGAGACGTTAAAGGTGGTGTGGGATTCACCATTCGTGCAGACTATGCTACCACTGTGGTTCTTGGAATGGAGTCCCTCGTCGTACTTGCGTCGTGCTGGCTGGGCGCAGCGATCTCTCGTCGCACATATCAAAAATGCGCAGGCTGAGACAAGGCGAAGAATTGAGGATAGAAAGGACACGACTGAGGTTCAAGGCCGAACAAGAAAGTACAGAAACCTCATTGATGCGCTGGTTGATTCACAGAACGACGTGGAAAAGGCTGAGAGGCTTGAGAAGGGATACCTAGCGGCCAATGTCGGACTGTCAGACAAGGAAGTTCAAGGCAATATTTTCTCCTTCATGGTGTAAGTTTACAAGGCACTTGACAACATGCTCTTACTAACACATTTCAGAACCGGTCATGAAACATCCTCACACACCCTGACGTGGGTCTTGTCACTGCTCGCCAAGAACACCGACTGGCAAGAAAAGCTCTATGAGGAGGTTAGCAAGGTAAACACTATCTTCTTGGACGAAGCCGAAGGTGTGGACGAGAAACCACTGAGGTATCTCGCCTATGAGGAAATGTCTAACCTCCCTCTGATCCTTGCTTCTACCGTCGAATCACTCCGCATGCGGGATTTAGCTATGCAGATGACACGTGTGGCCTCCCGTAACACTACACTTAGCTACACAACTTGGGAGGGCGACAACCCAGCTGAAGCCAAGGTGCAACAACACACTATATCCATTCCTGCGGGCACACGTGTGCACCTTGATACAGCGGCGTTTGGAGTCAACCCATTCAAGTGGGAGGACCCAGCGACATACAACCCAGCACGTCACATCCGTGAGACTGAAGATGCGAATGGCAACAAAAAGGTGGCCGTAAGTTTACCCCCTCCCAGACGATAAAGAAAGTTCTGACTCAGTTACTAACATTATTACCTTCGCAGGTTTCTTACGAGGACTTCATCGGTTACTCTTCCGGCTCACGTCAGTGCATTGGCAAGCGCTTTGCCGAAGTGACAATGGTGTGCTTCTTGGCACACATGATTCTGAACTACCGGTGGGAGGTTGTGGCTGAGCCGGGTGAGACCCAGGAGCAAGCTAAGATAAGGGCATCTACTGGCTCGGAACAGTTCATGTTGACGCCACCAGCTTACGATCTGCGCTTCATCAGACGCTAAGAATTGGCCTTGGACTTGTACCTTTTTTTTAGCAATCCTCATTCACTGCATGATGAGTTACTGGATCTTGATCTGTATAGATAGATCTTATGGATGAAAATCTTGAATACACTAGAAAGATTCATTTATCTTAAATATAGAACGAAAGATGAACAAATTGAACTTCACAAGAGTTGCTCATGTCTTATCTTTTACAGTTAGAAACGTGTTTAGTAATGTTGGGGATTTATGTATCGTGTACTTCGCAAAAGAGGTGGAAGCCGAATGGGGAGAGCCTCCTTTACAGAATATCGTGTTTGTTTATTTAATATGTGTATAAATATGTTGGCCGATAATAAAAGTCGTTCGAAGTACAGCTGAAGTGTCGACGAAACGACGAGACCACAAATTGTGAGTTCTATTCATTGGTTGCGGCGTAATAGATTCACGACCTAGTAATTCAAGTTTTTTTCGTTTCTGTAGTGCGACGTCCTTACTCTGCAGCTGGCAACAATGGAAATAGGATTATGACCTATACTTAGCTACTATCAGGCTTAACTAGCTGTAGTACCCCCTTTTCCTTTTTGTTTTAGCTGACTCCAATCCGTGATCTTAGAACTCGCATTATGAAAAGTCAACTTTCTGACTCAATCCATTACAAATACAGGGTAATCCTGAGTCACTACTCGGGGAATCGGACAGCTTGATCCCCCCTGTAGGCATGTGTGGGGGCATCCTGAACGGTGGCTGTGAATCCGAGTATCCCGGTCTTACTCAGATGGAACTATGGCTGAAAGAGGAAATCATCCTAGTTTCCCGGCATTTACCCCCTGTCAGGGGGACTAACCAACCTGGGTAATGGTCCTGATCCCTCGGGCTGTCAGCAACAAGTACGTGAACTACTCTTTCGGGACTCAACTAGTCAGCCTGACATTCCGGTAGATGTAGTGTTAGTGAGAAAACAAGACATCGAATCTCTCCACATAGCACCCGTGTCGTTCATATACGCACGAAATTGAACCCATACATACGGTTGACTTGAGTCTCAGATATATCCCTAGCTTCTTAGCTTCTGGTGTTACGAGTTTACGTTTTGTCTAACTTGAGACGTTCTTTCGTTGTCACAGCTCAGTTTGTCATTATTCTTTGTCTTACCAGTTCATCCAAACTTAAATCAACCTCACCTGTAGTCCAGTCTTACTCGTACTCATACTAGCAGCCATGGCTGTCGGTAAGACAAAGCGAGCTACCATCGGGAACAGATTGATTCCTCAAATTCTGGACGATCTTGCCTCTGCCGAGCCTGATCGCATCATCTACTCATGGGCTAAGTCTTCGGACCTATCGCAGGGCTTCCGCCATGTATCTGCTCGTGCCTTTACGAAGGCAGTAGACAAGACAGCATGGTTACTTCAGCGGGAGTTGGGAGAGACCTCTGAGATTCGCTCCGTGGGTTATATTGGGCCTCGTAAGTTGTTTCTTTCCAATAGTGAAGCGTCGGGGGCTCATGAGATGGGATCTCTAAGCTCTCGTTCTCGGACCATATAGCTGACGATCTGATATCTAGATGATCTCCGTCAAATTCTGTTGACATTCGCCTGTATTAAAGCCAACCACACTGTTAGTTCTTCTCTATATCAGATGCGTATCTAAAATCTATTTGTCTAACCATTCATGTTCATACAGGCCTTGTTCCTCTCACCAAAGAATAGCATTGAGGGCGCTCTAGCCGTTCTCGATGCGGCAGATTGTAACATCTGGGTCAAACCCGCCGGTGAGAGACCAACACAGTTGGTGGAAGAATTTTTGCAGCAACGCTCTATGCAAGCCATGGAGCTACCTTTGCTGAGCGAGCTTCTTCCTGAAGATGAAAGCCAGATGGAAAATGTAAAGCCGTTTCCTTACACAAAGACCTGGGAAGAAGCGATCAACGACACATTCTGCATTCTACATACTTCGGGCTCAACTGGCCTGTCGAAACCCATCAAGTGGACACACGGTCTGATTGGTACCGTAGATGCTGTCCGGCTTCTGCCTCCCCATGAAGGCATGGAGCCTTGGGCGAAAGGATGGGATGACGGTGACACGTTGTACTCAACATTCCCGATGAGCCATGTAAGAAACCTTCCCGTCCCAGTTAATTAAGTTCGAATGAAGGAGTCAGTATGATGCTAACCATGAATCAAGGGAGCGGGCATTTTGATGGACGTTGTTATAGCACCACTATTTGGGCTACACTGCGTCCTTGGGCCTCGGGACGTGATACCCAACCTGGAACTCATATCATCTCTGGCGGATCACATCAAGATCGACATATGGAGTATGATTCCATCACTCACTGACGAGCTTGGAGAAGCGCCCGACATCTTGCCAAAATTGAGTCGGTCGAAATTCATCTGTGCTTCCGGAGGTAAGACATCCGTCCCAGGATATTGATGCTTTCCAAGTCTATCAGTATGCTAACAGATTTGACTATTCCAGGACCCGTGAGCAGTGTCTTAGGCTCCAAAGTTAACGAGCATGTTCGCGTCTTGAACCTCACTGGTACGTCGGAAGGTTTGTTCATCGGCAACTTGTGGGTAGACAGACAAGACTGGCACTGGTTTGCCTTCCACCCTTGGTCAGGCTTTGACTTCAAGATGGTCGAGCCTGGTCTTTATGAGCAGTGGATTCATCGCAACGAGCATGCAGATCTTTTCCAGGGTCTCTTTCAAACCTTTCAAGATGTGGACAGTTTCAACTTTAAGGATCTGTATGTTCCACACCCGACTAAGCCGGGATTCTGGGCCTCTCATGGCCGCAGCGATGATGTTGTGGTCCTTTCGAATGGATACAAGATCTCGCCGCTAGATACGGAGGCCCTTGTCACAACGCACCCAGCTGTTGATGGCTGTGTGATGGTAAGTCCACAACCTTTCAGAAGCTTAGCAATTGGCCGATCAGAAATACTAATTGAATTGTTCCACAGATTGGATCGGGAAAGCCACAAGCTGGCCTGCTTATTGAGCTGAAAGACCCAACCATCAAAAGGGACGATGACAACGCTGAAGCGCTCTTCAACAGCATCTGGGCCGTCATTGAAAGAGCCAACTCTCTGTCTCTACACAAGGACCAGTTGCACCGGGACTACATCGCCTTTTCTGAAGCTGACAAGCCATTCATCCGTACCGACAAGCGTACAATTAAGCGTCGTGCTACCTTGGCGCTATACGCTGACTACATCGAGCGTTTCTACCAGTCACGAGGAGAGGATGACAGCAACGATGGAGCTGCGACACTTGGGTTGCTCACTATCGACACATCATCCTTGGACTCGACTACTCGTGCGGTTCGTCATATACTGGTTTCGATCGTACCTGCAGTCAAAGATGCTCAAGTGGATGCTGATCTGTTTACTCTTGGGTTTGACTCACTGCTTGTGTTCCGCGCTACCAAGACAATTGCGGCGGCTACAGATCTAGGCGGAAAATTCTCGCCCAGAAATTTCTATGCTGGTCCGACAATTGAGACCATCGCTGCGACTGTCGTACGATTGGCTGCTGAACGCAGAGCGATGACAATGAATGGCACGTCCGCCCCATCAGCGACTGAACAGAAGCAACAAGATCCGCAGGAAGCCAAGATCAGTGCACTCATTAACCGGCACAAAGCTGTTCAGTCATCAAAGCTGGGTCCAATGGACCTCTTCGGCGGTAACATGTACGAGGGCATCAATATCTTCATACCCCTCTGTCCAGATGTCTCGTTCGAGCAAGCATATAAGGTGCTCCAGAAAGGTCTAGCTCGCGCCATGGATATTGTGCCGGATCTCGCGGGCAAGGTTATTCCCTGCTCGGAGCATGAGATTGGATACAAAAAGGGCGACCTTCGTCTCAGTCTACCTCCAGTACCTTCAACGGCCCTTGGCATCTCTGCCTCGGAAGAGCCGAGACAATTGCGCTTCAATGACCTTTCGTCTGTCCTACCATCCTACGCAGAGCAAAAAGCCTCCGGATTCTTGACCTCAGCTTACCCTGATGAGCTCCTGACTACGTGTCCAGCATTTCCCAGTCTGCCCGCGGATGTGTGCAACATTCAGGCCAATTTTATCGAGGGTGGTTGCGTGCTGGCCTTCAATGTTCATCATCACGCGCTTGATGGCATCGGCCTCCTGATCGCACTGAAAGTATGGGCAGAAAGCTGTCAGTTTGTCCAGGGCAATCAGTCTGCTATGTCCGAGTGGCTGCACCCAGAGAGTCTCAATCGTGATATGCTTTCTGTCTTGTACGAGGTGGAGGGTTTCGCGAAGCCAGCGAATGAAATCGACCCCAAGGTTTGGGGTTTCTTACCATATGCCGACCCGGCTCTCAAGCGTAAGAATGTATCTGAAGCCGACGGACATGTCAAGAAGCCCAGGCTCGAGAAGACCCCTTTATCTCGCAATCTGCCTGAACCACCTCGCCTGCCTCCCTGTGAGCACTGGCCACCCAAGGCTCGTGACGATGGTCGCACCTTAGACGCGTCAACCTTTCTTATCTCGGCCAAGAAACTGGAGGGACTGCAAAAGAGCGTCGAGCTTGCCGAAGTTGCTGATTCAGAGAGCCAAAGCGGGTCAGGATCGCTATCTCTTCCCGATGTACTGCAAGCCTTCTTCTGGCGTGCCGCCGTCCGGGCTCGTCGCCGTCCAGAGAACTCCTCTCCTGATGACACGTCCATCATCGAGATGCCTACCGATGTCCGACCCTACTTCAGTGCACACCTTCCGCCAACGTACATGGCCAACAGCGTCATCATGAACCGACAGCACATGTCTGTCTCGGAACTCTGCTCTTCCGAGACCAGTCTTTACAAGATTGCTCAAATCTGCCGTGAGGCGCGCACTCGAATCGATCAAGAGCTTGTTCATGATGCCTTTGGTCTACTACATACGATTCAGGACAACAGCCCCGGCAACCACACAACGGCGTTCCTAGGCCAAGGTATTCAAGACGGCCCACATTCGCTTTACAATAACATGATGCTCTTCCAAGCGAAAGATATTGGGGCCTTCGGAGGTGGCATCTTGGATGCACCCGATGCAGTGAGGGTCCAGATGGATTGGTTGAACAAGGCCTTCAGGAGTTTGTTTATCTTGCCGATAAGAGAGGACGGCGGTGTTGAGTTGCTATTGGGAACCTTGCCTGAGGAACTGGAATCAATGAAGAATGACGAAGAGTTTATGCAGTTTGCTGAATTTCTGGGATAGGGAATGGGAAGGAAACATAGGGAACACATTAATAGGATATCTTGGTCTACTCAATATTACTGCGCAAATTTTAATGATATTCTGTTATAGATGAAATCTTGTTGTCTGTCGTTTTTTTTTAACTCTGGTTTTATCAAGCTCATTTCTGTTCTTTATTGCACCTCTTCCACCTGCATGAAGAATTCATGATCATGACGACTCTGTGCTGCACCCTTCACTTCAGGCTTCTCTGTCTAGTCGCAGTTGTACCGAAAGTACCATCCTCCAAGACTTTGTGTTACAAAAATGCAAGTGCGTAAACATTAATGACGGACCATATGCTTCGTAAGAATGATTAAGAGCAGATCGAAGCTCCCGGATTACTCGTACAACCTCGCAACCGAAGGTTGTGATTACATGCTCGGTGTAAGTGAAATGCCCAGATCTAGTTCACCTCCAAAGGGAAATGCTCCTAGTGCACACGTCAGCTAAGACACTTACCCAACTGGGCAATGATCCTATGGGAAGGTACCGGGCCCGTCAGCTGAATGTTATCCTTGTCAAAGTCTCAGCCCCAAGCTCTCACAGCCTCAAAAATTGGGACAGTTTCCGGCCGGAGGTGTTTCATTCAGGTACTTCACAACACACAATCACTGTTACCTGGTCCCGTAAATCTTACTTTGTATTACGGAATCACTGATCATTTGTTTTTGTATCAGTGCTTTTCCCACCTAGTACAAGTACGACCCAGTGATTCACACTAGTCTCTGTATCCATCGATTTGAGCATCAGAACCCCTCCGACGTCTTGAATCAGGACATCAATACCATCCATCACTACAGACGCCTCAACTGAGTCCCTTAGTAGGCAAACTTCGACAATGCCTCATCAGATTGTGGATGACCTGGAAACTGCACAGGACAATATGAAAGAACTCAAAGCATCTCAGACTTTGAATACCACGGAAGAAACCAACACAATGCCCCACAATGTCACTATTGTTGACCCTGAACCCTCTACCAACATGGCAAGTGTTTCATCAGACCATGCCGATATCCCTAGATCCGACGTCTCGAAGTTGAAGACACCAGAGATCACCATAGCCCCATCAGAAGTCTCGTTCGACGACACAATGTCAACGAGATCTTCCAGCTCTAGCCTCGGCACCGAGATGACAAACCCTCCCACCACAGATGAGAAGACTGAAGACCCCATCGAGTCCAAAGTCTCTGAGATATCGGAGAGGATTTTAGATGTCATTCTAGAATACTCTCTCAACAAGTTCGACAGCACCGCAGAACTCCACAGCAAGGGCAGACCCAAGTTTCTCGCCATCATCTCCCGCTTTGTCACAACACGACAAAAAGTGGTTATGTGTCTGCCAGCATTCCCATTCAAGTCAGCCAACAAGGTCGAAAAAGTGCTGGGTAACCTGCCCGACAAGGCCGAAGAAGTATCGCTCGCTAGACTGAACACTATGTGTACCACTATTGCTGGTTTCTACGAGCCGGGTGCTCAGTTGACGATCATCTCAGATGGCCTCGTTTACAATGGTTTGTCATCCTCTGTATTCCGCACTCAAAGAAAAGTGGACAACTTATGGACACATCACTGACACTTTTTTTCATCTAGACTTACTGGGCATCTCTGACCTTGAGACCTGGCGCTACGGTTCAGCGCTACGAGCCATGGCCCAGAGCAAGGGCTTCTCTAATCTCGCATTCTCCCGTCTTCAGGACTTGGTCGCAGTCAAGAACCTGCCCAATGACCTTAATGAGCTCACCTATGTTGCCAACGCGACGAACTTCCGTCGAACCCTATTCAACAAGTACGGCCGGGACGGTGATCTCGACATTGACCACGAGATCGCCACTAATATGGATACCCTCGGGACTTATAAGGGGTACTGTCGCTTCCTCAAGTCAGACCTTCAGCACATCTACGGCCCAGCCAAGAGTTCTGCCAAGTACAGGAAGGATGTCAAATATCTCGCCAAGCAGCTTTTGATCAGAGGATATGTAAGTTTCATGTTCACTACTTTTCTAGTCATTCCAACCCCCCCGTCAAGACCATGTAGCTAACAGCATCTCTTTGATCAGTCCTTTGCAGGAGCCGTCAAAGCGCGCTTCCCCGAACATTTGCGTCTCAGTATCCATCAGTCTACAGGAGAGCACAAAATTTCCATTAGCCTGCTAAACACAAAGAGCGGTTTTACCACGCCATGGCATTGCAGCGTTGCATTGATGGAAGACGGAGAGTGGCTCAGCGGTCTTGCGGTTGACTTCAAAGCCGATCGATTATTGGAACTCGTCGAGGAGGATGGCAGAACTAGTTACTTCAGAGAAGTCGCCCGCCAGCGACCGTACTTGACGGAGAGCGCGAAGCCTCGTGTAGTCGTCAAACAGGAACCACAGGCCCACAGGCAAAGAATACGCGCATAACAAGCCCACCGGGCGGTTGGTCAGGTCGAGTTGTGACGGAGATTAAGGCTTCGATGGCTACTACAGCTTGATGTGGAGGATGCCATGTTTTACGAACCACATAATGCAGGACAATTTTATAGACTTTTGGGAACGTATAAAGAATGAAACAATATATCAACTGACTTGAAAGCGTAAAGGAGGTCTGTGACACGCCGATGCATCTTATGTCACATCTCAACTGCAGTGCTTAAACACCATCCAGAATTATCTTGTCATTCATATAGGTAACAAACAGGAGACAGTGATTCAAGACGCTCAGAAACTTGAGAAACTGGTAGTTCGTGTTGCAGAAACGTAGCCGTCTGTAGCTAACCTGCAAAGTTTGTGAGATGTCTTCTGGTGCACGTTTCATAGGTGCTTGTGTGTAGTCAACCCGGAACTAAGTCAGTCAATCACGAAGTGAAACATAGACATACTCCTCTTTGGCACTGCACAATTGTACGGGTGAGTCCGCTACCGCTGCTATCGAACGAGTGGTTGTGATCTCATCGACCATGTACTTGAAGCCTTCATGCACGTTTTTGTTTGAGTCAGACTTTGGAAAATCAATGGTGATAAGGAGAACAATGGTGTTTTTACCATCATCTCAGTTTTGAGAGGATATTCTTAATATGATCATGTTTAATAGCTTGGGGTCTAACGTCAATAAACACCACATTCCCAACATTCACTATATTCCTTGTACTATGAAGTTGAATCTATCGTGTTTCTTTAATTCTCTAGCGCTAGCGTGTTCTCGTTCTTTTGTACAGTTCCAAGTTCTCTTCTACTAACCACCGAAAATCGTGGCAACTGCCGCAACCCTCTCTTAGTCAGGACAAAACAAGTCTACCTCTTTTATATCATGAGATCTTGATGCGAGTTGAAATATGCCCCTTTTTGGTCTGCAACACAACCAAGTCATGGTCATACGTAAGGTCCTCAATCGTAGTCTCGAAAAGCTCGGCTTTGGGAATAATTCTGAAAGCCATCAGGGCGGCCATGATATAGACCTCGCACAGCGCAAGACTGTAAGAAACTTGTTAGTATGAGGGCTCCGACGTGGACATGTCCTATATTGGACAATAGGAAATCATAAATCAAACTAACCTCTCGCCGACGCAGACTCTAGATCCCTTTGAAAATGAGATGAGGAATTTCTGCAGCGCATAATGAGGCTTGCCGTCTGGCAGAAGCCATCGCTCAGGATCGAACGCATCAGGGTTAGGAAACAGGCGTGTATCCCAGTGGTTGATCATGGCTGTCATGCTCACAGGCGTGCCTCGCGGGATCACGTATTGCGTCTTGTCATCTTGACTCTTATAGAAGAGCTCCTCCTCGCGTGCAATACGAGCCGATCGACCTGCCGCACCAGGCTGGTGCCTCAAAGACTCTTGGACAAGAGCCCAGAGGTAGGGTCTCTGCTCAAGCTGCGCCCATTTGAGATTGTCAGGATCAATACCTTCGAGGTCTTTCATCAGACGACCGTAGATCTTGGGCTGGTGGAGCATATGAAATGTCATAACTGTAAGAATAGCCTGTGTTGAGTCAGTTGGGAATGTTCGACTTATGGGTTATGGCGAAATAACTAACCGCAGTGGTTTCCGTTCCAGCGAGAAGAAAAACAAATCCCTCGCCCGAGAGACGAAACATGCTCTTTTCCTCTTCAGGCAAGACGTTGGAGTTCAGAATCTCATTAAAGACACGGCCGCCATCAGGATTCGCCAGGGCTGTCTTGATGTAAGCTGGGATGACATGGTTCATCTGGTGCATAATCCTCTTGACATCCTCGCCCATGTAGTCAGCGAATATAGGGAGGACATCGGCTAGACGCCTAGCCAGCGCATTGTGGCGCACTGTTCATCGTCTGTTAGCATAACTGTAAAGTAAGATAGTAGCAAGGGCTATGTACTCATGTAAGTAGTTTTCAAGAATGATGAAGTCCAAGTTCCAAAGTTAGGTTCCCAGCCCTCTTGCGCGATAAAGCCCATGGGCTCTCCAAATGCATACTGCGAGAATACATCGGCGGTGTAGCAGTTGAATGCGCCCTTAACTTCAAAGGCCTCTTTTCCTGTCCACCGCAGCATCTTCTGGATGAAGAGCTCAGCGAACTTGAACACCTCCTCTTCGAGCTTGAGGACCTGTCCACGTGAGAAGAAACGAGCATGGGCAGCCCTGCGTTTACGATGTAGTTCGTGAGGTCCAGCTGTGCCGGTCGCTTGTGAGGCTGGGCCAGCGCCTGCTATCTTGAGATGATGCTGCCATTTGTCGCGAACTAAGAGAGAAGACATGTGAGTGGAGGTGTCCCGTTGAGACCAGAAGGCTGCAGTTGGGTAGACTTACTTCGGCCTGGCTTTCCAGTGTAGATCTCATCTGCAAAGTAGGGGTCACTGCAGTGAAGTTCATCAGGACTAACGCGAACAATTGGACCTGATGGTTGTTAGTAGTCACTCATACTCATTTAGAAGTAGAAAATACTTACCATATTCCTCATGCATCTTCTCTATCCTCCTGCCATAACGGCCTTGAAGGATCCAATCATAGTAAGCCTCATACACATAAGAGGCAGCGGCAATCTTTGGACCAGGGAACTTGGAGAGTGGGTGGAGAGGAGAGATGTTGTATAGCGCTAGAGCGACACGGTAACCGAGCCAAAGACCAGCGAGGCTAAGCAGCGCCGACGGACTCACAAAACGCTTGAGAGCGATTATATTGAAGTCATCCATGATTAGGGGGAAAATCTCCGATAATGATCTTGAGGTAATGGAACCAAACACTAGAAGTCACAACACAAATGCGACATAACACAACGGTAATGTTGACAGAGTCTATATATCGATTGTGTCTCTACCTGGAATGACCTAGAGAATCTACTAAGCGCTACCCATAGCTTGCAATATGCGGCAAAGTCCCGAAAGTGGGACTCAGCACTGCCTCTAACTACGTTTGTGTTCGTGCGATTCTCGGACTTCGCTACAGCGGTGTTTGACCATTTTTGGACAGCGCCGGCCTGTCCACACTCTGCTTACTTGTGCACTAAAAAAAGAAGAAGAAAAAAGACACAGAGACGATCCTGGTGCACGGTGATACGTAGGAATCGCTCAAATTAGCATATAGTGAGGACTTGTAAGACATTGGGCCTTTATCCCTCATGTAAGCTTTTCTACTCAAAAGGGTAATGACAAATGATTGTTGATATGGAAAGCATGTCTTCTGACAGATAGAAGCTGGTATCAAACGCTGGTTTCATGTGGGAATCTCAAACGTCGTTTCACAACTTGGGTTAAATATTCGTGCTCTATGCGATGTGGCTTACTACCCTTCTGACATGCCTTGCTTGGCAGGACAGATCTGAAAGAAAGTATCGGTGGCTGCAGGTCTTCAACTTCCATTGGATAATTAATCACATTTGTAACAAATCCAGGTCTACTTCAATGACAAAGACTGGTCAGTTAACTTTTGTATCTTGCCAAGAATTATGAGTTGCTGAATATGGCGCTACAATTTATAAGAATTGGACAGCAAAGCACACTCGTCGCGTCATAATTTATTCTTCACGAAGAAGCTATTCATGATTTTTCGAGACTTTCTAGCATTTCAAGAAGAAACTAGATGCTCCAAAATAGTAACCTTTCAGTAGAAAAACTGATATTCACGATGAAGCTTTATGAGTGCATTAACAACAGTATTGGCTTTTGAATGAGAAAAGAATATTTGTGTAGATCTTGTGTAGTTATAATTTGACTAAATCTAAGATCTTCGCTTGACCTCCAATTGTACTCCCGGATCGGCAAACAACTCAAAGCCAAACGGCATAAGCTTGGGTGTGTATCCCTCAGCTAATCGCACATCATAGTCAAGTAGGATGGTAGCAATCGCCGTCTTCACCTCTGCAACAGCAAAGAACCGACCTGGGCAAATAGGTTTACCAATACCAAATACGAAATGATCCTCACTCGTAGAAGTAGCAGAACTAGCATATGTCCACTTTCCACCTTGCCCACGAAGCTTCAGATATCGGTATGCATCAAAGCTGTCTGGGTTATCATATACATCAGGGCTACGGAGACGTGACATGTAGATGGAGAGAGCAGTGCCTTTGGGTAGGTACTGGCCGTTGGGTAGAGTGACTGGTGATAGGACCTGACGGTCGAGATTGACTATAATATGTTAGTACCTTAACATGTAATGAGAGCGATTGTTCCTCAGACTTACCAATGACAGCAGAGTTCATTCTTTGTGTCTCCTTGATGACACTGTCGAGTAAACGCATATTGGTCAACGCAGCAGGAGACCATCCATACTCGTGAACCACGGCTTCAATCTCCTCTCGAAGGGGAGCAATCAGATCGTGAGCGCAAATCTCAATTATGGTCTGTTTCAACAGCTCCGAGGTAGTCACTACAGCAGCCATAGACATTCCAAGTTGAGCAGCGACAGGATCATAACTCTTACCAGCCGCGATGTCATCGAACCAGGTAATAGAATCGTCATGTTCTTCACCATTAGCAGCTCTCTTGGCGATGTTCTTTTCCAAAACATCTCGCGCGCGCTTGACTTCTGCTCTGCAATTCCTGCAAGCTGGGAGGAACCATTGTACAAGAGGTCTCAAGAATCGTGGCCACATTCTCAATGAGCGAGCCGCGAGGAACACGGTCATTCCGTAGTTAGTGCTAACTTGTTGCCATGTCTCGTCGCGTGATAGCTCCTCGCCGACAAAGACGGACGCGGACATTCGGCTGATGAGGCTGAGACCATCCTTAGCCCAGTCGACTGCTTTCCACACTGCCCTTGTTGTCAGTTCATGGTCACGATACACAAGCTAAGCACATGCTCAATACGTACCGTCACGCTCTTCTGGCCAAACTGCCAAGATATCTTCCTGCACATTGTTGTGGAGCTTGCTAACATCTAGAAAGCCTCGAGTCAGCGCGATTACACTAAGGGCGATGAGAATGACTAGACTTACGAGGATTCTGAACGAGCTTTTTCTTGATGACGTTGGCCAAAAGCTTGTTGGGGTCTGAAATGGCTGCCGTGCCATTAAATCCAGCATAACCTGCAAAGAAGTCCTAGACATGGAATATAAGTCAATGGTTCATGGAGCGGCCGGAAAGTAAGTGTTTTTACCTTGCGCACAAGCGGTTGGTGATCAAGTTGGGGACCATGGCGTCTGATCCATTCAAAATGGTCGGCAGGAAGAATTAATCTGTCTCCCACCAATGTGATCATGCGAAAAGGGTTTTTGAACTATTTTTGTGGTCAGCATGTGTCTTTCAAAAAGGCGTGGAAGAAGAGCGTTGTCCTACCTTGGCAAACCCTTCTTTAATGAGGCCATCCGCATTAGTGACAAAGGCAATTTGAGCCTTGATCGAGAGAAAATCCCAAGGATATTTGTTGATGACAGGGATTTTGTCTCTCGGCGAAAGTAGTACCAGACATGATAGAACGAAAATGACAGCACCGGCAGCGGCCAGTCCAGCGCCTTCAGGAGTGTACTCTCCCACACCTAGTGAGGTGATATTCTTGCTGAAATCCATTGTCTGGAATGCCGTGAAACTGTCTTAGCAAAAGTTGACACAAGATGAGAAATTCTCAAGTAAGGGATATTTATATTGACTTGCCTTTGACAAGCATACAATGAGAAATAATGTTGTACAACGTCGAACAATCCGTACGAAACATCACAAATATCAGTCGTCCAATTGGGACATATTATTTAATGTAATAAGCCTCAATGCTTCACAAAGGGAATTAGTGGGCATGCTCAGCCGTGTCTTACTTGCTCCGGGGTATCACCAGAAGGAGGAATATCCCATCTCACTCCCTCCGGCACATGTGAGGCAGAGCTCGTTGTTGTCACTGGTGGTATGTGTTCATGCCGGGTAGGACAGGGACCAAGCCACCACCAAGAGTAAGCAACATGGGCTAACGGGGAGTTACCGCTTCAGGCCAGGTGCCGTTATCTACCTACCTAACTCACTTAGTACTAACGTCACAAGGGTCTGAGGTGAGATGTGGATATGGAGACAGGGGCACAGACAAGGTACCTCAGTAGCCTCTCAGGGTCTAGCTACACCCGCCGTGATTGTCCATTGTCAGACGGCTTGTGTGTGACCTTTTGTCGTATCACCCAGAATCAGCAATTTTGTCCAACCTTGCCGCATGGGAGACACTACAGTGCACAATTTACTTGCAGGCCTTTGTCTTTGTCCCTCCCGACATGGGTCTTTCTGTTTTCCCTTCCTTTTCCATCTCTTTTGTTTTCTTTCTTACCTTCTCACAACCGCATCCTTCCATTCCTCATTTTCGCGCCTGAAGAAGCTGGTCTTCTTAGTCCGATTCTCGGCAATTGCCAACACACCATATGAAGACTAAATGCCGTGATTTAATGTTAGCTTGAAGATCATTTTAGCGCCTTACATGGTAGTGGCCTAGAGTCTTTGAGCCATCCACTACGTCCTGACGAAAAGGATTCCTGGACATTACACTGCCTCTTTGACAACGAATCACCATCACAAGTAATTGTCGCATTTCCAGCAGTAGGCTCAAGAGCGAACTGCTTGCAGTCGCTGTCGCTGCAATGGGCCAACCCTATATGCGCCTGCCAGAAGATGGCGATGACAGAAATGCCAGTACCAGCAGACTTTCCACAAGTGCGCATATGGCAACAACCACGCTGCAGGTCGGCGGTATGACGTGAGACGGCGCCGTTTATCGCTTCATTTATTTCGTTCTTGATAGCTAATATTGTGATGTCTAGATGCGGTTCTTGCACATCAGCCGTCGAATCGGGCTTCAAAAGCGTCGACGGCATCGGGACAGTCTCCGTCAGTCTTGTAATGGAGCGCGCTGTCGTCACGCATGACCCACGAATCATACCCGCCGAGAAGATACAAGAGATAATTGAGGACCGTGGGTTTGATGCCGAAGTTCTATCGACAGACATTCCCAATCCCAACAACAACTTCTCCAACGAGAGCGCTGCGAGTCAATCCGAGTCTGCGACAACCACTGCGACGACAACTCTAGCGGTGGAGGGAATGACTTGTGGCGCCTGCACATCGGCTATTGAAGGCGGTTTTACTGGCGTGGCCAGCGTTCTCAAGTTTAACATTAGCCTTTTGGCGGAGCGTGCCGTTATCACGCACGATGAGACAAAGATTTCTGCCGAGCAGATAGCCGAGATTATCGAGGATCGCGGATTTGATGCTACCATTTTATCGACGCAGCGCGACTTGAGCTTCCAGGGAGAAGACACCACAACGGTCCAGTTCAAAGTCTTCGGGTGCAAAGATGCGACTACTGCCCAGGCCTTGGAAGAAGACCTCATCGCTGTTCCAGGCATCCGATCCACATCTCTCAGCCTCAGTACGGACCGTCTGACAGTCGTTCACCAGCCCAGAACCATAGGGCTTCGTGGAATCGTTGAAGCTATAGAAGCGCAGGGCTTAAATGCTCTTGTTGCAAGCGGCGAAGACAACAACGCGCAGCTTGAGTCACTAGCCAAAACACGCGAAATCACTGAGTGGAGGAGGGCATTCAAGATCTCACTTTCCTTTGCTATTCCCGTCCTTCTCATTGGAATGATCATTCCTATGGCTTTTCCAGCAATTGACATTGGAAGATTGGAACTAATTCCTGGTCTTTTCTTGGGTGACTGCGTGTGTCTCATTATCACATTGCCCGTTCAATTTGGCATTGGAAAGAGATTCTATATCTCTGGGTACAAATCTCTGAAGCATGGATCGCCAACGATGGATGTTCTCGTCGTCCTTGGCACGACATGTGCTTTCCTCTTCAGCGTCTTCTCCATGTTGATCTCAGTCCTTCTTGAGCCTCATTCCAAACCTTCAACAATCTTCGACACAAGCACTATGCTCATCACCTTCATCACGCTTTCTAGATGGCTGGAGAACCGTGCCAAGGGACAGACTTCCAAGGCCTTGTCTCGACTTATGTCTTTAGCTCCGTCAACAGCCACCATTTATGCCGACCCAATCGCTGTGGAAAAGGCAGCAGAGAGCTGGGCAAAGTCATCTGCCGAACCCACAACGCCCAGAACACCTCGGACTCCTACAGCTGGAGGCTCTGCTTGGGAGGAAAAGGTCATCCCGACAGAGCTGCTCGAGGTTGACGACATCGTGGTCATCCGGCCTGGCGACAAGATTCCTGCCGATGGTATCCTAGTCCGGGGCACCACATTCGTTGACGAAAGCATGGTTACAGGTGAAGCTATGCCTGTTCACAAGCTTATAGGTGATAACATGATCGCCGGCACTGTCAACGGTGACGGACGTGTTGACCTCCGTGTTACTCGAGCTGGCCATGCTACCCAACTAAGCCAAATCGTCAAGCTAGTTCAAGATGCCCAAACTGCTCGCGCCCCAATCCAGGAGCTTGCCGATAAGCTGGCCGGATACTTTGTTCCCATGATTCTTATCCTCGGAATGAGTACGTTCCTTGTATGGATGGTCCTATGTCACGTTTTGTCCCACCCTCCCGAGATCTTCCTCGAAGACAACAGCGGTGGTAAAATTGTGGTATGTGTCAAGTTGTGTATTTCTGTCATCGTCTTTGCCTGTCCTTGTGCCCTTGGACTCGCTACGCCAACGGCAGTCATGGTCGGTACGGGAGTTGGAGCTGAGAATGGAATTCTGATCAAGGGAGGCGCTGCCCTGGAACGTATAACCAAGGTCACGCAGATTGTCCTTGATAAAACTGGCACAATTACGTACGGTAAAATGAGTGTGGCCAGCACAGACCTCGTCCCGCGATGGGCTGGAAGCGATGTTAGTAAGCGACTGTGGTGGTCCATCGTAGGTCTTGCGGAGATGGGCAGTGAACATCCCGTCGGCAAGGCGATCCTAGGCGCCGCGAAGACCGAACTCGGCATGGGTCCTGAGGGAACTATTGATGGCAGCGTCGGAGACTTCAAAGCTGTTGTTGGCAAGGGTGTCAGTGTGACTGTCGAGCCAGCTTCCACAAACCGGACACGATACATGGTTCAGGTTGGCAACCTCGTCTTTTTGCAAGATAATGGTATCGTTGTCCCTGAGGATTCTGTCCAGGCTGCAGAGAAGCTCAACCTCTCATCTGGTGCAGTCAAATCACAGGCTAAGAGCACTGCCAACAGCGCTGGAACCACCAACATCTTCGTTGCCATCGACGGTCTTTACACTGGCTATGTATGTCTCTCTGACAAGATCAAGGAGGATGCTGCAGCGACTATCGCGGTGCTGCACCGCATGGGCATCAAAACGTCTATCGTGACAGGCGACCAACGGTCTACTGCACTCGCCGTCGCCTCCGTCGTTGGTATTGATGCCGAAAATGTTTTCGCTGACGTTAGTCCCGATCAGAAGCAGGCCATTGTACAAGAGATTCAGCAGTCTGGCGAGGTTGTCGGTATGGTTGGCGATGGTATCAACGACTCCCCAGCCCTTGCTACAGCTGACGTGGGTATTGCTATGGCAAGCGGCACTGATGTAGCGATGGAGGCAGCGGATGTGGTACTTATGAGACCGACAGAGCTCATGATCATCCCTGCCGCCTTGGCTCTGACTCACACAATTTTCCGCCGGATTAAACTCAACCTCGGATGGGCATGTATGTATAACGCTATTGGTCTCCCGATCGCGATGGGATTTTTCCTTCCGCTTGGTCTTAGTGTACACCCTATCATGGCGAGTCTTGCGATGGCGTTCAGCAGTGTGACGGTGGTGGTTAGTAGTCTGATGCTTAACTCGTGGACAAGGCCTGTTTGGATGGATGAGATGGCGATGAAGGATGGTAAGGAGAACAAGACGGAGCGGTGGATGTTGGGAAGAGGTGTTGTTGGTTGGGTAAGAGAGATGTTGGGACGTAGAGGCAAGGTGGAAGAAGGTGGTTATGTACCGTTGCAGAACATGGAAGGGTGAGCATGCAGCCATTGTCTTGGACGACAACCTTTTCCTTGAGTAATCTAGCAGAATAATCTTCTATGTCAGAATATACCAAGCTAGACTAGATACACGGTGTTGATTGTTAGTACTTAAAAGATATAATTTAGAATCAGCAACACTAATTGACAGATTGAGTGGTGGCACTGATGAAGAAAGTACAGCGTGAAGTGTCTATAATTACTCCTTTGAATCCTAGCTGATAACTTATCGATGAAGTAATATCATACCTGCTATAGCGCCTGAAGATTTCTACTTGCTCGTGTAATTCCTAACTAATGAGAAATAACTGACTCTTTTAACAACTATGACTAGCAGGCAGCCATGCGATAAAGATATACAGAGAGAGTTGCATGGAATATTATTGTCTACAGAAGGATTTTTAAATTTTCCGCCGTTGATCACGTGCGAAGGGTGATATATATCCGATATTCAATTCGCAAGGCTGCCTGCAGTTCCAACATATTTCAGAGGCGGCCAACAACAATGAGTGGGAAACTTGCGGAAGAATTCGCAGCGTTTCAAGTTGCAGAAAAGGGGCAGTTGGCCCGGCTGCAGGTACTTTGACTTCTTCTTGTCCCACAATGCTTTGGTACAATACTTATGCGTTATAGTGCCTGAGTACTCAACTTCAAGACTTGGTTGGCCGGTATGATGACGCGGTCCGTGATCTTGAGGTTGAAAAGACTGCGAGGCGTTCTTCCCAACAGGACGCAGAAAAGTCGCGCGCCAAATATGAAGCATTACAACAATCCATGGTACGATTCAATCTTAGCACATTGCACTTGGCCTGACCAGTTATAGGAGCACAGTTCATTTGTTCTAGTTTTAATCGACGCCGATGCCGATTCATATATTGTATGCAATGTAGATCTTTAACACCACTATTCGTTAACCAGTTTCAGTTCAAAGACAAGTACTACGCCGCCGGCGACGGTGGTAAAAAGGCGTCCCTTGATTTGCGCGATGGAGTTCGCAGCTTTCTTCAAGTAAACAAGCCAGAAGAGGCCAATTACCCCATTTTCATCAAGGCATATGCCAATGAGCATGGCTTGTCCCAGTTTCTCGTTGCATCTGGCATTATTAAAGCGCCCCGCGATCTCGTGGAGTTCGCAAAGGACTTCACGCAGGCATCCGAGAATACCGACTTTGTGCTAGTTGGAAGTGGCAAGGATCGGGCAGATAAGAAGATTCAAGGTAAGCGCAACATCTCCTTTCACTTCTTTGCAACTAGCTTGGCTCACGCAAGGGCAGGTTCTTTCAAGCAATTTGTCCGAAACCCTACTTGCCGTCATATCATCTTTGGGGCTTGTCATGATAATTCTTATGTGCGACTGTTAGAGGATTATGTCCACGACGATTCCGTGGTTGATCGAGTTACTCTTCTTCATGGTTTTAGCGTTGGGCGAGAATTCCGTGATCTGCGATTTAAATGTTTCAAGATGGAAGATGTTTTCAAAGTCGCGCCGGCGCAGAACCTTGCAGTAACGCCACAGCCACTGGCATCCGTTTCGACGTCTTCGACCTGGGCGTCTACAGTAGGGTCAAAGGGGGATGCAAGCTCTAAAAAGTCTAAAGCAGCCAAAACAGTGCGGTTGAACTCTGCCGGACACAGAATCGATGACCCTCTTCGAACACCCAATCAACAAGCTTTAGACAGCTGGAAACACAAGGTTGGCAAGGTCGGCATGCGATATTGTCGGTTGCACCACCTGTCTGGGTCGTGCTCAAACGCTTCCTGTAAGTATTCCCATGGTCCATTATCGGAGGAGGAAAAGTTGGTTTTTCGACGGGAAGTCCGGATGGGAGTGTGTAATGCTGGCTTACAGTGTCGTGATGTTGCTTGCCTATACGGTCACAATTGTTCATGCAGCAAGACTACATGCAAGTTCTCCCTAGAAATGCATAAAGTTGATGTTTCTGAGGCTTAAGTATGATGATGTTTTTGTTAGGATGGAAGGGTTGGATATTGGTTGAACTTGCAGATGAGAAGTAAGCCTCGTTATCTCGCTCCTCATTAGTTAGGCCAGAGTTACTGGAGAGACTGTTCAACACAGAAACGGGCACTTTCATGTTAGTTCTACTTTTTACTTCTTTTATAATATAGTTATCTGCTCAACGCCTTCTTCTAACATTCACTGGTAAACACTAACGGAATATGTCTTGCAGCTGACGTCTTGAGCATTCAAATACTTAATTTAAGAGAGAAGAAGTCGAGTCATAGATTCCTGTTCGAATTAACCATGCAGGTATGCCCAATTTGTTTTCACGGCCTTACCTCGTACCAAAAATTAATAATTGAATTAACCATTTAGTTGGCCTCCTACAGCACAAACATTTGAATAACGGAGAATGATAATATCATACTAAAACTTATTTACTGTAGCTACCCTACTTAAGCATGAAGTGAACAAGTGCACTGTATTTACATTTCTGCGCTAATTAGTATGTCTATTTGTTCACACTGAGTTTCTTATGCTTAAGAATGATGAGATCAGATACTATATATATTTGTTATCATAAACTTAACATAACCTAGTCTGTCTGTTAGTAACTATTGGTCTTATGTAAGGAAAGAATAAAGAGATAAAAAGAGAAGCATTCCAAGCTAGATTCCGCAGGTTGGATTAACTGAACCTGGAGACACTGGAATGCTACCACATTCCAAAACTAGCCATGAACAACTAGATCATCTATTGGTGCCGGCTTGATTTACCCTTATTTAAACTTGGTGAATTATCATTAGTAGAGAAAGGCGAATCGCCGGTTGTCTCGAGCGATGGACAAGGTATGCATGTCTAACACGCTATGTGCCGTGACGCCCCAGGAACCATATTTTCTGTTCCTGATTTCTTTAAAGAGGCAAACTGTCATTATGATACGAGCTGTCCTTCCCTCCTTTCATAGGCGACGACAATCTAGCTACGATTGACAAATAAATGAATCACTTTCATTAACCTCAAACTTCATAGGAAAAGATTACTTGACCACGATGAGAGTATTCACATCGATTCAACTATTCATTCTTTCTTATTCCCTTTTTTCCAGCCTCGTTTTAGCAAATGAGCCGACGGCTGCTACACAGTTGGAAGATGCTCCGGAGTGTGCTGTGGGTATCCCAGGATCTTCCCAACTCTGGCAATTTGTTAATGGTGGTTTAGCTCAAATGCTTTGCTCAATTGGTAGATGAGCCGGCATTGTCAGAAGGAAACAAAAACATATTATGCCGTAATACAGTGATCAGCAATGAAGCTGCTGGGTGTACGCTCGTCCAATGCAGCATGAGAGATCTATTTGGTAAAGTGGCCTCTTCATCCAAGCTGTCATGATATTGACACTGGCGTGCGAATACATTCCCAGAGCCGGAGCTAACCGCCCATTTGTTTGCCACGAGTAGACTTTCTGAAGATTGAACAAGCAACATGTGGTAGACCCGAACTTGACAATGACCACAAGATCAGGAGCCTTGTGTATACTATCCTCGGCATTGTTGTTGCTTTGGTCGTTTCACGTATTGTAGTCAAAATGCAGCGAACTCAATCATGGGGAGCAGATGACATTACCATCATCGCAGCGGCAGTGAGTTCGCACTCGGTACCTTTGAAGCCAAGTCATGCTAATTGAATCAGATATTCACAGTTCTCCAATGTATCATGATGGGTTTGAGTAGGTCATTCATCCAGTGTTTTACTAAGTAATAAACTGACAAGTGCCGCCGAAGTGACCTTTAAAGGTTTGGGTCATAATGTTTGGCTGTTCAGTGACAATACCATCACGACCTTTTACATCGTACGTTTCTTGAATGAGATCCTGACACCTTCTAACAGACGCAGTATCTCCTCGTCGTCCAATATGCATACGTCTTGAGTCTTTGCCTCGTCAAACTATCAATCCTTTTCTTCTTCCTACGTACCTTCCCAGACCAAACGTTTAGAACCTTGGTCAAGTGGACGATCGGCTTCAATATTCTTACTACGATCATCTTCAGCATATGTGGTGCACTTCAACGACAGCCTGTGTACTTACTATGGGAAGGATGGAAAGATTTCCCACCAAAGGGCACTACATTAAACATACCGGCAATCATATTCTCGCACGCCGCTATTAACATCGCTCTGGACGTCTGGATGTTCGTTCTTCCTTTAACTCAACTGTATCATTTGGGTCTCAAGCCAAAAAAGAAAGCCGGTGTTATGCTTATCTTTGGTGTTGGAATATTGTAAGTGTCTATCTAATCGTATGGGTTACTTCCCTAACAACATTATAGCCTCATAGCAGCCAGTTGTGTTCGCATCCCATACTTGATCGGTTTCAACAGGTCATTGAACTCAACATGTACGTACAAACCTACGAATCAAACACACGTTCTTACATGACTACAGCCGACTCTCAAGGATTCATCGTTTGGTCCAACATTGAGTGTGGTGTAGGCATCCTCGTCGCATGCATGCCGCACATGCAACCCGTCTTCCGCGCCATAGCAGCTCGAGCACGATCGTGGAAGCTGCTGCCAAGTAACTCATGCGGTGGTGACGGCGTGTTTGTCCAAAGAGGGCTTAAGACTATCAAAATCACGAATGCTGGGGGAAACACCATGCGCACTGATGGAACCACGTTGGTTGGTGGCGATGATGTGGAACTTAATGATTCGGGGAGACTATTAACTTTGACAGAAACTTCCAAGTCGGGGAAGCTAAAAGGTAATGATGTTTGTGATGGACGTACCTCGGGTTCAGTAGGGTCGGAAGAGGATGGATATAAAAGATAGCTACTCACGCTAGTTGAAGAAGACAGGTACCAAGAGTAGCCATGGTCATCCTAAGTTTTGACAAGTACAGTACTTCTAGCAAGTGGATAACGTTTGACAAGAGACCGCTGATACGGCTACCTCAACAGTACCGTCAAAATGATCAAGATTATCGAGACAAAACGGCCATTGGACACCATCATATTACTATAGGGTCTTTGAGAGGCATATATTGTGTGCTGTTTCGACATCATACTGGAGACTACTTACGGAAAGCGATTGATCATTTGTCTATTTAGAACTCGGAAACAGTTTGAAAAAACATTTAGCAATTCTGAAAATGCCAATATGTTTTTACGTTCCAACTATAATTACTTGAATAAAGTTTCAGGAATAACCAACCTAAAATGAAGACTTTCCCCAGATCTATGTAATGCAACAATCGCTAAATATCGTTATCTATAAGTCTATACCGAATTTCGATTCAAAGGACCAAGAGTGCTGTGCTGCCAAATGCTTTGCTGACAGTCAGCTGTAGCGGTATAGTTTACGATGTTGAGGCTACAGTTACGCATCTTTGTTTCCACTCCGCAGCGCGTTGAGGTCAATATTGTTTATGTTCAGGGTAGCCACGAAGATCATATCTTAGCCGATCATCCTACGTGCCGGAGCCTGTGTACCCAGGAGACATCCCATTGGCAAGTGCCGGGGCTACACTAGATCGATCAACCCCTCAGCCAGCCACCCGGGAAGATTTGCCGATCTTTACTTGTAACCAGCAAGTGACGGTAACTACCAGCTAGCCGTTCAAGATCTATTGGCCTGTATTCAAAAGCCAATACATGGGTACTGGGGAGCCGGAGCAGATCCGCTACACTGTCTAATACCAATTCGGAAAAGACCTACATTCAAGCATAAGGCTCATCTCTAGTAGCTGAAAGTGGTGTCTCTAGCGTCCGCAAATTAGACAGCATCAAGCTGGAAGAAGAATATGGTCGTGTGCAACTGAGACACTGCAAGGTTACAGGCTATTGCAAGCCTTGACCGCCGCTACTACTAGTAAGGGTCATAGCGAGGGAGACGAGGGGTTGGAATGATGTCAAGTAACAAGAAAATGCCGTGTTCCCTTGGATCTGCAATTGTGGTCGCCTGAATCAAGCTTGGTGGAGCTGGTATTGAGATGGTGCCGGAACGCATCTACATTCTCGGAGACTTAATTGGAAAGTCAGTCAGATTACATACGTACTACGATCTCGCTCAGTGGTCTTCAACTTGGTTAAGCAAGGGTTGAAGGAGACTTGGGTATAAGAAAGAAGCCGGGAACCCACCCGATGGCCACGAACTAAAAGAGATTTTCATGTTGATTAATATTTGAAGCTTGGAAAACACGTCTACTGTGATACAAGTATTACTGCCAACATTTGCGAATGTCACGATGTTGAGTGTCGAGTCAGCTATCGCCGTGGGAGCCCATATTCCCTCCACCAAATATTTTCCAAGTCAGTCCCAATCCCATCGAAATCATAACACGACTAACAGAAGGAAAAGTCATCAATGTCAGACAGGCATACGAATATGATTATATCATCTTTTACAGATGGCTATCACCAGATCTCTATGAACGGGGCAGAGTCATGGCACGTTTGGTCGCCGAGATGATCCAGAAGAGTAGTCGCCGTATATGGCTCGACCAGCATCAAATAATCAGGAGCGCAGAACCCAAAGAGGTGACCAAGAGAATAGCTCAGACCTTCCTTACGGTATCTCAGATCATCATCCTGGCAGCTCCTGGTGACTGGGATCGGTTCTCAAATATGGACGATATCCACCGCTGGGAATGGGAGATGAGCCTGAGAAGTGGTGAGTACATGCTTACGATTACGAGCTCAAAGCTGATTCTGACGACCTCAGACAAGCAAGTCTGGCTTCTCCAATACGGAATGTCAGAAAATGATCAACCACCCTCGAAGGAACAGCTAGCTGCAGGAATGGAGGCCCATTGTCCAAAACTGGCAAAGTTGTTTATGAGCAAGGATGTGCATATACGATCCTTGTCAATGGACAGCATCGACACGGTAGTTAGTGAGATTTCAGAGACGCGGTAGAGGCGGGATGTGCTACCGCTACTATGGTTACGGCTGATCCCGAAGGCCAAGGTTCAGTTGTGGCGTCATTAGTGTTTCCGTGATCGTCGCGGTGTGAATATGGGGTTAAAAGTCAATCGGAAGGGATACGAATATAGTGAGACATTGTCCAAGACAAAACACGTATGTGATGCAGTGTGATGGAGTCAGGTTCACAGCTACATAAACAAGGTTCGATGACCAAATGGTCTACTAATTCACTTATTCGCCTCAACCATATTCTCTCATCTGTCAATCTTCAAAGTAATCATGTCCGTCTCAAACTTAATTTCCAATATTCCAAATCATCACCTTCGTCTTGACGAACCAATCTCAAACAGTGAGAACCTTCCGTCTGTGAAAGATGGTATGTAACAAATATTGCCCGTTGAACCACCCATGCTCACATCAACACTGCAGCTGAGAGTTCTGCGGCGATACAGAAGGCCTTCAGGGCTGGCAAAGAACATGTAGTCGCATGGTCACCACAGGAGGATGCACGTATCGAGCAAGCCATGCAAGACCTTGGGTCCTACCTAACTGACCTTGACCACTCCCTCTCTTATGAAGGAACAGACAAAAAGGTCGTATGGCGAAAGTCTTGCTGGTTCGCCAGTCACGGCATAGGCCACCCATTCTTAGACTCTGAATCGGATATCGCCAAGTTCGATGGAGATCTCAAAGATGGCCTCACCGGTCTCCAAGCTTTGCACGACCCAAGAATTCGCGATTCTATGCATTGTCTCAAGTCTTTCTTGGATAGTGCTTTGGTCGAGACTAGTATGGCTGTTGGTATCGACCCAGACCTCGTGCAGCGATGCACCGTTCGTTACCGAGCTATTAAGTATACGCCTCATGCTGGTGCTCCAGGCGGTATTGGTCTTCACCCAGACGGCAATCTACTGTCGGCACTCATCACTAACGGACCAGGACTCCGTGTCTATGACCTCGACGGCACTGTCCGTTTCCCCGGACACAAGGGCACTATCATGATGGGTGGCTCAACACTGTACCGATGGGCCAACGAATTCCTGCCGACGTTCCACGATGTTGACATCAGTGGTGATGAAGTCAAGGTGTCCATCGTGGCATTCTTTAACTTCCCCGATATGCAAACGATACCAAGGAACATGAGCACTCAAGAAGAGGGATTCTTTCATGACATTCGGCGTATCAAGGAGGATGACAAGCTTCCCCATGGAGAGCTGTCACCTTTGTGGGATATCATCATCAAGAACCATAATTTGTCTTTGCCACCGGTTCGTGAAAGTGGCTGAGACAGAGACTCGATGGGTGACCAGGAATGTATTTAGTTTAATGCAAACCCATGAGGTTCTATTCAGAATGAGCGTCTTCTGAAAATCGCCCTCACCAAACATGAAAATCTTGTATCGGGTAATGAATGTTTGACTAACAGCTCACCACAAATTGAGGCAGTCATATATCCAGTGCCGCTCATACAATGAATTCTAAAAACATCAAAAGTCCTGCTCTCCTCTTTTCCAGTACAAAGACAGTACTTCTTATAGTTTTGCCTTTGTCCTGAGGCTGTTATGTAACAAAGCCGCGATATGCCTTGGTTCTCACAATCCCTCCCGTTGATGTTGACCCGACGGTCCGTTTCATATCGACAGGCTCATTAGTGCCAATTGCCACCAACGACCTTATTTGTTGAGGTTGAAGATATGGTAGTATTGGAATCCTGATCGAGTTGTCTAGCCATAGAAGGAAGCTATGCGATACGGATCGCGTTTAGATAAGCGATAAGATCGACTTCGATTCAATAGTTCCGTGGCTCTTGGCAATCCTCAGGAGCAATCATGAGGCTCTGCTCCCTATTGAAATAAAATAAAACAAGTGCAATATGTGAATTGACTGTACTATTTATTTACCATTTTGCATGCCACTATATCTATCTTATACTGTTGTAAGATATTATTTTCTATTACACGATACGTCGTTGAAGTTATCTACAGTGAGGCTGCCCCGCAAACAATGACAGACAGGCGATCCTGTCAAGTGGTCCTGTCCAGTTGAGTGTTACCTTCTCGATTCGCTCCATAAGACCATAATAAGAAATTCGTCAGCAGAACTTATGTAGTTTATTTTCGTTTAACGTGAACCGGTCTATTCTCGTTTCGTTGAAGGATTTTCTTGGCAAACATAAATCCCACTAGGACTCGCCTCGACCAAGATCAGTGGGCTTAGTCTCGATCAATCCTATTAAGCATCTCTTGTATCCGATACGACGCTGATCGACTAATGACAGGCCCCAAGAACGCGGTAATGGTAGAGCAAATTGAGGGGGCGACGGCTGATGATTGCTTCACCTTCTACTTTGGGGTTAGCGTCTATGTCTCGAAGGAATAGCCCCCATGTTCAGACAGTGCAAAAGTGCCTACTTATCACTGGACCGACTTCCGAAATGGTTACAAGCTGAACCCAAGGGTTTGATGTTTGGGATCTTTTGCTGTTGCTATCAAATGTTAAGTGACGGTTTGGAGATATACTCAACTTGATAGTAGACATTCGTGTATAAAAGCAACACATTTCTCCCGTATTCCATCAACTTCTTCAGCACTCAGACTCAAACTCGAATACAACAGTACAACCAGAACATCCACTTCCATCTTCATCTCCAACCGCCAAAATGAAGTTCGTTCCCATCGCTATCGCCTTCCTCTCCGCCTTCGCCATGGCCAACCCTACTCCCGAGGGCGAGCTTGAGCGTCGCCAGTGTTCCTGCAAGTGGATTGGCGATGAATATCTCTGCATCGGTCCCAAGTGCCCCAGCAAGCGTGATGAGTCCGCGCTTCTCGAGAGAGACGATGCTGCCCTTGAGAAGCGTCAATGCACATGCAAGAAGGTCGGTGATGAGTGGATCTGCACCGGCAAGAAGTGCTACGACAAGCGATCCATGGACCTTGAGCTTGGGAAGCGTCAGTGCTCTTGCAAGAAGGTTGCCGGAGAGTGGATCTGCAGCGGCCGAAAGTGTGGCCGCAGTCTCATGGACGAGACTCACTTGGAGAAGCGTCAGGCTTGGTGCAAGTGCAGGAAGGAGGGTGACGAGTGGGTTTGCAGTGGCACAAAGTGCTAAGTGTTAATATCGAGATGTGACACAACTAGGTGCGTTCATCTATGATCTTTATCATCAACTGTCTGACAGCTTGTATCAGATCAAATACGGCATAGCAGGTCGGGATTACGACTATTGGTATCTGTTGGACGTACCATGTGTATCCATGTGTTGATTTCTGTTTGTTGTTAGCTACCGATATGAAGGAGAATTTGAGAAGATGTTACGAATTCAAATGAACTTTTATCATTGTATCTGATATGACTGTTGAGTTGTTAACTTCTTATATTTTGTCGTCGTTGCGGTGTCTTGCAGTTGGCCATAGAAAGGCTGAGTATATATCAACCCTAAGAAAAGTGAATTCATCTGGACCTACAGATTCCCTCTGCCGGTTTGGACTTTGTACCTGGTTCTTCAAGTTAGAGTACGTACTGCCTAAATCTTCAACATGACCTCATCGGCATCGCAGCTTTGTCATCATGGATGACCTCAGATGAAGATCAGGAGCTCCTTGTACTCCGAAGGTTCAATGAGATAAGCGCTCGGAATCTTCTTTGCCTGCAATGCGAGTTACTGGCACTCGAAAAGGAGCTAAGGAAATGGGACGAGAGGGGTTTTAGTAGTGGTAAAACGTCACTGGAACAAGCTGCAGAGACGTGGGAGATAATGGTTGAGCAGGCTGACAGTGGCACACAAAAGGCAAAGAACATGACGAAACTGGTTAAAAAGCTAAGGCTGAAGATGAAGGAGTATTGTAAGGAAGTCTTGAGAATTGAAGGAGAACTCTGCTAACGTAAGGAACAGACGAGGCTTTGGACCTTCAGAGCAGGATAGACCGACTACAACATACCAACAGGCGAGCTTTGGAGGTAGCTCGCAATAAGCTCGACGGAGGACCTGCGAAAGAGGACGGCAGCAAGCCAAACCCGATCTTGGGTGGGGAGGCCAAGACTTATCTGGATGATGAGGGGGATTTGGTCTCCCTTGGAGCACCGAAGGAGACGGATATGCTTTTTAAGACACTCCGAGCCTACTGGCCAGAAACGGTAAGCAGATATCCTTTATACAGTGCATCGGAAGCCTAACTTGACTTATTAGGAAGAAGTTTCGAGGAATGGCATCCGTCGGATTAGCCGTTTTGAGGAGCGGTCGATCACGATAGCGGTAGCGATCATCAACATCGTCGTTGCAATTATCCTCCTCGTGGGATCAATAACTAGTCTCTACTTCGTGAGCTCGCCGGCCGCAATACTAGGCATGATCAGCGCTTTTACCGTTGCTTTCGCGCTGAGTGTGGGGTTAATGACTAATGCGAAGAGGGCTGAGATCTTTGCAGGGAGCGCAGCGTGAGTCTGTCTCAAGAAACTGAAGTTAGGATGGCTAACTTTTGTAGATTTGCTGCTGTACTAGTAGTATTTGTGAGCAGTGGAGACTTGTCGGGGAATTGCTGTCAGGAGAAGTGAAGTGGAAGCAGAGTCAGTCTCTGCGCCAAAACGACCTCTTAACTATGAAATCAAATTGATGGGCCCTTGAGGCAAAAACAGTTCTAATGCAATCGTACATGAAGTAGTTTACCCCAAGAGTGTCGTTCCATCTCCTGAAATTGAACTTGATTGAGTGTAAACTAAGCAAAGCACATAATGATCATATTAGACGCTGATAATGTAATCTCCGTAGGGCTCGCCATCCAGCTCTGATAGGCCCTTGCGGATTCGAACTTCCCTCAAGGTTCAAGCTCACAACACAAACAGATTCATGTCTCTTCAGCATGCTTTATCCGAGTTCAGACCCACTCTTTGATGTGTTATCTCTCGCAATACGGTGATAGGAGCTAATCCGTTGCCGATCCGGCACCGACTGGAGATATCCATCATTATCACCGACAATAATATCCGATCATGCTAAATCCTCAAACAAACCAAGAAATCAAGTCGGAATTCGAATGAATTCATTAATGTATCGTGAAGTATAAAGCCAGATCGTAGCGCTGTTTGATTAGATTCTGTTCGAAATCACTCAAACACAACATCATTCTCAAATTAAACACATCATCATCAACTTCCAAGTCAATATGACAACCACCGCCACTACCGATGCTTCTTCCCCATACGCCTACCAGCCTTCAGAGACGGCTCTGCTTCTGCTAGACTGGTACTCTCTATTTGTAGAGAGAGCTGCTGTTCCCAACGCTGCCGCTGCCAGAGACGTCACAGTCCAACTCCGAAAATGGGCTAAATCTCAGGGCATCACAGTCATCCACTGTCTCATCGATGCCAACAGCACTCTTATCCCCGTCATCAAAGACGTAGAGCGTATCCAAGGTCTTCTAGAGATCATGAAGACTTTGACAAACCCTGAACCAACTGAGCTGCAAGACGAGTCCGAAGTATATTTTCAACGAGACCCTGCGCACATTTCGGCTCTTAAGTCGCCTGGCCTACTGGAGCATTTGAAGGAGAACGGAATTAAATCCCTTGTTCTCACAGGATTAACCACTTCAGGATGTGTACTGAGAACAGCAATCACAGCAACTGATGCTGAGTTCGCAACGACGGTGATTAGCGATGCTTGCGCGGATGCGGATGAAGAACGTCACAGAGTCATATTGGACAAGATTGTGCCAATGAGGGGTCATGTCCAAAGCCGTGCCGACTTCCAACACAATTTTGAAGTGTCTGCCAAGGCTTCAGCATTGGGAGCCTCGGGCACTTACACGCTGTAATAGACGGCCAGCGATCTATGAGAATAGGGTGCATTGATAGCTACATAGGTAGAAAGTGAATGGAAAAGAGAAAAGCCGCATCAGTTGAGAATCTTTTGTCTATATTTAATTGGAGACAGTTCCTCAACTTCCATACAATATATCAATTTCGTGAATTGCTCTGATCTGTAAAAACAACAACACTGTTATTAGAAACCACTCAGACATCTCCTCATGCTTTCTCCACCTCAGTCACTTCCCACAAACTGCTTGACAGCTTCATCCAAATCAACCGAGTAAAGCCAGTTCACATCAAAAGGCTTTGTCTCAACCTCGACACCGTCCACCTTTGGCATCCTCCTCTTGTTAATCTCATTGTTCAACTCAATGATCCTATCAACACGCTCTTGTCTTCCCTTCTGCCAACGATCCAAAGTGTTACTCAAACCCTTGCCAGTATTCTGTTTGAATTGACCCAGAACACCAGCGAAAGTATAAACATCTTCGAAAGCTTGGTTGACGCCTTGTCCAGCAGTGGGAGGAAGAGCATGGGCTGCATCTCCAAGAATAGCCACACGACCGTGCTTATCGCTAGAGGCCCACTTGTCCAGCTTGGGGAGAAGGTAGAATGGCCAGAGATTAACCCTCTCGGGTGAGATGTGAGACGTCGCGTTGGAGACGATGGGAGGGTAGTCTTCTTTTCCTTCGCGGAGAAAGTCAACACACCATGTCTTGTCAGAATTCATTGCTTTCCAAGCATCACGGCCTGGATCTTCTCCAACGAATACTTTTTGCTTGCCAATTAGAACTTCCGAACCATCAGCTAACTGAGGTGCGATGACGAAAGCGCCGCGCTTGTCGTGCATAAAGGTAGCAGGGAGTTTGTAGTCGCCTTCTTCAAGCTTGAGTTGACTTGTTGGAACAGCAGCTGTGACGCCGATCATGTTTGTAAACTTGGGTGTGAGATCAGGGTAGAAATATGATCGTACACGAGAGTGAATACCATCAGCACCAATGAGAAGATCAGCTGTCTCTTCTGAGCCATCAGTAAAGCGCCAAGTAACACTCTGCTCAGTCTCGTTGACAATTTGGTCAAACTTTCTTCCATATTCAACGTTGATTCCTGCTTCGCGGACAAGGTCAAGGAGGATTTTGATAAGTTCGAAACGGTAGACACGAATACCGGTGTACCCGTACTTTTCCTCGTTTCCAAAAACAAAGACGTCGACGAGCTTGTCATCCTGAGATAGAAAGTATAGTTCGTTGAACTTGTAGCTGCGAGGAAGCATGCGCTTGAAGACACCGAGTTTGTCTAGAGCGCGGAGAGAATTCGGGGAGAGCATAATTGCGCCTCCGATATCGAGGGGAGCACTTTGTTGTTCGTAGGCTATGCTTTCGATACCCTGTTGGTGCAGTGCCAGAGCCAGGGCAAGGCCTGAGAGGCCAGCTCCGATAATGGCAACTTTGGGAGATGACATTGCAATGGTGAATTAAGGTGGGTTAAATGATGATGAAGTTTTGATCAATAAAGTAGATTTAATTATACAAGTTGGGATAAGTTGATGATGAGAGAGGTATAGGTGTACGGTAGATGTTTGTGCTGTGGATGCGTTTTATAACAGATCCTCACTTCCCTAAGCCGCCTATATATATTTGCTCGTAAGACAACTCAAATCCTTCCAATCTACCGTTAATCAATGAGAATACTTCGGTCTTTTGCTCAGCCATCGGTCTTTTTGCAAAAATCCCTCCATCTTACATGATCAATTGCGAGGTTTGCAACCAAGAATGCCGTTCGAATCCGACCTAGCCAATCATCTCCTCAAAATATCGGCCGAGTCACTCCCTCCGGCCGGTACAGTCGTCTCTCGGCCGATATGAGATAACACTGCCTCTCATAGGATTGGCTAAACCTGCATTGCGGGTCTAGAAGAGTCCATTCTCTTGCAATTTTGCCCAAGTTACCTATGCTAGTGCTGATTTCTCAGCCCCAGCGTGATTACTCATGGCTATGCCACCCATCCGGCCGAAATATCGGGACCGGTAGTATCGGCCGATACCTTGGGACAGAATAAAGAGGAGGTTTGCTATAAAGACAACCACCATAAGTCCAAATGTTTTCCTCTCTATCAATCCATTCTCACACATTTACACTTCAATCAACACTTTAAAAATTCCAACATTTTCTATTTTACAATATCACCCAGAAATTTCAACCTTCCATAACTTTACTACTACAATGCATTTCCTCGTCATTGGCGCAACAGGCCGAAATGGCTCTTTGGCTGTTCAAGAAGCCCTCTCTCGAGGACACACAGTTACCGCCCTCGTCCGCAACACAACAACCGCCAAACTTCCCTCTCACTCAAATCTCACTCTTATTCAGGGCATCCCAACTTCAGAGTCAGATATTACCAAGGCCCTCACAACTCCTCAACCACCTCAGGTTGTCATCACAGCGCTTGCACAAGTCCGTGTCACCGAATCGCCTTTCGCTGCACTGCGCCCTGACACCACGCCTGATTTCATGGCTATCAGCATGACTGCTCTCATCGCAGCCATCAACAAAGCTGAACTACTCACTAAGCCTAAGATTGTCGTCAACTCAGCTCAGGGCGCTGGCTCTTCATGGCGCTCGATGAACCTTCCTGGAAAGATGTTGTTTAGCCATGGGAGCATGGGAGTTGGTCTCAAGGATCACAACGAAGTCGATCGTCTTGTCAGAAAGAGTGGTTTCGTCTTTGTTCTTTCACGACCGGTCATGCTCGCAGAGGGTGAGGCTCGACCAGTCAAGGTTTGGCCTGATGATGGAAAGGGCTGTGCATGGATGCCCAAGATTACAAGGGAGAGTTTAGGAAAGTGGCTCGTTGACGCAGCCGAGAGCAGCGAGTGGGATGGAAAAGCACCTGTACTTAGCAACTAGATATGACGTGTAGGGATATAATGGTATTGGGATGAAATTTATACACATAGAAAGCACAAATCTAGCTACTCGAATTGAAGTTTCTGTCTACCAACTCCGCTTAAATCACACAAGATTGCCGTAAAAGCTAGGTATGAAATTGATGTTCACCATGACTCCCCTAAAAACAGTCGATTCTGTTGTAAGGAGGGCCCTGCCATTGACAATCTAGACACATTTATTAGTAATCATAATAAGATAGTAGTAGAACTTTTACTCACGTCCATTAGCGATACCTCCTTGGGCATTGGTCCAGTACTATAATAGCGGTCAGAAAACAAGATATGATGAGAATATGTATATCACTCACAGCACATGCTGTACCCTGCTCGCGGGTATCTTCGGTGTTCCTCCATGTGCACGACTCATGGGCAGTCCCTAGAAATGTTAGTTTTTGTTATGAATAAGTTTGATTCTACACATACAGCCAGTTCGGTATAGGTAGTGATATTCGTTGTTGGCAACCCAAGTTCCGTCGCCAGACTGGGCCCAGGCGCTAGTACCAACAGCAAGAGACAAGGCAGTGGCCAGGACCGAAAGGGTAGAGGGGAAGTGCATCTTGAATAGAAGTTTGTAATGAGTTGAATAAAGGTTGAGATTGTAGGCAATGAAGATGAATGTGTTTGACATATGGAGAAGAGAATGTTGCTTATTTATATTTTTCACTGAACTTCAGTGGCAAGGAGAATAAAACCCACAACAGTTAGACTCATCTTGAAGTGTGAGTTATCAACATGCTTAAACAGATGTATTCCGGCATACCTCCTTCAAGGATTCTTCACGTTTTTTACGAGGGTTTACTATTCGTTTTTGCTAGACGTACTTGTGCAAATCGGAAGGATTCGAAATAACTCGACAGGGAGCCACAATTCACGTAATCAGCGCTTATTGGTTCGACAATGCTACCCTTTTCCACATAATATACTGACATCCGAGATTAATTTGAGCTAACACTAAGCCCATTAAACATACAACGCAGAGAAACAAAAGAGCCGAGGAGAAAAACGTCTAGCTAAACTAGATGTATCGATTTTCCCGTCGGGTAGGATCCAGCATCCCTGCACTTACATGCGCCACAATAGATTTCTCGTAAGCACGGTATTTTTAATTGGCCCGGAACATATGTACCTTGCATTGTGCACTGCCCTGTTCAACCTTACAAGACCTAACGATTCAATTGACTAGTCCAAGCCTCGGAAGGATTCTAAACCCTACAGCCGTTTATTAACTTGGTATCTTGAACTAGGAAGTCAGAGTCTAGATTTTGGAAAGGTGACATTCATCGCCACAGTCATTAGAATTATACCTGGCAAATATTTCGTCTAGCAAAGGTGTTTGGTGTAACGTCACGTCTGATGTAGGAAAAATCCCTCTCGCCTGCTTGTTACAACAAGCAGCTGTACTTAGCAACTAGAAATCACATGTGGGATATGATAAGTTTCGGATAGCTGTTATGCAGATAAAAACCACAATTTTCGCTACCTAGAGACTTTCCGTCTATCAAGCCCGTTCAAAGGACGGAAATCGAACAAAACAAAAACAAAAACGCCTGCCCAGTACCAAAATTCCATGAAAACTCCAAAATTCTGATCGTAACCTGCTGTTCCTTGGCTCGTAGAGTCAGGGTTTACCGAGTCAGAGTTTGCAGTCTCAATGAAATCGAGGTTCTTCATGATGATGTGACGAAGCGCCAAGACTTTATGTTCCCACGGGCCCATACCCCTAGACTTGTAGGCTGTGTCGCCCCCAATGGTGAGGTTGGAGTGGTCGATGTAGACGTGTATGGGGTCCCCAAGGGACAAGTTTGGATGTCCAGCCGACATTGTGACGGTTGATTGGGCAGCGACTTCTCTCTCTGCTCGGGCTGTTGATCTGAGATAATACAACATGGCGTGTGTTTGTAGATGGCGTTTCTGAATTGGATGAGATCAGATGGAAGAGGGGGAATATGCTGGATCTATATACTCATCAATTGACAAGGGTATATTTTGGCTGGGTCCAGGATCTCATTGGTGTTGAAAGGGTTCTATGTCCTGTATAAATTAGCTATCAACAGTTCCATAAATCCTTTGCTGGTTTCAGACGATATACAATGGACATTTAAAGACAATGCCTTTAGTAGTCTTTGTACATGCATCTCCTGACCCCTGTCTCGGAAGTCACAGCAATGGCTTTCACTTTCACTCTCTGGGACAACAAAGAGTATCACGTCAGATTGAATAACGCTGATGAACTCTGTCGATGATAGTTATTACAGAAAGAACAGTTGTGTTTCGGGGTTTTGCCATGCAGCCGCAGAAATTACCAAGTTGAACGACCATGTATCATCCATCGCAAAAGAATAACTTCATAGTGCTGACGAATTCACTAGACTATTTATTACACTAGAATAACGTCAGTTCTCCAGTCCTCTAAGTAACGAGAGTCTAAACATTCAAATCCTACTCCCATGTCCTTGTCTGAGATGCTTAACATCCCAATCCGCTGATACATATTATCGCCATCCATCCAAGAGCATTTTACTACAATTCCTTTTAGAATGACCATGTCGACATAGTGATTGCGCGCCTCCAGCAGGAACAACAGATATGACTCTTTGAAATAGACAAGTTCAGATTCAGAATAGTCAAAGGAAATGTAAAGTTCATTTCCCGGCCATATGGTGGAGAGTACGAATGATGTCCAGTGCGAATTGTACTGTTCGGCATCCCTTTCAGCCGTGAGCGGTACCAGAGGTGCCGAGAAATGGATCTGTCGGTTTACAATTTTCTTGAAGTCTTGTATCTTGTTGTCTGTTGGGAATCCGCCAATCCATTTCATCCACGAAGTTTCGTTGTTGTGGTGACCGTGTGAAATTTCAACAACTCCCTTAGCTGAGACCCAGGACCAACTGGGGAAGTCATCAGTCTTGGATCGCTGTTCTCTTTCGCTTTAGAATTCCCAAAGCAGCCCATTCAGATCTTGACACTCGAATATTCCTGCAAAGTACCGCACTTCATGACGACACGATAGATATGTTGCAATTCCGTGGATAGCAGCTAGTTGATCTCCACTCTTTGTGAAGTTCATTTGGCTGTAGCAATGCATGAGGTCGCTCCAGTGTTTGCCGAGGGCCTCCTCTTTCGTTGAATCAAGCATCTGCCAGATATTTGTTGGTATGTAAAAGAGGCTTACCCGTAAAGGACAGTCGTTAGTCCATCTAAGCGTCATAGAGCTATAGATAGATTCTGGAAGTTCATCGTGCTAGACCTTCTGGCATTCCCAAAAGAATCCTTTCTTACACTGCCAGATCAAGCCATTATTGGTCCAGTGCAGTATCTGAGGAGATAAAATCCATTCTTGAAGACACCAGCCGCGCTTGAGCAGCGGAACTGTAAAGTACCTCCGGGAATAATGTGGACATACAATTGTCTTGCCATCGGGGTAACACCATTCTTTGAAAGGAAACTTGGCCACTGGTCTTTCGACGAGTATTCCTTCTTAGCTATCCTCTGCAATTGACGCTGCGATACACAAGTAGGCATTAAAATAGTAATCTGCCAATCTTCCGTGTCACTGTGGTTGTCTGGTTGGATAATACACACTGCGTCCACCCAAAGGTATCGAACTTTTAGGCGTCTAGTAATTTTAATGGCGTCTTGTATAGTCTTTGGTAGTTCTTGCATAGTAATTTGCTTCGTTCTTTGTTGCAAATTTCTTCGTGTTGTACGCGCACTTCGGTTCCCTTCACCCCAGCAATAGCTCAATATCAAGTACAGAGGGTTCATACTGCCACTCGGATACTCTTTCCGACATTCGATGAGTCAGAGGATGTTTTCATCTTGGGTACCAACATCTATCAGTCGAGTTGGTAAGGCCAATGTGCTAGATTTGCACGAGTCTAGCGATGCGCATTTCTCATGCTTCCCGGACATGGTACAGACCATCAGCCATTGATTGATGTTCTCGAAAAGCACTCGCAAGTCGTCCTCCAGTGTATCTGATGCTAGTCCTATAGGTTCCAGTCAGTATGGGCTCATCAGCAATGCCATTATTTCTTAGGTGTACTATACGTTGCACCACACTTGGAACTTTATTTTCCGTCGACACTAGGTCAATATCCTCCATTTCGAATTGAATGGGTCTTCTGCCATCAGGCATTCCATCCATCCCAAGCGTAATAATTCCAAGTCTCGTAATACTCCAATGCATGGGCTCGTATTTTGCCAAATTTATACCATCATAGATAAGCATAACCCAGACGTTCTGACACATCGGATATCCCTTGTCGCTTGAACTCTCTATTTCAGCAAATTTCTTGTGATACTCAAAAAAAAATTTATGTTATCGTCTATAGAACTGTATGTATCCCAAGGTATCCCCCGGCACTTGTCGCACAGGAACCTCTCGACGAGGGGAAGTTGGGAAGAAGCAAGAGACATTGAAAGTCGTAATTGTCATTTAACGCGCCGGAATACATAAGATTGAGGACTATACGAAAGGTGAGAGACATTGAGGGAAATAAAAGCACTCTCGCTGTAACACAGCCTCAAACCCATCACAATGTCACCCTGTATATTTACCCCACCCTACATGCTTGGTCGCGGTGTATGGATGCCTTCCAAGCGGGTCGGGACGCAAGGCAGAATTATGGACAATATTCATGCAATCATAGTTGCCATCGCCTAATGATGGGGAAACGTGAATGGTATTCCAAGTTGTGTTGGCATTCGAAACACCTGCGTACTTTAGAATGTGCTAATCTAATACTTTTTCACGCACTAAATCAACTTCAGCGCAATGGAAAGAACATCCAATACTGTTTACATGCTGGAAAGGACAAGGAATACATTCCATGCCAAGTGACTCGAACCATTCCATTGTCACCAAGTCACTAGCCTCAACCACCACTTCTTTTTCCATCCAACACCAAGCTGTATATAATTCCCTTAGTTCAATACCAGGAATGTACTTCTAAGTGTAGTTGTTTGACCTTATAATACTGGCTTCTATAAATAGGAAACAGGGTTAAGTAGTGTAAATGAGTCCGAAATTAGCCTATCCGATATCGAATCGAACGGGAGAACTTTATACAGCACCCATAATCGTTGCGCTGATAAGTTCAAAGCCAGTTGGATCATCTTCGCCGGTGATGCTACCTATTATTCGCCTCACGGGTGGCTATGGCAACGACAGTTACCCTGGACATTGACCTAGCTGACCAGCAGGTACATCAAGCGATTGTGTGGGGGAGAGATTGTTCACAAGTATGTTTAAATCAGGTCTCCCATCTTTCTCTAACACGTGGATCCAATATCAATGAGAACGTGGAATCGGGTAGTAACTCCATATACTCTTGGAGGTTTCAAAGACAAAACTGGGCTGACCCTTAGTAAGACACTCATATCCCCAGATCATCGAACTCAATAAAGGGTTACAAATTCATATTTTACTACTTAGAAGGAGAAGCGCAGTGATAGTAATTTTTCATTGAGTCTCTTGAATGCGGTGAGAACTCAGTTTAAATAAAGGTGTCGACCGTTAGGCATTTGCGTTCTCTGAATCAGGAGCTTCCTGCAACCCCCCTGGTTTTCTACGGCTAGTGTTAATTTCGTCTGTCATACTCCTAGCGGCCAATTTACATGCTGCCCTAACGCACATGTACGGCTGAGAGTGGTCCTGCCCGCTGGGGGTATCCCGCGTCTCATCCATATAACATACGACACATACAGGATCAGCGCTGCAAACCATAGGATAAGAAGAGGTAAAACTTTTACACAGCCCTGAGATAAGAGAAACGTGGAGCGCTTGTGGCTGGGAAACCGGCCTGATAGGCACGCTTGGGCCTTTGCACCTGGTCGCGTGCATGTCCTGAAACATATAATGGCCATGTCCCTTGTAAATGTCGAACCAACATGCATGAGCCCAACCAACAAGGTACTTTGCAATGCCATGGAGAATAGCATAAATAATTTATTCGATAAGAACTCCCTCGTTCAGCATATTGCATCCCGTGTCTACTTCGCAAAACAACAACCGACTCACTTTTCCCTCTGTACCTTATACTGGATTCCATCATGGCAAACAGCTCGTCAAACCCGCTGCCAACTCTTTTCCAAGACTTATCACTAGGAGAGAGTGAGATAACTTCTAGTCAGAGTGATACTCCTGGGAGAAAAACTGATTTCTCGTTTTCCTCACCACAAACCTACTTGCATTCTTCGCGCTCACCTAATGGCTCGTTCGTCTTTGGTTAGGAGTCCTCGAAACGAAGCACTAGCTCAAGTGGGATATTCCAATTCGGCAGCACATATGGCATTCCTCCATCCTCTAGTGCGATAGCTGGTGTTGAGTCATTTTCGTTTCAGTCACTCTCGTTACCCCCACAGTCTCAAACATCAACCCCGACTTCTCAACTACAGTCACCGTTCACACCAGTTACCATCGCTCGACCTAAATTATCTGAAGCATTGAGTCAAAGTAACAACACAACAACTTCTTCGTCGTTTCTTTCACCATCGACCCCACACAGCAAGACTCGGCCTTCATCCTCTGTTTCGCCAAGTTCAGACACGCCAAGCTCTAGTCATGTAGCGTCGCCAATTCCTGAGCCACCAGCTCCCATGATTCCCTACGATGCTAGAACAGAGGTAGCACCTGCTCATGCTCTTTTCACGGATACTTTCCAAAATGCACTACTTCAAGGCTCTAAAACAGCTCAGAAGGTCGTGAGGGCTATTGAGAAAATGCAAGCCGGCGCCTCAAGAGAGTCGAACTCGGAGGTTGGAAACTTCCTCAATGATTCAAAGAGTCTACGACACTTTCAGGGCACTGACACACGCACAATTGCTGTTCTTGGGGACTCGGGTGAAGGTATGGTCTTGCTGAATTCTGCGCCTTGTTTTTAAATGTGCACTAATTATCCGTGTAGGAAAAAGCAGTCTTATCAATTCATTACTTCACTTCCCAGGAGTTGCTCAAACGGTATGTCGTTTTCATCGTGCCACAAGATAGGAAAAATGATATAAATATTGCATTCATGACAGGGCGATATTGGGTCCGCATGTACCTCCGTCGTGACCGAATATCGACAGAAGAAGGCAGAGCACACTGAACCAATCACTATTGACGTCGAGTATCTCTCGACACCAGAGATCCGAGAACTCATCAAGGAACTTCTTTGGAGCTACAGGCAATTGTTCCTTCCAGGCGTTGAGTCCGATAAAACTTCGGAGCAGGATTACAACAACTACATGAGAGAATCCGAACAAGCATGGTCTGCACTGCATGCTGCGTTCAAACACAAACGACAGTTCACCCAAAGAATGGCGCAAGATATGTCTGAAGGTGCTCTGGAAAGGATCACTGATCAGCTGATCAAGTGGACAGAGGAGATTGAGTGGCCTGCAGGCGGCGTTGATGGGTTTTGGACATCCACTGCACAAACGGCTGATGAATGTGTAGAGCAGACAAAGTTCTTCATGCAAGACAAGTTCTGGCCGTTCACCAAGATTATCCGGTAAGAGAACGTTTCCCACTTTCACAAAACATTACTTATACATTGACAATCTAGTGTGTACCTTGACTCCCAAGTCCTTAAGACAGGAGTTGTCCTTTCGGACTTACCAGGTAAGTCTAACGAATGTTATCTATTTGAAACATTTATCAACAGATAGCCTTTCTGCAGGTCTCCAAGACACAAACCTGGCAAGGGTTAGAGCGACACAGGATTATCTCATCAAATGTGACACAATCTTAATTGTGGCCAAGATATCCCGTGCCATCACAGACCAATCGCTCAAGTCTTCGCTATTTTATGTTCTCTCTCGCCATATGCCCATGGAATGGGAACATTCCGGCACACAAAAGCTCAATGTTTCTGTTGTGTGCACCAAGTCAGATGTATGATATTTGGTGTGATGTTCTATTTATCCATTGCTCATAATGTCAACAGGAAATTGATCTTCACACAGCAAGGCTCGAGTTCTGTGGCCCAAACAACAGTATTCCTACCGAAATCATGACTCAGCTAGACAGTGAGATAACCAACGCAAAGCAGTCTAACGACAGAGCAAGAAAGAAGGTTGCCAAGAAGCAGTAAGTCAGACCTCAATCCAAGTTGAGGAGATTGATCTGACATTGGTATAGACAAGAGCTTCTCCTTGTCCAAGCGCGGAACAGACATGTCCAGACAAATCTACGAAATGTCTACTCATCAGAGATGAACGGTGGAAACCTTGAAGTTTTCTGTGTGTCTAACAAGTGGTATGAGAAGTATTGCCCAAAAGGAAACGCCAGGTTTGTAGAAGCCAGCGGGATCCCAGACCTTCGTCGTTTCTGTCACACTGTGACTGCAGATGCTCAATTCAATGAAGCGAACCACTTCCTTAAGTCCAGGCTATCTAGTCTGCTCAATACGATTGACTTGTGGGCCAGTAGCTGGATTCAAAAGCAGGATGATGTTGAAGAGTTGGACGACTCTGTACATACAAACGTCACCCAGCTCATAGATCAGGTAAATCTTCACTCTACCCCTCTCTAGACAATGCTAAGCAATCACACAGGTACCTAGTATCGTAAAGACATTCCAAAAGGACTTTAAAACCTGCTTCCAAGAACAGATAATGACCTTTTTCGGTATATGCCAAGTCTATGATGGATCTGTGGAGAATTACACTGTACTAATACAATTGCATCACAGGTCAGAGAGACCAGCACTGGGATCAGGCTGCAAGTCGACAAGGCTCGGAATGGACAACTGTAAGTAGCCGACTATCTCCTCAGAAGTAGAACCAGGAAGACTGACAATGTTTACCAGTGGCACTGGAGTAAGAATCCACAAACTAAATGATTTCTGACACTAACGATGTATAGCTCAATACAACGCATGGTGTCTAAGAAATGGTGACCATCAGACCCCGAAACGCGGACACGAGAATTGGAACGCCAAAATTATCTGGAAAATGCGTATGGAACTTGAAGGTCAATGGGACCTCGTCGAAGAAGAAGTGCCAGAAGCTTTCGCAGCCATTTCTAATCGTGTCAATGACCTTTTGAACTCGTTCAAGATCAGTTTGCATGGTAGGCTTGAACTATGGAGAGTATTTGGGACTGGCTGACTTAACTTCTTCGACAGATTTACTCCCTCGACGGCTTTCGGACGTCATTATCCAAACTGTTGACTTGCAGATTGGAAATCTCGAGTACAAGATGAGCAGAGAGGAAAGGAAGTTCCTGACGGAACTAAGGTAGGGCTAGTCACTTGTTTTCGCCCGACATCTGTCTAATGTAACAATTCTATTACAAAATGCTAATATATTTAAAGAGCTATACGCAGATACGCTTCCGAGTCGAATTACAACTCATACATACTGCAAGATATGGTCCCTGTGTATCGATCTGCCGCTAGTCAATCCGGTAAGTACACTTCTTCCCCTATCCTTTGTCAATTGCAATCGGCTAAACTGAAACAGGTACGGGTAAAGCGGCGCGTCAAAGGTCTATAGTTCAAGGGCACATTGAACAAGGAGTCATCTTTCCGAAAATGGGCATCACCATGGCCGAAAGTATGGAATCGCTGATCAAAACAACATCAACAAAACTCAAGGTGATACTCAAAGGTGTTATGGCTACAGTCAAGACGGATGTAGACATCGCATTGAGATCCCACTCCAGGTCAAGAGTAACTCTTGACAAGGTGAGACAAGAGAGAATGAGAGAATTTGCAGACGAGATTAAGTGTTTGACGGAGGGACATAAACTACTGCTACAGAGTGTTGAGGCAATTTGACCTATAGTACTTTATTTGCAATAATGTTCCAAGTCTATCTCCCAATAGCCTAAAAGAGAAGGGTGCATGGTAGACTACGTGGGCAGTGCAAATTATATTGTACCGATGTATCCAATAGAATGTGGACAAGTCACTGTCAAAAACGCCCAGGTCAGGCTGTGCAGAGCGCATGGATAGAAACGCTTACTGTCTTAATTAATTATATTCGCCGCGCTGCCCATGCTAAGCTGTGTATCTCAATAAATTAGAATACCCTTCTCAAGATGGATCCGATATCTGCTGTGGGTATTGCGAGTGCCGCTGTTCAATTCATCACTTTTGCTACGCAGTTCATCTCTACCACGACTAAATTCTACAATTCTTCGTGTGAATCACAAGATTTTGTCTCAAACCTCAATACAACCCAGTTGCAGGCCGACAAGTTTTACCAAATCCTAAATACGGCTTTCCAGGAGGTATCCAAACAATTGACATCTGGCGACAGTGTTTTTCGTGACACCCCGACACTTGACCATACTGCAGTTCAGGTTTCCAATACATATGGTTATAGTAAGCAATTGGAGCAAGAAGCAGACAATGGTACTCGGGAATTGCATCGCGTTTATAGCGTCCTGCAAGATGTTCTCCAAGAGTGCCAAATAGAGTCTTTTCATATTCTGAAGGCGACAAAAGAAATGAATGGGAAAGACACGAAAGGATCTATACGCAAGAGCATCAAGGCCACATTGAAGGTTTATGCCGGGGAAAAGAAAGTCAGAGGCGCAGAGGAGAAGCTCCAGAGGTTACAGGGACAATTAACAACAGCCATAACTACCATTTCACAGTATGAAATTACCCCACCATGTATATCGATGCACATTTACTTATTGATTGTAGTATTTACAACGTTCAACACACCCGTACGCTAGCCGCTCTCCGCAGAGAAAGCTTAATGATAGGCGCCCAGCATTCTCAACAGCTATCAGAGCTGCAAAAAACACTTGAAAGCTTCATCAAGGACCGAAAACCACTCCAGAATAGCGATATTTCTGCCGAACTAAACTTGCTTCAGAACAGGATGGGTCAGTTTTCAATCACTGAGTCAAGGGTCGGGACAGAGCTTGATATTATTCAATCCTTATATTTTGATATGAGGGATCATCGGCACACGGCAATACCCGAGGCTCACCAACAGACCTTCCAATGGGTATTTACACCGCCTGGACACCAGACTGAATGTAAGAACAAAACCAAACAAGAGGCTGAGGCCAAGCTGCTTCACTGGCTTGAGCATGGGGACAGTATCTTCTGGGTTACTGGCAAACCTGGATCAGGCAAGTCAACATTTATGAAGTTTATCGCCAACCACGACAAGACAAAGGAGGTTCTATCGAGATGGTCTCATCCAGATCGACCGATTATTTCTAGCTGCTACTTCCGGAGTTCTGGCACAGAGATGCAAAGATCCCTAATAGGACTTCTACGGACTCTACTTCACGACATCTTTCGATCCCGCCCTGAATTGATCCGGACCGCTTGTCCTTCCCGTTGGGCCGCTGAGACCTCACAAAAAGACGAATGGACGACAAAAGAGCTCCACGAGATCTTAGCTCGCATATCCAAGCAGCGTGAAGCCCCTTACAAAATTTGTTTTTTCATTGACGGTCTCGATAAGTTCAATGGAGACCTTTATGAGTTCTGCGAAAATCTCAAAGAGATTGCTAAGTGCAACATCAAGATCTGTCTGTCAAGCAGACCGTGGAATGTATTCGAGGACGCGTTTGGTGCAGGGAGTATACCACGAATCACTATGCATGAAATGACATGGCATGACATTCTACAATACACAAGAGATCGTTTGTGTACTCACTCCCGTTGGAAAGCCCTCACATCAAAGTCAAAAATGGCGACGTCTTTCGCGGAAGAAATTACCAAAAGGGCCAAGGGCGTTTTCCTCTGGGTCGTTCTAGTCACCAAGGAATTGCGTGAAGGGCTAACAGAGGGCGATCGCTTCACTGACCTGGAGAGGAAACTATCGAGCTTTCCTCGTGAGCTGGAGCCATTCTTTAAACAGATCCTGGACTCGGTAAGTCCTTGTTATCACGAGCATATGGCTCGAATGCTCAAGGTGGCTCTATACGCCACGCAACCCATGGACATCATGATCTACTACTTTGTGGACACTGAGTATGACGAGGAAGATTATTGGCAAAGTCTTTTGCCGATCGAGCAGTCTTCAGAGTGGTTTCATGATATGGCGAGTGACACGATTCGTCGTATTAACGGTCACTGTCGAGGATTGCTCGAAGTGCAGCTGGGACAGGTTGCGTTTCTTCATAGAACGGTTGCAGACTTCCTCGCTACTGCTGAAATGTCAAAACTCCTTGAGAAAGCGCATTCAAAGACGTTCAGTCCTGGTATGTTAATCTTGAAAGCCCATGTCGGTTGGCTCAAATCATCTGGCCTCTCGAACGGAGCTTTCACGCTATATCATGGGGCTAAAGGACAATATGGCACGGTAACAAAGGAAGACTTCCAACATACTCACCTCTTCGTGAAGATACGTGAAGCCATGAAGCAAGCCTTAGTCCTTGATCAGGACCCAGAAGTTCCGAAGGTCAAGTTGGATGCACTAGTAGACGAGATGGACTCTATTATGAACGATATGGCTACAACGGTCGATGCAAGGTTCACTGAAGGCTTCCCCGATGTTTACAAATACACTTACAGGCTGTGCCGTATACTTGCTTTACAGTTGCCACTCATGGGATATCTCTCCCGTAAGTTGAAAAGTATACCCAGCTTTCTTTGGATATTTGACCAGTCGCCCATTTCAGTGGTGCTATCAGACCCTTTCAATTCAGATGCAACATGGCCGGTCGCGAGCTACGAAAAGTTGAAACTTGTTCTTGCAGCCGGTTCAAACCCAAACGAATCAATATTGGGTGCCATGCACCCCACAACAGTTTGGGCAAGATTTCTCACGGAGATACTCCCACAATGCTCTCTCAAGTCCCTCACTGCAGCAAGCCCGAAATTCCAGACTGCTTTAGAGGACGGCTTGATCCAAATACTTCTAGAGCATGGTGCGAATCCAAAGGTCAAAATACGACTCAACGCAGCGAACACGGTATCAGCTTTTACTTTATTTGCTGCTGCTGCCTTCGATTTGACATGGAACAAAAACGTTGAGGAGATGTATTTCAAGTCGCTGGACCTTCTCATCAAGGGCAAGGCTTCATTCGACAAGAACAATAATTCTCCAACACAAATATGGGGATTACAAGAAACATTGATAGAGTCTCAAGATGAGGAATTGGGAGATTATCATGACATTGTCCTCAGTCGCCTGCAGAAGGAGATTGGTCGCGATGAACCTGGTCGAAAATCCTTTATTGCCCGGTTAGTACGGGAGACCTTGCCATATGCCAGAGACGCAAACTGGCCTCTCCAGCTTTATCAGCATCATTTGGAACGAGCACAGAGTGGAGATTTATATCATGATGGGTGCCCAAAACGTGGTATTGAGGATATGGATTTCACCCAACGCAATGAACACAAAAGGGTAAAAAGAAGTAGAGGGTTTTGATTCAAACCAGGTAGTAAGTTAGGGATAGTTAATAAGCCTGACTTGCGCTAAATCTAGTTGCGAATTGAGCCACTGAGAAAAGTAATAACTTAAGAGGAGCAGATACAATGATTTATCATCAACCTCAAAATGACGGCTGAGTGCCATCTAATCGAAAAGATACTGTCGTTTAGTCACGACTTGCTCATGCTTATGAACCGAATTGAGACTACAGTACATTCCCAGGAAATTAAACATTGGTAGTTCCAGGGTTACACACATTATCAGGCCTTTCGATATCAATTACCTATATCATTATTCACTCGGGATCACAAATTAAAGTGAAGCTATTGTATTTTTTGAAGTCTTTCGAGATTCATCCCAACATCAAGTTACCTTACCCGTACAGCGCCTTGTTTCAAGCCACAGCGCTTACGTTCACTCAGGATTCGCAATTATGTCTACCTACTGCACAGAACTCAGCTTGTCGTGTTGTAATTGGCCGCCCGATTACCCTGGCACCTGGCTACAGCACATTGCCCAGGAAATTGAACGATGAAAGTGTGCTGTTGGTCGAAGAGGGGTACTCACACCTGTTTCAACCCACAGCGAAGATCGGCGAAATATTCAGTGTCGTTGGTAGGCGAGAAGTGAGCCAAGATTGAGGCCAGCCAGCATGCACGTCAGCCTCGATGTGAGGAGAAGTGAGGCATTGATAAAGTCAAGCATGCACGCTGCCCACTCGGCACGTCGCTTGGCCTAAGTATTCTGCTTTGTCAGTCTAACCGTGCTCCGAAAACCCATGCCGTTCCTCATTTCCCTTTGTTTATCCATACACACATAACATGAACCAAGGACCAGCAGCTTGAAGCAACCCTTTCAGTAACCCTGCATTGGTGCACGAAATACAACATCACAAACACAAACCGACCAGGCTGACCTTGTCTTTTTTCACTCACAGCCATGCCGGCACTCGGTGATCTACCAAGTTCGCTCCGTGCAAAAATAGATGCACAACTTCGGAAACACGAATGGAGGGGAGAAGAAGAAGCGCAAGAAATATTCTTAGTTGATATCTGGCCAGAACTCGAGAATGATTATGAGACCATGGTCGACAAGGTGAGAACAAAATACGACAAGCTTCTCAAATCGGAAAAGATTGATGGCATGATCGAAGGACGTGTGAAGTCCAGTGATTCTATCAGGAAATCGATGAGCCGCCGAAAAAAGCAAAGGAAAGACGACTGGGACGGCTTCAGAGAAATGATGGATGAAGTGCATGACCTCGCAGCTATTCGCATAATAGTTGACTATCCGCATGATCTCACCAAAATCTCTCACATTATCACCAACTCCAAGACACTATGTCCCAAGGCCATTCCAAATATTTTCCTGGCAGACCGCCCAGTTGGCACCTATTGGGCGGCTTGGTTCGGGGCATACGAATGTGAGAATCATCATGTTGAAGCACACTACCTTGGTGATGACCCAGTCCGATATTACAACGAAGTTATCTTTGAGATCCAAATCACATGCCTCCCAGCTCACTTACATAACAAAATTGCCCATTCCCTACACTACAAGGGACAAGGCGGAAGCCTTTCACGCGGAGACGAAATAGTCATTGATCTAACTCGAGGTCTTGGGCTATGTTATTCGCTATGCCTCTATTACAAGTCTGAAAGGCTACATTCAGATAGGTTCCGGTTAACCAACACGCCGGGATCAATTTTTGACCAACAGGGCCTCGGAACCGGCTTCGGAGTTATGCCAATGAAGTTTCCTAACATTCCTGGATTGAAGGCTCCCGATGTCAAAGAGCTTCCTTCACAGCTCTTTCAAGAGGCTATTAAGAACTCCTCCGCCAAGTCAGGACAAGAAAAGTCGGGTTCGATATTGGATTCTCTTGTCAGCGAGCTCAGGTCATATTCCGTATCTATTTTCTGCGTCACATTTTACTAACAAGCGAAACAGTCGTTCAATCACCAATCGACAACTCGAAAACAGAGTTATCTCGAAGTTACCATTTGAAAGAATGGGAGACCGGGAAGGGAATATTGAACATGCTATGAAAAGTACCTGTTCCTGGCTTCTCGACAATCCCATGTACCGAGACTGGCGAACGGTAGAGGCCAGCGCTGAAACTCGTCCCTTCTTCTGGATCAAAGGGAAGGCTGGTTCGGGTAAGTCAGTCATGATGAAGTTTTTAACCAAACATATGAAAGGGACATCTCAAAACGACAATGTAATTTCATTTTTCTTCAGTGCTCGGGGTGAAGAAAGAACAACTAAGGAGCTCTATCGCTCAATCCTGCACGACCTATTCTTATCAGAACCTGTCCTGAAAAAGAACATCGGCAGCCTCAGGTCCCAGGATCTGAAAAGAATTGATCAATCGGGATGGGAGATGAAAGATCTGAGAGAGGTTCTCTCACGTTCGCTTACTAGCCGACAGGCAAAGGGTCGCCTGTATCTCCTTATCGACGCTTTGGATGAGTGCGACGAAGGCGAGATACGAGTCATGTTTACATTCTTTGAGGATCATAAATCAGACACATTTCGTATGTGTCTTGCAAGCCGTCCTTATCCCCTGATTGGCCTGGCCGGCTGTCACGACCTTGTGTTAGAAGGCAGTAACCACACTGAAGACATCAAGGCTTATATACACAATCGGCTCAAGATATTCGATATTCCAGATGCCGAAGCACAGTCAGTCAAAGACGAGATTCTAAAGAAGTGTTCTGGAATGTTCCTCTGGGTGGTTTTGGTTATACCCCTGCTTCAGAAGGCAACAGATAGAGGTGACGGCGATTCGGTAATCTCATTGATGGAAACGCTCAAACGGACTCCTAGTGGCTTGGATATTCTCTTCGGAGACATACTTCACAGAGATGGCCAGATCCTTCCAAAATTATGCTTGGCCTTCCAATGGATACTATTTGCTGAAACGCCCCTGGAACCACAGGAGTTACGAGCCGCTATTCATTTCAGTCAAGGCAAAGAACCTCGAAACGCCAGCCCTGAGGTTCTGAAAAAATTTGTCTTGGACACATCGAAAGGCCTAGCAGAGATCACAAAGTCGTCGCCACCTATAGTGCAGTTTATTCATGAATCTGTCCGAGAGTTTCTTCTCAGAAATCACCAACTGTATACTCAAGGATTGAAAGGCAGCTTTCAGGGCCAAAGCCATGACATTCTAGCAAACATCTGTTTATCACGAATTCGGGCACCACATCAAACTGTCAAGGATTTAACAGATATTCCACTATTAGGATACGCCAAGGAATTTGTTTTTCATCATTCCAATCTTGCACAGCACTTCGGCGTGAGACAAGACAAATTCTTATCAGAGTTCCCCTTACGACTCTGGATAGAGAAGACAACCTCTGCACCAGACACTACCCTCCTCTATGTTCTTGCAGAACATGGAGCTGAATATCTCATTTCTATCCATCCTGACAGAGCTTGTCACCTCAGGTTGAAAGGTGGCACGTTTTCTTATCCTTTGTTTGCAGCAGCACAAAAGAGCCGATTCGTCTTCCAATCAGTTGCGGCAGATAGGAGCCTTATCAGATTTCAATCAGTCAGTGCCCTCGTTGGTGTTAGCTCAGCCGAGGGATCTGATTTGAGGCAATATTTTGACAATATGTCAAGAGAAGGAGAATATTTCTACAATGACGGACTTTGTTGCCCCATCGTGTACTTGATCAGATTCGCACCATATCCACTACTTCGTCACATTCTGGAGACACATCAATACGAAGCCCCTTGCTCTAAGCACGGCCTGGACACTGGTCTCTTTGTCCGCAAGATAAGCCAGGAGGCGATAATAGATCTCTGTTTTGAATTCGCAGCAAAGCTCAACTTCTTCGGAAGGCACTTGCGTTTTAACACTGCTCACGACCTAAACCCGACACCGAAGACACGGGAACGCTCCTTCTGGCAAACCTTTGATGATGCTAACGGACACAGTGATTTGATAGAGGCAGGTGGTTATACTACAGGACAAAACCCGGAACCTGGGTTTTCGGAAAACCCTCAACAGTCACTCGATTGTTCTTACGATCTATTGCATGGGATTTTCTGGGGGGGTGTATCGTCCGGGCCGACCAATAGCTTTCAGCGCCGTATCCTAGACGCCAGAGGCCTGGAACATTTTCAGCGAGCGACCGACCGCTGCCCTGAGATATTGTACATCCATCTAGAGCCCAACGTGACACTTCTCGATCTCATAATCGAAAAGGAGTTCCCCACAGTGATCCAACTTACCATCTCGATGATCATTGAGACAAAGGATGACCGCGGAGCAATGCGTGCTGCGATTTCTGCTGTGACTGCTCGGACTTTTAGTTTCAAAAGCAGGTGCAATATTATCCGCCAACTCGTCGATGCATCATTCAACCTTGATCTTCAAATACTCTTACAACACGCGAGTCAACCCTTACATGGTCTCGCGAAGACTCACATGGCCGATTGGAGAATGATGGAATTCTTTGTCAATGGCTTCGAAGTCCTTGAGATTGATTCGAAATTCAACGAGGAACAAACAATTCTCAACAGCCTTGCTAAAGGAAAAGGAACTCGTGATCCTGGCACCATCGCACAACTGATGAAATATGGAGTAAACATCTGCGACATTAATGGAAACGGATCAACTATCCTACACATGCTCACGGACACAGAGCTACTTGCTCACATACTTGCCACGTATAATATCGATATCAATGCGAAGGATAGGATGGGTAATACAGCAATATTAGTTGCCGCCGATGTTAAAGCATTCGATCGTGTCGCTGTGTTTCTTAATGCTGGAGCAGATGTCAACGTTATTGGCAACAATGGGTCTACGCTCCTTCATCACTGTGTCGAAAACGAAGGGATTATTAGTCGGATACTTGGCAAAAGCAAAGACCACGTAAACGCTATAAATCAATTCGGTTACGGAGTATTATACGCAGCAATCGAAGCAAAAGCATGGGGTACGGCCAAACGGCTTCTCAATGGTGGTGCACGTCCAGATATCACAGACTTGGTTGTAGCAATCATGGTCGAAGCCTACGAATGCATCGAGGCTCTCCTTAGAAGCAGTGAACACTTAAACAAAGCAATGCTGCTTAGACACACCATCTACTATGAGAAAGAAAAAATGTTTGACATTTTTCTTGCCGATGATATATTGGCAGGACCTACGGAGAAGGAGTGGAGCGAACTTCTGAAAATTGTGGTAAACGAAGGCAAGGTTTGGTTTGTGAAGAGAATAGTGAGCCATCACGAAATCACGATTGATCCGACTTAGCTAGGGCCATTAGTATCCAAGGCCTCAAGAACGAAGAGCTACACGTTGGAATTATGCGAGGCATTACGACAATGCCTCAATATAATGAAAGCGAACATGGATGGAAAACTGCCCACAAGCGACCTCATGCCTCTCCAACTCGCTAGAGAGCATGAAAGATACGATATGGTTTTTCTGATGGAGGCATTTCTGCGAGATGAACCACTAACAATAATCACTAAGGACAAACAGACAAGGTTTATGTTTTATGGCAGAAAAGAAGCGTTGGAAAGAAAGAGGAATGTCGAATAAAATGATAAAATAAACGTATAGCTCGGAAGTTTCATTCATAACTCTCACTGTGAGTTCGGTTGCTACCCTGTCATGCATGTTTTTATTGGGAAAGTAGGGCATTGGGAACCAATGTTGATTTAAGATTTATATTTGAATCCATAAAGATCCTTTATTAGAAACTCGGAGTAAATTGAGAAGGTTCAGGCTTTCGTTTATAGTACAGAAGAAATGAATTACATAAACATGCCTTCGAACCAGTTTAGGAGATATAACAGAATTGCAGGTTCAATATTTATACTATCATGCTTGCACAGCAGAACCTATGTTATGTATATGCAACTGAATTCCAGATCTATCGTCTGACTTCTATATCACCACTGAAAACTCTCCTCAAAATACTCCACCCCCCTAACTCCCCTCTTTAACAAATCATACACTGTCCTCCTAGCATCATCAGCCATCCTCGCAGGTCCACAAGCTACAACCGCAAGACTCTCCCCATCCACAACATCACTCGCCCTCGTCACCACCGCAGCAGCATCTATCCTTCCTCTCCGAAGCGTAACCTGCAACGGCCACTCCTGAAGTTCATCCTGGGGGGTATGTGTCGTGAGATGAATCTCTACACTGAGGTTTGCGCTACCCAGTGCGTCTGCTATATCTGTTTTCAACACATCCAGTGCAAACGCGGGTTCGCGGACTGCCCAGTGGATTTTTACTGTTCGTGGTGCTGAGGGATGGCTTGTCAATAATTGGAGGTATGATAGTGGGACGACGATACCACTGCCTCCAACGACGAATATGACGTTGTCGAATAGATGAAGAGGTTGAGTATGACCGTACGGTCCGTCGACTAGGACGCGCTGGAGGGTATTCTTCGGCCACTCTGCAGAAGCTGTATCTCTAAGTCTTGACGTAAACCCATCATAAGGGCGAATCAAGAAAGTCATGGTCCTCGAATCAGAAAACATCTCTTGTGAGACGTCTACATTTGAAGTTTGTTCAGAAGCACCCTCAAGAAGAGGAACCTGTTCCCCAAGAACCTTTGCTCCCCTCTGTCCTTCATCCGTCACTGCTGCAACGGTAAAAGGATGACTCTCCCAGCAACGCGGACCATTCAGAACGTGGATGTAATAAAATGTCCCTGGGGCTGGTTTGTAAAGACTATTCGACCATGGAATAACTAGTCGGACAATGTTGGACGTGGGATGGTAAATAGACGTGGCCCAGGTATCCCATAGCTTGGGGTTGAAAGCTGCAGTGCGTAGGGCGCGTATGACACGGTCGGCTACCCAGATGAAGCAGGGTACCCAGAAAAAGACGTCGTATTCGCCTTGGAAGATGGAGACGTGACTGTTTTGTTAGCGTATGCTATTGAGAGGGTAGGTATGAACTTACGCGAGCATCGTGACAAGAAGGAAGATTGACATGATGATATGGACGACAAGGAACAGTTCGTACTGTTGACGACGGATCCAGTAAAAAGAAGCCCCGACGAGAAGCGACATGACAATCGTTGCCTAGATATTCGTTAGTGAGGCAACATCGCCGCTTAGATGGAAACTCACAAGTTCACCAACCCACCAAAACATGTAGGACCACCAAAAGATATAATGCTCCCATCCACCCTCTGTTACTCGTCAGCATTTAATTGCTTCATCTTGCGGAACAGGGACATACCAAGATAAACCAAAATGGAATAACCGATAGAGTGAAGAATCGCTTGAACCGTAGCAATCCGAGCAACCCATCGATGAAAGTTATTATATGTCCCAAAGTCCCAGCCCGTCGACCACATAAGAAGGTTATTTCTCATGCCAAAAAGCCAGATGAGTGGAAAGTTTGCGAACGAGATGATGCCTGTTCTGTCGGAGAAATAGCGAAATATTTGTTTTGCTGTGGATGGAAAGCTGTAAGGTATCATCAGCATTGTCATTTTATCTTTGGCAATTGGGTCCGTTACTTACTACATGTTTATAGGTACGATCCTGTATCCGTGAATACTCAAGACAATGTTGAGGATGAGAAATGCAAAGAGCGTAAGGGACTGTATCCTCGGGGGAACTGTTCCCCATCCAACTTTCTGAGAACATCGGTCTCCAAATGTAGCTGGGACTGCAATTCGGTTCAAAGTGGAAGTGTATAAACTCCATATTCGTCCTCCTGATTTGGATAAGTGATTGCGAACTATTTGTAAGTTGGCGATTTGTTGCATGAGATGGTTCAAGACGCCAATGGCAATGACGACGATCCAGAAGATAATCATGGCACGACTGTCAAAGATTAGCAGTCTTCTCATGTCAATTGAGAGTCTCACTTACCCGTATAGGTCATGGTGTGTATATGTATATGCAACAGAATCCTAGACACAATCAGTCTCATCTTCCATTTGACCGTCAGTCTTTCTTACCATAGTATCCCACCATATCCCAAACCAAGTCTCAGAAGGAATAACAACCTCTCCAAAAGTAATTGAGCTCTCCGCCTCATTTCGTTCTAGCCGATGTATCCCCCCTTTATCCTCGGCAGTATAATTCGATATAATGCTAAAAGGCGGTAGAACAATATGCGCTTGTTCAATACACGTCTCATTCAATGGTCCCAAGCCTGCCTCCCTAGCCTCGACCATACAATAAACATCGAGACATAAATACAGCGAAAGAATAGCTTTCGGGCTATAACATGTTTTGGTCATGAAATTCGTTTGGTTGTGCAGCATATCATCGAACTGCACCGCCTTTAGAGACGATGCACATGAGTCGTAGCATACTCCCTCGGGAGACCTGTCTTCGGCTTGGGCGGGTGGAGCGCATAATGAGAGTATGGTGAGCAAAGAGCTCAGAGATGCAAACTTCATGGTGGCCAGGGAGTGAAGGTGAAGAGTGAACTCGTCAGGTCGCAGGCGGAGAGCCGGGTCCCAGGGGTTGGGTCAAGCTTTGGTCTTGTGAGAGATTTTTATCAGATGATCAGATAAGAATTGATGAGTCAAGATCAGTCACGTGCTTTGGAAGAAGTAACCAATCAATGTTTTGTTCATGTTCCCTGTCAAATTGACGGATTAAGCCTAGCATGAGCCTGATGCGGTCTGGGATGGGTTGGTCACAGTCGGTAGCAAAGAATAAAGAATAAAAGTGAAAGAATTAATTGACAATGGTATTTACACGAATATCGTAATCTAAGCTGAAACAAATCATATGTACAGTGCAAACTCTATCTTTTAGTTGCTGTACTGAGAGTAAGTGCAGCTAACAGGCTTCTTAATCTCAACAACGCGGGCGTTAAAACCAAGGCACTCCTTCTCATTCCAACCAGGGTGCGATGTACCGGTGGAGACCCAGACGCTCCAAGGGTCGCTGTCCTTCTGGCCGGGGCAGGCCATGAAAGAAGCGTTGTTGTTGCTGAAGACGAGGTTTCCAGACTTGTCAACCTTCCAGCCCTTGGTCTCTGAGTTGCGACCGTAGGAACCAGAGTCAGTGTACTGGAAAACACCTTGGCCTGGTACTTGTTAGCAGGGGTTCCCCGGTAATTAGATAATTGTGATTGACTTACCCATTCCTGATCGGTCAGTGTAGGCAATCTGCTGGTTCTTGCCAGTGTTGTAAAGGACAAGCTCAGTAGCCTTGCTCAGACGGAAAGTAGCAGTATCCTCCTTCTTGCCGCCAGCACACTTGGCGCCCTGCTTGCCCTTGGGGAGAAGGAGCTCGAAGCCGCTCTCAGTAGCGCTGAAGCTGGCGAAGTGAATGGGGCTGCCGGAGCGGAGAGCCATGAGGCCGAAGGTCTTGGGGACGGGAGAGCTCTCGGTCTTGGCCTCGGTGGTCTTGCTTGGGGCAGCGACAGCGAGACCGCTGAGAGAGGCGATGAGGAGAGTCTTGAACTGCATGTTGATGGTTGGTGGTTGATGAATTGAAAGAGTAATTAAGTGATTGTTTATTGGTCTGGTTGAGTGTTTGAGATGAGAGTGAATTGAATGTTGATGATGATTTTAGGAATGAGTGGTGTATTCCAGATATTATATATTTCTGAATACGAGCTTTGAATAGATCGTCATGTTGATCAATTGGGAAATGAGTTCCATCCTTGACATCATTTGCATGAAACTACAGGGTCCCCGCACTAAAAACGGTCCATATTGTCTCTCTTTCACAGCCTCCTATTGACGGTTCTAGACTCCAAGACCCAGAATGGTCCATGGAATATTCTTAGATCTTGCTTGTCCCGCTCCCGGCCTGCCGAGGCTCCCGTTCTTCGCCACGTCCGAGCACAGCCTCTTTCTCTCTCCGTCTGCCGTCACACAGTAACAATGGCTTGTAGCTGAAAGCTGAACGGAATACGAGACCAAAACAATTCATGCACGTGGCTCAATCCAATACGGACAGATCGACTGCCGACACCCGATTTCCATCCCTGCATAGAAACAATATCCGCGAACAGGATAAATTCATCTCAATTGACCTTGTCCATCGTCCCAGTTATAATATCCACTTGACGTAGGCCCAGAATCAATGCAACTGATTCTCCACAACAGCTCAGGAGAGTTCGATCGAACCTGATCATCCTCTCGTTACTGTAACGTTGCTCATAAGTAACAATCATTACATAGTAGAATCATTCTGTCTAATTCAACTCGGCATAAAAGTTCCATCTCGTCTATTCAGCTCCTCAAACTCAAAAAAAAAAAATACGAGGCGTAAATCTAGATGTCGGGAGACCAGCCACGTCACTGGCACCAACTACCGATATTGACAGCCCAGACTAAAAATAGATTGAGTTATGCATTTCCAGACCCTTCGTATTTTCTCAACTTATGTTTTTGACGTGTCTCAACCTCGACAAACAACTATTCTCTGACCGCTAGTTCTTGACAAACTCCTCAATAGTCTTTTCAAAAGCCTCAGGTTCTCTTCCCAAAAGCTCCTTCAACGTCGTCGTCACTCCAGCCGTCTCTCCAGCCCGAATCGCTTCCCAAGCAGTAGCCCACGTCGTCGCCTTTTCCTCTGTTCCAAAATATTCCTTGATCTGAGGCAGATTGATATACTCCTCAACACTGATCTCTTCAATCCCAAAGTCCTTGCCTGCAGCGCGCGAAAGAATCTCAATCGTCTCGGCCAAGGTAAACGATTTTGTTCCTGTCAAGGTGACAATCTTGTTAATATACCCAAATGATGAGGGAGATTCCACGTATGAAGCGATTAATCGCGCAGTTCCTTCTCCTAATTCATCTCTCTTGACCCAACTAACACCCGGTCCACTTCCATCATGAGGAATAAGAACCTTGGAAGGCGGATTCTTCAAGTCGAGAAAGGAAGTGTAGATAGGGAAGGACTCGCTGTAAAGACCTTCACGAACACTCGTAAACGTAAACCCATTATCCTTCTGCGCAAGTTCCTTCAGGTGCTTCTCACTATCAAGATGCGCCCCCATGACTTCCGCCTTAGTAGTTTCCTCTCCAATTGACGCAAATCCCAAAGACGAGTAAAATATGTGCTTGGCTCCAGCTTTGACAGCCGCGTCGATGGCTTTGGTGTGTACTTTTGTTCTGTATTGGTGGACATGGCTGGGATACGAGATGAGGAAGAGTACATCGATGCCGGAAAAGACGGTTTGAAGATCTTCTGCGCTAGACTCGTATGAAGCTTGACGAACAGTCGTTCCCTTCTCGGTGTACTTCTTGGGTACTTTTTCGGGATAGCGGTTGATGAGGGTGACTTTGTCGTTGGGAACTTGAGACAAGAGATGAGTGTATGTGCTTGTGCCGAGAGCACCTGAAGCGGGGAAGATGCCGATTTGCGTCATGGTAGATTTCGATACGAGTTTCTTGTTCTTGGCTGTGGCGATTGATGGTGATGAGGTTGAGAGACAGTACTTGGCGATTTTATCTATTATCTATGATGTTCCGTGGAGTTGTGTCCTTACTAATCCGTCTTGACATGACGTGATGATATCTCCACTCCGGAAACTCCTCCAGTGCCTTATCGAGACTCCGATAGCTCCTTTTGTCTCTGATTGGGCAATCCGGACTTGATTCCCAGCGTCAACATCTTGACTCTCGTCAGTCCTTTACATACCCTAAACAGACGCAAAACGCAATCGAGGAGTTGGCATGGTTTATCATGGAATAAATCACGCAACACTATTCTTTTACCGACCGACTGCAATTTTTTTACTATAGCAAGTCAAGTCCTTGTGAATCCCTATTGTAATGTTTGAGCATGTGTAACTCAGTGCTAAGAGTCTAGAAAAGAATAAACATTAAGCTGGCATTTCTACCTCCCGATCTAGATCCACTGCTTTTGAGGCTGATAAGGGAAGCTGAAAAACTGAGAAGGCTACAGGGGCTGTGTTAATGGCTTGCAGTAGTCCATCTGACCATTTCTATATTAAGCATCCTGATCGGATCTCGGTATCTAGACTAGGTCTTGGGCTAAGTCTATTGCAGGTAGCTCAGTATGCAGGGCATACCCTGCTTACAGTCGACAGTAGATGCAAAGTTCTCTATGCTATAACCATTACATGCAAATGCATCTCCTATTGTATGTTTCTGTGATTACTATTATACCTTTGTTGGCATCTTTGCACGAAGCTTCTAGGATTGGGGTCAAGCTTCTCCAGCGGGAAAGAATATAACGCTAAGATGCGGCAGAGAGGATCAAGCAGTGATCCAGTCTCAAGAACTGTGATGAAACCTATATGAGAATCAAGACAACGAGACCACACATGGAATACTTTCTGCCCACTTACTTACAAAGAGGATCATGGATATAACATGCACCTCAGCTCAAAACAGCCCCAGCATCCAATCCGCAACCTCAGATGCAGAGATCCCACAGCTAAAAGGCAACCAAGATAACGACGACTGCGAAAATAAGACGGTTTCTCAGTGCTCAACCTCATTCCGGTTCACTAAAAGAGGAGGTTTCATCCGCCCTAAAAAGAACCAAGTCTTCTGTCAAAACTACTGACTTCACCAGTGAAGAATAGCACCAAGTTCAAGACCAGAAGCCATCAATATAGAACACAACCAAATTCCAGCAAAGCTATTGCACTAAAGATCAGATCAAGCTTCTAGTGCCACTATACCATAATATCTCTAATCAAGCATGACACTTGAAGCTCCTGTGTGGCCAGATCTATCCGACACATCCGGACTCAAACCTTCCCAACCTTATCTCGTCCCAATCTACTGGTAAAATCTTATTTTCACTTCGGTTTTTAAGCCTCGCTTTAAACCACATACCTATCCATCAGTATCTGTTTAAAGTTCTTAGAGTCTTAGACACAGTTCTTCTCGTGGGTAGGAAACTTTCTGTTGCGACTGCAAGTGTCTAGCTATCAGTCCAGGCATCGTTGCGGTAGTAACACAGTAGCAAATTTGATGCGGGCATCGAGTGATACTGGGTTTGGCAAGTCAATCGAATTCATCGTCCCTTGGGAAATTGGAATGCGACTCAACAATTGCGCGGAAGAGGATTATCGTAAGTAATTAAGCGCGCCGAACGCGTCGCGCTAAGGTGATCATTGAGTATTGAGTGCCGACACCAGGCACTGTCTGCCACCGGCAATATCAATATTGAAGTCCAACCAATGCACAAAAGAAAGTCAACAGTCACAGTAGAAAAGGCAGAGATTTAGATAACTTGTTCGTTTCATTCTGATTGAGATATATACACATTATTCTCATATACTTCCGCGTTCTCATCATCTTAGATCATAACACCATGACCTCCAAAACATTCAGGTATAATTAAAATAGAAAACTTTCCTCCACATCAAACAAATAACAAGACTGTGTGCAGACAAGCTTAGACGTGGTCGTCATGCTCGGTCTTGGGGACGATCTTAACATCACCAGCACCCATGGTCTGGGCAAAGGTCTGATGAGGTCTCCACTTGGCAGAGGTTCGGGGAGTGGTCTCCTCCATCATCTTATCAACCTGCTCGAGAGACAGACCCTTGGTCTCGGGAACGAGGAAGTAAGTGTAGACGAAAGCGCAGGTGCAGAGACCACCCCAGATGAAGAAGACGGAGGACTTGAGGTTGCCTCGGTTCTCACCAACCATGTAGGGGGTGATGACAGCAATGATGGTGTTCCAGAGCCAGTTGGAGGCGGTGGAGAGACCGACACCACGAGATCGGATGGGGATGGGGAAGATCTCGCCGATGACGATCCAGGCACCAGGGCCCCAGGTGGAGGCGAACCAGAAGATGAAGATGGCAATGAAAGCAATCTGGGCGTTGACAGCGCTGATGTTGTTGGCGATCATGCGGTCGGGGTCGGCCTCAGTGGGGGAAGCGTGGGTGTGGTTAAAACCGACGGTAACACCAATGATAGCGACGAGGAACTGGCAGATAAGCATACCAAGAGCACCGATGAGGAGGATGGATCGGCGACCGAATCGCTCAACAGTCCAGAAAGACAGAGGAGTAGAGCAGACGTTGACGAGTGTGAAGACGAGAGAGATGAGGAAGACGTTGTCAATGGCACCGGTGGACTTGAGGAAGGGAGTAGAGTAGTAGAAGATGAAGTTGACACCAGTCCACTGCTGCATCATCTGCATAGAAGTACCGAGGATAGTTCGGCGAAGGTTAGACTTGCCATCCCAGAGAGAACCCTTGAAGCAGTTGGCCCAAGAGCCGAACCAAGAGGTGGAGGGAATGATTTGGCGCTCGTACTCCTCGTTGGCGACAATCTCGGCAATCTCAGACTGGACGTACTTGGAGTCCTTGGGCTGACCACGGACACGGGCGAGAGCGTCGACAGCCTTTTCGATTTGACCGCGCTTGACAAAGTATCGGGGAGAGTCAGGGAGGAAGAAAAGACCGACAGCGAGGATGACAGCCCAGGGGAACTGGATACCGATGGGGATCTGGTAAGACTTCATGGAGTTCATGTTCTCGGTTCCGTAGACGATGCAGGCGGCGAGGAGGAGACCGATGGTGATACAGAATTGGTAACCGGCAACGAGAGCACCACGGACACTCTTGGGGCACTAGAGAAGATGTTAGAATTGAGACGTGAGTAATTGAGTATGTTGTGACTTACAATCTCGGACATGTAGAGAATGACGATAGCGGACTCGAAACCGACACCCAGACCAGCAATGAGACGACCAACAACGATGCAGGCAAGAGGATCACCGTGACCAGTGATCATCTGGATAGCGACACCGATAGAGTAGATAGCACAGCCCATAATGACAGTCCACTTGCGACCCATGCGGTCGGCAAGATCACCAGCGATCAGGGCACCGAAGAAGGTACCGCAAGAGAGAATAGAGACAATGAGAGACTGGTTGCTCTCGGAGAGCTTGGTAGCATTGGCACCCTCGACCTGTCTGATGAAGTAGTCGGAGCCGTTGACACCGTTGATGTAACCGGAATCATAACCGAAGAAGATACCACCGAAAGAAGCGAAGGCGCACAGGAGGTAAGCCTTCCAGGTGATGGGAGCCTCGATCTGCTCGACATTCTCGGCAGTTTGGAGAGCGACAGAGCCGTGTCGCTCGTCGGTGTGTGAGTCTTCAACACCCATTTTGTTGTTGTTATTGTTGTGTGGCTGGTTTGTTTTAGTTCTGGCCAGGCAGAAGGGGGTAATAAATAGTTGTTGTTGATGTGAGGAGAGAGGGGGAGGAGGATGAGGGGGGAAGAGAGAAGAGATTGTTGTGATGTGATGGAATGAAACAGTTGTACGAGAGGGGGCAGACGAGGTCTATTTAATCTCTGACGAGAAAAAGAAGAAACCCAGAGTCTGATCGTGTGCAAAGTCTAGTCTGATTTTGGTTTGTGTCTATTACCGATGGCATGAGTTAGCATGGGGGCAGGCATGGCATAGAGCATGGGGCAAGGTTCGGAAGCTGCAGCCAAAAGCATTTGTTACCAACTGGTTGATGGTGTCAAAAGACTAAACTAAGCCAAGATTGACTCAAGTGGTACACTACAAGCTTTTTGATTTGCTAACAAGGTTGCAAATTTACCTACTATGGTACACCCTCTCTGACTACTCACAAGCAATTCCAGATGCAGACACAGCAAGACAGTAACAGCTTTTGGGAGTGTTGTTCTGCGTTCTGCCTCGGAGCATGTAAAAAGTTGTTAGTGCTTGGACCCGTTATTTTAGCCCCTAGCAATAAGTCCCCGGGGGCCCATGGGGCACGGTAAATGGGGTAGCAGGGATACTTTGGGGAGGCCATGGGACCTTTCTAGACACGACACGCCCTCTGTTAAAGTGCGGAGGAGGCCGTAGCGATAGGGTGTGAAGGTAATAAAACATGGCAAAATGCGATGATGATGGAGACAAGTGACGGTCATTACCGTTGAATAGCATTCCCATTGATGAATAGATGCAATAAATATAATACGGGAGATACTGTAAAATACTCACTGCATATCATGTATTGATACGGCAACAGAAATAGCAACATTTGTACAACAGTGATAATATGCAGTCTCCCATTCCCAAATGAATCACTTGTCCAAAAACTCCTTCAATTAAAGATTCTTCCTTTTCTGATTTCAAATTTGTAACTGGGTAATTAAAAAAGAAAAACTTGCACTCGCACGCGCCCAGCCTAGAATCTCTCACATCTGGGGAAGAATCGCGTCTAGATCCATCGGCCCCCTCCAGCTCGTCTTTTACTACGAAGTAAGGCCGAAGCAAATAAAAGAGCTGGAGCTCTGTAGTGGACAGGCGTTGGTCCCATAACGGTCTGAACCGGGGGGTGGTGGGGAAAGGTGAACAGCCCAGAATGGGACATGTCCCAGAGAAGCGCCGCAAGTAAGGCCGGCCGTTTATTTCCTTTGTCTGCACGGGACTTGCAGCAGAGTACTGACTTGTTCCATCGAGAGTTCTAGAGGCTCTAATCGAGTCAAGGTCTGACGGACGGATACGGGAACGTGAACCCAAGCTGACGGTTTACTCATTAATGAATTATTGACCTAATTAGTCAATGAATTACTGAGTAAACGGATCGTGGATATCACCTCGTAAGTTCCAGATTGGGTATGCATGCGTTGTGCTGATCTGTGGTAGCATCAGAAATGCCATTCCATTTCCAGTAAGCATACATGTTCATCCCGCATTTTAACCAGACTCTTAAAAATGCTGCATTCAGCCAGTCACGAGCAATTCCTTCACTCCAACTTTTTTGGCCGACGCGGGGAAATAGAGACAATACGTGGAGTGTAGTCAGGTCTGGAGAGTGTTAGTAGTCAACCCCTTTGCTGGATCCTCCTAATGGCACATTCTCGGTGATACTTGAAAACGGTAGCGCTACGCCCCTGCTCAGCGTCCATGACATGGGTCGTAATTGACCGAGTTCAACACCGTCAACTCTGGAGACTTTTGGTCTTTGGGGTAATAGTCTCTTCCTCATTGACCTCTCTTCCGGGGAAACTAGGGAGACCCGGTTGTTCATCACCTGTCAGTCAACAACACCAGACCTCTCGTCCCCTCCCCCAGAATATACCAGAGTGACTCCGAGTCAACCACCGAGGAATGTTTCTGCTCCCCAGAATACTCCGGATTTTCCAACAACGCGGGGGAAAAGACGAGAGAAAGGCCGAGTTGGATTTATTTGACCGAAAAAAAATGTCACTGATTGATTTGAACTTCCAATTATGGTTATATGATGATATCGCCAACTTCAATCCTCAACCAACAAGTGAATACTGATTGACTGCCTGTAAGCCACCATCGTCATGACCACCGCGAATCGCATCGCATTTCTTGTCATGCATAATTTCCGGGCCGAAACGTCAGGGCCTGGCAATTCAGTCCCAGCCCAAAAGCCAAGGCCTGGTGTGACACCACTTGACGATGAATCAATTACTACACGCGATTACCGGGAATTGGTCTAGTCTCTGGGCGCATGCACTTACCTTGCGGATACCCGGATGCTCACAGAAGAATTTCTTGGTAAAACGCCGTTTCCGTAGCTTAGCCGCTGGGTAACGTCTTTGCAGAAGTTGTTGGAGCCAACAGTCAAAACGGATACAAACGGCATCTTACAAATTAATTACGTGAAGGAATCCTTCTGTAATCTCCTGTGCTGAACACGAATAGAGGGCAAAGCGTTTCGGAAAGGGGCGCCTATGTTGCACAGAATTGGGTAACACATATCATCTTGTACGTGTGACTCTAGACTCATGTGTACGACTCTCTAAAAATAATGCGATTATTGTTGGCAAATGTCTAGACCGGATCAGCAGTCATAGATCGGATATCGCCTTCTTTTTTTTTTTCTTCCTCTCCCGTTTTCTCGCCACCGGGTGCACGTCCTGAACCACGGTCTCGGAATCGATCCATTCTATCAGGTAGTATGGAAGACTCCGGAGTGGCCATGGTCACGAGGATTTCTCTACGGATATTCGCTACTGTATTTGAGATAGAGTAATGAACAAAGTTGTCAAGCCATGACCAAGCAGACCATAATGTGGTTCCTCTATTGCTTAGCCGAACTGTACCCAGATTCTTGTCTCTCTGGACGAGTGGACAAGACACACACCCCCAGCTTCCCCTTACCTTACCCGTAGACCTTCGAGTGTGATTGGTTCTCATAGTAAGGTGCTTTGCAGAAACGGATTGAGGACCAAGTGGGTCTCGGCCGGACTCACTCTGAAGCCATCGTGTCAGAAAAATACGCCTAAACCAGGGGTGTAACTGTACTCGTGATGATCCTGAGAAGAAAAACTCTTCGGCCGAGATTTTCAGCTTTATGACAGAAGAAAAAGAGAGCCGTGTTCCGAGAATACACGCGCTGAAACGGATGACAACTTCCAAATGCAGTTGTCCTTCCGTTGTCGTTGGTGATCGGATCTTGAATGTGGTAGCATTCCAGTATGTCACCAGATGAAGGAAGTCTACTGTTCTCGGTCGGACTATCAATTTGCCTCTTACCTGCATTCTAGATGTAGTCTTTCGTCTACATGTGTCTCAGTCCCAAGCTCAAGCTTACCTTTTTGCTGATCATCCATCCCACCACCAAGATGGTTCCCCGCATGTAACAATCGCCAATGAAACGTCCATTCTTGGATAGCAACGTTGAATTTTGATGCGTTCCATTCATAAAGTTCAATGCCAAGAACATCAATCAATACACACACATGATCATTCTGAGCTTGATTGGTTTCTCAGCCGCAGTCAAATCACAATTGATCTAGACATCAAATGTAAACATCAGAGGCTTTTGTTGCCAAGGCGCCAAGATCATCATGTAACGATCGCTGCAGTCAGCTTGGGTTGATGATGAACATGGTTTACCCTCTTTTTGATATGTGTCTTGTGATGCTTTTATTCTCTTTATGGTTTGGTCAAAAATAAGGATAAACTGTAACTTTGACTTTGATAACGGCGATCACTTCATAGCTCAAGCTCATCGTGTGTTATTTTTCGCGAACCTGGTTGATGGTATTCGCTTTCGTTTACATGTTGGTCAATCACAAACCAACATTTGGACGATAACATGATCAAATGACCATCTTCAATTACTGTGACATCCCATGATTCAACATGCGATGCTTACAAAAGACACAAACCATCAGTCTCTAGTCATGGTGATTCAACGCGACAAGTTTATTCCAGTCAATCTACCCTAGATCATTCACTCACTGATAACTACGGGGCTCCAATTTATTAGTGCGCTCACTCCAGCATCCAAAACTCCATACCCCAGAATTTGCGTCAAGCGAGAGACGATCCATATCATGGACCACCGACAGGGACGGGACTCCAGTAAAATAATAACACCGAGATCTTTCACAGAACCCTTTTTTTAATCAGATCTCTGACATGTCTGACCCGACAGTTTGTTCATCCACCGAGATCATGCCGAACGTCTGTGGTTTTTAAAGTTGACGAGCCCCGCGTTGATCAATCAATGGGTCTGAGATGGGACGAGATGAGATGGGTTTATCTGGGGAGATGTGAGTTGATCAAGAGATAACAGATAACGATTGCGATAATAGGCCGAGTAGGACGATAGCCATTCAGTTATGCTAAACCGACCATCCGTATCGACTCTCTCGAAAATACACCTACCTCGAAGCCATCGCCAGGCGTCCAATTGCTCAACCAAACGTCCCGCGCCTTGGACGCGTCTACAATTAAAGTACTGTCAGCCGAATTGACGCGACAACGGAGAACATACGCGCGACAACTCCGCGGCCGACGAAATCTACTTGACAAGTGTCAACTCAATATCCTTCAATCACGGGCGCAACCTCTTTTGCAAGACAACTCCGGGCGCATTGATCAGCTATTGCGACCTAAACAGTTACATCCAAGCTTGACTCGCCGATACCGATACCACCCTACGCATTCATTACGAGCTTATTAATGCGTCCAAATTGATGAACGCATTGGAAAAAACGAGACATGTCTTCAAGTGAAGGCTGGTGTCAATTGAAACTGGTCGGAATGGGTGTATCTACGCGACGAGATTGAGACATGGCACGTCATGACAGCCTCAATGATGGCATTCGTCAAATGGACTATGCAGATGCAACCGGTCAAGATAATAATTGATGGGTTCGGCTTCAAAGTATGATGAATTTTGGTCGAGGAAATATTAATAAAAATGTTATAAATACAAGAAACCGGCAGTTCAATTGACGCCGGAAAACACTGCTCATTCTGGTCTGTTCGGCTCATATCTCGGTGTCTCCACCGCATTCGCAATTTTTCGCCTCTTTTTTTTTTTCTTCCCGTACCTTCCAAGACGTCATTAGCGATTTCCCATTGATATCATAGTCTGATTTCCATGTGAATTTGTTTCATTGACTTAACAAACTCATCATCGACATAACTTGACCACTACATCACAGCTCACCAGCTCACATCAATCCGACACTTAACACCGTACCAGAATCTGTACTACACCACCACAACATGGCTGAACAAATGCAAGCCTGGCAAGCCGCCAGCCCAGGAACTTTCGAATCCGTCTTCAAACACCACACCACAATCCCCAAACCAACTCCCGAATCCCTCCAACCAGGCCAAATCCTCGTCCAAGTCTCCCGCGCTGCTCTCAACCCCGCAGACTACAAGATCGTCGAACTAGGCCTTGCCTCGCGCGCAATTACTTCCTACCCTAAGACTCCAGGCATGGATCTCAGCGGTCGCGTTGTAGCTGTCGCATCAGACGTCGCTGACGCCAAAGAAGGCGATTATGTTCTTGCGCGCGCTAACCCGCTCAAGGCATTTGGATCGCTGTCCCAATTCACTGTTGTCGATAAGGAAGGGTACAGCGTTATTCCTCAAGATATGGACTTGGATCAAGCTGCTGGTGTGGGAACCGCGGGATTGACTGCGTACCAAAGCATTCAGCCGTATGTTAACAGCGGCGACAAGGTCTTTATAAATGGTGGTTCAGGCGGTGTTGGACTTTGGGGTATTCAGATCGCCAAAGCGCTGGGATGCCATGTTACTGTCTCTTGCTCAACAGGTAAAGCAGATCTGTGCAAGAGTCTAGGCGCGGACGATATCATCGATTACAAGACCAGCGACGTCATGGCCGAACTACGCAAGCGCGGACAAGTTTTCAGTCTCTGTGTTGATAACGTAGGAAACTCACCTCCCAACCTATACGGAGCGTCAAACGATTACCTCCTCCCTGGAAGCAGCTACGTTTTCGTTGGCGGACACGTCTCAGCTAAGAGTGTCCTCAGTCTGACTGCTGGTATCGTGCGTCCTGCGTTCTTGGGCGGTGTCAAGGCCAAGTTTGTGAGTTATATGACTGTGAACAAGACCAAAGACTTAAACCAGTTGAGGGATTGGTTGGCTGAGGGTAAAGTCAAGACTGTTATTGACTCGACGTTTGGGTTCAAGGAGGCGGATAAGGCGTTTGAGAGCTTGAAGAAGGGGTCTAGTGGGGGTAAGATTATTGTCAGGGTTGAGGAGTAAATGTTAAATTGTGATACCTATTGATGAAGCGGTGTCTATGTAGTATACATCTATCTAATAATTGAAGTTGGTACAAAGGTCGTTTGTCACCTGTGATGTACTTGACGTAGTTGCTGTGTCTACCACAGCTTCTTAACGCCCATTGATAGGCAAACACCAATACAAAAGGCTTGTATAAGACAAGGTGTACTGTGCGGGATCGGACCGGTCCGAATGCTTATCGCACGTCCTGGCATCCCGTGTATACGTGGCGCATACTGCCGACACTCAAAACTTGCGCAGGCCGGGTCGGGCCATTTGATGTGCGCCGTACCTGTCCTTGTTCCTGGATGACATGAGCCGGCGGCTTTTTACCTCCAAGAACGATCCTCGGTTGTATCTCGAGCACCAGTCAGCAACATGCCGGACCTGTGAAACATCTTGAGGACTTTTGTCCCAACCCTATCAAAGTCTGATAAGAGATCCTTCCAATCTCACCTTTCCTCACGTCCCCAACCCAGTGACAAACTTCCGAGCAACCCACGCAGCACCATGTTCCTCATACTCCTTCTTTGTAACCGCCAACCTCTCAATGTGCGGATGACTTGCCAGATTGGCACCGCCGTACCACGTCTGTGTAATCGGGTCCGCAGGTCTGGCGACTCTCACTATACAATCGTCCGGAACGCGCTGCACGACTTCTTTCTGTACTCGCTGTATAAACCCGTCAAAGAGCGAGTTACCGCCCACGACGACAATATTGGCCAAAAGACTGGGCCAAAGACCGATGGGAAGTTCGTTGAGGGATTCCTGAACCAATTCAGCCAGACCGGGTTGCCTAATCCCGATATCTGATGGATTGAAGAGTATTTCAGGAACCGTGAACCTCTCGTTTCGCAACGTTATAACGTCTTCTTCGGATTGGTTGGCTATTTTCTTCGCTTTCGAATGTCGCGAGGGTTCGTAGTCGCATAATCTTCCCTTGAAATGGGTATGAAAGTCGGGTAGGATGTAATCTTTGGCAATGCCACCTCCAGATAAATAATCCGGTCGTCGATCACCTCTGGTGCCCTTCCATGACTTTTCCAGATCGGTTTTAAAGTCGGGTGATATGTAGCAAGAAAGCTCCTTCATCTCATTGACGATGTATGTGTCGTTACGCATATCGAAATGGCGAAGGGAGATTAATCGCGTTAGGTAGTTGGTGAGGACTTTGCCGCCGACGTCTAATCGTTTGACGGCCGAGTGTAGAGGTTGGCCGCGGAGGAGTGGTGTGATGGTCGTGTGCGAGTATCCGGAATCGATCACCATAACGGCTTCGGCGGGGGTGTTACTGGCGGTCGGGTCATCTTGGGGAGTTCGGAAGATGTTTTGGATATCGTGGTAGGCATTGAACGTGGGCCCTGTCTGGTCAGTAGTGAAGTGTAGAGAAGCCAAGGCGACTCACCTATACCGCGATAATAACTCTCAAACCCATACTCTTCAAAAACAATCTGATCGCAATTGTTCTGGAGTATAGGCAATCCATTTGGCGGTTCAGCAAGTATTAACCTCGACTCAGCCGGATCAATCCCAAAAGCCTTGTTCTCAAAAATCTCACGATCCCAAATCTCCTTTTGTGCCTCCCAATTGACAATGAACCCCTTCTCCATGGGCCGTCGGAACTGTATCTCTCCGAAATCGCGACATTTCTCAATCTCGGAAGCGACGTAGACTTTGCGGGCGCGGTCGCGAGCGATGACGTTTGGGATGATGCGAGGTTCGTCGAATTTTCCGTCTCGTACGATACCGGCTTTGATGGTTGAGGCGCCGTTGTCGAGAACGAGTGTTGATGAGGGGCCTTTGGGGGGCGCGGGTTTGGGTTTGCGTCCTCCGGCCATGGCGGGTTTGTGAGTGCGATTGAGAAAATGGGTGATGAATTTTGGAGGTTTGGGAGTGACGCGATTTTAGGCGGGGAAGTGTTACATAAGCCATCATGAATTGTGGTCATGATACGAATACAAGCTTGATGGATGTTGCTGTATCATGGGCTCCCAAGATCATGACAGCGGTTGTTCTCTATGTTGAATATTCTTGTCATGATATTGAGTTGGTATAGGTATCTTGGAGAATATTGTTCCAATTCCTGTCTTGTTCGAAGCTCTATGTTTGACTCAACCCACTCTCCTCACCCTGTACTTGGGTGACGATATGTGAAATTATGTGAGATCTTCACTGCAGTTTTAACCTTGTCAGAGGAGTATATCGCAGACTAAGTACTGTGGTATGCAATGGCCGGGTAAAAACCTCGACTGAATTGTGTCGGTTTGAACTGAATTCTCCCGGCAGCTTCCACTGCAAACGTAACACCCGCTGAGCCAGACGCCGATCGATGCGATGTAGATTGTATTTATAGATACCTGAAGTGGTTAATATGATTGTGTTAGAGTTAAGAGGCTACAATAAAGAAATTAACACAAAATAAGACAAATAAAGTCGTCCATTGAGCCTAAGTAAGCTCTTACTGATCCCGCGAATCTGGGACAGAGTAATGAGGATAGGACCAGATATGCGCCAATCTATACCAATTCATACTGCAATTGACTGACTACAAAGTCGGTAGCAAATTGTGCAAATACCATAGCATACTCTTAAGAAGTCAGCCGTGCTCCATTGACACAGCTTGCCCTACATTCTCAACTCCCCTCATGTGCAGTGTATAGAGGCTGCTGTATGGTGCCGCAGGCCCACCCCAAATTTCACTGCAAATTTAACCCCTCCCAAGGCATCAAAACAGAGTAAGTATCGTGACTTTGACAAGAATCAAGGCCTTTCACTGCAATTTTAACCTTACCGGCGACGTACAGTGGCCATACCAAAGTCTCTGGACAGTGGATACCGCGTATTCCTTCATCGCAAATTTAACGCCCTTTGGGACGTTGACGAATGCACGAGACATGTAACATAGGCAACAAAGGGCTGAATGAATTTTTCACTGCATTTTTAACCTCCTCAGCGTCATACAGTAGCCATACCAAAGTCCCAACGCCCTTTCACTGCAATTTTAATACCTCTGGAGGAATTCCAATAGCTGTCTACCAGTCATGTTGACATGGTGGAACTCCATCATTCTTCACTGCAAACTGGACTCCCTCTGAGGTGTATCTAAACCCAGTTAACACCTTAATACTTTGTACCTAAACTAGCTCAATTGTCCTAACATCCTTTACCTTGGACCAATATTTACCAAACGGAAGACTTATAATCCCAATGCGTTTATACCCCTCAAACTCACCATAAAAACGTCCAGAATGTTCCAACACACATGCAACCCCCATTTTGACTTTATGCCAAGGATTAAGTCCTGATTCCACGTCGTGTGTTGTCCCAATTAAGTGACAAAGTCGAGGGTGAGTGCTAATCGGGTTGGTAGGCTTTGGGTCATCCAATCTGGCATCATGCTCATACTTGTAGGTGTCTCGGTGGTTGGATCCCTCCTTGGTGTGCTCATTGCGAGGGTATCTCAGGTTCAACTGGGACAAGTCTACCATTCTAAACAAGCCCCTAAGAGTTAAGCGTGCTTCTAGAATCTGACCAGAAGTGTCTGATCCTTTTGATCTCCAATGGAAGTTTTCAACTTGTATCATTGATTCCCAGGGGCCTCGTTTGAAAAGTAAATTTACGAGGCCGTTGTTAGACGCCCAGGACCAAGGGGGTAGAACTCGCTCTGACTTTTGACTTTCCAATTTGTCACACTCAATTGAATCATCAGTATGGATGCCATAGGTGCTAACGGCCATCCAGGTCAGTCCTTCTGCAATACTAGACTCCCACATGCCTGCAATATACTTCTGTTAACATGTATTAGATACCAGTGTAGCAACTCCCGACAACGCTGGGAGTCTGTCCGATCCAACTGAAAATTCCTTCATTGAATATTCACTGACAAAAGAATACCACATCTCCGTGAGTTCTTCACTATTGAACGTCTGAATGTTTTTGAACATAAAAAAGTCGGAAGTTTCGTGTGCTGAGACAAAGTGGTCGGGGTGAACTTCACTCGTGTAACCCCCAGAACATTCCCAAAATATACAGTTCGCATCAAAGTGAAGGATTCTCTCCGATCGTAGTCTTTCTTGAGTAGTCCATCCCCGCGCGAGTAATGCTATATGTACGATTTCTGAGCCTGGTTTGGGACGAAGCGGTTGGATCGTAGATTCTTTAAATCCTGTCCGATATGATTTTTGCCTGATGGCCACAGGTTCCGGATTAACTTCATGACCAGGTCGTTCAAGGAATAACCCTCTGCTCGATGATTCGGAGCCCGTTAGAACTGCGTTTTGGTAATAACTGGCAAATCTGACAGTTTCGATAGACCAATCCTCCATATGTTGAACATCATTAACCTTCTCTTTCTGCAATACGCATAATGCGTCCACCCATAAATATTTCAGGCCTAGACCGCGGGTGATGACGATAGCATCTTGAATCGTCTTCGAAAGCCGGTTCCATGGCAGTAGTGCCCTTGTATCATTCAGATTGGATGCTGTTGTCTTTGCAAAGTTTGCATGGTCAGTCCCCCATGCATAACTTAGAGCAGCGTACTCTATGCCTTGGGTATCATGGTCTGAAATGTGCAATCTAGGCATTGTTTCCCCAGCATCAATTAGCCTTGTTGGTAGAACATTTTTCCTATTGGATCTAGTGTTACTGTATCCGCTGTTTTTGGTAACTTTGAGGCTTGGGTAGGAATGGCAATTTTCGTGCCAACACCAGATCTTGGCTGCATTTCATGGAATGCAGTGATGGATGGAGTGACCTAGAAGCCTGAGCATCAGTATTATTGGCCCCATGAGTTAGACAGACGATCAGTTCCACGAAAAGGAAAAAGATCGGCGTTGTCCCATTACTCATCCTATTACTGGTCCATCGCTGTTTGTTGGTTCCACTGACTTGATGAACCGCCGTCACCGGTTTCACAGTTTGGCTCTTCAAGTCAGTAATGGGCCTCGAGGTCAGAAAAAACAGCGGAAGGGCTTACACCAAAAACCGCTGATCACCCACCCAGATCTTTCCGCTGTTTTTTCTGACCCCCTAGATGGGCTACAATTCCGCTCACAACTTACTACAATTTTAATCAGGCTGTCCAGACACAAATTGATCCGATGCAAGGCTGGCACGCCCGAGCAGAAAGCAACTAACTATCTTTCTTCACAGGACAGTCAGCCTTGTGCTGACCTTTACTGCAAAACTAGCACTTATAAAGAGGCTGTAACAAAATAGAGAGAATTTCTCAGGATATTGATGAGGTGATGACCTGCCCTGCGAATTTAATCCCCCCAAGTTGGTCTAAACGATACATTAATGCTCTCCTACTAATACCAGCAGTACCAATGTGGGCAAGGGAATGGTAGATTGAGACTTCAGATGCTCATGGCAAGATACCTGTGCTCAATTAACCTTTATTACAATAACCTTATAATTGGATTCTTACTGCCGCTGGTTCAACAATACTCACTTCCACTACTGCTGTGTTTCTTACGATCACTTAAGCTTTCGCCTAGGCCGTTTAATCTGTGCGCAGACCAAATTATTAACAAATTTTCATATCTAAGGTTCCCTCAAGACTAGGTTTTCCACCCAAGGCGCGACTCATACGGCTTGAACTCTATGATGTCGGCTCACTTCCACTACTGCACTAGTACAACCACTTCATTTTTCACTGCGATTTTAACTTTATCTGAAGCATGGCAAAGGTAGTAAACATCGGGCACTTCTACTTACCCGCTTACTGTCGCTTACTGCCGCTTACTGCCGCTTACTGCCGCTTGCTGCCGCTTTCACTGCAATCTTAACCCGTCCCAAGGACAAGGCAATAGCAATTTCACTTACCCTCAAGGAAAGCATTTCGACAAGATGAATAGGTCAGCCTTGGAATTCGCCTGTATGCACAACTTGCACTGCAATCTCAACCCCTCCCAAGGTTAACTAAGAGGGCAGAGCTGGTTGGTTCAATCCCAAGATATCTGGTCAGCCTTTGGAAGAGGTTAAACTTGCAGTGAAAAACCTATTTGATAATTGTTTCCTCATCAAAACTGCCCGTTTGTCCATTTCTCAGGGCTTGATGGTGATCTTCCTCGGCTATGCTCGGAAAGAGCATACCGAGTCGTGGGACAAACAACCCTCTTCTACAGCGATCCGTATTCTTTCACTCCGGCGCGAACTCGCCCAGGGATCGCGACAGAATGGCCAGCTCGTGTTTCTCAAAGTAAGCCTCGGAGTCTGCCCGTGGCGAGTCTACACTGCAAATTTAACCCCATCAGAGGTTTGAACAAAGCGATAGACTTGTACACGTCCTGCTTGACTTACACTGCACTTTTAGCCCTCTCTGGAGCATGACAACGAAACGTCGTGCAAAACCTTCATTGGCTACATATTAAGTGACGCCGGTGGCAGTGTCTAGGTGCGTGTTCACTGCAATTATAACCCTCCCCAAGCCTTAGGGTTGATACATTTGTCCTTCATTACAATGTCGCCCAAGTTCATGAACGCATCAAGACAGTAAACATGCCAGTTCTGTACCCTGCGGTCGTGTTAATTGCACTGTAACTCCAACTCCTTCAAATGTCGATAACGAAGAAAAGGCTTTGTGGTAGGGACATGGAACAATTAAGCGACCAAGAGAATGTCGAGCGAGATCTCGTATGCCATAAAGTTCCAGGTTTCTGGTCAAATTTACCCGAACTCCTGTTCTCTTTTTGCCAGCGAGTTCTCTTATATCCTATATAGGTCGCTGTTTGCACACCGTGTATGTTCCAGAGCGAACTCATACTTGATATATTAATTTGTGTCTTGTGTTATTTCCGTATCTTATTATCTCATGGTGATCAGCTTCCATTCTCGATCCCCCATCTTCGCCCATTCCTCCTCCGAGATCTCGCCCAAGCCTATCCTATACGCCAATCCTTCTTTCCACTCTAGAGCCAGAAGCATCAACTTTGCTTTTCGTTTCCCGTCTATGCCAGCATCAAATACAGCTCCCTTATGTCTGTATACAACCGCAAACTCTACAGAAAAGGTCCCAGGAAGTTGAGGGTCTCCAGGAAGTACAATCTTATACGAACTCTCGTCGCGTTCTCCGCCCAACCAAGCTTCAAAGTGGGCTTGGTTACCAAAAGGCCACTCACCCGTTCCTGTTATCTTGAACTTTCCTGGAACCTCGTAAGTAACCTCCTTTTGTTCTTTATCAGAATCTGTATCATCTGAGACGTTGGATTCTGATGGAGAGCCTTCTGTAGGCCTGACTCTCAAGGTTGCGACACTTGCCCAGAAAATCAATGTCCCAGGCACCAGATTGGAGTTTTGTGCTAGGTTCTGCACGTGTTGATCAGGAATATCTCGTTCCGGCCCTTGCCACCGGAGTCGCTTGACTTTCGCTGTTGTTTTTGTCATCCTGTCTTTTGATAGATTCTCTTGAATCGCCGTGACGTTTCCTTCCCCTGTCACGGCATAGAACTGCGTGATTGTCGGATGAGGAGTAGACGGTTCCGAAAATCCTCTTCCAAGACTTCTGTAGCTCCAAAAGTCCAACTCTCTACCTGACTCCTCTCGATTATCCCAGGCAGCCCAGCTCCAGGACGGAAACTCGATATTCTTGATATCCTTGCCAGACATCGTCATCTCTTGGCTTGCAAAGTTGCGGATATGCTTAGACTCATACATCCAACCTAAAGACGCCGAGAAGAAGGCTTTGGGATGGCCCCAGAGGTACTCGTCTTTCTGAGTTCTAGAAAACACTGAAATTATCCCCTGGAAAGCGTTGATAAGGTCGGATTTGAAGGAGAGCTTTCGTCGCCTGTAGGCCTGCAAGTAGTGGCAGTACAGACTAAAGTAATCGGATGCCTTGATCGAGTTCTTCGGAAGACCTTTTTCCAGTTCGAATGGCATAATCTCAAGGTCATTTGAGTGAGCTTCTTCCAGTGCCAACTCCTCGGACCAGGTGTTGCTGTTGCATCTCCAGAACGCTTGGTTCTCGGTAAAGACGAGTAATCTGTTGGAGAAACATAGTTCCTGCATTGTCCAGGCTCGATGTATCCATGTTGAACTCTGGATACTCGGGCCGTCAATCTCTCCGTTGTTGGCCTCTTGTGATCGATATGCTCCGACCACAGTTAGAAACGTGTGGCCCTTCAGATGTAGCACCTCTTGGAGAAAGTCGGAAGGCCTAGAGTTCACTCCCGGGAGACCTACAGCGGCACTATCCCCATGACCAGCAACCAGCGTCAATATAGCTCCAGCATATATCTGATCCATCTTTTCTATCTGCGATATCTTCATAGTTGGATCATCCTGGATGATACATAACGCATCGACCCAAAGAAATTGCTCGTTTAATCCCGCCGTGGCAGAAATTGCGTCGCGGACTGTTTTCGGAATGTCTTCAGTGTTGAGAGATCCAGTAGTAAGAAGCAGGTTGGCATTGTTTGACATGTGCATGAGGACCTTTGAGGTGCCCCAGACATAGCTCAAGGCAACATAGCTGCAGTCAGGTGGTGTCTTGACAATGCAAGCCTTCTGCACATCTATGACGAATGCTGGCATGACTTTTGGAACGCTGCCTGGGGATTGAGTGCTGTGAGAGCACGTACCGTCGTGATTGTCTTTGCAGAGCTTGAGCCATTTTCTCAAAAGTTCAAAGTCCACCTTGTCAGGAATAATACGACCTCCAACGAGAGATTGGGGAGTTTGCTGCCTAGTATCGCTTGCGGGAGAAGCATGGCGGAGCGACTGAAGGTCCAAGACTCTACTGACCTGCCAGGTTCCTGGTATGTGGGTCTGGGGACCATCTTCATTATTATGCCTGTATTCGATAGTCGCAGTAGTTGTGTGAGTATGTTGAAGTTTCGTATCAGCAGGTAGTGACGAGATGACTAGATTCTTTCTAGCACGCAAAGTGACGTGCCCAGAAGACGAAGGATAAAGGCGTCGGATATGTCGATCTATGAGCCTGCAAAGGATGCATTGGTTCGTGCGAAGGGATATTTCGTGATTTGTGCCGAGCTTTGTATCAAACTCTGATAGCTCGCTTGAGTCTGAGCCAGACTCGGTACACCATCCAGTCGAGTTGGAATCCGAGTCACTTAATCCCTCTTCCAACGCAGAACCCGAGTCGTCAAAGCCATCTTCTGACACTGAACCCGAGTTATCACAATCACCATTGCAAGGCTTTGCTTGGAGGGCAATGTTATCAAAGTCGATATGGGAGCATACGGAGCACAAATTGTCCGTCATGACACTCACTAAGGCCATGATGGAGGGGATGTATAAGTTACTCAAAGTATTTTGTTCGTCTTTCTTCAGCGGTATGTATTAATAGATAATCCCACGTTGGGTACTCTTTACTTTGGCCCAGTCTTGCATCTTAGGTGTCAATTGGGCAGCACTATCAATATATGGAGAAGCAATATATTCTGGATTACTACATGATGTGGCTGCAATGGGGCTAAAACACTATTTGTCGAATACATTGGATGACTTAATTTGTGCCTTTGCTTTTGAGAAAGTTAATGTTGGGGAAAACGTCAAAAACATCATTCTAAGGGGATGCCATTTCTGGAGTTCCTTTGTCCAGAGGTTGAACAGCTGTATCCTGGGCTGCCAGTAACAATGTCTACAATTACAGGTCACCTGTCAGCCTGTCTCTGTCTCTGCTGCTCCTTAAGTTAAATGAGGGGCTCTACACTGCAATTTTAACCCTCTCCCAGGTGTGACAGACCACCAGATAATGCAAACATTACATTTATTCACTGCAATTTTGGTCCACTCTGAGAGTTGAACAAACAATGGACTTCAGTTACAATTACTGCGCCACTACCCAGCCATGAAAGCTTTGCACTGCATTTTTAACCTCTCCCACAGGTAAATCGAGGTGAGGGGAAAGGTCGTTACAGGATATAGACATACACAATGTTATACGTGCCAGGTGTCATATCCATCGTAGCTTGCATTAACAGAGTAGCTCACATTGCTTAGGCTCTTGAGAAAGTCGACCTTAGCAATTATCCATGAAGTCATCTAAGATACCTAGATAGGATATCATTTATAAAAAAAGTAGGATTCCAATAACATAGAATAGAAGGAAGAATAATTAGCATATAAGACCGAGTATCTCAGACTATTTATTCTACTGTCTTGATAGAGAGTTATACTTCTATTCTAATCTGGCAACAAATACAATGTCAAATCCCCTACCATCCCTTAGCCCTAACGACATAGTATTTAATTCCGTAGAAATATATAGTAGTAACTTCAATCGCCAGCTTGAAGATTACTACCATGGTAAGCACCGACATCAGCCAGTACAACAAAAACAACAAATGCGGTGTCAGGTTAAGGGTTTTCGTCTCCCATATCTCGAGACTCCGTTCGGTGTCTAGGCGAAGAGGGCCACTCGTTCTCCTACGATAGTAAGCGACAGTAAAAGGGTCCAGATAAGACGGTACTTACTCGTTGGCTGCGACTCGGTGCGTGCGCTCTGTGTGTTGATGGAGAGGATGAGGTGTTTGCTCTTTGTTGGCTGAGGGTGCATTCCTGGAAAAGCGTTGATGCGCACAATCATATTGATCATTTCGTCTCGACATGTCGGCCGGGTTATAAAGGGTCATAGTTTCTGACGTGGATTATTTTCAGTTGATAGAGGAGAAAACGAGTCAAGGCCCAAATCACACACACTGAAAGGAGTGATACAGTCGTAGTAGGGTAGCTGCTGGATAGTGTCGTATTCCAATATGAAGACAGGTCTTCTTTTCAGTGAAAAATTATTCCTGAGCTCCCTTAAATCTTGGGGCCTCTCTAATATACCCTCAGTCTCGTAGGCCAGAAGCAAGCGGGGTCGCCATTGGCTGTTGAACCTAAACGCCATATTGGTTAGTTCTATCCAATTGAGTGTCACCAGAATAAATCACGACTCATTCAAACGGCTCGGCGACGCCGTCCAGAACGACACCGGCGGCAAGTCTTTACTACAATCTAACATTGGTAATTGTATAGATATCGGAGTAGAATGCTTTTAATTATGTTATATCTAAAAAGAAAAAAAGAAAACGAAAAAAACGGCTCTATAATAGTAGGCTATAATTGTATAATTAATTATTAGTCTATAACTATATGTAGCTGGGCTACTACTATGATATCTCGTCCAGTGTCCGATAAGTATTAGACTATTATATATCAACGCTTTATAAAGTTTATTTGAATCTTTATGGCTGCTCTACTGTCTGTGAATAATTTCTCTTTTTCCGTCTCTATGCTAGTCTAGCCTTCAGTAATATTGACTTTTAAAGACTGGAATGAACCTGCTACATCATACTAGTCTAGTAGGATTCTCAGACTCTAGCTCGACTTCATCGCCCCACTGCTCTTATTATCCTCATCCACCTCACTGACCTGACTGATTTCATTGATCTGGTCAACATGGCCAGCGTCGTTGACCTGGGTGGTTGGATGGGGCTGGTTGGCTTAGTTGATCCAATCGGCATCTTTACGCTTCATAAACGCAGGGTTGCTTATTACTTGATACATCGTGTTCACAGCTTCTGACGCAATGACGCTCATTTGATTCCCTCCAGACCTTCCTCCTTGAAGTCTTTAGATTTATTCATATCTCACAATAAAACGGTTCATCCAGTCTTTGCCCAAAGGATCAGTGTCTCCTTGTTCCCGCAAGAGCCGCATAACGAGCTCTGTGGTCTGCTTATGCATTGGGATAGACTAAGCGCATTCTGCAGCACTATTCATAATATAACTAGCTTTTCCTGCAATGCTACAAAGCATTAATGGGATTTGTTCATTCATACTACTTTTGCTACCTCTAATACATACCTGTAATATAATTAGCAGGACATAATTACGACGGGCAGTGCCATTAATACTTTGACCGAGCGCAACGACTTCGTGAACAACGTGTTTGGCATATTTGGCGTCCTAACTTTTTTCTTTAGTTTTATCTTATCTCTCTATCTTATCTTATTGTCTCCCCGTCACCCAGCCTACCCTATATACTAGGTATGTAAATACGTCGAGCTTGCATTGCAATTTTAACCTCTCTCAAGGTTAACTGGGACGGAGGAAAGCGGTGGGACAATCCATCCAGTTTCGTTGAAGCTCTAGTTATAAGGGGCGGGGACTATAATTGCATTGGATGAGCTGCAGCTCTCACTGGGATTCCGAGACCTGGCAGGGACACATTTGGTCAACTTGCCTTGAAAAATAATGGAGGGGACATCATCCCGTGCGTCCCAGGCATAGCTACCATGCATTTGGCGTGCATGGCAGTCATCAATTTGCAGCGAATATTTACCTATGCGATATTATATTCGGGTACGGGTCCTCCAACCATGGGATACCACGAGATGGTATCCCTTCCAGATCGGCTTCATAAGCATTTCTCAAAGCCAACGTTCTTAAAAGCAAGAGCAATATGGACCAACCTATTGTACCTGGGTTATGTCAGTTCAAGCTAGTTATAGTGAGGATATGCTATCCAGAACGTGTGATGATGTGCGCCTCGCAGGCAGGTAGAAACGGTGTTTCTCTCGTCTTGATCTTCGTTTTGGGGAGATTAAAATTGCAGTGCAGCTCGTGTTGGAGTGAGGCCTGCTAATTGAAGCGGGCAGGCCATTCTTTTGTTCGACCCTCAGAGGGGACTTAAATTGCAGTGAATCTCCTGCCGTAAGCTCTCACTGGAATATGGGAACCTGGAAGGGGGTTTAAACTGCAGTGAAGGATTAGAACCAACATACACACCGGTGCCCCATATATGCATGCAGGCGCATTGTTCACTGCATTTTTAACCTCCCTCAAGAGTAGGTGGGCCGGGAGGAGAGAAGGACCATTACTGTATAACAGAGTAGCCTATATTGCTCTCATTCTTGAGAAAATCGGCCTTAATAAGTGCTCAGAAAGTTAATCTGGACGGGATATCACCTCGTGGGTCCTCCACACAGAGAGGTTGAGCAACTATGTCCGCCCACAATGGGTGGGACTGACAAGCTACAACAGTATCTGGTTCATGGGTCGAGACAATCATTCTTCATGACAATTTTAACCCCTCGAAAGGTCAACCAAGAAAGCCCGAGGAAAGCCTGCCGCTAGATGCAGGGACATATGAGAATGGGCGTCTGGGAGAACAATGGATTGGCAGCGAATTGGAGATGTTTCCTTTATACTGATATTTTTAGCTACCAGGGGAATTTGAGATGGTACTGGAAGCTGCTTGAGAATCATTTCTTGTCAAAGTTGGCCGTTTGCCTGTTCCCAGGTCTGAGTGGTAATTTCCACTTGTGTACTTACACCGAAGAGCATCCACTGCGTCCAAGTCTCGCTAAGAGATTGCAGCAGTATCCAGTAAGCGCAACTAGCTGTGGAGAAAGCCAGCCTTGCCCCCAGACTCGGGCGCATCGCCCTTTTACTGTACTTTTAACTCTTCCTAAAAGGTGTTCTAATTTTAAAAAAGCCAGCCTTGGAACTGGCATGTAGTTGGTGCACTGCAATTTTAACCCTCTCCCAGGCATTCCAGTGAGAGTCGCAGCTGAGTGTCACGTCACACTCGGGATACAAAACTTGCACTGCAAATTTAAAATCCCCCAACAGTAGATCAAGATGAGGGAATATCGTTGCTGCATACATTGCCGGACGTTCTGGACATGTTCTTCGCTGCAGTTTAAACCAACAGAGCCTACAACAGACTAGACTACTAGTCTTGCTATTCAAAAAAAATATTTATAAAATTATTTCTTTGCTTCATTTTCTCTCAAGGTCGAACAACTGTATCTCGGGCTGCCTCCCTCTCTCCAGACAAACTGACAGGTTAATACACTGTCACTGATACAACTCTACCCAATACAGTGCCGTCAACAACGTCCTGGTAGGCATCACTTCTATCATGCATCGATACCATGGGAGAGACAAGGGATATTCACTGCAATTTTAGTCCCTTCTGAGGGTCAAATAAGAGATCATGGACTTCAATTTCCGACTGTGAATGTCCGGCCTCCTGAATTTTCACTGCAGTTTTAACCTCCCCCAAGAGTTGATCAAGTCGAGAATACTGTTGTTGCCTGCAAGTCACACATTATCACACGGGCTGGACAACACAACCTTCCTTCAGTGCAGCTTAGACTAACAGGTTACAACAGACCGGTCCACACCACTCTTGCTCTTTAGAAAATTGACATTAAGTAAAAGAACAAAAAACAAAAGAATTGTAATGCCATTCCTTAGTTTCATTTTCTTCAGAGGTCGTCAAACAACTGCATCTCGGGCTGCCTCCCTCCCCATCTGGCAAAACGATGGATTGATACACTGCCACTGATGAATGCAACTCTGCACTACCCAATACCTGCGTGGATCACGACCCTAGCACTGGGTTTTGCAGGGTATTCTGTCCAGTATAAAGATTGTCGTGCACTGCACTTTTAACCCCTCCCGACCGGTCCCTCTGGTCTCGTCTCTCTTGCAGACTGAGCTGACAAAGGTTCACTGATAAACCCCACCCTCAAGTCAATCAACATGTAGACACTAGACACTTTCTCTGTAAACATAGACAGATCTCTATTCTTTCTAATCGACAAACAAACAGCTCGCTATCTATCACCTCCCAAATCACCTCTATAGCTCATCTCTAAACCGTGGCTTCTTAGGCTGTGTCCCAACATCCCATTTCGAAAAGTCACACGCAGCAGGCGTACCAACCTCCATCCTATAAACACACTTCTCACTCTCACTCACCCTCCAAAGCTCTTCCGTCTCAGCACAACCAAGCCAAACATCGGTCCTCCTCTGAGGTCCATTCCAGCACTGTTGACCATCCTCATACCGAAGAACAATCCTCTCACCCTTTCCAAGACTTTTACCATCGATTCGTTCTTCCTCGTCGGCCATCTCGCGATCGATACGCTTGAAGTTACCCATGTTGCTTTGTCCGTGTCCCTTTTTGGACTTTTGCTTGGTTCGGTCTAGCCAGCATTGCTCGTAGGTGTATTCGCCTGCTTCGAGAGAAACACACTTGCCTTTGAGGGCGCGGAAGATGTCGTCTGGGCCGTAGTCTGTGTTCAGGTCGGTTTGTTCAACTGAAAGAGAGGTTTGTTTGTCGGTGAGGTCGCGGTTGGCGGCTTCGAGAGCTTCGCGGGCGGCGCGGACGAGGGTGGATTCTTTGCCGGGGGTGGTGTTGTCGGCGAGCATACCGTTGGTAATAGCCCAAACACGGATGGAGTCGAGAGTACCGTGGATCAAAGAGCGGACAGAGGTAGGAAGGTAAGCCTCAAAGTTGTAGACTGGAGATGTTAGCAAAGCGTCATACTTCATGTGGTGGTTGACTTACGGATATCAGTATCACTTCCCTCACCCTCCTCAAACTCACTCCAGTTAATCCCATTACTCTCACTATCCTCCTTAAGAACACTCAAGATATCCTCATCAGGAATGACCTCATCAACAGCCGCCGCCTGACGAGCAGAGTAATCCTCGTACGACCGAATAGCCGCCTTGACACCCTCATCGTTGAAGTTGGGGTTATACTCGGTCTTGAACTTTGTAAGAAGCTCCTCGAGCTCACCGACTCGCTCCTTGAGAACATCACGTTGGTTGACGACATTGTCGAGAGCATCGCGAAGCTCATTGATGCGTGTCTTGGCCAATCCGGTGAGAACACCAAGCTTTCCACCGCCGTTTTCGTCACCTCCGCGAACAACTTTGCCCTTATCTTGTTGTTCTGCTTCGTGGTGTTTCTGCGCAAGATCCTCCTTCTTTGCCTCGAGGGTGGCAATCTCCTTGTTGAGGTCGGCAACCTTGTTCTCGACCTTTTGTCGAAGATCTTTTGCTTCAGTGACCATAGCAGCTCGCTTCTTAGCCGCATTTTGCATAGCCCTCTTCTTCTCGTCTTCTAATCTTCTGTACTCCTTGCCGATCTCTGCACACTTGTTCTCGCACTTTATGCCGCCGACACCACCGTATTCCTCTGAACCATCGCAGCAGAGCTCGTAGTCGCACACACCGTCGTTGACGTAGAGAAAAGGCACATACATGCCAATATGGCCCTTGTTGGCACACCAGAATCCAGGAAGAGCATTGGTCGTGTTGGTAGTGCCAGAGGAGGATCCGGCGAGAGGTTGTTCGGGGGAAAGAGGATCGATGTTGGCACAGGCAGCGGTACCTGGTTCGTCGGAGCCGTCGGGGCAATCGCACGTGTTATCGTTGATTCGATCGAGACTGAGCTTAATAGCAGCGTTGGTGATGCAAGAAAACTCCTCCTTGCCTTCGTAGTGAGAAACGACTAGATCTGTTAGCTTTTGGAGATAGCTTCAGACGAAAGTGCGTACATTCAGGGCCGACACCTCTAGGCACGCCGCCAGCAGCTGCCAGTGTAAAAGCGTATATAGCGCTAAGAAGCGCTACAGAATTCGGATGTTGCATCTTTGTTGCCGATTGGTTTGTGTTTGTGGAAGTGTAGAAAGAGAGAGTCGGTATGATGAAAGGTAAATGGCCAGGTCAGCTACTTACGATGAACCGGGGTGAGGTCTCCACTGAAATAACTCCTTGAGCTTCTGACGCTTCTGGGGAGAGGCCCCTGGGCGGTAAATTCTCGGTAGAGGGAACGGAATTTGATCCGCGGGGTGAGGGCACTAGAGGTGGGGGATGAGAAAAAAAGACAAGAAAATGCCCCTCCACGCATCATCTTCACAACACCACTCACTTACTGTCTACCACTACGAATATCATCATGGCCGCCACTCCAACAGAAGAAGAGGCTCGACAAGCCCTCGAAACCCTCATAACAACTGCATCAACTCTGATCCAACAACTCCAATCAGTCTTAACTTCCATCCAACGAAACCCAACAACCCCCTCCGCCACCGAAACAACAGATATCGACGCTCTCGCTCTAGCCCGCGACTGCTCCTCCCTCATCCGCGCCCACGGCACAAAAATCTCCTTGCTCATCATCAACGAACCCTTCACACCCAGCGCTCTCACCACCGTCGTCCGCGAACTCGTCAAGGGTCCTATTCCAGGCCTCGCTTCCGCCGTACAAGCCTGCGAGACGAAACTCTACACTTCTGTTGTCCGAAAAGAACTAGCATATCGTGCTCAAAAGGTTCTAACAGAATTATTAAACCTTTTGAACCGTGTTCCAAAGGATGGAAAGATTCTTTCTGGTGTGGGGAGGGATAGTGGTTCGGGAAGTCTTGCGCTGACGGGTATGTTGTGGTCTGCGTGCGATGAAGTCGTTGCATTGGCAAATATGGGAGTTGGAGGTTTCTTTGTCAAGAAAGCTGAGGAGTGGAGAGATACACTCAAGGATGTCATGGAGGAATTAAAAGAGTGGGGGGAAGAAGAGGATGATGAGGATGAAGATGAAGTGGATGATCTCGCGGAAAAGATGAACGATGCCTCACTTTCTAACCAAGAAATCCTCGACGAAATGATGAACTCTTCATCTACAATTCCCCGCTCCGACCCTGATAAAATCCGCCCTCGTCTCGATTCAACACTCAAGCGTCTACGAATGGTAGTTCTCTTATACCAAGCCCTTTCGAAGCGCCGTTTCAAGAAACTGCCCAAGGATACTACAAAGGGAGATATGCCCGGTAAGCTGGACAGCACTGCGAATGTGTTGGCTGGATTACCAGACAAGTTTGGTGATTTGGCAGAAGCCTTTTACGAATTGGATGGTGAGGAGATTGATAAGCTTATGGAGGAGTGCTTTGAGAGTGCTGTTGGTGTGAGTGAGGTTCTCAAGATTGGTTGGGAGGGGGAGAGTGATGAGTTTAGTGAGTGGATGGAAAAGTTCAAGGTTGAAGTCAAGAAGGCATAGAGCCGATACGAGAAATGGATTAAAGTATAGTTACAAGACACGACAATCACTCAGATCGAAACGAAATGTTTAAATAATTCTCATCATGGCATATGTATGCCCGCTATTTGCAACCATTACTACATACAGCGCTACCTTATACAAAGTACAAACTGCTCAATCTTCATACGTGCTTCCATCTTACTTCATGTCTTAAAAACGCCTGTACACATCAGACTCCCCTCTTCCATGGTACAGCTCCCATCTAAACATCCTTCTGCTCTGTGGCAGGTTGGTGTGTGCGTATCGGCAGCTGTGAGTGTCCGAGTTGCTTATCCTCGTGTTCTGCATCATCTGCCGGGGCTGGAGTTTCTGGTGTGACCATAACTGCTGGTGTTGCTAGGCCACTGCTGGGAATAACTTCGATCTGAGCAGGTGATACACCCTCAACGTGTTCTGCCTCTGCATCTTCCTTATCATCCTCTTTCACTTGTGATAATGGTCGGGCATATCCTGTTCCGTCGGGGGACTCTCCTTCGTCATGGCGCAAGGAACCGCTGTCGAGATCAGCACCAACCATCTGAGCCAAGCTGCTAAAGTTGAACATGGGTTCAGAGCCAGCACTTCCACCATCGCGTTCTCCATCATCGCTGTAGGCGAGGCTCAGTCCACTAGACCGAGGACCCTCATCAGCGCCAGTGCCAAGGTAGTCAGGTCCAGTGTATGTACCAACGGGACTATCGTTGACAGAAGATCCCGCTGAAGAAGCATTGCTCATTTGTCTCAAATGTGAACCCCCTCGCGAAGGGCCAGACGGTAGCGGCAGAGAACTCGACGATGAAGCTGGTCCGGCTTGCGTATCTGATGTGCTTCGATCAACCTCCTTGCCCTTTCCAGTGTTGTCGTTCGCCTTTGGTTCTGCGGGTGAGTCCGGGTTACTCGACGCTTGCGAAGCTCTCGACATGGTCGCTTCCACACGTAGATTGCTGGCAGTACTATTGCCACGTCGACGTCCCAGCCCACCGAGAGACAAACTGCTGGCGCTGGCTCCGCTGGCGCTTCCGCTATAGGGATTGCCGCCCTTCTTGGCCGCTTTGCGCTCCTCCTTTTCTCGTCTCTTGGTCTCCTTTCGGATGGCCTTGTCCTCTTTTCGTTTCCGTTCCTCCTCAGACGCAAGGGACAGACGGACTGCTTCCATGAACATCATATCCTCAAGCTCCTCCATACGGTTCCTTCGTCCTGTGCCGTTCCGCGAAGAGCCTCTAGCTCCGGGTTCTGGCCCCTCATCTTGTGCGCCGTCCTGAGTCTGGGTCTGCCCACTGGAACCAGCATTGTTACCGTCGGTGTCTAGGTTTCGTGTATTTCTTCGACCGAGTCTGGGTGCTCGGAGTATGGTTCTTTGCTCATTTCCTCCCATGAGAAAAGCAGCTGTGTGGAGAGCGGTGGCAGCAGCCGCTCTGCGTGCTTGGTGGTTCCGTGCTGCTGCAAGCTTCGCTGCCCAATCGGGACGTACACGGTCAGTCGTTATAACATTCGGCGCGTTCGCAGACAAACTATGTGCGCGTCGACGGCCGGGTATAGGAGGAGTCTGAAGAGTACTGCTTAACGAGGTCTGCGAGGACATGGCTGTGTTGTGTGGAGGATTGCCCGAGAATACAAGGCCCCGTCGGAAAGGGGGAGGTTCGTAGGTGACACCGAATTCAGGTTGTTGACAGTAGGGACAGGCGGACGGCTCTGAAATGAGCATCTCGGGAGGGTCGTCAGCGTTGAGTCCTTCGTTGGGGTCTCGAGCTTCGCCGTTGGGATGATGCTCGGGGAGATGGGGATCAGTGCGCTTGATCTGAACAAAGCATTCACTGCAGATAGGCTGGTCACAACATCTGGTGTGGTTCAAGTAAGGTGGGTATGTCAAGAAACAGATAGGACACTCATCAGCATCCTTGTACAAGAAAACCTCGAGAGGCTGGCCGTTGACAAAGGGATCGTATGGTAGAGAAACCTCCTTGGGACTCAAGTCGGTTGACGAAGCATTTCTCGAGCCTCCACTGAGGGCAGCTGCAAGAGCTTTGGCTCGGGGCTTGAAAGCTGTCTTTCCCGGTCCAGCCGTGGATGGCGAGGGAAGAGCCGACCCTGTGTTGGACCCGCTACGATCTGATGCCGCAGAAAGCGTTCTGGGCCCCATTGGGACAGTCAGATTCTGTAGGTTGTTGTTGGATGCGGATGGGTTTTCTGCTGCTGCTGGTTGAGGGATAAGCTCTGGGTCGGGCGGCGCATCGGCGGGAGGAATAGGAAGACCACGAGCAGCAGCAATAAGTTGATGCTCAGCCCAACTTGAGGACCAATCATTCAAGCCTCGCCAGAAAGGCGCAAGCTTTCTTTCGACCTGTACAATGTCAGCTTATTGAGACAAAGGATAAGAGCAGAAAAGCGTACCTGTAGCTGTCTCACGACAGGCTTACTAAAATCCTCAGTACCAGTATAGGTACCCAACGTTACCAGATAACCTCCATCAACGTGCTCTTCACGTATACTCCTCTCCCGTTCTTTCGCTCGGGCCACACGCTCCCTTTCTAACCTCCTCGCCTCGCGCTCTTGCTTAGTTTCGCGACGTTCAAAGGGGGCATCTTGTTGCTCGCGGTTGCGGGAAGAGCTTGGGCCGAGGCCAAAGATGTTGATTTCGGCTCTGCTGATACGGCGACTTGATCTGTTATCTTGTCGTTCTCGGAGATGATCGCGAATAGAAGGATCGAGCGGTTGGGAATAACGTCGAGAGGCGTCGCCTTCGGGGCGAGACTCTTTTGTGCTCGAGTTACCCATGCTGAATTGTGAGAGACGAAGCAGGTGGGTGGTATGGCGCGATCGCGCACTTGGGTTGGTCTTATCTGGCGTCTAGCCTAGGCCGAGGGTTGTCAACGTAATCGATGGAGATGCTGGGGAGAAAAAAGAAGATGCAGTTGGAACAGATTGATGAATTGCGTGCATGCGTTGTGTTGTGTTGTCGTAAGTTGCGCGATATCGAGACTCAATATTGAGCTTGTCTTGATAAGTCAAACGGTTACCGGATGTCCCGCGATAGCTTAGAGTGGAAATGGAAACGGGGGAGGGGCGTCAGACGACTGGGGTCTGTCCAGGTCAGTCAAGGACTCTTGACCACAGAGGGCATCTCGCGGGAGCCTATCAGGTATGATCTGTAGAGTCGCGCTGGTGCTGATGAGATGCGTTGGCCCAAGTTGAGGATGATGACAGTTGAGCGATAACGGATGTTGTTGATGATGATTGGGGAAAAAGAAGCAAATAGTAACCGTAACAATGCAGTGGAGGTTGGGGGAGGGAGGGAAGAGGTCGGGTGGATAAGCACCTGCCTCATGTGCTGTAACAAGCCCCCCAAGAACAGAAGATCCAGGGCTATAGCGCCTCGGGTAACATACAGTTGGCCTAAGCTTTAGTGACTAAAAATAAAAGCACAGGATATTAGACTACAGTCGTATAAACTGGCTTGTTAATTTCGTCTGTCCCAAGATTGAAAAAGAGTCTGGGCCTGACTTGAACTCGGATACTGGAGCCCGTGAGCCAGGCGGGCGGGTAAATGCTTAGGTACCTCCTAACGCTGAATCCGATCCAATAGCGGGGTAGCGTGAAGCTATTTCCTTGCTGACAGCGGAAAATTAATAACAAGACAAGGAGTAAAGCCGAAGAATGGATTCATGCTACTATTTACAGAGTAGAAGAAAAAGAGGCATTAATTTCTTTTGCATATGATGTGGTGTCCACGTCAAAGGAACCATCTCAATGCAACTGGGTATGTACAAGCGTCGTAAGCTATGGAGTTAAAGTAAGCTACTAAACTTTTTGGCGTGGAACTTTTTTTTTTGGGTATGATATCGTGGTCATATTCATCCATGCCAACGTTAGCAGGGAAGTAAACCAATTTCCAGCTACACGAGGCTTATCTACAAGCATCATTTTAGCCAATTTCCTGTCACGATAAGAGCAATATTCTTCTTTTTCTCAAGTATTTCTTTGACTGATCTACAAAGTCAACGATCTGCAACGTCAGCCCTGACTCGCAATTCTCAATCAACGTCATGAGCCGTCATTAGAATATGAAAAACATGGGTCTACTAGGATCCTTGAACCTAGACAGATCAGGAAAAAACAAGGTCAATCAATGTGCCTTGTTTCACCTTCACCTTGGCTCTGGCTTCTCACCGAAATTTTAGAGATTGATGAACAAATTGGACGATGAAACAGATGGTATTGACGTTGCTTTGCATGAGAAACAAAATCTGGGCGCCATATTATAACTTGAGTAATTCCTGTGTGATGTTGTCAAGTACTGGCATTATGTAGATCGTGACTTGCTCTAATTGTGATTTCTATCTCTATACTCTTCATATCATCATTCATCATAAACCTTCTACTTCGTCGGCGCCCAAGCCTGCAACCAGTCCCTCATCCTATCCAAACTCCCCTTCTCAGTCTCCGCAGCAGCAATGCACCACTCAACATCCCAAACTCCCTCACTAGCCATCATCTCGGCCAACTTCCTCCCCCTCTGACTCCCCTCATCCGTGCAAAAATACAACACCTTGCTCATATCCATAACATCACCCAGCAACGGCTTCACCAACGGCAACACCTCCCTCGCACTCGAAGGTTTGGGTTCAAGACCTGCATTCACGCGCCCTGTCTTACACCACTCATTCGCGCAGTGTGCCTTTCCACAACCAGTCATGAGTTGACCTAGATAACGTCTTTCGATGCGGCGTTTGAGGGCTTTGCCTTCGGGATCGTGCATACTGACGTATAATGGTCCGAAACAAATTGAACAAAGACCAATGTCGTTGGAGGCTTGATCTTCGGATGGGGATTGACGGACTTGACCTCTTGATCCGACGCCAAACATTGTTCTACCGCAGTTTGCGTTGCGACATATTGGTGGTGTGAGACGGGATACTTTGTCGAGTTCGTGATGTTTGAGATGTGTCTCCATGTCTTTTAGACGAACGATTTTATCGCATAGGTGACATTCTGTTGTGCGTGTGCCGTCTGCTAGTTCATGGGCTGTTAAGCCAGACATGAGGACTTCTGGACTGGGGTTGAAAGGGTCTCCTTCTTGAGGGACTTCGAGATGGCAGAAACGACAAAGGATTATTTTGCCGGGACACACGCTTGTGCAGTGTCTCGCCAAGTCAGGTAACGAGTTTGTCGTAAATTCGCAATTGAGGCATTGCCGTTCTGTGTGAAAGACATAGTCGTGCTTCTCTTTGCTTGTTGTCGAGTTACCAAACGCGTCGTCCTTTTCACAATGCCAATGCGCCTCCCATTCTAGAGAACCCTTTTTGAAGACGCTTTTACAACCAGGGCATACAATATTGTTCCTTCGACAGAAGTTCTCGTGTAGCATCATTGTTCGTTTGGGTATAAATTGCAGACAATTGCTACACTGCTCATCATCAGGTGAGTGTTCTTGACCGTTGGTCCCGTTTGATGCTCCGTTCGGCCCGTCGTGTTCGTCTGGTAGATACACTTTCGCTCGCAACGTATACTGCGACGTCTTTTCAGGCCCATCCATAGCATCTGGATGTTTATACGCATGTACCGATATCGCAATCTGTTCTACGCCCTCGAGCTCGACATTGGTAGGACTTATCACAATCCTCTTGACGCCGTTAATGGTAGGTGAAAAGTCACCAAAGACATGAACATCCTCCCGTGGCAGAGCCCTTTGTCGAGCACTCTTTGGCGAAACGAACAAATCAATCGCGTGGTCGTCTTCGCCGGTATTCAATTCGATGGCCAGAGGTTGTGATTTGTTCCATGAAGGAAGCGTGTAATGAACGTATCCGCCCTCAAGAACTTGTCCATCAACGGCCTTCCAGACATCAATCTCGCCGCCTGTCGAACTACCTGTCGATCCTTTCTGTTCAGATATTATTCGTCGTAGTGTTTCTCGCGCTTGCTCCTCGTCCAAAGCTTCGATATCGACTTCGAGGTCTGTATCCACCACGCAAATGCCGTCTCCTTCAGGCGCAACTTTGTCCACGAGAAGCTTGAACTCCTGCCCGTGGGCGCCCTTGACTGCTATCATTGACCCTTTGCTAAGTGTCGTAAAGTTTTCTCGTAGTTGTCGTTCAAGTAGCGCTTTCCAGTCGTCGGGATTGTAGCCTGCTTCCAAGGGTCTGAATCGCACGTATGTACCCTTGGGTAATTGTCGCGCCTCGACCTTGATTTGAATACCGTCGAGTTCGATCTGGTCCTGCTCCAAGTCTATAACTTCTTTTGAGGACGTATATTCATCTTCTTGTATACCCAAAGCTTCAGTTAACCATGGACTCAAGCCCATTGTTCCCTCGGTCGCGGAAAACTCCCTAATACCCGCAAACACAGCATTTTTGTTCTTTGGGTTCACGAGTCGGAATATCAACGGGTTCGGTAGTTGTTGTGCGCTATCGGCGTCGGTTGATGTGTAGGACCATGGGTCTGATCGCGTGGTAGTTGTCGAAGGTCGAGATCGTGCGGCGGCGAGGAGTTGTTCGAGAGCTGATTGAGGGAGAAGGATCTTATCGCCTCGGAGGTTCTTGGTCGCTATTGTAGAGGGGTTCACGACTGGCAATGCGCTTGACCAGCGCAAGGGTGTAGGTTCTTCCATGATGGGAGTTGTGTAGTTGGGTAAAGGTAAAAGGCGATGCGAATTGATCAGTGGTGATTGATTTGGTGGGGTTGGCTAGACGCAATTACGTAGTGGGTTAAGTCATGACAAGTGTAGCAAATGAGAATATGTCAGATTAAAAGTATGATTGAGGTATTCTACAGCACCTATAGAGGAAACATATTAAGAATGTGAACAAGCAAATAAACAGACAGGAACAAGCTCAAGCGGCAATGCTCAGTCAGCCAATTTGGTGACGTTCTTCTAGCATCGTCTGGAAAGACGCATCAGAATTGAGCTGCCTGTTTGCTTTACTAAGCTGTTATCGATAGCGGACAATAGATCGTCCGACACACTTACCCCAGATTTTGAGGAACGGGGAGATGGATATTCCTATAGTTGTTTGACCAGAGACAAGCTGTTATCATGCAAGCACATTATTAATGCTACTTCCTTATCTCTTGTTTCAAGCATCGAGTGTCAATCTACGCATTGGCCTCGAGCACAGACAATATTTGAGCTTGAAAACATGGTTAAAATTAGACTACAAACTAGAAGTGAGACACGGCACTTAAAACATGGAATGTTCCCAGACCCCATCCAGGGTAGGAGATAGCAGTCACCAGCTATATATGCCACCTATCTACTAACCTACCTTTATCGAAATGAATAGTGGCAGTCTAGAATAATAGACTATCTACTCGTAATCTTATAAGTTCAGTATTATGCGGATACGCAAAGATCCATGCCTGTAACTCATAGTCTTGGCATTTTGATCTCATGTCGATCGCAACATAGAAACGATACAAGTTGATCATCATGGCCTTTGCACACCGCTATTGCTACATGCATAATGTCTCATAAACGGGAGTGAAACACATATTGTATTGTTTTCTGTTTCTGCATATTACCCCCACAGAGAGGGTTGCATACATACATAGTAGTAGAGAGCTGAAGCCGGTTGGTGGTTATGGTGAAGCGGCATTCCATCCCCGGAAACGCAAACAGAAACAAGGTCTAAAAATACGCCACTAAAAAGAATGACGATGATGATGGGGATTGGCAGGACAAGTTTCAGACCACTTGGATGTTCATCATTGATCAGTACAAAAAATAAAAAATAAAGTGAAGCTATAGGTGAGGCTTACTTGGCGCGGTCTCTCGGACCCCGAGCTTGTTGAGCTGTTGTAATTGATCTACATGTTGATCAGGACAGCTTTATAATTCGGGGTGTATGTGCGCTCTGCGGCACAGCACATACTATGCAGCTTCTCAAGTCATGCAAGAATGAATCTCATTTAGCCGTATAGTTAGCATCTCTCTTCTCATTTACCTCCGCTGACCTAACTCAGGTAGGAGAAAGGGGGAGACAAGAGTGCTGTATTCTTGGCGCATTTGATCAACAAAACACTGACCACCCCAGTCAGGACCCTACATGACAGAGCTCCTCTCCTCGCACCACCACTACAACCCCTGTTAATAGTCTTAGCTCCCGTGGTATTGAATGGTGCGCCTCTGCGATAAGATCCAAATCTTGGTGATGCCATATTGTCAAAGAGATACTCTCAACAGTCCAGTCTCCAATCCCAATCCCCCACCCCATTTGACGGGCCGATTTCCTATAGCCTATTCCTATTCCCCCCTTCCAAAACGCAGACCACATATTCTTTTACGGCTTTCCGGTTCAGCCGGGAATTTACTCTGTTGAGAGTATCCGTACATGTAACCCCCACTCTGCATCTGCCCATCTGATCTCGGGGCGATTGAACATCATATCCTCATCAAGCTTCTTGTGTAATAAATAGTATCAAGAGGTTTGAAGCTTGATACAACGTGCTGTAGATCATTGGACAAGTCGATATGCACACCCCTTTTTGAGATTAGATGCGATACAATTGAAGTTTGTCTTTTGTTATCCTCGCCAATCCAATCTCATCTCAGACCATCTTGGCTGTGTGTCTCCCCCATCCCACCCAAACAGATCAATTGTCCCCCGGATGAAGCTCCTTTCCTTTTTAGTTACTGGCATGTCGTCTGTCTATATAGATATCCTCAATCCAACCTCCAAAATGTTCCCTTCTCATCTTCATTCTTCTTTTGATACAGCACCATTACTTTATATACTCATGCCAGCCTGACATGAGCCAAGTTATCGTCGACCATCACACGCGCGCAGAGATCATCCAGATCCAAGGTCCGACCCTTTTTGACACACTCTACAATTCTTTGATCCTTAGACATACACTTCCTTACCTTCCCGTGTCTGGTCTTCTTAACCTCGCTGCTACTTGTCGTGATATTCGGTATTTGCTTCACGAGACGCCTGGTGTCTTTCGACATTTGGACCTTACGAGAGTCAAGACTGCGCATTGTCAAGACACACAAGACAAATCGGAACGGGATCTTGCGGTTTGGCATAATGTCAATCTTTCGGACTACTTGACTGAAGATGAGTGAGTCGATACCCACATCACATCCTGGTCCTGCGACCACTTTAGCCGGCGCATTACCTACCCCAGTGAGAGGAACAAAGTGCAGCAGCTTACATGTCACAGCTTCTACGCAGGTCCCTTGAGGGGCATATTCTCTACTCTACGACAACGAGACATTCTCGTCCATGTCCAATCCCTAATCCTCGACGGTTTATCTGTTACGGCCGAGCTATGCCACGACATCATCAATGACCCCAACTACAGCGTCCGCATGCTTTCCATCAGAGGCGCACAGAACCTGAATCATGGAAAGCTGCGCGCCGCACTAGCATACGCCTGTCGCAGCTCGCGCCCAGAAAACACCCCGCGCCTCAAAGCTCTGTACGTCTTTGGGGACCACAAAGATGAACAAGCCGATGCGGACGCATGGTGGTCTCGAAAAGGCCGCGTGCTGGAATCTACGAATGATATGGATGACTGGGCGCAGTGCATGCTGGCCTGTCAAGGCATTATTTCCTTTGACACAGTCCTCTGCCAAGGTCCACGACACGCAAACTCACCAGCATTTGGTAAAACATTTGCACGGTCACCATGCAACCCAGCTATAGCTACATTTGCGATCAGCGGTTGCGCAGGCTGTGGTGAAGCTCCAGAGGGTGTAATGACAGCTCAGACGCGCTACACTTGTCTCCCACTACTAAGTCCCCCGCCGATCCTGGCGTCATCCGTGCAGGCGGCCACGACGCCACGACCAGGCCATGAGGAATTTGTACCGCGCTGCGCGGGATGTTTGAGTGATCGATTTTGTGTTACTTGTAACAAATGGTGGTGCGAAGCGTGTTATCAACCTTTTGGAGGAGGAGGTTGCGCTCCAGCTGCTAAGAGACATGTTTCAAGAAGTTGTTGGGAATGTGGGATGAATTGTGATGAGTGCATTGAGAAGACGCAAAAGGTGTGCAAGAAATGCTGTGGTGGGTATTGTCTTGTTCACAATGAGGGATCTTCGAGTTCTTTTTGTGATTGGTGTTTTTCTTCTGGTCGTGGTCTCCGACGTGTGTGAATCGCAACACCACCTGCACCATCACCACCACACATCAGATGCTCATCTGACTGAAGGGTCTTCACATGTTTTGTTTTGCGAGGTGTTACTATGAGCTATTGTTTGTCTTTGGAGTTTAGCGTTTTTATGTATGTAACAAGGAATGAAACTCGACTCTACTCTTCAGATACTCAGGATGACCACTTTTCCGTATCCCGCTTAGTAATTTTGTACGTACAGTCGATCTTTAGTGGTGCTGAATATGGGGCGATGGCATCTGCATCTCAGACCATGAATAATAATCCTTGCCAGACCGGAAAGAGAGAAAGTCCGACTCATGGAAGGAATGGAATCAAGATGGAACTAGTGTAATAGTCATGACGATTGGAGATTCATCATGACTCCAATTGACATCTCTCAACAATGCCATGATTACAATGTCAACGACATGTCAACACAATGTTACAGTGACACAAATAACGCAATTGAATGCTTAAATTGCGCACTCGACCCTTTCAGGTTTGGTCTGGACCCGTCGGCGGTACTCATCATGATTCATCAATTAATCTGCCATCGTGCTTGTCAATGATGGATCGCTCGATTGAGGACCCCTAAGGAAATTACCGACATATGGACCCTTGTTTATCTTTTGCAAGATGTTAATAATGATAAGCAGAGATTTCTTTGCTCTTAGATATTAATTCTTTTGATCCCTCTACAATACCGCTCCGAACCGAGCTTTGCGCTGCCCCTCCACCAAAAAAAGAGCTTCCCCCACTATCCCGATTGCGCCGCACCTAAAAAATAAATTCGGACCCTGACGATCTCTACTTTTACTTCTCTCTACCATTACTTCTTGCCAGACGTTATCTCTTTGTCCACGATACTCGGTACTCGATGCTCGAAATGGCCCAGCGAAAACCTCTCTCCGAGGTCCTCCCTCCTCTCATCCTCGGTACAGCCACCTTCAACGTGCAATACCATCCCGACCCTACAAAAATGCCCTACACAGATATCGTAGGCCGCGCTCTCGCTCACAACATCCTCGCTTTCGATACATCTCCTTACTACGGCCCCTCCGAGATTCTTCTCGGTGATGCGCTACGAAAATTGACCCCGCCGCCGCCGCGCGAAGGTTACTTCATCATCACAAAAGCCGGTCGCATCGCAGGAGACGAGTTTGACTATTCTCCCGCTTGGATCAACTACAGTGTCTGTCGCAGCCTCGAAAGACTGGGCACGTCGTACCTTGATCTTGTCTACACCCACGATGTCGAGTTCGTTTCGCCTGAAGAGGTTCTTGCTGCTGTTACCGAGCTTCGACGATTGAGAGACCTGGGTCTTATTCGATATGTTGGTATTAGCGGATACCCTGTTGATACCCTTGCTTCGCTTGCGGAGATGATTTTGCGCGAGACGGGAGAGCCTTTGGATGCTGTCATGTCGTACAGTAACTTTTGCATACAAAACAACAAGCTTGGAAACCAGGCGCTACTGGATCGCTTCAAGGCTGCCGGTGTTGACTGTCTTCCCAACGCTAGTATGCTGGGTATGGGCCTTTTGACAACACGAGGTATCGACAACAGCCCTATGCGCGCTTGGCACCCGTCTCCTCCAGAACTGCGCGACCTGTGCGCCCAGCTTTCCACCATTGCGCAAGAAGAAGGCGAGCATCTAGAAGAAGTGGCTATCCGATGGGCCCTCGAGAACTGGGCGCACATAGGCTCACAGTTCGGTACACACCTCAACCCCAGCGATACAGGTCGTCTAGGTGTTAGTGTGATGGGTGTGTCGAGCGTGGATGAGCTAGAAGAGACATGGGCTTTGTGGACGAGTGTGGTTGGACTTGTGGGCGATGAAGAAGCTACACAGCGAAAAGCCAAGATTGAGAGGATTGTGAGAGAAAAGATGTGGCCTACGTTGGGAAGCTGGAGGGATCACACTTGGGAGAGTGGTGGTCCTGGGTTTGTGAATACGAGAGCGATAGAAGATATGGGTGTTGTGCCAAGGGATGAGACGGCGAGGAGATGGGGGTTGATAGCTGCTCCGTTGGATATGCCAAAGATTTAATGGGTTATGAAATAAATAGAATACACATGATTTATGTTGAGTAGACATTGATTGTTCATATGCACAAAAGTGATGTGCTCAGCGAGTTGCTTGTCTGTCGTGTGTGTGTTGATCTTGGAGTCAATTGGAGATTTGAGTAAGATCAAGATAAGAGAGGCCAAGCGAATATGCACCTTGGCACCACTTCATCTCGCATTCAATCTTGCCTTAGCGTCGCGCTATGCTACAACTGCCGTGCAGATCTACCCAGATCTACATTTCAGCGTCTCAATCGAGACATGTGAATGGATATTGAGGTGAGTTAGACATGATCATTGTGGGAGGATGCTATGTTCTGACATGACCAGGCGACAAAAGAAGAGTGTTGACTTAATGTTAGAAGTACACTCAGGTCCACACAGCAAGCTTCTTTGCATGAAAGCCTCGCCAAATATCACCGTGGAACGATTTGGAGAGATAGAATAGTACCATCGAGATCATCATCTCGACTACCATGCCGTCATAACGCCTTGAATTCTGGCATCCCATGCGCACCAGGGCCCTTTGTCAGAACGACACACGAAATGGCATGTCATCTATCTAGGCAGGCATGCCGGTATCAAAATAAGGTTCCTTGGATTGTAAATGATTTGGGCTCTGTGAGGTGGTCCGAGAAGAATCCCCATGGTTGCGCTGTGATGCCTTGCCCAGGGAACGGGAACAGAAGGACCGGGATTTGTTTACCGGTGGGAGAGGTAATTGTGATTCGAGGAATGGTGTGTTCCATTTTGACGATCGAATCTGGCCAAGAACCGGCCCAGCGTCGCTTGCAAGTTTCCAATTTGCCATCTTCACTGAACTTGATGGAAGAACTACCGAGACTGCGCTGGCTTCTCATCCAGCAAGAATCTTACCACAACCCATATTTTGACGCGGCATTTCCTCGTTGTGATGACTTCCTCAACCCCCCTCGGGGGTCTTGTCAGAGACATAAAACCCATTGTACGGCAGGCATTCGGGGATATATTAAGGCCCAGAAACCCGGCTTCTAGTTCTTGGGATTAGAATGATTAGGGCAGCCTGCTTTGAAAGGGCTCTTTGTGGGTATTTTGATTTGAAGGTTGCATTCGGCCCGGGAATGACCGTCAACCGAAGTTCAACTTCCCGAGACCCATCGCGTCTCCAAATATAGCACCTTGGAACGGAGAGTGAGCAATCTTCAGGACCCTGTCCACACCTGTGGACTGGCATGGTTCTAGTACAGATTGAAGGCTGTTATATATTGGCCTCTGGGTTCCCTGTAAGTGTTGATCGATTGAATCATAGTGGTAGAGTTGTTTGTTTTTATAGAACCACTACAGGGCGACCTATGCCCTCACCTGCCGACATGTTGCACCCCAGGCAAGGCGACCCATCCAGGCCGATTATCGAAAGAATAGATATCGACACAGCACCGACCTGACTTTATTAATAGTTATGCAGCCGTCTCAACCAGTGTATGACAAGCTGGCTACAGCTTGCAGTGAGGACCCTGAATGGGCATGACATGCCCTGTGTCTTCGTTATCTTCAAACGGCATAATAACCATTCTGTATTTAAAATACTTTCTTTTGGTCCCTGAGCACATCTTGAATGCCATCCCAGGCCATCTTCTGTCCATGTCTTTCTCATCTCGAACCAACAACTTTTGTCCACGCCTTCATTTTTTGGCAGTCTCAACTCCTGAGCTAATACACCTACCAAGAAACGGACCAATTGTTCTCACGCTTGTCAGTGCAAGGATAATTGTCGAACGGTGCGACATGAATTACAACTAGATTGCAAAATATGCATCCGACCAAGTTGGGAAACTGTTTACTCATAAGGCTATGATGGAAATAAGTACACAAAGCGACTCCGGGTCTGTTTTGGCAGACGACAACGCCATGCCCCGAGCTATTGGCGTTTCCTCGCTTGGCTTGGTTGTCTTCTATATTTTGACCAATTGTTCGCATCCGTTTGACTGCGTACATCCCTACATGAACTCAGAGTGCAGTATCCGCATGCCTGGCAGGAGCTGGACTGAGACAATGCTCTGCCCTGCAGGTAATTATCACCCTGAGCCATTCTTCTAAAGCGTAGCGCCTGTTAATAAACATGTAAACTGTTGGTGGCTTCACTTCAAAGCTTGTGGAAATAACAAAATAATTTACCAGAGTTCCATACGGGGATTGTTGGTGGGATATCATCCTTCTAGTCCTCAAATGCAGCTGCCGATCCCATGTTTTGCTACCCATCCAAGCTTCTACTCTCCATCTTGTCACCATGAAATGGCAGTCTTTTCTCGCTTTCATGAGCGCAGTCCGGGTTGCTACTGGTCTAAAGCTCATCGACGAGCCTGAGGATAATGGTGTCATTTGTTATACGTACCTTTCAGCCTATCTTGCTGCTGTAGACGTTGAGACCGCTGGCCCAGTACCAGTCCTTCCTACAACGCGAGGAATTCTCCCACCATATTTCACCAACAGATCCACGTCTGCTGTTCCCCTGTCTACATTTCCAGCAGACCGAGAGTCTTCGACTGTCCTCCAGGGCCTGGACTCTACTGCCGCTCTATTTACCTCGTCAGACTTTGCTATCCCAACAGAGTTCACTGACATTGTCTCTCCTACTAGAGCTATCTCGAGCGATGTCTCTACGACAAGCTCTGAGGCTGAAGTAACAAGCCAGACTGTTATCCTCTTCATTGTACCAGATACTGTCAATGAGAGACGGAGACTGGTTAAGAGAGATATCCCTGGAGGTTTCGTCAATGGAGTCAACCCAGTGGACATCTGCACCGATGCCGATATCTTCCGACTTGCAGACGGACAACTCTTGGATAATGGGAACCCGGTCTACTACGGCGGCGAGCCCTATAAACCATTTGGTAGCGATGACACGCCGCCCGATGGTGCAACTACAAGAAAGTTCGCCAACGTGAATGGGAGCCTTGTGTTTACCAGCAGCTTGTTACCCGGTACTGGCTTCTGTCAGGATGATAGCGGGCAAGTGTACATCACGTTTGGGTCACGTCCTCCAGGATGCGACCCTGTTTTGCTTCAGGTCTATACTGGCAAGTCAAGGATCAATTATCCTTCAAAGACCTGGTGCTAACTCTCAGCAGTTGAACAATGTCTAAATGGTGAAATACCCGGGCGCGATCAATCGAGCTCAATCAGCGGCGACGCGACTCAATCCACGGTCACCGCGTCGACAGATGTAGGTAGCTCGTCTGTGTCACTTGGACCTCAAGAGCCGACATCAAATATACTTGCCGAGCCCACGGATATATCACGCTCCAGCGACAGTCCCACTGTCGCGACGGAAACATGATTGACAGTCACCACAAACGAAGCAGCAATCGCCACTACAGACTCGTCATCCACAGACCTTTCCTCGCAATCTTCTTTATTTACATCTCCCCTTTCCTTGACTTCATCAACAATAAGCACAATTGCATCTCAGTCTGCCCCATTGCTTCCAACTTCTTCGACAGACTCTACTGTTGCCACAATATCTGCAGATGTCTCTTCAACTTCTGAGTCATCACTTGAACCTCTTTTCTCTAGTGTCTTCTCTACAGATAGTGCAGCCATAGGCCCCCTTCCTGAAGAGACTACTACTTCCATCTCAACAACGACATTGTCTGAAGAGTCTGGGACTTCTACGCAGCTTGATACCACAACTGCTGCCGAGGAAACTACAACCACTATAGCTACAACAACTACAGACTGTGATAGTGTCATGGTACTGACAACAGTAGCTCTGCTGAACCCAACACCGGTTATTGGTAATTCTGTTAGCCTTGATGACGCTGTTGAGGCCGTTGTATTGCCATTTGATGTTGCTGGCAGCGGTCAGAGCACCGTCCATGTCAGTGAAAATGGCGTAATATCTGTGGGCTCCAATAACGGTGCCAGTACATACACCAATGGAGAGCTTCCGAGCTTAAGACTTCCACCGATAGCCGTCTGTCCTTACTGGGACGACTTATTTCTGTACAGGAATCGCCTGAATGTAATTGTATATGAAGTCTTTGACGGCCAGCACGGCACGCAGGCTACTTTCGAGTGGGTTGTCGGAAGGTATAATTTCCCTAGAGACGACACCGACAGGAGTTTGTTCCATTTTACCGCCACCTTTTACAAGAACTTTCCACAAATCTTCAGGTTCTCATACTACACTACAGCCGACGAGGGCTCGGGCGCAACAACAGGTGTACAGAATGGCGTTATTGAGGATTACAGGCAGATTTCGTTTGATAGGGCAGACAGTGTACTAGATGGCACTTCTGTGTTTATCAATCTTTTGACTGGTGGCTATGAAACAGTACCATTTGACAATACCGAGTGTGGAAAGGGAGACCCTTTTGATGGATCAACGATATTTGCGGAGTAAGGGTAGACGTTATTGGGCTCTAATAAGCTTTCTCTTTTGTTGTTATCGAGCTTGGAGACAACCTATTGGCGCAGGCAAGGAATAGTTGAACATTTGTTAGAGTGTAATGGGAGCATGAAGTCATGTGTATGAACATTGTGATGCAAATAAACAGGCTAAGAAGTCTGGTCAGGTAGCAGAAATTGACATCTTGGCATCGTATCTCGCATTCGACCTTGCCTTAGCGTGCCACGCCAACTATAAGTGCCATGCAGATCTTCAGATCTATAGTTCAAGATCCCAATTGAGACCAATCGATAGATACCCATTGGCCTGAATTGATCGTATTTCGCATTCTCGTCTCAAGAACAAGTTGGTTCAGCAATTGACTCAAACATTTAGGTATTTATAAGAGGTTCAATCTAGACAGAAATGAAAAGATAAAGATACCCTAAATCTTCATTTTCCTAATTCTAATCATGATATTTTACTACCTAACCATCATCGCTCTCTCCCTCACAGCCCAAGCGCATCTCAAATGCCATCCCGAAGGTCCTATTCTCCCCAAACCAACATCCCTCACCACATCCCCCATCTTCAAAGCCTCAACAGTCAACTTGACAAAAACCCTCAACACAGCTGTATCTGGTTCCATCAAAGCAGGCTGGGCAACAAACAACGTATCATTCTCTCTCGCTGTAGTAAGCATAGACAGCGACATACCAATTTGGGAATACCATCATCTTGCAACTGCCAATACAAGAGGGACCAAAACGATCAATCGCGATTCGCAGTATCTTGTCGGTTCGATATCCAAGGTGTTTACTACTTATGTGCTTTTGAAGAGTGATGTGGATTTGGATGTGTCTGTTACTAAGTTTCTACCTGCGCTTGGGGAGTCGTGGAAGGATGTGAGTTTGAGGATGTTGGCTTCGTATTTGGGCGGCGTGCCTGCGAATTGTGAGTATCTGTTCTGATACAAGTGCTGCTGTACTGATTCATTCATAGATGGATTCTCTGAGTTTTACTTCCTTAAACAAGTCTTTCAAGAATACGGTCTGCCGCCAACTGAAGATGATGAGTATCCGCCATGTGGTGTCGCGACTCTCAACAGGGCCTGCACCTGTCAAGGTATGCAATTAAGTAGACCAGATCCCTATGGTAATGAAAAATAACAGATGTTATTAATGGGATGAAGAGTTCGTATCCTCAGACTACACCAAACGAAAGACCTGCCTATTCCAACATGGCCTTCGTCCTCGTCGGCATGGCCCTAGAAGAATATACAGGCAAGGCCTTTGAACGGCTACTACAAGAGATAGTAACAGATCCATTGAATATGAACAGTACCTTTGCATCGCCTGGGAATGATAGCAAAGCAGTCATTCCCCCTGGTGATAGTAACTGGGGCTCAGATTATGGGGTAAACACCCCGTAAGTACAACCCTCCAACCCTCCAACTCAATGCACGCGTCTAAAGATTACCAGAGCAGGCGGTCTCGTATCCTTTATATCATATTTTTCCATCTTTTCTCACGCTCTTCTTTCAAGAACGTTGGACTTAACGTCTGCTGAGATGAACGGCTGGCTCAAGCCCACAGCCTTTGCAGGAAATGCGTACACCATGAGCGGTATGCCATGGGAGATTCTGCGCTTACCAAATCTCACACCAAACAATCCCCATACGGTTACTGTCTACAGCAAAACAGGCGGTGCGCAAAACTACAGGAGTCAACTAAGCTTCGTAGACGACTACGGTCTAGCGACTATCGTTCTCACAGCAGGACCAATGAACGCAGCGCCTATTCTCGCTGATGCTGTGCTTTCTACATTTATAGATGCTGCTGATCAAATATCAAGAGTACAAGCGAGGAAATATGAAGGATTGTATATGAATGAGGGAGAAGATGGTATTGTTGAAGCAGAGTTGAGACAAGATGGGGACTCAATGGTATTAACTTCCCTACGTCGCAACAGCACAGACGTCGTTTCTTCACTCGTGGATATATGGGGTTTTACATTGGGTGACTTTCTTCCAGAGATTGGACCAAAGATTCGAGTCTTTCCTAGCGGCCTTCGCGATGTAACGACGTTTGAGGGTAAGTCTGTTATGAGAGAGGTATGGCATCTTTGGCCAGAACTTGCCACAGGGTATCAGACAAATCTACCAGGGGCCATGATCGAACAGATGAATTGCGTCGGATGGACGATTCAGGATTGGGTTCATTATGGTGGTGAGCCATTGGACAGAGTCCTGGTGTATGTTGATCAGGAAGGGAGTGTGGTTGGCTTCGATGTGCCGTTTTTACGGTCGGGTATTATGTATCCTGTGGGATGATCTGATGTCGATTGGGGATCTTGTAAGGTACTCATTATCTGTCGTGCAGTCACGTCCCAATTCACATTGCAGGAGATGTTCAAAATGCTACTCCGAGTCGATGTTCATCCGTACTTAATACTCGTACAAATTACATCTGGACAAATGATATACTACTGCACTACACATGTCCTGATATCATCACATTGAAAAGAAACCGCCTTTGCCCCAAACTCCCGCACACTTCTATGAAGGAAAGTAAAATAATAAGCAATCCTACCCCCCTCCCCTCATCGCTGTCAATGTATGGTGCACACGCAGTCTGTCTACCAGAAACTACACCATCCGATATAATGCTGACACAGATTCTCCAGTTTCGTCGCCTCCATGATGAGTTTATTAACCTGGTTGATAACATCCAGCTCTTCGTTATTCTTAAAATCACGACCTGTGAGTTTCTGCTGTACGCGATCCAGGACTTCGACAGCTCGAGCGTTTTGGCTTTCGACTTCTGGTGCGCCGCCGTTGGTCTCGGGGACACCGGCTGAACTGTTTGTTCGAGCGCGCGCGCGCGTTTGGATGGATGGTTCGGGGGCGTTGAGAAGTTCAGAGGGTGCTACGTCGCTGTCGAGGATGGATTGGCGACGGGCGCGGACGCCGCCGGGGACGGGCATTGCTGTGTCTCTGTCGTTGCGGAAGTTGGGGCCTGCTGGGGAGGGGGCGTTTGTTAGACGCCATGTGAGGAGAGGGTCGTGGATGAACTGGTGAGTGTTAGTGATTGTAGCAAATGAGTAGATGGCGTAAACTTACAGCTTCAAGAACAGCCATGACGCTTTCCTTGTTATCTCTCAATACCCTCATCACATTCTCACATGTGATTCTGAAGCTACCCTCGATATTGCTGACCTCCATGGCATAAGTCAACATTCGTGTCAAACGGAAAGGAACCCGCTCAGGGTACTTTTCACGCTTCATCGCCACCTCGAAACAATCACCAAAATCGATGTGGATAATCTTTCCAGTGACACGGTCAAGCATCAAGTTAGACGGATGACGATCACCCAATCCAAGAATGTATCCCACCATGGACATAACACCCAGCGAGCGAGTGTAGTTCGTTCGTCTCTCGAGCCAAGCTTCGGAAGACTTGGACTTGAGCCATAATACACGGTAAAGATCCTGACCGGTGGTATTATCCAGCGCGTAACCAAAGACTTCTACCTTTTGCATCAGGGTAAGATTGTCGTAATCAGGCGCCATCTGAAGCATGATGCGATGCTCAATGTTGAGAAGAATCTTGCGGCTCTCGCGGTATTCCCTAATAAGGACGTGGAGAGTGTCACTGTTGGGAACCCATCCGAGTAGACCGCTGTTCTGCGATAGAGGAATGGCTGGGTAGCGCTGGATGTTGAGATGTCGCTTGAAGCATTCCGAGTCATGCGAGAGGAGGGTGTTGCAGAGGCCAAACAGCTGCATGACTCTCTCATCTTGACGAATATCTTCGTGACCCTTGAGAAGGAAGGCGTACGACTTTCCGTCGCTGCCGTTAACATTGAGCTTTCGCGGGCGCTGCTTAGAATTGATGACACTAAATGTCGTGTCGAAAGACATGATCTGCACAATAGGTTGTCCACTCTTGTATGTTCCAGGCACAGCAAGGTCGAGGTTCTTTGCGTTGAGCAATTTGGGCGAGCAGTACGTCAGCTCCAGAGTAGTAACCTGAGGAAGCTGCCTGCTGATTCTACGGAACACCTGGTAGTAGAGATCCCATGCCTGGTTCAGGTCATTGACGTCTTGACTTGTCTCGTATTGCCGGCACCAGTCTTGAGCCTCCTTAAGGTCTCGACCAAATGCTTGCGCGAATGAGATCTCACGAAGAGTCTCAGGTCCACGCTCAAGAAGCTCGTGCAAAGGCTCCAGAGTTGCAAACATGCCTTCAATGTTGTGGTCACCAAAGTACAAACGCGAAGCTTCTTCCAGTCCCTCGTGCCAAAGTTCATGCCACAAGACGGCCACGCGAATGAGTTCGTGGCTGACAATGTCTGCCTGAGCGACCAAGTTTGCGCTATGCTGTCGCATGCTGTCCATAATTTGAGCTGCGGAACGAGATCGTCTTGTGTTCTGCCAGGACTTCATGGCGACAGTAAGAGGATACACCAAAGCTTGTGGATGAGCTCGTCCGACATCGGCAAGCAAGTTATGCACCGATTGCTGAACGCGCTTGTTCGGTTGGTTGATTCGCGCAATCAATTGGGGAATGACCTCAAGCCAGGTGTCGACGCTGACGTTAGCAAAGCCGTCTGTCACTGCTGAAGTGACATCCGCACTACCTCCATGAGTGAACCAGAGAGTAAGCAGACGAAGAGTGTCCTGCAGCGAGCTTCCCTCAGACAACGCGATGGACTTGAAGAAGCCATTGACAGCTGGCACAACATGGTCAATCACCATGGATTGGTCCGCCCTTGACAAGTGTCCCTCGTTCTGGGCTGTGAGAGTCTGCACGATCTCAAAGTTTGCTAGCGCCCAAGCATGCCAGGCCTTGTACCAACGGGGGTTGTACTTGGTCGCCTGTGAGTAAGAGGTGAGGATGTCTTGGACCTGGGTGTATTGCCAGTCGTCCTTGTTGAGCGCAATTAGCCACTCTCCCTGTCTCAAATAGCACTTGGCTAAGAGGACCGTTTGGTCATACAGCGCTCGCTGAGTCTGAGGGCTCATGAGAGTAGGATCCATTGGGTTCTGGAAGCCGTAATCGCCTGTGATGTTGACTTCACTACCCGCTTGAGCATTGAGCTGGGCCTTGGCAAGATCCAGTCTCTGCGCAGAATCATTAGTAAACTTGCTCAAGCAGTACAGTGTCTTCTCGGGGATGTTGGTTCGATTGACAGCTTGTTGTCCAGTCTCCCATTGGTACTTGAGTACAGCGTAGATGACTTGTGGAGCCGGCGCGCCCCTAGAACCGGGTCCGGGTTGTCGCTGATCGTTCCAGTAGGGTATCATAGACTCCAGAGGGGCGTCGGTTCCGATGAGTTGTTTGAGTGACTTTTCTGCGAGACCCATTCGACCAGACTTGCGACAAAGGTTGGCGAATTTGATCCACATGTGCATGTTCTCAGTTGGTGCAATCACTATAGCACGCAGCCTTAGCATACGCTGCCAAACCTCGACGTTCCTTTGACAACCCTTGAGTCGAGTCTCCCATGTTCGTCTCATAATAGCTTGTTTCTTCTCATCGCATTGCTTATACACAATGAGTTCTTCCAACTCGGCAAGCATTTGGACGCGAACGACGACTTGGTACGCTCGGTTGTACGACTCGCTGACCAGTGCACTCAACTCTGTATCCAGACCTTCACGAGCCTGCGTGACACAAGCTATGGCCTCGCGGAACTGGTTTCGGTGGAGGGCAAGAATTGCACCAAAGAATGAGCGATCAGGTGAGTACCTCTTGAGCGACGAGAGGTAGTTGTCCATAGAATCCCATTTGTTGAGACCCCAGGCAGCAGCTGTGGCCAAAGGCGCGATCATCCTCTGGACTTCTGGTGTCGAGTTGGCCCAAGTGCTGCCAGTCAATGACGCCAATGCCTCCCACTCTCCCAAAGCATGCAAACAACGCATCTTTCCCATGACGATGTCAACAGGAATTGCTTGATCCTCGGGTACTTCCTCCTCACGCTTGTTGTAGAACGCAAGAGCTTCCTCCCATCGCTCCAACTTCTCGAACCAGGTTTCTCGAAGCTGAATGCCTTCCTTATACAATTGAGCTTTGCGAAGAATACCAATGGCAGCATCGGACTGCTGGAGTTGATTGTTGATAACGATTAGAGCCTCGACAGCACCACTGCTCTGATCTTGAAGGAACTCAAGTTCCTTGTAATGCAAAGCCTTTGCGTACGCGTGACAACGAGCAGCCTCCCTACCCAGGACTCGGATGTCAATCGGCAACGCCTTATCGTCATGCTCCATGAATTCGGCGAGGTTAAGTAGGAGACCCAACAGATCGGGTGGAACGTTCTCGGACTTGATGGCGCTCTCAATGTTCTGGATGAGCTCGTCTTGGAACTGCTCGTACAGTTCACTCCAGCAGGAGACAAACGCCGAGTTGAATAGCTCACGAGCAAGAGGAAGGTACACACTGGCAAGACTGGCACAAGCTCGGAGGGCGTGGTTTGGTGACTCTGTAAGCAGAGTAGTACTGAATCGTCGCAGCCACTCTTGCCAATCCTCCTTCGTCGACTTGCCCTTGGTATCCCAGGCGGCCTTGAGGTGAATGGCGTTCATTTCCAACTTCTTTGTACCTTGATCCGCAAAGGTGGCCTCGTCGGCTCCATCACCGAAACCGGCCCCCGAGCTCAGATCTTGGGGTAGAACTTCTCCCTTCTGGAGCTTGCTCACAAGAAGCTCGTAGTTGGAGTGCTGGATCTGATGCTGGTTGATGGTCTTGTTGACGGTGCCCATGAAGTGCAGGTAGTCTTTACCTAATTGCTGGATGAGAGCGCACAGGGTATCAAGAGCGGCAGTTCGTAGCACAGGCTCGCCCATATCCAACACACGTGTGAGAGGATGGATGATCTTTGCCGCGTAGTCATTAAGGTTGACTTGTCGGGAGATCTTGCCAATGGTGTCGATGGCCTGCTTTCTGATAAATGTAGGCTGGCCTTGTTTCTCGAATGTGCGAACAATAACTGGGATGATGAGGTGCATGTACTCTTCTGCACTGGCACCAAACACCAAGAAAGCATGCATGACCCTCTCAGACGGCGTACGCTTCACAGAGTTATCCTTGTCCAAGACACCAAGCATCAGCGGCAATAGACCAGCCAGGTAGATCTTGAATTCACCCTCAAGCGACCTAGAGATGGCCTCAACGAGCGACAGGATGGTAGTCTGTAGTGACGGAGAGGTGTGCCAGTATTCTTGAAGGATCTCAACAATGGAAGGCAGGTAGTTTCGGATGTGTTGTCGGACAATGCTCACGAGAGTAGCCAATTGGTTGAAGTAAGATTCGAGACGTGTGGAGGTAGCTGATCGAATGACTTGAAGGAAAGCCGGGATAATTCGGTCAAGGAAAGACACACATTCCAAGCCCAGAGTGCGGAAGATGTTCATAATCGCCTCAATCACAGCGGCATGGTGCTGAACGAGGGATGAATCCTTCAAGATTTGGAGAAGGGCATTGATGACAACGGTAGGGAAGTACTCCTTGTTCGAAGGTGTCAGGCCAGTCATCATGAGAGAGATATCGGTCAATTGAGTAGCCTCGCCATTTCGCGAATCGGGAGTTCGTTCTTCAGCCTGAGTTGATGTTAGTTGTTGCCTGGCCATTCTTCATCGAACACTCACCTGGTGTTTGTAAGGATCGAGCGCACCCAGAATACCCATAAGCTTGATGGTTTCCTGTCGCAATGGGACCCGTTGTCCTTCGGTTCTGATGATGCTCTGCAAGATTTCTAGAAGTTGAGGATACTCAATATATGGTAGAATAACGTATCCAGAGTTACTCGCAAGTTGTCCCAATGCGTGCAAAGCGGCTTCTCTCTTCGCATTAGAGCTCTGATCCTGTAGCGCGTCAAGAATGAGGGGCATCAATCGGTCCTTGTATGGCATCATATCCTCACCACCAACGGTCGCAAGCTCACCGATCGCCTTGAGGATAGTTGCAGCCACGGACGGGTTGGGGTCTTTCGCTTTGGGCAAGAGGACTGAAATCATGGGCTCGACATATGGCTTGATGAGAGATTGCGCATTTTGAACCAAAAGACTCAATAGCTTAGCGCTTTCTTCCTTGTTGCGGGCCACGTCGGAGAACTCCAGTTCGGTGAGCATCTGGATGAGTGTCTTTCGCAGCGAAGGAATAACGTAGGCTGGGTTGTATCTGGCCAAGCGGCCAATGATAGAGATGGCGACTTCTCTAATAGAAAAGACCTCGTCGTTGAGCGCGAAGAACAGAATACGAATGTTCTCGGCCTTAGCTAAGTGTCGATCGAATCGTTCATCGAGAGCAGCCAGGACCGTCCTTCTTATGTTTGGTTCAGGATCTGAGACTCCGACAGTGAGAAGTTTCTCTATAACATCGCCGACTACCTGGAGTGCATGATAACTGGTCTGGTTGACAATGGGATCGCGGACGTAGAGTTGGCAGCATGTCAAAGCGGCCGCCTCTCGGATTTCTGGGTCTTCATCCTCGACGTACTTGATTGCTACATCTCGGACAAACTCGTTCAGAACATGGCCCGAGAAATCGAAGCTACCAAGAGTGTTGAGCGCCAGCTTGACCTCGGCCCTGCGATGCTCGTAAGCTAGAGGATCCTTAGCGTCCTTGGGAATAATTGGGACGGAGGTGAGAGTGTTTGGGTGAGGTGCACCAAGAGGCTTGAAGGGTTCGCCGCAGAGCACCACACTGAGCATATCGAGTAATCGTTCTTGGATTGTGGGCTTGACCGGAGGGATGTAGAAAGCCATATCAACAAGGGCTTGTGTAAGTTTGGGTGTAAGGTCGCATGCAAAGATGGGATCCAAGAGTGCCTCCATGTACTTGCTGAGCGTCTGGCCTACAGCCACGGCAAGGCGACTGATACAGTCAAATACTGGGTCGACTGACCCTCTCTTTCGTGACTGCACGCTGAGACCTTCGCGGACGTAGATCAAAACACCGTCGAGATAGGGAGCAATGGCGCTCTTGACCGAGTTGGCAATGTTACCGATTGCCAGGAACGCATCATTTCGTTCCTTGTCCTTCTTAAGCATACCCGACAAGTACACCATAAACTTGTGTAGCCATGTGTGCGCGAAATCGGCGGGAGAATAACTGGCAAGGTCAGGGATTAAAAGGACCACTGTCTTTCTAATGGTCGGGTCTCTGTGATCCTTGTGCTTGAAGACAATATCACACGCTTGTTGGTAATGCTCCTGCATGTACATGGCTCCCTGCTCGAGAAGCTCCTTCAAGACGAGTAATGAACCATGGATAGATTCGACGGTGTTGACCTTGAGACCCTGCTTCGCTTCGTTGTAAATGTTGCTCATCCATCGCTGCTTCATTTCTTGGTCTCGTTCGCGAAGGATTCGGAAGCAGGCGCTAACTGTTTCCGCGGATGTCGCTCGGATAAGCTGTCGAGAGTCTCTGAGTCCTATCCAGATCCAGTCGAAGATTGTCGGAATGTATTGATACATGAGGGTCGGGGCGCTGCGAGCCAACTCACGCAGGACAAGGACGGCGCTGTATCGTCGCTCTTCTACGCGGTCGTTCTGTAGCCATTCGAGAGCGGTGTTAACCTCTGAATCGACTAACTCTGATATCATCGATCCGCCAGGTCGACATAATTTTCCAAGCGCGATTGCGGCCGGTTGCATAGGGTTGATGTCCTTTCCACGTAGGATCGTCTTAAGATTCTGGATGAAACGTGTGTATTTAACGGCGACGTCGACACCCTCAAAGTCAATGAGCGCATCTAGGGCGTAGATACCGCCGAGTCGCTCGGACGAGTCGCTTCCATGTGTGATGAGTTGTGTAATCTTGTTGTTGACTGCATTGTAAAAAGACTGAAACAATTCGGGGCTGAGGTCTCGATGGCAGATAACTACGAGTTCGCGAAGCTGCACGGCGGATCGTTTTCGAACATCGTCGCTGACCCTGCGGAGATGTTAGGATTGTTCGTCTGCTCTCGTCACCGTTGCCATGGTGGAACATACTTTGACTTGAGGCCGCGGGAGACTTGCTCCAGCCGCTCCAAGGCGATCTGTTGTGCTTGTGCCATTTTGCCGTCGCGGCACTGATATAGATTCAATCAAGATCGCATGTACCTCGATATCGAGAGCCCGAGGGCAGGAAGTCGAAGAGAGTTTCGAGGTAGGAGTGGGGAGTTCGGATCGAGCTCGAGCCCAAGCGCGCGGCCGTGGACGTGTCGTTTGTTTGGGAAGCGACTGATTTATTAATAGGTGAATACCAGAGTTCAGTCCTGTAGAATAAATAATACCCCCAAAAAGGCGCAACGGAAAGAAGATATTAGGAAAGGCGCATAGCACCGGTGAGGAGGTCGAGTTGGAGGTTGATGAGCTTGGGTCGGGCGGAGGTCATTGGTGATGAATGTTTAGGAATTGGCGGGCGAGCAGTGGAGCGTTGCTAAAGTCCCCTTACAGTGCTGATTGTGAGGGGTCATGCCGAAACAAGCGGGATATCACAGTGTCTGATGACTACACACGGTACATCTACTTTGAGCTTGCTTAGTGCCAAATGATTCTTATCGATAAGCATCTTTCATCTGACTTAGGAATCGCCTCAGCGCAGCAGCAATTCCTAACTTTATCCACCTTTGATCATCTCACCATACATACTCCAACACTCCGACTCGCCGGTAATAGTCATTGTGATTCCTGATTCGCTGCGTCGACAATACTACCGAACGCACCGCCTCTTCACTGTTTGCTATCCACCTTTGTCACAACTTGATCGACCCCATCGCGATCAACAATCATGGGTAACGACGGCGGCTCCATCCCCAAGCGCCACGAGCTTGTCAAGAATGCCGCGCGCGCTCCCACGACTTCCGAACTAAAAGCAACTACTCTTGAAGCTCTCGCTCATGCTTGGTCCCACTGTGCGCTCAGTGGCGAACCTCTCGATCTCGATACCCTTGTCTCCGACTGGCGCGGTCGTCTGTACAACTACGAAGCAATCCTAAATGGTCTTATGCCATCTGACGAACCTGCCGACATCACACCCGCTAGTCTAGGTATCAAGTCATTGCGCGACGTGGCAAAGCTCAAGGTTTCCAAGGACGGCGACAAGCTGGTATGCCCCATCTCCATGAAGGAGCTAGGTACTTCTGTCAAGACTGTTTATCTGGTACCTTGTGGGCATGTTTTTGCGGACATAGCGATCAAGGAGATCCAGGAGAAGACTTGCCCCGAATGCGGCACCGAGTTCGACCAAGACAACATCATTCCGCTTATTGCGCATTTAAAGGAAGACGTTGAGCGGTTGGAAAAGAGGGCCGAGAATCTCAAGAGCCAGGGATTGACACATACATTAAAAAAGGACAAGTCGGAAAAGAAGAAGAAGCGCAAGGGAGATGATGTGAAGGAAGAGGATAAGGCGTCCAATGTCACGAAGAAGGAGGATGCCAGGATCAGCGGTATCAACAACTCTTTTGCTGCGTCGCTGACGGCAAAGGTAATGGCTGAGCAGGATGAACGGAATAAGAGGCGAAAGCTAGTGGCAGAGTCGAGAAGAGAGGCCGCCAGAGGTTGATGAACAGGATTGCAGTAGACTACATAGCACACGATAATGATACCCTTGACATACGACATGATGATTGAAGTCATGTGTTTGCTAAACTAGGATCATCGTTTTGTTTATGAATGACCGTTTGCGTGACCCCCTTAGGGGCTCAGAACAATTGACCGCTGGAAGCACAAGAGACAAAACTAGTAGGGCATTTTATGCTACTTAGACCATACTACTTAGGCCATTTATTTTTTTTACCCCTTGACAGTAGGCCAACTTTTCTGCTACCCCCTCAAAGTTCTCAGCCACACATCAATGTGTCCAACGCTATTACAGTAACCCAAATTAAGCTATAGACATCCATTCACCTATCAAGGCCACCGAAGCTTTCTCTGCTGTTGAGCCCTAACATAAAGTTACTTGTCAGGTATAAATTTCCCTGTCTACTGCTCGTTTCCCTCTTCTCCTGTCATCATCACCACCACCTCCCAAACCGTGTAGCAGCAAGCAACTTGCACAGCAACCATTTCCCGAACTATCAGAGGCCTAACAATTGGCAACAGTCTTCAACATGATCGATCCCTCAGCATCTCATCACCTCGTGAGTCGCTGGAAACTCGGCCTGGCCGACCGATGGTACTTGATCCAGTCCGAAACCCTACACATTCCCGATCGTTTCGGTTTTTTCACCCCGGGGCCTCCTCCACACCAAGAATTTGAAGTTGAACGTTTTATCGGGCTATTGTCATGTCAATTGTGCTTGGTCTTACTCCACCTGTTAATCTTCAGTGTCTCACTGCAGACCGGGGTATCTCTTTCGGATGTCTCAGGGATCCTATTGGGACTGCAGTTCGCAGTGTTTGGGCTCTTCTGGGGAATCAAATATCCCCATCCTAGCAGCAGTACCAAAGCTTGGGGGACATGGGAGTACAGCGATGATGATGCTGCTCGCATCCATTACTGCAAGGAACTCTTTGAGTTATGTGTTGGAGAATGGAACTACAAAACGCTTTTGAGATTACTAGTTTCTTGGTTCCTTTATTCGGTACTAATGTGGATTGAATGGCCCTGGCTGTGAATAGGGGTGATTTCCATCGTGGAGATGGTTATGGAGGAGTTGTGTAGTCGTTGGTCAAGGAAACAAAAAACAGACTAGAGAGAAGCCAGTGTAGGTTTCAAGGTCGAGGCTTAGTCCACAGAGATCTCCTCTCCATGCCATCGCAGCTATGCCATGAACACAGTGAGAAAAGAAAACGTTCACAGATTATCCATCTGGAACAAGCCCCCGGATGCGAATCAAGTCACAAACCAACACCCCAGATGCGAGCCAACCCCAGATTCGAGCCGACCCCCGATGCGAACCCCCAGACGCGAACCATTCTCTCAAATCACAACCCCCGGATGCGAACAGATCCCCAGATGCGAACAGATCCCCAGATGCGAACAAGAAAGTGAAAAGAGAGATCCAGTGGAGACCATTACAGTCTCTCACCGGTTTTAGGCTGCCCTTCGCTCCGAAGAACGTTGTGCAGAACACAGTACTCAATCGTCAATCCCGAAACGAGAGTACGCGCCAACTGATCTCAACTCGATTTTCAAGCCAGGCCAGGCCGATCATAGCGGATCACAGCAACTGCAGGCTGATGCCCAACCTGCCCGTCAGACCATTACAGTCATCAGGGAACACCCTGCGTCACATCTTTAGACGTGACTGTCGGGTGGCCCACGGAAAACCATGTCAACCCGAAGGTAAACGTAGGCGCAGATCGCGCCTGATGCGACACAAAGGCCCATTTCCCACCGATAGGCAGGGTCGTCTCGGGCTGTTAGATGTTAGTGATACTGAAAGGAGAAGGGCAGTGAAGAGAGACTGGATTACTCACAAACGACGTTTGTCAGGCCAAAGTACCGTCGCACCAATCAACCGATCCGTCCGATAAGGACGCTTGCTAGCAGTGGGGCTGCGTATCTTGCAACGGTGAGGAAGGAGATCATTGTTGGGGATCGTGATAGCAGTCTCTTGGAAGCGTACTAGATCGAGTTGAAGAAGAAGAAGAAAGGAAAATCATAACTGAGGGCGGGGACAAAATTTATGAGGTGCTCATTACTGTTTGGAAAGGAAGGAAAGCACGCTGGTCAAGGAAGGAAAGCATTGTGGTCGAAGGAAGGAAAGCATTGTGGTCGAAGGAAGGAAGGAAAGAAAGCGCGCTGGTCGGATGAAGGACTGAAAGCTGCGCGTTTCAGCGGCTCAAATGTAAGTGGCAGTCTCGAAATGATGTTCGATGGTGATGGTAACTGGTCGTTTGAACCTCATGGTAGCTGCATACAGTGGTACACTGCGATCAAATGGGCCAACGGTTGTTATGAGACGCAACGTAACTCAATAACCAAATCACGACATTAAGTGCCAACTATTGGGAACAGACATTTATTAGCAAGAAAACAAAGAATAAAAGATTGGACGAGTTTTTTTTTATCACATTGGCAGCAACTTCTCCGTCCATGGTTGAGTGTTTCTTTGCTGTCATGATGGGTGAAAACGCTACTGGATAGCAGAAAGATTTGCTACAGAAGTAAACAGCCCAAGATGTCAGATCTAAGTAGCATAAATAATCTATAAATTTTATCCCTTATGCTTCTATCGGCCAATTCTTCTAATACCCTGAAGAAACGTACAATTCGTAATAATTGCCACAGCCATCGCATCCGCTCATTCTTAGATTCTTAACAGTCTCGGTGACTCAAATATCCATAAATGCTTACAAGCATATGACTGTAGCTCAAGTAGTGACGAAATGTCGGTGTTACCAGCTGGTGCAGGGTAAGCTCCCTGTGAACAAATACATCAAAGTGATGGACTCATGAGAGTACGTAGAAACTCATTTCTATACACAGTATATAAGCGAAAATACGCAGGAATAATTGAAAAGTAGAAAGTAAATATCTGATATGCGTCTTGTCATCATGTGACGGTAGTCTCGTTGTTCCGGTCATTCAATCTTGACAGGGGAGGAATGAGAGGCGGATCACCAACATGACATTAATGACGGAGTACATCAACAATCAAAGTCTATAAACTTTCTGGGTATATCGTGTATCATGCATCATATACTATCATTTATCCATCAAAACCTCAAAAACTCCCTTGTAACCTTCCACTGCTTCTCTCCCGGATCAGGATTTCTGAAAAACGTGACAAGTATCCCCTCCATCTCAGCAGGTCCAAAAATCGCATTCTTGATACGTCGACCATCCGGAATATTAAACGGCGGTTCAAGACCAGTTGTTTTTAGCGCAGGGACATCAAGCAGCGGTAAACTGTCAGTCACCGAAGCAGGTGTCGTGGTCTCTTGTCCAGGAGCAGGTGACGACCCGCTGGACGCGAGACTGAACGGCGACCCAGATAAAAACTCTTCGGGTGTTGGGTCGCTAAACGATACCGGGGGTGCAGGTAGACTCGGAGGCTTGGACGTGTCAATTTTTATCTTGATGTCTTTGCTGACGAGGAGCTCGTATATGGCTTCTGCTTCAGCGGACATTTCGCTAAGTGTGCTGGGACTTGGTATATTCCTTGGACTACCCATCGTCAGATCTGGATCTATGGATGTGGTGTCAAAGTCGGATTCTTCTATTTCGATACTTCGGGCTGCGATGACGGATGCTTCGCGGGCGTGCCAGAGGTTTTCTCTGCGATTGCGCATTTGGTCTCGTGTGAGAAGTTTGAGGGCGGCGCGACGGAGGAGGGGATGGCGACATTTGATGGCGGTCCAGTAAACGGGAGGAATAATCTCTGTTTCGAAGCTGAAGGGTTCTAGTTTGGAGTTGGCGGGTGTTGAGTTGAGGATTGTAGATGCCAGTGATATGATGGCTGCGAAATTGGATGTGTAGTTGTCGTAGCACATCTCGCCTGTATCCAAAGCGATGGAGATGTAGATTAGAGTGGACTGGTGGTAGATTCGGATGACATTGAGCGAGTTTTCCAAAGCTGGTGAATGTGGTGTCATTGATGTGATGACGGTAAAAGCAGCGTGCCATCGATTTAGCTGCGACAAAAGTCGTTGTTGCTCATGCTGGAAGCGGACAATCTCTTGGGGATCTGTATTTGGATCGAATATAATACCACGAGCAGCAAATGTGAACTGCAATGTATCGTCAAGCATGAGATACAAAGCGTATCGCGCTTCTTCAAGACTGCTAAACATGACGGGCATGTCTGTCCAGCTTCGTAGATGTGCTGGAATAGGCGCGGGACGACTGCCGAAGAGAAAACTCGAAAGACTGAGGCGAGCGTAGATGGGCACGAGAACATGCTTGATCATCTCCATGGACGGTGAGCGACCATCGCTTAGAGTGGAGAGAATTTGTCGGCCTTGACAAATGTGCATTTGCGCAGCTGTGTCGCGATCAATAAGAAACTCAACGCAGATGAACAAGACGCAGACAAGGAGGGGTACAAGAGAAGGATCATTTCTCTGGCCCCAATTTCGTAGTGAGGTAATCGCGTTTCCGTACTCGCGAAAGGCAAAGCGTGTGTCGACTTCACGGTTTGTTCTGCTTCTTGTTTCTACAGCTTCGTGTAGACTGCTAATAGCGAGAATGGCGTGTCGCACTGCTGGTTCCGAGGTACTCATCTTGAGAACCACACCGCCCCAGAAGCTCGCGTCTATGGCACCGGAGAGAATCTTGGCGGTACGGAGACGGTAATGATCAAAGGCATGGACTTCTTGAGGGGACTCAAAGCCCTGTGATGGGCTGAGAGACATGGGCTCTGGTGAAGAGTTGGGGGATGGACGGTAGCCATCGCATTGACGACCTGTCTTGATACATCGTAGACAATAAGGCTTGGCTTCTGCAAGGCTGTTAATTCTAGAAGACCCGGGGAATCAATTGAGAAAGATGTACCATCGCATTTCACTTTACGAATTCTGCGTCGTTATTAGTACGTGTCTGAGCTGAAAGAGCTGAGAAGACGAACTTGCAGGTAATGCAGCCAGTCCGCACTTTTTTGCTCCCCTTGCGACCCGAGGGTTTGGGCGGTGACTGTGATGGGACCGAGTACATGGTTTGGTAGGAACTAGTTGTTAGTTTCTTCTAGGGCTGACAAAGATGAAGAAAAAGTCCGAGATCAAAAGTCCGAGCCTGAAGGAATGAGAGGATGCTGGTTAGTGGGAGGTGGGTGGATGATTGATATGTGATTTTATCTGTGCTGTAGCTGCAGTGTAGTTTAGTAGGGATCGGCAGAGGGGACACAGCCGTGGGGCTGATCTGGCAGTGCTGGTGAGTTGATTGGGTTATTTGGGGGAAGGATCGTGGCGCAGCAGCTAAAGAAAGGAATGAGGATGCTCAGCCTGTATGGTACTGATATTAATAATGATACCAGGCAAAAGATCAGCGTTAAGATAGAGTTGAGAAATAATTGTATTCCTCACGATATGTCTCCCACGAGTTGTCAATCGGTAACCGTTACAGAGGTAGAGCAACCGTTGACTGATGGTAATGTCTCCACAGTTGAAGATACATTTCGTAGAGGAGATTCAGGTTCCAAGTATGCTTATACCCATGGCATAACTCTAAAGTAACCTTGACATCCCATCACAGTAGAAACAAATAAAACATCAATTATAGCACAAGGCTTCAACGGCTTTCAACCGCCCAGTGGATGATTGACTGATACCACGGCGTCTCAGCCTTACACTTCTCCACTCCCTAAGTACCCACTGAAGTTAGCGATATGACAGCGCTAAATCCATCCTGGATCCTTTGAAAACTATCCGATTGGTTCACTCGGACTTGAATCCTCGGACACTAAGAACCTAACGCCAAGTGATTCTCGCATTACAGTGTCCGAGATTAAAGCCAACTCTAGGCTGTTTTACTGACACTATGTTTTAGCATTAAACATATCGAGGCTGAGTAAAATGAAAGGCACTAGGAAAGATGTTCCTGGACTAACTTAGACATTCATGGCTCGAGATGGATTAGTGATAATATTGCAATTGATCCTTCAACTAATGATGCTGTGTATATAAGTCAATGTGCAGCTCGAATATCAATCAACACACCACCTTTCTCTCTACTCACAGTTCCATCTTTACCTCATCCATTTCTGCAAATTCCATGCCTTCTCTCTCTAAAATCGCAGCTGTGGCTGCAGGTGCTCTCACCCTCGTCGACGCCAAAGCATGTCCCCCTCTCGGCGCCGTCTTTCCACCACCTCAAGCACCAGGCGAAAGTCCCCTCGTTCAAAAAGCTGCAGCAGCACTCAAAACCGGCCTCGAAGCCGAAATAGCTTCTCAATTTAACAACTCTGGTTTATCCATCGGTGTCAAGTCAATTCACGAGGAGGATCCTTTGTTTACCTACCACTTCACCCCGCCTAACCCAGGTGAAGGTTCGGATAAGGTTGACGAAGATACTGTTTTTCGCATTGCGAGTGGTTCGAAGCTGTTTACGGCTCTGGCGGCGCGTGTGAATGAGAAGATTGACTTGCAGGCTTCTGTTTTGAAGTATCTTCCTGAGCTTAACAAAACGGCTGGTGATGATGATATTCTGTCGCTGAAGTGGGAGGATATCACTGTTGGGTCGCTTGCTAGCCACCTCTCGGGTGTTGGAGTTGACAGTAAGTTTCGTTACTTCACCAAATGCATGCTCATTGTATTAACTCTATGACAGTGGCACAAGATCTGGCAATTGTCGGCGCCAAACCCTGGGCACCATTCGGTCTGCCTGATATTCCCAAAGGCAAAGGTCCCAGCTGCTCTGGTCTCCCCGGCACGATTCCTTGCACTAGAGAAGACCTTCTCGAGCAGGTTAACCTTCGACCTCCTGTCTACGCTCCTTTCACCAACCCCGTCTACTCAAACGTAGGCCATGCTCTTCTTGGTCTTGTCCTTGAGGCTGCTGAAGACATGCCTTTTGAGGACATCATTAAGCGAGATATTCTTGATGTTGTAGGCATGAAGAGTACCTATGTCGATAAGACTCCCCCTACAAAGGATCTTTTCATCCCTGAGAAGGAACCTACATGGAACTCTACACTGGCCGTCTTTGACTCGTAAGTTCTAGCACTGAAGATTTATGTTCTGACTAACAGGTTTAGTGCTGGTGGCATGTTCTCATCTGTATCTGACATGCTTCTCCTCGCTGAAGGTATCCTCAACAACAAGTTCCTCTCTCCAGCTGAGACCCGCAAGTGGATGAAGCCCGAGGCCAACACTGCCTCTTGGGGCTATCAAGTCGGTGGACCTTGGGAGATTCTTCGAAGCGACAACATCACCTCCGACGGCCGCCTCATCGACATTTACACCAAGAGTGGTGACTTGGGTCTCTACCACTCTCAGACCGTCCTCATTCCCGACTACGATATTGTCATCTCCATCATGTCTGGCGGTCTTGAAGCCAGCGCAAACCCCTACGTAACAAGCACGATTCTCAGCGCCGTTATTCAAAATCTCCTTCCCGCTATCGAAAAAGTTGGTCGAGATGAAGCAAAGGATACTTTTGCTGGAACATACGAAGACAAGGAGACCAACTCAACCATTGCTTTCACTCAAGACAGTGGACCTGGTTTCAAGATCAAGAGCTGGCAGATGCGCGGCTTCGACGTCCTCAACAACATCGGAAACTACAACTTCAACGCCCTTGAGTCAGGCGCTTCTACGAAAACTCCCTACGTCGACGCCCGCATGTATCCCAGCAACCTCGCCAAAAAGGGCGAAACAGCCTGGCGCGCCGTCTTCGACAGGACCGACTCCAACACTGATACCAAGTTTGAGAAGGATTTGTTCTTCGAGGATGGTACATGCCAGACGTGGTTCCAACAGGATCGTATGGTGTACAACTACCTCCCCTTGGATTTGTTTGTGTTCGTTGAGGGTGAGGATGGTGTTAGTGAGGCTGTCAAGAGTCCTGCTTTTAACATTACTTTGACAAAGGTGCGTCAACCTGCTGAGAAGAAGAACACGGGGGAGGGGGAGACCAATGCTGCTGGGGTGGGGGAGCGTTTTGGAGTGGCTGGTCTTATGGTCTTTGTGATGGTTACCATGATGAATTTGTTCTAATGGACTTGCAGATCTAAATCTAATGAATGTGGAAATAATCTGGGCAATGTGCATTACAGTTGTATATATATTTATTTATGATCAAAGTCAATTATCATAGATCGCTGTTGCTGCGAACTCTGATACCCTACCAGGCTGCTTTCACTATTATGATAAAGTTGTTCAATCTCGCGTTCTCTGCTTATTGCTCATAAAATATCTAATTCAGTTGGTAGTCACCCTGTGCCGTGTCTTGGCAACTGTGCTACGCCGCGTCTCATTGCAACCATGTTGGCTCATTATTTGATATTGGGGTCCACCACAGTGCATGAAGAGGTTTGAGATGGCCGAGCGTCTGCTCTTTATTTTTGTTTTGTTTTGGTAGGCACTATAGATATTGAGTACTTTTCTTAAAAATTCCGTTTTGCTCTTTGTACGTTCCTTTTAACCAACTCTCAATTTCCCATGACCAAGGTCAATACTAACTGACCTCTTACTGTTGCACATCTCAGATCAGAATTTCAGATTTCTAGAGAGTACAGGGTTATGTTTCAGGGCCTTTGTCAAGCTACATGGATTCTTTCAGCCCTTCCAAGAACACCATTAGCCCTGTCAACAGCAACCAATGATGGACTTGAAAGTGTTTCTGCCCCTATCAAGGGTTAAGCGTGTTGGTCAAGCCCTTTCCTTTATCTTGGGTCTGCCAGGACACTCTGTAAAAACCTGCAAGTCATCTTCTCCTCTGTCTCATCAACCACCATGCCTCGCTCACTGCTTGTGTTACTGCTAAGCTTTGCTTGTCTGTTAATTGAACCGGTGGTAGGCTTGGCCGCATGGTGGACTCTGTCGCCTGATGGTTTTACTACACCACACTTTGCATACCAAGATCCCAAATCTGGGGATATCCTACATAGCTCTTGCAACAGCAATACGTCGGCAGCATTTTCACCAGATAAAGCGAACATATTTCCCATTAAAGAGAACATAGCCTTCAAGAGTCAGCCAAAGTTTTCGACGCCGCTCGCAGTCACAGGATGGTGGGACAACGACCTTAATACGCCAATAGTAAGTTGTTTCACCGCCCATAAGCTTTGGGGATTCTTGATTGACATAATAGGCCTCTGTTTTCTACCAGGGAATTGACAACTCAATCATGAATGCATTATTTAAATGCGATAACAAGACTGGCAACTATACGTTCGACGCACAAAGTGATAACGTCGTGTCTGAATTAGCTGGCACACCTTCAGTATACAAAGAGACTGAGCTTGCGATTGTCAAGGTAGGAGGGTCAGGCTTTCGACTTCATTACCATGACGAGGGCCGATTGGTAAATCTCTTGTCGTCCAAAAATGGGACAGATTGGCAATACAGTGGTCCAGTATCGCGATACCGGTCAAGGGGCACAGCTATGGCTGCTGTCTACACAGGAAGCACCAATTCTTCTATAGTCTGGGCTCATACTGAAGTAAATCTTAATGTGGCCCGCTTCAACAATGATAGCAAAGACAAATGGAGTATAAGTAAGTATTGAAAGCCAAATCATACAGTACAGCCGCTAACACAAAACCTACAGAGCAGTTCCCGGAAGCCTTTCATGAGTCGACGGTTACAAACAATAGTGACCCGAAAACGGATTTCTTTATAGGGAAAACAGGACCGCCATTACTGTATTTAACCGGAAACTTCGCCAACCTTAGTCTCACAGCCAACTCAAACAATGAATTGTCCTTGTTCTATATTGGTGAAGATACCTCGTTACACGAGTATCTGGGAGCTGACGACGGTTGGAAGAAGCAAACCCATCCAGGAGCAAGAATATGGCCTGAAGCCGATCATGAGTTTGGGCGACTAGCTACCGCCTCTCCTCCAGATTCTGATGAGATGTGGGTATACTATACAGGTAAATCCGACGTTGTAGAGTTACACAAAGACAAGAGGGGAATATGGAGCAATGCCAAGATGCCATCGTTAACGACCGCAACCAACGTCAAATACACTCCGCCAGACACGGACAGAAGCCCTAGGGAAAAAGAGACCGAAACTGCTACTGACGAGAAGTCAGCTAAGCCCTCTTCAGGCCCAGGCCTGGCAACTGGAGTCCAAGTCGGTATTGGTGTCGGAGTGGGCATTGGAGTGATAGCCCTTGTTGTTGCTATGTGGTTCTTCCTCAAGAATAGGCGCCGAACCACAGTTCCTGCCGAGGGGCATCAGCCACCTGAATTGCAGGACACTGGGAAGTCCGAGCTATCAGACACGGCCAAGTTTGAGTTACCGGATACTGCCAAGCATGAGTTATCCGATACATCAAGGTACGAGTTACCAGGCGATATCTCGTATCGAACCTCGTGAGGTATTGGAATTACAACTGGAATCTTATTTAGATGTACGTAATGCCAAAGACTATGAGAAACGCAGTCTAGCTTACTAAATCGTCGGAGAAGAAGTAAAGCTTTGACGAGGGTTAGCCAATTAGCGTTACTGACATCCGAATCATGTACTAAGATCACTTTATTTCACATGAGCAATGGGCAAATATTATGGCTTTCTGAACAAAGAATCATACAGCTGTTCATATAAAAAAGGTCTAGCCTGGTAAAGTTAAACATTCAAATCCTCCTTGTTATTACTGCTATCAGTACGTTCGGTTGAGGGCGGAGCTGGATCGCGTGGGATACATTGAGCAGCTGCATGAACATAATGTACACGAGGCCTCTCTGTATCACATTGCTCATTGATCAGCGATCGAACGGGTGTGACTTCGAGGGAACGTACCCTGCTTTCGTTTGCGACAGCGTTCGCAAGCTGGAGAAACTTTTGTCGTTTCTATGCAGACATCGTAAAAGCCTGTATTACAGTCTATATGGTCCCAACTATAGAAATGGTTCCGACGGAGTGCTCCGCTAGACGCGCTGCCCGTGGGGTTCGAGTCTGTCGGAAGCTAGAAACTCCCAAGATCTTGACAGATGGCGGCAAAAGCCGCCGCAAGTTGCCCTCATAACAGACAAGTACAATTTATGATGCGGCCACTAAGAATATTTCCATTTTTGTATCTAGGTACATTTTCTTTCTCTTGATTGTATGACTTCCCTCTGCCCTTGTGATAGACCTTATTTGTTAACCTCCTCCAACAGCGTCTTGGCCGCCAGCTTACCCAAGTTATTCGAGGCTAGCGGCGAATCACCAGTCAACAACAGACGATCACGGTGGCATTCACCCGAGATAGTCTTATTGATAGGCGTGACTCCAAGCTTCTTAAGCCGATCACCGACCAGCCACTCCATCTTGCCGGGAATGTAGCCAATATCGATATTAGCGCCTTCGTCCAGTGAGTCAGGGAAGACGTCAACGCTATATCCCTCGTAGATAAACTTGGATCCCTCAGGCTTGCCAACATCAGCGGCAAGAATACTAGCAGGACCATGGCAGAGGGTGATGAAGAAGCGGTTGTTGCCATCAGCCCAGCGGAGGATGTCTCCGACTGTCTTACTAAAAGGTATACCGTTGAGGACACCATGGCCGCCAGGAATGAAGACTGCGATGTAGGGTGTATCTTGAGTAAACCCGTCTCCCCACACATCGGAAAGATTAAGCGGACTGCGAAGCTTTTGCTTATACTTGTTGTGAATTGACTTGACAGCCTCGTCCTCTTTGGGGAAAGCCCACATCTCGAACTTGACGGGATCTCCCGAGAGTGTGGCTACATCAATGTCGAAACCTGCAGCGTCGAGGTGGTACATTGGTAGAAGCATCTCAACTGGGTGGTTGCCAGTGGAAAAGAACTTTCCGTCTGCCATCTTGAGATAACGCTCTTGGGTGCCGATCATGAGGATCTTCCATTTGCCGCCGGTGTACTTGTTTGGATAGTCGGCGCCGTCAAAGTCCGTCTTTGAGGTGACGTACTGCGTGAGGGAGAATGGTGAAGGGAAGTATGCGTCGTCTTCCGCCATGTCGCGGACGGGTGCCTTGTCGTTTTGGTCTGACATTATGTGGATTTGTATGGAGTAAGTTGTTTAGAAATGCTATTGGAGACTGATTGATGACAGACTTGGTGATACTTGTGATACAGACTGAAGTTGCGGGGCAGGGTTTACTTATAGACGTTACGTTAAGGTTCTGCGTACCATTCAGCTGACTTGGCCAAGGGAAGCTCTACGTGAGTGGCGTACCGGTCTCCTCTCAAACATTAAGGTTTGACTGGATGTCTAGGTTCCTCAGCGGCTTAGACTAGACTTGAAAGGGCAGCTAGAGATGCTGCAGAGTCTTAGCAATTGGACAGACCTATCTATCGGCTCCGTCGGAGCTGTGTTAAGCTTTCCAACGGAACCAGTGTCAGATCCATAAGCCTGATGACTTCAACGGAGACGAGTTATGTAGCTCCTAAGGTCCCCACAACAACAATAGGAAGCAATTTTGCATGTGAAGACACTTCCCTAGGTAACAACATACTGATAAACTAATTAATTGTAAATACCTCGAGCCACGGAAGCTTCTACGACACAAACGACGAGACTACTCAAAGTTGTGTATTAAAAATAACTTCATTCAATAATTAAAGGGTGTACCTCATGACATAGGCCAAAGAATCGTGTAGCTATTCATACAACCAAGGTCCAGCCCGGTAATCAAACATGTAATTCTTTCCGTCATCACTGCTGTCCATTAAATCCCGTAAATCCATTCCCCAGATTATCAAAACCAGGGTACATCTGCCCCCAATTCATATAATCAGTCTGAGGCGTCATTCCATTTGCCGGAAGCATTTGATCCGCCATCATCTGGGGATATACTACGCCGTTATTCCAAGCTTGTACGTCTGTCCCATTCGCCATAGCTAGCATGGAAGGCTGCATAAGATCGTCGAAACCGGGACCCATGGTAGTCGGCGTCACGATCTCGAGGACTGTCTCGGGTACTTGACTCCCTCGGCCTGCGGCACCGCTTCGAACAGTTCTTAGGCTATCTCTATGTCCAAGACTAACGCTCTCATCAGAGCCATCGTCGAGTATCACACCAGAATCAGGTCTGGGCATGATATCTCTGCTCTTTCGCTGCATGACGTTTTGTGGAGCTTGTGATCTGATGATTTCGTTCTTTTTGTTACTTCGGTTTGTGTAGGGCATGCTTTGCGCGTTGGCTATGCAATGATCCAGAGTCTCAACGAAGCATTGGTAGAATTTCGTAGACAGGGTTTCGAGCGTGGCAGGGTTGGAGATCTTGTCGACGAGGGAGAGTTTGAGTTGATCAAAGGCCATCTGGTAGTTGGCTGCTACTTCGAAGTGTTCGATAACAGGAGTGTATTCTGGTATTGTTAGTCCATGATCTTCAGAAATGAACAGTCATTCTTACCATAAGGTCGGACTTCACCGTCATCATCATCTGGGAAAACAATGTTCCAAATCTCCCTCCACTGGACTTCAGGAGATGTACCGCTCGCTCGTTTTCTGCTCAGCAATTTCGTCGCAGTTTGAGGATCAATTCCGCTCTCCGCATCTGCATCGGCGATATCGCACATGTGCTCTTTTGGTAGACGTTGATGATCGCGCAGTTCCTTTCGTGTAGGAAAATCACGACTGCATCGATCGCAGACGTAAGCTGAGGGATCATCGCGTTTATGCTGCTTGACAATATGTTGTCTATTATGGGACGTTAGTAAAAATGAGGTTGAGAAGTCTTGGTCAGCTCACCTAAGCTCAGCAAATTTGGGAAAATATGTCATCGCGCAGCTGTGATGATCTCTCACGTTGAACCGATGAGGATTTCTCTTTCGGAAAGGACAGCTAAGACGCAAATTCTCATCATCCTTGGGGTTCGGGCGGGAGCGCTTGGTGGGTAGATAGCCGGAGCCTTCGCCGTCGCTAAACTCATCGCCATCGTCTTCACGCTTGCCTTGCTTCTTGCGCTTTACTCGTCGATCATTATTGGAAGCGTCTTGTGAGGGAGTGGAGGATGAGCTTGATCTTGACATGGTGTAAGATGCTTGGCCGTCTGAAGCGGATTGCCACATGTGTTGGCTTATGTCTTGGGCAAAGTTGGACACAAGACTTTGGACTTTATCTTGGGCTATTGAAGTGTCGTTGAGATCGACGCCATAGATGACTTGCAGAGCGTAGTTGAGGACTAGGTTGGCATCCTCGGTGGTGACATCTTCGGACTCTTCTTCATTGTCATCACCGTCTGGAATGTCGTCTGTGTGACTGGACTCTGTCGGCGTGAGAACCCTTTCCTCCTTGATGAAGGACTCGGTGCTACGACTGAGAGAGTGAGCGACATGATGGTTCATGAGAAGTAAATAGACTTACCTCGCAGGTCGAAATTCCTGGACAGGTTGTCTTTGGAGCTCATCAATGCCACGAATCTTAATGTCAAACTCGGGATAACCTGTGATAATAGCATCTTCATCCTCATTCACAAAAGTCGAACAAGTCCCATTCGAAGGATTATGTCGATGACAAATGCGACTCGCAGGTCTTGATCCTCCATCAAGCGTTGTAGCAGCAAACTGTTCATTGATGGAACTAGCATACGTAGTACTTATCGGACTCGCCAAGGTAGAAAGGGAATGAGTAGTCGCCGAATCAGGGACATTTGCAGAAGAGACACTGCTCATGGATGACTCTGTAGGCGAGCGAAGACGAAACGCGCCTGGATTAAAATGAAGGCTCTCTGGGACCTTCTTTCCATGTCGTCTATTAAGAATAGGGAATTTAGAAAGCGGTGCATCGCTATGACGACCTTCTTTTGCGCGAAAGGGTAGATGGTGAAGACCAGCTTCGCCAATCTGACTGTTGTTGCTGTGATCGGTCATGGCGATGTCAAAATATGGGGATGGGAAATTCTAGGTGTTCAAAGGTTAGTTAGTTGAATGGTCTTTTGGTAGTATCCTCGCCAATGTTTGACACCATCGGTTTCGGGTAGATTCGGCAGGGTGCGCTTACAAGGATGAAATTAAATGGGTTTATTATGCGGACGAAAAATAGGGAGTATTTAAGTAGATGAATCAATTAGATTGAAACAATACACGTTCTGAAACGAGTAAATAAAAGAGCGTGGGTGGCAATTAAGACAAGGGAAAAGAGCACAGAGAGAGTGAGGAATTAATAACTTGACAGAGTTTAATTTAGAAAAAAATGACAGGAGAGTAAGCAGAGTATATAATAATGGAAACAAGAAAAAGGGAGAGTCGGATGTCCGTTTCATCTCTGTCAATCTTTGTCTCTCCCTGGCTCTTTCGCACAGGTTGCCTCGCCTGAAGATTGCATCCAGACTAAAGTCCTTGATCCTTTTGAAGAATTGTTATTGGTTCGAGTGTTGGTATGGTCCACTACGCTGGTATGAAAGTAGTAAGACTCGTCTCTGATCCCTGGACAGCGGTAGTTGACAAGTGCTCTGATTCGCTCGTGATGGCCGCTGTTGCATGGGCTGTGTTTGTTTGAGAGGGCATTTTCAGGCACCAGAATTCTGAATCGGAGTTGACAGTTTTATTGGTTAGCCCTACAGTTCGCTTGAGTTTCAACGAGGAGATGATCATCCCACGGGTTGTGATGATGTGCTTTTCGACGTCAACATACACAAGGGTAACAGTGATTGGATGATGTATAGAGCCGATCACTATCTATAGAAGAACGCGCATTTATTTATCCGGTTGTTATTTGCAAGATCCAAGAGTTCAAAATATCCCATCAATCATCACTCAATAGTATCCACGAAACGGCTTACCCTATAACTCAGACCCTCCCTGCAGTCCCTCCACGGGTCATTCACTAAGCCTTTTCCGGTACAGAATTTGGGAGTTGTTACTAGGAGACATGGAGAAGCTTATCAATAACCGCAGCAACCTGCAATAGCTTCTCGTCTTCGAATGGACGTCCCACAATCTGTATGGTCGCCCTCTGGCTTGCGAATACACTCGGATCATCTACGCGCAGTACTCAATTAATGACCACTCTTGACAAACAAAATGAAAGGTACTTACATATCTCATAGTTTGGCTTATCATAAGGGTTACTGCCGAGCGGATGGTAGTCAGCATCAACCCCATCTTGCTCGGTACTGATCTGGAATCCTTGGATGGGCAGAATTGCAGAAGGATAGTCAACAAGATTGAACAATGCAGTGTAGCCCCAATAAGCGTTGAAGTCGTGGGGGTATCCAATAGCAGGTGCTGGAGGACAAATCAATGCATCGGTAGCTTTGCCGTTCTTGGTGGTGTTATTCCAGGCGGCTAGGAACGCTTCTTTGTACTCTCGCACCTTTCTGCTTAACTACGGTTATATTAGTTAACATATAGTTATAAGAGTAGGGCTCTGTACCTGAAGTATCTCCGACGCTGGGAGTTGTCGAACATTAAAGGTCCTGAGTAAATCAGCGAAAGCTGGGATGGTCGGCTCGCCCGAGAGAGCAAGAGCAGCAAGGGTCTGCTCAGATCCTCCCTGATAGTAAATATTGAACTAGAAGAGTTGTAAGTAAGCGAGGCATATCCTGCTGATTGATTGTCTTACTGTAGTCTTCAACGCTTGCCAGCAATCAAAGGGTGGCTCAAAGTCCACGACTGCGTGAATGTGTCAGCTCACAACGATTGGTAAAGGTCATTCAAACTCACCCTCATGGCCAGCTTTCTCGAGCACCTTTTTAGTATGCCCCAGACCCCGAAGAATAGGTGTGTGAGGCATCACAACTCCATCCCACTTCATGAGACCAAATCTCATACTTTCCTGCACCGGCTCTGGCATTATCCAAGGGACCGGCGTGCAAGTCACGTCATATCTGTTGAACGGGTACGCATTAATGACCTTGGTGAGTAACTCCATGTCCTCGATAGAATGGCAAATTGGTCCAAAAGATACCTGTACCAGGCTCTGTCCAAGGTCTGGCATGCCGCCCTTTGGAATTCTCGCAGCCGTTGGCTTGAGCGCGTAAAGACCGTTGAACGCAGCGGGAACACGGATGGATCCTCCCAAGTCGGTTGATGGGGTGAAGGGAGTTCCTCTCATGGCTACGAGAACTGCATCGCCTCCTGAACTCCCTCCGGCGTTTAGGTCTGTATTTGTTGGGTTTAAAGTGCGTCCCCACAGGTTACTGACAGTCTCTATAGCCATCGCTGACTGGGGCATTGTAGTCTTGCAGAAGAATATGGCGCCGGCGTTGCGTAAAGCCGCCACGACGTTTGAGTCTTGCTGGGCGATGTTGTCTTTAAGAGAGACCCATGCCATGGTTGTAGCATGACCTTTTGTGCCATGGATATCCTGCGCATAACCTTTTGAGTGTCTGAATGAATGGAGATAAGCGTGAAACGTACCTTGAGAGCAATAGGAAGTCCATGTAAAGGACCTTTCAGAAGTTCACCTCGGTCAAGAGCATCATCAAGCGCTTTCGCCTGCTCGAGACCTTCTTCGTAGAAGAAGTCAGCCAGACAGTTGATCTGCCGCAGGTTAGATGATATCAATGTGTTTGTTCATTAGACTGACCAATTGATGGGTGATCGCTGCGCGTCCGGCAAAGGCTTCCAGGACTTGTACGGCAGTTAGCTGGCGCGATCCAAGCCGTTGTACAAGCTGAGTGGCCCCCAGCTCTGTTATCTCGAGCTGTCCTTCGGTCAATAATCCACAGATGCGTGGTACATGGGTAATATCCTTGAGCGACCTATACTTCCCAGTATCTAAATGCCAGCGGGCCGGGATAGAGTGCAGGACACTAGTCTGCGATTCTTTGGCAATGGCTTCCCACGACATTTTAAAGTGTTGGCTATCGTTTTTACTTCCTGAACCACATACATGATTTAAGGCACGCACCTTTTATTTATGTATTTACCACAATTTCGCGAGGCATGCCATGGCCAGTCTTCAACGTTACCTGTTTGTTCTCGCGAGCGGGTCTTGGTGGGTGGTGGGCCTGATTTAGTAATCATTCTATGAGGGACGATAACGTTTCAATATGATGGCTTAGTAACTTGCATAGTCTATGGTGCACACGGGATACGATAATGACAGATCTGAGCTCTGTCGAATGGTGGATAGGATTCGATGGTATTAGGGCTCCTAATGCGGAAAGAAGAAGCGTGTCATTTTAAAATGATTACTTGAAGCTTGAAACTTCATCTCAAACTTGGATAGAGTTCAATTGCCGTTACTTAATAGTATCCATGAAAAGGCTTCCCAGACCCCCCCTCTGAATTTCCATCCCCTGCATCAAGCAGTGATCCATCTCCATCGCTCTTCGATCTCTTCTTTGAGCCCAACAATACCCTAGACGACTCCATAGAACTATCTTCTCGGCTTTCGCCAGACCCAACAACCTTTTCTTCCGACCTGGCTGCGAAAGACAATCTCGAAATTGACTTTTGAAGCGAGCGTTTCCGAAACATTGTCAGCATCGACGACTTAGGTACTTCGGTGTTTGGTGTCAACCCCTCTGTATCAGCCAATTCAAATACACCCTCGCTATCATCGTCATCTTCGACGGCTGCGCGAGGTGACAATGGATCATCTTGGTAGAAGAGCTCTCTTGGAAATCCACTGATTGACATAGACGGGTTGACGGACCTCTGGGATGGGTGTGAGTGACTGTACCCTCCAGGCTGTAGACATAATGAAAGCCGCGTCAAACTTGTCTCATGACTACCATCGATGATGAGGTGGGATCGCAGTCTAAAAATACCGGTGTAGCACATGTTCTCAATAGTATCGATGGGGATGACAACGTCGTGTTGCTTCATGATGGAAGTGCCGTAGTCTTCCTCCAAGACGAAAAAAGGTATGAAGGAGCTTCCGCGGATGTGGTCTTTGAGAATCTGACCCAGTCCCTTGATATCTCGACTTCCTTCGTCGAAGCGGCAGATGATGTTACCTGTCACCAGTCAGTTCGCTGTACCTAACAAAGTTTTCTCGACATACCAGAACACTTGTACAAACCCGTCTCTCTGTTTCGAGAGTCAACACCTGTTCGCTCAAAGTAGAAACAGCTTGCCACAAGCTTGTGCGCGGTCATCCTGACAGTATGCCCATCACTCATCATATTGATGGCATTCCTCTCAATGGTCTCGATCTCCTCGATATCATCAAAGTCTGGTCGCTTATCTGCCCACCCAATGTCAATTCGCACATGACGATGCTCATTTGAAGAAGTTGATGTCTGTGCAACATAACTGTTCCACATGTCTTCACTGCTTTTCTGGTCATCAATGATAGGGTTTATGATCCTCCACATAGAGCTGAAGCTGCCCGAAGGCCGCAGCGGGGACGATGGAATTTTCGGTGAGAGTGCTGAGGACTTCTGGCCGTAGGCGCGCTTCTCCTTGTGGGTCAAACGACAATTGGTGTGGCCGGTTCCAAGCGATAGAACAAGATCTGGAGGAGGTTGATTGATGTCACCCCACAATCGTTTCCGCTCGTTGTCAGCGATAAAAACCGGACAAACGTGATGGACGGCTCCATCTGTGTACTGGATGCCGGTGTTTGTATGAACAAACGGTTTGAAGTACCGAGGTGCTGCAGCAGTTGCACGGGCAGCTTCCCACGTCTTGAGCTCCCACTCAGGGTCTTGAGGCCGAACAAATTTGTAAGGCACTAAATAGTTAGTTTTAAGAAGGAAATAAAAGTCAGTGTAGACTTGACTTACTGGAATCATGGTCGCTTTCAGTGTTGTAGTTGGAAAGAATAGCTGGCCTGTTCTCGCTGGCTACTGTTGTAGTGACGGCAACTCGGATGGACGTTGAGTGATCGGGCTTGGATCCACCGTAAAGATTAGAGTACTGATCGAAAGCTGATTTCAATCCCTTTTCCAGAGGCTTCGTCTTGTACCGGCTTCGCGTACTGACTGATGACAAACTCTTGACTATTCGTGGAGAGAATGCCTGTTTGCAAAGACTCCTGAAGTGGTCCCTGCAATCAGCTACACTCCAACGCTTCACCCCAAGACCCAGAGCGATTATCCCACCGGTACTACATTTGATCTGTCAGTGTTTTATGTCTGGTACTGAAGTGAGGTAGACTAACCCGGAACCCACGATCAAATCAAAAAAATTCTGAACTGGGATTTGATGACCAAGTACCTTCTGGATTTCTTGAAGGATGACGATCTCATCGATGGCCCGGACACCCCCTCTATTTTTCATTAGTAGGTATGTCAAATCAATGGTTGTATATACTTACCCATCCAAGCAAAGAATTCTCACACCAGCTTCATCTGGCTTGAATCTGATGCGAGCTGGTTGGGGCCATATCGTTTCTTTGGGATGCAGAGGACAACAATGCATGTGGTACAAACCTTGTCCAACACTGTTGCCATGGGTCTGAACGCAGGCTTTGCAGAGAATGTGGCCGCAAGGGAGCACATTTTCCGGTACCTTTCTCACACAGCAAAGACAAGTCAGATTGCTCTTGAAGTTAGAGACGGAACCATCAATTCGGGCGACCCGATAGAACTGCGCCATGACGTCGATGAGGACTCGTGGTATAACGTTATCTTCCTGGTCAAACCTGCACAAACGCTCATTGAGGTCCTTGATGTGCTTGTCGATTTGATTGATCCAGTCGGGAAAGAACTCTTCCACGATAAATGTTGTCTCGTACGGGCCGCGAGCAAAGATTTTGCCGTTACTTGCCTGATGGCCCTTGGTGTGAGAGTTTCTAACATTTTGGCATGTTTCTCCGTCACGAGTAAACGAACATGGAAGCCAACGATCACAGAAACGGTGGAGAGCCTCATTGAGCGACTCCCGATATGTGCTGCGTAGTAGATCAGAGTACGAGCCTGAAGAGTGTCAGTGTCAAGCAAAGAATTTTGCGAAGTAGGGAGGGAAATTACCCTGAATACTATCTCTAGTAGCAGCAAGCATAATGCAAGATGCCAGGGGACGACTGAGCGCAGCAAAAAAGTCTCGATGCCGACGGCGGTGTCCTGGTTGATTGTAGACAGTGAGAATGAGGTTGAGAATATGTCCACCGAAGTTTCGAGGCAGAGGAGCGTGCTTTAGTGCTTCGTTGTTAAAGTCGAAGGGCTCATCGAGACTTGTTGAAAAGTGATCATAAGCCGAATTAACATACTGCGGTAGTGTTTCAGCATTGAGAAGCATCCGGACTTGCTTCTTCCGAATACGTGATGTTTTGCATCTGTCGGATATGATCTCATAAAGTTTGCCGATTTGCTCATCGATTTGCATGTATCGACCTTTGGTTGGAATTCTCACCACAGTAACAGAGGAGTAGTATTCTTCGAGAAGTCCCTTGGTAGTCGTGATGTACTTTCCTGCATCTGCTAGTCTGGCCAATATGGCTTTGAGGGCTGGAACTTGGTGTACAGAATTCTCATAGTCATTCAATAGTCCTTGCGTGGCTGTCATGGGATCCCATTGCTCATCATTGATATTGATATCAGTGCCGTTGACAACAATGACAACATGTGGAAGACTTGGTTGGTTGATGGACTTTTCGATTGACATTGCGGCCCAGTTGACCAGTTGTGTCAAAACCTCAGTCTGGAAGGTCCTGATGCGTAGACTGTTAGCTGCGGACAGGACTCTGAGCTTGTGAGATTGACATACCTGACTTCACGAAGGACAAAGACAACAACATCGGAAAAGGTATACAGGATTCGGGGAAACAGACTAGTCACTGCATACTCGCGCGACTGCATCTTCGGGTTATCGGCCCAAGTGATCTTCTTGCGAAGGAGGTTCTTGACAGTCTTTCCGGATCTCTTGGCACTCTCAATCTTCTCCCGACATGCCAATCCCCGAGGCGCGTGTTCCCCGCCAGTCATTCCTTCACAGTCTGCGTAAAGGAAAGGACTCTGAGCATGGTACGTACCTGGATCTTCGTACAGGTGTACGTCCCCTGTTGTGGCAACGTTGTCACCCACGAGACCGGGGACAGGGGCAAGAATATCGCTCGAGTTGACCTGTTTGGCTTGTTGACGGTCTATAAGCATCTTGATTACAGTGCTCTTACCAGCACCTGAGAAAACACTAGTTAGCAGTTGGATTGTAAATATGGTCCAGCCATATCGTAGACATACCTGTCTGTCCAACGAAAGAGACCAATTGAGGGAAACGCTCAGTGAATGCGCCTATCTGGCTCTCACGTAGGATATCGACCAGACGGTTAGAGTAATGCAGATAAGGCTGGCCGTACTCCTTGGTTATTCCAAACCAAGTTGTATTGATATCATTTGTGTGTCGTTGATGCTGCTCCTCGGCGGTGGGTTGACCGAAAATGCGCTGCAGTCGGTCGACAATATCTTCGTCAACCTTTTCGTGTTCACGCCCATCTATGCCGACCTTTCCTGGCTAAAAGAAAAGTCAGAAGTGGTTCGAAGGGAACTCTAGAGGTCGTAAAGACTACTTACCCGATGGGGTCTTTCTTTCGGCCAGCATTCATCGCAAAAGAAGTCATCACACTGTACGCACTTCCAAGCTTTGGATGGGCCACCGCACACGCAACAAGGGTTGAGTACAGAGGGAGTCTGCCGCGGTAATGGCAACTCCGAACTGTGAGGTTTTATGACATTTGCGCTCGTGTATTGCCGATAGTAGTGATCAGACTTCGGAGGCACACGGGGCTGATACCCCAGGTTAGGCTTGATGTCAGTCACGACGACCTCGGGCAACGAAGAATACTCGGCAAACGACGCCATGAGGAAATGAACTATACACTAGTGAGTGTACGTGGAAAGAACACTTTGGTAAGGAAGGTGACACTCTGACGGCCACGGTGAGATATTTAAGGGACTCTGCCTAGTCTGTTCCGTGAACGAGGCTCTGAGAGTCTCGGGACCATCTCGCAACCAGTCCAGACTACGAGGCGTTAACTAGACGGCCCAGCCATGCAGAAGATGAGGGGTTGTGCAACATACACAGTGCGACGTCCTGTCGCAGGCTCAACTTGATTTCTGTTTCCTAATGAAGAATTGAACAATCTAGAAACTACCAATGGACTGAGAAACACAAGTTTACTAAACTATGAATTGACAAAATAGAACAGTTTTCAAATCTATTAATAATAGTTTTCAAATCTATTAATAATAGTTTCAATTCTAAGAATATCGGCAGCAGGTTTCCAGTTCAATCGATGTGGTGCCCATAATTATCGTCTGTCCATGGCGTTTCAGCTCTGCAAGCCACGCATCCAGCCAGGCGCCTCCCTTCAACCTAGTGAGGTCTGTCTTTCAGCCTCTAAGAATGCTCTTCTCGCTTTAGACCACTGCAAAGCGATGAATCTAGCCTCTTAGTAGCCATAAAACGGGTGAATTATGTCCATATCTGCCAACACTTATTTGTATTTAAGAGTCAATGTGCAAAGGAACGGGACAGCCTCCCAGCTTCACCTGCTTAACCTGTAGCAACCGAAATTCGAAATATCACACGTTGCGGACCTAGTAACAGCCATTAAAACTAGCTTGACCATCAGGTTAGTGGCTGTTCCTAAAAAGAGAAAGCTGAACGGAATAGCGGCTCTTCTACCACGCCAAGGCACACCACAATAACTGCAACGGACAGGGCTGGCGGGAACGCCACGATATCCATTTAGCCTAGGCCAGTAGAATCCTCTGTAGATGTCTTTGAGATCGTTCTCGCCAACAGTCGTGAGGCTCCATTAGCTGAAATCACCCCCACACGGCGTATTTTTAATTCAATAGTTGGTGACAACCCCGCATACATCACTAACAGTGTCTCTCAAGACTCTCTAAGCGCTCACTTTTCTTTTGTGTCACGCCAACCTCTGTAAAATTGGCACTGAGACAGGACACGCTGTTATCTTTGTATCATGGCTTGTCTCCTAGAACTGTTTCAGCATCTAGTAATGCATTAATTGCTGTATTAATAGTTACTGTTAACATAAAGTACACTTCTGCCTGAATCATTGCCACAGCTACATAGCTGATGATTGCGTTTTGATATGCATCTAATAGTCCGCACGCCCACGCGAAATTCGTCATTGGAGGCCTCATTGTTTCGTGGTGTCAATTACTGGAGGCCTTATTTCCCACCAACCTTTCCAACACTATAGCTACAGCTCTCTATCCCTTTAACGCAAGTTATTTAAAGCTTAAAAGGTTACAACTCTGATTTGCCTTCTTTCCTATCATGGCAGTCATGCTGTGCGCTGAATGCACAGCATTTAAGGAAACTCTCGAGAGTCTTACCGAACACTCCTCAGACGAAATCCACCGGGCACCGTTCCCCAACTTTGCCGCCTTGGAGAGATCATCGTTTATGGGTTGTACGCTATGTCAGATTATCCATCAAACATGGCACCACAAGAGATATTCTAAAAGATACAAGGAAGATTCCCTTATCAATGTCGCAGCATATCGCAGGACTTATGGGACCCGGACACGAGAAATATTCATCGACCATGAGGGTTCTATGTTTTGGGGCTTTAGCTTGGCTGACTTCAAGCACAGTCAAGTTGGTGAAGAACAATTTAGTCAATACCAAACGGCATGGCGTCAAATAACTCGTACCAGTTCACCTGATAGAATAGGTCAAATTATCCCTCTGGCTTCCATATGGATTCGAAACTGTCACCAGGAACACCAGAATTGCATATCATACTATGCTAGGAGGGAGCCCAAAGCATTGCCAACGAGGCTTATCGATGTTGGCGCAGACGTCCCCAGCCAGCCACCAAGTCTCTTCATGCCTCTGCCCCATCAAGACAGCATTGAGTATATTGCTTTGAGCTATGCATGGGGATCCGGTCATTTCATCAAGACAACGTCCTCGAATCTCGAAGCTATGAAACAGCACATACCATTGACTCAACTACCCAGGACAATTCAGGATGCAATTCTAGTCACAAGACGTCTCGGCGTCAGGTACCTTTGGGTGGATGCTCTATGCATTTTGCAAAGTGAGGGACCGGACGATATGAAGCACAAGGAAGACTGGTCATATGAAGCAGCTCGATTTGGAAAATATTACGAAAATGCCTTGTTGACCATAGCTGCAACTGGAGCTAGCTCTTCCGACCAGGGGTTATTTTCACCTAGTCCAATATCTGGCCTTGAACCACAGTCTTTTACATTTCGATCAGAACATCAAATGGATTGTACTGTTCGATCGATGATCCCGAGTTGGCTTTCCGAGATTATTTCTGGACCTCTATCGTATCGGGGATGGGCCATGCAGGAGCGTCTCCTATCAAGAAGAGTTCTGCATTTTGCTGAAAATATGATACTGTGGGAGTGTCATGATTGCCGAGCGACTGAACATGATCCAGAAGGAATGAGCCCTAGGGGCCCAGATGATGATTCGTACCTCTTTAAAGAGTTCATGACGAAGTGTCGTGATCTGTATGCCAAGTGCTTGCAGCCCACCGATTTCATGGACGAATGGTACCACTTTATAAGGCTATATTCGAAATGTCACTTCACTTTTGTTTCAGATAGATTGCCCGCACTCTCTGGTATCACCGCTATCATTCAACAACATACTCAACAGAGATATGTTGCAGGGCTATGGGAGTCGGATATTCCCCAGGGCCTAGCGTGGCACAGTTACGGTACTTTTCATTTCGACACATCGCACCTAGTCAATCCTCAAATCCCCAGTGACCCAGCAAAGGATGACTCGCAGATTATTTTGCCTTCTTGGTCCTGGGCAGCGTGTGAAGGCGCCGTTTTGTACCCCCGTTACGATGGATGGCGATCACTTATCGAAGTGGAGTCCTGCCAAGTGAACTCACAGGGCTCGAGCACTTCAGGGCAGTTGCGTGGTGCAAGACTGACACTTCGTGGTGTTCTAGCAACGATCAATCTGAATGACTTGGGATTTGAGCCCTATGCAAATACGGAGATGCCGGATAATGTTTTGACTCGTTATCCAGATAAGGAATTCCTCACGGAGGAATGTGTGTGTATGGATTCGAGAGCGGACTCCCAAATAAGACACACATCCCACCCCTGTCTTCTTCTTGGATATGTTGATCTACTAGATGCGGATCAAGCAGGGGCCCTTATTTTGAAGGCTACTGGTCAATGCTTAGATGTTGTAAAGGAGTACAGGAGAATTGGGTATATATCACTTGCTATGCACGAGTTTTCCTCTATCTTCACCGATAAGGAGACAAGTATTAGCTTGGTATGAACAGCATCCTAATCGAGTTTCATACTATCCTTTTTTCACATTTACCATGGATATGGTCCTTCATCAATGGATTACTACGCTTAGGCAGAAGCGACTGTACCTGGTATATCTTTGGCATTACCCAAGGTCATTAACTAGCTATTGTAATTGGTTTACTTGGAACAATACGGTATACAAATTTCAGCCGTTCGCCATGTTAGCAATGTTGGAGTCCCTCTAGTGTTAGATACCCTGACCAATGAGCCTTCCTGTTTATACCCACTCTTTCCGTGTTGCTTTTGAAGTGTTGTTGTATCGAGGTGACATCGGCTGATCATTGGTCACTTCGAGAGCAATGCTTAGCAATACATCAACATCAAATATAGAGATTGGATATATATAAATATGAGAATCTCTTTCTAATATTTTATCATAAATTCACAGTATCACTCCTCTTCATCAATATACCAAGATCAAACCTCTTCGCCAATTTGTCAAGACTCTACATCTTCAACTATAAAAATGTCCACCGAGCCACCGTCGCAGCTTCGCACCGCCCTTCGGCCAGTTCAGGTGAAGTACGTTCCTCTGCCCGCTCCACTCCCACCATTGGGCGATAACCCCACCACAATGACCGCTGCTGAAGACATGCGTGCACCCTGCCGCCGTTGCCTCCTCGACGCCAGCCCAGGAGAGCAAGTCCATCTCATCGGCTATGACCCTTTCCCTGTCGACAGCATCACGCCTTACCGAGGGACTTATGCAATTTTTGTCCATGCTCATGAGTGTTCTCCTTTCACTGGTACAACTTTGCCAGACAGGCAGTTGAAGAGACTGCAAGCCTCAAGGGCATTCGACGAGAACCACCTGTTGGTGGCATCGGAGATTGTGAACGAAGGTGAATTTGAGAAAGTTGTTGGGGGAATGTTGGCGGATGAGAAAGTGAGCTATGTCAACGTGTACAACGCGAAGCCAGGTTGCTTTGCAGTCCAGGTTAAGAGGAGCTAAAAGGAGAAGGAGTTCGGGCTGCTTTGGCATGCGACAAGGGAAGATGTTTGCCCGAAGGTTTTACCTCCATTTCATTATGAGTTAGATGGGACCAGCATGTATTTACTTGGCCTGACTGTATGGTGAACAGTTAGTCATTTTGTAGTACAAGCCAATCAGAGTCTTTCAAACTGTTACTTGACATTAATGTAATGGGCTTCATATCAAGTAAGCAGTCGGACCTGGAATAATAATTGAAATCGGATCTTGTACCTTAAACTTGTCTCTGGCTAGGACTCCGGTTCCCATGCCATATCCCATGTCATCCCTTAAAGTGGCTTGCAGCCCCATCAGAGATTTGACCATTCAGCAATCTCCATGATTTTCAAGCCCCTGAGGTTTTTTTCAGCTCCTCTGACATCTTCCCCGCACTTCGATTTCATCGTCTCTCATCATTGTCGAAGAACTCATATTAATTAACTTTGCCTATCTTGACTAAATCGCCGTAGCCATCTCGCCGCTATCTAGCTCCGCATTGGCATGAGGCTTATCATTTCTTTCCCTTTCGAAATCTATCTGACTAGCTTGAACGAAGCTAACTACTCCAATGGATCGTCCATTACTACGTGTCCTCTCTTTGGGTGAGTTGAGTTCACACGATATGTAAAGCGTTGTATTCACACCAAACCTAGATGGTGGAGGAATACGCGGCTTGTCCAGTCTCTTAATTTTAGAGAATGTGATGGAACGGTTGCGTTAGGAAAATGGACTTGACCAAGTCCCAAGACCCTGCGAGTGGTTCGATCTCATCGGCGGTACAAGCACTGGAGGGTTAGTATCTTATTCTGATCGAATCTGAACTTACTAATAGGACCTAGCATCATTGCCATTATGCTCGGGAAATTGGGAATGACTGTTGATGAATGTATTCGAGCTTACAAGAAAGTCGCCCAACAAGCCTTCACGCCTAAATCTCGGTCTATCATTCCAGGACCACCGAACGGTGCGTTCTCCGCGAAGCAGTTAGAAGCAGCCATAAAGCAGACAGTCAGGGAGCATTGCATGGATCCCGTATGCGTGGAACAACGAAAGCGAGGACGAGACACCGCTGGAACCTGTCCTCATGGCGAAATGCAGTTTCGCGATGATTCGTGCACGAAGACGTAAGTACCCTGGTAAAAACCTCTATGTAGGCATTGACGGTGGCTAATTCGTCCTGAAGAGCTTTGCTAGCTATCACAAAGGATAATGTTGATACCCTTCCAACCCTGTTAAAGACATATGACACATCAGCCTCTCTCGATGGATGTACCGCTTGGCAAGTAGCACGAGCGACCTCTGCAGCAACTACATTCTTCAAGCCGATCAAAGTTGGTCGGGACGAAATTGAGTTCATTGATGCAGGTTTCGGATACAATAACCCGTGTGAAATTCTCATCAGAGAAGCCAAGAACCAGTTTCCTGAGCGGGATGAGATGCGAGTTCTGAGCATCGGTACAGGCCTCGGGGACGTCGTTAGTATCAAAGACACGAGGATGTCTATCTTAAAGGCCTTAAAAAAGATGGCAACTACTTCCAAAAAGGTAGCTTTGAGCTTAGACGAACAATACGGCGCAAGCGGAAAATATTATCGTTTCAATGTCGAACGTGGGCTTGACGATATCTCACTTTCCGATTGGGATAAATCCAGCACCATCTCTTCACACACACACAATTACCTGAATGAGAACAAACGAGAGATCTACAAGTTCATCCAGTCTTTAACACAAATCGCGAAGCCAGAGTCTGCCATAGAGACTCATGAAATCCTGGTGCTTGGTGAGACAGCTAGTTAGTTTGAGCAAGTTGCGATAACGTATATAGCTAACGGTATCAAGACACAATTGTACACTCGATCCCGTTCGATGAGAACTATAACTTCACGGGTCGTGAATCCGTCATCAACACGATAACGGACAAGCTCTTCAAGACCAAGGGCTGCAACAGAGTTGCGCTTCTCGGACTCGGTGGTACTGGCAAGACGCAGATAGCTCTGCATTTGGCTCACTGGGTAAAGGACAACGTAGAAGGCTGTTCAGTCTTCTGGATGCCAGCCTTCAGTATGGCCGGCTTTGAGCAAGAATGTGTCCAACTCGTGAAAAGGTTGCGCATTTCGTGCACTGCAGATCAAGATCCTAAAGAAGCAGTCCAAAAGTACCTCAGTTCTGGTGCTCTCAAACGATGGTTTATGATTATCGATAACATCGATGACATTGAGGTTCTCCTCTGTTCAACGTCTTCAAAGAAGGGAATCTTGGGTTTCTTACCGAAACATTGTGATGGAAGTGTCCTGTTCACAACTCGGTCCAGAAACGTTGCACTGAAGTTGACAAATGAGTTGGTGCCCCTATCGCACATGGAATTCAAAGAAGCCTCCGATTTACTCAAAAGATTATTGGTACTCCAGAACGATGACACGCGTAACGAGAAAATTCTCACCAAACTGTTGGAAGTCCTCACCTACCTCCCTTTGGCGATTGCGCAAGCCGCAGCGTACATCAACTTATACGAGTTACCAATTACTGAGTACATTGGCCTTTGCAATAACACAGACCCAAGAAATATCATGGAACTGTTCGAACACTCATGTGATGACGAAACCCATAATGACAGGTCTAAAAGTGCTGTGGCTACTACTTGGTTCGTCTCTTTCGATCGCATCAGGTACTCCAACCAGTCAGCGGCTGATCTGCTTTCCTTCATGGCTTTCATAGAACCAAAGGCGATTCCACGATCTATTCTTCCAGTCTTTGAGACTGAGCAGCAATCGTTGCGTGCTATTAATACACTGAAAGGGCACGGCTTTTTGAGTCAGCGGGGTCTCGATCCATTATAAGACATGCACAGGCTTGTTCACTTGGCGACGCGAAAATGGATAGATCAAGCGGGCGATCCATCACGGGTACAGCATATGACGCTCCAACGTCTCTCTTACGTCTTTCCAACCCATGACTGGCGGAATCTTGAACTCTGGCGGCAGTATCTACCCCACGCGCTGAAGATACTTAGAGACCCAGATCAATCTGAGCCTAACTTTATCTTTTCCTTAGGCTTGAGGGTTGGCTTGTGTCTGATACATGATATGCGGAACAATGAGGCTGTGTCTATATTGGAATATATCGTTCCGCTAGCCAAGACAACACTGCCCCACGACCATGGGAATCAGCAGCATTCAATCCGATGGCTTGCGATAGCATATACACGAGCTGGGCAACCGAAAAGGGCTATTAAGATACTTGAGGATCTAGTACAGACTAAGGCACAGTCATTGCAGAAATATGACAGAGATCCACTATCATCACAGCGAGCGCTTGGAAATGCATACCTCAGTACTGGCCAGGTTAATAAAGCAGTGGCAATCCTCGAGTCTGTGGTACGAATTCGAGATAGAACATTGGCTACAGATAACGTAGGTCGACTATACTCACAATATTCACTCGCAAGGGCATATATAAACGGGAGGCAGCCAAAGGAGGCGATAGATATTTTGGAACCTCTAGTCAAAGTTCAAGACAGGATTTTCGGCCATGATCACCCAGATCAACTATCATCGCAACATCTACTTGCAAATGCATACATAGATACAAACCACGCAGCGAAGGCAGTGGATATCTTACATTATGTGGTAGAGGTCCGAAGGAGGATATTTATGGAAAATTACCCAAAGACTCTGGCATCAATGAATGACCTTGGAATAGCATACCTAGAGACCGGACAGATAAGACAGGCAGTAAAGGTCCTCGAGCCTGTGGTAAAGATCCAGGAGAGTACCTTGGCTGAAGATGACCCGAATCAGCTTGCATCACGGCAGAATCTTGCGCGGGCATACTGTCTGTGGGGTCGAACGGATCAAGCGATCGGGATAATAAAAGATGTAATCGTGATCAGGACCAAGGCATCAGATGAGAATGATTCACAGCTACAGCATGAAAAGTCCATACTGCAGGCATGTTATACAAGATTGGACGAGTCTAGTTAGATACTTCAGTAGAGTGTGACTGTTGAACCCTTGATCGGCAGATCTGGAAACTATAGTTCTGTATTATATACGCGACCATGTAATCATGAGAATAAATATAGAATCTTTATAATATCCTGTTGAGAACTGCTTATAAGTCCAAGTCCTTTTAATAGATACATCGTCGCGAGAGTCACAAATGCAGTCGGACCTACCATAACGACATACAAGCCGTATTTCACAGACAATAGCATGGCATAATCTCGGCTTTGATCAGGATTAAACTTGTATTTGGTAAGCCTTGTCTGTAGCTATGGTCTGTAATAGTGATCGTACCGCGAGGTAAATAATGGAGTGCCTCTGTGATATGTCAGGACAACAAACTTCGTTGACGGACTATCCAAGTTAGGTAATAACGTCGTCAGTATTTAGTATAGCTCACGTTGTATTTATTGTTCAATTTACACCCCAATTTTGAGAATCTCAGCTGCCCTCAAAACAGCCTTAGCACTCCTCTCAACCCACTCCTCAGCCTGCGTCAAGTTACCCTGATCCAAACTATCCTGCACAGCCGGGAAAACATCCGCTCCATAACCACTATCCAGACCTGGTGCACTGACAACGTTGTAGAACGAGAATCGTCCTGGCAAAAGACCAGCGCTCGCGAAACCGCGGCTAAACTCCCTAAACTTGGTGTTGACAACGCCTAGAAGAACACTGTCGTTGAGAGCAAGAGCTTGCTTAGCCAGAGTGTCGATGTGCTTACACGCAGCTTCAAAGGCAGATACTGCTTCGTCGAGAGGGCTGAGATCAACAGTGTAGTCGGGGAAACGATCTTCAAGCTTCTCTTCCAGATCTTCGAAGATGTCACGGAGAGCGGAGCCGGCATGAGGCATATCCCATGGAATCAAAGGATCGTCGGCGATATGGTAAGTGAGGAGAGTGACAAATTGGCCCATCGCGGCGTGGAGATGGAAGCCTGGGTCTGCGTAGTTCGTCATCCAGTGGTGGGTGTCATATAGACTGTGATACGCGTACACAGGGTCCTTGGGGCCAGGGCCACCAGCAATATCGAGCTATCAAACATCAGTTAACGAGTAATATCGGACAGACGGACTTCTTACCGAGCTGATACCGTTATGGTAGAAAGCAGCGTAGTCGCTACCACTGCCCATGGCTGGCAGTACTCCCTCGGTGGCGTTGAACCAAGCATCATACAATGTTGGCCCCGCTCCATATCCCTCGGGGAATATGACCTTCTTCATGGTCTCGATAGCAATGGTCTGGATCTCCCCCGATCCGACAATCTCTGCGCGTGGGCCAGATACTGCTGTGTCGAGGTTGATGTAGGCGACTGTCTTTTCCTTGAGCTCAGGGAGATGGTCCTCGACCCACTCTGTGCTGCCCATGAGACCAAACTCCTCGGCATCCCAGGAAGCCAGAATGCTGATTACTGTTAGAACCTGTAAATCCCAACATTATCTCGTATGGGGGAGACTTACATAGTTCGACGAGGCTTCCAGCCCTTTTCGACAAGCTTTCCAAATGCTTTAGCCATCTCGATGAGAAGAGATCCACCAGAGACAGCGTCAGCAGCGCCGCCACCAGTCCAACCATCACGATGGTTTCCAATGATGACATATTCATCAGCGTTAGTTCCGTTGATGGACGCAATCACGTCCCAAGCGGGTTCAAGTCTGGCGTCCATGATATTGACAAGGTTCAGTGTAGCTCCAGGCGCAGGACCACTGTGGTATGTCACGTTTGAGAAAGCTCCTTTGTAGTTAGTTCGGTTGACCTGTTCAGCTGACAGACCGTGGCCGTCAAGGGCGTGAAGAAGCTGGAGACCATCTCGGGGACTGATGGGGATAGAGGGAATTTTAGGACCGTAGGAGGTAATATCCCCACGAGGAGCGTCCTTGGTTGATGCGTAGCCGATTGTTGAGGGGTCGCCGAAAGAGAGCGATCCCCAGCGGGTGCTACCTCTTTGGATGGAAGAGGGGTGGCGAGCAGGGCCATCTAGCATTGTTAGAGTGATACGTGACATGGAGTGTATGTCGCAAACCTGGGTATGGGAGATAACCGTTCTCTTCGGTAATCTCGCCGTCCTCGAGGGGATCAGTGTACAGAATGGTACCAATCATGCCGTGTGCCTGGACTTCGTGAGATCAGTGAACTTCAGTCCCTTTGATTGAACCAACCTCAGCATTCTTGATCTTGACACCACGGTTCGCACCACCATATTGTGCTAGAGCGATCTTGCCTTCAAGCTCAACACCTAGATCCTTGAGCTTCTTGTAGTCCTCGCGAGAGCCACGTCTGTGACATCGTTAGCTCCCATCACAAGGCTCTCGTATCAGACTCCCTTACCCAACGTAGACGTATTCAGCATTGACCTTTCCACTACCCGAGAGTGCGTGATACGCTGGCTGCTCATTCGGGTTGTTCGTCTGAGCATCAACATCAAGAGCATCCTCGAGTCTTTGAACCTCATGCGCCGATCCGTCCGCCCGAGTCAGCGTGAGGGTACTCTCAATTGGCTCCGTGTACCAAATCCAGTACTCATCAATCCAAGACTCCCAGCCGTGTTCGATCCACTTCTGCTGCGTCCACTCAGCCTGAGATCGGTTGTGGCCTGCTAGACGGTATCCGGAGGAGTAGTAAAGTGACCAGTCAGAGATACTGTTATTATCAAACGAGTTGACAAGCATAGTCTCCGTCTCCGTGAGAACTGGTGGGAACGGCACGACCTCTCGCTTAACATGTCGACTATGAGAGGTACGAGCATTTCGCTTTGAGCGTAGATGAGCGAGTTCGTCTTTGTCTGGAAGACAGGCGTAGACGCACGCCGCGGCGACGAGATAAGATGCCAGAGTCCTCGACATGATGAACAATCACAATCGTCAAGATCCGTGACGAAGCATTGGCACTCAATGGGACGTGAACAGATATTTATACTAATATCCCTCTTACGTATATCCGTCTTGGCCCAATACTATCCAACAAGCGGGGAAGAGCAACTTACATCAAGAAAGACGATAAGCTAGGGCTTACACCGCTTTGCACTTCTCCAAAAAAGGAATGTGAAGCTTCGAGATGCGGAGAAAAGTTCGATAAGCTTGGTGCGTCATTGCTTGGCATCGCGTTATGGCTTTGCTCACCTTCCCACTTGGGTTACGATCCGCGCAACGTCGCATTTCGAAGGATGAAAAATGATGAGAGGCGGGGTTGATAAAGAACTTTTGGTTGGTATAACCGGTAGTCCCGCGAGGTTATTATGTTTAAGCTTGTTTTTGGGTTTGTTTCAAGTGGAGAAACTTCGATAGCTGTTGGTTGGATATGTCTAGGAGTGCGAAAAGAAGATATCTATAAATCCATGACAAATCCTAATGATGATTAGGATTCAGAGAGGTTTTATTGAACAATATCTACTTAAGATCTGCACTTCGTATTTTCTAACATCAAAGCACGGGACCCCGGCTAATGATGTGATTATGAAGATAAGGCGTAAGCAAACGAAAGTTCGGGTTCCTTCTCACGACCCTGTAAGTGATATCTCGTTTATCCAGACCTTTCCAAGTGTCAGCTCTCAAGTACTCGCAGAAGACAATTAATAAAGAAGCTCGTTGGCTTTATGTGTGGTGGTTCAATGAGTCCATCCTTGCGGACGGCCAGCTTTCTCTCTGTCGTAAAATGCCGCGACGTATCCCTGACGATCAGTATATCACTTTCAGTTGCAGGGGCGAGGGTCCGCGGATTGTGTCTATCAGTAGGGATTTGCTATACAGTTTTGTTCGATCCACGATGTACAGATGCTACTGTGCGAACAGCAAAAGGACCTACAAAGAAATTGGAACCATGCCCCCGGCCGAGTATCACTCTGATCGATAGAATATCTAGTTCGGTAATATCCACTATGTTTCTTCATATGCCAGTCATAGTATGTTTATAAAGCATAAATGAGGCATTCTTCGAATTAGCTATTCATGATTTGTTATATGCGTCGTTCTGATTTTCCCAAAGAATCTGTAACTTCTGGGCCTTCAACCTGACATATTCGTTTATATATTCCTCTTGGGGTTTTTGCTTGTAGAAACCCGGACTACAGATACCTTTGGGCAATTTTAACGTGTCAGCAAGAACGATGAGTTCGGGAAGTCAACAAAGATTCCATCGAGCGACAGGACAACTCATATTGAGAGTGGCCTAGATGGCGCGTTTCTGCCCCCTTCATACCATGGTGCTGTCATGCTATTGTCAGACAACAATAATAGAGCTGTCGCGCTACGATCCCCGGCAGCAGTTGGAATAGGGCACAAGTATTGGGTACAATTGCAAAAAAATATGTCAAAGCTGGTCAGTCTACTATTGCGAGTTTTCAGGTTGGTCCAAGTCTTTATGTTATGACTAAATAATTTGGCGATGCTAAGGTGTAATGTACCCTGGCTGGAAACCGCATCGAGTTTCCACTTATTGATATCACGAATGAGGTTACGAAGCTGCTGGGGTAAAGTTGGAATTTGTTGTCTATCCTTCTGGCGATTTCGAGATATGCTTTAAAGATAGCAGTAAAAGAAAATAATATTCCAAGGTAGGAGACCTAATAATATTATTAATTATTTTCTAGACTATGCTATATCTTTCCTTTCTTTACTTTTTAAATTACAGAAGTTTATATCAAGTTTGATGTCGTCATTTTCTAGTCTATATAGTGATTCAATATTGCAAAATTAGCCCTTTTAACAATTATTTACTCCGAGATAGCAGGGATAGCGGAAGATTAAAATTCCGGGTGTCCGTCTTGGCATGTAGGGAATATCGTTAGTCGGTGGATTGACTGCCCGTCCCCTCATTTTCGCGCGTCCTCATCTTACTAAAGACTGGGTCCAATCGAAACAGCACAATGAGATTTCCAACAGCTTGCTCGAGATGCAGAAACAGACGCAAAAAGTGTTTCCAAACAAACCCCGGGGGTCCATGTGATGCCTGCGCTAAGAAACGGCATCACCAGTGCTCACTCGTCGAGGCTTCTCTACCGCTACAACGTATCTCTTCTCTAGTCGAACGCAATGATCTGCACCCACAATCTTATCTCTCACATGACCTGATTGAAGACCTTGTGGAGAATTATATTCACTACATACTTGACAGACCTCATACTCTGTTCCATCTACCCACCTTGCGAGCTGCAGTGAGAGGTGGTCAGTTGGGAGATGGCTTGCTCTTCGCTATACTTGCATTTGGCTGTCGATTCCATAATAAGCCTGAAACAGCCTCCCTTGGGCCTACTTTCATGCAAAAGTCAAAACAGATATTGAAGCAAGATATGGAAAACATTTGTCTTGAGAACATCCAAACCTGCGTCCTGCTTGCAAATTTGTCATCTTCGTCAAAGAATCCAGAATCAGAAGCGCTATTCGTTACCCTTGGCATTCGTATGGCTGAGATCCTTGGTCTAGACCGTCCGAATCCGGCTGACTCAGAGGTTCTACGCGAGACAAAATGTAGGGTGTGGTGGACTTTGTTTATGGCAGACCGCTGGAGTTCTATAGGCCGTAATCTCCGTCGCGCCATGCCTGACCTTGATCAGGAGACTCCCCTGCCGATGGATGAAGATGTTTTTCATCATATGGATGTTGACCAAGGTAGTGAGAGACGTCCCCCGCGTCCGCGTACACTGGGACTCTGGGCGTACAACATCATGCTTGCAAGGCAGTTGGGGCCTATCCAAACTCTGAACAAACAGTGGGGTCAAGAGGGCATCTCTGAAGATTATGTCATGCAACGCGTCGCGGATCTAGCACAAGGCTTACGGCTTTGGGAAGCGAGACTCCCTGACGGAAAGAAAGCGACAGAGGAGAACCTTCGAGCACATAGTGCCAAAGGCCTTGGAGGACCATTCCTCGCCATACATACAGGCTACCACCAGCATTTCGTACTTTTGCTTTTTAGATTCTTAGATCTCAATCGGACCCAGACACCGGAGACTATCGAGTACGCCGAGCTTTGCAAGCATCACGCAAGTTCGATAAGTCATCTCGTCAAGCTCTCTCGCCAAGTTCCCAATTGTGAATTGGTTTTTGGAGGAGTGGGTTACATGACAGCTGCCTCTTCTGCAGTCCTACTGCATACGCTTGTGTTTGGTCAGCAAGATGACACGGCTGGTATCCGAGCCCAGTTAGAGTCTAACTATGAAGCCATCCATGAGCTTCAAAAATACTGGCCTTCGATTGAGAACTCAGTGAGTAGAGAAGCCCCAAATCAGTGGTTAAGGTCTGACATAAATAAGATAAAACGTCTTGAAGTTTTCCAAAAGACTTGCACAAGACCTGGCGCAATGCAAACTTACAAGTTCGATAAGTGGATGGTGAGATTCTTGGTAGAACACCATCTGCCGCTAGATGAGCCCGAAGGTAGCTTCCCTCAGGTATAACGTAAAATTAAGGAAAGAAGCTAAAATCAGATTCTAGGGTAAATGTTTGCGATGATGGTTATGCATATGGTATTTATCAGCGGTATTGTTTTGTAAGCATGTTTGTTGCGATGTTTTGTTGAATTGGTCTTAGTGGTGGCTTGTAAAGTGGTGGGATATAAGACAGCGGAGTCTCTAAACTGTCAAGCGGTCTCAAGCTATGCTTATAAAGTTCAAGTCGTTGTGTATAAAGAGACCAGAAACTGAACTACCTGTCATCAGATTCCCATCGCCTATTTATTAAGTTAGAGTATTACGCGATTGCGTTCCACCCACAATACGCGTATAGGGTCAGTCTATTCATGCTAACCCAAGCACTATATACTTATGCATTCGCCTTCCAAAATTACTTCTGATGGAAACTCACACAATGATAAAGAACGCAATCTTGCCCCTTCGCCCATCTCGAAGCCTGAGTACGGTGTGGTTTCTCGGTATTCCCACAAGTGTCAGCTGGTCTTAGGGTAGTCCCCATAAGTGGAGTCAGCGTCGGGATATGCTTCTTACTCCGACGGCGGGGAAGCGTCGGGAAAAGCGTCAAAACTATCACCCCTGCCACCGTGTGATTGTGGGTGTCGACGTTAGTCCGACAGTGGAAAGCGTCGGAAAATGAGCCAAGCCCGACGCCATGTGATTGTGGAGATCAACGTCGGGGAAAGCCTCAAGACCGCGGCTTTTGTGAGTGTGGCATGGCATGGCGTGGGAGGATTCAGCCTTCGAGACTGCAGTAACGCTTCACATGGCTTTACTTTTCTAGAGTTCCTTTCTTTACCCCAGACAGTTTTTCAATTCTGTCAAGACTTATCTGCAGATTGAAGTCTAGACTGTATGTATAGGGTGAATGCGCATAAGGCGTAGAGACAGAACCCTGTAGTGTAACTCTTCGGGTACGCATATAAAGATATAAGTGTCATCTGCGACATTGTATTTTTACTATCAAGCAGAAAGTCTCAAATTGGAACGAAATTCCCCATATAGAAGTCTTTCTGAAGGGGCATTGTTTAAAGAGGGTGGTTCTATGGATAGCTGTTGCTGGGAAAGTGTTGCCGCTGCCCCCCTGTCCAAGAAGATCATCTCGTTTCTTTACAACAGCGCCATAAGGCTGCCGATAATCAGATCATCCGGTTTCAAGTCGTACATACATCTATTGGTGGGTTTATTCATATAAGGTGGGGAACCGCCTCTTACCTCAGTCAGGGAAGGTTGTATTGTAGCTTCAGTAGACAAACCTCAGCCTTACGTATACATAAGTGAGTACATAATGATCCCCACTCCCTCTCCTGCAGGCAGAGTCCCTGCTACAATGGGGTCTGGAGGGGACATGGCGCAAAGAACAAGAATGCACGCAGCACGCCCGTCGCAAGATTCCAGCCGCACTCTGGCTACGTGCTTCCTTCTGGTGCTTCCCTGTGCCGTCTGCACGCAGGGGATAAAGCCTGGGGAGCCGGGGGACCAGTAAGGAAATCCCTTGTTAGTCTCGAAACGTCTAGCTCGTATAAGAAGAAACTAGAGAAAAAGTCGTCATGATAAAAAATGCAACTCCGGTGTGTGTTCCATTGCATTTCGGAATTAGCCGCAGCACTGACTTGCCCTGTATAGAATAATCCCTGCCCTAGCAGATCGCTTAGCTCATCCCTAACCTAAATCGTCCAGATCGGAAAATTCGTTCCGACTCTTTGACAGCTGCAACTTCTATTCATAACGACTCAGGCTGAGCAAAATAAACCTGGCATCCTGGTAGAGAACTTTCCACATGCGCCACAATTAGCGGCTTTGAACTAAACATCTTCCAATTAGTTTGATGCCTCAGATTCAAGGACAGAACGGCATGTGTTAACTTCCCGTAAATATTAAAGAGCACTCTTTCCTTCTCAATCACGTCTAGAGCCTGTTCCTTCTTTATAATATCAGTCTTATAATCTATAGGCTTTATTATAGCTGATTGACTTCTACAAGATTTACATCCAATCCCATCTACCTCAAGGTATGTGCTCAACGTATAACCCAGGACTTTTTGAAACTTACCTTCATCAGAATCAGCGTCCGAGATCAGACCTGTGTAAAGCGTGTATTTGCCACTATGAGACCCTCATGCAGATCTGTCAAGCCCCGCTCTGTATCGTCTTCACCAGACTCTACATCATCAGAAGGGCCAAGAAAGGCTAATAGAGCCTGTGAAAAATGCACACGCACCAAGAAGAAATGCGACAAAGCGTCACCCAGCTGTTCACGGTGTAAGAGGTATGCAATGATCTGACCAGCTTGAAATTACTGTAGCTAACTTTTTAGACTTGGGAATAAGTGCTGCTATGACTATACATTCACCCCTCCAGTCACTGCTGTGATAAGTCCTGTAAGCCCTGCAAACTCTCCCTCTGGGAGCGGACACACGCAGGACACTTTCACGCCATTCCTTGACATTTCCAGCTCTATGATTTTAAGCCTACTCTCCTCACATAATAACAGCCGGAGCCATTCTATTCAACACTACTTGGAGACCATAAATCCCTACCTCACTATCGTTCATCCAGAACTCTGGGCCATCCGCACCAATAATTTCGGATTCGATTCTATTACCGATCAGGAGCTTCACAACCCTGCTACTGCCCTTTTGGCTGTATGCATGCAACTGTTTTCTCGCAGCGATGATTCAGTGGAATCGATGGGTATTAAAGGAGAAGAGGGTATTGACATGCCAATCTATCGGGCTGCCAAGCAAATCTTAAGCATCTTGCGGACCCTTGATACCCCAAGTATCGAGCTTATTCAATGCTCTCTTTTGCTTGCATTTTACGAGTATAGCCATGAGGATCTAGCACGTGCCTACGTCAGTATTGGAGATGCTAATACTATGGCTTTGATCCTGCAGGTGGGCCCTGGAAAATACCTTGAGGTTGAGCAGGAGGCCTATATCCCATACGAGGAAGAAGAACGTCGCTGCGTTTACTGGAGTCTCTTTGTGCTCGATTGTCTGATCCAAACGGATTATTCTTTTACTCATATGCCGCATCAGATACCATGTCCAGTTGTCTCTCCTCCCGCCGCCGATGACCTTCTACCGACGAACCACTTACCTTGGTACGATGAGGACCAGTCTCCCTGCTATGTCACTCAACGATATCCTGCAGATACAGCGTTCTCAGTCCCTGTCGGGATTTTCCAGAGGAACTGCCAGTACGCTATGCTCTATGCACGAACATCTCATCCAGATCGATCCGGCTATAAGTTTGCCAGTCCTACTACCATCCCATTATCCTCAAGACGATATCATTCAACTATGAAGTGGTCCATTTCCTCCCCTCCGCTACTATCCGGGAACTATACATGGGAAGAGGAACCTGATTGGTTTGGGTGTCTGAGTCCATTTGGCGACGATACATCTCTTTTATCATTTCAAAGGGACATTGGCGACTTGATATTGCAGAATGATGCGAAACTGGAGAAACACATATTACATTCCAGAGAAAGCACGGTGCAATTTAGTGTCTGTTTATAATAGTAGTATAACTTATAGTACAATAATATATTCCTATTGAGTATCTACTATAATCATATGCGTTACATCCCTTGAAACACAATATACCTGCCCCTCATCAATGTACACTATCGGTTCCTTGTTGTAGAAACATATCATTGAATCTGGAACATTCAGTGACGAAATGCAACATGCTGAGAGAACTGACGGGACAACACTATACTGCATAAGCATAGTAGTAAGGAACCACCATCTTCCCCCCACCAAAAAGAAGCGATCAGAAGCTGAAATGTAACGCTCTGCTGGTGCATTCGCCAATTGGCCAATAGCCGGCGGAAAAATGTTCGACTATGCAACTAGAGAATCTTCAGGAGACAGGCTAAATCTGGGGGCGGCCGCTACTAAGCATGCATTAAATTTCTGGGTCTGGGCCTTAGTAGTGGATCCCTGCCCTGGAATATACATAAATAAACTGCAAAGCCTCGTTTCAATTGACAACGTTTCCCATGTTAACACCATTCTCGCTATCCCGAGCAACTCCTGCCCATTATGCCCTTCAAATCGAAAAAGGCGAATCTTTGGTTCTGTTGTCTTATTGCTTGCACTTGTATGGCTGTAAATGGTTATGATTCCTCTACTTTCAACGCAGCGCAGGGATCAGTTCATTTCATGAACTACTTTGGCAATCCCGTATATTCCCATCCCACCAACATATCCTTGACCTGAACTAATTAACGGCCAGTCTCCAACTGCTATCGGTTCGGTCAATACCGCCATGGCAGTATGTGGTATCATAGCAGGTAATCATCCATGATTCCGGGCCATCGGATTAATCCTCATTCTTCGTCTTCCAGGCGTTTTCTTCTCAGCTCCAAATTCCGACCGATTCGGCCGCAGGTCGACTATGTGGATTGGTGCCATATTTGTCATCATCTCAACTTTCATTTCGACATTTACACCTCCTGCCATTGGTGGCTTCATCGCCAGCCGCGCCATCACGGGTTTTGGTCAGGGATTGATGATGCCAGCTGGACCGGTTTATGTCAATGAAATAGCGCCGGCTAATCTCAGAGGTACTATCATGAGCTTTTGGCAGCTTTTCTTTGCCGTGGGATCTTTCGTCGCATATTGGATTAACTACGGGTGCTCTAAAAATGCCGAGAGTCTCGGAGATTGGGATTGGAAGATTGTTATGCTCCTTCAAATCTTTTTCCCTGTTATCATTATATCGGGACTTTTCTTCTGTCCTGAGACCCCAAGATGGTATGCCATCCAGTACCCTACTATCTAATGATGTGTTATGCGATGCTCATGAGACTACAGGTATATCCAGAATGACAGATTTGAAGAGGCTTACCAAGTCCTCCTGGAAGTTCGTGAGAACCCAGATCTCATTGACAAAGAGATGGAGGAGATACATCAAGCCATTTCATTTGAAAAACGACAGACAAACGGCACTTGGGCCCGATACAAGTTGCTATGGACGGATAAATCTGTTAGAAAGCGCATTTGTAAGTTTTCTTTGTCTTGTGCATGCTCATTGTCTGACTTGGCTAGTCCTCGCGGCTGGCATCAATATTGGACAACAGCTTACCGGCAACAACTCCCTCGCAACCTACTCTACCATCATTTACAAAAAGGTCTTTACTTCGAACAGCCAGATACAGCTCATCAACGCTTTGGCTGGAACTTTTAATATTCTTTTTACTCTGAATGCCACATGGATGACGGATTTCTTGGGACGAAGGCCCCTCCTCCTGATTGGTGTTGCTGGTCTGGCAGTCTGCATGTTTGCAGTCGCAGCCGTAGTTACCGAAACGCCGACTCTCGAAGATGGATCCAAGACTTCCAGCGTGGGTATCGCGACTGTATTCTTGATGTTTTTGTTTGCTTTATTCTTCAAGCCTTCTTGGGGTGCGACCGTGTGGATATGGACTTCGGAGATCTTTTCCATGAACGTTCGTGCGCAAGCCGTCGCTATGACCACTCAGTGCCAGTCTATCGCAAGTATCATCCTACGTATGTATCTCTTTTCGCTGTAACCAAAATTTTGATTCACTCTAACAAATATTGCAGAACAAATTTTCCCCATCTTTCTCTCTGACCAGGGATTGTAGGTTACTCGAGTCCTGGCTGAAATCTCAATATGCTAACCTATTGGTAGCTACGCTATGTACATGTTTGGTGCTATCAATGTGGTCCTCTTCATTTTCGTTTGGTTCTGTATCCCGGAAACCAAGGGTGTGTCTCTGGAGCATATGGATGCCCTGTTTGGTGGCGTAGATCACACGGAGGTGGGAGTTGTCATGGTCACTGAGAAAACTGTCGACGATGGCAAAGCTTCTGTTCAGGTCTTCGATATCTCTGAGGTCCCTCGGGCTAAGTCTGGTAGTCCAGTGTGATGACCTCAAGGAACTCAAGACGTAGCATAGCAAGGGCTATGTAGTTATCTCTTAGCTGAGGTAATAAAAGGTTTATGCAAAGATAGTCTGTAACTAGTTTAGCTGTTTAGAAACACAACTGCCATAGGTAGTGTTAAACAATATAAATAAAATGTTCTTTATATTAACTATTTGGTATTTGTTATGAGCGCTTCCCAAGAAACCTGCGACTTCTGAGCTTTTGACCTGGCTCATTCGTTGACACCTTCTTCTTTTGAGTTTTGACCGTGGAAACCTGCACCGTTGGTTTGTGGCTCTCGTCCTTTTTCTTAGGCTTCTTTTTCTTCTTCTTCCCCCCTTCTCTTATAGCTTTCGTCGTCGCCATCGCTGGAGGCAAAACTGCCTGCGACTGACTCTTGATAGTTCCCTTGGCAGTGGTTGGGTGTTTCACAATGTCTTGACTTCCAACACCAGCACTGACAGTATTCTTCTTCTTCTTCTTCTTGGGTGGTTTTTGCGGACTGCTACTCTTGGACAGCTGTTTGTCCTTTGACGCCACGTTCAGTTCGGTTCGTGCCTGCTACTCACTTATCATGTGCTGATCTCGCTCCATAGAGTAAGTCTTATACCTTGAGGAGTTGCATATGTTTCAAGTCTTTTTCTTTCTTAGTCACACGCCATCGTATGGTAATTATAGGTATTTTGTATCTTTTCGTCCATAAAGAGACTTCATCGTGTGGCCAAATCTCATACATGAACTCACAGGCTTTTCCTTTCACGGTGGGATGAACAACTATTATCTTCGTAACAGCTCTGTTACCCAATTGACCTTTGATGATTGGCTCCTCAACCGTCTGATAATACGTCCGCCCGCTTGGGTTGAATCGCTGAGGCGGAGGCTGGGATAGGACAGTCACTACATCTCCCTGGGAGATGTACCAAGCAAAAATGACAGAAGCCCCATGAAGATATCTTGGAGACCCGGCGGTATCCTTGGATTTCTGATGAAGACTTGAGTCTGAGGGGCTAATAAGTTGTCCCAATGCAGTTGTTAATGTCTGGTAGTTGTGTTGATCGGCCCATTTCTGGGCTTGTTGACGATACATGCCGGTCCATAAGACCTGTCGGTTTGGGACACATGATTCCTGGAATTGCTGACATATATCCTTCACTTCTTGTTCATTTAACCAAAGCCCTGTAAGCTGTCGTATCATTGGTGGTAGTGACTCTGGTCGAACACCGTCGACATGAGGTTGTGCTCTGTCATCCTTTGACGTTTTCTTTTTCGCCATCGTTTGAAAATGATTGAATTGCGTTGGCCATACAATGGGACCAGAAACAAGTCTTTTATAAAGATAGTGATGTCAGGATGGCATCATGGAAGTGATAGGTATCGTATCGGGTCTATTGAACCTTGATCTCCGATCTGGCGAATACTTCAACACTAGCGACTCACCCGGACGCATTGATTAGCCGCGAACCGACCAAGAACGGGGATGTTTTTACTCCCGCGTTCGACGCCATTTTTATGAAGATAAGAAGCGACGCGTATATGAAGTTGAAGGCTAAGGCGGTTGCAGATTGAAGTGATGGGATAACAGAAGCTAATATGCCTATAGAGACATATGCAGCATTTCATACGAGCGAGAGGTGGATACAAATCTGAGAGATCTATTGTTGACATCGGCCTAAGTGAACATCACAATGTCAAGTATGTATCCTTTATCTTCGAAAAGGCTGACAGGAGACAATGGAATATATGCAACATAATGAAAGTTCTTCATGAGAACTGAAAACAAGACATGAAGTAGAGCATGGCGACTGCAGTGTTGAAAAGGGAGATTCGAATAAACGACAATGTATTCACTAAAATGGGATTTTCACAATGCACTCAGTCAGACCCTGCCGCATAAAACAACAATGTTGAATCTATTTGGCCTCTAGGATAACTCTACGGTATGTAGCAAGAGGTTGTTCAGTGGCATCGCGAAGAGCGAGAATAATATGAAGAGTCTTAAACAAAGTCAGTATATGTACAGTTCATCGGACACCTTTCACTTACATCATTAAGTTTCTTCGCAGTCTCCAACTTGACAAGGCTGCCGTCAGAGTTGAGATTGGTGATATTAACGTTGGGGCTCTGAGTCGTTAAGATAGGCTTCATCTTCAACGAAGGATCGAATCCCTCTAGTCCTCGTCCATATGCCTCGCCGGGCTCTCGGTAGTGGAACCAGTCGTACTTGAGCTCATCACTATCCGGATCCCAGCTTCCAGTTGCATCGAGAACAACGCTCTCCCCAGGCTTGTACTTGAGCTTCAGAGGTGCAGGACCACAAGATCCGTTAACAATAGCCACGGGTTGATGGTTGTTCTCGGAGTAGTTAGAGTTGACGCTCCATTTCATACGCGCAGCAAAGTCGAATTGATAATCTTCGCGCCATCGCCAAATGGTGGCAAATTTGCTAGTAAAGCTCTTTCCATTCTTACCAACAACATAGTCGGATGTATCGGCATACACTTTCGACTGACCTGAATGGTCGAGAAGAGTATACCGACCACCCCAGCTTCCAAAATCTGGTCTGTTCACATCACCGAGACCATTTTGTACAAGGGGTAGAAATGCGGGCGTGTCGCCTTCCATGATGAAACTCCAGTTCAGGTAGTGTGATCCCATTGGCCCCAAACGGATGTTCTTCTCAAGCCAATCGTTGGACACGATGGTTGAGTCTGGACCGCCTTGGTCGAAGTGACGATATTCCTCTCCCGAAATACCGTTCCATGATGCATCGGTGTATTCACTGAAGCCATGGAGAGATACAACGTACATGAGTTGCGGGTAGCGGAGACGGATCCATATTCCTGTGTCGTCTTGATCCGAGATTGCGTAGACGCGCAGCTTCTCAACAAAAGCGTCAACCGCGGCTTGACTTCTTGTGCGAGAAACATATTGAAGAGATTCAGCCAGGATGGCACTTCCTCCCCAGACTGAGACTGTTAGAGGATCGTGGGTACTGGCCTCGTCGGCTGCCTTGATGAGTGCTTTGGCACCATCGCTCAGAGTCATGTTGAGCGACTTTCGTCCATAGACTGGATGGCCTTTGTGAATCCGGCCGAGCATGGATTTATGCGAAGGATAAGGCGCACCAGAAGGGACGTTGGCATTGAGATTGTCAACAACCCTTTTGTAACCATCCAGCACACCAACGACGGACTCGTAGTCTATCTTATCAGGCATCCATGTCGAGGTTGTCACAGCAATACCCTGGATGTCTATCTCGTTGGCGTACGTGAGGAGGCGAACCAGACTCATCTGATCATCAGGCTCATTGCTGATGTCTGTGAGGACAAAGATTCTGGGCTTGTGCTCCCAACGTGCAGTCGCGCATTGTTCCTCCGAAATGGGTTGTGCTTGGGTCAGAGGGAGATAATTGAACAGGGCGAATGCCCCAAGTGCCTGCGTAAACATTGCGGGTGTGGTGAAATTGAGCGCAAATGAAGCGTCCATTGCCATTGTCGTGGAAGATACTGTCTTTTATATCGCGCGGATCGGCAAAGTGCTCATCGTCATGTAATAGAAGGAGTGGGGTTACTCCGCGTATAGTTTAAAGACAAATCCTGCTTCACTTGGATATCTTCATGGAGAAATATCGGTAACCCCATGAACGGAGCGACGATCTTGTACATAGTGGCCATAGTGTCGTAGCATCGCGGGGATTGAGGAGATTGTGGGGATGAAGCTAGTCTAGTTCGCCTAAATACTACCTCGGAGTTGCGATCTTGAGAACCAAGTCTCTTGACAGCTCCAGATTGCAACCTTCCCGCCTTTTCCTAATTGCCTCACTACTCCGATGTAGTTCCGACATAATAGAATCAAGTCCTATTGTTTCCCCATTTCTCGAAATGGGGACTAGCTTTCCCGACCTCTTCCGAAATATGCCTCCGACCAATACAGCCTCAATGTCACGAGACTCGCTATACCCAACAATAGCTGCCACCGTATTTTCCCTCGCAGAAGCTCCAAAGGCCAGTGACGAAGTTCTGGAAAAGACTAAGATATCTGCCCGTTTACCAACTTTGATTGAACCAATCTGGTCTTGCATGCCAACAGCCCTGGCACCTTGGATTGTTGCTTTGTTAAACACATCATACGTCGTCTCGTTGAACTTGACTGGCTTTTTACCTTCACCCTTGAGCTCTAGAGTCTTTTGAAGACGAGATAAAAGTAGGGCGTTGCGTGCGGCCTGCATGAGACTCGAGGAGTTCAAAAAGTGGCAGTCAGCGCCCAAAGAAGTATTTAGTCCAGGCTCGAATAGAAGAGGCCATCCCATAGAGCCTTGAGCTTCTGTAGCTGGAGTGCAAGAAAGTGGAATCTGGCGTTGAGAAAGCATGGCCAAGTCTGATTTGTCAAGGTAATTTCCGTGAGAAAGGACGATGGTATAGTCATTTTCTGGTGAAGGGAAGAGCGAATATCTTTCCAGAGCTTGAGGTGTGGATGGTCCTGTTGAACATTGTCAGTATGTATAATCCGGTGCTGTCGACAATCTTACCAAAGTTTCCACAGTGCGATGTAATGAGCTTGACCCCAGCCTTGACGGCTCTGTGAAATAGTTTCTCTACTTCATGTTGAGGTAAGTGGTAATTGTCAAATGCAACACCTATTGTGACACGTCCATCGGCGAATGGACCTTTCTCAACCAGGCTCTCTACGTGCTCGACATAAGTATCGGACACAGATGTAACTCGGGGAATACAGGACTCGGCATCCCACTTGGCGAGGTTCAGAAATGTTTCAGCATATGCAAACACACCTCGGATGCCCGAGTCAGTAAATGCAGCTACAGCTGCCTCAGCTGCCGTGTAATAATTAGCATCGATTATGTGTATCGGGTACAAGAACAGCTTACCGTGCTCCGGGGTGCGACATCCATGGCAGTGGTCAAGGACGAAAGTTGTCCCAGCATCAAGTGCTTCTAAGCAACCTGCCACTTGACCCCAGTAAATGTCGTCGGGGGTGTAGTTGAAAGATTGCAGGAGATCTGCATAGGCTTTCAGTTATTTACTATCATGAATGGCCGATGTGACGTCTACTCACCATCGGAGAAGTAGTCCAGCCAGCAGTTATTTAAGCCATAGCCCTTGAGCTGTGTTTGCCATAAATGATGGTGAGTGTCGACAAATCCGGGACTGATAATCTTGTTGGCACAGTCTAAAACCTCAGTAACCTTGGCATGAGAAATATTCTTTCCTACTTCCTTGATCACTCCATCTGAGATTAGAATATCGCAGTTGTTGAGAACGCGTATGCGATCGTTTTCATCGTGGACTATGACTGAGCCGTTCTGCAAAAGAATACTCTGAGACATGTTTGCGTGTAGGCACCGATGATTTCAAAACTCACAGTTCAGCAAAATTAAAACACAGGACCAACCAGGAAGATAATAAAGACGTTGTAGGTTGTGTCCATGCTTCAGTTTCGGGATGTGGAGAGCGGTGATCGGCATATGAAACCCTGGCCATGTCGGCGATTTTGCAAAAGCGAAGGCCGAGGCCGAAGCACGAACACCGACAGCATACTCATATATTTTATTATCTAGAAATTGTGGTAGAACATATATGTTGCTGAGAAATGATCGGTGTCGCGTCGTGCTCGGTAAATGTGTTATCAGGGAGATTTCGCGAGAGGGGAACGAGTTATAAACCCAAAGCTATACGCCCAGGTGAATGTAAATATCGCAGTGGGATATGTGTATCGTTGCTATACTCACTCGTCGAGCCTTTATCGACTGTTAGAACGAAGCTGTTCTGGACACACGATTTTAGTATCGCGTTTTGACGAAACCTCAAATGAGGAAGAGGAATGAGTAGATCCGCCTAATTGCGGAAGACAACTGAAACAGCATTATTCTACAAAAAGAAGATCAGGAAGCCAAGGAGCACGATGAGACATCAGAAGGGCAGCACAAATGAATTGAACTAAATTTATTTATCTAGAACGTAAGGAAGACGCGTCTCACAACCGATGCAATCAGCGTACTCAAAAGTGGGGAGTAAAAAGAGGAAATAAAAAGAAGAAATAAAAAAAGATGGAAGGGGTCAAGCCATACTGGCTACAGGGTAGTTAGTCTTCTTGGTCGAGGTGCCTTATCCCTCCCCAACCTTTCTGTAGGCTCCTAAAAATCAACCATTTTCATCATTCCGATTCTTTGAAAAGTCTCGAGCCACTTTGAAAGATTTTTAATTTCAGCCTTTGGCACTTTCTTATGAGACTTTGCAACGTCCGAGTTGAGAAAGGTCTCCTCAGCCTGATTCCAGATTTAGCAAATTTCTCCGTCAATTGTATGGGATGCTGCACCCTAGCCAAAATGCGATTGTGGTTTAATTGAAGAAACGTCGATGACGCTCTGAACCGACTTTTGTGCTAGCTATTTGCTTGGGCTCCAAAACATGCTTGTTTTTAGCTGTAACACATGAAGAGAACGCGATGAGAACTTTTGACCTTGAACTACCTCCAGCGGCTTCCCCACGGGACATGTTGGAGAGGAGGTACCGTCGCCACAGTCTGCTTGATTTGACATGGGGGTTTTCCGTTATGCTGACAGATCAGGCTCTGGCGTTACCTATATACGAGATGGCTTGCATTGATATGCAGGACTTGTCATAGCCAAGCCGAGAGACTGGCCACATTTGTACGCATTGATCAGCGTGTCAGCAAGCCTGAAAATGGTTTCGGCCTATTAAAAGTAGACACATATAAAATGAGTTAGGAGTGACGGCCATGTTATATGCAGCCATCAATGATTGCTAAAGCTGTTCTTGCTGATTGAAATGCTAGTAGCCGGCATCGTATTATACGGGATCTGCGAAAGCGGTTGGCAATATGCAACAAGAGACAGGGATTAACTAACTGTTATCTTAGTAGGTTAATCCTGACGAATTTCTTTGACAAGTAGACTATAACCTAGATATAAGTAATAGCAGTGGGAGATATATGTAAATGAGTGTGCAGAAACTTCACTTTATTTAGATAAGTATAACATGTCCATGGAGTATAATCAAATGTTACAGGCGGTCATGCCTTCAAGCGCAGAATAGAAATCGGCCAAATCTGGCTTTTCATCTCCGGCTGGAATGCACAGAGAAAGCATCTTCATGAACGCAGTCCCAAGTCGAAATGCTGCAACTCCCTCAGTAATATATCGCCTATGCATCCACTGTGATAAAACTGCAATATCACTTAATTTCACGTCGATGCTACCACTAGTGTCGATGCGCTTCTTTACTATCTTTCGAAGGGGCGTCCATTCTGCGATCTCAATCAGAATACAGCCGAGAGAGTATGCGTCCATGTAGCGCTCGAAGCTCTCACAAGGTTCTCCTAGAGCTTTGGCATGCCGATAGATGTCCCTTAAGGGGTTGGTAGACGGTTGTTCGCTGATTTCAGTCGGCGAACCTTGTCGTGCAAAGGAGAAGCCACAGAGATATGGTCGACCTAGATGGTCAGTCGACTGAGTGGACCGTGGAGAGACGAGTAGAATGTTCTCAGACCGGACGTCTTTATGGAGCCAGCCGGCGGTGTGGAAGCTGAGGAGTGCCTGGCAAACCTGTACAGCTAAACCAAGACGTGTGCCAGCATCTGGCAATGGCCCGTTGGATCTTGATAATGCGCTGAGAAGGGAACGGGGCTTCTCAATGCTGGAAGGAAATTGAAACACCAACCGGAAGCCCCCTTGCTCTTCAGTGTATCCCAGGCATGGGAATGTCTGAAAGGATGACGTAGGAGGTTGAGAGAGTAGAAGTACAAGAGCTTCGACACGTGGTTTTAGCTTCATTTTCATGTTCGACTGTACGCGCTTCTCTTCTATCAGCACTATGGCTTCCTGGTATAGAGCCGATCCGATGGTAGATGACAGCATGTCAATCCCAGTCAGTTCGGAATGGTCCAGAACCAACGGATTACGTGTTGGTGCTACACGGCTGTTCCCATCATCGGTGGGCTCTACGTGCCGTGCATGCTTGTCACAAGATGTGAGAGAAATATGTCGTGCCTTCAGACCTGCCGAAGCAGCGAGGGTGTTGTTCATGTCAGCATCTGTGGCCGAGTTGTGGAGAGATTTCTGGAGATCCTGAAGACCCTCAATGTCTTTGCTCGTTTGGATCACAAGTTGAAGGGTCTGGTTGACGGCACGAGAGGTTTGGAGCCGGTGAGAAACATCCAAGAGTGACCAAAGCCCATCAACAAGGCTAGTAACATCTCTCACCAGCTCTGCATACCTTTTCTTGTCGACGGCGGCCCACCAGAGACGCTTTGGGAACCGATTCGCCGTGCTGACTTTTGACGAACGATCTAGAATTGCCTGGCGAGTCTCCAATGATACAATATTCGAGATGATTGACGAAGTTGAGTTGCCTGGGGTGACTGTCGTTTCAGCAGGGACTAACTCATCCACTTCATCCTGCATAGACACGAGTTCCAACTTGTAGCGCTTTTTCAAAGCTTCTGCTGAGGAGAGAAGCTGCTCTAGCTGGGAAAGAACGACAGCAGCAGCGTGCTGGTTAGACCTTGTTGATGCATCGTGTTTGGGGGACCCAAGGCCCATTGCCCTAGCCCACTCGATGAGTCGATATTCTTGAAGCACGAGCTTCGTTCGTTCAATGGCTGCGTCCTTTCCGATGTTTCGAGCGTCAGTTATCAATGCAAACCCTTTAACGCAGCTGGCAAAGAGGTCGAAAGAAAGCGTTACCACAGCTAGGGCTGTTCCGGGGTCCATCGTGGGCGTGTGTCACACGGGCGTCGAGTGTTTTTCCCCTATAAACCCCTTGAGAGATTTGACTCTCTATATCTGATTATCGATGGACATGCGGGATTTATCATTGATGGCTTACAGTGTTCGTAACCTTATTGGACAAGGCGAGTGCAGCCTAGTCAACCTGGCAAGGACTTATTGCTTATTTTGTTTTTGCGCGAGGGACATGAAAATGCAATTATCCGATATTTGGATCCCTGAAGGTTCTTGTACTGGTCTTGTCTACCGTCTAGGCCTCTATCAGCCGTCTACCAGCCATCCACACTTCGTCAAGATGCATTTATTCACGCTGTTACTATGTGATAAATAGTTCAACTCTTATCTCTTCTAAGTGCTCTCTTTGATAATAATGGTCGAGCTTTCCTGGCATTTCGTACGAGGGTGAGACAGGACAAGGCAAGCTGCCACATCTCAGCCGCAAACCGGTAGTTACATAAGGGATGCATGATTATCTCCTTATTAGTGATATGAGATCCTTAATTGGAGGTTGGGTGAGGGGTTGTTCCTTTGGGGTTCCCCGCCTGATCGGAACTACCATCACCACTTCCCATTCTCATCCATACTATAACTAGAGCTACTGAGACCTCTATTATCCAATAGCTGATTCCCTGGAACGAAATGGACTCCTTGTCGGGAAGAAGTCTTACATCGTCTAGGGGAGGGCCTTCCAGTCCTACCTCTTCGACGCCGTGTGACCCTTCAACTTCGGACGACGAAACGTTCATCCCAAACGCCTTGGACTTTGCATATCGAGCGTTCTTGGCCGAGAATACAGTGAGACTATCGATCCCGCCGGTGTATTCCAACGCGCAAGCCGTGGACAGCGCTTCATTTGCCGGCCGAGGTGCAAGCTTCGCCGTATATCGGCGTCGTATCCCACCCCAGAAGCGCCTGACGTCACTTACAGACCTCGGTGGCTGGTCGGTCGAGGTGGAAGACAAACGAAATCTGCCGGACACAGTCGCCTACAAGGTTCCTGTCATCGAGTTCACCGACAAAGGCGAAGCCACGCACACGTCCCGGCATGCCATAAACGCAGCAATCATGGAACTGTCTCTCTCGGCACACCAACCAATCCTACAACACCCAAATCTCGTTGACTTTCTTGGATTGGCATGGGGCACAAATCCATTTAATCACATGCAGATGCTGCCGGTCATTATTGTGGAGTTTGCGGAATGTGGGAGCCTCTCGCAACTGCAGCAACGGGAATATCTCAGCATCGAGACTCGGCGTAAGCTCTGTCTTGACGTCTGCCATGGTCTTCATATGCTTCATTCATGCGGCGTTGTCCATGGTGATATCAAAGCAGAGAATGTCTTGGTTTTTCCCGATGAGACGCACAAGTACAAAGCTAAGCTAAGCGATTTTGGCTACTCCCTAGTCTTGGATGTCCAATACGGTGGCCTCTTGTTGGGAGGAACTCGGCCATGGAAGGCCCCCGAGACTAAGACAGCGGTCCAGGTATCAGAAGCAAAATATACGGACATATACTCCTTGGCCCTCCTCATCTGGTCCACATTTGCGCATGGTCGCAACATTTTCAGGCTCCTTTCGGACCCATCCAAGCATGGCGAAGAATTCTATGCGGAAGCCGAGAGAATGAAAGAAACTGGAAAGCTAGCTGAACAGACAGATCTTTCTACTTGGTACTGGAAAGTAATTATGTGCTCTCCTTATAGTGGCTCCCTCCCATCCAGCGAGCAATTGCTTCATTATCAACAGCAATTCCAACGAATTAATGGACAGACCGAAGATACTGCAGGTACTATTGACAGCATGGAAAGGTTTCTATGTACCATTCCAGTCATATATGCTCCAGTGTTTGAGCCAATGAAGCAACTGTTCATTTCAAGTGTTCAACGTTTTGGTTTATACAGCGCGATGCAAAGAGCTGTGATAATTGGCTTATCGAATGAGCCAACCCGAAGGGATCTCGACCAAATCATGGCGTCCCTGGGCCATGATGGTTTATTTACTCAAGAAAGGTACTCACATCGCTATTTAACATCATACTATCGGAAATTGACCGAGTCAGTGCGGATCCGGATCAAGTGTTGAAATCGAATCTAATGGTAGGTTACAATAGCCTTATATGACGAGTGCGTTGAAAACTCATATCGCATAGCAACATGAATTCCAGTGGCATCACTGGACCAAGATGGACCCCTCAATTCAAAGGTACCTCACAACAACATATATCCAGAGAGGCGAAGAGAGGATGAAAGAGGATATGCTGAACCCACCGGAGGCCTTTCTTCTCACCAGTCTCTACATCAATGGATATGGTATAGACAAGGATACATCAAGCGCATCCAGGTGGCTCTTCCACGCCTGGCGAGTAGATCACCCACTTTCGGCAGCGTACGGGTACCGAATTGCGCGTGCGATTGGTATCGAGTTTGATAACACAGAGCGTGTAGTCTTATCGCTAAGATCAATGGCCCTGCGTGGTTCAAGAACCGCTCTCGAAGACCTCGCAATCATATCTAATGATGATTACCAGGAAACGAGGAGAATTATTCGCAACGGCCTCTCAGGGACAGGCGCCAATCATTTTTCCGAAGAAGAAATGCTTCACGGATTCCGGTACGGAATGTGGATAAAGACTTTTGGAAACATCCCCATCTTACTCGAGAATTTTTCTCGACTGCAAAACATCGCCGATTACACGATTAACAAGAGAGGTGACCGCATCCTTCATATGGCCGCAAGTTGTGGACAAACAGAGGCGATTGAGGCTCTTATAAATCGGTTTCCCTCTCTTACTGTCGATCAGATCAATGACCAAGGCGAGACACCGCTTCTTTGCGCATGCCGCGCCGGCCAAACTCGCACAGTCTTGTGGCTCACCTCTCATGGAGCAACGGCATCAATAGAGGCACGTAACGGAGAGTCACCACTTCATTGGCTGATCTCTTTTGATGATGAAGAGGTAGAAAGGGTCGGTCCAGCACTGATCCAAACTGGTGCAGATACAACAGCGAAGACATCAACCATTATAACCTACCAAGCGGACTTTCCGGCGTCGGTAGTTCCTGATAGGCTCCCGGAGGGTTATGCTGTCGGATGGGGTGAGTGTTTTCTATCGTAATACCTTTCCTAACCTCTTCTATAAACTGGACTACTGGTTTATTCAAGTATCAGAGAGGCTGATATGAGACCTAGCAACTCACTGTGACCGCCCTAAGATTGTGAAATTCCTGCTATCCAACATGGCCGATCCACGGATATGTAATGTAAAGTGGTATCACGCAAACAGTGCGTTGAGGATTGGCGCATCGCAACTTCGTTCAGAGTGTTTGGAATTGATGATGCACGCCATCGAGCAATACTATGTCGAGCGAGGGGTAGGAAAATCCTACGGCTTCTTAGTATCGGAACTCCTTGAGCAAGCTGTTCATGGCAGTAGTCTGTTTGATATGATCCTTTATCATGGCCCGAATTATCAACAGGCGATGGAATCAACATTCAACTGTCTGCTGTCCAGGGCCAGCAGGGTTGCTTATGGCGCATACGGTGGGTTCAAGCAGACACTTCTCTATTTCGCCGTTTCGCTAGCCCGAGATGAATTGGTTGAATATCTCCTCAAACACGGAGCCGATGCTATCAAATCTGGAATAGACGATGATGAAGAAGTTGTTGAATCTCAGGATGTTGGGGCGTTCAAAACCGCCGATATCAATCGCCCAAGCGGCATTGACATGCAAACGCCGCTCTTAGAGGCAGTTCGATGGAATCGTCCTACAATGGTTAATCTTCTCCTCGACCATGGTGCACAGGCCACTGAAACTTCCAAGAATCCATTCAGTGGGCAGGATTCGACGTGGACCGCTCTCCATATCTTGGCCTATGCAGGGCAAGATGATACGCGGCTGGTCCCACAACTTCTCGAGCACGGAGCGGCCATCGACGGCCTCCCAGACCATTTCCGCACAACTGAATCCCCACTACTCATCGCCGTGCAGAACGACTCCTTCCATCTTGCTGACAGTCTTATATCGAATGGCGCCGACGTGAACTTCACTACCCTGAGCTGCGGCCACCTAACCTTGTCAAACCCCACAACCATCCTCGGTCATGTTGTCGCCACCAACGCGCGTAACTCGATCGCACGTCTCCGCTATCTTCTTGACAACGCATCGATACGTGGTGGCTTGCACTTTATCGTAGAGCCAGCTCGGCAGTGGACGGCACTACACCGCGCCGCAGCCGCTTATATTGACGTCGAGTTCCGCGGGACGGATGTGACCGAGGCGGCTGAGCTGAACTGGCCTGACGTCGATTGGGGTGCAAACCGCGAAATTCTAAACGAGCTACTCGGTCATTTTAACGACCCGGAGCAGCTTAACACGGTCGATCAAAGCGGGCAAACGCCGATGCACCTGGCGGTTCTCGCGGGGAACGAGGCTGCAGTGAGATTGCTTCTCGATCATGGTGCCCGCGGCGATGTGCCAAGCTTGGGTGGCCAGGGTGCCACAGCCGCCGATATAGCATTTGAGGTACAGATGGGGATGTTGTCTATGATAGGAGACACTGGTCGGCCAGGCAGGGAAGAGGTGGCGGCTCGGAAGCAATGCAGCGATTATCTGAATCCGACAACCCAGTCTTCAGCACATGCTCAACCCGCATTAGTCTAAACTCAGCGTCCTACTTATTTAAGAGTTTCTATACTCTACTACTCAAATTAATCCAAGCCCGCGCCTTACAGAAAATATTGAATAAGTGATACCGATGTCCACCTTTGTTATATCGTTTCGCAATGGATGGGTGGATGTAGCAGTTTCCCATTGACAATGCCTCTCCCGAAAGGTGTATAATTTTCAAATTCTTATATGAGTTCTTGCCATCATATTGGATCCGTGAAATACTGTTAAACTGCTCATAATATAATGGAATTCCCAAATTCTTACTAAAATCTACCAGTTTATTAAAGAGCTCAGAATGTGCACTAAAACACTTATTTAAGTCAGAATAATAGGTGCTATTGTATTTTTGTTTGTTATAGCACTTAAGCGTGTTGCCCACGCCTTCTTGGTTTGATCTAAATTATTAATATTTCAGTAAATCTACGAGTGAAGGTTTCTATCAAGACTAGGTTTTCCAAGGAGTGATTAATATGGCTTGAACTCTATGATATCGGTTATAAAGGAAGCTTTTGTTAAACCGATAAGTGTATTTATAATATATCTCAAGGTCTAGTATAAAGGCGACCAGTGACTTCGCCGTGACTCAGTGACTCAAGGGCACTGGGAACTTCCTCAAAGGGAATCTCTCGAATCTGTGGCGTCAAGGCTTTAGAACTTAGCAGTTCCAAAACCTCAACGAATTCATCAATGCTTGCGCTGGTTGACCCTTTTAGTGAGAGATTTCTGGTAACTATATCCGCAGTTGGTAGTTGAATACGCGACGAAGCCAACCCAACCAGAACTATAGTGCCACCATCCCTGACGATTGATACTGCCGTTTCGACCGTCTTCTGTGCACCAACAAAATCGAGAATAACATCGAATGTTACGCCTGGGAAGTCGGACAAGCTTGTAGCACATGCAAAAGCACCAACGCAGCGAGCTTGGTCAAACTTGGACGTATTGATATCGACTCCGTAAATTTTAGCGCCTGATAAAGCTGCGATGGCGACGCCATTCAGCCCCAGCCCCCCCAAACCGATAACCGCAACCGTAGATACTTTGGATATATTGCTTTTGTTGACACCACCCTCTGTGACAACAGCATGAAAGGCTGTTGCAATGGAATCAGTGGCCACGGCAGCTTCGGGAAAGTCGACACCATCTGGGATCTTAACCAGGTATTTGAACGGCGCAACGGCGTACTCGGCATATCCTCCGTCGACTCCAACACCAAGGCATTCCGAGAAGTTTCGTTCCTCAATGGGGTGCCCGACACAGGCCACTGCCACACGATCATTGACTTGAAAAGGGGAGGATTCATCACCCAACTTGGCAATAACCCCTGACACTTCATGCCCCAAAGTGATGGGCAGGTTGCACATCCAAGCCTCTCCGCCGCCGTGTAAGACATGTGTGTCTGAATGACAGAGACCAGCTGCTTTGGTTTGGATAAGCGCGAACCCTTCACTGGGCTCAGGTACTGGCAAGTCGCATAGTTTGAGCCCCTCGGCGGCATTGGCGAATCGGAAAGCTCTCATATTTATCTGGCAGATTGTAAAAAGCAATAACTTCTATACGTATAGAAGAGTTACAAAAGTTATAGATATGACGGGAATGATAAGTAGTGATAATAGGTGTTGTAGTGTACATATTTGATATTAAATCTCAATTACACTGTCGGTATTTTTCTTATTAATATATACTCTATTTTTTCTTTACCTTTCTTATTTTAACATCTCGGCCAGATGAGTCATTAAAAGTGCGGATTTAAGGGAATCCGGGAAATGTTCAAGCCCGAGTGCCCGAGACCATATAAGTAAAAGTTACGTATTTGAAAAATAATCCACGAATAAGCACAGACTCTTTAACTTATTTAATGGGGTTCTCTTCAAGGTTTAATAGCATAATTCGTCCAGCTTCGACAGGAAAGTTAGGGGCGAAATGGCTTGGCCTGAAAGGGCCTCACAAGGACAATGGCCATCGGCCCTAGCTGAAACAAGAATACATTGAACCCTAAGTAGCATTAAAATCTACTTATTTCAAATAGTTGATAAGAAGTCTTTCAACAGAAATACATTGTATTAATAAACCAGATTAAATTCAACCCAAGTCCCCTTCCAGAAGTGTTGTCTAGCATTCCGTATCAGACCTTGCGCATTGCTCCTTTGTAGCCTTCTTGAAGCGCTTAGAAACATCTCCGACGCGTTCCTCCCACGGCGCAGCCTGAACATCCAAGACCTGGGTGGTGCCATTCTTTGAGAGATCAAAGTCCTCCAAGCTGAACCAGAAGAGCTCAGGACCAGAAGCGGATTCGTAGAAAATCATCGAATCCTTGAGGTCGGCGTAGATTCGCCAGTAAGTTGGCCAGATATCTGCTGCTCCAGGCTTCGGTGTAATCGTTTCAGGAATAGGAACGCTGACAGCTCTAATCATTCCCGCAGCATAAGACATAGCCTTTGTCAGCTCCTTTGTCTGAGGGATCTCCGATAGGTAGTGTGAGAGTCGGGCGAAGCGATCTAAAGGACTTGAGGTTAGAAAGATATTTAAGTGTAAGGTTTAGTCAATACTAACCGGCAGGTCTTGATGTTCCTGGAAGAGCCGACTCGGCAATTGGCTCCCAATAGGTGTTGATTGCGAGTTGTTGATCGTACGTAGGTTCGTTCGTCATGACGGTATAGTTCTTCGAATGATAGCAATTCAACTTCCCCTTGACATACTCCATGACAAGGTTGTCTCCTGATGGGTCACTGTATGACAAATGGCCTACCGAGTTGACACCAGGTACGAGGGCCGTGGGAACAACTTGGAACGGCGGCTTTCCGCTGCCAGGGCAAACAGCATCCGCGACCTCCTCGACGGTGGCATACTGGTCGAGAAAGTACTGTAGCCAGTGTCCAACCCACATGCTGGGAATACTGTCATCACGCTTTCCATAATCGCTGCCGTCTAGGTAAAGGCAGCTTCCCGTGAGGCCCTTTTCGTTGACGCCATCAATATGTGCTGCGCCGTACATGAGGGCCGTGACGGAGCCATATTTGGACGTCCAGTTGTATCCGTTCGCTTCAACGCTGCTGCCAGTACGTTTCAACCCAGCTGGGTAAGCGAAGAATGTCGTGTTTGTCTCGGCGACAAAGTCCATAGACCGTCCAACGACGATGCGATCCTCGCTTGCGGTGTATGTTACACGGGAGCATGCTTGTGCTTGATAGCACGTCCCAAGGACGAAGAGTGTAGTGCGCAGCATGTTTAATGATAGAGGTAAAGGATAATGTAGTTGCTTATGATAGAAGCCTGAGAACCGGGTCTGAAAAGGCGAGGACTATTTCACTCTTTTATAATATTTTTATCGGCTACTAGACAGACAGTTATGATTAAGAAGAAATTGATACATTTGCTTGTATGGATCCCTCTAGTGAAGTGTAAATTCCATGCGAAATTACGCATGGTTGTCTTACTGAGTGTTATCAAGGTTTACTCATGAGACTGCCTTACTGTGAAGGTTATAGACTAGCTAGCTTGATACTTGACAAGGTGCAGCGGCGGCCGCCGCAGTCTTTGGTGAGACAGCAACCATAACTTTGCCTTTCGTGTTCTCGATGCGTGTCACTTAGTTTGCGAAAGACCTATAGGAAGGCTCGTGAATGTGAGTTTTATTACTCCGATCTAGGTTTAGAGATCAACACCCAATAGACTTCGGGAGGCACATAATGCTAGACGTCTGTAGAGGGCGCGAACAAGTATGGCTTAGGTGTTCGCGACGAGTGACTTGCCAGGAAACAGCAACAGGAAAGTTTCATTCGGTTAGTCGTTAAAGTCAATTCGTTTAGGAAGAAAATAGGAAAGCTTCACTCGGCTGGTCGGTAAAGTCAATTCGCCGAGAAATAAAACGAGAAGGAGCATGCTCTCCGCGCGATCCGAATCTGTGGTAACGACGGTTGGAATGTTGGCTTGCGCCTCAATGACCTGAGGCCATACAAATCTACTGATTCTAGAACAGAGATGGAGTAGCTCGCCACGTGACAGTCAATATTAATTTACTGATTGGAATGTTGGCTTGTGCCGTCTCTCCGGGGCCACGTTTCTACGATAGTCTAGATCAACCCCAGATCTAGTAGAAGAAGCTACTCCATACGAAATTGCCCTCGTTACCATAATGCTCCCCAGCTATTGGCTCGCTTTGGTTGACATTGGCAGCGACTGAAAAATTGGCGTGAGGCTTATCTCAGCCACCAATTTACCTATGTATCTCAGCTAATAAGAGTCCTTGCATTAGCTTATAAAAGGTATTTTCCATGTCTTTGAATTTCGTGAGTTCCCATAGAAATTATTTATTCCAATGGGAAAACGGGTGGTTGGAACATAATCCGCGACAATCCCATCGACTTAAACGGTATGACCGGTTTCAATTCTACATCCTGACACCGACAGCCGTGACTCATTGCATCATCGTCGGCGGACTCCTCCTTGATCTTTGCAGGAAGGTTCCGAGGCTGATTTGCTAGGTGCGTTGGGAAGATGTTAGCGTTGTTCGGAATAGGACGTCCCGGGTTATCTTATCATTAATCTAATGGCTTTTGTTGTCTCCAGTAGGGGCTCTGCCAATACCACTTTAGAATGCTATCCTGTATAGATTAAATCTGTCCAACGTGAATGACTACATGCAAAGCAACACGAACATTTCAACAAATGTCTTTATATCACCTCTTGAAAATACAGAAAGTCACAATATAAGCTAATAATAATCAAAATTTTCATTTTTCAACTCAACGGTTTGCAATGGGTAGTGTGTACTATACAGTATTGACTCACGAAATTCTACAACGCCTCAAGATAAATACCTCCCTCGCTGGAACCTTTGGAGGTCTAAGACGTCAGAAAATGTGGATAGTCTAATTAGTCAGCAAGAACGCCACTCTAATTGCGATCCATACCCACTGTCAACGATTCACAGTCCTGATCGCACAGCCACATGTCAGGCCGAAGGCAAAACTCTTGCAGAGTCCATAGGGAATCAAACCAACCGCAAATTTTCATATCCTGGCGCCGGACACTGGAGTCAAATGTATAAGGCTGAAAGAGTCCAGTACAATGCTTTTGAATAGATGGACCATGTGCGTAGGGACGGTCCTTGTAAAATGGATCTGGATGGATTTTCAATAAGACCAATGACATCCAAGCTATGGCTGATTTTAAACTCTTCCAGGATTCGAACTTGCTGAGCCATATAATTGCATGAGACGCATTCCTGAAAATCTCAGCTTGTCGCGCAATCTCGTCCCGTGCGCGTTGTGACCGGTCCTGAGGAATACAAATGAGATCGAACCAGATGAACCGAGTTGAGGTGGGAACTTTGGCAAGTAATTCTGGAAGGTCTTTGACGTCGAAGATGGTGTTCTCGGGTACTTACCATTGATCGACGCCACGGACCGCCGTTTTCTTGCCTTGCGCTTGTTCAACCTTTCTCCATCGTCCCCAAGTATGGCTGATTGCAGTATAGGCGGGCCGCGATTGAAGAGTCGCCGTTTCAACAGTACGCTGCGTGTGCCTATCCCACAGAAAGAATGGAAGTCCGTCATCTTTTGGCAGCCAAGGGCAAGGGTTCGCATCAATACCCAGTGGGCATCTAGGATCGGACCCCGCCAGGTCAGAGTCGCCTAATATTCTCGTCCCCAAATACGATACTTGTTGAGGTGGCTCAATAGGCTGGAGAGACTTCAACGGCCTCAAATCGGCATACTCTCCAGAGTAAAGCAGTTCAAGATAGCTAGGAATAGCCAACTTCTGCAAAGCTTGATCAACGACGACCATCTGCCTGGAATTTGCAAGGGCGGACGGAGCGGACGGACCAACTGGTGTACCCAGCTCATGAGCCATGAGACGAATCACATCCAAGGAAGGAATATCAGTGGTCTTCAATACGTATTTGGTGCCATTGACGAGGTCCACAGGCCAGTCATGTTCAGTTGACTCGGTACGGAAATAAGTGGCATGATCCATCCACCAACGCCAGATAGTCCAGAACGACTTTTCTTGCACGGGATGAAGTTTTTCGAACGAAGATGTCTTAGCGAACCGCTGCGATAATGTCGCATCATATTGTCCAAGAGCGGAGGCGATCAGGTACAATCGGCCGAATACAGCAGTGAAATCGGGCTCTGTACCTTGGACATTGAAGTTTCTGTCTACTAACATCCATGGAGGATCAGGAGCAGATTGACACATTTTTAGACTTTGGTATATGGCCTTAGGTGAAACGGGTAACGGTGATACTCTGCGCTGATTTGGTAATGAGTTACGGCACCCTGTCAGACATTCTATACTCAATTGCGCATTATTGCTTTCTCCGGACATTCTGTTGGTTGACTGACTAGCTCCTTGTGCGACCAGTCAGATTGTAGTGATGTGTCCGCTTAAGCAGAATGAGGCTAAGCATCAGATTTCTCGCCCCCGCCTGACCCATACACTACACAGAGCTAACAAAGTGTAGAAATCCGGTAGTAACAGGGCTGAGCACTATAGTACAGTGAACTCCAAATCAGAATATTCAGGCAGTGCAACCAATTACAAAACGCTCACATAAGACTATTTTCTGCTACTAAAAGGCGGACACCCCAATCTGCAAAACAATCAACATCATACCGGATTATTCCCACCTCTTCAATCTACGACCACCTTGAAACATGGGTGACAACGAAACTGGCGCCATTTCTGCACTTGGTGCTCTTCTTGGTTATGTCGGCGCCGAAGCCGCGACTACCGCACCATTTGGACATTTACTCTGGCCGCAACGACATTTGGACCACCCCTCATGGCAATCAGCCTTCATGGCAGCATTGCTGATGCCCATGGGTGGTCCATTACACAAAGCAGCATTGGAGACGTTCGACACACTACACCGCCATGGCCTCTTCCGCGGTGCCTACAAAGGACATATGCTCGGCACCGCGTTCTTCAATGATATTGGATGGACCTATACTATGCACGACATGGGGGTTAAAGGGCTGCCAAAGGCAGTTAGGAATTGTATCTGGACGAGGGCTATGAGTCTACTGGAACATCCTCAGTTGAACGATGGAAGCATGATGCTGCCAATGGAAAAGAAAGAACAAAGCAAAGCAAAGCGTCAGAGTTCAGTCAGAGCGTGGATATCCTGCTACCATCTGACATTCAGCCAAGCGACAGAGGATGATAGATCATCCGCACTACCATTTGTTCGCGAGCGCGTTAACACGCCTGGGCCCCAAGTCTATCTATCGCTCCTGGCGGCCGAGTCGTCAGCAATTATTATCGCCATCATACTTATTGTGATCTGGAGAACACCCTGGGTCACGCTATGGCTCGCACCCTTGGCACTACGGCTGATCAGCACCTTCTTCGCTATCCACCGCGAGCCACTCGAAACTCTGCAACTCACACCCCAAAATTACACCTGCGACTTCGAAATACACTGCCCTGAGTCCAACGGCGACTTTATAGTCCTATCTGGCCCACCTCCTCTCATCCAGCAGTTTATGCGACACTACGGTCATCCATGCCGGAGCCGCACGAAAGAGATCATTCAGCTGGTTATCATCTGCGCACTGGGGTGCGTCTTTCCGGCGGGTCTGGTGGCTTCAGCACTATTCATGCCTTTACATCTACAGTATGTCTGGTTCGGTTACCAGATATTCTTAGTTGCAGGACTACATATTGCAAGGTACTGTCAATTCTCGAGACAGTTATCTATAGATGCAGCTATTGCAGAGGCATTCGCACATGGCGATCGGTTCAACCGTTGCGGAGAGAGCTCGTTACTCTTCGGCCACAAACGGTCAGGCGCTGGAATACTCAGGGTCGACTTGAAGGTCAAGTCGTATAGCAAGTATGCCGAAGGGAAACAAGCAGTACAAAAATTGCTTATGAATGATGACAAGGATATCGAGGAGGCAATTGGAAGTCAGTAATGATGCAGGTCTTTAGACAATGACGTTTGTGCGTTAGATTTCTCAAATAAAAATGGTATATAGTTGTGCCTCAGATTCATATGCATCATGACAAAAGTCCTCATTATCTCAGTAGAATGTGGACGTGTCGAGTACTGATTGGATCAGCTATATGCATAGAATCGGCCTTAGTGCTTACTAACCGTCATTCCCGTAAATCAGGCTCGGAAACATTTCAAGGTCTCATGATGTTGATGTGAGGGGTTGAGTTGTTTTCAGGCTTATTTGTCGGTGACATGTTAACCAATCTCTCAGTCACTCCAAACAAAACGTTCTTAACTTGGTAACATACTGATAGCTCAATATGGGCGATCTGGGAGTAAATGATGATTTAGAAAGCCAGTGGAGCGATGACTGTCTTTGGCCCCGTCGACTACTTCATGTGGCTTCCATGACATCCTATCCTTGGAGTCCGGGCAATAAGTACGGATCTTACGAAGAACCATACTATAACGCTATTTCTTATACATGGGGTCGGTTCAGGTACAAGGACCATCAGCCAGAATATGCCACAACGCGTCCTCTCGACGTCAAAGGCGTGACTTGGCCACTTCCACGCGTATATCCAACTCACTTCACAGCCGAGGAAATGACCAAACTTATCAAGGCTGCTACATGCCCAGATGAAGAAGAATATGCTGTTGAATTCATTTGGCTAGATGTTGTCTGTATTGATCAAACAAAACCTCACACGCAGGAATATTACAGTGAAGTTGGCAGACAAGGCAGGATTTTTCAAGGTGCATCCGAGGTGGTAGTATGGCTCACGACCATCGACAGTGAGCAGATGATAAAGTGGTGGAGAAAAATGAGTCGCATCAAGGCTCCGCTTAAACCAGTTCTAGTTGGGAGTGACGACGACTATGATGTCAATGGGTGGTTACGAACAGTCCTAGCAGAGTTTCAGAACCTGAGAAAAGACCCGTGGTTTACTTCTTTGTGGACACTCCAAGAAGCATTTCTCTCGCCGTATTCTGTCATTTTCCTGAGAGACGGCCAATCCTTCTTCAACTGCGTCGACGATGTTTCATCCGGAGGATATTTGTCCCACCTCATTACTGTCTGTCAGAAGATGTACAGCTTCCTCGACCAATTCAAAAGATCTGTGTCTCGAAAGGCTGCATTTGATCAGACACTCTTCGACGCTGTGAAGAACGAAATTGAAGCATTTGGATTCCTTGAAGGGTTTAGCGAAGGAACATCCGTCCTCAGGTCGCTTGAGCTCGGTTTTGATACAAATTCATCATGGATGGGCAATCCACTGATGCTCTTGCAAGCTTCACATCGACGATCATGCTATGAGCAGACGGACAGAGTGAGAGGGATCATGCAGGTTTTCGGGCTTCAGCTGGGTGAATCAGCACCTGACGCTATCCCTGGCAAAACGTATAGTCTGTCCGAACTCAAAGATCAACTCGCATCCGAATTACTTCGACTCTATCCTATCTCTAGTCAATTATGCATCCAAGATCGATCTTGCCCACCTCGGGAAGCATGGAGAGTTAACTCGAGCATGACAATGATGCGTTTTTCGGAGCTGTTGTGGCGACAGATGATCAAGCCGGATGGAACTTCAGTCGACGAACAAGATCTTGTCGCAGAATCAAATGGTGCGATTCTCGAGGCTGTGGAGTTTGAGAATGCGCTTATGGCTGGCTTCGAAGGTAGTTTCACCAGCATGAGTACGTTTTTCAATGTTATGGAAAAGTGCATTGGGTCTGATACTGTCGAGGTGGAACTAGAGCACAGATACAACGACGCGATAGAGGCAACATTTTCAGAAGACTATTTGACGCGGACTCAGAAACTCTCTTGGCTTGCTAGTCAGCCCGAAAGTTGCAACATGGGTATTTTGTTCCTCGCCCTAGTTGGGCCACCACCTGATGCGCCTAAGCTTGAGAATGTGTGGTGCAGATGGTGCATTGGGTTAGTTCTCTGTCAGGAACCTGGTCGACAAGATGTTTTCGAAAAGGTTGGGGTAGTTACCTGGGATTTGGAGGCGATTGAACAAGTAGGGAAGGATAGGAGACCTCAGGCAGTCGGTGGTGTACCAGATGCATTCAAGTACGTCGTCGTAGAGGGTCCCGGTTGGACCAGCTTGAGTGGTTATTTTGGGTAATTTTGATGTTGATAGCAGCTATATGAATTGATACAAGAAACAAAAAAGTAATTGCTTCTTCAAAACCCTGACAGTTTCGGTATCCAACTATTCCTGGCGTGCCGTTATTTCCTCTAGGGCGACTGCTTTGGATGACAAGATTTCCTCCTTCAATATCGTCTTCACCAGTTCTATGCAATGCTTCGTGGGCTCTCCAAGCATCTATTGCCTCCTGATCGACTCCCCTGTATGTAAATGTCCCCTTGAAAACCTAAAACACTCCAAACGCATCCGTATGTAGTGGTCTGTGCTGTTATCCAAGTACCAGATCCACGCTCTGGCTAGAGACGTAAAGCTTTCGTACTGAAGGCGAAGGTGGTGTTCGACAAAGAAATGGAAGACAAAGCAGTGTAACAAGTCATTCATATGCACGTGGAAGAAAACAAGGCGCGGCACAAATGGTTGAAGGGAGGGATCGAATTTGTAGAAACAATTCCGAAAAGCCCGAGTGGCAATATTTTATGAAGCCTGTTATAGGATAAGGAAAGAGAGTCCAGAAGGTTGGAAAAGGGAAAGGTCTAACCCTCCGTTTACTGTCTTGTCAGCCTTAACATAATGTATCGTGTTTTACAAATGACATACATCAACTAGAATGTTCAACGGAGTGGCTTTGTGATTCTCCTCTCTTGAGTGAAGTCTTTCTATACTGACAATCAGGCAGTGCAAAGCTCAGGCAATCTCACCTTCGTCTAACGGTCAGGTTCTGACCAATGAGCCAGCCCATAGAACTTTGATTATGTGAGTAAACAGATGTCTTCAAAGTAAAATGTGAGACTGCAGTTGGTTCTAGATAACTAACCGGAAGAAGAGATTTCAAGTACTAATGGCGTAAATAGCTCTTCTCAGTTGGATACTATCTTTTCAGCTCTTCAAAATGGCTTGAAACTATCGTCACTATCTCCGCATTTCCAAGACTTTAACCCCTACTTGTTGGTGGCTGGAAGCTTTATTCTTAATTGAACAACTTGACCCTTGGCAGGAATTCCCGTTTAATACATAATGGTCACACGGCCCTTCAGCTTTGTCTTTAAGTCACTATTTCTTTTATCCTTAGATACAATTTACTCTACTTCGGATACGAATTATTCATAATAACGCCTAAAAACATGGGCGCCATCAAAATAGCTTTATAGCCTTAACAAGTCATCCAAGATGCAAAGCATTCAAGAGTTATTTCACAGAAGATTCATGATCAATATTAATCCATTAACAACCTCGAACGCGTTATAACACCGAATAAGAACTCCACTATGCTGTCTAACTCGACCCCAGTATCTAATAAGTATAAGAGGCGATATTCCTGGTGGCAGAGTATTGGGCCAATTAGCGCTTCTATCCTCGTAGTTGCAACCCTGGTTATTATAGGATCATTCTTCACTCTCATCATACTCTGGCAAGGAGCTAAAGATGCCAGGAATTATAAAACCCCTAAGCTTCCCAATTTTTAGAGGATGATCATCTTCAGAGATTAGATAACATAAGTTATCACTATCTATTCCGCTGCAATCTATACTTCTATATTACTGCAAATTAATATACTAGTTTCAGCTTTAGCTGCTACTATACTTAAGTCATTAGGAACAAGAATAAATAATATTCCTATTATATTTATCGGAAAGTTATAATCCAATGCCATCAGCATTTTTTCTAGTATCTCAAGACAAACTATAAATAGCTATACAAGAGTATTCCATTCTCTCATTATTATTACCATAGTTATTATCCTACTTGTCTCCAATTTGAACTAAATAATACTTCTATCTAACTTAGGGATTGCTCAGTTTTCAGCGTAGCCTGCTATGAATGACACTGCTATATTCTTCAGGGAAAGTAACCGATATATAGAAACAGCTATTATATTATAGAAAACTACGCCTTTATTTCAGTAGCATTTCGCCGGAATACGATTTAACAAAATTCGGCTTAGTACTACTGGATGTATTTATTATATATTTCTACTTTTTTAAGATAAAATAGAAAGAATGTCACTAGAGTACTACTCAGGGCCTGCTATAGTCGCCAATATAAGAATCATTTGTATTCCACTGCTATTAGATGAGTTCAGAATTAAGACATACTATCCGGGGCCTTATGTAGATAAAGGGCCATCGCTTTGTTTACAATAAAAGATGGAGGATACTGAGGTCGAATGTGCAGTTTCTCCAAAAGCCGGCAAAGAAGGACAACGTTAGGCTACAACTCTATGCTCAGCCAATACTCGCACCGTGCATAACCAAATCCTCCAGGATCTCAAGAATGAAAGAGCAATGCTACTCAAAAACGAGGAATATCGAATGCATAGAATCGTCATTTTAAACACAACAGCTGATATTGAGTCTATGTTTAAGAGGAGCACACTTATGCAACCCAAGACACCAGAGAGACTGAGAAATCTATCGACAAAGCCGGAAGGATTATGGACAGCGATTTACAACAGCACTGGCATGAAGATTTTAACAGCTACTTCTTGTTATTATAACATCCGACAGGCAGGCATCTACAACGTCACTTTAACCAGTAAGGCTATTTCCAAGGAGCCTTATTCGGATCTTAGTCATAATTACGCAACGACTCATGTTCAGGACGGGCAAGGATTCTTTAGGGATAAAACAAAGGAAATACTGTCTCAGTTTGGTATTGGTATCGAAACCAACGACACGACCAAACGTAGCATCTTAGAACTCGATATTGGTCCTTTGACGGACAAGAACAATTCCCCTGGCCCAAAACAAGAATCCTGTGAGGGGGGTCTATTTAAAGTTTTGACCGAAAAGTCGATAAGGTCGGACACGACATGGGACATGACTGGGGCTAGTCTACCCTGGGCAATACACAAATTATACTCCCTATTCTTCCTAAACATAATGCAACAAACAGGTAACCCTGCACTTGCAATTCAAAGTGTTTTAACGAGGCTCCATTAGGCAGTTTACTACAGGCAGATAGATAAATACGACCTTACATATCCAGTCACCACTATGCATCTAACAAAGAAACTCATCCCAGTCCAATAGCTGGGACTCGGTCTAGTAATTACAATAGAGTTTGTGCACCTAATTGAAGTGCTTGTTATTACTATTATCTTCATATTGAGGACGAAACCCTCTGCTTTAGGCAATGCGTGGCAGGCGGTCGCGCAGGCAACTTATGCTACGAAAGCTCTTGAGTCAGCTGAGAGTGACTTGGGCAAAGAGGTTGGAGAATGGACAAAGGCAAATGGTTACAACAAGGGGATTTATATTATATCTCCCTTGTGAGAAAATGGAAAGGTGGAACTACCACGTAGACAACGGAAAGTCTGAGATTAGACTATAAATATAGCAGGTGCAGTGGCTAAATACGGGCTCTCCTCAATGCACTATCCCAATCGTGATCTCCCAGCCTCCACCAAAACAAATCACTTGTATATCTTCTAGCAGCTGCAACCACAAATTCCTGAAGCCTTGCAGTTCTTTCCGCATCCGAAGTCTTTATCATCGGTACCACAATCTCCCCATGTTCTGCATCCCCTCCAAGCCCCAGATCCACCGGCATGGGCAGTCCAGCACCACTCTCCATTCTGGCCGCAGACTTTCCAGCAGTAGCTCCTGTTTTCGCATCCATAGGGTGCAACGTCCCAACAAATCCTCTTGGAGAGCAGACCAGTAGAATCTGCAGGGCTGACGTCCTTGGGAAGACCCTTGTCACCTGGTGCGATAGATGATCCTTGCTTAGGGTCCAAGTTACGTTTTCGTCCCAAGGGATGGTCCGCACAGAGACGGAGCTCTGCAGGTTCTACACCATCCTGGAGTGTGGTAATGTCAAGAATACCAAGATCGCCACAGATGGCTTTGGCACGCGCCTCCGGTGAAGCGGGTGTAGCGGCGGATAGGCCAATGGCCGAGTAGGCAAGTACGAGGAGGAAGTTGTTAAAGGCTTTCATGGTTCGAGAAGTTTCATATGATGATGATTTAATGGAAGTCAGGAGATAGGAGAGCGCAGAGGACTTGGATTGGATGTAGTGTAGAACGACTGACACTATGAGCTACTGGGTATATATAGTATTGCGAGTATCTGTAGCAATAGTAAAACTCAAAAGCGTTAAAACGTAATTGACCGCTTCAGTCTAAATTTTGCACGAATACGACCTAGGAAAGAGAGGCAATTTGTTGTTTATGCTGTTAGTCCACCATGTAGTACTGAAGAAGTCCGGTGGATATCGTTTAATCCTTGTTAGAGATAATATGGTAGACTCGGTGGAAAACATTAACCGTACTCTTCTATTATAAGTCTCAACCCATGCATACAAACTATATGGAAATTATGCAACGGTGAGTTAAGAGCCTTTTGCTAAGAAAAAATAAAGAATTTATTTACTTTTGAGATATATATGGTAAAATGGGCATACCATTCTGCTTGATACTTACTTGACAAAGGTCCAGTGGCTATACTTTGGAATAACAGCAGATCACCGCGCCGTATAACTATCTTATTACCCTGGCATTATGGATGTCCATCAACAATAAATACCAAGGTCTAGACCAGGCGCCAAGCAATAAGTAGGTACCAACAGACTGTATTTACCATTGTATATTTTAGCCAAGACGGGAATGTTCCATTACTACCCACCATATACCTAGTAACTTGTGAGAAATATAAATAAATATAAAAACCTTAACTAAGAGTATAAACTTCTGGTTTAGTATTACTCTTGTAACATCTACTGGGAGAAGAGCAATGTACCGTTTTACTTATTGAGAATCACGATATTGTAACATCTCAAGATTCAATACAACGCTATGTACTATACAAATGGGCTTAACTGTCAGTTGAATACATTGAAATGAAACCTTGGCAAGGCAACAACCAACAACCAACAACTAACAGCTAACACCAAGCCCGGCCACGTTACATCTGGAAGCCCAATTAAGCGTCACGAGGCATTTTTCCCAGTCTTGGTTCTTGTATGGGTACCCATACCCTTTCCTATCCTTTTCAATATCCTTCTGATATTCCTACAACAACCATCATCACAGCAAAGTCACTGTAATAAAATCGCAATGAATCATTTATCTATACTCTTGAGTGTCGCCACTCTTTTCTCGTCGACTTCGGCGGTCTTAGGTAAGAGCAAACTACCTTCTCGCTTAGCTGTGGTATTGACAATAGCCACCTTTATAGTCACGTACAATCGCACTTACGATAGAGGATCAACACCGATCAGCCAGCTCGCATGCTATAAGGATGGCATCGGGATGGTCCCACACTATACAAATCCCGAGGGAAAACCCATTTCCAGTTTTGCACCGCGCATCATCGGTACAAAAGACGTTGCTGGGCCTGACTCCTCGCTATGTGGATCGTGCATGATGCTTGACTATGGAGAGAAAGCCCGACCTTTTCTTGTGGTCACTGGCGCCGAATCTGGCATACAACTATCGCTGGAGGGCATGAACGCTCTCACAGGTGGTAGGGCTGAGGCTCTTGGTCATATTGAAGTAAGTACCAGGCGTGTGGCTCTGCTGAACTGTGGTCTTGTCAAGTCTCCAGGACATTTGGACGATCTCTGAATTAGATGGAGTTCAACTCATGCAGACATTTCCCCTTATTTTAGATTCAGTATCCATTCATGACTGGTCTTCTCATCACCACTATGGTTTCGCTTAAGTCTACCCTCCTGCTCCTGGCACTGGGTGATGATGCACTCGCTGTAGTCCCTCCCGGGTCCTCTTTTGTTGTTTATGTCACGTGAATGAGAATGGCTTCAATAGCCAAGCCCCCAAGACCGAGGACGACAGGCATACAGAAGCTCACTGCAGTCAAGAAACTCGTTCGCAAGTTTAATGTCATTTTCATTCCTGTGGCCAAGACAACTAACCATATACTAAAGAATTAAAATGTTCCTCAATTAATTATCTAGAGCAGTGAAAAAAAGCCTAGTGAACACTGACCTTCTCTAATCTTAGTTAAAAGCCGCTGTCTAAGTAAAGATCGGAGGATCCGCAGTGGTATCGGTAGTAGTAGTAGCCTCGGCAGTTGTCGTAGCCATGGCATCATCCAAGCCACAGAAGCATTCCATTTCATACCAACTGTAAGTCGTCTGATGTTCAGTAATACCATCAATGGTACCGCCGTAAGTCCAGCACGATTGACCAGGAGTAAAGGCAAATACAGTACATCCGTCGCTGTCGCGACAAGCTTGGCGGCAGGACTCCATCGTCCTGGCATCTGGGTTGTCCTTATATGTCAAATCGCCATTGTAATAACCATGTTTGTTGCAGACCTTGTCGGTTGGGACGGGTGTCTTTTCATTGTTGACGCAGGAATCCACTACTGCTGCAGTAGTGGTTGCAGCAGCCATGGTTGAAGTGGTTGAAGTGAACTCAGCAGACGAAGTTGTCAGTTCGGTAGTCATAGTCTCGGTGGATGTCGTCTCGGTAGCCGAACCAGTTGTGGTGGTTGAAGTCTCATCACAGAAGCAATCCATATCGTACCAAGTCCAAGGCGTACGATCACTACTTGTACCGGTAAATATGCCTCCCCATAATGTGCAATCTTCATCAGGACTTAGGGCAAACGCAACACAACCTGCTTTGTCTTGACAAGACTTGAGGCAAGTCGCCAGCGTTGTTGCATCACCTTGATCCAGAAAGTCCAATCTGCCTTCGCCACTGCCCTGGGCGTTACAGGCCTTGCCAGCGGGAGCAGGACTCTTGAGGCAAACGGATTCGGCCGGGCTGATGGTCGTAGTCGCAGTTTCTGTCGTGGTTATAGCGGTACCGGTGATGGCAGTGGTATCAATTGAGGAAGTCTGAGCTGAAGAAGCCACAGTGTCCGTCGAAGTAGTACCGGTGGCAGTTGCCATTTTCGAAGGCTTGCAAGGGCCGGCCATAACACCGGCTGCAAAGCCAACAATTGCAACCAAGACATTTGGGGCGATCATTATGAAAGAATGGCACGCTCACTAATGAGGGAGTCAAATGAGAGACAGTGAGGAACGTAATGGGACATGACGTGGGACGCAATTTTGGAAGTCCCTCGCTTTGTTTAAATAGTCTCCGATTATAAAGTTCCTTTAGAAAGACGACTGAAGTGCATTTCTACTGACAGAGAGCTATAGGGACGCTAAGGCAGGGGTGAGGGTTAGAGGGCGAATTAGATCCAGAGATTCTTAAGTTATTTTTTCAGCTGTTAGGCTATTCAAGGTCCAGACCCCAATAGTTGAGCAAAATGGAGCCAGGGCTAGTTTGGGACGTACTAGTGTTAATAGCTTGATGAAATTGTATGTGACTATGCCTCTACTGTAGCTTCCATTTACTCTTATTATTATGTTTTCAGTTGTGGCGAAGTCAATGCGTTTCAAGAGTGAAAGCTCTCTACATATGTGCCTATGCCTGTGCGTCAGGACTCAGAACCAACAAGAATCTTCTCAACCACCTTAGATCTTGTCGACATGTTCAGCCTTGGAATCGACATCTTCCTTCATTGAACACCCGGACTCAAGTCTATCGACTTGAATTGGCACAAAATTAGCCCGTACTTTATTTTATAAGACGAACTTATCCATATCGTCAAGAGCAAGCCCTGATAAAATGTTATCAAGGTGCCAGAGTCGTCTCGATGGATAACTCAACTTTGGTCTCAGGGACAAAGAACAAAGTGAAAACGACCATCGTGAAACAGAATGAACTATAGACAAAACATGTACCGAAGCCGCTACGATTAAGTATGGCAAGTATGCTTGGTGTACTCTCGGCAACAATAAAGTTGAACAGCCACTGACTAGCAGTCGCCACTCCCATCTGAGAGCGTGCATATGAGCGGCAGGGATCTATCTAGTCGGTGAGCTAAGTCCCTATAGATGACGTATCACCACGTATTACATTCGCCCCATTATGGTATAGGGTAAGCTGCTCTGGTCTTGGGCTGTGACAAGAATCTATTAGTTTTTAACAGGCATGGATAACTCTGTTATTAGTTAATATTTGCCCAAGATAAGGCACACTAAAGAGCAAGGCACTAGGCCTGAATTTTTCTATCTGAATTACGAAGTGAGGAGCTATATTATTCAACCGAACAACTTTGCTTTGTAGATGACAGGCAGCTCTATTGATGTTTTCTCCCCATTTGCTGACTAATTATACTATAGGGTAACCGTCTCAATCAATGTCAAGACATTATATATCTAGACAAATGCCATTTTGATTAGGCGTGGATTTTGTTTGTAAGCCAAGTGTACACTTGCTGGCGACAGAAGGGCTGGATCTATAATCCTAGATGTCTAGCATTTGAATTTAATGGATGGTTATGTGGGAACAGTTAATGACTGAGTGATGATGTAATATGTCTCACTTTTGATATTCTTCCAATTGGTAGTTTGATATGCTATTTAGAAGCCAGGTATCTTCCCCGCCACCCTTTTAATTCGACCGGAGCCCACTCCGTCGATAATTCTCCAACTACATCTCTTCATTTGATCTGCTAGAATGTCTTCTTCCAAGAAAAGATTCCCTCCCTTACTACCCAGACCATCGGCCCAATCGACCGCCAATGATCTTGCCCGGCCTACAACAGAACTTCGAAAGCGTCGTCAAGCAGTGACCATTGCATGTAACAGTGCGTCGAGGAATCGTCATGATGGGTTTCCCAGTTAACTGTGCGACTTAGATTGCAAAAAGCGAAAAACCAAGGTATTGTATTCACCAGTCTTGAGTTAGCCCAAGAGTGCTGCTGAGTCAGAAAACAAAGTGTGATGGCCATCGCCCACGATGCGGTCCTTGTCTCCGTAAAGATCTCGATTGTGAATTTGTCGAGAAGGAGGATCCCACATCCCGCGAAAATGACAAACGACTGCTTTCAACGTATCAAACTGTTTTTGAATTGATTCGCCAGGGAAACCACGAGGAGTCAACAAAGGTTGTACAGAGAATCAGGGATGCCGACAATGTTCAAGATGCAGCGAACTCAATAGTGGGGGCAAAAGCTCTTATGCAGATGCCCGCTCCTAATGATGCATCGGTCCTTGAGAAACGACCTTCACGCGACAATTTATCATTCGAGGAGCTTCATCCTAAAAGGCGCCAACTGAGATCACCGTGGGTATTGTCACACATTTGCATCACGAGCAGATACTAATACCTCTACAGTCAGGAGGATTCCAATTTCATGTTCGAGAAGCAATACATGACCGATCCTCGGGACAAATACGTCGACAGCAACATGTTTGTTGACGTGTTGGCTCGTGAGTTGCCGTTGTCACGCTGGACTACTGTATCCCAGGATGATCGACAGATGAATCATTTACTGACAATGTTTTTTACTCGGGACAATATTGTCGAACGGGCCATCTATAGGCCCATCTTCGAAGAGGATACTATCGCTATAGATCCACACTTGGCGAATAATTACCCAAGAAACTTTTGCTCCGCATTTCTCGTCAACGCTCTGCTTGCCGCTAGTTGTGTGAGTCAGTTATTGTCCTTTAGCAGAACAGGGCCTAACATAGTAGCTTTACACCCTGGATCCTGCGTTCTTCAAAGAGCCCCAAGACTCGTCGACTAGAGGGAGACGATGGGCTGACGAAGCCGAAACGCTTCTACAAAAGATCGAGACGCCTTCCATTCCGCTGCTTCAAGGGTTGTATTCACTTTTTGTATACGAAGGAGTTATCGGTGAAGGCACCAAATCTGTCAATTATTTCCTACGGGCTATGGATGTGTACAAGGAACTGAATGACACTTGGACCATGCATCGACACGGAGGTGCAGACGATGCACGGCTTGATCGTGAAAGGCATGCCATTTCATGGTGCTTGTGGGGGTTTTACTGTTGTGAATGGTGAGTTATCAGAGATCATTACCTTGCCGCTGTCTGACATTAGCAAGGCGATCATCTCAGGCTTTTGGATTCAGAAAGCTGGCTCGCAAACCCAAGATCGAAAGAACCTGGCTTGACCATGGTTTTCCTCTATCCAATCCCGACTGCGTCGGCTACTGGTGGTTTCCGTATCCAATGTCATACCATATCCAGCAGTCGTTGCAGGTCTAGATGAGAACAGCAGATGTTGAGTTATCCGAGATAGCGGAAGAGACCCTGGATTTTATCTACCCGGAGGAAGGGCAGCTGCCGCCTCAAGCCAACACTCGACGTGCGCTTGAAATTTACGACAAGTATGTCGCATGGAAGTATTCATGCCCGAGCCGTATCAGGTTTGCAGACGCTACAGTGCCGTCTGTAATATTATTGCAGTAAGTCAAGATCGATGCGAACACTCGAAAAGTATGACTAAATGTTTTCTGCAATAGTGTCGGCGTGGAAGTCATGTTCACTGTCCTCCTTCGTCCATTCTCCCACATGTCCAAACAGAAGTTTGGAAGGTTTGATCCCAAAGAACGATGCTTGGCGCATGCACACAGTATAATGTCAACAATATGGACATTCCGATCTTTTGCTCATATCCGTTTCGAGTATTGGCTGAGTCATGTCACTGGAACCGCTGCTTATATCGTGCTTCGGGACGCCGGCGACTCTCCTGTTCAGATGGACACACTTATACGTGCTTGTCAGTGTCTTGAGGAAATGAAAGTATCGTTTCCTATTGCGATAGATGTCCTGGCTGGGATTTCTGCTGCCTTTCGCCGTTTCAAGGTGCAGATCCCTTCCTATATGAGTCATTACTTTGACAAGGTACAGTATCGAAGAGATGGGTTACTGCACCATGCTGTGGCTGCGTTGTTGCCTAGTGAATCGGAGGTTGGTAGAATTGGAAGTGGAGCCGAGGTGCAACTCCAGGAGTTGTTGGATGAATTTGGAGATATGGGAATAGACTAGGGTATAAACAAAGAGGCATAAGGAATTTCTTAGATAAGGACTTTATGCCTTATTCTAGCAGCATGCAGCAGATAAATATCACATTCTCTCTAAATACAGGCTCCTGTCTAATACTTTGTATTATAAGTATTCTGAATAGTAATCATTAAAATCTAGCTAAGCCTAGCATTTAGGTCTTTAATATTTTCAAGAATCTTACTAAGTTCCTAACGATAAGTAACATAGTTAGTAGAATTTTAGCTATATTTATAAAATAGTAGATTCTGCTAAACTTAAATAATATATATTTAGCACTTTTGATTAAGTATTTAAGGCAAAAAGTAATTTAATATGACTATAATTTATAACTTTTTAACATCTTCAAGACTTTTTACTTTTTGTCACAGCTTACGACCAGAACTGCCTACCCTATACCAGCCTGAGGACTAGATCACGTGGCAATATCTTTGCGTTGACATTCGGGTCTCCATCGAGATAGCTATTCGCGATGTCGTTGATCCCAATCCAAACTACGAACAGAAATGTATCTGCATTGAATGTCTTTCCCACTTTGTAGTTAGGCATGAAAGCCTAATCAATCTCGCGGATCAAATCGTAGTCATTATTGTTAACGATGGATGTGTCGAGGGTTGCCTCGCTAGTAGCAAAGTTATAGGTGAGGAAACTAGACTCGTTGTACGCTGTTGTGAAATTCCCTATCCAGTTGGGGTATGAGTACGATTCTAATCTCACAGAGTCCCCTTAGATTTGCGGGATTTGCGACAACTCTCATAATATTGTCATTATCCATGCTGCGAGTACGAAACGTCAAGCATGAGGGCATGTTCATTGCCAATCTCCTTCTTCTGGCTGGCCTCGGCCTTGTTATCTCTGCACAGTGGGAAATTGTCAGAAGTGATGCATTTTCTTACACTGTCTTGAGTGCCTTCGGTAAGTAGTCGCCATTGTTTGTGAAGGTATGTTCTCTTACAACAGGAGTAGGCTTCTACTACGCTGGCTATGGTATCCTTCTGTTGCCTCCTTTGGGAATTATAGAGTCCTATGGCGGTCGCACACCTGATTATTCTAATGCTTTTAGACTATACCTGGCAGGTGAGAATATCACATTCACTAGATCGAGAGATGTACTTATTTGATGCAACAAGGTCTGGGCTCAATTTTATTTTCTTTCTGGCATCACTATCTACGTAAGATAGCTTTAGGTCACGTACTAGGACGAAATTAATAACATGACAATAGGAATTTGCAAATGTCGTTGTATATGGAACTCTCGAGTTCAGTTATATATCTAATATAGCGTCAAAGTTCGCGATGGCCGATAGCCATCCACATTTGAGCGTCATTTTCGGGAAAGTTACGGGAGGGTTCGGGATCGTCTCAGCTCTCGCAGACATTTATCCATTAGATCAAGGATTGTGCGATGAAAGATCTCTCGTCCCAGTACCAGTCGGCAAGATTTGTTGCCTTCGTAAAAAAGGGCAGGAGATGGTTCAACAGTCTTTATGTAATGTAACATGCCTGAGTCTGTATTGTTAAGTTATGGTGTTGTTTTTATTGTGTCTTTATATGATGTACATGTCGTTTTGGCCATATATGAACACATCAAAACCATATCCCACCATTTCCAACTTTCCTTAAAGTCAAGCTCGGGACAAACTCAAGAAAAGCACTTCCATAAAATAGACATATTCTTCCGATGATCTCGTGGTTGTCTGTCAAAACCAAAGTATAACACTACTTGGAAGCATTGACACGGCAGAGAATCCAGCCCAGAGGAACAGGCTTGGTACTAATGAGAGCACCCTTCTTGGCGGTGAACTCTTTGCTAGCAGGGACAGTGCCCCACTGGTCCTTGTACATCTGGCAAGTGACCTGATCGGCCTTGGGAGCGTTGACACCCTCAACGCTGGAGTAGATACGTGCGACCTCCAGCTCGGTGATCTTATAGCCCTTGCCGGTGGTGAGGGTACCGAGAGGAACGTTGAGGGGCAAGGATTCGTCGCCGTTGTAGGTCATCATGGCGACGCCGACGTTGTACTCCTGCTTGACAGCTGCGGCCATAGCAGCAGAAATGGCGACAGTGCTGGCGAGGATGGTGGGGATATGCATAGTTGCGGTGGTGTTTGAAACGTTGGTGGAATTGGTTGTTTGGGTATTGATTGTTAGAGTAATGGAGCGATGATATTATTTTGACAACGGGGTCATAGAGTCTTTATATATATTCTCTCGAGTTCTCTATCATCTCTTAACTCAACCAACATGTCAAATCGGGCGGGTCATCGCCCCAATCCTTCATGCAGGGGTCGTGTGCTTCATCTCAATTGCACAGCCCACGATGCTTACTTCCAACATACGACCTGCCACCGCAATTCATCCGGCCCCCCTTTAGCCAGTAAAAAGCGGTATTTGACAAATACCGACTGAAAGAGTCCGACGGACACTTTACCACGGCGATTGCTACATCTGGAAAGGATGTCCAGGTCTACGTAATGCTTAGATCCCTCACAACAACCAGAAACGTAGGCTTATGCAATGCTTTTATGTTTATTTATTTATTTTGTCTGTATACGTCCGCAATTGCTTCGTTCATTTTGGATTTCTTCAACGTTGCTTTTATATTTAATAAGAGGTAGGATAGATACTCGTCACAGGCGAGAGCTTACTTCTGTGGTATGACTACATAGCGACAATGTGTTGTCTAAGCCACGAAATAACTTAAGCGACAAGCGGAACCACAAAATCAGGCTAACTAGTTCCTCTTACCTGACTCGATGCATTCGTATTTCAGCTTTGTTCGGTTCATTGCAGCAAGCTATACTGCACTGGGCCAATCACAGCCATTGTAATGGATGCGCGACAAGGATAAAGAGACAAATCCTACGTCTAGAATGGTCGATATAAACAATCCCTAATGGGTCGGGCGTGATATGGCTGATATCAGCCAAATAGCCCCATCTACTTAAAAATGGGTTTACTTCCTTTCACACCAAACTATAGCGTAATGTAATTCGAAAAATGTAAGTAGCTATTTATTCATGGGAAGTTTATCTGTTACTTAACATTTAAAATTCTTAAATTAGAGTAAAATACAATTATGATAAGTTTACTCTTGTACTAATATGTACTGTAATAACTTATGAGATTTAGTAGCATATTTCTAACTCATCCAGACTAATATAGAATTTATACAGGAAAGGTGTAGCTCCTGTAGGATAGGTCTTAATAAAAGAGAATAGAGTCTATTTCCGTATAGGAATCAGCCGAGTCTATAATAGACAAGAGCACCAGTAGCGTACTGGAGGATCTACTGGGAAAAGAGCCACTTCATACAACCCAATTTCGCGAGTTAATAATCTTTCTTAAGCTAAGCTACTATACTTCAAGGAAAAGCCCATGAATCAGTCCATATTTGCAGAGCCAGATTAAATATCAGGGTTTTGTCGAAGAAATTCTTCCATTGACGTTGTCTTCACGTTGAGTTTCTCGTTGTCGAGGTGTTTGAGAGCATATGTTCCATCGAGCTGGAACAGCTGGTAGAATAGTCCGATGAAACTGTAGTAGTCGTTGTATGGCTTTGAGTTTCTCATAGAGTAGGCAAGTTTCTTTAGCTCCTCAAGAGTGCCTCGGTGCTTGAGCGCAATATCAATGCCCCTGACTTCTTTGTAGATCCTGGCTAGCTCTCTTGGTGAGTATGCGCCAGAGTGTAGCTCCCAAAATCCACCTTCGGAAGCATCATCGCGCTGTATAACCACGGCCGAGAACTCGGCTGCATCCTTCTCGGTGGTCAGATCCCAAGTCTCATCGCCAGTTCCCCAGATATCAACAGTCTTATTCTTAGGGTCCCATGGCCCATTGTATGCCGGAGAGAAGTTGCCATGTCCAGGAACAGAGAAGTAAACTTCAGCCAATCCACCAGTCAAGATCCAAATGGGCTTGATGGTTGAAGTCAGCTTGGCCTGCTGATGGAATGCAATGCAAGCGTCGTAACTTTGATGCATGCCAAGCTGAAGCTCCCTCCAGTCGCAGTTCCAGCTCGCGGCGAGGTATCGAGTGATACCAGCTCTTTCAGCGGCTCGCAAGAGAATGAGTTGGCCATCTAGGTGCATGGTTGGAGTTCCGGCATAGGCACAAATGATAGCGTCAACGCCAACACAGGCCTTATCAATGGCCTCAATATCATAATAGTTCCTGATGCTGATGAAACTCTCCAATTTGGATCGCTTTTCTGGAGCGAGTTTATCTGGGGACCGGCCCAGGCCACGGACTTGATGACCACGAGAGGCTAGGCTGTCAATCAGGTGCAGACCAAGGTTGCCAGTGACTCCGGTTACGAGTACCAACATCGTGGATTCTTTCGTAGTCTTGGGGTAAATTGATTAAAAAATAAAGAAGATGGAACTTTGATGAAGACCTATCAAAATTCCTAAATCCTAAAATGAGGAAAAGCCCATTTATAGATACAATGTCTTCTGTATTATCTCTATGAGGTTTTAAAGACCCTGACTGGGGGCCACTTTTAAGCAAGACCCCATTACAAATGTATTTAGTATTACTGAATTGAGTATCCTTCACCGCTCAGTCACTATTTTCATAGTAAACACTCTGCATTCCCTCATCAACCATGTGCTCGGTATTGACATACAAGACGTTGGACGCGAGATTATGGTAGACCACCTGGGTTTGATCCACAGCATTACGCAGTGACTTTGACACAAGAGGCTAGCGTTCCGTGAAGCATTATGGTGGGTTCAACCGAAACAATCCTATAGGTTAGTTCACATCGCTGACAAATGGCAACAGAAGCCTCAGGTGACATCCCATTTATGACCCAAACAATGACCAACAGCAAAGACTTCTCTCGTACATGATTCCCTCAGCATGTATTAACATCTATCAATTCTAAGTCAAACACAGTCAGCACGATGGTGAATTATGGTCGTCCATCCAAGGATTGCGCACCATGTAGGAAGAGGAAAATCCGCGTAGGTATACCTCCTGTACGCTACTAACCAAATCCGTTGACACAACCAAGTGCGATCTGATTCCTACGGGTTGCACTCAATGCCGGAGAGCCAGGTTGACCTGTCATGGGTACCGAGACCCAAAAGAGTTAGTGTTCCGTGACGAAACTCGTAACACAATGCAAAAGGTCATGATCAGTCGAACAGCCACCCAATTGCCCCCCACTCTGCAACTCGGTTCTGATGTATTATCCCGGCATACTTTTCTATCGCTCTACGTTGATGGATACTCATACGGCTTTCATACCCTTGCCTCACTTCTGGCCGGGTCATCACCCAGGGGGCTCTTACAAGCCACAGTCGATGCTGTCAGCCTGGCTTTCATGTCGTTCCGGTTGAATCGCCAAGATATAGTGCCTCTTGCGAATAAGCGTTACCTGGTAGCTATTCGTAGCTTGAGAATTGCGATGCAATCCTCCCAGAAATCAAGTATAACTGGAGTCAGCGAATCAGTTAACGACGAGACTCTGCAGTCTGTCCTTCTCCTAGACCTCTACGAGAAGATGGCTTACCATCATTATCAACTGTCAGAATTTCCAGACTCCTGGTTGAGTCATGTCCAGGGTGCACTCTCCATGGTCCAGTCCCGCCCAAGAACAGATTACTCAAACCCAACAACCCAACAACTCGCTACCCGTACTGTTATTGCACTCACTCTCAGCTGTGGTGCAGCTGGTGTTTCAATACCACAAACACTACATAGTCTTCACCATGACTTGGATGGTTACGTACAGAACGCAAAGTGGACCTTCATTGGCTTATTGATGAGTCTTGTCAACTTTCGTGCTGACATGCGAAGTGGCAAGATAAAATCGCCCGATATCCTGACTCGTGCAAGGGAGCTTGATATTCAGTTCTCTCATGCAGAGGGCAAGATACCATCGTCTTGGTGGCCACGACGCGTCAGCGATTTCAACACCCAATCATTCGGCTACTACTACGATGTCTATCCTTGCCATTACACCACTCAAGTCTTCAACGCATACCGCATCATGCGTCTAGAGTTGAACGACGTCATGAGGAAGATTCACCCTTGCACTTCAGTTTCTGAGACCATTGTCGAAGTAACAGAGGCGATCTGCGCAACTGTACCCCAATTTATTCTCCCCGGCGTACGACCAGACAACAATTTGCCCTTTACGCCAAAGCAGATATTGGAATGTTCTGGCATTTTGACTCCCCTATACGTAGCTGCACAGGTTTCTGACAATTCGGCAATGCGGGAATGGATTCTACGCCTCTTTATCTATATGGCTGATCAGGGAGCTAGATTGGCCGGCAGCGTAGCTCATATCCTAACGTCGGAGCCTGGGGTGGATTACTGGGCTGTTTTCAAGATGGCTGGGAGCTGCGCTGTCACAGCCTGATAAATCTAAGACCCAAGTAGATACCATGTAACTATTGATCTAAAATCTCTGCTTCTCGCAGTTCATGACAGAGAGTAGATTGTAGAATTTGTCAACTCATACATAAGGAAAGAGAGCTTGCCACGAATGGGCATTGTTGGTGAATCCATTATAGATTATCATGATAGGCTAGTGCTTATCGGTCTCTGGCTAGACTACTCTACTTGTTGAGCTATGGCCGTGATGAGGCCATTGAAACGCTCATCCAGATCCTCCTTCAAGGCGCCCATATACTCTTCCGGTACGGGACTTACCTCCGCAATCCAGCGAAAACATGTCTTGTCTGGCCCAATGGGATCCAATACAGTTGTACCAAAAGCAATCATATCTGGGAAATGGGGTCTTCTAACCCTGAAGGTCATGGAATGGTTGTCGGCATCGTACGCCGTCATCTCCTCGGAGAAATCGTATCGTTTGCCTTTGTTCTTTCCGGCTGTGTACCCATATGAAAAGGTACGAATGCTTCCGATTCCAAAACCCTCAAGACTGAGTTTCAGACAACCAGGGTACCAGGCTTTTTCGCCACCAAAGGCAGCGACAAGACCCCAGACTTCGCCAATTGGGGCGTTAATCTCGCGGGTGACGGTGATGTAATGAGTGAGGGGTTGCTTTGACATCTTGGAAGATGGTGGAAGTGGTCAAATTGTTGATTTGTTTGATGTTGGGTTGAAGAGATGAAAGTAGCGTGGAGAAGAGTGATATGTTTTGATCTGGTTTCTCTAATTTGCCCACGAGCACCTACTTTAAGTACAGCAAAGGGTTGGTAAAGACTTGATCTGAATCTAAATATTTGTATGGAATTTAAAGATTTTACTAATCAAAAGAAATGTCAAAACTCTTTCACTTACAAATCAAGACCATTAAAGCTGTAGAACAATTAACTTAAGTGTTCTTCAACGATGGGGTTTCGTTTGGTAACCCGTCTGGTCGCTTAGCTCTATTGCAAGTGCGCGATGATAATGATTTAGTACGGAAGGATTACCTGAAGAGGACTAGCTTACTATACCCGAGTCCCATTACTTTGGCGCATACGGATGGGTTTCCTGTTTAGGAAGGGGAATCATTTCTTGGTGGGTTTTTGACGTGGTACTAAGTGATTCATCAACCCGGGCAGACATTGCGATCACTGCAGCTAACGCGAGATAAACTTCAAGTGAATCAAACTCGGCGTTTATCCTTCTTGGTTGCTTCCTGTTGAGGTAATCATTCCGTCGAATGCGTGAATCCATGTCAGAAAGGCTAGTTTGAAGCCTCAGTATGGATCAAGGTTCATTTTGGATATCACTTGTGAACATTGTAAAAGATCGCGGATTTATCGGCTCCAAGCCAGGTCCCATACGACAGATGTTATTTATACTACCCACTGATCCTCTATATTCGCCTTGCTATTATATCTATCTGTTTCCTCCACAATGCTTTATCTCCCTCTTTGTGCTTGTTCGGCAGTCTAACTCAATATCACCCAATATGAAGCTTCTCGTGGCCGGTGCAAGCGGTTTTGTTGGCACGGAGATCATACGCCAAAGCCTTCAACTACCTCAGGTCACTACTGTTGTTGCTATTGCTCGCAAACCTGTGTCTGTTCCTGATGGGGCTGACCCAGCCCGTTTTAAGAATGTTGTTGTGAAAGCCTATGGAGACTTTTTATCGTGTGTAGCGGATGAGTTTAAGGATGCAACAGCATGTATCTGGTAAGTGTTCCCTTTGTATTTGTCATGGATTCTTTACCATGAGACATTTTGACTGACTTTAATTGCTAGGACTGTTGGTATCACACCAATGGCGTATAAATCACTCGAACCTGGACAAGCACGAAGAATTTGCCTTGACGATACGTTGTCCGGACTGGAAAACATGGTCAAGTTTTCTGTCAAGAAGCCATTCCGCTTTATCTACATGAGTGGCGCCGATGTAGAGAGAGATCAGACCAAGACTCCCCCGTTGGTACCTGAATACTTCCTTATGCGGGTACGTTGCACGACTGTTATAGATGACTGATAATGAAGCTAACAAGAAGAAAGGGCGAGGTTGAGAACGGAATCTTTGGATTTGAAGAACAGAACCCTGGCCTAGTTGAAGTAGGTGTCGCGAGACCTGGCTTGATCATTAATGACTCTACCGATTTGAAAGAAGTCATGGCTCGCCTGGGTAAGGAGGTCACGACCATCAGACAGGAATCAGTCGCAGCGGCTCTTCTCCACCAAGCTCTTTATGGGATCGAGAAGAAGACTCTATGGACTGATGATTTGAAGCGCATTGCAGGATCTCAGTAGGAGAATTTACCCATGGACGCATTGCGCTTTTACTACTATACATATGACAGAATAGGTACAATTGGAGGAATGAATGTGACCTGTCTATACCTTTGTTGATGGGGGGGGGGGNGGGGGGGGTCTGGCGTAAACGTTGTAGCTTGATCAAAATGTTCTAAACTAAATGTCAGCAGTGTAGGTAGACCGGGGATTAAATGAGGACTTACTTTCCCCATACAGACTGCTACAAGAGTCCTCCCATTGTTACTAGATAAATCTTTTATCGAAAAGTAGTCGTACAACCTTGGCTGTTGTTTCTTTGTTTGTCGCAAACCCCTCATTTAGTGCTTGAAACTCAGATACCTGCTAGTCTGGATATGCCGTCTCTCACATAGCAAGATTAAAATGAAAAAGAGATTCCTTCGAAGTATTAGACAACTTTGCAGCTATGGGGCATTTCCGAGCATACACAAGCGCTTGAGGTATCCAAGATTTGATCTTGGAATACAAGATGATAACGATCTACACATGCCAGTGTTCTAATTAGGAAACCACCGACGGGAGGATATAAGACGCTAACTTAAGTCTTGTAAATACATCTCTGTAGCTGGCGGAGGCCTACATCTACCCCTAGGGAGATCGATTGCCACCGTCTGGTTGAAATGCCACGGCCTGGTAAGCATCTTTCAAGACAGAACTGAAGAGTCTGGCTTCCCGATATTGATTCCAAATCTCATCTTTTTTTCATCCGTCTCGGTAGCATTCCTAGCTGATAGGTCAACATGGCTCGTACTGCTATCGACCTCAGGGCAAGAAGTGTCGTTAGCGGTAGTACTGCGCCACCAGCCTAAGCTGAACACCCAACCATCGAGAGCCAGGGTCATTTCCTTCACACTCATGCGCTCTGCACCCGAGGGGAGAACTTGAAATCGCGGGTCGCAAAGCTCGGAACCAGCCAACAGAGACATCGTGCTACCGATTGTGCACGGGTCTCTTGGAAGAGTGCGACGGATCTTGACTAAAAGAAATCCAATAAAACTAAGTCCGGTCATAGCGCCAAGAAGTATTTGCAGGATGAGTTTCGAGGTCGAATCGATGACGAGATGTGTGACCTCTGCAGAGTAATACCCAGTGATGACTGATTGGGCTGTTGTCGAGGCTTGTTCCGAAGCACCAAGTATATGCCGAGATTTATCGCTCTCAAACCTCAGGTTGCGATTAATGATGTGTCTCATGAGCTCACAGTAGGCGTTTGTGACCGCTTCAATGAGGCTGTCGGTGTTACTCGGCCCCAGAAGTGAGTCTGTAGGATATCTGTTCGAATGATGAAGGAGTTGGTCGAAGAAAGGGTCGTATTGATACTCTGTGTCATTCTTTTCGAAGTTGAGAAGTTGAGAAGCCATGAAAGGTTCAAGCTTATATCCCAACGTCTCGGAACCAGTGGTTCTGTTCCTGACAGGTTCAGACTTCCCACGTTTCCTAACGCTAGTGATTTGCCCCAAAATAGGATCTCCTCGATACTGAATTGAGACAGGAACTTGATTTATCCCTTGAGTGCAAAGAAGCGCTGTGATATTCTTCTCTGAGGGCTCTGTCTTGTTGAAATAACCGAAGAACATCGCAATCGATGGACAGTCTACTTCCACTTGTCCAGCCGTAGAATTGGCCAGATCAATATATTTCGCAACCCATACCTTGCTCAAGCTGTCATAGGTATTGTAGGTAATATTAATTCTTAGATCGGCAAAGCCTTGATGATTCGAGACTGAGCACGTTTGTGGGATTCTGGGAGGACTGATCGCAACCATAGCTCCATCTGGTGGGGCGTAATTACTTATTGCCCCTGGTTGATCGGCGAAGGACCAGTGTAGTGAGGATATGGCTTCCTGTGGTAGCACAGAACAGTTAATGATAGGCTGGAGAGCTATGACATCAAACACGTAGTTTGGATCTCGATAAGCCGCATCTGTAAAGTCGCCTTGTAACGATATTTTGGGCACAACCAGCTCGTTCCAAATGGAAGGTGGAGTGACAGCCCCGCGGTTCCGGATCAGGTTGAGTTCAAGAGTTGCACCGTTGTCTTGCCCATAATCTGAAAACCAATCAAGATCCCAGTTTCTGACCAAAGCGGATGCGTGTTGGTTGACGACTGGAGATTGCACAGCGATCCAAAGACCAGATACAATAATGGTAAGAAAGCCAGCAATGATGGTCGCAGCATTTGATGAAGCGATGCCAATTTGACCATTTAAGGCTGCTTTGAAAAGAATGAGGAAGGGATTCATAGACAGTGGATGGAAAAGAAGGCTCCGCTTAGCAGAGGCACTTCCAGCCCTAAGGTTTGAATAAGGAGCAAATGTGAGAATGGTAAAATCAAGATTGTTGATCATGGTTGCCACACCAAATACTATGATTGTTGATGCCAGGCGGATGACATAGGATAATGCATCCGAGTCTTGCGTTCCTATCACCACAAGATGTTTCTTGTCTCTCAGAATGCGATACAGCAACTCCAGAACCCCGATGCAGATAAGCGGAGCTATAAATGTTATGGAGATGAGAGGAAGACGAACTGCGAGCGGAATCCATGGCCGTTTCTGCTCACGGGTCTTTGATGACAACTCTTCAGAACCAGAGTCTTGACGTGCAGTTTCGACTGTCAGACGAGGTTCCCCATCGCGACCAGTTACGGTAGAGAATTTGATATTATTGAGACTTTCTTTGAGTCCATCCTGAGGGAGATGCCCAGTCTCAGCCAAAACCTTTTGAAAGTCTGGACTATTAACCAGAACAGAAGCATGGCTAGCTAAAGAGCCTGCCATTGTTGGACTCCATTCGAACGGCCGAGTGATGCATAGTAACAACAGACATATAATGGTAAGGAGGGTGAACATTCCTACAATTGTCCAAATCGCCACTGGTCTCATAAATAATCGACTCTCTGTTCGGAACCCTCGAGCAATTGCCTGCTCCTCTGAGGGGACTAGGAGTGATTGACGAGCCATGTTTCGAGCCACAGCTTCAAGAATAGTGATAGAGGAGTTCGCAAGGACCGATGGGCTGTTAAAGATGTCCAGATCTTCTGGATAGCCTAGTTGTGCATACATCAACTGGAACAAAACTGCCTCGGGTGCGAGTGGGGAGTTGGTTAATCCTGTACGCGCAGGGCGACGCGTAGGGATTTTGTCACTGGTAACCAGAGAATCGGCCGGTTTCTTGAAATTGGCCCATAACATTTCAGCAAATGCAAGATCGGACAAGTTTCCCAAAGTTGTACTTCTTATAGGGGCCTTCGAGAACGTGACTGATCTGGAAATCACGTCCAATGTTGCATCCCGAGTTTCAATTGCGTACCCCAATTTGCAAATGATCGCAGCCGAGGTGGTTAGGTTTAGGTCAGTGAGAGGACCATTAACTGTATCATTAATGAATGAACTCTTGAATTGTGCAGCTGTAATAGCATAACGTAGATCAAATGGTTTGTTCTTGGCCAGCCAATCTTGTAGCTGTGGTCTGTTTGAGTCGTCGCTGGACCCAGCAGAACAGTTGATACGATGAACTGTATATGCAAATGGGTTTTTCACACAACTTCGATATCCCTCTGTTGGTGGATCGTTGAGCTTTGGTAAGCAGACGTCGACTTCTTCCCCTCCAATGCCAATGCACGTCTTGGAGGTGAAGTGGAAGTCTCGATTCCCATACGGACTCATCCCCTGATATCGTTTATTCACAAGAGCCTCAAGATTTGCGTCTTCGCAGGTGATCTTGGGTGTAAAAACATCCACGGGTGCAGTTATTTCGGTAACATTATGGCCACTCGCGACGATATCAAAACTTTGCGTGGATAGGCCCTCAGCTGGATGCCATTTCGTGTCGTTACTTGAGATGTTGTTTAAGCTGCCCAGAAAGGCCCATATAGGATCACTGGATCCTCCGTCAAATGCCGGAAAAAGGCCCTCCGGCCAACCAGAAGTTATTTTGTCTGACATGTTATACTGCTTCCAGAGGCCAGCCTCCTCAATTTTGTCTTGGTAGGTGATGTTGAATGTCCCTTCAATACTTGTCTCATTCAAAACGAATAGAGTGGTCGAAGTCAATATGATGAGTTTGATAATGAAGAAAGATGCGATTGTCGATGCCACGACGAAATGACGGTTCTTAATGGCACGTAAAAGGCTCATTGCTTGAAATGGCGTAATATAGTCTAGCAAGACCGATCGGCTAGCAGTTGCCTTTCCAGCCTGAAGCTCACACCATGGTTGAACAGCTTTGGCACAATAGTCATATCGTCTCCATAAACTGAGGATTACGATAAGCATCGCAGTCGGGCCGTAGGTCCAGGAATAAGTAGTGGTAGAAATAGTGAGAGGAATTCCATTTTGGGCTGTAATGACTCGATCTAGCACAACGAGTGCAGCACTGCATGCAATAAAGATGAGTGTGAACAACAGTAATGCGGCCTTTTTCAGCCAGAACGGTGGCTGAGATTTCTCGATCTTGGGTTTATGTTGAGTCGGATTTTGGCCGTCATCCTCACTTTGACCTTGCACCGTGGGGAATACCGACTCTTGATTTCTGGCTACCATTCTAATACAACTGAGTTTGTAGAATGTGCCGGATATAGAACAAGAAAGAGATAAAGTTTGGGAAATAAAAAGATACGGGGAGGTAGGTGTCATTTAGGAACAAATTTTGCCTTGCCTGCCCAGTTCACCCGCAAATGCGGCTTACTCGCGCGTATCTAGTCCCAATCAACCAACCTAGCTAGTTTCGACCTACTTTCCCTCCCGCAATCATAATTGGCTATTGGAGGCGTCTGCTTTTATCGCCAAGAGGTGAAACCATGCATGCCTCACCCAGAAAGCACTACCTTAAATTGCTTGCAGAAAACCGTTTGCTAACAGTTATTGCCGCGGATGGAATATACAGAATAGGATTTTACAAGCCTTGAATCTTTCTAGGGTAGAATGAGGATAGCTATTTTATTGAAGAGTAATCCTACACGTGATTAGCCATTCCACTAACCACGGCCAAAAGGAGTAAAGGCCAGCTGCCTTGATCGGTTAGGATGGATATGGGGCATTTCCGAGGCTATACAGACACTCATTGGTGAGCCAAGACTTAACCTTGATTGCGAGTAACAGGGCTTAGCAACCAAAACATGCCAAGACCTCGAATGAAGAGCCATAATAGGTTAAGTGTTGTCAGAAGGATTATAACCTGGCGAACGGAGGATTGGTGAAATTACATGGAATCCTGCGGTTTGAGAGACCTCGACTGTTGATTCTCCTTATGATCCTTTTTTTCTTTTGTTGCTAATATACGTTGTCAGTATTTTGTCTTTTTGTTTTCTTTGCGACATTGCCGATCATTTCAGGACGATTCAACAACGCGGAGTGAGCCTAATATTCGTTCTGTTATAGTCCACTATCTACAAATAAGTCAAAGTTCACCGCCAATATCCAACCGACCGACAAAACCTCACCAAGACAAGATGGAACTACGATGGCTGATTCTCTCCTTCTTCTTCTTCACGACGTCTTTTGCCAACAACAACGGCACGAGTACCAACAACAGTACAGGAGAGACAGAATTGTTCGGAGAAAACCCATACTGGGACGAAGTTGATAGACCATGCGTCGAAGAGTGGATGCCAATGTGCTACGAGCCAGTGGAAGGATACCTCTCTGTCCCAATACTTTGTATATGCGGCCAGGACAGTTCCGAAAATGACTTTCTCATTGCTTTTGCACAGTGCCTAGGTGAAGATGGGTTGACGCAGGGCGAAATCAATGACGCTTTTGTGGCATTGACATGGGACTGCTCAGAAGAGAGGTTATCAGTCAACATGACTAAAAACGAGTTTATACGAATCGCACAGGGGGGTGAAGTATATCCTACAGCCTCGTCGGGTTTATCAACTGGCTCCATCGCTGGTATCGCAGTTGGTGCTATCGCGGGAGGAGTAACAGTCGCCGGATTTTTTGTATTGCTATGGTTCCAACATCGCAAGAAGAACGGGAGCAAACTCGAGTCCAACCCACCTAATTCGCCAAAACCTGAGAATGCATGGGGGCCAGAGTTCAAACCTGAGTGGACTGCCAACGCACCGGTCGAGTTACCACCAAACAATTATGCAGCAGCTGAGTTACCGCCAGAGCCTACACCTATATACGAGATGGATGCGATGTCGTCGAAACCTGTGGAGATGCAAGGATCAATACCAGAACATATAAAGGACGGAGAAAAGAAGGTAGATAAAGATGATTGAAACATTTAATTATTAAATACTATAGATAGCTCGTGAGGATAGCACTAGATATATATCTAGAGATTAGATAAAGAAATACTTAGACTTTATTTTGAGATTAGAGGAATATATTTATATTTAAGTTATTCTCAAATTAAGTTATCTTATTGTAGTAATATTAACTTATCTTTCAGTAGAAGCTAAAATCCCAGTCATTCTAGGATAATCTGCACTTGAATTAGTTCTCTATATTTCTGTCTGGAATACTATTGTATAACTCACTGACTATATATGCACACCGTAGGATATGAGTGACAACCTGATCTCTGCCAAAACTGGAAGAGCATCCTCGATTGGAATTTGGATACAAGCCAATCAAACGATCAAGAGCATCGACTATGGACTGTGGGCGCCGAAATTCTCTTGGTCGTATCAACCGTCTATCGAAAGGACATTTGTTTATAACAGCATAATATTGGCTCAGGCATTCAGAACAAAAGGTGTGTCCACATGTGGTCAATAGCGGTGTCAACATGGGACACGGTCAAATTGAACAGATGAGCTCGTCTGGGACGTGGCTACAATATTCCAAGTCTTGGAAATGAAAGAGTGATGCAATCAGAGAAATATACAGGCTATAGCGACGTGCCTCTCGTGTCGCCAACTCTTCAAATTGAAGGTAGCTATAAGTTACCACATGTCGTTAATTTCTCTTTTCAATGTAAATAGTGAGTTGGCATACTAATGTTGTTTCTTCCCGGCAGCGCTATTTCTACTTCAGTCTGTGTACTAGCCACGACGATCTGATGGAAAGGTGGCACAGCGTAATTATGCTAGGCTGTTGTGTTTAGATATAGTTAGCTGCTGGAACTGTGAGCTATGTGTAACTTGATTGTTTTCTTGGTTATCTAGGAAGGGAAGTAATTTCCAGTCAATTTCGGGTTAATATCCCTCCGTCCGTCCTCGCCCTCTCGGTCGTAAGCAGGTAATATTCTAGTTTCCTACAACGGCGGACAAGTGGACAACCCATGGGTTATCTCTCCACTTCGGTTCACATAACCGAAAGCATATACCGGAGACGTGATAAAGTGTATAGTAAGATAACTAGCACTAATCAAAGTCAATAAAGGAAATAAGTTACTAGCAGGCCAATTAAACAAGCGCTTCCATTGCACAAAGCTGCTTTGCTGCAAGAGCCAAGACTCACTTGCAGACTTACACAAGTTAGTGGGCATTTAGCTCCGGTTTGTCCACGCCTGCAGGGCTTAGAGACACTTAGTCTAGTCTGTCACAATCAAGTTGAAGAGCAGGGACCTGAACAAGTGTAACCCTTATGATGTCGTCAGGGCCTTCTCAATTCGGTCCTTTCGCAATTCGATCTTTTCAGATAGTATTTAATCCCCCCCGATCTCCATGTCCCTTCTTCATTTTCTAGGTCGGTACCTGAAAACGCATCTGCTCTCACTCATTTGTCATTACAGCAGGGTCTATCCATAGACCAGCATTCTACCATGTCGAGAACTACCCAGGAACCCCATCAACGTTGAGCCTATGGCATTGTCCCTTCCAGAAGAAACCTCCTTGCGGAAAAGCGCTCTTCTGTAAGTACATATTAAGCTATAATCTAGTACCAGACAAGATGGTTTTTTCTTTTTTTTCTTTTTCTTCTTTTTTACTTTGTATTACCATTGTGTGTAGAATCAGTATGGTAGTTAAAGGTTCGAATCTAGCAGTCAACCACTTTGCGATGTTACTGTATTTTAGAACTCAGCAATAGATATGAGATTAGCAAGTGGGCAGAAAGGATTACAGAAAGATAACTGTTTGTTGTCTTCGCCATGCGCTGCCATAACCAACCACTCGAACTTTGCTTCTGGGTCAGGCACGGAGCGCCTCCGAAAAGCCAGTGATTGGCCTGAAAACAAGACTTCAAGCGTCCGAACGCGAATGGTTAGACTACCTAACTCCCTCCCTATTGGTCCAATTTCTTTCAACGGTCTTAGCATATACTTTTGGCGCATAACAACATTGTAGTTTCATGTACGTCTTGTCATGCATGCAACAGAGACACCTAAGTGGCGCAAGGGTCCTTTTGGGTCTCGCACACTTTGCAATGTGTGTGGGTTGATATTTGTAAAACGACAAGCCAGGCATACAGCCCCCTGGTCAAACTGGACTTCAACTAGCCCCATACCAGTTTACAGCATTTCGAGTTTAAGTTGCCGGTGGCGATCTAGACCCTTTGGAAGACCAAGAATGGCGCGACACTGTCCCTTACGGCCTAGATTGCGAAAGAACGCTAATATTGGATGGCAGGATGCCAATTGTGGAATACCCCTCTTCTTTTTATCGATAAGCTGTAAATCCCAGAAATACTTGCCCATCTTTCTGATCGCCCCCCAACCCTTTTGCTCTTTACCATCGATCTTTGATACGGGGCGCGATGTCGACGATCAAAAATGTCCTGCCAATCGAAACCATTCGTGAGTACGAAACCGCGAGGTACGTCCGACCCAGAAGTGTATCTAGCGCAATTATTACCTACACAACTACTTATCATCATCGTACTCCAGATACGATGAGTTATTCCGCGCCACATGCCGCCCAATCGACAAGGTCACCAGCGCAGACCTCTTCGTGTGCCCCGATCCCATCCTCACAAGTCTTGCTCAGCTAGCGACGTACCGGACCTCAACAGAAAGATCGCTCATATCTTTATTCGACAAGAACGAACAATACATCATCGCCGAAGCGACTCCCACAACATCAATTATACCGAACCTTCCAACCGGTCGAGATGATGAAGCATTTTGGCTTTCCGGGACGCACATCCGACGCAGGGACGGGGTTTGCGATTATACGTTACGCCACATCGAAGCCACGTTGCACCAGACCAGTGATAGCGAGCTTCCTGCTGTTATTGTCCAAGATTTGGTCACTGATGCTCGTTTTTCCTCAAGCCCACACTGCAAGCCTGGTGGTCTCGCCAGGTTTTACGCTGCTGTGCCTATCCGATCGCCTCGTGGCATCAACATTGGAGTTTTTTGCGTTATCAATTCCAAACCAGGGTTCGATTGGAAGGAACAAGACACAAACGTCATGCGATCGTTGTCGCAAACCATCATGGACCATCTTGAGAGCAACTATGTCAAGAAGGTGTTGAAGCGTAATGTTCAGATGAGCCTCGGCCTTCGCAACTTTTCGACTGGAATGTTGCTCTCATCTCAAAGCAACTCAGATTCAGCCATGACCATAGACTGTAACAATCTAGGTCTCTCGAAAACAAACGAAACTGAAAATGAACTCCAGAAGCCCCAACCCACTCTCTGTGAGCCGATATTTGCCACAAGAACTCTTTATTCCGATAGTCTAGAGAACAACCATGAGGACCCTCCAACCACCACACCGTTCCTCAAGGCAGCCACCACCATTGCAGAATGTCTCAAAATTGATGCATGTGTATTTTTTAGGGGAGATTCCCGCGTCTTGAACGCCGTTGGTCCATCTGTAATTGAGGTCGACGATAAGGATTCGTCCAAAACATCGCCGTGCAGTCCCGTCATCTATTGTGGTGACGAGAATAAGCATGATTCAGCGATTCCATTATTACTTCCCTGCCAGGTGCTTGGTTCTTCATGTGTCGATAGCACCCAAGTGCCTGGTGAAAGTGCTTTATCTCAAATATTCCTCGTACAGCTATTTGAGCGATATCCAGAAGGCTGCGTGTTTGACTTTCAGGCGAATCAGATTCTCGTATCTAATCAGTCACCTACACAAGAAGACCATACTTGCCATTACACGAAGCAGTCAAACGATGAATTGGATAACCAAGAACCTAGGCACTCGAGACGCAGCTCAGATAACCACTATGACATGGATGAACTGATTCATGGAAAAACACAAATTCTCAAGGCTTTCCCCAACGCCCAAACTGTCGCATTTACTCCAATTTGGGATCCTCAGACAGGCACCTGGTCGATTGGCGGCTTCATGTGTTCAGAAACACCTCACTTTGAGTTTGACGAGGATAGTCAACTACCATTCTTACGGGCCATCGGGACTCTTGCTGCATCAGAAGCATTCCGCTTGGAAACCTTGGCGGCTGATAAAGCCAAATCGGATGTTCTCGGATCAATTTCGCATGAGCTTCGGTCTCCTCTCCACGGCATCACCCTAGGTCTGGAGCTATTGAACGATTCTGGCTTAGGTCTTGCACAGCGAAACATTGCTCACATGATCGAGACGTGCTGTCGAACTCTCTGCGAAACAACAGAACACCTACTGGACTTTTCTAAAGTAAATCAAACTGCGCAACCACAAAGCCCACTCAACAATCTTCAGCATCAGTCTGGTTCGAATGGGACCGGAGCAGGGGCATTGGCTCGCCCTGTCAGGCTCGACGTACTTGTTGAGGATGTAATAGAGAGCGTGTCTGCGGGCCACAACTACCAGTGTTTGTCGATGGCGGAAGCCTTTACCAACTCCAAGACCCAGAAGCATTCTGATATACGAGCTATCCGTCAATTGGATTCGATGCAGGCTACGGACGAGCTTAATCCCACAGGCAGTAGCGACAACCAGGGCCGGCTGGAGAAGCGGGACGTATCTGTCTTCTTTCTCTACGACACGGCTTGTTCGTGGTACTTTCATACGGTCGCGGGTTCCATACGTCGTATCGTCATGAACTTAGTTGGGAACTCTCTAAAATATACATCCCAAGGCACCATCACTGTGTCTCTCACTCAGAATCAATCTTTGGATCCCGCAAGTCAGGAACGACGAGTGACGCTGGTTGTTGAAGACACTGGACGAGGGATCACGGAGGAGTTTCTCAGAAATGGTGTTTTTAAACCTTTTTCACAAGAAAACGAACTGTCGACGGGCACGGGTTTGGGTCTTAGTTTCGTTCAAAAGCTTACAGCCCAACTTGGTGGTAACATCTCTATTACCAGTAAGCACAATGTAGGTACCAAAGTCACAGTGTCATTGCCGTTGACTATGCTGCCTGGTCACGAGCTGCCAGCAGAGAAAGCTGTCAAGGAACAAGGCACATGTCGCGGTTTGCGTGCTCGAGTGGTCAACACTGTCGAGCATGTCGGACATGCTTCTCCGATACTTTCAGCAGAGGATGCCTTGCTCGAAAGGTTGTGTCGCGACCATGTTGGGCTCAAACTGTGTACCGAATCTGATGCTGATGATCTGGCTCCCGATATCATCATCGTGACAAGCCCTACGATATACGATATTTGTTGCCCAGTCGCGCCATGGAGCGGTTTGCCAGTTATTGTCGTATGCTCCAATGCACTGGTAGCCCATAAGTATGAGTCAGCTTCCAAACTGGCTGGCCGAACAAGGTTACATGATTTCATTTCGCAACCGTAAGCTATCTTCTTCACACCGCATCGCTGTACCTGCTGATAACATTCCAGTTTAACTCCGTTAAAACTTGGCAAGGCTATATCTAGGGTTGTAGCGCTTTGGGCTGAAATACAGGACAGTCCTCACATGTCTGTTCCAATCCCGCTGCCCACTCCGTATACTCCTGAGACGTCTGCACCAACATCTCTACCAAGCCCGTCAGAAACAGCATCGTTAGGTAAACCAGTAACCCCCGGAGCAACGAGTAGCCCGTTTGGAACTCTTACTGTGGCCGAGGACTATTTTCCAATGTCTCGGTTTCTGCTAGTTGAAGATAACCCCATCAATCTGAAGATACTTACCTGTTTTATGAACAAGTTGAAGCAACCATATGAGACAGCAACCAACGGCGAGGAAGCTGTTATGTCTTACAAAGCGAGCCCAGGGCATTTCTCATGTGTTTTAATGGATATATCGATGCCAGTCATGGACGGACTTGAGGCAACTCGACAGATACGCGCCTTTGAGCGCTATAGCAATATCCCGCCAACTTTAGTGCTGGTTATCACTGGGTTGGGATCCCAAAGTACACGAGATGAAGCTACTCGTAGTGGAGTAGACTTTTTTATTACCAAGCCCGCCAAGCCAAAGGAGTTGAAGGAGGTCCTTCAAAAACACGGATTTGCTATCTAGTCCTTTTTTTTTTTTTTTAATATCCCTCCGCAAAAATTCGGCCAGGCCTTTTCAGTTTAGTCAATTTACAGAATGACGTCTACAGTTACGGGACCTTGGTTCGGCGCCAACGGAACCTTCTATAGAAAATGGAGTTCCCCATGAACACTCTTCTTTGAAGCATACTGCCTTGGACATTGGTGATCCTTTGAAGTCGCTGAAAGTCTTGAAGGTCTCTTCACTTTCGAGAAGATCCGCGGGACGAGGAGGTACTTACAAACTTAGCCAACGGCAAAGAATACATCCTATAGCAATACTAGACAACATATCATTATAGTTCGTGTGGTGTTTAGTCCATGACGACCAGTCGACCTTCGGGTCAGAAAAGACCTTACGGCAAAAGTTGCAAAGGTTGGTTTAATCCATGCTGATTTCTTATTGTTAGATGGGAGTTGGACAAGTAAAAGAAAAGCTTTATATCATCAATCATCATTTTAAACGTGTTGAGAGCTCCTTACGAAGTAATCACCAATGCTTGTTTACCCCGCTTCTCCTCAGTGTATGTGCTGTCTGTCATTGGTTTCATCGGCATCACTTTTGATAAGATACATCCCAAAGAGAAAGTGAGGCTGACATGACGCACTGACTCTACACCTTGCCAAGCTGAACACCCCAGACCCTAGATGAGCATGTCGCGACCTTTCAGCTCTCAATTTGCGCCTATGTACCTCGTAAGGAGCTGAGGCCAAGGTATACTACGACCTGATTTTTAGTGAAGTGAAGATTGGGGTCCTCGAAGATGTGGAAGGCCTTTTAGAGATATGTGTATGACCCGCACGTGATACCCTCCACCTTGAACAATCTCGCCATCACCTCTCAGATCAGAAAGAGTCTTCATATATACATTGATGACTTGTCATATAAATTCTGTACATGTGAAACAAAGGAAGTTTTTATGCAGACAAAATGGATGTGTCGTCACCCATTGACAGAAGAATTGACCAGGATGTCACAGCTAGCGAGGCTCTCGAATAGCAAATTAATGTGACACTCACTACTGAAATTGCTCATGGCATGACTATTAAGCATTACTTCAGAGTTTGCGCAAACTATTGATATAAGCTTGTTTGATTCACCATATATATGGATAGGCAAGGTCCCTCTAGTCTATTCTTTCGTCCGTTTCTTTGCTATTGTCGCTCGCTAGTTATATCCACCATGCGTGTCGGCGCCTTTCGTTTATTGACTTCCAGCCTGGCAGTCTGGTCTGCGATAGGTAGCGTTTGCAAGCCGAGGTCGTCAGGTATGTAATTCTTCATCTTCGTTTGGGATTGATCTGACAAAATTACGGTACAGCTTCCATTCTTTCCTCTCTGTCAACGTCGGAAGGCTTCAGTTCCACGTTTGTTTCCGCATCAACATCAATCTTGACCCACGATGCCGCTACCACGACTGGAGCCGTCACTACTACCACAACTTTGGAGGAACTAGTCTTGACAGATACGAGTTCCACCACTGAAAGGGCTATTGTCGAATCAACAACATCGACTGAACCATCATCCACGATGACGGAAGTCTCATATTCCTCTACCACGACCACTAATGATCCAACATCTACGTCCATGTCGACGTCCGCAGCGACTACTTCGGAAGCACCAACGCCATCGTTCAGAGTCGTACCTTTCCGTCCCCCCTTTAATGGCCAACCCATTGTATCAAACCAAATAAATGGCCATCTGCTTTCCTTTCCTGCAACGGAGAGGCCGGAATACACAACTGGCATATTCACCATTGATCCTCGCAACGGCCATCTTCTGCTAGACAACACACTACCCATATGCGCATTTTTCGGCATTGACGCCAATGAAGCACGACTCAAAGTCTGTCCAGCTTCCCTGACACGGCAGGATGCAATGCTTACTTGTCAAGCGACGGACGACGCTGAGCTGGAATATACTGCCCCTTTTATTTACTGCAGAGAAGGCTCGGACTCCATCGAGTGTGTTGACGTTGGTGGTAACGTTGATTATATGGGCCCAGTCTGTTTTGAGGATACTGGTACTTGTGGTGTGCTTATGGGAGATTTCCGAGTGGATGGTGTGACGGCAATGTTAATTTCTTATGTATAAGCAGCTATTGCCTTTATTCCGTCTCATTTTGCTTTGACTGTTATTACAGGATCGAGAAGTCGACAACGTTAACAATAACTCTAAAGCACCTCCTTTATTTAGTCTTGTTGTGATTGATAGATTGTTTTTCTTTTTAATTATTCCCGGACTTGAAAGTTCTCAGCTCGCAATCCCACCAATGGAGTCCTGTAGAGCAGCTGTCAACTCGCGCTAATTCGGTCACTAAAAAGAATTATCGATTCCATCCAGGCATCGCTACCACTAGCGCAACAAATCTCATTTCCCAATTACAAGTTAAAAAAGGGTCTTAACAAGCAGAGCTGTCTTCCACAACTTTGTTTAATTTTCTTCCTCGGACCATTCCTATCCACGTCATTCGTTATTGAATCATGCATTTTAGCATTCTCCTTTCGTTGGCTGTGGGCCTTTCTGGTCTTGATATCGTTGCGGCGAGCGTTTGCAAGCCTAAGCCTTCTGGTTGGTTACAAAATCATAACATGACGGACTTTACTGACTAAAATACCTTAGAATCGGGGTCTTCATCCGCAGAATCGGTCTCAACATCAGGAACATCGAGCTTGATTTTTTCTTCAGCTTCTTCCACAATCTTCGCGAGCACCACGACCGAGGCAATTACTACCGAAGGCACGACTATTGCTGAACCCACAACTACCCTGGAGGCCACCGAGACCGAGACCGCCACTACCGAAGCGAGCAGCACCAAAACCATTGCGACATCTAGTATGATCTCAGGGTCTCTCGGGCTTCCCACCACCACTCAGATGACTGCCGTTCCATCAAGCACCGTTCTGCCATTATTCCGCGTATACGCTCAGGGCGGTCCAACAGACGACCTACCTCTTTTGGCTGACAGAAACGGATACGCTATTCTTCTCTACGACAACAGCCAAGGCCACTTTACCGATGCTTTCTTTGCCGTCGATCCCGTTACCCACTACCTCATGCTCGATAACGAACAGCCCATTTGCGGCTACTTCGGAGACAACAACGGGCTCGCCAACCTGGTGAGATGTGAGACCGGCCCAACTACAGAGGAAGTCAAGATCGAATGCCAGGTACCTAAAGCTACAGGGGAATCTCTAGCATGCAGTGTTGCTGCGTTGGTTTGTGACCCCAATTGTATGGCAAACGGCGAGACCTGGACTTCGATGTATACCGATACGTGGGGAGGAGACGTACGCTTCAGCGCAAATCTCGGATCTGATTCTGTGGATGGAAAGTCCAAGGTACCGTTGAGAATCGAGTTTCTTACATAGGTCAATATATGAGCATACCGACCTCGGAGGGTGACAGATTGAGTTAGTTACCTGCTATTGGAACGCGTGAATTGAGAGATTTCTTACTAGCTCAATTTAACCTTGTCAATCAAGCTTAATTGTGGTACGACGATGATATGTCATCAGATAAGATGTAACGGTCTGATAATCTCTGACATGCAATTTCGTCTAAACGAACTTACCCCTCAACCTTTTACGTGATAGTGCCTTGGCAGTCACATTTTGCAGTTCAACGGCCGACTTTTAAGTTCCAGTGGCAGGGTTAAACGAGAAAGGCTATGCGGTGACAGAAATATTGGCCTGGTCTAACCGCCGATGTTTCTGGCACCCTGATGAAAGGGTCTGATGCCAAGCCGTGCTATCAATCAGCTCTCCTTACCACGATGAGAAAAGATCACCGCGATAACCCATGCCTGAGTGGGAGGATTAGGAATAAGTGCCGTTCCGGTTCTACGGTTGAGGGGATTATTTGACATTTAAGAGTTGGCCAAGTTCCCCGAAGAAAATTTTGTCTCGTGAGACTTTGCCTGTTTTTGTTGTTCTCTGCCATCTGATATCACAACATGGCGCAAGAAACGAGTCGCGATGGCGATGCCGCCACAGAACAGGTTGAGAGGCCCAGGTCTGCCAACGAAGCTGTGAGAAAGCTATGGACTAAGAAAACTCTGGGTATTGCAATTGGCTGGTAAGATACCCCAATCCAAGCGTCAATCTGTACTAACAATTACCAGTCTTCTCCTCATGAACTTCTTCATGAACCTGACAGTCTACACCCAGAATGTCTACGAACCATATGCGACAAGCCACTTCAAAGCACATTCTCTACTGGCTACAGGATCTATTGTTGCTGGTATTATGAGAATTGTCTCATATCCGCTCTTGGCTAAGCTCGCAAACGTATGGGCGCTTCAAATTTCATGTTGAAGTATCGCTAATCTGTTCCTCTTAGCATTTTGGGCGACCTCTGGGTTTCGCAGGTGGTGCACTGGCAATGGCCATCGGTAATGCAATGTACGCAGGCTGTGGCGACGTGGGAACGTTCTTGGTATATTACTCACGTATCTTTTGTTATCAGCAGCTAACAGACATCAGGCTGGATCGATCTTCGACGTCCTCGGTGATTCGGCTTGGAACATTATGCAACAAATATTCATAGCCGACATTACTACATTGGTTAACAGAGGTATCCTCTTCACTCTCCCCGAATCCATTACCGCGATCCCGACTCTATATGGAGGAACATACTTGGGCGAGCATATGCTTCTCAACTCCTCTTGGAGATGGGGCTTTGGCATGTGGTCCATCATTCTGCCCGTCACTGCTATTCCCACAATTGGGATCATGATCTGGATGAACCGTCGAGCAAAGAAAGTGGGATTGTTCAGCGAAAAAGTATCCTTTATGCATGGTTCTGCTCCCGGCCCCGTGGGTAAAGTCAAGCATGTCGGATCTCAACTGGATCTTATTGGCGCCCTTCTTCTAGTCGCTGGTCTTGCGATGACATTGCTTCCGATGACTATCGCCGGCAGGAATAATACCGATCGTTGGAGTCGACCTTCTTCTATTGTCCTCATCATCATTGGTGTTCTCACCTTTGTCGCCTTCCTCGTCTGGGACGGCAAGTTCGCCGCCAACCCTATCATTCCCTACCGTACTATTCGCGAACACAACGTTGTCATTGCCTGCGCATCAGTAATCATTATCGCCATGTCCGACAGCATCTACCGGCCCTTCCTATCTAGCTTCCTCCAAGTTGCAGGGCATTACTCTCCTGGCGCCGCGACACGAGTAGATAATGCTCAGCGCGTGGCCTACAACGTCGGTGCGTTAGTAGCTGGTCTGTCTCTTAAGTTCATCAAGAACACTAAGCCTCTGATTATGCTTGGAGTTGTGTGCATCATCTTGGCTGCTGGACTTCCGATCTACCTCACCAATATTTCCGGCACACACATCGCCAGTGAAGCTGCTTTCATTACATCTAAGTCACTTCTTGGTGTTGGACGTGGTTTCACACAGGTACCGCTCCAAGTGTCTCTCCAAGCCGTACTTGAGAACGAACAAGTCGCCATTGCGACAGCCGTCTATCTTTCCTCTCTCGGCTTCGGCTCCAATCTCGGCGTCACCGTCAGCGGCGCCATCTGGAACTCTCTGCTCCCACGAAAGCTCATCGCCTACTTTGGCGAAGAAGAAGGTCGCAAGATTTTTGGATCAATTGTTGTCGCACGTGGATACGAAGCTGGCACTGCTGATAGAGACGCTATTGATACTTGCTACCGACAGACACAGCAGACTCTTGCCATCGGATCTGTTTGCGTGTCTGGTCTACTTCTGTTGATGCTTTATCTTGTTCACAATGTCAAGCTTGGAGAAGAAGATAAGAAGAGAGCTGCAAAGGCTGATGAAGAGCTTGCTTGGGCTATCAAGCAGAAGGAGACTGAGGGAGGACCTGTTGATATCGAGGCAGGAAATAAGCACTAGGTTTCGCTTATTCATATGGCACGGTCTAGAAAACAAACACAATGATGGAGATGTAAAATAAATTGGAAGGAGAAACGATGACGACATCGTTTGGTAGAGCAGTTCAATAGCATGCTTGTAACTGAGAAGTTGATGTTGAGCCCTATGGTTTCGCTGACCTAAATACTAGCTTTCAATGACTTGTTGATGTGTAAGTAATGGATTTGATTACAGTTGGACATATATATAACGTTGCCGCATATTAAGCTTTGTAGTTCCCGGTTATCTGGTACAGTTGTCCGTTGGCCTCCCAAGTTCCAGTCAGGTACCCGCTTCTCATGCACTGTTGAATGATGTTCCTATATATGTTAGATATAAGCATAGCAAATAAGGAAAAGCAACATACTCAGTGGCATCCTAACATGTATGAGTTAGTAGAGTTTATTATAATCAAAAGTCAATTTTTATAGATGACTTACCCAACAATCCTTAAATCCAGGCTTTGAAGCAGTATTTTGGCGTTTTAGCACAACATTAAGCGTCGTGGAAATGAATCCTGCGGTTCGTGAAGCATATGTTGTGCAGGGCTGCTGGAGCGCGCAGTCGGAATTACTACACATTTTCTCACGAGCTTCCCAGTACGCCTGCTGATGCTTATCACTAATACCACCAGACTGCTTAGAGCCAATACAGTCTGCTGCTAAAGCACCATTGGCAAAAAGAACGAGCGCAGAGAGGTTGATGAGCTTCATGGTCATAAAATGAGGTTGAAATAAAGTATTTGGCTGGCGTGGCTAGAAATATAAGCACTTGCGGGATATTAAACTGCCTTTATAGTTTTTTACTCCGTGTCTTTTTTGATGGGATAGGAAGGACATTTTATCTTGATGTCGGCCGCCTCACCGCAGGTTGAAAGTTTTGTCGGCCGCTTATTACATATTAAAGGTTATGTCGGCCGCTAATTGCGGGTATGATGATAGGTTGCAGGGTCTAGAAATATGCCGAAGTGGTTCTAGAATAGCGGTTTGGATCCATTGACTAACTACTTCTTGAATTAGTTGCGTTGTATTTATTCGGTTAATCTGCTGGTTAGTACTTCAGCCTCACCAGTACTTGTCATCAGGGCAATTTGTTGTCTAGATAAAAGTACTGATTACGCCGCATCGTCCTGCAGCCCACAGTGAATATTGTTTTCGTATTCATTACCAAGACAATGACAAAGCAACAACCCCGGAACAGCAGACAGATGAGCTTCCCGATACTGTCTAGTTATCTGTTACACTACGTTCAGCCGCTCAATTAATTGTAATGTGTACGAAGTGGAGAATGCAAAGCAAAAGTCAGTAGAAAATTAACTATAAAGTCAGCTAGGCGTTTTTCGCTGTCCGTTCAAACATCTGAATACTACATTTTAATCTCAAATTCTTCTTGCTCGCCCCAACTTATTCAATATGCAGATTTTCAACCTTGCTGCGGTTTCACTTTTCATTGGCAGCTCTTTCGCTGCAGACTGCTTTGGAACACCAGGTATCGGCAACAAATTCATAGAGGGATACTGGGATGCTCGCCAAAAAATGTGCAGTAACACAGAGTGCGCCTACCAGCAAGCGTGTACTGTTCGGACATCGAAGAAATACACAGCTATTGGTAGCGCTACCCTACAGATCGAAATCAAGCGTAAGAATACTGCTGGAAAAGCGGGATTTAAAGATTGCTGGGTATGTTTGCACTAAGAACTTGATATTACAGGGAAAGTGACTAATTAAAACCTGATAGGATGCTACTGAGTATGTATGCAGATTCTTCTCAAGATCTATCTAACATTTATAGGAATATCATCGTCCAGTGTGTGAGGGAGAATGATCTGTACAGTGGGTCTTGGCAGGCTAATGGACAATTGTACCAAATCAATGGGTGGTACGATTAAATAAGTTGTGGAAATGCAGATGAGCGACCAGGGAGGGGACAAAGTATAGATTCCAAAAGCTGTAACTCCGCCAAAAGGAAACATTATCACTTCCTCTGCATCTGAATTTTGGGAAGCCAGACAGACGATGACATATAGCATCTAAACACGCACTATGCCTCTCTATCCGTTTCTTTGAGCTCAAGAGGTGGTCTATCTCGTCGCCCAGTCTAACCTTCCCCAATACAATGGAGGAGCTATGACAAGATGATTTCTTTTGCAACACCCTCGTTTCCCGCACCCAAATCTTGGAGAGAACCTTTTTTACCCCGTTGTACAAAGCCATTACTCTAACAAATATATTATAACTTTCACCAACAATTCAGGGCGAAGGCTGGTTGAGTCATATGCCTGTATACAGTGGCGGATTCTGCCTTGCTTTTGCTGCATCTGAAGTGAAGATAAAAGGAAGATTATGAAATTGCAGAGCGGAAGTCGGGAGAAACAAAATGACTGGAGCGGCGTTCCTAACCAAGTTGTACCCCAATATATACAAGTTGTACGTAAACTTGCATTTTACTAGCGAGGGATATTAAATGGATAGGTAAAATACCATAGAGCAAAAATGGATTATAACGAAATATCACCGTAGCACGACTGCATATACAAATTCGACATGCTTAAATTACAAACTGTATATGATTTGTAAATAGAGTGACTACCACATGATCATACCGCCCATCTTTTCCGAGAGGCCTTCCACTCCAACCTTGAGGAAGTGCTCATCTTGATCAATCTGCTCACGAATAGGTCCATCTCGAAGCTCCGTAACATCCCAGTTTGCCCACACAAATCTCCCGTGGAGAAAACGGGCCTCGGGACTAGCAGCCCAGACAGCAAAATGGCCAGGAAGGTTCTCTACAGTAGGCTTTTGTCAGTCCAACAAACATGTCTGCACTTAAGCGAATCCTTGCTTACCATCGTCAAAAACAAGATCCTTAATAGCATCGCCGCCGAGCGCTTTGGACGATTCGGTCAGAACACCACCGGGGTGGAAGCTTACAACTTGCATATCAGTAGGATCGGTATCCTTGGCAATTTGCTGCAACAGAAGCGTGCTTGCATTCTTGGTCAAGCCATATGTAGGACGCTCTGGTCCCATGGTAGTCCACATATAGGCTGCACAGGTTGAGATGTTGACAAGAAACTGAGTAGAATTGTGGTTAGCATCATCTAGGTGGCTTTATGTAGTGATATTCACCTTGGCTTTTCCCTCTAACTTCTGCTTATAAAAGCGTTCAGTCATATGGAGGGTGCTTCGGACGTTTGATTCAAAGTCTCCCCAGACTTTGGTTAGACCTCCACTCAGAATTGGTTCAATTGCTCCATAGGCAGCGGCATTCAGCACAAGGACATCTACGAAAATGCCATCGGTCTGGAGCGAACTCCATAGCGCTTCAGTAGAGTTAAGGTCGGCTATATCGCAGACCCTCCCTTCCACAAGAGATTGCCACTCTAACTCATCGTTCTCACGTTGGAGTTTAGCGGCTGCTTCGCTGACGACATCGGGACGTCGCCCAAGAATGATGACACGGGCAGCACCAGCTGAGGCGAATCCCCGGGCGATGGCATAGCCGATTCCACTGTTGCCTCCGGTAATAACGACTGTCTTGCCCACCTTTCTAAGAGATGGACCCGATGGGTCGATAGCCGCATAGGGCTTTTTGTGGTAGTTTTTCAAAGTTGGAAGGCTCATTTTACAAGAGAACTGACAGGCGACTTGTTTTCTAAACTTGGGTCAGAATGTATTTTAATTCAAGATCTAGTATAAGCGAAGAGTGCGTTTTATATCTATGCTGATATATAATCTATTGAACTTCTTTATTCATCGAAGATGAGCAATTGCAGTTGATTACCAAGCTCTGGTTATTAAAAGAGCATAATTCGGCCGCAAATACTTATGTAAATTATGCCCCAATTAGTAAGAAGTGCCCTATGAGCTAGTAGGAATTGGCCCCTCGTATTGTTGAAGACAGCATACCGTAAGCTGACATCCACCAGTTGAACTAACAGACACCCGTTACGGCTGCAACTGAAATCCGACAAATCAGCTTTACAAGCTCGTATCCTTGTGGTATTGCCAAGAGCGAGGTGATTAACATAACATAGATATTACTATAGGTAATAAATCCTAGAGTGAAGCAGCGCGTTCCTGTTGAATTGGCAAGGTAAATACGAGTAGTCTATCGCTATTGGTAGAAAAGAATACCCCATAAGCCACATTTTCGTAACTCACCTCTGACAGGCAGATTCGAGCTGGAAATCCTGATTGGCAGAACCTGACAGATCAAGGATCAATAATCAATTATCCCTTAGGCGCACCCTTCAGTCCAGAAATTTCCAAGCCTCAATCAGTTGAGACTTCGGATGGGTGAGCCATGGATTTCAACCGCCTGTTTGCTGTCTGGCTTCGATCTGTGTGACTCTGAAATTGTAGATTGAAGACATCTTCCAACCTTGTCCCAAATACCAAGTAGACAATCCTACCTTGCCAATTATCACTAGACTAAGTGTTATCACAATGGCGTCAACATAGGCCCGGACACCGTTCAACTATTACCGTGAATAGCTGGTCAATAACAACAGAGCTGAAAGCAGTCACGTTTTTTGAGAGCCCAAGTTGTCTGAGCCAAACTGAATGTAATTTCAATTGTGCATGTCATACGCCCAAAAAGGTGCAAGTGCGGTTTGTGATCCGACGTCACTCAGTCGGTAATTGGAAACATTATTAGAAGTAGAATGGCAGGAAAGACTTCGGAGCAATTTGCTCGAAATTTAAGGTGAGGTAATCTAGGCCAGTGGGCGTTTTCTAATTTGTCATATTCTATGCGTTGAATCCCTTCATCACCTACCTCTCAAGTATGAAACCTCTACCCAGGACTTGCTAGCGGCGCAGCTTTTCAGCTTCCAGAACGGCGTCCACCAAAATCTGTGGCTTCTCCAAAGGTATGGCTTCACCACAATCAGGCACGACATGGTGCACTCTCGGTCCCGTGAAGAATTTTGCCGTAGAAGATCCGTTCGTGGCTGGGAACACTACAGCTTGATCTGGATCAAGAGTCACAGATGGAACCGTGATGGGAGGTTGCTGGTCAAGTAAATAGGCAAGATCTGAATATTGTGGATCACCAGGCGCATAGAGTAGCCGATTACGATAGAAGTTGGTAGCAATATCAACATAATCGGCGTTCTGAAGTGATACAGTTGCAACGTCCAGCTGGGGTTCGGTAAAATTCCACTGTGGGCTGTTTTTGCTCCAAAGGGTGCGGGCCCATCCTTTGACGTCGCTGGCTAGAGAGCTGTAGCCCTGTGGAGTGAGGAAGACATAGAAATACCATCTAGTGGCGAGAGAGTCCGGCGGGGTTACGGTCCACGCGTTCCGGCGACTCTGGATGAGGTATGAATTGGCTGCGACCATACCAGAACATCGATTCGGCCAAAGAGCGGCTGCTGCGTTCACAGCCACTGTTCCCCAGTCGTAACCTACGAAAGTGGCTTTATCGATGTCTAACCCGTCCATCAAATCGATGATGTCTTTTCCCAATGCAGCCTGTTCGGCGCTTCGCGGCGTGGTCGGTGAGAGGAAAGTAGTGGTTCCGAAGCCTCGTAGCGATGGCACAACCACCCGATAGCCCTCTTCCACAAGGCTAGGAACAACTTTTACATATGAATCAATCGAGTAGGGGAAGCCATGGATGAGGATTGCGACAGGAGCAGTCTTGTTGTTTGGGGCAGAGTCAAAATACTCGATGGAAAGTGAAGATGTGTTAACATGATTAACAGGGGAGAGTTTAGGGAGTTTTGAAGAGTTTGATGAAGTAGAAAAGCCCAGACAAGCGGATGTGAGACTCAAGAGAGTCACCACGCTCATTGCACTCAGAGGGTTCGTGGGCATCAACATTATGTCAAGATGATGGAAGGTTGTTTCCAGAATATTGCCTGAAGCACAGTACCTTCGAGGTTGTCCGCAGGCAAAGTTATATATTCCGTTGTCTCATGACCGGCCTGTCTCCCTGGGAAATATGGAACCACTTGCATTGTTTACAACCTCTTTACTGATATATTAGCATATACGAATTAGGGGAGACAATTGGTCGTTATCTTGTTAAGCTTCTTACTAATAGAGCCAGGAAAACTGAACACGCAAGGATGAGATTGCAATCTGCGTGTAAGCACTAGATTAACTTATTACTACTCTATATACTCTACTAATCTGTATATTGGACGGTATATTACTAATGATCCAAGTGATATCGTGATAAGGCACAACAGGGCCAACGTCTCTTCTGCCAGTACTTTGTCGTGAGCTTTGGATGTCTCCTTTGGGTCTACGATATTCTGTAGGCATTTACGAGCTAGAGATGATGATTGGCTCGCCAAGCTGAGGCTGTGAAATTGTTGATTAGTATATATCCACAAGGGTGAAGCATTTCGTGCGGTCTGACAGCCGAAACGTCAGTACCCCGAACCGGTAAAAGATCATCACTCTCATGATTTTTGTCGATGTCAATATTGTGAAGTAGATCAATTCCTCGTGGAGACCGAAGCCTTGATTGAAGTCGTGCTTTATCATATAACACGAAAAGTAAGCCGATATTTGAACTTCATCTAAAGCAGTAACCTTCCTGATCCTATTCCTTCGCAAATACTTCCTCATTCTTCCCTCAATTCACCCTTTTTGTTCACGATGAGAGGACTCAGTGTTCTCATTCTAGCCACCATAGCTTATTCACCTCCATCTGCAGCCAAGCGCGTCTTCTACAATGCAGGCAATCTTGAAGGCTGGGGCTATATTCTCAAGGAAAACAAGGGCACTGTCGAGCTTGACAAAGACATCGCAAACAACGGCAACACCTCGATCAAGATGACTCAGACTTATACCCCCGGTTATCAAGGCCGCTATCACTCTGAGGTCCACCATAATAACCGGGGATATAAACGCAATGACGAATTCTTCTACGGCTTCTCATTTCGACTGATGGAGGACTGGGACTTTCAAAACCAGTCTTACAATTTGGCCCAATTCATTGCTAATCATGAAGGGGCTGGTCACGGTAATGATGACTGGAAGCCATCGTCGCTGTTCTGGCTTGAGGAGGATTAGCTAGCATCAAGACTCGTAGCTGGCCCCTTCTGGCAACCTAACTGTAATCGGCAAATTGACGAATTTCGAGGACTCGCCAAGATCACCGCTGGTGAATGGCACCGAGTCGCGATCCACGCCTTATGGCGGAATGACACGACCGGGTTCTATAGAATGTGGGTAGATGGTACACAAGTCCTGCATCAGAAAAATCGAAAGACGACCTTGGATGATGTGAGTATATATCAGCTCCATGTCGGCCTATATGAAAATGGATGGCATGACAACGAGGCCATATTGGGAAACCAAACTTATCGTGAAGTTTGGTATGACGATATTGTCATTGGAACGGAATTCAGGGATATTCATGTTGACAAAACTTAAATTGTTCGCGAACTCGATGGAAAACAGTAAAACAATCAATATGGCAATTGTGCAAATGATGCCCGATTTAAGCCGCAATCTCGAGGTTTGACTCCGTAGATGCGGAATAGGGGGAGAAGCATTTTCAAGGGACCTTCATGGCCGTACTCAAGTCGGAAAAGCTAGTCTCATTCTGTTTCACAGGGGAGCTAGAATAATTTCTTTCATAGTTTACAAGAAGTCCTCTTCCTATTCATAAGTACATAGAGAGCTCATCAGTGAGCAAAATGGAACTGCTTAGAACTACGTTTTTTGCCATTTAGTTTGTATCCAGCGGCTCACAAAGTCATCCGATATACTACTAGCTCGTCAACTTGGAGTGATGGCTGTGCATACATGCAAAAAGGGACGTTATACACGTAAGAGATGTAAGCACAAGCCTAAGTCTTTCATAAAACCTTATTACCAGAAATACGAGCATGTCTCTCTCATTTGTGGATTCAAGGCGGCCTTTCCGTAGTGTAAGCACTAAGGATAGACCGGTCCGCACAAATTCCCGGTTGAGAAGGTAGGTAACTACGATCAAACCGGTTTTATGGTCGGCCTCAGTTTTGTCAGTCGAAAAAGGTAGATAGCTGTAAAAAATACTACGTGGGAATCAAGAGCAAGTTGTTGTCAAGTAGGCCGTCCCTATTTTGGTCAGTGTAGTTCAATTGGCTATCTAAACTGCAAGCTAATGCCACCTCGCCACTGTAAAGAGAAACAGCAACCTCTCACACTGAGAAGCAGTAGAGTGCCGTCTTAAGTCTAATCTTCTTTAGACCTTTGACTCAATCAGATTCAAGGCGCTCAGAGAAGCGCAGTCATGAGAGGTTGAGTAAGCCGTCTGGTGCTCCATTGTCTGCTTTCATGCAGAAGTAATTCATGACCATCTTTCCAGTCCCTAAAATAAACAAAAGACGTGTATAGATAGTTGAATATTGGTTCGGGCATGATGCAACCGCTACGGAGGTTGACATTCACTTGTACCTATCGTCAGCCTCGCCTCCAAAGTTGGAGCCTCATTTATGAGATAGAGATTACGACATCACAATGGGTAAAGGTTATGAACCAAATTGTAAAGTGTATGACTAGCAGCCCTCAAATTTTTATGAGGCTTAAACACAATCAGTAATCAATGGCCTCTAAATCAGAGAGCTAGCTACTCTCTCCAGCTGTACCTGAATTTAGTTTCTATCTGGTACCATAATAAAAACCACCCTAAATCATATAACTCAGTCGACAGGCTCAACGAGTTGCTTATCATTCTGAACAATGTACGTCGCAAGCTCACTGCTCAAGAAACCACCTCTGTTTCGTGCGGAGTGGGGTACTCCTGCCGGGATGAAGAATACTTCTCCTTCATTTACCGTAACTGGCGCCTGACCATCCACCTCATACTCCAGAGCACCCCTCAGAACATAGATGACTTCTTCACCATGATGCTTGTGCTTTGGAGCAAACGCACCGGGGTCAAAATCCACACGGACTTGGAATGCTTCGAGTCCCGGTTCGCTGATGTTGTGGCGTTGGAGATCAGTTCTTCTGACCTGAGGCGAGAGACTTTGCGCGGATGATGACGAGGTGATAGCACCAAGTATGAACGTGGCTAGGAGGGCCTTGAGCATGGTAGATGATGTTCAGGGGTTGTATTATTACTGAGACATATGACAGCGATGAATAATGAAATAAAACTTAAAGTCTAGATGCTATCAGGGTGATTGACTGTCTATTTGTATGATCGCAAACACCAATTCGGCGCTGACCTGCCACGTTTTGATTTGGAATCAGGTCTGGACCGATTACCTTAGTATCAGACAACAAAACAATAAATCCCACCTTTTCAAGGAGGTTCTGTACTCCACTTGCTATTCTGTTATGCATAGGATCCTTAATTTGACATTTGAACTTGAACAGTCTTTGCAAACTCTCATACGAGCTGGCGACTCTGGGTGAATCAATAGTCATGCAGCTTCTGAGATTGGGTAGAGCCGATGCATTGCCCAGTCTGGTTCAACCAAATGCAGAAATTCGACAACTTTTAGCTTGCTGCAGCTTGCTTCAAGTGGCACAATTATGTAGGAAAACAAAAGAAGAAGAAACTTGGTTTCGCTGAAATTCCGAATGCTGCCCAAAGCATCTTGTGCCAAGGCTTTGACCACTTGCGTCACTACTAAGAAGCCGGAAATGGCGTCCTTCGCAAAGAAGCAATTTTGAGGCTGTATAACAAACTTCACATAGTCCTTGGCATAATTGGCGATCGTGGTGGTGAAGATCCTTTACCTACAGCACTCGGTGTAACTAATACCTTTCTAATGATAGCCATGCCTACTACTCGAAGAATATCTGGGTTCGGTTCACCCGAGCTTGATAATATAAGTGCTAAAGTTGCGAAATCTTTGTAATTTGTAAATGACATATATCTATCTACCTTTGGAGTAGCACTAACTAACGGTCATTCTATAGAATAAATACAAAAGCACTATTCGCGAGTGCATGAATAGCTCTGGGCATCAGAAGGATTTCCCTTTCCGTCATACCTGGTGAGAAACGGATACCGGCACACTTTGCGAGTAAACTGCTGCTGGGTGGTAGGAGGTGTCTTAGCATGAAGCTGCTCTGGCGCCTTTCCGTTCTCAACCCAGTTGACCAAAGATTCGAATGGGTCGATTAGCGCAGCTCCGTGAGTGTTGGCGAACCCACAGTGATCTACACCTGGGACAAGGAAGAGGCGTAAAAAGCCATCAATTTTGTAAGACTGGCCGGGTACCGCGAACAGAGACTTGACCTCGTTGACGTATCGAATGCTACCTTGAGGATATATCAACTGGTCTTCTAACCCGTGCCACATAAGAAGCTTTCCTCCTGCTTGTTCAAAAGGCCGCAGATCAGGATTAGAGCAGTCCATGATATGAGAGAACTCATCGCGAGATTCGATGAACAAGGACTCGAACGTCTCGGAATCGAGCACCGAGGTATCAAAAGACGGATCAGCTTTCACGAAATACCGAGCCCAGCCGTCGGCTACAAAGAAAGGCGCAGCGGTCAAGGTACCATTGGCTTCTTTTGTGTTTGCCAGGGCGTCGAGGGATGCTCCTTGGAGCATTCCATACCAAAGCTTCTTGCCTTCGGAAGAGACTGGGCCTGATAATATGTGGTTCACAACGTTGGCGGCCTCTTGAGAAACAATGATGGAGCTCTCACCACATTGTACATTTTGGCCAACGAGCGTCGAAGGATTGAAATGACAATTGAAAGGGTTTGTTATAACGCCATCTTTGATTCCATCTTGCCCATCACAAGCGCTGATAGAAGCATTCCTGAACGCTTGTCTCTCACAAGCTGAGAGGTAATGGCCACTTTCCTTCATGACAACTTGTGGCCAGAGCTCAGCAATAACGTATCGGGTCCAGTAAATCGCAGGAGCACCAGATAGAATGCCGTCAAAGTCTTTCGGATATTGTTGTGCTGCAGCTATACCCTGCCTCCCACCAGTAGAGCAACCGTTGAAATAGGCGTGCTTTGCCGGCTTATGGTAGAAAGATTGAGCCACTGCCTTGCCGACGACGGCCATGTCATGAACTGAACGACTGGCAAAGTTTGCCAGCAAGTCAATGTTTACGGTCCTGTCTGGCTTCAAAGCCCAAGGTGATGGGTCCAAAGGAGTTCCAGTGAGTCCTGCGTCAGTTGATGAGACAGCATACCCCTGGGAAGCTGGGAGCGCAAGATCTGGGGCTCCTAATCCAGCAGCCCAGGCACCACCACCAACAGCGATAAATCGCGAGTTCCATCCTTCTAGCGGTAGCCAAGTCTGAACATGAACAACATCATTCTCCCCTTCGTGAGATAACGTAACATTGACCTCGCATATTTTAAGATTTTGAACATCTTGGAGGAGATTTGGAGGAACAGCAGTGAAGGACCTATCGCGATAGACTCGCCTGCTAATGGATCTGACAATGGCGCCTGGGATGTGTGGCGCTGTAATGTTCAGACAGTTTAGTTTGGAACTGGGAGCAGCGTCAACGAAGACACCTTGAAGGTCAGAAAAGGCGAAAGCAAATAAAAGAAGATTGATAGCCATGATAGTAATATCGAGTAAGGATACTGATCAGTATATGAATCGAATGGCGGAAATCGTGAGGGCATACAAGGGTTTTGCAGATTAAGACTTCGTTAACAAAACGTTGCTTTTGTTGGATATCGGACTTGACGGTTGTCAGATATATATAATTAACAAGGGATCATTCCAGCCATAGACCTACATAAAGCACTCAAACCGATAACTCAGCTCGTGGGCTACCAGGAATCTTCTTTTCGCAGCCGTAATAACTGAATCTCTTTCTTACACAGCCCCAAAGCTGTCAGTCACCAATCAAAACTGTTTGCTCGTATGATGACAAATGACGATAAAGAATATACCCATTTTGCACGTTATTCGGTGCTTTGCCACACATGTCAGAATTTATTCACCGTATCGCTGATCCTCATTTGAGGTGCTTCAATTGACAATTCCAAGCAACATTTCCAATTTCATTTTGGTAGTGCTTAAGATTTTTACATTGCAATTCGCAAAGCCTTGAGATTAAAAATTCACCCTATAGGCAGTAGAAAACCTCATGAATACACCCAACGACCCTAGCCTTACATTTGTCTGATATCTCTACGATGTCTCTTTTAGATATTAAATATAGTTTGTGCCAAGTAGCTATGATCTTTTCTACAGTCAGCAATCCTGCATGCCTTTTGCCACCATGTGCTTTCATAGGTAACAATGCGAGCAATGGGTAGTCCATTCTCGCTCAGTGCCCGACGTAGATACAAACCTTGCGGAGGGTCACTTTCGCTTGCCCTTTCTGCATCACTAATCCAAACCCACCTACCACCCTCTTCCTTTTCTCGTTCCTCCATCACCACGGTTCCCAGTTCACCCTGAGCGAGGAACTGCGGATCCCAGGCGCCTTCCTGCCATTTGATCCTTTGCACAATATATAGCGCATCCATCCGAACATCATGAATCCTGCAAAGGCGAGCGACTGCTAGAAGAGGCAACGTTATTCCCTCACCCAGGATGATATGACGAGGCAGCCCACGCTGGACTTCTTTTTTCAGCCACTCGACACAATCGTCCAATATACCTATGAACCTAGACCCAAAACTGTCATAGAATAGATCGCTCAAGTCGAGGCAACAGGCAAGTTGGATTTGTATTAAGTCACAGTGTATCTTTAGGAGATGCAGACGATGCGCATGCTCACTGACTAGGTCGTCTTCCAGATAGGCTTTGATGGCCTGTTTCCACAACTCAGCTTGGCTGCGTAGAATCTGGCCTTGATGCTCGAAAGATGCAGCGAGAACTGGGTTTTTTGACAAAGCAACGCCATGAGCTTGACCTATGTAGGCCATGGCGGCGCTGTTGAAGAATCTCCATCGTGCAAGGATCGTCGTGGGCAAATCCACGCCCAAGGTTGGGGGCTCTATAGCCGCGGCGGTCTTCATAGACATGAACGTGGGCCACGGAGATGTAAATTTTCGCGAATATTGACTCATTAAACAGAAACACGTAAAAGTATGCTGAATTGAGACAAGCTCCTCAACAGAGCCAGCATCAAGCTTAGCCTGCGTAGGGCTGGTATGATTCTCACGCAAAAGATTTTTAACGGTCCTCAACATGGTATCCACTGACTTGTAGTTTCATTGCAGTATCTCATACAAGGCCATCAGAATAGTAGTGATGAGCATTGTCCGTACAGGAACGCGTGCTGGGTCTACCCGGAGACGATCCCGCAGGCTTGAAACGCCCTTCATATAATGCTTAAGTGAAGCAGCGTGGTTACTATTCTTGATGGTCGTGAAACCCCAAGGTCTGAGCGACAAGGGTCTTGCATGGACGATGTGCTGCTTCGTTCCACGAGCGTCATCCGCAATGGCCAAAGTCAAAGCGCCAAGGGCCAAGACTAATTGACGAATTGAGCCATCTTGGTGCGCGCCAACGAGAATTGACCCCTGGCAAAAGTCCATGTAGAAGCTTCCGGAAAGTTCTGGAGCAATCTGGTAACGGAATGCATCCAGATATGGAACGCTCTGGCTGGTGAGGCCTGGGATGACTGGTGGAGCGAGTGGTGGGTGGCTTCCGCGTGAGGTTTGGACGGGTGTCCATAGAACAGTAGAGTATCCAGCGACCGATAGGGCTGTTTCGTAACCGTCGCAGACAAAGTCGCCATGGGCACAACGATCGCAGATAGGCTTACCCTCGTCACACTTGACGCGCCGTTTCTTGCAAGTTAGGCAACCACTGCGAACCTTGGGCTTGCTAGTGCGGCAGTGTTGTCGGGTGGATGGCAAGTTACTTGCTCTTGGCACCAATTGCACAGGAGCTGACGAGGGGCCAATATGAAGAGGAAGATTTGCCAAAGCCGCACTACTATCAGTGCGAGAAGATGGGTCAAGACTAGCGGCCATTGCAGGCATACTGGAGAGGATAGAGAGCGAAAGAGTCGAGATACCGCGCCCTGTGAAGATTTTAATAACCTCAATGAAATCTTGTGGTAGATATGGCAGCTTCATAGAACGCATTTCTCTGTTGTGGACAAGTCGAATTCTGGACCAGCCCCCATGATAGGCGGCAAGTTCCGTTGAATTCTTGGCGGTGCCATAGATATGTGGACAACAGATAACGAGGGAGGAGCCTCTTGAATGTTTCGTATCTAATAATTAGATTTAGCACTAATGTAGGTATTGGTGTCACATTGATGGGCAAGAAACAAGCCACTGTGTCAACCCCACAAGCCCCGCGATACATTGGAGCAGGACATGCATAAGTATTCGACCAATTGACAGCCTCTGCTCGTAACCCCACATGGACTACGGAGCAAGTCTCAACCCGATCAGCAACCCGCACCCCAATATGGGTTTAGGCCTGCTAAACTCAACCGGACTTCCAAAGCTAGAACGATTAAGATGCTGGGGACCACCACTACCTTTGTCCTACCGACGCATGGTACGTTAACTGCTTATCTCACTGTTACTTTAACCTAAGGCCTGAGGGAAACGATCTATGCATGGGTGTAACCTTCGTCTAGCACCAAGGGTCGGGGGTCCAAACTCGACTCATAGCACTTGTCCAGTATCATAACAAAACTATGAAGATGCAGAAGATGTAGAGTCAAGCGATAACAGATCTCGAGATTAGCTTTGAATCACTACCATCATCCTAAAAGTATCCAATAATAGTCTTCAAGTGTTTTCATCATTGTCACAAGTAGAACCATCAGCTACTACGAACTGACGGCTTCTCCAAGCTATCTCGACCTAGCCACAAGAGTTCAGGACGACCGTTGTGTCCACATGTATCTAGAAGCGCCTTATTCATGGTGACTTGATCCAAATCAATGTCTGCCATCACCATCCCTTCTTCAGTCGCTGGCAGATCTTGCGTGAGTTGACGCCCGTCGGGTGCAAATATCTTTGCGTTCCCACCTCCCGGCACATTGAACACTGTAGCTTGCTTTGTCCTCATCTGTTCGATTGATGGCTCAGTGATCACAGTTGTAGAATGTAAGGTGTAACACTGAGCTTGAATGGAATATACTCGAGAGATTGATGCCACAGCTGCGATAGATCAGACAAGTCTTGTACATATGTCGAGTTGAGACATACCTTCATCCGACATGGAATATGGCTCTGGACCGCCCGAGTGAGTAGGCACGCAAGGCCATGCTGCACAATGAATGTCTTCACCTTGTGAAAACGTGCTGAAATTCAACAATGGGTTAAAATGCTCCTGATGTATGTCAGCCACAGTAAAGAGAGGCTGCTTAATATACGTACTCCGCAAGATAGCTGTCCAACTCTGCCCACTGTAGTCGAGGCAACGTTATTAAGAGATTGTCCATGACCATCGCCAAACATGGTCCTTTCGATATGAAACGGCTTCAGTTTTCTTCTGGTCATCAGAAGCTCGCCGTTGCTATCAATAGTGCATTGAGCGATGTAGACCGAGCCGCCACACAGTTCCGAGAATCCAACACAAACCACAATATTGTTCTGTGCTGCGCAAGATTTGATCGCTTGCATCTCCTCTGAGTCGACTCTCAGAGAATTCTTAATGTAGTTGACAGACATTTCCAAATCCATAAGGCGGGCCCTAATGTTGTCTGTTAATTTGGAGTACACTGTACGCAAGTTGATTCCTCACCAAATCCAGGTTGGATATCCTGGGAGCCAAAGCTCAGGAAACGCAACGATCTGTGCTCCATTGGAAGCAGCCTCATTGATCAATTTGCAAGTCTTCTCGACTGTCTTCGCAAGGTCAAACCAGACTGGCTCGGCCTGGACGACGGCTGCTTTCATGATTCGTTTGAGTCTGGGCCTTGGCTAACGTTGTTGTCGTAATTCTTTGAATGGACAACGTGAAGCCTTTGGATGATTGAGAAGCGCTGAGAGGAAGCCTGATATTTAACGTTTTGCCTTTCTCTTAGGTGTATAGACAGAATACGAGCGGATATAGTCGATTGGTAGAATTTCGAAGTAATCGTCTGTGGTAGCCGGGTTCTGACATAAGACTAGATAGTACGCTACTACAAGTTGCCACTAGCACCTCGAGTAACGTCAGTGAGGCATAAGCGGTAAGTATCCTAGTACATAATAAGTCTTAACGTATACTGAGACATGTCTACCGTATTAAAAACTTGAGTCGATGATATTCCTTACATCGGCGGTTCGTGTTATGGTGATTTACCTGCGGTGACTAGGACTTCATTAACGAGTGACCACAGAGTAATATGCTTAAATATTGGGAATACTGTGTTTTCTTAATTGTTCAAGGATTCTTTTTCTTTTCTTCTTCCTACTCTTTTTCGTAGAAAGTTACCACCGTCAGATAGACTAGCAAGACATTTTCCATCTCAGCAACTAATAGCCCAAAGGTCTAGGGTGGCTCTAAATTAACGTCCGAAGCACTCGGAACATGAGGGATACACTTCCATAATTACAAGTTGGCAGAAAGACCTCCAGGAAATAATGAATAGAGTGGTCTTGTCGTGGTTGGATTGATAGCAGTCTCTATTTAATATCTCTCTGTTAGCCATATGTTTGAGAAGGGAAGGTTCTGCTTCTTAGGTGGTAAGGAATTGCCAGATTGGGACGAGTTGGAACTGTAATCAGCGTACTCTCCGATAGTGCACCGTGGCTCATCGTGATTTTGTTCACGGGTAGACTGAATATAGATCCTCGGTTTATTCGTTTATGTGATTAGAAACCGGAAGTGGAACGGAAATCCAATAACTCTGCCTGGGTTCAATACGCCGATTGTAAATTAAGCCCCTGGAACTTCGATAAGGGTTCCTAGAAACTTGGTCTTAAAATCCAGTTTATCTATAACGCCGTTTGACGCCAAAAGTCCGCAAATTTGCCGTGGGACGGTTTGGTGAAAGGTCCATTTCAGTGACCCACGATGATCAAGCAAGTTTCGATACCAAAACCAATCCTAGCTTACACCTCGTACCCGAGCTACAGAATAGGTTTAGTGGAAAATCATGCGGATCTGCAAGGGCCCCATCAACTTTATTAGACTAAGAGGAATCCGGTAAGCAAGGCGTATGAGAATGGCACCCGACGTCAGGGTCACATTTGTTCATCTGACAGGACCTCGCTAGCAATGAGATTGCCGGCAATCACTACCTAAACCTCTTGTCACAAAAAATTCATCAGAATTGTCGCCGCGACTTATGCCCACGTCAGTCCGCACTGAAACACTTATCAAGTGAAGTTATGCCAGAGACAGCTATTGCATCGACATACACAATGCACCTATATTGAACAAATACTAAGCTTAATATACCCGTAACCTATCCTTCCAATTCCATGAGACTAATTTTTATCTTGATCAAACCACTTGGGTCGTTTTGGCCGAACTTTCTGCGACTGGCGTTCTGGAAAGAGACATTAAGACAAGTTCGGCCTTCATCCCAGCACGCGTCAGTCCATATGTATCGCTGTCCTGCTGCAATGTCGCCATTCTCTGTGCGACCGAGTTCTTCAAGGTCCATGAGACGTCTTCGAACCAGTAAACTTGCCCTCGTCTCCCATCCACCCATCTGCGACACCATCCTCTCAAAGAGATCCAGGGCGTCTAATCGCGTAGAATAGTTTCTACATTTCTGTGAAACAAAGTTCAAGACTGGGAGCACATATATATCCAGTACCGTCTCGATTCTCGTCGCAGGTTGGGCTTCGTCAGCCATGGAGTGTATCATAGCCATGATATCGCTGAAAGTGTTCTCGTGGTTGTCGTATTCTGTCTCGGTTGAGTCAAAGCAACAGCTCAACAAGATATGGACAACCTTTTGCCCGATGTGGAAGATTTTGAGGGTTCTTTTTACAACAGAGTTTGCCTCCCTGTGGGACCTCTGCACAATTGCATGTTCCCATTGCCTTAATTCTCTTGAGAATGTATTCCGATAGTTCGCCAATGTCGTTATCTGGGCCGGCTCAAGACTCGGAGCCTCTTGCATTGTCTTTACAACGAATATGACTGCTCTGGTGATGAAACTGTTCCATGCTGCTCCGAACTGTACGAAATCTGCCATGAGTGAAGGAACGTGACTAAGTGTAGCTTTTGCTGAGAATCTCGACCAGCAGTCCTTCTGCAATGGAAAAAAGCGTGAGTTTAGGCTCAAGAAAACCTGTAGTCTCGGAAGGATACGCTCAGCCTGATCCAGCCCCTCATCGTTAGACGGCGCTGTGTATATTGGTTGCGGCTGTTGTTGAAATCCAGCACTCACTTCACTCAGTAAATGGTCACCCTTTTGCTTGAGTAGCTCATTACTACTTGTCAGCATTCGGTCGGCGGCTGCCGTATTACCATGCATGAGTTCAAAGAGGAAAAGCAGGAACATGTTTATCAGTATGTTGCGGCGAGAGACTGTGGCGAAATGGTTCCTCATCCGGGCTTGTAAGCCTGAAATGGCTTTGGAATGATAATTGAGTGCAATGCGGTACGTCTTATCATGGGACGATCTGGAGCGGCCGGAGGATGTTATCAGGCTAGTGTATGGTTTTGGGCCAAGGCGATACAGAGACTGCATGAGTGCGCCTATACTTAGAACAGAAGACCGTACACAATCGTCGCTCATGGCCTCTCGTGGTATGACCCTGTTCCAGAAGAGAGTACAGGGGGTATAGGCGAAGTCATGGGCCATTTGATGGCGAAACAAGTCAAAGTATGGAACTTCGTGGGCTGCCAGGTCGGTCAACCTAGGTTGAACAAGAAGGACATTTGACTCGGTATGGTTGAAGGCATCGCCCTTGGGTAGAAGAATCTTTTGCTGCGGCACAGTGAGACAAGGCTTCGTATTGATTTGCCGATATTGACATGATCGATTCGCCTTCAGGCATTTCGTACACGTCGGCTTTGTTTCATCACATTTCACGCGCATTCTCTTGCACTGCCTCAAACTGTTAGCAGGATTTTCCAGATGACAAGGAACGACAACATGAGGATCGGAAACTTCGGGAAGTGATGAGAGGGGTAAAAACTGCTTACCGCAACACAGCCATTGCGGCTTTTGGGTGCACTGCTACGCTTCGGCGCAGCAGACGAGATATTCTTTGGCAATGAGTTGGTAAGCAAGTGAGCTGGAATCATTTTGCAGCAGCAGAGCCTAATGTGTGTCAAAGACACGACAAGGCAAGGAGAATTGAACAGGAAGTTGCGTGTTCGGAGATTTGCCTCAGCCCTAACTACACTATGGTATAGGAAATCAAGATGGCGGCCGACCAACATAAGCGGCGACCACAAAAAGAAGCATTCTGATTTGTTGATCAATACGATTACTGCTTCTGGCTTAGCATCAGCTAGATACAAGCGCTACTGCAGATCGTCGGGCGCGCCCGTACCAATGAATATCGAGTATCTTGAGAATGGTGGTACCCTTGTCAGGTTGTGACGGTTGTAAGGCTAATCAATCAAGTAACGATGGGATCGATATAAATTTGTCCAGCTCCTAGAAGGCAGAAGTACACAATGACTTTTGCATATTGCATTGCTAGTGGGAGTATTTCCTCTAGACCAAGAAATAATATTCACAATGAGACCAATCATTCCACTCCATGTCCAAGGCTCCGACTTGAAGCCGACAGTTACAAGATCGCGGATCCTCCCACCCAAACACAAAAAGGCGGCACGCCGTTGGGAGCGGGTAGGGAAGCCTAAATCAAGATCTGGTTGTGGAACTTGTAAGATTCGGAGGGTGAAATGCGACGGTGAGAGAAGATACAAATGTACCTCTGGGGGTTGGACCACTAACATTTGGGACAATAGAGGCCAGACCAAAATGTTGCCGATGCACCAAGGGGAAATTTGACTGCGACGGGTACGTCGATTATACTACAGAAGACAGCCTCGGTTCAGATGGTGCTGTCAGTAGCATGAGTAGCCCGGAGAGCAGTGGCGCATCCACATCTCCTGAAACCTCGACAGACATCTCGACAATATCTTTGTCTCGTCCACGTCGTCGCTTATCTACCTGCATCCAGCATGATGGGGGTAGCACTAGTCGACTCCATGTATTGGATTACAGCAGTTTGTACTATGAACAGTTTCTGTGCCATGCCAACCAGAGTAATGGTATATTTTACTACTCCAAGACTTTTACAAGCATTGTTCTCCACGAGTCCCTGCGAGATAAGTGCACACGTAACGCTATTTTTGCCATCGGGGCCTTTCTCTTTGCTGGGTTTCTCTTGAGCCAATCCAGCGTTCACGACTCTACGACTGATCTGCATCGGCAAGCCTCCCTGCAGTTCTATAACGCTGCTCTTACAACGTTCCGAAGTCGCATGCAAAGTTCACAAACAGAGTCACATACGTGGATACTCCACATGACTCTACTACTCACGATTTTCGAGTTGCTTCATGGTGACTTTGATGCCGCCGACGGACTCTGGGGTTGCGCTCTGCAAGTATTGCACCCGTGGTTAGAGACCTCGTACAGTGTCTCGATCGCTGACTCGGACATACTGAATCGCTCCTGTGGGGAGCTAATTGGAGAGTTGAGACCTCTATTTGCCATGACAGGCGTGCAAACTTGCGTTATGCTAATTCGACATGACGACCCGTTCAAACGCCTTTGTCCGGATACATACTTTAACGAGAATGACGGCTCGGAGTTATTTCAATTGCTGGCGTTTTTGCAAACAAACATGCATCAAGGTTGCACTATAGATGTGGGGGAGCTCAATCCCATCCAAACATGGTCTACCACCGAAGCTCCCTTGCTGTGGTGTGTTGTTAGCTAGTCTGGACTAGGCAACTGGGGAGGGAACTTAGACATCACATAAGAACATAATGATTAATACAACTGAACATTGATAAATATTGATACTTTTTATTTCCAATATCACTTGGGTTGGCAGCCAATTGGATATCTCTCATGTTTTTACCATGCTCGTTGCACGAAACTTGGATCATGCTACACGTAGCTGCTGATCGATGTGGCTACCCTACGGCAAATCTTAGGCAATGAGTGCTCAAAGTTTTCTTGGTGCGCTAAGCTAAACGTGGGTAAGGTAATTCTTTTCATTCATTCATTTTTTTAATCCTATCCACTGGAAAAAAATACGGCATTAGTTGTGATGCTGATCTGCCTGGTGTGGAAACAGGGAAAAAAAGCGGAGACAATTCTGTCTTGTGCATTGATATGTAAGTTGCGCTACACCTAAAAAGTCATCGTTTCTGGTACCCTATCAAGATTCACCACAAGATGGATCCGGTTGCAGGGTAGTGTGCCTACTCGGTTGTTGAAACCTTCATTTTACTCCGACGCCACGTACTGTGCCCAATGATTAGTCCAAGTCTGGCTCTAACCATCTCCGTACACTGATCAGCCATGGCTGGACCGTGATTCCAAACCGTGCATCTTTTCACAATGACTAAATTTACTTTTCTTGATAGGGATTGATTGACAATCAAGAACCAGAATGGCCCTGGCAATAAAACTGGGATAGCAAGCTATCTATTACCGAAGGCCTAGTAGATTATTAATGGCAGGGATCATCTATCTTTCCAGCCAGTCAAGGCACTCAGCTCGTAAACGCATCGACTCCGACTGATCTAGAACCTTACCCTACCCCTGGCCAGATAGACCGATTTGAGACAATTAACTCAGCTGTGAGCCTCACTCATGGCAGTAACTTAGTGACAGTAGATGCCCCCATGTATTGGAGACAACAAGAAATGAGACCGTGGCTTTCGGGCGGGCCAGGAATTGTGAGCTGAATATCTTCGCTTCAGACTAATAAGGTCGTCGAGCCGAATTCTTTCTTTCCAAATTTGCCGATTCTTCTTTCGTTTTGCTCTCGAATATTTTGCTCATATCCAAGTCATGGCTTCGGCGCGCATTTTGGTAGGGTCTGTACTCTACTGGCTAGCTTGGCTTCCAGCTGTCAACAGTCAAAGCATAGCGGCCTTTTATACCGATCAAGCCATTCAGATTGGAGCCCAAAACGCAAAAACGGGCAAAATTCTTTATAGCTCCTGCAACAGCGTAGGCACACCTGTATTCCCAGTCGATAACCCAAATGTGCTCTCAACCAAGAGAGCCCCGAGGAATGGAACAGCTTTAACTATGGCTGGCTGGTTTGATACACAGAAGATCACGGTATGTACGGATATTTATTAAGATGGGGGCTCGTGGATGAGCTGATGTATCAGGCATCTATCTTTTATCAGTCCGATAACGGTGACATCGTCAATGGTTACTACGAATGCGATCCGTCGAGTGGAAAACTTATACGAAAAGGCGAATATGCCATCTCTGAGATAGCAGCGCTTGATTCCGTCCACAAATTCACTGGGCTCAGGGTGGAGCTTCTGGGCAACACGCTTGGATATCGCCTTTTCTATCATGACGAAAAACGAGTGGTCAAAATCTTATCCTATACTCCCGAAACGAACTGGATTGATGCAGGTGTTGTCTCGCCAGACCCTGTGGTTGGCATGGGCCTTGGATCACACCATAGAGGAAAAGGAAACGTTACAGTAACCTTTCCTCAAGGATCAGACAACTTAATGGTAGCTCAGAATTGGGATGATGGTCTGTACCATCTCGGTATGTACCCTGATATGTCTTGACAGTAGTCTGGAGTAATTGGTTAACGCAGAGCAGAAAGCCTACCACAACCGTTGAATGGGACATTCACAAACGACACTCAAGCCTTGGAAATCGAAACTGACACATCAAAACCCGAGTTTACATTACCGTCTTGGGACGCAGAAATTGTTTCGATAGGCACTTCAGTCGATAGCGCCCGTGCTAGACATATTTTTTACATTGGGACAGACAAAAGGCTCCATGAGCTTGTTCAACAAGGTGTTGAATGGAATTTGGCTGCCAATGAGTCGCAAAAGGTCTGGCCGACCGCGGATACATCTAGCGCGCCTTTGGCTGTATCGTATCAACAGAGCCGGGGCGAAACCTGGGTGTATTATCTGGTGAATGGCAGCATTGTCGAAGCCTATAGAGATGGTTCCGGCTATTGGGATGATGCTAAGACTCTCCCTACCCAATCGGCAAACGCTGCTGATGGGGATTTATCGGCAGGAGATGGCGACTCCAAGAAGAATACCGATGGAGACGAGTCAGATGCAAGTGTACCTCACAGCCTGACTGCTGGTGCAAAGGCAGGTATTGGTATTGGTGCTGGCGTCGGCGCTCTCTTGGTCGCTGGCTTGATCTGGTCCCTGTTTAGGCGCCGTAGCAAATCCGCTCCTGCTAAAGGCAGCCCACTGAAAAAAGAATCAGACATCGAGCAAGAAGGAAGCTTGAAAGACAACAAGTTCCGAGTTTCTGAGATGGCTGCTGAAAGCCAACCTCTGTCGTCTGGTTATGCTCCTCCGCCAAAGTATGAAAGCCCACAGCCGCAGATGATGGACAACCGGACTCAACCGGCAGAATTGGCTAGTCCTACTATGATCTACGAGATGCCTGGGAATCCTGGCTCGGCGGGATTGAAGATGTGATGACTGGAGGTTCACGAATGGTAACGGGTCAGCAAGATTGTCATCGGCAAAGAATAATGAGTGACAGTGATGGAGTGTCATGATTTTGACATTTGATGCGCGGTTAAGTCATAGGGATATTGTGAGGACCTTGGTTTTTTATTTTTCCCATTTAAATCTATTACATAACTGAAGAAGTACACATTCGTGCTTTCTTGTAACTTGGCGACAGGTGTTATAGAAATATAGTAATCCCGTTGCCCGCTAAGCTAGGTACTAGCCGAGCCCTCGCCGCGACTTCCCAACCGGCCAATCCGGGATACATTATATAGAGTGAACAGAACTAGTCAGCGACTCACTCTACCGTCTTTAGATACCGCAAGGTCGTCTATATGCCACGCCGCCCGAACTGAGAGTGCGCTTACTTTTTACATTGGCATCTTTGCGAAGGAGAAGGAGGACGATATGGCACTTCAGTCTTGGGGAATGGTTGCTACCAAGTTGCCCGACGTTTCTATTAGCAAAGGTCGCAATCGAGTCTTGTGTCACGTTCCAAACTGGACGACCTACTTGCCCAAGACTACTCAGAAGTATATCGATGATATGTGCAACAAGTCGCTTGACGACAGGTCCATCATTTCCAGAGATCAAGGCTTTGGGAACTATGACTGTGCACGACGTCGAGCAAGCCCTGGTTTTCATATCGGAAGAAGAGGTCATCGAAGGATAACAACGCAACAGGTACAATTGGATGAAGACAGTCGCTAAACAGGAACCCGATCTCGCCTATCTCAAAGTAGGAGAAGAAGACGACAGCATTTCGGCCCAGGTCGCACGAAGTCTGTGGCCGCGCTTGGGCGATATCCTGTGAGGTACTATAACTGGTGTCCGCTTGTTTACGGCCGTGCTACAGTTTAACCAGTATACGTAAGTTCCAGACCCAATCCCTCAAATTTAGTATAGCACTAATCCTCTCTACCATTCCCTCGTTGCATTATCGCCCATTCGATGTCAACCTGACAGTATCTCTTCTTCACTATGCACACACTTCTAGCAGGTCTTGTTGGCCTTCTTGCCATGGCTAATGTTAATTCTTTATCTCTTCGCGGCTATCCAAGTTTTGTTCAGCCCGACATTCTTCAACCATTGCTTGAGGGTCACGATAGCCTCGAAATAAAGGTTCAGCCTTTTCTCGACTCTGGCAGTGATGGTTATTATAATACTGCTACTATTGACACTTCTCTCTCTAATGAATATCGTTATCCATGACCTATGGTCTGTAGAGGCAAATAAATAGCTTAAACAAATAACCATTCGGCGTAAAGATGAAGGACTCAAAACGACAGTGGAAGTATCCCGTGTACTCTACTTCTTACAGGCTGCCCATTTGCACTGTGGGTTGGCGACAAAATTGACAATGAGAATACCCTGGCTCGTCTCGTCGTCATCATTCGAAAGGATTGGAACACTGCCACACTTTTTGCAGCCGCGATCAGAGAGATTTTTGAGAAGTGGGACCAGTTCGCTGCCGGGCAAGCCGACAGTATCTTGGAGGAACGCACAGAGGTTATCGGCGCACACGATGTGCTCCCCGCTATTATACCAGCGAGTGAGGTCAATATGTTCTCCAAGGTTGATTAAGTCCCCAACAGAATTTGGTGTTGTGCCGCAGCCGCTACTGTCTTTGCAGTTGATAACGGCAGTGGCCTGTCCTGCGGCCAGGATGACAGAAGCGACGAATGTGGTGATCTGCATACTATATCATTGTCAACTTTGCTGATACGGTCATAGAGAGAAGTGCTGACCTAGCAATCACAAACGAAAAAAAATCGTTGATTTGTTGAGTAGAATGAGAAGTGCGATGAAATGAATTTCCAAATATACGATGTGAATGAGGGACAATAATTTATATGTGAAAAACAGGGCATTGTAGAGTGTGCAGTGGACAGTAGTGCATATGCGTTCCATTCCATAAAGTCAAGGATTAGAGTCTTATGCCTAGAAACAGGCCTTTACAGAAGCGTTCCGTGACGACTCAGTGTCATCAATCATACTTCTTAGACAAAGACCTTACGACTTGACACCTTCGGTTTTAGCAGTCCATCACGGATAGTCGGGGAGCCCTGTAGCAGTTTGGATTTGTCAAAACGGTCCGGGATTACAAGACGAGCTGATATACATGATTGGTCAATCGGATGTAGTCATACAGCTGCATATGACATGACGTATCCTGCAAAAAAAGGTAACTCAAGACTGTCGTCAGCCCATCAGCCAATAGTCACTGTTCGTTCGTAAATCTTAATCCAACGTCCAGCTCGTGCTAGCGTCCTTAACGGTTGCCACCTCAGTAGCTGGGGAACATTGAATCCATCCGTAAGATTTCAGGGGGTTAACCTATGGAGAGAATACTCAGCTAAATTTAACGGACTGTCGTCATTGCCTCTAAACAGGTAATAATCATCAGATATACCTGCCAATCAAACTTGTCTCCTCGTATTAACAGAAACATCGTGGTTAACGCTTGGCTCATCTTACATCCCGCATGCAGGAGGTGGACTCTTGAACTGTCACGGAGTCTTCGGGGTAAAGTCAGGGGGGAAAACAATTCCAGGGCGAGAATCTAGAGGAGAGGCAACATAGCAGTTCAAGTCTTAAGTACTATCGCTTATGCAAACAATGCAAGTACAATAGTATACTATCTTTACAGGATCATGAGTGTATACGGTCTATATAGCTACTTGTACTTTGTATAGTTATCAAAAGGAAGATGCAAGTGCTTAATACTGTATGACCACAGCGATATATCCTCTAGTATTTCTAATCAATATGCAATGTTTCACCTCTAATACCAATGCTAATGCCTGGCTTTTCTCTTGTGGGATTTTTAGCATACAGCCAGAAATCTCCAGTCACATCTCATACAAATATTAGCCTTTTCGCAGGACCTCAGGTTATAACAGGTATATGATAGAACTCCAATCTACTGAAATAACCCCCCTTCTCCCAATCTCGGCTCATCCTTCTATCTAACCTGCTGCGCTATATGAATAACCCACTCAGGCAGCATCTCCATTTGCCTCCATGCCAGCTCGTTAATCATCCCCAAGAATCACTCACCTAACATCTTCAATCCTAATCAAGCTGGCTTGGCTTAGTTGTTGTCTATAGGATAAAATAGCTTGGGTGTATCAAACTGCGTTACTAACACAGCCTTGCCCCGACTTTGCTGCAGCCATTGGCAACGTAGTTGTATGTAAGCTGGCCGTCGTCGACGTTGTTGTTCGATGGATAAAAATAAGGGACGCTTCCGCACACTTTGCACCTGTTTTCATAGTTAGGATAGCAAGCCTTGTCGATGGGGGGTTGAGGGGACATGCCCATGGTCTGGAATAAAATGAGCTAGACCCTTGATGTTGCGACCAGGAGCACCGCCGGTTCCCTGCAAAAAGGCACAGAACGCTCCATTACCCGTGATTGGGGCACCAGTGCCAACACAGGCAACAAGCTCGCTGTTGTTGTACCAGCGATTCGGGTCAATGCCATCAATAGCGTGAGTCAGCTCAATGGCCACTTGGTTGTTTCCAAAAGTGTTGCAGTTTGAAGAGCCGCGACAGTTGATCCCAAGAGCTGAAGTCGACGAGACGAGCGAGAATGCAATGAGCATGCCTTGGAAAACGGTAGCGTGATACATTGTCAAAGACGGGTACCCTTAGGTCAATATGTTAGATGATATGCACCTAGAAAGAAATTGTTGAAGAAACAGTGACAGAGAGGATTACTCACAGGAGGTTAATCTGTATAGTAAAGGAGTAGGTAAGAATGTAAACTTTGTGATATTGAACACGATTTATGTCAGAAGAAAGGAAGGACAGGACCTTACCTTTATAGCACTACCTCGCTTGTCGAAAACAAAAAGCCAGGAGATGTATATGCACTTCTTCCACAATAAATTCAAGCTAGAAACTTGGTGATGATTCTGGTGTCGCAGCCGAGCACAGAACTCAGCCGGCAAATGGTATGTTGAATAACTTAACTTGAAGATGTGCCATCATACTCGTTAGTGCTTACAACATGCCCCATATTATAAATCAATTACTCTACATGGCAGGTCACCTGGCGGCTTATTCTTGGCAGTGGAATGATAGGAGCTTTTCTGATCCATTCAAGGCCCGTCATACACAGAAAGTGGCTATACTCACAAGATCGCCGCTCACTATACCATCAGCAGATATCAAAGATAAATACAACCGTTGCAGGTGAGTATTACTGACCAAATGTTGCAGTTACCGTAAGTGGAGCTATGTGCAAGTGTGACTGGTGGCAGTCTTATGCCATCCAAAGAGATGACTGCATCGCTTTTAGTTTTCAACAGTGACCTTCCTCTCCTAGAGCAATTATTATCAATGTAGGATGGCTCCATATTTAGTATTCATGCATCTTAGACACGGCGTATATGTCAAGAGCCAACTTACAAGCCGCTTTCCAAAGTACTGATAGGGCATGTACTTATGGAGTGTGTACTCGTAGAGGGTACTCTCAACATGCACTGCTGGCCTGTCTCCGATTCTCTAAACGTGCGCTTAGACCTCTAGGCAGCAGTGATACTTCTATGTACCTGTTCGATGCAGTTGGAAATTACTTACACACCCACAAGACAGCCAAACACAGAACCAATTATCTGCTTACTAGGTATACGTATGTATAGAAATGGATCCTCTCTGGATTTTGTAGCGAGAGTGTTAGCTTCGGGAGAAATGGGGATAGGAAAAGGAAGGTGTTCAACACTGTACTGTTCCTCAACTCCTGGTTATATTCTACTATATAAGTTCCACCTCTCGGACAGCTCAACTCCTGTTCAAGCGGCAATATCATTACCTCAGACTCCTATTGTTATAATATCGCAATGCAGTTCAACACTCTCAACGTTCTCATTTTGACCCTCGCGGGTGCAATCTCCAGCACAGATGCCCTTGGAATCAACTGTCGTGGTTCTTCCAAGTGCAGCGCGCTTTTTGGCTCTAGCAGTGTCGCGCGGGACTTAACCAACGTCATCAACAATATCGACGAGAATCGATGGTAAGTGTGCCGCACTCACAATCTTGCCGCCCAGTACGGTCTCCTAACCATGGTTTAGGTATCGCAACGGTGAACATATTGCGTGCGTTGGCAACCAAGCGGGCAACGGTGGCGGCTACTGTGCCTTCCTTCAAAACACAGGCGGCGCTCCTGGTCGTAACATCAAGGGCCTGGCTCATTTTATTACTGATCACGGGTATGTATAACAAATAACTCTTGTTCTCATTCAATTCGGCTTATTAAATTCTGTAATACAGGTGCAAAATGTGTGGCAGTGTCCCTTATTTCTATCCTGCTGATAACAACGTTGATAATGGACAACTGACCTACAACTTTGTTGACAGTAAGTCACGGCCTTTCAGCCGCTCTTGGTGTGTAGGCTAACGTATGGTTGATAGACCCTTGCAATGTTGCTGGAACCAAGCTCTGTTAAATGGGAGCACGTTGTGGTAGTCGTGATTTTGGCAGGCATGGGCTATAACTCTTGTATGCGTGGGAATGTGACCAGCTGGGCCTAGAGTCTTCGAAGTTAGTGAGAAGAATTAAGATACTTCCGTAGACAAGGGTTAATTGTACAATAGCTCTAGATTTCGCCAAAGAACTTCAGAACTTAATTTCTTTGCATAACGTGGCAAGACTTGTGCCAATTGCTCGTTTTCTCCCTAAACGGCAAGTGCAACATGTGCTAGGATAATTAGTCACTCGCAATGCGAAATCAATCTTCCCTCAGGTTCCAATTTTGTCGCCCCGTGAGTAGACCAAACACACTCCATCTAGCACATCGTCGGCACAAATGGCATCCTATTAAGCTTGTTTTGTCAGCAGGACAACAGAGCGCAGCTAGCATATCGTAGCCGCCTTTGAAACTTGGACTTAGGAAGGCTGAGCTTAGCCTGTGCATGCAGCAGTACCCGTTGAAAATGTTGTGTCTCTGGTAGGCTGACTCTGTCGCGGCCGGGTACCACGCCTCGGATCCGTGAAGTTAGAACAGTTCGGCGCAAGCCCTGACGGAAGAAGAACCAGTACTAATACCGCACTAGTTGATCCAAAGCCCTTGTTTCCACAGGATCTGCAATCGGAAAAGCTTTGACTTCACTCTCAACTACGGATCAGGCTAAGCTAGGCAAGACCGTATTTACTAGTTTGAGTTGATATCTGTACAGGACTCATTGTTCAACGGCCAGATCTCCTCGGTCAATGGATTGACCGACTGTTATTCAGCAGCGTGCAGACTGATGCGCCGCTTTGCTGTACCATGGACTTCACTCATGCTGCTAGATCATGACTCTTTATCGCCCCGGCGTCTGTTTATTAATTGAAAGGTAGCCGAACCTATCGCCTAGGATGAGCGACGCCCTTGACGCAGTAAGCGGGCTCCATGCACGGGTCCAAGACGTTATAATCATACCGTAACTTCTGAATTCCTATGTATTGTAGCTGCCTAAACCTAGAAAGATCTCTATGCAAAGGTCAAAGGTGCATAAGGATCTAATGGGAGTGCCTATATGGAATGCCGTAGCTATTCTATCGCTCTTTCACTATCCCTTGAAAATTGAATCAAAGTCAAACTTATTTCAGCTCACCCCAGTTCCACTAACCCTTTTTGATTAAGAAACTGGCATTAGGAAGCCGACCATGCTAGGTACCTTGCACGGTTTAAAAAAGGATACGATGGCCGATGTCCTATTCGTCAATTAATCAGCAGGTATTCTAAGTGATTTTTTTTAACTATACTTGGATATTCACAGTGCTTATACAGGGATAATGAACGAGTGTCTATATAATTCCTTCTCTCTTACCCTTGACACGAAAAGCTTCTGCCTGTTAAAAACAAACTAGCTAAACCTCTCGAATTGCTGCGGTCTGTATATACTAAATCTCAGAGCTGCTTCACGTCTGATTTATTAATACCTTATGTGACAGGGCTAGGGATAGGTTTGGCGTATGAGTTAGCTGAGTAGGGTTTCGATAATATCACATGGATCAGAGTACCGCGTGAGTTTGTCGGTGTGAGGGGAAAGGTACATATTCGCAGTTAATGCGTCAAGACAAACGTTCTTTATTTACACGCTACTTCCAATAGGTTAGTAGATATGTTAACAGATACGATCTGGAGGAAACGATTGGCCGTTGTGCTGCTGAGATTCTTAGTAATCGTGCTCAGAGAAGTCAAACAGTCGATAGGTCGGCACCAGCACCAGTTCTTAGTGCTTCTTGGGCGTTTTAATTGATAGTAGCGTATCTAATAAGAGCACACGCACAGACTACGAGTCGTGTCTGCCCTGCATGCAAAGTGTCACTCAAAGGGCATGCCCTAAGGCAGGAGTTTTAGGAATTTTCTTAGATTAAGAGCGTGCATTACACTGAGTTGCCATCATATCACAAGAGATTCGATATAGCAGCCGTCAGATGATAAATTGGCATGCTATGGTATTTTCTTTACACGTCTATTGAAACTGTAAACTTAAATCAACAATCTGAACGTTTGATTTTGTCTTTTTAGACTGGAAACTGCAATAGAGGGTTACGCTGAGACTTGGGTGTAACAAATTGGGGCTTGCCGTCCCTGTCTGCCTCGATCTCCAGACAGTGAGGGAACGTACTGGAGCAAGTGGGAACAGCTTCTTGCCCGAGTGGGATTGAATATTAGTAATATCTGGACATTGACCAATTAAGGTTCCGATCGACTGTGGGTTGATTCGAGAATAATGATAATGAATGTCAAGCTTTGGTAGAAATGCATATGTCCTTCTGACTCTACATTCTTAGAGGCTACAGAAGCCTGATACCCGATGGATTGCAACCTTACGTGCGGGGTTATGGATTATGTCGTGTCAGATTTTATATGTAGCCTTCCTGGATTTCATTGTAATCTTACAGTTTTTATCTCTCTACTTTCCTCAATGACTTGGCGCTGTCATCAAAATGATTGATCAGGGTAGTGGGACTAAAGCTATCCAAAATTATCCTCACCCGCCAGTAAAACCTCAATATGCGAAATGTTTCTCTCCCTGGCATCGCAGACATACCGCTTATAATTTCGGGTGGTATAAAACAATCGCCGAGGTACATGAGTATGCCATCAAAGGATGTGGTATTTGCCTCCAATTACTCAGAACCGGCACTTATAGCTTCTATCAAGACTCATTAGAGCTAGTCAAGGGGTTCTGTGGACAGATGTCCGCTTATTTAAGCCTCGACAAAGCGTTTTGGACCGTGTCAGCCCGCTTTTACTGTTACGAAGATCTATCACATTATGGCATCTCAGTTGACGAGAGGAAAGAGGTGAAAAAGAAATGGTCTGCCATAGCTTACCCGTTCTCGTATTCTTCGCCAGGTAAAGGTAGACATATTGTAGTGTGTGATTGGTGGCTAAATATTTTCACAGAACACGAGTATTTGGAGAAGATTACAGACGATAGTCGCATTACATGTATAATGGCTCTTTGCAAGGAATGGCTTGCAAAATTCGACCTGGACCATGAATGCCGGGATGTGTCCAAGATCCATCCTGAAGCTTTACCAACAAGTCTGGTCAATATTGATGGAGATGGTGCTCGACTTTGCCCAGACACATCTCTTATGCCAACATCAACGAATTATGCAACTCTCAGTCACTGCTGGGGGCTCAAGAAATTCTTGGCACTCAACAAATCGAATATATCTGGATTTTGTGGATGCATACCATTCAACAGCTTGACAAAGACGTTCCGGAAGGCTATAGTCATTGCAAGGTCTCTTGGTTTCAAATATATCTGGATTGATTCTCTTTGCATTATTCAGGACGATGCCTTGGATTAGAAGTACGAGTCTGTGAGAATGGGTTCAGTCTACGGCCGTTCAGGGTTAAATATTGCAGCGACTGGTGCTCCAAGCGGGGAGTCTGTTGCTGGCTTCCCCAAGATGAAGCTTGGAGATGTCAGGTCTCACTAGGACAGGATGGCCCTTACGAACACCTTTACGAGTGCATTACTGAAGAGACATTTCGTCCCAAAGAGGAAGACATCCCTCTTATGAAACGCGCTTGGATTCTACAGGAACTCTTTCTGGCACCGCGAACAATCCACTTCACCAGGAACCAGGTTTTCTGGGCATGCCAATCTACGACAAAATGTGAGATCTTTTCAAGTGGTATACCGCGAGAAAATATGATTCTTTCCAGTTCTCTGAGCCTCCCCCCGGACTTGGGCTGGTTCTCCTATTCTGGTTGGCGTGGCATCGTCAAACGATACACCTGTTCTAACCTCACATTCGGGCGCGACAAATTTGTAGCGATTTCTTCTATTGCTCAGTTCATTCAGAAAGACACAGACGATACCTACGCAGTGGGTATGTGGCGCAATGAGTTGATGTTTCAACTTTGCTAGACTACAAACCCTGGTCAAAGATATGCACCAATAACAGCCCCATCCTGGTCGTGGGCGTCAAACTCTGGTTCAATATACTGGTCTGGCGATGGGTCTGAAGGGTACGTGAAATCATACATCGAGATACAAGACATAGATATTGATTATGTCACGCCTTCCAATCCTTTTGGTGAAGTCATCGGAGGGATTCTATACCTACGTTGCGAATATCTAATCGAATGTACGGTACACGCAAGTACGGAATGCAAAGGAATCGTCATTGATGAAGAACTCAAGGTTAATGGTACAATAAGGACTGAAAATATGTATTTTGACGACTTTGAGGAGCATGCTGGGAACGATACGTTTCGAGCGTTTTGGCTACCTCTAACATATGATAGCGTGTACGTTTTTGTTCACACAGGGATTGTATTACAGCCGACAGAAATGAAGAAAGGCGAGTACAGTCGAATTGGTAGGGCTACACTAAAGAATTACCGCCCCGGTCCCAAGCATGGTTTTCCCAGTGAGCGTTTCCTCCCCCAAGACGATTACTGTTCAAGAGTGGAGGAAACTGATGAAGGGAAGCGACAGTATTATATATCCATTATATAGTTTTGTTGACTGCAGTGTCATTCTAGATTTGAACGGTATTTTTGTAACCGACATGAAGTATTCCTTGAACAATTAGTGTCCAAATGGATGCAATTTCCCCATAAATGCCCAGTGATTCTGTTGTGATATAGCTCGCCATCAAATGTATCAGCCGCCCTTCGCAATCTTTTCGGCTTCCTCTTCAGCCTCATTCACAATACCCTCAGCCTCATCTTTGGTAAAGGCATCTGTGAATTTGACCCAGCTCCCATGCGCAAGTCCTGTCCCGGCCCCGATAAGCAATCCAAGTCCAGCCGTCGGAATAGCCACGACGCCCGTCAACAATGCACCAACGCCCATACCCAAACCACTCGCCACACCAGCTCCGATGCCAGTACCCATTGCACCGCCCTGCAACCATCCCTTCTCGAGTCTCTCGGCTGTTTTCATGAGCTTAGCTGCCTTCTTGTCGATTTCTCTTGCTTCATGACGTATGTTCTCCGCTTGTTCCGGGTCTTCCTCTTTGTCTGCTTTCTCGTGTAGTTCGATGGATTTCTCTTGAAGACCTTTTGCTTCTTCGACTCTGCTCTGAATCTCTTTTATGATGCGGTCTTTTGTCTGAGATGAGCTTTCGGAGGGGGTTTCGCCATTTTGGCTATCGCCCTTGGATTGGTTGTTGGACATGAATTGGGCAGGGATTGCACCGGAGAAAATAGAACTCAGTGCCTCGTTCATGGGTTTGTTAATGGCAGGGATGAGGATAGGCGATGCTACTGTATTTATATGATTGACTAAACAAGTAGTCGGTGATAAGAGTGGAATGTGGCTGGGAAGGAAACCTTGGTTGGAACTTGGAAATGTACTTGTTTTATCGAGAGGTGGGGGTGGCGGATGACGTAGTAATCCCTGTATATACAGGATTTCTTGGTTGTACGTGGTGATGCACAATGATGGTACTCTGAGAGATGACAGTTTAATTGTTTAATACACAAATAAATAAAAAGCGCTAATATAAGATAAGGAGTAATAAAAGAATAATCATTTTCTTCTCTATGGCTGAATGTGAGACTGTAATAATAATACGTATTGAAATGTATCTATCCCCACTGCGATTCTTAGTTAGAAAACCAACTCTCCTTAGCTCCTAGTTATACTGATATAATTCCGTACTCTCTTTTCCAAGTAATAAAATACACAGAAGTCAACTCACATATGTTGGGGCTGTTGTTATAATAGCATCTGTCCCTCGAAGCAGTCTCATTAATAGATCTAAATTATACCACTCCATTGGAAGCTTTACTGCTGGTACAGCATGCATTAGCCACGTTGTGTCCAGCTCTATAATTGCAGCGTATTAGTAAAATACTATGTTTAGAGGTGTGTCTAATCCGAGTATACTTTCTTCCTCTTCAGAATTTCTGCCGCCGTCCGTGTGGGCGCCACCTACTTAGACTGAGCTATCAAGTATCGTGGATACATTGAACTTAGTACAATCCCACTGTATACCCTGATTATAACAAAAGACAAATACTAACACGGTAAATAGGGAATTTACTAACCGGGACACTCAGCAGGCCCGCCAATACAATATGGCCATTCTATACTTTATTACATCGATGCTTCCCATATTTTACCAATTAAGACATGGGTACCTGGGGTCAGTGCAATGAACCTAGTACAATGAGCCTCTAAATTAGTTTTACCATCCACCTCGACCAGGTCAGCAGGGTCCAGCTTTTCAAGCCTAAAAGACCAACCTATTCTCCATACCTGAACCCTTAAATTAACAAACGTGAGCTAGTATTCTTTATCTAATCTAACCGCAAGAACTAACCTAGAAAGTAGTCAAACTGGGGATGGCAGGGGGGATACCCAATCCACCTGGCCGCATATAAAAATTCAGGGATTGCGGCGTAGTTTCCCCCCGAAATCCACATTAAATTTTACTTCAATGTTAGTTTGAATAGAGATGTCAGCCCTACGACGTAGTAAAACACGGCCACTCCGGAAACTCGGTATTCCCTATCGAGTCTTCAGATCCTCTTCGGATATACGGCTGACAGTGCCGGCCTTGTCGCCATGCCAAGGGAACGCAACCAGGGTCATGGTATGATGATCCTTCTTGGTGTCGGTCTACTATCAAAAGAACCTCCGTTTACCAGTTGCGACACCTGATCATTGTCCGACTGTTGCGTTCAAACCCTGGTGGATGTCTCGGGATGAGGCGGTGTTGTTGATAGTGTAACTTCCTGCTGGTGAGATTGTTGCGCCCGTTGGGTGGTTTGGGGTGTGTTGATTCGCATCTTCGAACGTGATAGCAATTTCACCACTGGTAAACTGAGGGTTTCTGAGGCTCTTGTCTGTTTATCACTGCCAAGTGCAGCCATCACAAAGGACAGATGGCGAGCCCGCGAGCATCTGACTCACAGTCAGTTAAACGTAGCTTTGATAGACATTGGCGTACATGAGGACATAATTGCTGGATGCTTCATTATGATTATCACTATCAAGATGAACGGTGGATTTGAAACAGCATCAAATCAGTCAACAGTTATGTACTCTGAAAACATTCACGAATGAAATACGATACGGAGGAAGGTCTCGATGCAGAGGACATTTAAACGGGTAAATTTCAATGTGAGTATAGTTAACGGTAGAAGATTAAATATAACGCATTCCTAAGTACAAGTTGCCTAGCCCCTATACAATAGCTAGAGATTCAACTTTCTTGAGACCCCCAACACACAATAATTACAAGGGCAGAAATAATGACGCTTATACAAGCAGTCTAGAGGTTTCGAACAGTATCGCAGCCAGTGGCCCACTCAAAGTATTTAGCTGCGTTGTTGAAGTACTTCAAGTATTGGCTAAAAGTCATCAAGTTAGAAACAGCAATGTAAATGCGGATATGATAGTACTGACCTATGACCAGGAGAGCCTTCACCCTCGCTATCGTCAATGACATACTTTCCGTCGTCTGTCCAGAAGCATTGCACGTTGCGAGCTCCCATGGCATCAGCCTTGAAGAGATCGCAGTACTTGTGAATGTGGTCATCATTTCGTGGCTCAGTGATAAGCTGAACTCGGTATCTTCTCAGGGCAGCTTCACTCCAGTTGGAGACCCATTGGAGGGTAAGCTTGCAGTTGGCGCGCTTGTCGACTAAGGATAATTTAGTACTGAACAACTTCTGTCTTGAATAACGCGGGGGAAATACCTTCAGCAGTTTCGACGGAAGCAGGAACGGCGGCAGCAAGAGCGGGGACGGCAGCGGCAAGAGTGAGTAGTGAGAACTTCATTTTGACGGTGTTGAGTGAAAGAGTTGAATGAATAATGAATACTGAATGTGTTTGTGAGTTGGGTAAAGAGTTGAACCGTTCTTGGAGGCGATGCTCTTACTTTATAATTCCTCCCAGCTGCACCAGATATGTTTGAATCGAATGACCTCCACCGCTGGCCAGAAGGATAATGGCAGAAATGAGGTTTCCGGATTCAACCCACAATCTGATGTGTTCTGCGGTGTGACTATCGGGCCTTTCAATCTGATCTCCGGAATGCCTATTTCGAAATATATGGGGAATAAGGCAGAACTACTTCATCAAATTATCCACTTCAACAGCCTCACTAAACTACGTTGAAACAAATTGTGGTCCTGGAGTTGCATTGATTTAGCAATGGATAAGCGCTAGGCTTGGGTTTCACTCGGAATTGACCCACCGAAAAAGGAATCGTTCAATCCTTAGCCCATAAACGTCTTCAGTGGTATTACTCCATGTGGTATTGCAGCTGTCAATCGAAATAAGTCCAATGTCTTTGCGGCCCCGTAGAAGGAATATGTTTATGCGATTGTGGTCGGCCCTTTACTAAAGGATTCTCGCTTTGCTAGAAGGACGGACGGATCATCCGCAAGAGGCAGTGACCCAAATATAATCTTACCATTTTGGATGAGTGCCGGCAAATTTTAAGTAGCATATCATTCTAAACAATTATCTTGGACTATAAATTTGAGGTTTGACTCCGCACGATACCCTTCTTCTGTCTTCACTCTATTCCAATTCATCTAGCATCCAGCACCATCACTCAACATCAATCAAAATGAAGTTTACTCTCCTCACCCAGGCTTTTCTCGCCATCTCTTCCATCACTGGAGTCATTGCTTCTCCTACTCCTGATGTTGCCAATGGTAAGGTGCCCAGCCTTGAAGATATACATATATTAACCACATAATAGATTCCTCACTCGACAAGCGCAGAGACTGTTCGTTGACAATCAAGTATGAAAAGGTCTTTGTTGAGGACGGTATGGATAGATACCGCCATTGGCTTATCACCGAACCTCGCGAAGACAAGCACCTCCAATTTTGGTGCGAGGCAACCTATCATGCGCAGTACATGTACAACAGACAGTGCTACTGGGGCAGTGATGGAAAGTACTACGTTGATGTGAGCGTGGCTCGAGGTCCTGCCGGTCATGAGTATGTATAACTGATTCTCATGTTGTTTCTTTGCTAACTTGTAATTTCTAGTTACCTTATGAGCACATACAATGGTGCGAGCGAGGACTATGAAAGACTCACCCAATGCAAGGCTATTAGGCAGTTCTAGAGGAACCTTGCACTGAGGAAGCTTGTTTAGACTATGGCGGGTATAACAAACTTATAATCCTGAACGTTGATAACGAGAATGGGTAGGAGGGAAGTGGGAGGAAGAGGGGCACATGGAGAAACTAGTCTATCTTTGCACATATAACATTCTTTATAATACAGCAGTAATTGCATCTTGCACTTAATCTCATTAACGCCTTAGGCTTTGTCAACTTCGGGGTACGTGTGAGGTATCCACAGAGATATCGGGGAATTTTCGTATACTAACCATCTAGACCCTTGTCAGTTGAAGGTCCCTGCGGAAGCTAGACTAGCGGCTCCGGCATAATTTCTAACACAAGTAAGCAGATTGCCCCAGGCACAAACTGTAATGTTCTGAATCAAAGGTACGCCTTTTTCAGAATAGTCTGCTCTACTGCTACTGGCCTTGTCTCACATTTTCGCGACGTCCTGGATATCGTATCCATGCGGTGATTGTATGTAAAGAGCAGCACGTGAAACAGCACGTGATTATATCACCCCCATCCACTGTCCGAAGCAAGAGCTTTAATCAATTTATTCTCTCAGTATTCTGACATTCAACATTGTGTTAAATTGAGAGATTGACATCTGCTGTTCACGACTGTTTTAACAAAATGGATAACTGCGAGGGTTGTAATTGAACCACGTCCACAAACTCACGCTATATTGTTTATCTTCTTATTGTAGAATCCAGCCATGTGCAAGAATGATTTGCAATATTCAATTAAACAGTTAAATACCAATAGATTAAAGTTAGCCAGAGATCATAGAGAGTTTCAGCATTTAAATGAATAAATTGCAGTGCATTCACGTTGCAAAGCATAATATCTCATTTGGCATCGAGGTTACCCTGCACTACACTATTTTAGAACACACGTGAAAAGTCATGTGCAAAGTCACGTCCGACTTACGTCATTAACCCGCTATGGCTCAAGTCTGTTGGTTCGAGCCCCGCCACCCGACAATAGAGAAGATTATCTCTCATTTTGCCTTTTTCGTCAGACAGCAAGCCAGAGACATCATCATCCCTGATTGGCCAAGACAATCAGTCATCCCTTAATATCCCTTGCTCTCCAAGCCAAGATCTTATCTCGACAGCCTGTCCTCTCATTTCCAACATCATTGCATCTATCGAAAGAAATCATAAACCAATCAGTCAATTGAATTGGTATCTAAAAAATATCAAAAATGTCAACAACAGGCTTGGGGCGTCTGGGCTCCACTTCCCCAGACCCAGGCGCGTCATCACGCGATAACCACGCTCTTCTCGACATGGTGGATGGGGAAGAAGGCGTTACGAGAGGGAGAAGTCATGGTGTGGCTAAAGGTGCTGCGGCGGATTTAATGCGACGACTTGGAGTTTCCCCTGAGCGACGTATTAAAGTTACGCCTGAAGATGATGCGCGTGTTCTCAAGAGGATTGATATGGTTGTTCTGCCTCTTATGCTGGCAGTCTACTTTCTCCAAGGTAAACAACTCTATCGAAACCTAAAAGAATTGTGCTAAAATTAGACTAGGTCTTGATAAAGCCACAATTGCATATGCCTCCATCTTCGGTCTCATAGAAGACACGCATCTCAAAGGCAACCAATTCTCATGGCTAAGCAGCATCGTCTACGTTGCTCAGCTTATCGCTCAGTTCCCGCTAGCATGGCTTATTGTGAAACTTCCAATCGGAAAACTCACAGCATGTATGGTGACCCTCTGGGGCCTCACTCTGACTTTAATGGCTGCGGCACACACTTTCCACAGTCTGTTGTTCGCCAGATTTTGGCTAGGCGCGTTTGAAGCGAGCATTGCACCTAGCTTCGTCGCCATTACGCAAATGTTTTGGAGAAGACGAGAACAGCCGTTGAGAATGAGTTATTGGTATGCTATGAATGGCTTCACAGGTGTTGTATGTTGATCTCTCTCGATTGTGTGATGGGACTGACCTGGGAATAGTTTGGAAGCTTGGCGACTTGGTGGCTTGCACAATTGCCTTTGGGATTGAAGCCATACCAGGTAAGTTCAATATGACCTCATACTGCTACCAGTTACTGACTAATTAGACCATTTTTGTCGCCTTTGGTATCATCACAGTTTGCTTCTCAACTGTCTTGTTCTCCTACATGCCTGACTCCCCAGCTGAAGCCAAGTTCCTCAATAAACACGATAAGCTTATCGCCATTGAGAGACTGAGGATGAACCAGACGGGTGTCATGTCGCGCCAATGGCGATGGGATCACTTCTGGGAGACTATGCGAGATGTCAAAACCTGGCTGTGGTTTGGTCTTATTTTCAGCATTTCGTACGTCAATCCCTTTACAAATCTTGGTGACTACTAACAAATTGATCCACAGTGTTCCCTCTGGTGGTGTTGGTTCTTTCGGTCCCCTTCTCATCAAATCATTCGGCTTCGATTCCTTCGAGGCCATCCTGTTCAATGCGCCTTTTGGTGTTGTGCAACTCATTTCTACTGTTGGAGGGTCTTACGTGGCTACCAAGTATCACAAAAAAGGTCCAGTGATTGCTTTTCTGGCCATCTTTCCGATTATTGGCTGTATGATTATGTTGTCTACGCCACATACACCTGACGACAGGAATACTTTGCTTGGTGGCTACTACATGATTTCCGTCTTTCCAGGAATAAGTGAGTTTATGTTCATTCATTTGCCTTTTACATACTGATAGTATTAGTCCCCTTGATCTACTCATGGGCTTCCTCAAACACAGCCGGCGACACTAAAAGCAAATGCAACTCATCTGTCCTTTTCATCGGCCAATCCCTCGGCAACATCATCGGTCCACTACTCTACAAACCATCCGAAGCACCCGAGTACCATAGAGGTTTATCCTGGAACTTGCTCCTGTACATGGCGATTGAGGGTCTTGTCGTGGTAACGAGCATGTATCTCACCTTTCTCAACCGCGACCACAGCCGCCGTCGCGTCCTGGCTGGAAAAGACGCTGTGATTGTAGATTACAGTCTATACTCACCTGACGAAGCTGATCGTCTTCGGAGAGCAAAGGCTATGGATGGACAGACTGTTGAGAGTGCGAAGGATGGAACGGTTGGAGATCATGCCTTTGATGATTTGACGGACTTGATGAACGATGAGTTTCTGTATGTTTTCTAAATAGGGTTGGTTAGTTGATGAAGTCGGTTGAATGGTCACGAGTAGGAGAAAAGATGGCTTCCAGCCTTGAGGGCACAAAAATAAACGAGCTAATGTTACAGCATAAATGTCCTAGAGTGACTTGCTAATATTGTCTCTCATGCCTGAAGCGGACCACTTTTCTGATACCCTGAGGAATGGCATTTGCCGATATTTCTACCGATTGCTTCCTCGGAGTTATAGCCAATCGGATGTCCTCAATATCCGAGTGAGTTGGAATGAGTTGGAGTAAGCAAAGCGAAATGACGTATTGACTTGAATCATCAGTGTTAGTATATGGCAAATGAATAGGAGAATATGTAAAATATCTCTATTTTATTCTTTAGAAAGGTCACGAATGTCCATGTAATGGCAAATATCTCTTTCTGACAAGAAGTAGTAGGATATCTCAGGTTAACTTGAGTTGCAGCTGGGGAAGACTAGGACAGACTAGGACAGTCTAACGAATTGACCAATTATGTGCCAGATAATCAAATTGCCGAGGGCAGAATGTGGAGAAATCCTTCCTCGGAAGCTATCAATGGTTACCTCCATCTCATCTGGGGTAAATAATCTGGGGCAATCCAGACGATCAAAAGCCAAGACGATGTAAATAAATACCCAGCTCCTCCTCTCCTCTTGTCTAGTTTCTTATCTGTGTCAAGAATCACTTTACAAAATGGCTCTTACAGAACTCTTCATCTCTCCTTGGGCACCTGTGGCTCTTGTCGTCGCCTTCGTTGCATGGTACATCCTCCCATGGGTCAGCAACAAAGACCTCCGCGGTATTCCCGCACCTTTCCCGGCACAGTTCAGCAACCTCTGGTTATTGTCAACATGTCGAAAAGGAAAACGTTACGAAATCGTTGACCAAGTTCACAAGAAGCTGGGAGTTGTCGTGCGCATTGCACCAAACCACGTGTCAATTGCTGATAGCGAGGCAATCAACACTATCTACGGCCACGGAAATGGTTTATTGAAAGCGTATGTTTTATCACGAGTTGGGCATGGCAGAAACAGTAAGCTAACTATATAGCGACTTTTACGATACCTTTGTGTCTATCCGCCGCGGTCTGTTCAACACACGCGACAGAGCCGAGCACTCTCGAAAGAGAAAGATTGTTTCACATACTTTTGCTCCCAAGTCTGTTCTCGAATTTGAGCCTTATATCCGCCAGAACCTTGAAGTCTTCATCAAACAGTGGGACCGTATCGCTAGTAACAAAGAGCGAGATGGTTATGGCCGCACTGACTGTCTCAACTGGTTCAACTTTCTCGCTTTTGATATCATCGCTGACCTGGCTTTCGGCAAGCCATTTGGTGAGTAACCTCTGGCCATTGCATTGACACAAAAACTGACATATTCTAGGAATGCTCGCCTCTGGTGCCGATATTGCTGAAGTCAAGGCCTCCCCCACCAGCCCAACTATCTACGCCCCAGCCGTCGAAATCATGAACCGTCGCGGCGAAGTCTCGGCAACTCTCGGCTGTCTCCCTCAACTCAAGCCCTATGCCAAGTATCTCCCCGATCCTTTCTTCAGCCAAGGTCTCCAGGCTGTTGAGAATCTCGCTGGTATCGCCATTGCACGTGTTAGCGAGCGTCTGGAGCGCGGCGGTGACTCTACCCGAAAGGACCTTCTGGCTCGTCTCATGCAGGGTCGCGACGAGAAGGGCGAACCTCTTGGACGTGACGAGCTTACTGCTGAGGCTCTTACCCAGTTGATTGCAGGAAGTGACACAACTTCCAACTCTTCTTGTGCTTTGCTGTATCATGTTGTTAGGACACCTGGAGTCATGCAAAAGCTCTACGAGGAGGTTACTGCTGTCATACCCGAGGGCGAAGTTATTCCTGATTTCGAGTCTGTGAAGCACCTTCCCTACCTCGGCCACTGCATCAACGAGACCCTTCGAATTCACTCCCCGTCTGGCATCGGTCTGCCTCGTGAGATCCCTCCTAACCATAAGGGCGTCACTATTCATGGAATATACTTTGGCCCCGGCACAGTCCTCAGCGTTCCTACATATACCATTCATCACTCAACGGAAATCTGGGGCCCTGATGCTGATGACTTCAAGCCTGAGCGCTGGGAGACATTGACCGACAAGCAGAAGAATGCTTTCATTCCCTTTAGCTACGGGCCTCGCTCTTGTGTCGGACGAAACTTGGCGGAGCTTCAACTCAGGGTCATTACGGCTACTTGGATCAAGCGATATAATGTTATTTTGAGACAGGATGTTATGGAAACACGGGAAGGATTTTTGCGCAAACCAATGGGATTGGATGTGGGATTGGCTAGACGATAAATACGTAAGGAATAATATATCAAACAAAAGTCTATGCACATCGCGGTATCAACAAAATCGGCCGATAGGAGCATTCCAATTGCCGTGACCGACCTGATTGTGATCAAGAGTAAGTGAGGTCAAAAATGGAAATCACGTTGGCTATATACCATTCTTCACCGCAGAAGGCAGTGTTTCTACCACACTCCCCATCTTTGGAACAGCATGCTCCCCAAGCATGGATGCACAGCCGACCAGGTGTCACAGAGCCACAGGTTCCGTTCTCTCTGATGATACCAGCCTCTCAGGGTGGAAGAGCGACAACTGTCGAAGACTAGGCGACGGCGCCCACGACCAAGAAGGAAACAGATGGTAGTGTCTTGTCCATAATCAACAGTAATTCTGCGGTAAGATGAAAAACGAGTCACTATACAACACTTGCTGAGGGTATGTAGCATAAGTATATATTTGCTGATACAAATATACTAACCTGCCCATCTTTTCACTGAACCATCGGGAGGCACGTGTAGCTAGGCATTGTCACCCTGATACTGGGTAGATGCAGTCGATAGGATGACATGGAATGAAAAGTTCCTCTCGCAAGCGCCTCAGAGATTTTAGTGTTCTAGATCATTTTGATTAAGTCCCTCGGCAGAAATGTCAGATTTATCGAGCCAGATAAAAATTTGCCCTTCCGAGGTAAGGATGCGAATCCATGTAGTAACTGCTATGTTGATTGGAGCATTTGCATTTACATGGGTTAGACGCCAAGCTAACTGATCTAGCCAAGCCCGAAACGTCGATATCCCGTCGGCAAGGGCCGACGACCCTTGCATAACACTAGACATAATCTCCGGTCAAAGCCTCAAAGGATCACAATTTTATACTCGTATAGGCTCATAATCCTACCAAGACAATATCACCTTCCTTTTGAGTTAAAGCCCATCCACCCGGCTGTATTTAACCATGCCAAAATACTAGATCTTGGGAAAAATTCCACAGCCATCTGGCCGTTAGAAGGATCGTAACCCCTGCTACTGAGCCTCAACTAGGCCCATCATGGCCCAGATCCCTAAAATCGTGGCGAAATTCGATGTGGTTTGGGATACATACAGGGTACTGTTGTTACATCTGCAAAGCCCTTGTAGCGGGATAAAGAGAGGTGAGAAATTTAGTAGCGCGTCTAGAACAGTCTCTTGTCAACACCCTGCAACACAGGAGATTGTATTATAACCGTAAGAATATAGTGTTTGAAGGATGTGGTAGATAGATATACGTGCTGCAATCCCTCATCAAGACAACAAGCCACGTTCTCTGCTCTTCGGCTTTTGTCACTCTTTCAATACCCATCTTTGTTGGCATCATGCGATCCCAACTATCGCATTTCGCCCTTTGGGTAGCAGCAAGTCAAGTCGTTCTTTTTACTTCACTCGTTCATACTTACGATGAGACTCCAAGCGTTCATCAGGAGAGGGCTATTAAAGATCTATGGCCAATTGATGGTGAGTTAACGCATTTGCGTCAAGAAGTCGACAGTATGTGTTAACAATGTCTTTAGAAAAAACTCAACAAATCTTCAACAAGATCCAGAATAGCCCTGCCCATCAGAATCCGGATGAAGCGCCACCAGTCCACATTCCTGCAGATGCCATTGGTATGAACAAAAGTTTGACTAATTACACGTCGGCCTCACATTTGCAGACGAGAAGCGCCAGTCTGTTACAAAAACGTGATGCTCTACGGTGTGATAACGGACCTTGCATTGATGGAAGGTATTTATATCGCTTTCCGACCTTTTATTCATTTCTAACCAATTGTTTCAGCTGCTGTGGTAAGAACAGCATTTGCGGCTATGGGCCTGACTATTGCGGTGATGGGTGTCAGTCTCAGTGTGACGCCACAGCTATGTGTGGAGAATTCAGTGAGGACGCTGACATGCCGTGCGGCATGAAGCTTTGTTGTAAGTATTCACCCAAGAAAGATTCCCCGTAAGTATGGTACTTACAAGACAACAGGTAGCGCAACCGGGTGGTGCGGTAGTAAGTAGTATCGCCCATCATCAAGTATCTAACACTCTACTGACCCCATTTAGCCACTGAGGTCTATTGTGATAATGCTGACCCCGTCCACAAGACCTTACCTTGTCAGGCTGGCTATGGTTCTTGTACCATTACTGGTCCACCAGCGTGTGCAAAAGGTAGCGGCGGTTCCAGTGCCAGAACCATCGGCTATTATCAGTCCTGGAACGTTCGAACCCGACTATGTAACAAAGTCTCACCCAAGCAGCTTGACACTAGCAAGTTCACACACATTTTCTTTTCATTCGCCTTCATCGACCCTTCATCTTTCAAGGTTGCCCCTGCCCACCCAGACGATATTGCCCTTATGAAAGAGTTTACGTCTTTGGCGAGTAGCAAGCTCAAGACGTGGATCGCCATTGGAGGCTTCGACTTTTCCAATCCTGAAGTTGCAACCCATAAAACATGGTATGTATTATGGTCGCATGGACGACAAACTCCAGCTGACCATTTTGTAGGAGCCAGATGGTCTCGAGCAAAACCAACCGAGCCGCGTTCATCAGCTCGGTGAAGGAGTACATGGATACCTTTGGGTTTTCTGGCGTTGATCTTGACTGGGAATACCCAGGAGACCCTAAAAGAGGCGGCAACAAACTAGCCGACACAAGGAACCTTGTTGCTCTTGTAAGAGAGATGCGTGCAGCTTTTGGGCAGTCTTACGGTATTAGTCTCACGCTTGCTCCCGACTATTGGTATCTCAGATGGTTCGATGCAAAGGCCATGGAACCATATGTCGACTTTTTCGGTTTTATGGCTTACGGTATGATCACTGTACCATTCGTCGATACTCATACTAACAATGGTAGACTTGCATGGCTCCTGGGATGCTGACGTCTTGACCCTTGGTAAAAAAGTTCGCGGTCAAGCCGATATTCGTGAGATTCGCAACAACACGGTGCCTCTTTGGTTTGAAGGCTTAAACCCCCAGAAACTAAACTTTGGCCTCGCCATGTACGGTAGAGGCTACACTCTAAGTGATCCATCTTGCGACCAACTACTTTGCGGCTTCTCAGGTCCTAGCAAACCAGCTCCCTGTACCGGATTCGGAGGCGTCATGTCTCTCATCGAAATCCAGCAGTTAATAAAGAAGAAGAACCTCAAGCCTCAGTACCTACCCGACTCGATGATGAAGCAGATTACCTGGGATGATCAATGGATCGGCTATGATGACGAGGAGACATTCGCAGCCAAGAGAGCGTTTGCTGACAGTCTTTGTTTTGGAGGCACCATGATTTGGAGTATTGACTTTCAAGTTCCAGGTTCTGGCTCGTAAGTACTACTAATCCTTAGTTGGCGATGACATCTAACAATTGCAGACCGGACGACGCAGATGGGGAAGTAGTCTATCTTGATCCCTCTGTCTACTCAGGAACACCAGCCCAATGTACCGGACCTTGCCAACTCGTGCTGCCACCAAGAGCGTTGCCCTCCAAGACTACCATCTCCATTCCACCTTTCACGACGTCTCTTGAGGTTGCTCCCGGATCCACCAAGACGGTGACAGTCACGGTTCCCGATATTGTTACAGAGTCCATAGACTACTACAATGTCAGAATCACGTCTGGTCAAGATCAAGGAACCCTTACACCCACTCCCAGTATCAGTATCAAACCGATCACGACAACACTGACTCTCGAAGGTGGCTCGACTCAAGTAAGAACACTTACACTGCCTCCATGGCCCAAGATCATTGGGGGTACAATTGCGCCAGGTAAACCAGGCGCCCCCAAGACGAAGACAAGCAATACAGGAAATCCCTGGATCATAACCGGCCCTACACAAAATGACAACCCCCCGGAACCAACGTGGGAGCCTTATACGAAAACGCCATTTGGTCAAGAAGAGCCTAGCCCTACCTGGCCTGTATCTTGGGAAATCAAGCCTGTTCAGACTGACGTCTCGGAAAAGGGCGAGGATGATGATGGTGACGGACCCAAGAGTAAGACAACTTGCAAGTTGTGGTTCTTTTGGGTCTGTATCAGCTGGCCGGAATTTGGTGTTGACATCAAAGGTTGGGAATGGAATATTCCGCCTGGAATTTTGCCTCCGTAAGTTCATTTCTGGCACAGGTGCATCCCATTTGTGCTTTCCTTGCTAATAATACTTCGTCTAGTGGTCCACCCCCGATTGACAAGATCAAGCTACCTCCTGGGTTCACAATCAAAGGAACGCTTCCCCCGTGGCCCAAGATGACGTAAGTTACTCCAATATGCCCTCAATCGATACGTCTAACGTTTGGTCAACAGTGTCCTCCCTGGAGGTCAGATCGCTCCTCCACCTAAGCCTGAAGGGTGCACACCAGCAGAAGCTTCACTCTGTCTGACAACTAGTGCCTTTGCGACAACCGTTTCCAAGGGAGTGACCAGGACGACAGCAACGCAGGTGAAATCAACTTGTGCCACTATCACCGGATGCAACTTCAAGGATGTCGAGGCTACTAAAGAAGTCGAAAGCTGCAAACTCACGAAGAGGGCTCTCGATATCGGGAACATGATGCCCGAGGTCACAGGCCTTCCTGAGCACGAGAAGCGTAGTCTTACCAAGAGACGACTCATGCCTGACTGGAATTGCGAGTCCAATGGAGACGGAGCCTTCGTGCTCCTCCGCGATCCCACAAATAGCCTCGCGCGCCGAATTGTGATCCAACTACTCAACGAGCGAAAAGAGCAACTGAACGCGCGTGGTATGGACGCCGACTACAAGGAATTCCGGGCAGATGATCTTGGTTTCACAGGTTTTTTCATCCTCTATAACGCTGGTCCCCTCGCTATAAACTACTTCAGATCCAGCGAGGTCCCAGAGGTAAGTCTACATTTGGAATTCGCAATACAAAGGCTGACTAGAGGGTATTCATTAGGTACGATGGATATACAGAAACAAAGGCAGCGCATTTGCGAAACGAGACGAGCCTTGGCCACGCCCGAAGAACGACATCAAAGCCAAAAATCACAACAAGAGAAATGCGTCCAAGAATCCCCAGTCTCACGAACGACATGGCTCTTTGGCTAAGAGAACTGAACAAGATTCTGCCGACCGCATGTGGCAATTGTCCATGATCTCAATGCCCGAGAATTATCCTTTCGATGCGGACTTTGGTTACGCGGACACAAGCAAGCCGCGTCACGAGCCCAGCAAGAAAAAGTACACACATTATTATGACTCTTCAGGGGGAAGTGGTCAGACCGTCTATGTTGTAGACGGTGGTTGGTTCGGTCCTCAAGAACCAGTCAGTACAACTCCAATCTAAAATGTGTAGAATCGCAATACTAATACGGCGTGACGTCAAACAGGACTATGCAAACGCCAATCCCGTGCAGCTGACTCCTGACCCGATTTGGCAAATCACCGATTCACCCTATGCAGACAAGGCTCACGGGTACCTAGTTTCGTCTTACGCCGTCGGCCACTCGATGGGAATAGCTCGTTCAGCCAACCTTGTCTTTATACCTTTTTACATGACAGGTACATTCGTCGGAGAGCGTGCCATTGAGGTTCTTCTGATGATTGCCAATCACCAAAACGGCAAGATGAACAACAAGGCCGTTGTCAACATGTCGTATGGAAACGAGTTCATCGGTGCAAATGATCCTACGATCTGGGTTATACACAGTGAGTACTGCCCACGCCATGACATGTGCGATTTCATCTACTGACGCATTATTTACCTACTAGCCATGTTGATGCGCCTGATGGAGGAAAAGTACGGAACAGTGTTTGTCGCTGCTGCAGGCAATTTTCCTGAGAAGCCTTTTCACGAGCCACAAATGTCTATGAAGCATCTCAAGTCCAGGTTTATTGTCGGTGCTGTAGACGGCTACAGCAAAAGAGCCGATTTCAATGTCTTTGATGAGATGATCACAGACTGGGCACCAGGTGTAGACCTACCATTCAATAGGCCTCTTCCGAATCTACCGCAGTATGACAACGGTGCCTCGGGCACATCTTTTGGTATGTTTTTCCTCTTCATTTCAACTCAAACTACTCTAACCATGTTTTTGAATCGCAGCCGCTCCCCTTGTCGCGGGACTCATTGCCTACATTCGTGGACATCCTGGAGCAGCACAGGCTGGTATTGCGACACCAGAACAAGTTAGGGCCGTTATTGAGAGCAAGAAACGGTTCCTGTCTTACAGCCCAGAGCGACAAGACAAGAAGATAGTTGTCTATAATGGCCAAGAACGACCAGATGGTGTCGATCCTGCGGCCTGCAACCCTGGCGCGATTCCAAAGAGAAGCCTAGAGTCTCGCAACTTTGTTAGCTCATGCGAGATTCCAGGTTCTGGAGGCAACAGTGGTGATGGAACCGGGCCTCGATTCGGACCTTCTGTTGAGTTCAAGCCTGGGAAGCCCGGTCCGTTGTGTAGTGATGTCTGCGGAAAGCTTTGCGAAGGCTTTTGGTGCACTTTCAACCCTACCGGAACGAACCCTGACTTTTCCAACCCCACTTCTCCTGCTGGATCAGATAACTCTGATTCTGGATCTGGATCTGGATCTGGAGGAAACAATGGCAACTCGCCAATTCACTTGACTGGTCTGCCTGACCTACCTACCCCAACTGATAGCAGTGGTGTTCCTGTCGGTAAGGTCTGCCTCGCTTCTACTACCAACATTGTTTGCAATGGAGGTCCTAGGGGAGGCGTTTGCCAGACCTCTACATCCTGCATCAGCACTGGTGTCGACCCCAACTTTCCCACCATCACCGCATGGGTGCCACCTACAAGCCCACCTGGAGCAACATGCGCTTCGAGTACTACATGGACTCTGCTGGGAGGTCCCAAAGGCCAGGCTACGATAACATCCAGTGCCTGTGCCTCGTGGAAGCCAAAGGAGACTCCCAAGCCGAAGCCCGTTCCAAAGGGTCGTTGCATCACTGCACACACCTACATGCGTAATTGTATTGGCTCTCCTGATAGCATGTACGTCCAGGTCTGGGAGAATGGTATCCTTGTATGCGACTCTGGGAACGGTATCTGGTGGGCTTCAGATCAGTCCGTCTATCGAATGGACTGTGCTGGCAAAGCAAAGGTTAGTGTGACCGACAACGGATCCCAGTTGACATATACCTCCGATGATGGTTTCTCTATCACGGGCAAGAATTACAAGAGGCAGTCAGATACCGTGGTATGCGGTACCAAGCCAGGGCGCGGCGATATGCCAGACGTAGATTTGCACGGCTTCCTCTTCGAGAACACCTTTATGACCAATAACTGTGAAGGGTGTCCTGTTCCGGAATTGTGCGACTACGATCATACTATGTGTCCTTTCGACGGACAATGCAAGTAGTCAAGACTACTGCATAAAACATACACATGCACAACACAATTATTGTATTTCATTTGTTTATATCTAGCAAGATCTTTGAACAGAAAAAGTATTAGAGTTAAATACGATATTCATTTGTACTAGGAACACTAAGAGTAACGTTAGTTAATATTAGATATGGACGTGATTCTACCTGCAAGCTTAGTTTTGACCATCTATCTAGATGATAATACTCGGTCATCATATGTGCCTCAGCGATGTGTTTGACGTCCATGTAATCTCTCGGAAATTTTAGCGGGTTGAGAATAATTACCTTATTCAACATGAAGGATTCCTGCGCAAACCAATGGTATTGGATATGGGATTGGCTAGACGACAATGAAATGATTGAAATGAAATCCCTCAAACTGGAGTCTCCTTCTGCTTAACAGGTCCCTGCTCCTTCTCGGCCTCTGACTTTGGCTCTGCCTTTTGGGCTCGATCTTCTTCCTTTGCACGCTTCGCTTCATTGTACTGCCACGCTTCATCAAAGGTTGCATTGTCCCAATCTAGTCGCTTGTTAGTTTAAAATGTCATGTGAATAGGCATTGATCGGATAAGGGATATACCGAAAGAATGAGCATTTGGATCAGGTCGAGGAGCAGGGTTCATTTTGACGATTGAAGGTGATCAGGGCGACAAAAAAAACAGGACGAATGAGTGGATTGTGAAAGAAATTGAACTGGAATGTGTCATACAAAGACTCATTTGAATGCCTACCGGTTGTCCAAAATGGATGGCGCACTTTCCGTCGTGAATCACGAACGAGAGCCGACAAGACGTCAATATGGGAAGGCAAGGGAAACAAACGTCACTTAATGTTAATGAGATGCACATGATTCTATTTAGTAGATCAACTTGCTTTTACACAGATGACGTGGGGAAACACAAGCAGGATCCCGTCGTTATGCCACAGTCCGTTCCAAATTCAAGCCCATAATTCAGCACCCACTGGTCGTCTTAGCTGTGACTTGAGGATATCAGTGGCAGAATGCCTTGAAAGATTGATAGTCGCGAATATCGATACAGTCTTGGCCTTGGTGGACTTGCTTCTCATGTTTCGTGCAGTCGTTCTTCATGTAAAGGAAGACTATACCCTGATTAGCAATCTCCTTTTATGGTAATTGTAGATTGAAGAACAAACCGCGGCAGGTCTCTGTGATGTGCTTGACGTCCATATAGTCTCGCGGCAGATGGAAACATTCTCCATCTGGAAAGGAATCTGTGTGCCCACTGACTCCCCATCCACATCCGATCATGTTTGGAAAGGTTTTGATTGTAACAGCGTTCTCCTCTGTGCGCTGCGCAATGGTTGCAGGCAGCGCAGATGCAAAAATACAAAGAGATACGAGATTGAACTGCATATTGAACGATTGATGGGTTGAAATAAGAAGTGTAGATAGAAGTAGCAAGGATACCAAATATTCTAGAGATGAGAATGGTCTGAATAGATGGAACTGACCTTGGATGTCGGGTTGTGATGCGATTTATACCTTTTGAAATAGGCGGCCTCGCATGTTATGATATCTCACAACGCACAAGTGTATTACCATGCCGTTGTTAGTAACTCCGTTGAGCATACACCGTGCACTACTGAGAGTCGATGCTATCCTACAAGAGTCGAAAGCCGTGCCAAATCGGAGCTGAAACTGGTGGTAGATTGTGGTGCGTTTCGAGCTACATGACCGACCACGTAAGAAATAAGATTGGCGGTGAGAAACTACTGAATATCTCGGGCTACACGATCAAAGGTTACATCTTTTCAATAATTATCGGTTTATTATCTTGTGACTCCCCTACCCAATGAAGTAAAACTCAAGAGGTAAAGATCAAGGCTTCAGTATTTCAGCTTCATGCAGGTATGATCTTATGCCGTCAGCAGTCAGCGTGGCCGGCCCACCTCAACGTTTTGAGTGATATAATGGATTCAAGTAACTCGAGCTCTATTACATAAAAAAGAAGCAGAAGAAAAAGTAATTGAACTGTATATCCTCAATGGTAGACAGTGTTGGAAATGTTTGATATTGATTTTTAAATGCTACCACCAAGCCAGATCTTTGTGTCTTGGCGATCCTGTACTCTGTCGGGTGGTCATGAGAATGTGCTGACAAGTGTTTCCTGCAGGAAGTAAGCAAGAGAATGTCACAGCCTGCGGTCTGGACCCTGATAATGACGCCACGAACAATTCTGACACCTGAAGAATCCACTTTTTGCTTAATTCTTTAATGTAACATCATGAAATGCTCTCGGAGGTAGATACTAATCAGTACAAATGATCCGGCTACGAAAAAAGTGAAGGCCAGTAGTCGCAACCTCCGCCATTTGCGCCTCGTCGATGTGAGTTCAGCCGCACGTAACATTGCATTTTCACAATGACAATCTTACAGTAAGATGAGATACTTGACCGGTGACACCGTAGCGAAGGGTTTTCAACACCATGCAAGCAAGTGTTAGCTGCGCCTTTAATACTACTGGGTATGGCTTGTTGAGAATGTTTGCTTCATCCTCAAGGTTATAAAGGTTGGCGAATTTCCCTCTCAACAGGGACATAACATCAACAATCCAGAGAATTTCTATAACTCTTAATTGCACTTAGCATTATCAATTGCAACCAACCACTCCCCAAACCAACCATCAAAATGACTTCAGACTTCCTCGGTGGCCATCACTGCGCTCAGATCAAACCGAAGTCTGGCGAGGATCGTCTGGCCCTCGAGAAAGAGTATTACTGGCCAAATGGATCCCAGATTGTTGTCAACATGTGGGGGTATGTTATAGTCTACTTGATACGTAGACATTTACTAAATAGTTTTGAACAGGCAGAGCGACTTCGTTCGCAGCAAGGTCAAGCAGTTTGCCGAAGAATGGACACGCTATGCCAATCTCAGCTTCAAATGGATGGAGCGTGACGCCCCAGGGGATTCCGATATTCGCATCTCCTTTGACCGAGATGGCTACTGGTCGTACATTGGCACCAACTGCCGAAGCATCAGCCAGGACCAACCAACCATGAACTACGGTGGTATGACTGACGACATGAGCGACTTGGAGTTTAGTACAGCTGTCTGTCATGAATTCGGTCACGCACTTGGTTTCATTCATGAACAGTCGTCTCCAGTTGCTAACATCCAATGGAACAAGCCGGTAGTTTATGAATACTATGAGAGGGTCTACGGTTGGAACCAGAGTTCAGTTGACTTCAACTTGTTTGCAACTTTCAAGCAGGAGGACGTCATTAACTCGAGATACGATCGAACATCTATCATGTGGGTGCTCTCAGGTATTGGACACTAGTCCTGGGGTTTGTGTGCTAATATGAACCAAGGCAATACTCCTACGATGCTAGCATGACCCTCGATGGCTCCTCTGCACCATGGAACAGAGTCATCTCCAACCTCGACAAGGTCTTCGCCATGCGACTGTACCCCAAGGAGGGTATCCAGCGAACCACTACAGATGGTGTATACTTCATCAACCGCGAGCGCAATGGATTTGAAGCTTCTGGAATTGCGTACTACTCGCATTTCGGTAACAATGACGGTCAGCAGCCTGACACCTACGTCGAAGTTTCCAACGGATCTTTTACTTGGTGGGAAAATGGCGGTGAAGGTACGGTTCTCTAACTTCTGCCCTCAACCTTTAACGTATGTTTGCTAATGAACCACTCACAGCCACCTTTGGTGGAAGCGGACATGTCATCAAGTGGAACTTGGCCGAGGACGCGGGACGATCACCACTCTACACAAGAGTTGGATTTGCGGACAAGGAGGATGAGAAGTGGAATGTCTACCGTGATGACAACCGTGTGTTGTTTGAACATGACGGGTGGCAATTTCGCGCTGTGTTCTGGGCCTTTTAAGGTTTAGAATTCAGTGCCTACCTTTGACGGTGGGGTTGTTTGTTCCTACACTGTGTATCGAAATGTCATTTTCTTCATATTTTTATCGTTTAAATAAGCGAGTAAATAATGACAAGTGAATATAAACTCTGATATAATGTATTAAATGTCTACAGAATTCGGATTACTGGCCTGTGAGTGTAAGAGCGATCAAAATAAATTAATTGCCGATCTAACTTGATGGACTGTGCACTGTGAAGCTATAAGATCATGTGATCGCGCACGTGATACCCCTCAAGCTCAACACGGATCTTCGCAAATCAAGCAAGCAATTTTCCAACGTCTCTATTAAATCAGCTCTCTAATCTAGTCATCTTTATACCTCTTGAGGCCGCTAGCGTCTCTTTATCTATTTTTTCTCAACTTATAGACACTTCACTTCCTTCTTCGTCACTCTATCAACAATGATCACTCTGGCCCGCTCCACCATCGACACAACCACCGAAACATGTCATTTCATATCCAATCCAACCTTCGCCACCTTCACCACAAGAGAATAAGCTGTGATACATATTGAAGTTGCTGACATCTTGGTGATATTTGAGAAGCTCGCGAGCTATCTCCTCTCTGTAGTGACCTTTACGAATTCGAGTTAGTTTCATAAAGACTCGAAAAGTAAATGTGGATGGTTTGAGAAGGTTTCAAAAAGGAAAGGGACCTCATACCTTTTTTCACAAGATTATACCCGCAATAGTTGAGACCCGTTGTGCAGGTAGCGGCATTGGCGTAACTTGCCAATGTGGCAAGAGTGGATAGAAACAGTAGAGAGCACTTCATTTTTTCGGATGTTGAATATTGGAACTCGTAGGAGACTTCGATAGTTGGATTGAATTGGTTTTTTATTGAAGTAACTGCGCGGGCAAGGGACATCTTATACATTTCGTCGCTCCAGTATGAATGCCTCTGGTACTTTTCTGCTGTAACGTAACAGGTTAGAGAGTACGAAGTCGTATTTCAGATATTGTCAGCCTTGAATCAAGCTTCTCGCATTCTCGTCGGGCTGTGTTATTCTGGAGTGGGTACTTCTATCATGAGGTTGAGTATGAGTGTAAACCTTCAATGGTTGGACTAGCTACTCAGCTTCAATTGTTTGTCAACTTATGTCGGTACTCCCGATGCAGATTATCTTCAGCCAGCCGTAATGTCTGACGTTGGTCCGCAATTGAATACTGGCATCATCTCATTTGTGGGAAGTTCAAGGGTCGCTTACCACCTGCATTAGCTCGGTGACATCGGTATCTGACGTAAGTCTTGATAGCTTTCAGCTTCTCGGCATTTATCCAATTGACTTTAACCATGAACTCTAGGCTAATCTCATGATTTAAAACCACCAAAATTTCTCGGGATCTTTTCTAGATGCCTAACAAGTATCTTGGTGGATATCGGGCTTATGAAATAGCTGCAATGAACCTTGTCACGGACTCGCCGTTGCAGGAAATGGAGCGGGCTGAAGAAACGTTGCAATCATTTCATTGTAAATAATGATGCAGGTTATGATGTTCAAAGCTCAAGGGTATTAGAAGGCATGTCCTATAAGTACGATCAATTCCTTCATAACTCACCATCTTCAGTAGAGACATCACTCAAGCCGAATAACACCATCTCAACACACAACAGCCCCATTGGCATCACTGCAACATTTTTCAAAGTTCTATATTTATCCTTGAACATCCAATTACACCACCATTAGCCATGAGACTCGCAATTCTTGTCGCTGCCACTGGTGCAATCTTCACCGCCGGTGTTACTGGCCTGGCTTGTAAGGACGGCCTCAAATATTGTGCCTATAACCTACAAAGCGGAGGTCACTGTATGTTCTTTCTCCTCATCCATACTCAAACCATCGCTTGCTAACTATCCACTCTAGTCTGGACAGAAGATGAGATTTGGTCTCAGCTGCAATCTGAGGGACTTCCAGATGGTTACACTCGAGGTCACATAAAGCATACATTGTTCAAATGTGAGGATCGCTGGCACTGGGCTAAGGCTCATTTATACTATGTGGAGTGGTGTGCCAATAGTTGCGAAAATGGTGGAAATAATAACGACGACCGTTGTAGACCTCACACAAACGATTGAGGGTGATGAGAAGGAGTTAAAATTTGGATTTTGAGATTACAGATTTAAGACAAAATGTTGTTATTTTCTGAGAAGCGACTCCTTAGTCAACAGCTTCCTTTTAGTGTCTTTTGATGTCTGTAATATCTTAGTATATATATTACTATTTCTCATTGTTTACTAGGTAGTTATATCTGATCTTTCTGGAGATTCCATACAATATGTTCTCTCCAAGCTGTCAAGTACTGAAAAGCAAATTGAGGTTCTCTTTCTCTCTGGATTAGCATACCTAACTTTATTTGTCTGCTGCCTGTCTCTGTGTCATCGACTCCAGTCTACATCAATGTAAGAGATAGTCCACCACTATACATGTTGCGCAATACTCAAGGGATCACAAGTTAGCCGCTCGAAACACAAGGGATAAAATAATTAGACCAGCTTATACTTTTTAAGATAGGCTTCAGGCTGTTTAGTTTGGGTTGTATGGCAAATGTCCTCAACATGGGATGAAGCTTCTCGTATTCTGCTCGGGCTATGTACTTCTGAAACGTGGTTAAGTATAAGTGTCCAAGGGTTTAAATGGGCTCATTTAAGTAGTTAAATATACTAGTATAGAATATAGTTACAAGAGAAATCACAAGTTAGTATCCTGAATCCCAGAGAAATGTTATCATTTACGAGCTGCAATATACCGAGTCCAACGCGAATGAGTTGGGTCGGTGAACCCAGTCGGGTGTACAAGGGTCATCGCTGTTGTTGATCCATTCACCTTGAGGACTGCTAGCAATGAACCAAATCCTTGTCTCTCCACTTTCGGGTACAGTGAATTGGAAATTCGCGTTGATCCATGTCTTTGTCTGGTCTGGGCCGGTGGGGTACCTGTTTCCTATCCTGTAGTCGTCTTGGTAAACGCGAATATATGGAACCAAGCTACTGCCATCCCTTTGAAGAATCGCGTAATACTCTTCCCACCGCCACCTGTAGCTGCAGTAGAACCTGGTACCTGGGCAGGCCTTGACATCCTGATATATCCACATGCTCTTGTCGAAATCAAACTGGCCAGTCTGGAGCCGATAATCCGTACCGCCCTCGCCACCTTGAACGGGCCTTAAGGCAACGGGTACTTTGCCGCCAGGATTAGGATCCTCTTGCCATGGAGAGAACTTGCCGTTGTCGAAACCGCCGTTGACGATGGAGGTATCGTATGAACAGGTAGGGGCTGGCTCAATACCGGTGTCACAGAAACAGCGAGTCTCATAGTTCCTAGTAGTAGTTCGGTCTGAGCTGAGCTCAGTTATAGTACCCGAATAGAGATAGCATTGACTATCCTTCTCGAATGTAAATGTCACACAGTTACTCTTCTCCTGGCAAGATGTGTAGCAATCGAGAAGAGAGGAGGATGAGCCTTGGCCGAGGTATCTCCAATCGTTGGTAGTGCCATAAATATACCCTCTTGCACCACAGATAGCGCCTTCAGGTGATGGCTTTTCCATGTTATTGATGCAACCGGTGGCGGTTTCAGAAGCTGTGGTGGTAGCCTCTTCTGTGGTGGTGGTGGCGCCTTCTGTAGTAGCAGTGGTGTCTTCAGAAGTGGAGGTTGTATCGCCTGTAGTGGTGGCATCTCCAGAAGTGGTGGCATCTTCAGAAGTGGTAGCGGTAGTTTCGGTAGTGGTGGCAGCCTCTTCGGTAGTCATAGCGGGCTCTCCGCTGGTGACATCCCTGACAACTATCTCTGGATGACCTCTTCGAACAAAGTTTCTTGGGATAATGGTGGGGGCAGCATCTGCAGTGGTGGTAGCCGCTTCAGTTGTGTCTACGGGAAACTCCCCGGTGTTGGTGGCAGTAAAGGGGTCATCATAGACAGGAGGCTCTGGGTCAGGGCACTCAGTTGAAGTGGTATTGTCGAGAGTGGTGCCAGTAGATGAGTCGCTCTCACTGGCAGTAGTGGTCAAGTCAGTTGAGAGGGCAGAACCTGTGGTGGTTGACTGCTCGACGCTAGTGGAACCAGTTTCAATCTTGCTGGTAGCGAAAGTGGTCTCGGTTGAGGTTGCAGATAAAGACTCTGTGTTAGATTCGCTCTCGCTAATGGTGAGGCTAGTCTTAATGGAAGTTCCAGACAAAGACTGGGTCAAGCTTGACTCCTCGGTGTGAGTTGTAGCAGAGCCAGTCTTGACACTGGTCTCAGCAGTGGTCGTAATGACGGCTACGGAGCTCGAAGAGGGGCGGCACGGCCCAGCATTAACGAAGGGGCTGAGGGCCGCAGCAATAACAAAAGAACGGACGAAATGGCGAGCCATCTCTGCGATAATCGTGATTTTCCGGTTACAAAAAAACGCAAGAATCTAGAGAAAAGAAAGTCGGGGGTGAATTCTAGATTTAATCCCGCTCTTTCCCTGGCATATCTTATCTTAACGACCTCGTGTTGGCTTGGTTGTTATTATTTAGTGTAGATCTTTTGGAGCTATGAACAACTAATAGTATTAGCGCCATGTTACTTGAGTGTTTTTAGTAAGGTTTTATCGATAGTCTTTACGCCAGTTCAGCTGAGGCCGTTAGGTTTATAGGGGCTGTCAGGGGCTCGTCATGGTGATTGGTTCTGAGGGCTTAGGTTTTGGCGAGAAATTAGTGGCGTCATCGCTAATCAACAATAGCCTAGGTACCCTGTAAGGTACCCCGTATCAACATTTGGCCAACGATATTTGACAAATCTAAGCAGTCCATCCCCGCTTGCCTCCCACATACTCCCTGCACCAGTAAATACCCTGAACAGTCCAACCATCTACAGTGTACAAAGTTGGAACAGTGACAGCCCTGTCATGGGTCTTATGGCAAGTAAACTGCTTGAATCCATTGTTTCCGCCTCCAACCCAAGCGTTGTATCTTTGATCGAAGGCATTGGCGTTAATGTCGACGTTGAAAGTAACGCCTGAATTAAATCGACCTGTTGAGAGTCAGCGTCATGTTTTTTTATGGTTGTTGATGGAACTCACAAGCTGTGCGTTTGCCTTCCCAAACGTGGTGCTGCCCATGGGTAACGTCAACATAGTCGTCAGGGCGTCTACCCCAAGCCCCGGCATTGTCCGCGTAGTATGCACAGCCGCTGGAGATCTCATTGCCCTTCCTGGAGTTGACAATGTAGATAGATTCCCAAGCAGCACTGACGGAGGTGACGCCGGCCAAGGCAGCTGTGAGAGTGGTGAACTTCATGATGGCTAGAACAATGATTGCGGAAATGAACAAGGTGGAGAGTCTGAGTCGTTGGGTGAGTTGTGTATCGTTAAATTTTACAGCTGAGATGTATGTGCTTGTATTTATAGAAGAAACCTGTGCATCAGATAGTAAATATCACTGACGGTTAAATTCCAGGATTGTATGACCTGGTACCTCTGTTTAACCAAAGCTAACCCAAACCAGGTTTATTTTTCAGCTTCATCAAACTCATGGTCCCTACGTATTAGGTGACCGGGGGTTCATTTAAGCATATTGGCTAAGTTGGAGAGTAATGCATGCTGACATACTGTAAAGCCCGCTTACTCTACATATACGAGGTAACATTCTAGACTAGAGCGATCAGCCGTACCTCCACTCGCAAACAACCACCCAAAGCACAAGACAACAATTGCTATGGTCGTATTAAGGTAACCCGTCAAATGGTCCCATGTTTCACCAACAGGAAGAATGATGCATATGGGATGCTTGATAACCAATTACATAATATCCAGGCTAAGAGCTATGTTCTAGAACGAAACCCTCGGGCACCATTCTTTGACCGCTTCATGCACTGGGTCCAAAAAGGCAGTATAGATTAACCTGCAATTCTGTCAAGGACTCTGACGCTTTTGGTAGGCGTGTGTGGAACTTCGCCTATCCTGGCGCCAAAATCTCTGTGGCAATTGCACGGACAGGCGAATGCCATTTGTAACTCATGAAGGGGGATAGCTTCGAAGAAGCCTTCACGGATGAGATAATTTTTGACAAAGCATGCAAGAAGATAAAGAGTGACTTTTAGTTGGTTGAGGGTAGCTAACCTAATTAATATGATAAATCTTGGCTGCCACAATAAATGCGGTACCAACAATAAAACTGCTACCCATAAACACTTGCGCCCCAAGATACCTCCCTCCCATGGACGTAATAATTGCACCAGCAATCGGGTTACCAGACAATGTGGCGAAACTGATGATGGAAAAATTCATCCCGATGTACGCGCCCCTGGTGGATAGATCCGTAGTCAAACACGAGATCCCAGCCGGAAATAGACTCAAGATGCTACCGCCAATAATGCCGTAGAAGACTGTCCATATATATGCGTGTGTTGGGGTATGAACAGCAATCCATGAGAACATGGCAACGGCAGCCACTAGACATGATGGTATCAACAGTTCCAAAGGACCAAAGGTATCAGCGTAGTGATTTGCTATCATGCGACCGAATACGCCGACTCCGTTGAGAATAAGAAGGAGATTCAACGACTCTGTGTAGGTAAGAGTTGGGTTGATGATGTCGCGACTGTATGAAGCAATGTAGTAATATCCAAAAAAGACCGCCCAGAAATTCTGAAAGGAGAAATCAGCATTTTAGAAGATAATTTGTAAGATCTAGACTTACAAAGAACATCCCAATGGTGAAGAAGGTGTAATCAAGTTGCTTGAAAGCAACCCACTCAACCAATCTGCCTGACTTGGTGGGAGGCAATCGCATCTTCATGCATACAACGACAAACAAGAGTGTAGCAGCCTGCACAAAGCCGATAGCGCGCATAGTCCAGCCAAAACCAACTGTAGGTAATAGCTGTCTAGCCATGGCATTAAAGACAAGTGCCCCAGTGACAGAACCACATGTTGAAATACCTATAGCCAGAGAGCGCCGTTTATCGAAGTAAGTCGATGTGACAGACACTGCAGGGGTGACGAGAAAGCCATTGCCTAGTCCACAGCAAATTCCCTGCGAAAGGAGCAACTGCCAGTACTGCGTAGAGAGGGAAGCGGTAAAGATACCGATAAGTACTAGAACTGTACCACAGGACAGCACTAAACGTAAATGTCCTGAGTCAATGTACCTCCCAACGAAAGCACCAATAAAGAAACTGAGGAATACTTGGATAGAACCGATCCAGGATATGTCAGACGGGTCACGTTTGAGAAACGTGGTGTAATATGTCTGGAAGATACCGAAGCTGTTGATGAAACCCCACGTATTCATGAAGAGAAAATGGCCGCATAAAGCTACGTAAGCGGAATTAGCTAAGATTCTGGTTAGAGGTGGAGTGTGAAATACTGCATAGCCAAGCCTGCCAGCCTCCATCTGGTGGCGGGGAAACGTCTGATGTAAAGTCCTCATCACTGATCTCATCAGAGCTCAACACGCCGTCTGCTCTGGTTTGCTGTGGTTCCAATTTGATCTCCTCAAGAGCTGGGCGAGCTACGTCGGAATCAGTATCGTGTTCCTGTTGTGGGAACATTGCTTCAATTTCTCTCTGGTGTCGGGAAGTCAGATGTTTGTATGCACAGCAGTTAGCGTTGATCGAATCTCACAATATCGAAGCGACGTAACAATATATTTAATTCATTCCAGACTTATTGGATTCTTGGTGGTCATCCATATGAAACTAAATGATGGAGAGCGAGTAATAGATACTACGGCTTTTAAGGATCTTTCGCGAAGGAAATGATTTCCAAGCAGGCAATCATCTTTTCGGTAGTGCAATTGCTCCACCCCAACCCTGTCTCGGAGCATTACGAGCACGTCAACGCTCCGAATTTCCGATAACATGCACAACAACACACAGGGATAATAATTCCGGACTTAAGACGAGATTACCGTCCTGCAAGACCTCTCAAGTTATTGAATGGCACCACAATTGTCAACGGCATGCATCAAAGCAGTGATACATCACGACCCAGTCGACATACAAATCTAAAGACGTCTTGTAGTACAGTCCGGGGTCTTTTTATCGAATTTGTAAGTCTACAAGAAATAAAATAGACAATATCTGGAAGATGATAAATGAAGTTCTTAGAACTGCTGAATATTGTGAGAAAAGATCGAATGGATAGCGGGATGAAATGAAACGAAACGTTAGCCAAGCCAGTGGGTGGCATAAGTATTAACCATTAGGCTTTAGACGATGACAATACATAGCCTAAGAAGTATAGTATAAGTAGCTGATGTCGAGATACAACTCCTGAATTAACAAACTAGCAGTGCAAAGACTGATCGATCTACAGACCGAGAGATTCTCCCAACTCAACCAGTTCCGAAACTATCTTCTCAACCGTCTGACGCGTAGTCAAACGGTTACAAGCAATGCGAAGAAACTCTCCTTTGGCCTTGCCAGGAGCAAAGTCAACCTTCCAACCCATCTCCTCGATTCCCTGGAACAGTGCTCGCGTATTGCGACTGTTGATGTCTGCCAAATCCTGTCCAGACTTGTCCACAGTGGACGCTGACTTCCAGTAGAAGCAAACTTGGGCGAACACCTCTTCAGGCTGCCAGATTAGCTCAAAGCGAGGATGATCTCTCACAAGACAGGCAAGGTGCTTGGAACTATCGACTGCTTGCTCAACCTCTCGGGCAATACCTGCTGTGCCGTAGTAAAGCCAATGAAGAAACATCTTGGTCGCGTCGTGTCGGCGAGAACACTGGATAGTCAATGAAGCGAGATCGTTGATTCTGCGAACGTCAGGCACGGTATCAAGAAGCTTCGACTGTCTCCAATCTTTCTTTTCCGCACTTCCACCATCTCCAGAACTGTCCGTGTTCTTCTTGGGGGCATCATCGTGGAACAGATAACCGGCGTTGAGTTTGTTGGCCAACCACAGAGTTCGTAAGTCATTCACTAAGAGGAATGCACACACAAGTGGAACTCCAAGCAGCTTGTGAGGGTTGAAAGCGATGGAATCCGCAAGATGACTACCCTTCATCAAATGCTTCAACTTCTCGGAAAACACAACACCTCCTCCCCAGCAAGCATCAACGTGGAACCAAGCCCCAACTTTGCGTGCGATCTCACCAATCTTGTCGAGGGGATCAAAGGCACCGTTGACCGTACTTCCAGAAGTAGCTGCAACCAGCAGTGGTTTCTTACCAACCTTAGTGGCTTGTTCGACAGCACGCTGAAGGGCATCGGGATCCATGGTCCCATCATCCAGTGCAGGAATACGGACAATAGTGTCATTTCCAAGCCCAATGACATTAGCCGAGTTGGAGACTGAATAGTGTGCGGTTTCCGAAACAAAGACAGCATACTCGCCAGGGGTAAGACCTCGTTGCTTTGACTCTGGAGCAATAATATTTCGCGCAACAAGCATGGCCATGAGATTTCCAGCAGCTCCACCAGGAACTGTTACGCCTCCTGCATGTGGGCCTCGGAGGTCAAAAAGCTTGGCCAACTCAAGACTGGTATACTTCTCAATCGCTGTGAGAGCTGGGCCTGCTCGCTGAACATGTCCGTTGTTGTTCAAGATTGACAGGAACAAATCTGCAGCAATACCAGGTGCTGAAGGGGCCGAAACGAGTTTCCCCAGAAAAGAAGGTGATGCATTGTCGACTGAATTGCGGCTGATGAGATCGATGGCGTCTTTGAAGCCAGCAGTTCCGAGACCTTCTGCTGAGAAGCGGCCGAAAAGCTCTTCATACCGCTTCAAGGGCTTGCTGTCATCACGACAGTGAGACTTCGGGCTTCCACAAGATGTTTGGAATGCTCTGGTCGTCGTGCTGTCAACTAGTTGCAGAAGCTGAATTGAAGTGTCAGCTTCATAGAACACAAGGCATAGATGACCTCACTTACCTCTGAGATTTCATGTCTTCTGGACAGTCCGTTATCCATTTTTCAGTCGTTGTAGATGTAGGGTAGTTTGATTTATAATGAATCAAGTTAATTCTATCAATGTGACCTGCGAATATTTGAGCGCTGATAATACACATGAGCAATTAAATAGAAATAATGATTGGTTTTTATAGTTTTATTACTTTGAGATACATTCCGAATGCGTTTGATCATCTCATGGCCTAACAGCCATTTTCCATTGGTGTTAACAGCAATGGTTTGCCCAGACTTCGTGAGCACATGCAATGTAGAAACCGTGTCAGTGATCCAAACTGGCACGAAACACAACTTGCCTCAATCCACAAAAGTTCGGGATTTGGTCGATCTGCCGGACACGCAATAGCAGAGAAATGGACCGATAGCAAATAAGTGGCCCCTATGGAATACAAAAGCCGAAAGGTCACAAACCAGCATCGCACATACCAAACCTTAAACAGTCGGAGCTATTCTCGCCGAAATATTGCTCCGCCGATGCACTTGACAAATTGTCTCCAAACAATAGAGTTCCTGAACATACATATTTAGACAACCTCATGCCCGGCATAGTTTCTTCCCGCGGAGTCTCCGATATCCTTGTTACCACATCAATCAACCATGATAAATATTACTGAGCCACAAAACTGGACCCGCGGAGACTACCTGGTGTCCACCGACCCTGCTCTTCTACAGGTTGATGCAATCAATGCTGCACTGAGTTCGGACATGGTCTGGTGGGCCGGAGACCTCCCGAGGGATGCACTCTGGGATGCCCTTCGGAGTTCGATCTGTTTTGGTCTTTACCACAAAAAGTCCAGAGAAACGAATTGTAACAACAAGGCTTCAGGTATGTTAAAATTCACAAACAATAAGCATGGTAACTCATTGATGATAATGGACAATATATAGATCATAACGCCGACCAGTTCGAACAAGTTGGTCTGGTCAGAGTGATCACAGACGGTGTAACGTTTGGATATCTCACGGATGTTTATATCCTGCCAGAACATCAGGGAGGTGGGCATAGTCGTTGGATGCTTGGTATCCTCAATGAGGTTTTGAAGAGTTGGCCACACCTGAGACGTGTGATGCTTCTTACCACTGATAAGATGCCTCTCTTCGGAAAGAACCTAGGGATGAAGGATCATAAGGAGTTTGAAGGAATGAAGGGTGTTCAGATCGCGATGGTGGAAGGTCCCGGCGCACAGCATTGATGTATGTAAAGACTTCAACGAGTCACTGGTGCAAAGCGGAGTTATCAAACAACCATATTCACTCTTTTGCTTTTATTATTACTCTTGTTTCCATGTTAATTGTCTGTTTTCGAGTTTTTATGAGGAACCCGTAAGATAAGTACTCATAGGTTCAAGTTAAAGATGTCCCAGGGTAAATCTCAACTTCGTGATATCTAGTTTACATTCCGGCCATAAAGGCCGTCCATGGATATTGTAAAAGCATATTTGTAGGACCGTTTGCCGCTTCACTTTAGACGTTTGGTCAACAGTGCTGTACATGAAGCTATCGCCTGATATGACTGTAGCTGAATATTAAGGCACTAATCCGGAAACCATCCGTACGATGGAAATTAGAAAGGCTGAGAACTGTCCGCAATATCATGCGACATTTCAGATGCCGGATGAAGAAACTTACGTGCACTTTGGTCGATCTTGACGAAGCTTTCTTCAATACAGGGATCTCTAACCTAAACTGTAATCGTCGACGTGTCGGAAAGCGTTTCGTGAGATTACGTATCAGGGACAAGTGTCCCGAGTCCCTGTTGCCAGCCGATCACTCCGATGGTTTCATATGACCCCTGTATATCTTATTCCACCGAGAGGCGGTGAATTCATTGTGTGTATTCCACATACCGGGGCCTGATGGCGCGTTCGCGTCCCATAACAAAATTCTCCGGCCTGCGGTGTTCGTTGATGGGCCCATTTTGCGCTACTGACTACGGAGGAATGAGAGTTTGGTGATGCCGATTGTAACACACCGGAGAACCTTCTTTCGAGAACATCACCATGATATTAACGGCCTCATAGATATATAATTCGACTCCTCATCCACCGAAATACTATATCATCACTCACAACATCACTTCCATTAATCAACACGTTCAACCATCAAACACTCAAACATCCAATTAATCCCGATTCTTCAAAATGACTGCCTCAAGCTCAACTCGTCCTACTCGCCCTGCTGAGTACGAAAATGTGGCTACTGCCAATCTTAAGACGATCACTTTCGACAAACTCTTTGACAAGGATGAGGCTGAGGTGAAGCGCCTTATCGAGTCTTGTGAAAAGGATGGATTCTTCTATCTTGACCTCAAGAGTGCCGCCTCCCAGAAATTCTGGGTCGACCTCCAAAACATCGACCATACCACCAAGGAGTGGTTCAAGCAGCCTGTCGAGAAGAAGCTCGAGACCCCCACTGTCTCCCTTGCACATGGGTAAGTCTAAAAAGTAACGTCAATGGACTACAGCTAACGCGATGAAAATAGATTCAAGGCTGTAGGTAACCAGTCTGGTTCCATTGAGGACAAGAAAGATGGATTCGAAGCCCTCAAGGTAAGATTTTCATATCCACATTTATGGATCTCGGTCTAACAAGATTAGATTGGCAAGAGCGAGCTAGATGGACGATGGGCCCTTCCTGATGTCGTCTCGGACAACATACAACTATTTGACCGCTTCACTTCCGCCTGCCACTTCATCTCCAAGCTCCTCCTCGACTGTCTTTCTGACGGACTTGAGCTCAAAGGCCACAACCGCCTTGAGTCCCATCACCATGATGATCGCAGGTCCAAGAGCACCCTGTACTTCCTCCACTACCCTCCTGGAGCCCAGGACCCCAACAAGGTCGGTCAGAACATGCACACAGACATCGGAACTTTAACGATCCTTCACGCACCTCAGTGGGGACTCCAAGTCTTCTCCCCTGCCGATGGCGCCTGGGAGTACGTGGAACCTCGACCTGGCCACGCCATCGTCAATGTTGGCGACACTCTCCGCTTCCTCTCCGGCAAGCGCTTCAAGTCCGCTCTGCACCGTGTCCTGCCTCTCGGAGGAATTCAGATTGAGGACCGTTACTCTATCTCTTACTTCCTTCGAGCTTCTGACTCGACTGAGTTCAAGGACAGTGACGAGGATGAGTCAAGTGCCAAGCAGTGGTACACTAAGAAGTACGCCATGTACGAGATGCCCCACGTCATCCAGAAGCAGCAGACAACACTCTCGGGTGGAATGGCCCAAGAGCTTCAGGCCAGTTTCTAAGCTTGGACATTTGTAGGGCTGAGATGGGGATGGTTGTGAGTTGGGGGGATGGTGGTGGGGATTTCCTTGTTTAATAGCTAGTCAGATTGAATCAAAATTACTTTCCTTTACAATGAGTTTTTGCTGTTATTTAACAAGACTGAATCTTGAAAAGACTTAGTATCACAGTAGCTTTCAATTATAGTCGTCTGCAAAGACGTCTTGTCTCTATAACTAACTTGCTAATTATATCTCGTCTTGCAGAGCATTTTGCAAACATGATGCTATCTGTTAATTTCTATCGAGTTATGTCATTTCGTCAAAGAGTGAAGAGATACTGATCACGATGTTCCGCCGTAAGCGCAACAGTAGCGTTGATTTTATAAGTACAGTCTTTCAGTTGAAACTCACGTCTCCAGAGCACATTCACGACCTCAGAGATTGAGTTTGAATACTGTAGGGTAGGAAAACTAAAACCTTCCACCACAATCAACTGGAATGTTCGGTCATGTCTCATTTTGATAAGATGAGTCATTTCCTAAAACGAATACTCACCGTCGATAAGCGTACCCTGAAATGGTTAAGATGATGGCTAACGATATTCACCAGACATCTACGGATACCTACGGGCTTCAACTTTGTCTAACGTGATTAATTGATTGGAAAGGGCTGAATAGACGACTCAGCTAGCTGCATGAACGGAGACAGCATGGCCGTTTACCCGGACATAGCATCGGACAAGCTTTTCGCGTAAGCATGCCGAGACACTGCATCGTAGTACGTAGTTTGGGATCTACACGGTGCCAACAGTGAGATCGTGCATACGGAATCCACGTCAATGCGGAAGCACGGCACGACTCAGGTTCATTGTTTCTACGAATAGTATCCTACGGGACATGACTAGGGGAGAATAACCTTGTATAGATGATCGGGATCAAGGTTCTCTTCTCCCCGTAGATTAACATCCGCGGAACGATTCGCAATATGACCTCTTTTTTTTCTCATCGGTTACCGGGTTCGCCGTTACTTTGACCTGGACATTGCGGAAAGATCTGCATAGAGCTGAAACAAAGATCTTGTTGTAGTAGAGATTTACATATTACAGTTACTCTCGAGTTTAGTCTCCACTGGCTTACAGGCCCAGGGGTTACAAATGAAGGATACAATTGAGATACCAAGACGAGTCCTTTAGCTTGGCGATCAAAACAGTATTGTCTCTATCTTTATCCAACTAATTAATACTGATGTTGGTGGTAATACATTGCGCCGTAGAAATACGTATATAAAGTGCGGACCCTACGGACCCTGCGGGCTCTAGAGCTAGTAGATGTTAGGCTAGCACGGCAAAATAGGCCCTGATGATGCTAGGAACGGGCCGTTGCCTCTTGTTTTAGCGCCCATTCCGGCATGACGTCGTAATTGAACGTCGACAGGAATGACAAGCGGAACGAGCTACGGAACGACATGTCATCCAAGCTCGTGTTCGATGACGAATCTTTCGGCGGGACAACAACCTTGTGGGGCTATTCTTTCTTCTCGAAAATATAGCATTAATGGGGGTGATACTTTTCAATATAGACAACGTCTTTGGATTTTTGAAAGGGTCTCTGGATTTTGACAGCATGCAATCATAGTCCCTAGTGGTAAAGACTGACGTGAGGCAACCGTGTTATTTGAATAGACTGAAATTTACCGAAAGTTACATAAAGTTACTGCCGGGTGGAGCAATTGTAAGGGACAGGCCCTACAACGCTGCATTTCCTGCTGGTGCAACACCATGAAAGCAAAGAGAGAACTAACTTAATTAGTCCCTGTTTTCTCAATCTTGATGCTTCTTTACGCGGGTCTTTGATACTCCGTTAACTCCAGCTAAGGGATCATCGGCATCTTGATTTACAGGGGTCCAGTTTGCTCTTTTGTAACTCCCCCATCGAATCAGGTATGGGAATGGGACAGCTGGCCCCCTGTCTGTGCGGTAGAATGGTGTAAACTTCACTTTTAGTCAGGCTGACCCAATTTGTTTCCACAACCATACCTCAAAAATCTCACGATCTACACTGCAGGTCCATGTTTTGGGTCGTTTGAGCCGCAGTCACCACAAGCCTAACAACATTAGGTAGGTCGACTCAAGTCCACAAAGATGCATTACAGGGTAACGGGGTCTTTTGCAGCGGTACTTGACTAAAGACAGTGTCAGAGTTTGGGTAATTAGGACTGCGCCGGGCGCGTATACAGAAATGACGAAAAAGAGAATGTTTCGGCATTTCGCGCATCAGTTATCAACTACCGGACTTTCGTTATTTACCCTGACCTTGACAACATAAGGTAGTATTTGTGCCACCATCAAAGATTTATTATCATAGCTCCAAGTCCCAATTAAAGCGATAAAGATCTTATCTTGGCAAACCAACAAACTACTACTTGACGCTACAGAGTCTTCTATCTTGTCACTTATCACTCCCCATACATAATTCCATCATGTTAAAACGTCGATCTGCTTGTGAGCGCTGCAGAAGCCAGAAGCTCAAATGCATCCGCGAGCTTGAGAATAGGACCGATTCATGTCTGAGATGTTCTCAAGCGCAGGAAGAATGCGTTGTCAATCTACGAAAAACACCAGGTCGACCCTCCGGACGAGGCAATTCGTCAACTAAACGCACTCCTCCAACGAACAATACCCCAACCCAAACGCCTACACCCGCGCCAACTCTGGTGCTAGACGATAGCGACTCCATCTCAGCGACACGGAATGGCTCGCTTACATCGTCGTCTGATGACGCTATCGAGAGTCTTTTCGACATGAACATCGACTGGGGCAACATGGACATGTTTTCGCTTGGCAGCGGGAACGGGAATGATCAAGTCCCCGAGATCCCCAGTTCTTTGCTTAGTTACGCGGAATCGACCAGGGTTGAGCCTCCACCTCCGTGCGCCTCCTGGTCAGACTCTAGGGACTTTGCCGCGCCAACAGGCTTGTTCCCCTATCAGATCCGCAATGAAATTTGCGACCCCGGTATGCAGTTAGCTGGACTTCAACGGAATCTCTCGAAGCATCTGGTCCATCTACAATCTTCATCTTGGGACATCACATCTGTTTTGAAGTTGGAAAGCGTGTCGTATAGTTTTCAAAGTCCAGAAACATTATGCGAGGCTAGTCGGAGTTTCAACCCACTCATCGGCACTTTTGAGATCATTGCGGAATTTGAACATGTTCTTGCAACATTGCGACTTAACGTCGATCGCAGAGAGCGACTCGAAGTTTCGTCTCTCCCAAGAGAGATAAGCATGTCTTACATGTTGACTGCCATCTCATGTTATCTACAGTTGGTCTGTATATATCACAACATTTTGTCATACGTACTGGATCAAGCATCAAGTAATCCAGCCGTCAGAAACTTCATTCTGGATTCGACCCCGGGAATTTCTCTGTGTGGATTTGTGATTCCAACACCGAAAAATATTCTCGGGAGATCATTTGCACAGTTGATGCAACACAAGATCAGACCTATTGAGACGGCTTTGGAACTTCCAGACGACTGTCGTATTTCGAAGGACCCAAATATGGACCAGTCATCTGAAAGGCCTCTGCTACTTGGTGCTATAGAAGGACAAGCATTGTTGCAAGTGTTGAACGGTCAGAGTATCGAAGGGAAAAGTCATTCAGGTACGATGGGGCTTCTAGAGTCATTAAGAGCTAAGATTACAGAGATAGAGAATTTGGGAGGATAGAGGAGTTGAGATTTATTGGAATTGGAGTCTCAATTTAGCGTTTTGAATCATTTCTCTGTAATGATAATTATGGTGATATTGTTATTAAATTTACAGACTTTGCTTAGTATTGATATGAACATAAGTTATAGTATAAGAGCCAAGCTGATGGTTGTTTACAAAAACTAGTTAACTCAAGATTCTACATTGTCCAAAACAAGCGAAACACAAATTCCCCTTTCTGGAGTATTATCAATCTTTTAATGAGCCGAGAGTTCAGTCCGTCACGCTACTATCTTGGCATGCAGAAGATTTACTTACTGTTAGCGTGCCAAGAGTTAATGCCAAGAGTTCATATGAGATCGGTGTACTTTTGAGTTCTGATGGATCCAAGTACGATGTCTTGTTATAATTGGATACACTACGACTATGTATCTATCTAATAAAACCCTTGACTGCTGTCTAATCCTAAACTCGTCTCCTGATACCTACATTCACAGCCTCAGGCTTCCTAGCCAAGCCCTCCATGATGTCCATCGTATCATCTCTCATGACAAAGTCGTACCGTCTTGCCCAAGTAGCAGTAATCACCCTGAGTTCCATCTCGGCAAGATTTCGGCCAAGACAAGCCCGTGGACCGTGACTGAATGGGATAAAAGCCTGTTTCTGTCTCGGCGTTACATCCTCCCATCGTTCCGGTTTGAACTCATCCGCATCCGGTCCCCACACCTCCTTGAGATGATGAACAGTGTAGATTGGGATACTGAGAACTGTGCCAGGAACAAAGTGGTATCCTGCGATGGTGATTCCACCACCCTTTTCGGGGACCAAACGAGGAAGACCGAGGCTGATGGTTGAGTGATGTCTCAAGGCCTCATTGACAACATGGCCAAGATACGGCAGGTTCTTGACCATGTCGAAGGAAGGAATAGAAACATCGGCGGGAATAGCTTCATCCAATTCGGCTTGTAGCTTCTTCAACACACCAGGAGTTCGTACCACGTGATACAGTAACGCAGCCATGGTGCTACTCGTGGTATCAGTGCCAGCGATCAAAACGGTCAAAGATTCAGCGATGAGTTCTCCCTTTCCAAAAGGTTGGCCCTTATGGTCACGACCCTCACGTACACGTTCAAGAAGATCCTTCTCACGATCTTCACTAAGCGGATTGTTCAGTCTGTCCGTGATACGAGATGTTCCCAATGTGCGCAAGTTGATCATTCCGTTGAAGCCGGTACGGAAGAACGGATCAGGGCTCCACTTCAGGTAGGGTTTAATCTCAGGCAATGCTCCGACAGTAGCGGCAAGTTCACTTCTGGTGGTAAGACTGGTGATAATAGGCAGGGATCTTGGACCATTTTCTGTTTGAAAGTCGACATGTTCGGATCCTTTTTGCAGAACACCGAATGGGGCTCCAAAGGCAAGATCACCAATGATATCAAGAACCAAATAGCTGATAGGTCAGAAAGATTTCTGCAGTAATTTCATAGACGAGACTTACTTGAGCCAAAGACGACCCTCGACATCGGCAAATCCATCAGGCTTAGCCTCATTGGCTGTCATAGCGTCCCATTTTTGCAAGAAAACACCAACATGTTGACGAATAAAAGGCTCAAAGTTTCGCATCGACTGTGGTGCGAAGCTGTGAGACACGACTTTTCTTTTTCGTGAATGCTCAGCACGATCTCGTGAAGTAAAGATACTGTAAGTAGTAATTACAGAAGCATCGTAGAATGATCTGCACATGGTTAGTCTGTATCTCCGGGTCAAATGGAGATGTGTCTTACGATTTCAGCATTCCGTTTCCATGTCCATAGATTGCGTTGATGACTCCTTCATCAGCTACGCTCACATGGTTTGGTTGGATGCGAACGACTGGACCATATTGCTCATGAGCATCATTGACATATTTCCATCTTGCTTTTTCTCTGCATGCGTACACGAGCCACCAATTGGAAAGACGTGCAAGGATTGGTCCAGGTACGCTGCGAAGATGGCGGTAGTTCCAGAAATAAGGCACGATGTAGTAGAAGACCAAAGAGGCTAGTCCCAAAGGGACTATCCAAAGTAAGGGGATGGTGAACAAAGCCATTTTGATAGAGAACACAGAAAGGGACTGGTGATTGAGAGATATTTGGAATACTTACAATAATTCTTTTATAGACCGATGGTTTTTCTCGTGTTGGTCTACGTGCTCAACATGGTGGATTGATCTTCATTCGGTAACATTGTCTCGGAGCTTTAATCGCAATGCTCCGGGCGTAGAATGCCGTGTCAGTCACCGGCCACGGAGTCGTTATGGGCGGAGTTGAGCCTCCGCTGTGGACTCCAGATGACCGGAATTTGATCCATTCTCCGAAAGGTACCGGTTCCACGTGAAGGGTTCCTTTTAACTCCCCCGAAAGATAACGTGACTTGTATAGAAGAACGGTAAATTGTCCAAGTTGTAAAAAGAATGAAGAGATATCGCACCACGGACATTAGGATAATTCATCCATTTTATCCCAAATCATTCTATCTTTCATTATGCTTATGTACGTTGAACACACGGAAATTGTGAAATGTATTCCTACGCAGTCATGGAGCCCACACTTAGGTCACTTTAGAATTCTAGATTTTGTTTTTCGAATAATATCTTCATTGGCATTGTTTTCGATTCAGCTTCTATGAACTCAATACTTAATCCTGGCAGCTATCTACAAGTTGGTTTTTGACACAACGACGAGCATATTTATTTGCCTATCTAGACAGTCCGAAGCAAGCCATCCATGACCGAAGAAACTTGAACGAGCTCTTCATCCTGGAAAGGTCGCCCGACGACCTGAATTGTCGAAGGCTGTGATAAGAATAGATCTGGATTGTCTGTAGGTGTCTCTCGTTAGTCAAATTTTCATAAGTTAAGTCATAACTGCTGCCTACATAGTTCATGGTTGGGTTTGTCGTAGGGGTTAGTGCCTAATGGCTTGTAGTCGGAGTTCACCGGGTCATCCTCCGCGTTCACCTTGAAACCGCTGACAGGCAGGATGACGGATGGGTAGTCCAGAAGATTAAACAAGGACGTGTAACCCCAGTACACATTGAAGTCGTGGGGATACCCTACAGCAGGAGCTGAAGGGCAGATTAGTGCATCGACAGGAAGCCCAGTGTTGGTGCGTTGGGCTGTGTCATCCCAAGCTTTGCGAAAGGTTTCTCTGAAACTCCTAGCCTTAATGTTCAACTATTGCCGCATTAGTATCTGTAAAACCGTGCTTCAGTGTCCTTGCAAACAGACCTGTTGTGACTCTGCGGCGCTTAACTCTTTGCTGCCGAAGACCTTGATCAGGTCCTCAAAAGCAGGGATCAGAGGCTCGCCTGTAGACTCGAGCGCGGACAGTGTCCCACTGTGCCCAGACTGATAATAAGTGTCGAACTGTATTCCTTGTGAGTTGTGTCTTCATCTCGACGTAACATTACTCACTGTTGTCTGGATAGCGTCCCAGCAGTCAAAGGGTACATCGAATTCAATAACTGCGATGTAAATTAGCATTATTCAACCACCAGCATATTATGGAGTCTACCTTGGTGCCCAGTATTCTCCAACGCCCGCTTTGTATGATTCAGGGCACGAAGAACAGGCGGATGGGGCATTACGACCTTGTCCCACTTCATCAATCCAATTGAAAGCTTGCGCTCGACTGATTTGAGGGTCCTCCAAGGAACTGGAACCGAAGTAGGATCATGTTGATTCAAAGGGTGGGCATTAATAATTTTCGTAAAAGCTTCAAGATCTTCCATGGAATGACAAATAGGTCCACAGGATAGCTTGATGGAAAGTTGACCATCATTCATGTTTTCCATGCCTCCTTTGGGGATGCGATCCGAAGTAGGACGAATCGCGTACAGTCCGTTGAAGGCTGCGGGGACGCGGATCGAACCTCCGAGATCAGTCGATGGTGTGATAGGAGTACCTTTCAGAGCGACCAGAACCGCGTCACCTCCAGAACTACCACCCGCTGACAAGCCCGTATTGTACGGGTTGAGAGTTCTTCCCCATAGATTACTCACTGTCTCAATGGCCATTCCGGACTGAGGCATGGTTGTTTTGCAGTAAAAGACAGCACCAGCATCACGAAGGGTTTTGACTAGTGCCGAATCATGCTCAGGGCGGAAGTTCCTCCTTGACACATAACCGGTAGTCGTAGGTCGACCAACTACAAAGTGAAAGTCCTGTTAATCATTCGTAAGTACTGTGTCTGGAATTGAAGAAGTCACAACTAAATGTACCTTGAGCGCAATGGGAACACCATGCAATGGCCCCTTCAGTTTCCCAGTCTCCTTGAAGGCTTTGTCGAGCTCCTCAGCTTGGCACAGACCGTCATCATAGAACCAGTCCATCAAGCAATTGGCCTGGTCATCGTAAGTCAAATACAACACCGAGGAGAAATATTCTTACAAGCTGATGGGCAATGGCAGTTCGCGCACCAAAGGCTTCAAGAGCCTGGACTGCCGTCAATTCATGGGACTCGATGTGCTTCACTACATCCAGCCCTGTGAGATCAGTGATGTTGAGCTGCGCATCAGATAGGATGCCACATGTTCGAGGTACACTGGTTACATCTGTCAACGAGCGATACTTATCGACATCCAATCTCCATTTCTTCGGGATTGAATCCAGCACTTCAGCTTGAGCTGCCTTTGCAATTGCTTTCCACGGCATTTTGGATGTTGTAGTTGGTTGTCTCCGAAGGAACAGGTAGCTTTGGTATCATTACTCGCATCAGCCGTGTTATACAGCATGAATCGACGACGAAACTTCCACAGTGGATAACCATGCTTTCTCAGCATCGTAGTAACGTTATTGGCAGAATCAAGTTTCTTACCATTCTTGCGCTAGTCAGGGCCATGCATGCGAATTTGCGTACACGTATTAAATGTGGACAAGTGAATATGCAGTGCATGTGATTCCGACTCGGTGCATTTTCATGTGGTTGGTGATCGACAATCGGGGTATTTTATATCCATTTTAGGATATGAATCATAATACCACTCTGGGAAGCCGGTTAGCCGAGCGGGAACTAATCAATTTTGGAATACTAGATTTGTAATCAAACGATAATGATCGACGCAATTTGACATTAGTAATGCAAGAGGAACCAACAGGTTAAACCAACAACGCCAACACAACCAACATATGATGCAAGGTGGGTACTGAGTCGTGATAGCGAAATTCTCGTGGATATGATGGAATTCGTATAATAGACCTAAGGATACTGCAGACTATTGAAGGTGCAACTACAACACACGTTTTCCCAAGTTGATTGACCATGGCCTACGAGATCATTGACAACGTTGCGGCTGAAGGGGTTCCGTACTATACACCAGCTCAAGATCCCCCAGCTGGCACTTCTTCAGACGGCTCAACTAAACTTTTTACACCCATCACCATCCGTGGTGTTACATTCCCAAACCGTCTCTTTCTTGCCCCTCTCTGTCAATACTCTGCCAAAGATGGATATGCCACTGATTGGCATTTGACTCACCTCGGAGGCATTCTCCAAAGAGGTCCTGGAATGTCCATGGTTGAGGCTACCGCTGTACAAGACCATGGCCGCATCACGCCCCAGGATGTCGGTCTCTGGGAGGACGGCCAGATCGAACCTCTCAAGCGCATTACCACTTTCGCGCACAGCCAAAGCCAGAAGATCGGTATTCAGCTTTCGCATGCCGGTCGCAAGGCCAGTTGTGTGTCTCCTTGGCTGAGCATCAATGCCGTTGCGACTAAGGAAATGGGTGGTTGGCCAGACAACATTGTCGCTCCCTCAGCAATCCCACAAGAAGATGGGGTGAACCCAGTTCCCAAAGCTTTCACCAAGGCGGATATTGAGCAACTCAAGAGCGACTACGTGGAAGCTGCCAAGAGAGCCATTCGTGCAGGTTTTGATGTCATCGAGATTCACGCTGCTCACGGATACCTCCTCCACCAGTTCTTGAGTCCGGTCGCCAATCAAAGAACTGATGAGTATGGCGGCAGCTTCGAGAACCGTATTAGAGTTGTCTTGGAAATCCTAGATCTCATCCGCGCTGCCATTCCCGAAACCACACCTATTCTCGTCCGTGTCAGTGCAACTGACTGGTTTGAGTTTGACTCTGAGTTCAAGGATGAGTTCCCTGAGAGTTGGACTGTTGAGCAAACTTGTCAACTTGCAAAGATCTTGCCAAAGCACGGCGTCGACTTGGTGGATGTCAGCTCAGGTGGTATCCATCCCAAGTCTGCCATCGCTATCAAAGCTGGTCCTGCTTACCAGGTTGACCTCGCCAAACAGGTAAAAAAGGCCGTGGGCGATAGTGTACTTGTTTCAGCTGTCGGTGGAATCAAGACTGGACAACTTGCCGAGGAGGTTTTGCAATCTGGTATCGATATTGTGAGAGCTGGACGTTGGTTCCAACAGAACCCAGGCCTTGTTAAAGCCTTTGCTAACGAGCTTGGTGTGGAAGTCAAGATGGCGAACCAAATTGATTGGAGCTTCAAGGGTCGTGGAAAGAATGGAACTAAGAAGTCTTCATAGACCATAGATACATGATCATTGATCAAGACTAGTTTAGTATGATAGAAAATCAAATTCATCAGTATCTTTTTACGTATGACTAAGCATCGCACATTCCATTAATTGAAGCAGATATCACGAAGATGCACAAATTAAAATGGCTCCGTGGCCTTTGGATAATCTCGTCTTCAGAAACCTTGATTTGAAGATTTGTTGAAAATTTGATCTGCGCGGACAAATTAACCTTTGTTGAGAACCTTACAGGAATTGAGAAGACGAAAGCTTGAGTAGTCAAAATAAACAAAAAACCAGACATCACTCAACTGTATCAAAGAAGAGATACATGATAGCAAGTCTCACACCGCCAAAACATATGGCCTTGAACAGGCCTACTTTTTAGTTGATTTCGCGGTTCTTGATACCTCCCTTATACCCATGTAATTAATTACTGGCCCGGGATGCGGACCCTACAAGACTACACCCTACTATTTAGTTTGCCCATCGTTTAGCTTGCACTTGAAAGATATCAGACATGGCTTCCTACTTTAAAAAGGGCCGAGACCAACGAGTACATAGCTTGGTTACATATATGAGAAACTAAAAAAGGAGTTCTACTATAAAATTACTCCTCAGATTTAATATACGGCGCTAGAGGTTTGTCACTTTTGACTTCAACATTACAAGGTTGCTGGCTGAGACAATTAGTTAGTCAAATCTCATAATGACAGATAACTGTGGCTAAGCTGGGAAAGATATCGGGCTCCATTGGTGTGGTAGGCAGCTAGATGACTCCATATAATACAACGTATTATCTGGTGGAAACATTTGCCGTACCTTCAGTAGTACAATGAGCTCCAAGGCGACAATTCCCTTCCAGTAGGAAAAGGAGATATATATTGTCATCGATTAATCAACTTGATGGAAAATGACATTGCATTTGTATCTGGAAGGGTATGTGGTATTCTCTCATCACAGTGCAGCCTACAACGGCAGGGAAAGGATACAAGACAAATGACAAATTGTGGATAACTCTTTTCCTGCTTATGTGTAACTACTCTCATACATTAGCTACTACATGCTGGTCCTTCCTTTGTCCTAGATTGGTCCGACAACAGCCGTTAATACAATTACTAATAAAGTGCACGAAGCAAATACCAAAGATAATGATGGCTTTTCCAATCTTACTGTATTTGATACTCGCGTGACAGAGTGCGTTCTTAAGACTCTGAAGCAATCTCCTCTGAGCTCAACTTAGGTGCCATTTATATACATACCACTAGTCTCTTTTTACCTCTTGGTTATCCACGCAAGTTACACTCATCAGATAAAGCTGTACCACTGGAAGCTAGCCATCAATTTACACCTCTTATCGTTGATGCGTAGGTTTTACACGTGGTCTTGTGGAATGTTCTTGCAGCTAGAAACAGTCGCCTGATTGTAGTGAGAGCAGGTTCAGTCCCTTAAAATACGATGTCAGAGGCTTGTAGTCTATTGTGACGTCACTGAAATTGAGTGACTTACATACAGAAAAGAGGGATACATAGATCTGCAGCTTCAGAAGAATAACTATTGGCCAGTTTTTGTCTTTACATCTGTGAGCTCCATCATCGTGCTTCGATAGCCTAGTTGATCTTGTGTCAATTAGGAAAACTGTCATAGCGGCTGAAGTCAAAGCTGAGCTGAACCGCCTTTAAATCCCACTAGTTGCTGCAGACTGCCACTATTCTTACTGCTCAGTGGAGCACTCACTTATTAGCCAAGCCAGTAAAATTGGCCATAGACTGTTGGGAGAGAGACAGAATTACTTGGAATGATGCATAGTCAAAGCAATTAGCTGAAAGTTTTCGTGCTTACTGTAATCTCAACAAATGCTGTGGATGCCATTTCGTGGCAGGCTGGGAAGCATATATATAACGCATCTGCCCACCACACTTTCCTCTTCCTTACCTTACAACTTAGAGTCCTCTCATTCTCCTCTTTCACCGTTTATTTTCTCATTTGCCTATATATTCTGAAAACGTTTTTTCTAAGTCTATCCGCAATTATGGCTTCCGGTGTTGGCGTTTCGCCAGAATGTCTGGAAGCGTTCCTAGAGCTGAGGGTAGCTAACAAGCACCAATACATCATCTACAAGATCAGCATGGAGAACACCCAATTTGTTGTTGATCGAACATCCGAAAGCAAAGACTGGGACGATTTTGAATCGGACCTCCCCGACAACGAACCATGTTTCGCCGTTTACAACTTCGAATTTGAAAAGACTGATGGGGAAGGTGTTGACAGGAAGTTTATCTTTGTGAGCTGGTCTCCAGATGATGCCAAAATAAAGGCCAAGATGCTCTACGCCTCTTGTAGGGACCTTCTTAGACGGGCGCTTCCGGGTGTCGGCATGGAGATTCAGGGTACTGAAAAGAGCGAAGTTGCATATGAATATGTACTGGAGAAAGCTCGCCGATCTCATTGAAAGTCTAATCACGGCTTGACGCGCAAGTGCAGAAGGGGCAGGGAAGAAACTCAGATCTATGTATGCTTAATCAATCTTGAAGACACCAAACTAGCCAAATGAAGATAGGATAATCATGCAGCGAAGATGGTTCTATCTCCTCTGTTGTCATAGATCAAGCCTATAACATAAAGTTAAGGGCAAATCACTAGTATCAAGTGACATTTGGCTACTAGTACTTCCAGTACTGATTTGCAGGCACTGATCAAGATGACAGAATATAGATGCTTTCTGCAACCACAGAAGGTACCCAAAGGTCTTTTAACCCCCCTCTGAGATGATTGCCTAACATCTGCTCGCAAGACAGAGTTTTAACATTGATCATTGGAACGCTTACTGAACGCTGCGAAATACTAATGAAATTGTTGATATTATGCCAGATTGGCCCGGCGTTGTGGCTCCACTCTCAGCCTCCCAATAAAAATAACCAGGATCTTCCAGTCGCCGAAGAACCTATCCTTGTATGTGTCTTGAACGGCTTGTCTTATTATGAACGTGTACGCCTCACTTACCCATAGTAAGTAGCTCTTGCTGATGCAGAGTTGTACAGGCCCGAAACGCTTGAATTTCTCGGCACATTCGTACATGTCATCTGTTACATGCTTTTCAAGACGTGAAAGTTGAATCGGAATTTTATATTGTAAAACCCTGCTCAATCTCACTATCAAGGTAGTGACTCCGCAGTCCGAACGATTAATAGAAATCCACAATTACTAGGAGAAGAATTAGTTCTTCACGATCCCGGGCTTCGTGGAACCGATACCGCCTTCCTCAAATTGAAAATTCTTGAAAACCCAGATTAGTCCGACATCACTGGAACTCATCGAATGCGAGACCGTGTGTTCTGTAGGAAATTTCAAAGGCTTCTCTTCAAAACTCTTCCAGGCAGTCACATGGCTCTATTTCCATCAATCTTACCAACCAGCTGAGGGATATTTATCTTATAAAGTCGATAGGATCAGGATTAATAGTATACGACTTGTGGACTTTCCAGTCGTAATGCTTAAGCTAATTTTTTCCATGTTTAATAGCCGCCTTACAAAATAGGGTCTCAGGGTTTTATACAAAGGTTTTTCAAACTCAGCCCTGTTGCCAATACATTTACCATCTCCACATCCAATCTAGTATTGTTATCCAGCTTACAAGTATCTAAACTGTGTTTTCCACTACCGCTGATTGAGCTCTTGATGGTATGGATAGCGTTAACCACCGAAGAAACACGGAATCCTTCAAATGGATATTCTGGTTTGCTCATGGGCAGACCGTTGTGCCACATTTGCATCATCAGATGTCCGAGAAGTCGTTTTGAGCAATCCAAGGTACAACCGTATCGCCTCACCAAAATATCTTCTTGTAGGTTATATAGCTGAGAGAAGAGTTCATCGAGTATATCGGTACGCTGTTGATCAATTTCAACTATTTAATGTTAGCAACCGATCTGCATGATGCGTTGTGGAAATAATACCAAGGACTTGACTAGGTATCGGCAGAGGTGTTTCAGGAGGGTTAGACGTTGTTTTTATCGCGCAATCTGTCAGATTCTTGAAAGCCTTTTGCCTTCGAAATACCCAGGCAATGAACAGCATCAACACCTCATCTTCACCAAAAGGACGTGCCAAGTAATCACTGAACATCGGCCATTCGTACAACCACCACTGGGGAATACCCACTAGCCAATGATCCAAGAAGACCTCTACAATTTCCAGACAATCGTAGTAATCGACAAGGAGCGCTATATGTGCTACGGTGTCCAGATCTAGCTCTCTGGGCACCTGGCGGTGATGACCATGGATAATGTCAAGTAAGATCAGAAGAGCCCGGGCGTTCCAATCCTGAGCTCTAATTTCCAAGAGGCCTTCGTCGTCAGGTTTCGATTCTTGGAAGTTGCCTTTTAGCATCCTGTCAAAGACTGGTGATGCCATATAAAGCTGCTTGGTAGATACTCCGAATTCAATCTCGTTGGGATTGCCATTCTCGTCATACGGTTGTAGAGATACGACCTCATCGATGTCTGTGGGATTTTCGCCTTTCGCCTCCTCTTTTTCCTCCTCTTCCTCCTCCTCTATTCCTTCGAAGATCTCCCATGGAGTCGGTTCGGCCTTCACATTTTCCAAAACATCCTGTTCTTTTACTGGGCGAACCTGCTGCAGGTTGGGGAATTTCAAGGTGAGCAGGGCGTCGGCATCTGGATCCGGTTCGAGCCGTGATTTCTTCATCGTGAAGGCTCGGGGGAGACGTCTTTGGGTTCTGAAACGGAGTTTTCCTGGACAAGCTGAGCAAGGTGGCTGGTCAGTGGAGGATTGGAATTCCAGGCTAATGGGTAGTGCTTTTATAATTGTGTGAGAATAAAGTTGCTCTGTAGAAACTCAAAACCGCAGGGCAACAGAAAAGTCAGTATTAGAATTTTGAAACCATAAAACTCCACCAAATATTGTTCAAGGATAAGATTGCTTCTTTAGGCTCCACCTTCATTGACTTAAAGTTAGAGCTCGAGGGAACGAGACAGTATCAGACTTTGGCAATCGTGAAAGCCCACCAATTTACTACGGTCTTGAAGTAGTAGAATTTGAATTCGACAAACGCAAAAAGAAGTGACTTGAATTTTATTCAGCAAAACCCCCGTACAAAAAAGATAAACCACAGATAATTGGTCTGATTCATAAACTGCAGTCAACTGGTCTAATATCTCGTGATACGAAACACCAGTGTCGCTGTCGGGAATTGACAGACGTTTGTGATTCAACTGATGTATCAGTTTACTGCCTGAATTGCGGTTATTTCCTCTCACATACATTTCTGTGTTCTATATTGAACTGTAAGAGTAACGAAAGTATTTAACTCTATCTGGTTGAAGGACTGCAGATGTGTGTAGGATACAGTCACGTGATTATAGAAATGAATTCGTACTCAGTCAGTAACATCTTGCAGCTCGAGTCTGGGGTTCTTAGACTGGTGCCTGCGCCCACCAGGGCAGAAACAAATTTAAGAGGGAGTCAAATAATCCATGAAGATGTATACACTCAGGACTACAATATTCTTTGTCAGAATCATCATTAAAGGCAAAACACAAGTCTGATGACTGCCCGACAAAATCTTCTTTTATGTCTCTGTCAAAAAGTCAATCAAAATTTTTTTTTAGAAATTTCCTCTGTGCCATTCGTGTCTCCTATCATTATCGCTATGATCTACTTATTCACAATTACCGAGATCTGTGTGGCCGACATGGTCCAGGTAGTAGTCTTGAAGAAGATGATATGGTTTCAGTTGATGCGGACTCTAGTGAGGCCTCCGATGTAGGAACTGATGCAGATTCTGACGATGATGCTGACTCTGTCGTTGATGATACAGGTTCTGATTTCAGGAATGTTGTATGAAGTGACAATGTTGTGAACGTTGAGACAGAAGCTGCTGTAGACTCCAATGTGTGCCGCGTAGTTTCTGATTCCAATCCTGATGACGCGGTTGAAGATGTAGTTTCTGCGGATATTGACGATGTAGATGGCGATGATGCCGTTTCTGATAACACTGAGGTCGTGGCTGATGTAATCGTGGCTAATGTTGACGTTATAAATGATGTGGATATCGTCGATGAGGTTGAAAGACCAGATTCAGAAGATGTTGCTGAAGATGCTGCTGAGGTAGAATCGGATACGGATGATGATGTTGTACTGGTAGCAGAGGCAGTTATATATGTAACATAGGAGATAGTCCCGCGGGCTATTCTTGAAGCTTGCTGCGTGATTGTGGAAGTGGTTTCGTAGGTTGTGGTAGATACAATGCTTGTTGTGTCGTAATCAACCTTGAAAGGTTGATCGCAGTTGTTACAGGGTCGAGCTTTGATCATGACAGCAGTATCGCCGTAGCCATCCAGACGGTCACATATGGCAATTTTCAGCTCAACGTATGTTTTTGGGAGTGGGATTGAGAATCGAAGAGATGGGGAGGACATTGCAAATGCCGTATCTCCATTAGGTGCTGGTATGCCCCAGGGCTCGCTGAGATACTTTGATGAAGAATCCAAGGGAATATCGTTCTCGTCCTTTGCGTAATTAACACCGTTAGCCGTGACCATAACTCTGTCACCCGAGCTTGCAATTATTAGCCTCTCCATATAAGTTATCATGACAATAGGATACTTACCTGATATCACAGCTTGCAATGACTATATCAACGAGTAGTGTCGTAGCCTTTGTTGGAAGAATGTTCAACAAATATGAAGCTCCGTTGTAGGAATTCGCGCCACAGTAAGTTTGGGTATAGGCATCGTACAAATCGGTAGTGTAAGAGTTCGGGCAAGTGTCACCAGGAGCTAAAGGCGAGGTTAAACTTCCAGTTGATAGAATGATGCCTTTTTCCATCCCGAAAGGGCCATCAGTAAATGGCCTGATAGCAGATGGGTCTCCAGAGTAACCTGATGATGAAGCAAAGACATCTGTAGAACCACCGAACAATATCCTTGCCATCGCCAGCCCACCCGTCGCTGGAGAAAGAGTGAGACCGAAACAGAGAGGTATCACTGACACCCAGACGGCCAGAACACTTTGCTGCAGCTTCATAGTAAAGGAATTGCAAGAAATAATAGACAACAAACAATAAGTATCCAAGAAAACTGTAAAAAATGTCGGCTTGCAAGATATTTAAGGGGTTCTATATTTCTTATTAAGTGGGTAATCGTGTGATGTCCCATTAAACAACAAACATTATTGAATAGGAAAGCAATAGTGCTGATTTTAGTGACCACTAAAATGATCCCGAATACGCCACCGCTGTTAATTATCGGGCGCTAATGTTCTACCCACGGGCACTAACTGGACCTAGAACCCTTCATCTAACCCAGCTGAACTCACCCTACACTACTATATATTTCCACGGAATTAATGACTATGGACATCAAGAATGGGGCATACACTAGGCCTTACAGTATTAACTATTTCTATATATCGTCTAGATTAGATAGTGAAGGAAAGAGAGGCAATAATCTGTTTGTACCTCTGGAATCGTGAAGTAGCTCAGGACGATTTCCTAAATACCGTACGGTAAAATGACCAGGATAATAAAATTTATGGGAATGTATTATATAAGAATAGTCCGGCCCAAATACAGGCCTTGATGCACTTATTGCTAGAGCCGGAAGATACAGATAGTACATTTACTTTGATATCTAACTATTTGGATGGTGAAAATAAATAGAGAGCGTGAAGAGGGTATTTCTACATGGCTGCATATCAAAAGCTTCGACCAGATATCAATGCTTATCTTGTCGCATTCTCGCTTTGACGATTAGCCCCTTTTCCTCGCAACAACCTTTATCCTGTCCTGAACATGTACCTCAAACAGCTTCTCTTCTCTTCAGAGAACAGTTCAGACCATGTTGCTGCACAAACCAACGGTTCTTCACCTTCCAATCGGCCTCCGGATCTGCCATCTCAATGAAATAACGTCTCAATAATTGCGGGATTACTTTGTAAAGTTCCATCATACTTATGTGCTTGCCCACACAGGTGCGTGATCCAGCCCCGAAGGTGAAAAAGCTGGCCTCCATCTTGGAGAGTAACTCGGCATCTGCAGTCAACCATCGCTCCGGTTTGAAGGCCTTTGGGTCCTCGTAAACTTTGGGATCATGTTGAAGAACCCAAGGGTTTATGCCGACAATCGTGCCACCAGGAAAGAAATGACCGCATATCTCGACCCCTTGGGGTGGGACGTGCCGCTCCATCATAAGGCCGATTGAAGGATGCAGACGCATGGCTTCTTTGATCGCTGATTTGGTGTATGTCAGGTGTGAAGTAGTCTCCTTGTAGGAGATCAGATCACTGAGTTTGCCATCCTTATCAGCAGCATCAATTTCCCCGATCACCTTTGCCATCTCTTCAGGGTTTTTGATGAGGAAGTAGATGACTGCTCGGAGAGCAATGGCAGTAGTATCCGAACCAGCAAACACATTAGCCGAAAGATGCACGATAGCGTCTCGGGTAGTCATCTTGAGCGGGTCTTTATTTTTCACCGCAGCCCATCTGGACAGCAGATCTTTCCCACCTACGTCACTAAGCTGCAACTCGCCGTCTCGTTTCATGGGTGTACGAGAATTGATTGCTTTGAGAGTAAAAGTCAAGACGGCATTCCAGGTCTCCATAGAGGGTATCAAGTATGGGAAGAGTGGGTTACCCAACAAGAGGGTGTGCATCTCGGGTACTTGTCCACAGATGGACGCGTAGGCGATAATGCCCTCGATTGTTTTGATCATACCGTCGACATCCCCACCTGTGGCAAGAAAGCCAAGTTTCTGTGCAAAATTGACCTCACCAACTACGTCAAACGCGTAGTACTGGAGCCACATGCCGAGGTCGATAGGTTTGCCATCAGCAGCCCACTGATCAAGTTGGGACATGAACAGTTCAGTGCAAGAATCTATAGCAGCCTCGGATTCCAGGAGGTTGGTCAGGCTGAAAGCTCCTGCGACCTTTTTCTTTTGGTCTCGGTGATAGACTGGGTCTCTAGTAGAGAAGAGGTTCATCTGTGGTTTCTTCTGCCAAGAAATGCTCTGAATAGGATAAAAAGCCGTCTGAAGAGTAGATCAGTATCAGCCATATGGCTGCAGGCTTGAGAGTTCACTAACCTTGGGGAATGCGCCAGTCAATCCATATATGGTCTTGATAGCTTGTGGATCACCAACTGACACGATATTCGGTGCTACTCTAACGAGTGGGCCGTATTTTTCGTGTAGCCTAATGGATGTATGATGAGATTGACCCTGGTACACGTCGTAAAGACGCCAGAGCTTCGTCCATTTTGCAAGGGGTGGGCCAGGGACACGTGTGAGACCTGGATGCAATCGACCATATACGTAGCTCAAAGTGGTGAGGCATAAAAATAACGTGATAAAGTGGTCTTTCAAGAAGAGAATAGCCACTACCGCAGCTGAGATACGTTCATCAGACATTTCTGGAGGGATAACCGTCGAACTTGACTGATACACTGGTACAAAGAGTTGAAACAACCAAGACGTGAAGATGAGAGAAAGGAACTGATTCTTCAAAATCCAAGAAATAAATACACACAGAATCATTAGACTCTGATCCACAACGCATCATCGCCGAGAGACAGTCACTGTGTATTTGTTAGCAAGGTACTTACTAACAGGGATGTGGTCGGATCAGGGTGAAGTTGCTGCCATGTTACCCAACCAAATATGACTATCTGTCCTGAGCTTTTTAGTATTTAAAAATTCTCCTTGTTCGCTTATCTAGAAGGATGTAGCGACCAGTTCCGAAAAGATCGGCTGGGTATAATGTTAACACGCAAACCAAGAGAGGCTCGGAAATCAGATCATGAGATTGGCTACAGGGTGAGCGGGGTATGTAGGATTATGAGAGACTGCCAAGATCATCAACAGGGGGGGATATAGCGAAGATCTTCTAACTGTAGACCTGATCAGCCTGAAGTGGTAAAAGTTACCCTACGGGTACAATGAGTTTGAGTTGAAACATGGTTAAAATACAGAAGTTACCCACTATTGGAAGATTAATCCAGCCAATGCATATGAACTCAGTCGACATCACTTGATACCTTCTTCCACTTAGCATTGACATTACTCAACACCCCCTGAAACTCAGCTGCCAGGACAACTGCTTCGAGCTCAGACTGGAGTCTTGTATAAGCTTGGGTGAGTTTCTCCGATCGTAGCTTAATCTCCCTTTGACCATAAAAATCCTCGTTGTTCGGCTCCTCCACGTCGATGCCAATGCTTTTCAGAATTTCTACTCTCTCGTATTTCCGTGGAGTTGAGCGGCGTTCGCGGCATGCCGGAGAGATTCATATAAGCAAGTACACTTTCGGCGTCCGTAAGTGCATTTGTAAGGGTATGTTTTATCTCGTCAACTATTAGAGGTTAGTAGAGCCTTGATGATGATGTTATTTGATCTCTTACAATATTTGACGGCGCTATCTCTATTGTAAGCTCCCGTCAATTCAGGCTTCTGGTCGGCGGTGACGATTTCTCCATCGTCGCTGCTACCAATGGCGAAGACAGCGCTAGCGATGGCGGCAATGATAATGGCAGTAGAAGGTCTCGAATGTCCGGTGGATACAGCTCCCAGCGCAGCTCCCACCATCGCCAAGATAAGTACTGTCGCAAGTCCAATACTGCTTCTGCTGTCTTCGTTATCTCCCTTCATCGTTTCCGCAACCTTGGCCATGTTCTTTGATGCTCGGCGAAGTCGACCGATATTCAAGTAACGGAGACGTTCGTTCGGTTCGTTCGGTGCCAACAGCGCAGGTTCAGGAATGTTTTGTAACAGAATGAAAGAGGAAGAAATTGCTGCTGTCGGTAGGACTCAAGAGAAGCCTGTTCTATTAGTCATAGAGGCAGCCGACGGTATAGAGTTCCAGCAGCTGCCCTATTGGCCACGTTTACATTTGGAAACCTAGTCTTATGAAGGGGATCTTTAATTTGATGATTTGCATTTGCCTAGAGAAATTAACCTTTGTTGAAAACTTTAGAAAAATTGAAAAAGCCGAGGTGGAAACTGTCGGGTTAAAAAACACGAAGTACGAAATCGAAACAGCTTAAGACATGTGAGACTTTCCAGCAAAATGTGATCTCAGAAATATCCTTTTTGTTGCTACCTTCATCGTTACCACAGTGCGTCGCGAGCTGCACATAACTACACTCTAGTAAATAGCTGATCTTAAAACCCGTTAAAGACCATATTCGGTTCAGTGACAGGAATGGTCTCCATGTGAAGCATCACATCCCGGTCTACATCGAATACCTGGCGGACTTCTGTAGTAGGCAATGGGGACGTAAGCAGCAATTTGAAGCATGTGGTCTTTCCACTGCTAGATGTTTGCCTGACGGACATCGCGAAATGGTGAAGTCGCTTGTGATCCAGCATTTTCGCTGAAAGCAAGCATCATTTACCAAGGATGAGCAGACTGATTTAATCAAGGGAAAAGGTAAAGTAGTTCTAGAGCATGTTTAAAATTAAAAAGATTATAAGTTGCTGATGATTTACGATATAGGAAAGGGGCTTATCATGCTATTGCATGGAGCACCTGGAGTTGGAAAAACTACTACTGCGGGTTCGTCATTTTTTCTTCTTTACAGACGCATTCGAAGGTGATATGCGACTAACTAAACCCGATAGAGGGCATCGCGGAACTCTTCAAAAAGCCTCTGTTTCAGATTACATGTGGTAAGATAATTAATTTCTCAACTTATCACTTTTCTGACAATTGTAGGTGATCTTGGGACCACAGCCCGTGAAGTCGAGGTGGAGCTTGAGAAGAACTTTGCCTTGGCTAGTCGATGGGGTTGTATTTTACTCTTGGATGAGGCTGATGTTTTCCTTTCTGCACGAAACCGCATGGACTTTGTTCGAAACGGTCTTGTGGCCGGTAAGTTGATACCAAACTAAAGTGCAAGTAATGATCCCGCTGATGGCGTTGCCAAGCGTTTCTTCGCGTACTGGAATACTACACAGGTATCCTGTTCCTAACAACAAATCGTATTGGGGATTTTGACGAAGCTTTTGCTTCTCGAGTTCACGTGAGCCTCTATTATCCCGAACTTGACGAGCAAAAGACGATTCGAGTTTTTGAGCTCAACCTGGACCTCATTCAGGATAGATTCAAGCAGCAGGGCCGGGAGATCAGATACGATTCGTCTTCAATCCAGGACTTTGCACGTCAACACTTCTTGAAACATAGATTTAGCCGGTGGAACGGTCGTCAAAGCCGTAACCTCTGTCAGACTGCTCTGGCCTAGCCGAATACGACAAGCAAGGAGAAGACCTTGATAACAAGGTTGATAAAAGCATTCCAGTCAGTTTGCAGCTGAAATACTTAAAGATAGTTCAGGAAGCATATCTGAGCTTTGCGGAGTATCTAGGCGATATACGAGGTACCAAGGGCGATCGCAGGGCTATCGACTTTCAACTACGGGCGAGGCAGGATACCCCGTACCAGACAAGGCCCAGTCGGTTTGCTCACAAGGCAGAAGAGATGGCATCTCAAGATTGGCAAAATCCTCCCACACTGTCGTCGTCTGATTCTTCGCAGTACCGTCTAGCCTCCCAAGTAGATCCATTCCATCCTATCAATCAAGTTCATCCGCTCGCTGGTCAGGGTATAAACATGCCTCCTCAACAATATCAGCATCATCCTTACCAGCAGCCGCAACAACAGAACCAGCACTTTCAACAACAGCCAATGACAACGATGGATAGTACAGGTTACAACGTACCATCTGGCTCGGTGTATGTGGGACATGGTAACACCGACCCTCGCATGATGCAAAGTCAACAATCCAACACGCAGTACATGCATTACCAGCAAGGAAGTCAGGGAGCTCCCCGCAACATGAACCTGAATCTCCAGGGCTCTCCTGTTCCTCAAAGTAGCTTCCAGGGACATCAACAAGGGCAGAGATACAGTAATGGTCCCCAGGGTCAGCGCCTTACTTCACATGTACAAGTTCCGTCAATTTCAATGGAGGATTCCTCGTCTAACTACAATTAATCAAGGGCAGGTGAGATTGCAATTGGTCAGAATTTGTATTCACAATTCCTTTTACGATCCAAGGTTATCTTGATCAACGGACTGTCTTAAACCATCGCCAATTCATTATGTCCTATAAGTACTACCTTGGCCCTGCCTCGGGGAAGTCTGAGCTACCATCTATAAGGCGGCGATGTTTTTCCCTTTTTCAAGAAATAATCAATATTGGTCTTGATTCTTTTTGGGTGTCGTTTCAATGGCTTAGCTGATATCCTCGCTAAAGAGAAAGTCGAACGCTGATGTATCCACCAAGAACAAATCATTGAATGACGGATCTTGGCCGCCTGTGAGAAAGTCCATGGTAATGTTTTGTGAGGTAGTTGCTGCATAATTATCGACGATGTTCGCATCGGGATTCCTCGGCAGGACACTGTCGTCGTCATTCCAGGTTGATGGACCCGCCTTTGGTTGTTCAAACAGTGGCCCATCCACCTGCAAGTTCAGACTGGGTTCCCCTGGAGCATGCACCCGCTCTCCCCTCGGCCTTGAAGCTTTCTGCTCAAGTACCTTCAATAAACCTCCTGCATAATTCCAGTACTTCGTCAGCTCTCGTAATGCTTTCCAGAACGTGTGTAAAGTTTGCCGAGACTTGGCAGCTAGCAAAGGTTTATTTTTGCTAATCTCGTTGATGATATAGATTGTCGCGGTGAACACGACGTGGTTGCTATACAGCCATAGAGAAGAGATGAATTTCTTGTCAAGAAGAACTTCAAAAATGGAAGCAATCGTGACTGCGGCTTCTCTGCAGAGTATAGCATCCTCTTGTCCTTCGGTGGAGCTATCCTTCTTGGATTTCGGCGTAGGGCGATGAATCAGTAAGACGAAGTTGTAGTAAGTCAGATAGAAATGTGCTTGCCATAAATCAAGGTAAGAGATTGTCAACTGCAGTCTTTTCGGGATTGAAAGAAGTAAATTTCCGAGTGACTCGTCGGCTTTTTTAATAGCTTCGAGTTTTGCCTCTGGAGTCGCTCGAAGTGACCAACCCTTTCTTGTCGTTTCTGATATAATCTTGCACAACTGTACATGAAATACGACAAACTCGATCTCTGCTTCAGAAATACTTTCAACGTGCCAAGGCTGGATATCTGGGACATCGGAATCATCGAGATTTCTGCATTTGTCAGCAAGGACGACTTGTCAAGATATCATGCGGTGGACTCACATAACTTGAGGTCGACCAGATGATACAGACGCGATCGTATCGAACTGGAAGAGCACCCACCACAGCCGAGTATACACACGTTTGTACACTGGCATCATCTTTGAGTGGGTGGTATCTCGATGCAGTCCTATAGCCATAGCGGTTCTGGTAGCGATACCAATCCAGTGCCAAGCGTTGGCGTCAGAATACCAAGTCATCAGGAGAGGCACTTGGATGTAGACAAGTCTGTCAGGCCAAGATTCACATTCAAAAAGAATCTTGGTTCTTTGGAAGAAAACACGAAGAAGAGGAACCATGCTCTCATCATGCGATGCCAGAGCGTGGGCTCCTACAAGCATAATGGCATTCAGAAGTGTCAGGCAAGTTGGATTGGTCGGGTCTTGGCCATGATATTGTGTCATGAACAACTCCTCATCGACTATCGGCCATCCACGGTTGATTTGATCAAAATAGGCTCTTATCAGTCGCATCTCAAGCTGCTTGTCTGGACGTTCCAGCGGCTCTCCTGTGACACCGTGCCTTTCATACCAGTCATGGCTGGATTCCAATTGGCCGTTGTTAAAGTGGAAGATATTATCGTAGCCCACATTCGAAGAGCTTTGACGGAACAGGTAGTTGCAGTTAGAAAGATCATTTCCGATGAAGTGTGCTCGAGTTCGATGTCCAAGCTCTGCATCTCTTGCATCGTTGTCGTTCAAGACATGGGCCCCGAGTTCGATCTCCCCACCTTCTTCTGGGGATGAAGTTTCTGATGCGACAACAAAAGATGATGTCGGCGTTGGTGAATTGTTTGGCTGTCGCGGACGGAGTGGAGCTAGAACAGCTAATTGACGCAAAAACTGTCTGGCTTCCTTCTTGTTGGGACACGATCTACATCCAGGTCGGCTGTGAGTACTACAATTTGTACAAGGGACACCTTTGTCAACGATGTCACAGCGAATCTTTCGTTGACGGCAATTAACGCAAGCACGTCCTGACGCAGATGTTGTTAGACATAGTGAAGGGAGTTGAAAGGGGATTGATTCATCAACTCACTAGTTGGCACATCAACACCAGACGGCTGTGCCCTTCTCGCCGAGATGTTCTGCGACCGTAGACGGTGGCCCGACATCTGGATTTTTATTTTCTAAAGAATGAACTCGCTTCGAAACCAGCTCTTAGTCCAGGATGACTTATCTTGTCGGGTCGGGTTTAGTTAGTCGTCATTTAATCTCGTCTGGCGGCTTTCGGCGAAATGAACCAATCAGCTCTGATCATCGGCGTTCCAAACGGCGAGATCATCCAATTAAAACTATTTAGACATGTTGCGGTGAAACTGTCCAATTGCAGCTGGTCTAACCACGGCGAAATCACCAATAATGACGCTACATTCAAGCCTGTCAAGTCATGTTATCAACAACTCAAGGGCGTTCTTCGACATGATTATCAATACATATTGGAACTGCATTGCAACTGGATTATATATTTGAGACCTGTCTGCAGGAAAATATCTCGCGTTGTCCGTTTTATTCACATGAATAACCTGGCTTGAATTGTCCTCATCCTACCCATACAAAACGGAATCTATCTGGAACAGCCGTTACCATGCCGTCACTCCAGACCCTACAGAGATTGAGATGTATTCAACCAGGAACAAAACTCAACTGTCATGTCGAGATCAACATCGATGGGCACCACGAGTCCAAGATATATACCACCGGCACCACGATCCAGGGTAGCGTTAGACTCATCTCTCAGCGCCAAACCGCATTTCAGTCCATCCAAGTCAGTCTCAGAGGCACGAGTTCAACCCGCCAAGCGTCTCAATATGGAGGGCCCTTCACAACCCATACCTTCCTCAACATCCAGATGCCCATCTCTGAGGATGTTCTGCCCGCTGATCATATTCTCCAAGCTGGGGAGTATTACGTCATCCCGTTCTTGTTCAAGATCCCCGAGGATCTCTCTTTGCATGCATGCAATCATCGAAACCCGGTAGTGAAGGAGCGCCACCTCCTTCCACCCCCGAGCCTTGGATCATGGACGAAAAACGATTTCACGGATGGCTCGACATATGTCGATTATGTCATTCGAGCGCGACTTGTGCTCAGAAAGAATGGCTGCGAGGAAACAAAGTTTGTCGATCAGAACACCTCTCTCAAGGTCGTTCCTATGTTTCCTGAACAACCACCGATTAACGTTGCTTCTTTGAACTCGCAATACTGCTTGTCCCGGACAAAGACAATAAGAAGGAACTTGGTTGGCGCTAAAGAAGGAACTCTCAAAATTTCGACAACTCAACCTCGGCCAGTAAGACTTCATCTGGATCACCTTCAGCCATCGGACTCTGAACTAGCGATCGATTTTGAATACACATCATCGTCACAAAGAGGCACACCCCCCGAAATGCGTGTTAAAGGAGCCGTTATTGAGGTTATCACCAGTTTCTGGACCGGCCCTGCTGGTTATCTTCCGGATCATGATGAGACACTACAAAGCGCTATCTCCCCAGTCGCTCCATGGACAAACTCATACCCTATACCCTTACAAGAGGTTGGGGAAGTAACTTGGGAAAATGTCGCAACTCTCGGTTATTTAGCGGAATCAGAAAGAAGAGCGTCTGAACCAATTCAAGTCATCCCGGACAGTGCTAGCAGGCAGACACCAGCATGCACAACAGCGAGTTCTATCGATATCAATTACAATCAGCCGAAGCCACTTATATACAAGGCTACTTTGACACAACCTTTCGAGCTCCCGACCGAAAAATTGCTATTTCTACCCACTTTCCACTCGTGTATGGTTAGCAGAAGCTACCGCATTCGAATCATCCTAGCCTCGAGAGCTCATGGTAGTAGGATATCTCTTAACATACCACTCCAAATAACAAGTGAAGGACCTGCCACTACCAGTAGTCCTAGATTGCCTGTTTATGTAAGTACAACAACTAAAGGTTCATTGACAGAAAGACTAACTCAACCGTATATAGTATGATGATGAATTTGAACAAATTGGCGATTTACCTCCTCCATACAGGAAATAAAGATGACTGGGTTGAGTTAATAGTTGGAGTGTGAGAACGATGAAATAGCAATTGAATGTAGGTTTATATTGGGAGATTCCAGACTAAAAGAGGGAATGTACATGTATCTAGAAAACACAAAAACTAGACTGTTTCCACCTAGGCCTCGTTCTTCATCCAGTTTACTCAACCTCGAACCCGACTGGCTCGACTGGACCAAGTCTAATTGGTGGACCACTTGCATCTTCACAACCATCCCTCGCTTCACGCTGCCCAGGTGGTGCCATCACATCCTCCTTCTTTCCATAACGCCACCATTTAACCACCTCATCCTCGCGAACTTCAAGTCGATACTTATGACCTGGCGTAAAGGCTTTGTCACCCTCAATCGCATACTCCCTCAGAAATCTATGCGAAATAGTCACAGGCGTTTCTGGTTCCAGGGTAACATAGTACTCGTCATCAGGGCCGCCGAGTTCATAACTGAAGCCTGGTCGCTTTGGACCCTTTGTGACATCCATCTGAATAGGCGAACCTGTAGTGAGATCTGTGCATATAAAGTTCTTGCGTCGCTGGGCTAGTGCTAAGTTGAAAATAGTATGCCAGGTAAATATGGTGATGGGTGAGGAAGCATGAGAAGTTACTGTGATTGAGATACTGGGTGGTGATTCAGAACGTCGTGTGAATTTTGGTGGGTCGATAGACATGCTTATCGAAAGCGTCGGGGGCCGGGAGGTAGGATCAGACATTTCGTAGAAATAGATGAAAGGTAATAGTGAAATTTGGATGGAGGTATAGGTCTGCGGCGTGGTCTTATATATCAAGTGTTTCAAACGTGGTGACTCAGCTCCGTTAAAGGATTCCTGAGGATACCATGACATCATTCACGCTTACTGATAGAGGCGTACAGGAGCTGAATCGTTCACATGTAGAGCCCGGCCTTTCCGTGAGAAGGCACACACCTCGAAGACAGTCCATAGAGGGAAATAATGTATAATTTCCTGGAATGTAAAAGATGTAAAGTTGGATGAGTGCAAAAAACAGAATCCGAGAGACATGTAACAACGTCCTCACCATTGATATACCCTATCTAAGCCTTTCGCTTCGAATCTGCCGTAGTAGGCGCATCAAAACTCTTTCCACAAATAATACTCCAATGCAACTCATTAGCAAACCACGAATAATTATCCGCATTATCCAACTTATCCTCCCGGCTCAACTGCTGACTATCATAAGGACCATAAGCATGGTCATCAGTCCCCAGTTTCGGAAGAATACCCTTGACCAGATTATCATAGTGGGTATACTCGTGGATGAGAATGGATCCAAGACTCTCCATCTTAGATGATACACGAGCATCGAACTTTTCGCACCGAACTGGGTTTACGCCGTCGTAGCCCTTGCCGATTCCACCGCTCTCGAAACCTTTGGGACACATGATGATCTCAGGGTTTTCACCACCTGCGTCTCTGGTTTCGGCTTGGGTATCGCCGTCGCAGGAAAATTCACCGTCATCGGGATCCTGGTAGTCGGGCATAATCCTGAGCTTTCCAAGAAGTGGATTACCCTTTCCATCTTCATGGTCATCTCCCAGAATTGCATCAAACACCTCTGCTCGGATGATCAGCCAGTTTCACAACCAAGCTAATGTTATCACTTACTGTTAACAGTATCTCTATCGTCAGGATGAAACCACTTTGCAAAGATCTCATCGGAGATAGAACTTGGAGTCAAGGCATAGTACGCCAGCTGAAGTGCATCACGAGCCCCCTCGCTAGCTTGCTTTTTTTCTTGGTCTGAGAAGGCACCGTCGATGATTGGAGGGTCACGCTTGTCCAGGAACTTGGCAAAGGACTTGGAAGCTCGAGGAGTCGGCGAGGCCAGAGCGAGTAGCCCGGTGGAAAGAAGAAGGAGAGCCGATTGCAACATCTTGGAGAGACTTGTGAGCTACTGAGAGAACTGAGAGCTGCCGATGCTATGACTTGATGATCCAAACACAGGGTATTTTGGTCCTTTTTATAGATACGACTTTCACTTATTTCCTCTCTATTCTTCATATGCAACATACCGTTACTTCATTTTGCCCCAATTGGAAGTTCACGGCACGTCTGACCATCGAGATTCAGCATTACATACGAGCAATTGGATCATCATAATTGCTCGATCACGCTTACGTTGGATATCTCTGCTGACAGGATCCCGTTCCTCTATCTAAACGATGGCGTATCTTTCCCATTCGATTCTCCTTAACCGGCAATATGTTTCACCTAATAGCCAGTCACGGTGCGATTAATAAACAGCTCACGGAATATGCATGAACCTGGTGCTGAAGGCTGCGTCTTGTGTGAGTGGGCTGGTTGGTTATGCTTATGAACAGCCTTGTAGAGTATATGCAGCGCATTGCTGCGAAGTAGAACTACCGGATTTTTTCAGCTTTGGGTGCTCTTATTTGAGACATTCCGGCGTATTCAATTGGGGGCTGATGATCTTTGGCCGAGATCTAATGTAGATCATTACTGTCTAGTCTGGATCTTTTGTTCGCAGGAAGGCTCAGCTTTGAAAAATGTTTCCTTATTGATTCATATACATGGAAAGACGCCACTGCGATGGGCTGTTCAGATGACATGAGTCTACTTGTAACAAATGTCAGACCTGTTAGCAAGGCAGAAGTGCAAGGTGCAGAGATCGCCAGTCATGCGCCTAGTCATAGCGCCCGAAAGTGGTGTCACGGGCCGCCAGGATCCAACGCTGCAACCTGTCAGCATGACATAAATTATCCGATAGGATGAGCTTAGTGGAGGATCGGGGCTACCCCACAGCTGAAGCTGCATGAGCATTCCTATCGGATTGTAAGCGTATCGATCGCGATGATAATCCTACTTAATACAGCAGGTGTGAAGATTCACGGTCTCAGCCGCCCTACAAGGATCTACACGAGCCGGATATCGCCGCTTCTCAGTCACGTTGATAGACGCGACAAGGGCTTCAGGTAGGCACTGCAGACTTCCCGGTACTGTGAATCCTCCTATTATCGAAGTTAACATAACCTAAAGTCGTGTTTCGAGAATTAAGGAAGATTCAATTGTTAACGGATAGTTGGTCGTAAAAACGCTTATAACATGGTTATCTATATTGCATCTTGCTAATAATAAAACTCACGCGATATTGTCAGTATGGTATGGAATATTCGATAGCATCCTCAGCATCTATATTATGAGATCCTTGCTAAAAGCTATATCATCTTAACTACTTTGTTCTAGGAACCCTTTTAAAGTGCTATCTCCCAGGTACTTTCTATAAGCAACACTAACCCGCTCGTAAACAATCTATTTAGTCCCCGAACTTATTAACATATCTAGGTATATGAGAGTTAAGGATCACAAGCAAATTCTGTATAATATTCTCTCTTGCCTTCGTAAAACTATAATGCAGATATAAGATAACTCGGACTCTTGTTGCAATCAGCCATAAAGAACCTAGATCGTAACTTGGACACCACCTTTGGAGGCGGACTTAAACATTGCATCCAGGTACTGATGCCTCTGCACGGCATCGTCGAAAGTTGGGTATGCTCTTCCACTTGCAAAGTTCTCATATATACGGCCGACATTCTGCGAGGTGAGTGGCAGATCCAGTGGCCTGTCAAGAGAAACCTCCTCAATCCGTCCAGTGGCGTACTCTTTGAGCCTCACTTTATAATCTTCGGCACCCATATTGGACATGATTGTACTTCCCGTGATCCGTAGCTGGCCCTTGTCGCCGATAATGTCCCAGATCAATCCCCCTCCTTCGTCAAACGCATCGCCACCACGGAGAGTATATGTGTAAGTTACGCCTGACTTGGTCGTTCCCTGAAGTGAGGCGTAATCGTCCGCCGTTTTTTCGACCTGAGATTGAATGACCTTGTCCCCGTCGAGGACATCTACCGTAGGCCATGTGGTCCGCAGCTGCGCCGACACTGATACCGGCTCCCCCAGTAGCTTGGCCAGGGGTTCGAAAGTATGACCCACGTAGATGGACAGCATTACTTGCCCATCAACACCATCGATGTCACGATCCTTGAAATAGCCGTATCGTTTGTCGATCTTGACGCCAGTCTCCCCGGTACAGGCGCTGCCGAGGATCTGCGTTACCAAAGGCTTCCCGATGGAGCCTGTATCGATGACGCGCTTCAATGTCGTCTGTAGGTGAGAAACCGCTCCCTGTAATTTGACTATAGTCCGGACACCCTTGTCTTTTGCTAGCTGCGTAAGCTCATGCGCCTGCGCAGTAGACACACCCAGAGGCCATTCGACATAAACGTCTTTGCCCGCCTCGATGGCCGGCTTGGCGATTTCATAGTGGGAAAAAACGGCAACTGCGCAGACTACGAGGTCCACAGTATCCGAGGCACAGAGCTTTTGAATCGAGTCAAACGGGCGGGCTGAGTCGAGCTTATACTTGCTGATAGCATCATGGCTGCGCTCGATGGACGAGTTATACAAGCCGGTAATCTCATATTTTGTCGAATCGCGTAAATAAGGAAGATGGGCGATTGAAGCCCAGCCTCCAGACGAAGAAAGCCCAATGATTCCTACTCGAATCGGCATTGTCGTCTTTTTTGTATATTTTTCTTGTTGATAAAGAAATGAAGTAGAAGTGCGGTTTGTATGCCTGACTTGTGTAATGAAGGGTTGAACTGCGAAGTACGGCTATCAAGTATTACCCATGCTCTCTGTATATTCTTTCAGCTTTTTATGCCCATCCATTAACGTTAGCCAACTCTTTGCATAATCTTGTAAGCTTACCTAGCAGCATTGACTACGTCATTATTTGTTAGATGTTTTGGACATTTGGAGTAGATATTAGTTTTAGGTTGATCCGTTGTATTGTCAAGCGAAAAGGGCGGCAAAGGAAACGCTTGGCCACAAAGTCTGAGGTTTCCTAGGCTTATGATGGCTATATGTTTTGGCTGGTCACGATACTGGTCCGTGAAATCCTGCAAGCTGTTGAACCGTCGAACGAAAAGATCATTGTCGAGTGTGTAGTAATTAAAGTAATCTCGTGGTGGGGGGGACTTTGGTAAAGCTGTTAGCAACTTTATGACCTTATTATGTTTTAAAATTATGACGTTCGTTAATGAGAATAGACTAATGTTTGAATAACGAAGATGTTGGGTGTTGTGCTTTTTTACCCCTTATATAAAGTGATATATGTTGTCATGCGGTTAATAGAGGACAGTCAAAGCTATACGCGAGCGATTAATATTTATTTCTCCAAAAGTCTTTCCCCACCATTGTAACGCAGGAGACAAGTAGACAACACCGAACCAAGACGATGAGTATCCTTAGTCACAGACCATTAGGAATTGCGTGAGGTACCTAGTGGCGGTATGATGTACTGCGATATGTGTAATGCATTTATAATATTCTTTCCTGATCTATAAGGGGTTGCCATATCTCAAAGTCTCCTCCATTTTATTAGTCCTTGATTATGGTTAGTATGCACGATCGGCACTAAATCTTTTCTTCTCCAAGTGTCTGTGCATGTGGAAATGAAGAGAAGCCAGGTAAGGCAGATTGGGAGAATAATTACGACTCAACCTAGATCATGCCTGATACATTAAACCAGGCTATTAATTGAGAAATGATCTCCCAATCTCGCTCCTCCATCCCCATCTTAAACTCAAGTGCATCTGTGTTCAGTAGTCTCTTATCATCATTTCAACGAACGTCATGGCGCAGCAATCAATCCCCAAGACAATGAAGGCCTTGAGACTAGTAAAGGTACGTCGAGCGAGATGATGGGGGCTGTAATCATACTACTAAACAACTTATTTCTTCAGTTTAATGAGAATTACCAGCTCAGACACGATGTCCCAGTCCCTGAACCAGATTCAGGTGAGCTCCTCATTCGCGTTGCGGCTGCCAGCTTCTGCCACACTGACTACCAAGTCTATCAGGGTATTTACAAGACCCAACTACCATTCACAGGCTCTCACGAACCAACTGGTACCATTACCAGCCTGGGGTCTGATGTACCTGGTGACTGGAAGGTTGGTGACCGAGTTGGTGTCTTGAACTTCAGAAAACCCTGTGATGACTGCAACGGGTGCAGATGGCGAAGGAGCAGATACGGTACTTTGAACGCTCGCTACTGTGAGAACAAGACCATGAACGGAATTGTTAAGTCGGACGGTGGTTTTGCCGAGTATATGATCACTTCGCATTATTCGCTAGTCCATCTCCCAGACGATGTGTCATTTGAGCAGGCGGCTCCATTAATGTGTGCTGGTGTAAGTCTATATCCGCTTCCTCATTCCTTGTTTATCTTGTTTATTGGATATTGATAAATCATGTAGGCTACGGTCTGGAACGCAATCAAGGAGACAGGCCTCAAAAAAGGGCAATCCTTGGCCCTGGTCGGCATCGGCGGCCTGGGTGTGCTAGGTGTCCAGTTTGCCAAGGCTTTAGGTTATCGAGTCGTCGCTTGTGATAACCGTGAAGGCAGCCTGAATCTTGCTTCGGGGGTGCCGGAACACCTCCGACCTGACTTAATAGTCAAATCGGGTGACGAAGACGCTACCCAGAAGATCTCTGACTTTACACACGGCGAGGGACTACATGGAGTTGTCGTCTGTACCGATAGTGTAGCTGCCACAGACTGGGCATTGCATCGCCTTCAACCACGAGGCACATGTGTAGCCCTTGGTCTGCCAGATGGAGGCTTTAGGTTTGATGCGTTTAATCTGGTATTCCGAGAGATCAACGTCAAAGGCTCTCTTCACTGCAGCATAGAAGAAGTTAAGAAGATGATTGATGCAGTCTCTGAGCATGGCATTGTTAGCCACCTGACCATACTACCGCTGGAGGAAGGCGAGGATATTCCCCAGAGAGTAGCTGCTCATGAGTTTAGCGGTCGGCTGGTGGTAAAGATTCAGTAGTCGGTTGGAAAACAAAATTATCAATTGGTCCATCGCGTCTTTTGTCGTGCATCGATATCTTTGTTGTACGTAATAGAACCTTTATCTCGGTCCACAAATCATAAGGTGGCTCCAATCAATGTGTTTTTGGAAGAACCAGTTGTCTCATAGAGCTAGAAAGGGCCCGGAGAATAGAATTCATGAACGATTAGCAAAAGTTGGGCATGCGTGTTCAGTGTATCTTAGGATGCAGCATATGACTAGTATACGTTCACGGCCTCGGTGTAAAGACTATCGGTTTTTGTACTTCGACTCTTCTAGTAGAAGGTGCCGATGAGACAAACAAGGTGCATGGAAAATAGCTGGTGGCCGCCAGAGACATATCAAGTATGGCGTAGGCATGGAACCAGTTGTTAAACTCCGCTTGCCAAACTTGCGCTTAAAGTGCCAGTTTCTTCTCCACCAGGGCAAGCCGTGCTTCTAGGCCTTGAACGTATTACCATGGGACAGACGCAGTGTCTTGCGCTTTTGTCTCTTCTAAAGGGATGCACTTTGTTCCAGATCGATCACGATCTCCGCACTATACTGATGCTGGTTCGAATCCATCGTAGTTTTTCCCTCCAACAAAGAGTGCTGAAGTCCGTCCAAGCGCGGCACACATGGCTATTATCTCTAATTCACCCATGGCACGCCTAGTCTCATCCCGGGTATAAGAAGTAGGTGTCTACAGCCAAGTAAAAAAGGTCTGAAAGGTGTCCATAAAGAGCTTAGTAGACAGATTACCAATCTTATTTTCATTTTTTCCCCCAAGCTTCATGAATAGCTTAGTAAAGAGATTAACGATTTTATTTCTATTTCCCCTCCAAGCCTAACTCATAAATATATATATACACTACTTTTTGCCATATTACCCCCAATTGCTGCCCACCTTACTAACACACACCTCACTCCTCACATCACTTACCTCTTATACGTTACTCAACACCAAAAGTCATGTCGCAAAATATCAAAATAATTCCCACCGACGAATATGAGGCCGTCGTAAGTGCTGTTCAACATTACATTGACAGCCTTATTGGAGCCAGTCAAGAAATTCTGGACAAAGCATTTCACAAGGACGGCACCATGACCGGCTGGTCTCCTGATGGTTCCTTGGCTTCCGGAAGCTACAGAGCTCTACACGCATACTTCGAGACTTACGGGCCAGCGAAGAACCTCAAGACACATACGGATATTCTTGGTATCACGCCAACCACGGCAGTCGTCCGAGTTGATATCGAAGGAGCGCCTGATGCTCCTTATACAGACTTCCATACCCTGTTCAAGATCGACGGTCAATGGAAGATCATTGCCAAGGCATTCCATGCGTACAAGTCTTAACAGTGCTGCTTACTCACGGACAAATATATATGAGTTTGGATGAGGTATCAATCGATGGAGGGCGAGGGCGACTTTACTAGGAGGACTTGGGCTCACGTTACAGACATGGAAAAGAGATAAAAGTTACTACCTCTTTAACGATTCTTTGATTTCACAAGTATAAGTCCCACTAAGGGCTTCTCAGAGTTTATTGTGAAAGCGAAGGTATTGAATTATTACCGTCCTGACGCTTAATAGGACACACATGCTCCTCTTGAAATACTTGCTTACTGAACATCGCTGTGGCAAACTCTCTCTTCGCACTTACTTGATGACCTGTCATATGTCTTATACATGGCGCAGATCATGAACAGAGCAAGAGAGCTTATAGTCGATAACATTTCAAGATCAACAATCGTGTCCAGGGTGTAATTTCACTGGTCGATGGCTGACAGTTCCTTTTTAAGATATTTGCTTAAATTTCTGACGTGCTTTCGGTAATTAGTGGGACGGGGTCACCATCATGTTTAAATCGTACTGGGCAATGCGACTGAAACTGGGCTATTCAATTTACCTTTGAGAGTGGTGTTGTGGTGTTGTAAATAGCTCTTAGTGTTTTATTTATTCATTTATTGTTATCCTTAAAAAATAACTATGCATGTCATTCCGAGGATGGTTAACGATTGAATTGATCATCAAGAAAGGTAAATTCCATTACCCTAAGCTCCTCTCGGCTTCTTGAGTTTTTACCCCAAAATCCCATCTCCACATCGATCACCATCCGATGGGATACTCCACATCAAAGCGTTTTTGGTCAAGATAAATTCTTCATTTATTTAAGACATTCAGAGGTTGTGGCAGATCAAAGTTATCACAAGTCGCAAGTGTCATTGGCAACATATCTTGCTCAATATGGCAACTGCAAACGATTCATTCAATGTCATCTCGGACAAGTCTTTTGGCTTCATTGGGCTTGGTATCATGGGATGGGGCATGGCAAAAAACCTGAGGGCTAAGATCCCAACCGATTCAATGTTGTATATCTGCGAAGTCAATAAACCCCGACGAGACGAGTTTGCGGCGTCAACGGCAGGCAAGATTCAAGTTGTGGAGAGTCCACGCGAGATAGCTGAGAAGAGTGTAAGTGGAATGACCCCTCCAGCCTTCTGGTCATAGCTCTAAACTAAAACAGGACATAATAATCACCATGCTACCCCGTGGCGAGCACGTTCGTGAGGTTTTCACAAACCCGCAGACTGGCCTCCTCTCAGTGGCTGGCTCGGTGAAGATGGGAAGCAAAATCTTTATCGACTGTTCAACTATCGACGTCAAGACCTCACAAGAAGTGGCTGCCGCCGTGGAAGCCTCTGACTTGGGATGTTTTGCAGATGCTCCTGTCTCTGGAGGTCAAGGTGGCGCCAATACAGGCACACTGACCTTCATGGTGGGAGGAAGCCCAGAGTCTTTTGAGACAGCCAAGCCTACTCTGGAGCTAATGGTCAACCCGGAGAATCTCTTCCACTGTGGGAAAGCTGGTGCCGGGTTGGTTACCAAGCTCATCAACAATTACCTCTCAGCCGTCAACATGATTGGAGTTTGTGAAGGCATGAACATGGGTCGACTCTACGGCCTAGATCCTGTATTACTTGCTAGTGCTATTAATAGCTCCACCGGCATGTCGCGGAATAGCCGGGAGCAAAATCCAGTCAAGGGTGTTTCCTCTACGGCTTCTGCAGCAATTGACTTTGAGGGGGGTTTTCTACTTTGCTCTGTCACGGTGTCCTCCAGATGGCCATGGAATTGAGCGAGCAGCTTGGGGCCAAGAGTTTGCTGGCACCTGTGGTTCGGGACATGTATGACTGCGCTGTACAGAATGCCAAGTGTCGTGATAAGGACTTTAGGAGTATTTACCGACTATTTAGTGAGGAGAATGGAGACCAGTTACCGCGTAAGGATCTGAAGAATTAAGTATAAAAAGGACAGTATAAGTGGGGATTATTTCAAGCTAGAGTTTTATTATTATGTATTGCCATTTAAAGCAATTGCGAATTATATTTATAATTGACTTTATCGTGACAAAAGGGATTATTCTACTAAATTTCGAACTTACAATCTAATACCTGCCGAGTTACATGTATTTGGACACAGGTTCAATCTGACATAGACTCTTTGGTCTCAACTATCTTCCCTCAACCTTAAGGATTAGTTACCCTACTCTATTAGACTGTCTAGATTGACGAGCTAGAGAACCCTGTAGCATCCAGTATACAGAAGTAGAATAGACCATTCTACTGCATGACAATATCATCTCTAGATGCGAGGTAACTACCATTACATAACCGTTCATAGCGAGCTCGTTACCCCAATTACCCACAGAAGGACGGGAGAGACCGGATTAGCTATTCTGAGACGTTGGAGTAAAAACGAAAATGGCCGCTATAGCAGACTATAAAACTGAAGCTGCGAGAGGTATCATCCACGATTGCTAAGCACTAATAAACACAATTGTAAAGTAATCTTATACGTCCAACCCCATAACAACATGTCAGACGAGAAGAAGTTCGATAACCTTCACACGGACATGTTCCAGCTTGGCCTCCAGAACCGACGTGAGGTCGTTGGAAATGCCTACGTTGACGCCGCCCTCAACAACGGCAAGAGCGAATTCTCCTACCCTGGCCAGCAACTTGTTACTGAGTAAGTTAGGTCATACCTCAAGGGATTGTTAGTCGTCTCGTCTAACATGCATAAAAGGTGGTGTTGGGGCAATATTTGGTCTCGACCAGGTCTTGATCGCAAACAGCGGAGTCTCTTGAGTATGCCTATTCTACGGTATACCATATCATCATTTAATCTAACTAATCTTAGATCTTGGCATGTTGATTGCCCTCAAGAGCTGGCCAGAGCTTGGCGTCCATGTGCGCGGTGCCCTGAATAACGGACTCACCGAGATTGAGATCCGCGAGTCCATTCTCCACGCAACTATCTACTGTGGTGTTCCAGCCGGCGTTGAAGCTTTCAAGGTGGCACAGAAAACGATTAATGATATGATTGAGAAGGGAGAGCACACGAGGGAATCAGCAGAGCTATCTCCATTTCTTCAAAACTCCGCATAGACAAGAATACCTTTTCAATTTGTAGAAAGTCAACATACCAGAAAAACATTACCTTAGTTTATTACAGCATTGGAATATTATTAGTAGATTATTAAATTCAAAAGTAAACTCAAGTGAGCTGCTGCAATGTAATATAAGAGATCAAAGGTCTGTATTTATTCTCAAAGCTCCAGTAGTCTGTAATGTATTGTTAGTTACCCGATACCTTGCTCCTTTTTTTTAGAGTGGAGACTAATATACAACCCCAATCTTCCCCCACACCCTTTCATCGTTATTACCCCAACTCCGTTCCGACTTTTATCCATGCTGTAAGACTCAGCTCAAATGGCACACGAGAAGACTGGCCTCCCAGATAAGATTTAGGGCAATATTCCAATACGACCACACATAAATGTTATCACGTCCATTAATTTATCGTCCTCTAAATTACCATGTCACAAGTACAGACCGCCGCTGTAGTTGAGCAGTTCGGCAAGCCATACACGTTCAAACAGATCCCACGCCCAACAGAACCCGAAGGCAAAGATATCATCGTGAAGGTCCTCGCTGCTTCATACTGCCATACAGACGCCATTTTCGCCGCCGGACTTCTGTCTCAGGACCTCCCTCGTATTGGATGCCATGAGTTTGCTGGAGAGGTGATTGCGCTCGGGCCAGATGTCTCAAGTCACCTTGGCGTTGCAGTGGGCACCAGGGTCGGAGTCCCAGGCCGGGCATACCATCCCTGTGGGACTTGTTATGAGTGTACACACCCTGGCCAGGATAGTATGGGGTACTCTCCTTATTGTCCTCGCTCTGGAAACTTGGGATTGACTAGGGATGGTGGCTTCCAAGAACATTGCCTCGTGGACAGCCGACAAGTTGCGGTCCTGCCTGAGAATTTGTCACCGACACAAGCAGCACCGCTGATGTGTGCTGGACTTACGATTTGGAGTGCACTTCACCACAAAAAAGTTCAGAATGCTCAGAGAGTTGGAATTATAGGTGCTGGAGGTGGACTAGGTCATATCGGAGTGCAGTTTGCAGCTCATCTGGGCAAGGATGTTTTGGCCATCGATGCTACAGATCAGGCAATTGACCTGATAAACAAAGTCAAGAACAATCTCAGCGAGGCTAGAAAAAGGGTGTACATCGCTGACGCCCGCAAAGAGGACTCAAATGTATTGAGTGCAATGATTCAGCCAGCTAGCGACGTGCCACCTTCCGAAGTCGGTCTTGACGCGGTCATCCTTCTTCCCGAGTCGCAAAATGCATTTGATGCGGCGATGAAGCTCCTCAGAAACCACGGAACAATGGTTGTTGTGAGCTTTCCAAAACAGAAGCTCCGAGTCAGCGCGCATGATCTTGTATTTCGCGACATTGCGGTAGTTGGCAGCCTAGTGGGAAGAAACCATCAGTTGAGAGAGATGCTGGAATTTGTTGTACAACACAAGGTGGAAGTTCAGGTCAAGACGTTTGCATTTGATCAATTAAATGAATTAGGAGGGCCTAAGCACCAGGCAGAGGGTGGGAAGCTAGTTATTGATATGATGCTTGGGAGAGCTAGATAGAATAGATGAAAAAGGCCTCGTCATTTATGCACGGCTAGTAAAAAATAATCAAATTTAGAAAGAAATCAGTTTGACATACCGACTTCTATCAGCCATCTATGTTCAAGCTCAACTGGCTAACTGGCCTGTGAAACCATTTCTGTAAGGTGTTTTAGAGAATCTATCAATTAGAAACAACCATTGTTGAGCCCCTCAGCACTAAAATTGGACACCATCGCGGACGGCGTCAGATGACTGGTGAAAGATAATTCAACGTTTTTCAGCTGTAGTTAGCATAACGCTGCTGGTTAACTAAGCGGGATTCTGTTAATTCACAGCTCAATTTATCGGAAAGACCTCCACATCTCAAGCGATTATCTTTCCTATGAGCTTTGTGAGCTAGAAACGCATCAAGAGCCCTAATTTTACAAGAGTTACAAACGGCTCAGCAATAACATCTGCTCACTTTATACTGTGTTGACTTGAATATATTAATGTAGACCAAGACACATAAACCTTTCATGTATACGATAATACCTGTATTTTCCTGTCTCGCAAACAACGCATATCGACATTGGCATAGTCTCGTTAGAGCCTACCCGGAAAGAAGCGACCTTCATCCACGGCTTGTTTCTCCCATCCTCCATCATGTGCAAAAACGACCTCAACTTCCTTCAGCTCACCCGGATCTCTGATAGTATTACGAATAATCCTCAGCGTGTTCTCTGCTTTAGCTTTATCTTGATGAATGCAACAGCTCAATCCTGGATATGCCTTATCCGTCCAAGTTGCGATGTCCTTCTCTCCTGTCAACAGCCGTCCATCATGGCATGAGTCTCCAGCTAGGTAAACGTGCTTCCCATCTTCTAAGGGGCATAGAAGGTTGATATGACCGTCGATATGTCCAGGTGCTGACACGATATGCAGACTTCCATCACTAAATATATCTAGTATAGCTTTAAAGCAGCCCTTGCTGTGCCATGGCTGGGAAAAGTATCCAGTTAAACGCTCCGTTTGGGCCGACAAATTCGTCTGTTCTTCCAGCGGCGGTGTCGTAAGAGGAAGGCCTATGGGCGGCAGTTCTATGGTCCTCTCCATATCTAGGATGCCCTCCTCGAAGTGATTGTGGCTCCCAGGGGCAGACTCCGTCGTGCCATCGATAAGTTTTGCTGCTCCGGGTCCTACGACGTAGGTAGAATTTGGGTAATCGGATGGTGTTCCAACATGATCCCAGTGAAGATGACTGAACATAATTGCGTCAATATCATCAGGACCTAGACCACCTTTCGCCAGTGACTTAACAGTGTCATGATCACCGGAGAGCGGTTGCCGGGTTTGAGCGTGCTTGTAAATGGGTGGGGCATAATCTTGGAGTTTCCGTCGAATTCCAAGATCAAAGACGATCCTTATCGTTCTGCCACAGCGCCTGTCTTTGTGTTGGATCAGAAAGGAAAGAGAAGGGACTGTCTTTCGAGCCGAAACATCTTCTAGGGGGGTAACAAAGAATCGTTCGGGCAATGTTAGATACCCTGCTGAGAGGGCATGGACAGAGACAAAAGACATTTTGCGTAAGGGCTTTGAACAAGTACAACACCAGAACAGGTGATTTTCCAATTTACCACTATCCGTCTTATGTATTCGTATAGGCAACCTGAACGAAATTGACCTTTCTAGGAATTCAAGGGGCACATGCCCCAATTGATTACTCGTGTATCTACCCCAACAACGTTGGCGGTCGAAACAGCGGCATTGCCTGCACTACCTAATGATTGTTACCCCAGGCTGCCTGGAGCAAGAATGCATGACTGTCGGCCTTGCTTGAAGGTTTAACCACCTTGATGGAAACAATCTAGATAGTAAACCCATGTTGTGACGTTCTTTCTGTGGCTAGATTATCGCCAGCGCAGCCGAACTTGAGTGCTCGACAAACGACACATGCGACTATCAAACCTTGCAATAACGCTTTACACTATCTCAATATATGCCTCTACCGCCGCCCTCATTCTTGCTGAAGAGTATCCGCTACAACAGAAAGGCTCTGTCCGACAATGTACACAATCTCAAAAACCTGGAACCCTTTAAACGTCTCTGCCCAGAGACGAGCAACGCAGGCTGACAACCTCCGTATCTGACTTGCGTGATCCCTGTCACTATCTAATGAATCGACAAGCTCTGTCTCTCGAATCAAAGCCACAATCATATCGAGTAATTTCTGCTCATCCGGCCTCAAGGTACTCAATCCGGACGACTCGACACAAAGAGCGAGCGAACGTAACCAGTAAGTCATCAGAAAAGCACACTCAAGATTAGAAAGGGCGTGTTGAATACTCCAGTTAAGCGTAAGAGTACGAGCGACAAACGCAATGCCCACGCGCACCGGGATGCTGAATGTGTGTATACACTGCAAAATAGCCCTATCGAGATGTGGAGACCTATTGCAGACTCTGATCTTACCATCTGTAAAAGCACGTGCAATCACGGTAGGGTCTCGTGTGAAGAGTTGCCGATAAGGTCCAGTATTTGCATTTAATCGGATATAAACAAGGCGTAATAGAGCAGTTGAGTTGAAACCCATTGGTCCTTTTGGAGACGATGGATCTAGGGTCGACTCGTGTGTTGCTTCCCAAGATTCTTGCCACGCACGGAGAGCTGCCTCCATCTTCTTTATGAACTCTTCACTGAGCGAGCTCTCTGGGTCTGGCACTAAGCCCAAGGCGTTACGGGCATAAAATATTTGGAGAAATATGCCGTGGATGAGCACATAGTTGCCAAAGGCCGAGATCCCATTCTCGTAATGAACTTGTTTCCCCTGGAGTAGTTTCTGGACAGTTTGTTGGAATGACTGAGGCTGGCATGTAAGTTTGTTGTGAAGATCGGACCACTCACGCGCCGTCGGAGATTTCCATTCACAATCACAGGAGGGCAGGTTCAGACCAACTTCCTGGTTCAAAATCATTGGAGGAACGTTGAAGGCAGCACACTGTAGACTGAAGAGTACATAGGCAACAAAGAGAGTGCGGCGTCTCTCTTCGGCAAGAACCCATTCTTCCCAAGACATATCCCTCATGACAGTATCCTCATGCTCACCAATGCCAAACTCGCGCACCAGCGTCGCAACCTGGCTGGCCATGGACAAAGCATCTCGCACCAGTGCTTTCTCACCCCAAGATGTCATGGCCATGAGGACGAGTAGTCCCTGTAATAGACGTAGACCATGTTGACCTTGGGACAGGATAGGGGATGGTTGATCATGCTGTGACTCGTTGGGGATGGAGGAGAAGCCCGCAAATCTTGGAGAAATGCCGGTGAGACGTGAGACAGTTCCTTCATAGAACTGGTCCAACCGCCGATTTATGAGCAACTTGGCAAGACGATAGAGCTCAATGCCTTTTGCATGCTCAAAGCGATATAGCGCTCCAACAGCAGCGAGGGCTAGTGTAAGTTCTGGACCCAGCGTTTCCAGTGTCAGAGTCGCTACGTGAAGCATAGGCATGTGAGCGTGAAAGCCACGAAAGTACCCTTCGAGATACCGAGATAGCGTGTGCCTCGATGGAAAGTTCAAGCGGTGAGGGATGGTGCTTGTCAATGATGCTACTCGCTGTGCAAGAGCTTGGTATTCTTCCGGCAATATCCGCCACGGACAGGAAGACTCTATCTGCCCTGGAGCCAAGTATTGCTCGTAGCTAGCAGCTGGCTCCAAAGCATTCAATCTCGAAGAGAATGAGGGCTCGAGTGACGGTAGTCTTGACACCACAGGACGGGTCTGTGATGTCTCGTGAGGTGGATTTATGTTGATGGGTATGTTGAGATTGGGGTCCGTCGGGATTTCTGTAGAGGAACCAATATCCAATTGACGGTCTTCTTGGGGGAATGCAGGAGGATGAGGTGGCGGTGGCGGTGGTGGAGGGGAGGGCAATCGAACATGCTGCTGCGAAATGTCGACGAGAGATAGATCAGTATTGAGAAAGGTAGTCGGGAGTGGTTGGTCGTCGATGGGAAAGTCATTCCACAAGAAATCAAATGCCTGCAGGCTGTCTGTTGCGCCAAGGAGAAAGCTGGGGGTAGCTGACAAGTCGGAGGGTTGGAGCTCTGGTCCAAGTGTCGTTTCGGCCCGGGTAGGAGGTCTCTCAGAATCAACTTCTGGCCTATTTTCTATCTCAATGCGCTGCACAGAAATATTGTCCGTTACATCGACTGCTTCTTCTTGTAGCACCGGGAGAGGAGTATGCGGTCTGGATGCTTCTCCAGAAGGAGCCATATTGGTTGACACAGTAACCTCGCTGGGCGAGTCTTGTTCTGCACATTGGATAGCCCCATCTTGATTCCCATCCTGTTGATGAGATTGTCGGTGATGACGGGTGAGAAGGTCTCTATTGACAGGGTAAGTTGTTAGGGGTTGGGCATGTCGAGCAAGTGCTGGGACTCACCGTCTCGAAAAGCTCTGCCCACAACGACAGAAGAAAGGCTTCTCTTGGGTATCTAGAAGCACAAACAATTTAACAATAGAGCCTTGGCCAGGACTTTACCACGTACGGATTCTCTCGTGTCGCTGCAAATGCTCCGACCGCTTGAACTGTTTGTGGCAGAATTTGCATGGGGCAACATGCAGGCGGGGACGACCCCTTCGCATCGAATTTTGCTCTACTGGGTTTGACCTCTGAGTGTTTGATGTTAGATTTCACCCCAAAATTGCTAGAGTCTGGGGGGCTGAAATGGCGATGGAGTAAGTTAAAGTAGCGGGGTCTAGGGGTTGGAGTAGATTTTATCGTTCTTGTTTTAAAACCTTACTAATCATTAACGTTAGTCTAGCCTCTAGGTAAACCTACCTGGATAACGTTATGTCCGTCGAAATTTTCCACAGTAGCATTTCTTTCATGTGATTCAACCTAAAGTTGTTGTGTGCTAAACGTTGGACATCAGGGGTCCGTATCTACCCTAGCCAAGCACATCGATTTGTGTCACATGGTTCAGGTTTTGACCTCATCTATAATATTGACAAAACCCTTCTCCTCGCCCTTCCACATTATCTGCCTCCCATCCCTCCATTGCCCAACAACCAGGGGTTTGCGGCCAGGTTCCCCACCCTTGGGCAGGTCATTGAGGAATCCCCATCGACAATACTCTTTGAGTCCCCGCTTCTGCCAGTCATTTATGTCCTCCATTTTATTGTCGTTAAATAGAGGCAGAACTTGAAATAGTACTTCATCGTGTGCCAGACAAATAAAGATGTTGGGCTGTGCGTCTAGAACCTGAAGACTATTTATACTCTTCTGCGCGAGATCGGGGAGGCTATAGGCACTTCCAGGAGCGCGAGAGACGTCATAAAATGGTTGAATACGTGCATCCATGCCTGTAGCCTTTGGGTGGTGCTGCGTAAAGACTGAACAGGGGCAAGGAGATGGGTAATATTCATCCAGAACCTCTGTAGAAACCTGTTGTGGTAAGGGTACATATCTCGTCGGGCGTAATGCGCCAGCGTAGTGGCAGCAATCGCCCCCCATAAAGACAAATGTGTTTGGGGTGGTACGCGACAGACCGCAAATATGCCCTATTGCGTGCTAATTAGGGGTTTCAGTATGTAACATATACCAAGAATGGCCATTGTGGTGCGACTTACACCTGGGACGTCAAGGAGGTAAAAAGAGCCGTCACCAAAATAATCAAAAGCTGGGAACCCAGCTACATTCATTGCGAAATCTGGCTCATGAATCCGATGGCCTCTTCAAAAAGTTTTCAGCAATTATGATCTGCCGTTCCTGTGAGTTGACTTACCCCAGGTCTCTTGCTAGCACAGGACTCTCGGGGTTCTCTGGCCACCCAGGTACAAAGTTTTGAGTGAAGCCAGGCCCAACAACAATATCCGTTGATGCTAGGAATTTGGAACCATCGCCGATATGGTCCCAGTGCCAATGACTCCAGACAATAGCCTCTATTCAACATCAGCACGAACACGCACACAAATGAAGGAAAGGGTGTCATACTAAGGTTGTTCAAATCGAAACCCTGGTTGATAAGAATCTCGTCGACCCCAGACTTAATCTCAAGGCCGGGGACGTGGCTACCAATCATCTTTGATGTTTGCGGCGATGAATTCCAAAAGTCCTTGCGAGAACCGCAATCAAAGAGGATATACTCCCCGTCGTGCTCCAATAAGAAACACAATGTCTTAAAACTGAGCCTCTCATGGTTCTTGATTTGTGGCTGCACGAACGCGTTGGCGTTGCAGGACATGCGTGTTGTGGTGTCAATAACCTGGACGCGAACCGTCTTGGAGGATGATGGCAGCTCCAAGCTCGGGGCCTTTTCTGATTTGATGTCACCCATACTAACCTATACAGCCGATGATTAGTGTAGGTTGATCACAAGCCAAAGACTAATGCGTATGGCGGGTGTCCTGCTGGGCATTTATACTTCTCCGTTTCCCCTCACTGTAAATCTACTAGTCCGGGGTACTTTAACAGTTAGAGTTCAGTGAATCCTACCTTCGTGGGGTCTGGGGTAATTGAGATGGAAACTTCTGTTATCGCCCAGGTACTTTTATTTTTGTGTACAGATTCTACAGGTAAGACCTGCTCAAGCCACTACGACAAAAACTCGTTTACAGCACTGCCTACCCATAATTTAATCCTACTGACTAGCTTATCCGCCGTTACAGAACAACGACAAAAGCCTAAAATGACAATCCAATTTTTTATTAACAGTAAGCAACGTCTGGTTACATCGGGAACATAATGAATATTTACTGTCATTTACTTAAAGGCTCTCTTTTGTTACACCAACTTCAAATCCTGAATCCTCTTCCTCTCATCATAATCTTCTGTACTCAATGGCGTCATAAGGGCACCGGCCGTTCGAGTATAAAATACTCCATTGTTAGGTCGCACATAGTAAACAACCCAATCTCCCTGAGGCCTAGCGCTTGAATTAGATATTTCTATAAGATCAATAGATGATCCAGGAGGCTCCGGTGTCATTCCTTCAGTGAAAACAGACAAAGCAGTCCCAAAAGTAAGCAAAGCTTTCTCGGGACAAGACGTATTTAATATGATGCTCTGGTGCATATGTCAGCTGGATTCTAGATAGTCAAGCCTATTTCTCTTACCAAGGACGACCATTCATTCACCACGGGCTGATCAGATGAGACAATTCGAAGTTCATCTTGACCCGGAGCCAGGAATTCATGCATCTCGCCAAGATATTTTTCCCATGGCAACTCGGCCACGTGGCTGAGTGTCTTGAAAACGGAATGCGAGAGTCCATGCAATGTTTGCATTAAGACGACGGCCGCTGCATTGTTATCATCGTTCTTTTGTGCTTTGTAACCTTGAGGCTATTGAATTACCAAGTTGTGTCAGCCAAGTACTGATTTCTACCATCCCGGTAGACCTACAATGTCCTTGAAAGGTAGCTTTCGTATCAAGGGAGGGAGATCATGGATCAGGAGCCCTGTGTCACCACGGGCAACTGCTTCCCTGACGGCAGAAAGACCAGTGAAGTCGTCTAGCGATTGATAACTTAGTAATAGCATTGTTAATACTATATTCCAATGCACTTGATAGGAATTAATGACTTCTTTATGAGTCTCGGCCGATTTAGATAATGTCCTAGCGAGCGTCATGGACCCCTTTTTTTCGCCTCCACTCACTACCCACAGACAGTACTAAACAGCAGCTGGGGAAAGTATTCCCAGCGCTGACAAAGCACATGGTGTGGCGCATAATTGGAGAGTTTATTCCGAAGCCCTAATTCGCAACTAGGGATTCAGACGCATATTTTTGTCACCATGTAGCCAAAGAAATGAACACATCATAGCACTCATACACCTGATCACGGTCTCTTGTTACATCATACTATCAAAATGTCTGAACAATTCCAGCATTTGCTGAAGCCTCTTCGGATGGGTGATCTACAACTGAAGAATCGGGTTGTCATGGCATCTCTGACACGAAACAGAGACAGCGTCCCCCGAGAAAACCTTCATGTTCCATACTATGCTGAGAGAGCAGGTACTGGCCTGATCGTAAGTCTTACACCTAATATCAAGTTGAAGTATGCTCATATTCTGGTTAGCTCTCTGAGGCAGCATTGATTTGTCCACAAGGTGTTGAGTGGACTTTCATGCCAGGTATCTATTCTCAAGAACACGTTGAAGGCTGGAAGAAGGTTACAGACGCCGTACATGCCAAAGGCGGTCTCATTTTCTGTCAATTACACCACGTAGGCCGAGTGGCACATCCCGGAACCCGAGTTCAACGCGAGTCCGGGAAACCTGTGCCAGGCCCATCTGCAATTGCTGCCAGAGGTGGCAAGTTTCGCAACGTTCCCGGAGCCCCTGGCTACGTTATGCCTACTGCAATTGAGGATCCCAGGGCCATAATAGAGTTGTACAGCAATGCTTCGCGCCTAGCGAAGGAATCTGGTTTTGATGGCGTGGAAATTCACAACGCCAACGGGTACCTTCCTATGCAATTCTTGGAATCCCATAGTAATCGTCGCACGGACGAGTGGGGGGGTTCTTTGGAGAACAGGATGCGTTTTTCGCTTGCGTGTCTGGCCAAAATGAATGAGCGCTTCCCCTATAACAGAATTGGAATCAAGATCGCTCCTTGTGGTGGCTACAATGATATGGGTGAGCTAGACGCCCAAGGAAACCCCTCGCCCGAACTCGCCTTCGAAACCTACGCCGGGTTTTGCACAGAGCTTAATAAGCTTGGCCTTGCGTATGTGCAGGTCATGCGATGGTGGGCGTCTTATGATTTAATGATTGATGGCAAGCCTCGAGGAGTTCAGTGGGATCCTATTGCAGCACTGAGACCAATCCTATCCAACACGCTGCTCTTTGGCAACACAACTTTCACACCAGAGGAGGCTGATGAGTGGATTAGAAAGGGGTACATGGATGCTGCAGTTATTGGCAGACCACTTCTCTACAATCCTGACTATGTCGAGAAAATCCAGAGTGGGCAAGCAGTTACGCTCTACAAGGAGCAACCAGGTGATGAGCACTGGTGGTAGTAAGTCTCAACATTGTACGCCCTGTCTAAACGATGAAGGTTACTTACGCAATTGATAGCAAATGGAGAAACAACGACAAGAGGGACGGCTATCTGAACTGGGCAAAGCGAACTATCGTCCCAGCACATTTAACAACAAAGGATAGGTTAAGTATAATTCACGATTGAAGAGAAACGGCCAGACAAATCTTTAAAAGGGACTTCATCAGTAGCGGTGCACTATGTCCCCCAAGTCAATAGAAAGGAACCTAAGACGTTCAATCCATTCCACTCCCGTTTTCATACCTTTAATTAAGACGAATTAACAAAACGTATTTAGGACTTGTCGGGTTCTTGAGTTGCTTGCACCGGACCCTGCATTCGGTCAGACATGACGATGTGGCTTGTGGGCTAATTTGTGGGGAGTGATAGTTGTAGCAAATTTGATGCTTGTATCTCCTTGTAACTATACAAGCCCGAGTGTTAGCAAATGTTTAATCAAGGGCGCCAGGGTACCCGAGGTCTCTACTGGAATTCGTACATGCGCTAGCATTTACAGCCCCTGCAATCTGGCACTCGACATGATTCTACTCCAAATTGGAGACAAAAACATTCCTGGGGAATCGCTAACCTTGATCAAACATTGCAAATGACAATAAAGAAGGCTCAAATTTCGATAGCAACAGCCTTCCCTGCCACTTCCCGTTCTCCATACTCACTCTATACTCTATACCCTAACAGCAAAGATGCGCGCAGTAGTCTTCAAGGGTGTTGGGCAGGTGGCTGTTGAGGACCGTCCGAAGCCTGAGATCGTCCATCCGACCGATGTCATACTCAAGGTTAAAGTTTCAGCATTGTGTGGCAGCGATCTTCACTGGTATCGCGGCCATCAGATAATTCCTACAGGCTTTATTCCTGGCCATGAATTTATTGGTGTCGTTAGTGAGAAGGGAAGCCAAGTCAACACCGTCGACATTGGCGATGTCGTGGTGGTAAGACTCCTATAACAAAAGTATCTAGGGAACTTGGCTAACAAGGCAACACCAGGCTACCTTTTCAACTCAATGCGGGCAGTGCTTCTACTGTCTGAAAAAACAAACTAGTCGCTGTTCTAACAACTTCTTGTTTGGTGAGTCTCATCATATCCACCCGAGGGAAGTTGCTCTCTTATGCTAAGGCTCAGCTCACTAACCCATGCTCTCTCAAATGGCAGGTAATAGCACTGGCATCAACAGCATTGACGGCGGACAGGCCGAGTTTGTCAGGGTTCCTCAGGCCGACTCAACTTTGATCAAGGCTCCCCCTCAAATTCCCGAACACCTCCTAGTGCTCATGGGTGATATCTTCCCAACGGGCTACTTTTGCGCCACCCGTTTTCTCAAGCATATGTCCAAGGAGGAAGCGAAGAGTAGCGTTATCGCTGTAGTTGGCTGCGGACCGGTTGGTATATGTGCCATCGCCACTGCCTTGACCATGTCTGACACAGTCTACGCTCTCGATCTCGTCCCAGAGCGCCTTGCCGAAGCAGAGAAATTAGGTGCCAAACCTCTTCTTATTACTGAAGACCCTGTTGCTGTGGTCAAGAAGGCCACTGATGGTAGGGGTGTAGACATCGCCCTGGAAGTTGTTGGCACGATGGATTCTCTCCAGTTTTGTCTGGACATGGTACGGCCGTTTGGCGAGATCAGCAGTGTTGGTCTGCAGACGCAGACTCTCCCGTTGCACGGGCCCACGTTGTATGGGAAAAACGTGACAATAGCTTGGGGTAGATGTCCTGTTCGAGGAATCTTTGAAGATGCTCTATCTTGTTTGGCTGACGTACAGGATAAGGTTTCGTTTCTTTGCGACTATACTGTTAGACTTGAGGATGCTGCAGAGGCTTACAAAGTATTTAGCCAGAGGAAAGTCCACAAAGTTTTGATAAAGCCTTAAAGGGCCTTGAATATAGAAATCCAATTTTCGCCGTGGGGTTTGCCGAAGTTACTAAAGCCCGGACTCGTAGCTATAACAGTCCTGGGCCAGAGGAGCGTCCGATGCGTCTATTGGGGCCAGGTAAATACGTATGGCTCCTAACGATGATCTACGTAATGCGCGCGTCCCGTCCGAGAGACAAGATGCAGAGAGGGCCAAATGAACGTCCCCTATAAGGGCACGATATTCCTGCGTTTCCCCGCGTGAGCCTCATAGGCAAGCCACGCTAAAATTCCGAGATCTGGACCACTCATCTGTTGTCGTAAAGTTTTGACGAGAGTGAGCAGCTCATTCAAGAGAGAGTTGATTGGTTCCTTCTGAATTATATCCATGCAGACAGAATCAGAGCCTGGTAGACGTCCGTTTTTATGTCATCGATCTGGGATAACGCGGTAGCGTACTGTTGTAGCTCATGTGACATGTCTTCACGTCGCGACACCGAAGAAATGAGGACCAGAAGAGGTCGAGGCAAGACATTGTATCCGCTCTAATTGCCATGTCCAAGAGTAACCAGCTTGCATCTAGGGTTTTCAATTACATAATTATACTAGAGTAAAATGGATGGAATATATACTGATACTTGAGACAAGAAAAGCATGGCCCCCATCACCGCCGTTGTGACGCGCTTCATCGCACTTTCGACTGACCTTGACATATATCTACTACATCTGATCCGTGATCGGGTTCCGGATCATCTCGTTTTGCTGTTCATTTCTGGCAGCTCTTTCCGCTTAACGTATGTGTCTGACATGTTGCCAAAGGGTATGTGGACAGCAGGATTGTTGCTTTTGCCAATAGCTGATGATTCTCTATGAGATTGCGAGGAGGAAGGGGTTTGAAAAGGGCGGGACTGACTAGGCCAAACAAGGAAAACATGTTAGGATGAGCCACCAGTTGAACTTCAGGGTACGGCCGATAATTTTTCAAGATTTCCCAAGTCTCATACTGACTTTTTCCTTCGCCCAATCTATAGTATATGAAAATAGGCGAGTAAGAGGTTGCTATACTGAAACCAATGTTTGCTATGTAAATAAAGTAAAATTTGGTGTTTGTCGTTTGTAGCCGGCAGGAAAGACCAAAAATTACGGAATAGAAATTCTCCATCCCGCATAAGCTAGAGGCGACCTTGCTGGTAAATTTCATCTATTTACGCAAACACTATATGGCAACACGATAGGTTTAGTATCAAACTGTAACGTATGATATCTACTAGTCCGCCGGTGAAATTCTTGTAATATCCTGGGAACATCACGTTCTATATTTATTAAGTATGGTTTTTACACCCCAATTTAATCGGATTCACTTACCACGTCAACTCATGGGATTCCGTAGCGCGTATCTTGCCCTAAGCCGTTGTAGGTTAGGTCCTTCAATGCGGCTCGCTTCTCTGTTTAGTAGATTCTTGCGCTAACTATATATAGCTGAAGCGCGTTACTGAGATCCGTGAGTTAATACGGTCTTTATTCCTTTATGGCCATGAGATCTCTAAATTCCTCCCAGTTATAAATTAGATACTGCCAACACTCCTGAGAATGGATATACTATAGGTGAATATATTGGAATGTGAGGTGGACGAAATCCTGTATTAATTTTTAATCTAATCTTACAGATAAGACGAGCTCGCACATAATCCTGTGGATTCACCGTGCCATGTGACCGTGGAACTGAGACAACAAACTCCATATCGGTTTTGTGATAGCCAGTGGTTATCTTCTAATTCCTTTACGTGACAGCACCAATGGATTGATTATGTTTTGTAGTCAGATGTTTTCCAACCAGTGTTGTTAGTCGTGTTCTAGGGAAAAGAATAGGGAGACATCCGAGGCTGTAAGGTTGCAGGAATAAACAAATGTGCATGTGGAAACTGAGTAAGGAAGTAGGGGCCGCCGACATGTCCCTAAAGATTCGTCTAAGCGAGCTAGAAATTTGCCCACAGGGGGACAGGAAGGACGGTATCTCAGCCCACCGTAATATCTCACTTCTACTCTTGGCGCCGAGTTGCTCAAACGCGCAGTACATCCTTTGACCAATCATGTACCCTAAACAGGCGCCTTGTTGCAAACCACAGTAACCAGGCGTCAAGCCACTCAGCAATGAACTCCAATGAAAATGTGACGCGTCGCAGCCTGATAAATATTGTCACTCTGAAGAAAGTGTGAATTCTGCTTTCCATCTCATCAGTGTTCAATCCTACAGCATTCTGTACATCCTCTCCGCACAATCCACTCTCATAGCAGCATCCCCAGCATGTCCGACCCCAACAAGTACACTATCGGTTGGATCTGTGCTATTCGCACTGAATTCGTGGCTGCACAAACTTTTTTTGATGAAAAACACGACGGTCTTGAAACTAGCGCTCATTGCGACAACAACAATTATGCCCTGGGGCAAATCGGAAAGCATTATGTTGTCATGGCTGTTATGCCCGAGTCAGAGTATGGTATCACCACCGCTGCGACGGTAGCAAAAGATATGCTACGTAGCTTTTCAAATATTCGTTTTGGGCTCATGGTTGGAATTGGTGGAGGTGCACCGAGCGTCAAGCACGACATCCGACTGGGTGATGTTGTAGTCAATACCCGCGGCGTCTTTCAGTATGATTATGGTAGAGAGACCCAGGGGCGTCCTTTCGAAACTACAGGGTCCTTGAACAAGCCACCGCAATTGCTCTTGATAGCAATAAATGCACTCGGATCCCAGTACGAGCTGGAAGGACACCAGCTCAACGAACGTATTGAGACGGCACTGCGGCAATATCCGCGTCTACGAAAGAAATACTCGAGACCAAGTTCAGAAACCGACAGACTTTTCCAATCTGACATCGTTCACCCTGATCTGCCAGGGGAGTGTGTCGATCTTTGCCGCAGTGGTTTCAAGTCGCTGGTGGATCTAGGCCTACGCGACGACCAGGAGGACGATCCAGCTATTCATTACGGACTGATAGCTAGCGCAAATCAAGTGATGAAGAACGCACTTGTGCGAGACTCGCTGGCTGCTGTCAAAAACGTCCTCTGCTTTGAGATGGAGGCAGCTGGTTTAGCAAACCACTTTCCTTGTGTCGTGATCAGGGGCATTTGTGATTATTCAGACTCTCACAAGAACGACAAATGGCAAGGTTTTGCATCAATGGCAGCAGCTGCATATGCAAAGGATTTAATATACAAGATACTGCCTAGCAAGGTCGAGGCTGAAACTCCTGTCAAGGAGATCTTGACTTCTAGTTAGTGTTGTCCATAATGGCAGCTTTGAATTGCCTGCTAACTTATGACAGTCAATGACACAGCGATTGCCACGAATAACGCAGTGATGAACATGGCATCTGACTATCGAAATGATAAGATTCTGCGCTGGCTCTCGCCTGCCGATTATACTTCAAATGCCAACCTTGCAAGGGAACATCGCCATCCTGGTACGGGAACCTGGTTCCTGAATAGTCCTCTGTTCCAAGATTGGAAGTCAGGATTATACAAGAACTTATGGCTTTACGGCCTAGTAGGATGTGGCAAGACGGTTTTGAGTACCAGCATTCTAGACGATCTCCTATCAAGCGATAAACATACAACCATCGCTTTCTTTTTCGACTTCAATGATCCAAGAAAGCAGAATCCAGATGACCTCTTGAGATCGTTAGCAGCACAGCTCTATCAGACTGGAAGCAAAGCTGCAAAAGAGCTTGACAATCTCTTTGCTTCCTGCAATAACGGACATGAAAAGCCTGACACTAGAGCCTTATCAGCCTGCATTGACACCATGATGCAGGCGGCGGAGCCAATCTTTATCATAATTGATGCCCTGGATGAGTGCACCAAGATCCTGCAAATGCTTCAGTGGCTCGAATGCTCAACTTCTAATAAGGCTCAAATCCTTATTACAGGCCGGCCTGAAGAAGAGCTCAAAACCGGGCTTTTTCGGTTGTTCGGCAAGGAAAACTGCACCTCACTGGACAAAAAGGCCATAGACGCAGATATATGGTCTTATGTTAACTCAGAGCTCAAGACGAGACCGTCCTTTATTGACATGAAGTTATCGCTAGCCGTCTTGAACCTGATCCGCGATAAAATCGGAAATGGAGCCGATGGAATGTGAGTCCAATAACCTAGAATATGTATCGTTGTTAGAGTAGTGGTCACTAACTTCTTTCCAAGGTTCAGATGGGCATCTTGCCAGCTTGATGTCCTTGCTGGAAGTCTGAGCCCAAGAGATATCAAAAAAGCCCTTGAGTCTCTGCCCAAGAACCTAGATGAGACATACAAGCGTATGATTAAACGAATTCCACTCGAAAGGAAGCGAAACGCCATTCGTCTCCTATAATTTCTTATCCATACTAAGAGGCCTCTTAAAGTAACAGAGGCTATGGAAGTACTAGCTACGAACATCGATACAGATCCACCAGGTTTCTGCCCTGACGGAAGACTATTTAAAACTCATAATATTCTTCGATACTGTCCCAGCTTGATCGTTATTACTGAACATCGGAGATGGCTCGGTATGGTCGAGGAGCTTCATCTCGCTCACTTCTCCGTCAAGGAATATCTACTGAAGCAGGATGAACTCGACCTTACATACTCTAGCATTGCTATCACAAGAACCTGCGTAGTGTATCTTGGTGCTTATGGCGACATTTGGGACTCAGCTACAAAAGTTCTTACAATGGTAAGTTATGCAGCCGAATACTGGACAGAACACGCCATCTATGCTGAGAAGTCCGATGACACTACTAGGAGCATAATTGGATTTCTACGAGACGAGAAAAAATTTCGGCGATGGACTGAATTATATCATGACCCAGGCAGGTACCAATCCGAGCGCCCTTCAAGTAAGGGATCGAGACTGTATTACGCCTGCCTCTGCAATCTGAGAGAGGTCGCAAAATGTTTGGTAGCTCAAGGGGATGATGTCAACGCAAAGAGCGGGAGTTACGTCACTCCTTTACAAGCAGCCATATCCCGTGGAAACCTAGAAGTTGTGCAATTGCTACTTCAGAAAGGAGCAGATGTTAATGTAAAGGGTGGTATATTCACTCACCCTCTGATTACCGCCTCAGCATTAGGTCATTCCGAGATTGTGCCATTACTGCTGAGCAGAGGTGTTGATATTGAGGCATCAGACCACGTTTATGGCACTTCTCTACAAGCCGCCTCACGGCATGGCTACCTAAAAGTTGTGCAATGTTTACTGGAGAATAGGGCAGAAGTTAACACACGCAGTAGTCGTTATCTCAACACTGCCCTACATGCTGCTGCGGAGTTTGGTTGGCCTGAAGTTGTCCAACTACTGATCGAGAATGGCGCAAATATTCACAGCACAAATAAACTGAGTGAAACTGCTCTACACAGTGCTTGCTATAGGCACGGAAGTCTAGAAGCATTGCAATTACTATTAGAGAATGGAGCAGACGTCAATGCAGCAAGTGAAATCATGGGCAGTGCTCTGCAGCGTGCCACTATAAGAGGCAGTCTAGGGACTATGCAGCTACTGCTTGACAACGGGGCAGATATCAATATGATGTGTGGTCCGAATGGCAGTGCTCTGTATGCCGCCTTGTTGAACAGACGCCAAGAGGCTGTGCAATTCTTATTGGACAATGCGGCGGATCCCAACACGCAGCACCCTAAGTATGGTACACCTTTGCATCTTGCATTGGCAAAACGATTTTCAACCGCTGCACAGATGCTGCAAAATAGAGGAGCTTGCGATAATGAAAGAGGAGAGGGTCCTTTTCATAGTACTGGGCCTCGTCTGCGTCCAAGTGACGTGATTATGAAATGGTGTCTTGAGAGGGACTAATCTCGGATGCATCGGTAAATATAAGAATCACAGTTGTTTTAGATTTGCTTGAGGAACATTGAGACACGCGTATAGTTAGCGATTAACAGAACTAATTGCAAGAACTTGGCAATAATGTCAGGCTAACAACAGCCTACCATATCCTCTTCTTTATAATTCGAGCCTTCTACGTGAATGTTCTCTAGTAGAATAACTATGTGTTCAGGGTTTGAATCTTGTAAATAAAGATTCTTGTTTCTCTACTATTGTATATTCTATAAAGGGGATATTAAAACTCTTCCAAGCCAGGCAGTTATCTTAGTTTTAAGTGCTAGTATAGGGTGGTATCTAGTAGTAGCGGCTGGCCAGCAACTGTCACTGACGACGTCTGGACTACGAAGAATTCGTATCACCTATTACATATCCGATCGCTTTGAATAATGAGTGGATGGATTAATATGCGCGTGAAAATGTCCCCTACGGAGTTGATATCGTTGAGAATGGAGCCTAACAACTAAACAAAGTCTGACCACTTTCGCGTGCCTCTACATCATGGCTTTTGAGATGTGTGAACTCCTATGTCCCTCACGGAAGCTCGTACATCCATGGTTTATAAAGAGCCGCTACCCACGATTTTCGTATACTAGATCAGGACCTTGATACTAGCAGTTCCCTTTCCAATCTTCTGGGATGGAGTTAACTCTAGAGTATTAGTCACTAAACGTCGAAGTTGGCCAACATTTACTTCCCTTTCGGTGCTGTGATCCCAAGAAATTTAGTCCTTGGAGGCTTTGTTCAACATTTCTGCCACTTACAGAAGCGATCTTCTTCTACAAGGCGGGAAGGGGACGAGGAACTCGTCAAGTCCGAGTATAGAGGTTCCTCGGATTTTACTGTGAGTTAGAACGACTGCAATAGGTACAAGCGGAAAGGTTTATCGGTTGATGTCCATATACGAAATCTCGGTGGCCGAGGGGCTGAAATTGGGAAAGGATCCTTAAAACGACATCTTCTAGAGGATTGGTCAATTTTACTGGGAGTTATTTGACGGTGACAGGGGTTCCATGGGGGGAGATCCTCCCCACAGCAAGGCAATGATGCTGAAAATCGTTTAACGCGCGCAAAATATCAGGGATTACGCTTACCCTGCGATATGTACACCGCCGCGCATGTGATTGCTGGTATGTATACTTGTACATCTTTGATGAAAGCAGCTTTGTGGATTTGGCTAATTGATTTGTGTTTTATAACCAATGCTTTTCATTGAAGAGGCCACATCGCAATTTGTATTCAAGGCAAGAATTTGCAAATGTCTTATTCATCAACATTTCTAAAGCAATCAGCCCTCAGCGTGTGAAAGAATTGCAGAGGGGGTGACGCATGACAAGCCGGCAAACCGGCTCAAGAAGTTATGGGGAAAGATTGGGGGTTTGGGGGGATTTGCAGGCAATGAAGCGAGAAAAGAAGAGAGGCGAGTTAATTCTCTGGATCCTCAAATTGAGGATAAACATCCGATTGGTCACCCCGCGTTTAGTCTGCGAAATACGATTCTGGGGTAAGTCATTTAGTTCTGTCTATGATTGACTAAGGAAGGTAGACAAATTAGCCGGAATATTATGTACATATATTCCACCTATAGGATTAATGCAATCGTTGTTTAATTTTCCGTCATGTAGAAATTCTAGATATACTTAAGCCGTCAACACCAAGGCTGAATAAACTTGACCAGTCGACATCACCTTCATCTTGCCCAAAATGTACATGAGCAAGTTCCTCTCGGCTGCCGCTCTTTGCGCACTGGCGACATCGGTAGCTGGCGAGCCCAAGCCCTCTCACGACCTACCCAAGAGGCCTCATATTGTAGCTGCACCCTATGGCACGGGCAAAGCCTTTCCACACTCTCCTCCACGAAATAGCAAGGACTTTTGCTATGTGAAGCCCACCAAAGGAAAAAAGAGGGACGATGCTCCTCGCATCCTGAAGGCCTTCAAGAAGTGCAACAAGGGAGGAACCATTGTGCTTGACAAGAACTACACCATCGCTTCGCCACTGGACTTGACATGGCTTTCTCATGTTGATGTCGTGATTACCGGAGAGGTCCACTTCAAGTCCGACCCTTACTACTGGGCAGAGAATAGCTTCAAATATGACTTCCAGAACATGTCGTCTTTCTGGAAGATTGGTGGTAAGGATATCAACATTTACGGTGATTTGAGCAATGAACAGTCTGTGCTTGATGGCCATGGTCAAGCCTACTGGGAGGAAGCGGCAACCAACAAGACTGTAAGTGTCAACATAATGCCAAGTTGTGGAATGAGACTAACATGCGCTGTCTGGCAGTTGATGCGGCCTATTCTCTTGACCATCGAAGATGCTCACGGACTTACCATGTCAAACTTGAGAATGCGAAACTCACCTAACGTAGGTTCAATGTCAGTTGAAATTAAATTGAAGCCAGCTTGCTTACTTGCATTAGTGGTTCAACATTATCATCAACAGTACCGACGTGCTTATCAGCGATCTCGATCTACGAGCTAAGAGCCTCAATGGTGTCAAGATTGCTAATTCTGATGGCTGGGACACCTACCGTTCCGATCGAGTTGTGATTCAGGACTCTTACATTGATAACACCGATGGTAAGCTTCAGACCAATCACTCAATTGACCTCGGCTGACGATAGCAGACTGCGTATCTTTCAAACCCAACAGCACCAACACAGTTGTCCAGAATCTCGTCTGTAATGGCTCTCATGGTATCAGCGTCGGGTCCCTGGGCCAGTATAAGGGCAAAGTCGATATTGTGGAGAACTTGTACATCTACAACATCTCCATGTCAAATGCCAGTGACGGTGCTCGAATCAAGGTGTGGCCTGGCGTTGAAACCCTATTCCAGAGCAACCTCAACGGCGGTGGTGGCCTTGGACGTGTGAGAAACGTCACTTATGATGGTTTCTACCACGAGAACAACGATAATGCCATCACCATCACTCAATGCTACGGTCAGAAGAACCAGACTCTTTGCAACCAGTTCCCGGTATGTTTCCCATGCTAATACGATTGAACAAATACTAACCAGAATTCCAAGGCCAACCTGACTATTGAGGATATCACCATGAAAAACTTCTGGGGTACAGTTTCAAATAAGTTTGATCCCCGAGCTGGATCCCTTGTATGCAGCGCACCTGACGTAAGTTACCTACATGATATTAACTTCGACCCGGCTAACATCTTCAAAAGCGATGCAGTAACATTGTGGCCGAGAACATTACAGTGGGTGTGCCTAGCAAAAAGCCACCTGTCTACGATTGTAGCAACGTTGACCCCGATACTTTGGACATCACTTGCCGGGATCCCACTACAGACCGAGACACGACCAACGGTTAAGCAAGTGGCTCAACTATTTGTCGCAAAATCTGGTAGCTAATAGGGAATTAATTATACTTATAATTAAGTTGTGAATTCAGTTAACTGTCTTGGCTAGTTGTTTCATGATTGAGCTATAGTCCGCACTCTTATGACCTTCTCAACCCGACCTAGAAATTGTGAAATTCGCTCCCACATTGCTATAGGATTCGAATACATGACAAAGTGACCACTATGAGGAATCTCGGCCAACTCCACTCCAGCTTTTACCAGCCGTGGCAAGTACGTCAAGGAGGAATATTGCTCTCCAAACATGTACATCGTAGGAAATCCAAAACCTTCAAAAGCTTCCAATAAGTTCCAATTATCGGTGCAATCAACCATTGACTCAAAGATGGGCCGAATCACCGCGGCCTGCACCTTTCCTCTTAATGAAGCGGCATAGATTCCATTTCCGTAGAGCAAGGAACTGCGAGTTCGCTTGATGAACTCGTCCATAAAGACATCTGGGTCATCCGATGAAAAGTCTACAATTTGTCGGCTTAGAAAGCAATCTTCTGGTGCTAAGTTCCCTTTAATGTTGATGAAACTTAACACTGAAGATGGCTGCCTTTGGGCTAGGAGGTTCGACACAAGACCACCCATCGAGTGACCGACGAGGTGATAACGAGTGATTTTGAAGTGGTCCAGGACTTTCTCGGCGATTGAAACAAGGAGAGGCATCGACAGTTTTGATGGATCAGATATGGTCGATTCTCCACTGCCAGGCGCGTCGTAGGCTAGGAAAGGTCGGCCAACAAAGAGAGGATTGAGAACAATATCAACATAGTCTTCTTTTGTGCCACCGAAGCCTTGCAAAAAGAAGATTGGAGAGAGAGGCCCATGGGAACGAACAATGGACAAATTGACCAAAACGTCGTCGATTCGAATCTCAATTGATTCTGACACAACCTGAGGTAAGGAGGTTGTTCGTGCCATCTTTAGGGTGCTGTATCGGGTAATGGAAGATAAAGAAGACTTTTATGTTAATACAACGTAATTTGATGGTGTTTTGAAAGATTGTCTGGTGCTTTATGTTCATATAAATTTATACTTTGCCGGTAGTCCGCTTATAAATTGAGTGAAAAGCTCCGCTTCGGCAAGAAAATCTTTCGCCGTGAGGACGGAGACTATTGACTTGATATTTTATCTAGGTCGCTATGAGCCCCAGGACAGTGTACTATCTGGGGAGTAAGAAAACCTTGATAGAAGGGAGATTTTCGATAATAGTTTAATACAAATTGGTGCTGATCTATCATTAAACTTTCTCTTGCTCAGACAACAGGATGACTGCCAAACCTGGCGTCATCGGCGTCATCGTCAATTGGGTTAGACAAGTAAAAGTGGCGGCGAGTTTAATCATTCCCCGACAACGCAGGTAGCTTCGTCTTTTCTTTTTCGTGTCTGCCATTCAGTTCATCAATCTTTTGTTCGTCTCACAAAATGTCGTCTTCTACCCGCCACACTAACAGACGCCAACGTCATTCCACTGCGTCCAACTTACCCCGGCAGAAATCAGTCGCGTAAGATGAGCCCGGCCACAAACAACTTGATTCTAGCTAATTCGTGTCTATCATCGCCATGTGCAGATGTCGCACTTGTCACTCTAAGAAGATTAAATGTTCGGGAGGTAAACCATGTAATAATTGTACTCGGGCATCTGAATGCGTCTATCCGACACGAGATCGCCAGGTCAAGGTACATCAAAGGTAACATTATCCCTGTCGATAACCTCCCATACACATACCTTTCTCTGTCAATTCGATTCTACTCTTGCTTCATTTATTATACAAGTATTTTTTATAAACCTTGAAACTCACATAACTTAGTCTCATTGATCACCTCCTTCAAGAGAATGAAGAATTGCGTGCTCAGACCCGATCCTCCTCACCACAAACCAGAAATGCAGACGCTCCATGGCAACCTACTCCGACATCCAACAACCATGAAGATGTTGCCGGGGAGTCCATATTGGAAGAAATTGACTGGTTCGCCCACACCAGAACATCTGACACCCCCATCTGGATTGGTGAGATTTCCGACGCTGCATTTGCGACTCGATTCCGCCAATTTGCCCTCTCGTCCCGAACACCACGTCATATTCCTCGCACACAGTTCGCTTCAGATGATACTCTACGTCTCTTGGCGACTACGAATGCAGCCTGGCCGACGCCGACGCGCGCCAAGCTTTTGGTTCAGACAACACTGCAATTCCTAGGACATAGCTATCATATAGTCCGACGAAACGAGGCTTTCTGCAGCAGCTAGAGCAGAATGGCAATCCTGCAGCAATGGAGTTCTATTCTCATATCAAGGAGATACAGATAACTTTAGAGACATGGCGCTCAACCCCTCATCAGCCGAATGTTTCGCAAACATCGGAAGACCATGGCTCAGCAGAAACCTTTCAATCAGCAATGGTCAACCAACCATCTGGGGTGTCTGGTTTACAAGACGTTGAGCATGGTCTCGTGGCTACAGAGGGTTCACCACTCAACCTTTCATTTCTGGATGACTGGATATACGACAATGCGCTTCAACAGATCTGCTGGCAAGGAGAATAGTACGAAGGAGATACAAAGACGATGAGCTTATGTATGCAAATACCGTTGACTCTATAATAAACTACCTCGTCGATAAACTATAACATCTATGCCCTACGTTGTAGGGTGTGATAGCCAAGCTTCTCTCTCGCCTCAGCGATCGTGGATCCTTTAGATATCATGTCCCGAATACCTTGCTCGCTCCTCTCGATAGTCTTCGTTAGTTCAGCCACCTCACGAGCCCTGTCTCGCGGCACAATTACAACGCCGTTTGCATCTGCTACGACAATATCTCGTGGGCTAACACGCACTTTACCCACACCGATCGACTCATTGATACCTCCGACTTGGACTCGATCTTTGCCCGTGCGCATCCAGTATCCGGACGTGAAAATCGGGTAGTTGTCGCTTATAGCACGATCAACATCTCGGCATACACCGTCGATGACTGTTCCCGCAATACCACGTAGACCGGCATAATGAGTCATGATATCTCCCCAAACAGTACAGTCTGTACGACCACCGTTATCAATTACCACGAAATCGCCAATGGCCACGTCGTCGATGAAGTCACCCACACTTCCAGGGGGGTTACTGGCAGGTACGTAACGAACTGTAAAAGCCGGCCCGACAATGGTCGTTTTGTAATTGGTAAGAGGCACGATATTGAATGCTTGTCCCGGGATGCCCAATTTGTCGAGGGCATCTGAAACTCCTGGGGTGTCGGAACCGGTGAAAAGAGCAACTAGTTCTTGGTCATCTGGAGTAGCGCCCTTGGGGTTTTGAAGCTTGTTGGGGATAGAACTGGCTGAAGATGCAATTGCTTCAAATTGCTTGTCGTGCATGGCCTCTGCCACAGGGCGACCCCTTCGAACTTCTTGAAGCATGCCATTTTGGCGATGATCGATACGCTCGGCTAGTTCTAGGACCTCTTCGATACGATCAGCTGGAATGAAAACGGCCCCGCAATTGTCGGCAATCACATAGTCGTTCTCGTCCACCTTGACACCTCGCATCTCTACCTGCACACCAGAATTGATCTGAACCAATCTGTTGCGTGCACTGATCATAGTCACACCGCGACCAAAGACAGGATAGCCAATGTCTCGACTTCCATCAATGTCACGACTCATGCCATCGATGATGGATCCACGGATTTGCTTGGCCTTGGCGGCATTGGCGATGATGTCGCCCCAGGAAGAGATCCCCTCCACACCACCAGCGATAACAAGGACGCGATCGCTTGTTGTTACACCGTCTATAACGGGCGTGATCAGATGTGTCGTGGCTGGAGCTTCCTCTTTCTTGGGCCTTAATTGGACTGTGCTGGCGCGGCCAACGATTTTGGGACAATCCCAAAGAGGTAGAAGGCCATGTGTAGCTCCTTTTAGGCCAAGGAAATCCAGCGCGTCAGATACTGTATTGGTATCCAACGCTGAAAGTCGATCGAGTATGGTGCTTGACATCTTAGTGAGCCCAATGGGTGCGGTTTGAAGAGGATATGAGAGTCTAGAATTATGAATACTGGATGACAATCCTGGACTTTCACATGTTCACTATGAACCTTTTATCATGGATATAAGTTGACTGTCTATGCCGGTTAAGCCCATTGATGCCGATTGCGCATACACTAGGTTCAGTCCATGGCGGTCAAAATGGATGATGCCGATTGGATCGGCGTTAAATCCCTTCGCCGTGTACTGTTCCACACCGGCTTCCAAGACACCCTTAGTAGCCCTCTATGGGGATTTTCCAATTGTAGTTTGGGTCAATGAATCGATCCCACGATTACTGAAGCTTTCTCGCCGTTGACGTTGGCACTTATTGAAGTGTTTCATTACTCACGCTTATGAACTCTCAGCGTGAAGAGGGTTCTTGGGGAATGTCAAATTAATACCTTTGCTGATTTGTATACCAAATGGCTCTCTCCGGCAAGTTATTTATGTACTCATGTGTCATACCTCAAAAATGAATTCTGCACCAAGAGAAGAAATACACACACTCGACAAATGTACCATGAAACGATACCACCATGTTACCGTAAGAATGAAACAGCATAAGTGCTTCTCGATGGTATGCACGGCGCATATAATGACCTCTTTTATAGATAAGGTGAAGTATCTGGAATTTATAGCTACAGTGTCTAAAAGCGAAGGTAATTATAGCTCAGAGCATGACTTTATCATCCAGCACCTTGAACTATTGCAGCATTCTAAGGAGCCCTCTTATCACAATTTTAATGTCTTGAACCGTTGGACTAATTCTTGCCTAGCACAGTAAGAAGAGCCTCCGCAACGTAATCTACGTTGCCACTTGTCACTACAAAAAGTCGTTAGTTCATTGGAATAGCGGAAAAGACGGAAGAGTATCGCTTACATCCGGTCACAGACAACCTCCCAGAGGGAAGAAGGTAGACGTGATGGTCCGTTCTAAGCTTGTCGACTTGTGCGCGGGTGAGTCCTGTCATGGAAAACATGCCGATCTGTGAAAATCATTAACACCATGCCAAGAGATTTCTGATGCATATTTTCTCACATCGGTAAGCAAGTGCTCCCATGATCCTTTTACTTCTCGGCGTTTTAGTCCCTGATACAAACTTCTGCGCATACTTTTCATACGCTCGCTCATTGTCACCAGATCTCGCAGCCATTGCTCGTAAAGATTCGGACCACTCAGGATCTCGGCTACTATCCTTGCGCCGTAGGAGGGGCAAGACGTAATCTCAGCCCGTGATAGTCGGGTAAGTAACGGCGTGAGCTTCGCGGCAGTCTCCATATCGAGTGCGACGACATGAAGGACCCCGATACGCTCCCCGTACAGTCCAAAGTTCTTCGAGAAGGACTGCGCCACTGCGAACTCTAGGTCTGATCTGTCATAGAAATGATTTATTGCGGAAGCGTCTTGATCGAGATCGCCAGATGCAAAGCCTTGACTGTAAGATAGTTAGATTAGGAGCATTACACAATGATACACAGGAGACTCACTAGGCGATATCAAAGACCGGGAATAAACTCGACTTCTTACAGATCTCTGCGACGGTTTTCCATTGCTCACTTGTAAGATCTGCACCTGTGGGATTATGAGCGCATGCGTGTAGGATGATGACATCTCCAGCACGCGCATTTTTGCGCAAAGTCTCTGTCATCGCCTCGAAATCCACCCTGTGGCGTACTGCATCATAGTACGGGTAAAATCGCTGTTGAATGTCCGAACCGGCAAGTTTCCATATTCCGTGTGGTTGATCCAACTTGGGTTGGAGATCCAGACTGTTTTAGACTTGAGTTTCGTTACGAGAAACTGAGCAGCGATATGGTTCGCGCCTGTACCTGAGACTGTCTGAATCGACGACACACGCTTTAGGTCTCGTGTTGTGCCAAACAGAAGCTTTTGCGAGCCAAGGAGTAACCCTGGATGACCGGCAAGAGGGAGATGCTCATGATCGAGACTTGAATCCCCATGTATGCGCTCTTTACCCTGTAGGGAGCTGTCAGTCTGTATTCGACACATCATTTAACTCAATTTGGCTTGGTAGTACCTGGGCGACAGATGGAAGAACCCATGGCTTCGCTTTATCATCACGATAGAACCCTGGACATAAGTCAACTTTTTGCTCATTCGTGTCCGCTTTGAAGTCGGCTACGAGAGCAAAGGCCTCGTCCGGCTGAGTGGTTGGGAGATCGGCAAGTAATGACATTGTTTCTCAATAGTCTTTCTTTCGTTGAGTTGATAGATATCTGTCAATACATAATGAGTTCAGGCGAAGTCTGACAAGATTGACATTCACTTATATATGAAATCGGTGAATATTGTTGGGAACCTACGTTGGTCTTGACGGCAAGACTGAAAGATGCCGGTTGATAGTTCGGGGATGAATGGGTCGCCAAGTGGGACGCTGAGTCACTCGAAACTACTGAATCGAAAAGCCAGATGCGATCTAGGTTTAAGTGGACCAAATACCGAGCTGATATTTCTACTCAACTGAAGGTGTTATTTGAGGTCGGCGATCAGAAAGTTGACCGATTTGTTTTCATTTTAATGGCATATACTATCTGAAAATGACCGTGTATAATTCATCTACAGCCTCTCCACGTTACATGTAACTTTCACGTCTTCGCGTACCATTTAGCAGTCCGCCGCTATCCCACTCTACCTTATAATCGTCAATGTCGCTACGCAACGTCCCTCACCATGTCGCATGCCTCAGCTCTTACAACCACAGTTCAGAATTCGCGGCTACGTCTCCTCAACGCTCTTCGCGCTGAGTCGGGACCAATAATGACCTTTTTAGGTCTGCCGTCCGTTCGCACAGCTCAACTGGTAGCTTCTACTGGCGTAGACGCTGTGATTATTGACTGCGAGCATGGACATATCAGCGACGATTCCATGCACGCACAATGCAGTTACCGCAATCTCTTCTCAGGGTGTATCTCCACTTGTTCGTGTTAGAATGACCCACGTGGATTTGATTAAACGCTCTTTAGATGCTGGTGCTCATGGCATTATTGTCCCCATGATTAATACGGCTGAAGATGCTAGGAATGTGGTTCAATACGCCAAGTTTCCCCCTCAAGGTCAGAGAGGGCAGGGCTCAGCATTTCCTGGGTTTGCGTTTGGGGTTGATATCCCAACGTATATGGCCATAGCTAACGAGACACTTCTTACTTGTCTGCAAATTGAGTCCAAGTTGGGTGTTGAGAATGCTGATGCTATATGCGCCGTGCCTGGTGTTGGTAAGTCATTTAATCCGCTACTCAACTATAGAAGCCGGTGTCTAACATGAAAAAGATATGCTCTTCATAGGTCCCAACGACCTTGCTCTTTCAATTCTGGGCTACGTCCCTGTAAAGGGCGATGAGCCTGAGTTTGTCAACGTAATCGAGAAGATTGTGGTAGCTGCTAGGAAGCATGACAAATGGGTTGGCCGCTTGTCGAATGATGGGACTTCGGCTAAGCAGCATCTAGACATGTTCGACACTGTAGCTCTTGGCTACGATGTGCGGGCCATACAGAATTGGTATTTCGCTGAGCTTCAAGTTGCACGGTCTTCACAGTACGACCGCAGTTTTAAATAACAATCTTATCATGTTACTTCTATTACATAAATAACTTTTCTACAAGAACAGAATGGAGGAGTCAAGGTTAAACTCAAGCATGTTGAAGTCAAATGCCTCATGAGACAGAGATCCAACAACGTTAATCCCAGAAACATCAGTATCATCAACCGTAGTATTGTCCCCGTCATTCGGTGATAGATTAGGCGAGAAGCATCTTGGTTGCATGGAATGAGTATCCGGCTTTCCAAATGATGGCGATGTAACAAAACTGGAGTCCTTGTTCGGTACCTTGACCTGACCAACAAGGCTGTGCCGAGAGAAGACATGGTACTATGTTCCTAATTTTTGAGCTCCACCCGGATCGTCATTCGGCGACGGCAATGTCATTCCTGGGTTTTCGGATATATTCACCATGGAGATTGTTGCCATCAGTTCATATGCATCCTCTTTCTATTCGCCAGTCAGTTGGTTATAACAGAAGCCGGGGGTCGATCTTACAATGGCTACTGCGGCTTCACAATCGAAAAACATGGTTTCAAGAAAGCCTATGCATGTTTGACAATGCATCTTGATAACTTCCGACATATCTTCTGGTACGATCTTCAGCGTATAATTTGCGTGAGCAAGTATGCGAAAACACTGGTATGTGGAAACAGCGATGTCAAGGTCAAGTGCAACGCCGTCCGGTTTCATCGATAAGACAGTGTGCAGAACCTCAGCTAGTGAAATAGCGCTCTTATAGCATCGTATCTGGCAGGCCCTGACGAGGTCTTGGTCCATTGCTGCAAGTACATGCTGAGGTAACGCCTCTACAAGTCCTTCCATACTAAGGCGGTATACGTTGCACTGTGCCATGTAGCAATGGATCTGGATAGACAGGAAGCTCGACAGACTTGGAGAGTGAGCGTGTAATTGGATATTCCGAGTTGTCGACTGAAATTGAGTTGGTAGTTGAGATTGATAGTTATTGAACTCCAGTTGAAAGGCGTCAACCTGAGGTCCGAGTTCAGAAATTACGACCTCTGATGCAACAGCTTGCTTTGTGAATTCGAGCACGCGATATCTTATATACATCATACGAATGACTAAGCCAAGCGTGCTAGGGGCTTTATCTCCAGGGGTGTAGCGTGGCGAATCCAAGTAGTCGCCTTTCTCGGGAATATCGAGGTCAAAATTGGTGTCGTGAGTAGGAAGCTGGATATGGAGCAGTCGTGAGGATGACAGAGTGAATTCCTGATATCCCGCCGACATGACAGTATCTATGAGGTACATGGACCACATAGTCCTTCTGCAACACTCTTGAGTTAGGAAGTCCAGCTTTGGGTCGTCATAATTGAGTTTGAGACCCATTGCAGAGCGGATAGCAATGGCCGTTAGAGCGAAAGCACTGGTAAATCGACGCCGGTATGCTCTATGCTTGATTATGAAGATAAGCGCTTGCACATTAGGGACTGACGGGTTCTCCAAATCCTGTAGAATAAGAGTCTCGGCCCTAGCAATGAATTTGTCTCCCTGTTCCACCATCCCGGGACCAAGGTCATGGTAGACGGAAACGACGCCGATGAGAGCCAATAATAGAGCTTTATTGATGTTCTTACTTTGGTACTGGTCCATAACCAAGGCTCGATGTAAGAACGAGAAAACGGGTATATGCCGTATTTTCGTGAAGAATATGGTTAACGCCTTGAGGGCAAGCTGCTCAGAGGGTTCGTGAGAGCTTGATGTCTCCGCATGCGAAAGATTATGGGTAACAGATTCTTGGACTAAAATATCTAAATCATCAGCCCCAGATTCTATCTCCTGGGATCTTGGTAGTGGGGGCGGTCTAGTATCCGGTGTATGTGTAGTTCCTTCAGAGTGTTGAGCGTGAACAGTCCTGTTGGACCTCTTAGGGGATCCATGCCTAACTTCGATATTTTGAGAACCAAACGACGAATCCGGAGATAGGGGATCCGGAGACGGTGCAATGGTTGATCGTGATAACGTTGATTCAAAAGCTCGTCCCGGCGTAGGATAGACACAAACAACCCCCAACCTGGTGCAACGGCGACAACAAGGCTGTTCTTCGTTACAACGAACTTTTCTAGAGTGGCAAGAGAAGCATGCCAAATGAGCGCGGCGACGGGGTACTGGAGCCGTTGAAGTTCTGGTACCATTCATCTCGGGATTCTCAAATGAACATGTAAAGCCAAGTCGTTCACAGTTGGTGCAAACGCTTCTTCGTCCGTCACAGCGGACTTTGCGTGCTCGACACGCAGCGCATGTGTCTGGGGAAGCGCGCATGGGTTTCCTACGCGGAGGATTGGCAACTATATTAACACTCATAGCTGCTAGTCATGGTGAGTTGATACAGGGCTAAATTCGAAGGATTCCCAATCAGCATGGTGTGAATAAACGTTAGGTTGGATGAATGCGATGCATAGTGCAATGTCAACGGGAGAAGTGGAGGACAGTTCCCGACTACGCTATAGGACAGTTGCGGGGAGAGCGGGGAGAGACAGGCCAGGTAGCAGCACGCAATCAGCAGCAGGAATAAGTTGATTACCATTGGGCTTAGCGCAATAAAGTTACACAGCGTACGGGAGTGCCTACCCTGCAATGTCACCTAATCTGATGAGGTTAGACTACATCTAGTTATATATTTCCCTTTACTAATCGTGGTATCGGTTATATCTAGCACAATCAATACACGAATGACTCTTTTCTCAACTTCTCAAATTGACTTGTAGTCTCAATTCATAGCGTCATTCTACTTGCTACACATTCCAACCTCAGAGATATCCACCACATCCGCCTCAACGTCTTTAGCGTCCCGCGATCTATTTCCAGTTTGCACTGTAGCCCCTTTGAATTTTCTCAGCGACAAGCCGGAAGCAAAAAGGTGATCAATTTCCTCCAGAGAACGGCCAGATACGTCCGGAACACAGAAATAAGCGAAAATAATGGAACAAACTGAAATTGAACCAAAGATGAATCCAACCCGAGATCCAAGCGCCGCATAGGGTTTGTTGAGTAGGTACGGAAGTGAGAACGATACGACAAATATGTTTTCATGTCAGCCTTTGCCCGGCTGTAAATTGGATGTCTGTGACTTACTGTGTGGCAATGTTGAGAACCGAGGCAGATCGGTAGGTCATATCTCTAACCGTCAGCGCTGGTATTTCTGCGCTGAGAATATGGGCTGTGGGAGCCCATCCCAGAGCATATCCGAATGTGAAAACCACCATCATGGACACAATGCCTGATTTAATTTGGTGAGAAGGGTCGCTAACGGTACTGAGGCCGCCCATGGTCATCAGAGCGGACACTTGAATGGAAGCGCCCAAAAGTACTTGGAATCTGCGGTCACGTTAGTACAGTCACTGTATATGGCTATCCGGATGAACAAAACTTACCTTCGGCCCAGTTTATCTGTCAAAACCATGGCCAACAGAGATGTGAAACTGTTGACGACTGCAATTACCACCGTAATAGTGAATGGGTTGATCGTTCCAAGCGATTTAACAAAAAGCGCGCCGTAGATAGATGTGAAGATCTGTCCAGTGGACTGCAGAAAGAAGTTGGCTCCAGTCACGATAACGGTACGTGTGCGATGTTGCGGCTTGAATATGTCCAAGAAGGACCCGCTTTTTGTCTGGTATTCTTGTTCAACGGCTGTTACGATACCGCCGTATTCTTCTTCGATCTGTTCCTCGGTGTACTTTCCAACTCGAAGCTCCTTCAAAGAGGCGAGGGCATCGGCTTTTCGATCCTTGAGGACGAGCCATCTCGGGGACTAAAAGAATGGATTAGTCGGATTACTGGCTTTTCTTCAAAGAAGAATACTAGTCGGGATACATACCTCGGGAATGAACCATATCGTGCAGATGATAAAAGTAGGGACAACATAGAACAAACCATACGGTATCATGTATGCTTGGCGGCCGGACAGAGTGCTGGTTCCTCGAGCAATACAGTTCATAGTCAACCCGCCGATCTAATCATGAACACTTGTTTTAGCAACGCTTCTATGTTTAATCTTCAAAGTGATAACAGGATGGATAGACTTACAAATAGACTTATCTGATAAGTACCAACCACAAATCCTCTCGCGTGCTTTGGAGTTATCTCGGATTGGAAGACGGGAACGACCGCCAGTTCCATGCCGATGTAGATGTCTACACATATTATCAGACACGACCCAAGGTTTCAGTCTTAGTTCACCTTTCAATACTTACAGTTGAGGACACGAGCGACCAGTATTTGAGTTGGTGTGCGAGACGTAATAACGATGGTGGCGGTAACCAAGGCCCAGATGCTCATGGTAAACATGCACATTCTCCTTCCATATCGCTTGCTGATCCAGCTACCAATTAAAACACCTAACAGTTCGTTAGCAGGCGGTACCATGTTACCACGATCTGGTCTGCGACTTACCAGCGGCTTGGCCGAGGTAGATGAATCCGTTAAAGAAGGACAGCCAGACGGTGTCGAGCACATAGTCTTGCTTTGCTTCATCCCAATGGCCGAACTGCTTGTCAAAAGCAGTCATGGCCTGGGTTGCGGCAAAGCCCTGCTGATCGAAACCAAAGTTGAACTGTGAGATGGTGATCAACAAGACGGCTGTTGTCAACCGCTTGTTGAACGTCCCACGAAAGTCGAGATGTCCGAAGCCAAGCATTGTGTTATCTATCAATTCAGATTGACGAAATACGATTGTCGAGTATTTCGATAATTCACTTCCAGCCTTATTAGTCCTTGTAATAATGGCTACTGACTTCCTTGATCTTTATACGGATTGGGGACTTGAAACCACCAGGGCATCAGCTCATCATTACCTAGGATGATTGCACCATTTTGATCATTATTTCCTTCATGCTGAAATTAATGCTGGAAGGTGTCGTGGGTTGAACCAGACGCGGCAGTCGGAGTACCGATCAAATATGCTTGCAGGGAAAGTGATCGGAGATGAGGAGCTAACTGCATCGAGACCATCCATTTAATGTAGGATTACGGCATTCGGAGCACCGAGGAAGCTAAAGCCAGACGGGGAAAATTACTCGTCGGCTTCGTTGGTAATTATCCATCACGGGCTCTGATTGGGGTATATGAGAATCATTAGCCACTTCCTAAAGCTAGCTGACGGAAGATGAGTCTTTTACAATACCTACCTTTAATTAGTATCGCCTCACAATCAAGCGTCAATCTGTGGTACCAGCTCCTTCATTTGTCACAGCATACACTGGCGTCAGCACCATGTCGCCAAGAAGAAACATTCTGCTTATAACTGCCGATGACCTAGGCCGTGAGCAAGTGGGTTGTTATGGCGGTCAGAGCCAACTTACACCCAATTTGGATGGTCTCGCGGCATCGGGGTCCAGGTTCGACATGGCTTTCACAAGCACAGCGTCATGCAGTGGAAGTCGGACTGTTATCTACACTGGTCTACACACCCATGAGACGGGTAGCTACGGTCTGACCCATGGAAACAACGGCTTCAGGACGTTTGACAACGTCGAGTCTGCGCCATTACTCTTCAACAAGATCGGCTACAAGACTGGTATTCTCGGCAAAGTCCATGTCAGTCCGGGCAACTTGTATCCATGGCAAACTAGACTGGAAAGCGAGTCGAGGAATGTGGCAAAGATTGCAGATGAGGCTGATACTTTCTTCCAATCGTCGAAAGTAGAGGACAGATCCTTTTTTCTTACCATAGGATTTGTTGACCCTCACCGGCAACTGGGCACACGCGGTGGTTTTGGCAACGCCCAAGATAACTACGATCCGCGCCTCGAAGATAAAATCTTTACACCAGAAGATGTCACTGTTCCATCATTTCTGAGCGACATTCCCGAAGTACGTGAGGAGCTCGCCGAGTACTACAGATCAATACACCGGATGGACCAAGGTGTCGGCATGGTCCTGGAGGCTTTGGATAGAAATGGGCTATCGGATGATACCCTGGTGCTCTTCCTCAGTGATAATGGTCCGCCGTTCGTCAACTCAAAAACGACGCTGTTCGAAGCAGGTGTCAGACTGCCCTTCTTGATGCATGCGCCAGGGTTCACAGCCAAGAATGCTAACCCCAGCCTTGTCTCATACGTTGACATTCTTCCAACATTCCTTGATTGGGCTGGGCATTCCAACATGCCTTCACAAGCTGGCTTTCTTGAACGAAAAGGCAGATCCATCCTCTCCATTGCAGGATATTCTGAATTACAGCCAGCTTGGGATCATGTCTTTGGCTCTCATACCTTTCACGAAATCACAAACTACTGGCCTACAAGATTTATGCGAAACCATCGCTTCAAATATCACCGCAACATATGCTGGAAACTCGATTTCCCATTCGCTATGGATCTCTGCGCGTCGCGTTCATGGGAAGGCATGCGGAACTCAGGCGTAGACAAAGAGCCCATGATTGGCCCCCGACGACTTCGCGATTATATCTGCCGTCCACCAGAAGAGTTGTTTGATCTCGAGAATGACCCATGCGAAGTCATCAACCTTGCGGGTAACCCAGAGTTTGCTGAGGTACTCAAGTCAATGCGTGATGAACTGGAGCTTTGGCAGAAGTCCACCGATGATTTGTGGCTGTGGAGAGATGGGGCGCCTGTTGTCAGATATTTATCTTCGGATTATGCGAGGGAAGGTCTAAAGATACCTGATCGGTTCGACTTTGATGTGAACAAGCCCGGGTCAGATGGAGCGCCGAAGTACAATTTGCTTTGAGCAATGGAGGTTATTTGGTAAAGGATATTAGAGATAAATAACTAAATAAACCAGAAGGATGCTATGAAACAAAACAAATACTTTTTGCCGGTGTATGATTATGTTGATGTCTCGACTTCATCAGTATGTCAGCCAGGTTTCTTGAACTGATATGTGAGTAAAGCTTTTCACAGTGAACATTCTGTCATACACTGTAACGGTTATCCATTATCATTCTTTACTCCCGTGATGATTAAAGAGCTCTGGTGATTTCCCTGCAGCGGGTTTAGGGTAGGACGAAGACAGGGGTAGACTTCTAGGCCAATCATGAGAAAGAAACGCCGAGCCGAGGCCCAGTCCGGGTGAGGGGCCCACAAGACAAGCGGCAACCGGAGTTACAACTTGCGAATGAGCATCGGCATCAACAGCTGCATGAGTAACACTGAATGACACTATTGTTATGGGGAGGCATAACGACGATGCGTTATTAGTTGTAGATCTATATGATGTAAATAATATACTAAATCACGTCTTCTTGGACGATGAGATATATATTCCATCTGTGTCTCAAAGCTTCACCAATATGAGGTTGGCGCAGGATTACAGAATGTTGTTCCGATTTTTTCCAGTTGTTTTGTTAGGTCTTTCGGGAAGCCCAGCTTGGACTCAGGCAAAGCCTCTTGATTCAGATTCCTCGGTTGCCTACGCCACCTACATCAACTTCGCTGAACAGGACATCTTGAACAACGACGATGGTCTTCCCACTCATCCTCTACTCCCCGACTATGGAAAGGCTACTTATCCCATTACCACCGACGGAAATGGGCGACAGCAGGTCGAGGCCCACCTGAGCTACTGGGAAGGAAAATACTGGATGTATGCTGCCACTTGGGGCTGTGGAGGTTCACTCTTTAGCTACGGCCGAGTGACTGGTATTAACTGGCCGGCTATTCCTACTTACCCACAAGGAGACTATGGCGAGGACGGTAATTGCGGCATCAAGTCCTACACATCGTCTGATCTTGTCAGCTGGGAGCTGGTCGACTTCTACCAACCAGCTGCTGATGTTGCAAACGTGACGAAGCCTCTCGTCAGATACAGCAAAGCAACTGGGAATTACGTCCTATTTATGGGTGGAAACGATCAGTCCAACTTTTACTACGCGACTTCCAAGTCACCTGGCGGCCCATGGAGTAACCCGCCGTCTTTGATGACAGGAGAGCATCTTACTCACGACTTCGACATCGCTGTTGGCCCCGACGGCGAGCATCACATCCTCACTGACACCTGGGCTAGTGTCTTGGAGGTTCAAGCACCAGGGCACTCTGTTCCAGTGTGGGATATTTACGTACAGAAGCTCGCACCAAACTTGACTTCAACAGTTGGGACCAACACATCTAAACTGATACGATCGGCCAAAGACCTTCTCAAACAAGGTCTCAACTTCGAGGCGTGTGGCTTCTTTTATCATGACTCATACTGGTATCAGACCTACTCATACACCTGCCAGAACTGTCCCGGATACATAGACTACCTCTATGCCAAGGATCCTTTAGGGCCATATACGGATGGTGGCTATGTCAGTCTCGACGGCTGCGGTGGTCAGAACAAAGGTGCCAATGTGCTCCCCAGTGCCAAAGGTCCCATAGTTCTAGCTGGGAACCTTGCCTACAGGACGGGCCCGACCAACCACGTACTCAATGGCGAAATCTGGCATGCGGATAATCACCAAGCGGCATCCAGTACTTCCTTCTTTCCCATTGAATTCAACGATGACCACACGATCAAAAACTTCACATGTCCAGCTACTGTCAAGATCCCGCTGGTGAAAAACATCACCTCTTCTCCCGAACCACCTGTCCCTTATCAACTCGACTGCCGTATCCGCAACTGGCAGACTACAGTACAACACTTCTCGCCACCGAAGCAACTTTCAACTCTGGAGTTTCCCGTTTGGCAAAGAACAGATAACCTAGGACCAACGACCAATGCCGGCCCGGTACTCGATGGTGTTTTGAACGTCACTGTGAACTTTCTTGACAAGTCAACTGAGACTTTTTCCTGGGTTCCGAGTAATATCTCTTGGGCGCCTACTAAGATTTCTATGGATCTAAATGGCAAGATGCTAGCTTCTATTGAGCTGAGTACAAATGCCACGAATGGGTGTTATGGAACACTTGCTCAGCCGTTCGCTGATTGTGGAGTTCAGTATGGGGTCATTATGAAGGGCAAATTGAAGATTTCTGAAAAGGCACAAATGTATATCCATCAATTCTAGTCTCAAACAGCTTTTCTATAGTTGTTGACAGTAGTCTAGTTATAAATCGTGATGTTCCAGTATCTATTTTACTTTCCTTGTAGAGCCACAAACATCCATCTGCCACTCTGTGAGCTTCTGTGCTTTCTCCACACCCTGTTCCATAAGCGCTGTCAGGTTGAGCTTCGATGACTGCTCCTTCACGTGGATGAGATGGTCATCCAAGACGAGTTTGTTAACGTTGATCTTGGACACGCCGCCTTTGATACACGCCTTCATTACGTTTTCGGGGAAGTCGTTCGTTCCGTGGAGAACCACGCGCACGCGTCCGTTGACCCTGGCGCGGATGTTATCGAGTCTTGTGTATTATTAGAAAAATAGCGATAAGCAACTTGGAAGAGTTGACATACCGATTGAACTCAAGAACGGGCCCTCGTTTGCCATATTCGTCATGAGCATTTCCAAAAGCCGGTGCAAGGAAATCAATGGCCGTCGCAATAAAATCTTCAACCTGCTCCCCAGTTGTCAAAGCTCCCTCCAGATCAGCCGTGTCTGCAATCCCATCCTCCCCACCCTCAATTCTTTCTGGTTCTGCCTCTGTCGCAATTCCGCAATTCCGCGCGCATGGCAATACGAAACCAGTTCTTTTGTCTTTGCCAAGTTTTCCTCCATTTCTTAGTTGCTCATGCCAACCATGATAATGTCGAAGGGGAGGTTGTCCGCTGCATGTCATATGATGGCTGCATCTTGAGCGTGATCTAGATGAATTGCGATGGGAACTGAAGCTTCGCGCGCGGCATGAGCAGCAGCATGGACAAGAAGGCCTTTGGAAAAGGTGATTGCCCCGGGAAAGAACTGGATGACAAGAGGGCTGCGTTTAACTTCGGCAGCTTGCACAAAAGCTAGGATATGCTCAATGTTGTAAACAATCGGTGCTACAGCCCCGTAGCCTCCTTCCTCAGTAGCCTTGAGGATTTGGTAAGTTATGTTGTTTTGAGGATCCCACGTGATAGTCGTCTTTACCTACCTCAAGACCAAGAAAGAGCAGATCCAAAAAGAATCTATCAAGTTGCACTGACAATTGGTATGAGGTGCGCATCCATTTTGCGGGTCAACGTTTTCTCTTTCTCGCCCTCGAAGCGAGCAAAAAGATGTGCAATCTCTGAAGGCAAAGAGGATTGACCGAAAGCGACGGTCTTGATGTCGGGGCCATCAGGCTTCCCAAGGTGTTCTTCTCTGGAAGAGATTTTAATGTCTGCAAGGGGAGTCATATTGAGGATTTTAAGATTTCTATATCGAGAGGATGTAACACAGAAACTGAGTTGAGATATTTAGAACTTAGGAAAGACGGCCTTTATCCTTTTTATAATGAACTGCACGACGTCACGCTGCTAAGACATTTTCCCCTCACTTTGTAATTATTCTGTAGACGCAGAGTCATGGAGACCGATCTGAATAGCACTGATGAATGTGCGCTTGGTTGGTGGCTTACTTAGCTTCAAGTCGCCCTCGACCCATTGGACCTTCCGACCAATCTTTGTGATCAGTACTCGCATGTTTAACTCTATCCCCGGACCCCGCAGTCTCGAATCTGGGGTCGGACATACATGTGTGGTATGGCAAAGGCTTTACACTGGCCACTTAATTTTACCCAAGGATCTTTGAAACTTGACAGGGGTATCGGAACTCAGAAGTTGGACGTTGGACAGACTACTCATTTCCGACGGAAAAGAGCACACTGTTGTTATTTCCGGCCCGAGTTCTTGGTATGACGATTGAAACTTCCCTACAGGTAAAGCCGTACATACTGGTTCATATATACAGATTTGAAGGATGTAATACGGAGCGCGGCAAAGTGTCACGACTCCTGATAGTAAATAGTACAGGTTAGGTATTGTTAAGTAGAGAATTATTATCATTAGCTTTCAAGCTAAGTATACTAATTAATCTAATCGAATATATGAGAGCCTGCTTCTGGTTCTAGGGTAGGCTAATGGCGTATATTATAAGACTAGTCGCAAGTGTAAATCGCGAGTTAAAAGTCGGGGATCTTGGTAGCTCACGGTTCTTATTGGGTATGTTTGGACAAAGAAAAGTGATGGATAATTTGAGGTCTATATAATGCATCCGCGGGGGTTCGTAACAGGTTAGAGATTAGAAAGATACTCGATGATCCCTTGTACAACTGCTAATCAGAAAGAGACACGAGATTCACGTACTGGCCCCGAATCTCGTCCTTCCATTCCTCAAAAGTGATAGTCCTCTCACCTACCTTGACAGAGCCCTTAGGAAGCGCATCAATCTCCTCAACATTCCTCTTGGGCAGGAAATAGTGCTCGTGTTCCTTTTTGCAGACCCTGTTGTTCAAATTCCCCAGCTGCAACTTATTATAGCAATCAACGCAGAATTGAATTGCGCCACTGCAACTCATACATGTCCAGACTTCGCTGGCAAATTCCCAACTGACCTCACAACCGTCACAACAAACGATGCGGCTATCCGGCTCCTGGGGTTCAGACTCAAAGGTACCTTTAAAGGACTCGCCTTTGGTTTCAGCAAGCTTTTTCTGTTTTTGCTCTTCGTGGTATCTGGTCAAGTCGGCCTCGTACTCTTCACGAGCTACAACGACGTTGGTGTACCGCATCATGTCCATGCAAACACCGATATTGACATAGTCTCGCATCACTGACAGGATCTGACCGAGGATCCAAAGGGATGGCTGGTCATTGTCAGTACGATTGTCAGAAAGCATCTCAAGTTGCTCTGTGACATAAGGCTTCAGGATCTGTTTAGCCTTGGCCACATCACCACGACACTTGAAGTACTGAGCAAACACAATAGTGGACTCCTGATCGCGTGTCCCCAGTGCCTGGAGCTCCTTATATTGAGCCTCGATCTTGTCAAAGAATCCCTGTGCTCGTGCTGGGTCATCTTTACTGGCGATGGCAAGTTCCAACCAGGCTGGGACGGTGCACTTAACCATTGCGCGTGTTACCCACTCTCGAGTTTCATCTGGCGCGTCTTTGAGTAAGAGCTCCCAGACGTGTATTCCAGCTTCCTCATGACCGGGGATCTCAAAGAGAGTCTCGCCGTACCGGAACCGAAGAGTGTCATCCCATCCACGACCTTCCAATTCTGTTTTCGTGGTGGCTTTGGCGATGGCTCGAGCGAACAAATTATCCAAGAGGTCGAATCTGTCCAACGCGCGAACCATTTTGACGAATGTAGTATGGAAGTCGTAGTTGTAAAACTCGTATAAGGTGAAGTCACCTGCCAAGTTGGGTCCATCTTCAGGTTCATCAAGAAGCCGGTCAAAGAATTCTGCCATGACATCCCAGCGTTCAGCCTCGGCATACTTCTGAAGAACATCTTTGAAGCTTGCGAAAAGTTCGATCGAGCGGCCTAATGTGAATATCATGGAGTAGGTGGTAATGGCCTGTTCACGTTGCTTCTCATCTGTCCAATACTTGTCTCCCAGGTCGTAGATAATTCGTGCCAGAATTCCTTTGTGGCCGCGTTCTTTCTGCCACTCAATGTCGCCAGTCAGCGTGTTAAAAACCTTCTGTAGGCTTAGGAGAGATTCGTCTCTGGATTCTGTCACGCGGGAAAGTGCGTACGTAGCGACCCAACTCTCAGGTTCCATCCATAGTGCCTTGCGAGCTCTATGTTCAACCAAAGTCTTGGGAATTGTTTCGCCTCTGATATAAGAAAGGAGTAGCGAGGCTTTTGCCTCCCATTTCGAGTCCTTGTCTGTGACATTCAGTCTTTCGCTTGCCCATTTTTCCACTCGCTGGAAGTCTTCCAAAGTTGGTTTGTAGATTGGATCGATGTCTTCACTAATTGCACCTTTCTTCTCTTCGTTCTTTACATTTTCAGACTCGCCGGTCTTCTCGTCGTCGGCCGGTTCTTTGTCTGTGATAGCTTATCCCTAACATGTTTTAGCTTCGCCTTACAGTGTCCTTGAGTGACGCTCTACATACCTTGTTCAACAATGCGCTAAGCAAAATGTAGGCTCGAACAGTTTCACGTCTGCTTGTGTCTCTCATGAAAAGGTCTTGAGCCGCCGTCGTGGCAGCAGCGCCAAATAGAGCCAGATGGCGATTACTGGCGATTTCAAAAGAGATGATCAACTCATTATCCTTCACAAGTTCCTTGACGGCCGAGTCCTTGAACCATTTCGCAATCGAATTGACTCCTTCGTCTGAAAAGATCCAGGTATTCCAAGTATCAGGAACGCCATTCGCTGAGAAGGATACTTCGGAGGTATCCTCAATAAACAAGTGGAAGCCAAAAAGAGAGTCCAAAGCATATTGTTCAGTGAATAACCGGACCAAGGCCTTTCCGGTCTCGGCTTTGATAGACCGGTCAGTTAATGATAAATCGGCTTCTTCTAAGTGCTTCTGGAGATATTCGGTTGTGTAAGAGTGGAGGCGCTCTGTCTTGCTGGTCCGCTCATCGGAGAGACAGGTTATACAGCGGAGAACCATCGTGGCTTCTGCGTTGTCTGGATCCCTACAGACATAGTTGCTCTTGCGTGTCATTTTGCATTCGAAGAACTGATCGAAGCCAAACTTTTTGTACAGATCGCTTGGGCATACTGTCGACAGATAGTGCTTGATGATGTTGACCTCTGCTGGCTGGATTTCTTTGAAACCACTTGAGCTCCCATCATCGGTCACATCTCGCTTCTTCAGCGGAACCATATCCTCAACATTATCGACCTTGTACTCAACAAAGCCCGATTCAGTAGAAAAGATGCTGTACTTCGAAGCAATCTTAGCCTCTATTGACATCAGTGATGTGCTCCCTCCGGGGCCGGCCTTTAAAGCGAGTGCTGCCTCCATTGAAAGGGGGTTGAACCACATCTTGCCAGTATTGACCCAGAGAATGATTTCGTTAATCTCAGCAATCTCCTTTGCGTTGCAATTCTGGTTTAGCTTCTCAATGTCAGATTCGATTTGATCCGGGCGCATGTCCCCTGCTGACTCAAGCAATGAGTTTATCTCCTCAGCCTCAGTTGCTGTAGCGATATTATCAAGTACTCGTCCAATCTTGTAGTAATCTCCTTCCGTGGATGACTGGAGATCTTGGAGGATCTTTGCCCGCAGGTCTGAAACGCTTGGCCGAGATATGTCTTTCAGAATTTCCATGCCATCCATGCGCTTCTTGATATATATTTCAAGGTCTTTGCTGTTCGTCTCTCCGAGAACAATCCTCTCCATTTTTACTCCACCAGCCTTGTTGATGGTTTCAAACAATTGCTTCTTTCCCGTCAGGAGAATACGAGTGCGTTGAATAAGAGGATTCTCGGAGAAATTCTGTAAGAACTTGATCAAGACCTCAGCGTTATCACCCAAACCGTCGAGAACGATGTACATGTTCGAATCCATAGCCAAAAGGTCTTGGTTGTCGAGGAGAAGTGCTGTTAAAATTTCGAGCGGGCTGCTGAAGTCTCTCACTTTGTCGCAGATACCCGCTACACTCTTCATGATGGGGTCGTGAGACAAAGCGATTTGCCCCATCACATGTCTGGATATATCGAGAGCATCGTCCTGGATGGTTGACGACTTGGAATCCTTGTCAAGGAAATTGTGGGCGATGATAACCTTGGGACCAGACCCCCTCATCTTCCGCAGGTGAAGTAAAACGTTTGCTGCTAAAAGTGTTTTGCCTGCGCCTTCGTCGCCCTGGAAAGCCAGAATTTGCTTCGAATCTTGATCGCCCGAGACCCAGGAAACAAACCTAGGGTCTTGAATAAGCCATTCACCACTTCCTTCGAATCTGTTCTCTTTGTGCCGCTTCCATGCCTTATCCCATGGCGCTTGAGAATCAGGCTTCAGAATGGAAGGGTTCAGTTCTAGGGCATTGACAATAGTTTGCTTCCACTTCAGTCGATCGGTATCGTGTTGTTTCTTGTTCCTGTCGTCAACTAGACTACTATGCAAGTTTCGAGTGAGTAATAAGCCGTCCCTTGAGTTAGTAGCTGCCTCGTTGCTAGACTTCCATGTCTGTGCTGATACAAGCGAATGTTCTTTATCGACGAGGTTTTGCATCTCACTCAACAGGCCCTGCATACCATCGTCGTTTAGGAACATTTGTTTCATAAAGGCGGCAAACTTGCTTCTTTTGGACCGCAGTCTTAGACTACGGTCGCAGATCTTGACAAAAATTTGAAGATGCTGACAGGCAACTCTTGTAAGCTTTGAGTCCATTCCCGGCTTGGCGTAGTATTCGAGACGATCAAGAAACTCGATACACTTCTCTAGAAGCCCAGCGAGACTCTCGAAGATACCTTCATACCCCTGCCATGCCTGAATTACGAATGTGAGGGCATTGTAGCATTGACCGGCGGGAGCAAAGACCTATGAGTCTGTAAGCAGAGGTTTCCAAACGTTCAGATGTGGTTCCAAGTATACATAAGAGGCTCCATCTGCAACGATACCACCAACTGTCTGAATGCACTGGAGGGTTCGGTTGAATATATTCTTGACAGTGCCATACTTTTCAGATACTTGCTTGTCTTTGACTTGGTCTTCGTTTAAGTACTGTAGCACATCATTTATGCCAAGACCTTGCTTGATCTTGGCCGGATCACCGCCCGCCATTTGCACAACGCGGCCCTCGACGTCTTTCCAAATTCGAGTGACTTCTTCGTCGACATTGGCACCGAATGCGACAGCTTTGACATCCAAGCCGCTGGCGGACGTTTCCATGATAGCTGATGGCATTATCTACCTAGGAAAAAGGAAGACTTTATAACAGAAAAAATCGACAATGATTACGGATTGCAGCTGGGAGTATTGGACATTGTGTCATACTTGTAGTAATCGTTGCTGCGTCAAATATCACGCATTTTCTGGACATTATCAAGGGCCATGCTATGTTGGTTGATAGGGCTGAGCTACGCCGCAATAGCTGAACTTGCAATCTCACGCAGTGCAGGTCCATACGCCTCATGGGCCAATTACCAGTTTGCCAGGGCGTGTCACCAGACGTGAAGCAGGGATCCTGCTGACGTGATGAAACGAGAACCTCATGAAAGATAAATCCATTTTCGGTTCCGGAGACTCATGTGAGGATTTTTTGATTTGATACAAATCATTTGATCAGCGATACGACTGAGGATGTGACATTTGTTAAAGGAAAAATATGATCTGAGCAAGCATAAGTCCGAAAACCATATTATCCGATTGATTAGAGAGGACCTCGTATTGGATGGCCTTAATTGCAGTTCGCATAAGGTTTTAGGCAATTGAATAGGCATACACCTGAAAGTATTGTAGCGTTAGGAAAGATGACTGGCCTTGTTTGTAATTTGTATAGTATTTCTCGAGTTGTTTAGGAAGGCAATGGCGACTGGTAGGTTTCACCCATTGTCACGACCTTTTGGTATAAATCTGTATCGAGCTGGTTGTCCAGGTAATGAAATTTAGCCTAGTACAGTTCGCTTCCTTGTTAAAGGACTGCTTTTGATGAAAGAGTACTCTAACGTTATGAATGTAGTGAGGAAACCCCACTTAATTGATGGCAGGGTATAATGTTACAGTTCTACGAAAATTTCTATGCTATAATGAAATGTGGCTATGGTAGAACAGGGCTGTGTTCAGACAGGGTTATATTATATGCCAATTGATTATTGGATGTATGCAACCACTGCGCCACTTACTAACGAGTTTGAACTGTTCTTATTATAATCTCCAATATTACATTCATTTAAACCCAACATGGTCCACACTCTTTCAACCCCTCGAATGCCGCAAACTGACACTCAGTCCTGGGAAACACAGGATCGTACTGATGCACCACTGAATACTTGTATCCAGCAATTGCAATTGGCCCCAGACGATATGTCTCATCTGTTGGAATTCCCACAAATCGATTTGCACAGTCACCAGATTCGAATATTACATATTCTACCAGGAAACCGCGACGACCTCCTGCGCTGTGTCTTACGCACTGCATCTCTCGATGACAACCATAAATACGAGGCGCTGTCCTACGTTTGGGGTGATCCTCTCGACCATCTTTCCATCGAAGTTAATGGCAGTCAAAAGAATGTCACAGTCAATCTGTTCAATGCCCTTCGAAGATTACGATATGCACAGAATGAACGATGTCTCTGGGTGGATGCTTTGTGCATTGATCAAGAAAATGATGTCGAGAAATCACACCAGGTGCAGCTGATGAGCAAAATTTATTCGCGTACTACAACAGCGATACTCTGGTTGGGCGACTTCTCTGACGGACTGAATGACAAACCGAACTATATCTCTTACAAAGCAGTAAGATCGGCCTTCAATCTGATTAAGCTTCTGGCCAACTCCTCTGATGTGTGCATTAATCACGGCGAAAACGAGGATTTGATAAATGACGGGTGGGCAGGCTTGTCTTGCTTACTCCAATTGCCTTGGTGGCATCGGGCATGGACCGTGCAGGAAACAGTTCTACCAGCAGATGCCATTGTGGTATGCGGGACATCACAATTGCCGTTTTCCTGGCTTAAAAAGGCCTATAACAACTCCACTAACCACTACTACCGAAATTGCTGCGGCAGCCTAACTGTGCCCGAAACATTCTGGAACCAGATGCATGCACTTATTTATGTCAAGGGACATATAGAGGAAAACAACGGTTTCTTGGGCTATGCTTTCAACCTCTTCAGGAATCGGCATGCATCCGATCCGAGAGATAAATTGTATGCCTATCTTGGCCTTGGAAGTGGTATCTCAGCAGACTACTCTTTACCGTATGAGCAAGTTTTTAAGCTTGCAACCCGCTCTCTTATTGAGAAACATGGTACACTTATGAGTTTACTGAGAACCGCCGAGGAGGAGCGGTCTCCTACATTACCAAGTTGGGTTCCGGACTGGTGTGCTAAAATTCACAACCAAGATTACAATGATGAACTGGGCTGGTATTGTCTCTATCAGCACTATAATGCCTCCGGGGACAGAAGACCTCAGATCAGCCCCTCATGTTCTGATAATGTGTTAAAAATGCGAGGCTTAATCTTGAAAAGAATTACAAAAGTCGGAGATATCATGGACTATGGTGATACCGTGAGGAAAATGGTTATTAAGTGGCAAGGTGGCCCTAATGACGAATACCCTCAAGGGGAAACGTACCTTAAAGCTTCATAGCGAACGCTTATGGTCGACATGATTCTAGGGCAAGGTTATTACAAAAGGTTCGAAAAAGGCAATAACAGAGAAGCAATTGTCAATCATGAACTTGAGCAATACCCCTCTGGCAGCAGTCTCTGTGCCCTTGGCCGCAAGGGATTTTTCACAGAAACAGGAATGATTGGGATTGGGCAACCAGACATACAAACCGGAGACGCAGTCGCTATCTTCCAAGGAGGTAATATGCCGTTTATACTACGCCAAGCTAAAATTGATGAGGGAAACATATACTATCAATTTATTGGGCAAGCCTATGTTCATGGGATTATGGATGGCCAGATATTAGAAAAGGGTTTAGATTTCAAGTGGATAAGTCTTACCTGAGATCAAATAGCTTAATAGACGCCAAATCCTCAGTATGCCTTATACACTTAGACCTGCCTTTGGAAATTTCCAATATTCCACTGTCAACTTATCTCATTGAAGAAGGACCATAGATAGGTCAACATTAGATTCCATGTGTTCCTTAGAATACCGACTCACGGTCTATGTAACGGTTCATTGATTGCGCCTCTATTAATGAGATGCTGCCCTAAGGAGAACAACTTCGTTCAGCCTGGAGTTCAATCGGTTTTCGATCTCAAGAGGAAAACTGACGTCAGAATACTGCTTTTTCCGCTGTGGTGAAGATGGTTGGAGAAATTCCAGGTTTACCACTGCCAAGAGCACAGCCCCATGACGGTCTGAGGCTGAGAGGTTCAGTAGTTGGGACGTGCTAGCGTGTTTGTGATTTGTATTAGCCGAAGGATTCAATTATATAATGATCATCGCACTGATATGGAGCCATGTATTTTAGATATGGAGCTATCAGCCGACCGCTGCATTCTTGATTCATGATCTGTGCTCTAGCGCTATGTACAAGTAGGATTCGCATTGACATGCTCAGACTCAGGTTGCAATCCTTCGAATGAGGCGGTGAATCGCCAAGACAATGCTCTACTGAATCAGACTTACCGACTAACTGTTGTTTTACTAACAGCTGATCGTGTCCGGGGTACATGACTAGACCTTACAGTCTCTATATCGTAAGCTAGCTAGGCTAATGAACTACGTCTGTTATAAACCGTTCTAATAGTTTTACATTATAAGAAATTTCTTACATATTTAGTTATAACCAGATAAATATATATGACAAATAGTAAATGGTGACTTGGCAATAATCCTATTAGTTGATTGCCCTGTTTTTTAGTCCGAGATGTCAAGTCCGAGGTGTCTGGTTTGAAGCTTCTAGTCTAAAATCTGGCTTGGAGATCCACCGCCACTAGATCCTTTGATCCTCTGGCCAAAATACTCTCCACAATGGGGTAATGAGAGTGGGGATAGGTGCGGGACATCCATGGAGACAGTGCTCTTGAGTCAGTCATCCTTAGTATATAAGTTCAACCTCTCCCAAGCAATATCCTTTTTTAACCCCAACAACTACTATTCACATAACTTGTACTCCCTATTCTATACAGATCGACCTACATACATACAAAATGCATTTCTCCACTGCCACTGCTCTCACCATCCTCGCTGCTATCACACAGGCATCGGCGTGGTCCCGTAGGTAGCCCCAGCCCAACTGCACCATGTTCATTCTCTAACTCTACAAGTCACCTTCTACGACAATGTCGACAACTGCGATGCAAATGACAACACCCAGTACCAAATCATCGAGGGCAACCAAGGCGACTGCTACACTATGGGCGCGTCCATGCCCCGCACATCATGTGAGCAATTCACAGACGGTGGTGTCAACAAGCAGGGCTGCCGCGGATTGTTCAAAGCAAAATCCGTCGCTATTCCCCGTGGAAGAAACTGCCAGTTCTACGGTTTGGACTTTTGCCAATCACTCAGTATTTACGGGGATGAGACCCAGTGCAGAGACACGAGGGAGCTTCTTGCCGGTCCACAGGATTATATCCGATCCTTCAAATGCGTAAGTTGGACTTTCATTGTCAAACGACAATTACTTACAAGTGACTAGGAAAATGACGAGTAGTAATTTGCGCCTCTAACTGTAGTGTAGCTACTGGTTCCCGTTTACCGCGCTGGCCAGAGATCTTCAGACGAGTGTAAAGATAATTAGATCAGGACATATTTCATCAATTTCATTGAAGGACGTTTAATGCCATTATGCATAGACTTGTGAGCTTCAGCCATGCCACAGTGAACGCCGCCCTTAACTCCAACTTGACTCCTGAAGCCCACTGATCAGCCATTGTCCTCCTTCCTGCCTAAAAGAAGCAACGCTTACTCCCCGGCCCTGTTCATGGCCTTCAGTCTCAATTACAAATGGTGCCCATACAAAGGCTAGGTCCATGCAACGCCTGGCCTCAAAATTGTGGATTCTCCTCTGGGGTAAAATGTCACTATTTGCGGAAGCTTGTAGCTTCCCGATCCACTCCGACCACATAAACGTCTTGGGAGGTTGAGCAACCTGCGATACCGTGGCCCCTGCACCTGGTAGCAGCATTGAAACAATTGGCTCCCAGACTTGTGCTTCAATACGGGCACGCAGAGTTTCAAACAGGCCAACAATCTCTGTCAAGGGACCTGTCTCGATATCTGGCATCGGTACATCAGGGGGCAGATGCTGCATATCAATGAGCCCTGATATACGCCACGGGTTCGTTGCAGAATCTTGTCCCTGCAGACGGTGGAGCGTGCAAAGATGGAGGGTGTGCACGAAATTCTCACGGTCATCAATTGAGGCAGACCAACCCACAAGCACGGCAGCAATATTACCAGACATCCATACTTCTGCTTTTGGCTCCGTCAGCTGGTGTTTGAAGCTTTTCGTTCCGACTTCGTATTGCTTGGCGAGTAGTCCCCCAACTCTTTCGTACATATCGGCGAATGTCTCGATTTTGAGTCCGCCGAGGTTGGGCGGAAGGGGAACGACGCTCAGCGCATCAGGTATTGTGTACTTGGAGCCCTCGATGAAAGGGGGAGGAGAACTGAAATATTCATGAAAGCCTGCCACAGTGGACAAAATAAGGGAGTTTTCTACATCTGATGGGCGTGACTGAGACATCTTGACTTTTTCAGAGAATGACGGATGTATGGGCGGTTGATGAGAGGTTATCAGACACTAGCGTCAGCTCATGAATTACAAAGAACTGAAAATCCTGACTTATCTCGAGGTTTGATGTATTATTTATACCCATCTCGGAAAGATTTGCTTCAAGAGCCCATGTCATCTTTGTGCTTATTATTTCGGCTGACATGCGTCTTGACATGCACCTAGTGCCAAGCAATTACCAGTGAGATCAGAAGCGAAACAGGACTTTGTACCTTTCTGGCAAATACCTCCGTCTAATATTGGAACCCGTCTTACACTGCTGACTGATATTGCCAAGTCACGATATTCGCGCCCCTTTAGCCCAGTCTCATGAGGATCGAATTGACAGATTGGTATAGGGTAAATCAAATGAATTCAATTACACCATCAAAAGACTAGGCTAAGCGAGATCAGTAACCTCTTGAGTTAATTTAGCTACAACTCTATCAGCTGGCTGCTGATACCTCATCCATAAAGTTGTCCATCCTTTCCAACCTGGCTATCTCCTCTATTTTGCATATCCATTTCTGCCCACTTCTTAACGCCGGGGGTTTATATGGCTCTGTTTTCATCCAAGTGCTCCACTTCTGAATGACCTTAATGGCCTCCATGGATGACACTTCAAACCATTCTAGATGCTGTATCAAGCAACCGGGGCAATGGATCCTGATTCTTCGATGATTTAACTCCGCGTGGCACAATGCCTCAACATGACGAACATGCGGAACAAGTTCAGCAGTGCTTGAAGGGATCGGATACAGGACTTTGGGGGCCCTGTTGCAATCAAATTCCCAGTCCTTGAGGCGCTTGTCCACCGACTGAGTCGTGCAACCAATCTTGACAAATCCTGGGTTTCCTTCAACCTCGTACATATAGATATAACCATGGCGCGGATGAACCAGTGGTTTATCAATTCTTTGCTTGATTACGCGGTATGAAGATCTATGGTCAGCAAGGTTCTTGCTCCTCTCGACTATTTCGAAAGGCGAGGTGTTGTATATGACAGGCCAATAGGTGCTCAAGTCTTGGTCGAAGTTAGGGATTGACAATCTCTCGCTTTTTATCAGACTACCGCTATTGTTGGATAGAGGGTTCTTGGGCTCGCTGTCGGTGCTTGAATCTTCGGAAGGGTCTCCATAATCCTCCGATATCTCTTTCTTGGGCAACGTCACAAGAAACCCTGCAATGCTAGACTTCCAGGATGCCAACATGTGAAGGTTCTTCTCCTTTGTATGCGCGGGACAGTACATACTTCTCTCAAGAACTTCAAGCAGACCTTCTAGATGAGAGTCACTTAGATAGGCCCTGGAAGTGATAATATCATTAATCGTCAGTGTACAATGATTGACTCGTAAGCCGCCAATGCCCTGATTGCACTTCGTGTTCGTGTCCTCCACTACTCTAAAGCAAGTGGTAGGTGGTTTTAGAGCGAGGAGTTGTCTTATTTGCTGTTCAACCAAAATGATTGGATTGGTAACAGTGACTTCTCCAATAGGAAACGCCTTTTTCCAGGCTTCGATTCGATCCTTCTTTGGAAGGCCTGCATCGTGACTTTTGCAATGCACAAGGCTAGCAAGCGTATTCAACTTGTCTTCAAGATCCACAGAAGAATTAGTGAGTGTTACCATCGACTCAAGCTGAGAAGCGGCCGCGGCCTTGTTGGGGGCTGGTGACCGACGCTCACAAGGTCGCCCTTTTGTTTTTGCGAAAGCTCCACACAGGCCGTTTGTGAGACCTAATAGAGCCTTCAACGTTATAGTGTCAATCGCGTCCTCTTTCGCCTGCTTCTCATCAGCCGCCAATTCTGACGATTGTTGAGGCGGACTTGATGGAGGACTAAGAAGATGAGAGTTGAAAGCTTCGACCGTACGATCTTTGTCAACAGACACTCTTTTGTTCTTTGAAGGTGAATTTAGAGGACTCAGATATGGACCAGACTTTAAGTTTGATCCCACAGGCTTCGCAGGATCATCAAGGTTGGTGGTCGTTTCTCCATGGTCATTGTTCTTTGGAGACATGATTGGGATGGCTATTTCGAGTAGCTATCGGCGACGTTTCTGACCAAGGGATCAAAATATCGCAACGGATAAAGAAAGAGAACATTTCCCACAGGGAACCTCAACTATCGGAACTGGATGGCTCAAGAAGAGGGGAAACGAGGCTGGATGGGCTTTTTCAGCCCATGTCGTGGGGGCTGTAAAGTCAGCCGCATGCACGGTGATGTGTCCCAGGTGGTGCATTCAGCCAATCCAGACTCCACACCACCACACACTTTAGCAGTGATAGGAGGGCGACGGAACAAGGGGGCCTCTTGTGGTGTTTCTGGAAATAACATGGACAGTCAGCTTGTATAGGTATCCAAACGTCCCTTATGTGTAGCGCTCTCTAATCTTGGGAGATACTGTATATAGTGTTTTAGTACTTTTCAACATTTTTAACATTATGGATCTAATGTTTTTACAATAATAGATATATATATACTAAAATACTGTGGCTGTATTCTACCCTACAGATAGATGTAGCAAAAAGGTGAACCACCAAGGGTATCGAGTCCGGCGCCGATACTGATCAAAGGTGCATTAACTCCCATATTCAAGGGATCAGACTTGACGGCGTCTCTGCTTGGAGGCTGGTTAAGGATAGTAATGGTACCGGCAATATCCTTAGATTGTCTAGGATGCAAAGCCTGCCAGACCCAATAGATACGGTCAACCATAGAATGATGGAGGAAGAACACAGGATCATTAGGAGATGAAAACAGATCTGCCGAGTCACCTCCCATAGTGAAATGCCCAGCAGCATGCATGCCCAAGAATTTGTCGTTGAATCGGCCTTGGAATTCGTCCTGCATGGCCTGAATAGAACCTGACGCTTTGCCGATGGTAATGTTGAGGAGGTTTGGTAGGTTGAGCCACTCATCGACAGCATAGGAGCTAAGATCACGGCGGAGGCAGCGTGGGTTATATTCGAGAGGCGTTTTCGTGGCCTCCATACCGTCCATGCCGGGACTCGGGGGTCCCAGATTGGCGACTGCGTCTTTGAATGGACCGTTTTTGAGACAACCTCCGCCTTTACCACTTGGCAAGAAGATGTTTCCCTTGCCGGACCAAGCTCCCTCATGCTCGAAATACTTGCCATCGCCACTCATGCTAGTTGCAGAACCGTCAAAGACGGGGTTAGTAGCAAAGTCACCGGTTTCGAACCAATTCCAGTACTGTAATAACTTGTAAGCCGGCGCCATCAATATTCAAGACTCACTTACTGGCTGTGTCCCCTTGTAGCCACACTCATCTTGGAGAGCCTTCTCGTAGGCCCAAGTGAAATATCGGTGCCAGGTGAAAAAGTTGCCCTAGATATCTGTTAGCCATCCAGTCGAAAATCCACGAACCATCAACGAGGATACTCACAGTCCCGTGGATGCTCAATGTTTGGTTGATATGAACAGCAACAAAGTCATCATATCTGCTTCGAGCCCCAGGTGCAAAGGACGGGTCGGCTTTAGACGGCTTCTGACGCAGACAAAGCACGGCGTCAATGTAAGCCTTCTTGTCCTTCTTGGATAGTGTCTTCCTGTAAAAGGTAATGTGTGAGTCTTGAACAGCAATGTGAGGCAGTCTAGAGGATCAGGGCTTCTTACCAATCACGGCGCACAGCAGCGTTGAAGATTGTGCATTTCTTAGGTCCCGATCGTTTGCTGGGTTGTGTCTCCGCGGTCTCCAATGCAGACATCGCCTTATCGTTCAGAGACAGGATGAGATCGCTAGCCGACGATTGATCGGTAGGTGCCGAGGCGACATAACTGGAGGCGCCCAGCACGGTGGCGAGAATTCCGACAGAGATCTTCATGATTGACTAGTTCTCTTGCGGAAGTTGGACTTTGAGCAATGGTCATACAAGAACAAAGAGGAAGAAACCATTAAATTGGGAATAAAATAGGACCAGATAAATATCAAAATCTGACATGCAGCTTACCGGAACAATGGATAACCCACCAAAGCTTTGATCCCTGCCTGCATTAGCCAAGTCGGAGTAACCTCTATTTGTAGCATCGCTCCGCAGTCAATTTTTCAACACCACCAACATACATCCAGCGGGGTGCAGGGTCTGGTTACCCGGCGTGCGGATCCGGCATTCCGGACCGAGATAATCAGTTGTTTTTGCAAGGCACATTCGGCAGGATGGAGGCACAGTCCACTGAACTGAACGAAAGAATATGCCTGACATGGGCAATTACTCCTCGGTAACAACCAACACGTTTTTCTGCGGAGTTTATTTTAAATCATTACTTTATATGAAACCTAACTAATTTCTGGTGTGAGGGGATATGACTGAATGTGGAAGGTGAAGAAACGAAGTTATTTAACCGGCAACACACTGAACCAACAAGTTGAATATTGATTGACAGAAGTACATCTATTTACCTACAGCCAAGAGTGAACAGCAAGAACTTCAGTTGTAATTTGATGCATACCGGGTAATATGGCATATGCAGGGGAAGTTCGTACTTGTGCTGTAATCGAAGCCACCTAGTGGCACGATGAACGAGATGGACAATTCAGAATTTGTGACTTAGCTCAACTGACACCCGTCTCAGTCTCGTTGCCACTTTTCTCCTAAACATTTGATGATACTCACGATGCTTCCACAATGCCGGCTCCTCCACCATTCGTTGTAAACACAGATCCCAAGCGCGTGGCAGAATCACAGACAACATTGATCATAGGAGTTATTACTACGATCAACTTTCTCGCACTAACTGTCGTCGCTGCACGGACGTATACCCGCTGGATAATCTCCAAATCCCCGGGCGCGCAAGATGTACTTATTGTCTTGAGTGCGGTAAGTTTTGCTTCTTTGTCGACAGTGTCTTATATCCAATGGGCCAGCTAATTTTCTAATAATATGTCTAGTGCACTGGGCTTGCGGGCACCATCATCTTATTTCTCATGATTCCACACGGTCTAGGTAAACACGCCGATACGATAGAACGAGCCGACTTTACCGAGTTCAGCAGATATAGCTTCATGATCACGACGATCCCCCTTCTCGGGGGAATGGGCCTACTCAAAATCGCAATCGCTCTCGAACTCATCAAATACAATGGGAATTCATGGAAGTGGTACAAGATTACTCTACAATGCATGATAGGTTTGTCCTTGCCTCCGACTTGACATAGTGGAATAGTGGACTGATCAGTCTTCTGCAGCTTTTGTGGTTGCATATACAATTGAGGCGTGGCTTTCGTTCATTCTTTTTTGCATTCCAGTCGCAAGGCAATGGGACCGGTCAATAGAAGGATCTTGTTATCCTGTACCGATGTTTATTGCGTTCGGACTCGCCAATTCGGGTAAGTCACGAGCTAAATGGCCGATCTTCAAAACTTCTTCTAACACGTGCTCAGCTTTCAATATTTTTACAGACATTGCCTTTGCTACCTTGCCGGTACCGCTCATCTGGTCATTGAAGATGCCTCTAAAAACACGAATCTACCTTATTATTATTCTGAGCCTGGGATATGGGTACGTGAAAGCTTGGCCATTGACGCACTATCGATCTAACAATTTCGAAGTTCCGCTGTGATGGGTTTAGTAAAGGCTATTTCCCAGATGAGATACAATCCCGCGGGAGATAACACATAGTATGTCAAACCATTTTCGGACGTGCTCAGAATCTAACTCATCTATCACAGCCTTTACAATATCCAATTCTGGGGCCTGTGAGTACACCCCTTTCATCTTACAGTCAATTTCAAACTTACATTAGTATAGTCTGCAACTCAACGTCGGCATCATCGCTGCTTGCGCGCCCTCTCTTAGGCCTCTGGTCAAAAACATCCTACGACTCAAGTCGCTGGCACCTATATACGGCTACTCAGACTACGGACAACGCCAACGCAGCTTGCGCCTTTCTACAATTGGGGGAACTGGTGCTTCATCTAGCTCGAGACAAAGAGACCAAGTAACACGATCTGAGGGTCGAAACAACCCAAAGAATGCGATTTACGTTGAAACGGTTTTCGAACTTAAGAACAGTAGCCAGGACGCGATTTTAGATACAGATGGCCCAGAAGGATCCAGGCCTCAAAGGATATCTAGTTAGATATCACGGACTAGTATCTCACATTAATTTACTTATAATATCAGTTGCCAATTCACGTGTTTGACAGTTCGTGAGTCTACCAATCAATCAACCCCGCACTGTCTGTATTGGTTTCTAGCTTGCTATGTTGACGTACTTATCTGCAAGCGCTTTGAATTCAATTTCCCCAGACTCAGGTACGATACAAAACAGATGCCGTTCTTCCCACTACATACCACCAGAACGACTCCCAACAGTATCACCCGAAACCTTCTTGAAAGCAGCCTTGCTTGCAGGGTTAGTACAAGTATCGGCGCTAATACAAACGTTCCGCGTGCAACATGAGCCTACAACACAGACTTGGCCACTGGGACAGTCAACACTAGCATTACAGTCAGCCAGACCAGAACAAGGCGTCTGCCCATCTGCGCAAAATCCTCGTCCGCCCGCAACGGAAGCGCACACACAAGAGCCTCCAGGACCACAGGCTGTAAACGTGTCACAGGTTTGACCCGCGCATCCAGGTGCTACGCAAGCGCCGTTCTCACATTCACCTGAGGGACACTAGATGATACGTGGTTAGTTATGATGCAGAAGAGAAGAGAACCGCTCGAAAGACTAGATCATTCGAGGCGATATTACTTACAGTCTTGCCGCATTCACCGCAGTTCTGAGGGTCAGTCTTTGTGTCCACACACGACGAGCCACATTTGGTCTTGCCAGCTGGACAGCTAGGAACACAGCTTCCACCTTGACACTTCTCGGTGTCCTTTTTACACTGAATCTCATTATTAGCATCATCTGGGTTATTAAATTCAGGTAGTCTTACCGATATACCACACTTGCCACAGTTAGCATTGTCAGACTTAGTGTCTACACACGACGAGCCACATTTGGTCTTGCCGGCTGGACAGCTAGGAACACAGCTTCCACCTTGACACTTCTCGGTATCCTTCTTACACTAAATCTCGTAATTAGCATCATCTGGGTTGTTCGATTCAGGTAGTCCTACCGATTTACCGCACTTGCCACAGTTGGCACTGTCAGACTTAGTGTCCTTGCAAACCCCATTGCAAAGCTTCTTGGCCCGGTTGGTGCTCTTCGGTCCGCAATCGTAGCAAGGGCCTTTGCCTTTAGCAGCCGGAGCTGTACACGTCTTGCCTGAATGACGGAAGTTTGCGGCACACCACTTTGCACATTGGTTATTGCCATAATCACCGTAGCCTGGGTTTTTGTAATTTTCGGCAAAGACACTGCCAACTGAAAGAGAAAGAATCATTAACCTCTGTAAAGAGGAGATATATCAGGAACTCACCAATCGCAAAGAGGAGTACGGGGAGAAACTTAAACATTTTGGTTGTTGTTTCGCTGGATAGACCTGTGATATGGGATAGCAGAAGTTCTCAATGTTACTTGATAAATTGATGATCGATGAGAGTGAGTTGAGTAAGAAGTAAGTCCTCGTAAAGGGAAGCAACAGCTGTATTTATGCCCCAGCTAGGATACTGAATATGCTTAAAGTAGACTGTACCACTTTCACACACGTGTTAAGAGCACATATAATGTAGAATTGGCGGCAATAATCTCGACCCGAATGACATCAACTACATATACGAGGCTTTCCAAAGCTTCCACCATTGGCTGATTAAACAATCACCAGCAGACTATTGAAAAGATAGGCTTATGCATTTCCTCGTGATTGAAGTCCAGAACCGTGGCGCCAAAGGTACCCAATCATGGCGCAACCTAAAATTTAACAGCCACTAATTCCAGGGGTTCATGTCATGTGTTCGGCATTTGCCGACTAGATGGCACTTAAATTGTCAATAATTGAATGTCTTTCATCTTATGTGGCGTTAGTATGTCTGTGCGGTTAGTACCTAAGTAGTCTGGATGTCCCACTCCTTAGATTGTCGTAACAAGGATAAAACCGGAAGCTCCGTGAAAATAAGGGAAGGTCCACATAAAGACAACAGCTCCGCATGAAAACGGAAACTCCGCATAAACGAGGAGCTATACGTTAAGAGGACAGGAATTAAGATGTGATGCATACAAGACCTACTGTATTTATAAACTCACTAGCTAGCTACATAAGAAAATCATCTTGCCTTGGTAAAGCTAATACTATATGATGAGTGATTCGGTCTTATTGCTGAGCATAGAGTGGATCTTGGAGATAGTAGAAAATCTAAGGACTTCTGCTTCACATCCGACTACCTCGTCATTCGCTTATAAACCCCTCGTTAAAACAAAAGGAGAGGAGACTTAAGAGTGCATCCTCAGATCTATAGGCAGCCAGTCAGTTAAAGAATGCACTACTCCAGTATACATTAGTAAAAACCAACCTGAATTAATAGCTTATTTAATTTGATGTTGGCTCTCCTGTATATCCACTCCGGAATTCCTCTCTCAACCCAGCACTATTGTCTTCCATGCACATGGCTTCAGAGATCGAAAAAAAAGAATGAAGACTGAAAATTCTTTGCAAGTCCAACTCGTTCTGCAACAGGACCACCTTTGGTCTCCTCGCAACGAATCATCAATGCATAAAAGCAATACCACTCAGCCTGCTGCCTCTCTTCAGAGACATAATACGTCCACGTATCAAGCTCCTCCATACTAAAGTCTTTAGCTTCCGAGATTGCAGCGAATTCGAAAATGCCGCCAACCTGGTTATACCAGCTCTTATCAAGGGTAATAGTTCCACACCAGTCACCAAAACTATCCGCAATACCAAATTGGCGGAGATGGGTTTCTTGACTGGTGTTTACGACTGGCCCAGACATCGTCTTGCGGGAAAGCGAGAAGTGGCCCGTAAAGGTTTGAAATAGCAAATTGCCCTCAAGGCACGGATAGGACCGATGATCCATGGGTTCAGTCACTTCGTCAACAGTGACCTGTGATCTAAAATGACACCCTGCAGCACCTGGGAGCCTCCCGTAAGGGTCATGTTGTCCAGATATGTACCCATCCCATCGATTCAAGTGGACTTCGGTGGAGGTGTGATTATCGCCATCCCAAGCAAGATTCTATTGTTCGAATCTGCGAATGTACCAAACAATCCACGTACGACTAGCGAACCAGTCGCGAAGGTTGAATAGTGTTCCCTCGAGAAACAATCTCGGCCAATGAACAGGAAGGTCCCAACCACACCATGACCAGCTTGGAAATTCTGTCCGCTTCTGTTTGTCATATCTTTGTTGGAACTCGTTGCCCACTAGTGCGTCTCTTTCAACCCACAGAAGTGCCCAGTCAAGATAACGAAGGGGCATAGAATATTTGAAAGAAGATTCAAGTCGTCTTTCTAAAGCTGCACTGATACCTTCGAATGCAACAACTTTATCTCGTAGGAAGGATAGACGACGACCTGAGTAGATCTCCACGCATGCTGTATAGCTGCGTAGCGGATTGTCTTGAAGCGCTGTCAGAGGAGACCCCACCAAGTCCAGAGTCCATGTGTCAATGTCGAAACAAGATTCGACGTCATCCCGCCATGTTGTGCATTTGCACTGCCATATCATGCCCTCGGGTGATGAAATAAGACACCTTCTAGACAAAAGGCGCTCTTGGAATGTCCGCTTTCAGCTTGTGAGTCTCCATCGTAAGTGAATTCCCCTGATCCTTGATTAAATGAAAACTTCATGATTTATTTATGGTCGAAAAGTGTTTTATAAATGCATAGATCTGCTTATCAACTTACCCAGCCAGGATGTCAGCAGTCCCCACCGTTGTCACGTTGAGAGTGTCACGTGAGACAAGCTCTATCAAGATAAGATAACTGATAAGATAAGCTAAACTTAGACATCTCCAGTAAAAATAACTTTCTCTCAATTAATGCTAGCAAGCCACCAGTAATAGACACCGAATAACTAAGCAGTTCGCTACAAGTAATTAAACTGGATATCATATAAGAATGATAATAGGAGCTTAAAGTTTTCGGCAGTTTTAAAAAATGAAGTTTGAATATATGAATTTTATTTAGTTGTGATTTATTAATCCTTACCAAATACTGAACTTACCCGGGACAGTCCCAGTATCTGCAAGGTTCCCTAACTTACAATACTCCAAAACAAATAGAAGGAGACGTAGGATTGCATCCTCGGATATCGAGGATGTCAATCGATATCTGCATGAACAGCATTTCAGATCGATTTTACTGGAAGCTTGGTAATTTATGCCCAGAGAACTGGCCTAGAGTGCCGAGGACGCACTTTTGTCTTGAGATAGCAGGTGGTCCCGGAGCAATAAGCGGGCCTTTATCTCAAATAGGCATGTCACAAAAGTCGACAGTGGGTCGTGTGATCGCCTCCTTACGGATGTGTTTATAAGCTTGATTTAAAGTGGTAGATGATCGGCGAGCTAGCTTGGCATAGTCTTGGCCTTTTCTTCCCGAGGATATGTATGGAGTTTAACTGGTGGTCTAACTCCTTGTCCTAAAATCACTATCTCTGTGCCTGGATCTTATTTCTTAGCGTTGAAGTAAAGGTTGCAATTGTTCTGGGGAAACCGTGCCACGTTTACTAACTCTAATTAGATACGATATACAACATCATCTGCCATGACAATGGTCAACGGCGTCATTCGTGAATTCTACTCGTCACTCAACACCAGGGGTAGATATCGGTATCCATAAATTTCACTTGACTTGGTCTAGGTAGATGAGGCCTTATCGTATCTTTCACTGTGAATAAGCAGCCAAGAACAAAAGAACCAGTTCCCAAGAACAAAAGGTCTAGCTTCCCATCCGGGAAAGGATTGTCATTGTTTAATGAACCCTTGTGATGAGTATAAAGTGTTCCGTTGATCCCGCGATCGATGTAATGTTCATCCTTTTGATCCTCACTCAACCTCTCTTTGGAAACTCCTAGCACGCCCAATCCGTCAACATGAAGGCCAGTCTCACTTCCCTCCTCCTTGCCACCTTGGCCGGTTCTGCCGTCGCGCAGACGCAGAAGACCAACACCGCCAAGTTCGACAAGGACTACCTTCGTGCCTCCAGTGCTCCCAATGCTATTGGAATGAAGGAGCTTCGCCAGCGCAAGATGGCCCTCCATGAGAGCGAGGCTGCTGCCGGTGTATTTGACAAGGACCGCTACAAGGTGCTCAGCTCTGTGACACCTTGTTCCGACGGCAAGGCAGGAGAATACTCTTGCAACAATATCGATCTCTTGGGTTTCTTGCGTCACCAGGACATGGGTAGCCGTACCCGCGTCGGCAATGACATCTGGGGTATGTTTCAAGCTATTCTTCATCTGTGCAACATTTGCTGACTAATTTCTTAATAGGCTGGACTCACTCTAGTGGTCGCGAGTTTGCTCTTGTTGGACAAACAGATGGTACTGCTTTCGTTGAGGTTAAGCCTGATGGTAGCCTGACCTACGTTGGCCGTCTTCCCACCCAGACTGTCGCCTCTTCGTGGCGCGACATCAAGGTCATTGGCAACTACGCTTACATTGGCTCTGAAGCTGCTGGTCACGGTCTCCAGATCTTCGACTTGACCAAGCTTATCAACACTGATCCCAAGAACCCTCCTACCTTCAGCATCCGAAGTGACTTGGCCGCACACTTCACCGGCTTCGGCAGCAGCCACAACATTGTTGCCCACGAAGAGACAAACCTCATTGCCGCTGTCGGTACCGCCCGCGATCTCAAGTGCCGTGCTGGTCTCTGGATGATTGATGTCTCCAACCCCAAGCGACCCCAGGATGCTGGCTGTGTCGCCAACGACGGTTACGTTCATGACGCTCAGTGTGTTATCTACAAAGGACCCCAGAAGGCTTTCCAGGGCCGCGAGATTTGCTTCAACTATAACGAGGATGCTCTTACTATTGTTGACATCTCTCGCCGAACTATGCCTCGCCAGATTTCTCGCACTACATATAACGGCGCCACATACACTCACCAGGGTTGGGTGACCGAGGACCACAAGTACCTTCTTTTGGACGACGAGCTCGATGAGCAAGAAAAGACTGGTCCTGCTGCTGACCAGCACACCACCACATACATCGTCGATATCCAAGACCTTGAGTACCCCGTCTTCCGTGGTGTTTACAAGAGCCCTGTTCGCGCAATCGATCACAACCAGTACATCGTTGGTGGCGTCTCATACCAGGCCAACTATGGATCCGGTCTGCGCATGGTCAACGTCAGCTCAATTAACCAAGACGACACTGGTGCTGGCTTCAAGGAGATTGGTTTCTTCGATGTTCACCCCGAGGATGATGAGGTCGGTGGCACTGCCGAGTTCTTTGGTGCTTGGTCTGTGTACCCTTACTTCCAGAGCGGTAACATTGTCGTCAGCTCCATTGAGCGTGGCATGTACTCTCTCCGACACACTGGATAGAGTGATGAGAACTGCCCTCACAAGAATTATATAGTAGCCAGTCTACAGCAAGTTATTTGGTAGTGGCTAGACTACAAAGTTAGTAATGATTCTCATGTATATAGTTTATTAATGAAACATTATGTCCCGTACCTATCTGCAACACAATGAGTAAGGAGATATTTAGCGCGATGTATCGCTTCTTCAATTGACTTTGAGAGTGCCGTAAAATTCCACAATATCGATCTCAGATAGCGTCCAGGCTAAAGCAAGCCACCAGATCCTGGCATGTTAATCAATTTTTATGTCATGGTGACTTAATGACAAATTGAAGAAAGGCTGAGAGAAGTTTATCATTGTTTAGTCTGTCAAATTACTGGTTAAAGATCCTGTCAGATGTGCCTTGACCCGTACCCCGCTGTGGCAAGACGCTACCTATGATCAATTGTTGGAAATGTACGATAGAATCTTGTGCAATACGTACCTACTTACACCATGGTCATCCTGGAAACTGAGTCAAGTCACATACATTGGTAATCAAGCAAGTGTTACTAATATGTGAATGAAAAAAATCCCAGACCATGAATAGCAATGGCTGTCATGAGGACTTCAGCGCGCAGATACACGATAATGGTTTGTTATGATGAATATGAGGCTGTCGGGTGATGATAGGCCAAGACTAAATAAATAAGACCAGCGATAGTCACACAACAGCGGTCTGAATTTATTCCCCGCATCCAATTCAATTTCAGCTAAGCCGCTTCGACTACCCCAGACTGTTGATCTACACCGGCTGGGTCATTGCGCTAGCTATCCGTAGCCATTGGAGTCATTTAAGAGGAAATCCCATGCGAGAATTTCCCCACTCAGGGTCCTGCGCTGAATGCATCCTTCAGGGGTTTACAAATGTCATCTTACTCAGTGGCCAGTCGTCTCTGACCTTTATAAATTAACGAGTATCATATCCGTTCCTTATCAAAGGTAATCGTCTATCACTAACCTCTTTCAATCTGCCGCGGCAAACGATTACCGTTCAAAAGTAGAATCTCGCAGCCTTGCCGTCTGTATTTCCCCGCAAACCAACCCAACCTGGCGAGTCATGCACCAACATGCATCTAATGTCACACTTTCTCAAAATGTAACTGCCGAGCCTGAGCCAACGAACGACGTGTCAAATGTTTCACTTTAGTAAGCATGCACTGTCGTACTATAAAGGTCGCAGGTCGCGGGGTTAGTTGATGAAGAATCATCTTTCTGCAATCTGCTCTGTCTAAGAATCTTCAAATCGATATATCCCTTTTATTTCTGTGTCGAAAAAATGGCACCATCTCAAACCCAAGAAGAAAACTCCACAGCCTCCAAGAGCTCCGACCTCTTAAAGCACTCCAAAGAAGAGTCAGTTCTTACAGAGAAGGACCGCAAGGGACTTGTCTTCACCGACAAACACAGCTCCCCCGATGTGTATATAAACTGCAACAAGGATAGCCTATGGCATCCCTGGACGGGTACTTTAGAGCTTAAGCCTCTCCGCTTTGAGACTCGATCTGGTAGCTTCGTCATAGGGTTACGCACCCCTGTGGATTGTTGGCTTGGAAAGCACAGACACCGAGGAACCGTAACAGCAGTTACAATGTCAGGTAACTGGAGATACAAAGAGTAAGAGCGACATTCTTCTTTAAAATATTTATTTACTAACTTGTTTGTAGATACGACTGGGTAGCAGGACCCGGTGACTATGTCGTCGAGAACCCCGGCACGATCCATACACTGTTTATGGGAGCTGGGTCTGAGGTGATTTTCACCATCACGGGCAGTCTTGAATTCTTCAACGATGATGATAGTTTGAAGGAGACAATGGATATTTTCAGTTTCGCGCAGTTGTATTACGATCACTGCGAGGAAAAGGGTGTTGAACCCAACAAGGGTCTGTGGTATTAGAGGATCAAGATCAGCGCGTTCATTCAATTTTATCACTTTCGCTCGATAATTTTCTATAGCTGAAATGCGTCGTATTTAACTGCTCATACTCTTCTACGCCATGAATAAGACAGACACGCGAAGCATCTAGAAGATAGTCGCCTTCTGTGAGGAATTGGCTAAGAAAAGATGGTTTGGTTTGCAAACGTAGGCTGGGCGACTTTACACAATCCTTTGCATCGGATGTAATTTCTCCTGGCAAATTAACCTATACTTTCATCGTTTCTGTTCCAAGCCGCATATAAGTCACGAAAACCATACTTGGCCGCCGACCCAAGGCCATTCTCGATATCACAAAGCAATTGGACATACGAATCTTGTTCAACTCTATCAACAAGACAACGACCGGCCTTTTACATCGTCAATATCGGGAAATCCCAAAGTCTTGACATCGATGATGACTTACCGTAATAAAGTGTCTGGACTGAATGAACTCGTGTTCCGCCGTTGGGTCGGCCCAAGGCTATCCCACAGGTTTGTGAGGCGTGTTCTCTAAGTTTGTCCTTGAGTAGTTTAAATGGTTTCAGTATTCATTTTCGGTGGATATGTTTCATTCCCGTACATACCTCAATCTCGTATCCCTTTTGGCATCCCTGGCGAAGCCCTAGCGTCAATAATAGTATATGACACAAGTGGAACATTTGTCACGCTGATGCCGCTGTTCCCAGGGTAAAACGAATCGTTTCAAACGCGTCATCTTCTTGTTTCACTACAGAGATTGGCTTGCAGGTTGGTGGTAGCACATCCGTCTAGTGCTGGAGCACGTCTGTTATTCGTTTGCCCTCGTTTTCGACATGAGTAAGAACTCGAAGTGAGTCAGATCTACTGTCGCAAGTATCTACCAGATAACATATTTTTGCAAGTATCGTAAGTGCACTACACTATTAGCCAACCTCATCCAAACGGCATGTAAGGCTTTCTTACGTTCTGTTGGCCATGTCCTCTCAGCCGATCTCTACACTAAATCCCAGCGTCTCACATAAATTCGTCGGGTCTATCCTTGGTCTTTTCCGATTGATCAAGCAGCACACAACATGATAGGAGTATTATTGTTTTAAAAAACTAAATTGTATATGTTCCTTCAATTCTCTACCTTATATCCTCAGTCTTCTCTTATTGACCCTGTCTTTCAGTATATAGATCTGCCATAATGCGATCTTTCTTGGCAATATCCGCAGTACCAGCCCGGTCATTAAACACTTGATCCATTTCCTCCAAAGACTTTCCGTTAGTCTCCGGGACACTGAACCAAACCCAGACGAAAGATAAAAGACAAAAGACCGCAAAGAACACGTAAGCACCGAAACCTGTACTCTGAACAAGAGGCGGCGTGATGAGACCTATAATGAAGTTGTTGATCCAGTCTGATATAATTAGTATTTGATAGCACAGCACCAGAGGGAATTCTTACTTGAACATATAGAAAGAGCCACGCCCTTTGCTCTCAGAGACGAAGGGAAAATTTCAGCCGGCATGGCCCAAGGAACAGGTCCCCAGGAAGCTCCAAAAGCGAGCATGTAGAACAGAAGGAAGGCGACGCTGGTCCAGCCTTCGGCAGTGTGACTCGGCCAGTCGTTAGAGAAGACACCAACCAAGATAGCGATGACCAGATGCGGGATAAACATGGCGATGCTTCCCCAAAGCAGAATACCTCGACGGCCGAAACGATCCATGGTCCACAGGCTCGAAAACACGCCGAATAACTGGGTGACATTGAGAACGCCTGACATTATGAGTTGCATGTCAAAGTCAAGACCCATAGTTCCAAACAGAGTTGGAGAGTAATAAATCAGTGCATTGATGCCGGTGAATTGCTGAAAGAACATGAGACCGGTACCAATAAGTGTTCGACGCCAGCAGCCAGGCTTGAAACAATCAGCCCAGCTGACTAACTCAAGTCGAATCTTGCCGCTTAAGTCTGTTCGTTGGGTGAGGTCTGGGTGACGCTCTCGGAGAGCACTGACTTGGAATCGGGCCTCGGCAACAATATCGATGAATTCTTGCTGAACTCGGGGGTCGGACTCCGGAAGGGCGCGTAGTTTGGCGAGGTTGGATAAGGCTTCTTCTTCGCGATCTTTGGACGCTAGCCAACGAGGAGAGTATGGTAGGAAAATGGCACCGAAACCTAACAGCAGACCGGGAAGAATTTGGAGAAGAAAGGGTAACTGCCAGGACCAATGGCTGGACATGTCCTGGAGGAGTAATCGTTAGCGAAGCGGTGGGATCAGAGGGACAGGGGACGTACCTTGGTACCGTAAGTGATCCAAAATGCGATGACGATACCAATGACAATGGAGAGCTGTTCAAAAACGAGAAGAGAACCGCGAATCTCAGGTGGAGAAATCTCAGAGATATAAAGGGGAACCACCATAGACAACTGCCCAATACCAATACCACCGATAAAGCGACCCACCACGAGCATTGCATAGCTAACAGCCGCAGTCTGAAGCGTGGACCCAATCGTAAAGATAACAACAGCAACCATGAGCGAGCGCTTTCTCGAGATCCAGTCAGCAATCCACCCCTGGTTGATAGCACCAATAAATGCCCCAAGCGTAATCATGGCAGTCATGAGGCCCTTCTTGAAGCCTGCGCCTGGGGCATCGTCCGAGACTTCTGGGAATCGCTCGAGGAAATGGTCCATAACAAGTGTTACGGAAATGACGCCTTGGTCATAGCCGAATAACAGGCCGCCAATGGCTGCGAAGGCGGCGCATGCTGCGACGTAGGGAGAAGAGAAAAGACCCCGGAAACCTATTGGAGTTGGTGAGTTTGTCAACGTGGATTGTGTGATGGAGGCATACCAGAAGGACCGTACGGATCTAAGGGCATGCTCATGCCAGCATGCTCCTCTGTGACGGCATCACAGTCGTCAAGCTTATCCTTGATGGGGTCTCGTTTATCCATTTTACGAATGCAGAAGATATGTCTGGGGAAAACTTGTGAGATGAGTAGATGTAGAGTTTCCATTTTTGACAATAGCGACAGGGCTCTCTATATACAGTTTAGATCTCGGTTAACTCAGCGATTCATCAACGGCAAGAGCCAATTAGTACCGAGTCATTGCAACACTCAATCTTTCTGTACCATGGGGTAAAACCGTAAAGTACGGGGTAGTTTGCGGGGGACAGGGATGAATCGGCTTCTGAGTTGCTTGGCTTTAGCGCGACGCGTTTTTCGCTCGCTAGTCTTAGTTCCGTTAGTGACTCGGGGGATCTAACCCTACAAAGAAAATTTGGAGTAAAGTCCCGACTATCGGACCTTTTGCCCCAGCAGAACTATCACTTATAATCGGGGCAACCTGCCCCTTCAACATAACAACTCAATCAAGACTCTTGATCTCACTCAACCCAGAGAAAATGAGCACGACTGGAGCATGCATGGTAAGTCAAGATTTCGGCATTGTCGCCGATATGCAACCATATTCTAAGAGTCCAAGCTTTGTAGAACTCAGCATGTCAAATGCGTTTGGAGCGAGACCGCCGCGGATAGCCGCCGAACTTGTCTTCGGTGCGCTTCAGCCAACAAGGTTTGCGAAATAGCGCCTGTTATTCGGTTTAAACACTCTTCCAGGTACCTATGCTTAAACCTTGAAATGAGACTCGGGCTTACTCTTGCTGCAGTTTGTCATTTCCAACTCAAACTTGGGTTCCTTGTTCACGAAGATGTAGGTGGCCCTTTTTAACCTACTAAGCTTGACTGACTAGCTCTGAAGTAAGATTTGTGGACGAAACATCTGATGTTGAAGCCCACTACCTATCGGATTCGGAGAACCTAGGAACCCGTACTGATGATGGCTCGTTTCCATCGTATGATAGACCAGTCAGCGATGATGGTTCCGATCTGCCTCTGGAAAGTCGCATCGAGGTAGTGGAGATTGGCCGGGGTATGAAAGATGCTGCAATGAGTCAAGACTTTCGTCGCACCTACGATCCAATTCCATATGGTTCGACACTGGGATTGGCCAGTGTGGAATCAGTCCCCTACCCCTTGACAGAAAACTATGAAGTTCGATTGATGCAATATTACATAACTTATATGTGCACCTGGGTATGTCACCTTGACCATGATCAATGATCAATACTAAGCTGTCCAAGTTCGATCTCTGCGATTCTAGTCGTCATTTCGCCAACATCGTGCCTCCTCGAGCAGCATCTTGTCCAACCCTTCTCAACGCCATATTTGCTCTCTCATCCCGCCATCTCAGCCTTGTCGGATCCTACGATCCTTACGCCTCTGACCGATACCATCAAGCATGTCTAAAGCGCCTGTCAACCATCTCAAGCGATCCTTCAGCTCTCAACGACGATGACTTACTCGCAGCCACGATCCTTCTTCGAACGCTAGAAGAACTCGATGTTCCTCTCATCGGCACAGATCACGAAGGCCATCTGCTAGGAATACAGCTCTTTATGAATACTTGTAAATCTACGACACCGAGTAGTCTGCGCTTGGCTTCTTTCTGGATTGGGATGCGACAAGAAGTGACAATGAGCTTCGCCAGTCAAAGACCGGTCAAGATCAGGCTCGATCACGAGTTTATGGATCGGTCGCTTTCGCCGGCTGATGATGATACCTGGGCGAATCGGATTGTCCTCCATAGCGCAGATGTGATAAACTACTGTTTTGGAAATACTGGTCCAAACAGACTTCGATACCAAGAACTCGTCGATTATAACCAAGCGTGACTGAGAGCTCGACCGGTGTCGTGGTTGCCGATGGCATATCGTGCTGTAGACAAAAGCTTGGGTGAAGCTTTTCCGCATATTGTCTACTTAAATAATGCAGTTGGTATGTTTTTTGTCAATAATGTTTTGATTCCTTGCTTACAGCAATAGTTATTGGCCAAGTGCATGGCTTCTTCGCACGTATCCTCCTTATGTGCCACGATGATCGCGCACCACGAATCGGACCAGCTGCCCAACTAGCTCAGAAGGAAATAGATGTATGTTCAACTTCTGGCCTAGTTTTATGGTACACTCTAATCAATTCAGAACGATATACGGTCACAAGTCCGAGAACTTTGCGGAATAGCCCTGTCAAATCCATCCACCAGACCAGCCATGTTCACAGCTTGTATGGGGGTCACAGCATGTGGAGGACGATTTATTGAGAAACAAGATCAGATGGCGCTATTGGACATTTTGATCTTGACGGAAAAGACCCACAATTGGCCCACGGCGTCAGCACAGTCGCATTTGAAGAGGGCCTGGGGATGGGAGGATTCGACATTACCTGGAGACTACCATTACAATGACGTATAGAAAGCTTGGTTCCCATATTTCATATTTCATACGGCATAAAATTCCGACGGCCCATGATTGTGGATCATGAGAAGGTGAGGCTTGGGAACGGGGCAACTTACCCCGACTAAGATCTGCACGGGGCAACTTACCTAGACTGTCATACTATGTACAGACTTGCACGTATGAGACCCACGATAGCTCATCGTCAAATACTTTTCGCTTCAAATACTAGCCCCAGCATCAAAAGAAAAATACCAATATAAATATGAAAGATGTGATCCGCTAGTCTGGCATCTTACATCCTCCACCATTTTCTTCTCTTGTACCATCTCCACAATCACACAATGGCCTCTCGAAAGCTTCAAATCGGCGTTGCTGGTCTTGGCCGAATGGGTAAACGTCATGCCCAAAACTTCGATCAAAATGTCCCCCGAGCCGTCTTGGTAGCTGTCAGCAGCCCAGACGCTGAAGAGAGACAATGGGCTGCCGAGAATCTCGCCCATGGTGTAGCTATCTACGAAAATTACGCTGATATGATCGCGCACCAGGGCTTAGATGCTGTGTGTGTTGCTTCTGCCACTGCAGTGCACGCTGAACAGACCAATGCTGCCATTGTAGCAGGAAAGCATGTCTTATGCGAGAAACCTCTCGGAACAACTGTTGAGATTGTGAGCTTCTCTCCCCAACTATCTTGAAAGTATACTAACAGTTCAGTCCCAATCTGTTGTTGATACTGCTGCTACGCGTCCAGACCTGAAGGTCATGTGTGGATTTTCCCGTCGTTTTGACGCTTCATATCGCGATGCTTATGAGAAGACAAAGGCAGGCTTGATCGGTCGTCCATCAATCCTCAGAAGTCAGACCTGCGATGTCCTAGACCCGTCAGGGTTTTTTGTCGCCTACGCTCAGTTCTCAGGAGGCATTTTTGTCGACTGTAGCATCCATGACATTGATTTGGCCATCTGGTTCTTTGGCCAACAGTCTAAAGTTCGGTCAGTCCATGCTGTGGGTATCACTGCTGTAGAACCAGATCTTCGACAGTACAACGATCGAGACAACGCTGTAGGCGTTGTTGAATTCTACGATGGTCGAATCGCGTATTTATATGCGTCTCGAATGATGGCGGCCGGTCAGGAAGATACCACAGAAATAATCGGAACGGAGGGGAAAATATCCGTCAATTTGATTCCCGTTGAGAACCATGTTCGAATTCATGGACAAGGAGGTATCAGACACGAGCTTCCACAGAACTATTGGGGAAGATTCCAAGCTGCGTTTGCGAGAGAAGCTATTGAGTTCACGGACTGTGTGTTGGATGATATGCCTGTTCCTGTGGAATTGTCATCGGCAGTGTTAGCAGTCCGAATCGCTGCTGCATTGCAACATTCTATGATTACAGGGAATAAAATAGTTTTTGATGAGAGTGGCAATGAAGTCGAAAGGCCGCGGTTATAGGGGTTTAAAAATGTACAGGAAGGGGTCAGGATTGTCTGACTATATCTGCAACGAGTGGTGATAAACCTGGTAGTTAATTGATGTTAGAAGAGGAAGAGCCTACTGCTGTTTATAAAAAGTACATCTCACAATCTACAATACTACATTCTATCCACCAATTCTCTTCTCTTTCTTCCTATCCTATTCTTCCTCCTCACGTTCTTCCTCCTCGCTATCGTCCTTCTCCCATTCATCCAATTCAGAAAGCCACTCACAATCATTCAGACAATCTTCATTGACAACTACGTCAATGCCTTCCTTTACGGCCTCTCTTAGAACCCGTGCCAAAAACTCTACAGACTTTCGCATCAACATCCAAATCTCCCCAACTGGTATATACGAAGAGACAAAATTGACTATCGTGACCAAGTACTCGATATTACCCCACAAATGAGCCTTGTCCATAGCCATCTCATCTATGATGTCCGCTGCCACCGCGATGGCAGTCTCCGGAAATCGAGCGAGCCGCTTCTGGCAGTCTTCATAGGGTAAATGGTCATTGCGATCATGGAACCAGAAATACATTTCGCGCATGTACGGACGCATCTGCTCCGCGGTATGAACCCTTTCAGACAGGGTACGGCCGCCAATAGGGTCACAATCGGTCTCAGGCACCCAGATTGACTGTGGATTGAGTGTGAAACACTTGAGAAGTTTCATATTCCTCAAGTGTGAACCCCTTCGGTCGGGAACTCCTGTATCCTGAGCGTTGACCGCTTTAAAGATGGATCGATAAGATTGGAGCTGCTCGAAAGACATCTTAACAAGAATGTTCCAAAATAATGTTTGTTGCAGGGTTTCAGTGACTCTATCATCTTTTGTTGGTATCGATGTGAGGATAGGTGTGATGTCCGTTACAACTGCTGGTTCAGCTGCACGCGAGACAAGCAGATTCTGAATCTCAACATTCTCTGGTGATTGTCTTTGTTTTGGATCGTCAAGGCGTGATCTAAATTCGAGAATGATCGCCTTTATGTTGGAGGCGAATTCCTCAGCAGTTAAACTGGCCAAGTCCTCTGCCGTATGCATGGTTGTGAGAGATGAATATAGTGATAGTGATGGTGGTACTGAATTGAGTGATGATGCTAATCATCGACTGCTTGAATGGAGTCAGAAGGTGTTTATATGGGTTCCGAGATACTAAGAAAAGGTAGCTGACAATGAGATATGCCGAAATGGCATGATTTAAAGTTAAGGCTTACATTGCAGGTAAACAGAACTAAACTGAATATGTTTTAATTACACATTCCTTCTGATCCAAAACCATCTTTTCGTTTCTAATTGCTAATATGACCAGAGTTCCATTGTAGAAAGAAGCATAACGTATACAGGTGTGAGTTACAGCATGACTGAGGTGGTATTCTTCGTACCAGTCTAACAATGAACCGCAGCATGTGAAGATGGGTACGTTAATGTCGGACCGATATTCTTTGGGGGCAGTCGTCGTTGTGTGTATAAGAACCCCTGTTCGATACAGGGATTCCTTCCTACAATTAAAGCGATCTACAGAATAGGGTTGGAGTGTCGGTAGAAATAGGCTGTTGAAACGCTTTGCGGGGGGACCTCAGCTCGAAACTAAGCACTACTACAGTAGCCAATCCTGGATATGGGATGAGATTGATCGGGTATCACGGCAGTGCCGTCGAGATAGTGTGTAGTTTAGTAACTAGCGTAGATCGAGCTAGATTGGAGTTTCATGTGGATATTTTAGAACAAGCTTTATAGTAGAACCGAGTGCATTGAAAAGTAAACTAATTTAAACTACAGATGGTTCTAGACACATACGTGGTAAATGAAACTAACATCCTGCCCACAAGTTCCCAAGGCAGAATTTGATTAACACTTCTAAATTGTTTGGTATTCTCCCAATAACAGGACCCTTTGCCACCCCGCCCCCAATTCCAAAGAAGGGTTACCCAGTAAAACTTCATGTTGTAAAACCTGCTCACCCCGGTTTTGCAATACAAGGATGCCTTAATGCCATGGCAGCTAGTGATACTTGCTAATGGCAGATAGATACGCTTGACCAGGCTGAGAAAGCTTCTTCCCACCATCAGTAGTAGGCAACCAAGCCTGACCAAGACCACCACCATCGGTGTACGCATACGCCGCCACATGTTCGTTCTTCTCAAACAGATCAACGACGTTGGCAATCCATTTGTTAATCTGTCCCTGGCCAGAACAAGGCGTGAAGTTGTTCTGATCGTAAACACAACCAAACTCGGTGACCCAGATAGGCTTGCCGTACGTTTTCCAGTAATAGTCGATGTCGGCTTGGACACCAGTCATATCCGGTTTGTATACGTGGATGGTGGTAAAGTCCCATGGCTTGGACAGATCAGCAGTACTGAACTGCTTGAGCCACTTCTCATCCATCTGCATGCACATGGAAGGACTGCCGAGAAGAGCGCCTTGGTTGCCCCTGGGAACGATCAATCTGTTCCAGAGGTCCACACCGTTGGCGACGCCCATATTCGCCGAAGTGTCCTGGCCCGAGCAATCAGGCTCGTTGAAACCAAGGAGGTATGCGGGCGTTTCCTGCATGTTGCCAAATTCGGAGAATCGTTTTGCGTCATTGGGTCCGTTCTGGCCGCTTCCCCATAGCATGGAAACGCTAGTGACGCCAGGGACAGAAGTTGGCCTAGGGGTCCAGTCGTACCACCAGCCAAGATGGTCTTTCCAGAATGGCACAGCGTTACCACCAGCAGATCCAGCCTTTTTGCCGCCGGGAACGAAAGGAGCTGCTCGTGTAGAGATGGTAGACTCCTGAGTAGGTGTCCCAAGAGCAGCTGAAAGATCTGCAAGGGCCACAGAGCTGAGAAGAGTGTGAATGAGAATCATTGTTGATAGTGAATTGTAAAGAGTATTCTTTTGAAGGATTATATTGGAACGAGTTGAGCAAAAGAGCTTGATGAAAGATGGCACGAATCCTTATATAGCTAGATTTGGAGTTTCTGTTGTACTCAGGGGCACTTATCAAGGCCAATTCGCCTTCGGCTATTATCAAATGTTTCTGTTGGGCATGAAATTGAAATCTATTCCTTGTGATTGGAGTTGAACACAAACTTAGACCTTCGCAACGGTCGGTGTGTTCGATTAGGTGGTTAGTCATTTGAATCAGGACCACGTTGATCAAGGGTATGGGCAACCCGTGGCGATATTCCTGATCCTTCTGCATCATGTTCGTCGGCGTGTCCGAAGATCGTCACTAACTATCGTAAGATGAAACACGTAGGCTTGTGAAAAGAACATGTCGAACGATTGAACCTAGCCTATCGCAATCATATTGCGGTCTGATGAATCTATGAGAGTATGAAATATCAATGTGTTACTGTTAAACAGTTTGTACTAAGTGTGCAGTATTGTGTTGACATACAAAGGGACATGGCTAGATCCCACTTGAACTCTTTGCTTATAACTCATAATAATATTGCATTTGCCTACATTTCCATGTACCTTAGAGTGATTATGTTATACCGGTACGCCGAGGTCCATGAGATCAACATCCGATACCAAGCAATACAGGGCCGCGCTTTGCGGGGTCGAGATTCAAGTGTAGAAGCTAGACTAGACAACCGAGCTAAGTGGAACCGAAATATGATTCATTCATCCCAAAATGAGACATGGAAGCATAGAGTGGTGTTGGTGACCAGTCAGATAGCGGTTAACCTAACGGGTTGCGGGCGGTACTTGTAGATAGTTGATCCTTCGATACGTCAATAATCTACTTGTTACTGACGCACGACGCGGTGTCTCCATTCGTGTCCAAATATTTTAACATTACCGAGTGCCGAGGCATTTATACATTATGTCTATTGTTTGGATAGCAATTGCTATGTCACTTTTCATAATATCGTGGATTTCCATGAAGCTCAACTGCATTGGCGTAGTTCCAGAGTGTAATATAAGCATCGTAATTGACTGGCTGGTGATTCTTAAAGGCTTGAACAAATTGATATCAGTTTGGTGCTACTGATGTTCAAGTTCGAGGAAATTTACAGTAAAAGCGCCTAACATACATGTATTTTGTTGTTCTGATAGAAACATCATGATCGGAACTCTCGGCGTTCTCCCCGATCCACCCAAGTCCAAGCAAGCAGGGCCGACCTAGGTAAAGAATCCCCTGGATCTTCACATGCACAGCCGATAGTGCAATGTTAGCTTCTCTCATCAACGGGCCGTATAGTCCTTGAATCAGGCCAAGCGTTGCTAAGACTTCTAACTACACAGGGAAGTTAGTACAAGGCATCTAGATTTTGAGTAACAACAGTCCTCTACCAAGCTTCATCACACGACGTGAACTTACGGTTGACCTAAGAAATTATTCCAATATGCGACATACCTCCCTTGTTAATACTTCTCTGGAAACTCTTCAGATTGGTGAAACCGGATACACCGTCTCATTACCCTTGCAGTGATGAAGGATTCTTTCTCTAGGTCCTGCTCAAGGAAGAATTCTTAGTCTGGTCTCGGTGAAGCTTTATCTCATATATAATAAATAACCAGGTCATTCACTGTCTTCACGATGACTGAGGAGTTTAACTTGTCACTATTTTAATTGTTACCAAAGCTTATACGCGTAATTAAACCGGAATAATGCATTTTCTCATAGCCCTTTCTATTCTTTGCTTAGGATCCGCTATCTCAGCCTACGATCTTCCTGAAAACCTGAAATTATTATACAATAAACACAAGGTATGGAAATTAATGTCCTCTATAATGATTTCTATGCTAACAGTTCAAAAGCCTGGCACTTGTTTAAACCCCTTATCTGAGAGATTCCCTGCAGGTACCCAGTATTGCGGCGATATCCTTGGTGGAATCTTCTTGAAAGGTGACCCCGGGAACTACGACAATATGGACATCGACTGCGATGGTGCGAACAACCACGCCGGTGCTTGTGCAAATGACCCGACAGGTCAAGGGATCACCGCGTTCCAAGATACCGTGGCTCGCTACGGCATTTCTGACTTGGACGCCAATGTTCATCCATATGTGGTGTTTGGTAACGATGGGGACTCGCCGTCTTTTGACCCTCAGCAGCATGAAATGAAGCCTTTGAGCGTTATGGCTGTCATTTGCGATGACAAACTTGTAAGTTCATTACATGAGATGATAGGAATCGTCGCTGACATCACACAGCACTATGGGATCTGGGGAGACATTAACGGTGGTACCTCCACTGGCGAGGCCCCCATCTCGCTCGCTGAGCTTTGTTTCCCTGGTAAAGGATTTAATGGTAACATGGGCCACGGCGAGAATGACGTACTGTTCATCGGATTCATCGGAGACGAGGCCGTCCCAGGAAAGAATGTCTCATGGGCAACCAACAACCAGGCCGAGTTTTCTAGCAGTATCAAAGCCTTGGGCGACCGACTTGTTGCTAAGCTTTGATTCTGGAAACTCACGTCCGAATTACAACTCGATGAAATAACTACTGTGGCCCGCATCACACACAATCCTAGTCATTCAAATTATCTTTCTTACATCTCTAGTTATTTAGGACGCCGAGCAGGATACGACGCTCAGCATTTAGGTTAGTGGCATTTTACATCACATTCAGTTATATCTCATTTCACGATATCACTCATCACACCTATTAGCGTTGCGCAATTCCGTAATTCCGACATCTGACCCAATGCATCTATACTATTCTAGTGAAGAGGATTTGTCTTTACTTCCGTTTCAGTAAACATGTTGCATTTTGTTGGACAATGACTGGTACTATGAACTCAAACACATGATAGGCCCTAATAAAGCTTATTCAAGACTTCAAAAAGCTTAGCTTTTCACAAGGCTGACTGATGAATAAAAAGTTCTTTTAGTATTGCAAGCTCGACGCCACAACGTTGTTTCGTGATTTTCGGTTAACATTTTTCAGATCAATGCACTATTCTACAAAAGTTCCTTTCGTAGGAGCTAAGTCCTGGCAATGGTGCTGCGATAAGTTGTTAGTTAATAGTCAAGCTAGTCAAAGGATCAAGACTAAGTAATCGGCGTACTTGGACTAAGTGGCAATTTTTAGCCAGTCCTTTTGAGAAGTTATATGCGCCAGTGTCCTGCTTAGTGGTATAACCAATCTTCAAACGATCGGACTGGCTTCACTCATCCCAATGTCATGCCCAGGGGCCTCTTTGTCGATTGATTACAAGTTGATACCAAGTATGCCGCGCAGAATTCTTGTTTAGCAGGAGTAAACAAAGTGCCTTCGGACTTGCCGACAATCGGACCATTAGTGCATTCTAGATACACTTAATAAAGTCAAAATCGACCGTTTTATAGAAGTTTGTGGAACAATTTCCTTGTCTACTCAAATTCTGCCTTGAGGAACAAGCTGCCAAATCTAGTAACTCGTACAAACAACTCCACCTTTGTTTATCAAATGTCATTTTCTACCACTGCCTCGGTCAATTTGAACATTTAGTTTGATTCATTTCTGAAAGGCTCACGAGCTTCAAACTCGCGTACACCGCCTTTTCCGATACATTGCCTGAATACCCTGTCTATGAGGCTACAAAGGTTCTGACTGCAGATACCACCATGTGATAATTGCTACTTTTGTTGAGTTCCTCCATAGAAAAATGCCACAATTATCCGCTGTTGAATAGCGGTGATAGACTAATATGTCCAATCGATTGTAAATGGTTAGAAAACAATATAAGGGTTAGTTGAGGCAGCAGGATTTCACCGAAACAGCCACTTGCCGATCCAATCTCATTGCTGAAGAGCTTTGAGACGAAGGATTCGATCCGCAGCAAGGTTTTAGTGGGAAACAAGAGCCGATTCGTCATGCAATGAAGATCTGAAACATTAGAGATTGTCTACTAGCGCATGGACAGGGTGAGTAATTTCCCATCACCCACTCTTTTTAGGATACAGTCAGACGGGGAGATAAAAAAAACTTCTGTATATACATATATGTCACTCTCTAGCTGGTTTCAAGACTACAATCATTCTGGTAACACGCCTCGAGACCATACAGTTCACCATGTTGAAGCGATTGGCTCTCTTTTCACTTGCCGCTGCTGGCGCTAGCGCAGCTCCACAGCAGATCAATTATAGCACTCCTAATGGCTTCTGGTACGCTGATATGGACCATACAAGCGACTTCAGAGGCAAAGCCCCTTACGTTGCCGACTCCTACGAAGTATTCAAGACAGTAACTGCCGGTGACGGCAAAGCCATCCAGGATGCCATTGACTCGGGTAACCGCCACAAGATGTGGCTCGCCTCAGAACCACGGGTATGCATTCCATCATGATATCTGAAGTAAATACTTACTTTTTACAGGTCGTCTATCTTCCTCCTGGTACATACGAAGTTGATAGTACTATCACGCTTCGCACAGACACTATACTCATGGGAAATCCAGCCGATGTAAGCTGATGCTGTAATATTGTTCTTCGCCTTCAGATGTCGCTAACTTTTCTGACGCCTCCTATTATCAAACCTGCTACAGGTTTCAAAGACATGTTCCTCGTCAATGGTACGGATCCAGCAGTTGGAATATCTGGTGAGATTTCTTTTGCCGTTGGTGTGAAAAATATTATTCTAGATACTACCGCTGTCACTGCCAGTAAGTATTACAATTTAATCCGTCAAGAGATTTCGTACTAACAATTCCAGGCAGTGGGTTCACAGCGCTGTATTGGGGTGTTGCTCAGGTTTGTCAACTACAAAACATCCGAATCAAGATGCCCCCGGCTGGGAAGGATTCAGGGCATTCTGGCATTAGACTTGGACGTGGCTCTACTCTCGGCCTCGCAGACATTAGCGTCGAAAATGGCATGGTACGTGCATGAAGCCTCATTTCCCATAAGATTGGACTAGTGCTGACGAAAACACCACAAAGAACGGCATATGGCATGATGGACACCAACAAGCTTTTTACAAGAGCGTCAAGTTCATCCGCAATACCATTGGACTGCGCATTGATGGCGGTAACACTATTACGGTGTTAAACCCCACGTTTGACACTGTTGGGACTCCTGTGAAGCATAACTCAGGCGCACCGTTCGTGGGTATCATTGACGGAAAGTCAATTAACTCTGGCATCACTTTCGACTCCTCAAATTATCCATCTGTCTTGATCGAGAATCTATCCAAGGACACAGACTCTGATGTGGTGAGATTGCCTAGTGGTGTGGCCTTGGGAAAGGCTAGCCACGTCAACACCTTCACGTACGGAAACACAGTTGGACGAGACCCTGTGTACGGCGGTGAAACTTCTAACACTACCAGACCCGCAGCTATTGCTCCCGGTGGTCGAATTCCTGCTGTTGCGGCTCCTACATATGGAAACCATCCAGTTGGTGATTTCATGAACATCAAGGATCCCAAGCAAAATGGAGGTCAAGTCATCAAAGGCGACGGCAAGGGGAACGAAGTTGAGGCTCTGACTGCTGCGCTTAAGTATGCAGTTCAGAACAACAAGATTGCCTACTTTCCGTTTGGGGACTATCGCATCGAGTCTACACTTACTATTCCGATCGGTTCCCGTATCATAGGGGAGGCATGGGCCACAATCTCAGCAGCCGGTGACTTTTTCAAGAACGCTAACGATCCCAAACCGGTGGTACAGATCGGTAGTCCCGGTGATGTGGGCACAATCGAAGTGCAGGACATGCGGTTCACTGTCGCTGATGTTCTCCCTGGAGCTATTATTCTCGAGGTCAATGCGGCTGGCAGTAAGCCTGGCGATGTGGCCATTTGGAACTCGGTTATTACCGTGGGTGGCACATTAGGTGCAAAAGACTTAACCAACAACTGCCGCGATGCTTCGAACCCTTGCCAGGGTGCCTACATCGGCATGCATTTCACAAAGGATTCTTCAGCCTACGTGGAGAACGTGTGGAATTGGGTGGCTGATCACATCACTGAGGAATTTGATGGCGGGTCAAGCATCGCTGGCAAGGGTGGTGCTCTTGTTGAATCGACAAAGGGTACCTGGCTACACGCTTTGGGCAGCGAGCATTGGTGGCTGTACCAACTCAATCTGCGCAATGCCTCCAACGTGGTTGTCAGCATGCTTCAGACAGAGACGAACTACGAGCAAGGCGCAAAAGCAGAGAAGTTGATGCCAAGCCCGTGGAACCCTGATAAGGGAGGCTGGGGAGATCCAGATTATGCCTGGTGTGGTAGTACCGACGGTTCCTGTCGCATGGGATTGTCGAATTATGTTAACGGCGGATCCAACATCTACTACTATGGTTCAGCTTCATGGGCATTCTTTAATGGACCTGGATACCAGAGATGTGAAGACGAAATGAAATGTCAAGGTACGTATCAAGAATTGTTACTGTGGAACTTAGTTACTAATCCTTGACAGAATTCATCCACTGGATTGAAAAGACCCCGGAGAACTTGCAGAGTTTCGGCTGGTGTGCTAAGGCTTCCAGTGTTGCCCTGCGTTTAGGTAATGGCGATAAGATTATGACTCAGCCTGACTTCGGAGGCTCTTGGGGAAGCCTTGTCGGACGTTACACTCCGTGGGTAGAATAGAGTTTGGGCGGCTTGGTCCTATTGTTCTTGAATACTCAGAATTGTGATGGGTGGATTGCAAGGCATAAGGTTTCCTTTGAAATGCCAGTTGCTACCCAGGCGGGTTGTGTGGAGAGTGCGATTGAGGATATAAGGGGTCCGTCTGCGATTCGATGTGCGAATAAAGAAGGTGATCTGTGGTTATGATTCAGTACTACATTTAGTCAAGAGATCCTTCTATCAATTAAGTATAAAATACATGTGCTTTTAATCTGTTATTCCAACGAAACCTTTTGTGTAAAAGAGGCTATAAAATAATAGCTTTCTTCTTCATCGAACAAGGTCTTCGGTAGACCTATGGGGTCCCCCAGATGTAGTTGCTCGATCGAATGTTTGCATCTCTACGTCTACATTGACATAGATCTTCTTTCTGGATGAGCTATCATCAAGTTCCTCCCAATCACCATCTCCTTCGCCAAGACCTGCTGATCTGCTCCGTGGCACTGATTGCGATGTAATAGTCGCTCGGTAGGCACCTGAGAACGGTGTATTCTGGGCAGGAGAACTTTCTGAATTGCTATCGAATTGGAAGCGGCGGTTAACCAACTGACGTAGTGAGGGAAGCGAACCGGCCACAATTCCGATTCCAGACTCGAGGATGGACCAGATGACGATATGTGTTACGTTATCTGAGTTGGGTTAGAAAGAGACGATGTTTATGGTTAAGAGAATACTAACAAAGATAATCAGGGATGATAATGTAGTACTTAACATAGGGAAGTCGGACGATTGTGCAAAGTGATGCCCTATTGTAGGAATTAGTACAAGGTTAGTCAATCCACCAGATTGACATTGAACTTACAAAGCAGCCAGACCAAGGATAGCCGCAAGTGAGACTTTGGTTGCCAACTTCATGTTCGTGTGGTATAGCATAAATATAGGTAAAATAGCACAGATAAAGTCAGTGACAACCGCACCAGTTGACACAAGATATCCAAGACTTGCAATGACAATTGGCGGAGCGCATGTCCCCACATGACCCCACGCAGTAGATATTGGACGGCAAATAACGAAAAGCCCAATAATAACAGCAGTAATAGAAAGCAACGCAAATGCAAGAGTACACCAAATGATAATACGGTGGGTCTGGACAACAGCAATGCGAAGAAGAGTAACGCAGATCGAGCTTTTGAGGAATAGCAATGAGATACAGTACGTGACTTGGAAAAACCACAGAAACTAAAGAAATGAGTCAATTGGTCTGTATTGTTGTGCATCTTGCTGTGATAATACGCGACATACCTTTCGGCCATCGTTTTGGAGATAAGCATTCAGATCAGTATCCTTAGTGCCGAGACCAGCATAGGTGCTACGTGCCACGATGCAGCTGACGCCCACGTACAGCATCTAACAACCAAGTCTATCAGTATGATGCTGCAAATAAGTGAGTAATGTGTTACTTACCCAGCCGAAAAGCATAAGACCATCGTCCACGCCAAACGTCTTGTATCGTAGACGAACCCAACATCTTGAGGCAATGATAATCGTAGTTATGATCAGGAAAATTATAGTAACAATAAGAAGCGAACGCCCAATGCCAGTAGGTTCTACTGACGTTGCGTTAGCGTCAAGTGCCATAGAGAAACAGCAATAGGTGCATTCGTCTTGTGGAGTAGAAATGGGAATGGCCGAGAAATATTCACTTTTAATAGAAAACCCAGATCTACTAAGCACGTTCCCCTTTTGAACCAATGGTTTTAGCCTTGAAGGTGAACGCTAATCGTTGACCGTTGCAAGAGCGTATTGGCTAGCTTACGAAAGTGGCTTAGAGTTAAGATGACGGACCAGCTAATCCCGAGCTCTAGCTTCTCCTGCGATTTGCTTCTGATGGAATTAGTAGTTTTCAGGACAGCCCTCTTTTCAGGATGATCCACATTTTTAGCTTACTGTCTCACCATTAGATGAATGGATTTGGGTGCCGTCCCAATAATCTCGTGCGGATTACTATTTGAGATTTACGTTTTGGCTATGAATGTGGTTTACAGGGTAAGGTTAGCAATTCACACACGAAGCGGCAGGCCGATTGCAATTCTAATTACTATACTACACATCCAACATAGTTGTCGGATGGGTCTGTTTGCTATAGATAGTCTGGTATCAATCCAACGTCCCGATCTTTAGCAATGTGACTTATCGTTACGCTTGTGCGTTTTAGCCAATCTAGGGGGTCGGGGAGAACAGCCGAAGGATTTAGCTGGAAGATCGGCGGTTTTTAGTGCGAGCCAGTCCACTGGTTTGATGACCCGAGGCCAGAACATCGATCTAGTCCCAACTGCTTACATAGCCATTGTTGCAACCTACTCTGAAGCAGGTCTTTAATGTAATCGTGAAAAGGAGCCACAGCGACGACTATGCAGGAAGGATGAGATATTATCCTTAGTGCTAACTATGGGCTGACAGATTCTTTCAACCATGAGACGCAAAAGTCAACATGGGTGCCGTAGCATGATTGACAACTAATAGCATAGGGTGTATTTCAACAGTTCGCCGCCATACAACGCGATGCCAGATACATTGCGCGAGTCAGTTGTCCTTCAGTACATCGTAACAGACAATCGTCAGCCTTCTTGGCACTATTCCTCTTTAGTGTAGCTATCGGTCTTGGTATGTGGGGATGATGTTCCAGAGCGAGCTGGTGTCTTTGTTGATTGGTGACTGACTCGCACGGACAAAGACACTATTGTCTTAGTAATTTTAGGTGGAAATAACTTTATTCAAGGGTCAACTAACCGAGGCGGAAGTTACATTTCTCCATGTCTCTCAATTGGTCTACAATTACAATATTCAAGTGCCTACCAGCCTTAACCATTGGCGGCAATGACCCGGCCGTCTGGCACGGCAGGGGCGCCCGAAAGGCTGATGTCAATCACGAGGTCAAGGCTTCTCTGACTAACAGCGAGACACTTCAGTAAATTAATGAAGCTTTTTTTCCAAGTGCAGGGTAAATCTTGCGATTGAACATTGTACTTCCCCAGTGTGTGTGCTTAAGTCCAATTTGTTAGTAGAGTTACTCCGAATCTATCAGATCCAATCAGTTAGAACAAGTCAACTGCAGTCTAGTTATTGTATTTCATTATTGTTACACTTGCAACTTGTGTTAACATATGTCATTCCATCAGCATTTCCCAGTGTCATCACGACATTGCAGTGTCGCGACGAAACTGAGCAGTGAACACGATACTGAGGGCGTGTAGGCCTATTTAACCTAGAGCTCCTCCGTTGAGAAACGGCTCCAATAGGTTGAAGCATGCCGTATAGTTGTTCAACGATTCCATCAAGAGGCCAGGTACCACGGTTGCGAATGTTTCCCTTTTATACCTTTCTTAATTCTTTCCAAGAGAGGTATACGAATTATAACAAATCCCTTCCGTTTTTAAGGATCTATCAAGTCTTCACTTGGACCTGATCATCATTACGTCCAGGCTCGTTATTCACTGAAACTGTATCTTCAAAACTTTTCCCTCCTTCCAATTGCCCAATGCGGCGCTCAGCATCGCTCAACTGGATGTTTTGAGGGCGGAAAGGATTGAAAGCTGTCGCAAATAGAGCATCAATCACTTCAAGCGCGCGACCCTGTTCAGAAGGAAAACATATTAGATCTCCAGTTGCAGAAATTTTGTTATAGTAAAACTTACCTTTGTTTCGGGAAGAAAGAAGTAAGTGAAAATTAGTGCAAGCGCGGATATGCCACCGAACACCCAGCCAACACCGAAGTGGAGATCCGCAATAAGGTAAGGGATAGAGTAATTGGTAACAAATGCCCAGACGACATTCCATGCTGCTCCTAACGATTGTGTCTTTTCTCTAACAGCAGAATTCGGAATTTCACTACCGAGAAGATATGGGATAGAAGCGCTACCCATCTGGACAAGACTTCTGTTAGTATAATCGATTGTGAACGGCTATGGCTTATATCCATGACTGACATTGTAAAAAAAGGAAAACAGCATGAAAGCAGCTGCAACAGTGCTCTTCTCGGTTGCTGTCTTGCTTGGTTTCGCGCCAAGACCTGCTACCAGGAACAACCAGAGAGCTTGCAGGGGATAGCTGATCATGAGAGTTTTTCGACGACTGCAAACATGTTCATGAGCAAATGAGTCTCTGCGCACTTGGTAGATTAGTCAACTCACCCTACACTGTCGACCATATACATAGCTGGACAAACAGCAATCATGCCGAGAACGCTTGTAATAATGGGATATGTGAAAGCCTGGTAGCTGCTGTAACCATTTTGTTTATAGAACACCGTTTGGTAAGTCGATGAGAATGCTTGGCCAGTTGCCTAAAGCTCAGTGTCAGTCACGCTTTGATGTGCTAACCAGTCTTGTCACTAACCTGCTGAAAGAAGTAAAATGCAAAAACAATCATTGTACGTCGCAAGTTTGTCCTACGGAAGAGGTCAAGCCATGGTCCTTTGTGTACTTGCTCCCTCAAGGTATCCTTGATCAATTTGATCTCATTGTCACATCGACCCTCATCAAAATCAGTTTTGCTTCGCAAGCGCTGGAGACAAGTAACTGCTTCTTCTTCGCGATCTTTTGATAGAAGCCAACGGGGTGAGTTGGGAATGAAAAACACAAAAGCAGTAAGTACTGTCGACGTAAGTTAGATACTGTTGGCTGGGCGATCATCAGTCACTCACAAGCAGGGAACACAAGCTGAATGCCTGTAACTGTTTTCCAACCCACACCATCTGTGTAGGTAGAATATGCTTTGTTGAGACCACTTGCCATAAGGGATCCGGCGGCGAGGAAGAGTTGCAAAGAGACGACAACAAGGCCGCGGAAAGGAGCTGGGACAATTTCCGCTTGGTATGTACTGAGCGTAGGTAATGAGTTAGAGACGGATGGGATGAGAAATATCTCGAATAGCAGGATCACTCACGTAACAGCAACTTCAACCAAACCAACCGAGACATAGACAACGATACGGCCAACAAGGAACTGCGCGAAACGGCCGGTTCCATAACCAGTGTCAGCAGCTGTAACTTCCACTGTTGGTAATGAGTAAGCCAGAAAATGAAGAGGTCTACTGTCAAACGATATTTTTACTTACGAATAACACCAACAACAGAGATGATCGACAGAAGAATAAAAACGATTCGATGGCCGAGCTTTTCAATCGCTGGACCTGCAAACAAACATCCAAGGAATTTGCCGATGAAAGGTATAGACGAGATGATTGAAGTTTCGGAAGACGTGAAAGCATATTTGTTTGTCTCTACATTGTAACTCCCGAATTGGTTAATAAAACCCTGGGCAATCAGTGTCTAGATCCTACATTATGGCTAACGATGATCAGGAAAGGGGTTACTCAGTGGATTAGCCAGGATACCTCCGAAACTACCGGTATCGAAACCAAATAGCATGTCACCCACGAGAAGGCAAGAACAAGAAAAGATCAATAGCGGGGAAACAGACCCCCATGCTGAGTGTTGGCTGGCCATGACTTGACTATTATTGCAGGGACTATCTATCTCATCAATCTGTAAAAGAAAGACAGATGGAACTAGACCGATTTGACGGTATCGGCTCGGAGATGAGGAGCCTGTCTTCATTTTATATAGACTCTCTAGTTTGGTACTACATTCCCCTCTCTTGACAGACCAACTAGCAATACTACTCTAACAAGGTCATCAGGCTTCAACTTATAATCCCTTCTTCTCTTAGCCAAACGAAAATGACTAAATCCGGGTTGATCCCACTGACCTTTGGCCAGGTATCCGGAGGAAGGAGGGGGTTCCGAGTGAGGTGGGGCTCCTCAGCGAATCTGGCGAGGTTCCGGGTGACAGGGGGTTATTGCAACACAAGCTCCAATCAATTCGTCATTTGATCTTGTCACATCGTGCTTCCGGAACTCAGCAATGGTGCCGAGCGATGTGTCGGGTAAGACAGTTTTGGGTCTACTTTCACCAGAAACAACGGCTTAATTAAATGAGGAAAACCCGCACTTGTTGTCTGTAGATTACAAATTGAGCTATTGCGCGGTTTTTTGTCTTACTATCTTGTCTTCCATTTCCCCCCCATTGCATCTCGAAAGGTCTGGTCTATACTAACGAATTCAACACACAACCATCCAAAATGGCCAACTCTACTGATGAATCGCCGAGGCGTCCCAACTTCTTGTTCATTCTTGCTGATGACTTGGTGCGTCATTGATTGCACCAACATCCAACTTATATATCCCATGACATAACTAATTGCTTCTTTGTGTTCCAGGGCTTTTCCGACATTGGCTGTTACGGAGCCGAGATCCAAACACCCAATATCGATCGACTTGCTTCGGAAGGTGTCCGCATGCTAAACCACCATGCTGCAGCGGCTTGTTCACCCACACGAGCAATGCTCCTCAGTGGAACTGATGCACACCTTGGTGGCTTAGGTGTGCTGATAGAATACAAGGGTAACGAAAAAGGTGCGAAGCGTTATGGAGGAACGGCTGGCTACGAAGGTTATCTCACTGAAAACGTCGCAACCATTCCCGAGATTTTAGAAGACAACGGCTATTTTACTGCTATGTCTGGCAAGGTGAGTTGCGTAGATACGCGAATCGAGCTTTCAATCAGACATCTAATTGGGTTATAGTGGCACTTGGGTATGCGCGATGCTCAGGGACCTTGGAATCGTGGCTTTCAAAAGGCTTTTACTATGCTTCCCGGGTGCTGCAACCATTATAGATGGGAACCTGTACAAGAGAAGTTCCCGTTTGGTGGTCGCCCAATTCACGCCGAGAATGGCAAGAAAGTCGACATGTAAGTATTGGCAATTGCGTCTGTCCTTAATTTTGCTGAACTTTATGATCTAGAACTCCCAACAAAACTGAAGATCCGAACGGTTTCTATTCTACAGACGCCTACACTGATAATCTCATTCAGTATTTTGGGGGAAGAACGGAAGAAGATAAGAACAAGCCTTTCTTTACATACTTGCCATATACTGCGCCCCATTGGCCATTGCAATGTTCGAAAGCACAACGTGACAAGTGAGTTCCCCGGCCGGCTTTAACTCATTATCCAACGTTATCTCTCCAGAGTCTGAAAAGTTCCATATAGGTACAAGGGCATGTACGACGATGGACCATATGCACTACGTGAGCGCAGATTAAAGAAACTCATAGACTTGGGTATAATAGACAAGTCTGTTGTTCCGCACCAAGTAGAGACACAGACAATGGGTGTTGGAGAATGGGACGACCTCTCACCCGAAGAAAGGAAGCTCTCGAGTCGAGCGATGGAGGCATATGCAGGTATGGTAGATTCCATTGACGTCAATGTCGGCAAGGTGGTGGACTATCTGAAGTCAACGGGCGAGTACGATAACACCTTTATTGTGTTTATGAGTGATAATGGAGCCGAGGGAGCAGCGTAAGTTTCCCATCCTGAAAACGATGTGAAGTATTAGCTAACTCATACAGCATGGAGGCTATTCGTAAGTTATATCCTCAGACTTCATGATGATCTTCTCAACTGAATATTCTCCCACAGCTGTCATGGGAGATAAAATTACCAAGGCCATTCATCAATACTACGATAATTCTTACGAAAATATCGGTTCTTGGAACTCTTTCACCTGGTATGTATAGCTGTATCAAATTCGTTCTTGAGTTGACAATGTGATCAGGCTTGGTCCCTTGTGGGCTCAGGCATCCACTGCCCCTTCAAGGCTGTTCAAATGCTTTCCATCGCAAGGAGGTATACTTGTGCCATGTATCGTGAAGCCTCCGGCTCAGACATTCCATTCGTCATTCCAACCAGGGACCTTCGACCGATCATTCTCCACTGTCATGGACTTTGCGCCTACCTTCCTCGAACTAGCTGGAGTACTTCTCCCTACTTCTGAAAAGATAGCTACGACAGAGGCTGGAAATGGTAGCGCTGCTCCGGCCACAAAGACTGTTCCATTCCGAGGAAGAACAGTACATACCATTCGGGGAAAGTCTTGGGTACCGTTCTTCGGCCGAGCCGAAAAGGTGGAAGATGATGAGATGTGGACAATTCACCCTTCTACTGAACCTGTTGGTTGGGAACTATTTGCAAGAGGTGCTCTACGCAAGGGTAATTGGAAGATTGTCCACATTTCCAAGCAACAAGGTGGTGCCGGAGAAGGTGATGAAGGGTGGGAGTTGTTCAATGTGGTTGAAGACCCTGGGGAGACCCGGAACCTGGCAGAGAGTGACCCCGAGAAACTACAGGAACTACTTGCACACTGGGATGAATATGTGGTTGAGTGCGGAATTGTATGGGGAGAAAAGGCCGAGGCTCTAGGTCTTGACAAGGCCAGTGCCCCAGAGCTTTGGGAAGATGATACGGAGTTGCAGAGAGGTTGGATAGGTGCTAAGGCTGGTCAATGTTTGGCATGATAGGAATGTACCTTTATTATAGTCTAGGAGAAGTTTAAGAAAAGCAACAACAGTCTATTTAAAACGAATTCAATTCTAATGGCATGCAAGTTTCCTCTTGTCTACAGATAATGGATTCTCTAGTGGCATTAACACTAAAGCCGAGGACGCGAAAATAGATAAAACGCTAAAATCATGTTGTTAAGGCATATGCCACAGTATAGTCTCAAGAATGTCGGAAGATCAGAAACTAAACTTAAATGCTGAGATATCTAGTAAAATAAAAGATATAAGAACTGGAGGCATTGACATCAGTGCCAGCTTATCGGACGACGTCGACCCCCTTGGCTACAGGAGACCACTTTAATAGCTCTAGCCAGGTAAGTGTTTCTGTGTGCTTGTGCTTTAATAAACCCTTCCGGGGTTTTCTATGATAATCTCCGGTCAAGTGTTAGTCTGCTAATTATGCCGACCAAGCGTGTGTTTGGTCAATATATCCTATAAAACGCTTTTCCAATTCGGTTATTAATCCGGCAGTTTAGCGGATCAGATAAAGACTAGAACAATTAAGCGAGATTACCAGGGGAATGCCCTTGTTGATCTTTGAGATAAGACATGCAAGAAAAGATATTCCTGGATTGACGTCCTGGTACTCTGTACTCCAGTGCTGGGGGCTGTTTCGTAAGCTAACTGCACAAACCTCGCAACGATCTTATAGTTGTCGATCGTAGTATTAGGGCTCTAAAGAACTATTCTCGTTCTGACCAAGGAACTAAGTGCAGAGCTGACCTAACCGTAAGAAGAAGCACTCTGTTTGAGAAAAGCCATTACAGCAAGCAACTGTCCTTTCCTGAGCATGTTATAGGTAATCCCGAAATATACACTACATACTCCGTACATATAGCGTGATTTATCGAATAACATCTTTGAGAAATTCTTCGAAACATTCTCCGATGAAGGAGAAGTTAGTGGGTCGTTAACTTGTTAGACATATTTTAGCACGTTTGCAAAATACTACGTGGGGAATAGAACACTCACCATTGTAGCATTGAGCCCCTGTCTACCACGGATCATATCCGAGTTGGGTCTTAACGGGATCAAATTCGGGATGTTATGACAAGCATCCCTTGAGTAGCGCGGCATACGCGTCCTCGAGAGTAAAAAAAGAGGACTTGCCATCGGTAAGTAGAATTACTTAATGACACCTAGATCCAGTTCATTTTTGGCATCGATGTATTGCTACTGTCGATTGGTAAGGTTTTTAGAAGACTAGCAAAATGCGACTTATAAAGTCTTTCGTTACAATCTTCCCTGCCCTTATTGCTTTCTCAAAAGCCCGCTCTGGTTTTGACAGCCAATTCGCAAAACCCGCTGCCCAAGGTATCAATCGCACTGTTTTCAAACACGCAGCTACCAAGTCGTCTCTTGAATATGTCACCAACTCAAGAATTTGCGAAACAACGCCTGGAGTGAATCAATATTCGGGTTACCTTGACTACAGTAAGCACATTGACATTTATTTATAGCCACGATCCGATACTAACAATCTTTGAGGTCAAAATGCAAGCATGTGGTTTTGGTTCTTTGAGGCACGGAATAAACCTAGAGAGGCCCCTCTAGTTCTTTGGCTTAATGGCGGTCCTGGGTGTTCTTCTGAAATCGGTGTTTTCCAAGAGAATGGACCTTGTCATTTCATTGGTGAAAATGACACTGAACCGACTCTCAATCCGTATTCATGGAACGAATACGCCAACATGATATATATCGACCAACCAATTGGTACAGGCTTCAGCGAGGGTGCTGAGAACGAAATCATCAATTCGACTGTCGAAGCAGCTCCGTATGTCTGGATCTTTATGCAAGCCTTTTTGGACAATTTTCCAGAGTACATGTCCCGAGATTTTGGGCTCTTTACTGAATCCTACGGTGGACACTATGGTCCCAAATTTGCAGAATATTTCCTTAAACAGAATGACAAAATTCGGGCGGGTTCTCTACACGGTCATGAAATTAACTTGGTTGCTCTAGGTATCAATAACCCTTGGATCGATCCTATGTCTCAATTCAAAGCCTATGTAACCTACGCCTATAAGAATCCTTACAGGCAGATTATTAACGAGAGCCTCCATGAACACTTTATCGACTTGTACGAGAAAGAATGTGTTCCTCTACTGGAAAAGTGTACAAACACAACCATGCAGCTGGAAGCTTGTTCCAACGCTAGCCTCACCTGCAATACAATCATGTATGACGACTTGATTGAAGCAAGCGGGGTCGACTTTGGCGTGAATGATATTCGAATCGGCAGTCAGGATGTCGATCCGGCTGAGACATATGTGGACTATCTCAACCGGGAGGATGTCCGGAAAAAGATTGGTGCTCGCAAAGACTTCGAAGAATGCAATCTGAATACTTTTTACAAATTTGGCGATACAGGAGACGGTAGGTTTCGCCTTTTATAAAGTGTCAACGCATATTTACTAATTATGCAGATGCGCGCCCGTATTCGAATGCACTAACCAACGTTGTGAATCGCAATATGACGACACTGATCTGGGTTGGTGACGCTGGTAAGATTTTCTTTACAACCATATATTTCGTATGTCTGCTAACGAAATGAAGACTGGTCTTGCAGCTGGCCAGGCGTTCTCGAAGCTGTAAACTCGTTAAATTGGCATGGCCAAAGTGAATTTACTTCGGCCGAATTGAAGAATTACACTGTTAATGGCGAGTGCCATGGCACGTACAGAACGATTGACAACTTGAGCTTATTTAAAGTGCATGGTGCTGGGCATTACGTTTCGTATTACCGTGAGTGCATTGTTCCCGGATACTTATTTGACGGCTAACACTGATCGAGAACCTGAAACTGCACTGCAAGTATTTAAACAGACAATGCAACAAAGGAGGATTTTCTCAACTTAATGTTGCTTGTTCAAATAGAGAGATGTGGTTGATGCCAGAAGGCGAGGTTATGCCGATTGGTCGGCTTGGTCAATCATTAGTCAAGCTACCTTGTGCAAACGCAAACATTGGTATGGAAATACTTCAAGGTCTCAAATTTAGAACAGACTCTTGTTCTCAGACTACTGCTTAAGAATGGGAAAACCATTAAGTTTCTCCCTCTTGATAAGCTCAAAAGTGTGTTGGCGGCATTCGGCTAGTTCGGCCTCAGAGAACTACAGGTCCTTCCTAAGGGTGGGAGCGTCTTCGGGGCAGCCGTTCAGGGCAACTTATTCCGAGTTTGTCGTATCTAGTTTAATAGCAGTGTTTTTTGTTATACTCTAGGAAATACAAAAACAATCTATCTAAAAGGGTAGTGATTCTAACCGCCAAAACAATATCTAGAGAACTCCAGAGAGCCATATTATCCCAAGTTCCCGGCACAGAAACAACATCATTAGTATAAAAGGGGGACCATCTGGCGTCTGATTGGGCAACCAGTTCATTTTGAACCATGCTCCTCAGCAAAAGCTGCTATCATCTGCTGCGCTCCATCATCATTATACATCAATGTCTCCATATCGATACTGCTCTGAATATGCTCATAAGCGCGGGGCTTCATCTCCTTCTCATAGGCAGCAATTGCTCTCTCCAAAGCTTCTGTGTCGGCTTCTTGGTTGTAGGTTCCTTCTTGAACAGCACCGACTTCCGCTAGAATTTGATCGAATAGTACCAGAGAGTCGTACATCGCCTGGTTCACGCCTTCGCCGTTTGGAGCAGCCAAATGTGCTGCGTCGCCAAGTAAAACAACTCCAGGAGCTCGGGTCCAGCGATGTTGACTATTTGCTTCAGAAAAGAGGTTTTTGTCGAGACGGTAAAGTGGCCAAGGACGCCATGGAACTTCAGCGGCCCCGATCAAAGTTCTCAAGTCCTCTCTCCAGGATTCAAAGAAGCCTCCAGGTCCAAGCATCATGTTTCGTGCTTTTTTTATGTCGGAGGGGTCGGCATCGCCACCAGGGAGCGTCAGAGACTCAGGGCATAATAATCCCATGTACATTCGGTAGGATGAATCAGACATTTGTTGTACCGCAAGGGTAGCCTTGGCGCTCATGGCCATTGCCGTTCCTTTACCGGCCATTTGTTCTGCCAACTGGTATGCTGAGTTGCCCGGAGATATCCGGCCTTCTATGAAGGCCTTGCCAGAGTATTGGGGCTTGGCGTCAGTAATCTGTGATTGAAGTTAGTTCAAAAGCTGTATAGTAAACAAGAAACATTTTGGACACTTACAACAGATCGGACTTTGCTCCATGCACCGTCTGCTCCAACAATCATTCGAAATCCAGTTTCGGTTGATCCGTCGCGGAATCTAAGCGTATAGTCGCGGGTGCTTTTGCAACCAGAGTTTCCCTTACGCTCAACATCATCCGTTATCTTGCCCCAACGAATACGTTCAGCAGGAATGGAGTCGAGTAAAATCTGCCGCAACTGCTGACGATCGATTTCTGGTCTATCGCTTCCATCAACGTCGACATCACCTCCTAAAATGGACCGAAATTGTCCTCGGGAATCCATTAATGTCATTGTGGTGGCATCGTAGCGAGCAAGAGACTTGAATCGATCATGAAGACCTGCGCGACGAAGGGCTTCCTGACCCGTTGTGGGATGAATGTCGAGAGTGCCGCCTTGACTTTTGACGGCTGATGATGGTGAGGCGTCGCGCTCGAAAACAACATAGTTGATACATGCAGTTTCGAGTAGACGGGCGAGGATCAGACCACATGGGCCTCCACCGATGATGGCGATTGGTGCGATGGTTGGGACTTTCATGTCGACGTAAGATACGAAATCGTAAACTGGGAAAATTGAGATATCTTTGTGGTATTTAAACTAAATGTTGCTTACAGCCGCGGACTTTCTGACATTCCCATCGCGCCCGAGGCGATAGCTCGGTCCCAGCCTTATACGCGGGGAGATATGATTGGTCAAGGACTAACTATGGATCAAATCTGGGAGACAGTAACGTCCGACATCACGGGGAAGCATCAAATCATAGCGCTAGCCCGGGACTTTCTAAATCCCGACTAAGATGATCTCACAGCCCCCATACCCATTGCCACTTCCCACCAGCGCGCTCAACCATCAATTCCATCCTTGCCCATTGGACAGATATCGTTGAAATAAACATGAAAGCTCCCACCAGAGCAGCCATATAGAGATAAGAATTCGGAGACGCGCTTTCAGTTACCAGTAAGCCTGCCACTGGTGTCCCCAGCAGGCCAGCTGCGCCTTGAAACATATACATGATACCAGTGATATGCGGCATGTCAGTAATACCAAACAGTTCAACTAACGCAGGCGAGAAGAGGCCAATATACGCACTGGCGAACAAGCCGTACACGACTGTGAAGGCAATGAACAGTGCTCTGCCAAGCTCTATGTCTGATGACCCCAGAACGGTGCTCGAAACCCAGAGGCCTGCCGTGGACGTGCAACTCAATAACGTCGTCAGAAAGAATGAGTCTAGGCGTCCAATCTTATCGGCAACAAATCCGACCCCAACCTTTCCTATAGCATTGCAAGCGTTGCTGAGAGCTGTAAAGTTTGCTCCATCCGTCTCGTTATAGCCAAGTGTTTTGGAATATGCTGCGATATAAAAGATAGGAGTATAATATGCTGCGCTTTGGAAAAAGGCGTTAATACTCTGTGCGAGGAACTTGCGCGTGAATACAAGATCTCGTGGTGGTAGGGGAACTTTGCACAGTCCAGTAGCCCAGCCAGGTCGCGTGTCGGTACACTTTAACGAAGCAGCCATCTGTGGTTCCCATGACAGAGCAGAGCCTGATATGTACATGATAACTGTGCATATACAGCCCGTAAGCCGTAGAGTATTTGGATACCCAAACGTGCCAATGCAGGCAGTGAGGACTGGAGACCATACCAGTCCGCCAACACCTGTCCCAGAAGAGATTATGCCCAAACACAATGCTCTGTGGCGGCCAAACCAGCTAGGTGGGACAACCATAGACGGCATAAAAGACAAGCATGTTGCGATACCCGTCAAAAGCCCCTGCGTCAATTGCAAGTGCCACAAGGAAGTCCCAAAACTCGCAAGTACACTAGCAATACCGTACAGTAGGCCTCCAGTGCACACAACAGCCCATGGTCTAAAATATTTAGTCCATGAAACAACGTACGGTGCCCCTAGCTTCATTAGAGACGCGGCGATACTCCCTATCAACGTGATCTCAGCAGATGAGGCCCCAGTGAAAGGGTTGCCTGGCTCTCTTGACATGTCTTCGTAAAGGGATTGGAAAATTCCGAAGCTGAATAAGAGGCCGCACCCTGAAAAGTTCAACATGAACGCGGCTACGATTATCGAGCATTGGCGCCTGCAAGAAGTAAGTACTCCGTTACCAGAACTTAGATTGTGATGTAGGACCATTTTGTTGACTTATTAGTTATTTGGCTAACGCCTCGTTCACTTTCTTCAGCTGGCATAACTCCATGAAATGTCGATAAAGGGTGATTGGTTTTGGTATTGTCTTTGGTGCTTAAACGATGAAGTAGTACAAGTGGAAAAGGTGAATAAATAGTTGCAGTTCGGGTATGTAGGCTGGACTCGCCGGGTAAAAGTGTCAAAAACTTGCCTCGTGTATTGCGTAGCGCAATTTCAGCTGCAGGCTAACTGAATGACCTGTGCCAAGCAAAACTCTGGAAATATTTTGCGATCTTATCTCTGATGCCGGGTGGGTATGTGTGGACCACGCATACAGCGCTCTAGGACGGCGTGGATTAATGCTCTACATGACCCAGGATGCGAAAAGTCCGGCGCCCGCCCTTTATGAGGTTGCAAATGAAAGTTTCCAGAATAATTGGATTAATTGCATTTACCCTGTTATCTTCAAGTCCAGTGGTTTATCTAAAAGCGAAATTTAAGGTTTTGCAATTGATAATGGGTATGATGCTTTTCGTCTAACTGTTGAGGAGTCACTAAGTAGCTATAGGTTTCACTACCTGTTCTTAGCCAGGGGCTAAAAAGTTACAGCTTCCATCTCCACTTCGAGGTTCCGTTACTAGACTCTTTCATCGCCTCCAGCCTCACTCCAGCAACGGCAATCGCAGCCAAAGCCATAAGTGCTCCAGTCCATGCCGCCATTGAAGTGTAGTCGCTAGGATTCCTAGATACCCCTTCTCCCCGGACAAGTACTCCCGCAACAGGTGTACCAACAAGGGTGGCTAATCCCTGCAACATGTACATGACACCCGCAATTTGTGGGAGTTCTTGAACGCCAAACAGCTCAACAAGTGCTGCTGGAAATAGACTGATAAATGCACTGGCCAGTAGCCCGTAAAGTACAGTAAAACTGACAAAAAGACTGCGGGCAGTTGCTTCGTTGATATCCCCAACTAATGTGCTTGGGATCCAAATTCCCACGCAAATAAAAGCGGTGAGTAGGCTTGTTAGGAAGAAAGAATTGAGTCTACCCAATCTGTCTGCGATAAACCCAACGGCAACCTTGCCAATGGCGTTGCAAGCATTACTTACCGCTGTTAGATTTGCACCTTCTTTCTCAGTGTACCCCAGCGACTTGGCATACATAACAATGAAGAATACCGGAATGTAATAGGCAGCACCCTGGAAGAATGTACTGGCAGCTTGTATGAGAAATACCCTTTGACGAACCACCTGTTGACTGGGAATGGGAATCTTAAAAATGGCGGTAATAGGGGAAAGAGTAGAATTTTGTGCTGAGAGGTGCTTTGCCATCGACGCGTCCCAGTTGAGACAAAATCCAGAGATACAAATAAGTATCGTAGCAATACATCCGGTCAGCCTCAATGTGTTTCGGAAACCCAAGCTGTCGATACAGGTCGAGACTGCAGGTGTCCAAACTAGACCACCTAAGCCTGTACCTGCAGAAACAATGCCCATGGCCAAGCCTCTCTTCTTTTCGAACCAAGTAGGAGCAACTGTCATAGATGGCACAAAAGAAAAGCCAGTGGCAAATCCTAACAGCAATCCTTGTGCAAGCTGGAAATGCCATAGAACTCTGCCAAAGCTTGCGAGAGCCGAAGCTATACCGAACAATACTCCTCCAAGGCATACAACAGGTCGAGGGCCGTAGTATTTTGTCCACGCCATAACGAACGGGGCCACTATAGTCATCAGAGCTGCTGACAGGGTTCCAATAAGATCAATGGTGGCGGATGAGGCACCAGTAAAAGGAGTACCGGCAGTAGAAACCATGGCTTCGTAATGTTCTTGGTATACGCCAAAACTGAAAAGAAGACCACAAGCCGTGAAGTTGATCATAAAGGACGCAAACACTATTGACACGTATCTCCTACCATTTGTTAGAATAAATTCTTACCGGGAAGATATATAGCTCACCATTTTGAGTATTGTAGCTGGTCACTGCTGTTCTCTGTCCTTGGGTTGATAGCAGCCATTGTCAAATAAGTTGTCTGTATCGTAGACTAGAACGCCTGATGTCTCCCATATCAATTGTGGGAAATGATTAATATTATATTGACCAAGTAGTCACAGTTACCACAGACTGGACCGGGACTACGGCAGCGACGTTCGAATTCCATTTCCAAATAAGCTGGTAACTTGAATACGTACCCGGAATAATTATGGTATTTTTTTGCGATCAAAACCCGCTTTTCTATACTAGTTTGCAGCCTCACCCGACTAAAAACTTCCATGTACTCTTTCATTGGTGAGTATAAGAAACTAGCTCCACGGGCAATTCTTAGTACCGGCCCGAGAGGGCGCAAGTTTGGATAAATTGGCCCGTATTCGAATGATAGCGTCAAGTGATAAGCCCTTGGTTTCTTGGGGTAATATTTTGCGATCGATGAGAACTACCCTGTAGCTTACTGGTCACCAAAAAGTTATGCTACGGTTTCTAACAGCAATGCGATTGGAGAACTTGGGCCACGAGCTCAGAATTGGGGACAACGCCTTGAATGGTACACTTGTCGTCTCTAGTCTGAGCTAAGCAACTTTAGGCAGCTGTGGTAAACCCAGCATAAAAACGTTCGCAAAATATTGCCAACATTTCAAGCGCTGCTCCACAGGACGAGCCATATGACACGTAAACTGCTAGGTAACAAATTGACTCATTCTTTCTCATGAGACATACCGTTCCTGTGCTAGCTAATCAGAGAAATATCTTAGTAGGCTACGAGAACATTTCTATAAATTGAACGCCGTAAATCTACAGCAAAACCTACCGTACGCTCTCCATCCATGGCCACCTAGCCAAACCGACATCCTCTCGGTTTCTTCACGTATTTCAGCGAAACCTGCAGTGGCAGCTAAACCATAAGAGCTATATGACTCAATCACAAACGAGTTGTCGCCATGACTCCTCCTCCTCCAACCGACTCGATACTCCACACAATAGGGAATACCCCGGTAGTGAGACTCCAACAGGTTGTCCCTGAAGGTTGCGCAGATGTGTATGTGAAGCTTGAATTTTTCAGTCCAACAGGCTCATACAAGGACCGCATGGCAAAATCAATGATCGAGGAAGCCGAACGATCCGGACGACTTGCCCATCCCATGACTGTTGTCGAAGCCACAGGTGGTAGCACAGGCTCATCACTAGCATTTGTTTGTGCTGTGAAAGGATACAAATTTGTGGCTCTCTCTTCCAATGCGTATGCAGACGAGAAACTACGCACCATGTCGGCGTTTGGGGCCACAGTTGATATAACCCACAGCCCTACCGGAAAGGCCACTGCGGACCTGATGACGCATATGAAGGATAAAGCCGTGGAACTCAGCAAGCGAGATGGCTACTTCTACACAGATCAGTTTAGTAATCGCGACGCGCTCGTCGGATATAGACAAATTGGCCATGAGCTGGTCGCTCAATTTCCGGATGGATTTGACGCATTCTGCGGTTCCTTTGGCACCGGGGGCATGGCGATGGGCGTTTCTAGTGTCCTCAAGCCAGCTATGCCAGCTATCCGAGTCGTTCTCGTCGAGCCTGATGGTCCAGCCCTGCTTTCAAAGGGACAGAAAGGCGCCCACGGTGTGGATGGGATCTCACCGGGTTTTATCTCTCAACACGTTGATGAAACGTTATACGATGGCACGCAGGTTGTGCAAGAAGAAAAAGGGCGAAGGATGTGTAAGGAACTTGCCAAACGCGAAGGAATTTTCGTGGGAACGTCATCAGGACTGAATATTGCAGCTGCAATCCAGCTTGCTAAAGAACTTGGCCCAGGAAAAAAGGTTGTTACAGTTGCCTGTGATACGGGGATGAAATACCTCTCCGGGTCACTCTTCTCGAGATAGCAGCCAGATAGAAAGTTCGAGAATTCGAAGCATTCTCTTGCCGCTTTATACAATTTTGTTTTACAATGATGAAAGTGTGAATTACCATGTATTCAGTATTAGTTGAAGTAAAGTAGCGTGGGCTTTCGGATCACTGATGGTAGAGATGACCTTCTAAATTATGCGAACCAAGGAACTGACAAATCGAAACTCGGACAAGACCACCAACTAGCCCGTTCCGTCCCAACTCGGAGGTCTTGCTGCTTCCAAACAGTTTCGACAATAGTACGAGTAACGGGCATATTTCCGACCTTTCGTACCGTGTCCATTTTGTTGAGAACTTCAAGAATCTGCAATCGCTGCTCTTCCAGTTTTACTTCGCAAGCTATAATAAAACAGGGCCAAGGACTCGATGCAACTGAAAGTCCTATCAATATAGAAAGTGCCTGCTGCAAGTACACTGTTCTACGTTCCTCATCTCCGTCTACTGGCACTACACGCTGGAGGTATAGCAGAGCAGCTAGCCGATACAGTTCCGCTTTGGCTAAAGCTTCCACCGAGCTGGGGTGTACCAGGCAGTTAGTTTCGTCGGGGCTCAGGCGCTGCTCGGAAAATAAAAGCATTGCTTCTAACCTGGACCGCTGCTGACTTGCTTCAGCAACTGCGTGTATATCATTGTGCTGTAGGAGGATATCCGCACGAAGTACATTGATACGGTGGATAACACTGAAAACACCCGGCGAGCAGCCCAAGAGGCCTATGATCTGTTCCAAGTTTGAGTGAGAGGTTGATCTACAAGACGGATGGTGCTACGTACGGTTGATGAATTATCGAATGAAAGGTTATGGTCAAGTGGACTTTGCGTCTTCCGTAGTGGGTGAGCAAAGTTGTCAAGTATATCATAGTACATCAGCCAAACAGATAAAAACTTGGTGATCTTGTTCTGCTTGTAGTCTGAGCTCAAATTGTGTAAGACCCGCCTGGCCCCTTCCAAGTGAATGTAGAAGTGGCCCTCATTAACATCGAAAACCTGGCGACATTTGGTAAGCTTCTTCCAAAATACCTCACGAAATACCGATGGTGCCACCTACGCTATGCATGCACATCATCATGACTGCTGCCAGTTGCGATGGTGTACTGTTTTGAGCACAACTATTTGTGTGCGTGAGTGACCGTGTAAGTGCTTCGACTGCTTTTGTTCTAAAAGGATTCGCGACACTGGGGCCCCAGCGATGATGGCCTGAGATCGCAAGCATGGAATAGAAGAGCGCATCGGTAGATGCGTCATGCGAAGACAGGGCGACTGGTGGTAATTCCCGCCATAACCCATTATCGGAATGGGTAGTAGAGCACATTGGGGCTATCACTTGAAGATCTTCAAATGCCTGTCAGCTCAATGCTCTCTAAATCGATTATCGAGAATCTCAATACAAACAGTAGCTGAAGATAGCGCGTTCTTGGTGAGTACCAGGCTGGTATATAGTGGGATTGTATCGTGGCCCTGCCAGGGCGTCCATTAGTACCCTGTGCCAATCCAGGCGGCCTGCGGCGAGATCTAGGTCTCTCGAGTTGAAGTTCAGAAACTTTGTTTCAGTCTGGGTAGAGTTTGCAGATGAGTGCGGCCATTTGGAGTGGGTATACTGGGGCCCGATAGTAGACTCAGGTCGTCGCCATACGAGGCGAGGCTCATAGCCCTCGCAAGCTCTGCCGGTACGAAGGCAGTTGTTGCAATGAGGAAGGCTTCTATCGCAACCAACTTTGCGGCCTGATGCTTACATTAGCTTAGTTTCAGACGTAGATGACGGTTTGTCCGACTTTTACATGTCCAGCAGCCTCTATTCGCTTTGTGGGAATGCGATTGTGCTCTCATTCTTGCAAAATTCAATTGAGCGGACAGTTATCTATTGCTCTTAGTAGTTAGTGGACTGTAAAGCGGCCAGCAAATCTCTAGCGTTGATAAGTTAAAATGTTTAAGTTAAGTTACTTGGCTATAGAAGATTTTTAAATTAGGCTTGTAATGATTACTAAGTAGAGCTAATTTCAATATAGTAATACGCTAAATTCTAAAATGTTAAATTATAGCGCTAGGCAACTATAATGGAAAGACCATAGATTCGTTTCCTACTCCCTTTATAACAAAGTCCCAGGAGTCTCTTATATTTCGTGACAAATTCTTTATTAACTCTCAGAATAGTACCCAGAAGTCTTGGAATGCATTGACCAGTGGCGCAAGTTTAAAGCGTCTCCTTAGAACACTCTGAAGTGAGACAAAACTAGAGTTGCGCAAAAAACAAATGTCCTTGCCAACGTGAAAAGAATGTAAGCATAACCTTACATGAGCCTCTTTTCTGACATCTCAAGGTTTCATTATTTCCAGTGCCAACTCGAATCCACCAGTAGTTTCCGGACAATAAAGATGGTTTTCAATGTCTTGTACGATCTTCACAAGGATATTTATAGAGTCAAGAGTAGACTTGGCGCCCATGGCCATCGCAGTTCCTCTACTAACACAAAATAATTCTAGACTATAATGGGAGAACGCTTGTTCTCAAGATGTTTATTCAGTTAGTTGCACTTACCTATCCAAGTTCGAAGGCACCACATTCGCTATGCGAAAAATTGCTATTGTACTTACCTTAAAGAAGCAATACGGGAGGAAATGGGCATAATTACCTTCTATATAACTGGCACTGATTCCATATACAGTCAGTCGAGCTACTTTCAATGGAGGATTACTATTACTACGGTGCATTTGTCTACTTATGCAGCTAGTGAGTATAAGACCTGACAACGGAATATACCTATAAGCGTAATCTATGCTTATTATTTCAAGATTATTTACCCCTCTTCTTTATATTACTTATATGTCTTACCTTGGACCGGCCAACTAAAATGTCGCTTCGCATTATACCGAAAAGTTCCAACACTCCCGGATTTTGTTCCTGGTGCAAGACGTTTTTAAGTAGGGAACCCTCAGACGATATCGAGTGTTTAGTACAATCGAAAGATGCCATCATAGCGGCGGCTAGACGAGGATGCTTTATCTGTGGCTGGCTTGTACTAACTGTTAATATCGAGACATTGAACGGCTTATATCTGGATGTTCCGCGTCCCACGGATGACGCTTTGATCTCTATAAGCTACACAAAGATTCCACCGCGCGGTTGGCTAGATAATCTGCGTTACAGAGTATTCAATGTTTTTGATTCTAAAGGTAGCCTACGAAAGTCTTCGAGGTATTTACGAGCAACAGCTAAGTATAATAGGTCACTCTGAATCTTCAAGTCCATATCGCCCTCCCGACTCTCTTACGCTCAAAAGTTCCTCTTTTCGGAATCTAGTCACAAAATGGATGGATACTTGTAATGATTGCCATGAACGTTGCAGGACAAGCATGGTAGTAAATACTACCTTCCTACCAAGCCGTTTAGTTAAGATCATTGATAAGAGGAGTATTCAGGTGGTCAGTGCCTCAGATCTAGATGGAACTGTTGACTATGTCGCTTTGTCGCATCGATGGGAAACCCCTCAACCGCTCAAACTTTTACAGAGTAATCTCGCTCAACTTCGAAACAAGATCAAGATCACATGCCTACCAACAACATACAAAATGGCCATAACGGCGTGCAAAGTATTACAATTTCAGTACATATGGATTGATTCATTGTGTATCATCCAGGATTCAGAGGAAGACTGGCAAAAGGAAGCAGCGACCATGCATCTTGTATACGGAAACTCGGCCCTAAACATATGCATGCCTGGTGCAGTTACATCAAGAGATGCAAGGTTGATAAAGCCATTGTCTGTCAGACTTGAGCAGGAGGGTGAACCAACCAAAGCGGCTCATATGGTCTGTGCGAGAACATGCCATCAGGACTTGTTTTTCAGCCCTTTGAGAGATCGAGGATGGGTCTTCCAGGAGTTGTCCCTTTCAAGACGATCTCTGGTATTGGGATGTCTACAGCTTTGGTGGCATTGCCATGAGCAGCTTGCATGTGAGACGTTTCCAGAAGGAACAGACTATGGCGCCAGGTTTGGGCCCGGAGTGGTTGCGAAGTCGGAACTCAGTGCAATGAAACTCGGAGGTGCGTTATGTTTTGAGAAAACTGGCAACATATGGTTCTAACTATGTATTAGATTCGGAGGCAAAGGATGCTCATTCGAGCTCACCCTACGAGCACTGGTGGAATATGGTAGAGCAATATGCCTATTCCAACCTCACGTATGAGACAGACAGAGTCATTGCCTTTTCTGGAGTCGCGCAAGCATTCCGTCTGTTGCACGATATTAAAGGTCAATATCTGGCCGGCATTTGGAGTCTCAACCTGCCCGAGGGACTGTTGTGGTATCGACATGACTCGGCTGTATCTCGTTCAAACGATTACAAGGCTCCTTCATGGAGCTGGATGTCGATTGACGGACCTTACAATATGAGTCATGGACGCGAGGATGCAACTAGATTTTGCTGCTCGATCGAACAGATATATTTGCATCCAAGGGACTTGAGGCACGACACTGGCTTGATAGACGGCAGTGCCATTAGAGTTTGTGGACATCTGGTTGGGCCTGTCACAGGTGGCCCTTCACTGGAGGATGACATCCTCATGTGCCATGCAAAAACCGAAAGGAAAACAGTCGACTGGGATTGCATGCTGAACGAGGATGAAGAGGGGCTTGATGGGGTTCCTTTCATATCTTACCTTGATGGACTAGATCAGGAGTCCTCCACACAACCTGGTTTGGTCTCAGGAGCCTTCCGACAGACATTAGCTTTTTCAGAGGCAAAAGGTTCGATCTTTTGTTTGCCAATTGCCTATTGCGACGACGATACCGAAGAAGGTTTTGAGCCCGAACTCTGTGGTCTTCTTCTATACAATCCTTCTCACCAACCTGGGATTTACCACCGCATCGGTTATTACGAATTGGATTGCGAAGCAAATTTAGATTTTGAGACGATATTGCAAAAAGAGCACCCTTTGCAATCAATCATTATTTATTAAGTGTCATAGTTTTAGAGATATGTATTTAGTATCTATTTTGAGTTTCAAGTAAGAGAGGGCTATATTCATAACGCGTCAACCTAGTTCTGATAATTCAGCCAACCGTTGTCTCTTTTACAAACAAACTAGGCGGACGTAAGTGATATGAAGTGTATGGTTGACCGAGTCAATAATGATTTGTCGATCATGGTATTTTACCATCTGCAACCTTTTCCCTTTTGAGTTCCGCCAGGGCAGCAGATAGATCCACCCAACTTGGCACATTGGGCACCATCGCCACCGCCGCTTTGACGAGTGCACTATTTGCATTAGTAACAAATTCTCTCCGGAATAAAGCATAGCCCAGGTACATACAGAGCCCTTGGTGCACCCATAGTTCTTTCCATTGACCTTGCAAGAGGTTCCGTTACATTTGCCCCAGGTAGCAATATGTCTGCCTTGCAAAGCATTCGCTTCGTTAGGTGAGATGGCACTGGCGAGAGCCGACGTGGCAGTCAGGAGCGCGAGAAGAGTTGAGGTGAACTGCATGATGAAATCTTTGGTAGAAGAATGATTAATGGGTTTTGATGGTCTCTGGTGTTTGGAAATGAGGAAGAATAAGGGGAGGGGGGAGTTTAAATATGTCACGACGAAATGTCACCATGTATTCAATCTGGGACCTGACATCAAAGATGTCCAAGGGTCGTATGATGTACCCAAATCAGTCAAGCGTGAGCCGCAAGATCCACTGAGACATTTTTACAATTGGCTGGAGTGTAAGCTGAGTGAAGCATGGATATAACCCTGTAGACTATGGGCAATGGTATTATCTTGGTGGTTGTACGTTAAGAGAAACAAATGATAAGTAAAAAAGAGAAAGTTATCTTCGCTTAAATGTCGCTTTTTATTTGATTCTAAAAAGAATAATGACAACTCTATATTCCATGAGCTATGAGTTATACTGATAATTATCACTTGTTCTTTTAACTGCCGATTGTCAGCTGTTGGTTGTTGGTCGTTGGTCGTTGGTCGTTGGTTGTTAGTGCAGATCACTAAACTAAAGACCTTCTCAAAGGGTACCTGTTGAGCATGAACAGGGTCTACCATTCGCTGCAGGAGTTCCATAATTACAAATTGGTTTCCACTACTCGTATTTACGGATAAGACGGATGTTCTCTGCTAAAGAACTGTTATTTGCAATTGAAGCCTGTGGCTATAGCCTGATATCACCACGCAGAACCTAGTTCTTCCTTAAAGACGCCTGTTATCACATGCTAGGTAGCATTCCTTTTTGAAATCAACATAGCCGTAACGGCTTTAGTCAGACTGGAACCTCGAAGTGATAGATCCATTTATATTCATGTGACAATGAAATAGTTAGGGTATGTTTTTTGAGACACTAGCCTGCCCAGACTCGGGCCGAGCTGCAAGGATAAATTAAGACTGGAGAAATTATCCGTTTCGCTAGGTTTTAGCTTGGCAATGCAACGGAAAAGGGTGGGCATGTAACCACCAGAAAAGTTTAGAACCAAGAGCCGGCACTACTAATGACACATCCCTGGCCTCAGCATAAAGTTAAGCTTTCCGTGTTTCCATTGCTTCTTTAATTGTTTAATTCCCCCACTACTTGCTTTCGAGCAGATTTACTAATATTACTAGCATAACCAAGAATGGATTGAGGTATCTGTCATCCTGGACATATTCAACTCAATGAAGAACGTCTAACCAAATCATACGTCCGGCGGCAACGAAAAAAACGGTCACTTGACCATCTTACTTTTGACGGTACCTGCGGAGGTCATCAATTGTATGGAAGTCACTTTCGCTTCACAGACAGATTAACCTTTGTCGAAACCTAGAGGAAATTTAGCAAGACGGCAAAAGCTGAAGAGATTGCAAAAAAAACAAATGGATGTCAATTTGGTCCGGACGTATCAAGCCGATCAGGTCGTAAGCGCTAGAATCCTTCCAGACTTTACATCCAATACACCGCCTTCTGGATCCTATGACAAGGCAAAGATATCTCTTGGCACGAGACGTTAGCGCGCTGGCACAGGGATTTAACTGGTCTAAAGCTGGACAAAAAGCAATTTATCACGAGTTCTTTTCAGGCAATCGCCGAGTGTCATAGCAACCACGCATTATGGGCTCATGCTGCACCGTCATCCGTCGTGGCGTAGTTCTTTTTTTCTGTTTCTAGTGTTTAGGCATCGTTTTTAAACTACAAAGTCAAGACTATTTAATGTCGCACAGTTCCCAGATACTCACGCATCTCCACTACAATACCAACAAAACAAAAATCATCTCGCAACAATGAACACAAAAACTTTCTTCACTGCCCTACTCGGCTTGGCATCTACTGCCTCTGCCTTCGAATTCACGGGTCCCAAAGCAGAAGAGCTCGACTTGTCCAAAAACATCACCATCACCTGGAAAACAGGCAACGCATCAGAGCTGAAGCGTTGGCCCGAGTTCGATCTTGAGTGGTATACAAGACCCGATGATCTCCATAGCTTCAGCTGGGACATCAAACAGAGAGTCAATGTATCTGATGGCGAATACATATTTTCGCCTAGCGACAATACCCGCTACACTCTCAACCAATTTGCCGACGCTCTCGCCTCCAATAAGAGCTTTTCATTCGTAGCTGTCTTCACAGACGGTGATAGAAAGGACCCTGAAACAGCGAATTATACGAATATTGGTAGCCAGAAGTACAAGGTTACTGGGCTCGACAAGACAAGTGCTGGAGCTGCGGTGGCACCTATGTGGGGAGCTTTCATCGGTGGACTTGTGGCAGCTGGATTTATGACTCTGTAAGACATGGTATTGGAACCGAAGTCGGTCGGAAGTGTCTTATTTATGTTGATGTACGGACATGGTAGTCATGGTGGTGTCTAGGGTTTATATATAATGATTACATGTCCAATATTGACAACTTCTGAGCTTGCTTTTATTTGGCTCGCCAGCGTATATCCTCATCAGTGTTTACAAATAGCTATTTATCTACACAATATCGTTGATATTGGTCTGTCAGAACAGTTTTTTAAATTCATGTAGGGTTGTAAATGAAGACCTCTAAATTTGATTACAGTTGAATTGGATAGTTACGACTTCGATGTCTCGGAATGAATTTCATGTTTATGAGACATGCAATAACGTTCTTGCGGCCCGAATAAAATATCAAAAGGTCTAGATTTCAGCTTTAAGCTGGTAAGTGGCAAGTGGCGGCCAGTAGAATCCCCCTGAACTATCCTAGTGGGCTGTTGATTGGCCCAATGAAGGGAGTAAAGACGTCTGGCGTCTCATCGCCTGGTAAACAGCTTGAATATGTTCTTCTTGCTGTGGCTCTTTGACATGGCACACTAAGAAGTAGATACATGGTGTATTACCTACGAATCAACCTACCTTGTACCGATTTTCAATCAAAGTTCGTTACCTTAGACGAAGGAGTCTGGAAGACTGCCCATCCCAATTGCACCGTCCTCACAACTCACGGCTGCAAGAAACACTTCAGCCCCGACTCAGCGTTTTCAGTACGATATCCTTGCAAGTTGATTCCTTATTTTACATTGGCATTTTAACAGTTATGGATATCGTGGCCTTGTATACTTAACTCTTTGTTTTGCAATCTGAAGTGGCTCATGTGTCCTTAAGTTTGGATGTTACACCGACCGACGCACCATTTGGTTCTGGAACGCAGCCGTTTAGCACAACAACTGAGACTGTAACTGAAGGAATCGCTACCTTTTCAAAAGGGTTAGACGTAATTAACACTACAGATGATATCGTAACCTCAAGCCTGCCAGCCGGACGATCTGTTATCTTCCTAATCTTGTCTCCTGATAAAAATAAGCTCGACATCTACAAAAAAACAAGAGTGGGCTTCGTCAGAAACAATAGCCCTCAAGTCTGAAAATTCGCTATAAACGTTGTTCTTGATTAAAGTCGGCTCACCGAGAACGGCATGCCTATTTTCTACTTAGGCGAAAGTTCCAAGGAGCTGGCTGGAGGGTATTTTCCTCCCGACTCTGTAACCAAGACTTTCGAGGATTCTGGCCAGCTTGTATTTAGAAACACGCTTTTACTAAACGGCGAAGCGGGCTTCTACTAAGCCGCTGACGATAGATTCTATATAAGTTTGTCTGGTGAGCCGGCTGGTAAATAAAAATCCGTCATTTTTGTTCAGTCTCAGTTTTGCCTAGACTATCTCTCGATAATTTTTTTAAAAAACAATATTAATAATAATTTTAAAGCTCCTCCTTGACTTAGTAGGCATCGCTGCCACTAGAGCGACAGATCTCATTTCCACATGACAAGGTAAGAAAGTGTTTTTACTTAAGCTTAGTTGCCCCCCTGCCTCCCGGCTAGCTAATGAGTATAAGGAGAGCTCCCTTTCTGTATTGTTGTTTAATTCTCCTCTTTAGAATATTCTTACCTATATTATTCGTTGTAGTAATTCTATAAACTATGCATTTTAATAAACTCTATTCATTAGCCGTAGGCCTCTATGACCTTGACATTGCTGCGGCCAGCGTCTGCAAGCCATAGCCTTCTGGTTAGTCGTCGCAAAACCTAACCATGAAGTTTAACTGACTGGAACTATCTCAGCATCAGAATCATCGAGCCTGATTCTTTCTGGAGCTTCTTCCACGGCCTTTGCTAGCACGACTACCGAAGCCACAACCGTGGCTGAACCCATCTCAACAGAGACTGCCACTACCGAAGACAATGCCTCCATCAACTCCGATATTGAAACAACTGCCGCAGAGACTACTATCAACGCCAACACTTCCATAGACTCTGATGCCACGATCGCAGATACTACCACAGCCCTCCCGACGACAACAAATGGCGCTGTATATACTTGTTCTGATCTCGATGGTTCATACACAACCTCCACTGGAGACGTTTTCACCGTTGCCTGTAATAAAGCCTACTACGGCATTTCGACGCTTGTTGATCCTTTCGAGGTTGATAGCTTTACTTCTTGCATCGACACCTGCTCTGGCCGTGTCGTGTGCGAGGCTGTGGATTATAAGAGGGATGAAAGAATGTGTTATCTGTTTGCATGCGACGGCAATGTCGTACTTGACATCAACTTCGAATATGATGTTGCATTCAGATCGGGTACAGAACCGTGAACCGGGTACAAATTGGATGTGTTACTTGCAGTTGTGACGTATGGCTGAGAGCTTATATCACTAGAGAACTTGGTAATAGCGGTTGCTTCTGGGGCGTGGGGAGTTGGTGTTTTCTTCTGCTAATGCAGAACTCGGTGAATGGGACACTACTAGCTTTGCCATCGACTGTGGATATTGACGTTGTGATATTCTTTTTTCTCACTTTTTAAATTCATAGATCTCTATCCTCTTTATCCAGTATCCAATGTATTTAACGAAGCTACTGTAACTAGAGACGCGACGTCGAATGTCAGATAATGATACAAAGTGAAAAATGTCATTCTAACTCCGGTTATAAGTGGTGACGAAACTGAACCATTCCCGTGCATGAAGCTATCCATTTTCAGGAGGCCGATTGAGGCATCTCCCTTTCGATCCCAGCACAATTGCTGGTGGTGGGCTTTTAACAAGTTGAACAAGTTTGTTGAGGTTACTAAAGTCATACCTCGTGAGATAGTGGAGACCTTGATCTTATGCTGAGATAGCTTGGAGGCTCGGCCATCACCAGTGGTTTATATTCGTGATGTTATTTGAGATTCAATCAAGTTTCAAAGAATTCAGAGAAACAGGGTATCTTTGCATCTCATAGAAAGGCGGCCGATTGCTTACTGCTCGATTAGTAACCATTGCCTTGGAATGTTGCAATAGAGGAATGTTAGCGCCAAGCCACTGAAATTATTAATATCCGAGATTAGGGCTGAAGTAGAAAAGTCCTAATCTTTAAGGCTAGCGGCATGTCGAGCAGGGCTTCAAGGTAAAAATATTACACCAACGGGCCGGTTCTTTCCAAGGATAAACATTAACATCGCGACAAGCAGTCGGGAAGCAGCTTCTTTTATTAGTTAACATACAACCTATAAATAAATATGATTGACACAGCTAAGTGGCCCCTGGCATAGTTCATTATGCATGAGTATATTTCTTGCATGAAATACGAAAATAACGGATAATCTTATCCTACCCACCTGTTTGTTTAGGTTAAGTTGAGGGGTACAGTAAACGATAAGCGTTTAGATAAGATAAACCTTGACTGTAGGATTCCCCCCACATGCTCGCAATAGGAAAGGACGAGGAAAAGCAAATTCATTCAACTCCCGAAGCGGGAGCTCGTAGTGCTTGTCGGATGATAGATAAATGCCGTTGTCCTCATGTCTATCCTTCAACTCCTTTTCATATCGCTCTCATGTCTATGAAGCCAACGATATGGCTCATCGTCAAACACAGGGAGCTGCCTATCCGACAAAACATCGTCGAAACCAACCTCGCTCTAAAAATGGATGTCTTACCTGTCGTGGTAGACGTAAAAAGTGCGACGAGACAAAGCCTAATTGCAACTTTTGTATCAAGAGTGGTCAAACATGTGTTTGGCCTACTGAAGACAACTCTCCAAAACAAGAGTCACAGAATGACTCTCCCTCCAGCACGAATTCTGAGAGAAGCCCTTCGGAGCAGCAATTGCAGATACAGAAGGTAGTCGAGAAAGCTGAGGTTACAACCCTTGCTCTGGTATGTATGGTTTTATCAAATTCTAACGATACTATTACTTCACACTTGAAATTGACCGGCTTCTCTATAGTCAACCTCCTCGAATGTCAAGATCTTTGAACGATTCATCTTCGATTGGGGCACCCATGGAGATATACCATCAGGACCTACCATGGCTTGGTTTGGAAATCTCCCCTACATGTACGCCAATTCCAGTGTAGACAGCCTCCTACATAAGTCAGTCAATGCCTTAGCGAATGCAAGCTATGCGCAGAGATTTAACTCCTCTGAAGCTTTAAGGAATGCGACAAAATGGTATGGAGAGTCTATACACATGTTGAAAGAGAATATGCTCTACATTGTTGATTCTTCTTTATACTGTGATCTTATATCCTCTATTATGTGCCTCGGCTTTTACGAGGCAAGTGAAACTGATTCAACTAGTTGTCGAAATTATTTGCTGACTTGTCATTATAGGGGTTAATAGATAAATCTATTGGACTCGAAGGGGCTTGGGGCTCTCATATAAGTGGCGCTTCTGTCCTGTTGAAGATGCAGGGTCAAAAGAAGACTGCGGAGTCCTCGATAGCGTATGAGGTTTCCATCGTATCATATATGCAGATGGTATGTACATCCGAGGCGAGATGTGGTTAAGAGAAACTGGTCTGATGCTTATTTACTTTGCAGATCAGCGGCAACCTTTTAACTGGCACAGCTCCCCATGTAACATCGGCGTCTGTGAACGAACTGGGTTTAGCAAAGCTACCGCAGTTGTACGCGCATACAGAGCTGATTTATCAGTCTGCATGTCTATGCACAGAATGGAAAAAAGCATTGTTAACTTCCAAGACAAATGAAGGCTTGGAAACGTTATGCATCGTTTTCAATAAAGCCTTGATCTTGGATGAGCAACTTGAAAATTGGACTCATAACCTTCCCGCTTGGGCTAAATACACAGCTGAATCAATATCGATCGATTCCCAACCCGAATGGCTTTTGCCTTTACTCAACGGTCCATGGAACCCTCCCAATACTCACATTTACCCGTCTCTCATGGTTCAGACTCTTTGGAGATTCTACTGGATGACACGAATCATTATTAGTCAGGCTCTATTATTCACCAGTGATATCATCGAACGCTCAGCAATCAAAGCTCTAAACTTCCGCCGTTCGGATGTCGAATCCCGGTTGATAACATTCATCGATCAGTTATGCGAATCATGCCTGGCAGCCTTTATGCCTGTTACGAGGAAAGATCCGCAAAGCTCCAGGGTCGAAGGTGTCCCCATTCTTCTGGCTTGTCTCATTTTACACGTCCTTCCAGCCATCGGCTTGTGTCTTGAACAAATTGGCGTTACTGACTTTGACATTGTGGGTCGACGGGATTGGGTAGCGAAGATGAGGCATTTTCTCCGAGTCAATTTTGGTATTGCAAAGGGTGCAACTGCAATTCCTCTTACAGAAGCTGGAGCAATTCCGATTCAGATGTGGGGGCTTTAGTAATGTAATTTTAGGGTTCAGGCGTTGAAAGGGTGAGGTTGACCTTTCGGAGTCAACAACAGCTAGAGAGACTACTACCAATACCGACAACTGAGACAGACTCTGATACCATGACCACCACTGAGGCTAAAACCACAGCCACAGACACTACCACAGTTATTGATGTCATATCCACCTCCACCTTCTTCTAATACACATACTTGAAGTACTTGTTTTCCAGGTCTGTCTCATCAAGGAAACCCCGGTGCCAAGCCTGTTCCTCATGTTCAGGTGCATGCTCTGCCTTTCTGGATTTGTTCCTAGTCCAAAGTAGTAACCAAAGGGCAATAAGCGAGCATATCTGAGCAGCGATACAGAATAGCATCATGCCAACACCGAAAGGATACCAAGGTTCCTGTTCAGTCTTGAAGAAGAATGGCCCGATGAAATTCCCAACACAGTAGCCGATAAGTAGTATAGCGATAGTTGTAATCTTTTTCGTGTGACCAGCAGTGTTGGCCGTGGCTACCGACATATTAAGCGTTCCACTTGCTGTGAAAGCAAAGGATACCCATAAGCAAGCAAGCCGGCCGTATGAATTTTCCTGAGGAAGGAGGTAAAGACCCAGTGTGCCGGCGAGGAAGGGCATAAGGAAGATTATCATGATCAAAATCCGACAGTTATGGAATCGCGTAGCACAGTAGCTGCGAATGTTAGTGTAGGCCTTGCCCGCTGCCAGATAATACTTACCATGCAACTAGACAAGCAACTAGTTGAACGGCACCCGACGGCATCTGATAAAGAGTTGTTTGCAGCGTGCTGAAGCCAGCTCCTTTGATGATAAGACCTTGGAACTGAAAGGTTAGTCAATATTACCACATGAAGGTAGAACTTACGGCACTTAACCCTCCATTTGGAGAGTTGCTCGTTAAAGCAAAAGTGAATAGTAGCCAAGTCTTGAGATCTAATATGGCCTCTTTGAACTGATTGAACTTAAATCGTCGATTTTCGATACCAGTACCGTTGTCTTTAACTCTCGAAACTGCATAGGCCTTTTGTTCCTCGGTCAAAAAATTGGCTCTCGTTGGTATACCAGGAAGCGTAAACCAGAGAAATACTCCCCAAATAAAAGTAATAGCGCCCCAGATAATAAAAAGAAGTCTCCAAGAAGATAAAGACACGCTAATGTGGATATGGCCTATGCCGAAGCTAGCGATACCGGCAATGATGTATCCAAGCCCAGATGAACCAATCCATATGCCTAGTCGCAACGGTTGTTCTTCTCGTCTATAATACATACTAAAGAGTAACATCGTGCCTGGCTGGATAGCAGCTTCAAAAGCACCAAGAAGAGCTCGAACTGCCGCTAAACTTCCGAACGACTGGACTGCTCCATGGCACATCAAGACAATGCCCCATGTAATAACCTATCCAATTAGAGCTGCCGACTAAGCGGAGGAGGCATACATACCGTGGCTGACATATAGTAGTTAATCGGCAGTCGCTGCAAAAGCATACTCGTTGGAAACTCCCATGCCATATAACCTAGGTAAAATATAGCACTGGCCCATGAAAATTCCGTCTTTTGCAAGCCAATTTCCTCGCGTAAACCAAAGACAGCTGCATAACTGATAGTGTTTTTGTCGATAGCTTGAAGAGTATACGTCAAACAAAGCAGTGGCATTAGTCGAAGATCGATTTTCCAGCGTAAGGCCGTAGCGATTTCAGGGCTGACTTCACCACCTAATTCATGGTAAAGATTCAAGGCTTCAGCAGTCGATTTATCATCAATAGTGGATTGCTTGAAACTTGGGGTGGATCCTTTTTCCGCGGACATGTTGCTAGCGGTGCTGATTCATGAACCAACAAGGACTTGAAGGGAACAGTACTTTATATAAACATGCGCGAATTAAAACCTCTCCGGAAGAATTCAGGTGCTAACAACCTCAAATACTACCTTGTCCTGTACAGATGATCAGTTTTGCCAGCCTTGATCCGAACCTGACTAGGTTTCCTGCAGGAATGTCTCGGATGAGAAGTTATCAATCGCCAAGCATCTTTATCAATCAGCCAGACCCCACAATGCAACAAAAAGCACGGAGCTGACATACGAATCAGTAAGCCAAGACTTCGTAGTAGCATCGGGCGTGGAACTCAAGTGGTTGACTTATCTAAGATCACGCCATGATCGACACACTGCAGTCTAGCTTTGGGTGAGATAAGGTATCTATATTGCGACGGAGGCACGGCAGTAGATCATGTTTCTAGCAGCCTATCACAGCTGGCAACGGTATCCAGCTCAGGGATACTGGGTAGTGTTTCGAGTCTAGTTGAATGCGAGGAACTGTTGAACTATCTTACGACAAATGCACGAAAATACTTAGTCTAAAAGCTGGGCCAAGTCACCGTTGGAATTGGGGATTCGATGGGCCGATAAGCGGAGACACCTTAACTTTGTTGACTTAATGGAGGATGAGCGACTTGATTTGAGAAAATCTTTTTTCCTTCACCGAATATAGAAACTAGAGATATACTATTGTTTCCATATTTAAAAGTTACTAATAGGACCTTGATGTATTTTCAGAATAATATAGTTATAGGGTAAATATATAGATTAAAATTTACCCCCAACCCTTACCTGAGAATATACTAATATATTTACTAAGGATTATTAATAGTAATAAGTATAAGGCATACCTTTTCCTCTTCTTACCAAGTCCTTTATTATTAAATATTCTATTTACTATATATAGGTTAACTATTACTTTAGTATAATTCGATATTTCTAACCTTGCTACAGATCACTCTAAGCCTCTCATCATAATGTAAGAATGTAGCGGTTATATGTGGGGAAAGAAAAGTCCGGGATAATTAATCCGCGCCATTTTTCTAAAAATATCTCGCTAAAAGCTAGGCAGCTATCCATTCATTCATTTTGGCACCTCTCGAGCTAGCGACCAACAGAGCGTCGTGTGTCAGCTTTTGCACTAATGGCAGACCAACAACAGAACCAACAACAGTTAGAGACAGGCGGTGATGTCAATATCAGAAATTCTGACCCAGTACGAAGTAGCGAAATTTCTTCCAGTCGCCATGACTCACCAGCGTCGTCAAGAACTATTGAACCTGAGGACTGGGAAGATTCAGCCTCTTTATCAGACAGCGTGCAAACTTTCCCCGAAGAGTTTGGGCGCACCTATCATGCTTACCGAGCCGGCTGTAAGTAAACTCCGGTTTTATAGCTACCTCATCGAGTTCGGACTGACCACGGATGGATACGCAGCGTACGCATTTCCGAATGACGTGGCAGAGCAAGAGCGCCTGGGTATCATGGGCGAGTGCTTCAGATTGCTTATGAAAGAAGAGCTGTATATGGCACCACTCTCAGATAAGAAACCCCCCATCAACATTCTCGATGTTGCCACGGGGATTGGTGACTGGGTTATTCAGATGGGCGATCGCTTCCCTGACTCTAGAGTCACTGGCACAGATCTATCCCCAATCCAACCTAATAATGTGCCTCCGAACGTGTACTTCTATGTTGAGGATTCGTGAGTCTCTCTATATATCCCTCGGTGGATTAGGGAAATGGTTATACTCACCTTATCGAATTCAGGGGTGATGAGTGGACGTTTAAACACAAGTTCGACTATATTCACACGCGTAATACTGCTGGATGCTGGTCCGATTTTGAAACACAGATAGCCCAGCAAGCTTTCAACGCACTCGAGCCTGGAGGCTGGTTTGACTCGCAAGAAACGGATTGTACTCCTCTCTGCGATGACGATACACTCGATCCCGAAGGCCCGGTAGTAACATGGTTGAAGGATTTGATCAAGGCATCAGATAAGTTGCAGCGTCCCGCCGTTTTTGGTGCCAGACTTAAAGAGATCTACGAGCGGGTCGGCTTTGTAGATGTGCAGCAACGTGTCCTCAAGATGCCCATCAATGGTTGGGCTGAGGACCAACAACTCAAGCAGCTGGGTTCGATGTGGAGTAATAATTTGCTTGATGGCATCGGTGGTTTCTCCTACCAACTATTAAATAAGGCTTTCGGACGAAACATGGCTGAAATTGAGGTAGGTAAAGTCATGAACGTTGCTGACTGCCCTATACTACTATCTCGAAATATAGATAAATCTGCTAACACTTTAGTCTTTAGGTCTCATTGATTGATGTCCGACGAGATCTAGCCAATCCGCAAATTCATGCATACATGCCTGTTTTTATTGTCTGGGGAAGGAAACCAAAACCCAATGATATATAAGATGTAGAATTGGATATGTGGTGGCTCATCATTACGGTTAGTTATAAGATAGCCAGAATTGCCTTGTTATATCTCTACTTTTACCGTGGAAGAAGAACCGCCGAATAGTTGTGAGACTATATTGAATACATAGTTCATATACACAAGCAAAGGAACATTTATATTATGGTTTGAAGTAATCTTGAATTATTAAAATAAAAATGGGTATTATACGTATTATCTAATCATCATCATGTGAAATTGAGTATTGCATTACTCAGCAGCGTTGCTCGCGCAGGACCAAGGCTGCTTGCTTCCTCCCTCAGCAATAGCCTCAATGGAAGCCCACAGACCAAGAACACAAATAAGGAAGCCAGTCAGGAAAAGAAGAACATTGGCAAAGAAGCGGCACGTCTGCTTTCCATCCTTGAACCAGTTGCCGTAGTGCATCCAGAGCCAGAAGATACCGGGAAGACCGTAAGAGAACCAACTGGCAAACAAAGCGCAAATGAGACCCAAAAGGTTGTTGAAGACAGGGATAGACTCGGCGATGACCATGGAAAGAGCCCAGATACCGAAAGTGATACCGACCCAGGCAAAGGTGGCAAGCTTTGTACGGCGGATCATGTGCTTGGTGTTGCGGAAGATTCGCTGGAAGATGTAGGCGGAGGCAACGTGGCCGTAGATAACACCAGCGATGACAATGGTGGGGATGGCAATACCCCAGATGACCTTGCGCATGGTATGAGAGCCAGCAGCGGAAAGAGCAGGAGATGGGACATCGGGTCCGACAAAGACGTAGATGACGACAGCGGCGAGGAGATAGAGAACAGTGTCGACGATCTGGAGGAAAGCCAGAGCCTTGGGCCAGTCCTTGGGCTCCTTGAACTCGTTGATAACAGTGAAGAAACAAGAGTGGCTGGAGAAAGAGATGGCAATGTTGGTAACAGCAAGGAATGCGCCAGTGAAACCAAGCTCACGGGCAATCTCAATGCTTCCAGTACCGATGGGTCGCTCGTGGGCAACATCACCGACAGTGATGAGAACAGCGAGAGTAATGGACATGCAAGAAGCCATGGACATGTAACTCGTGTACTTCAAAGTACGGGGGAGGTTGAGAACCCAAAAGATGGCCAATCCAACAACAGCCCAAACAATGGTGCATGTGGAGCTGTTGGTAAGAGTGTTGATGCAAATGGTCCAGGTAAGAAGATGGCTGCCCATGACAAAGACCTGGAAAATGACCTGCGCCCAACCAAAGACCTCTTGGAAGACGCGACCCATGCCGATAGACTTGCCGATAACTTCGACGGCGTCACCAAAGTTCTGAACGAAGGGGTATTGTTCGCGGAATTCGGCGAGGACAAGACCAGAGTATGTTGACAGGAAACCCATGACGAGGATGAGAATGATTCCTGGGACGAGACCGACGGCGGCGAGGACGGAGGGGAGAGAAAGGATACCGAGGGAGACTGTCTCGGCGATGAGAACAATACCACCTTGCCTGTAAATTATTAGTCTCTTTTGTTGTCGCAGGATCTGAAAGTTAAGACATACCACCAGGTCAGTGTCTTGTAGTCAATAAGCTCTGCCTCTTCATGAGCCAGAACAGCATCTTCATTTTTGGATGCAGGAGTAGAGGCAGGAGGGTTGTTGATTCCCTTTTCCTGGTCAACAGCTTGCGCCGGAGCGCTAATCTGATCGTTGTGGCTCATTGCTGTGCGATGTATTGTTGAAGCAGACGTCGCGTGTTGAAAAGAAAGACTAGTAAAGTCACAAAACAGAAAGTGAGAGTCAATTGAGTGAACAAAGTTAAAAACGCGAGCAGGAAGTGTGTCTATTTAATCCTACATTCCCTGGGGCGAAAAAAACGTAAATTGGCCGAATGCGCTACCAGAAAAAGTTACTTAGTTCAAGTCGAGTCAAGCTTCAAGTCGGCCCACCACAGAGACGGGCGAGGCCGATGGGCGCATCGCGCACCGAACTCGGTCAATTGAAGCTATTCAATTATCAAGCAAATTCTAGACCGAGTTAAGTAGTTCAAATTCACTTTCTCTCCACGAAAAGTCCGGTAGTCAAGGGGTCGGTGGATCAGGCGAGATCGGACAGATATGAAGAAACAGTGGTCAGATCTTGAATACCTTCAATTGAATTTGCAAACTTTTACGTGATATGGTTCCACTGTGGACTATGAACCTGGACCTGGAAATCCACAATCTAGAAGCTCCAGACTTTTCTCCACAGACAAAAGGGTTTCCCCAGATGTAAATCTTGTTCATCACGGTACTTGTTCAAAGATTGAAGAAACGGCGCGGCAAGAAACGTTGAAGAAGAGCCTCATTGAGCCGCAGAGCTAGCATGTCAAAGTTTTCAGCCTCTTCTTTGCCTCTGCCGAAAACTTTGTTTCTAGAACCGCGGAAGAGAATTTCTAGCGCGTTGGAGTTAGTCCATTTACGGAATGACTCAGGGCGCCGATCACGGTCCGAAAGTCTGGGAGGGAATTTTGGACCATGGGTTCGAAGCGGAGACTTTGTCCGGGGGAACTAGAACAACTCCAGAGGCATTGTGTAGCCGAAGTGGATTTTTAATGGGGAGCTCAGGTCTGGTCTGCGGTAGTCCAGAACACTGTGACTGGATACTGAGTCTGTGCAACTCATGGACACACTGAGAAGAATGACCAAGAGCTGAATCGAGGAGCGGCGACCTCCTTCTTTATGTTCCTCAGACAGTTGGCGAAGCCACATTCCATGACTTGCATCTTGGCGGAGTCTGTCGTGCATTGCCAAGGGACTTGACTAGGATGAAGAAGCTTAAAAACCGTTGATCAGCCAAGACCACTCACTGGTTTGTATACGTAGCTGATATATTTCCCCAGAGTTATACGATAGGGCTGTGATTACTAAATATTTGCATTACGTGATACAGGTCGCGCTATGTGGACATAATTGAGCTCTAGAACTGAACATTGAATGAACAGCCATGAAAAGACACTAACGTCGAACAACTCGAAAACCCTCTGGCGATAAACTCCTAGTACGCAGCCTCTCAGATTTCATCCTCTCAGCCGAAGCCTTCACTTTATTTCCCGTCTCTGGGTCCCATATACATGATTCCTTCAGCCACATCCAGCGGAGAAATGCCCTCAGTTCCTTATCCAGTGGCACTACTCTTTTCCACTCTGGTTCGAAACCCGATTTCGCTTCGTCCCCATTCCAATCTTTTGCTAGACCTCTCAGCATATCGCGATGGAAAATTCGATAACTATCGATTGCATAAGGTCCAAGTGAGGGAAGATGAGCCACTTCCCAGCCCTGTCTTTCGTCATCTTCATCCAAGACCTCATCCTTGCCAACATCGCTCCCATCTCCTTTCATTGGATAATGCAACTTCCTATACCGCTTTTCCTTGCATGGTGGGTTCTCAATCCACGCTTTGGCAAATGCGATAAACCGTGCAGCTCTCGAATTGTACAACCCTATGGGACGGATAAGTTCTGCAAGATCCACGAAGGAAGCTGCCGCGAGATGAGTAGGCGTTGGATACTTGGAGATGAGTTTATCAAAGATGGGTCGTGCTTGAGTACCACGAGTGCGGTTCCAGAGAACTGTGGCAACAAGAAGGGCGTAGAGATTTGTAGACAGCGTTTCTTGAATGAGGCCGAATCTTGGTGCATGGATCGTAGGGATGCGGGCTGCTGAGAGCACGAGGTCTGAAGACTTCCGAGTATTTTTCTTTTGCTTTAGGGATTTGATAATTGTTTTCGTCTCATCGGGTGTGCTTGAAGTTGGACATTGTTCTTCTTTCTTGATCATTGATCTTGTGACTCGACGATCGGTTTGAGAGACAGCATCAATCTTTTTATACTTCATTGTCAATGTTAATTAAGCACAATCTTAATCATCCATAAATAATTATATCGCTTGCATTATAATCAAATCTATCTTTTAAACGTCAGCTCTAAATATAAATTGGTCTTGAACTCCATGACGCCACCACTAGTCGCCACCATCGATCTTTGTTTAAGAGCGGCTTATTGATTCCCTGCATATCCGGAAATGGTATTAGAATATATGCTATCCCCCTAATACCACGTCAATAAAAACTCTCTGCGCAAGGGAATAACATTAACGTCTATTAGTTGCATTCCGGCAGCGATAGACTATTTAACCTGCTGTTAGTTTTTATCACTAGACTGCATTCTTTAAAGTCATTCATAAGATAATGTTTCTCTTACACTTAGTAAGTCTATACTAGGAATTAATTATAAATATAATTAAGAATCTAAGAAGCAGTATAACTCCGTTTTCGTCAGAGACAATTACATTGACTCGACAGGGTGCCGAAGCGCGCATCCCATCTTATCTCGTTCAAGCTAGGACGTATCTAATCTTATCGTTTATCTTATCACGCGCGCCATCACGTGCTCCGTTGAGCTGGTGGGTCGAAGCGATCCTCTATCGCCATATCTCTCAATCTTCTAACTACATAGAACCAGCAGAGGTCTAGTCTCCGAGAATGCCGCCTCCACGTGCTATGACATTCACTGGGTATGTTTAACACCCATAAATGACGTCTTCTGGCTGCTCATCTTCCTAGTTGCTGGACATGCAAAGTCCGTAAAGTCGCATGCGATAAACGACCAATCGCTTGTAAGAACTGCGAAAAGCGAGGTGTGACCTGTGGCGGTTATGGTATCAAATTGCAATGGGTCTCAGATTCGCTTGCAGAGGCTCGCACAAATTCCAGATATCAAGGGCGTAGGGCTTTGAAACTAGGTACGGTGCATTGTATTGTGTCGAGTTCACATGTTTACTGTGCTGTAGATCAGACATATCCAGTCCATGAGTCTGAGACGATTGACATGTTCCTCTCACATATTGATCTAGATACTCAAGAAGGGTCGTCATCTCGTCAGGGCCCTTTCTCTGTGTTTTCAGTCAGGGAGATCAGTCCTCCGGAAATGGACATGTCGCACACAATATCCGAGTCTTCACCTGCCACTACCATCAGCCAATATGGCGAACTACTATACTACAATCAATTGAAACCTTTGGTAGAACACCATGTCGCTTGTCAATTACCACAATCGGCTGTACCAGACCTATATTTCGACACGGAAATCTTGCTGTCCTCTGAACCTTCAGGCTCATCATTTGAGCTCTTTTCTGGAGTCGAGTATACATCAACCAGCACGAGTCTAACCGATCAAGTACCAGCAATAAAATGCCCGCTCAACCAACAGTCTTCGATAGCAGAGGCTAATTCTGACAAGACGAACAGCCAAAACACGTCAGTTGTAGAGACAGGTATAACTCAATTCAGATGTGAGTATGGGCCTGCGAACAATATCTATGCAGGCATTTTCAAAGACTCGGATATTTCTTTTCTCATGAGCCATTATGATACTCACGTTGCGAGTCTTTTGATGCCAGTTTCACACTCGGAAAACCCGTTCCGGCGCCTTTATCTATCTACAGCGATTGAGGGGATGATGTATCACGACTCCTCCGTAACGACGTCAAAAGGAATGGCATACATAGCCCTTTATCAGTCTCTATTGGCGTCAGCATCCTTTCACCGTTGGAACTGCGACCAGCGACAGATAATGCATCGAGAAACAGGAGCCAAGTACCGTTATCGGGCCATTCAATCACTGAAAAATGCAGTGAGTGAAGCTGGCTCGGTGGCCAACTATCAAATTCTTATGATGGCGATCCTATCTCTCGTAACTATTGGTGTAAGCTCGCTGAAGTTGTGGTTTTTTGCGAGATCTGCTAACACTCTTTTAGGTCTTGTCAGGAGAGGGTGAGGAGTTTCGCCTACACATAGAAGCTGCTACGCAACTCCGCAACGCACGAAGTCGCTGGAAACTGATGAGCCGCCCCTCCCAGCAGCTAAACCAAGTTGGCACTTTTTTGGCTTTGCTATCTCGTACCATGTTGTTTAAGCCTTCTTCACTTCCATGGCGCGACAGCAATGAGCAGGCTACTGCTGCAGAAGATGAAGCCATACAATCAAGCGCTTGTTATGAGTACATATATGGTATCAAGCCAAGTATTGCCGTAGCAATCAACCGGGCTTGTCGTCTTGCTGAGCATTTGCTTCGGGTTCGAGAGGAAGGAGAACAGCAAATACCGGACACCTTGCTGGAAGGTTGTGAAGAATTAGGTGACATGCTAGAGTCGTGGCGGTTAAAAGAAGAGAGTCCCACACCAATATCGAGTGACGATGACCTTGGGGTCTTGATTTTTACTCATCAAGCAAAGGCTTGGTACGCTGCTGCACTTATCTACTACTATACCCGCATCCAAGGTGCTCAGCCGACGGACCTCATCCAAGAAGTTACTGCTGTCGCGGAACACATGTACGCCATGGAGGATATCAAATCAAGATTAGGTGTCTTGATACAAGACAATCCTATGGCGCCCATCACTTGGCCGGCTTTTGTTGCGTCGTGTAATGCTCTGGGGGACATGCGTCAGGTATGGAGGACATGGTGGGAAAGAATGCAATGTTACAAGATTGGGAATATAACTAAGCAGTGGAGTGTTGTGCAAATGATTTGGGAAATTCTTGACATTGGGAAGAATAGAGGGGCTCAAATTGATTGGACCAAGGCTTATGACGAAGTAGGGATATGTATATTAGCAGTGTAATAATCCATTGGTGGTGATGTATGTCTTCACGTGATACCAATGTTAGTGCCCAGGTCAAGATGTGCCGAGGGAATAGACCTGACACATATTTACACGATTTGGGAAGGCGTCACGAGTGATGCCACCTGTCTTTGTTACCTTGTGAAATTTGATGGGGTCCTTCTCGAAGTCTAATAGCTCGTGAAAGATGTCACGTCCCAGTCTGGCACCGTAAATGTCCGTGGGATGACTAGCGTCGCTTCATCCTGCCTGATACAGACTAAACTCTATGGACCGAACTCGGTAGACCATGCCCCTCATCTGAGACTCGGAGTCTGTAGCCTTTGTAATGTGGAGGAGGCATCGAATAATACAAAGACAGCTTTAGCTTGGAATGAGAGGTATAAAAGGTCGTTCATAGGTGGAGACCAAGAGAAAAGATAAAAGAGACTTACTTGTGTGCAAACCTATACGACAAAGTGATATATAAAAGACGATTCTTCAGCTACAAAACGCAATCTACCACAATTTGTATATTCTCTCTCAGTCATATCACAATGTCACATACACAGGAAAACTCCGTACCTCTTGGGACATATGTTTTCAACCGGCTTAAGCAACTCGGCATTGCCTCTATCTTTGGTGTTCCAGGCGACTACAATCTCCGACTACTTGATTTCATCGAGCCAGCTGGCTTACATTGGGTTGGAAATTGCAATGAGCTAAATGCAGCTTATGCTGCTGATGGATACTGTAGGATCCATGGCCTCGGAGCTGTTGTTACAACCTTTGGCGTGGGCGAACTGTCAGCTATCAATGGTATCGCAGGTGCTTACGCTGAGAGGGCCCCGGTAATACACATCGTCGGGACACCATCACGCAACATTCAAACTTCTCGAACACTTGTGCATCATACTTTCATCGATGGAGAGTATCAACGCTTTGCGTCTATGGCAGCTCAAGTTACAGCTGCTCAAGTTAACTTGACAGACGCTAATACAGCTCCTGATCAGGTTGACTGGATTATAGAACAGGCTTTGATTAGGCAACGACCAGTATACCTCCAAATACCTCAAGATATGGCCGATGCGCTAGTATCAGTCACCAACCTGCGTTCCAAGCCTATTATTAGTCTTCCGGTGTCCAGTACACCTACACAAATCGACATGAAACATGTGAATTCAATCTTGGATTGTCTGTATTCAGCGAAAAGGCCATTGATCTTGATCGATGGCGAGAGCAGGAACCTTGGGGCCGTTGACGAAATCAATCAACTCGTTGAAATCACAGGTTGGCCGACCTGGACTTCAGCATTTGGCAAGGGCCTTGTCAATGAAGAGTTGCCAAACTTCCATGGGGTTTACCTCGCAGGCTATGGCGATGAGCCCTCCTCGAAGTATTTCAAGACTTCGGACCTTGTTATCTTTCTTGGGCCGCATTTGAGTAATATCAACACTCACATCTTTACGGCCATTCCGGAGGAATCTCGCACAATTTCCTTCTCCCCAGATAAGATCAAAATCTTTGGCACAACCGTACGGGATATATCGCCTCGCCAAATAATTAAACAACTCATCGACATGATTGATCCCTCCCGACTTGTGGAAGCAAATGGCCCGAACGTGTTGACGAGGTCAACACCCACACCCCCACCATCGGAAGGCCTTTGCCAGGATCTTTTCTACCCTTATATAAACCCAATGTTTCGTCGCGGGGATATCGTTCTTACAGAAACAGGAACCGCTTCTGAGGGTGGCCAAGTCTTTAAGCTTCCAAAACATTGCCGTTTTTTTACGGCAGTTACATGGTTATCAATCGGCTATATGCTCCCTGCTACACTTGGGGCTGCACTCGCCCAGCGAGACAGAGCCAAGGTCAGGGACGAAAAGAATACCGGCCGAGCTATCCTTTTCATCGGTGACGGAAGCTTCCAGATGACAGCTCAGGAATTAAGCACAATGATAAAAGAGAACCTTAATATCATTGTCATCCTCATCAATAACAACGGGTATACTATCGAGAGGGTTATACACGGAAGAAATGCCGGTTACAACAGCGTCTCACAATGGAACCACAAGTATGCTCTGGGGCTCTTTGGGTTGAGTGAAGATGAGTGTTCAAAACGGTATTTCTCAGCAAGAACATGGGGTGAGCTAGAGATGGCTCTTAGTTCGAAGAGTATACAACATGATGATGGCATTAAGTTTATTGAGGTCTTTATGGGACAGGAGGACTGTACAGGAGAGCTAAAGGATCTACTGGCAGAGCAAATCGCGCGGGAGAGTAAATGTAACTAGATGAAGAGTGATTAAATTCCAAGCACGATTAAGATAGTTGATTATTCTACAATAAATGACCAGGAGAAATGCAATGTTTTTTCCCCCGCATATTCCTTTAGCAACTATTCTTGATAAAGTATTACTTGCAAGGTCCAGAACCACTGCGATGCCGGTGCTTAGCAGTGTGGGTTGGCAAAGACAACGACAAACCCTCTCCTACTTCGAAATCGTTTTGTTGTGTTACTTCTAACGGAGCTCAACGTGTGCCGTCTTCAAGATGAAGCTAGAGTCATTAATACGCCAATCAAATGCTATACATAATGGATCCGTATCAGCGCTAACAAAAACCTTGTTAAACTGAATCTTGGCTAAATGTGGATACTTCGGAGTCTCTTGCCGCCAACAACCCGGAATTCACTCAACTCCAGATAACCTTTATCCATATCTCCTGGCATGGTTCAACTGAAGAATAACACGTGTGGGGATTTTTTACGTAACAAGACACGGTTTGGACCTTATAGACCCGATGCTATTGAATTGAAATTTATATGTGAGCACAAGATATAGTCGGTATTCGGCTCCGTGCAGCAAGCTTGGAAATAAACCTCCAGTGTCCCACCTATTTACTCTGCTTCATTAGACTCAGGACCTCATTATACACAGAGGTCTTTTTCTACTGCAAATTAGTTCTCATCCTACTATCGCCCGCCATGTCTTACCGAGAGCCCGTCTTTACCACCGCTTCCTGCGAGCCTCTCCCTCAATTTTCCCAAGCTGTCAAGTACAATGGCATGGTGTATTGCAGTGGTTCCATTGGCATCGACCCCAAGACTAACGACCTTGTTCCTGGTACGGCAACAGATCGTGCACGCATGGCGCTTCAAAACTTGAAGGCTGTGCTCGAAGCTGCAGGTAGCAGCATGGAGCGTGTCATCAAGGCAAACATCTTTCTGGCGGACATGAAGGATTTTAACGCTATCAACGTCGCATGGGATGAGTTCTTCCCTCAAGACCCTAAGCCTGTAAGTTAGATGACACTCAGGATTAAACAATGCCTGACTCTAAGGTTCTAGTGCCGTACTTGTGTTGCTGTCCACCAGCTGCCATTGGATACCGACGTTGAGATTGAGATGATAGCAAGCTATGACTAGAACATTAAATATTATATTAATAACTCCTAAATTACCTATACTTAAAGTAATATCATTATGAAATTATTTTATTTTATTTTTTCTAGTCTCTATAATAAGACTATGAAGGTTTTAAAATATATTAAGTAAATGAAAGACCTTTTTTACAGATTGAAATAGCTGGAAATCGCCTTGAGTCTTACACTAAGGTTATTTCCTTGAGATCCATGAGGAGCTCTTCATTTGCAAAATCAACATAAGTCAATACCCCACATCGGCGGTATGTTCCTTTGTCTTCGCCTGACACCTCGTATATCAATAGGCCCACCACTGCGTTGGTATCATGATGCAATTGCTTGCCTACAGGCATCCACAGCACACTTTCTTCTTCTCCCATTCCATGGTGAAACATCTTTTTCAACACGTCGCGCTCTCGATCCAAAAAAAACGAACACTCGAAATTAACTTGCTGACCCGAAGACTCATCTACCATGTACCCAAGGTCTTTTCTCCCGATGACAAGTTGGATGATAGGGGCTCTGATGTATAACTTAGATACGGGGCTCACTACTGTACTTGTGTCTCCAGGACGAGTGGGCCACTGTCGAAGTCGTTTTGGGTGATCATCATGGATGAAGATTGGCTTCTGGCGGATCCTCTCATGTTGAACTGGACACGCAAACGCCCAGCACCACGACGGAAGACTGACTTCCACGGGCTTCTCATCTCTCATGTAGTGGAAACTTGAGTGTTTGGTGTTTCCGTGATACCATAGCAGACCATGGGCCAGCCCAAATCGGAAGTGTCCGTTGAAGTATTCGATCTTCAGTCGCTCAACCAATAGGGATGCAATACCATGAATGGCGTATAGGCGATCGGTCTCATACGTCAGATCTGTTTCAGAGAAAATAGAAACAAGTTGACACCATCCGTGTGTGACCAAATGATCATTGTTCGGTCTAGCCAGGATCGTTCGAGGCATGGCTTCGTTATCCCAGGATCTATCCCACGGGATCTTTGAACCCTCAAGGAAAAGAGAATTTGAGCATTCGAGGTAAAGTCCTTGCAAAGTCCAATGTAGTATTCGCTTCGACAGCGCCGTCTCTTGCAAGCACCATCCGCGTTGAGTCAAGGACGAGTCAAGCAAAGCTTTTATGAAGATTGGGCTATTATTGTTGTCTCTGAATACGAAATGTTTAGGACCATCCCCGGAGTCGTTCGCAATCCTGAGGGCAAAGGTCTCTGTGGGATATCTTACTATAGGGCGTGGCCTAAGAAATCCCTCTGAACTATCGCTCGCTGCTGATGCAGATATGCAGCATTCAGCATTTGAGTAGTAATCTCCCATTCTCGACGACTCTGACTGAAAGTCGCCACGTGATCCCTGAATGATGCAGATTGCGTCGACCCAGAGGTAGCGATATCCCATCGTTCGTGTCAAAAGGATAGCGTCTTGAATAGTTTTGGCAAGTTCCGACACCTCGAAGCCCTCCAGTCGTGCTTCAAGTTTAACTTCTGTAGTCTTCGATGTTTCATTGCCAGTTCCCCAACAATAGGAGAGAATGAGGTAAGTGAATTCGTGTCCGTCTGAGCACTTCTTGACATCCACCAGTCTCACCATATTGTCGTCGATATTGCCAACATCAATTAGTCGAGTTGGCAAGACCAAGTTCATGTCTTTGGTGCCACAGCCTTCGTGGCCCGTATGCTGTTGGAGACAGTCTCTCATCCAAGGCCGGATTTGTCGTTCCACCAGTTTGTTGAGTTCCACTTGAACGTTATTTGTGAATCCTAATTCATTCTCATATTAGGATACAGTTTCATTGCAAAGGGGTGAGTGAACTGCTACAATACCTTGAATCTGTCGACTTTTCATTCCTCCTACCAATCCGTGTAGTTGGGGCTCATCACAATCTTGAACTGTGTTACTGAATCCCAGTCCTTGAAAGCGTCCAACTCGTCCTTGTGTCCCATTTCAGCCCACAGGTTTAGATAACTGCCAGACACGAGAAACCACAATGCGACGGATCCTTTCCCCAACAACTCTGTATCATCTGTGGTGAAGGTGCAATTAGTGACCAACGATAACCAGGCAAATCGGCACAAGAGATAGCCTTGATCGGCTGAGTCCTGGAGATGACGGAACGTTTTATTGAGTGGCACAGACTCGATAACTGCCCTCCAAGGTTGTCGTATCAATGGCCATGATAAGGATGCGCAGCTTCCACAAAGTCTTGAGGAGGGTGGGTGTATAACTGTGGGGATGCTGGCGCTATCAAATTCCAATGCGGTGCTGCTCTTTGATGAGCGCGTCTTTTTAGAGGGCTTGCGCGAACGTTTAGGCATCTTCACGAGCTAGATGGCTCTAGTTGGATCGGAGCTACAATAGGTAGGTGATGGTAGGTCTCATCGAATGCCAGATCGAATTGTGCTCCTGAAATGCGGAAGGGAAGAGATAGAAACCAAATACGATTGCCGTCCATCATATGTCGCTACGTTCAGGAGACGTCTCTGACTTTACTGAAACAAAATGACCGTCAATAACGAGAGATAGAATGTACCTCACAAAGATAAATATTTAACAACCAGGGAGGGTAAGTTATATGTTGGGCGAAGAGATTCTTCCGGTGATTATAATGGACATCACACTTGGCGCTGACCTCACTTATTGGAAAATGCCAATAGGAATTGACCGATCGACATGTGTTGCTACGTGGCATGCCTCTCTACTCATATGACGCTTCAGCTGATCGTCCTCTCCACTTAAACCTGGCAAGGAAGTTTGCATAAGTGTCAGCAAATACGGCACCGTGATTGTTGGAGCTCACAATCACGTGGAAGGCTGCTCTGTTGAACAAAACAGCTCACCGCATCCTAGGTACCTTTGATAGCTTAATTCAAGGCTCGTGAAATACTCTTTGGCATGCTTTATTTGGCAGAAAATAGCTGCTAACAATAGCACGTCTCAGCGCGGTTAAACAAAGCACGGAATATTGAAAATGTAGCTTGTCTACAGGAGATTCCTTTCAATGTAAGCCCCAAGTCCCGTCAATCCAGCAACAAGGACATCGGTTTCGCAAACATAACCCATTCTTACATAGCCCTTGAAATCGTTATCACCTCCGAAACATTTCGATCCGGCAACAAGCAAGATGTTGGCCTTCTCAAGCAAATCAATGCACAACTTCTCATCGTCTAGTGGCTGACCACTCTTGTCTGAAAACTTAACAAAAGCTGTAGTCCCAGCCGTAGGCTCAACCCAAGAGCACACCGTTTTGTATCGCTCGATGAAGTCCTTGAGTATCTTTGCATTGGTTCTTGCAAGGTCAATATTGCGCTTGACGAGTGAGGGTCGAACTTCGGGCGATAACGCATATGTCGCGATCTGGTCATCAATTTGGGAGACGCTGATTGTCGTATAATCGCGTCCTAACATGATAGCAGACATGATAGATTTGTCCCGAGTAGCAATCCAGCCTACCCGAATACCAGCTAGTGCATATCCCTTAGACATCGATCCAGTGACAAGAGTTTTCTTGTAATCGCCAAGTGCAGTAACTGGCTCAGGTACCTCGGCGTTACCCAAGGCACCACCATGGAAGAGGGGACGATAGACCTCATCCGAAAAGAAGATGATACCTTTCTCTTCTGCGATGGCTGCGATTTGAGAAAGGGTGCGGCTAGGAATTGGAACTCCAGTAGGGTTGTTAGGGTTGTTGACGATGATCATCTAGCAATGTTAGCTTACGAATCAATGAAACCTTTACCAACCCTTCCTTACCTTTGTGTTGCTTTTGATCAGACGAGATAATTCGTCTACATCTGGAACAAATCCATTCTCTGCCTTCAGTTTCCATAGCGTGACCTCGGCACCTAAGCTTCGAGGAGTGTCGTAGAGCTGTTGATAGGTTGGGTAGACGCATATGACATGATCTCCTGGTCCTAACAGGGTGTAGAGAGCCAGAAAATTAGCCCCGATTGCGCCCTGGGTGAGTACAACATCGTCAGCCGATAAGAGGATCTTGTCGGAGCTGCAGTGATCTGCAATTCGTTCTCTAAGCTTCAGAGATCCCGGAATAGGACCGTAAGTCATCTTAACGCTGGTATCGATGGGTCTCTGAGTTCCTCCGGTAGAGAAGCTGATCAAGTCGTCGATTGACACGGATGCAGCGCATGTCTCAGCAACATTGAGGACATTTGGTGTCGTTTCATACTTATCCATCCATTGCTCTACGGCGAAGGGGGTGATGTGAACCATGGTTATAGAGTAATCGGGGAGTTATGGTGTTGCTTAGCGGTTCGATGTATGATTGTAACTTGAGACTTGTATATAGACACCTACATAGCAAGTTCAAAGGGATAAGAAGCGTAGAATTTATACTTTAAGATGTAATCAATGTTAACTTCCTCCTGATATACCTCTTGAGACCACTGTAAAAAGAAGCGAATACAGGAGCCACATAAAGACGCAAGACTGACTCGAGGAACATCAACGACCCACAAATAAATTAGTTCTCTCGGAGTCTCTTGCACTTGTCACAAGAAAAGAGGCTTAGCTTATGTCTTGAACCTTGTCAGGCCTGTGGGTCTCACGCTGGCCTATGCACCATCTTTCGATCTTTTGTCAAAGACTGAGTAGGTCATTGATTCTGGATTTTCGCAGTTGGCTATGATCTGTGAGACATAAAAGCAGTTCAGAATACAACGATATTCCTATCTTATATCACGCTTTCAGAATTCTGGATGGGAATGGATAATGTTGTCAGCCGTTGGTTGCAATTCGGCAACGGTCGCCGATGATGTCAGTTTGTAGGATATCGATAACTTATCTTATATCTTATCATGGGAGCTGTATCTTATCTTATCTCTGATAATAACAACTATTTTCACCTCGATTACCCTAGACACGTAAATAAACCCAACAATATGCATGACAGTTTAAACCTAGCTTGCTGATCGGTCGATATTAGTTGGTGTTTTTAATTGTCATTCGCATCAGAAAATTCTATTAATAAGTCTGCTTTTTTAGTTCATTGTGTGATTTCCAGCGCCTTTAGAACCAACACTTCAGTTATTGTCACAATGAATTTTCTACGCTATCAATTGTTAAAGTGGTCGCTTTCAGCGAATGAACTCTAATCACTCTAACCAATTTCGTACCCCTGACAAAGTGGCAAAAGAAGCATGTTGATTGGTTCGGCTATTGGTATCACTGTGGAGTAGACTGAAAAGTTCCTGATGACGCGACAAAGTCCAACCGCGCAGGAATGGCAGGTTCGAGTAATTCTGGGAGCTGGAAAGGACAATGCCGCGCTTGGAACATTAGATAGCGCGACCTCGTTTATCATCAGCAACAACAGAATTCTGGGTGGTGGAAGCTTCCAAGTCGCTTGGTTTTCTACGCGACAAACGACTGGGCGTCAACAGATACTGATTGACTTGTGATTGACTTTGGAATCCACTTTATCGTGCGCGTCTTGGTGCAGATCACCGAGTACGCGAAAGTATATCTGGCGCCGCTGCAACGTTGAGGACTTGACACTGTCAATTCTTTGCAATTTCAATTGGTCAGTCCCAGTTATACGACGAGTCAACAAAGTTAAACTCACGTGTTTCTCGGCTGATGAGCGTTTTTGACGCCCTGGACTTGAAACGGATATGAAACCGAGACAAGCGCCGGAACGGCGGCAGCGGAAAATCGGATTACGACGTGACAGCGCTTAAGTTCCACTTTGGCAAACGAAATGTCTCTTTCAGTTCTTTTCTTAGTCCGTAGGCACAAGAGAATAAAGCCCCTGGGCGCTTAAGTTAAACATGGGGGCCCTGGAGTGACAAGCTTTACATTTCCTCGATAACAAGAGGTCTTCATTCTCACCATATCTATTCCATAAAGTGTTGTCATCATTCACACCACTATATCAAAGCCAGCCATTATCAATAATCTCAACATTCATACAAGATGTCATCTGCTCCTCAGCCTCTAACACTCCGTCCCGCGTACAGACAGTGAAGGAATCGCAGGAAATGAAAAGACATTGATAGGAACGCGCCGGCATCCAGAAACTGGACTGTCCTTGGAGTCAGCGGCAGCGCTCCGGTCTGAGAACCATGGACAGATAACCCGGCTGACGGAAAAGCCTCAGTCTGCGCAAACTGGACAGACAAGTCAGTCGGTGGAAATGGTTCAACCGAAACCTTGCCAATCTATGGGTACGAGTATTGATATTATCCATAAAGTCTTTAACTGATGGTTCTCAACAGACTCCCAAAAAATCCCAATCGAGCTCTGAGCCACAACTCTTCAAAAGTGGCGGCGAGGACTGTGATGGTTGGTGCAGGGGTCGGTTCTGTTTTATCATTCCTTGTCCCATTCCCGTCAAATGCTGTGTCATATCGCGATGATTGTAATTATTCACCATATTGTTCTGGTACACGTCTGTGAAATTACTTTACTTTGTCTAGCCCTTTCTAGTTCTATTAAAGTTATTATAAACGGTTTGTCTCAAGATAAAGTTCCCTAATATAAACGTGACTTATATGGCAGCTGCCTGAACTCTATAATGTCGGCTACGACTGATAAAAGAAGATTCTGTCGAGCCGTGTATCAATTATTCAATACCACCAATTATCTTGAGTATTCTAGAAGGAGTTTTGAGGTATGGTTACGGTTTTGAAGGTATGGAGAATCACTTGGCTGTGTTTCCTGGCTTCCGTTCTACCAGTTGGATGTCAAGTCTTCCGAGGTTGCCCTACAGTTACCAACATATTCTGGGGTAATTAAGTCACATCATTTCTTTTCATAAACGTCTATTTTAATCACTGATGGGCGGTTAAAATGCAAGTCCCGTCACTTTGAGACAGGGGACTCTGCATCGTTCCGATTCGCTACTCTGGCTCCATTCTAAGCGCTAGAGTTACGTTGCTACAAAACTTACAGAACCAACAGCATAACGAAATATGATAAATTAGCAGTTCATTTCGCAAATATTGCTCATCTCCAAAATATCTATCTCCTTGCATGAATTGAAAAAGCTACGAAAATGCCATCAGATTTCACTTATCAGCCCTTACGTGGTGACGAGATCCGACTGCTGAGGATCGAAGACGACCGCAGTGGACATCGCAAAACCAACGTCACCAGGCATCCTCTAATAGCATGCTCGATCGAGCATGTTCGTCTACCAAGAACGCTGGGAGAATCATCGAACCAACGGTTCAAAGGAAAGGAGGGAACATGGCCTGAGCTTCCCACCCAACACAATTTTGGACCACTCTTCAATGCTGGGAAAGATCTACGTGTTGACAAGACTCACTTGAGGAAATCCGCACATACAACAATCAATGACGAAGCTGCCCTACCATGGCGACGTCCATGGGGTGACTATATCGCACTATCCTATGTCTGGAGCCAACCCGTCGGCTCAGATAAGGAAGACCGCTTTTTTATCACCGTCAATGACTGTCCATTCAAAGTCACCCCCAACTTATATCACGCTCTGAAAGAACTTAAAAAGAGTCAACGTGTACAGCAAGGATTTAAGTTATGGATTGATGCCATATGTATCGATCAGACTAACTCAGATGAACGTGGTCAACAAGTCGCTCGGATGCGCGACATTTACCAGTCAGCGTGGCAGGTACTCATATGGCTCGGTCCAAGTGACACATCCACCCAACTGGCCTTTTCTGCGCTTCACTGGCTATCTCGAGAGTCGAAGCAGCCGAAGCCGATGGACAACTTCTACCGCGAAAGCCCCTCAGTCGATCTGCGGCCTGCCTTCATCATGTGGCCAACCTATAACAGTCCGATGAAGAAGGATGTTTACAAGGCACTGTATCACTTCTTTACAAGGCCATATTGGCGTCGTATGTGGGTGGTGCAAGAAGTGGCGATGGGCAATCCCAACAGTCCTGTTCTCTGCGGCGACCAGTGCATTTCATGGCAGGACATATACCAAGCGGTGAAGGTCATTGCTTCAGATGAGTCGAGATTCGGTCGTGAGATCCTCGATAGCGTCCAACCACAAACGCTGGCAACATGGTCCTTTGAGGTCGCACGAGATAGGCAGATTCGAGGACGAAAATGGGCACCGGAAAGGATGTGGAAGATCCAGGAAACCATGATGTGCGTTCAGAAAGATCAGCGAACCTTTTCGTCAGCGAGTGGACGGAGGGAACTCCTTCGAGCACTGAATCTTGCCCGAGATGCCCTCATTACCGATGAAAAGGATCGTGTATATGGTATTCTGGGAATCAAAGCCGTCGCCGATCGAGTCAACATCAAACCCGAGTATAAACTTTCTCAATCAATAATTTACTCAAACTTTGCCAAGGAGATCATGAAGGGAGGTGACCTGAACCTTCTTCGTCTGGCTTCAGGTTTCGGTGGATACGTTCTCGACAGCTGGGAGATGGATGACCTACCACCCTCTGCCAAGAATCGTGCCGTTGGGGCTCTTACACTTCCCGTCCTGAATGCCACCAAAGGTCGTGAGCTAGTACCGGTTGGTGTAGTATGTAATCACGATATTCCATCATGGAGCGTCTGCTGGGCATGCGCACCCGCTCCGACAGCTCAGCTTGGTGGTATATACCAAGCAGATGCGCGCTTGGGTCGTTCATTGCCGATTTTCTCTAGAGGAAGGGCGAGTCTCACCACGAAGGGCGTCTTGCTGGACACGATTACCTCACTCAGCGCCTCAAATGAGAAGGACGCTGATCCACGCTATCCTTCCAATACTCACCCAGCCAATACGAGTACCTATGGAGATTTCGAAGCGACCAGGAATGCATTCTGGAGGACTATAGTATGCGACACGACATCAGAAGGCGGCGAAAAGGCACCGGACGCATGTTCTTGGCTGCTTGAGCCCAGACTTTGGCAAAGAGGTATCGCGGGCGTTTGGACCAATGGCTTTGGATTGCACAGCTTCATGGCACGCAACGCATCACTCGAAATTTGCGGCTTTACGATACAGGAGTTAATTTTCGGCCGCAACAAGTTCAAATCAAAGTTGAAGTCGATGATGGGTGAGAACTTCTACCATGCAACTGAGTTTCAGCGAGAGTCTTTGTCGTGGGCAGTCAATGCGATGGCTTGGAGGCGTGTTTTCGGCACAAGAGGAGGAAGAATGGGAATGGGCACCTGTGCGGCTCAAGTAGGCGATCGTATTGTACTTCTCAGAGGTTGCAACACTCCGCTCATTGTCAGACGGTCGGGCGAGGCCTGGAAACTTGTTGGAGAGTGTTATGTGCATGGTGTTATGTATGGAGAGATCTCGTTAGATAAACATCGGCTGGAGGATATAACCATTTACTAAGAGTGAAGTTGAAGGATCAGATATTGGGACAGATATAATGAATATGTTTTAATTAGCGATTATTATTTGTTTAGTTACAGTACAACAGAAATTGGAAATCTATGCCACTGCGCACTATTCTGGGCGAAGATGAACCTTGTTTCCCTTGCAAATATTTGAGGTGAAGTCAAAGTTATGGGGCGCTCGGGCCACAACCACAGTTGACTGTGCTTATGGCTCAGATGGCCTACCCAAGTTCTCAAGTCAAGACAGGGAAACTATCCAGGAAATAGCCAAATTGTGATAAACTATCAAGGAAAGTATATTATTAGATAGAAAAATCTTGCCTCTATCTGCTATCGGTTGTTAAATATTATTTTATAACTATAGCTGCAAGTAATTGGGTTATATATATAGTACAGTCTGTTTTTCTTTTAGCATATATAGCCCTAATATAGTAAGACAACTTAATATATAAAAATCAGGCTGAATCATTCCAAAATAATAAAGCTCAAATAGGATTACCTGTCTACCCTGATAAATCGTACTCTTCAATATCCACCGTCTTGTTCGCAGCCAGAGCCTCCTTGATAGCATCGCAAACCACAAGAGCTGCAAGACCTGCACTTGCGGTGCAGCTGGGCGTCTCTTCCCCTCTAACTATTTTCACAAAATGTTCCAACTGATCTTCAAAGGGTACTCGTGGAGGAACAGCCTCCTGCTCTTGCGTAAGTTCAGAGTGCCATGACTTTTTATCTTTACCCTTGTATGACCACAGCGTCATATCTGGCACGCTGAGAGACCCGTCTGTTCCAAAGATCCTGTAAAAGTCTTTTCCGGTCTTTGGAATTAAAGGATTCTCTCCCGTGCCTGATTCGAAGTTGTATGGGGATGGAGTATGGTCAGAAATTATGAAGCTTCCAACCATGCCGGACTTGAATCGCAATGTAAGAGCTGCGCCTTCTTCTGCTTCAAACCCTCTTTGTGAGATTGTCTTTTCGGCGTGGACTCGAGTAATTGGACCGAAGAGGTAATGGAGAAGATCTACCTCGTGAATCATGTTAATAAGTACAACTCCGCCTGTTTTCTCCCTCCGCCATTCAGTTGGAGCATCAAAGTACTCTAGAGGCTTGAATAAGGTCCATAGACCGTTCACAGCAATTATTTGACCCAGTGAACCTGAGGAGACGATCTTCTTCGTAGCCACCATATACGGGTTGAATCTGCGATGGTGTCCCACAAGACCCTTCACCCCAGTGCCTTCTAGATGCTGCACGAGCTCTTTGCCGCTGGCTACATCGGTACTGACTGGTTTTTCGATGAGGATGTGAATTCCACCGGCTGACAGCTCTTTAGACAAGGCAACATGAGTGAAGTTTGGAGTACAGATGATTGCAGCATCAGGCTTGTCAGGAGATTGGAGGAGATCAGAAATAGATAAATAATGCGGAACGTTTAGTTCAGCGGCGAGTTCCGTGCTTGATGGTGCTGGGTCGACGATGGCAGAGAGAACAGCTACGGAACTGTTTGCAACGGTTCTTGCGTGGCGGGGTCCAATCGCGCCAGCACCGATGATGGCAATTCGAACTTTTGAAGAGGACATGGTTGACTGCCTAAGGCTCGAGGTTCATTATGCACTTGTATCAAAATCTGTCGTTAAGCATTACTTTATAAATCGGCAATAGGGCGCGTTCAAGTCTGATGAGTCTTGATCCGGCTTCGGAGATGCGGGGCGGATATGTCTTTTCCCCGTCAATTGAGTTTATCCATTGTACCTTGACCTGACACCCTCATCAATGATGGTCTGATTTGTGAAGGGGGAGAAAGATATATAAACAGATTTCACTCACCAAGTTCAATTACAAGATTATAGTGCGCATTTGTAAGTCAATTCGGCGCAATAGCACTGGTGGAGCACGTAATTTCAGCGCGTACCGTGCAATGGCAGGGTGGATATTTTAAAGAGGGGTTGGCTTGGTGGATTTCTCTTCAATCACGACATCACGAGAAACCTCTTTTAATCCAACCTCATCCTCTATAACCCAAATTACACAACCTCTCATCCCTCTACAAATTCAAAATGCCCATCATCAACGCTGACGTCCCTCCCACCTCAACCGACGACACCCACTACGTCGTCTACTTCGCCTCAGGTGAACCCTCTTGGTGCCCCGACTGCCGCAATGCCCTCCCTGCTTTGAACGCCGTCTTTGGCGATGCCTCAGCTCCCAATGCGCATCTCGTCATGGCAGGCTCCCGAGAGGAATGGAAGGGGAACCCCGACAACAAATATCGCAAGGCGCCTTACAACATTCAGTGTCTTCCCACTGTCGTCAAGGTCAAATATGTGAGTTTGAGAAAGTCAATGACAGGGAGGGAAGCTAATATCTTGAACTTAGGGTGCGGAGGTTGGACGTCTCGGCGATGATGAGAGTCAGAATGAGTCTGACCTTCGCAAACTGGTGAAGCTATGAGTAAAGCAGTCCTGGCCTGGGTCATTTTCACTCGATTGCGGGTTATACATGAATGATAAATCATGGTCTTGACACGTGGGTGAAAACTTGGCAGTTAAGACAAGATGAGCTCCCCATTACAAGCATCATGAATCAGCGTTTATCGCCCTTCTCCCCGATAAATCAATTAAAGGACACCTTCCCGAAATTATCGTCAAGTCGGCCATAAATATAGTATCCGAGAAATATATAAAGTGGAAATGCTCCAGTTCTCCAACATTGATCATCCACGATGCAAGCCAACAAACGTGATAAAATTGGTATACTATCTCGAAAGGGCGTGATCTGCACCCCAGCCAAGAAACCTCCACCTCTAATGAGCTGACAGTTGTATTCGGGGAATCCTTGCCCGAATCACCGGCGGGGTACACATTACGAGGTACCTGAGTAATCCATCACTTATTGGAGTATTTAATTGACATGTTTACGCCGTTGATGAGGGGGTTCTGGTCATCATCATCATCACTATTTCTACTAAACTCTTCTCAAAATGCCTTCAGAACAAGTCAAGCGCTATGTTATAGTTGGTATGGGCGTTCGCTCTGCCATGTACTATCAGGCTATCATCCAGGACTTCAAGGATGTAGCCAAGCTAGTCGGCATTTGCGATACCAATCAAACGAGAATGGACGTTGCAAATGACCACATTGTTGAGTTGGGAGGTGAAAAGGTGCAAACCTACAAAGACACCGATTTCGACAAGATGGTCCAAGAGCAAAAGGCAGATGTTGTCATCGTCACGACAATTGACCTCTTCCACCACCACTACTGCATTCGCGCTATGGAACTTGGCTGCGATGCCATCACAGAAAAGCCGATGACCATTGACGAGCATAAACTCCAACAAATGGTCGACGCGGAGAAGAAGACGGGTAAACAAGTCCGCGTTCTCTTCAACTACCGTTACGCTCCCCATCACACCAAGGTCCGCGAGCTCATTGACTCTGGCGTCATTGGAGAAATTTCAACAGTGCACATGGACTGGATCCTCGATTGTGCCCATGGCGCAGACTTTATGCGTCGCTGGCATCGTCACAAGGAAACTAGCGGTGGTATCCAAATGCACAAATCCATCCACCATTTTGACCTGGTGCATTTCTGGCTTAACACTGAACCAGAGCTCGTTTACTGTCTCGGTGATCTTCGTTTCTACGGAAAGGAAAACGCTGAGCGACGAGGAGAGAAGAATCTTGGTGAGAGGTACAAGAACAACGATGATGCAAAGAACGATCCCTTTGCGTTCCAGCTCGACGACAACGAACGCATGAAGAAGCTGTATCTTGAGGCTGAGCATGAAGATGGATACATTCGTGACAGAAATTGCTTCGGGGAGGGCATTACGATTGAGGATAACCTGTCCATGATAATCAAGTACAAGAACCGTGCTGTCATGACATACAACACCTACGCCTACGCCCCTTGGGAAGGTTACAGGTGTGTATTCAACGGAACAAAGGGTCGTATCGAGATCAACGTCGTCGAGAGCGGATACAATCCCCTTGGTGATCCCGTCACGAAAGATGCATCTGGAGAGGATGAGAAGTACATCCAAGGTGGTGTCGAACAGACCAAGATCGTTGTGTATCCCATGTTTGACAAGCCATATGTTGTGGATGTTGTGAAGCAGGAGGGTGGGCATGGAGGAGGAGATCCTGTCTTGTTAAAGGATGTTATCCTCGGTGATCAGAAGGACAGCTTCAAGAGAGCTGCTTATATCAGAGATGGTGGAAATGCGGTTCTTGTTGGTGTTGGAGCGAATCATAGTATGAAGAGTGGTATGCCAGTCAAGGTTCAGGATTTGGTAAAGTGGTAGATACCGAAGTAGCAGTACAAGTAAATAAATCGTCAAAAAATATGCTATTGTTTAATTGAGCCAATATTGTTGCCAGTCCAAAGATGAGGTATAAAAACAATGCTTTTGATATTTTACAAGGCTGTTAAAAAGAGTCCACGGACAACGCAACCGGCCCACCATTCTGTACAGTAACATCTTCAAATTCCTGCTCTCCATTCCCAACTTCCATAATTCCAGAAAAGATGTCTTCCATTCTCACATCCCCCGCCTGTCCCATATTATCCGGTGGGGAACCAAGCAACTCATAAGGCCAGAAAGGCAAACCACCAGGGTCATTGAAGTGTGACGAGTCCAACAACGGCATATCACTAAAATCCAACGGTGCAATATTCGTAATTTCACACAACGCAGCTGTCAGGTCAACAGGGAACGACTGTTTGTTGTTGAAGAACGATTCCTGGTCTATCGTAATAGCATCTTGAGCCTGGACATGGTCTTGCAAATCGGTCGATACGATACCGCTTTGAGTTGCGAGGTTATCTGGTATGAGATCCTTGTTCATTGCGGAAAAGCGTTTGCTCGACTCGTCGTCCATCGTTAACATGGAAGTTGGCTGTGATCTCGTAAAAGCACGACCAGCTTTTCTCAATGACGGTGGAAAGTCGCACTCATCTGGTAGTCGTCCATTGCTGATGCTCATATCAAGGGTCATAACAAGCCTCAAGTAATAACTTGGCTTGTTCTTCAACATGTCGAGATAACTACTCGGTGATGAATCTTCCTCTGTACTGAACGGTGCAGGTGATCTTTGTTGGGCGAGCTCAACAACATGACGAATAGCGCGCATGACCCAGTCTGTGATGTAATACTTGTTCTTGTAGCTCTTCATCTGCTTCACAAGATTGTCGACGTGTTGTTGTTTTCGCGTCAGTGTGCCACCTTCTTGGGCTATGGACTTTTGCTTGGGACGGAGAAGTTCGACGTCGATCATTTGAAGGGCTAGAGGAAAAGCCGTGCATCCGATGCTGGCAATGTTAGTACTGTGAGCGAATATGGCGAGGGATTGACGTACGCTGTCATGGGAAGCCATCGAGACAAGCCCAGACGGTCAAATTCGAGGAGACATTCTGTCACGCGTGATGCCGAACCTTGAAGATCTTCACTCTGTCGCCGGAGTTGACCTTCTGATTGAGATGGTGGCAATAGACTGGATCGGAGGATATTGTAGTGGCAGACCGATAACCGAGCAGAGCTGTACCTCTTAGTCTTGGCCAGAAAGTTGAGAAGCTGTGACTCACTGATAATACATCTCGATGAGATTCTTGAACAGAATAATAGACTCGGTCTGTGACCCATCTTCCGTCATTCTCTCCTCAAGAGTTGCTTTAGTCTCGGTCCACGCGTTATACCACCTCTTCAACTCAATCTGACACAGACTCGCATCCTTAGCCACCTCCATCCTTCCCGAAAGCATCCATGACGGATTATTGTAAAGAACAGAAACAACCGACAAAACGTCTGTCAACACAACGCAAAGATCCACCAACTTTGCCAAAAGCTCCGCATGGAGTGTTTTCGTGGTAGAATCGTAAACATCAGAGTTATACAGCTCATCGCAAAGATCCGCGCTTCCAAGCACTGAACACCCCGAGAAACTAAAATTGGCGGGTGTAATTTTTATATTTTGCCTCGAAGTGAGTGGAAGTAATCTGTCGCAGATGATGCAACACCACCAGAGTCGTTTAAGGGTATTGCGGGCTTTTTGCACCTTTGCGACTTCTGTGTCACGGCTCGGGCGGAGGGATGAGTAGCAGTGGGCTTTGGCGACGCGGGCGTAGGATATGGCGATGCCGAGCCAGATTGAGCCCAAGGGTTTGTTGCCTGCGATGCAGCGCGGGATGAGGTGAGTGTGGGCGAGAAGAAGGGATGCTTGGGCTATAGCGATGCAAGACTTTTCGCAGCTGAAGTCGTAGAGGAGCTGGGATTGTTAGTCGTGGTCGGAGAATGCGGTGAAGGGTATACCTTTGCTCGTCGGTAAAATGCGAGTTTGGCTTGATGGACATCTGGGAAGCCCAGCATTTTAATTGTTTCGGCAGACACAAACTATCACACGTCAGTCCAACCCTTCTAGACCAGAACAATGCTCTTACTCCAGAAGAAATAAACAGTACACCTTGCAAGACCAGCATAGGCATCTCATATTCCACATCCCCATCCACCGAATTATACGAAAGCCAAAAGTCCTTCTCGTTCAATATCGGAAGCATCGGATGTACATGTAAAAAATACTGCCTTAAAAAGTCATCCAGGGCAGCTCGTTGCGGGACAATAAAACAGCCCTGGCTGACAAGAAATGCGAGGTCTTGAGGGAAGACGTCTTTGGTGTCGGGGACCTGAAGGAAAGCGTAATCGGGATGACATGGCGGGCCTGACAAAGGAGCGACATTTTGGGAAATGGATGATTCGGGAAAAGATGAAGAAGATGCGATCGATGCGGGAGGTGGTATCGTTGTCGCCGTCGTCGTCGGTGTAATGGGTAGAGGTTGTTGGAATGAGGGTTCATCGGGCTTCTCGGTATCCTGGGTTGGTCGGGGAGGTACAGGTCCGTTCGGTCGCAATTGAGGAGTTGTTGATCTAAAAAATTAATTTAATGGCTAAAAGGTAGTGATTGGGGTACTCACATTATTCCATGTCGTCGTTTAAACGTACAGACCTTGTCGTTGTGTCTACAATTGACACAAGGACCAGAAGGATCCTCGATAATACAGCGTACTTTGCGCGCGCGACAGAGGTTGCAAGCCCGGGAGACTCTTTTTCTTGTGGGTTTGGCCGGTTCCATCGTTGCTGTTTTGTACTTGACGAAAGGAACTCAAAGACCGAGGTTGGGAAAGATGTTGGAGTCAAGTTCACAGCCGATGAATGTCTTTGGGAAAGAAAATAGCGGTACGTCAGTCAGTTCCGAATCGAATTGCCGATGTCATCCCCACAGATCGAAGATGGTTCCCCGCAAAATTGTAGTGACGCTAGAGATGAAAGAGGTTTGGGTGGGAGCGGGCCCAGACCAGAGGGAGTCAAGGACGCTACAGGGTGGCGATGGCATAATTGTTAGCTTAAGCGAGGGAGCCTATCATGTCAATGAATTGGTCATGTTGAAGTTTGCCGATGAAGAATTGACGAAGAAAGGCATTGTTTAATTAAGTTTAATAGTTAATTGAGGCTCAATTACCGTAGGTGGATAGCCATGAGATGGTTGCAGAGCAAGTAGTTCAACGCAGCGTGCGGAATTACCTATAAATCCGCCATGTAGCCTGGTCTATCCCAGGGCAACAAATGGGGTCCGTGTTGACCCTGGCTTTCATTCATTGTTCGGACATAACTGTCTGCTACGTTCCCTTACTACCTATTGTAAAGAGTAACTATATAAACTCGCGTATCATGATTTCTGCAACTCAAGACCCCAAACACGCAGTCAGCAGCGGGGTAGATAACCACAAAGCTGATGATGCCATCGAATTGTATTTATCCGCCTATCAGGCTCACTACTTCTCCGTCCCATCTCAGATCATCTCGACTGTCTGACCATCGGAACGAGTACATAAAACAAGCAAGCCTCTGCAATCTCTTTTCTTTTCTTTTCACCCTCAGTCAAACCAATCAAGATGACATCCAACCAACTCCCCCCACAACTCAAGGCCTCTCTCGAGGCATCCAAATGCGAGTATCGCAATCTGGGCAAGTCCGGTCTTCGTATTTCAGTCCCTATTTTTGGGTGCATGAGCTTTGGAGACAAGAGAGTTCTTCCGTGGGTTATTGGCGAGGAAGAGGTATGATGTCTCACTTGATCATCGTCATCCCCGCTAACGACGCGTCAACAGGCACTTCAGCTCCTCAAGGCAGCGTATGATCGTGGCCTCAATACTTGGGACACCGCAAACACGTACAGCAATGGTGTTTCAGAGGAAATTGTCGGTAAAGCATTGAAGAAGTTCAATATTCCTCGTCACAAGGTTCTCATCTTGAGTAAATGCCGCTGGGCCGTGGGCGAAGAGCCAAGTAGATACCCCGTCCAGTGATGCTGTCCAACCTTCTGACAATGTCTCAGGTGCGCGTCACATCAATTACAAACCTGAATTCGAAGCCTCAAAAGACTACCAAAACCAATATGGTCTCTCGCGCGCCGCAATCTTCAACCAAGTCGAAGCATCCCTCAAACGTCTCGATACCGACTACATCGATTTGTTGCAAATCCATCGGTACGATGAATTGACCCCCCTTGAAGAAACCATGAAAGCGCTTCATGATCTGGTTCAATCGGGCAAAGTCCGATACATCGGTGCGAGCAGCATGTGGGCGACACAATTCGCTCGAATGCAATTCGTCGCTGAGAAAAATGGCTGGACGCAATTTATCAGCATGCAGAATCACTACAACCTTCTCTACCGCGAGGAAGAACGTGAAATGATCCGATACTGTAATGACACAGGCGTGGGCATCATTCCCTGGGCGCCGCTCTGTCGCGGGCATCTGGCCAGACCGCCAGCTCAATTTGGGGCTACAGACCGAAGCAAGAGTGAAAAAGAAAGTTCAGGTGAGCTGTCAGATGTTGACAATAAAATCATCGAGAGGGTAATGGAGATTGCAGAGAAGCATGGATGGCCTATGGCACATGTGGCGTTGGCATGGATCAATCAGAGGATTACGAGTCCAATTATTGGATTTAGCAGTGTTGAGAGGATCGAACAGGCTATTGATGCAAAGGGAAAGAGTTTAAGCGAGGAGGAGATCCGGTATTTGGAAGAGTTGTATGAGGCCAAGTCTATTTCTGGACACAGTTAAATGCGATAGGGCTGGTTCATGCTGTTGTTTTACGCAGAGAAATGTTTATACCATTTGCGCATTGCGATTTACGAAGCTATGGTTCAATTGTAGGGGCCGCAATTAATCTGACAGTCCGACTTCGGCAGATGTGTCGGCTAGTTTAGTCCGGATCGGTACCTTTGCACGGCTATCTACAAATTAGCCTGCCGGGAGGCTTGGTCCGTAAGCTCCAGGGTACAAAGACCAATAGCCTGAGACATCTCACCCAAGTAGTATAAACTGACCTACCATATTCGTTCCCAGGTGCAGTTATCCTGATTGCCGGGCTGAGTCGTTCTGATTGCCGGGCTGAAATGCTCTGATTCCCGGGGTTAAGACACGGCTGGTATAACCTAATGCCCAGTGGGCATTGCCCACTAACCAGCCCCTCCCCACCCCGATCATCTGTGTTCCACAGGTTCTTAAATCCTCCCGTTTCCGTCCCAAGTGAAGTTAACATCAAACCATCATTGTCAAACATCAAGATGACCGTTTCAATCCCTTCTTTGCAGAAAGCAGCTGTCATCAAGAACCCTGGTGACGAAGCGCGAATCGTCATCCGATCAGATGTCCCAGTTCCCAGCCCTGGTAAAGATGAGATTTTGATCAAGCTGTCCTGCACTGGCGTTTGGTAAGCAAGACAAGGTCAATCAGGCTCATTACTGACTTTCTCAAGTGGCTCAGAGTGCCGTGCCCTTTCAGGATGGGGCCCCTACAATCCTATCGTTGGTCATGAAGGCGTTGGAACAGTCGTCAAACTGGGCCAAGACGTTGACGCCAGCTTCCTCAACAAAAGAGTTGGCGTCAAATGGCTGTACAGCGCCTGCGGAGAATGCACAATCTGCAAGCGGGGCTGTCAGAACAACTGTCCGAAGCAGCTCAACACGGGCAAGCACGTTCCTGGCACTTTGCAGGAGTACATGGTCGCAGATTCCAGGTTTGTTACCAAGATTCCGGACGGGATCTCGGACGAAGTAGCTGCTCCACTACTTTGTGCGGGTCTCACCATGGCCGGGGCTGTTTCCGAACTCGACGGTTACGTCGAGAGTGGTGAGTGGGTTGTGGTGTCTGGTTCGGGCGGTGGTCTGGGACACTTGGGTGTCCAGATAGCGAAGTTGTTGTTTGGGGGTTACCGAGTAATCGGTATCGACACCGGGGACGCAAGACGAAAGGTGAGCCTGGACAGTGGTGCCGAGCACTTCATCGACTTTGCCACCGAGAACGTTGAGGAGAGGGTCAAGGAAATCACTGGGGAGGGAGCAGCAGCTGTTATTGTGGTGACTGGTTCTCAAGAGGCTTTCATCCAAGCTCCAAACTTGGTGAGGAACATGGGAATCATTGTCATGGTTGGATTGCCGAGGAATGACTTCAATATTCCCATCTCGGCGTCTGTCTGCTCGGCTCGAGGTAAGTACTTCCCACGACTTGATGAGTTTACTCATAGCTAACCATGCTTCAAGGCCTTACTGTTACTGGTGTTTCAGTTGGCACAGAGGGACAGATGGAGGACATTCTGCATCATGCAAAGAAGGGCATCATAGTTCCAAATGTCACAGTAGTCGGATTTGACCAAGTCGGAAAGGTCATCGGGGATCTTCAACAACAGGCAGTCACTGGAAGGGTAGTTGTCAAGATTTCATAATTTCCATCAGTAGCATTACGCACAATTTATCCTACATATTCATCTCTCCTCAGTTGTTGAAAACCTTGTCGTTGATGGCAATCACCAAAGGAAGATATTCCTTGTGGTTGAGGTAATCGATGTAAACCACGTTCGGAAAGGCCTTGTCAGTGACCTCAGGCAAAAGCCTCAGGTAAAGCTCCTTGTTACACTCTCGAGCAAGAAACTTGATCGGCTTGATTGAATCACCCACTTTGTCAGCGAAACTTGTGACGCTTCCAGCCCACGCGGGCACCTGCTGTGTCAAAGTCCAAGAGATTAGGAAGAGTCTCTTGTCCTTGGATGACATGTGGTGCTTCATCTTCTCAATTTGATCGTTGACCATGTACTCTGTTTCATCTTTGTTAGAGTATTCGTTTCGGACGTTGAACTGGGAAGACTTGTAAAATCCCTTCTTCGCGTAGTCACCCAGACTCATGCTACCCCATTCCTCGATGATGCATACGACTGCTGCTTTTCCATTGCCGATAAAGTCATCAAGCTTGACAGAACTAAGGTTGTTGGCTTTGGACTTGTCTTCGATGATATAACGATGCTCCAGCTTGAGAAGTTCCTCCATAAGCTTGTGCCATTCCTCCTTGTTGAACTCGCGCCACTCTTCGACGTCGCTCTGAAGAGAGTGAGAGAAGTTGATGATGATCAGTTCACCGTTGTTCTTTGTGAACTTGTTGACACCGTCGATGATACTGGAGATGGATTCTCCTCGAGCACCGACCTTGCCGGTGTAGTGACCAGTGCACCACTTTCCCTTGTAGAGTTGGGGACGAATGTCAAAGTATCTCGCTCCCAGCTCGAGCTGTCCATGGATGTCCTCTGACTGACACAATACATACGGATCGATAGGACTGACCGGAACAAGAGAGTGTGAGGTAGTTGACATGGCACTATCATGAGTTCCCAGCAAACAAAGTTGCGAAAGAGGACGTTTACCCAAAGTTCCTCTGCATTGTTGCATCCAGTCCATGGGCGGGTTGGTAGTGTGAAACTCATCCTGTGTGCCAGACAGAACGAAGGTAATGCATTCGTCATGTCGCCAGCCAAGTTGAATCTCAGAACCCTTGGAATTACCGACTGCTTCAATAGAGTCGAGCTTGACCCAGAGTCTTTCATCGTCGTCGCGGACATGAATGGTGAAGCTGCATTTTGTGCCCTCTAGGGTATACTTGACAGATCCACTTGTATCGGAACGCTTTTTGAACGCTCCCTGACTGAACTCGACGTAGATTCTGGGTACCTTTCCTATCAATTGGTGAGATTGAGGGTTGAAGAATGAGGAGGTTGGGCTTACCAGCTTCAATGACATCCGGGAAATCCCAAGACTTCATCTGATAGCTCATCTGGTCTGACCGTTTCCAACGGTACGGCGTACCGTTTACGAGAATGAGATAGCCACCGTCACCCATGTTGCACGACTCTTTCTGGTTACACTGAATTGGTTATGCGTTGCACAAGTGATGGAAGAGAAAGCAATCTCGCGACATGGTATCAATCTGGTCTGATTGCGAAGCTTGCACAGCCTCATCAGCCGAGACTAAACTCATTTCGTCCAGGGTCTGGTATGGAGCTGAAAGTGAGGAGAGCTTTGCCGAATCATAGAGAACCATTTGAAAGAAAACCCCGCTCCAAGGCTGAATATCCCGGCTAGTCCAAAGAGATAAAACACAATCTGTCTCGGCGGGGGCTGAGTTTTCACCGCCTACTCTTTTGGATAATGTCAGCTTCGCTAGCCTCAGGGTATCAGAAAAATTAACCGCTGGAAGCATAAGAGACGAAATTAGTAGGCCATTTTGTGCCCCTTGGGCTATAGTCTCAGACTACTTGTTTTTATACCCTAAGACTTGGGTGGCCATCTTTTCTGCTACCCAGTAGACTGGTCTTGTTTAATTGCTGTACTGCCACTATTCTGAGGGATCGTTCAATGGCGATTTCCCCTTTGGGTTTGATGACTGCATACATTGAATCCTACTTACGGGGTTAGTCGCGGGGTTAAGCGCCAGGAATAGCAGGCGATTCCGTTCATCAGCCAGTAATTTTCTCTCTTCACCTCAAACTACTCTTTGCCTTACCATCCCAGGGGCGTCGTTCTCGGCAACACATATTTTCTCCGTAGTATACAGAATATTAGTGTAAACGATTCCCCTTGCTAGTCGCTCAACTCGGCATCTTTTGCCAAACTCGAAAATGGCGGGTCACAAGTTAACGCCTGCTGCTATGGCAAGTAGTTTACTCTTGGGACTATTACTTGCCATTGGACATCATTTCTATTACCTTTACCTTGACGGGAGGATTGTTGAAAGCCAGAGTCAGCAGCAGTGGTTTTTGAGAGCAGGCACTGGTTTGGCCTTTTTAGTGAGGGCCTTTCTATCTGCAGCCGTGGGAATCGCATATACGCAAATATTATGGCGAACCCTGAGATCGAAACCCATCACTGTTCAGGGAGTCAACTCACTTTTTGGCGTCGTCCACAATGCGTGGGACTTTATTACGTGGGAACTTTGGACTGCTGCCCCTTTACTCGCAGTAGTGGCTATCATCGCATGGTACGATATTGTATGTCCAACATGTTCCACAATACCTTATTAACTCTACTTAAAGGGCTCTTCCGCTTGTTGCTGTTGTCACCCCGGCTACTCTTACTGTCCAAGTCTCCTCCCAACCAAATATCACAGTCCTTGACGCTCCAATTCCAATTCCCGATTACAGCAACTTTGCGACCTATGGCGAGTACACGGGCATGGGTGGAGGTGGAATTCTCGTTCCATCAACCTATATGTCGAGACTGATTCTATCAGTGGTGTCTTTGGGCTCTATCTTGACTGTGCCAGCGCCATTTCCGAATTCATCATATGCTCTCGAATTCTATGGCCCGACAATATCCTGCTATACTCCGAAGAACGCGACATTTCTGAAACAGGTGGACAAAATTATTCAGGAGAAAGATTCCTATTCAGCCACATTATACGCTGCCTTTGTACCCAGTTTCAGTCCTTACCGTTCCTATTCCAAGATTGAAGAATATGCATTGCAGGGCTTGAAAGATGCATTGAATAGTTCCGCACTATCTTCACCGTCGTACATAGACGAGACGTCAGCCACAAACGCAGACAGGCTCTATGTGGTTGTGCCAAGTATGGCATACCCACCCAAAGCAAATACGGCAATCGAGTGCCAACTCCACAACGCATCTATTGCGCTGAACTTTACATTCACCAACGGCCAGCAGAACGTCAAATACAAGTCCAAAAAACTTAATTCGGTGACGCACGTCGGCAAAGAAACGCGCTACGGTGAGGACCTCAAGCATTGTAACGCTGCTTATGCCTATGGGTCGCTTTTTAGTGCTATGGGCCAATTCCTTGTTGGTCACCTAACCGAGAATCACTACGGCAGGCTATTTTCCACGTGGACGCAGATTAGAAGTTCTGTTCTTATGGATACCAAGGAGATGCAGAATGTGAACAAAGACACGCCAGAGTCTATGATTGGAAATATCTCCTTGGCTAATGCGCTGGAAGACATATTTGCAAACGCCACAATCAGTATGTTCAGCAATCCGAAGTTTATGTAAGTTTTCATCTGAACCCCTATCGAACGAACCTGATTTTGCGTTTGCTACTAGGCAAAACAATACTGCTGCATCCCGTGGCCCAGTTACTTATTATTCTGCACAAAACGAATTCTCGTATGAACCTCGCAACCTTTTTCTTGCATACGGAATAGGCCTTCTCCTTTCTTCCATCATTGTCATAGTTGGGCTGCTATGCATCAAGTCTGCCTCAGCATCCTATGAAAGTGTCTTTTCAACTATTCTACGAACGACAAGAAACCCTGACCTCGACACTATCGTTCCTACAGCAGAGACTACAGGGGCAGAACCTCTTTCGAAACATCTAAGCAATGTCTGTCTGATATTACGTCGACAAGGAGGAGGACCCGAGAGTAGTAGTGATGAAAGAGTGACGTTCTTCGCTGTGGAATCCAAGTCGGACGATATGAAGGGGGAGAAAATATATTCTCCAGCTGAATCTTTGCTACGGCAGGACGAGACGAAAACACAAGCGGATACGATTGTTGAAGGCTCAAGTATAGATAACGAGTCACCATGGGAAAGGAACAGAGGTCGGAATCTTGAAATGTCCAATTACAGGGAGGCTATAAGGAGAGGCTGAGATACATAATATCACAAGACTTTTCATTCCATTCTATTTGTAAACATAACCGTAACCCAACGACATAAACCGCACACTAAATAAGCTTTTTGTAGGTCCTATAAACCTGACCCTCATGGAGCCCTCCCAGCACTCCTTTCAGACGCCCTGGTTATCCTGTTGTAATCCTCAATTTGAGCCACGGCGACAGCCAGTAATTCTTCAATTACCTCATTTTCTAGATGTTTTTTGTAAATGCTGATAATTCCATTGGTTTTACTCTCGTCGATTGTTACTAATAAAACAAGACCCTTGTTGTTCTTGAGTTTCCAACAAGCTTTCGTGCTCGTACTCTTCCAGTATAAGCGTCCGAGACCGCCCGCAGCATCGTATTGCCGCGAGGAGTCGTGTGTTTTTATTTTGAGTTTATAATCGGCTTGGGTCAGGTTGATTTGGATTCTGGGTGGCATAGATTGTTGTTTGATGCAAGCGATTCGCTGTACTTTGTCGGTGGTGGAGTATACTTCGAACTTGTGTCCCCGAGCACCGCCACACTTGGTGAGTCGCTTAATCGCATATCGAGGAAGGTGTTCACCGGGCACGCTCAGTGTTTGCATTTCTTCGGCCCATTTGTCGTATTGGAGTGTGAGGGTAGGCTCGTGAGTGATAATTCGACCGTCCGGTCTCACAGCGAACTTAACGAGTGAATCAGCGCCCATAGTGATAACTTGACGGCTAGTAGATGTATATACAGATGAGCAAGATGTTGAAATATAAGCCGGGCGAGGACGAGAAACTTATACCTATTGGACGAGTTACAAAAGCATCACAAATTAAACGTTGGACGGTAAATGATCGATCAATCTGAAGTCGTAATCCAACGTGCGCAGCTAAAACAACTCTAAGTTCGACATAAACATCAATTTAAACGTGCCATCCAGTCTAGACCTCCACTTTTAACCAGTCAAGCAATGGCATTGAAGTCGAGGCTTGCTAATGAAACTCAATCATGACTAGGGCTGAACTAATAAACCTTGTTGTATATCACAGCTTTGACATTGTCCACGAAAACCGTTAGACTAGATGTATTGAATAAATATAGTAACAAAGGATCGAGTATATGTCAAAGCGCACTCTGTTAATTAAAGATGTCCCAGCGTTGTAGAAGAAATCCCATTCACTTATGAAACGTTACTCTCAATTAGCTTTCTATGCAGGACGCATTACCCAATGAGCTTAACCATCATTTATCTAGTATCAACATGCTCATTCGATTTATCGACTAGTATCAAGCTATGTTTCCATTTGTTAACGACTTGAATTACTAATTAAGGGCTGATAGTTCAAGGAGGCTCGTATTCTTCATAACATCGCTCCCGGGATTTTCTCACTTCACCGACTTATGCCCTCGAAGTACATTCGGCATTTGATGGGAACACACGCAGTTCGAACCGATGACGATGTAGTGCCTCCAAAGCTCCGTAACAATTGTTGCTAATCTGAGTCGCCACGTTCTCTCCGCCATTTGTGTCACTTTCTTTATCGTCGTCGAATTGCTGTGTTCGGTTGACGTTGCCTGTGATGAAACTAGTGTTTGACCGTCCATACTGTACGGTGCTGTTTTTGTTCCCTTGGACCCGAGAGACGTTTCTTGGCCTCTTAGAGCCTTCGTGTAGCTGCTCCTGTTTAGCAATCGCCGCATTAACCATCTCGGCTATGTTATCCCCGACTTGCTGGTACGTTGGGTCGTCTGGTCGCGAGAACTTGCAAATTCGAGCATGGTCAGCGTCTAACCCGATTTGTTTCTCACGGTGACCTCCGAGTCCCAAAGTCGCCGATCTCGATCGACCACTAGCTACTCGGCGTTAGCTGCCTCTAACTCGAGAGTGTATGCCAGTAGCAATTTCATGCTTACCTTGCGAGTTCTGCGAAGAGGTCTCGTTTCGAAGAGGCATATGGATTACAAATCCTCAAGTAGTTGACTAAACTCCTCGGTGATCCAGGCGCGGAAACTCGAGCCCTGTGTTAGAGCTTCTGGGAAGGTTTTTGATACCGAACCTAATATAGCCCGGGCGACGAACGCAGCTGCAACCCCAGCGCCTGCTCCATTACCCCCCCGATGTGGTGTACCAAAGAAGACCACTCCAAACATTGCGTCAACGATATGAGAGTAGTTGCCGTTACTTCTAGCTATGGAAAGTGCCTATGGTTGTCATTCATGCCACAATCATGTCTGTAGGTTTTGGGATTACTTCCAGACGATACTTGTTCCTTGTCGATTTTTATGATTATCCGCACCCCACGCCGCGCCATATTCAGTTGGGTTGGTTTATTAGAACATGTCATCGACATACAATATTGGGCTACGACGGTGTCAGATTCTACAGATCTCCGAAGTCGGGTGCCCTGCGTGCACACAGAAGGACAAGTGCCAAAGGTGTGGCTGGTAGCTAAGGTTCCCAATACTCAAGCTCTACACTCCATTGTTTCATAAGATTGGCTAATCTGAACAAATGGCGTAATCAAAAGAGACAAACGCTGTGGCATTGTTCCTTGAAAACTTCTATTGTTCCATGAGCCAGCACAACGTCACGTCATTGTGCCGGGCCTGCATCCATCGCTGGTCACGGGTGCAATGTAAGACCAATTAACGAGAGGTGAACGTCGATCTGAGTCCGCCAAGTTATACGAAAAAAGGGATATAGAAGCCATTCCCTCCTACGGCCTATCGACATGCCGCAAATCATACGACAACGGTCAAAGGGGCTGAGCAAAAGTATTTCCCATGGTTCACCGCTGGTACTGAGGTCCTAGGATCAATGATGATAAGAAGAACATTCATTGATGCCTGAGTGTATCACCATTATCACCTTTCCATAAAAGTCAACAAAACTCCACTTGATAATTCAATTCAAGGGCTTTGTTTTGACACCTTCAATCTGGGGTTGAAATATGTGAGCCATTGACTATCTTGAACCGACACCTCCGCTCTCAGTGCTTCCAAGACTCATCCTTACAGTCGCCAATCATTTGCTAGCCGACTCTTCTAGAATAGCGACCATGGGAAGTAGGCTATATGCTTTCCCTATCAAGCTAGCTCTGATAAAATTTGCCATGTATCATGAGCGTAAGGCCCTGGGCGTTATCCAAGTCGCCAGGTCTATTTAATCAAGCTCCATTAATAAATAGATACAAGCTTATTCAGCAATTCTTCCAATGCAATATCCTAATAACAGTGTTAGTCATTCAAGCGAAGACTGTGTAATATTTAATAACCATTGGGTGCATACCCTTGCTCGACGCACTTCTTTCTCTTTTCCTTTACGGTGGTCTATTATTTCGCTCTCTAAACGGTCCCCGTTAGCCACAAACGCAAGCCCTACCACTAAGGAGCTCTGAACATGGCGAGCTTTATTGAAGAAATGATTGAAAACACCTGGTCTCGTGGATCTAAGAGGGAAGGCACGAAAAAAGAGGACCGCAAATGGGGCTTTACAATCTATCGGACCTACTACAGCGAGGAGTCCGATGAGGCCTGGCAAATGCTGTTGTACTCCCTCAGACACCAGACTAAATTGGCCTTCGGCGCTTTCGCAAAGGGAGCGGACGTTGAACATGACGTAGACCCAGATGACGTCCAACGACTGAAGGATCTATTCTATCTCGAAACCCGCGACGATCGTTCCCAATTAGAAGGACTTGATGTTCGAGATCTCCGGGAGTTCTGCAGAGATGAACTGTCCAAGGACAAAGAAATCATCGAGAAACTAGATAAAAGATCCTCTAAGTTTACAAGACCTAGAGAGACTCAAGGAATGGCAGATTGGGTGTTTGAATATGTTCTTCTTGCCGACGAAGCAGTCCTGAAGGATGTTGCAAGAGATGAACCTGTCGTTAAAGCCGTCTCAATACAGTGGATGGACGGAGATCCCAACTCGACGTGGGGCTGGATGAGGATTCCCACGGGCTATCTGCTAGAGTTATGGCATCACCTGTTGTTCAATGATCGCCAAACTAGCCGGGCGTTGCACTTCGATGGAGCGGAGGAAGAGCTTAAGACTCTCATCTGGGCTGGAGACATGGCCTGTAACATGACTGGGCTTTACTCTGAGATTCGCGATGGGCCGCATCCCTATGATAACCAAAGTTTGAGATGTCTCTCGTGAGAGTTACAGGAATAAGGAGAATAATCCAGACAACTCGCTCCTCAAAAGAGTGTTTGAGATTAGGCTCTGGAAGGATTGCCGGATCCCTATTCTCGCGGTCAGATCATATGACGACCCTCGGACTTGGCCAATACAGGGTGCGCACTCTTCTCCCTCGTGTCTCTTGAAACAAGCTTGGTGCAAACTGCTTCATCTAGTTGAGCGTGTTATCAACAAAAACATTCTTATCAGGTTCTTCGCTCTTTCAGCCTTCGGAATGTATGAGTTTGGATCATCCCAGAATCTATATACTTCTTGATGGCATTTGCTAACGAAATTTGCTAGGCTTAAGTCTGGTGTTGATTCCAGGTTTGGGCCCATACCAATGGTCTTTTGGGATAGGATGAGCGAAGTAGATTTGACACTGGAACCCGGTGTACTTGATCTTCCTGGAAGCGAAGGTGGTAGTTTCCAACTACCATGGATCATGGACCGCGCGTTCGAGTGCCTCGGAAGTGAGATAAATGATAAGGCTTTTGTACTTGTTGAGAAAGCTATCAGTGATGCCAAAAACAAAGTAAGTCTCTTGAGTAGTTCTGTCTTGTTCTTTCCTTACTCCTTCACTCCCTTTTCCTCTTCGCCTATCTTTATAGATACTACTTTTCAATACTTATTGTTTCTTATGTATTTTTGCCATCTATTGGACGCTCATTAAAGTAATTAGAGTTTCCATAAAGAGGGAAATCGAACGGTCGGCGCGTCGTCACTAAGAGGCTACCTGGAGAGGAAGAAGGGAATGTCGGATAAAGACATCCAGAAAAGCGGAAAGATAGCAGTGAACCGAATTCGTGACGGCTTCATTGCCTTCATCTACATAAACAGATGTCGATCAGAATTCAGCAAGACCATGAAGGACATTTATTTGAACTTCAAATTTGCCGAAAATGTCTACAACGAAAGGTACAAAAATAAACCGGACTCTGAGAAGGTACAACTTGCCGACTTCATGTCAAAGAAGTTCAAGTGAAACACGAGGGCCCAGATCAAAGAGGCACGAGCAATTTTGGATGGTGTAAGCGATGATCTGGCGAAAGCGGTACTTTGACAATATGGTGCATTTTGAGCAAACGCTGGATAAAAATCCCAGTCAAGGCAGGGTTAACCCTAAAATCTTTGAGGATATCAAGGATGAGGACGCAGAGATGGGAGGCACTTGATGAAACTAGATAGTTAACACGAATTCTATCCTATTTTAACGACTTCGTATTTGCTATCATACACAGCCATGCACGATTAAGTGAATCAGTTGCGAATTCGTGTCGCGATCATCAATTCAGCCTTGTCTAGGCAAGGTAGATATGCAAGAGGTGGTAAGCGTTGATGGAGGATGAATTGAAGGATGACAACGCCTGGAAAATCGGTCTAATGGAACTTTACAGTTTCGTCACATGTAGATCATATCAACGGATCGAAGCAGAAAGCGTGAAAGCCGTGTCAGAGAAAGTTCCCATCTCTATTATCGCATTGTCAATTTATTTCCAGAATACCACGCCAACTCCATTTCGGCTTCCGATCCACACACCACCGTAATGGCCGAAGTCAGATATGGCTACTGTCCAAACACTAATGCGCGTACTTCAATGCTGTCACGCTGTACCGCGTCTGGCCTAGATCTCGGATCTTCAAAAGCCGTATGCGCCAGTCTCGCACCTCGAGCCCCTTCTGCGTTCAGGCCATGGCCATCACAACAATGCAATAAAAAGCCCTCGTCTGAAGTCATTCCACTCAGGTAGCTCCATGTCTGCCTTCCATTAAACTTGACACCTGCTGTCTGTCCAGTATACCCATTATGGTACTTGTGGTGAATGGGAACTATGTCCTCATCTGCAACGCTGGGCGATGGAGCAAAAGCCAAGGAACAAGATTCCACTGGTCCATTATTGAAAGGCATCCAGATGTTGATGATACGATATCTGCCTTTCAGCAGCGTATCGGCCCCTTCTGGAAGATGCTTCCTGACTCTTTGGATCACGGATGTCGCGGTTAGGTCAATGTGTACCCTCGTGACCGGATTTCGAGCCGCCTCTTTATTGACGCGACGGATATTATGGTCGAAGAAGACAACCTTGCGGCTTGCACAGATAAGCTTTAGAAAGATCTTTTCTAGCTCTGGATAGTAATTGACTCAAACAGAGTCATCATCGACAAAGTCCCGCTCAGTTGAAGGAGGAAGTGCCTGGACCAGAGCGACACCATCACGGTCCGGATCCACCATCTTGGATTCGTGGCCCGCAGATTACGAATAACGACCTGCCGTGTATCGTCTGTATAGCCGCGTTCGGGAAGGCCATGGGAGACATTGATATTGACGGCGTTAGATCCGTCCTGGGGGGCCTTGAAGAAGTTCAGTTTTGCAAGAACATCGCCACGAGGTATACTAACGTTGGAACTCATGATAATTTAAAATCGTGATGAACTAACGGATAGATTCTTTGAGTGTAGAGTTTGGGGTTAATTGTAAATATACGTCTTATCTGTGTGCGCGCTTTAATCTTGTGATTTGCATTGTCTCTAACAAAATATGAGTTTAGCTAAGCTGATGTCAGCAGCCAAACAATTTGGGGGATGCACTAGGTGTTATCACTACGCTTAGTGTTGCCAACATGGATTTACATGACCCAATTGTGGCTAACGCAGTTGGCAACGAAGGAAAAGCTACAGGATCGTTGAAATCAGGCAACTTGGTGGTAACCGTCTTTTGCTTTTGAATTTGATACCACCAGTAATTATATTTCTTATGTTGGCCTTTTGTTTCGCAAAGGGTTTTACAACAGAGTGGCAACGAGGTGTACGATTGGTTTCTGGAAAGCAACCAGATCCATATGCAGCTGAGAGCATTAGGTACGAGTTTACGAAGATGAAAATTGTATGGATAGAATAAAATTGTGAAAGAATGACGACGATTTGCGAGACGATGGAAGAACCTGTCAACTGCCAGCAAGAACTTGAACCCTGAGAGGCCCGCTCTCTCCATCATATGGTAACCTCATGATACAGTATCTTGTGTTCAATGCTCTAACCCTCTGCTTAACTTCCGTTCTCCTGGCAGTTGACATACCACGTAGCTGTGAAAGGAAATCATCTGAGTTACAAACTAAATACAGTGTTGCCGCTGGCGTTCCCCATCTTTCGGGCTCCAGGACACTCAAAGACTTGCGAAGAATTGCCGTCGCAATAACAACAAGCACAAGAAGCATGAAACATAGCACTCCAATGCTTATCCAAGTGCAAATATCAAACGTTGACCACGTGATTGCGTTGCTAAATGGGATGTTGGCGAGTGCTATCGGCAGAAAGTCACTGAAGATCGTGACTAAAGAAACAAGGGCCAGAATTTTATGTCCGTGGCGGAGGTACGTTATAACTCCCTGGTAGGGACTCGGTGATAGCGGCATAAGGACGGAGTGCTTAGCACTGAATGGTTTTTGCGAAATTTCAAACGCAGGATGAATCCCGGTTAACTCTGCAAAAATCAGCATGAAGGTTCAAATCCATGTGCCTCAAAAAAGCTAGCCAAGAGACAGTTACTTACCCTGAAAGATAGCAGCCCATCCAAATCCAATAATCAAACCAAAAACAGTAAAGAGAAATCTGACTCCAAATGTGCTTTGAGAATCCATAAACCTCTCAAATCCAGTATTGTCGTCGGTAAGTCGGTAGTAGAGAATCAATATACATATTCCAATAATGAACATTGCAAACCCGAGAATCATCAAAACACTCAATAGCATCGATCGGGTGGACGACTGCGTAGTGTTTACCTTTGTTGTCGTAGACTTAGCCAATGGAGACTGATCTTGAGTATCACCGTTTGTAACAATGATTCCATATTCTTGTTCTCCAGACAAATAGGTTATGTGCCCAAATTCGAATTTATGCTTTCCTAATGTTGAGCTGGCTTCGTCTAGCAAGAACATTCCATCAGATCCCGTGGGAAGTCTGCGCATCAAAGCTGAGAGATATGGGTTAATAGCAAGACTTGCCATTCCTAGAATACTGCGTGGATCGAATGAGACCCCAAGTCTTCTCCTGCTTACTAATACCAGGTATACAAGATTTAAGCATGCCATAAAAGCAAGCAGTGCCTGGGCTATCCGGATCACGGGATCAGAGGCTTGAAGCACCGCTGTGCAATGATCCGTCCAGTCCTGCAGACATCCTCCTTGTAGTTTGAGATGAACGGCTTCAGCAGCTAAAGGGATCAACAAAGCTGAGCTGTACTTGAGAACGGTTGAGAGAGTAACAGCAACATGCCCGTTGAATAACCCAGTAATCGAAGACAGGAAACCATGGATACCACTGTAATGGAGAAGAATCGTGTTCGATGCTGTTCCGCCACCGGGTGTTGCTAGTTGAGCGAATGGCTCCAGAGTCTTCGTCTCGGTATCCAGCACTTTCCAAAGGATGGAGAAGAGCGATGCCACTAAAGTGGGTACAAACGTGCCGATGAAGTATGATGTTTGGGCGGATAACCATCCATCATCGCCAAGTGAAAGCCACCCAATATTCGGAGCTGGAGCAGTTGGACCACCTCCCCTTTTAGCCAATGGCTCTGATGTGATGTCGGAGTATGCAGCACTCATGTCCGAGGTTTGGGCGGGAACAAACGTATAAGTTGAGGTGGCGCTTGATGAATCATCTGTTGTGACATCTGTCTGTGATCCTGGAAGTGCAAGGCTTGCCGACTCAAGAAGCAAGATAAGTGCCAAAGTGAGAGCAAGGTATAACAGTAGAGTTGGGGTTCGTAACGATAGTGGTTTCCATCTTGGTTTGATTGACTTTAGGTGTCTCTTTGTTATCTTTGTCCAGATGTGTGAAAGACAAACATAAAATAGTAAACCAGCGATTACCAATAAGAAAGGAACCGTAGAAAGCGCTGCAAAGATCCTCGATGATCCGGGGATTGTGTAACCAATTGTATTAGAGCTTCCATTGGCGGATGCTGCGCCAGCCATGATCAATAAATAGTGGATAATCAATCCGACGAGGGTTTGAAGGAATATCTGTTTTGTTGTTTTAATTACGATTGTTGCTCTGTGTCGATAGGGCTTCCAGTAGTATCATCCAGCATGGGCAGCTGCAGTTCCCCAAGCTGTTTATAGAGATGTAACCGGGTAACAACTGGTAGATTTTGAAGTGATTTTATGGCAATATGTAAAATAAAAGATGGTTGCGATACGCCTAACTACTCATATCAGCTGGGTAGATAGCTCATCTCGCGTTATGCCAGTCAAGGCCTCCTATTCGACGGTTTCAATTCGAAGTCTATAGCAGCGACTGGTCTATTGAATCGTAAATATTAGTCTCGTCCGTGTCCATACGGGGATTGGTCCAAGTAAGTCGAGAACCGGAAGTTCGGCTAGCTGATCCTCAGCCGCAGAACCAGCCTCAGACAGAGTCATTGGGTGGCCGAACAATATTGCATAAATGTATTACTTAAAGTCAAGTTGAGTTTGGTCTTTTCTTTATATTTGCGATGAAATATTTACACTGCTATTTTATTTTGATATTTGAAATAAATATTAACTTGATCTAAAATTTACTATTATAATATACAGTCTGCTAAAGTCCAGGTAGTTTTGTCCACTGTTATTGCTAATGATATTATGGAAATATCTACCTCCTCCGTTATTTGACGGCGCATGAGGTTATTGCGCATAAACCCCTCCAGTACCAACTCAACATCCAGCCTATGAGATTCGGTATATTTCAAGTATGCATATAAATAAAACTCTAGACCTTGCGGCCTGGACTGGGTGACATGCAGCTCGAAAATGGAAGGGCTGGACCATACTCGTGGTGGTTCAACTTGACCACTGCCGACGACACCCTTGGGTCTCAGCCCTATGTCATCACGGCGCGTCCTGTTAACGATGCGTTCTTTCTTGGCACCACTTCTTCAACCTCCAAATGGCCAAGTCACACTCTGAGACGGTTAGATATTTCAGCCTTCACTGCCCCGGTAATTCGACGTTCTATATATGCGAAGGCAGCGATAACGAATTCATCGGATGTCGCACACATGATCCTTGTCGTGATGGCGGAGGTCAGTGTCTTAACAATGGCCTACGTGCGGCCAACTTCGCCGTCGATAAATACGATGAATTGAGAAAGCAGAGCTGCGATGATACCAGAGGTTCGAAAGTCTGGTGGACCTGCGCAGGCACCGATCCGCCCTTCATGGGATGTTGCGATATCAGCCCTTGTAGTGACGGTTGCCCAAGCGAGAGCCTCCTACCAGCTGTTCTGTCGAAAAACAAAGAAGATCGACAAGCGTTTCTGGACCCTGTGAGCTTTTTTTCCAGTCAATCCGCGAGTCCAGCAACCGGTGGCAGTAGTGCTGGTTTAAGCACTGGAGCAATAGTTGGGATCGCTATCGGGTTTGCTGCTGTGGGAATAATGCTCATAGCCTTCTTGACCTGCATGATCTGGAGGTGTCGACGAAAACGAAGAGGACCTGTTGAGATAGTCCGATCTGGAGAATTGCAGAGAGCTTCCGAGACAGGTCGGTCGCCCATGACCTACGACAGTCGTAAGTCTTTCTCTAACATCTGTTGTGTAAATAGACGGGTTTCTCACATATCACGTAGATTATTTCCCTTCCACAAGCACCGTAACCCCTTACTATCTTAGCGGCTTGTCTGTGGATCACAATAAGCACTCTCCGCCGCTACCAATATCTTCCCAAACATTTAAGTCTTACAACATGAACTATACCTTTGATCGGGGCTATGAACAGTCCTACTCACCTGTTCATATAATGACGTTGCATGAAATGGATGGGGTAGAACGTACTCCCCAAGACCGTGACACGAATCCTTTGGAGGAGTACCATGAGGGGCAAGAACAGAGCCCTGTCCTGGGTCATATACCACCTCGGATACATAATCTACCAGAGACCAGATTTTAATGGATTGAGAGAGAGAGGAGTTACGACCTAGCATATATAACACTGCCAGTATTTTAATAACAATTTAAAAATTCTAATTATTATCGGATCATAATACTACTATTAGTTGATGTGTACTTGCCTTCCCATGGAGCTAAAAAATCATCACATGCATCGGAGACGGGAAATATTTATGCGCTATATTGACTTGCCTATAGATATTCACGAGAACAGCGAAGAACGCTATGGACGACCTGGTCGTAAATACCAGGTTTGTAAGGAGTTAATATACGGAAGGAATCTGAACCTTATTAATAAAAAGATTTAAAATTAAGATATAATACCGTAATATTCCATCAAATTGGTCGAGGGGAGTAAGCAGGCTACGGTACATCACTGGGACTTGCCGTATTAATCACTTCTATATATTATCTAGTTTGAATAATAAAGAAAGAGATACTGTTATTAATTTGTTCAATTCTTAAGTTGCCTTACCTATACCCCGCTGTAGTTGCCTTCTTTATCTAACTTTTCTCAACCAATTTAACGGAATATTACATATACCCGAGCAGTCTAGACCCCAAAAGTTTCACCTTACAAGATACTATAAGGTATTGAAAATGGCTGTATAGCAACTAGCTTAGTAGACACTTCCCTACTATATCACAGCCTGAGTTATGGATGCAACATGTGAGGGAGTTCGTCAATCTCTCAGAGTCGAAGGATTTTGGGGCTGTTTCGCGTGGTAGGAAATCCGACCTTTTCCATAAACCCTAGCTGTGAATAACACACATGTCACATTTCTATCGCCTCCCATTTGTGCAACAATGCGGCATGAACATTATGCTTATGGTCTGCTCAGATCTTACTGTGACGGATATCTCGGATAGATACTTTCGGAGCTGCTGACCTCTAGTGCTTACTCATGTTCCTACAGTCCTCAACGTAGCTTATCCTATGTTACCACTATTCTTACATGACGTAGGCACTGATATCAGCGAGCCACTACCTACATAAGATGCAATAAGACGATCACATAAAATTTATTCACAATTATCTTCTTTACTTCTTTTTTTGGACCACGGAACATTGACCTCAGCTATGGATATCGAAAAACAGCGCATTGTCATCGCAGGTGGTGGACTAGGAGGTTTAGCCGCAGCCTGTCGTCTAGCACGCGATGGACACCAAGTCGATCTATATGAGAGATCAAAATCACTCTCAACAGCAAGCGGTGCCATTTTTGTGAGATCCAACGGCGTAAGATGCTTTCACCGTTGGCAGATGCGACAGGCCTTGGAAGCTGTCACCGCCCCGATCAAAGAACACGAAACGCGCAATGGAGTCACTAATGAGCTCCTGCATCGACTCAATCCACAAATTTACTCATCATTCCCAGAGTGGTCCACGGATCGGCAAGCGTTGCAGACTGTTTTATATGACGAGGCACTGAAGGCTGGAGCTAGAGTACACTTCGGAAATGACATTGTCATGGTTAGAGAAGATGACAACTGTGCCTATGCAATTTGCAAAGATGGGACTGAGATAATCTCAGACTTGATCTTGGCAGCAGATGGAATTTCTTCGCGTTTGCGCTCTCAGATACTAGCTCATGTTGATCCGGCTCGTCTCACTATCATTCGAGCGCCGTCTACTCATTACCCAACTGAACTGTCTACCGAGATGATGGTCAGTAATGACAAGACGAAGTCGATTTGTCAGCAACCAGAATCAGAGAATGGCATTATGTGGGCCGGTCATGGTGGCTATGCCATTGGCAAGTATAATCATCACCGTGGTCTCTTCAACATCATGTTCTCAATTCAACACGGCCCTGCAGACAGCGAGTCCAGCGAACAGAAGCTCTTTGACGCCACCAATGATAACCAAGTTGTCAGAGATTTCTTCGCCTCATTCAATCCCATAGTCGTCGCTATGGCGGGTATGATAGAGCACTGCTCACGTTGGCGACTGGCTAGACTGGAACCTCTGGATACGTGGTCCAGTCCCAAACACAGGCTTGTCCTTTTGGGAGATTCTGCACACGCAATGTTGCCTAATTTGGCTGAAGGTTTTAGCTCTATTGTTGAAGATATCGATGCGTTGTCTATACTACTTTTGGAAGGCAAGCAAGACATGGCAGGTACTATCAATTTGTGGGAGAAGATTCGTATTCCTAGGGTAACAAGACTTCAGAATGGCTCGACATGGAACTACCAGTTGTACAACTCTGGCAACCCACCGGGATCCGAGTTGACAAAGGAGCAGAGAAATCTGCCAATGGGTGATGGCGATGGTAATGCGCCGTTTAACACTTCGCCTTTTGACAAATGGATGTTCGACTATAACACAGCTCAGGAGGTAAGTGCAAAGTCTTCTGATAGTTTAATTATGTTCTAATAGTTACTAGGTTAATCTTGCTATAAGGGCCCTCTCTAACTAGGTGGCGTAGAGAATTCTAGTAAGGAAGTTAGAATATAACTATATACATTAAAAAATCTGAAGAGTTACTGTTGCATTCCTGTATTAATCCAACAATATCTATAGAACCTGGACTTTATTTGTTAAAATAATCGAGATTAAGAGCACCAGGTGAACGATACTGTCGAGACTCAATCTTGGGGTTATGTGAAATAGCAGTAAAGTTATAGGAATTTCCTGGGATGTCTTGGTAATCCTACTGCTAAGCAGACTCTGACATTTTGTTAGTCAAAGACCTTTCAATCGAAGCCAGACCAATAGGACCCCATAGTTTCTCAACAACCAGGGTTTCTGCTGGCCCAAGCTTACTACTACACTGTAATTCTCTTTAATTCCACGACTCCTACCACAGAAGAGAGCAAGACATCAATTTACAGATAGTACTTTACTCAATACCATGTATTATCAATAGACTAGAGAGGATGATATTGTCACTACTAATGTGTCCTAGTCACCATCTTCCCATCCTTTTAATTATTCATACAATAAGTCTCGTGATTTGGACCTTTTCTCCTTCACCCTTTTCTCCACCACCCTTTCCCTCGAGGTCTTCCCGGCGCGATGCTTTTGTCGATGCGAATTTCCAACCAGAAACACGTCGCTCGAATAATTCATCCAACTCACGATACGTTCGACTGTTGGTTTCGGGGAACATCAGAAAGCAGGGGATCAAATAGACCAATGTGATGCCCCCAAAGAAGAGGCCAATCTTTTGGCCCCACCCAGCATTTTGATTCGACAGCATTAGAGGAACGGTATAATTCTGGACGCGGTCACAAAGCACGGAGAAAGAAGATCGTGTCTACGTACGAATAAGATACCTGTGGCGTATGGAATAGTTACTGCAATCAATGTCGTCGTAGTACGCAGGCTTGGACTCGAGATCTCGACCAAGCTGATCCAACCTTCCAATAGTTAGTTATACACCGATGCAAAGATCGAATGACGACATACCAATAGGAGTGAGTGTGTTTGCATATACAACCACCCAAATAGAACACAAGGCGACCAAAACTATTCCTGAAGCACTTGTCTGCTTCATGAAACCCAACCCGCCAACAACGAAGCAGATGGCCGCCATTGCTGCACCACCACCCATGACGAGCGTCCGTCGGCCAATCTTGTCAATAGTGTAGAATGAAATAATCATACCTACTACGAGAACCATCTGCTTGGCCATATTACCCAAGAATGGATCGCTGACTCCAGCCAGTTGGAAGAAGTATGTAGTGTAGCCAAACATCAGTGGAACTCCAACGATGTTTTGGAACGTGAAAGGAAGAGTTGAAATGACTGCTCTCTTCATGTTGATCTTGCTGGTGAAGAGAGCTTTCCAGTCTGAGTTTTCGTTGCCAGATTTGGCGGTTGCTGAGGACTCGTCCATCTCATACTGGATAAAGAGTGCTCGCGATCGATATCGTAGCCTTCGACATTACCGACAAGTCTCTTCAGGGCGTTTTTTCCTTCGTCGTGTCTCCCTTTAGATTCATACCAAGCTGAATCCTCTATATTAGATATTTGTATCGAGGAAACCAACGATAGTAACTTACAGGGTGTTTCGGGAAGATAAAGCATAGGGAAAAGCCAAAGACCAGTGAAGACAAACTCTAAGTAGAAGATATGACGGAAGGCGGTAGGATTCCTTTCCCCGAGGACCTTTAAAGCAATGACAAGGAAGACCTAACCCAATGCAAAAGCAAGGGAGAAACTGCCCAAAAGAGCACCACGGAACTAAGGAAGAGCAACCTCTGAGATGTAGACCATAACTGATGTTCCCATCAAACCGCCTGCACAGCCAGCCACGAGTCTAGCAATGAGAAGCGTCCACCAGTTGGGTGCAATAACCTGGATGATGATAGACTGATTTCTGTTAGAGCCCTGCTAGTATAATTGAGGATAAAACCACACCAGAGTCAAAAAGAACGTCACTCCCCACATATTGAATTTTCGACCGAATTTATCTGCAGTGACTGGAGCAATAGTCTGAATCAAAATGCTGGTTACAAAGTAGCAGGCCGCCCAGAGTGAGATATGTTGCGTGTTCAGAGCTGGCTTGCCTGTTTGAGGGTCGTGGCAAAGTACTCAATGAAGCCTTCGTTGACAATGATACTTCCGATGACTGAGTTGGCATATCCAGCATACCTGTTGGTAAGTGAATCAGTACTCCCCACGTCTCAGTTGGTGGTTCGGAGCTGGCACATACATTCCCGCCAAGGAGACACCCAGTCCGGTAACGTAGAGTCGCCAGAACTTCCTGACGGACTGAGCACGCGTCAAGCCTACAAATGCAGAGGTTGGTGCTACATCACCAGCTCCCTTCTTCTCATCATGTTCATGCTTAGCCTGCACGACATGAGCATTTTCGAAGCTTTTCGCCATTGCTGATTATTCTGTCTTGCTGGTTTCTTTAAGGCAGAGATAAACAGGAATCCACTGTCCTGAGATGCAGCTAATGATCTGCAGAGGCACTCTTATTTATATTTACTAATAATCTAGATATTATCGGAGAGAATTTCGACCAACGTGATGCCGTACACATGATTCGCATCGACAATACGGCTGCTGAAAGCCCGTTGTACCCCAGATCACCAAAAATTGTTAGCGAGAAACCAAGGATGTGGTGTGCTGCTAGTTTTGCAATGCGGGAATTGTAGGTCCAACCCCAGAGTAGAGTGGTAGTACGGAATTGTAAGGAGACATGCGTTGTATCAGGCCATATGTGGCAGGTTTTTCGACAGTCGTATAGCCCGGCACTTTCATCGGCCGATGGTTCCCCCTGCCGGCGAGATGAAAACATGGCCTTACCATGATTGGCAGCATTCCCAAGGAACGCCTTGGATTTTGACATTGGCTAGTCCTCGTTGACGGCTAACGGGCAAACATCGGGAAAAGCATGGAACATTAATGGTCTAGACTAAGGCTCAGTAAGGAAATATGATGATTGACGAGGTTTAAACAATGTCATGAGGTCTGTAGCGAATGGTCTGGATGTTCCACGTTTGGTCGCCACCGGCACCTGTCCGCAGAATGTTGATTGAATGTTTGTGATGCAGTAGAGAAGGTGTTTTACCGTTGTGCCTTCTGAAAAATCCTATCCCATGAAAATTATACCAATATCGACGAACATGTCATCATGCTTGAAGAATTAGCATGGGAAATTTTGAACCCCATTCAGATATGATAGCATAATGGCGGTTTAACAGAATGATAAATTTAATAGTTCTATTTACATAAATACGTATGTTAAAAGATGCTTAATTTCTAGCTCTCATCTCAGTCCACCTCTTCTTCAACACCTGCACAACACTCTTAGGTCTCCGATCCCACGTAAATGCTCCTTGCTTGTTGCCATCAACCCTGAAGATGAAGCTAGACGGGGTCTGAAAATCTGCAAAATTCCAAACTTGCTCTCCAACTACACTCTCCACCCTATCAAACACTGGATGGGACATTTCCAGGACTCGACTCTGATATTCCTCACTCCAGGGGATATCTCTAACTGTATGCAGCCCAGCCATAGTATCAGCACCATACTCCGCGTGAGCGTTGCATGTCTCGTCATTTATTGTCTCTGGTGAGAAGGTTGGTATCGGCTTATGACCAAAGAGCCCAGCAACAATGGTGAGGTTGAGGCCGACTGCAGCAGTCTCATTAGTAATGACAATTCCATCTTTTTCAATAGAGGCGACCTAATCATTGGCGTTAACAACTGTCTCTCCATGACATAAGTTGGGAAGTGCTGACCAGGTTAGAGTTGACGACATCCTTAAGTTCCGATGAGGTTATCTTGGCGACATAGCCTTTGAACCCATCGAGGTCGATAGTTTCAATAACGCCCTCTTTTCCATTACTTTTGGCCTTTTTATTAATGGTTTCTTCGTGCTTCTTCCTACCCCCAGGGGTTGCACTGGACTTGTACGTGATGATGTAGCTGTTTGGGATAACAGCTTCGTCTTTGACTCCAATATTCTAGATAATCGCCTTGCTAAAGGCCAAACCGACGATCCCAGTAAAAGCGAAAAGAGTGTTGATAAGCTTCATTACAGTTGTGGTTTGCAAGAATGAGAAAAAGAGGCGCTTGTCAATATAAGAGCCAGATATTCTATTTTAGAATGCTTTATCATTGAAAGAGTCCAGGTCCCAAGAGGGGGTAAATAGACGTCTTATTGTACCGTTCTCAATTCCTCATTCTTTATCATTCTGAACTTTCTCCTTGGTATGCCTAATGTTCATTTATAGTATTAGCGCCGACCGGTACGGACTTCCGCGGATGACGGCGCAATCTAGAATCAGAGCCACTTGCTTTAAATATACTTTAATTTCCAGTCTTAATAGCTAAAAACAAGGATCTACGACTATAGCCTTGACCAGGCGCTTAATAGTTAAAAATACCTGGTTAGTCTATAAGCCACAGAGAGTATAGTGTTTTGCCACTTGTGTTCTACTTACCTTAAGGTTATAATCTCTGTAAGCTTAAGGTTCTGTGATGATGGAATATGGAGTGGCCAGTGGCGAAGATTGCCATCTAAAAACCATGAATATGTATGATACAATCCCTAAAAGTCTAGCTTGCGGGTACCTGATATGCATGAGGAATTGGCTTAATATCCCTCTGTCACGAAGGTCTTACCTTTCGGCCTGCAAATTTGCTGTCATTAGATGTCTAGATAGGAAGGGGACAGAAGTAGCTAAAACATGCTTATTATATATATAATCCAACTAGTATCAGTATATATCTTCAAGCTGGCATTGCACTCTTATTGTTAGCCTGCTCTGAGTCTGGCTTGGTTAAATATAGGCTAGATAGATTTCCAGGGGTTGACTAATATAGTAAATATGGTTGAAATTCAAATTGGTCGTTAAAGTTCTATCGTTAATAGCTGGACACGGGAAGCCACTACCGTCTGGTTGCTGAGAACAGGTATAGCTTAAATTCCGGTTTATTCTAGCCAGCCTATAAGATTACCATATAACCGAGAATCTTAAGCTTAGATCATGTTTGAGTGCTTTAGAACTAAGTCACATGGTCTAGACTATCTAGATGGGTACAGTAAAGGTCTAATTTAGCGTTTTCACGCTGACACAGGCCAAATTCAGCCCTAGACTAAACCCGGCTTGAAATCCAGACCAGTGACGAGATATACGTATTCGGTCATGATTTACAATCCAACCCCTAAATGACCGTCCGGATCACATGCCAATTGTTCAGGGGATGAATTGTACACATTTGTCGCAACTTTGGCTTTTTCATGTTGTGCAGACATAAGTCTTTAACCTGCACGAGGGCTAGTGTGGCAGGGTGAGGAATCTATCTACTAACGTAGATGAAATACAGATGTAGATAGATGTAGATCTACATCTATCTATCCTCCAGGGGTCATGTGGGTTATCTATCTATCTATCTTACTATCGGATATGCAGGCGAAATGTAGATAGACGCCTAGATGAAGACGGAAAGTAGAGGGACTTTTTTTTCTTTTAGTGTGCAATTCCCTTTTAAAGCAAGGTACCGGCTGTAACGGTTACACCTAACCGTTAGGCCACAGGGCAAAAGATCGGGCTATAATCACTATGTGAGCAATTACAGAGGTGCTTAAAGCTGCCTATAGAGCCTTATAGCGCTATTACGGTAACCAATCGTAACACAAGACTCGAATGCGGAATGTTACATTTTGTGTAGAGCCTTGATATGAAGCAACCAACCGTCCATGGATAGGCTCTCAAGTCCTGCCACCAGACTGACTATTGAATCAATGGAGATCTACATACCGAATTTGTAGGCTAGGATAATGTCTGTGATCTACTTCCTGTTTCTCCTCGATAGGGTCTGCGTTATCCGTATACGGCACTCGCAAGTCACTATGATACGACTGATCGAGTAAAATATAAATTAAATCTTGAGTTTAACTGGATAATCCTGGTGGACATGATCTGGTTGCCGTTTGAGGATGAATTCCCCATACTGATGGGGAGAACCCCTGCATAGCCAAGCCCTCGGTTACCACTAGCATCGATCAACCAACAGCTACCAAGACGGCAACACAGCCTTGCAGGGACCCTTGGCTCTACCTGAGTTCTTTGTCTACAAGAACCCGCTCGAGTCCTTGTCAAGCGGTCCAAAACCATCTTCTTCAACACACCTCCAATATGCAAACTTAGACCATGCGTTTTTCTCCACTCTACCACGCCTCAATGGCCTGTTGGTTCCTTCCTTTATCGAAAGGTGCAGCCAGGGAGCAGACCATGAACAACAGCGCCTTGGCAATTGACTTGGTTTTCCCTCGTAATCAGACGTACAATCCATCGCCAATATTCCCCATCATCTTCTTATACGGCGACCCCGGAATAATACCAATCTTTGAACCTGTCCTGATATAGGAGGTCTGGGCTTACAGCAACGATAGCAACCCTATCCACAGTCGGCTAAGGAAAACTTCGTTAGTCAATGATTCTAGTAGCAATACCTATATCGAGTTCAACAATCACGAGTATCCCTTCAACACCAAGGGCACCTGGAGCGTAAGCCTAATCGTTCATTGGGCATACTGCTATGTCCAACCAGCTAGCGGGGCGCTGGATGAAAGCGTAACGACCAAAAGAGACAACACCTTTGTCACCGAAGTCGTTTTTACCACAAAGGGCCCTTTGAAACAAGTTAGCGTTGGCGCCGCGACCAGCAACAAAACTTGCCCGTCTCCTGCCGGCCTCACTATCAACGCTGCAAACATAACGGAAGTAATAACTGAAAATGGTTTCGAGAGTCATACCTGCGCTTTAGTTGATCTTCCACTCGAGTCAGATGGCTACGGCTTTGGCAGTCTCCCAGTCGACCAAGACCGCTGCGCTATTACTCTGGAGCCTGCAGCCGCGTCAAGCATTAATGCCATTCTGACTTCTTCGTACTGCGGCCAGTACGGAGATGATCCCAAGAGAGTGGATTGTGATTCTTGGAGGGATAGTCCTGATAGTACGGGGCTCCGACTTGTTGCAGGAGGAGTAACTTGCTCGGCATTTGTGTTGGGGGTTATCACTTATATTCACACTCTCATGTAGTATCTTAATATCTCAGGAGACATTCTATTTGTCCACTTATCGCCATTCTTACTTCAACTATCTATATGACTGGAACTAAAAGACATTTCTTGACTTACGTGTAATCAAAACCTATATTTCGTAATATCTTGCTCGCTTCAATCTACGAACAGGATCTTGTCATAGCTCTCCGTAAAGATTCGCCTGCAATCATTATGTTGGCCCATTGCTGATTTACAAGCCGCACCCAAGCAGGCATGGTCTTTCTAAATAAGTGACCTCGTGTGCAGGCTCATTTCCCTCTTGATGATCTGATGGTAGTTCTCACATTGCCAAGTCCTTGAAGCCACGACACTGAACCAACACGTCTGCAGCAATCGACCAACGCCAAGCTCTCCCCACCGAAATATCCCAGGTTTAAGGGTCCTTCTCTTTATCACATGGCATAGATTTGCCCTCACTGGGGATCATACCCCACTCAGAGACCCCGAGCCCCTAGTGTTACTGACAATTGGTTCCGGGAACTCTATTCCTAATCTTCAGACCAACAGCCAAGAGATGGCATGTCTATAATATCAGAACTTTCAGTACCAGTGTCCTGATTCGCACGCCTTTCAAATACCTTGTATGGTAAATATTAAAAACGATACATCTAATCTCTCATCTTAATCCACTGCTGCGAAATTCTTTTGTAAAGATACCTGTAACGTTGCGGAACAGCTGAATAGGACCGGATCAGTCATCCGGATTTCCAGACGCGAAAAGGAGGTTTGTAAGAGTCAGAGCAGGCATATCATTGTTCTATTGATTATAGTATAAGGTTTGGCCTGTGGCCCCATTGCCTTGACTACGGTAAACTACTCTGCATATCAGTATCAGTACATTACATTCGTTAATTTACTCGTATCTTTGTGTTGTAACCGCTCATTTTACCATCATTTGTTATCAATCACTCTCTTTTGAAAGTTATCTATTCTGTTTGTTCTTTTACACAACTATTACACTATCTATTTTGTATCGCCTATTTTGATTCCAGCAATGCTGATCACATCATGTGGATCAACAACCATCAGGGTTGCTGCTGTCCTAATGGCTGTCACCCCAACTGCTTCCCAATCTGGTAGCAGAGTCGGGGCTAGTCCCTATCTTCTTTAACCCGATGTTTGCCCAGAACGATGCAGCATCTCTGGCCCTAATCCAGGTAACTGGTCTGTCTATCCGGAGATGAAGTACCTCACGCAGTGCAAGGAGACCATGTTCTATACATTCTCAGTACATGACCAGGTCGACGATGCTTCAACTACCCATCGCATCCATGCCTGCACGTCTTTTGGCCCAGACTTCTCTCAAATTGCAAACTCAACAGACATGGAAGTGCTTTCTTCCACCGTCGAGGCCAATTATGAGATCGGTTAGTGGGATGAGGGTTTCGGTTTGGCCGACACAGGAATCCGTTCTCTGAGTCAATAAGCTCGCCGTTATCTTATACATGGACATGGTTCCAAAGACAGACTCACTATCCTCTTTGCAAAGTCTAGTCAAGCCACTATTGGTCTTTATATTGGTCAAGTCATTAGCTCTTCCGCTTTGAAGATATTTAAAGACAATATTGTTAATCTGAAAGTCACATCGCCTTCATTGGCTATGCAGTTCTGCTCGCCGGACCTAGGCAGCGCACATTCCTTTGGCTTAGTTACGGCAAGCAACAGGACGTTTAAGTCCAATCAGAGGGCTTTTTAATTCTGGGCGAATAGAACCTGCTTATCCTTCTCGTAATCTATCAACATAACGGGGCAAATCTCATACATAATAACAGTGGACGTTTTGGCCGATATCAGTAACCCCACCAAGACATCCAGATCTACGACAGCGGAGGCTAAACATAGAAGACGCCATCAGCATCTTCACGCTCGTGCCGTGTGCAAAACCGAACAGGTTGATTCCGGTGACAGTTGTGCGAAGCTGGCGACTAAGTGTTGAGAGATTATGAAGTGACTGATAACAAGGAGGCACGAAGTGCTTTGATCGACGTCGACGTCACTCATCCGGACATTGTTCGTCTTCCCGTGTGTAGCCCTGAAAAGGCCTATCAGGCATGGGACACTGGCAAGCCGGGCACTATCCCCTTCTATCCGTGCGAGCCACCCGCGGGCAGAAAAACATGTGGTGATTCGAGCTTCGAGAATGAGACGAGCGACAAGTCTCCATTAATCAAGGACTGTTTGGACATCATCAAAAACATTGAGTGGGATGCAACGACTGACTACACTACATTAGCACTACATTAGTTGGTGTACTGAGGCAAAGACAGATTGTCAACTCTGGTTCATATGCCCTTGGAGTGGAGGCTACGAAGGCTGATAGAAATGCCGACTTTGTCGTTGGTGGTCAGGATGTCATCAACATCATCAACACCGCTATTGGTAAGTATGGCAAGAATGACAAGATAGGTGCCGTGGGTAACATGGATTGCACTGGTACCGTCAAGAAGGAATCTATTCACTAGGCCATCTACCACACGTGAGCGTCTAGCAGTATTTAGGTAGTTGGGAGGCCCAGACGACAGAGTTCAAGATAGAATAGTTGAATAATCTATCATAGCATGAGTGAGTAGGCCGAGCAAACAAGACTCCCAACTGACTGCAAGGCCAATTTCAACAGCCCCAGAGATCAGCTACAGCCCAAACATCACCAGGCTCCGTCTCAGCACTTGAAGTTGAAGGATCTGTTTTCAGTTCCAGACCCAGCACTTCCAGACCATTTCCGGATAATTACCCCACAGCCATGGCAAATGTGCTACAGACCGTTGGAAACTCCACACGCGGAATGCACAATTCAGTCCAACTAAGCAACCATCAGTGGCATGTTAACACACAGCCACCACATACCGAAATGGTTGATGGTGTGCTTGTGACCAAGTGCGATGTATGTTACTGTAGTATCAACGGAGGACCTCAGTACTTATAGCTAATTCAACACACAGTATCCTTCCCCAACCGAAGAGTGGACAAACAATTACCAAGACATGGGTGGTGACGAATATTGGGGTGAAGGTGGTAAAGTCTCCGAGATTCTAGAGAGTCACGGACTGAATGGCGACATCAAACCGCTTTTCGCCCTGGATGTTGAATCAGGAGAGCCTTACACATTGTTCGAGCTCAACGGAACCTACTATTTCATCAACGTAGCTGATGATTCTCTCGAACGCGTTACCTATCCTCAAGAGCTTGCAGAGATTCTCGGAACTATTACAGATCCAGATGCTGGGCTTGGCGAGGTTTCAACGGCTACTATTTAAGACTCTTGTAATACTAAGACTCTTGTAATGCAAAGTAGTAGCAGGCAAGAGTTTGCATCTAAAGAGACTGCGATATTTCTCAGTGATGGTCTTATTGCCTGGGCTGGTGGCCTTTTACAAGACTTGCCTTATATGCAATAATGGCAAATTCTGCTAAGGGGAAACAGAATTGTTAAGAATTAAAAAATAAGTAGATTGGCTGCAAATTCTCAGCATTCAACAAAACAGTACCCCAAAGCACTTTAATACTACTTAACTTTTTATAAATATATCCCAAGAGGCAAAGATGGAATATTGTGGAAGGGTTAATAGAAATAAAGTAGATAAACGGCCTTGCTTATTTATATGTTAATTATTAGTTAGACGTTTTTATTGCAAAGTTGCCTGTTAATTATCAGTGTGGCGTCGACACCATTGGTTTTACCCTATACATACCCCGCTCGGAAGAATGCCTTAAACGTGACATCGACAGTCCTTGCATCCAACAGTCCGACAAACCTACTCACAGTCAGATAATTCATTCAACTTACTAAAGCCGCCATGGGAGACTGTCAGAATTTTAATTACGAGTCGTTGAAACTGCAGACGGCATCTACCGAGATCCGTTTGCTGGACCTTTATCCCTCAGAAGGCCTAGCGGATAGTCGTCTTGTCGGCCGTCTTTACACGACAACAGTCAATAACCCTTCGCCTTATACAGCTCTATCATACGTTTGGGGAAATGGCAATAAAGTCGAATCCATCTGGGTACCCAATAGCCGTGGCGGAGAAGCCGATATTTCCATCACAGAGTCACTTCATACGGCACTACAACAATTACGCAAGCCAGACAAAATCATTACCCTATGGATTGATCAGATTTGTATTAACCAAGCAGACAAGACAGAAAAAGACCAGCAGGTGGGCTTGATGGGGAGCATCTACTCAGCAGCAAAGCAAGTGTTAGTATGGCTGGGCCCATCAGAAAATAACTCAGACGAAGTCATGGACGCATGGAATGATATCGGCCAGAAGGCCCTGGACTACGGACTAGAAGGTTACATGGACCCGGACAAATACCACTTGATATGGCCTATTATGAAGAATGAAAACCCGGCTGATGAAGCGACCATAAACTTTCAACAGCTGCTTGTTTACACCGTCGACATCTTTACTCCTTTATTACAGAAAGCAGCGGTGAAGGAGTGGTTCGAGAGACCATACTTCTCACGAGTCTGGATCGTACAGGAATTCTGTTTATGCACCGACACCGTCTTCATATGTGGCTCCAAATCAGTTGCTGTCAATCTCGTCAAGCTATCTGTTATAATGCTCCAGACAGCTATCGGGAACATGCCCCAGGGAAACTATGAGTCGCTCCAGCCCCCTGAAATGCCTGTGGAGCGACTGGTAGAGATCTCCGATGAGCCAACAGCACGCTTGTTCGCATGTCGCTCACGCCATCAGAAACATGCCGATGACGAGCTATACATGTTACTGCGCAGACTGTTTGTGGACCATGCTACGAATGCCACTGAGCATCGTGACCGGATCTTTGCCCTTCTCGCTCTTGCGAAGGACTCTGAGGAACTTGGGATTGAACCTGATTATGAATCATCTGAGGGTAGTACTGAGCGTATTTTGACGCAGACAGCGCGTGCGTTGATTGAGAAAGGTGGCAGGATTGATATTCTCTGCTATTCTCAATTTCCGAAAACCCACGAGCTCGCACATCTGCCGTCATGGGTTCCTGACTGGCGATCTAGCCTGCGTCCTTCGTTCTATACTATCAATGAGCGGACGGATCAGCATATCTTTGCCGCATCAGGAAAGGATAGCGTTGTCGAGATTGTCGAAGACTCGAAACACGATTCAAGTAGTATTGGGCTTCGGGGTTACACAGTTGACGTGATAGAGAAAGTTTCTCCAGGCGATGGATGGCTTGATCTAAGCTGGGATTACGAAAGGTACCGGGGCTTCTTTACCGAGGTGGATAAGCTATGGCAAGATTCTAGAAAGAAAATAGACCTCATCCACGGCAAAGAGACCCAGAAACGAAAAGAAGAAGCACGATGGCGCGTACCTATCGGAGATATTTACTGGACATGGGAAGGGGACCAACACAGGGCTCCATCAAAAGTCGCCACATTTCATAAAAGCTTTCTACAAGAACTGAAACTTTTCGACGATATGACTCGGATGGCCTCTATAGGCGATGATGTATTGCCAAACCAACAAGAATGGGAGGAAACTACAAATGCCAAGCATAACTACCGTGAAAGTATGAGAAAGATGCAAGGCAAGAGGCCGTTTCTTACGCAGACAGGATATCTGGGGATGGGTCCTGTAGAGGCACAACCAGGCGATAGTTTAGTAGTCTTCTGCGGTGGACGCATCCCTTTTGTTTTACGTCCCTTGGACCAGACAGTGCCTGATGCGTTGTCTTGTGTCGGCGAAGCATACTGCCATGGCGTTATGGATGGTGAAGTAACCACAAAGGAGAAAAACACGTTTTGGCTTGTTTGATTAATAACTATTAGGTAACAATAAGAAATTACTTAGAAAATAGTTTTGGCAAAGATGGAGAAATCCGTCTTGTCAGGTTCAGATGTTAGGTTGGCCTCGTTTGCAGAGCCATTGTGTTGCAAGATCTGCTCTTCAGTCCATTCCCAGAATCAGTTTCCATGGCCAGTTCCTCACTATGCCTCAGCCTTCTAGCAATGATAGCCGGAAGCGCGTGCCATAGTCTTCCCCAAGGCCATACTACAAGTTCGCCATGTCAGCCAATGGCTCTGGGGAAAAACAGCAGAGGTTTACTCACTCAACATGCCTGACTTCTCGTGGGTTACATCAGGAGAGAACACGAGAAATACATTGACATAGGCACCGTAATGCAAAGGGTAAAGACAGTTTTGTGAAGAATCCAAGTAAGGAACTTCCATTGTTTTCGCCAAAGCTAAGAATTAAGATTGCCGGGGTTAAGTGGCACAGAGACAAGGCCATGTCACTGCCAGATAAACCCTGGGACCTGTTGTGCAGCGTCATTTCCCCGCAGAATGGTTTACTAAAAGCGACCATCTTTGTTAAAAGAAAGAAATGGAGCTCCATACAGACATTATCCGCCTTACCTCGTATGTCACCTAATGATCGCCGATGGATGAAACATTTATGCAACTGAAACAGGCTGATGGTGGCCCTTGTCAAGAAATCCCACCAACCACAGTCCCAGCACGAGTCACCCAGAAATTTTGATTCCCCTTTCATTAGATACAATACAGACATTGGAGGAGTTTTCAGTCCCGCATGCAACCCTTGACAATAGTAGACAAAACTCAAGCCGGGTACCCCTATAATAATAGAGCGGCTTTTTTTTGTAATGCGGTATATAAACCTTGCTCATATGGAACATGACAGTTGGTCTAACGCTAATCTTTTCGTCAAGCCAAGATGAAGCTTAACGCACTACTGGCTCTCGCAGCTATTCCTGCCATACAAGCTGCTCAGCTTGCCTTTCCCGGGGCTGAAGGCTTTGGTAGGAATGCTGTTGGTGGCCGTCAAGGTGAGGTTTACAAGGTAACAAACCTCAAGTAAGTTGATACAAATCTTAATACTTATACATCAAGCAACCTGACCTGAACATAGTGATAAGGGTGAGGGATCGCTTCGAGACGCAGTATCACAGCCCAACCGAATCGTTGTGTTTGATGTCGGTGGTATTATCAAGATTTCTGAGCGTATCGTCGTATCGAAGAATATCTACATCGCTGGCCAAACTGCTCCTGGTGATGTAAGTCTGTATACTAACTACCCATTAATACGTTTGCTAATCTATGTTAGGGTATCATTGTCTATGGAAATGGCTGGTCCCTGTCTAATGCTAACGATTCCATCGTACGATATATCACCATCCGCATGGGCAGAGGCGGAACTTCAGGCAAAGATGCCATTGGTATCGCTGACGGCAAGAACATCATTCTCGACCATGTCAGTGTCTCGTGGGGTCGTGACGAGACTTTCTCCATCAACGGTGACGTTACAAACGTCACTATCCAGGATAGCATCATTGCTCAGGGCCTTGTCTCCCATTCTTGTGGCGGCTTAATGCAGACTGATGGCGGAGTTAGCTTATTCCGCAACTTGTACATTGATAATAAGACTCGAAACCCTAAAGTCAAGGGTGTTAATGATTTTCAGAATAATGTACGTATTGTTACTTACTAAGTTGTTGTTCCTTAATACTGACCAGCTTATAGATTATCTACAATTGGGGAGGCGGAGGTGGTTACATCGCTGGAGGTAGCGAGGCTGACAGTTATGTTAACATTGTTAACAACTACTTCATCTCTGGTCCCGAAACCAGCGTTACTGCCTTTACACGAGGCAACAAGTACTTCCACGCTTGTGTGTCTAACCGTCTTCTATATGATAATAGCAAGCTGATAATGATACCACAGATGTGAAGGATAACTTTTATGATTCCAACCGCAATGGAAAGCTCGATGGTGCTGCACTTTGCGAGAAGACAACCTGCTACTCTGATATGGACCTTGTCACGACCCAACATGAGTACCCTGCCCCTGCCAAACTCCTTACGGCCGAGCAAGCAGTCGAGGCCGTCCTCACTGGTGTGGGTAACTCGCTGCACAGAGACAGCGTTGACACATCCCTCATTAATGAGGTCAAGTCGTATGGCAAGACCGGCAAGTTAATCTCTAACGAGAACGATATTGGTGGCGTTGGAGAGATCGCTGGTGGTGACGCCCCCAAAGACTCGGATGGTGACGGCATTCCCGACGAGTGGGAGACTGCAAATGGCCTCAACCCCAAGGATGCTTCGGATGGCATGAAGATTGCGTCAAACGGATACGCAAACCTTGAGAACTACATCAATTCTCTTGTGAAATAGGTTAGGGCTTTAGTATCATTCTTGTACTTACTTGTCTTTCTTGATGTCTTTCTACAGTCACTTTATATTCATACATGTATGAAGTTTCAATCAACAATTTACACTTTGAATCACTTTGCACTCATCTTTGACTGTGATAGTCTAGATGACTGTCTGACTTTATGTTTATACTTTTTGAGTGATAGATTGGATGTTCTATACATTTTGCTATATATTATACAAATCCGATAGTAAGCCTATCCTCTATGTTTCCGGTCCTGGTACTGTCTCAAGAGCTGTTTTCCATAATCATTTCCATTCGGAGTTCTGACCAGCGTGTGGATGTGAAAGGGTAGAGGCTCCTTGTTGTTCAGGAAAACACCTGAGTGATGGTCAAACTCGACCATAATAACCGGAGAATGAACTTTATAGTAAAATGCATCTCTGTCACCATATCCACCAATCCAACAGAAAAATGTGTTATCCCAGTGGGTATCAATCTCTCGGAGATGGGCGGCTAGTGCTTTTTCAGGGAGGTAATTGAGGCTCAGTTCGACCAGGTTACGAACCGCGTCTTGCTGAGACTTGGAAAATGTCGATACCTTGACGCCTTCATATGGGATTACACGGTTGTCCTGAAAGGCACCTCCAAGGTGTCGCTGATCGGCTCGGTGCCATCGCCCAGGAGGGTACTCGGGGCCACTTAGCTTCTTGTAAATCTGCACATCCTTCTGAACGGCGCCGTCGAAAGACTGCATGAGACGAAGCGCTGTCTGCTCTTGATCAATAAAAAGCTCGAGGCCCTCGTGGGGGCCTTGGTCAATGATATTCGGCTCAGCACCCATAAAGACAGGCGATATCACCATCTGCGTTCCGACCATAAAGCAGTTCATGCACAGGTGATGGCCGAATATCTGCCAGCCCCATGGCTCTCCCTGAGAGGGTGTTCCGAAGATGACAAAATTGAAAGAGTTCTCGTTCAGGACCTTGCTACCGTTCACAACCTCGCCAAGAAATTGATTGACCTTCATACAGCCATGAGCCTTCTCATAGCCCTCTTTAGATAAGGTTGCCTTCATCAGGTTGTGTAGAGCAGTGACAAGATCTTTGGAGGCTTCTTCCAACCGGATACCGTGCCTAAACGCGTATATCTCTGGATTGAGCCAGAAGCGCCATTCGGGTGCATCAACGGGCCTGAGAAGTTTGTCTTTTTCTTCTGCTGATGCGATGTCGATTGCGTCCCGCGCTACCTTGGCGGCATGCAGTGGGGCTCCGAAATCTTCATCCATATCTGCCAGGCGAAAGAGATTGTGGATCACGTTTCCATCAGTTGTGATTCCCTTGTAAGGCTGATCGTAGAGTTCCTTCCAAGACTTCAGCCAGCCAATCATGAAAGGCTCAGAGCATCGATGAGTAGCCCACTGGTAATGGTCAGACTCTGCCAGTTGTATACTTCGTGGCGCATCAGAGGGAGGGATGTAATCTCGAAAACCCGCAGGAGGGCGAGTAGCTGCCATGTTTTTGCTATTGATTCGAGGGTTGATGGGGGAAACAGGTGACAATTGCGATGAGTGAAAAAAAGTGTAAATGTATAACTTTAGATACTAAGAGCTCTCGTTATGTAGAGCCGGTACATGAAATAGTTTGAGTTTTGCTGCAATTCTCATCCATTGTGGGGTCAAGGACTGGCGATTTAAGATCAGCCGATAATTCCCATCTATCGGTTGCATCCGAACGACATTTAGAACAGATACTGTGTATAGCGTTTAGTACACCAGGTACAGTTCAAAGCTCCACCGACTGACCAAGTTCAATTCCGCGCCGAGCCCCATCGTCGCCGAGCACCATCCTTGTCGATAATTTACGAACGAATAGGCGACTATCCCCATACACCATTTAAGTCGCGTGGCTGTGGACAATCGATGACACGTTAGCGGTTCTTGGCGCGTTGTTCCGAAATCCCGTCAACTCCCTATTCCATGGCTACGGAGGTATTGTTGGACTGTACTAGTCTCCGTGGCTTTTGCCCAGGAATCATTGAAGCCACAAAATGAATTGTTGAGTGACTACTGGATATGAAGCTTGGCAGAAGCGACGGAATCAATGCTACTGCTCAGATTACAATCTCCGTCAATCTTCATGTTGGAGAAAGGTAATGGGAGGGCAGGAGAGCCAGAGGTTACAAATGCGAGAGGCTGATGGCTCAGATAATCATCTTCTTGGCGGGTAACACTAACGCGACAGGCTCTAGTGTAGAGGCGGCAGGGGACACGTAAATGACTTCATCCTTCGAGTAATGTGGTTACATTCATAAGGCAAACTGTAGCATTGTACTCTTAAACCTTTATCCTTCAAACTTTAATAACAATTACAGGCTATTAGCCTTGAAAATATTCATTTTACCTAATTTGGCCGAACTTCAATCGGAGCCCATGTCCAAATCGATGCACAATAACAATAAGGATCATACTGGTAGCCACAATACTGGCCTGAGTTCCGAAGCTCACATCATAACCAACATTGGCTCCCCAAGGCTGCTGGTAATATCCGACACTGAAACCACTAAGAGCTCGGAAGACGTTGGTCAAACCACAGACCTCTGCAGGCGCAGATGGGTACGCGTCCAAGAGATATGAAGCCACAGCCACAGATGTAAGCATGATCCCAAAAGCATGCATACCCCACCCCACGACGATTGCAGCGACAGAAAGATGCTTGTGAAGAGCTTGTCCCATCAAGACGAGACCAGCAATCATCGGAATCGCCGAAATGTAGATGGTCACGAGACGAGCTTCTGCCTCAAAGATACCATTGTGCTTTCGGACGTAGCGTCGAGTGAGAAAGTCATTGAAGAAATGACCAAAGATCTCACCCAAGAAAACGCCGACAATAGGAGCAAAGTGTAGGTATCCAAGCTGAGTGAAGCTGTAACCATAACCCCCCATCGCTCGCGGGAGACCGAAGAGAATGGCGGTTGAAATGTTCACACCGATCGCCCAAGCAAAGCACATGAAGCTTGTGGTACTTTGTTAGTTCTCAAACTGTTACGGAAAGACGCAGAAGATACTTACTAAGCGATAAGAACAAGGAGAATTACAGGCTTCGTCAAGATGAGCAGGACTCTCTTGACAGCATCATGAACAGTTTCAAAGTATCCAAAACGATGCTTCATCTGCCACACGCCAGTAAGTCGAAGAAGTCGAGAGAAGATACCCTGGCCTCGCGGTGGTTGTTGGGACGTGGGCAAGTCGCGGTTATACCAGGTCTCATCGAGAAAAGCCACGATGAGAAGCAAGCTAATCCCGTTGACTCCAACTCCAAGCCAGAAAGCATCTTGCCATTGGTGGGTTTCTCCGATGACAAAGTTGGCGAGCAATGGGCCCCAGTACGGAGATGTTATGTACATGAGAGCCCACAGGCCAATCTTTCGTGCTCGCTCGTGGAAGAAAAAAATGTCTTTGATGAATGCGATGGCGATTGTCTGACCAGAAGTGAGAAATAGTCCCTGAATGGCACGTACGCCAAAGAACATGCCGAACGAAGTTGACACGGCGGAAAGAATGGTGAAGATAAGACCGAAGAAGGTGGACCAAAATAAGGTCGGTGCTCGTCCGATGATAGAAGTCAATGGAACCCAGATCAAACCGCCGATAGCCCTGGGAGTCAGGTTAGTAAATAGCATGATAGACAGACAAAAGTCAAAGAACTGCTCACATCATGAGAACGTTGATACTGTTATTATGATTGACAGAATTAGGAGATTTGTGCCATTCTGCTGCTTGAAGAATGATCGGAGCGCTACCAGCAGCAGATGTAAAATCTGAGACGAGAGCAGCCCAAGCCACCACCAAGAGAATGAGGTGCTTCTTTCGAGATGACCAGTTTAGAGGGTCGTTGGGATCGTCGGTTGGCTGGGGTAAAAGAACTGTCTTGAGAGAACACGGCCATTAGTATTGAAAGGATTCTGTCAGTGAGAACACTTACATGTCCATCTTCAGCAAGGCGAAGAGAAGTTGTTTCAGCCCCTTCGACTTCGAGACGAACTCCAGCTTCAGCTCGAGCCTCAGGTGGGAATTTGTCTACCACGTGAGAGTCGTCTGACTTCTCGCCATTGGAAATATGCTCAACGTGAGGCTTCTCCATGATGTTTTTCAAATCGCGTTTAGGTAGTGATAGTACATCTAGAACTGTTCAAGTCAAAGGCTCACGATTCGACTTTCAGTAGCCAGGTCGTCTATACAAATACGACTTTTGATGCTAGAGCTAAGCTGGTCGAGAATAATACCAAGGTGGAACTTCCGAAATTGCGAAATCCGGGGCCCCGTGGGGTAGAGTAGCTTCCCCGTCACAGAGGCGACATAGCTATAATGCCGGTTTGACTAACCTGGTATAGGGAGATCTTAGATTCTGAGTGAGGGGAAGGATGCACGCGGTCTCTACTAAAAATCAGTGTCCAAAGGAAATACAAATTCCGGCAAGGAGTCAAGAGCACTTTGGAAAATCCGAAGCCATTCAGATTGTATACGCGTCCACTAGTTACATGCTTAGAATTTACCTTTTCATGTGTTGGCGTTATTCTTTGCCAAGAACGTCACAGTTCCGGCTTATGGAAATTGACGGAAGAAAATGACATTTATATGGCACTTCAAACGGAACTTATCAGTCTTGAACTAGTAGATTAAATGTATTCAAAGGGATGTACATCGAAGGGGCGGTAGGCGGTGATGCAACGTACAGATCCGATTTAAGCTATTCACAGCTCAAGCCAGATGCAGAGATAATTATGATATAGTGAAAATCTAGCATTCCATTCAACACTGAAGCAAAGTGAACACTAAAACTATAGAAAGATCTGCACTAATCTCCAAAGAACAGAAATCACTTAGTGGAGGCAATGCATGCAGTCCACCGTGAACCATCTTATACCTTCACATCCAAATCTCCATTCTCAACATTCCCATTCTCAACGCCATTCTTGACTTTGTTCGGCTTTACACCATTAGTGCTTAACCCGTTTTGCTCCCCATGGCCCTTTGCCATCTTCAAAATAACAGCATCAGACGGATGAGGAGCAAGACTGGCCTGTGCAACCTGACCCTTGTTCTCGGCCCGCAAAATATCCGCATAAGGCAAAACACCGGCATTTTCAAGGGCACGGAATGTCTCGATGTACGTATCATACGTGTCATCGTATCGCTTCCAGCCAAACTTGCGCGCTTTGGTCATGGTGCTGATGGTCAACCAGGCCTTTCCAACGGCCCAATCGAAGAAGTCCCAAGTACCCCAATTGAACGCTTCGAGCTGACCGCCGTACTTGGCCACTACTCTCTCCCACACTGCCTTCTTATCCTTGTGCCATTCAGTCATGAAGAAATTGTTTGCCATGCGTTGCTCGCCCCCCTCTGCTGCCCACTCAGTAAATTCTGGAATCTATAGAATCATGTTAGTAGGATACCAAAACTTGGGATTGTGAGAGATTGGCTTACGTCAATGCCAAAGTATTTTCCAAGCTTGCCCCAGAGTTGCTTCCACACAAATACATCACCATTCTGATGGTTGAAAGCCTCATTCTTGGTGTGTCCGTCGGTAACGGCCCACACGCTCAGATCTGCGATACTGGGCGCGTAGGAAGAATCATCAACGCATTGGTTGAAGAAGAACTTGTTACCCGGAAACATTGGAGGCACCCCCATTTCGCGACAAACGAGCATGTAGATTGCCAATGTAAGCGCCATTGACATACCGTTTCCTACAAGACGAGTCAATAAAGTGCTGCGATTTTGCCGGCCAGAGTTCAATCATACCTGCTTGTGTAAATCCAATGATGGCATTGGGGCGAATAACGTTCCAGTTCCAGTTGCGCTTGGCTGCTAGAGTAGAGAGGAAATCCTCTTGGGGATAGTAAAAGTTCTCGCCCTTATCCTCATAACGGCCCATCCCCTCGTGAAGAGGGACTTCGACAGGTCCAAGATGAGCGCCATAATACTAGAGACGAATTAGTGTTTGGATGAGATAATTGTGCGAGGTTCCTGACTTTTCCTCCAGTTTGAAGGCAGACTCGCTCAAGTGTGCTTGCTGCAACAATGTCGATTGAAACCAAAAAGTTGTGGAATAAAGGAATATTGCTATCACGCAATTTGGCAAAGTCTGCTGTATGTACATAGGATGTGAAGAATGCATGGGTAACATCGTGGCATAGAGGTGCCATACGCTGGATCAACTCTTCGACGGGGCTCAGAAAATCGAGTGCAATAAACCTGACACGATGGTCTTGCCATAGGCTCTGCTTAGGAACTCGTCTGGATGTGATAATAATCTTGGACCTGCGAAATCATGTATTAGTCAGGAATTTCAACGCATAATTTCCAGGAGACGAACCATTCGGACTCTGGTCTGCGGATAAGGTGCTCAATGATGGCATTGCCAGTAATGCCGTTAGCACCAGTAACAAAGGCGACCTTTCCTTGTGCGGGGGGCATGGCTTTGTATGTGTATTTCGTTTTTGTAAAAGTTGTTCAAAGACGTAGGTGACTCAAGTGTTTAAGACGTTTATAGACATAGGTTCAAAAGATGCTAGGTTAAACTGTGGCTATCCTTTTATTTGAAAGTGACTGACGAACTGTGCATGGGATTCACGGAAGTAAAGGAATAGCCGCCGGGGCTTGGTGCTTAGCTGCCTCGCTAGGGGCCGGAATTTTCACCACGCCCGAACACATGCAATTTCGTAGAGTAGTCAATTGTCGTTCAAGCACGGAATTCCCACACGGAAGCGTAACAGAATCGAGTCTAGACTGGCTAGAAATATGCACTCTACAAGCACTGGATGTGCTAGTTGAGATGTTGATCGTAATCCACAATTATTCCAGTCTAGTTCCAGTCTTATCACGACTCATTATTTCGTGGTATCGTCAATGAAGCGCTCGCAATTGAAGAGTAATGTAATCTCCATAGAGAAGTATTACCTACTCCATTCTGATCATCTTACAGAACAACGGTTGCATGTCTGGACTATGGCTTTCCAGAGTTTAAACTAAGCTCTCTAAACAGTTCAATCACGACATACTTTACTAGCCGCAATCTAAAAGTACATTTAGAAGACAATTTGACTAGACTCTGAGTACAGTGACTCTACAATAAACACTGCGATATAACAAAGAAATAAAAACAAAGCTGAAGTATAGTTCCATTTATCCATCAAGTAATAGACAAGATACAATATGATTCTATTATGTAAATATCTTTGTATATAATTTCTTGTGTTGCTCAAGAATCAATAATGTCAAGACGGTCTGTGGTCCGAGGCGCAGAAAGCTAGGGAACCACCCTTTAAACATCCACAATGGCCCTTCAGACATTGTTGACTGTTGCAAAATATGCCAGACGGATTCTCTGCTTGTTGAGCCCATTACACGTGTTTTCACCACGTCCACTGGCGAACACACTGTCGTGGCAGTTATACCCGCCGTGAAAGATGCTACGAGATGAGTTTTAGTATCATCGGCCATCCCAAACGTCTTGATACCTGATGACTTGACCAAATCGTAAGAGGCTAGCTGTGATGAGTTCATGAGAGATGCGCGGATCGCATTAGCACCCACTCCACGAAAGAGAGAGCCTGGCCCCTCGACCTTGACGATGCGAAGTACACCATCTAAAGCATGCTTATAGTTTCTCCGTTTTCCTGGTGGTCTTGACATGTCTGACTGCATCCGTACGTTGACAACGTCTGTTGGGTTTCCCACTACGCCGCCCAAAAAGCCTGACAGAGCTGACAGGCAGATTAACATTTGGGGAGAGTGGGACAGTGCTTCAGAGTCATGACTAAGACGCGATTTGAGGTGCTCGTATACTCCAAAACGGACTGTGGAATAAGTGAATTGTCTTAAAAGAGCCGCACTCAGGCCAGCATAGAGCCCGAGGTATCCCTCAGTGGTGATTACATGAGTGGTCATCCCAACTATTGATATTTGTCCTGGGATAAGTGTTGACTGCAGGCGGACTTTGACTAAACAATGATGAGCGGGATTATTATCAGTGAATGTAAAGTCTAACCTAGATCAAGTGGGTGAGTGAGAAGACTAGCCATCGCACTGGCGGTGCCTCCGAACCAAAAGGGAAACTTGTTTGGTGAAGGCTGAGAGACGTGTTTGATAGATGACTTCGCTTTTCCTTCAATCACGCTAGAGTTGGAGGAACAGTCGTCCATCCTCTGGGCCGAGAGCTTCGACATCTTGCGTCGGATAGAGGTTTGGTAGGGGAAGAGCAAGAAAGTGGTCCTCAATAATGACTACCACCTTCAACTAAAGCATAGCACATTTTCAGAGTGTAACGTTCTTGGCCTACATAAATACACAATAAGCTGTATTTTTCTTTTTTCCTAAGTCTTCTAGCAGGCAAAGACGAATTCAATTCGGCGGGCTTGTGTCGCAGGTTGCCGATGGATGCAGTCTCAGTATTGGTAAATGCCACCCTGTACGCAATGCTAACGTCGTTGAAACATGACCTGTTTCCCTCTTGAGTGCCCTCGTTGTGGTGCTCTACTTTTGGTGGGGGGGGTTGGCGGGGGCTGGCAGAAGTTCCGAAATCCCGAAATCCCGTGGCCTTGGTTTAATAGTTGACAGGTGCACCATTTTGCCGTATGAGATGGCGGTTTCTTACTCAATTTGGGATTCGCTTTCGGACTTTAATGAAACAGGCCGAGGGTCATTCGGGGGGAGAAATCGGCAGTTATGAGGTGCTGGTAATTAACGAAAGAAAAGTCAAGTATCACATCAGTATATTGGAAAATGAATATTTTTCACCAAAATTCATATAGATATTTGTAGGTGACATATAATTCGTTGAAATGTATACATTCATTTAAACTTGATTGCAAGATAAAGAAGTAATAGTTTTGTTGCCCGAGATTCTCTTGTTCAATCTTGCTATACCACCTGGTCACCACTGCATAGATAGCATAGCTTAGAGGATGGATGATCGCCGTCTACTGAAATCATGAAAATAGAGGTGAATGGTCTTCCCGGCAGAGAAAGATGGAGGTGGTAAAGAAAGGCTTACCCCACCGAGACACTACTTAGCAGCAAGTACAAGGTCAAACTCAATACCGCCAGAGCGATAGACTGTGGTTGCGGCAGGATCATGTGGACAACTACAGAGCCCCATCTCGGCCATGGAGACGGAAATTGAAGTACATGTTCCGGTTTACCAACAACAATGCTTGTCTTTTAATCTCACCAGAAGACTATCAGTTGTTCATTGTCACTATCTACAAAACAAGTCAATTATTCGAGGCTGACATTAAATATTGCTTCACTCTCTCACACCTCTATCTCTTGCATCAGTCAAAGACTTAGTTTAAACAGCATCACCTCAGATTCCCAACACCACGAGTAATTTCAAGTGATCGCCACCATGGTTACAACAGCGAACTCCCAGTCAACGTAAGTCTGAGCAGCCACACCACGTATCGCGCATACTAAGAAAATCTAGCTCTGGTGGCCCTCAACCATCAAATCTGCCTATAGTTGAAACAGATGTCCTCATCGTGGGGGCCGGAGTAGCTGGGCTGTCGTTTGCAACCATGCTGGCAGCGCTCGACATCAAAGTGTACGCCATTGCGAAGCATAGCGGCACTGCCCCGGCTCCTCGTGCACATGTAACAAATCAACGCACAATGGAAGTCTTCCGCGATATGGGCATCGAAAACCGGATCCAAGGTGCAGGAACATGTATGCCCGAGATTGGCAACATGGTCATGGCTACTAGTCTCACAGGCATGGAAATCGGACGCTACAGCTGCTATGGAGGAGGTGATCATCAACTCACCGACTTTGCAAAAGCGAGTCCTAGTAAGATGTGGAACACGGCCCAGAACAACATGGAGCCTATTTTGCTGCAGACAGCAAGGGAGAAGGGCGCCGATGTGCGCTTCTATCACGAACTGATAAAGATTGAACAGTCTGAGCAAGGCGTCGTTGCCCTAGTTAGAGAGCGGACTAGTAAGGGAGAGTATATTGTCCATGCTCGCTATGCCGTCGGTGCAGATGGAGCGAGGTCGACGGTCGCCCAGCAAGTTGAATTTGGATTCGTCGGCGAACCCGGGCTTATGCATATGATAAGCTCCTGGGTAGAGATGGACTTGGCCCAATACGTTGCTCACCGTCCTGCTTGTATCTATCTGATGTTACAACCAGGTGATGCGTATTGGGTTGGCTCGGGAACATGCATTCTCAAGAAGCCCTGGAATGAATGGATTGTGAATCGACAGTACAACGCAGCAGACGGAGAGCCTGATATGAGCGACGAAGCTATCATTGCTCACGCCCGTGGCGCCTTGGCAATTCCCGATTCTTTACCCATCCGAGTCAAGCACAAGGGTAAGTGGCAGGTGAACCACGTTGTGGCTACCGAGTACCGCCACGGCCGTATCTTCCTTGCCGGAGATGCAGCCCATCGTCACCCTCCTGCCAGTGGACTAGGAAGCAATACCTGTGTACAAGACGCTTTCAATCTTTCTTGGAAGCTTGCCGCTGTTATCAAAGGACAGGCTGGTGAAGGAATTCTTGAGAGTTACAATCAAGAGAGACAGCCAATAGGCAAACAGATCGTCGACCATGCAATCCAGACCCTTCATGATATGGCCCTTCTTCCAAGCGCTTTGGGCTTTGAGCGAGGACAGTCCCGAGACGAAGGATTTGCTAAGCTGGAAGAACTTTTTTCTGACGCCGACGGTGCAGCTGAACGTCGTGAACATCTGAGGAAGACGATAGAGCTCGGCAACCGTCGATCTAATCCTCTTGGAATACATCTAGGCCAACGTTACACCAACTCAGTCGCAATGGTTGACGATGGAACTCCATTCCCTCAATATGAGCGCGACGAAGTTCTATTTTATCACCCTACAACGCATCCTGGTGCCTACATACCACATGCTTGGATAGAACTCAACAAGAAGCGTATCTCAGTCCTTGATATCTTTGAGCACGGTAGTTTTGGTCTTGTAGTTGGTATTGGTGGACAGGCTTGGAAGGAGGCAGCCGTTATTGTTAGCCAAGAGCTTGGTGTTAAGTTGCCTGTTTACTTTGTTGGTCAGTGTTGTACTTATAGCGATGTCTCGGGCGAGTGGACTAGTCGACGTGAGGTCAGTGACCGTGGAGCCCTGTTGGTTCGTCCTGATCGTCATATCGGATGGAGATCATTAGGTCGTCCCCAAGACCCTACGGCAGCCTTGAGGTCAGCTTTACGGCAGATTCTTTCTCTTTAGGGTAGTGCTATAGGGAACAAGTTTTAGACTCAATTTTCTCCAAATGGTACACTCATCGTTTCCAGCCATTGAGCTGTCATTTCGAGATCTACCATACGGTGCACGAAAGTCCGGTCTTTATATTGTTGGGAATATGAGATCCATACAGTATAGAAATTATCACTCCAAACCGTTGCAATTGAAACATTGGTGATTTTACATAAATACTTTAGACATTTCTACATGTGCGACGGTCTAGGGTATTCATTGTGTGAACATGCAAAACATCGCTCTTTGTTATTTTTCAAGAGCCAGCCAACAGTGTTTGAGTTGATTGATATTCTTGCTCGATCCAAGTTTCATAGAAGTAGATTGAGTTGCATTACTGTATTGCCAGGTTATCTGCGTAGTCTCATACAATTCTAAAAAATGACATTTGCACAGATTAGGTTCCTTTTGATATTGTCAGGATCATTTCCAATTGTAAATTACTTTAGTCTAAAATTAAAATGGTTTTATTAAATTAATGAACCGCTAACATCCGACAGCCTGAGCCGCGTAATGCTGCTGTCGAAAAGAAAAAGAGAAGCATCAACGACACTAGGCCTACGCTATGTCTTCGGATATTCCGTCCGAAATACCGAGTTTATCGTTTAGTCCCTCCCCGCTGTTACACATCAAGCCAGTCTTCAGCTTAATCTAAAGATGGTGGGGCCGTGATCTCGACCACATCTGATGTTACGCTGGACAAGGCTTTCCTTCACTCTTTCATAAAATGCAATCGTCTTAGTTTTCGGGCTTTTAGCTCACATGTGAGTCGGCAGGGTCGGCGAAAGAGATATTTTTTTGCCGAAATAGATATGTCGGCCGGAATTCGTATGCGTATTCGGCCCCATAGGCCCTAGTCAGAGAATAGGAAGTATGCATACAATCCTGCCTTACATATTCAGTGCCAGTTCACGCTTTGTAATGACACATCTAGTTGTTCAAGAGCATTATCATTGCGGTGTATCTCACATTTGCTTGAACAGATCACCTCTTTTGTTATAACTGATCAACCTGCACCTTCGTAAACACCATCGCCAATATCGCCATCCCCGTCACAATGTCATTTTTTCTTCGAAGACGTGTCCAACCCCGCCTCTCCTCTTTGCTAGCTATATCAGGCCGGAGGAATCACTCATTTGCAAGGTTCGATTGGGAAGACCCCGTTTCCACAAAGAGCCTGCTCACCTCAGAGGAACTCGATATACAAGAGACTGCCCGGGCTTACTGCCAGGAACGCCTAATACCTCGAGTTCTAGGTAAGTGATAGGTTCCAGAGCTTGGAACTTGTTATTTGTACTGACTTCCGAGCGAAGATGCTTATCGAAATGAGGATTATGACAAGAAGATCCTTCGTGAGATGGGAGAGCTAGGCCTCCTCGGAGCCACAATTTCAACCCATGGTTGCGCGGGAGTCAGCAGCGTCGCCTCAGGTCTGATCACTAAAGAAGTTGAGCGTGTAGACTCGGGGTATAGATCTGGAATGTCTGTACAGAGTTCACTTGTTATGGGCCCCATTGCGGAACATGGCACAGAGGAACAAAAGGACCGTTTTCTGCCTCAGCTAGCCCAAGGAACGATGATTGGATGCTTTGGTCTCACAGAGCCCAATCATGGCTCTGATCCTGGATCTATGGAAACCGTTGCTCGTCCACATCCCACAAAAGAGGGATACTATTCTCTGTCTGGGGCTAAGACGTGGATCACCAACTCTCCTATCGCTGAACTGCTCCTGGTCTGGGCTAAACTCGAAACCACTGGAAAGATTCGAGGTTTTCTGATAGAACGTGATCGATGCCCTCCAGGAACACTCGAAACACCTAGTCTCAAAAATAAGAATGGCCTGAGAGCATCCATAACTGGTATGATCCAGCTAGATGGTTGTCCAGTCCCCAAAGAGAATATGCTTCAGGTTGAAGGTCTGAAAGGGCCTTTCAGTTGTCTCAATTCAGCAAGATATGGTATAGCCTTTGGTACTATGGGAGCCCTTGAGGACTGTATCAATCGTGCTCGTACGTATGCACTTGATAGAAAGCAGTTTGGAAACCCGCTTGCAAAGTACCAACTTATCCAGAAAAAGTTGAGTGATGCTCTGACGGATGCATCCTACGGTACGTTGGCTGCAATTCAGGTGGGGAGACTTAAGGATGAGGGCACGTTGGCGCCTGAGATGATTTCAATGATCAAAAGACAGAATTGCGACCGGGCATTAGCAGGAGCTCGAACGTAAGTTTTATCCTATCTCGACTATGACGATAGACTAACCGTAACTAGGCTTCAAGAGATTTTTGGAGGGTAGGTACTTTTTCACTTTTCCTTACAAACGAAACTGACATCAGACTCTAGAAACGCCGCTTCGGATGAGTATCATATAGGTAAGCATTGACTGGTATTCTTTTTTCCTTAGTCCTAATTTATCTGACTTCATGTAGGACGCCATGTAGCAAACCTGTTTGTGGTTCAGACCTATGAAGGACAATCTGATATCCATGGTAAGTCCTGATATATTGACCATAGTACGCTACTAACCTGGGAATAGCAATGATTATCGGTAAGGGTATTACGGGATCGCAAGCCTTTTACTAGTTTATTGTATCATTAGATATAAATATCAGTTTAGTAATTTCCACCACTTCCTTGAACTCATGATATTCATTACAATTGGTTCGACAAAAATATAATGGTAGAGTGAAGTTGCAGTAACCATACTACATACAAGAGCTTGGAGTAAATACACAAAGAAAAACGGTAATACCAGTTTCTCTTGCTTATTTTATGATTACATAGGATTTTGCTACAATTTAACTGTAGAAGGACTTTGTATTTTACAGTGTATGTGGAATACAGGGGACTTGAATATCTGGGCACTTCGACCGGAGTCAAATTGTTTCACCTGACGAGGGTTGGAAACCCCACCAGACGTATCGTGCGGATCAAGGCCATATATCATAGGATCAGTCTAGAAATGTCAGTATTTGAATAAAGCAAAGTGATCCTGACAAGATTGTTGAATTGTGGGAAACTTCAACGTCCTGGAGAACTTCTACACTGCAAATAGGCGTCCGTCAATCTCGAAACCTATCTTCTCACTGAAAGACCATCTTGTTTCGTGTAGTACCGATCCCACTAATCGACACCTCTACAATATCTCCATCCTTTAGCCAGGCGGGTGGTTTCATTCCCAGAGCCACACCACCAGGAGTGCCAGTCAGAATTACTGAGCCTTTCTCAAGTGTCGTGCCTTGACTGACAAACTCGATAATTCTCTTAACCCCAAACACTAGATCACTAGTACTCGCTTCCTGACGGACCTCCCCATTTACCTTGGTCTGCAAGATGAGATCATCCGCGGCTCCAAGGGCCTGTCTTTTATTAGTTCAATCTACAGCTTGATCGTCGAATCACTTACACTTGGGGATACAATCACAGGTCCAAGCGGCGCAAAGGAGTCGAAGCCTTTGGAGAAACACCACTGCGGTACTTCTCCTGCAAATTTGGGGTCTCTCTGCCATGTACGTGCCGAGACGTCATTGGCAACAGTATATCCGGCCACATAGCTCAAAGCATCTTCGGCCGAGATATCCTTCCCTTCCTTCCCAATCACGATAGCCTTTGATAGGTCAGTATATCTAAAGCATCAATAACAGAGACTTAGCCTACCAGTTCGCCTTCATAATCAAGCTGATCCTTTTGTGCAATCTTTGGAATTGGGATATCGTCGTTCCAGCCGGTAACTGAGCGAGATGGCTTTATGAATATTGAAGGATGTGGCGGTGGTGACCTTCCTGTTTCCTTGACTGATGATGTTAATACAGGATGAATAAGATGTGAAAGATAGCATACTGTGTTTTGCATAGTTTAAGCCAACGCAGCGGATGATTGGAACATCTCTTGGTGTCAGAGGTCCTAGGAGCTTTTTAACCTTGACTGTCTTTCCAGTAGGCTTTGTGTCAAATAATTCAGTACCAACAAGCTCATTGGCGATGAGATTTCCAGCTTCTAAGAGATTTGTCAAGTCTTGAGCAGATTCAGCCACCGCATCGCCTAGATGAATCTGATCTTGGTCGTCAAGAAACCTTATTAATCGACTCCAGGCCATCTTGTGTAGCTTCTAGCGGATAGATGTTATGCGTGTGTGTTGAAAGTAGTGAACGTATAGAAACCATCACCACGGCGGGAGCGACAGACGCTTTTATACATTTGATCATTGAAGGTGGGGCTTTAATTGCGTTATGTCGGACATATTCACTCGTCTCACTTAATTCTGCCGTGATGAGTTTTACTTCGGGATGAACCGGAATTCATATATGTCTGGCCGAGTCACGTACCGAAATACCGTCCCGTCGTACTTAATCAAGTTATCTCGGCTACTGGTCAACCATAAACATACATGTAAATCCTTAGCGCAAACAAATATTTGCCATCGTCTATCGGCCTAGGTCATTTACTGCTATTTCTTATTTCTTCAGTGCATTTTGGATCTCCTCGGATAGTGCATCTACATCAAAGTTCCCAATGGGATGATCAGCCCACTCTGCAATCTTCTTCACGACATCCAACACAGTCTTAACGCAAGAGACTGAGTTTCCTATTCCCAAAGTCGCCTTAATATGACTCTTCGTTTGTCGAGTCGCTCCCAACGCAGTTATGGTGGCCGCAATGATCAAATGCGACTGATTTGGTTCAAAGACCTCTTCATTTGCCTTTGAGATAAGATAACCCCATGTCACAACGGTTGAACATGTGACTGGCGAGAAGGGTCAGCAAAATGAAGGCTCGGGACTATCAGGGGAAGCGAACGCACATAAATCTGTAAAATACTTGTCCATCAGAATGAAGATGCCTGAATTTCCAACACCGCTGTATATGCGGCTCTTAAGCTCAGTGCCCTTTTTGACGTCTTCCTCGTCGACTGTCGTCTTCCGCAGAACTTTGGTAGAGGCATACTCGGTACCCTTTCGCTGCACAACGCCAATCATGCCGTAACATGCAGGGATGCAAGTTGGCATTCCCAGGTAAGGGAAAACAATGGTGATAGCCTCTCTCAGGCAGAGAAATAACTTCTCAGATTCTTCGGGTGTCGAATCGAAAGAGATGTCATCAAAAAAACGTCCCACAACATCTGCACGATTGACGGCGCAACATGCAGCAGCCTATCGACTATGTGGTTAGCATTTGGATAAGGTACATTTTGAACTTTGGGCTTAGACATACGATAATCGCATGACTGAAAGATTTAATCTCAGGGTGAGATGTAGCTAACGTTGAATTGAGGCCTAGTAAAAGATCTCTATCATATTTCCGTGCGCTGGGTTTGATGTTGGTGGAAACATATTTCGTGTCCCAGTCCGACATGAACGAATTATCCTTCCAGTCAAGCATTGTGAATAATCTTGACAAAAAGTTGAGACAGTTGAGGTCTAGAGTGACAGTCTAATCAAGGTTCGTCCGCAAATTGCACCACAGAATTCAACTTCACTCCATATGGATGTACTTATACCACGACCTTTTAGCTAGAGTTGGGTCGCGGGGCAAAGCACAGCCAAAGAAAGACCAGGAGTCGTGTCTATGTTGACGAATGCTAAATGCTAATTGGGTGAACACTCACTCCAGCTTCTCATTCTTGCTTGACTTGCAACAAACGCCTTACATGACAGTGTCTTTACAAAAAAACGGCCCCGCCTTTCAAAACAAGCTCACAAGCTATTCGGATGTGTCGGGGCTGGTTTCGGGGCGTTCAGCCGTGTCCCGGAATGATGTCGGAAATTCCACCTCAGGCGAGATCGGCAGCAAAGTGCATGAATTCGGGAACGCTCAATCTGGCTTAGATCAAATGCTAGCACAGACAGCAACTTTAGCTTGACGAGCAATTACAATAGAGAGGCTGTTACTGTAGCTCACACAGCAGCCAGCTGTCACAGCTCATCAATATCCTTTGACGCAATTGTATGGAGGGTAAAAATTGTTCAACAAGTAGTTATGCCTAGCCACATTACCCGCCCAAGAGGTAGACCAAGACAATGCGCATATTGTGACCGTGTCTTTACTAAAGAAGAACACCTGAAGCGTCACGAGAGAACTCGTAAGCAGCGTGAAAGAACCGCCTACCTGAACCAACTACTGATAAGTTACAGATACCGGAGAACGACCTTTCAAATGTTACAAGTGCGGCAAGACTTATGCGAGAAGGTTAGTCAATTACAAGACAAACGTACCCTACGTATAATTGATTACTTCTGAGAGTAGTGACGTGCTTTTTCGACATTTGCAATCGCATACCTCGACGGGCGGCAACGGCCAGAACGACGAACGACCCAGACGGCCCTCCTCCGATGCTATCTTGTTGGAAGATGGCAATACTTTATCCCGGAATAACCACATGCAATCGAGTCTAAACTCAGAGCGACAGTCGAATACATCCACTAAATCTTCCATTACGAGCGTTCAAAGATGTATCTCCCAACCATTGCCGTGTCATGAAACATACAGACCAAGCTCTGCCATGACCACGCCGCCTGTTCAATCTAAACCAGGAGGTCTTCCACGTTCTGGACCTGATGCGCCTGAGTTACAAGATTATAATATTATGAACGATTTGGTTGCTTTCATCTCTGAAGAACCTTACGGCAATAATGACGAGGTCTCGGGCCATGTCCAAAGAGAGGAAACCTGCGAAGCCAATTCCCAATGGCCACAAAAAAGACTACGATTGTCGCCACAGTCTCTACAGAACAGCGATACTAGTCCAGAACCTCTTACAGTTCCTCGGCTTTCCCAACCGCAGTTTGACTTCCACTCACTTTCCGCCCGTTCTTTGGAAGAGACCGAGCAAGGGTGTTTCTTAGAAGACTTGGATCCATCTAATACGTTTAATTTCAATCTGTGGCGGTTTCCAGGCCAGAATGGCATGGAACCTAGCTTAGACAACATGTATAACTTCGGCTGCAATAGCTCCGACCTCCAACCATCGACACCCACTGCCGATAGGGAAACATGCAATATCGTCCCAAAGAGCAATTTTTTTCTGGCCATATCATTAGGTCAAACGCAAAATCTACAAAGAATATGGTCAAGACAGCGACCAAAAGTGCCAGCGCCCATTACCAATAAATTGTGGAGTGAGGTGACCATGCACAAGGCTGATAACATTTTTACCAAACCGCAACATGATTTCAACATTGGAAGCTATCAGTTCTTGGGTTGCAAGGTGGATCACAAGTGTAGGAATCGTTTGATACAGTATTGTAAAGACCTTGATAGCTCATTCAGCTCGTCAACTACTACTAATCATATCCCAATGCCTGCTGTTGATGTACTCGACTCAAGCCTGGACTTTTACTTCCAGTTTTTTCACCCGGTTTTACCGTTCATACACAAGAGCACCTTTAACGCTAGAAGCACGCCGGCTCCTTTGCTATTCGCAATGTGTCTCGTTGGCTTATCCTACCTACATGGGATAAGAACCAAAGACTTTCTCATCAGATACCTCAAAGTAAGTTCTCAGTTCAACAATGCAGGTGCAGCAAGATTCTGACCTCATTTTAGAAGTTATTGCCAGCCTGCCTTGTTGATTTGACGTCCATGGAGGCTGCAACGTCCCATAACCTCACCACTCTTGCGACTGTGCTTATCGTAGCTTACTTGGCCCTGGGCTTTCGGGTAAGAACCCTCCGTGTTTAGCTTTGTAAATTCTTGCTAACTGAGCCTAGGATGACATCGATCTATACCAAGCATACGCATTATGTACCCAGACACTTCGTGTAAGACGCCTGAAACGGAAATATATCACAACCATCTTGCTGACTGGAGTGTTTGATTAGCTAGCAGACAAACAAGGCCTATTTGCCGCCGAGGATGGTGATAAGTGGATTTTTAAGATTGAGAACGGGACATTAGATTCCGATTCCATTTGGGAGGCCTGGGGACGAGTCGAGTCTATCAAGCGGCAAGTTGACCCCCAACTAGTAGCAACTTAATTAACCAATATTGCAGTCTTATATGCTGTCTTATCTACCTCGACATGGCATATTCACGATTGATGAACACATCGGGTGTGATTGAGATAGACAAGGTCGAGATCCATCTACCTTGTGACGACAGTCTCTTCAACGACGCGACAACGGCCTCAGCTTTCCAGCGCCTCATCCAGCAGGGTGCACAAATGACAATGCCTCAAGTGGATGTACGGGACTTCCAGAGAACACCATCAGCAAAACTAAATCAAAGTTCAACTCAAACCCTTCTACGTTCTCTGTACCTAAGAATTATAGCAGCCAACACCAGGCTTTCGAACAAGCACAGCCAGAAGTCACAGTCCCGGCTAGCTAGTCCTATTGAAAGATTAGCGATGGATGAGGGTTCCAAGAATATTATTTCTGACCTCGTACTACTACCAAAAATGCACTCTCACTTCCTGGAGGGCAGACAGCAGAACAATGCATTGGGATGGCATTATCTATGCATTCTGCTAACAGCCGACATTGATCTTTTGGAAACTGCCTGCGGTCGTGATGGCATGGAGGCTGCTGAGTGTTCCCTTATTCATGTTTTCGAGTGGTCACAGTCTAGCAGTGCTCGCAGGGCGCTACTCCATGCTGCCCAGGTCTTCAGTATGTTGGATGTATGCCATATCCGCGAATCATATTTCACCCGGCCTGATCTCGTCTTATTTGTCTCAGCGCTTGTGATAAGTCAGTATTTTCTTGTCACTGGTAACAGAAGTGTAGGATCTAATGTACCTGTGTTTGAGCTTCTACATGATATTGATTGGACTACGGTGGGAGATGAAGGTTTTGGCAGAGCTACTGGATGTGTTTCTTCTAGCGTGGCACTAGCTTTTGAGCAAGAAAAGCTCACATCAAACTCGTTAAGAGGTTTTTTGGAAAACGGGGGCCCCGTTTCGTTCGCTGGAGAAGCTCAAGGGCTTGGAGGTGTGACTGCTAAGAAGATAGCAAGGAAGTTCGCCCACCTTATGGATAGGTTTGGAGAATGGGATGGATGTAGCCATTCCCGACTGCTGAGGGCAATGTGCGGTTTTACAAATGACTCAGATTAACAAAAGAATTGCGCATCACGATTGTTTATCTACCACGGAATAACATTATAATACACTAGTTTCATTGCATAGGATTTAAAGATCGTTCTTTTGGCTATATACGTGCTTTTTGTTTTCAGACTACCGTGCTGTTGCAATTAGACGCCATGTACAAAAAGTCGATCCTCAACTGGGACAAATGTCTTTTCATGTGCAGGCTCACCTGTCGGCTGGCCAAAAACTAATTGTGCTTTCAACGACCACTGGGGTGAGATGTTCCACTGCCCGACGATTCTCTGATCAACGATGGGGTTGATGTGTTGCAGATTGCACCCAAGTCCTTCAAGGGACAGGGCTGTCCATAAATTGAAGGTTTGCATGGCATTATTATGTTCAGAGAACTGCAGAAGATGTGTAACAAATCGAGGGAACTTGGCCTGATATTCTCGAATCACGTCTAAGTCTTCGAATAGTAGTATCTATCATATCTTCAATCAGAATACAAACTTCGAAGAGCTGAAATAGATCATAGACTTACCGTTCCATATCCCTGCTGACGTTGGACTAATTTCTTTGCATATTCACCGTAGACGTCTAGCTTCATAGTAGCTTTGAAGCACTCCTTTGCCATTTCCCAAAATTTGACATGCTCATCCCGAAGTAGGACAACAACGCGAGTGGATTGGCAGTTGAAAGAACTGGGTGTATGTTTCACCACCTCTCGAGCTATCTCGACGATACGAGCATCACTAATGGGAGACTTGGCCTCAAGTGAGTAACGAGTTCGACGACTCGTAATGTCTGCTAGAAAACTGTCCGACATGGTGTTCATAAACGGTCTATTTGAGAACAGTAATAATGAGTCGAATGATAAAACAAGAATACACAGAGACAGAGAATATGACGAAGTTATCAATGATAAGAATCAAGGGCATTTAGGTCGATGTCTTTAGTAGTTGAGGCCCCACAAAGGGAAGAGCCCCAATGCCCCAGATGCCCCATGTCCCCCACATCACCTGTCTGGGGCCCTCCATCCTACTGACCAGGTTAATCCAAAGCCCTGTTAGCTTGCCCAGAAAGTCTTTACTATTTATCTTATTATCTTAGGCGGACTACTTAATTTAATCCTCCTTTCTACCTCAATATATTTTGAACACGGTCCTATTTTATCTATCTCGACTTAAACCTTCTTCTTGAACAGCAGCCTGTCAACATTGTCAAGACTCAGACTTCCAATTTGCAAATATGGTGAAAACAGTTCTAGTTCTTGGTGCCACTGGAACCCAGGGTGTGTGCAGATAACTCCCTCTTTACTGCCTCTTGACTGAACTAATCATTATCGTAAGGCGGATCCATCGCCAATCTGTTGGTTCAGTATCCAGATCAGTACCTGGTTCGAGCCCTTACTCGAAATCCTGATTCGGTCAAGGCCAAAGTACTTGCTGCGAAAGGAGCTCAGCTAATAAAGGCCGATTTGACTGTTCCCTCAACCCTGCCAGAGGCATTCAAGGGTGTCTGGGGTGTCTTTGCAGTCACTGACTTCTACGATACGGTCAGCCCAACCTTGATCTGCTATTAAGACTAGTCTCATGCTGACCAATTAGACTGTTCTTGATGATCCCATGAGCGAGGAAAAGCAAGGCCAGCACATCGTTCAAGCTTCAGTCGAAGCAGGAGTAGAATGCTTCTTGTGGAGCACCTTGCCAAGCTCTCGAGAAATCTCCGGTGGCAAGTTTGTCACTAGGCTATATGAAGGTACCGCAGATCAAAACATATCCGGAGACTTGAGGCTAATTATACCATCCTAGGGAAACAATCAGTTGATGCCGTTATTCGTGAAGCCGGTCTCAAGGGAGCTTTCATTCGTACTGGAAACTTCTACGAGAACATGATTTCTCGTAAATATGCTTCATATGACAAAAACGCTGATGTCATTACCATGACACGACCCATTATCGGCCCGGATGCTGAACGTGAGTTTGACATGATAGTTCTATTGAACCTTTGATCTAATACGCAGTTATATAGTAACTTCACTTTATGTTGAGAAAGACCTTGCGGCTGTTGCCAAGGCGCTTTTCGACCAGTGGGAGGATAAGAAGAGCAGTCTTGATGGTAAATACTTTCTGGCCAGCGGTGCCCGTGAGACGATGGGGGATATCAATGCTGTTCTAGAGAGAGGTAAGTTCATAACATTTAAGAGCCTTTGCTCTATGGCTTATCTGACATGGACAGTCTCCGGGAAAAAGGTATTTTACAAGGTAAAACCGACGTGTGGAATCCCAGATCGCGACATTATGTTACAACTCTACAACAATGTGGGAATGTATCCTGGGGTTGATATTCCGACTCCTGAGGTGGCAGAGCTGGGCGTGAAGCTACATGGTGCTGAAGATTTCATACGGGAGAAATTACTTCCGCATCTTGGCCTCAAGGCACAAAACTAGGTCGGCTGAACAAACCATCTTTTACTATCGCGATACATGCGGTTGCAATTGTCAAGCTGAAGAATAAAACTTTCGCTAGTGTTCTCTTACCCATTAAAAGTGATGTTCGTTATCAGAAAGATATGTCTTGATTACTCCGTGGGAATTGGTAATTTACTGAATGACCCAGATGATGAACGCTACTTATCCAAAACAACTTCAGCAAACTGGGCTAATTTGTCTAAACCGTGGACAAAGACAAGAACAACCCGTGAATGTCTTTAACAGGTAGGTATAGATGAATTGATAGGTGTTCTGTATGTAAAGGAAAGAGTTCCCTCTAAAAAGGATGATTTATTTCCATTTAGTGACATGGCCAATGTTAACTTTGATGCCTCTTAGACCTAGTAATCTTACTTGGGAGATACCCTATACCGATGTGCTTCGTCAAAACCGACCCTAGAGACACTAGCTAAACTCTATTGAAATTCGATGTAGCCTAAGGTAGCCAATGAGATCCAACAGCGACATCCTTGAGATCCACTGCCCGGAAATTCCAGCGAAATTCCGGTTCCGTCGAGTCTAGCTTGGCTAAGCTACTTCAGCCATCTAATCCAAGAAATGCACATGACAATCCAGCAACCATCCCACGAAGCATTGTACACCACAGTAAAGGCATGCGCTGCTCCCCTAGACGCTACTGAGACCAAACCAAGACTTGATTCCTGGAGATGCGGGGAACCCTGTTGCACTAGACAAGTTATCCCTCTCGGCAACAGCGGCTAGATCAACCTCGATTCTGGGGGGCATCTGGGGAATCCAGGAGGGTTATGTGCCGCTCGACGCTAAGGGTCCACACTGTAATCCAGACCCTAGAGGTTCAACTTGTCTACTACATTCCAGATTGACTAGACTTTGTGTTGCAGAAAATTGAGTCGAAGGGACAGACTCCTAGCATCCTACAGATTTCACTTCAACTTCATACAGATCTCAATTGACATCATGTCACCACCCCATTCCCCATGCTGGGAAGCACCCCCTCGTGTGGCCGCAGACAAGACTACCTCAACGACTGACGATGTGCGCGACACAACGTCCAATAACGACCAGGATGGAACCAACAAAACAAACACCGCAGGAGAAACCGCCACAGCAAACGCGGGATCTTGGGAAGAGCGACCGGCGAAGAAAATGAAGAGAGGGAAATACATATCCAGAGCTTGGTAAGACCCTCGTGCTACCTGTTACCTGCTCGAGTATGTAAACGACGTGACTGACTGTCACAGTACTTCTTGTCAACAGCGTAAAATAAAGGTTAGTCTTTCGTGCCCTCTTCTCCCTCTCCTTCACTGTCATGATGCACACATGTTTTTAACTCGTCAAACTACCTCAGTGTGAGGGAGGAGACCCTTGTCGACAATGCTTCGCGAAACGACTCCCATGTCAGTCTTCTGCCCCCAGAGGTGGAGGCGGACAGCAAGGGCGTCGTGACTCGAGGACAGATCCTGTTGATGGCCAAGACTTACCGTATATCCTCCCCAACGATAGGTAAGCTGTGTGTACTCTTTCTTACCAGCATGAGCTCATACATCATAGCAATGCCAATATCAATCGTGAGATTCTAGTCCGTCTAGAAGCAGTAGAAAGTCATCTACGTCTGATGCGACCGCCTAGTCCCGACCGTTTCAGAGCCACGAATAACCACGCAACTATCGACGATCAGCTCAAAACTTCCGCAGCCAAGCTACAAAGCGCCCTCGAGACGGAAGGGCAGACATTTGCGGGAGAAATGACAATGACCCCGGCATTTGAAGACGAGAGCGACCGCCTGGATCACAACAGCTCTGTGTCGTCGGCGATGCGAGTGGATTACTCCTCCCCAGCATCTTCCCTCCAACCCCCTGCAACATCACCAAGCGACGTGACAGGCAGGAAGGGAGGATGGTTCCAGGGGCTACTCAGGCGACATGGCGTAGTTACAGACCAAGAGCAATGCAGGTATCACTTGCAAGTCTACATGGACGAGGTACATCCTATGTATCCAGTAGTCCACCCCCCAGCAGTTTGGGACATCTTCAACGACATGTGGCAACACTCAAGTTCCTCCAACGAGTCGGCCCAAAGCGAGCAACTGCGTGTTTCAGTCGCTCTGGTATGCTTTTGCCTGGCACTTGGACGATGCAGCCTATCTACAAGAATGAGCGACCCAAGCGGCGTCAAGTCTTCCGGTTGGAGCTTGTATAACGTGGGTATGAGTTTACTCGGTGATCTATTCGAAACTAGCAACACAGCCATTAAGTCACTACTCATGCTGCAGGTGTTGATGGTGAGGGTAAGTCAACGCACCAGCCGACCTATACTTCCTATGGCATTAACTTCATCTCCTAGATCATGTACATGTTCCGATTAGACGCAAATCAGAAAGCAGCAAGGGTTCACGCCCTCGCTGTATCAGTTGCACAAACAATAGGGCTACATCGTCAGAGTACAATCGATAGTATGCCAGCTTACTACAGCCAGTTGTACTCACGAACTTGGTGGTCTTTGTATCTCTTGGATCGCCGACTAGCTCTAGAGTCAGGAAAGCCATATTTCATCCAAGACAGCAACGTCGACACATCATTACCCTTGGACCTAAGTGATGAGTGGATGACGCGATTTGCATCAAGAAAAGAGACGATAGCTGAGCTCCAACAAGAAGTGGCGGCTGAGGTTGCTAGAGATTCTTCACCATCATGTGTTCCATATGTCCTCGCCATGGTACGTTATTGTCGTGTTGCTGGCAAGACATGGGAGGTTTTATACGGTGTCAAATCATCAACTGCGTCCATGTCAGCTATGATCGAGTACGTCGATACTGCCATAGGCAAACTACTCAACACGGTCCCGATGTGCTTACAATATGACATTGACGTCTCTTATGAAGCTCAGTTCAGCACGAGGACGCGATGGCAAGTTAAACAAACTTTTCTCTTTAATAATGTAAGTATTACAAGATGGCAGATGTCTCGTCGAATTTAGTTACTGACGACTTCTAGTGCTGCACATATCTCCGACTTTTGATCAGAAGACCGTTGCTGCCCAGTTCAAGTGCTATATACCATACAGAAGAGGATGATCTCGAGTCATCAATTGAATGTGCTAGTCTTGCTGCCCGAATTCTCACAACACATCAAAACATAAAAGACGACGGGCTTAAGTATAGCTTCGCACTCAGTCACTATGTCACAAGCTGCGCAATTGTCATGATTGGCTTAGTAGCGAGGGAGCCGGGCTCCAAGAGGAGGTACCGACACTTGATACTTGCAGCTACGCAGTGTTTGAATGAGTACTGCCGCAAGATCTGGGTCTCTGGAAAGATGATACGCTGTGTTTCCAGGCTTAGCCGGCTGGTTGACCGGGTTCTAGCGGTGGGCTCACCAGGAAGCCAAGATCGTCAAAGTCCATCAAGCATCAGGCGAGACTCAGTATCAGAGCGCATGATACAGCATCCGACACCGCCACAATCTGAAGACCAAGGCTCTATGCATTACAGAGTGGGAGCGTCAAATCTTTACAGTAATCAACTCAAAGACATGGGCATAGGTTCTGGTGAGAGTGCACAAAGGGACCAAGAAGCAAACTATTATTCATTCAACATCGAATCTCTAGGTGCAATAGCCGAGAGGCCAGGAGAAAGTATTAACAAGCTACCCACATGGCTGGCTGACCCAAGCTTTGATCGTCGGAACAGTTGGATCATGTCTGACTTTAACTTTGAGACATTTGGCGAACGTTTCGTTTCCAACGATACCGAGCTAGCAACATTCATGGAAAACGATAGTCTTGATTTCACACGGGGCATGCCTGCAGCTACTAATCGGGGACCTAGTGAGGCAAGACTTGGCGCATTGGGTGTTAACGGTGTCTTCGACCTTGATATGGACTTGGTTCCTACTATGATGAATCTTTACGCAGATTAGCGTTGTTCACCGATGGGGCAGTGAAAGTTCCATCGTGACATTACTGCTGGGTATAGAACCACCGGGTTGACGGTCGATTGATAACGCAAAAGGAAAGAAGGCCATGAGACTGGTATCAAACGTGCCATAACGTGGTTTTCGTTTCATCTGGCAACTATTCTTGGGAAGCGTTCACGAGATTGTTTCATAATGACGCGTTTTGTAATTGGGTTTCCCGTATACCTTGTGATACAGTAATCACATCATTAAATTATTAGAGAGTATCACTCTAGTTCGTTAGTTTTCAACTCCGTAACTTTTCAATGAGCCCTGCTTGGTTGACCGCTTCCAATTATGTCCTATTACTCGAGCTATCATGCTGTATTGAGAGCCTAGATAATCTTATCCCTTTCCTTGAGCCTCACATTGAAGCCCATTTGTCTAACAAACCAAGCATTGTGAAGCTTCCACGGAGTCTCTGGGTTGACGAGTTCGAGCTAGAGAAACAATTGTCAGCTTACAAGAACGCTCACAATATCAAAAGCATCATGTGTGGGAAACTTACCTCAAAGATCCTCAGAATGGTTGGCACAAGCTTGTAAAGCTCCAACAAGGAGATGTTTTTGCCCACACATGTCCTAGCTCCAGCTCCAAACGATAGTAGGCAACTATTCATCTTCTTTCGTTGTTCAGGTGTCGATTCAATCCAACGCTCAGGGCGGAAATCTGCGGCATCAGGACCATAAACCTCTTGGTTTTGATGAATGACCCATGGTGAGCAACCAACGATGTTGCCACCGGGAATGAAATGTCCGGCCAGTGTAACGCCACCTTGTGGAACAAGTCTCTCCAGTGTAAGGCCGACTGCCGGGTGACAACGGAGTGCCTCGTTAATGACGGCACTCAAATAGGGCAGTTCCCTAACTTCTTCCCATTGAACGAGTCCGTCATCTCTTGAGAACCGACCGGCCTTGCTCTCGGCCGCGAGCTCTTTAAGAAGGCTTTCCATCTTTGGAGGATCCTTCAGTAAGTAGTAAAAGACAGCTCGTAATGTTATGCCGGTTGTGTCAGAGCCCGCAAACATGTTAGCTACCGTCAGGGCCAAAACGAGTTGCTCAGTAATGAATTCGGGGTCCTTTCTGTGCGCTTCCTTGAATCGGTTCAAGAAGTCTCTTCTGGGAGTTTTCTCTAAGCCTGATTCTTCCTCTTTCTGGCGTTCGACGAGATGCTTTCGGGCAAACTCTGCAACAGGTGCACTTGAGTTGAGGAACCCATTCTTGACCATCCATATTTTGATGGGGTTCTTGATGAACAAGTTATCTAGAAATGGGATTTGGCCAATCTGTGCAAAGTTCGCTCGTTAGTATCGAAGCTCAAGAAAGAGGAGAAGGGGCACGTACCCATGACACGTAATTCAAGAAACTTTCCAAATCCCGAATGATGTTATCAATATCGTCACCTCGTTCAACAAACCCCAATCTTTTCGAAAATGTTAATTCGCCGATGACATCGAAAGCATAGAATTGCAACCAAGCCCCAAAATCACAAATACCCGCGTCGTTGGAACGATCAGCAAACCGAAGCTTGAGTTGCCTGATAAACTCGGTCGAAGTCGAGTCAACAAATGGTTCAAATGTGACAAGTGTACTCATGGCATAGGCGTTCGAGACTGATCGTCGGAGTCTGGCGTGGTATTTGTCGTTGGCCGTATTGAACATGGTCTCGAGTCTTTTTCCTTTCGCTAAAGCTTGTTGTACGGGATAGAACTTTGACTAAAGGAATGGTTAACCAATTATTGATAGCCGAATACTAAATGACGATTTACCTTTGACCATCCTGCACTTGGACTATAAATGATCTTCAATGCCTCCGTATCCGCAATAGAGATAGCTCGCGGCCCGAGTCTAACAGCAGGCCCGTACTTTTTGTGTAGTTCAATATGTACCTCCTGGGCCCTGCGACCTCGAACGACGAAAAGTCTCCATATATCCGTATAGGCTGCCAGCCATGGACCGGGTATGTCATTCAGGCCATATCCGTATTTGTTATATATGAGGCGTGTTAAGATAACTGCAAGAAAAATCAAAACGGCCGAGCCAAATGATTGAGGGACTAAGCGTTCTAAGATCATTGTAAAGTTAACTGAAAGAATTCAATTACTGCCAATGATTCTGATTTTAGTTGAATTATGATATCCCATTGTTATTTCTAGACTACTTACAAGAACTTGATTGCCGGCATTTCGGAATTTCCGGAGCCCTGCGTCCGGATGAGACTCGACCGACGGTGTTCCGTCCCGGAGTACTCCCCACACGGCATTTCGATCTCTTAGTAGCAAAATACAGGTTTCATACCTGGGAATGAGCTTAAAGGTTACCTACGAGTAGGTTCAGCCTGATATGACGGAACATGCGTCGGAATTTGTTTGCAGACTTTAAGTTGTCTCTTCAGATGGCACATGGCCAAACTGATGTCTGGACGATAGGACCACCATGCCGCTCGGCAGATACAAAAGGCCAGTGTCTCGTGCGGTGTGCATCCAGAAATTCCGAACACCCCAATTGTCTGATCCTCTGGTAACGCTGCCGGTAATTGTGAACTCGAGGTCCAGTATATGTAAGCTCCCGCCATGCCCGCAACTAAAATGGCTACTTACTTCGGTTCATCAGACACGACATCATTGTTGCCCGCCAGGCCAAATTTGTTCAAGCATTACATAATGAGCACGACACAGGTGGAAAGTCCTCATACAACTATCACAGCTGTAGCCGCTTCTGTTCAACGACATATAACAAGCCATAATCCTATAACTGGTGAAAGCATCTATGTAGATGCACCTGCCCTGCATACTGCAACTATACCCGGCTTTGGTACAGCATCTCGCTCTTATGCCACGTTAAAGCTACCCGCAGAATTGGCGGATGACCATGATCTGAATACACACTTTACACAGGATTCTGTTACTAGCTACACTCGGAGTACAGACTTCACTGTTCCCGCATCGCAATTACACCCCAAAACAGGAGACTTGGAACTGGGAGGTGCAAATGTGATTAATCTCGACATAGAGCCTGGCGCAATTGGACATATGCATCGAACAGTCTCTTTAGATATCTCGACCTGTGTCATGGGCGAGGTATATAATGAACTAGACAGTGGCCAAAAGGTTCTGTTGAAAGCCGGTGTAAGTGAATTAGCTATATTATGCGAGGCTTTCGCGCAAAATCAAGATCTGTCTGATCTTTCGAAGGATGCAATAATTTCATTATCAGTCTCTAAGATAATTCCTTAAGACTCGCTCACTAATAATTATATCTTATAGGATCACATCATTCAGCGAGCAACTATGCACAGATGGGTTAATGCTTCGAAGGAGAACTACGCTAAAGTGATTGCTGTACTCCTCCCCTGTACGCCAATCAAAGTTAGGGATGAATATGTTAAAGAGGAGCATAGGTTTAAATAACTGTTCAATATCTAATATATATACCATTTAATAGTGGAAAATCAATGCAATAACTATAAACACACCGAAGAAGGCAAGTTGGATAAAGAGACTAAAGATGGCTATCGTTTGGTCCCTGTCTCACGCTGACTTAACTGGTTTCCACTACATAGTATACGTAAGTTCCGCTTACCATTTTGGTTTGTCACGCCTTGATACATTAAAAACTCATCAGACCATCAGACCTGCACAGCATCCACTCAGTACGGAATTGTACCAATAGATAACTAAACCTCACCCTCGGCATTTTCAAAGAAGAAGGCAAATTGAGTTTAGTTACTACCTTACATCCTTGTCTGTGGATTTCTCCTGGGACAAAGAGGTTGTGGGGCGTGCCATTCGGCGAATTAAATCTGTGACTGAGATTGATAAGAAGATTAAGCATGGTCGGGACTAGTTCCTCTTTGATCCAAGAGCCGAAGAGCACCATTCTATCAGTAGTAATTCCTTGGAAAATTCTGCCTATTAGAGTTCTACTAACGATAAGCTTGTCTGGCCGTTGAGTCTAATCAGTGGATTCTGGGGATAATCCCTATATCGGAGTGGCTAAATCGTTGCGTAGCAAAGCGGTCTGAGAATGTTGAACAGGGTTCCTTTTGTAGCGCTGTCTACTAACCACGGATTAATAACGCATAGGATCATGTCGTAAACCGGAATTCAGTATTAAAATGGCAGTTCCCCAGTACAGAGGACTAAGGGTGCACCTCGGGCACGCCTTCTCTCAATTAGCAGGGTCGCCATTGCTCAATAGCAAACATGAGAGCTTTTACATCTTTTACAGTTTTACTAGGTAGCCTAGCCTCACTCGTTGAAGCTGCACCATTTGACCCACCCTCGGTCAGATTTGTTTCCCCTTCAAAGCTCATCCCCGGCAGCGCACAAAACGTTGTTGTTGAATATTCTGGCGATGTTGACGGGCAATTGACTTTGGTTTACGGGTCATGCGACGGTGAAGCTGTTGTGTCAGAGGCTAAGCAACGTATTGGATCCACACACGTTGGCCAACATCCACTGGCCGAGCGTCATCTTGATCACCATGGAAGGCGACCAACCAAGTTTGTTTGGTTGGCCCCAGAAGACCTTCCTTCAGGCTGTCTGCGTGCCTTCCTGGACGACGAACTCGTTGGCCAATCTGATGAGCTCGTTACAGCCAGGAGACTGAGTCGACGAAGCGAGAAGAAAGCGGCGTTTGCAGACGTAGCTGGAGATGACAGCATGTGGTTCGATGGTGTTGCATATCTCAAACAGAAGCAACCCGACGAGGCATTCGTCGCCGCAGCCAAGACCAAGTCCTTCGGCATTCTGGGTGGCGGCATGTCCGGACTTCTATCGTCTGTAAGTTTGATGACATCGATAGTAGCAGATTCTTTCTGATTAACTTGGAAGCTTATTCTTGACTCGGTCGGCATTCACAACTGGAAGATCCTCGAGTCTTCTGAGCGCATTGGCGGTCGTATAAGAACAGCGTATATGAACGGTACCTCTCCAGAGGACGGCCAATATCATGAACTTGGACCTATGCGATTCCCTTATGAGCTCACCGATTCCGAGACTAACGAGACCTTTCCGTTTATGGACCAGCGCATGGTCTTCCAATTGGCTGACGTCCTCAACGAGATGAACGCCGGGAGCAAGTCACTTCAGGTTGAGTTTTGGGACTGGATCCAAAGTTCACCAAACACACCTGTCGATACACCTTTTCGCCGTCCAGATGGAACGTTTCCTGGCAAGACTGAAGTGGCAAATGACCCTGCCTACGAGAACCCGACTGTGTACCACAATGCCACGGCCGCGAAGGAAGCCATCAAAGCTTTGGACGACTTCAAGGGCTTGGACCCTGAACGTATCCGCATGTACACAAAGAACATCTTCAAAGCCTACAAGCAAGCTAAGGAGGACGGGGGTTTTGACTATTCCGAAGTCTCATACCTACGAGACGTTATCAAGACCGATCTCAACACCACAGACGAGGTCACGCCGTCCCAGAACTATTGGCCTATGTGGGAGTACGAAACTGTATACTTTCTGGCTAGCAAATGGGTGACTATTAAAGGTGGTCTCAGTCGTCTGCCTGCTGCGTTTGAGCCTCATGTGAGGGACCGAATTCAGTACAACTCCAAGATCAACGGCTTGCGCTACAACAAAAATAAGACTCTCTCGGTATCATGGAAACCAACTGGCTCTGATCCTTTCAAAACCCCTAACAAGATCGAGAACTTTGATTATGTGCTCAACAGCGTGCCGCTCAACCTGCTCAAGTTTTGGAAACTTCCGCGATACTCGAGCCTGCTGAAGCGCGCCATCGATCGTACTCTGTTTGCGAACGCTTGCAAGGTCGTGGTTCAGTTCAAGACACGATTCTGGGAACAACTCGAGAGACCCATCTTGGGTGGCTGCACTCGTATCACCAGTCCCCAACTCGGCCAGGTTTGCTATCCATCGTGGCACCTCAATGCCACAGGACCAGGAACTCTGATGGCCTCTTACCTCTCTGATTATGAGGCTACCGCTGCTTGCGCCATGTCGGAGGAGGAGCACATGTCATATATCAAAGACGCTCTCACAGAGATACATGGTGATGTAGTCGATGAGAACTGGACTGGCACCTGGGCTCGCCAATGCTGGGAGCAAGAGGAGCACCATGCAGGTGCTTTTACCATGCAGATCTTCTCACAGCAGCACTTGTATCTGCCTGCATTTTACCAAACAGAGTTCAACACTGTTTTCATTGGCGAAGCAGCTACCTTCACACATACCTGGCTTTTCAGTGCTTTAGAGAGTGCTACTCGGGGAAGCGTGCAGCTGCTCTTGGATTTGGGCCTTGTAGATGAGGCTAAGCAGGTAACTAAGACTTGGATGGCCCGCTGGATAGATTTATAATTTTTTCAAGAAATAAAGAACAAAGGACGCAGGTCTTTAAATATAATAAATAAGAGTACAGTAAGCCAGAACAGAAGATAACTACTAATATATAAGGTCTACCATAGAGTGAATTTCAATCCTAAATAAGGCCAGATTATGAAAGAATAAGAATGTGATCAAGAGATATCAGAGTGGCCCAACCCTCACGTGCTTCCACCCCTACCGAAATTTAGAAATCAATCTTGAATCCGCCCCAATTTAACCGGCTGAAAACCAGGTCAGGGTCATAATCACCCCTGACGCGCTTCATCTTATCCAGATTTTTCTGTGGATATTCGAGCAATGGATTCTGATACTCGGCCACATCACCACCATAGAGAAAGTCAGTAGCAAGTCCTAATTCCGTGTTTTGGGCATGGAAACGCTCGAGAAATGCTCGAGCCCAGGTTGTCACGCGGAGATCATCTTCCGGGCGCGCCCACGAAGTGGTTAACTGCCACCCTAGGCACATTTGTTAGCAGGCGCTTCATACTTCTGAACTTCTGTCAATACTTACAGATATAAGGCTCTTTATCTTCTAATCCGAATGTGTTGCCGATCCCGTTGGTCTTAGCTACGGATGCTGCAGTTCGAGGGACAAGGTTGAGAATGAACGTAGGGAGCAGGCCAGGAACATCTGCAATATCAGCAATTGCAGTATACCATGCCTGGTAAATCTCGTTAAGTCTTTTAGCATCTGGTTTAATGGTGTGGTGACCAAAAGAGATACTAAACCGAGAAAATATCAGCTCACATGTTTCAAACCCTGAAACACTGATGAGACTTACCGGAACATCTGGTTAGGAGTGACCATCTTGGAGTGCCAATCGATCGGCTTCGTAACATTATGAACTCGGCTAACAGCATTGGGGATGGCAGTGAAGTTGGCAAACCGCGAAGGTGGAGATGTTGTCCCTTCTTGGAGACCAAAGACTTGAGGTGTAGCTTTATTGGTCGTGACGTTATAGTTGACGTTAATGACGGCGCCCGCTCCGACAGAACCATCGTCTGAGAGGACCATATCGCAAGCAGCCTTGATGAAAATGGGTGCCGAAGAGTCCTCAAAAATTTGAAACGTGCTGGTAACGAGAGGGGCCTTGAAGGTCTCGAACTCGAACTTGGTAACGATGCCATAGTTCAGCACGCCGCCTTTTAACGCCCAGAAGAGGTCGGGATGCTTATCTTTGGTCGCTTGTACTTGGGTTCCATTTCCTAGGACAACATCATAACAGACCACCCTGTCCATCGTAAAACCGTATTTGTTGAGAAAGTAGTGGACTCCTCCGAGCAGGGTGAGTCCAGGTACACCAATGGTCTTCAGTCGACCGCCGTTCACGTAAAGCCCGTGGGGTGCTAGTGCTGCGTAGACATCCTCCCATTTGGAGCCGCCGCCGACTTCAACGGTTCCTTTCTTGCAATTCACCTTCTGTTTGTTCAGGCCAGCGAGCACGACGAGAACTCCATCGTTGATACTGTTTGATCCAGGATACTGGTATGTTAGCGAGCATACTCAATAGGTTCCTTGCGCTAACCAACTTACAGGCAAATGGCCACCTCCACGAACAGCAAATTGAGCATTGGTTTTGTGGAAAATCCTCACAGCCTTGGACACATGTTTGTCGGTCGCGGGACGGAAGATACAGGCGGGTATCAAGTTTGACCGTTTATCCCAAGTGTTGATTACCTCGTCGTCGTATTCAGTCGTGTTCGGGAATAGTGTCATGTGGGGATAAGAGTCTTGAAGCTCGGCGCAGGCTGTTTTGACAGAGTGAGACACAAACAGGTCTCGAGGTCCAACACGATTGGCTTGCGCGATGCCTGCAGTGAGCCAGACTGGGACGAAAAAGGTGGAAAGGCGCATCGTAAAAAGCGTGAAAATAACTGAGTGTATCTGTTTGTCGAACAATCTGTTGGGCATAACAATGCAAGTCTGCTCGACGATACCCTTTATATGGTTCATAGTGAAATGATCATCTACGTAATCCAAGCCGTTTTAGCAAACGGTAACGTCGGCTTTGGATCATGTCTGAGCCTCTTAGTGGGCGCAAACCGGGACCGAAACCGAAACCGAGCCGGGATTTGCGCCTGGTAGATTACCACAAGCGCGTAACACTTTAATTAGGCACACGGCAGTTGATGCGTGCGTAGTCGCCAAACGTGGTTGTCAAGCTTCTAAAAATGCATCCGTATTAGGCCATTTGGGCTGCCGAGAGTTTATTCAGCGAACCCATCGACAACCTATAGCTACCAACCGGTTTGATCACTGTATTTATTTACTCATTTGTCTGTACTTTATTCCCATTTAATATTTTGGCGACGAGTCGATTGACAAAGACTGACGAGCTATGGATAAGACTTATTCCTACCTTTTCATGAAACATTATTGGTGCTCCTCCGCCGCTGAGGTTTGCTTCTTAGGGTCCCAAGCTCACCATAGCATGATCCAGTCTAATTAATGGTCCTGAAATAGTTGGCGGCTTTTTTCGCGCTCACCAACCATCTTGCGGACATTGTTGTGTCCACGGAATCGTTTTACCCCCTAGTGCCAGAACAAGCGTTGCCATTCGCATCCTCTGATAGCTCCATGGGGTTTTAGTCTCAGTATAGCTTACTGGCTTTTGGCTAGTTGACAACGATAACCCTCGTGAAACTGCGTTTTCTCTGACAGTTATTTATTGAATCTAAGTTTGCCTTAGTGATCTTACTATAAATGAACCAAGCTATCGAGCCTCATTATATTGAAGCAAAGCCTAACTCAAGCCTCAGCCTACCCTTAAACTTTATTCTTACCTTGTAGCGAGCATGCACTTTGATTGGCTAGACGATGGTTCCGCTCTCGGTTTCGGTTTCGGTCCCGGTTTTGCACAAGCTTGTAGTGCTAATGGCTTCTACAATATCCTTGTAAGCTAGCTAGCTGGTTAGGTATATTATTTGAGCCCTTCTAAGTAGATCGTAGTAGAATTTCTTGCACCTTCTACTGTATTTTATCATATATATCAAAAGTTAACAAATGGATTCGAACTATCCCGGGTAAGAAGCCTGCTCTACTCGAACAACTTGCATTGACATTAGTAGTCCTCTACCACCTCCGAGCTACTCTGAAGCAACGACAACAGATCCTTTTACGACAGTCAGCTTTGGAGTCGTCTCTCCAGTAACAACATCCTCCAGTCCTGTGCCATTCAACGTAACAGTATCGCCGATGGCCACACCACCTCTATCATCTCGATCCATAGAGGAACTCCCCAACTCGCAAACCTATCTCTTCAACCACAATGTATCGGCCGGACAATTCGACACCGATTGTTCTCTGGAGGCTGTTGTGCCGGACGGGCTTGAACTTGCAGTCATGGAACATTCGGCGGATCGCGATATCTTACCCATTGCCTACGAATCAACATCACAAATAAGCAATGCCGAGTATGAGTCTGGTTTAGAAGTCATGGCTGTAACCCCTCCTGTCAAGACCGTTACACCTCTCCATCTTCTCGGAGATCAACCCGAATCAATCGACTGCCCATACTGTCTGCGCCGCAGCGAAACGCGAGTGAGGAAAAAGCCCTCATCGACAACACAGTAAGTCCCGAGATTCCACATGGAGATGAACTAAACTAACAAAGCATAGTCTTCAGGCTGTAGCGCTACTTATGACAACTGTTTGTGGAGCAGCGGCTCCATATATGAAGAAATGGTCCTTTGACATTGAACAATTCTGTCAGAACTGCAATAATAGAGTTATGTACAGGGCGAGAGGGAAGGATATAAGGATTTGCAAAGTACCTGAGTCTTGGAAGGAAGAGTCAAAACTACCCGATGCTGACGGCGATATTTCTAAACGTTGGTAGTGGAATGCTTCAACGGCCTGGATGTTATAAGCAACGTGGAGTATGGCTACGGCATACCTCTGGCTATAAGGATATAATGTTTGGGATTAGTCGGGAGTCTTATCTGTGTGAGATCAGCATGAAGTGACGTTTAAGTAAAAGTTAATATATTATCTGTTAATTTATTATTTCGACATGAAATCCTCCCGGAACTATAAAATAAATATTTCATACGATATTCCGTTCTGGAAGGCTTGCTTATCGTATGCAAAAGCCTTAAATTCAATATGTATCTACATTGTTGCATCACAATCATTGAGCAAAAGCCAAGCTTTGCAGGATCTTGAAAACCTCCTCCAACTTGTACGTGAGTTTCAAGAAACACGAGCCAATCTGGTTATCACAGTAAACTATGACTCGGTCACAGATGGCGTGAAAATAGCCGGCTACAGGTTGCAAACAACATCATTCTCACTGTGAATAAGGTCCTAGAGTTGTTAGGTGATGACAATATAGGTAAAACCATCGTCTATTTCGAACTTCTAAACATCTCAAGTATGTATCATTGCTATGTACTATAACGTTTCCACTAACATTCTTTTCACCGGTACATTTTCTGCTCAAGGATCATCTTAATCGTGGTATAGCTTCTAGCTTGACTTGGGATATGTTGGGGAAGAACGTGGCAGAGTATTTGAGATGCAGGCCAGTCGATATTCACATTACATATCTGAACCGTGGGAAGATTTGACATCCATGCGATATATGAATAAACAGGATGGGAAATGGTGCTCTCCATTCAATCTCATGGTTCACGTGGCGCTTAACGAAAGGCGTCATTGCCACACTCACAGACTGTTTCTTCGCCCCAGCATCCTGTAGCTATGACGCTCTGCATTTTATGTTAGTTGTTTATGTGGCACATGTAGCGTGTTGAAGGGCAGTAAAACATACAAGACCTGACTCAGCGCATCGGCCAGTGCAGATACTAATGTTACACTCCGCAGAACCTCGAGACACACTGTCTGCAGAGATAATCAGGGCGGCGGCGGCGAGAAGCATAAGTTTCATAGTGGATGTTGATTAGTTAGTGGGTGAAAACGAAGTGTGAGGAATAGCTAGTTGTTTGAGACTTATTTGTGATATACGCATAAGAGACATACCATTTAATGTGTATATTACTGAAAGGTTCTAGAAGAATGTGGAAAGTAATAAAGGACGAGAACGCGAGATGCGTGATGAGCTTCTTGGACTTGTGTATAAAAAATAGTGCCAACCACCAACCGACGTCTGATACCTGAGCCCCATAAATATGTCAGCGACTTACATTAGCGTAACATGGGTTGGTCTGTGCTGTGTTTTAATCTGGTAGGGTAAAAGCCCACTAGGTAATATTAATTCAAATTTGTTTAAATAAACAAACTAATGCAAGCTGCTGATTGCGCCAGTAGTTACAGGCTTCAGAGTATTACCCAATCTTAGAACTACAAATCAAACAAGCTTGGCCAACTCTCATGTAGTGAGCACCGAAGCATAGATAATCACTACCGTGAGTTAAGATAACGGGTCTTAGCAATTTACTTTAGGGTCGATCGGGGAGGTGGCCGAGAATCCAATCACTGTTCTACAATCAAAGGCGGCAAAACAAACGTGTCGGAGCGCTTTCGCGATACCTATGTGGGGCTAATTTCTTGTACTGAGTTATCTACGTTCCTCCTATCTTGGTAACCTTGGCCAAGTTATAAAGGATTTCCTCACCCGCTTTGTTGAATCTGGCCCTGCCTATATTATATATACCGTGTTGTTTCGTCTATTCTTTCCTTAGTTGGCCTGGACGAAAAAATTCCAGCTATGGGCACTTCTTATAAAAAGCTACAACAGCAGTCTTCTTCAAACTTGAGCATTACTTCTTTCGGAAAACCATTAAATCAGGCTCATAACGGTGACGTTGAAGTAAATACGGCCACAAACCCTCCACAAACCGAACGAATAGCCAGTCGAGGCAGTCGTGATGTTATGGATTGGGATGGTTTAGACGATCCCGAGCTTCCCATCAATGAGTCCCAGACGAGGAAGTGGCAGAATATTCTTATAGTAATAGCATTAACTTCAGAAGGGCAGGAGATGAAGAAAAAGTGCGGACTAAGAGAGAACGCGAACTTGTAGTTTACTATCTCTATGGGGCTTACTAGGAAAGAATTATCTCTAGACGAATCATAATTTTCTACCACCAAGTTTGTGCACTGGTCTTTTTATGTCAAAATATTTATGTGAAGGTATACGTAACGCACTGTAATTTAACATAAATCTCCTGCCTGGTTGGTAAAATCTTCTGTTTAAGCTAAGCAGTACTAACAAATTCGGAAACTTATTCATCACCGCAAATCCACCGTGCCAACTCTTCGGCATGTATAGCGGCCGGTTCTATGAGTGGAATGTCGCCAAGATCTTCTTGCCTCACCACGAACCCCAGATCCGTGCTGCCAAGTATAATAGCCTGTGCTCCCCGAGCGACGAGCTTTTTTGCCTGATTTATAAACATGGCCTTAGTTGACTCTGTCACAGAATCAACACCCTTGGCCACTTCCTCGAGCATGCCTCTGTTGACCTTGTCAATTTCCTCCGCAGTCTCGGGAATAGTAACGCTCAAGCCGCAGCGAGCCTGCTGTAAACGACCAGCAAAGAAATCTGGGTTTTCTGAATCAAGCATCGAAATTTTAGGGCCAAGTAAACCCAGACGCTTCACTGATGGGTGAGTCTGGGTAATGTAGGCTGAAAGAAAGTCTGCGATGTGAAGGAGTGGCACATTTGAGGTAGCAAGAATGTTTGACAACTGGGCGGCCACTTTGTGAGCTAAAATGGCACAGACAGCGATTCCATCAACTCTTTCGCTCAGTGCCTTGATCGGGTCTGCATATACTGAAGTGAAGGTTGACCAATCCTCGTTCATAGCATGCTGTATCATATCTTCGAGATTGGCACTGTAGATGTATAGTGGCGCAGCTGCTCGGACTCCCAGACGGACTCGCACGGCTTTGTTGATGATATTGTAATAGAGCACAGTGACATCAGGTGTCATGCCTCCAAGAAGGAGAACGGTTTTCATTTTCTGGGCTGTTGTATTGTAACTCATGACGGACCTAGTGTAGAAGAAAGAGGTCAAGGCTTGGGCAAAATAGTAGGTTAACAAAACTCTAATGGGAGGGAGTAAGAAAATAGCCCCAAGTCAGAGTGACTCAGCGTTGCTGATTGAAGGGCGTGGAGTGGAGTTAGCATTGTCTAGTACTGATATAGCGGGGAAGAAAGATAAGAACATCACTGAGTAATATCAATAATTATCATTCTTGACTTTTCACCTTTAGCTAGGATACATCCTCTACTGAACTAAGATCGACCTAATCAAATCAATTTAGTAATTCAGTGATTATCAGTAGCACGTGTGATGACACTGAAATTCTTGAACCGGTTCGGGGCCACACTCTCGCTGTGAATGTCCAGTTGCCAGAGTATGAAGGCCTAACTAAACTCGACTGGATCCGGGGCAAGATTGAGACTCCTCGGCTGGGTGTGAGTGCGTCTATCAACGATGAAGGGAACGTGTGTCTCGTTGCTGTTAATGTCAGCGACACGTGCGACTTCATGACTAGATTGGAAGGTATCCCATCTGGCGCGGAGGTCGTTGTTTACACCATTGCTGGGCCCAACATAGCCAGCACCGATACAGCGGAGAAAAGTGAGGTTAGTATCAAGAAAACTAAATGGGTTGCTGACCAGACTTATAGGTTCCCACAAGCATCAATTACGATACTAAGTTGGAAGCCTTGAAGAGTATAATCTCTGTAACTTGCAAAGACTTGACTCATAGACTACGCAATGTTCCCGAAATTTTGGTCAATTAGCCCCATGCTGAGTCACTCTTAGTGACGCAATACCTTGGCCATAATTTTGGTGGCTGTGTGAAATTTACTCAAGGCTTAGCCCGTAGCCCTTGCAATGCTGGCGTCCCAAGGCAGAAAAGAACGAATGGATGCGGGATATCTCACTTGACAGGGACAAGGATCTTGAGGGCTATCGAAGCCGGGGCCGCAGGGCTGTTATCGTGAAGACTCATCAAACTTGTGGGTCCCTATCCGCTTGTCCGAACCTGGTTTGACATGGAAAAGTCAACCAGTAATGCGCCTTGAAATCCTGACAGATTCATTGCAGGCGGGGATGTCAACTCTGTAGGATCGGCTGCAGCCATCAGCCGCGTCGCAACAGACATTCCCAGCCTTCAATTTCCCCAGTTTGTGTCAATTATGTGATATGTCAAGATTTGTATAGATAATACTACGTAGAAGGGTACTGTAGCCGCACATATTTAGCAGACACGCGGTCCGGGAAGACATTTTACTCATTTTCCTTTCAGCCCCCTCCATATCCCCCTGTCTTCTAAGACATGATTCTCCAGAATGGATGTAACAAGGATCAGGCTCAAAGACTGTCTATTGGACGTTGATGAGGCTGTGCCGAAGCGTTGCTCTTTCAGCCGTCAATTCAAGAACAAAGTTCCTTTTGCCTTGTAAGGCCCCTGCTGTACTAGGATTACCAAAGAGTTTTGGCTGGCTCTGCAACACATTTCTTTTTAAAACGCCCCGTTCATTTCTTATCTGTAGTCTTCCTCTCAGTTTCTTAGATAAACGTCTTCGCACTTCAAAAATAGCTGATCGCTACCACCGAAATCTCAACAATGCGTCCCTCGAAGGCACTGTACCTTCTGGCTGCTAACAGCCTATGTATATCGACCGCTGTGGCTCTTGATCGGACTCGTTCCCAATTCAAGCACTGGTTTCCGACTATCGAGCAATTTGCTAAACACCGGTTCGAAGATGCATGCCCTGAGCAGTACGCGAACTACTTTAATGAATCGCTCCCTGATGAAAATGGGGCGCATGTACACTCACAAGCCTTGATGAACTGTATTCTGGAGGAATATGGAGAACTAAATATGGCAGGCATGGCTGTAACAGCTATCCTTCTGGCCCTTCTACCTTCGGGTCTTGTTCAGTTCGGACCCAGCATGGCTGAGATCAGCATTCTCAGCACTCGGAGACCAGTTCTTGCCACACTTCTGGGCTTCGGATTGATGTCACCAAACCCTACTGAGTTCGAATATGAGGAGATCCTGGAGAAAGCAAGCAACGGCGGTGCTCCACTTATACCGATACGTGCTTTAGACGGGAGATACTTCATTGCCAAGGTCCTTATCTCTCTTGTTGAGTATATCATTGCAATGACAGCAGCAGGAAACCTTTTCTATCAAGTCTATCGGTTCACATATCAGTCCATATCCTTAGCACCATTGATGGTATACCTCTATGGTTTGCCTGAAGCAGCCACACTCTTTGGGTGGGCTTCTCTCAACTTGCCACTTTATCTACTCAGTTTTGGCGTCTTCGCCCTGGCCTTCCGTCGAGTGAGACCCAAGTCGGGATACAGCAGAGGGGGGAATCGCTTGATGCAGTTGATCACTACTGAGCTGACTCCCTGCGGCCAAGGGAGAGACCTGAAGATTGAGCGCCGACCGAATCGACAATTCCTGCAACAGTTTCTTGGGATGGCAGTCAGACTGTTTTCCGGACTTCATATCATCGTTGGCACTGTTCTCATTGGCAGCATTGTTCTTATCCCAATCGCGGACTCACTACCCCTTATCTACTCTTTTGTATTCGCAGCTATATTTACTCGGGCTGTATTGAGCTTCGAGTTGAATGGTTTGGCTAGGAAGACGACTATTGTATCAACAGGAACCGCTGGCCAGATTGACAATCAAGTTTATGAGACACATGCTCTTGAACCCAAACGCTATAATAGCCTAGGCCAGTCTGATTAGACAGGTTATACTACCTTGGTAGCACAAAGATTTATGTATTAGATGCCAGTAATGCCCAAACTTAACTCTTGTGACCTTACACATAGAGGATGCGAATATTCGTCATTCTGCAACACCTGGATCTTTTTGAGCCAATCCTAGTGCACAATGTAACTACATGGAAACCAGAACCGTTGTGATTCTATACAATCTATCATGTTATAACTCCCTGATTATTTGGTGTTTCTGGATTTGGCGGATAGGATTTGCGAGCACTTGACACCAGCTCTATTTTTTCATCCCTGACACCCCATTCGGCGTATGAGTGGTGTTGCTCTTAGCTTGACTTTAGATTTCCCTGATGATTATCCAGAGGCAGACTGAGCGGAGAGATTGCCATTATCTGAGGTCCTAGTGGAGGGCTTTGATCGCACAATGAATTTCTTGAGACCAGGAAGGCAGACAACAATGACTGCCGTTGTCATTTCGGCGGTGCATAACGTATCTTAGATTCAACTCAGTAAATCTAACTTCAGATTATCCTTGGTAATGCTTGAGGACAGTGCCCGGGCATCCGGGATAGGAGGAACACATACTACTAACCGCATTATCAAGTTCAAAGTCCGTGAAGTTATATGCAATAAAGCGTGCAAGACTAACTGTCAAGGTTATTATACTTAGAAAAAAGACCATAACTAGGCTAAATTTCTATTCTTTGCGAAGTATCAAGTGCTTGAGAATGGAAAAAATGAAAGTAAAAGGCGATATTATACGTGTGTTAATAGATAGGCTTATTTAGAAGTTTTAAAGGGTTTTTTTCTTTTTAAATGTACTTTGGTTACTGTAACTATTGATAATTATCATAATAATAGATGTAAGAGACACACTTGAGGCATCAGAAATCTTATATACTTCGTTGCTCACAAGAACGATTTGTCTTATGCTTGAGACTGTGAAAACAATCGTCTTCTTTACTAAAAGTGGAGGCGGGCCTTATGTCTTGTTAGGCCGAAAGCATACTTAAATAGGTATTGAATGATCTGTCGATCAGTGATAGTGTTGAGGCTGACTCTCACAGACATGGTGCTAGAGTACTTAGGCATTTAGAATGACATACAATGGCTACTGACTTGTACACGGGTTGAAATAGTATCTGACCTCATCTCGTCTAATTTCTTAGAAGAATTAACGACAATGTGACTACTCTGCCATCATCAGTTCTTGCTGATCAGATGATCAAAGAAGTCACCTAGAAAATACGCCGATCTCTTTGCATATCTTGTCTTCTCCTCACTTTCAAAGTCAATCCACGTCGCCCCAAATCGATCTGAGAACCCTGCAGCCCACTCCCAGTTGTCCGTGAACGTCCAGCCAAAATACGACTTAATTACAACGCCTTCTTGCGACGCCTTGGCAACCTCGGTAAGGTAGCTTTTGTAGAAGTCGACTCTAAATGGGTCCTCAAGCACATCATCGACGCCATTGGGCTTCCAGTCGTGCTCACCTTGTGCTGTGGTACCATTCTCAGTAATGTAGATCGGCACGCCGTAGCGATTCCAGATCCAGCGAAGCAGCTTGGCCCAACCCCAGGGTGTCGTTCGCAGCCAGTACGTGTCGCTCATGGGACCTCGCCACTTGCCTTGCTTATTCTCGTCAAGCTTATCAATATTGCCGAGGTGATCATTGATATCAGCAGTTCCATCACGATGCCGTACGTAGAAGGCCGAGTATGAGTTCATGCCGTAAAATTCGGAACTGCCAAGAACTAGCTCGCTTTCTTCTGGAGTGAACTTAGGCAGACGATCGCCTAGCTGCGCACGCATGGAAGCAGGGTAGTCGCCGGTTTTGTATAAAGGATCGGCAAACCACGCAATTTCGAACTCTCGCGCTCGTTCGGCGGCTTCCTGATCCTTGGGATCATGGACATCCCAAGGCTCAGACCAATTGCCGTGTAGTGTGATCATGATGGTCCCCTTTTGAGTAGGTTTGAAATCGCGCTTATACATATCGGCGACGTAGGCGTGGGATACGAGCTCAGTATGTCCCACGGTGAAAGGTTCTGTGCTACTATCCCCCTCTTCGTTGCGGTCGCGGAAGCTTGATCGTGCGGGTGCATGTACGCCAGCGGCATAACCAGCAAGAGAGTATACGCCCGGTTCATTATAGGTGATCCAGTTCTTGACGCGATCGCCAAATCGCTCGAAGCAGACGCGGGCATAGCGGGTAAAGTCGGGTGTGTAGGCGTCTTTGTTCAGCATGCCACCATAGCGGTCCTCTAAGGCCTGGGGAATGTCCCAATGAAAGAGTGTAACGAAGGGCGTGATATTGTTGGCCAAGAGCTCATCAATGAGCCGGTTATAATAAGAGACTCCAGCTTCGTTGACGGGATCATCTTTTCCACCGAGTGGAATGATTCTCGACCATGCCAGTGAGAATCGATAGCCAGTAGCCCTGTACTTGCGCAGCCACTCAACATCGGTCTTATAGAGATCGTAGGATCTCACCGCGTCGTCGCCAGTACTTCCATCTTTCACCTTCCCCGGAGTGTGCGCAAACTTGTCCCAGATTGACTCGCCCTTGCCATCTTTGTCCCATGCCCCCTCGACCTGGGCGGCTGCTGTGGCCCATCCCCAGATAAAGTCTGGAGGTAGGGCGCCTTTGATGGACTCGTCAAATTCGGTCTGCGAAGACATTGTTATGGCGACTGTTGGTAGAAGAGTATAGGTTGAAGTGAGGAATGACGACACGTACCAGAAGAGGAGTTCTCTTTGTTCTTGAACAATGGTGTGCCACTAATCATGCGTTGTCAGAAGGAAGCCTGCATGCACAAAGTGGAGGTTCAGGTTGACCAATCTAGCCCCTGAGCGAGCATGGGCATGTCGTGTATCGTGCACATGAAAGCAATGGCTCTTCGGACTAGTGAAGACCGAGATTTGTCGTCCTTTGTGCACAAATGATCGCACGAATGATGGACAGCAGTTATACGTATACCGGCCCGTATAGCCGTTTACCCGTTCAACCCAAATTATCCACAACCCCGCGCTGGCTAGGATGCTGCAACAAGCCAAACTAGCTGATCTCAAGTCAGTCGTTAAATAACTTTTCGCCGGGATGTGGGAGTTTTCGTTTCGGACTGCAATGCGCTTAGAGTGAGCTAGACCGAAGAAATTCACCTGATCAGGGTGACCCATATCTCAGTCACCTAAATACGAGACTGCACATATTGAGCATGTCTAACACTATGTGAAGCATAGATTAAATCCTCAGACTAAGTTTGGTACTGTGTAGCTACGGTTTCCCTGTGTGACAAACGACAAGATGTAATTTAGCATCATCCATGAGGAATCACATCTGCATTAGAAGACAAAATACTGTATTTACATTCATAGCATTCATCGTCTCACTATAGCTCAATACAATTGTATCTAATCTCCTGCCCAGTGAAGTGTCCATAATTAGACGTGAGTCACAAGTGTCCCATTTCGAGCGCGCATCTTATCCTCCTTGATTGAGGCCCACTTGGCGTCTGCAATCTTGACACTCAACTTGATTGGGTTGGTGTTCTTGGTCTCAAAGATGTGATCAATCTCCTCAAGGTTCAGTTTTCCAGTCTCGGGGAATATAAAGTAAGCGATGATGAGTTGGATGAAGTTGTAGCAGATATAGACGGCCCAGATCTTGTATCCGACTGACATGATTCCGACTGAAATTCCGTAGTTGTGAACAACACCGGCAGCACCCTGAGATTGTTAGCATAGAACAACCACCGCGTATTCTGAGTAGCCTACCTGAAACATGGTGTACAACGCCATACCCTTTGCTCGTAGAGGCAAAGACAACAGTTCAACAGGGTACAAGTTGTGCATAGTCGCAATGAAGGATGCACTACAAACTTGGAAACAGAAGATCCACAAGACCGTAAGGTAGGAGAGGTATTTATCTCCTGGTTGCACCTCAACGCGCCAACTGGTGATAGTGACCGCTGTCTGAGCGACAATGATAGAGATCAGACCCACGAAGATTAATGTTCGTCGGCGGAAGTACTCAACAAGGTAGGCACCAAAGAGAGTGAAAACGAAGTATGTGGCAGTCAATCCCAAATTGATACCCAGAACATCGAGTTTCTTGGTAATGCCGATGGTTTCAAGTGCCGGATCCAAATAGAGACCAATGATGCCGCCACCTGAATTGTATTAGAGTGGGGTTCAGATAACAGGCAAATAGAGCTCTTACCGTTCCACTGCTGAAAGATTGAGTAGAGAAGAAGGATGAATGTACGGAACCATACAGCCTTGGTGAAAAAGACGCGAAAGTCCCAAGTGGCACGGAAGCCAACGGTCGAATTCTCAATAGACTCGTCAATCTGAGACATCATGAGGTTCACAAATGAATGGTTGACATCCTCGGAGGAAGTAAAGTATCGGGAAATTGTAAGTCGAGCTTTTTCTCTCTGGCCCTTCATGACCATGTAACGAGGAGACTCTGGGCAAAGCCAATAGATGGTGACACAGACGAAGAGAGGAAATATGGCCTGAATGAGGAAGGCCACTCGCCAGCTCCAGTCACTTTCCCAGTGTGTAAAGCCCATCATGATACCCACAATAGCTAAGGAACCAACTTGGAAGAAGGCGCCAAAGATACCCACAATACTATTAACAAGTTAGCCCACGCCAGAAAATAGATAGGACATGAAGAAACGTACTGTCCACGGATATGAGGAGGGGCGATCTCCGCAATGTACTGAGAGCTAGTACAAAGCGCAGTTCCAAATCCCAAGACGAAGCGACCAAACATGAACAGCTTAACATTTGGGGAGAAGCACTGAATAATGGCTGCGACAATAGTGAGGAAACAACCGATGAAGTTGACGCTTCGTCGCCCAATCTTATCCGCGAAACAAAGGAATGGGGCACCGCAGAAGTTTCCAATGGTCATAAGAGCGTTAATAACACCGAGGGTTGAGCCACTGTTTTCGAAGCCAAAATAATCATGCCAGTGGGTATTGGAGTTGATACTACTAATGACACCCCAATCGATACCATAGCTGCATCCCGACAGTCAGTTTGCCTCCAAGAGAGGAGCAGAAGTATTGCAGACTTACGCGGCCTGGTTTGCGCCCATGACTACCATGTACAAGAAGATGCGGAATCCGGCTCTGGATTTCAAGTTCAGAGCCTCTCGCGATTTGGTTATCAAGTGGTCATCTGTGATTCGGGCGGTGACGATCTCCTCGACGGCGACGCCTGACTTGTTTGCATCGGCCTGAACATCCTGGTAGATGTTTTGGCGCTCGAAAGACGCTCGTCGAGCCTGGATAGGCATACTGACGTCTCTTTTCTTAACGATGACAGGATACTAGAGCAAGAGTGCTGGAGTGCAAATAGGAGCATCTGTGGGTCGGGTCTTGAGCTAAGGTATTTATGTCAAAGCTCTCTAGGGACATTTCAATGTAACTCATGCTTGAAATGCTTGGCGAGGTAGGGTAGCATGGCAAGGTTCTGGCGGGCGGATGTGCCGAACGGTTGGAGCCGATACTACTACGTTAGGAGGATCAGTCATGCCCCCACTCCCTTACTTGACATGGTGTTTGCGACAAACAACACAACCATTCCTTACATGGTATAGAAGCCCATGTCAGCTCGCTCATGTGGCCAAAGGGATTTTGCAAAGTTCCCCTCAGGCAACAGTCGACAACTGCTGTTCCACGCCATATTGGGATAATGATCACGCCTCGATCAAACATTATAGGGTGCAGTACGATGGCGGCTAAAGTTAATGCTCATACCAAACAACCCAGCTTTTAACCAGAGGTCGAAACTCCTGATTCTGGGGTTGGGGGGAACCCTGTCAACCTAAAGAATAATTCCTCGAATAGCGTGGTGCAGCGCAACGCTACCCCGACCACCTGCATCGGTTTGGGGGTTGCCCATATTGCTTCCCCGGGCTTGTGCGACAGGCAGACGATGCACGAAGGATTAATCAGCCTATGGTCGTTAGTTAGCCCTACCGATTCTTCACAATCAGCTAACTTTTTAACTAATCTTTTTCATCTTGGGGCGTAAGAGCCGTTTATTCACTACGGCACACCGGCGCGCATTCCCATACGTAAGATAGTAACAAGCCGCCATAGACGACGTCGGTTTGACAGGACCCAACAGAGCCCTATTTTTACAATACGCCTCCCCCGCATCTTCATAGTCAGAGGTTCTTTCTATTGGCAAGATTTATCTAAGGCTCTGCGTCGATCACTCGTCAACTATCATCCCAGGCCTTTCACGCTATGGCCAGGGCACAGGCAGATCGATGTGAAGCTCTGGAACGCGCTGCTTTCAGGGTTAGCCCTTTCCGAGATATCCAAGACGCTTTCAATATTCAGTGACCACTAAATTGATACTGAAACCCCAGCCGAGATCGCGAAAAGACTGATATATGCGTTTATTTCTTCAAATAGAAGGATACTGTATTCTTTTCTAATTACATCAAAGTCAAATCTGATATTACTGTGGAGGTATTTGCCGAAAATGGCCTTGCATTCTCATATGGAACTGAAGTCAAGGTTGTACTTATTGTCCTCGCTACTGGTTTCGTCAGTAATCTGTTCTAACATGTTGACAGTATAGTTAGATCAGCTGTGGCTAAGAAAGCCGGAGACTGTTTTGGTCATAACAGCGAAGGCGAAGTTTTTAGGGCTTTTAAGCTGTTGTATGCGGATCCTATCATATAATTTAATTTTGACACCTGCTACCTTGACTTGAAAAGAACCTGAATTGTGGTACTTGGGAGTTGCCCTTGGATATGCTCGGTATTATTTCCGTTCTATGGCTCCATTTACCAATGCGGACGACATGGCGGCCTGGTTCCTGTTTAACATGATTAAATATTTGTGGCACAGTGATCTCTAGAGAAGATTAGGTTGAATTTCTGACCTCTTAGATATTCTCAGTTCTCACCCTACAGCGAGGTCATATTTGATTTCCTGGCGGCCTTGTCATTCAACGCAAATTAACTGTTTCACAAAACCCATTACATATCCTACGATCAGATTAAAGTAAGAGGTTATTAGAGGCAGTAAAACTCTCCACGTGTATTATGTTGAACGATATTCCCGTCGATCCGGATTATCTCCGTCGTATCTTCTTGACTAGCAGCCATTATTCAATGACGTCCTTTGCCATAATCTGCCTATGACGTGTCCTGGTTTAGTTTTGTAGGTGCTTTATATTCACAAATATGGAAAGATAATTGATTAGAAGTGTCCGCATCCAAGTTTGCTTCGCGGGTTCTTTATGGTCTGCTGCCGATGGCATACAAGACATGCTTTCTAGGCGTGCATTCGATTGGGTGTTAGATATAGGTTGAGGAGATATCGACATTGGGGAAAAGTAGGATCATGATTATGCTGTTTCCAAAAGTGTGGAATATAAAAACAATCTTCAACTCTGGTTTGCGTTAAAAGCAGTCTTCATTCATTGTAGATCTTGAGCAGACTGCATAACAATATGTAGCCTGGACCTTCTGACATTTGCTGTAGTCTATAATTATGCTGCTCCTCTTTGTTGTGTTTAAATATATATTTAATTGAAAGAGAATTACAAACGATAGTATTGTTCTGGGGAGTTTTCCCGACAACCCTCGGTTGTCAATGGGACCAAAGAACTTACTCTCATGTGTACCACGTAGGCTCCGGAATTTCTCCAAGGAGTTGATAGCGACCAAGTTCCCTATTTTTGTAGGCAACGGGGTCATGGAGAGAATGAGTTCGGACGTCTCGCCAAAAACGGTCAAGCCCAATCTTACTTTGGGTAGACTTGGACCCTGTAAGCTCGAAGATCCCCGATGTTACGCGTAGACCCGTATCCGTAGCCACGACCTTAACACTGGCCACCCACTCAGCAGCCTCGCCACGCGCCGTTGCTGTTACCTTTGCCCGTTCCTCTACACTTCCAGAGTGTTCATAAAGCGCAACAATCTCCTGAGCAGCCTGATCGGCCACTGCCGTAGCGGCCCTCAAGTGAGCAAGGAAGTTGCCGTATGTCGCGAGAATGTAGAATTCATCTTGCGGTTTGTCTTTGTTCTATTTGGTGGCAAGTCAGCATATATCAGGAGCATACAATCCGTATGGGGTGCGCTTACATCGCCGCCAAATGGCCAGGCTCTGGTAGACTTATTTGTATATGCTGAGCCTTCGTGGAGAGCACCCCATGCAATACCAATGTAAAAGTTGCTGAAGACTAACTGAATACTATTAGTCGTGATTTGTCAGCTGTTATCCACACACTGCGATTCGATGTCTCAACTTGTTGTTAACGGTAAGCACTTACGTGGGTAGAAGAAGGGAGGCAAAAGGTATTCCCAAAATTGCGGGATCTGGCTTTTTCTTACTAGTGTCCCAACCAAGAGCATCCTTCCAAGGCACAACAATGTTCTCGATTTTCACGCTGCCTGACTCTGTGAGACGCAGGCCAACGTTGTCCCAATCATAAGAAAACTTGATGCCAGGCTGCTCTGTCTTGACGAAGGCGAAAATGTGATCCGAAGTATCCTCATAAGCACCCTCTAGAACAGTGAGGTCCGAAACGACGCCCCCAGTGTTGAAGAATTTGAAGCCATTGAACACGATATTGTCACCCTCAGCCGTGATTTTAAGATCACTATCGCGGGGATTCACAGCACCACCGATAAAATAGTTGTTGGTAATAATCAACTCTTGGATACGATCAGCTTGCTCAGGGCTCCCCACAACGTTCGCTGTCGTTGACCAAAGAAGATGGTATCCTAGAAGCATTCCTAAGGAGCTTGGTATTCTGTTAGCAAATTTACTCGTACAATCCTTAGCGGGAAGGAATATCGTACCCATCTCCTTTTGCCACTTCGCGTATGACCTTATAGCCCACACTCCATGGTTGCTCGCCACCTCCGTATTTCTTGGGGCCTAAAATCTTCAGAAGGCCAGAATGCTTCAAGAGAGCCACTTCGGCGCGTGGTGTCTTGTTGGCCTTTTCACGCGCGGACGCATCTTTTGCTAAAACATCAGAAACTTTCTTTGCTCTGTCGATCCAACCGGCCTCATCAGTTGGAAGTTCTGACCACTTTGACTTATATTCTTCGTAAGTTTGGGGATCAGTTTCTGCGTTATGCCGGCTGTCAGTAGCCATCTTAAAGATATAAGGGAGGACGAAGATTAAAAGATTGTGTGTGCAGAATTGGACTCTGAATAGTTTCAGTTAGTTCTGTAATTTAAGCTTGTAGCATTTTATATGTGCAGCTTACTCTGATGAGCAGTGCACTACAAACGCGGATGATGCCTACCGGCGATCAAATTACGTGTGCCGACAACGGCCGAAGCCAATTTCATCATAAACCTAATGATGGTTTAACGTGGGGGTTCTCGAAGCGCACCCAGAATATTCGCTCAAAGCGTTCTGGATTGGAGGAAGTAGGATTCAGGCTAAAACAAATTAATGGCATAATCATGAAGATAAATTATGGTATAACCTATGCTAGCTAGTAGGCACAATGATATGTACAAACTATGGCATAATCTACGCTAGCAATGGTGAAATGGCGAACCTTGATAGTTATCCTTGAGGTGATTAACGCAGTCTCCCTGTTGACAACCGAGCTAGTGGCCCTACAGATATCTGGATGAGTGGGAATAGAAAAGCCGAACGTAATGTGGCTCCATAATGTTCGGGTGCATGACACCAGATTATCTGTGGAACTCGTTTATAGAGAAGCACCTAGAGGTAAAATAGAAAAGATTTACAGAACGTATGCATGACACAATCATAAGAGTTCAATCACCTAAAGCAACCAGTATCATGCAGATAGTCTAAGCCCCTAAAATTAAGCTGAAGATCACGCTTGGTCTTCTACTGCGCCCTAAGTTTACATTCTGGGGACTGCAAACTACTCCTGCTTCCATGCCTTTTTAAAGTACTTGGAGGTATCTCCAAGTGGGAGCTCCACAATAGAGTCCTTTATCAACAAGTGGGTCGTGAGATACCTATTGTATAGATTGTGTTAGCATATCTCAGCGTTAATCACTATATTGCAATGTCGATCTTCAACTCACCATCCGACAAGTCCTGCCAGGAAGCAGAACACCCCTCCTGTCTGCTTCAATCTTTTAGCGGCCGCGAGATGGCCATCAGCAGTAGAAAAATAGCTGGCAGCTACGAAAAGAAACCCGAGTTCGACAAATACGAAAATCAGAATAAAAACGACGTTTGTGGGTAGTGAGGCAATAAGGAAAGTCAAGACAAAGACACTCCATACTGTTTTTCAGAAACATTCCATTAGCTGGAGACCATATCACGGTTCCAAATGGGAGGACCCTTGACTCACTGATCATGAAAAATCCCAAAGCATTGTTGTATTGTGTCACATCGTCGCCATACGCTTCTGCGATGCCGAAAGAAGGCGTCAAGATTGCCGCGTAACCTGCATAGAACAGACCTAGTTTCCATTTCGACATGTTTAGCATTTATCCGGTGCCAAGTGATAACTGAGGCTTGTTAAATTGAACTTACCGAATGCACTGTAAACAGAGTAGGCTAATCCGTTGCCAGCCGCCAGCTCCCACTGAGCAGATATCAAGAGGCCAAAAACCGCAACGAAGAAGAAATTTGCGACGTATACGTTAACTATTATGACACCCCGCCACTCCATCAAACTCAAGGATAAAGTGGTAAGAGTTGTCGCAAATGCACCGATTGGTAGAGCAGTCTACTCAATTAGCCTTCTCCTCACTCTTCTTTCGTTGTACTGCTGTTGAGCGTGATGGAGCGGACTTACGGCTGAGGCTGGCATTGGTCTGAGTGGTGCTGTGGCCACTATGCTTCGCTCAGTGAAGTCCCTGGTGGCTACAGTACGGCTATTTTCTTCATGTTTGTTGATAGACATGGTTTCTATTGCCGATGGTCGAGACTGTATACTCAGTATATGGCAAGAGTGGTTGCTAATTTTTGAACGGAACCAGCTGGCTCACTTGAACGAACCACTATCAACATTTTAAACATAAAATTACTCCAACATTATCACAGCACTTTTCGCCCTTGCAGGGATATACAACAAGGCCACAGCTTGAGAGTTGGCGCTAGATAAAGCAGTTTCGTGACTTTCATGGCGCTTTCTCAACCCTGGATCACGCCATCCAGGGCTTTGCCGCGATACAGTTGTAGGTCAAAAACTGACTAAAGAGAAGGGGGTTTACATACCACCGCGGCCATATTAGTGCCTAACGAGCTAGAGATCTACACTCTACTTCTTAATCCCTCAAGGGCTTGCAACCATATTGACAGAAACAGACCCTCTTTTTCTTGTCAAGTTGAAACCTAGTGATCGTGATCGCCTAAACAAATTCAACACTTTGACACTCTTTCGCGCACTTTTTGGGTGCAAACATTTGATTGGCAAGGTACATAACGTGAAATATTAAAGTCGCATTCCAGATGAAATATCGTGACTATTTGGTCCTGATGATCAATCTGCTGCCAGACACATCTCCGTTCTTCAGTCTCTCCAAAGCTCCGTTAATAGACCCTAGCCCTCCATCAATGATTTCAGATCTGGGCAGCTGTATAAATGAGCCGTCGAGGAGTTCATGGAGCCAAGTACTGAGATATGTGCCAATGCGTTCGTGTGTATGGAACAGCTTAACTGGCACTCGATGAATCTTCACCTCGGGATGGGATGTTTTTGGTTTGCCGGTAAAGACAACTAGATGTCCTCGACGACTCTCTTCATCCCTGCTATAGCCAGTGCTATGGTCTAGGTCCGTGGTAGTTGTCCCTGCAGTTTGGGATCGGTTGTGTATGATGACGTTCTGGCACCATTCTGCACTACTACTACCCACAGTATCTATAGCGAAGCGAAGTCTCCCTGGCAGTAGTTGATTCACTTCTTGCGAAGCTGCAGCGAGATCTTCCCTGTCGATTAAGATATCTTGAATTTTCATTAGATCTCCGTGCGTCGACCCAGGTCCGGGAGGTATTACTTACCGGTTCCCAGGGACTCGAGCAACTGCCGGTGTTTCTCTAGGTTCGCGACACCAACGACCTTTAGTCCAGCGAGCTTTGATAACTGGATAGCAATTTGAGCAGTGACACTAGATGCTGTTCCAGTCATCAGAAGGCATGCTACTCGAACTGCGAAGTAAGGGACCTACCACCGTAAATCATTATCCAGTCATCCGGACGGGGACTGCAGTCATGCGCTATACCCGGAATGACTTCGGGCTCCACGTCCAAAGGTAGGTCACTCGGATCCTCTTGCGCAATCTGCAGCAAGCTATGGTGATCTATGCTGCTTTGTCGACTAAAGCCAACACCCAAACAAACCCCTAGGGATAGGGCAGCAGTCACATAAGCTACTCCGACAGCGGCAGTGGCGAGAGGATTGCCAATGTTGGGCGGAATGCGTATGGCATTATGGGCGCATACAATTGCGAACTCCTGGAATGCGGCCTTCTTGAAATCTCTGTAGTCGGTAGAAATACCGAGCACCTGGACATTTTTAGTCAACACAAGTGTTCCAGGGACCGGGTTTTCGGAATAGACTTGACCTACCCAATCTCCAAGATGCCAGCCACCCTGATGGCCGTTCTCTGAAATGACGACTCGTCCTACAAACTCTCTTCCATTTACACAGGGTAGCTGGGGGATTCCAAATCCATAAGTGCTGTTGCTTTTAGTACGGTCTATCAAAAAAACCATGGTGGCGAGCAGGAAACATGTTGAGACTTACGCTGATTTCCAATCAATTGGATTGAGCCCGATTGCATGTATCTCAATCAAAAGATCCCCATGAGATGGCGTGGGTATCTTCCCATTTGATTCAATCTGGTACCTCTGTCCAACTTCATGCAGGAGTAAAATGCTCTGCTTAGAAGGCAATTCAGCCATTGGCTGTGGTTGAAAATGCTGCAGATAGGCCATGGTGATGCCTGGGCAATTTACAGAGTTCGTCACGGCACTTGGCGTGTCCAATACGGAGCTGTTTAAATATATGCGTATGTCTATTCTAGTGCCGAGAAATTCCTTTGCTCCGTAACTCGCAGCATGTACACTCTATGTAAATATTGTATGCTTGATCCGAACACGGCACATTGGATACCCCACGTTGAAGGGTGTCCTACATTCATGATCGGCCATCCACGTGGAGCTAAGATGTGCGACAGTGCTATAGAGATGTGGAGAGGGATTTACTTCCCATTGACCCGTGACGAAGATAGCGAATCAGGAGGCAAGCTTCTTACGTCGTTGGATATAGAAAGTGCACAATGTGGTAAATCGGCCTCATGAAATGGCAATGGCACCATTTTAATGACAAGTTGCGAGCGCTGCGTTCGCGTCCAGGGGACGTGGGTAAGGATGGCGCAATAAAGCACAAAACAACCTCATCCCACCATCCCACTATATGGAGGTCTTATGTCATCAAATCATTTAACTATGCCCGATGATAAGTTTGGAGCGTCGTTAGCTGCAAGTTTTATCAAATATAATTTCATTTACTAGGCTACTTGTACATCAAAGTCGCTTTTCTCTACAGACGTAAACTTCAAAGAGTTGCGCAATACACCCAGCATCGGCTTCATTCAAGGTGACGAAGCTGACGCAACTATCAGGGTCCGCTCAAGACAGGTCATAGCGACTTCCTGAGATCCCAGACTGATCTCAATTTGAATCAATGGCGGCACCAGTACATCCTTTGAATGCAGAGCCTGATAGGCTTCAATTCGCGTATGCAGCTTTCATCGCATCTTCCGCTTGTTTGAGTACATACTAACTTCAGGATAGCTATTGGGTACCCAATGTTTCTGGGGGGCTCGTCATCAGCAAAATTCCACAGAGAACCAACTGGGATCTGCCGAGCAACATCAGGTACGCCAAAGCCGCCGAGAAAGCTGGCTTCGAGTATGGCTTGACTCAAATCCGTTTTTTGGCTTCCTACGGTGCGACGCAGCAGCACGAATCGGTTTCGTTCTCGCAAGCGATATTGGGCGCGACTGATTCAATTAAAATCATCGCCGCCATCTTGCCTGGACCATGGAACCCAACCGTGGCAGCTAAGCAGATCGCGAGCATCGACAACTACAGCAATGGTCGCATTGCTGTCAATATTGTCAGTGGCTGGTTCAAGCAGGAATTCATCTCAGTCGGCGAATGGTGGCTGGACCACGCTGAGAGATATCGTCGCAGTAACGAGTTCATCCGTGTGCTGAAGGGTATCTGGACATCACCAGATGATACGGGATTCACTTTCCGTGGAGATTTCTATCGTTATACCAACTATAACCTGAGCCCGAAACCTGTTCAAAAGCCTCACCCTGAAATCTTTCAGGGAGGCAACAGCGATGATGCCAGGAACAATGCAGCAGAAGTCAGCGGCTGGTACTTCATGAACGGCAACGACATTGAAGGGTTCCGTGCCCAGATCGAAGACGTAAAAGCGCGAGCAGCGAAAAACAACCACGAGGTCAAATTCGCCGTCAATGGTTTTGTCATTGTTCGAGAGACCGAAGAACAAGCAGTGCGCGTTCTGGAAGAAATCCAAGGCAAGGCCGATCGAGATGCTGTCGAGGCATTTGGCGAGGCCGTGAAGCAAGCTGGTGCGAGCACCGGTAACAAACAGGGAATGTGGGCGAATAGCAAGTTCAAGGATCTCATCCAATACAATGATGGATTCAAAACAAAGCTCATCGGCACCAAGGAGCAAGTAGCTGAACGGATAGTCCTTCTGAAAAGCTTGGGTATTGACTTGTTGCTTACTGCGTTCCCCCACTACGAAGACGAGATCATTCAGTTCGGAAATGAAGTTATCCCGCTCGTAAGGCATTTGGAGAGGGAAGGAAGAGGGAAGGATGCGGCTTTCGAAATAGAGAGAACTGGGGTAGTCTATAGCTCGTAAGGGTAATAGTTATTAAGGGTCGAAAGCTACTTCAACAAGGCTTTTAAGTCATTTATTTCGCTTTTTAGTTGCAGTTCGCATCTCCCGACCGAATTATCGACACAATCTCTAAGGACTCCTATATAAAAATGGTTCACCTCCTGTGGCATGATCTACTATCTTTCGCCTAGCGCCTTGATGGACAAGATATCCACTCTGCTTCCTTCTTCAAGTCTCTTCTTTACATCACACCAAATAAGTTGCCGTCATCAAACACTGTTATGAAACCTTAGGTATTTTGGTCTGCCTGGTCCACTAGCAACCCAGCCGCCTCTTGTGCCCGCTGCTGGGAGACGCTGTTGGCGTCCTCGCCTGGTTTCTTTGGCAGGTCCCACCATGGAGCATTATCGGTCCACATGACTGACATACCACAGGTGCATGGCAAGCATACATAGACTAACGAATACATGCAAAATCTCTTCACTTTGACGTGTGCTAGGAAGAAGTGTCAGTGGCTATGTGGTGATAAGGAAACACAAAGAACGGACTGTATTTTCCATAGTACTTGACCCAAGCTAAAATGTTGTGCTTGGCCATTTTGTAGTGTAGCTATAGTCGAAATATGGGCTGGTTATATAACCGTTTGATAAAATCGAGAAAAGTGGAATAAAGTGTAGTAAAGGTCAAGGGGAATGAACGATGATAAAGCCAGGGAGACCTGTTAGCTGCACTGATGTCACCAACTATTTCCGGAGATTTCAACCCCGCATTTACGTCACGACTAACGAATAACGTGCCGAGTTCGTCAGTAAATCTGACACGCGAGGGCACTAACCAGAACAAGGGACAACACAGCGCCTCAGAAAACAATAGGGTATGTGTCTTATTACAATCCACGGCCTCAATGCACCGTTGCCAAAGGCCCAAAAGTACAATAAAGACGAAGATGACGAGGCCAAGTGGCTGGCTGATAAACACATGCTATCCTTGACATTATGAGATTAAGAGCACTCGTATATACACAATTGGCAGAGGAACCATTCGAGACGAAAAAGTCCATTCCGCACTGTAACGGAAGACAATTCCGCCAAAAGTCGGAAGCTCGACTGCAACAAAAATAAACCAACGAGATAGTCCTCAAAAACAACATACTCTCAGGTCAAAGCAAAGGTTTACTGAACACATTGAGAGTAAAAGTCGTTCACCGACTTGCAAGTCCCAGTAGCACAGCACTTAGCACCTGAAAAGCCTTGTCCGCCACACTGGCCCCAAAGAGAAGCACACTGTACCAGGTCAGAACACATGATCATTTAGACAGTAAGTGGGAATCAAAAGCATTAAAGATGGAACTTACGTTACCAGGCTGGGTGGGAGCTGGTTGTGTGGATGTCTGGAGGGTAGTAGCGGGAGGGGTACCACTATTGTCACCGCCAGGAGCGCCGTTGCAAGAGAACTAAAGTCACAGTCAGTCAGAACCGTGACGGTGTTGCTTTGGATTTGACTTACCACTGCGGGACCGGGAATGGTGTAGCTGTTGAAGTTGGAGTAGATCTGTGCGAGAAACGTTAGTGGACTCACTTCCATACATGAAGGGGAGGTGGTGCCATACGTTGGCAGTATATCCTGGATCTGTCTCTTTGAAGGCACCGGGAATCTTGACTTGGGAACCAGGAACAGTGCTGCCGCCGCCATTAAGGTTGATCTGAGCACAGCTAATGTAGAACTGAGGTTTTTGCTGTCAGCCTTGCCATGGTTAGAATTTACATAATCTACTAACCTGAGGGACGCCTGCTGGCCATGGGTTGTGGATACCGATACTCTGGATGCGAAGGAGGTACTCGCCGTTAGGGATGCAAACGGGAAGATTGAAAGTGTAGCTGACTGAGAAGTAACAAGGTTAAGTTGTGTTGTACTATTCATAACCAGTTTGAACTTACGATTCATGGGCCAGCTTGAAGATCCACCGTTAAAACTTGGACCTAAGGATATTTTATTAATTGTTTCGTTACCAAGGTGTCATCTCGAGCCATACCCCAGTCCTTGATCTTGAACCAAGTACCGCTTCCATCGTAGGATGAAGCAGATCCAGGTGCTTTGGACATGTACACCGAGATGGGTCCCTGATGGTAGACCGCCGTGTCAAGAGTGAAGGTGATGGAGTCACCCGCCTTGACGCCAACAGTTTGGGTATTGGCTCCCGATGCGCCGACATTGCACCGTAAGTCGTTCGAGTCCAGCTCTATATGGTCGTATAATTAGCGGACTATACTTCTAGACTAACAGGATGTGGGAGTCATACCTGTAACAGGAGAGTTGTAGTTGGAGTTCTGTCGGATGTATTGGAACACAGGGTACTTGGTCGAACCAACTGACAGTTGCTGGAATATGTAATGGGCAGATGCACTTTGCATCAAGGCCATGGTGGCCGCAAGTAAATTGGCAGTCTTCATGATGGCTAAATATCTTGGTTTCTATGTTAAGCTGACGAAAGAAGAGTTGACCGTGTTCAGTTTGGTTTCATAGAAAGGCGAGGTATAAATGTAAAGAACGGTTGAAACGGCGGCCCAGTCGCCCAAGCCATCGTCCAATAGAATGTGTCATCTGATCCTTCATCGGAGAATAAACAGTCCCAATGTGTCAAGTGACTGTCAATTATGTCCGAAGATCCAAGAACGGAAATATATTTGTGGTATTAATCATGTTCGAAGCCTAAAATGGATGGTCTGATGAAACGATGCAAATTGTCTCACCGTAATGTCATCAGGTATTTCATATGTTAACACTTCAAGGCTTATTCAATACATCGCAGCGAGTAGTTAATACTGCTTGGACTGTTTGACCATTCTGCGTCCCAGAACAAATGAATTATATTATTTTCCTGACGACTATATATGCCACAATGAGAAAGAAAAATACAAATAGAGAGCAAATTTTTAGCGTACGGAAGTCATAAATTCATCCGGTGGAGAAGATTTATACCGGAGTGTCATGCTCCGTGCTGGATTCAGAGGCCAGCCAGCCAACATCAGACCACTTAACCGGGATTTAGGCATTTATAAATTGGTTACATCGTGATTTTGCCGATGGTCTTCTATTAAACAACAACTTTGTGCTGACTTACCCATCCTCCCTCTCTGCATTTTCAGTGCAATAGTTGCGGGCATATCCTCCATCGAGCTTTGTGTCTTGTTCTCCACAATGCGCTTGTCGGGTTATTCTTCTGGACAGGGTCAAGTCTTAATATACATTTCCAGAACATGACAGTTAAAAAAGATATTGGGTATTTTCTGAAATCAAATCTGCCAACTACTTAATGGTTAGCAGCCGTACTGAAATGACTACTCGTGGGGGGCAGTGGTATAAATTCGCCATCAATCCACATGAGTCTCCTAATAGGTGTTCTGATATACCAGTAATCAATACTAGTAATCTATATGATGACACCTCTACCCCTTTTGTGGATTTTCTGTTTCCTTCGATGATCGTTACTGCATTACGCGCAACGGGCAAGTGGGATAGTTTTTCCCTCTCCTCCTGGCCGAACTCGTCCTCAGAATTCTGTTACCGAAGGTATGTACGAAGTTTTAAGTAGCTGTTTTACAATGGGCGATCTAGGTTTGCTCGAATTTCAGGTTTGTACCGCCGAGACAAGTTTGGTAGTGACCTGATCTCATGAGAAGATCAAACACGGAGGCTGCTTTATTGCAATGAATAGCTCTTGAATCCAGAATCCAACCTGACGTTCATGTTCAATTCAACTAAACACAAACGAACTGATATGTTTCCTCCCCCGTCAAACATTAAAAGATATCGCGAGTCAGTGTGAGAGGACTAATGGTGTTAGTCTGGCAAGAAACAGGAATGCATTCGTAGCTGAGAACCCCTGCATTTGAGCTGTATCCTATCTAAGATCCTCCTAGGAGCCAGCACATATGAACCCTGCGCTGATCATCAACAAATAGCGAAGTGTCAGTAAATACGGCGCCCTGATTGGTCAAGCTTCTGATGATGTGCGAGTCCGCTCAGTCGATCAACAACACCTCACCGCTTCCTTCCTTGGACAGGGCACACATAGTCCTCATTGGTATGGTCTATCTTGGAAAATAGCTGTTGATAACACCATGTGTCCGTGGGTAGTATATTATCGGCGACTTGATCGAAGACATCTTTTATGCGTGACAAATTGTTCAGAAGCAGTTTCCCCGAGTTCTAAGTGTTTAAACTTTTACGGTAGCCTAATTATAGTAGTTTAACAACTTGAGCCTTAATTAACGGTCAGTATTTCTATGATTGATATACTAAGTAATGTAGTGCAAGTTAACTTTTTATAAATGATTTTTTAATAATTTAAGCAGTAGCCAGTTAAGTAGGAAAGGTTCCTCTTAGAACGTAGACATTTAATCAGATTAGTAAGCCATTTAAGGACTCTTTATTTCGGTCGCATAATTGGATCATATAACATATATAGCAACTATGTAAAAGGACCTAACAATTAAAGATTAGCTTTAGAGTTAACTAGTATAAAGTTCCATGGACTTTTGCAAAAGGAAGGAGTTGTGCCATCTTGGGCTTTGGGCCGATCCCTGCTAGACTGGCTTCAGGGGTCTTTTGATCGCTTGGACCGTCGACCAGGGTCCTTCACCTTCCTAACAGAGGCTATGATACACGATAGTGGAACCTGGAGACCTTTTGCAAGTATCCATCAATGCCGTGACTGTGGTATAAAAAGTCCGAACTCGCAGCAAGAGTGGGATCACTTTCCAGGCGAACTTCATTCTTTCGTTATCTTCCACATCTTCTCAACTAAAATGCGTCTCTCGACTATTTCTGTCAGTCTTCTCGCAGCTGGGTCTGCCACAGCCAGTCTCGAAAAGCGGGCGCCTCTTATCAGTCGAGATGAGAGTGGTATCGAGGGAAAGTACATCGTCATGATGAAGCCAACCTCAGATAGTACTGCACGTGTCAAGTCAGCAGCAAAGGCCATTGATATCAAGCCCGATATGGTCTTTGACAATCTTGGTGGATTTTCTGCGAGTCTGTCTGCCCGAGATGTAGATGACTTGCGTAACAACCCCAACGTAAGTAGAGATACAACTTGAGTTTCCGTGGTGGAACTTGACTAATCAAATATATCTAGGTCGCATACATTGAGCAAGACTCAGTTGCCAGGATTTCCGCTGTTCAAAAGCAGGCACCATGGGGTCTTGCGCGACTTTCCAGCAAGAAGACTGGAGAGACAAGATATTCATATGATGATTCGGCTGGCAAAGGCACATGTGCCTATGTCCTGGACACTGGTATTGACACCACACATCCTGTATGGCCTCTATTCTCTCTTGAGATTAAATCTCTCCTTCAAATTCTCTTATCTAACATCCCATAGGACTTTGAGGGTCGTGCCGAGTTTATTGCCACTTATGTTGACGATATCTGGGTGGACGATCATGGTCATGGCACCCACTGCGCCGGTACAATCGGATCCAAGACATATGGAGTTGCCAAGAAAACACAGCTTTACGGAATCAAGCTCTTCAACTCCACTGGAGAAGGAGTCGCGTACGTTATAACCCTATGAATACGCCTTTAATGTCCCAACTGACGAACCAAAGGTCTTCCATCATTGCTGGCATGGACATGGTCTTGCGTGATGCTCCCAAAAGAAACTGCCCCAAGGGTGTTGTTGTGAGCATGTCATTTGGAGAGATCCCTTCTAAGGGCATCAATGATGCTGCCAAAGCCCTTGTCGACGCTGGCTTCTTTGCCGCTGTGGCTGCTGGTAACGGCGACGAGAAGGGAAGGCCAGTCGATGCCTCAAGTAACTCGCCTGCCTCAGAGCCCAGCGTCTGCACCATCGGCGCGACAGCAAAGGATGACACTGTCGCTACGTTCTCCAACTATGGCAAGGTTGTTGACCTGTACGCTCCTGGTGTCGCGGTTCTGAGCACATGGCCTGGAGGCATTACCCGTTCTATTTCGGGCACATCCATGGCCACACCGCATGTTGCTGGAGTTGCAGCCTACTTCCTCGGTCTTGGAAGGTCTGCGGTTGGTCTTTGCGAGTACCTCCAGAGCATTGCTCTGAAGGATACCATTAAGGGTGTTCCTCAAGGAACTAAGAACCTTTTGCTCCAGAACGGCCAGGCAAAATAAGTAGCAAGCTAAAACAAGTACTTTAGAATGGGGATATTCCTTCGGTTTATATACAGGGGGTAGGAATCTAATGCCAGATAAGCTAAACTAATATTTAACATTTTTAACCCCGTGTCTAAGCTATTAGATAGATACTAATCAGTGAAAAGGTTGTTCTTTTCATGAAGGGTGCATTTTCGGTGTAGTTTAATTGAACTTAAAATCACACCATAATTCCACTATTGGATCTACTAATCACGGTGAATTGTTTGCGATTTATGAACCAATGGTGTCGATAAACGTTGTGTTTGCATTGGGACCTGCATTGCTGAGTCCAATGTCATTTATAATACTGTTCAACGCAGATCGTTGGCGAACGCAAACATCCCTGAATCATGTTACCAGAGACTTGTAACCATGTGCTGGTTTAGTGAATAACCCGATAGCATACTAAGCATAGTAACGTTATCGTAATCGCTTATATCCTCAATTGAAGCGCTGTTGGCCTGAGGCTGTCAAAGAACAAATTTGTCCTGACTCGCTTAGCTTGGCCTTCCTACCCAGTCGGCCTCTGATAAGCGCCACAAGTAGCGCCACAACAGATGAATCTCTCAGTTTTTCCCCGTTGTCTTTTCCCTCGAATAAAGATTAACGCCCCCTCGTCATATCTGATTGTTTTCCAGTCTCAAGACCTGGTACCCCGCACTGAGACGTTACCGCGTGCTCCAATTAACAGACATGCGTGGATTTCTACTTCAAGCCCCAGCTGTATGATACCCTTGCCTCTACTGAACTATTGAAGTATCTGGTCACGTCACCATGTGGCGTTAGAGATGTCTACTGCCTCCCAGAAGAGAAGCGCAGGTCATGTAATCATCGCTTTGAGGAGCTTAACTTTCATTTTCTTCAGACAAACAATTCTTCAGAACCTCCTCATTTGACATTATCACATGTAACCCATTTGTCGAATTGCAAATGAAGCTACACCTAAGTGTCGCGTGACCTATCCGGCAGTTCTGTCGTTCACCCAGTAACTCACGCTTGATGGATGCAATATATTAGATGATAGTCGCTATCATTTTTTATCCATGGCGATCACGTTTGAGATGCCAACTTGCGAGATAATGAAGTTCTAGATGCGGTCCAAGTCTCTGGTGAAGAGTGTCGTGGTTCCATCATGTTGGAATACTCTCGATTGAGACTATGCCTGTGGCTCTGTCCTGGTTGAATTCTGAGATTGATAGTATACGATTGATGTTTTGGGTCGGGCTGTAAAATACGAGGAAAAGTGAATCTTGTGAACAATTTCCTTCAATCATCTCATATGCAACTGTCGCCTTTACCTACCGTCTCACAGTATCTTTGGAGCCACACCAATCAACAGAATCACACTACTCACAGTTGTTTAGTGATGGCGAGACTAACTGAGACGCCTTCATGACGCCTCTTCTAGGCGTTTCGCTTCGTGAGCTGCATCAACCAAACTTCCCTTGGCGAGCTTGGACTCCTCGATAGAGAAGAGTAGTTGCAACCACAAGACAGAACCCTTAGCAATAATCTTTTCAAGATGATTGGTACTAGGTAAAGAGCCAATTGCCATATCTTTTTAATAGATCCAACTACTTTGTCTAATGTAAGTAGATGTTGGCTGTGTATGGGAGAGCAGTGTGCGAAACGATCAACGGAGTGGAAATGTGCGCCAAGGAACAGACTTTGGGAATTGCAGATAATCACTAAATTTGTCAAGGAACAGCAGAATGTATGGATAAGCACTAAGCCACAGGACCACGTACCAGTCTGTTGGTTCCAACACACTCGGGCTAACGATGCCGATACCAAAACTTACTTGCCAGGAAAAACGGTGCTTCCTCTTCTGGCCGTTGGACAACGGCAGCCGGGCTCCTGAGCAAAAAGTCAAACACCACAGGAACTCAATCTCCACCTCGTATAAAGCTGTTTTTACTAATGCACGAGGTACAGATGTGATATACTGACTTTCGATTCTGTTGGCTGCAGAGCCCTAATTATCAGAGAAAATGCCTCTAGATCTTGAATGAGTGGGAACTATGAATAACCATATGTTGATAGCCTCACAGTGGACTCGATGAGAGTGTCGCCTGCCAATACATGCACACCACACCAACTCCAAACTAAAGACGACGGCCTTTTCCATCATTTTGCCAAGCAATTGTGAGATGTAGCGTTCTCATTAGACTATTTGCTGCAGAGCGACTGCACTGCTGTTCCATTTACCCATCTTAGACTCTCTCCTGCCATCTAATTCGTAATGCGACAGGCAACCCAAGACTATTCGGGCCATGATGCCCGCCAACCGACTGAACTGGACCATCTTCTGTTTCCTAATTCGCTCCAGCGGTTCATTAGTTACCGTGTTTGTCGCAGCCCAGCCGTTAGAGCACCCATTGGCGTTAGATGATATCTAACCCCGTGCCTTGGTTGTGTGCATGCTTCCACTTCATCTGACCAACTACTTGAGAATCCGTCCCATCAAGGCCGTTTGGGTGTCTCTTGGTGACCTCATCATGTCATTTCTCTGCATGGGAAAACTCGTATACGATGACTTCTTTCCTGTTCTGGATCGACGATGCATGGTTTGAGAGTGTGTGTATTCGTATACATGTGTGTTTGCATGCATGTGTACGTATACGAGTGCGTATGTGTGCGTGTGACGGAGAGCTGAAGTGTTGATTTGGCTCTTGAGCTTATGACTTGATATATAGATTCTAGCTGTCCCTACTTGCTTAGATCCTGCTCTCGCTTCCTAACTAATTCTCAATTGCCGAAATATTCGTTGAATATCCAAATCATGAGAGGCTCTTTCTTCCTCGGCGTCGCTCTTTTGGGCGCGGCGAATGCTAGTGTCGTGGACTTAAGTCGTCACCAGCCACGGGACGCCAAACACTTACCCCGGGCCTACAGTGACCCAGTATTCCATGAGGCTAGAAGCTTCGCTGAAAGGGCTGACCTCTCTTCCAAGCCGCAAGCCGCTACTGCTGGTGAGGATGGGGGGGACGATGATCAGGATTCCGTTAAGTCCCCTGCTTCCGATTCTTCCTCCTCAGGTGGTGGCTCTTCGGGGAATGCCAACAAAGGAACTTCTCAGAACAATGCTGCTACTGCTCAGCCTGAGTCTGGTAAATCCCGATCCCAAGGCAGTGGTGGTGGCGGTGGCTCAGGAAGAACCAGCAATAATGATGCTGCTGCTCAACCTGATTCCGATTCCGATGGATCTCAAGGCGGCGGTTCAGGAAGAACCAGTAATAATGCTGCTGCAGATCAGCTTGAGTCTGGTAAATCTCAATCCCAAGGCAGTGGCTCAGGAAGAACCAGCAATAATGATGCTGCTGCTCAACCTGAGCCTGATACCTCTGGATCTGGAGATGGTTCTTCTGGCAACAGAAAACAAAATTCTGCCACTTCTGCGCAGTCTAACTCTGACGATTCTTCTTCGAGGGACGACACTTCTGGCAATGGGGATCAGGGTAATGCTCAAAACAATGCTGCTTCTCATCACTCTTCCGATTCTTCAAATCAACAGGACAATACTTCAGACAACACTGAGCAAGAAGATCCTGTAGTCTCTTCTCCCTTAAGAGGTAACAACAATGGTGGTCAACAAGACACTGCCGAGGCTGCCGCTCCCACAGACGATTCTGAGCCTCAAGCCCCAGCCCGATTTCAAAAACCTAAACAGAATTGGGCAACCTCTCGGCCAACCCAACAGTACCCTACATATCAGCCACCCCAGCAGTGGCCTACATCCAAGCCAACCCAGCAGTGGCCTACATCCAAGCCTACCCAGCAGTGGCCTACATCCAAGCCAACCCAGCAGTGGCCTACATCCAAGCCTACCCAGCAGTGGCCTACATCCAAGCCTACCCAGCAGTGGCCTACATCCAAGCCTACCCAGCAGTACCCTACATCCAAGCCAACCCAGGGATGGTCTACCTCCCAGCCAACTACATGGCCAACTTCTAGGCCTACTCAACCGACGTCCATGCCAACGCAGCCAACTTCCATGTCCACCCAGCCAACTTCCAGGCCAACTCTACCTACAACCACTGAATCTGTACCTACGACTACCAAGTCCATGCCCACGACTACAGAGTCTGTGCCCACGACTACAAAGTCTGTCCCTACAACCACCAAGTCCATGCCCACGACTACAGAGTCTGTGCCCACGACTACAAAGTCTGTGCCTACGACTACAGAGTCTGTCTCTACAACCACAAAATCTGTATCAACAACGACTTTGACCACTCAGACTGTACCGACAACCACCAAGTCCATGCCCACGACTACAGAGTCTGTCCCTACAACCACAAAATCTATACCAACAACGACTCTGACCACTCAGACTATCCCTACAACCACCAAGTCCATGTCCACGACTACAGAGTCTGTCCCTACAACCACCAAGTCTGTGCCCACGACTACAAAGTCTGTCCCCACGACTACAGAGTCTGTCCCTACAACCACCAAGTCCATGCCCACGACTACAGAGTCTGTCCCTACAACCACAAAGACTGTACCAACAACGACTTTGACCACTCAGACTGTACCGACAACCACCAAGTCTGTGCCCACGACTACAAAGTCTGTGCCCACAACTACAGAGTCTGTCCCTACAACCACCAAGTCTGTGCCCACAACTACAAAGTCTGTGCCCACGACTACAAAATCTGTACCAACGACTTTGACCACTCAGTCTGTACCTACCACCACTGTGAAGACAGAGACTACGACCAAGCCTACTAAGCCTATCACTGTCACTACTACTACCGAGTTGACATCACAGCCGACCAAGACTACCACTGTCACCAAGTCCAGGTTGACTACTGAGTATACTACCGAGTACACCACTTCAACTGTCTACTCCACTACAATATACACTATCACAGAGTGTGCTCCTTGGGTTAACAACTGTGGCTACATTCCTTATGAAACAACTGAGATCATCCCGATTTACACCACTATTTGTCCTATTGATTATGAGCCAACTCCAGAGCCTCAGTGGACTACCTCGACTGTGTACACCACCTATTATCGAACTGTCACAGAATGTGAGCCTTACTGCCCCGAGGAACCATACATAACTACGGAAATTGTTCCCATCTACACTACTGTCTGTCCCATCACTGAGGTGGCCCCTGCCCCTACCGCTCATTACGAACCTGACGAATGCGTGAGTGAGAAACTCAGTACCAGCTGGTCCGCTTCCACTGTCTACACAACCAAAGTCAAGACCATGGATGATTGTGCTTGGGATGATGACTGGTGCGATTACGGTACTCCTTACGTCAAAACCGAAACTATCGCTCTCTCAACCACTCTCTGCCCAGAGGTCAAGACGGAATACGTGCCTTGTCCGACGTATCATCCTCCGTCTCCACCTGTTGTTGTCACTTCCACTTCAACTTACACTTACTACACTACCGAGTATTATACCATCACTGCTTGTGCAGATGTAGTACCCTACTGTGCTATTGGCCACAAGACCTCGACTGTATACGCCACGGCCACAACCTGTTATACTTACACTTACACCACAACTGTTCCCGAGACTAAATACACAAGGATTGTGCCTCCTCCGTTAACTGCTTCCACCGTTACAGTTACCACAGGAACTGACTACAGTAGCAAGACAAACAATGTCTACCACTCCACAACTGAGACCTGGGCGACTTCTACCTATGCAACCCAGTCAACTGAGACTTCTACGCGAATGACTCAATCGATGCCAATTTATCCTACGTCAGTTGAGCAGTCTACATCCATCGAAAAGCCCACTTCTATGCAGCAGCCCACATCTGTGTATCAGCAGCCTACGTCTGTCGAACAACCCACCTCTGTACAACAGCAACCGACGTCGGTTTATCAACCTCCTTCTGAGCAGCAGCAACCTACATCTGTGCAACAACAGGCTTCTGACAATGCACCTGAGTCGATGCAAACTGCTCCTGCTGCTGTGGAGTCTTCTGGTTCAGACTCTTCTGGCAAAGATGCCTCTGGCTCAGACTCTGGCAAAGACTCTTCCCCCTCTCATTAAATCTGCAAGGCCAAATGGTGGGCAATGCAGGAATGTTGGAGCTAGAATTTCTTGTACCTAGATCAACTTGAGATTGTGTTTTAGATCATTTTCTCGTGGCAGGATGAGGTTTTTGTTTTTGTGTTGGCGACAATGATATCACGGTCTCTACTAGTTTGGTGTTCTTTTGTTACTATACATTCATTCAAGATATCCAATTTATACCATTTTTGATAAGCTCCTTGTCTCCAACGTCGCGAAGTCAATTAATTTTAACCCTGGTTAGCGTTTAAATTGCTCCACAGAGAAATTCCGCAATTCTTCCCCACTACAGGGTATATTGATCCATTGCAGCGAGGAGTTTTACGTGGAAACAATTATCGCAATTCAGGTACAATATGAGTGTTGTAAAAGATAGAACTGGAGAAATATTTAATTATGTCTTGTAAGACTTAGTGATTGGCTTTCCAGCTAACGCGGGTGGTAACATGCGTCTTTTGAGCAATCAAGAACATCTGATGTGAGATGGGTAAACACGATCTCTTTGCAGTTCGATAGTTTCTGACCCACCCGTCGAGTTGGCAAGAGAAAGTACTTTCAAGTGAGAAACGACAAAAAAATAAAAACCCCAAGACGTATAGCATCAATGACATAAGGTGTCCTACTATTTCTTCGATTATACTTCGTCAGGTAGACTGTTTCTTCCGGTAACTGGCGATTAACGCCCGTAAAAGTTTTCCTTGCACAAGAATTCCTGATCTGCGAAACAGGCAGAAAAATAAACAGAACAATGATTGGACAGCGTCTACAAGTGGAGGCGCTACGGGATGAGCCAAGACACTCGGTTACTGTTGCTATTCCTAATGGAGAGAATCGACCATGTTCAAGCTGTGGGGAGGCGGGCGGGGATTATTGCAAGGGCAAAGCTTGGTTTTGTCCAAGAGATTCAAGAATTTCGTTGCCTGAAAGCCACCCTTTCTCCGCATTGAATAGTCTGTGGGGTCATACTCAATTATCTCCATATACAAAATGTCTCTCAACGTTGATTACGGCTTACTGGGACTGGGCAAAGAACCTTCTAAGACTTGATTGATGACAATGGAGGCATTTTGAGGATCATACGAATCTCCCTATGAGGAAATGATTATCAAGTCACATGAGAAAGGAATGATCCAACAATACAAACCTTGTCAGCATTGTCTCAAAAGTACTAAATTGGGTTCCACGACCCGCCCTTTGCAATCTCAATGTTCTTGAGAACCAATGAGCCCACCAAACTCTCCGCATTGATCCCACGGGGTAACACTGCGTAGTGTCGTCATCTCCACATCCCCCAGCTCCAAACAACCTTGGCACAGAGTTTTATCATGCCGGCCAAGCCTGTTAACTTGCTGCCTGGGCTTGGCAGAGGTGGGAAACTTCGGCTTGCCAAGTTGAGCCCCAGAGGGTTGCCAGACATCAAGCTTTAAAAATAAGCTTATATATACAGGGCCTTCATCTGGAGTCCTTGTTCGTCATGATCTGCTCCTTGTCTCTGCAGTCCTCCTTCTTCTAGCCCACTGCTTGTCTCTCCATTCCTGCACGCAATTTGGTGATTCATCATGGCCGACAAAGACATCTCTCCCAGTCGTTCATACGATGACAAGAACGCAAGCTTCCCTCCTGAAAAGGGCAATGCAGAGGTTCTAGAGCACGCTGGTCAAGGCCGCCGTGGTTCTAAAGCTGTCAACATCGTTGTGAATCCTCTACAGGTGAGATTCTATCGCTTGGCATCAGATGAATCATAAATTCTAACTCTTACCTCGCAGGGTAAAACGAAAGAGCAAACAATTACCGACGCACGCACCTTTGCCGAGACCAATGGCATGTCTGAGCATGCCGACCTTTTCGGCAGAGCCGCTCTTATTGCCCGTGATCCTGACAACTTCGAATCGGTCGACCTTCTCGATGATGAGCGAGAAGCTCTCATCTACGAAAGAGACCACAAGTGGCATGGATCAAAGATGTTGTGGTACTCAATTGGCCTCTGTGCTGTTGGTGCTGCGACACAGGGTTGGGATCAGACAGGTGCCAATGGTGCTAACCTGTCATTCCCCAAGGAATTTGGTATTGATGGTACGGGACGCGATGAGTGGATTGTTGGCATTATCAACTCCATCATCTTCCTGACTGCTGGTTTGATGTAAGTCTCGCAACCTGTCTCGCATAATATGTTGCTGACAAGTATCTCGCAGCGGTGCTTTCATTGTCGATCCTCTTAACCACTACTTTGGTCGACGTGGAGAGATCTTCATTACAGCCGCTTGTTTGACTGCTACCCCTATTGCATCTGGATTTTCCAGAAACTGGCAAGAGCTATTTGCTATCCGTTTCATCATGGGAATTGGTATCGGTGCTAAGAATGCTACTGTGCCTATTTACTCCGCTGAGATGGCACCTGCTCGAATCCGAGGTGCCCTTGTTATGTTCTGGCAACTTTGGGTTGTTATTGGTAAGTCGTTCTGACTGCAAGTCCGTTTTATGTATTGACTAACGAGTTGAAAGGCATCTTCCTTGGATTCTGTGCCAATGTTATTGTCAAAGATATCGGTGATATTGCTTGGCGACTGGAGCTTGGCTCAGCCTTCATTCCTGCCTTCCTTCTTATGATCGGCATTTACTTTTGCCCCGAGTCACCCCGTTGGCTTATGAAGCATGGCCGAATTTCTGAGGGATTCGTCTCCATGTCCAAGCTTCGTGCCCACCCCATCATCGGTGCCCGCGATTACTACTACTCGTATGTTATCTATCACGAGGAACTCCGCGAGAACGCAGGTGCTGGCTACTTTCAACGTCTCTGGGATTGTTTCGCCGTCCCTAGGATCCGAAGAGCCAACTATGGTGCCAGCACTGTCATGTTGGCCCAGCAAATGTGCGGTATCAATATCATCTCTTTCTACAGTTCCACCATCTTTCGAGAGGCCGACTTCAGCCACGACCAAGCGTTGTACGCCTCTCTGGGCTATGGAGCTATTCAGGTCGTCTTCACTATCCCAACTCTCTTCTTGATTGATACCAAGGGACGAAGATTCTTGACCTTGGCGACATTCCCCTTCATGTGTATTTTCCTTTTGGCGGCTGGCCTCGCGCTTCTCAACAACACTGATAACCAAGCTGCCAAGATCGCACCAGTGGCCCTTTTTGTATATCTCTTCACCATTGCCTACTGTCTTGGAGAAGGACCTGTTGCATTTCAGTACTCGGCTGAAGTCTTCCCTACCATCCAGCGAGAGCAGGGTATGGCCTGGGCTGTCTGCATCAACAACACCTTTGCTGGAATTCTGGGACTTACGTTCCCTCGTATGAGGACTGTCATGACCCCTACTGGTGCCTTTGGATTCTACGCCGGACTCAACCTCATTGCTTGGGGTATGATCTTCTGCTTTGTTCGCGAGACTAAGCAAATGACTCTGGAGGAATTGGACCAAGTCTTTTCTGTACCTACAAGTCAGTTCCTCTCCTACGAGACCAAGGTCTGGCTTCCCTACATGTTCAAGAAGTACATCCTCCTGAAGAAGATTGAGCGACCTCCTCCAATCATTGAGAAGAGTGAAAAGAATCTTGCATAAGAGGTGGATGTGAGAAGGAGCCAAAGGTTATATGTACCTAGATACAAAGACATGCAGATCCAGATAGTGGGAGCTTATTAATAACAAACCACATAGCGTTATTGCAACATCTTGAAGGATGTATCGCCCTGGTATTTGACATTAAATGTGCTGATATGCTCTAGCATTCCTGTTGCAGGTGTTTCCCAAACACTCGTACGGCATTCGCCATGTCGCCATCCTATCTTGGATGAAGTAAATTCGAATCTACAAAAGTTGTATTAATTCTGAATAGCACATAAGACGCAACTTGATAGACAGAGAGGTTAGGCCTAGTCTTACAAGATGTACAGAAACAAATCGCATGAGCAGTCAAAGAAGCATAAATCGATCCATTAAATTCGTCACTTGTGCTTCCATGTTGGGTTTGTCCGATATGTTGATGTCAACTAGATCCGAAAGAAGAAATAATACTAAAGAGTCAGAAATACAAAGTACAGAGTCCCAGAAAATCTCAAGGTCTCTATGAGGTTAAGCTATCGATTCAGAGAGCCCGTAATATGGAAGAGCCCTGATGGGTTTTGCATTTTAAGCGCCCTGCATCTGTACACCAAATTCGAAGGGCGCTAGTGACCAGGAAAGACAGCATTTCTTGAACGTTTGCACAATTTAGGAGACTTGAATTTGCGCTAAGAGTGGCAATAAACTAAAGTACCTAACGATAATGCATTGGATATTTCAGAAACACATTGTATCTACTATATACGAGAAACTTAGTGGGTCAACCCCAGTTGAATATCTTTAAGATCGTCTCTTGGACAATTTTGCTGAGCAGCCAGTGGCAGAGCCAGAGCTAGCGGCAGCGGTCGCGACAGGGGCAGAGCTAGGGGCAGAGCTAGGGGCAGAGCCGAAGCGAGAACCAAAGCGAGAACCAAAGCGGGAGCCAGGACCAAAGCGAGAGCCAGATCCAGATGGGACAGAGCTAGGGGCAGAGCCAGAAGCAGGAGTAGAGGCCTTAGCAGGAGCAGCGGTAGAAGCAGGAGTGGCAGCTGAAGGGGGAGCGGCAACAGAAGCAGGAGCAGAAGCAGCGGCCTCAGCAGGGGCAGCAGCAGAAGCAGGAGCAGAGGCCTTAGCAGGAGCAGCGGTAGAAGCAGGGACGGCGGTAGAAGCAGACGCGGAGCCGGAGCTAGAGCCAGAGCCGCTACCACTGGAAATACAAGCGAAAGACATTTTCTTAACATCTGCAGCCTGGGTAGGACCATCCAGCTTCCATGCCATGTTGACATAAGGCCAGCAAATACGACCATCAGCCATGGTGACCATATCGCCAGAAACAAAGACATCTTCAGAAGTAATAGCCTGGCCGACCTTCTTTCCCTTGCTGTCAACAGCTTGGAACTTGGTACCAGCATACTTGCCACTGCATCCCATAGCCTCGTTCTCACAGACAGGGCTGGAGATCTCCTCCCAGGTGACAAGAGCAGTGGAAGCATCAAAAGTGGCGGCGTGAACGTTGGAGCAGTCGTTGGCACCGTCGGTGATCCAGTTGACCTGGCTGTCACCGTCCTTGGCACCAACTTCAGAGGTAGCCTGCTCACCGACAAGAGTCTTCTTATCAGACATGAGAGCAACGGCAACGTTGCGGTTGGTGGTGCGCTGTTCAGCGTGAGTGTAGCCATCACCCATCCATTCGTTGGCAGTGAGGTCGATGGCGCCACGAGAGGTCCAGGAGAAGATGTAAGAGTCAGAACCGACAAAACGAGCAAGAGAGCTGTAAGAACCACTCATTCCACCCATGGGTTCGTTGCTAGCACCGTTGATAACATGCTCGTTGGAGACCTTGACACCATTGTTGCCCATGCCCTGAGTCTCAGTGTTGAGCCAGATGGCACCCTGATCCTCAGCGCAAAGGGAGGCAAAGGGAGGCTCGTCAGCCGCCTCAAAGGCAATGCCGGTGTTATGAGAACAGCCCCAAGAGGAAGAAGCGCCCTGGATCTCCTCAACCTTGCCAGCAGGGGTGATGTAGCGAATAGCATCACCAAAGTGACCAGAGGCGGAACCGCTGTAAGAGGTGACGACGATGTAGGCGGCGTAGTAGCCAGCCTTCTCGGAAAAGACAAGGTCACCATTGATATCGGGAGAGGCAAGAGCATCGCCCGAGAAACCCGATCCACCGAGGAGGGTCCGGAAGGCTTGCTTGCCGTTGGTGTACTTGTACATGACGGGGAGAGGGTCCTTGGCTTCGCCGGAAACGACCTCGTTGGTGAGGATGGCGAAACCATCATTGTGGGCAACGAGACCACCGGCTTCCTTGCCGTCCTTGATGGTTACGGGAGTACCGACAGCGGCGAAGGTCTTGGGATCCACACCCTGAATGTGAACACCGGTGCCGCTAGCGTCAAGGTAGGCCAAGAAAGCAGTCTTGCCATCGGGGGAGACAGCGAAAGGAGTTCGGCGATGGTGAGGGAGGCCAGTCCAGTAAGCTTCCTTGATCGGGTTGAAGGAGCTTCCCAGAGTGAGGGCATCGACATGGCTTTCGAGCGAGGAGGAAGTGAGTTGGGCAGCAGCTAGCGCCAGGCCAGCGGCGAAAATAAGAAGACGCGACATCGTGATGTTGGATTTTGTATAAAACGAGAGGAATCTGTCTAGACAGGAATTGAAAGAGCGTGGAAATGAAAGTAAAGAATGTAATTGGACGAGACGCCAGGTCAGATCACTATGGCCAGCAGTGAAGTTGTAGATATTTCCTATCGTGCTTATCCTAACTTGGGCGGGATCGACTCTTTTAAACACAAAGTGAATCTAATCTGTCCCAGTGGCTCGGCTTGCGGCCAAACATGCCGAAACTGGATGGAGAGCGGTAGAAAAACTCGGAACACGCGGGTTCATGGATATCTCACTACAGAATCCGCGTATTAATAGACATCTTACTTAGTGTCGCTCTGAAACAGGTACTCATTTTAAATCAGACGAGCACTGGGTCGCGTGCTCATATGAGCCGAGTGGGATAAAGAAGACTTCAGATACTTAGTTCAATTGCGAAATACGAACTGAATGAGGGAAAATAGAATTTACCTACTATCTACTATGTATTAAAATGATCGCATTGAATATTTTTAATGGTGGGCAAGCCGCGTTTAACACATATTATTAAGCAGTCAAGATATTTAGATCAGAATGAACTTTTTGCGATCGATAAGCAATAATCTATTTAATCTTGCGTTCGGGGGTTTTTCCCCCAGGGGTTGAAAACGGGTAATAACCGGCGATCATTGGGATAGATCATTGGGGTGAAACTCGAAACATCTTGGACCTTGTTTTGACAGGTCTCGGTTGGAACTGTAATTTTAAGCCTCGTTCTTAAGCCAGTCACAATTGTTAAGTGACCTAGCGCTTGCTGTAGAACTCGTATGGTTTCCGGCGTGTTAATCCCGCCAATCAAAATCCCAGTAGCGTCCCCTTTCAGAAACCGAGTTGTCCGATAGCTTTCATGACTTTGCGACCGAGCGAGACGTACTTATATGCTGCATTGTGAAAACTATCGTCTTTTGTTGCTTGAGCTATCAACAAGTCACTGGCTGACATTATTTCCTTCCTTTCGTTTCAATACGTCCACTCGTTAAGCAAACTATACAATTCACTGTCGTTACTTTCTCTCTACAACTCGACATCATGCGTTTCTCTTCAACTATCAGTCTTGCTACTTTCGCTACCTCTGCCGCAGCCCAGTCCTTCGACTCAGCCAAGTCCGACCTCGATGGCTCTGTCTGGCAGTCCCTTACGTCCATCAACGCCCGTTCTTGGAGCAGCGTGCCTCGAAACCGCCCCACGAAGCGCCAGTCAGGATGGAACCCCCCTTCGAACCTCGCAGGAGCTCTCAAGGAAGTTTGGGACCACGAAGTCAAAACTTACAGCGACGCTCTGGGTTTCAAGAACTACGGCTGGGATCAAGTTATTGCCGGAAAGGGCAAGCTCAATGTCTGTGTCCGATGGGAGTCGAGTGCTTCTGTGAGCGCTGAGCAACGTACCAAGGTTGCTGCCGCCCTACAAGATTCTTACTCCAGCTGGGCGAAGTGGGTGTCTGGATGGGACAACTTTCCTTATGAGGACTTCAAGATCAATGTTGTCGGGTGGGCTGTCAAAGATAAGAGTCTCCTCCAGGGCTCGACCGCCGGTCTCGACATCTACACCGACACCGACGCAGAAGGGATTCCCCAGTGCTCTGAGAAGTGCGGTCGCTTCTTCCATCAGGATGGCGACTACAGTCAATGCCCCGGTGGTGCGGAGCGTCACTACGATAATTCTCTTTGGCTTACCGACGGTATGCAGGGTGGTGCTGGTGGTGACTGGGGTCAACGCATCGGTCGAGAGTACTTCATGGACCTTCTTGGTACCAAGAACATTCATATCCTGCAGCACGAGATCGGTCACACATTTGCCCTGGACGATTTCTATGACTGGACTCCTACCGGCCAGTCCAAGTTCATCATGCTTGCCGGCTCTGCTGCTGAGGTTACTGAGTTTGATGGTTGGATGCTCCGAAACTGGTGGTACGAGCTATCTCGTCAGCGTGGCTGGCAATCTGCTGTCTCTAGCTCGGACTCCAAGGCTGTTGAGTCTACCAAGGACAAGGTCACCCCTGCGCCCGTCAGTACCAAGCCAACCACTACTAAGGTCGCTGCTCCCTTGAAGACAACTACCACGGTCAAGAAGCCTGCAGTTGCGACTACCGTCGTGGAGGAACCTAAGCCAAAGTCCGAATCTAGTGTTACCGCCGCTGCTTATGCTCAGTGTGGTGGTGGAAGTTACACTGGCCCAACCAAGTGTGCTGCTGGCCTGAAGTGTACCAAGCAGAACGAGTGGTATTCACAGTGTCTCTGAATCATGCGTCTTCGTTAATGGATATCAACATGATTCCTCTCTATCAATTTCAAGTTATAGTAATCGGGATTACTGTAACTTCATATGTACATAATTATCTACTGGCTAGTATATCCTCTGGCATTAAATCTACTTATGCGTAAGGCACTGCCTTGACCTAATGCCTTGGACATTGGACATGTTATAAAATATCCCAAACGTACCGTTCAATGCCATGACAGTTGGTTTTCTCATGCTGGAAAAAGGAAGGGGAAAAAAAGAAGAAAAAGAGATCAATGTCAAGATTGGGATTCGAACCCAACAATTTTTCGACACTGCAAGACCTAGCTAACTAGGTGCGATAAGACAATATCTTAAGTGCAGCGCCTTAGACCACCGGCCATCTTGACGAATTGATTAATGATTGTCTAGAAACTTCAGTATAGAAGGCGTGCTTCATTTCCAAATGATCTAGGTGAGACTAAAGTATAACCAATCCTGGCGCCACTAATTTGTCTCGATTGCATTGGCAATCATTTGAGATTGATCATTAAAATTTCCGATATCGAACCATGCTAAAACATTAACAATATACCGGTCAGACCTTTAGATATTTCAAGCTGACATTTTACTGCCACCAATAGACAGAAGCCCGACCGAGATATCCAGTAATAGATTCTCCAAAAGATAAATCATAAGTTCAATTGAGGGATCATAAAATGAAAGATCCGGAGGAAACTCAAGTCGATAAGTAAATTGAGGCAACGGCTAAAAGAAAGAGACCTAGGAAGTAAAAACAGAAGAAGATGTCGAAGACAAAAACAATCGTGGAAAGGAGGGACTGAGAGAAACGAGAGAATTTAAGGCAGACAAAATAAAAAAACAAGCCCAACGGGAAGCAGCCATTGATATCGATAAGGCACAACGACATTATCCTTGCCAGAGCCCTCCCTTGCCAAACTTAGGCATCTGGAATTATCCTTCAAGGAGCGGGAGGTGGCGACTGTAACAATGGCAGATACTGCTGCGTTAATTGTTGCCCTCTTGAAAATCGAAGGAGATCTGATAGCTGCATGCAGTGTGCCTTTGACATGACATTTATCGAGAATCTGCCATTTTAATGTCCCTTTTTCATAAAATTACCAATAAGTTCCTTCATTATCTTTCGAGCAAACCACCAGCAGTTTTCATTCCACAGGCTGTAAGTAGGTTCTCGATCATGGACGAGGGAGATCGTCTCGATAACGGCTTCCAACGTTGCATTCTTGTCGAGGTTTACCTGTAGGATTGTGCGGTCTTTATTGTTGATAAGATGATTTCGCTCTGGGGCCAGTCGTATATGGAGTTCGGCTATTTTCTTCTCTCTGATCCAGCGGCTTTCCTCGAGATCGCCCATTCTTTCAACTCTCATCCATGATAAACCGCCGGCGTGGCCTAAAGAAAATCCCAGAAATGTCTTTGGTTTGCTTTGAACACCCATCAATATATATATTGATGTGCAAGAGCGCTGCTTCTTCCATCCAGACAAGTGTTATGACGCGCCTAGGGGTATTTTAGCGTAGGATATGGTTGATGAGATCAAGACCATTGTGACTAGATATCTCCGCTCCCTCAGCTTCAAGCTATTTCTACAGTAAGGAACCTAATACAGAGTAGTCAGCCATAAACATGTTTCATCCTTTTGAAGACAATAGTACCTGGAATTGCCTTTTGTGTTTTCGGACCCCTCAAAGATGCAGATGCTGATGACGGCATTGCTATGAAGATTTAGCACTCAGAACGGCTGGGAACAGTGCCACATTATGGCCCAGTACTTTGACCGTCTTCTTTAGGTAGTCTTGTTCATTGAAAATTGATCTTTGGGACTCTGGTTCTTTCGTGTCCTCGAAATGAGGCGTATCAAATGTCGGAAGAGGCATCCTAGACTCAGCCAGAAACCTGGTCAGTTTTCATTCTCCCAGGTAAGCTACCTAAGTATGCACAAGCGTGAATCATGCATATTAGGGCGATAAAGCTCAACTTTCAAATCGGCCTTATCGCACTATGGCTTGAAACTACCCTATAATGTGACTAGCTTACATGCTTCAGCCAATCATCCATCATTGTACTTCAATATACCGAAGTGAAAGCCATTGCGACCTAGGACGGCATCTGGATTTGTTTAAAGACCAGGGATTTGTTTAAAGTCCAGCATTCAGCCGCATCATGTCGTCGCTAAGTCTTCATTGGTTGTCAATGGCACTGTCACGTAGGTCTGGCCCAGGTGTTTTGACCTGATCGCCATTACTAGCGAATGTAAAAAGTACAGCCTCAAACGAGCTTGACCTGTCGTCTTTAGCTATTGATGAGTTTATTATATATGAGAAGATCTCAAGCCGGTGTACAGGTGATGCACAAGTCAAAGGAGAAACATATTAATTATAAATAGTGTACAACCTTCTCTTTAAGCTAAATTTTCAAACCATCACCTTATCTCACTCCTCTTGCCCCAGCAATTAACATGGCTGCACCACCATTTACCGCCTATCTGCAGGTCGTGGCCTTAACAACCACTATTATAATTTCCGTATCAATCTCAGCAAGTCAGGGTCTCGCAACAGGAGGAAACTTCCTTGGGTTTTCCTTGGGCGATGGAAATGACCCGGTTTGAAAAGAGGCTATGCGAAATGCAACTACCTCTGCTACTTGGTTTGCCTGGTCTGCTGCGGTGTCATCAACAGCACAGATGATTACACTCTTGTTACAGCTCCTAATGAGCGACCAACAATTTGAGCGCCATCTTGAAAAGGAACACCAAGGTTTCCGACTAAACATCCCAAGACTTGTTGTTGGTATTGGAAGCTGGGTGGCTCTTGGGCTTCAGGAAGCTGCTTTGGGACTTATAGAGGAAGCCATGAAAGCTACTGATAATGGTAGAGGAGCTACGATCCAGGTGAGTAAAGAGATGCACAACTTACAACTATCATGGATATTAGTTAATGAATAACTAGCGGGGCTTACTTGCAGTTGGATTGCCTTGTTTGTTATTCTATATTATTATGAGACTTTTTTGTTGAGATATTAATGCTCGCAAAAGTTCCATTCTTGTCTAACACCATCTTGTTCCTGCTCCTGCATCCAGGTTCTCTCATCCATTAGGTGCAGGCGTAGCTCCTTAGCCTCTTCCAACCCCATAGGCCAATCTACAAGGTTATCCTTCTCGTTTCCGTCGAAAATGTCAGGTAGAGCCTTGTTCGTCTGTAAGTGAACAGGATGCCACCAATGCTTCTGTTGTGGTGGGACGTTCGAAGTGCTTATGATTGGTATAGCTGGATCAACTAAAAACAAGGCAAGAATCTTCCTGTAGCCCGGCTTTGTTTTGTCAATCAACTTGAAAGTTGAGACACGATGCTGCACGAGATTCGGGAAGAAAATGGCCCTGCCGCTCTTGGTATGCACAGAACCAATATCCTGCTGCCGATCTCCATCTTCCTCAATAGCAAATGTTCGGTAAATCGGGTCGTGCTTGTATTGTTCGTAGCTCACGTCTTCCGTCAGATCTCTGGTCGTGGTCCGGAAGCTAAGAGAACAGTCGGTGATGTTGTCGCTGTCATAGTAGTACAGTGCTGTGCTGACAATGTGCTCGTTGAGCTGGCCTTCAGTATGCCATGAACCACCGTCATAGGAAGGATTTTCCGGTGTGAGGTGGATATTTGACAACTTGACAATGACTTGTATCTGTGTCTTGCCGTTGAAGAAACCGTCGTTCTTGACATCGCCGGGTGTAATCTTAACATGACCGGCTGCTTCTGGCTCAGCGTCTGGAACATTGACATGGTGTGTTGTCTTGAACCACGCCTCATCTAGCTTTCGCCGTTGCGATCCCTTGAAGTAGACCAACTCTGGGTCAGATTCATTATGATCCGACCGTTCATCATCGCTTGATTCATCGCCTGAATCAGATATGTCTGATTCTTCGTCAGTGTCTTCCTCAGACCACCGACCTTGATCCTCGTATTCATCACCCCCAGGTTCATAAGGATGTCGAGGTGCCTCATTTTCGCCTAGAGGACGATACCACGGTTTACAACCGCAATCAATATCTTCCGCTGCCTGACAATCAAGTACAGCTTCTTCTGCCTGGAGTCGCTGCACTGCAAAGTCATCCTCCCAGCGATACAGCGTGTCCCAAGCGGGCAAAGATTTCTTGATAAAAGTCTCAATGATGGGATACAAGTGCGCATGTTCCTGAGGGTGAAGGTTATTGATGTAACTCGTGATCTGGACGTCACCTGTTGCAGCGTCCAGTACTACATCACAAGGAAGCCACTGGAATCTATTGGACAGCACAGGGAAACCTTGACCGCAGAAGCCCCCTTTTTTGTAGCGGTAGCAGTCATCATCTGCAGGCGCACGAATGGTAACAAACCTTCCGTCGTTTACAAATGCATCTTGCAAATCAATGATCCGGTCGGAGAAAATTTTAGATCGGCCATAAACCAAAGGCCAGAGAGACGGATGAACGAGATCGAGGACCTGCTCACCACTTCTTGGATGCCAGTCCCTTTGATCGGACCGTACATCTTCCAATACCCTTACTGCCTCTTGAAGAGATTTTGCTAGTTTGTCGGTCATGACAGTATCGGACTTGAGCACAGCCACAGAATAGTCGTATACAGGAATAAGACCTGTTTTTTCGTATAAATCCGCTTTGACTCGTAATTCTGTAATACACTTATCACCCTCATCAGTACCGTAAGACAGTAAAGTGTTTTTATAACTCACAGCATCGGCCATAGCTGGGGTAAAGTCGCCATATCTGAGGTACGATTTCCAGTTCATCTCCAAAGCTTCCTTTTTCCACTTTGTTACGATGTCTTCGTCGTTGATCTTCTGCCACCATCGCGGCTTATCAGTCAACTCATCCATGAGCTTTAGCATGCAGCATTCGCGAATGAGTAGGACAGGAGCTTCCCAACCGTCACCAAAGTTGTCATTGAGAAACAGCAAGGGGAACCGGTCTTCCTCATCTGGCATATAACCCAGAGGTAAACCAAAGCCTGGTTTCTGGACTACCAGATCATCTTCCTATAGGGACAAAGAATCAGCAACAACAAGTCAACAAAGGGCGACAGGTTATTTACCGTATATGATTGCTCCAAGGTTTTGGTCGATTGACCGCAGTGCGCAAATCTGGCTTGCTTGATAAGCAAAGCCAGAGTCTGCAGAGAAAAGACATTGAGATCAAGATCGTTCTCTTTCGTAATCCACTGCTTCGCTTCCAAGGGGGTTGGATCCTCAGTCCCGACCCATTGCCCGAAGGCCTTCCACTGCTCTTCCGTAAGGCCTCTGACAACACTGTCGTCCCACAGGAGCTTTTCCTCGGCAGTTGTTAAAGCTGGGCCCTGGGGATAAGGGGCCATTTTTTCTGTCAAAGTGAAAAGAGTGATATGTAATAATGGGAAACTGAAGACCATCATGTTGGTGTCTGCGGTTTATATGTCCTCGAAAATTCACGGTCTAGTTTTAACTGCAGGGGTTTACTGTTTAGTGGGCATTGGAACCTGTGTTTGGGCCCGAAAACTTATTGAACCAATTGACAGTCAGGGCTTCCAATTGGTGCCTGAGCACTAATGTATAGTGAACCTTAAACGACAGATAGTCCTCAGGGTGTTAGAAAAATTGACCGCTGGAAGCATAAGAGACGAAATTAGTAGGTCACTTTATGCCCGTTAGACTATGGTTCTTAGACTAGTTATTTTTATACCCTAAGAATTAGGAGGCTATTTTTTCTGCTATCCAGTAGATAGTTGGAGCATTTGAATACTAAAATGGTAGAACGGTAAATTTATGGAGGGGTTTCACGATGTCTCAAGTCCGAATACAGCTTTGGGTTATTGTAGTTACATGTTAAAAAGCGGTAATTTGATGTTTTCTCAGCTAATTAAAGCTAGCAGTTGTCGACCTGTATTAAAGGAAAAAGATGCTCTCAACGGCTATTAATACCCGAAGCCCAGACCCATCACTGGTTTATCCAACTGCGGGAGCCTCTCTCCTTGTAGATCGTGCATCACAACCTTCCTCCAGTCTAAGAAGAAGCCTTGACGCGGCAGAGGATCCAACCAAGAGGAACTGAGTTTGTGCTTATTTTTGCGTCTTTCTTGGCCGTAAACTCCGCACTGCCAGGAAGAGTGCCATACTGGTCCTTGTACATTTGACAAACAATCTGGTCATTCTTTGGGGCCTTGACACCCTTGACAGTCGAGAAAGCGTTGACAATCTCGAGTTCGGTGACCTGGACGCCGTCCTGATGGGTGAGGACGCCAAGTGGGACGTTCTGGGGAAGAGTGCTCTTTTCGCCACTAATGGGTGCGTTGACCGTCATAATTGCAACACCAACGTAAGGCTTCTCCTTTGGGGGAGCAGCAATGACGGCTGAGGAGAATGCAGCGATGCTGGCGAGAACAGTAGGAAAGTGCATGATTATGGTATTGTGAGGTTGATGTTGTATAGGCTTGATTGAGTTGAAATGATGTTGATAGTTAAGTAACGCTTTTGTTTGGTTGTAAAGCTGTCTTTATATACCTGATGGCCACCTCGGAGGCGGAGTTTCCATCAAGCCTCTGTCGGATCATTGATCCTCTTGGACCTTTTGCACTCGACGTGTGGTGCCATATTTCTAAAATCTCACGATGCAGATTCGACAGGGGAACTCCACAATAAACACATATGTCTCACTGTCCGGGCGTAATGAGTCCCCTGTCTTGAGGAAACAAAGCACAATAAGCTAAGAGTGCGTGAAAATAAATGGCTCAAATGCAAGCTGAAGATAGAACAAGGTGACTGGATTGTTTTGGCATTTGGCCAAGCAAGGTTAGCACTGCCCGTCCAGATCAACGAAGGATGAGTTGAAGGAGGCTTAGACCACATTAGCCACATGATCTGACATGACCTCGACGGCGACTACTGCATTGAGCGGTAAAGACTCAGCGTACCTCGTATTAAATAACGTCAAAGCACAATTGTTGTATGCAGTTCGCTTAAGCCGGAAAAGGGAGTTACAAATAATCCCGAGACATCCAATGATTGTGACGGCTGTGCAAACAGTAATACCGAGTCGTAGATAGAAGAGTATTCTTAATTGGATTTCTGGAGCAATCTTGAAAGGATTTGAACTATAGATAGATATCACACCATACAGTAATACGAGTTCTTAACGTAATGGACATTTACTTTCAGCTTTCTCAATTGTGGAATTGCTCGGATGTTACATAAGGGTAATTAATATTCCTATCCACATTCTAGAGGACAAAATTGTGATTTCATCTCAGTAAGATGGAGTTGTCCAAAACCTATACACAAGCGCCTTGCTCCATATTCCAAATACCTACAAAGTTTATCCAGCATATCTCCATCCTTTGGGCTCTCCAGCAGCATTTTCTGCGGCTTCCAATTCCTTGTTCATCTTCTGAATATACCATTTCGTAATCAGGACGAAAACAACGACGAGACCACAGCCCGCGATAATCGCGCCTCCTGCAGTCTGATAGTATGGCTCCTGGTTTCGTAGAAAAAAGTAAGGTGTGAACCAATGAGACACAGAGGAAACACAGTTAGCATAGGCAATCAGGGCAGCACGCTTGGTTCGGGGCCGAGGCACAACAGTAGTTTCCCAAGAGATTTGAAGCTTGTGTCGCAGTCAGTAATAACTTCATGAAATGAAAAAATGGGACAACTTACGTTCAGACCAACAAACGGACCGATGACTAGAAGGATCATGGAGAAATATCGAGCTCCAACATTATCTTGCGTAATCATGATGCAACAGCCGATCAACGTGAACAGAATGGGAACTATGATGTGATAACCATGCTCTAGACGGCGTCCGGACGACCAACTAATAACCAAGGTAACGAGAAAGGCAATGATCGGTGGAGGAGCCTGAATGAGGTAGGTTGTAGTACCCGAGAAGCCAAGAGTAGCAACGATCTTTAATTCCTATTAGCAATGAAGAAAAGATGGAGACATCAACTTACAGAAGGGAAGAAGTCCTTGTAGGATTGTGCGATAATCAAGCAGAAGTGAATAGCTGCGAAGAGGTGTGAAAATGGATCTTTCATACACTGCATACCAAGTTAGTAGTTGTGGCCTGTGACTCGTGAGTCGGACTTACCATCCAGAAGCCGCCCCAGTAGTCACCAGCATCATCTTCGGACAGACCACCAGCAGAAACAGCTTGACGGTATTGAGCCATTTCAGCCTCTTCCTCCGTAATGAAGTAAGTTCCGGTGTTGTCGGGGAAGTTGGGTATGTAACGGAAGCTGACGATGGCAACGAAAATGCTCACAGCACCTTCGATGAGGAGAAACCACTTCCACGCTCGGATGTTGGCGACGCCCTCCATGTTGGTCAAGATTCCAGCTGCGAGTAGGCCAGATATCGCCTGAGAGATTGTGTTTCCGGCGTGCCAGATACCCATCCTCAAAGGTGACTCATGCTTTGTGTACCAGGACGAGGTCATCAAAGACACGGCTGGAACAAAGGGCCCCTCAACGAGTCCGATAACGAAACGACACAAGCAGAAGCCCCAGCCTGCAGTAACAGCAGGCATACAGATAGTGACGACAGACCATGCCATCATACAAGACGGAAGAAGAATACGGGGGCTTCCTTTTGCGATAATAACGTTGGCAGGGATCTGAGAGATGATGTATCCGACGTAGAATAGAGATATACCCAGGGACCACATAGTGTCAGTCATGTGTAGATCTTCTTGCATGCCGGCGAGACGAGCGTTGGAGACATTGATTCGGTCGAGGTAGCTTTTCTATGGTCAGTATACTTATTATGCTACAGGTAGGAACACATGTAACTCACTTCATCATAAGCATGGCTGTGACCATTGCGAGAAACTTCCAGTCAAGTTTGCGTACGAGTGACTTCTCAATGACAGCTCGTTCTTCTGGGGTCTTGTCCCTGATGAGCTCGTATCGCTCGAGAACCTCGTCGCGCTCGGGAGCATTCTCATCGTACTCCACATTTCGTTTGGCATCCAAGGAGCCAGGCTTTGAATTGGCAGGGCTCGTCATCTTCAATAATTAAATATGCAGGTGGACGATCTTGTCAATAGATCAAAGGTTGAGATGAAGCCTGCCGATAATCGTGAACATTGTGGATGGAGCATCGGACTTTATACAGCTCAATTACTTCAATTTTTAAGAGTGCCAAGGTAATTGCTCCTGATGCAGCTTACCCACGAGTCACTCACTGATCCGAAATCATCTCGGCTTCCAAGTCTGGATCCTCCCCGCATCCCCGCGTTTACAAGAAAATCTAGAGTTAGAGTATGTCTTAGATTGCGGGGGTTGGGTTTTCGGATGTAGCTCATCGGACAAGATCCGCCAATCAATTCAGCTTTTCACATTCTAACGGCGTGGGGCCGGAATAAGGTGTATGTTGGGGTTACCGCCGTAGTATTGGTGTTGGAACAGGCCATCTGTTCAGCAAGGAAGAGGGTCAAAGTAAATGGCTGATCAATCCATACGGCTCAAAGAAGCATAGTTTTGAACCAAAGACCGAAGGTGGCTGGGGATCTCCGGCGGCATGAACTCCAGATATTCCTGGTCACTTGTTAAGTAAACTTTAAGTCTGGGCCCCTGACTCGCGCGTATACGTACCTGAACACTAGCTGGGCCTTCCATAATCTTGGTTGACAATGACAACAGGAACTGCTGGAATACGCCAATGGCAACGAACCTTGTCGAGCACTGCGTAAGTAGGACAGACGCTTTGTTGACGACTTCAAATCTCTGCGCCAACCCTTTCTGATTCAGGTGGGGTGCCTGCTGCACGAGACATACATAAAAAACTGCAGCTGCCAAGATGTTGTAGGCATCCAAGAATGATACCGCTACCGTGCTATTCGTTGACTTGCTATAGAGTCTTTCGATCAAACTCTTGCAAGAATCGATAGCGTCGGTCTTGATATCTGGAGAATCTCCGATAGCGAACAAAGAATTGGTTACGGTGCTGGATGGAGGGTTAACTATTAGAACCATTACCCGACAAGCCAACTGATCCAAAGACTCAAGTGAATAGCCACGTGGGAAGGCAGTCTCATTTATTGGCGGTGGAAACTCTCGCCAGAAACAAAGATTACTGTATGAGAAGACCGAGCTGGGCTCATGCCTTCCACAGATATCTGATATGAGCTGAGCGTGAATTACAAGGTGTCGACTATGAGCAAGCTTGTTTCTCACTGCTGCAGATAAGTCTGATTCATTATCGTTTGGGAGTTCAGGTATCTGCACAATTATTGTCAGTGAGACGTTCCTAACATGAGAGCTTATCATTTACAGAGACTGAGATGTCTTCATCTGTAATGCCAAAAGGTCTACCCATGGAAGATGCTAGAGAGCGATCAAGCAGGTAGACTGTCCAGAAGATCCAATCACTTCTATAGGCAGTATCAGGCCCAAGACGGTTCTGCGGAATAGAAGTTTTATGCAAACCAGCAGCTAGGCAGTTTGTCCATATAAATCCCATCAGATGCCAGGTAGAACCTCCGGAGGGACTGAACATAGAGAATACAGCCAGAAGTAGCATACAATGTAAAGTATCAAATGGCTCTTGGGAATGCAGAATGGACGGCAATAGTTTGATAGCTGCACTGTGGAGATTCGTTGCCAAACCTGTTAGGCGGCTTGTCTCTGGCGACATGCTGATCCCAATCGAAACGGCTAGGTAGATGTTGAAGAGATAGAGGGAAGGCTTATCTCTGCCATCGTAGGAGTCAACGGCTACGTCATATTGTTCCATCAAACGACTCTCGTCAATGTGCGGAAGCCATACACTCCAGTCGATAAAACGTTGTATATGACTCAACGTCAAATCACGTGTTAGTAGAATGGACCGATCGTCAGACAAAGAAAGATGGTGGGAAGACACGGCTGAGGCTTTGAAAGGGTTTTGGCCATCTACAGCGAGGGCTGCTGAGATAGACTCAATTATCGAGAGTTTATGGGGCTCGTTGCCTGTGTTAGCACGGGATTCAGCCATAGCCTTGTTTGACAATAAGCCAATGGCACTCATTGTGTCCTCGACAGTTGACTGGTCGTCGCAATTTAATAGAGCATCGCTGGCCGGTACATGACGCTCAGTGGAACGACGTCTTTTTCCATTGATGGGAAGTGTAGCATCTGAATGGTAAGAGCGTCGAGCCTGAACATGTGATATCTCAGCTTCCTTGACTTTTTGCTCAAGTTCAGCGATGCGACGTCTTAGAGACTCGACATAACTATTCTCCGTGTTAGCCTTGTCAATCAGAGGTTCTAAGAAGATAGCCTAAAAGCTTAGAGTATAACCATAAGTGATCTAAAGTTCTAATGCAAATAGCATAAATTGACGTGGTAATTTTGTCTCTTATGTTTCTAGCGGCCAACCTCTCATACAGTGAGGAGTGTTTGTGGTTGATTGATGTCAACATTAACTTACCCGTTGACTCTAGCAGGGGTAAGACCAGTATCTTCAACGTCAAAGTCGAATTGTTGAGAGCGAGAGATGCACTCCACTCCCAGAGTAGCGCATGATGTGCAGGCTGGACTTATCCTATCGCACTTCTGTTTCCTCTTGAAGCATCGCTGGCAAGCGACCCTATTCTTGGTTTGTGAGGTACTGGGGCTGTCACTGGCTTGTGCAAGGTTGGATTCTGAGACTCCCGAATGTTCTCGCCAATCAGTTGTCATGTTGAGCTTTGTTAGGGGCGTGATGAAAACGGATCTATTCCGAGGGGAAATCTGGGGATGATGCAGCTTTATCGGAGATAATCCTGAATGATCACGTGGGTAGTCAAAAGAGGTTAGGCACTGCGGAGTAAACACGAGGTTGGGATGGAGAAATTATCAATTTGTCTCATACCAACTCTATCTAACTAATTCGCTTGATCAACCCAAAACCTTTTCCTATACTGTCACCGCAACACCATTGGTAGTTCCATTTGTGAATCCATTTGTAGCAGTCTTGGTTATACCATTTCCATTCGTGACCTTGGTAGACGCACCACTTGTTTGTGCGGCCTTGACAGACTCGTTCAAAGCTGCCATCTCAGTCGCTCTCTTGGTGGCAGCCCCCATGAGCAAAGGCCCATCTGTGGCAGCCATCACCCATCTTGCGCCCATCTTGCAAAACTTTTCAACAAGATCAAGTCGGGCGTGAAGACCCCCAACACCAGCCCACTTCCCGTGCTTCCTGCAGGCCGCAATAGTACGCTCGTAAGCCTCAGTCAGGCGAGGGTTCTCGTAATCTCCAGGGATACCCATCTCGGCAGTCAAGTCGTTTGTGCCGATAAGCAGGGAGTCAACGCCGGGGAGTGCAGCGATCTCGTCTACTAGCTCCAGAGCCTCAAGGGTCTCGATCATGGGGATGACTAGGGTGGCTTCGTTGGTGACGGGGTTGGAGAGCTTTGCGGGGATGGAACGAAATTGATGTTGGGGCAGGCCATTCGTGCTAGACCGAAAGCCAATGGGTTGGAACTTGGCAGCATTGACAACATCCTGAGCGTCCTGGACGGAGCGGATATGGGGTACCACAACGCCCAGTGCACCACCGTCGAGTACCCTTGAGACAAAGAAGGGATCCTTGCTAGGTACTCGAACAATGGGGGAGATGCCGCAGTATAGTGCCGCAACACATAATTGGCTCGTTGATTCAAGATCCAACGATGAATGCTCGCACTCAATGAAGAGGCCATCAAAAGAACTGTTGTTTATTCATGTATCACTAACATTTTCTGATAGGGAGTGTCTACTTACGCTGTCTTGGCCATGCCCACGATTTCTATGCTCTTGCACAACTTGATAGTCATGGTGTACGCAACCTCATCTCTGAGCATTTTCTCGCGCATGGAATGGGGAATAGGTGCGACAGACATTGTGAATAATGATTGTGCTCAGCAGATAGAAAGTAGGGTATGATTCAAATGGAGGGGGGTGTATCTGAAAACAGCTAACTATGATTGATGATCTGGTAATTATGATGATGAAGGTAACTTAAATAGCTTGTTTCTTTCTGGGGAATGATTGATGATTGGCAGTACAGATAATGTCGAATGTAAACATGGCCAAGGTGATATTGTCCGGTATTAATACCTAGTTTTAAAACAAACTCGATGAGAGAGATATACTACCATAACCCATTATTAAACATCAGTTTGTCCACTCGCTCCATTCCCCCCACATCGCGTTACTCTTCCCACAGTGATTGTCTCTAACTGTTCTTGTCGAGACGTTGGAGCCGACGCATGAAGCCGAGCAATTGCGGGGTCGGTGTGGGGCCGTGTCCACCCCCAGGAAGTATCGGACGTTTTCCGTCGCATGTTCACCGACTGAGACATACCTGCGGGAGACATTTCATGCGGAGAGGCAACGATCAGCGGCAGTACGAGCAATGACCGAACGGTACCATTCCGACCCATACTGAGGGTTATGTAAAAGAAGATAGATAAAAATGCAAGTCATCGAGCATCCTTTTGCTCCAAGCACAGCATTCCCCTCACAAATCACCAACCTCAACTTGTTCCCACTCAATCCCCTAATTACTCCTCTACTCCTGACTCAACTCTCTTCATCATGGCTCCAGGAATCATAGAAGGAAACCCCCCAGACAGTCTCGCCTCTGCCTCTGAGAAGCCCACTGTCTACCTCCTTGACACATTCCATCCCCAAGTCCTCGCCTATGCCAAAGAGAGCTTTGATGCCATCACAGCAGATGACCCTCGCCATAGCCAATGGCGGCAAGAGGCACGCTATCTGCTCGTTAGATCTTCTCGCTTGACGGCGCAGGACATTAAGTCATGCCCCAATCTGATCGCCATTGGCAAGCAGGGCGTTGGAGTCGACAAGATTGACAGCGATGCTTGCGCTGCTCGTGGCATTAAAATTTTCAATACCCCTGGCGTAAATTCACGAGCAGTCGCTGAGCTTGTTTTGACTCTTGCCACTGCTTCTGCCCGTCAAGTTGGCACCATCATCGCCAAGCAGTCGTCTGGCATTCTTGTACCAAAGGAAAAGTGCTCTGGCTTGATCCTTCATGAAAAGACCGTGGGTATTCTGGGAATGGGAAATATCGGCAAATGTGTTGCCAAGATTTTCAGAGGTGCTTTTGATGCAAACGTCGTTGCATACGATCCTTTCCTGCCTGCGGATGCTTGGGCAGATGTTCCCCACAAACGCGCTACTTCAGTCGAGGAGGTCTTGAGGTCATCAGATGTTATCACTGTGCACATGCCATTGACCCCCGAGACAAGGAATCTCATTGACTACGATCAAATGAAGAAGATGAAGAAGACTGCCATTGTCATCAACACTGCACGAGGTGGCATTATCAACGAGGCTGATCTCGAGCAAGCTTTGTCAGAAGGGCTTATCTGGGGTGCAGGCCTTGATTGTCATACGGAAGAACCACCTAGTTACGAGAAATACAAGTCTCTTTGGGACAGCGGAAAAGTAGTTTCGACACCACATATCGGAGCCGCCACAGCCGAGACACAGATGCAAACAGGAATGGCAGCGGCGAGATATCTGTTAGAATTCGCATTGAGTAATGCATAGATTAACCTCCTACGCACGATGTATTATTTATTGATGCTTCTGCTTGTATAATATGAGACTGCAAATGTAACTACTTCGAATTTTCATACTGTTGGCGTTTGGTTTTTTTGTCTGCGGGGTAAATCACGTGAAATGAACCAAGTCGCACTCGGCGTTCTCTATATTAATGCCAGTCTATTCCTCGGGTGGCTGGTAAATAACGTTAAGTTCCAGGTAATTCTATATATCAAAACCACGATGATTTCTTCGTTATCTGCGCGCCTCCCTCGATTGCCAGCTTGTCAGGCATGCGCTCAAAGAAAGACAAAGTGCGACAATGGCCGACCGAGTTGCTCCTTTTGTGAGAGGACTGGCTTGGAATGTCTTATTGTGACTTCCGACGCAGATGGTAATACACAGCTATCTCGATTGTAGGGATTCTACTTTGCAAATAGCAACTGGACACTGCTAACAAATGGATAAGATTGATTGATGAGTTGGAGAGAAAAGAACAGGCTTTGTCTGAAAGACTACGAGAACTCGAAGCCAGAGCGGCAACCCATGACCCCGCTACTGTAGATACACTCAGTCCGGACGACCGACATGGGAGAAACTCAATAGCAGCTTCTTCCCCAGCGACAAGAGAAGGAGCTAGTATAAGGTACACATCTCTTAAGATCCTACCTGGCCCGACTTTTTGTTAGCAGAGAACTCAAGGTCTTGTCTTCAGAGTTTCAAGACAAACAACAAACGTCTTTCAGCAAAGTAAAATGAACTCGCGTACTAATATCTCCTCTCATGCCAGTTTTATTGCGCACTTGTTCTCTGATGCAAATTGGAGAAGGTCTCATGCCAGTTTGCTGCGAACACTGGCTGACGCACCAGCCGTGGGAGAGGTATCGATAACTCCCTGCTCGTTACCGTCAGCGGCAGAAACACAGATGCTTTTTGATAAATAGTGAGTGTCATGTTAACGTTACTTATCCGTCTCTAATTGAGATAGCCTGAGCTGGGCACACATTCAGAATCCATTCCTCCTACGTCGAAGCATCTGGGCACTTCACCAACGCCTGTTCAACAATCAGGACGCTTCTGCTTCCGTGTCTAACCACGACATGTTTAGAGCGTTCATGATTTGTGCGATTGGCTCTGTACTTCCCTACAGGAACAAAATACATGAACGGCATCCGGAAGCGTACTACAACGCTGCACTACAGTACATGGGTACTGAATTTCTAACCAGAGAGCTAGACTCTGTTCAGGATTTATTGCTGATATGTAGATTTGGAATCTACCACCCCATCGGTACGTAACACTTGCTGAATAGGTAGTTTTCTAACTTGTACAAAGGCACATCTGTATGGGACGTGGTGAGGATTTGCGGCCGTCTTTGCATTGAGCTTGAGCTACACAACAACCCAACTGTCCGAGGCGACTTATTACAAACACAGCTTAGACGGAGGGTGTTCTGGCAATTCTACCTTATTGATAGGTACAGCTCAACCACACTAGACCGGCCATTCCTTATCGATGACAACGACATCAGAACAAAATTTCCTGTCGAAGCAAGTGATGAAGAGCTCGAAGCAGCTAACACCCAAGTCCAATACCTTGACTCGTTTGACATCAACCAAGAACCCAATGTACAGAATGAGATGACCGTCTTCTTTGTGTCTGTAAGACTTCGACAGGTTTCATCCCGTATTCAGACTGAGTTCTCCAAGTTGCGGCGCAAGGTCGCTGACTCTCCATCTAAACATCTTCTCCCGGGCCATATTCATGTGGTCATGTCTAAGCTTCTGCAAGAATTGCAGGATTGGAGGAATAGCAATCCCATCATCCAAGAGCCCGGTTGCCTATATGAGACTCAAGAGTGGTACGACCATCTACTTGCTAGAGAACGACTATCTGTCTTGCGAAGAGCTATAGATCTCGTACCGAAAGTCAATGGATCACCGCCAAAGAGAATGCTGACCTTGTTTCTGAGATCTGCTCTAGAGGCTATTGATCGATATCACAGTCTATGGTATAAGAAGAAGCAAATGATGACACACACGAGAAGTTACTTCCACATGTTGTTCACTGCAGGACTATCGGTTATGTACTGTACCTCTGTGTCGAAGACAATCGCAGCAGAGGATCTACGTGCCTCATATGAAGGATTGCTAAGATGTCGAGAATTGTTGACTAGTGTCGTTAAGCAACTTCCTGATTCTAAAAACTATGTCTCCGTCTTTGAGGCACTCCTTCGAGATGTATCCCAGAGGTTATGGCCAAGGGAAAGGGAGTCAAATAACCCAGATGGTACCTCTCTGACAGCACCAGCGGACTCAGCAGGTCAGATCCATTACAACGACCTTGGGAACTTTACGAATGAATTCCCTCAGCATATACTTACAGGCTCACTACCTTCTGATGCGGAGAATGCATCGGGTTTTCTAAACCGAGACTTCGTTGATCAAAGTGCACTCGGCCCTTTGAATCAGTTTACAGCTCCGCTACAAGCAGATAATGACATCGACCATGAGGTAATCAACTGGGCACTCATGAATTACGGCTCACTATGGAACATGGAATCTGCCTTGGGTCAATATGTTTATGGAGACCCTACCAATACTGGTGTCTGGGAGGGGTTTGAATTCTAGAATACATCATGTGCTGGTATCGATAAATAGAAACTTGGTTGGGTCATTCCTTGTCAAGGCATTGCTTCTTCTTTATTGGTTAAGTGACTCTATTATCACTCTTAGCTTCCTCCTCTTCTTTTCTTCTTTTCTTCTTTAGCGTTAGGGTCCCAGACCACTCCAGCGTCTCGGCGACAGGCACTCTCTTTGACTTGAACTCGGCGAGTGCCTCAGACAGATGCGAGAAAATTCTGTCTTCGATATCTTGTTCTGCTTCTTGTGCTGCGATGGTTGTACAGTGGTCAAGTTGCCCCTAGGCTTCAGCACCACTTGAGGGGCTTTGGTTTTGGCCTCAGCGTTAAGCTCAGCGAACTGACTGGCGAACCATTCCATGGTTCTACTTCAGGGGCTTGGCCGGGAAACCGCAAGACAAGAACCGGGATTCGGTCACCGTTGGGAGAGGTTATGTAGATTTAAGGAATTGGTAGCTGTTTTATACTGTAGGTAGATGAAATTTGCCCAAGTTGGCGAACAGAAACCAACGGAATTGACTCAATTAAGTGAACTCAGTAATTTTAACTACTCCGGAACAGAGACCTCTTCTGAGAAACTGATATCACCATCCATCAAATGGTATTGGGCTTAAGGTGTAGAAAAGTCAGATCCGCCAGCATTGAATAGAACTCAGATAGAGAGTCATGCATATAAGTACTTAGATGACTAGATAGATTTACAAACTGGTCCCTTTCCTTATCACCAAACAATAGTGTTTTCGAGTCTCCTTCTTAATAGTGGTTCTCGATATGCTTTGAGACAACAGACTCCTGGTCCTTCATGTCAGGCTCAAGAATCTCGCGAGCCGCAGGCTTCAGGTCATCCACGGTAGGATATGCAATCTTATGTACAGTGTACCAAGGCCTCTCAAACAACTTGTCCATACTCTCGAGAGATCGTCCAGAGGTCTCAGGCATGGCGAAGTAAACGTAGACGAGGGAACAAATACAGATGCTCATGAAGAACATGAAAGCGCCGTATCTCTCAGTTGCAGCCAACAGTGAAGGCATGGCACGCGAACAGCCAAAATAAAAGGCCCAGTGGGCCGCCATCAAAACTGAAACGTTGATGGAGCGGATGCGGATGGGAAAGACTTCAGCTGAGACGAGATACGGAATTGAGAACCAGCCAATAGACCAGCCGATGGCATAGATGTAAATGGCGGCGATAGCTGCGCGGCTGGCTGCCATGGAGGAGGAACTGGCCTCAATCTCCTCAGGGGTCCAACCGTTGGTAACTTTGAGGTAAGCCCCAACGAATGCCAAAGTTAAGATTTGAATTGTAATTCAAGTCATAAGGGATCGACGTCGGCCAATGAAATCAATGACAAAAACGGAGAACAGTAGTCGACGGTTGCTGATATCGGCAAATGTTTCTTTGATGAGATCCCAGGTGTTCGCACCCGCAACAACCTCAATCTCGTGATTCAGCTGTGACTCAATGCCCTGGAACTCGCTCTGAACGTAAGGATGGTCCTCTGGAAGCCCTCGAAATCTTGACAGGACAGCTAGTGCTTCAGTCTTCTTATTCTGACTGAGGAGAAAGCGAGGCGTCTCAGGAGTCCAGAAAGTGCCAACACCCCAAATCAAGGCAGGAATTAGTTGTAGAGCAGTAGGTAACTGCCATTGGAGGCTTGTTCCTGCATGGTATTTCGTAACACCATGGTTGAAAAAGAATCCGAAGACAACACCCAGTTGTTGACAGCATGTATACTGAAGAGTCAGGAGACCTCGGATCGGTTGGGGAGATATCTAGACAGTCGGTTGATGGTAGGACTTCATTATTGCGAAGAATTGCATACCTCTGCGATGTAGACTGAAGGAAGAACAGTGGTCGCGCCGATCCCGATTCCAGAGATGACACGCGTGGCGTAAAGGACACTGAGCTTATTACTGAACGTTTGAACAAAAACTCCAGCCATATAAACGACAGTGAAGAACTGAAAGGTCCCTGTGCGCCCAAAGCGTTGTGTAAGCCATACACAGCCTAAACAGCCAAAGACAGCTCCAGCGGTAGCGATTGCCACGATTCATCCCTTGGTATTGGCATATTCGTGGTCGGCCTGGTTCTCGATTCCGAAATGCTCTTTGAAGACCTCCATAATGACGAGGGAGGCGATATTACCTGGCAGTAAAATGGTTAGCTTGTGTTGGATAGCCCAAGGTGCCAGGGCGCCACATACCTTCATCGAAACCTTTGGCAACACCCGAGAAACTCCATATGCATGTGCAAGCCAGAAGATACCAATTGAAAATCTCTTTAGGGCTATCTTTGATGGCCCTTTTCGTCCTTAGGGTTAAATAAATGTCAGGCTCCAGGGTTTCACGTTGACGCTTCACCCTCATATTTGCATGCCGCGTATTCTGTCAGTAGCCCAATAAAGTCCAACAATCTTTGGATATCATGTCATTACAGGTATTGAAGCCTGCTTCCTGGCTGGTCACTGGAAATGACTGTCAGATAGCCCTGCCCCAACCCGCGATCCCCCCGGCTTTACTCTTCAGCTTTGACCCGATTTCTAAAGTTGGAGGCAATTGCTAGGGTATGAGATTGGACCAGAGAAACTGAAGTAATTAATGACTGTTAAGTTGTCTTTCAATCATTCTCTGACAAACCTATTATCGGGTCAGAAAATTCGGCACAACCATGTCCAACTACCAATCAAAAGATCTCAGTCCGATAAGGAGAAACCGATATGCGGACCTACTGAGCAAGTAGGTTTTTACATTCCCACCTGACTTCCAGTTTTGACTTCCTTTTTTCAAATTCTGTGTCTATATGAATACAGAAAAATATAACCTCGACTGCGGTCGCATTCATCATCCATCCCACATTTACCACGAATTGTCATTTCTAAAGAATCCGTCACTAATCTCATATTGAATTGCTTGCCCTCTGCGATAGAGTTGCCTACTTCATGTATATCAAGATTACCAACGCTATCAAGATTATCGGCATGCCTGCTGGCAGCTGAGGGTGGATTGATGCAGAAGAATATGGACACTGTCCGTTTGACTAATAATATTACCAAAAATCGAGGTTTGCATCTTGATGATGTCTGCGATTATCGTCAGGCCGTCTCTTGTAGTGCGCACATGGAGCACCTAGTTACACTTACAAACGGCATCGGCTTCGTGATACGGAATGTAACAATTGATATCTGTGAATGCATGTGCCTGGTTGGGCATCTGTTATGGACTGGTTGGCATCTTGTTCCTCCGCATTTTCTGTAACGTTGATATACATTGTTCCTTGAATTAAGCCGAAATGCACATGGCCGCCTCTGTGTTGCTTTCTGAAAGAAGCCACCTATCACAAGCCAATGGCGTCTCCATGATAGCTGAATAGACCTTTCATATTTTTAAACCTTGCCACAATATCGCGGACATATTACGGTCATACTTCTTCAAAACAAACACTGCATTGTGTACAAGTGGAGGCAGCGTGACTAATCCTCAAAGGTCACAGGTCTCTCACGGGAAATACAAGACTCAATGACTCCTCAATAAACCTCTAGCCTCCTCTGTATAGACCTTTAGTATTAGACTCGTGATGCATTTGAACAGTGAAGAACAAAGAAAGTCTTGAGTCACAACCCTACCGAGTGACCACAGCTGTGAGCTTCCTTTAGGAAATAACCAAATAAAGGGATTTTCACTGTAGCGCTGGATTCAGTTAAGTTCAGTGTCACTTAACTGGGATCTCATCACTTCATCAAGTAATCGCTCCGTTTGTAACATCGTATCGTCTCATTAGTGGTAAGTCGTGTCACGGTATGGTTGCACAGATGAATCACGTTCCAGGAATCGCTAGCCGTGAGTTACTGCATTTTGTTGCGGCTGGAAAGTCACGGTATTACCAAACACTATATTGCATACGTTCCGGTGCATCACAACTGGTGTTGTGTTTGCAAAGTTTGTTCCGTCGACTGAATTGGCAGCAAGCCGTGATTAGCAAAAAGGTAACCGGAATATTTGTTAGTCACGTCATGGAATGATACTTTCAACTATTCACTGCGTTGTGTAGGCAATGCATCGCGATTCACCATCTTCCCCCTTCGCCTATATAAACCCATGCTTGAGCCCTCCTCTTCCTCAACTCTTTCTATCTCTCTATCCTCATCTTCATACCAACTCTCACTCTATCTAGACTTGGGAAAATCTTCTCCATACTACTTTAACACCTGCCAGTCACATCTCAACCTTCAAAGGACAACAAAATGACCACTCCATTGGCACCGCCGCCCGACAATCCGGTCGCTGGGTCGAGTGCTCAACCAGCCGACATGCGTGCCGTTCGCCTCCGGAACAGGCTCACTCTCCCAATGACTCCGCCAAATGGGCCATCTAAACAACTTGACGTGCCCGCAGGTACCATCGGATATTTCATACGAGAGCTTCCCGAAGACTATTGTCTCTGTGAGATGATCAACGACAGAGGCGGGAGACAAAACTGTACGTGCTAACCTTCTTTGACATAAGGAGCACCATTACTGACATTTCAATAGTTGAAATACGACGGAAACACCTCGAAATCGGCAAACCCCACTCTGCATTCTCTATCCATACCCCACAAATACGTCAGGCCTCGCGGGTGGCCACCCTCTCTACTCGACGAGCGAACGATCCAACAGGACAGGCTATTCGTTTCATGTGGGATGACATCCAGGCAAATCTGAGTCTTTTGGGAGATTTGGGTTTGAAAAGCCATATCTATGAAGGTATTCTGAATGACCCAGCTAAGAAGAGCGAGGCTTTAGATGCCATTATCGCTTGTGAGTAGGCTTGTCGCCTTAATGACCTATAGCTTTCTAACCTGGACCTACTTAGCATTCTCCGAACAAGTATGGACCGCTCTCAATACCCCTGGGCTCCCTCTCAACGCATTTCGCAGCCTCCCTCGAATCACCGCCACCAGTCCTAGACTTCGGTCTTCGCAAACGTTGATCTACCTTCGTCTCTATGTTGATGGAAACCGATTCGCAAAGTACGGCGGCATGACCAGCCGTGAATATCCCGGCCACCGACAGCGGGAGCACGAGGAAGCTATCAGGGACCACTCAAATAACACCCCCCATTATCGTGAGGCCAGAACATACCCCGAGGCCAATCAACATGCTATCCGAATGATGCTTTTATCCAATGTTGACCGTAATATCATTTCCATGGCCGAGACAACTCTTTGCTGCCTCCTTCAAACTTGGAATAGCGAAGTAGTGCGACCCTCGCAGAGATCTCTTCAGGACGCTATGAGCGCAGGTGCTGTTCGCTCGATCGAACACCGATTGCTTATGACTGCATTCGCAAGAATTACTCGCACCGCTCTTCAGCGCGCGAATTATCCCATTCTTGGTGGAGTTGGGTGCAATTGGAACTTACCTCTTCAAGAGGGTGCATACGACAAACGGGAATGGATACGTTACAGGGTAAAAACGGACAACAAGAGTTCCATGCTTGTCTATCGTTGGCAGTCTGCTGTAATATTTATGGCAAACCAGAAGCTGGGTGTTGGCGTAAAGTTCTCTTCCAGATACGACCGAAAGGGCTAAGGCAGGAAAGTCTTTGGATTTGAAATCGCCCACGTCCTTCAAGAACTTCCTGGAATAACAAAAGGGATCCCTCTCATTATTTCGATTGAACTTATGGAAGACGGAAAGCCTCACCCATCACCGTGGTACCGTGGTCCTGTTCACGGGGCATGGAATAACTGCCACGAGCTTCATAGCTTTGCCATGAAGGTAGAGTGGATGGACGAGAGAAGTAACCAGTGGTATACTTACCCTCTGCAGCCCACATGAATCCTACCCACACATTCAGACGCAAACGGAGACAAAACAGTTACTTTAGAGTGGAGAAAAGCAACAAGTATCCTCCAGTTCCTACACAATCGACGATATAGGAACCCACCAGCCTACCTCGAGTCCTCATACAGGCCCCTGATCAGACATGTGGAATATCATCATTTGTCCCAGACTGTCAGTTTCGAGGAGGTTCCCGAAACGGCCATCGACCCCCCTTCCAAAGTCTCTTCATTACATAATGTCAGACTCCTCGCACAAGCGTCTAAGACATATTGGCCAGAGATCCAAGTTGGCCTTATGCCGTCGGCCAACTGGTTTGGAAGAACTGGACAAGGACTCCAATTATCGTCCTGTGTGATGTGCCTTATCTACAGGAAAATGAAGAATAACCATCCGGCGATTCAAGGCTGTGGTAAGCGGGAGGGTAACTTCAATGTCGACGCTAATGAGGAGCAACGCGACATGATTCTTCAAGGTTCTTGTTGCCTCTGCTGGGAGTACTATCGACGGCCATGTGTTTGGGCGAGGTACGGTTTTGGCAGGGACGATTCGAGAACTGTAACATTTTCTCATATCTCCATGCCCGCAGGGTATGAAGGTGTTGCGATCAGGGAGAAGTACGAACGCTCAGCTATTCCAATTCAAGCCCCAATGACGCTTGATATGTATCAGCAATTCGAGGGCAACGATGAAGAGGTGGCCGCCATCGAAACTCAGCTGTCACAGGAACCAGAAGATTGATCTTAAGAAACAGGTGATCAGAATTTGCTATTAGTAGATAGTACAAGACTGAAGGTTGAGGGGTTAAACAGGTGGTTACAATTTGCTAGTAATTGATGAATGTTTGTTTATTCTGGACATCTCTGCCATGCTTCCTCTCAGACGGCGATTTCAAGTCACCAAATCTCTAGTGTTAATTGTGCAGCTGTATCGTTTAAACATCATTCCCCGAGAAAAGTCTGGCGACGTATCGTAATGTCAAATGTAAGTATGTGGTACTTGACATACACATTGAGCCGACGAACAGGGGCCATGCTTCAGGTCTTGCCAATGTGTTTTACTGTTCGACACCTTATATGAATCCAATTGTCGACCGAAATCAGGCCATTTAATACGGACACTGAGTGGTCTCTCTCTACATTTGTCTTTGGCATCATGTCTTATCCAAGTACATAATTTTAATTACCTCATGGTTCCCGTACAGCATTGTATATTTCAAGTCTGGCACGGATGAATGCAAGATTTGGCAGAGCAGCAATGTAATCCTTCGGCGAGTTGGTTTCAACCGATGACCAGTGAACTTGTACAGGAACTCGCTGTCCAGAAACCGATCGGGTCAATTGATTACACCAGACGGATCAATGTGCGACCGAACCAGAACCAGGTCTCTCTGTGTCTTTCTGTTGACGCGCGACCCACATTTTCATGGTTCCTTCCCATTGTGTCAGAGTGTTGCGCGCTAACCTAAGTTGGCCAGGCGCACGGCCCGAGCCTTGAGACCATAATGCTCCTTCCTTCCTTCGTGTCGAGTCCAGCCAGACCAATGACAAGGCCGTGCACGCACAGCAAAATGGTTGTCCTTGGGTTAGGGGAGGTCATGTCGATTCTAGATCTTAGACAGTTTTTCAATTGAGTCAGTTCCCTCCGTTTCAGTTTGTCTGTTCGCCAACTTGGTCAAATTTATCTATTTCTGTTCGCCAACTTGGCAGAATTCCTCTACAATGGATCAAACTATCCCCCGAATCACTGTCACATCACCAACTGGAGAACAAGTCCCCGTGCTGGTCTTCCCATTTCCCGCCCAAGCCACTCAAGTGCAGCCTTGGGAGTGGTTCGCCGACCAATTCGAACCAGAACCAGAACCAGAAGCTGAGCCAAAAGATCCTTCGTTCGGTCTGTCTTGTCAACACTTGAAGCATAGCAATTGAAATTAATGAGAACTAGATTGGGAAAACGCAAGTGGCGCTGAGGTGTAGGAACACCTCAATCACTGTACAGCCCTGGCCGATGAAGAAGCCAAACAACAATTCGAGGACCAGATGTACTCGCATCTGCCGGCTTGCTTGGCCGAGTTCAAGTCGAAGAGAGTGCCGGTCGATGAGTTCGTTCCGATTTGCTGTCGCTTTTGCGGCAAGACGTTCTTCGATCGCGATGGCTTGAAGAGGCATCTTGGCCGTAAACCAGGTAACGGAAAGTTCACTCTCCGATGCAGGGCAGCTAAAGTATGTATGAATTATATTTAAATTTAATTACCATGGCTAATGGACATTAGAACTTGATTCATGAAGCCGGAGTTGAATAGGATCCCAACTCGGTGGATGATGAGGCTGGGCGCGATGATGGAGTGGATGAGCCACCAAAGAAGAAGCAGCGTGTTGCAAAGGACTAGATACAATGATACCAACATTCCTCCAGACCTCAGTGTGAGCAATACTATATTGTAGGCTCAAGTATGATGCACCATCGATCTGGTCCCCGCTTGATCCTATCACGGTACAGCTCCTGAAGCGATCGTCGTCGTAGCCTGACTCAAAAGGCACAAATCGAGGCTCGACACATGATAGCTCCAGATTTCCCATCTTGCTGGCCATGACAGCTGAGAAAGAGTAGCTTGCAGGATTGATGTATGCTATCCAGCGGAACCAAGGGTGCATCTTCGTGGTGGGAATAAGATATCCTAATACGAGTCAGACATGTACGTAAAATAAGACTTTCCAATACTTACCAGCGTAAACCATCATTGCCATGGTAATCCAACCGCTGATTTGAGAAGCCAGACCAAAATTCTTGCACCATGCGCCGATCGTGCGATACAGGGAAGTAAAGCACAGAGTGGTGACAAGGTAGACGAACCAATTGGTGAAGAACTTGCCAGCGTCATACTGATAACCTACCATGAAATAGTAGATCAGGTTGAACAGACTGAACATGAGGATAACGAAAGGAATGTCGGTAAGGACGCAAGCAAGAGCATAAGCGCCGGGTCGAGTAAAAGCCAAACGTTTGTGTCGAGTGAGGATGGATCGGCCCTCGAAGGACGCTGCCGTCTCGGCCATCTTATTGAGGCACCAAAGTAAGATGGGATAGAACAAAGCTCCAGGCTTTCGGAAAATAGAGGTGCTGTCATCGGGGAGGTTATACATCAAACTACCAGTCACAAGAGCCATAACTAAGGATGACGCCAGCTGAAGGCCGTTTGAGAACCGATCTCCCCACAAGATCTGAAACTGTCTGATATGGTTTAGCAACGTTCTGGTCTTGCTGGAATGTGTTGTTACCTGATGGCACAGATCCAAACCTGTTGAAAGAAGGAGACCAAGTACGGACTGGTCGTTCTGGAGAGAGCTGCAACAGTGCGAGACTTCTCTCCAGAATTAGCGATTCGGAGACCGTCAACCTCAGCTGCAAGCGATTCCTGGGTTCTGGACTTGGCGAGAAGCTTCATGCGCCGGAACGTCTCACTCGCTTTGTATCGCTGCTCGAAATCGTGGGCCGTTTGAGGAACTGTTTCTTCATATCCGGGGATAATCTCACGCTCCGTGTCCACGGTAACAGAAGTCAAAAAGTCCGCGATGTTGGCACCAGGGGGGCATTTGAAGCCCATGTTCTCAAAATACTGCTTTGCCTCAGCCGACGGACCATAGTAGATCTCACGACCATCGGCAAGGACGAGAACTTTATCGAATTGGTCGTAAATGCCATTTCCAGCCTGGTAAAGGGTCGCGATGATCGTTCGTTGCTGCTCGTCTGTCTGCTTTCGAAGCACGCGGGCAAAATCAAGAGCATTTGACGCGTCGAGACCTCGAGTCGAATTGTCCCAGCATTGAACAGGAGCTTGCGTACTCATGACCTCAGCCACAGAGACTCGCTTCCTCTCGCCGCCAGATACACCTCGAACATACTCATTACCAACGATTGTGTTCTTGGTATGGCCGATTCCCAGTGACTCAAGAATTTCTGTTGAGGTTTGGTCCACGTACTCATTTGTCGTCAGATGCTGCGGTCGGGTCTTGGGCACTTTGGCGGAAGTTGCGAAGCTCATAGTTTCGGAAACCTTGAGGCAAGGGAAGTGTAAATCATCTACTTTTGTTAGCATATTTGCCATTCGAGATAACAGTAAGCAGCGTCACGTACCTTCGGTGTTCATTACCAGCTGATGACGGAATTCCTTTGCAGTGTCTTGTCCAACGTTGCCGTACTGAACCAGGCCTTGTACCTCATCAAACTCGCTTCGGTGATTTGACAACACTTTCAGGAGAGATGTACAACCTGAACCAGGTCTCCCGACGACCAAGAGCTGGAGGACATCTAGATCAGCAAACTTTGACCTTCAAGAAACTGGGCAATGTGAAGATGCCATCTTACCATTTCTCCTGGGCTGACTTGGCCAGTGATTCCCTCTAAGATTTGCTGAAGAACAGTTAGAAAGAAAGCTATTATCAGATTCGCACGAATGATATACTCTTTTCGAGGACTTTCGTCTTCCAAATTGGAAGATACCAGTGACAACTGATAAGCATGTCGAAGCGAAATTTTCTCCTTCGCCAGAGACTTGGATACCGACATCTTCAAAGGTGACAGTGAGACGTTTGCTGGCCGAATCTTGCACCGTCTTGGCGTCGCTAGTGTCAGAAAGATAATTGTCTGGCATGGTGACGGTAAAAATGGTGATGTCTCAAGAAGCACTGGTAGTCCATAGGATCTGGGCTATTTATTGCCTAGGCTCCTGTCTGATCCTCAACTACGATATGGTTATGGTGCATCAATTGGTACGTGCATCTCTTGCGGATTTACGGATTTAACCAGCGGAGGCTAAACTTCAGATGGGGCCGGCTCCAGTGGCTCCAACTTGGGTTCTATGGAGTCTTTCCCGGAGATACATCAATCAGATTGATTGGCTATAACATTTAAATCCGCTTTGAAGAATGCGAAAGCTTGGTCATCACTGTGAAGCACCTCGTAAAAATTGCTAATTTATTTCGATCTCTAGATCCGTTCTAGATCCGCTCTGTCCTTCCGATCAAATTGATATCTTCTACTAAGCATGCCGAATCATTCGGATAGCCAACCGTAACAAGATAACATTTAACTTATTAATACGAGATGCCTACAGCTTGAGTCATCTACGTCTATCAGTAACAGAGTTTGGGTTTGTCATATTAAACTACATAGGCATGATGCTTTTCCTGATTGAGGCTTACAGTACAAAATGGGGACGTCTGGTTAAAACAATAGGTTATTAGAAAATGTACTTGCTGCGAAATGAAAAAGGAATTTGCTGACACTTAAACAGCAATGTAGTACCAACGGGTAGAAATTGTTTGCTGTGCCTACTGAAACACATCGTAAGACAGAGTCAGGAAAGCATTGGCCATACAGTTGATGATACACAGTCAATATGAATAAAGCAAAAATTGCCGATTTGACATGGATATCTATGTTTGTGGCAAATTCATGAGACAGCAGCACGAGAAGTAACACGGGTTTTCAATGCCGTAATTGATGTATACCTAGTTCATTGGTAACAGTAACATATCACTCCGAGACACAATAGTGTCACTGTCGCGGAGTTAGAGAAGTCCTAAGTTAGAACGTTCAATTCTGTGTTCAGTACTATGGGAATATATGTAGCTACATCACAGTCATGCTGCGCTGAGGTTCGCCATGTCAATAAATATTCAAAACTTACACATTCGGAGTGACGCCCCCAAACAAACACTATTCTCAATTGTCTCGATCATGTTGGGTCCACCTCTCATATTGTAATGCATTGATAACATGAAGAATAGTAACTAGCTTTATTCCAGTATATTCAGCACAATGGTCAACTCACTTTTTATCCTTTCGATCTTCTACGTGGCAGCTGGAGTACAGACCTGCAAAAGAACTCGTTCTGTTATTGGTGACAATGCAAACATTTGCAGCTACAACTGCACTCACATCTGTTCCAGCATTTCCGCCAACGAAGCTCGAAACACGTTCCTTGCTGCCCTTCAGTCCAGTGGCAAATCACGCTCTGCCGTGGGAACGAGCGCTATCGAATGCACGAAAACAGCCAGTTTTGGAAACTGTTACGATCACTATTGGTCTTGTGGAAGGGGTTGCTAGATACGAGGCGAGATGGCTGCAGAGTTAGGACACAACGATAACATTTGTGTCGGGTTAAGTTAATAATAACTCGAACATGAATTGATCACATGAGTACTTATCAGCCCATGCAATCGAAATAGTACTACTGCTAATTTCTCTCTACCTTTTTCTTTCGAATTAGGTTGTTTCCAAGACACGTCAAGACACAACACGCTTCTGTATAGTTCGCGTCATGGTCCCTTCTCTTTTGGTCAGGCAACTGTTGCGCTAACCAAGGTTGGCTAGACACTCAACAGGCCTCTTTCCTTATGTGTCAAGTCCAGCCAGTCCACGGAATGCGCCGTGCCCAGCAAAACGGTTATTTTTGGGGAGTGAGATGACAATTCTGCATTCGGCATCACTTTCAATGCGGTAAAATTCCATTGGTTTTGCCTTGTTTATGTCAAAGTGCAGCCAACTGTTTCTCGGATCACCAGTATCTCTCCCACCAGAGACCAAGTCCCAGTCTTACTATTGTCGACCAGACCGAGCAATCGAGGACCAACACTACCCTCATCTCCTAACTAAACTCGCCGAGTTTAAGATCAATAGAATGCCAGCAGATAAGTTTTCTTCGTAACAGACTACAAGTTTCTATTTAGCCCTCATGTATTACCGGACCAATACCCAACTATCATAAATCGCGACCAATAAAATAGCTTTGCTGATCTCCGTTCGGTAATGGTTGTCTGACAATGCATGGGAAACAAATGAGGCATGGTTTGATCCTTCTTGTAATCCTTTACTTCCCTTCTCGTCCACGGACCATGCTCCGGTAGATTTGAAGAAGCTAGTGCTGGCATAATCTCAAGTATGCAGTAAGATTTCATGTGTCGGGGTGTGATGTGTCACCACATGAAATCCTCCGAAGGATTAATCTGTCTGAAAATCAGGGACTCTATTCCGGCTTAAAGACAGGCCAGACCCCCACCTAAAAAATTTCAAAAGACTCCAAACTGTGTTTTTGATCAAATCAGAATCATGAACAAGATTTTTGTACTGGGTTCTATGCTTGGCAGTGCCATTGCGTTCAGCAATACCTGCATAGACATTGAATTTGATTCCGAGACAAACGTCCTTTCAGCACGTTGCCTACCCCGGGACAACTCGGCCTACCTCCCAACCGGGCTGGACCTTAACAGGTGCTTTGGATACAACGATGAGGAACTAACAGTAAGCTATTCTTATGCTACTTCTTCACAATGCATCGGTTGGGCTAACTCAAATTACTTAGTGGGAGAAGAGGAACTACAGCGACAGCTGTAAAAACTGCCGTATGTTTAAAGCGCCCGATCCGTGGTTCGGGTACAACGTGTACTGGCTCGGGTGCGCATGTGAAGGCCAGAGCGAGGAAGAAACTGTTTGCATTGGTACGTCTCACCAACACAATACCGGATTATAAGAGACTAATTCAGTATCCAGAAATAGCAGTTGCGCATGAGTATGTCCACAACGATAACGGTGTTCTCACATGTTGAAGATAATCCTTGTGTGTCTATAACCTCCTTCTTATATCGGGGTCCACCACAGTGTATTGGATTCAAGTTTGTTATTCGTTAAAGCAGATACTAAAATCGGTTTATCGTTTATCACGTCCCCTAGTTAGCAACAGCCGGCTGCACTAGTGTATTACCTGTGATATTCCTTAGTATATTATACGCTGTAGTTTCATGGATAAGCTTACCTCCATCGGGGTATACAATCTGGCCATTGTAAAACAGACCACCCTTTCCAACAAGGAAGAGGATCGTGGCAGCCATATCAGTGTCATTGCCCGGTCTTCCAGCCGGGTTAGACATCTTTTTCTCAATCTTACTCTTATTGCCTTCGTCGGATTCCCCAGTAGTCATTTCACTAGGGAACAGTCCTGGTGCAATGACATTGACACGGACCTTGACATCCTTGCACAAAGTCGCCAGCATACGACTGAGATGGGTCAAAGCGGCTTTGGATGTGGCATAGATTGGTTGGCCCATGCTAGATCCCTTCATAGCTCCTGAGATGGATGAAACATTGACAATCTGGGACGTGTAACCAGGTGTCGCATTTCGCCCCTTTGCAAGCAAAGGTAGGAATGCAACAGACATATAGTATGGCCCAGCGACATTTGTCTGCAAAGTTTCGGCCCATTGCTCAGGCTTTGTTCGCAGGAAATGGTCCGAAACAGCCTGAGCGTCAGACATGTCAGGCTCGCCTACTGACGCTGCGTTGAATAGTGAGTATGATTCTCACACATCTGGAGGATTCAACTTACAGAACTTCGTTTCATCATCCCGCGCAATGCCTGCATTATTGACAAGTAATTGTATACCATTGGGTTCCTTGTCTCCGACCTCCTTCGCCAGTCGGATAGCTTCGTCTTTTAAGCTGACATCACCAGGAAGGACATGAATGCTTCCAGGGCCCGTGCTATAAACCTTCTGGGTTTGTTCAAGTACTTCTGTGCGACGACCAGTGATGTAGACCTTGGCTCCATTGGATACTAAGGCCTGTGTGATCATTAAGCCAATGCCTGTGGCGCCTCCCGTGACAACTGCTGTGACGTGGGATACATCGAACAGTGAGCTGGCCTTCAGCTCCTCGTTTGCAGCGTGGTCTAGGGAACTTGAATTAGTAACTTCGTGTAGAGTCGCCTCTGTAAAAACGTACGGGTAGCCATGTTAATGTTAGCAATTCAATTAATCACGTGCCGTTTTTTATGGGTGAAGAACGGTAGTCATGCGAATTCTAACCATGGGACGAGGTAGGAAGGCACATCGAGAGATTTAAATAAACATATCGACGTGAAACTTTACAAGTTCTTAGGCGAAAGATCTTGATGACGCCTGGATTGATGGGTCCATCTGGATCAAACACGTCATTGACTTTCAATTGTTAAGCGTGTTAGAACTCAAATCTTCTTATCGGTGGGAAAATCGCAACCTATCGAACCGTGGAAACTGATGGAATAGGGGAACGCGGTGGATCCTAAGCTATTCATACACTTGTGTCATGTCAGATCTTTAACGTTATCTGTTTATCAACTAATCGGGTGTTTACTACGCTATTAAATTCCACAACGCTATCTCACAATGCACCCAATGAATTGCATCACATAGGGTTACAGCTTTATTGTTGCCAATACTACTGTCAGCAATCAGTCGAGATGCCGTTTTTAACCATTGTCTGCTAATTAGTCAAGACAAGTATTCAGTATAACTCACATTACTAAAACACATTCTAAACAAAAAAACATTTGCTTTACGGGTTAATTTTTCTCCTTTACCCTGGAGTTTGTTTTCTTTGGCCTTGGCTCCGGCAATTTGCACTAGTCTCGGGCTAAGCAGGGGGATCAGGATGCGAAATTGCCGGATTCTAACAGGGGTGTCACTTTTGACTTGGTCAATGCACAGTCGAGTCAAGATTCATTCAGACATTTCCAATGCAGATCAACTGAATCGTTATCCACTTTGTCTTCTCATTCAAAACCCCGCGGACCCATGGACTATACTCGTGTCATTATGACGCACTAACTGTGCGTTTCAGTGGTGGACGAGACGGAAACTCCGCGGCAAATTGCATGATGTTATTCTGAATACAACCCAATGCCCCCATTGAGCATGTATACAGTGGATAACACAGGTTTGAGTCAGTCATTGATGATCGGCTATAGGATACGACTTGTCGCTTGGTAGTTCTCCGAGTCCCCGTACATTGTATTGCGTGGAGATATACGCAGCGTAAGTGAGTGAGTGGCTCATCGTTGCATTATGATGGAGATCGCCTCTAAATATGGCCGTGCATCGTCAAGATGGAGCTGCCCTTTAGGGATGTTGTCAATGCCTTAAAAACTCGATATCCCGCCTCTCAAATACTAGATCAAATCAGTCACAGACGCTCCCATTGCAGTCACACTAGCAAGTTATCTCCCATTGTTTTCTATTGTGTTTTAGTCGCCGTCATGGCAATTCTTCACACCGATTTAGCGACTGGCATCGGTCTCATTGGTGGGCTAGCATTACTCGCTACAGGACTGGTAAGTACGAGTTTGTTTTTGTCGGCGTTGTCACTAATGGCCTCAGGGTTTCTACGTACTAGTTCGCGCTATTTACGGTGTATTCTTCCATCCACTCTCCAAAGTTCCTGGGCCAAAGCTATATGCCATCACTCAGCTTCCGTATCTCTATTACCTAACTCGAGGCCGATGGGTATATCGTTTGAAGGAGCTGCATGACCAATACGGCCCTGTGGTTCGATATACTCCTACCGATGTGTCTTTTATTACTGCCGATGCTTACAAGACAATCTACGGTCACAAGACCGGTGGGGCAAAGGAATTTGACAAAGATCTGCGGATTTACCGACAGAACCGTCCTGCTCAAAATCTTATCGTTTCAAAACACGAAGACCACAAGCGCCAGCGGAAGCTTCTTTCCCATGCGTTTTCCCACAAGGCTCTCCGCGGTCAAGAAGACCTTCTGAAGCGCTACGTGGATCTTTTCGTCGAGAGGCTTACCCAGAAAGCGAGAGAAGGGGAGGCCGTCGATATGGTAGCTTGGTACAACTTTGCTACCTTCGATCTGATCGGCCATCTCGCTCTAGGCCAGCCATTCGGGTGTCTTGAAACCGGAAAGTACCACCCCTGGGTTAGCAAAATTTTCGGCAGCATCAAAGCCATTGCCTACAGCCAAGCCGCGATCCGTCTTGGCCTTCGGAACTGGATGGCGACCTTCACCCCAGCGCACTTGATGAAGGCCGCAAAAGAACATTTTGAGTTCACTGAACATGCAGCTGGCGCTCGTCTTGATGTTAAGGATACGAATAGTCAGGATTTTATGTCATACATTCTTCGTTACAACGATGAGAGGGGTATGTCTAGGCCCGAAATCATTGAGAACGCTTCTCTTCTTATTGTCGCCGGAAGCGAAACCACAGCAACGTTGCTCAGCGGTGTCACATATCAGCTTTTGACCAATCCCGAGAAGTACGACAAATTGGTCGATGAAATTCGCTCTTCTTTCTCTACAGAAGATGAAATCACAGCTACCCGAGTGGATCAACAGAAGTATTTGCTGGCAGTGCTCTCCGAGGGCCTTAGAATGTGTATGTCAACCTGGGTGTATCCCTTCCAGGCACATAGCTAACGATATGCCTCTAGATCCTCCTGTACCTGGTGCGCTTGCGCGAGTCACCCCAAGAGGAGGCGAATTTGTGGAGGGTTATTGGATGCCTGAAAATGTGAGTAGTTTTGAGAATCGATTGAATCAAGTTGAAAAGTCTCTAACACCACACTTAGACTGGAGTATCTGTGCCTCAATTGCCCGCTTACAGCTCATCAACCAATTTCAAAAACCCTCAGGAATTCGTACCAGAGCGTTGGTTAGATGATCCTCTGTACGCCAACGACTCTAGGGCTGTCCTCCAGCCATTCTCTATGGGACCCCGAGATTGCATTGGCAAAAAGTGAGCATGACTTTTATCTAGTGAAGTGCAGTCGCTAACATGAAATTCCAGTTTGGCCTATGTTGAAATGCGCCTTTTGCTTACTCGATTACTTTGGAAGTTTGATGTTGAGATCATGCCTGAGAGTAGGAACTGGGGGGATCAAAACATTTATCTTCTTTGGGAAAAGAGTAATCTCCAAGTCAAGCTGACTGAAGCTGTCCGAGAAAGCAAGTAGGCAATACGGGATAGCTACGTATGGTTTGATGAGGATTGGATACGAGCAAGTCAAATATTTGTAGAATGATTGAACATCGAGTTTGGGAATTGTGTTATTTTATTCAAGCTGTCTTTTAGCTCAAGTCTGAGCTATTCTTCGACTGTGAAAACTCTTATGCAGTAAAGTCGCGGTGAGCCAATTCGTATACAAAGCCAGCAGTGACCTTAGCATGCTCCATGACATGGTCAAAGTCAACGTGAGCAATTGTATCGTTAGGGGTGTGGATGTAGGGATTGTGGTTTCCGAATGGAGTCTCAAAAAGGAAAGACGAGGGGAAGCCATTTCGGTGCGCTGAAGCGTGGTCGGAGCAGGCGTAACCGCAAGTAGACTCCTCGTATGAGATATCAGCATACTCATCAATGAGAAGCTTGAGAAAGTCGTTCTGGCTAGGGTTTGTGAAATCGGTGACAAGGCCGAAACGCTCAACTCCGTCACGACCCTTGTAGCCGACCATGTCTTGGTTCAGCATAGCCTCAACTTGAATGCCTAGGCGCGAGTAGCTGTTGAAGATATCCTGGGATCCAAGAAGGCCTGTCTCCTCAGCAGAGTACCAGTGGAACTCGACAGTGTTAAGATGATCTCCCTTTGCAATACGGGGGTCCTCAAGAAAGGCACTCAAAAGGTTGAGAAGCATGATTGATGCAGAGCCATTGTCATCGGCTCCAGGGGCACGTCCAGCACCACGATCGTCAGAAATGACGGAGTCAAGGTGAGATCCAGTGATGACGGTTTTCAGACGAACCTTTCCGGGAATTGAGACCACGATTGAGGGCTGCGACCACGCCTGATGTTGGATGAGACGGACAGAGGCCAGAGGATGCTTGCTCTTCTTGATGACCTTCTGGACTTCCTTGTGTAGCCATTGAGCAGCTTCAACACCGTATGCAGAGTTGAAGTAACGGTTATGGAATGAAGAAAACTTCTTCAATTGCTTCTCCATGGTCTTTGTGCTGATCTTCTTGACGATGTTTCCGACATTGGATTGATGTGAAAGCTTTTCAGGGTATGATGGTGTCACGGCAGCAAGACGGGCGACTGCCGGGTTATGATCCTTCCATTCAGTGATATCAAAAAAGTGAATATGGTCCTGTGTCATTGTGAGTAAGTCTTTCACGCATAGAATCATTGCTATTAGGAATCATACATCAATCATCTGGAACTTCTCATCCTCGGTGACCTCGACTGTCTCACCTGGGGCAGTCTCGAGGGTAAAGAGCTTCCCAGCCCGCTTTACCACTGCCTCAGCTGGCGCAGTAGCCGTAACTGATGCGGCGAGAGCCGCCATAAGAGGGACCGAGTAACGCATGGTGTCAACTGAGAAGTATGAATAAAGATTTGAGAAAGCCTAGCAGTTGAAGTCAAAGGAAAGAATACATCCGCGGGACAATCGCCTTATATAGTTGTGAGACCGTTCGCAGGGTTAGATTGGCTTACCAACCGTTTAGTTCTTACCACACCCTGGGATATCTGCTGCATGCAAGAGGTGGTCGGTTAGACCGCTCTTACGGATTTGATGTTATGGCCAGTTGAGAATCATTTCATCCGGTTTGCACAGCGCCAAGTCGCTTGGTACTTGAGCCTACTCCACGTTGGGAAGCTACAGTACACGGTGGGATGTAACCCAAGCCGGGGCAAGAATAAGGTCTTGATCATCACGGATAATGCAGATGCAGGGGGAAGCAAACACAAATATAAGGAAGGCTGGGCATCTACAATGTCCCCGCGCCTGAGCCATAGAATCTCCGAAATGTGGTTTAAACCAATGTACGAGGAAGAGAATGCACATATTGTTTCAAACTCAATCAGTCGGCTGTTGCAACCACGGATAACAAAAACGTCTAGAAGAACATAATTCGTTTCTGAGAGTGCCTCATAACCGGCAGTCCGAAGATTTAAGCTTAATCTCACGCTTACAATTCTTTTAAAAGTTCCAAGAGAGGGGTAATAAACTTGGCTCAGGGTTGTATCTTATCTGGGCAGGTCAGATTGAAGATGCGGAGTGATCACCGCCGATCTTGCCATAATGAGAAGGTGTGAAAGAAGGCCGCCAATCATGGCGAACTCAATGATGGCATGCCGAGAGATTGAAAAAAGAACTAGCAAATGTCATATCAAAAGAACCTGAGCCCTTGTCTTGTCCTGTAACTCAGAACACCGAATGTCATCGTTCTATCCGAGTAGCCCACGATGTTACTATCGGGTTGTATTGTTTGTCAACATTCACAGCTAAACGCGCACGAATACTGGTCCAAAAGGATCTAGCAAGTAGTGATTGATCTATCTAGAAAGACAAGCTAACTAACCCCAAGCCTATCTGTTCTCAAATGCCTTGCATGCCTCTAGTTGCGAACAATTTGCATGCGCTTCTTGAGGCGGAAAGCAATAGCGCGCTTGCGAGCGGATGCGGACTGGGTAAAGGCACCAGAACCACCAAAGGGTCCAGCAGCAGCACTGTTTCGCACACGAACAATGCACACATTGTCAGCTCCTCCTACAGATCCCTCGCAGGTCATACCCTGGGGCATCTTGACAGTGAGAGGGAAGTCTGTGTTTGTGGCAAGTGACAGTCCTCCGAAACCAACACCGGGAACGTCTTGAGTGACTTCAGCAGACTGAAATGCAGCAGGGTCAGTGCCACCAGATGTGGCATCAATGTCCGCTGTCATTGGGCCAGCGCCATCCTGGTTAATCTAGGAGGAGGTTAGCCAGGTTTCTCGAGACTCTTGGAGATGGAACTTGCCTGTCTGTACGTCATTGTGATTTCACCATTCTCCGAGCAGGTAGGAAGACCCGATGTTGCTCCCTCTCCAGCAGTCGCAGCGACGCTGGACTCATCAGGCAAATCCGCCTTGTCGCCGTTTCCACCTCGACCGCCACCTCCGAACAGTCCACCGAGAAGGTTGCCTAGCTGGCGCTTCTGCTGGCGCCTTTGCTTGTTGTTGTTACGGCCTCGGTTGAGACCAGAAAGATCATCCTCGACACCGACACCGGCGTCGGAGCCGTTGTTAGTGGGGACATTGTTGCTACCACTAGCTCCAAGGAAGTTGGCGATCATCACGGAGGCATCTACAGGCCCGTTACCCTGAGTCCTGCCCAGGGCGCTGGCTCGATCAGTTCCGAGCTCGCGATCACGAATGATTGCTGTATCAGCTTGGGAACCACATCCGTTGCTGGAACAATCACGAGGAGTTCCATCGGCGACTATCCAAATGTCAGTGAACTCGTGCTATAATCTGGAAGTAAACTTACTGCTGAGACCAGGCATGGAGACTCCATTGGCTCCCTCGACTGAGACAACCACTCCATGAGCGGAGACGGCGGTGATAAAGGCAGGAATGAGAGCGTAGAAGTGCATTTTGTTGATTTTGTGAGTTGATCTTGTGATGTAGAGTTTGAATCGGAAGAATTGGGTATCGTAGAGAGAAATTGAAAGATTAAAAGATCTTGTGAATTGAATGAGCCACCAGGGCTGGAGAAAAATACTGAAGTAGGTTGAGGAGTGAAGTTGAGAGTTGTTGTTGTTTGATGAAAAGGTTTTCAGGTTGACGAGAGTGAGACTCTTATACAAATTTCTTTGAGATGTCTGCAATAGTAAATTCGTCATATAAGCTCTCAAACTCTTGGCCATCACCACTCTTGGAATCATGTCTCTCGACGCACAAACTTCAGCTTCAGGTTCTTGTTTCTGCGTGTTACGACTCTACGACCCCGTTTCCACTCAAGGTCTTCCTTTTTCGATCTTTTGAAAAGTCTTGGAGTTTGAAGTCTCTCATAGCTTGCATTACCCCCAGTTTCGACTTTCTGCGTGGTGTTTCGCGTTTCGCCCGCTAAGACCCCCTGGGATCTACAACCGCACCAGGGCCAGGTCAAAATGACGATCCGAAACACATAAAATCTGACAGTTCTAAAATTTGTTAGTTTATCTTTGTGTTGCGATTGGCTCGTCAGAATGGAGGTGGCTGAGTTATCTTGATGCTTGTCTGAAAAACTGAGGTGGCTGAGATGTTTCACCTGGGCGGCAGAGATTCAGTTGGTCAACATGTAGATTCTTTATGCTGATCATTTTATCGAAGAGTATGTTTACTCCTGAAACAAAGGTCGCGATGGTAAGCAGGACGCAGCCACTACGAAGTCGATCTTTGCTGTAGCATTTCAACAAAATCGAGAAAGAACATCCCAGCTCACAGCTATCTTGGACTTGGCCGATTAATGAACTAGTGTTAATTAATAAAAGAATTTTCATAAGCCAATTTGAACTGGGTTTCTTTTCTATGTCCGTGATTGATTGGTTTCCACTGGGCAAGTTGGGAGTTTACTGTCTGTGGCCGAGTGTTTAGAATAATTTTCTATTCCCGCAATATTAATTGATAGGTTATCGATACGATGAAAACTAAATTTAGTGCTCGGATGAGGATGTTGCCGAAGGCCCTGGTACTGCTTCGGCGGTTACCGATCAATACTACGTCCATTACAACGGGGCTACTGAAGCGCTGAAACATTCAACGAAGACCTCGTTTCATAACTCAAAAAATAAACAATCGAGCAATCGCAACTTAGAACGGGCAACTAAGTTACTCGAAGCAAGATGTTTGTATTTGCGTTGATACTCGTTGACTTTGTTATATCCGGTTTAGCCCAAAGTCATAGCGCATAATGTTGTTTGAAGGCTGTAACGCTGAACCCCCTTGTCGCTCTAAATCGCAGCCCGCGATTGGCTCACGGCATGACCGAGGCTTCAATATGACATGTGCCGCACTGCCAAGGAAACTTGAGGCTGCGCACAGATGTGACATCAGACAAGAAGATGGAGATATCTTCAAACATGTTCCAGAAATCACACCTTTCTAGAAGGCATTCCGCATAGCTTTAGAGAACGGAATTTTGTTCATGGAAGTGACAACAATTCTATTATTTTACACGTCTTCTTGTACTATTTGCTGGTTATATCCTAATGCATTTGTCCTGATTGAGAAGTAGGTTAAGTATTCTTATTTTTAATCGTCTTCTAGGTTTACCTTTGCTGGTAGGATCTATGGATTGTAGGTTCGCTAGCAAGATTGACAGAATGCCTTGACGGTCTTCGGTAGAGATCTATTAGCTACCCTGGACTGTGATGCAAGTCGGCAGCTGCTCAGACATAGAAGCCTTAACTGCAGGTATTATTGACGTCAACGTGGCCTAGAGATGAAGGTGATTGGGCCCTAGACTCCACGGCGTTATCTCTTGGCTATTCTCACACTGGCGTCCATCTGTGTCTTTTGTTTTCTACCGTGCCGTTTCCTTCTTTGGTTTATATTGGTTTTATGGCACTGGACTTTGTTTGAATGAAGATCTGCGATCCTGTGGGCGTCCGGTATTTTTTACGGCTTAATTTGCCTAGTCCTGTATTATTACACCTACAAGGTGTTGATGAAGCCTCGATAACAAAAAACATATATCGAACCTACTCCTCGCTTCTTCTGTAGTACCAAGAAATCTCTGGGTTCGGGAAATAGTGTCTTGGGTTGACGATGATAGTACTATAAGTGATCTAGGCAGCGACTGAAGTGGGCTTCTCGTGTTAGATCCCGACTACTAAGAACACCATGAACTAACAGAATTCTTCACATGATTGCATTCTGAAAAGGGATTAGATAGAACACTCACGGTATCTGATGGCGGAGTAAGAGGCACCTGTTTAGGGTTGGCGCATACTTGATCTTGACAACATTGGCATCGAAGTTTATAATGTAGCTGGTGGAAATATAGGAGGCCAGCACACCAAGTTCTATTTACATACAGATCTACTGACAGGTCCTCGACCGAAGGTGATAGATTTAAAAGTGCCGAGGACTCTCAGCTCTAACAGCTAATAAGTTCTATGTCTGACACCAAGTTCCTTGCCGGCCTAGGAAATACTTGTCACTATGATGACGGATCACGACTAGGGTCTAGATCTGTTATGTTATGGTGCATGAGTGTGTATTTTGCCTCGTCATCGGCTCTGCCTCTAAGGCACAGATCTGAGTAAACTACGGATCGGGTAACTAATTTACCCGGTCAATTGACTTGACGATGCCTTCATGCATCACACTGCATCTCGTACCTAATCCGCGTTGTTCCATCGGACACACTTGATACGGCGAGAATCTCCTTCAGATCGCCAGTTCAAGTTGACACAAGGATGCTTGGCATCGTTTTGCCAGCTACCAATGAGATCGCCGGTACAAACACCGCCATTCTTGCTCTTGCCGCTGTAGTAGTACCACGGACCATCACCTAAGTAAACAGAGTTGCTAGTATCGTCCATCGTGACATGGACATTGTGGTTGCCATGGTGCTCATAAGACGCCGTTCCTTGGGCACTGATACAAGAAAAAATGATTAGTAAAACAAAGGGGTTGCTTAGAAAGTCATCCAAGCCTCTTACCAGTTACCACTGCTGAATTCATTAGCCTTGCGGGCGGCATTGACGGTTGTCGCAGCTGTCAGAGAAAGGACAGTACTAAGGATAAAGTTGAACTGCATGATGATGGTTGCGAGGAGACTGGCTCAATCAGATGTCTATGTTTCGAAGTATGCGGTAGAATGGATAGAAGAATGCTGTATACAAGAGTGTTGAGAATAAAGTTAAAAAGGGACAAACTGAGACTATATAACTATATTTCGAGACTCTAATAAAAACTCCAAGTCTAACTAGCTACGTAATATTTTCAGGCAAGAGCTGGGAAGCGAAGTGAGATCGGCATTCATGATAATTCGAATAAACGTTAGTGCTTATGAATAACAAGGGTTATATGAGAAGGATCAACTTTATAACTCCTTCGTTATACAGAGTAGCAATTTAAAGTAGAACAAACCTATTAGGCTCAAGAGAGAGTCAAGATATTGTGACCTGGTAGAATGCACTGCCCCATATCCTCTCCTTGACCGCCTAATGCGGTCTGGTATTACTAACCACATAAGGTTATTTTAGTGTATATCGGCCCGCTCTGGCAGCGAGGGACACAATCCTGCTCGGACTTGGGTTTGAGGGTAAATGCATGGATAGCATAAGGAGGGTCACTAATTGGTTACTTTCCGCTCATTGATAGGTATCGCGGGCGTGAAATCTTCCTTAGATGACTCGTGATATAAATGCCAAGACAAATAACAACAGCCGCATCTTACCTTCGCAAACGCGCAAACGCTCAAGCTACCACATTGGACCAGAGACTAGACACTCAGGAAGCTACGTGTTATCCTATGAACTGGAACATTGCCCAGATAGGGCGATCCTTTAGGCATTGACGTCGTGGCAAATGCTTCCTCCCATGAACGAGGCTAAGGCAGAAACAAACATCTCAGCATTGACTAGCAAGGGAGAATGGTCTTGGTTATACAGAGGCAGGATATGAAGATGAGTTATTGCCGAGATTTGTGCCATTGAACCAAAGCGGACTCTAGTCGATGCCCCTTGCAAGTGAGGCTATAGACTGTAATCGGAGAGAAGGCTCTACTTATATGGTCTGCTCCCAATGGAGCCTGATGGGAAATTAGTTCTTGGGAAGCCCGGCATTCCGCAGGGTTTTAGACAACGGAATTATGTTCATTCAAGTGACAAAATAATCCAGTCATTTTACATGTCTCCACCTGAAGATGTAAAAACTGCAGGTTTTCCGTTGTTGCTTTTCCGAATGATAGTCCCAGGATGCACGTTCAGCGTAGCATTGAAGATAAATTTTCCACCACAAATATCGCGTGTTTCTATAGACCTCTGCATTTTAGATTAAGCTTAAATCTACCCCACTTCCTTAGATCCCGTAATTGACTATTGAAGCGGCGATCTTCTATCCCGAACCTTGGAATTAATTATTCCTCGAACAGATAAGGCAGATCTCCGTGGTTTGAGTGAAGATTCGGAAAAGCCAAAATCTCGCTGGATATGATAATTGACCGATGTAATGATAATTCTCAAATTTGCATCACCTCAAGGAACTACTTAAACCTCGTATCTCTAAACGATAATCAGCTCAACTTGCTTCCCAGAGCAATTCTTCTACCATAAGCCGGCACTATGAAGGCCACATTATTCGCGCTGGGCGCTTTTGCCAGCACAGCTCTCGCTGCTGGGACAACACTTCCACAAGGATGGTTCACCTTCCAACCCAACGAAAAGATCAAGCATACTCAGTTCAAGGGCAAGCCGCGATATCTCACTTGGATGGCCGACTCTCAAATCCAGCACGGAGTCGAGCCTACGCTTGCTTATACAGTCTCTGCCTTTTACTCGGGCATCCTTCTGGCTTATGAGAGAACCAGAGATAAGAAGTATTTCAACTATGTCAAACGCGGGGCCGACATTCTCCTTTACCCTGAACACGATGGCACTGTCCTTATGTACAATAACAGCAATTCCATCGATGACATCCGCATTGGCCATACTTTCCTTGACATTTACAACGTCACGGGGGAAGAGATTTACAAAAAAGCTGCGACAAACATGCGGAAACAGATTGATCGCACAGGCCGCACGCCTGATGGAGGTTTCTATCATCGTTTCCCTGCATACATTGATCAGATGTGGTTGGATGGTTTCTACATGCTGGATGTCTTCTACGCCCGCTGGACCTATGAATTTGAGCCTGATAACACAACAGCCTGGGACGACATTGCTTTACAATTCGATCTCATCGATGCTGCAACGAGGTCTAGCGAGCATACCAAAGGACTGCCAGTTCATGGTTTTGACGCCAGTAAAACACAAGTCTGGGCAGATCCTGAAACCGGAGCTGCACCTCATGTCTGGAGTCGCGGTGTTGGGTGGTATATAATGGCTCTGACAGATGTTCTTGACTATTTCCCTGAGAAACACGAGGGCCGAAAGCGCTTGTTGAAGTACCTACGCACTTTGGCTGATGCTCTTGTAGCATCTCAAGACAAGACCACCAAGGGTTGGTGGCTCGTCATGGATCCTGGTTTGGAGGGTAAGTCCGGAAACTACATTGAGAGTTCTGGTACAGCCATGTTCGTCAACGGCTTATTTAAAGCCATTCGCAAGGGATACATTCAGGGCGACAAGTATCTCCAGTCTGCGTTGACTGGGTACAACTTGATGACTTCCACGTTTGCTCAGCCTCGCCTGCATGATGGGGCATTGGCTTGGGAGTGGACGGTTCAAACTGGCAGCTTAAGTTCTAATGGCACTTTTGAGGTTAGTTCTTCGCAAATCGTTTCTGATCAAGCTGACATATTTTAGTACTACGCCAGTATGCCGCTGTTTGAGAACGACCTCAAGGGAGTAGCCCCGTTTCTGTTTTCCAGCTATGAGTATGAGCTGTATCAAGGGAAGGCTTGAGTAACTCAATAGCAAAGATCTGTCTAGGGAAGAAAAGTACATAGATAGGATCGTCAAAAAGTGTAAACGCTATAACAATTATCTAAGCCTTAGTTAGGTATTACTATTACTGCCTAGAGATGTAACTCAATTGGTAAGCCGACTCTCGTTTATCACTGTGAGGCTGATCAGCTCTACCACGTAGTACTGTGTCAGTATGTTAACTCGCCAAATTCGGTAGCGCCTGTGGAAACCTCTGAAGACCTTCTGAAGCTCTAAGAGGATAGAGAAAGCGGGCTGCTTGCTCAGTCAGCAAAACAACTCCTTATTGCCGCACTCTATGCTGCTGAGCTCATGATGCTCTAAAACCATATCGAAATTCATGTGTTAATACGGTATACGACCAATAGATAAATAGCCGTCGTCTAAATCAGCCAAGCCACCCGGGAATTGAGAATATAGCTGTCGCTTATAATCTTGGAAGTCAGATACTGACTTAATTACTCTCTCTCTCTGCAGCTTCGAGATGATATGATAAAATGAAAAGAGAACAGTAGGGTATGTAAAGTGGGGTATACTGTGCGTGTTGGTTGGCCACTCCTTACGGCGAACCAAGGACTATATAGCCGGTATCGGGAGGAATACAATTGGGTAATGTCCTCTTTTTCACCATGTAAAAGCCATCGGAATTCTTCCGTATTACACACAAGCACCGCATTATTAACATGCAGAGAGAGTTACGTAAATACTAATTAATATCACTTCCTCCTTATTAACTCTGCAAAGCCTACTGTATTTTCTTGAGATTACATTTTATCATCATTACCTAAGGTCAGAATGAATTTCTATCCACCACCGCCAGTGATTAAAGCAGACGTTTGGCTTCGTATTCCCGACGATAAGCGTTGCATTGACCAAGAGTCAGAATGGCGCGGGGGGTTTACTGGCTCCTTTCAACACATTTTCCTCGAAGGACCTGGCTTTGACACTGTTGGAAATCTCTACGTTGTAGATATACCCTACGGCCGCATCCTGAGGATTGATAAGGAGAAGCAAGTTTCAGTTGCTTGTACTTGGGATGGTGAGCCAAATGGCCTTGTCGGGACCGCGGATGGAGATTTGTTAGTGGCAGACTATAAACAGGCATGGTTATCCATCATACTATGGAATCGAGTGACCAAACTGACTAGATTCACAGGGGATTCTTTCATTCGACCCTGAGACAGGGAAGATAGGACCGAAGTTGAAAAGAAAGAACCTAGAACGATTCAAGGGTCCAAATGATCTCATCGCTGACTCAAAAGGGAATCTTTACTTCACAGATCAAGGGCAAACCGGGATGACTGATCCGACAGGACGAGTCTACCGCATGTCACCCGATGGAAAGCTAGATACACTTCTTGACAATGGCCCATCACCCAACGGACTCGTTCTGTCTCGCGACGAACGCTTTCTCTACGTGGCCATGACAAGAGCAAACCAAGTCTGGCGATTGCCACTGCACCTAGACGGAACAACTTCCAAAGCTGGCGTGTTCTTCCAATCATTTGGCAACGCTGGTCCTGATGGACTCGCTTTGGATGAAGAGGGTAACCTTTTCATCTGTCATCCAAGTCTTGGATCAGTTTTTGTGGTTGACAAGGATGGTATACCCAAAGCACGGATCGTCAGTGGATCAAAAGGAATTAATCTTACAAATTGCTGCTTTGGGGGCCCTGAGCACAAGACGCTGTACATTACGGATAGCCTTGAGGGGAATATTCAGACTGTGGAATGGCATTGTCGCGGAGCAGTTGCTGCACCATCTCTGAAGCAAAGTAAATATGAATAGTGGTATTGGCATATCAGACAATGATTGACCAAAACAATAACAACATCTAATCTAATTCGACGCGGTAGTCAAGTAGCCTGAATGAGAGACTTGGTATCTTTTGTGGTTTGCTTAGGTTTCTTTCTGACCTGCCTGTATCATTGAACACGTTCTTGATAACAGCAAATTTTCATGGCCTCCACCAAGGTATTGGAAAAGTTGGTCGTTAAACGCATAAGAGACGAAATTAGTAGGTCAATTTGTGCACCTTAGACCATAGGTCTTAGGCTACTTATTTTGATACCCGAAGACTTAAGAGGTTAACGTTTCTACTAACCACTGGCCATGTAACCCCAGCTCATCTTCCACGACAGTGTGTCGTTCCTCCACGATCAATGCGACGTCTTGCTTGACTCGTCAAACACGTCACAAGGGATTAAGTGTCACTCACGGCAAATTAACCCGGTTGAGATCCACCCTCTCAGATGTTTCGCCCGGGTCGAGTCAGACAGCACTAGGAAAAACACCGATGAGGGGTGTTCGACTCCATGGAGAAATGGTCTGGGGAAGCTCGGGGAACACTAAGATCGTCGGCCATCCCCGCCTTCGTACACTGCGACGCGATTCTGTCCATGCATGGGTCATTGCAAACTAGAAAAGCCATTGAACAATATATTCTTGGCAATACTCACTCCAAGAACGAACTCTGCCATCAATGATATCGATTCCTTCTGTTTTCCATCCAAAACTTCACTGATAGCAACGAGCTTAATTCGTGACAATGGCGCGACCAAACATGATCAACGCGCACCAGTATTTTCGTCTAGTCTTCTTCGTCTCTGTTCCTTTGGCGACCCACCTGCTTATCCAATTGTTGAGCCTCATTACGGCAGTTGTTTTTTTCAGCCCCTTTGCATGACTCGGTGGAAATTACCACGCACGTCTTTTTTAATTCGTTAGTGGGCTTGTAAATCTCAGCTTTATTAACACAAATTATCGTCGCCTATAGTTGAGATAAAGTCTCCAAATGAGTTGATGGTGAGGTTGAGTAAGTGGACAAGAGACAATAAACACTTAGTCAAGAGCCTGGATAAGCGGCGAAGCTCAATCACTTTTGTCTATAACTGACTATCTGAATCGTTGCTGTTCTCCTGCCTACAAGTCCTCATTCAAAGTTGAAGGCAGTGGCGCGGCTTTTACTTTCTACAGAGCTTGCAAGAACAGCCTCAAAAATACAAAAACAAACGCACAGACCAAGAGATTGCAGTAAATGGGAAAAGCTGCATCACCAAAGACCAGTGGTTTTATTAAGTATTTATCAATGGGCTGAGTACACAGTGACCACTGGGGTTCCATCCTGGTCTACTACATCTAGTAATTAATATACCGATCAAGAGTTTAGTATTGATATCTTATCACACAGTAGTATAGCCAATTAAAACCGTTAGTTATCTCCCCGAGAGTTCATCTAGGATCAGTTATCTAACCAATCAAAACTATTACTTATCTCCCCGATTACTCCACCTGGAGATAAGAAAAAGCTCTTATACATAGATGATAAATACTATTTAAATATACTAGGACAGTAAGCCAGCGTCAGGAGTTATTAATGTTTTCATTGAATAAAACAATATAACTATTCTTTTCGTTTTCATTTTTATACCCAAAGAGCAACATGCCTGAGCTTACCGTTCCTGGTGCTATCCTCCATTACGAAACGTTCGGCACCTCTGGGCCCGTTCTTGTCTTCATCCCCGGAGCCGATGGCCGTGGGAGTATTTTCCACACTGTTGCCAAATCTCTCGCCGCCAGCTTTACTGTCGTCTGCTGGGATCGCCGTGGATACTCACAGAGCTATCTTGTTGGCAAACAAGATTTCGAAAACCGGCTGCAAACCGACGCTGACGATGCACAGCGTCTAATAGCCCACGTCTCCCGTGATGGCACGGCTATTGTTTTCGGAACGTCATCAGGCGCTGTCGTTGCACAACAGCTCCTGGCCACCCACCCTGATTGTGTGGTCAAGCTCATCTCCCACGAGCCGCCAGCCTTTGTTGCCCTGGCCAAAGAGTTTGAACTGCAGGCAAGCGGACTTATCGATCACATCTACAGCACATACAGAGTTCAGGGTCCTGAGGCAGCCATGGAAGCTTTTACCTCTGGCTTGTCTGAAGGCCCCGATGCGAAGATGATGAGTCATTGCATGAACACAAAGCGCGGAGACGAGATCCGCGCCAATTGTCTCTTTTGGTTCGAATTTGAGCTGAGGCAGTATACTAGTGCGTCAGTCGACATTGAAGGGCTCGACAGGTCAAAGGAAAAGTTGATTCTTACCGCTGGAGATGAAAGCAGTGACGGTCCAGGTGCAGGACCAATCAAGGCTATTGCTATGAGGTTGGGCAAGGAGGTTCTGAGCATTCCTGGCGGTCACGTGGGCTACATGACCGTCCCAGATATGTTTGTGATGAAGATAGCGGAACTGCTCAGGGAATAGAAAGACGATATGCATTATTTTTAGATTACAAACAGTCATTATAGACCTAAAACCCCAGATCACCAAATTGCCACGTCTGATCTGCAGTACATTCATCCATGCTCCAATCAAGACTCTGCGAGCTAAGCCAACTTTCCTCAAGGGAGTCGGATGTGAAAAACACGTTAAAATCCTCCGACAATCCTTCCAGCCAGTTCTGGTCGACAGCTGCCTCAATTGGAGCATTATCGGAGATACTGGGACTGACAGTTCGCTTCCTGTCAGATCTATTTTGCCCATCTATTAATGCATTAAAACATGCGGTTTCGGCTGGACGCCTTCATTTAGTGTAATCGTACTAACCCTTTTTCAGAAAGGCGGAAAATCGTTGCCGGTATTTTTTCAGTGCTTCTACTCCCTTTGCGGCAGATTCGACGTTAGACTCGTAATGATAGAAAACTTCTAGCGCCTTATCCCACGAAGTTTTGGCGGGCTCGACATCCAGGTCGACCCCTAAATCAGGTAAGAGACTGGCTGCGAGAAGGGCTGATGCAGCACCGAAAGTAACTGTGATAACTATGTAAGCACCTGACTGTATCTAGAGGCAGAATTGTCTCGGGCTGTGGGGCAATTACAGAACAACGCATGCCATGGTGAATTTTGCTGCGAACTACTCAAGTTCTGATGCATCTCATCAAGGATCGCGTGCGCAGTCGACACACACAAGCGACTGATTTCACCGAGAAGTATTTGCTGAAGAGACGGGGTCTTATGATGGCAGTTCGGGGATTGATTTGAGACGAGACGTCTTACTTCGACGAGAAGTGAAGGCCGTAGTAGTAGTAGCCGTATGTACATAACCCTTTTCAAAGTCAGAGACGTCTTATTGCAGATCAGGCTGTGAAATACCTTGATTTTAATACCATGGCCTGCAGGCGGAAGCAGCTTGTTGATTCGTCGGCAGCTTCCATAGTATCATCAAGCACAAGATGGACAGGCAAGTCCGCGAGCAGATTGTCTAGTTTCGAACATAGTCTCGGGATATCCTCAAAATATTGAAAAGATATAGCTGTTGGATCCTGTCCTGGGTCTGGGTGCCCGATTGAGTAGAGTCTGCTCAGAGTTTCGTCTAGAATTTCAAACAACTTCATGCTATATATGAAGAAGTCAATTCGGGATGGGATGTTCTCTGGTTGGCAGCCTTCATTGACTTCCGATAGGTATTCGTCGTCAATGGGTTGGGGCAAGGGAATAGCATGCGGCCTGCAATAAAGAACGGGCCGGCCGAACGTGGTAGCTGAGAGCCTAGAAATAGTCAACGACGTGTGTATTCTATGGATGAGGCGGAAAATACCGATCCAGAGCAATGCAGCTATGCCAGGCTCTACGTCTCATCTCCCGCTCCACTTGACTTTTGGACGATTCAGCGCGTTCAAAGTTTAATCCCAAGCTCTGCGCCACCCTGAGAGCAACACCGACCATGTTCCAGCAACGATTGGCGTAAGATGTGTAATGAAGATAGATGCCTCGTAAAAGGAACAGTTGTACGATTTCTAAAGAGGCGAAATCCAGAGTTTCGATAGAAATCAATCGATGCGATCGTTTGTAAAAAGAATCGGCGTATTGCGTTCTCCGAGGTAGGAGAGCATATTTGCTGCGTTGACATCCAATGGCCAATACCATGTTAAATATTGCATGGAAGACGAGATCATCTCTTGTTTGGTGATGACAATCATCCAAAGTCATGTTTGGTCGCCAAAGACTGTTATACATCGTAATAAAAGATGGCCAGTGAAGTAAGGGGAACACTGGATGGATGGAGTCATAAAAAGTACGGAGAAGGGTGGGCGCAAGGTGGTCTGGAGGTGAGGTGGGACCTAGATGATGAGTAGAGTCGGGTGATCTGACTAATTCGAACCCTAGGAGATCCTGTTCAGTCTTTTCCTGTGTACACGATTTTGCAACTACGTCTGGGTTTGCTCTTTGGATTGTTTGCTGCAGAAAAGAAATATTCGAGGACGGGCCATGGAAGGATTCTTCGTCCTTGCGATAGGCATGAGGCATTTTGGGTTGCTCCGAAGAAACGAAATTTGGTACTATAGCTGAGTTCAGGACTAACCGTGACGCCCTTTTCAAGATGGACTTACGTTCAGGCACTGGAGAAGTATCGGCAGTATTCTGGTCTAGGCGCGGACCCCCTTGTGACTTTTCTTCCACGTGCTGCAGTTGGTTGTTCATCACTTGAAGATTCCTAGCAAGAGGTCAGGAGGTTCGAGCTAGACACGGAAGAGACTTACGGCGCTTGTAAGGTTGACATCTTCTGTTGATAACTGCACGTCAAGCCCTTCATTTTACACGAAGTACAGACTGGTCGGTTGCCATCACAACCAGTTTTACGGACACGACAGGGATTGCATGCCAGCTGAGTCCTTCGTCGCCGACGTGGCGGCAATACTCTTTGGGTAAGCATACGAATGGTGATACGAAGATGTTTTTAGCCTTCGCATTAACGGTGTTGTTTCTTGAGAAGTTCATACAGTCCACAAAGAAAGGTCAAGAATTAACGGATCACAAGTGTCCTAAATGCATGACTAATCCCGACGAGACTAGTGGTGCACAAGTAGGAATTGCTCTCATTTTAAATGGACTCTAACCTTAAATGTAGGAGGTGGTGTGTTAGCACCCCACATTCCTTGACACGTTCACTTGTATAAGCCTTGTTCCATTTTTTGTTTTATTGTCATCTTCTTAGTTATTTTGCATTATTCAATGCGAGTTACGCGACGATGAGATACATGTAATATTTGATCAATCCGTCGCGCTTGTCAATCTCTCAACTGGAAAGTGGGTACAACTTCAGTGCCGAAATCAACAGCGAGATTTAGCTTGTTAGGAAACCTTTGCGGTATCAAAGATAAAATATGCATAGATAAGCTGATAAACCGGCTAGTTTACTGTTGAAAAAGGCATAAACGCAAAGCATTTTAATAGACAGTTTCTTCCGGAAGATAAGAGATCCATAGCATTTAAGATCGTTAACAATAAGTGCTATATCGGCGAGAAGATCCAAGGACACGTTTTATGGGGCGTCACGAGTTTTTCCCTAAATGAAGTTAAGTATTAATTTAAAGTCTGCAGTGCGAGAGAGGGCATCGCACCCGGAGATTATTGATCGTATACGACTGCAGCTAAGCCTCGATCAAAATGGTCCTCGCAATCATCAACCCTTACGGGCTATGATACAGGGCAGCAGGTCACCACTCTCAGGTGTTCAGCCATACTGTTACTCAATAGCCACATGGTTCAGCGCTTGTGTGAATGTAGAAGTTCTACCATATTACTGGTTTTAATAACCCCTTCCAGGATTATAGCATGGGTTGACAGGTTCATCCGTCTCATAACTTGCCGGGCTGCACTGCGTCTCAGGGCCCCGAGCCGTCCTTAATACGCCGACTTCTTAGCTCGTTCTGTATTTTTGGATAAACATGGTTAAGGTAGACCCCGACAGTTTGGCCCGGGTGCTACTTACATCAGGATATTCAACCGGTGTCTTTGTTCCCAATTTTCGGCGATACTTGTGGAATAACAATGACCTGATCATGGCGGACGGTGACCGCTGGCCGGTATGTTGCATATTCCGAAATAATTTGTCAAACTGACCCATTTACAGAGTTGGATGAGATTTTTTGCTGAGCAGCAGGATCGCCACCATGGTCACCTCTGTCATCACTGTATAGAGTCTAACTACAATGTAGACTCTACGACAAAAAGCATTTAGCCGGACAGGGACCCGCCCGAAGGTAAAGCAAAAGAAAAGGACATATTGCTTGACTGCATGATGCATAGTACAGGGCCAGTAAGGACCATCACAAAGGGAATAAGAATGGTAAAACGATAGCCCAAAGGTAGACGTAAATCGATCAGACAACGTGAAGTCAAGAAGATGCCGACGAGCTTCCCCTTACAACATAGTGTCATAGCAGAATACAAAACTCATCCGTGACGTAAAGGTTGACAAGTCAGCAACCATGCGGCCGCCCTTATCTCATTAATATTATTCCTCATCTTGGTATTTGCCAAATTCCCGGGGCGAATTATGATTAAACCGAGTCGGCTAAATGTTCGATCATAAAGCATGGAGTGATCTGCCGATTCTGCGGGGAAACTGATGTAGTTGCCGCACAAAAGTCCCGAGAACCAAGCCAGATGTGGATTACCTCGTAGTAAGAGTTAAATAAATAATGTAAAGCTCTGGGAATAGTGCTAGTCTTGAACAAAGTGCAGATCAAATTGTTAAAGAATTATCTTCATCTATTAAAGCATCTATTGCGCTATATTAAAACACTAAAGAAAGATATTTTAGTTAACTAATAATAGTGATAAACAGACTCAATATAGTCTAGAAGTTTAAAATTCTAATTTGCAATAATAATGATGTGCTAATACTGCAATTTAGACATTCGTCTTTAACCTATTGTCAAATACTGGAATTAGGCTATTTAACGCACCAACCATTGTTCTGCCCGCAAATATTACCATGTCCCCGAACTCTATTGAAAACAGCAGTCCCAATTGCGACACAGACATGAAGATCGTTGCATCCAAACGTCGTATCACTTACCAAAGCAAGGCCGGGCCACGGCGTCTCTCTCCTGCGATTTGCTCGGCTATAACAAGCTTAAAGTACATATACTTGACTCCACAAGAACAGACGATGATGATGTTGATGATGTCCAGCAATCTAGCATCTATAAAAGCCTAGTGTTAGTGCATAGTTGAATTGATCAAGATAGCGGCGGTCTTGTAAAGATTCGACATGATGTTGTCCAAGTTCCAGGCACTAACGCTTCTCAATGGCCTAGTATTGGCTGCTGCGCCTTATCAGCAACCTGACTGCACAAAGGAACCTCTTCGTTCAAATGGAATATGCGATACCACGGCCTCGCCTGCCGAAAGGGCTGCAGCTTTGGTCGCGGCCTTGAATCCACGTGAGAAAGTCAACAACCTTGTCAGGTAAGCCAATCAGACATTCGTAGGTATTCAACTGCTGACTTGGACAGTAATGCTACAGGTGCCCCAAGGATTGGTCTACCCAGGTACAACTGGTGGAACGAAGCTCTCCACGGTGTAGCTGGTGCACCCGGCAATGATTATAACGATGAACCCCCTTACGACTCGGCAACTTCATTTCCGATGCCTCTTCTCATGGGTTCCACCTTTGACGATGACCTGATCCATGACATTGGCGAGGTTATCGGCACAGAGGCACGTGCTTGGAACAACGGTGGTTGGGGAGGGGGCGTAGACTACTGGACGCCCAATGTCAATCCTTTCAAAGATCCACGCTGGGGCCGTGGCTCCGAAACACCAGGCGAAGATGCTCTCCATGTCAGTCGTTATGCACGAGCTATGGTTCGTGGTCTTGAGGGCGATAAGAAGCAGCGTCGTATTGTTGCCACCTGCAAGCATTATGCTGGTAATGACTTTGAGAATTGGGGTGGTCAAACGCGTCATAACTTCAATGCCAAGATCACTCCCCAGGACTTAGCAGAGTACTATGTGCGTCCTTTCCAGGAGTGTACTCGGGACTCTCATGTTGGAAGCATTATGTGTGCATATAATGCGGTGAACGGGGTACCTGCGTGTGCGAACTCATACCTCCAAGAGACTCTACTGAGGAAGCACTGGAACTGGACCCACACAAATAACTGGATCACAAGCGACTGTGGCGCTATGCAGGATATCTGGCAGCACCATAACTACACAAAGACTGGTGCTGAAGCGGCCAAAGTCGCCTTTGAGAATGGCCAGGATTCTAGCTGTGAGTATACCACTACGAAGGACATATTAGATTCCTACGAGCAAGGCCTTTTGACAGAAAAGGTCATGGATCGTGCTCTTCAACGTCTCTTCGAGGGACTTGTTCACACTGGTTTTTTCGACGGTGATAAATCAGAATGGGCTTCACTCGACTTTGACAACGTGAATACCAAACACGCTCAGGACCTGGCTCTGCAGTCTGCTGTACGTGGTGCGGTTCTCCTGAAGAATGATAAGACTCTGCCTCTCAAAATAAAGCAGAAGGAGAGTGTAGCTTTGATCGGTTTCTGGGCCGATGATGAAACAAAACTACAAGGCGGCTACTCGGGCCCAGCGCCTTATGTCCGCACCCCAGCTTATGCCGCCAAGAAGTTGGGTTTGAAGACCAATGTCGCTTGGGGTCCAACTTTACAGAATACCTCAGTACCTGACAACTGGACTACCAATGCTCTGGAAGCTGCTAAGAAGTCTGACTACATTGTGTACTTGGGTGGTCTTGATGTGTCAGCTGCCGGCGAGGAGCTGGATCGTACAGATCTTGACTGGCCTAGTACTCAGTTGACTCTACTCAAGAAACTGTCCAAGCTTGGCAAACCGTTAGTTGTGGTTCAGCTGGGCGATCAAGTTGACGATACTCCCTTGCTGAAGGATAAGGGTGTCAATAGTATTCTCTGGGTCAACTACCCTGGCCAAGAAGGTGGAACTGCTGTCATGGATCTTATCACAGGCCGTAAAAGTCCTGCCGGACGTCTCCCACTGACTCAATACCCCAGCAAGTATGCGGAACAAGTCGGTATGTTGGAGATGGAGCTGAGACCTACAAAGTCTAGTCCCGGAAGAACTTACCGTTGGTATTCTGATTCGGTGTTACCATTCGGCTTTGGAAAGCACTACACCACTTTCAAAGCCAATTTCAAATCTCACAAGATCGAGATGAACATACAGAAGCTCCTCAAGGGTTGCGACGCGACTTATGCTGATACCTGTCCCTTACCTTCAATTCACTTGAGTGTAAAGAACACAGGCCGTGCAACGTCGGATTTCGTATCTCTTGTCTTTATAGAGAGCAAGGTTGGACCCAAGCCTTACCCACTAAAGACCCTTGCCGCTTATGCGCGCTCACACAACATCAAGCCGCGTGCAACGAAGGATGTCAAACTTCAGTGGACAATGGATAACATTGCGCGGAGGGAGAAGAATGGTGATTTAGTTGTGTACCCTGGGACGTATACACTATTACTTGATGAGCCAACACAAGCCAAGATCAAGGTGAAGTTGACGGGAGAAAAGACATTATTGGACAAATGGCCAGAGTATCATGGGTCGGACTAATGTTTTTGGTATTCCTTTCTTAGCACGTACCAGACTTCTAAGCAAAATTTGAAAACATTGCTACACTATGACAAGAGAATTGGTGATGTCTTTCAATACAGCGCAGTGACAATACAAATACTCTAGGTGCCTTGTAGTGGGAAACATGAGACCCTAAAATGCTGTATAGAAAGTAATAGTATCTGTTGATACTATTTGTGACCTATCCCCCGCAAGCTCATGTTGCAGTATAGACGCTGCACACTGTCTAGAGTGAAAGCTGCAGCACGTCTTCGGACTGTCCTGTTTCACTTTTTTCCCCTAGCTAGTGGATACCCTTTCTGGCATTCTGCAAGTTTTCAGGGATAGCATAAACCTCTTCATCTGCCGTATCGAGAGCATGTTGAGGTGGAAACTGAGCTTTCCAACCAATTGACTTGGCATGCTTGGGGGTAAATGTTGAACTAGAAACATAAGCTTTTATTCCCAGTCTGACGATGTATGAAGACTAGCATACTTTTCAGAAATTTTGACCTGGACGGAAGTCTTGATGACGCCAAGTGCGTTGGCCATGTTAGCAAGAGATCTATCTTCAGCTAGCTCGACAACATCGTCTTGGATTATTCCGCGGTTCGAGAGCGCTTTGGCCATAGCGGTGTAAAGATCGTCCCATATGATGTGACCTGCCGAGACCAAGTAAGTGCCATGTCTGCCGCAGTCCGGTTCTTGGTCGGTGACAATCGCTTTAATGAGCAACATATAGAAACGGGCAGTATCAACGACATGGCACACCGGGTATTGCTAGTTCTTTGGCGTCAGATGCGGTTCTGGTGAAAGCGATGCTTTAGAGCTTACCGGCCTCATACCCATCACATTGAACACCTTACCAGTCTCTTTCGCAGCCATGACTATGTCACAAGTTTGGATTGATGTTTGGTTGCCGAATCCTTCGCCTCGTCCGTCTATGATAGTTAGTTATAAAGTGAATACTGGCCAGATCCCAACTTACGTACAAACTACGCAAGGAGCAACAAGGTATGTTCTAACTCCTAGCTTTTCGCCCATTTCCAAACGGTGGTGTTTGTGTTGATAGCCTCAGAATGATGTAAGTTAACTACACTTATGGTGCGTCTTATTGGACTGATTTACTTACATCATTCATCTCCTGATGATCAGACCTTTGTGCCTTGTGGATGTCGTAGATATTGGGATCGTTATCGAACAGCGGCTTATCGTTGGGTGCCCCGGCAAGGCTTCAGAACTGCTTAGTGCCAGTAGTCTGATCCAATATCTGTCAATTCCAGACTTTGAAGTGGTAAACATGATCTTGAGTGTGCAGCAAAGTCTTACTTACAAAGATGAAATGTACTTCTTTTCTTGTAGATTTGTTAAACGCAGTAACAAGCTTGATTAATAACCCTTCCCGAATGCGGTGTCGATTCAGCAAATTAAGAAGAACAAGCTGTAATCAGCGTTAACATTAATAGCTGATAAATCAACATGTTTGTTTCTTCTCATTTTGCATTTGTCATCAGTACCCAATACTCGAAGGACAAAGTGTTAAAAATATATATAATAGATAAGGGATTTAATTTAACTAGAATCCATTAACAGTGGCTAACGTATAGTAAATGATTTATCAATAGTACGTTAAAGAGTGTTACTGGATCAATATCCAGCCACGACTTTAGATTCGGTAGGCGTCGCCTAGTTTGACTCCGTGATAATAAGATCTTTTAAACAACGTAGGTTGTATTTTTTGGCAGGGATAGCATAGATTGTTCACTAATTAAGTTTTCAAGGGGCCATTATATAAGCATAACATATACAGATATACGAGGGTGGTCATATTTCCATTGAAATGAAACTGTCAAGCTTAGAGCGCCCGGATATTGCTGTGTACCCCCAGAAATATGTTACACTTCTAAAAACTCCGGACAGAAATTGACTATTAACGATGACGATGGAGGCATGGCTGCCTCTGATAACGACAAAGACACCAATACCCAACAGCACTACATGAGCTAACCACAGCAGCCTCATCTTGAAAGTTCCGTTACGGGCTCCTTTGTTCATGTAGAGCCAGAGAATTAGGGGTGAGCATGAACCAAAAGGCACAAACTCCATTGATCCAGTGATAGACAGCAATAATCCATGAAGAGAAAATGCTTCGATAATAGCCCAGTTTGCGAGGCCAGTGACGAAAGTAACCGACATCTAAGTGGACCAATGTTGCCAGGTGTCTTGAGTTAGGTGTCGTGAAGTGCACATAACACGAACAAGCAATGAATTGCTTTTGCCATAATGCTATTAGCGTCGTCTTACCACTTGTTACGAATCAGATGTACTCTACACTAGAACACAGTCCTGGGTCAAGCTTGTTGGGCAGTATTGGACTATTACTCGGTATTGGTCCTTGGATACTTATCTTCTATGGGCCTCAGATCAGATCGCACAGTCGGGTCACCAATTTAACGGGGAGTAAAAAGAAAAAGTGGACAGCTCCTTGATGAGATACAGCATCCGAGATGCAGCGGGCTCTGCTACGTGTAGCTGACAAAACTTACTTCGGGCTTCAGAATTCAACAGGTACAACGAAAGGAAAAGGAAAATGGATTTTAATTACTTGTTATTGCTGCAGTTCAAACTCTCAAGTGATGCATGATATCTCACCTATTTAAATTCGGTCTACAATCAACGATTCAAACAATGGTATTAGAAATCGGATGCAGAAGACATTACTAATAGAATCTATGGGTTGAGAGATTCTCAAATCGGCGTTAAATGGCCTCCCGGTAGAAGGAGAGGCTTCTGTTTGCATAAGCCGTGCAAAACATTTCACTTCTGACAGACTTTGGCAACCTTTCCACATATCAGAGGGCCTTGTCCGCCTCACTGTGTGTCGAACGCAGGTGGTGCGTTCAATTGACCAGACCTTGACCTTTCCATCCATGGTCGTTGAGATCTTACTAATACAAAACAGTGTGGCGGGCTTCCCACCAGGTAGCTAAGAATTAAAACTTCATACTCGTGTCCAATAATTGTAATGGGGATAATTGTAATTACGACTAGTTTTGTTAGAAGCTTGATAAGGAAGGTCTATGGGACTCGAACTGACTTTTCTTTTTTTCCTAGAGGTTATACAAGATCTTCAAAGTCGAAAAGTAACTCCATCCCCGTTTTATAGTCAGGAATCAGTTGATCCATAATGCGCACGTAGGAATTATAGTCCAAATGCGCCAAGATTGAGCCACTACCATCAAAATGGCGCGGGTCTATACAGCTGCGTTCCGGGTGAGACATGTACCACACGTGTCGAGATTGCTCTAGATTGGTATGGCGGTTAGCCTTGCATCCCCCTGTCAGGTTGGGACCAGATATGCATCTATTTTCGAGTGAATAACAGAACGGTGTGTTTCAAAGGTTTATTTGAAAAGTTCAATCTAGAAAAATCTGTCTAGAAAAATCTGCTTCATGTTAGACATTTGATTGAGGGAGCGTGAGGTTGGAATCATATCTCCTTAGACGGAGTTTGCCCGGAAACTTCGGTCGCGGCTGGGTTGTCCAAGCCTCGAACAGCCAATCAATTGCACACGATGACACTGTCAATGTAGTGGACAGCAAGATCGATATTTAGGTTTAGTATAGTATGACTTGGGCGGTGAGATTTATGATTGATCAACATAACTGACTCGTGATGTTCACAGCACTTTTGGTCGCTGATCCCAGTTTTATAGTAACGCTGTCAATATCGGTCTGTGCATCGAATACGGAAGGCTCAAACACTGGGATTTTCTTTTGGCTTCTGTTTGCGTCTCGCAATTAATACCTACAATAAGATTCCTTTGGTCGGTGGCGCCATCTGAAACTCTGGACAAGCTAAATGCAAAATGCGGCACCTATCCTCATGACCCGGTATGATGTGGCTTGGCTAGTCAACGCCATCTACCATTAGACTTCGGCAGAGTAGCACTGTGCCTTTCTAAAGCTTGGCTCCCGCCGATCATAGATTTCTTTATCCCCGTCCCCCGGATCCCCTTTCTTTTCCCCAACATCCTCCACTCACGCATGACACCAACATTCCTAATGAGACCACAAAACCATCTGACCAGATGCCAGAATCCGTCAGTCTAGGAGCAACCATTATAATAGTCTCCGTGTCTCTGACTCTCCTCTCGGGCATCTTTTTAGCCCTTCGTCTATATTGCAAGATCGTTCGTCATCGGAGATTCTGGTATGACGACCACTTCCTCATCGCGGCGTGGGTACGTTCTCTCAACCTCTCCATCCCAAGTTTCAACATATTTTTGTCAGCAACTTTCTCTATATCGCATGACAATTTGAGATTGCGCTATGAAAGCCGCGAATTGTGTCCCACATATGCGAGCCCGTGTCAATGTACGATTGCAATTAACATACAGCGTGTTCGATAGATATGTCTCTTAATTTCCACCGGTCTTACCATCTTCGACGTCAGCCTCGGCTTTGGCAAGGACATATCAAAGGTTAATCCCGCAAATGTACCAACAATCGCTCTTACTGGAACTATTTATGGCCTCTTTGCTTGTTTATCTGTAGCATGGAGCAAAACGTCGTTCGCTCTGACCTTGCTGCGGCTGGAAGACGGCTGGAAGTATTGGTTCCTATGGTTTCTCATCATCACAATGAACATCATCATGAACTTGGTGATTGTTTTCTCGTTTGTCAAATGCGCACCAGCAAGGAAGGTCTGGCACTCGAATCTACCAGGGACCTGTTGGAACCCATTAGTCGCAACTTACTATAACGTCTTTGCTGGAGGTAAGTCATATCACTTCGTGAAGATTTGTCCACACTAATCAATGAAACAGCTTATTCAGGTCTAATTGATCTTATCCTCTGCATCCTTGCTTGGGTGATTATTTGGAAGCTCTCGATGCGAACACGGGAGAAGATTGGCGTTGGGGTTGCTTTGACCTTTGGTATCTTGTAAGTCTTATTAGGCTATCATGTCGAAGGGAATTGCTAATAAGACTCCAGTGCAGCTGCAGCAGCTGGAGCGAAATGCGTTGGGATGCTTGGTCTCAGCAGCCAGAACCGCACTTGTGAGTCTACAGCTCGTCGAACGTCCCTGCCGTGGGCCTTCATTACTAACGCCTCTCACAGTGGCTCGAGTCGGAATTTTTATCTGGTCCACTGTTGAGATTGCGGTCACCATTATGGCTGCTTCTATCCCCATTATGCGTATACTTGTCTTACGTGTCTATCGCCGAAACAGACTTCAAGTTTCTAATCGGCCGTTACGTCGTCTCCGCACGATTACTAGTCAGGATAAAAGGCCTTGTGCGAACGTCACGACGCCAAGTAATGATAATAATACAGAAGCAGGAGCAGTTTCGGCGAGGGAAGACGGTCTCAGCAGTGTGACCTTAATACACAGCATAGACTCAAACGAGCGGAACGATATAGACATGTACAGGATTGATACGACGCTATCATTGGTTTGAATACTGAATCGGCCAATTGGGTAATGTTTAGAGTAAAATTCAGTTCCAATGATTCCAAGTCATGCAAGGCATGTAAATTAGCAGCAATAGGTTAACTTGTCGAATGCAAGTCTTCGAATCCATGACCAACTTTGAGTTTGAGTTTGGTAGCCTGCTTATGTTATGTTTTCGAAGCATTCCAGGCCTATCAGAGATGCAATGTCAAGGGATATAAGGTTGATGTCGGTCTTACGGTCTAATTTAAGTCAAGACTTCAACATTTACTGTGCTCAACTCAATAACAGTTATCTATAGAAGCACATTTATTTACTCTTTCCCACGAAAGGTATAGCACAGAGCAAGCACAATCGAACCTGATAACGAGGAGACTTAAAAAGGTGGCTTAGTTACCGCCACAATATGATTGACTTCCGAGACCCGGATATCAGTGGTATTGGGCAACATGGGCTCTCGATTCAGACAGTTTACTTGGTTCTTTTGTATAACTAAGATAGTGCTGCAAAACAACATACACATGCACCAGATGAAACTTCTCCCTGGAAATAAACCTCGATTGAGGGAGTTGGAGAAAATTCGTCAATGTGATTCAGTGACAGTTTTCTTTATTCCGAAAAAGGTACAAGGATCCCCCTGTGGTACAGGGACTATGCTTGTTGGATGTCAATCTGTCAGAGCACGAGATCTGACAGGTGTGAAACCGACAGACATTAATTTGGCATTCACTATCCAGAACTAATGAGTATATAAATCTGTAAAGTCGCCCCTGTCCTGGCTCGACTACAGATCAACTCAAATTAGCATTATATATAAACAATACGTCTCTCGAAAAACAATCACAACAGATTAACCATGTGCCCGCAAGTAGAGAACTCTTACACATGCATCCAGTGCGATCGCGAAATGCGAACGGGCCGAGATTACAAGATGTGTAGCAAAGGCAGAAGGGAGACCAGATGGGGCGCATGTGGAAATTCATCAATGGAACGGAAGACTATACCAGACGGTACATGTAGCAAGTGCCTTAAGAAGCAAAAGAAGTAGGTCAATTGGGGGCTGGAACAACAGTCAAATTGAACTCGGATTATATGCACCGATAGGCAATGCTCTGTTACGTTGACAGGTCCATTAAACTCCAATTCATTGAATATTGGCTTTATTCCGTGTATTCAAGTAGTCTCATTCAGAGTCTCAGTAAAATCAAGGGTTATTTTAACATAACAACTTCATGAAGAGTTTCACTTTGATATACATAGGGAACAAACTTCCCTGTTTACGACGCAGGTGTACTAGACCTTCTTGTCTCACTAAAGTATTGATCCTTTTTCTCGCCTGTAAGAGGGCAGATAACATGGAGCAATACTCACCAATCCGTAAAAATGATAGCAATGCCTATTGGATAGTATAAAAGTTAACATCCACGCCTTAGGATATAAAGATAAATGGCCTAAGAAGTTTAATCTAAGTAGTATAAACTGGCTAACTGATTTTGTCTCTTATGCCTCCTTTGTCCCATCCTTGCCAAGGCCAGTATTACTCTCCTCATCAGACACCTGCTTCAGCTCTGCGGGAGCCTTCTTTTGCAAGGCCACCCAGACAGCCGATCCAATAATAAGAGCACTGCCAATGAAGCTGGCAGGTGGAGGAGTCGCTCCCCAGATAACACGGTCAATGATGACTGCATATACAAGCTGTACGTACTGTCCGTGGGTTAGGCATGGCAAAGTTGTATATGACAGACGACTTACAATAAGGTTGGTAGCTCTGCCAGCTTTCTCTCTTTGTAGACCTTCAGTAAGAAGAACCTGGAATAGAAAGCCCGAAACCCCAATAGAGAGAAGAATGGCCCTAGGCGCGTTAGTTCTAGTTTATTCCAAGCGCAGTCGATCGTTGACTTACCACTCGGCGAGACTCTTGGGGATCTCAAACTGCAAATCAGGATGGATCGTAATGATGAGAAAAGAGCTGACAGTAGCCAGCACAGCAAAGTAGTTGACGCTCACAAGAGAGTGAGCTCGCTTTCCAATGACCCGAATAGTTGAGTAAGCTGTCGCTGCAGCAATGGAGCCGAAAATGGAACAGCAAATGGCAATTGTGCGCTCCTGGGGTGTTGCCTTGACTGCTGAAAGAATTCCTTTGGTGACGTTTTCATCATCAGAGGATGATCCCGATAGGAAGGAATCATTATGTGGGAAGATGAAAGCAGGACGAGCAACAAAAAGAACGCCTATAAACGCGATGAGACCTGCCGAGGCTTCATTGATGGTAAACGGTTCCTATGAAAGTCATTCAGTCAGATTGAGTTACATGTCTAACTATCTCCCTTGAAAACTTACGCGTAGAGCAACCCAGGCAATGAATGCTGTCAGAGTCGGGACCAGGAAAGTGATGACCGTCGCGTCGGAAACGTCGAGGTATGAAAGAGAATCTGTCCCGTTTGTTAGCTAAGGTACCTTATAAAGGAACATTATCATTACAATAAAGACCAAAGAGCCCAACGGATCCGGCCATGCCTCTCAGCACCAACAATCCTCTAACTTCGCGCGGCCCAAAAGGAAAATCGGGGACTTTTTCACGCCACATGTAGAAAGACCCAATCAGTGCAGTGGCAAGCATTCGGACGAAGATTATCTGAAGAGCATGAAATTTTGTCTCAAATCCAGTTGACAAGAGCCTTGTTGTCATGGACATCTAATTTTATCAGTAAAGATCTTGTCGGTATTCAAGCGGATTCCTACAATGGAAGCGAACAGCTGTGCCAGCAGAACATAAAAGAGTCCGATGTTCCGAGAATAAACATCTTGCAACTTTGCCCACGATGAAGTGAACTCCGAATCGCTTGTTTCAATAGAAGAAGTAAAAGAGCTTGCACTTGGACTAGGCGAAACAGCTCCATTGATAGCCTCAGGTGTCAATAGAGTAGAATTCTCTGCTTCGCCCTTCTCATTGGCCATCTCGTGAGACATATCTGCAATTAGAAATTGAAACTTTTAGAACGGTTTAACAAAGTGCATGGCCTGCGTAATTCTGTAGCAGACAATAACCCGAAACGTTTGAATGAATGAAAAGCAGCTCTGCTGCGGTGAAATGAATGTGACTAGGAAAATTGAACGAGTGTTGGATTTTTTTTTTAGGTAGTTCCATGCACTGGCAAGTAGCCTAAATAGTCCAGAGTGCTAAACTCAAAACAGCCAGACGACCAACAAGGCCCGTAAAAGGAGTTTACTTAGCGAGTTAGTCCACCAATTGTGACAAGATATGCAGATTGAAGAGGTCCTGCCAATCTCGGACTAATACTGTTCCTGTCATTGATGCTTCACTCCGATTGGATGTATTTCCATCTTCACGAATTTGAACATACCCTAGATCTGGCTTAAACAAGTCAACTTGAAATAAATTGCATACAAGGCAATGCATAAACTTCATCAGTTATTGAAATATCTTACAGACAAAATGACCCAAGCGTAGATATATCTTATTTCCATACTATATGCATAACAATAATTACTGCAAGTTGTAGGCATGCAGTATTATGAAGTGCATTTCTGCTTTTGCTTAGTATATAACCGGTACAAGTGAATGTCAAATGAACAAGACAGGGACATTTAATTCTACTTAGTCGAGTGAGAATCGAGATACTGTAGCTAATAGACAACGTATATAAGTCATTACAACGAGGAGTTATATTAAACTAAAGTGAAAGCAAAGTAGTCGTCATTGATAAGTATGAAGTCGGAGACGGTGACGTAATAATTCCATCTTGGAATACCGTTATTACAGAGTGGGGTATAAACAAACCAAGCATGGTACAAGTGATACCATAGAGAAGCCCGACTATCGGAGTAACGGGTCGTGTTTGGAGTTGTCCATGTTTGCAGGCTAAGCCATGTGTAACGTATATGGAAAACGACAGCATTACGTTGTAGTATTGCAAGGACTGGATAATGTCTATTTTTAGAAAATCCAGCCGATTGTATGATGAACCCCGCGTCAGATGTCACTGGGTCCATCTTCCTTCAACAGTCAGCAACACGACCTGGGATACAGCATGCCTACGGTGAAGAAACCATGTCTCGAGTGCAAAAGTAGGGTAACCAACCAACGGAATTTTACACAACTAACAGTAGTCAATCAATCTAGACAAGCACCTCAAATGTCGGTGGCTCTTCCACGACCAAACGATTCTAGCCACTGACCGCTTTTATTCAGGTGATCAAAAATCAAAATGTTGCCGTCGATGTGAAAGCAGAGGATTAGATTGTGTGCGTTCTGAGGGTCGCCAGTTCAAACAAGGGTCATCGGCAAAGTACGACGCGCTATTCTCGGAGACACAGAGTTGGGTTAGTGGCAATGCCAAAGAGTGTAAGTCTCCTTTCACGATTGTGACAATTTGCGTTGCTTAGGTGAACATTGGAAAGTTCGTCTTCAGACTGGTCCGCGACGGCGTATAAAAAAGATCGCCATTGGCAACGACACTACAACATCGATGCCAACAATAGACACATCTGGCGACCAGTCACAAAGCAACCTCTCTGATTATGACGATACAAGAGACACTTCCACATCGGCACCACAGAGTTCATCGTATACTAACACAGAGATAACGAAAAGCCTGATACCATTTGGAAATAGCCAATTTGGTAGCGCAACTCGTTTAGCTTCCTATCCTCAACCAATGCGAGATAACTTTGCTCTTTCTCAACGAGGACCCTCTTGGGGTGGTTTATTACACACAATTGAACCGCCGCAGGGAAGAGATTCACCATTAGAAGGCATTCAGGAAGCTTGCCTTCTGCGATACTTTATTGAGGATTTATCGTCCTGGGTACATGATTGATCAGCTATAATTCTCAAGTACGTTTGCTAATAGATTTAGTTTGATCTGGTTGACTCTCAAAGACGTTACCAGCTTATGGTTCCAGAGCGAGCCTGTCGCTATCCTCCACTCCTCAACGCCATCTTTGCCATGTCGTCCCGACATCTCTGTCGCGTCGAGAGATACAAAACGCCGCAGGGAATTGTCTACCGTGGCCAACCTCTACCGAACCTCACCCCTGGTTCATCAGTTGAGTACATGCTTAAATGTATTTCCGTTTTAAAGGACTTTCACACTACCCAAGACGGGGAGATCCGAGAGCTTATTGTCACAACGGCTGTGATACTACGCCACTATGAAGAACTGGACGACCATGACCAAGACACTGGATCTGAAATGGATTTTGACGAAGGTGTCAACTTTTTAGCAATTTTAAATGCAGTTCTCAGAAGTCTAACAGCTGATGATTTAAGTCATCGAAGGGAATTGTTGAATGCCTCCTACTGGATTGCGTTGAGACAAGAGGTCTATTATTCACTACTGAAAGGTTATTCACCGCAAATAGTTGAGCCGCCTGCAGAGTGGGTGGACATATCGCCTGCGAACAAACTCGTGTCCCATACGAATCAGGTCGCAAAGTGGCTCTTCAGTGATAAATCCGAAACTGGGTGGCGTGAGTATACATCGCTCGTGCTCCAGGCGACGGAAGATAGTTGACTCGAGGCAGGAAATCTCAAAAAGCAGGAGGAGTATTTGGACGAATGTGTCACGGGCCGCTTCTCGCCCATATTATACCGACCACCCGATAAGATCTCTGGAGAGGTGTTTCCAATGATGTGGTTCGCTTCACCCATTGCTCTGACAGGCATGCAACATATGATGATTGCCAAGATGATACTAATCGCTGAATCACCATTTCTATCGTGAGACATTTTTCAGGTTGTTTAATAAAGTGGCGGCTAACTTTTGCTAGACAAGAAAAAGATGTCCGTGCGGCTTATCGTGAAGCAGAAGGAAAAGTAAGGGCCCTGGTGCTTGAGGTTTGTGGTACAGCAGTGCAACATCCAGAAATACAGCCAGGTCTCGTGAATGCAACGTTGGCTATTCAGATGTATGGAAGCTATTTCACTGATCCTTGGGAAAGAGAGGCTTTAAGGAGAACAGTGAGAATGTTTAAGGACTGTCAGGCATGGCCGTTGCCGAGAGTTCTGAGAACTTTCTTACAAGCTGGTAACTGAGACGATCTTTGCATAAATTACCTGGATAAATATAATAAGTACAGCATAAACTGATGGTGAATAACGGACTTAACATGTGATTCATACTTATTTCCGCTATGCAATTATGTCAGTCATATGTTGTGATTTATGCAACCTGGCCGCATGACCTGATCCATTGTGTCCAATCAAAAAGCGGATACAACCAACATTTGCTCCACTAGAAACTCAACCGAGAAACGCCGATTAAGATTCTTATCTCGCGCTTGAAGTCAACCTCAACACAATCACCAAATACCTCAAAGAGAGACACGTTCATCATGGGCATCTTTCGCATTGTGAGAAAAACCTTCGTACCGGGTATGCTTGGTACATCTACAGCTGCAGCTTACCTCGCCTCTCAAAACCCTGTCATCTCCCCGCTTCCAGCCAATGATCCCATTTGGTCCTCAAGGCTCTTCAGAAGGGCCAATCCCAACGGAAACCCCGCGACTCAGGATGTCGTAATCAAGAGAATTCCACTAGAAAAAATCCGACCCGAACTTCTTCAGAAGAACGGCGATTTGGCGCTCGAGTTTTGCCGTGGTGTTTGGAGCGGTTGGGGTAAGCTCACTTATCATGAAGTTTGATGTATGCTGATTGACATTTGCAGGTTTCGATATTCAGCGCAGGTATCTCAGTTTCAAGTGGCGTAGTCCCGAGACCGAACAGCAACTCTGGGAACCTGAACAGCTTTCCACAAGCACCTACGACAGAGGGACCGCCATAACCGATCATTTCGAGGTTGTTGAGAAGACTGCGACTTCAATCACTGTGCGCTGTGGTGATTCACCCCGCAACCAAGCACCACGACCGTCCGACGGTCTTTTCCAGATCAGCGCCACCATTGACAAGACTCACGATGAGGTTGAGCTTCGACTCAAGAGCGTCTTGTTCTCGAGTGAAGGCAAAGTTGCGGGAAACAAGGGGCCTATGCCTCCCTGGATGACTGAGTTGCATCAGTGGTATGCCAGACTTTGGGCTGAGACTGGATCTTGGAGACTCCTCAAGTGAAGTTATGAGAGTGACAAGGGATGATGATATACCATGGATCAGATGTGTACTTTGCAATATTTATGATAAGCCAATATAAACGTGTGTGCTGGATCAGCGAAATCTTGATTCTCAAGGGCGACCAATGGCAATGACAGGGACATTGCCCACTTGAGATGATTTGTCCCTGGATGAACTGGAAAATAATCTGTAGCAAGAAGAAATGCTCGACCGATCAGAATACTTGTATGGTTGGTCTTGGATTCCAATACCTCCAGTGACTTCGGTCTTGACTGTTGCGATGTCAACCACAAGTGTGAACGTCAAAATGGGGTAAGAGACAGAGGATACGGTGGAAGACAGAATGGTACTCAGTGGCTTGTAAGTTTATGATACTAAAAGTGACAACGATTACAAAAGTTGCGTCATAAGAAGTGCGCAACGGGTCAGCATCATGAAGAAGACAACGCGAATATGACATGAACGGGTAATTATACCGCGACGAATGATCCTGGATGCAGATGTTCGTGAACTAGGTACAGAGAACTCAGTAAGCGGGATGGATGCTGACCATATATTTCTTCAAGGGATCGATGTTACGAATTCACGGTCGTAAATTGTGATTGTATTTGTCAGCCTCCTACAATTACTAATTTACTACATGCCTGGACTCCAGAGCTCGTAACGGTAGATATAAATAATACACTGCCTACGCCAATTAACAAAACACAGCGACTTCATGCTCGTCATCATAGCCATACCAACATAGAATGAGTTCCAGACCCTATGAAATCATTGTCCTTGGAGCTACTGGTTGGACTGCCACGATTTGTGCTGAACACATCGCCAGAGCGTTCCCAATCAACACAAAATGGAGTATAGCAGGCCGGTCGGCAGCCAAGCTCGAAGCGTTACGCCAATCCCTACGGATCATCAACCCTGACAGGCTGGAACCAACTGTTCACATCTGCTCGGGGGAGATGACTATGCTCGGTATGCGGGGTGGATCGTTACACACCGTGCTTGATGTTGCAGAGAACTATGGTGTAAGAGGATGGTTGACTGTTGACACTTACATCTCAGTGGTGCTCATTCATATCATCAGCAAAATTGGTATCCTCTTTCTTGCTGTGCCTTGGTTTCGATCATTTTTTCGCACGAAATCGTTTAGTCCAGGAGATGGACCAGACCGAACAGAGAGTCGAAAGACTGAAAGTGCCGAGTGGAAGGCTGTCGGTTACGTGACTGGAGTAGCAGAGCCAGTCGCGTTTTCGAGATTTGCTTTTCAAGGAGCGTTGGTGGATATGGCGGCAATTCTGGCTGTAGAGGCTGTGGCAACGATTAATGATAAGCTCAAATTTAAGGACAGCAATCAAGTAAAGGCAAGTTTGTCAACCCCTTCGACTCTGGGGCAAACATTTGTAGATCGCCTTCGTACAACAGGATTTACCATTGAGATTGAGGGATCAAGGAATGCCGATCAAATGGCAGGCACGTTATGAGGTACCAATCAACAACTGTAATCGGGCGAAATCGCAATGCAAGGGTTAGGCATCTAGTCTTGGCGACTTGCTGATCGACCTTACCCATTACAGTGCGGCTGAGACACCATCGCACAAAGATCGTCAGTTGGCCACTTCATATTGTCACCAAGTTTATTAAAAGATAAATCACTTTTAGGGTTGATAACGGAAAAAAGAATCGTTCAGTAGTTCTCCAATCATTGGCAGGGTTAGCCAGTGAGTTAAGATAAGCATAAAATAGCACGTGGAGATGGTAGACATCTCAATTAAAGCCAAAGCCACGAGACGACGCCAATTGGCACTAATGCAAGCCCATGCATACCTTTAATTTAGGATGCCCCTTCTGTCCTTGCTTCTCGTGTCTGAGTGTAACGCTTTGTAGGGCAGAACAAATAGGAATTAAACAATCTTAGGTCAACAGCCTAGTCCACTTGGCATGGCTTGCAATCAGTGTGTGTGCACAACCAACAGGTCCCTGTGGTACCACAAGGCTGTATTGAGGAAGAGGGGTAACGGTTGGCTATGTGAGTTGGCATTGAGGATATAAATGAGCCGTGAGACGCACCAGCCTTGCTTTCCACTTATTCTGGGTTGGGTCTCACAACACCAAGTCTTTTCCTTCACACCATTGAAACAACTTCTCGATGTTCATGTTCCGTATTCTACCACTTGCCCTTTGGGCTGTACGCTCCATTGCATATAGTGGAGAAATGCTACAGTTCAACACAGGCCCAAACATGATCTCCATGGCCGACGCCGCAGCCAAAAACATACTAATCCCAGACGTCGCCTCCAACTTCTCCGAATGGATTGCCGGAAACAGCCAGATCGAGTCTTTTGGCCTCAGTCCACGACAAAGGCAGTGTGTTGACCCAGGATACTGTGAGATCCCTCAAATCAAATGACAACTTGTTGCACCTCTAACTAAACACTAGATCCTTGTTCAAATGGTCAGAGATGTTGTCCTCAAGGAGACACATGCGTTCCCGGCGGCTGCTGTCGCGGCAATGCCCAACAATGCGGCTCAAGCAAATGCTACTTCCCATCATCCCAAATCTGCTGTAGCAGCGGTATTGCCTGTAAAAAAGGGCAGAACTGCGTCGACGGTGGCTGCTGCGAAAGCGGTGAATCGAAATGCGGCTCCTCTGGATGTTATGATCCCAAGACCTCAGTCTGTTGTGGGAGCTCGAGTATACACTGTCCCAAAGGCTACGATTGCATGCCCGGTGGTGGATGCTGTCCAGCTGGTCAGAAGCGGTGTGGGAATAGCAAATGTTACGATCCCAAGAAAGCAAACTGCTGCACTGGGCCTGGCACTGTCTGGGCTTGCGAAAAGGGCAAAGAGTGTTGCTCAAATGGATCCTGCGCGAATCCTTCAACGGAGAAATGCTGCAAGAACGGAGCATGTCAAGAGGGAACAACTTGTTGCGAGAATGAATGCTGTCGATCCAATGGCTACTGTGCATCCGACGGATACTGTAAAGTCTGCCCTGCTGCTACAAAAAGTGTTACATCGACCGACACAACTACCAAAACTGTGATGAGAACTGTTAGAGTCATTACCGATATCGAGCCTGATACTGGAAACGCTCCCGAGTTCACCTGCGTCCCTATAACAGCGACAAATGACGTTGGTGCAATTCTTGAGCTTGACGATGGTTGTGTCCTTCATTACGAGCCACCCGAAGCTACAACTACTCAGGACAACGCCGCTCGCCTTCGACGTGACGCCCCGACAGCGCCTGTGGTCAGCCACGCAGGCGGAATTTTAGCTCGCCAAGCATCTTGCACACCTTCCACGACTTTCACACGAACTGTATGGGAGACAGAGACACTTACAGAGACTGGCACTCGAACTGTGGTAGTTCAAGGCGACGACGCAACATTTTCCTGCCCCGAGATGGAGGTCACAAATGACGTTGGCGATACACTTGCCTTGGATGGAGAATGTATCCTGGAGTTCACTCCTTCAGAGCAGACTAGTGTACAGGAAGAAGTTCCAACACAGGGCGGACCAACGGTGAATGGCCAGAGTCCCGATATCCCGGTAGGACCTTCAGGGACATCTTCGGCGGACGATAATAGCGCTGGCTCGGTTTCTGAAGTTCGAATATTCTTGATGGCAGGATTTGTTGCTGTTTTTGTGTTATGGACCGCACTCTGATCATGAACGTGTTTTGTAGTTAGTGTTGATGGCATTTGAAAGACGGTAGTACTGTATAACCACAACAAAGCAACATATTTGCCATTGGTTTCAAAACCAGAAAAGTAAAGTGAAAGTACCAACCACTAAGGAGAGAGGCGCTGCTTGTTCCCGGGTCTCGAATATTTTGCTGTCGTTCCCCAACTCCATCGCCTACGACGTCACTCAGCGACACTAGTAACACCTTGTTTCTCAAACATACAGATTAAATTAGTCGACACAGCCACTTTCAGCGGTCATTTTATCCCTTGTAGTTACTCTCCCACAATTCTGACATTCCACAACCACAAGAAAATCTTGTTTGCCCTTGTATTGTAAGCACTTGCTCATGCTGTGCCTTGGTTTTAATTAAAAGTTGCAGGTTGGCATTGGAGCTGAATACCTTCATCACGATGCCTCATTGTGAGTCGTCGTCGACAGAAAGTAAGCATTGGTGTAGTGGATCCCAGCGGCGCATTTATAGCCAGAATGGAAATTGTGGCGCCGATCAGGAGCACGGCTTAGTGAGTATCGATCTTTACCATAGCGGCACAAGCCACCAAAGGAGGTAATAAAGTTTTTGAGGACAAGGCTGATCTGTGGTGTTTGACAAGCTACGTAGGAGGTCTAATCAGATGTAAACAAACAATTGCTATATAATAAACGTGTTGAACTGGTCTTGGTAAGATTTTCAGTATTAGACTACTCCATACCATCACATTTTCATCATGACGACAATCTTCTTATCACTGCTTTGTCTAGGCTTGGTCCGCGATGGCCTTGGACGCCCAACTGAAGAGTGTCCCATTCTAGGTCCTGTCCTTTCATCAGGTTTTGAACTCTCTAAGTTCACAGTCGTCAAGGAAGCAAAGTCCAACTTCCCAGAGACAATCGAATCTCTCTTTTCCTCTGGCATCATCAACGAAACACACACATCGTTCGCCATCAACGTCTTCTCTACGGCCACCAACGAGTCTCTGTACTCTTACTACCACGCTGCAGAAGCACTTGATGATGCTCTTTCCAAGGGAAAGCTTGACGACGAGACTGTCTTCCGTATTGGCAGTGTATCCAAGCTTTACACGGCCTACGCCATCCTTGCCAATTCTGGGTTCGACGTTGTGAACCGTCCTGTTACCGAGATTCTACCCGAGTTAGCTGGTAATAACAGGAGTGGCCCTACGGAGAGGATCATCTGGGAGGATGTTACCATTGGCTCTTTGCTGTCACACCAAGCCGGATCTGGTGGAGTTCGTGAGTAATCTAGAGATATCATGACCTTATGTACAACTAATGGTATTGCAGCTCTCGAGATTAGTACCTGCCCAAATGATACTATTCTAGGATGTGGATTTGAAGGTACGGAAAGTTCAATCATACGTTACGTCATGTCTAACATTTGAAACAGATTTCCTGGCATACATGAAGCTGAGCAAGCGTCCTGTCACACTTCCTTACGAGGTCCCAGTCTATTCTGATGGTGGCTTTGCAATGCTTGGTGGGGTGTTAGAGCGTCTTAGTGGCCTGCCATACAATGACGCAATCAAGGCAGTCCTTGGCAAGCCTCTAGGGTTCAACAGTTCTACGTCAATCGCACCAGGGGGCAACGAGCGCAACGTTCTAGCCATTCCAGGCCCCCCAGAGGTGTCGTCATGGGCTAAGGACAAGCAGGTTATTGCAGGGTATGTTCCTTTTTCCACCTTTTGCAGTTAATGGCATTGTCTAATTTGTTTTCTAGAACCGGCGGTGTGTACTCAAGTGGTGCCGATTTACGAAGAATTGGCCTATCCATCTTGAACAATAAGATCCTGACCTCTGTGGAAACCAGACGTTGGATGAAACCTCAAGGTAATACTGCATCTCTCACCATGAGTGTTGGTGCTCCTTGGGAGATCAATCGACTCATCCTTCCGGTATCTCCCAAGTCGAACAGAACCCGCATTTCCGATATTTACACCAAAATTGGAGGTAACGCCGGCTATGCTGCTGTCATCGCCCTTTCACCAGACCATGGAATTGGCTTTTCTATACTCACCGCGGGCGTGGGCGCTGTTCCTGCACGTATTCCACTTCGAAATGCTGTTGGTACAGCTTTTATTACTGCCGCTGAACGTGCAGGCTGGGAAAATGCAAAGAGGATATATCCTGGGACTTTTGTTGACGAGTCAAGGAATGGATCAAACATTACCATCACCGTTGATGAGGGCCAGCCCGGACTCGGTTTGGAGTCATTCTTTATCAATGGCTCGGAATGGCGAGCAAACTTGACGTTCCCTGCTTCTGATCCCATCTATGGAGACGATATTCTTGTTCGTCTGTATCCTATCGGCGCAAAGTCGGTTTCTGGCTCAACACAGCTTATCTCATTCCGTGCGGTTCCCCAGCTCAAACCCATTGTGCCTCGGTCTGCAGTTGAGGGTGGAGAGGGTCTGTTTGACGATGGCTGTACAACATGGGAGAGCGTCGGATTTTGGGGCGATGGTGATGAATTTACCTTCAAGGTGGTAGATGGTGAGGTTGTTAGTGTTACTAATTTGGCCCTGGTAGATCTGCACAGAGCCGAATACACCAGGGTTTCGGGTAAGAAAGATTGATGAGTAGACAGCGAGGGCCCAACATATCGTCTTGTATTTGGAGAGTAGTTAGCAAACTCTAAGCTCCAGAGATATCTATTGCATTTCAGAAAGTATCTGATAAAGTGATACTACCCGTGTACTAGCAAGTAATAGAATTGAAAAGCACTAGGCAATAAAACATTAAAAGCTTTACTCTTGTGATAAGCATTCCTCTCCATTTCGCAACCAGGGACTATTGCATAGGAAGAATGCACTCGATATTCTGGGGTCCGTCACCGTAAGATTAATCTATTTTAACCCAACTGTAAAGATTCTATCCAGCACAATATAGACTCTTCCGTCGGATCCACTCTCCATAACGCCATAGCACAACAGGAGCAAGAAGGCAAATAACCATGGCTGTCCCAGCAAGCAATCCATTTCCCCATGCAATTCCCAGTCTCTGATACATGGCTGGCGCAAACAAAGGAAAGCTGAAACCTGCCATTGTGCGTACAAAGGCTGCAGCTCCAGTAGCGCTTGCAGCATATCTCTCATAAGAATCAATGATGTATGTCTGAGCACACTGGAACGAAAGAATAAGGCCTGCTGCGAAGATCGCTGCTCCAATATTTGGTATTATCCAGTGGAGCCTGAGATGCGCTGCAATACCATAGAGAACAAGACCAGCAGGTGTCACCAGGGCTGTAGGAAACATTAAAGGAACACGAAACTCAGGTCGTCCAGGATGATTGTAACGGGATTTGAGCATAATGTAAACCTAGCACGCGTCAGCACTTGAAAGACGTACAACTGCAGAATAACAATACCTTGTCGATTAAGGGACCGGAAATTTGAAGTCCGATGACAAAGCCTATACCGAGCGAAATATAGTTCAAACTGGCACGGCCAGGTTGCTGATTGTATTGTTCTTCCCATACCATGGGAAACGAAGCGAACCTTTCCTCAAGTCAGCTGATGGGGACCGGCGGGAGGATAGAGTGGAATAACTTGCACTAGATACATCAAACCATACAAGTAGGCACGGTACAGTGCGGTAATTTGTATCGCTGGTTGTGTGAACAGCATGACAAAGGGCCGCTTCAAGTTGCTCAGTAGCAACGAAATGAATGTTCGATCTCGCTGCTCAAACTCTGTATGCAGATACTTGTTGCCAGTTAGCTTGCGGAGGGTTTTGGCCTTGACCTTCAGAATCTTGGGTGGATATGTCTCTTGTAGGAACAGAAACGCAAGTACCTGAACCACAGCATCAGCTATAGAAACAACCCAAAAGATCCAACGCCAGTTTAAATGCTGAGTTAGATAACCAGCAGCTACAGAACTGTTAGTTCGCGTTTCGTTGACCTCTGAGGCAACTTACCGATTGGTCCTACTGCAGGCCCTAAAAATGGAGCAAGACTGTAGATAGCAGTCGCCGTTCCCCTTTCTTCCTTGCGCCAGCAGTCACTCAGCACACCCCCTCCAAGCTAGGCCAAGAAAGTCAGTTATCATAAGCTGCAAGGGAGATATCGACAAGTCATACCGCTTGTGGAGCGCTTCCACCAAGACCACTCAGAAAGCGAAAGACTAGCATTTGCTGCTTCGTTTGAGAAAATCCACACACGGTATTGAACACCAGGTAAACCATATTTGCTGACTGAAGAACAACAACTCTGCCAAACATCTCAGACAACGGGGCTAGTAGGAATGGACCGATCGCGTATGCAAGAAGAAAAATTGACATGAGTAAGTATGTCTCAAAATCTGATGATATCTTGAACTCAATTGCCAAATCCGGTAAAGCGGGAGCCAGCATTGTCGAAGACACGGGAGAGATGAAAGTGAAACAAGAGACAAGAATAGTGGAGAGCCATTTCTTGCGCCTGCACCAGTTGTGAGGGTTGCAAGGGTCTTGGGGACCGTCCCAGGTGACCTGACAGTGTTAGTATAAGCATGGGGCATATGAGTAAAGACCTGTGTACTACTCACAAGGTTGGGATCTTCATCATGACGTCCGGGGAGAGGTCCCAGGGCTGACTGTTGCTCTAAGTCATCTGTAGACTTGATGGACCGATCTGACTGGCTTACGACATCAGGAACCTCGGCTAGTAATGACAGTGGTCTTGAGCATCCAGCAGTCACAGATTCGTATAGCCCTTGTCCCGTGCCGTCATTCGCCAGCCAAGGGTAGTTCTGACGTGATGTGTCATAGCTACTTGACCCTTCGAGCATAGGACTCCAAGACCTCCAGAGTGAAGAATAAGATCCAGCTCTCGAGAGTCTAGGACTTTTGCTTCTGCTCATGGTTGGAACGTTGGGAAGAAAAGAGAGTTGACAAGAGATAGCGAATTACTAGTGAACGATTGTAAAAGGAGTTGTTTGAGCGAATGGCGTTGTGTTGTCATGTTTTGTTGTAGAGTAGTCCGGTTGCCCCCTTTTATCACCCTGATTCATTAATTCTCATGGCGTTCCAGAGAGGCAGATGCCTCAGTCATCCTTGGTGTTGGACGCTAGAACGCTGAAAGATCCAAACACAGCCCTTATCAGAATAGTGGCAACCCAAAACAACTCACGCCCTTCCACAGTATCCCACAGAGTTGTGGCTTGTAAGGATTCGCTCACACTGCCTGAATACGTCACCAAGTAGGGCAGGCTGTCCTGGTAGGTTTGTTTTACGACCAGATGTGTCTTGCGGTGTCCATTTCCGGTTATCTCAGCAACATGGACAACGGTATCGAATCAACCGATGGTCGTCATTGTGGTGGCTGATGTGCTTGCTTTTGCTAAGCCTTAACGATTTGGAGATTTTCCATTTGCTTAACTAATTTTGCCAAGACTGAGCTCATCCATGTCAACAAATTACAAGAAATGAAACACCTGGCAGAGGCCAATGATATAGTTGCCCACGAAAACCGCTAATAAAAAGGGTTAGAGCTTGCGTGGTCATCCTAGGATGAAATTATGACATATCCTATAGCAACATGTATGGTCGCGTGTCTCAATATGTTAGGATACAAGATTTGACAAGCGAGCTGTTGGGGTCTGAAGTGATAAGGTTCTGAAGATTCGTATCGGATTTTGTTCAGCTGCATTGGCGTTTCTAAAATTATGAACTGATCTACTTCAGTGATGACACTTGATTGATAGCGTCTATTGGTACTCACGTTATGCTTGAAGCCAAGCACGCAAGGGATGTGAGGGGCTCTGAGTCCACTACCTTGATTTAGCATAGTCCGCAAGACCAATGGCAGCTTAGTGGTCAGTAAACGACACAGCCTCAAAAGACCATTGGACTCTAAGATTAAGCTTAAATGGCCCTCGATTGCCATCCCCTACCTCCGCGTGCCAGTATGTCACTACTTGCTTGGCGTGAAACATGATGATCTACCCAGCCTTGTGAAGTGGCACAAGAGTGACGTGTCGTACGTCCAACTCACCTGATCCAAGTCTACCGCTCAAATTGATATGAGAAGTTCTATTTATGCCTTGTGGCTTAGGCATTATTGTGACGCAATTGGAATTTTGCACGCAGACCTTGATGAGCCATTTCGAGAAGCAGAGCATACGACAACCTGTTACTATTCCTGTCAACTCTCCAAGCTATCACCAGGCACCATAGTCTGTGGGGCGGAGCCACGACAAGTGTCGGTCTGCAGTTCAATCAACTCGAAAGGAATGAAGACGAATCCCAAAACAATAACCTCACAATCGTAGTTGGTCATAGTATATATAACAAGGCATGATCCAGGTCAAAAGATTGACAATTCAGATTAAACCACATCATTACATTCGCTTTTTAAGATACTCAACTCAACCAATACATTCGCTATCAAACGTCTTTCGTTTCAAGAGCCCTTCATTATCATATCAATAAACCCTGAGAACTCCAGCAATGACATCTGGTTCCACTATCGCTACAACAAGCATGAGGGTTCTCGTCTGTCCCTCAGGTTTCAAGGGCAGTCTTCAGCCGAGTCAAGCTGCTGACTGCATTGAAGCCGGTATCTTAGCTGTTGAACCTCTCGCCTCGGTCCGCAAGGTGCCACTGGTCGATGGTGGCGAGGGATTCACTCAGGCAATTGTATCTGCGACAAGAGGCTCTATCCATCATATTCCCGTGACTGGGCCTGTAGGGGAAATTGTTATGTCCTTATTTGGATTCCTCGGCCGACGCAGGAAAGATGAGCCAGTCACTGCAGTGCTGGAAATGGCTGCTGCTGCTGGTCTCAGCCTAGTCCCATTGAGCTGCCGCAACCCTGGAAAAACTACGACATTTGGTGTTGGCCAACTTATCCTTGCTGCACTAGACGCTGGAGCGTCCCACATTCTTGTCGGATGTGGTGACTCTGGTACTTGCGACGGCGGTGCAGGGATGCTTCAGGCCCTTGGTGCAAAATTGTTTGACACTAATGGGCGTCTCCTCCCAACCGCTCAAGGCGGGGAAACCCTTTTGACGCTTGACTCGATTGACTTGTCTGAGGTAGACAGTCGCGTATTCAAAGCTAAAATCGACGTTGCTGTAAACTGGCAGAATGTTCTCTGCGGACCTGAGGGGGTGGCAAATGTGTTTGGTCCCCAGAAAGGATCGACTCCCGAACAGGCCGCTCGACTTAGTCTTGCCATGGAACAATTGGCAGAGGTCACCACGAGAATTCTTTGCGATAAGAATGTAGGACTGGCTCCAGGAGGCGGCGCTTCAGGGGGTCTTGGAACGGGATTGCGTTTGGTCGGGGCTACGCTCAAGCCTAGGTACGAGATTGTTATGCAGTACATCAACGTGCATAGCATCTTCAACGACTGTGATCTTGTCATTACCGCAGAAGGCGGTATAGATGATCAAACACCTAGAGGTAAAATACCTGCCGAAGTCGCGAGGCTTGCCAAGAAGCATGGACTGCCAGTTATTGCCATTGCTGGTACAATTGGCCATGGGGCTAGAGTGAACTACGATATCGGCATTGACGCCTTTACTTGTATTATTCAGCGACCCATGTCTTTAGACGATGCGGTCCAGGAAGCGGAGAAGCTGACCCGGGAGAGTGCGGAGACGGTGATGAGGATTGTGGTGATTGGGAGGATGCTGGGTAAAAGCATCTAAGGGTTAGATGGGTCAACTTTCATATCAGAACAAGTCTATTTACATCGGCCAGAATACCAAGCAATGAAGGATATCTCAACTCATATGGCAAATGCTTAATGGCCAGGCGCCGAAATAATATATGAGCGCAAGTGATGTCAAAAGGTTACGTAGAAATGCTATTCAATGGAATCTAAGTCTACCTGGGAGTTGTTTTCGTTTGAATGCAGCAACATTCAAACTATTTAGTCCATTTCCAAACCTAAGATTAGAAAGCTGGAAGCGAAACTTCAATACTACCATGTCTTCTTTGGTTCATATGGTAGGTCCAGCGTTCATCCATGAGGTTACAAAGATAACGCTAATTTGATATCACTTGGAAAGATCCAAATTTCTTGCCGGGGTCCCAAAGAAATGCACAACAAGGCCGTAATAAATCAGATGAGGATAGAATAAAGGCTTGTGAACTATGAGCTTCCTACGCCGCAACAACGACTACCCTAGCAGCAGTGGCTTTCGGCTATTGCGGCCTGTCCCTGGCATAAAATCAACGAATCGGCATTAATAGCATCGTCCATGTTACCAAAGCGGGACTAATAAGTTCCCAATTAACCACTTATACTATGTATAACGCTTATTACCTCTGAAGACAGGTCCGTGTGCAGTCCCCGATGACAGCAATTCCACTTGTAGATCCCGCTGACATGGAGATCGACAATCCCTGTAGGATACCCGATACAGGAAATGTACGTGCTAATTGATCCGTCACCAAAGAATACAAGGCGAAACGCTTGAGAATGCACCTTTCAACCGCTTCGGCTACCAAGTGCCGTTCTTCACGCGATCTTACAGTCTCTAGGGTAAGGTACCTTGAAAACTTGAGATATAAAAGGCAGCAGATTCTCGCCCTATCGTTGCAATTTATCCATCACAGCACAACACATTCTGCTCTTACCTTTATTCCACAATCTCGACGATTTACTAAAACATCTTATCCAAGAATCTCATTATGATGTTCAAAAGCACTCTTTTGGCCGTTGCTGCTACCGTTGGCTTGTCAGATGCTCTGGGCATCAACTGCCGAGGCAGTGGACTTTGTGTCGGAAACAAAGGCGCTTTCAGCCAACTCGTTGCCCAAGTCAGGGCCATCGATCCTAACAAGACTTTCAGAGATGGGGAACATATCACCTGCGTTGACATCAACCAGATTGGTAACCACCCAACCATTTGCGCGTTCTACCAGAACATCGGAGACCGAACCTTCTCTGTTTCTCAGACTCAGACATACCTCCAGTGGATCCTCGACCATGGCTGCAAGCTTTGCGGCAGCGTCCCAACCGACGATGGCAACAATGTCGCCAACGGACAGCTGACTGTCAACGTCGTCATCAACCCTACCAAACGCGACGCACCGCAAAGTCCGTCAGGCCTTGAGAAGCGAGGCGACAAGCACCTTTTTAAGCGTCTGGGTATCAACTGCCGTGGTAGCTCTAGTTGTGGAGTTGGGGGTATCTTTCACACGCCTAATGGAGACTTGAAGGATGTTCGCGATGCTGTTGCTTCCGGTGAGGAGGGCAACTTTGGTAATGGTGATCATATCGCATGTATCCCCTTTGCTTTTGGACAACTCTGTTCTTTCTACCAGGGTATTGGTAGTCGATTTTTCACCAAGGAGCAGTCTGTCACATTTCTCGACCAACTCAGACAGCATGGATGTTCCAAGTGTGGTAGCATTCCTGTTGATTCTGGCAATGACGTCAATAACGGGCAACTTACTGTCAATTACGTAGCATAAGTGGCTATCGGACAGCAAAGCCTCGGGATAGCTAAAGCTTATCCTTGTTTTTTAACTTTATCTATGTTACGGCTCTTTTAGGAATCAGTATTGGACTCCTCAAACACTGCATTTCAGACAACATTATAGCGCAGATAGGGACTGGCGTAAGAGAGGGGAAAGGGTGTATATTAAGACATTAGTAGCCCAGATAATTTAAAGGCTGAGGTTGAATAGCTAGTAACTGATAGTATATTTACAAGCCTTTTGATTATATTGAAAAGTTATTACAATGGCTTGCCTACCCTTAACAGATAGTAGTAACACAATCGGGTTAAAACATTTATATCCCAAGCGAAAAGGACAGTAGTAAACCTTCTCTTTCATATATAAACAAAGCATTATACTACATATAAATGCTTTTAAAGTTACTAGATTAAACCCTTGACTAATCCATTCAAACAGATCGTATAAGATCAGAACTAAATTTCTTTATTGAATTTTACTTATATGCTCATGGTAGGGTATATTAGCACAAGTTTTTATAAAGAAAAGATTCTTATAAAAGAGAACTAGCAGCATTGGGGCCAGTATCTCGCTGCTCTCAGGGAGGATGTTCGCCAGAATTTGCAGCGTAGTAACTGAGAAGAACTACTGCAACAATACATCCATCGGGCTGCCTTCGATGCAGAATTCGACATACCAACAAATAACGGGATAAGGCAACACTTCGCTGCCTGGCGCGATGAGAACGACGTCAAACATGACATCAGCCGTTGCCTATATCGTTTTAACTACTGTCTCTATGTAGACCAAAGATTTCTGGAAGCGCATGTTTAAGCCACGTCACATTGAAGAGTGGCAAGACACTCCCGCGCCTAGTACCCGCTCAAGGAAAACAAGGTCGAGTTTGTCGCTATAACACCCGGCGCCGTGGATACACAAATGCAGACGTATATGCGTCAGGAAGATAGGTTGCATTGACTTGCACTCTCTAACAAAGCTAACACAATTCGATCGTATATCTAACAAGCTCTTGAAGTTTCTTGAAGCCCCCGAGGCCGAAGGGAAATTTCTCAATCAGAGGAACCAGCGGCGGCATTTGCAGAGTTAGCAGGAATAGAAACCCGGGACGCTTTGAAACGTCAAACGGGTTATTGGCAGGACATCTTGCCTACACCCCGGCAGCATAAAAAGGGATGTAACCTTGGGGTACTACCCGCGGGAAGGTAACAGTAGGTACTCGGTATTTGAAACGATAAAGTCAAGTGGAGTTTGTAAGCAAAGTGGAGGCCTACGCTAGTCAAAATTTTAAATCAACCTTTATTAATTGAGACGGCGGTCAGTGTTGAGAAGGCATGAAAACACGGTCACAAATACATTAAAGACACTTATCGACAATAATATCAAGTTGTCATTGTTACCAACAATAATCTACATTGATTCTACTCTTGTGTATACCTGTAAAATTGAATATTAGATGAGATTTGACACTCTCCAATATTATAGCTTTTATTGCGGCTAAAATTGTTGAATGTATATTCTTTGAGCTCATAATTACTACACAGGTTATAAAAGTCTCACGACCCAATTATCTTAATATCACCGGGCCAGATCGGATTAGTAGAGAGCTAGCAAGAAACTACATCAGACATACAGTATCATATGTCATCCCAACAAAAGCAGCACCTAAGCCGAGGTAGAGTGTAACACGACGTAGCTGTGAACTACTCTGGAAGGAGGGCAATTCAAGATGGATGCACCTGCCAGCCTTTAAGTCTATTGCTATACATCAGAAGTAAGTCTTCAATAGTGATGCTTGGCTTCTATTGATAGATAAATTGTTTGTCTGGGAGAGATCCGAAGAAGGGGAAGAATTGCCTGTTACCGGTTAGTTGCAATCTGTATGTAGCATGAGGATAGGGATGAGGGCGGTACGGCAATCTGCAGATGTTATGTAACTATTTCCCCTTTTAAATAGTCGTTTTTATCTGGCTTTGTCTGCGTTTCTGGAGGTAGTGCCATATCGGCGAATGGTACGGGATGGCTACCTCATGACAAAGTTCCGGCTTTGTAATCTTTAGTGGAACATTTTGCTTGAAGCAGTATAGATCAGCAGCTGCGCCTTTACATATCAATATTGGAGCAAGATTTCATCCTCGATGGCCCATAGATAGGATGGCTACTCCATGTGACTACCAGAAGCGGTGTTTTACATGAGCGGCCAAACTGATAAGTAGCAATATAAGGTGGCAACAACTCGCAAAAACTGGGTCTAGCTACTGCAGGTCCGCATTGACCTTCTTTCTCGGGTTGCGTTCCGCGCCATCTGTGTTCCTTATTCAGGAACGTCTGCCCACATCCCGAGGAGTGAACAAGGGCCTACGTGTACTGCAGCGAATTAGAGAGAGTTGTTTACTCAGAACATGATGATACAATCGTAGATTGAAAAAGATCAGCATGTAGCATGAATTGGCCTCCCAATTGAGGAAGTTGATGAACACCGGAACATTATCGACGTAACATTGCCAAGACGGCAGAAAGGTTAGATGCGACTATGATATCAATCACGAAATCCATTGCGATAGACGGTCCGAAAATACATAAAAGAAACGAAAATTCTGCCATCTGTGGTTTATTCTATCACCCTTTCAACTTCATTCACACTACTCCCATTGTTTAGTATAGCCATCATGCGTCTTCCCAGCTCAATTCTCTTAGCATTGGCTAGCTTGGCCGTAGCTCACCCTGGCGAAGATCACCACGATGAGCTTCACCAGCGTCGCTCATTCGAAGCCAGTGCCGAGCGACTGTCTCTGCGTCACTGTGCTGAGAAGCTAAAGGCTCGAGGTGTGACTGACCGTAACATCAAGCGTCGATCCGCCTTGATTCAGGAGCATCGCCAGAAGCGTGAGCATTGACCTCCCTTTACTTGACTCGCAACTTTCTAATGTGGCTCCAGGTGGTATCAAGAAGCGGGATCTCGAGGACGTGCTCAACACGGACCACAACAAGACCGACCTCGGTTACACTCCCAACACCCCGCCTGAAACTCTCTTTGCTGGGCAGAACTCGTGCGTCCTGACTCCCGAGGTTACTATCGGTCCTTACTGTAAGTTTTGGTTCACTACCAAGAAGATATGTACTAATGATGATAAGATGTCAGTGGTGAGACTATTCGCCGCGACCTCAAGGAGGACCAGGAGGGCGTTGACCTTATTCTCGACTACCAAATCATCAATGTGGAGACCTGCGAGCCTGTACCAGAGCTCTATCTCGACATTTGGCACTGTAATGCAACCGGTGTTTATGCTGGTGTGAACAACGCGGGCAATGGAAACACCGACGACACGAGCAATATTAACAACACCTTTGGCCGTGGTATCCAGCAAACCGATGAAGATGGTGTTGCTCAGTTTGAGACACTCTTTCCTGGTCACTACACCGGCCGTACTACCCACATTCACCTCTTGGCTCATGCAAACGCTACTTTGTTTGAGAACAAGACCCTTGGAAACGATATCTACAGCAGCCATATCGGACAGACCTACTTCGACCAGGACTTGATTCACGAGGTTGAGAGTCTTGCTCCTTATAATACCAACCAGCAAGAGCTGATGACCAACGCTCGCGACTACATTCTTGCTGAGGCTGCCAACCAGGAATACGACCCAGTTGTCGAGTGGACTCTTCTTGGTGACACTGTTTCGGATGGCATCTTCGGCTGGTTAGCCTATGGTGTTAACATCACTGTCACCAACAAGGTCACCCCTGCGGTTTTTAGATATGAGGACGGTGGACATACCAACCCTGATTTTGGAATGGGAGGTGGTCCTGGCGGGCCAGGTGGTCCCCGACCTTCGCGCCCAAGTGAGGCAGAGGATGTTGCAGACAACTCCTCTTAAGTCTTGGTTGTTCCATAAACCATTATGACTTCATTTGATCATAATTGACTAGGTACATTATGGTGTCAAGATAGTGAATTATCTTACATAGCTCTTTACAGTTCACTTAGATGCTATAGATATCTTATCCGAGTCATTCCTTCATGATTCTGGCCACTTTATCACTTTGTGTCAGACGAGAGTTAAGAGGTTAAAGAACAGGCAATACCGCTTTTACCTTTTTAGATATTATTTAGATAACAGCGCATAAGTAGAATGTTGGCGTTCTCACAGTCGTTTTTTAAACCAAAACTGCACTAATCCTGCTAGTAGAATATACCGTCTTATGTGTCACTCTATTTAATCTTAGGAGTGATAAAGGATTAATTGATCGAAGATCTAAGTTGAACGGCTGTGGAAGAGATGTGTTGCCGGCAGATATTTCCCTCAAATAGACTATACACAAGACGATTTCACAAATCTTGAAATTTTCTATTCAGGTTAGGAAGGAGGGAGCTATTTCATTTCACAATTCACCCTTGCACATAACGAGAACTCTACCAATCATGGCACTGCATTTGCTTACAGCATTTATGCAAACCAGCACGTGATAACACACTGCAACCTTATGCCGCTCCAATCTGTATCAATAGATCAATTTTAAACCTTCCCATGGAACTAATTTATATCCAGACATTAAGCACTGGGGACTTGAGTTCCTATGAAGCAATCTGCAGACTTCTTTTCTATCTACATCAAAGGTAATCAGAGTAACCCATGCATGACTAGTGGAGCCCGGGACAATGCATTTATTAATTGCCAAAGCAGCTAGGTGCTTTCTTGTCTTCATCCATAGCGGAGTGGTAAAATCTGCTGATCATTTACTAACACTGCATCCAAAAACAATGCCAGCTGGTTTTGTAATTCACAATACCCTGGACAAGCAGGCCTCCAGTTGAGTCATTGCTTCGCGTCGAGACAATTTAGCGAAAAACAAGCTTATCCGCTTTGAGACATCGCCGAATGTTGTTATTGAGTAAAGGGTCCTTCTCAAGTCATAAGAAACCTCACGACGAATCATGTAACAATGCCTAGGCGAGAACGGGTGATGCCAAGTCCGCTAAGCCCACTGTTTACGAAGCGAAATGAGCTGTGCCGCTCGCCGATTCCCAATAGCGGCTGTTCAGGGCTGAGGTCTTCACATGAGTACACAGATGATATGAACCGTTGTACGAAATAAAAAGAGTTCGTTAGTACCTTGTATACTTTAGACACCACTGCTCCTCTATTAACTGATCAACATAAGCTATTGTTGTTAAGTCTGCAGCACAAGATGCCTACCGCTACGGAATTCTTTGGCATTACAGCCCAGAACCTTGGTCCGCTCACGACTACCTATACCGCTCCGTCATCATGCGCGACCAATCTAAATCATCCTGTCTTCGTTGACGCGACTTCACATCATGTTGTTGTGGCTGTTCCCAGTTGTAGTTGGCCTACCTACGGTGATTGTATTCCCAGTGCCAAAGGATGGGAATTAACAGATCAGCAAACCACTACCTTTTACCAGGGCACTTCGGTCTTTTACTCGCCAGGTCTTGCTTGTCCCTACGATTGGAAGACTGTTGGACTATTGGCCCATACTGAGAGTGGGAAGTTCAGCGCATCTGGTGCACTGACGTCAACAACATCAGGGGTTGATGGGTTTCCAGAACTTATTCACCCTACCGAATACTGGAAGAATATGCTGGATGAGTCGGAGACTCTTGCATACTGCTGCCCTAGGTATGATCAATGAAAATGGCCTTTGAGCCGTGGAAAGTCTGCAAATTAACAGTCGCAGCGGATTTTCAGGGAACGTATACGGAGACTGTGTATCTACACTTGGCCCAGTCAGCTCTTACACATACTCCGAGTATTGTCAGGTATACGGTAATGGTGGTGGGCGATTGACGATCATCTCATCCGTGGATGGATTGACAAATACAGAAGGCGTATTTTCAATCATGAAGCCTACTCAAACCTGGGAAGCGACCTCCACGTTCACGGGTGACTTGGAAGAACTCCAGGAAAAGACTGGATATGGTTTTAGTGATATCGCGGTTGCGTCTTGGATACCTGCCATCCCTTTGGTGTACAAGAAGTCGGATATGGATAAAAAGGGAGACAGCGATGATAGCGAGAATGGAACTGCGACTGCCACTGGAGGGAGTGATGAGAGCGCTGCTTCTACTATTCCGGGGCAAAGTGCGATTAGTGTGATTGGGTTGGCATTAGGACTCCTGGCGCATATACTCTTGTCTTAATGACAATCCTTTCGACCCAGACCGACGGAATGCAGTACCAGAGACAGCGCTGTCCAACGGCTTAACGAGAAGAGGGACTCTTCAATGAGAGTTCCAGTTACTGAGATATCTTCGGAAATAAAGAGAGTTCCAATTTGCTTCAGCTTCTACGCTAGACCTGACCTATCTATAACTTAATATTAAAAGTCAAGACAACTTCTTGTAGTCCTCTAATGCTCAACTGCATCAATATCCAATTCCTCAGAGCGTCGCTTAATAAGCAACTTGACTTGCGAATCAGCTGTTTGCATCATGCCAAAGGGAGATGCCTTGGGAACAACACCATCAACGAGCTTCCAATCATACTTCAGAAGCATGTGACAAAGAGCAATCTTAATTTCATTTGCCGCGAAGAACCTGCCCGGACAGGCGTGATTGCCATAGCCAAACCCCAAGTGGTCAACGCTGGGGCTGACAAGATGCGGATGCGCGTTCTTGTCTTGCTCAGACGCTTCTCGCATGCGAAGATACCGATACCCATCGAACTTGTCTCCATTCTCGTGAAAGTCGGAACTCCACATGTGTGTAGTGTCGCAGACAATCCTGGTTCCCTTCTTGATGACATCTCCATTAGGGAGTGTGATGTCTGCCGTGGCTAATCTCCTGAAGGAGCCTGTAGATGTTGTAAGACAATGATCTGGTAGAAAATTCAGCTGAGACTTGCCTATGATAATCGGTCTAAGTCTCTGGGACTCTTTGATGACGCTATCCATCAATTTCAAGTTGTAGAGGGCAGTCTTCTTCAATCCATCTGTGGTTATGACGCTAATGAGCTCCTGACGAAGCGGCTCGAATAACTCGGGATACAGAGCAATGTTGAATACTGTCTCTGTAAGCAGATCGGTAGTGGTATGTATGGCCACGAGTGATAAGGATATCTGAGAAATTGCAGCATCATGCTGCTCGTATTCCTGTTCGAACCATTCGATAGAATCATCAAATGGACATGGCTTCCCTTTGGCCATTACTTTAGCCTTGATAGTGTTGCGTTGTTCTAGAAATGGCTTTAAGCATTGCCGTGCCTCTTCGAGTGTGCGCCTCAGCTTTTGGCAAGACGGTAGGAAATGATGAACATATGGTCGAGCCCATCGTGGATACGTGCGTAGAATGTCACCTGTCATGAAAGCTTGAACAGTGTATTCGCCTGAAAGCTTCACCCATTCTTCGTTGCGGCACAAGCCTTCACCCACGAAGACTCGAGAAGACATGCGCGATACAATGCGGATAAAGTCTTTGGACGGTTGCATCTCACGCCACTCTAGAGAATCTAGGTCAATCATCAAAGTCTTTAGTTGACAGAATTATGGGTTGTGTACCTGTTGAATCGGTAAAAACATCACGGAATGCCAAAGATGCTTCCTCTGACAAAGGTCCAGTGACCCTGGCTAAAAGTAGGAGTTAAGCAATGTGACCCTAAAAAAGAATGATTCATAAAACCTACTCAAGGCTTTTGTTAAGTGCTTGTTCACCACCTTGGAAATGTTGGGATCGCCATGGAAGGGTTCAAACCCGGGGATGTATCCATGAGAGTCCTATTGAATTAGTCGCATTGAACATTGAGAGTGACCGTATATGGTATACTTACATCCTCGGCGGGAGTTTGGAAGTCCAAATCTTTGTGACTTTTCAGTTCGCTGAGAAACTGGGGAGGTATGATAACGACTTCTCCCCAATCTGTGTTAGCCCTGTAAGGCTGATCTTTGTACAAAGCTCTGCCTTTAGCGAGGACATTCTTGCTGTTGCCAATGAACTCTCTGACCACACGATTGGTCGTAAGCTCGAAGGTTTTCTTTGGATTCAAGAACGGGTACTTTCCATTGTGGAGGAAAGAATATCTCACGATGAAGAGAGTGAACAAAGTGACGCTGCAAAGAAGTGCGTACTGGTTGTTGTCCAGAATTATATTCAGATTGGAAGGCATTTTGATGGTCGTTGAGTTGCTCGGCCTGGCATAATGGAAAGCACTGTCTTAACATAGATACTTATACTCAATCATGAATGTCATTTGGTCTAATTGTTGAAGATTGAGACGTTATCATGCAGCCCGAGCTGCATGTATCGGGAATCTCTAAGACCCCGATCCCGGGCTCCTCCACAACTACCGGGAGACATTAATCGTATATGTTGCCCGTTATTGGTTCAACCGTTCCATTAAAATGCAAAATCCTAGTAAAGTGACCCATGTAACAGCATTGACTTATTAGGAAACAATGCGCTCTAGAGAAGACAGCGGTTATTGGGCAAATATGTGCCCAGGCAAGAACGACCTACATTAATCGTATTCGTATATGTTGCAGAGAAGAGTGCTGAGAGCCATTCAGGTTCAAGATGCGATTATGCATGATACCTAGCGTAACTCCGCCTGAAATCACATATTCCAGCTGCCGTTATTGCCCAGTCGCGGGCTTTAAGCCTTGAATCGTCGGCCTCTTCAACTACTCCGACGCGCAGATCCATAGTCATGACTATCCTTCCGCAATCTTTGGCATCCGGTTTGTGTTCTCCATCGTTGAGATCAATCGGTTAGAAAATCCCTTCTTGGTTTTTGCTTAAACCCCGAGCTTACTTACCTTCCAGTCATTTCTTTCTTTTATGAATTTTCAGTCGAGGCTAGGTTTTCTCGATTTCCCAGAAGTTGTAAGATATAGGATCCATACAGACGGAAGGAAACTCAAGGTGCCAATACGATGTTTAGGTTGTGATTGGAGTACATAAGTCGGAAGCAACGTTCCCCGGATTGAATTGCATAACTTGCATAAAGACAGCCAGCCGCCTTACCTATTTGGGGAGACTCGGATGGATTTTTGTTATCTTGGGCCGGTTAAGCAGCTTCTATCCGAACAATTTAGTGGATTTCTCTGTACCTCGGCTACAATCGAAATTGGCCTTCAATCTATGTATCTTGTTTCCAGTCCCTGAGTTGGCAGCCCAGGCACACACAGCAACCACGCACGCCCTTGTCTGAACAACCAACTTTCTCAACCATCTGACACAATCATTCCTTCGTAACATAAAGTAGTGGCGACAGGTCAATCCACCACTTATTCACTTTTCATCCTGTTGACCAAGGACTTTCTTGCGACACCAGTTATCCACAATGTCCGCAAAATCATCCAAGCAGTAGGGACCCAAACATTGACCATAGCGTATAAGTGCATTTGAGATCCAGGGAGTGCTGCGCCTATTCCGGTGACGGCCAATGTCGCACCAGCGTGAAAGACATCAAATGCAAAGAAAGCGAACAGGACTGCTTTTATAACTTCTTCCGCATCAGAGACGTCTCGCAATTTGTAGCGAGCCACATATAATAATAGCGGCTCAATCACAGCACTGAAGGCAAGAGCCCCAATGTATGAATACCAGAGACCGCGGAGTTGCGGAGTGTTCCAGGCAGTCTCCGCATCGCATGACTTATGCAAAGCCGAGTTTGACCAGAAAGGTCCATTGCTGTCGTTCGGAGCCAAGGAGTGGAAGTGGTTAGATGGTGATGCTGGGATCAGAGATAGAGACACAATAATAACACTTGGCTTTAAAAAAGTTAATCGGATGGTCAAAAGGGTATAGATTCATCAGGCTGTTTACCTCAAAGACCATGAAAAGATATTGATAGTACCATGGGAAGACCTCAGAGATGCGCATTGTAGTACAACCTTCCTTCGTCATTTTGATGGCGAGTTAGTTGATGGTTGAGAGGTGGGAAGAGTCATATGCTATGTAGAGAGAAGTCGAGATTCTTAACCCAACCATTTTCTGAACAGCGGTAAGCGGAAAACCATAAACTATTTTCCTGTCTTATCACGTGATAGTCTTAAAGATTATAGACCCATGTCTAGTTATTATAGAACCCTTAGTAGATAATCTAGCTGAATAGTATTATATCTTATATAAAGTAATAATTCTATTTCTAGAGGGTTCTTATAACCTATCTATATAAGAGATTATATATTCCTTATTTTTAATATTAAAAAGACTTATTTAAAAATCTCTTTAGATTAAGCTAGCTTATTAGGGTTATAATTATAATAATTAAAGTTTCTTAAAGAATAAACTAAATTATATTTATAACGGTTAGGTTTTTCCAAGGGATAAACTAGTCTATTCTAAGTTTATATTAGCAGAGTTATAGGGCATATATGTTACGACCAGGTCATACATACCCCACTTTCTCACTTTTCCACTTTAATATGACCCACTTTCACACTCACTTTACACCAATCATGACAGGACCGAAAGTCCAACTCTCAGTCCCTGAGCTCTAATTAATCAGATAAGGATTAAATAACTTTATATCAGTCTAGGATTAATAACTTTATATCTCAGTCTAAAGACTAATATAATAATAATACCTATTGCCTTATACCTCTAGACTAGTATAAATAGCTATACTCTTTAAGCATTAAATAGAACCTAGCTTACTAGCTATTAATAAAATATCTTTACCTAAATACGCTTAACCTGCCTTATTCATATGACGGTTGGGTTTTCCAAGGGATAAACTAGTCCGTTCTAAGTTTATATTAGCAGAGTCGTAGGGCATGTAATACTAAGCGATTGCAAAGTATTATATCTCTTAATAGTAAATACGGCAGGTTAGGCGTATTTAGGTAAAGATATTTTATTAATAGCTATTAAGCTAAGTGTATTAACTAATGCTAAGTAAATATATATATACTAATATTTAATATAAGGGGAGTAATAATAAGTTAGGTTATTATTAATCCTAGAGTAATGCGGTCTTAGAGCGCTATTAGTCTATATAAATATCAGTCTATTATTAATTAGATAATTATATTAGGAAATATAGGGATAAGAAAGTAAAAATATAAAGTATATATAATATAACTGCTTAGGTTATAATATAATCTCTCCTCTCCTATAGGCTTATCCTTAAGGCCTATTATCCTAACTAATATTATTTTTCTTTTAATAAGGTTTAACTTAATCCTTTTATTATTATATAATACTATATTTAACTATATATTTAAGCAGTCTTTATATAAAGATTATAAAATCTATATACTTATATTATCTATTAAGTTTCTTAATAAAGAAGCTAATATACCTTATACTTATTATTTCCATATAGGCAAGAGATACCTAATATTAGTAGACTCTAGTCGCTATAATAAGTATATTTATTCTAAGAAGTCTTATAATAGAATCTATATTATATTATCTTATAAGTTATTTTTATATAGTAACTATAGTTTTTTATGCTAATTCTTTTTATAGTAATAAATTTAATAAAATAAGAGAAAAAATTAGAAAATAATAAAGATACTGCTAGTGAGAATCTCCTTAAACTTTATAAAGAGATAGCAGCAGTATAGTCTTGCCTATCTCTTGCGGCTAGTCGTTTATTGCGAATTTGTAAAATTTATAGCAAGGTAAAAGAGAAGCATTCTAAGGCAACCTATTATAGTCTCTAAGAGGTTAACTAGGCAGATAATATACTATCCGGTTTAAATGCTTATAAAGATGCTGTAATTCGGGATCTTTAGGTTAATTGCATTCTTAATAAGGTAAATTAGGCTGCATTAGGTTTAGGCAATAAGTTTTTTAATGCTTCTCCTTTATTTAATTCTAGTAGAAATTTTTTAGAAGTCGCTAAATATTAATTAAGTATTTTAATAGTTCCTATATGTTTTTATTTTCTAGGTAGTTTTTCTATTTTACTAAATATATTATTTATCTGTTAATTTTTTATATATCCTTAATTTCCTTAACTTTATAGGTTTCTAGTCTATTAACTTCTTCCAGTTTATTGCTAATTTTAACTTTAATAGTATTAGCGGCTATTTTAAGAAGTAAGATATAAAAAATTAAATAGAGTCTAATTTTTATAGGTAATTCTAGTTTATAGATATCTTTCTTAACTTATTATTTAATTTTATATAGTCTAATAAACTTATAATCTAGTTTATATAAAGGTTATTTTATTATAATATTTTTTATAGATAGGTAGACTATATCTCTCTCCTTAAAGGTTAATCCCTTTACCTTCTTATTATTATATTAATGCTTTATTTATTATCTAATATATTCTAGTTCCTTTTTTATTTCTTTATATAGATTTCTAAGGTTATCTGCTTTTAGTATTACTGCAGGGTTTATTATTTTAAGATCTTATTTATTATAGTAAGTATCTAGTGTAAACCTAAAGTTAATATATACTAGGGTTAACTTGGTGCTTTTATTATAAGCTATATTATAGGCAAATTAGGCAATAGGTAACTTTTTAACCTAGTTATCTTATTTATAATTAATATAGTATTGCAAGTATTATTCTAGTACTTGGTTTATTTATTTAATTTATCTATCTATTTATAGTCTAAATGCAGTAGATATTTAGTAATTTATTCCTAGTAAGGCTAAGAGTACTTACTAAAATTTACTAGTAAATATTATACCTCTATCCGATAGGATCTCAGATAGTAGTCTATAGTTCCTAAAAATTTAATTATAAAAAATATAGGCTATTTATTTTACTTTAGTTATTTCCTAATAAGGGATATAATAGTAAAACTTTATTAAATAGTCTATTACTATTAGTATACTATTATAGAAGATTCCAGTTAAAGGTTCTTCTGAGAGCAGTAGTTTAGTAATAAAGTCTATTATTATTAAATCCTATAGTTATTATACCACTGGAAGTGGTTATAACCCTCCGTAGGGTTTATATTATTATACTTTTATCCTTGCATATAAGTTATACTATTTAATTATATCTTCGACTTGTTTTTATATAGGGTTATATCCTTTATTTTATAGTATTTTTAGTATTTTTATTATACCTTAATAACTATATAGTAGATATGTATAGTAATTCTATAGTATCTTTCGCAGGTCTTCTTATTCTGCGAATTTCTTTCCTTAACTCTATGCGCTATTTAGGCTATATTTTTTATATTAATTAATAATATCTTAGATTTATTTATTTAATCCTTTAATTAGGAATTATTATTATTTATACTTCTTTTTTATCTCTAATAGGCTTGCGTGGTTTTATATATAATGCTTTTCTAAAGTATCTATAAGTTCTATTGTTTTAACTATATTAAGGAGTTCCTTTCCTCCTATAATAAGTCCTTGTGATGGTTGGGTTTTCTAAGGGATAAACTAGTCCGTTCTAAGTTTATGTTGGCAGAGTCGTAGGGCATGTAGTACTGAGCGATTGCAAAGTGTTATATCTCTTAATAGTGAATAAGGCAGGTTAGGCATATTCAGGTAAAGATATTTTAATTAATAGCTATTAAGCTAAGTATATTAACTAATGCTAAGTGAATATATATATACTAATATCTATTATACTGGGAGCGACGATAAGTTAGGTTATCATCGGTCCTGGAGTGATGCAGTCCTGGAGCGCCGTCGGTCTATATAAGTGTCAGTCTATCGTCGATTAGCCAATCTTGCGGTATAATGTGGAAAAGTAAAAAGTGAAAAAGTAGGGTATATATAATATAACCGCTCAGGTCGTAATACAATCTCTCCCCTCTTATAGGCTTATCCTTAAGGCCTATTATCTTAATTAATATTATTTTTCTTTTAGTAAGGTCTAACTTAATCCTTTTATTATTATGCAATACTATATCTAACCGTATGTTTAAGCAGTCTTTGCGCAAAGATTATAAAATTAATACGCTTGCATTATCCGTTGAGTTTTCTAACGAGGAAGCTAATATGCCTTATACTTATTGCTTCTATGCAGGCAAGAAGTGCCTAATATTAATAGATTCTAGTTATTACAGTAAATATATTTATTCTAAGAAATCCTATAATAGAACTTATATTATATTATCCTATGAGTTATTTTTTTATTATAGTAACTATATATTTTTTATACTAATTCTGCAGTAATAACTTTAATAAAGTAAGAAAAGAAACTAGAAAATAACAAAGATGCTGCCAGCGAGGATCTTCTTAAGCTTTATAAAGAGATAGCAGTATTATAATCTTACCTATCTCTTGCTGCTAGTCGCTTATTGCAAATTTATAAGATTTATAATAAGGTGAAAGAAAAGCATTCTAAGGTAACCCGTTATAGTCTCTAAGAGGTTAATTAAGCAGATAATATACTCTCTGGTTTAGATGCTTATAAGGATATAATAATCTATAATCTTTAAGTTAATTATATTCCTAATAATATAGATTAGGCTATATTAGGTTTAGGTAATAAGTTTTTTAATATTTCTCCTTTATTTAATTCTCCTAGCGTTAATAGTAAAAGTTCTTTAGGAGTCGCTAGGTATTAGCGAGGTATTTTAGTGGTTCCTATATATTTTTGCTTTCTAGGTAGTTTTTCTATTTAATTAGATATATTATTTATTTATTAACTTTCTTTATATCTCTAATTTCTTCTGCTTTATAGAGTTTTAGTCTATTAATTTCCTTAGGTTTATTTCCTGTTTTAATCTATATAGTGTTAATAGCTAATTTAAGATATAAAATATAGTAAACTAGGTATAGTTTAACTTTAGGCAATAGGTCTAACTTATAGATATTCTTCTTAATTTATTTTTTAATTTTATATAGGCCAGTATATTTATAGTCTAATTTCTTTAATAGTTATTTTATTTTAATGTTTTTTATAAATAAGTAGACTATATCTCCCTCCTTGAAAGTTAGTCCCTTAATCT